ATAACACTTGCCGAGGATGTTCTGGCGGCCTAAATACACCTCTAGCGCAGTTCTGGGCCCCTTGGAAACTGTTCTTATAGTCTTTATTGCATTTTAATTTTACTTGATATTATTATATAAATTAAAGTTATATAATGCTTTTAAAAAGTTAAAATAACTAGTATATATTGTAGTGAATCCCTCGATGAGGGAACCTAGTGTTTGAATTTACTGCATTTTCGTTGCGCGCACGTCACAGTTGCCAAGGCCCAAGTTTTGGGTTTCAAGCTGCTTTTTTCTTCTCTGCCGGAATCCTGTCTAACTTTTTCGACTCTAACCTTGATGAATACACTGAAAACTCCCACGACCCGACCTCTAGAACGCCCCGAGATCCCCAACGCCGATGATGACCCGTTTAAGTCATTCGAATCCCCCCTCTAGCCAGCACCCTATGTGGCTAGCATCCGTACCAACCCAACGCAACACAACAGCTCCTGGAACCAGGGGTCGTATTGGGCCCCGGCGATATCCTGGAGGAAGACTTGACCCCTTGGATCGGGATTGTTGATATTTTTGGCCAAGTCGTAAAGCGCGCCCATTTCTATTCGGATATATGGGACAAGACTGCAGATAAGAGTTTGATTTTCTTGCCCATTAACCCTAGTCCTATTGTCAAGAAGCAAATGGCATCCAAAAATAGCCAATGCGATCTATTGGCTTCCATTTAGGTGTTGCGGATGGTGTGGCGATAGCTCAAATAGATTTTCTTTCTCAAGGAAGCTCGAGAGGAAATTCAGCTTCTGTCTTTCCGATTCGTCTTCTAGATTCTGAGAGAATCCGACATCATGTTGGAGTTGGGATCTATAATGCGGATACAACGAGTTATCCCTGGAAAGAGCTGCTCGAATGAAATTCGCTATATTGAAAATTGGTTGTGATGGGATAAGTGTCAGAAGGGAAGTTGGTCTCTTGACGATGGGAGACGTCAGTCTCCCTTATATCCTATGGCTTGGAATAAGGTTACTATCTTAAGGTTGTTGACTGCAGACAGCAGGGTTAAAGTCAGAGGGGTTAAATAGAAGCTTTAGGCAGAGACCGGTGGGCAACAACCTTATTGTTCAGCTACTGTTTCTTCTGGTGCTGGGTGTACTACTTATTGTTTATTCCTACTGTTTGAGATTACTGTATGGCTTTGATCTATCTGATGATATTGAGTAAAGCTAAAAAAACCAAATATTGTAGTGAATATTTAAAGAATGCCTAAATAATAAAAGCTATTAAATTATATTTTATACAGTTAAATATATATTTTGGACATATTTTTTATTTTGTGTTATAATAAAGCTAATAATATACTGAAGTTTAATATAATATAAAAGCCTATATAAACTTCAATAGTACTTACTTAAAATATATAATTTACTTGAAAAACAAAAAATATACTTTTTCCTCTTCTTAATTAATATAATACCTTAAGTTTTAATATACTTCTTCTACTGCAGCTATTATAGCAGCTCTTAATATTATTTCTCTTTTCTTTCCTTAACAGTAATTCAGAAGCAATTAATCAGTTACTTCAGATACTTTTTGCTCCCTGGAGATAACCTTAGTGCTGCTTTTTCTTTACCTCCGTTATCGCTCCAGCCCTACCCTACAGACAGGTGTGGTCTGCACTAACAACCTCGCCCAAACAAACTATATAATACTCTTTTGTATATATCACCTAGGGTAAGTTAATAAGTTAGGTGTTGTTTCTGTCTCTGTCAGCTGCTAAATAATTTTTGCGATTCTTATTATTATAGCTGATTAGCCCGCACTCTCTTATAATCCTCTGACACCTTATAGTGGGTTTCTTTATCCCCGCTGAGTCACTTGCGCATAAACGAGCTGTTACGGGGGGTATGTGGGATCAGTCCGGGGGTGGAGGCTTACCAAAGTCTAGAATCCTCACCGAAAAGTCCTGCAGATCAATTTGTTTATATCCTATCTCAGTTGAAGCTCAAGGAGGGTGTGGACCCTGTTGGGACAGGACCAGGATGTCCGATCCTAAGCTAACCGTATCCCTTTGAGTGCGGTAAGGCAACACTTAGGTCACGGGACCCACCACACCCCTGCCACAGCCGAGGTACCTAGAGTGACCTAAAGCACCGCTAGAATCAACCCCGCCCAATTCACCGTACAACTCATTCTGTGTGCACTTATGGATTCCCAACAGCTCTCCAGCCAGGCAGTCAATGCGTATGATGACAATAGCTTCATTGGCACTGATAACAGCCGTCGCGAGCAGCCGACTGATAACACCTGCCGGCCGATATATGATCCGGTTCCGGATCGCGGTTACAACTTCGATCCGATGGTCATTCCAAGCCGGGTCCCTGAGATAACAACCCTACCCCCGGAGCCGCTGTCACTATTCCAGCAATTCCTGCCTGTTTCCCTAGTAGAAGGCTGGGCCCAATACACCAACAGCTGGGTCAGTCACCGGCTTGAGCAGCATGAAGATGGCAGCTGCAGATTGAAGCCGCGGTCTCGGCTGCTGGATTGGAAGCCGACCTCTGTTGCCGAAATCTACATATGGCTTGCGATCTTGATATATATGAGAATACATATCGAGCCGCAGATCAAGCTGTATTGGAAGACTTCTGGATCTAAGGATCTACGCCCTATTCATCCAGTAATTAAATGGATGCCTTATAACCGATTCTAGCTGCTATCTCGATATCTTCAGATCTTTAACTTTACAACCATCGATAAGGATCCTAACATAAGCTTCTACGGCCGCACCTTTATCCGGATTAAGGCTTGGTCTGACCATATACAACATACGTCTACGTTATTCTATATTCCGGGCACATCTATTGCTGTAGATGAGTGTATGGTCCGCTTTCTCGGACGATCTATTGAGACAACAACAGTCCCTAATAAACCTATCCCCACAGGCTTCAAAGTGTGGGCTGTAGCCCAACAAGGCTATTTCCTGCGGTGGATTTGGCACCGGCCCGGCCGGAAATACGGGCCTGTTGGTATCCGGCTGAGCTACCGGCGCCTGCCGTCACAGCTGCGGCGGACCCGGCAGCAGCGACAAGAGAGGAAGACAATCCATCTAAACCCGACCCAAGCTGTGGTTGTTGCCCTAGTAAATCTGCTGCCGGAAGCCAGATACCATGTATTTCTCGATAACCTATTCTCTTCCTGTGACCTCTTTCGCCGGCTCCGGCAATGCGGCCACGGCGCCACAGGCACAGCCCGCAGGAACTGTGGCATCTACAAGCCTCTTGTCAAGCTCAAAGCTGCAGATAACACAGCTGCCGGCAGCCTTCAATTCAATGATATCAAAGCTATCCCGACAGCAGATAACCAAGTCAGTCAGAGAGACAGGATTGTATTGATTTTCCCTACTAATTTGTCTTCAGCTAGGTCAATCAGATCGCATGGAAAGATAACGCCCTCGTGCTATTCCTGTCCACTGTGTTCAAGGGCACTGAGAGACTCGAACGCATAAGGAAGAGACCGACAACAGACCAAATGCAAGCACGGCCAATACAGCGATTTTTTGGTGACGAGGCTGTCAAGCTGATTTCTATCCCATCCATCGCTGCTGTTTACAATGACGAGATGGGTGCTGTAGATCGCGGTGACCAAATGCGGTCATATTGGAGCCCTACCCGGCGTGCCCGTAGGGGCGGCTGGAGGGCTCTAGCTTGGGACTTCCTGCTAGAAATAGCCCTTATTAACAGCTATATTTTACAGCAGCGAGGGCAGCCACAGTAGAAGCCGGAGATATCACAGGGCAATTAGCGCCAACGTATTGTTAATGACCTTATCGCAAAGTATCAGTCTGACAGTCAGGCCCGACAGAGATTTCGGACTGGAGACGAATTTACGCCTGTTATACAGCACAATTGGGTCCGGAATAAGAATCCCTCGGCATGTCAAGCTTGTAAAGGAATACGGCTTGGAGAGGGTCGGCCGCAGCCGTTACGGGCAGTCAACGGCAACAGAGGTCAGAGACTAAAGAAATCGCGATATCGCTGTCAGCAGTGTAATGTAGCGTTATGTAGAGGGGGGAATTGCTGGGACTTCTATCACCATATAAAATAGGTGGGGATCTATGTACCTTTAATTTGCTATACTCTGGTTGGCTGGACCCCCCTGCTAGTGACCTAAGTGTTGCCTTACCGCACTCAAAGGGATACTATGTAGGTTGTTGCTCGGCTCCACGTCCGCGCGGCCCGGACAGGGATGAACGGAACTAACGGAACGGATAATTAGTAGAATGTGACAGGTTATAATTGCGGGAGTTAATGTGATGTGTGGGGGGGGCGGCTTAGTCTATGAATCACTTCGTCCTAAAAGGGTTACAATGTGACGTGCTTGATGCAAGATACCCGGCTCGGCCACTGCGATCTAGGAACCTGCCAGCATCAACGGGCCGCGGCCCACCGTCCCGTTCGACCGCCAACTGTGCCGGATGCGAAAATAACTTCGTGGCACTATTGCTCCTTAACATAATAAGATGAGCTATTGCTTAACTCATTTAAACCAGACTCGTACGACTATACTTACTGTAGTAAGATCAGTTGTTACATGGGCTACCTTACCAGACAGGGCATAAACCTTATAATAGGCCTCATTGCCTCCTAGGCTGACGCTTCCAACGCATGTCTTACCTGCAAGTCAGAGCGGGATCGCTCCATATCCAATCAGAGTCCTATGTCAATAAGTTACATTGAGGCCTTTGCCTTTTTCCCGCTGAATCCTTCTGTGCTTACTACGTGTCATCCTTCGTGGAACTCCCCGAACTCCACCGGGACCCGAGATTTCCCTGATTGGCCAAGTTGCGCACTTTTCTCCAGCGGTATCAGTGAGCCCGAACATGCTCCCCCGTCGGGCTACACGAGATGCAGGTGATAGCTGCCTGTCAGACTGGTTGTTATACGGCAGGTCAGCTACAGCATGGATATGCAGTGTTCGAGGCTTAGCGATGCGCCGATAGGAAGCGGAAGGGCAGTGTCCTGCGTATTTAAACAGGTGGAGAAGATGGAAGCGGTAATTGCCTGACGCCCAGGATATAATAACGCAGTTCTAGACAGGCATAAAGCTCACGCTATCACCCTAGCTTGCCTGTCCTTGCCGGTCTAGGTACCACTGACCTGTCGTGTCTTGTCGTGTCTTTACTTGCTGACCTTTGATGTCCAAGCATCTTTAATGTCCGAGCATCTTTAATGTCCAAGCATGGCACGTCCAGATGCCTCCAGCTGCTTCTCGGGATTCGAATTAGGGTCGGGATTAGAAAAGCCTTCAAGGAGAGAAAAACCCCAGCAGCTAGCGTGCGACAGATGTCGCGGCCAGAAACTCCGGTGCATGCGGAGTGCGAGCCCCAATGCTCCCTGCGAGAGGTGCCAGAAAGCCGGGGCAACATGTATCATCGATTCATCGGTGCGCATGGGCAGGCCGAAGAGGACACCCAAAAACCAGTCGGGAGAAAGCAGTGGAAGCTCCCGCAATCCATCCCAACCAAGACGTTCGCCGCCTTTGGCCACCAAGTCATCTCAAACGACCACCACTGTCGACTTCACCCCCAACAGCGACGCTTGGTTGGTGCATGGACTCGACGACACGCCGATTGATCCAACGCTACAAAGTGTCACGATGCAGTATCTAGACTCGTTTGACTTTGCTCTCCATGGGGAAGCCACGGGCGAAGATGAGTCGGCGGGCAGACCGACAGAGCACTATCTCGATCCGACTTTGGATCTGTCCTTGGGCGAATCGATTCCGGCTCTCACCGAGGACGAAGGTGCAGCAGTCGATGCTACCGAGACACTCAACGACTACAGTCGCTTTCCGCCGATGCGCCAAGAAACAATGCAGGAGTTGTCGGACCTGAACATGCAGCTGTCCCGACAGTTGGGCGCCGTAGGTTCCACGGCAAACAAGCACACGAACATCCACTCAGGCGCAGGCTTGACAGCCTTGGCTACACCACGGGGCGAGAACCGTACTCTCTGCGATGTTGTCGTCTTCATGATGCACGGCCTTCAGACATACCACAGGCTGCTCGTCGAGATTCTCGGTTTCACGGGGCCGACTCACTCCGCCATGTACGACTCACGCGACAATCCCAAGTCCAGCGCTGTGACTGCCAGCCTACTGAGCCCGATTGAAGGCGTGGACTGCGAGGACTCGAGGGGCCGCATGGCTGAGGCGACAGGTCGGCCGCCGCGGAAAAGACTTCGATCAGATAACCGTGTCGAGTTTACCGCGCGGCATGACTCGTCCCAGAGTGCTAATCTTGACATGCCCACGAGTCTTCTGCTACTTTCCTGTCACACAAATCTCATATACCTTTGTCGAGACGCGTTCGCAGCCATTCGAGCGGCATTGTCCACCACAAATGGCCACATCACCCTCTTCACCATCTCATTCCTCAATAACGACGCCATGTCGATGCCACCCGATCCAGATCTGCAGATCATTGTTCTCATCCAGGCTGTGATTGGGATGATAGATAGAATCGGACGCTTGCTCGGCTACCCAGACGACTGCGAGGTCGATTCTGGTGGCGAGAGATGCGAGAGCAATGCTCGCAGCAGTGCGATCCCCCGGCGGCTCCTTGATCTGCTGCTGAGAAGCGAAACATGCGGGGAGGGCCCTGCGGATAGAGTAGGAACTAAAGCACTGAGGGAAGAGATTCGCCGGCTTCATGAGCTTGTTTACAAGCCAGTGTGAAGGGCATTGATGTGTGACATTAGAGCGGTCTTGCGAGCAGGTAGCTTCTCCAATGCGCAATGGATCAAAAGATACTCAGTTTATAATCTTGTGGCGAGCTGAAGGGCTGGCGCTCCCGAGGCAGGGCCAGGGAAATATACCTAACGATAATTTGATGTACCTACAAGTCGTGGAGAGATTATCAGTAGTCGTGCCACCCACCTGCGGATCTGATGCCACACACATGCATAGGAAGAATCACCAAGAGAATTTTCGGGAGATTCATTCGGAACGGAGTTGCCCGTTACGTGATCTCGACTTGCTGTCAGCTGGATCCTTGTAGTCGGGACTTTTCAGGCTGTGTCCACACATCGTACGTTCCGGGTTCTCTCGGGAGAGATAGAACCAAGGTATAGGGATCTACTGCGTTTAAAAACAAGGGAATCCTTTGAGAATTAGCTCCATAGCCACCTAAAGTCCGAACATCACTCTACCTCAAGTTTACGTGTCAACATTGTAAACGCTTGCGATATTACCTACCTAACCTATATTACCCACCGAAACATGTCCCTCGCCGAAAGCTCTATCCGGCTTCTCCGCCTCAGTCCGGCGATCGTCTCCTCCATGGTTCTCATGTTCGCCCTCGACGAGCATCTGATTTTCGGAACCTGGGTCCAGAACCCCATTCGCCCACTGGCAAACTCTACTCTCGCCGCCTGGTGGACCAGGGGTGGCCTTCGATGGCAGTGGATTTTGATCATATTTTACCCCCTCAATTACATTCTGGGCATTCTCAATCTGCTGTACCCTGAGGATCAACCTGGCTCGACGGCGTGGTACGCGTGGGGTCTATTCTTCAGCTTTGCCCACATGTTCTTCGCGCCGACGGCTCTACACCGGATAGCAGCCATCGAGAAAGACGTTCCAAAGGGGAACGTTGTCCTTTCCATGGAGTCTTGGCTCAGGATGAATTGGATTCGGGCCTGGATTACGGACGTGCCGGCATGGCTGTGCTTTATCACTGCCGCTTTGAAGGCACTGTGATGATGGCGGGGGGGTGACGAGGACTATGGGGAAGGATGGGGAGGATGAGGAGGATGAGGAGGATGAAGAGGATGAGGAGGATGAGAAGGATGAGAAGGATGAGAAGGATTAGGAGGAGTGGGAGGACGAGGACGATGAGGAGATGAGGAGGAGTGGGACAGCAGATGCCAATCTCGAGCTCATACTAGATTGCCATGATGACGGTGACGGAGAGGGACTATAGACCAGACCCACTGCTCAATAAGTCCTTTCCCATCAAGCTAGAATTAAAATGGAAGAAGTGAAGAGAGTTAGAAGTAATGTCTCCCTCTGATGGGTACCTTGGTGATCAATCAAGGGATCCTAAATTTGCCACAGCTGCATACCTACCTATCCAAGATACTACATGAGAGCGCGGCTATTATCTACCAGGGCCCTTCATCGCACAGCATGGCACATTTCCCTCTACCACACTCAGTGATCTCATCAAGACATTCACTACTCCCCCAGCCACAGCGCACTGCTGCACAAGATGAAAAGAGTAGTGTGCGGGATGAAGCTTTCCTTCAGCTGCAGGTCAGAGTAGAGCCCTACAAAGCAAAAGCTGAAGCCGATCCAAAGCCCGAGTCTCCGTGAGCTCGGCATCCAAAGCAAGACGGAGAGCAAGATATTGAGGCCGACGAAGAAAACCCTCAGCCCTGAGTCTGAGACGCCAGCCCACCAGAAAAGCACCCTTTTGTGCTGCGGGAGCTTCTCCGCGAGGTTTCTAGAGAAGGCCGGCGTGAACCGGGAGGTCATGTGGGCCTGGGCGGCGAGGAGATTGAAAAATACTATCCCCTTGGAGATGTATTCACTTATGAGTGGCCCGGACGACATGGTTTCGAGGGGCAAGTGGGAGGTGCTCTTGATTAGGACAGGCAGTTAGCACCTTGAACACACCACCTTGTAGAAACTGAGACTAGTATCATTGTTGGATGGAACTCACTGCGAGGGAGGCCGGTATTCTTGCGTTAATTGGCACACAAGGATGGCGACTTTCGTCCAAAAGCTGACTTAGTGTAGGCTCGGTTGTTGTCGTTGTTGTTGCGCTCCTATCTGAAAGGTGAGAATGAGCAGAGATGTGTGTCTTTCCGGAGGTTTATTTCAGGGTAAGAGGAATAGCCACAGATGACCCATTTATCGTGTCATGATTCGGCTCTTCCCATTTCATCCCACCGAAAGTTGACGTGGTCTGGCCCCCAATAGGTATTAGTACCGAGAGTGTGGCGAAGCATTCTATTTCGGGGATTCGGCTGCCCACGTGGAAAAAGTCCCGAGATGAGGTACTTCGTACTGACGCAGGTAATCAGGCTACGGCTTCTTGGCCAGACGTTTGTCCGCTCCGAGTTCTCTTATTGGAGTCTACACGGTGTTCATGCAGAGCCCCGAATTTTGACTGCCTGTTCTCACGAGGCTGGCTCAGCTCCGAGCCCGAATCGACCAAGTGTGACAGAAGTTGACTCCGAATCCCCTCGAATGCGGGAAGCCGAAATCTAGCCGAAATCTAGAACGCCAGGGCAAGTCAGGGTGAGGTGTCACACTGGCGAGGAGCTGTATGTAAGTTGTAAGTTACGTAGTAGGTAGTGATTACAGGGTATGTAAGAAAGGGGTTACTTAACCAATCACCCCGTATGGAAATCATCCTCGTTGTTTTTGTTGTTGACATCATTGCGTTGCCATATCCTTCCGCGGCGCTGTGGTGACATCGACGAGTTTCAACACGGAATCCCATACTGTTCCACCATCCTGTATTCACCATGACGGCCCATGACGACGCTCGGCATGGCAATGCAGAGCCCATCGCCGTCATTGGAAGCGGCATGCGCTTCCCCGGCTCCTCGAGCAACCCATCCAATCTCTGGGAGCTTCTGCTCAAGCCGCGAGATCTCCTCCAGCGCATTCCGGAGGAGCGCTTCAACATCGACAACTTCTACCACCCGGATCCGTCCCATCACGCAACGACAGATGTCCGGGAGTCGTACTTCCTCGACGAGGACCACCGCCACTTCGACGCGGGCTTCTTCAATATCAAGCCCGTCGAGGTGGCCGCCATTGACCCGCAGCAGCGTCTGCTGATGGAGGTCGTGTACGAATCGCTCGAGGCGGCGGGAATCCCGCTCGAGTCCTTGGTCGGCTCTCGCACTGGAGTCTACGTCGGACTCATGTGTGCCGACTACGTCGACCATCTGCACAAAGACGTCGACACTCTACCCACCTATGCCCCAACAGGAACGGCCCGGAGCATCATGTCGAACCGCATCTCGTACTTCTTCGACTGGCACGGCCCCTGCATGACCATCGACACGGCCTGCTCCTCCAGCCTGGTGGCCGTCCACCAGGCCGTCCAGCTGCTGCGGAGCGGCGACTCGGATGTGGCCGTCGCGGCGGGCGCCAACATGATCCTCGGAGCTGGGCAGTACATCGCCGAGAGCTCGCTGCATATGCTGTCGGCCGATAGTCGGTCCCGCATGTGGGATGCTGAGGCCACGGGATATGCGCGCGGCGAGGGAGTAGCAGCCGTCATCTTGAAGCGGCTGAGCACCGCGCTCGCAGACGGGGACAAGATTGAGTGTATCATCCGGGAGAGCGGAGTGAACCAGGACGGCCGGACCAAGGGAATCACCATGCCGAATGCTGCTGCTCAGATACAACTTATCGAGCAGACGTACACCAAAGCCGGGCTGGATCCAAAGGACCCCGGCCAGCGCTGCCAGTACTTTGAGGCCCACGGAACTGGAACCGCGGCCGGTGATCCCAAGGAGGCCGAAGCTATCAGCAGAGCCTTCTTCCACCCCGACGACAGCGTATCAACCCATGGCGATGACAGCAGCCCGCTCTATGTTGGCTCTATCAAGACCGTCATCGGCCATACCGAGGGCACGGCCGGACTGGCTGGTCTCCTTAAAGCCTCTCTCGCAGTTCAGCACGCCGTCATACCGCCCAACCTGCTCTTCAACAAGCTCCATCCTGCCGTGGAGCCCTTTTACGGAAACCTGGAGATCGCAACGAGCTCCAAGCCGTGGCCGACGCTCGCGGATGGCGTTCCACGCCGTGCCAGTGTCAACAGCTTCGGGTTCGGAGGGTCAAACGCCCATGTCATCGTCGAGAACTTTGTGCCTCCTCCTACCGACACTCTCACACGGGACAGCAAGGCTCTCACTGCTCCACAGCTTGTGCCCTTTAACTTTTCAGCTGCCTCTGGAAGTGCGCTGAGAGGGGTTCTGTCTGGCTACTCGGAATACCTCCAGTCTCATCCGACTGTCGATCTCGGTGACCTCGCCTACACCCTGTATGCTCGGAGGTCTCACCACGCCGTTCGAGCCAGCATACCGGCAAGGTCAGCCGAGGACCTCCGGACCAAGATTGGCGAGCTCCTGGCTGCATCTCCGGAGGGAAATGCTGGCTCCAGTTTCGGCACCCGCGCAAAAGAGCTGTCGCGTCCAGTTCGCGTCCTGGGCGTCTTCACCGGCCAGGGCGCACAGTGGCCCACGATGGGCAGAGGCTTGATGAAGAGCCCGTATGTCAGGAAGATAGTCGAGGACCTGGATCAGGAGCTCCAGCGTCTTCCTGAGCCAGAACGGCCTCGTTGGACGCTCGTGGACCAGCTCACCTGCGATGCGTCCGAGTCTCGCGTCGCCGAAGCCGCGTACGCACAGCCCCTGACAACCACCATCGAGATCATCTTGTACGATCTCCTCCGCAGCGCAGGCGTCAACTTCCAGGCCATCATCGGCCACTCGTCAGGCGAGATCGCCGCAGCCTACGCCAAGGGCTTCATCACCCGCGCAGAGGCGGTCAAGATCGCGTACTACCGGGGCTACTATTCGACTGTCTGCCCATCCGACAAGCCTGGAGCCATGATGGCCGCCGGCGCAACTGCAGAGGACGCCAACGAGCTGTGCGACCTGCCCATGTTCAAGGGCCGGCTGTGCGTCGCTGCGTACAACTCGCCCACGGCTGTCACGCTTTCGGGCGACAGCGACGCCGTCGAGCAGGCGAGGGAGATTCTCCAAGACGAGGGCAAGTTTGCCAGGGTCTTGAAGGTCGACAAGGCGTATCACTCGCCGCACATGAAGAAAGTGGCAGCTGGGTTCCTCGAGGGACTCAGGGGGTGCAATATCCAGCCTCGACAGGACACAACGGAGGGCCCTGAGTGGTTCTCCAGCACCTACGAGAAGACGGAGATGCGCGGTGACATGGACGGTGATCATGAACTCTCCGGGCCGTACTGGGTGAGCAACTTGCTCCGGCCTGTTCTCTTTTCCCAGGCCGTCCAGGCTGCCGCCACTGCTGCAGGCCCATTCGACTTCGCCATCGAGGTTGGTCCCCATGCAGCACTGAAGGGACCGGTCCTAGAGACACTTGGTGCCAACAGCGACGTGGAAGCGTTGCCGTACGTGGGCCTGTTGCACCGCGGGAAGGACGACGTCGATACCTTCGGCCATGCCCTTGGCGCTCTATGGTCTCGGTTCTCTCCCTCCCCAGTCGACTTCCACACGGTGGACTCGACGACATCCTGCGCGCTCAGCCGGAACCTCCTGAAGGGCCTCCCCGCGTACCACTGGGACCACGACAGGCTCTACTGGCACGAGTCTCGCATGTCCAGAGCCATCGCTAGCGCCAAGAACCCGCCGCATCCACTGCTCGGCACGAGGACGACGGACGTGACAGAGGATGGGATCCGCTGGAGGAACCTGCTGAAGCTGAGCGAGATGCCGTGGGTCCGCGGCCACCAGCTTCAGGGGCAGGTCGTCTATCCGGCGACGGCCTACATCGCCACCGCCGTAGAGGCGGCCAGGTCTCTGTCGTCCGACAAGGACATTGCCCTGATCGAGATTCAGGACTTCAGCCTCGGCAAGCCGCTCGTCTTTGACGACGGCGATGGCGGCATCGAGACGCTCTTTACGCTCTACGACATGGTCAAGGAAGAAGGCGACAAGAGCTATGTCGCCTCCTTCTCCTACCACGCGTCCACCAGTGCCGACGTGGAACTCCTGTCGACCCATGCCACCGGTCGAGTCCGCGTGACGACGGGCGAAGCGCATGAGCGATATCTGCCGTCTCGAAAAGGCGATCCCCCCAACCTCACCAGCGTCTCGGAGGACCGGTTCTACGCCTCTCTGGAGCCCGTCGGCTACGGCTACAGCGGAGACTTCCGGACGCTCTCTTCCATCGAGAGGAAGCTCGACTACTCGTCCTCGAGAATCACGGTGCCCGCACAGGACGACGAGCCAGCGCAGATGCTGCTCCATCCCGCCATGCTGGACACGGCGCTGCAGGGCATCTTCTTGGCCTACTGCTTCCCGGGCGACGGCAGTCTCCAGCAGCTTCATGTTCCCACGGGCATCAAGAGCTTCCGCGTCAACGTCGGTCTCTGCGAGAAGCTCCTCGGGCCGCAGGCCAGCAGCGTCAAGTCCTGTTAGCACCTGACGGAGAACCCCATGACCTCGAGGCAGCTCCGCGGCGACGTCGACATCTACAGCGACGACGGCGCCGGCCTGGTGCAGATGGAGGGCATCCGCGTCGTCGCCTTTGCCGATCCCACGGCCGACGCGGACAAGAAGTTCTTCACCGAGCACAGGTGGGCGCCGCTCAACCCGGATTGCGAGCTGGCCATGGATGGACATAGGTCCACGGCCGAGGACTACGAGTTCGCCGAGGTCATGGAGAGGGTTGTCCTCGATTACATGAGGAACACCACCGCCCTCTTCCCCAAGAGCGTCCGCCAAACCATGAACCTCGAGTGGCACTTTGAGTGCATGTTTGAGTTCTACCAGCACGTTATATCCACCACTGGGACGAGGCAATACTCCCAGAGGAAGTGGCTGGATGACACTCCGGCCGACATTGCGGCTTTAAAAGCCAAGTAAGTTTTTTCTCTCTCTCTCTCTCCCAAGTCTCCTTATGTAAAGATCTATATACTTCGTCAGCAGGTATACTGACTTGACCGTCGCGCAGATGGGCGTACAGGACAGAGTTGCAGCTCGCCCGCGCCGTAGGTGACAACCTGCCGGCCGTTCTCAGGGGCGAGACGACGATCCTCGAGCACATGACTAAGGACGGTCTGCTGGATCGCTTCTACGAGGTCGGCATGGGCTTGCGGGAGTGGACTCTCTTCCTCGGCCGGACCGTGAAGCAGATCGTGCATCGCCACCCTCACATGAAGATCCTCGAGATCGGCGCCGGCACTGGCGGAGCTACTAAGGTCATCATGAAGGAGATTGGCCGCGCGTTCGCCTCCTACACCTACACCGACATCTCGTCGGGCTTCTTCGAGACGGCCCAGCAGGTCTTTGAAGCCCTCGGCAACAAGATCGTCTTCAAGCCGCTGGACTGCGAGAAGGACATCGTGGAGCAGGGCTACGAAGAGCACTCGTACGACCTGGTAGTTGCCTCGCTGGTGCTCCACGCGACCACGAATCTCCGCCGGACGCTGCAAAATACGCGCCGGCTCCTGAAGCCCGGAGGCTACCTGGTGATGCAGGAAATCACCAACAACGACGTCAGCCGCACCGGGTTCATGATGTCTGCCACGACGGGTTGGTGGCTCGGCCAGGACGACGGCAGGATGCTGTCGCCCGGCGTGTCGACGCTCGAGTGGCACCGGCTGCTCCTCGAGTGCGGCTTCTCGGGCGTCGACACGGCCACGCCTGAGATAGACGTCTTCCCCTCGACACTGACCGTCTGGGCCACGCAAGCCGTCGATGACCGCGTCTCGCTGCTCCGCGAGCCGCTGTCTTCGTTGGGCACTTACAAGCCAGCCGGCGAGGAGGAGTGGGACCTGGTCATCATCGGCGGCCAGACGCTGCGTACGAGCCAGCTCGTCGACCAAATCGTCCGGCTGGCGCAGCCGCTGGGCGTGAAGCACGCCGTCTACGCGACGCTCGGCGACATGATGGGCGCCGCCAAGACGTCGTCCAGCAGCGCCATCCTGTGCCTGGCGGAACTGGACGAGCCCGTGTTCCGCGCGCTCTCAGAACAAACGCTCAAGGGCATGCAGCGGCTGTTTGAGACGCAGGGGACGGTGCTCTGGATCACTCAAGGGTGCAGGTCCGAGGAGCCGTACATGAACATGTCGGTCGGCCTCATACGGACGGTGCTTCTCGAGAACCCCGACCTGGTTGCCCAAGTCCTCGACGTGGACGGCGGCACCAAGCCCGATCCGCGACAGCTTCTCGAGACGCTCCTTCGGCTGCGCTACGGCACGACGTGGGAGAGGGACGGCAGCATCGACAAGATGTTGTGGACCCAGGAGCATGAGCTCGGCCTTGAGAACGGGCAGCTCATGGTTGCTCGCGTCCATCATGAAGATGCCATCAACGACCGGTACAACGCGTCCAGGCGAACCATATACCACGCCGTCGACCCGCAGACCACTCCCGTCAATCTCTCGCTCGGTTCTTCCAAGCCGAGTCTCGTCCATGATGACTCGCTCCAAGCCAAAATTCCCACGTCGTCCAACCCGAGAGCTGCGACTGAGGAGGATGCCTCGCATGTTCTGATCAAGGTCGGCCATTCGCTCGTGGCCCCCGTGCTCGCGGCGCCTCTCCAGCCGACCTACCTTGTCCTAGGTACCAACATGGCGACGGACAAGTCGGTCGTATCCCTGACGCCCAACAACGGCTCGTATGCTTCGGTCTCTCCGGAGGACGTGGTCGACGTCCAAGTGCCTGCCGGTAGCGAGTCCCAGTTCCTGTCCCAGCTGAACAATCTGGTGCTCGTCGAGAACATGCTGTCCGTCTGCCGGAGAGACTCGACACTGCTCATACATGAACCGTCTCCGGAGCTGGCATCCAGCATCGTCGAGGCGGCGTCCCTCCTGAACGTGGCCGTCTTCTTCACCACCTCGTCCGCACCAGCCACCACCGCCGGCCCGTGGATCGCAATCGACTCGTACGCTCAAGGGCGAGAGATCCGACCTCTGCTGCCTGCTGGGGTCGCGGTATTTATCGACAGCTCCAAGGATGCCAAAGAGAGGCAGCTGGGCGCCATGATCGCCTCGGCGCTGCCCGACTCGTGCCTTCGGACGACACTCGCGGGGATACAGACGCTGCAGCACGCCCGGGACTTCACCGTCGCGGATCTACGTCCGAGGTTCAATAGGGCGGTGCAGAGGGCATTGGAACACACCGTCTCTTCGCTCGGGTTGAGCTCCGAGTCGGCGTCCATGACGTTGGAACAGCTGGTCGGCGGATCCCAACTCGAGGCAGCTACACCAGCTGTCTTGGACTGGAGCAGCGCCTCTCCGGTTCCTGTGCAGGTCCCTACCGTCGATGGCCTCGTCCGCTTCAAGAAAGACAAAACATACGTCATGTTTGGACTGACCAGCGACTTGGCGCAGTCTACCTGCACATGGATGGCATCGCACGGGGCGAGAAACATTGTGCTCACGAGCCGCACCCCAAAGATGGATGCCAGGTGGTTAGAGACCATGGCACAGGCGGGCGTGAGGGTGGAAGTCTTTGCAAAGTGAGTCAGGTTCCCAGCAGTATTCCGAAAAGACTGACTAACTTACACGATACAGTGACATCACCAACAAGGAAGCTCTCTCTTCGCTCGTAGACCACATCCGCCAGAACTTCCCGCCCATTGCAGGCGTCGCCCACGGCGCCATGGTCCTCGACGACGTCTCGTTCTCCGAGATGCCGCTGGACAAGATGACCAAGGTGCTGCGGCCCAAGGTCGACGGAGCCATCTACCTGGACGCCATGTTCCGCGGCGACGCCGACGCCCTGGACTTCTTCGTCTTCTTCTCCTCGGCCGTCACCATCGCCGGCAACCGCGGACAGGCGGCCTACAGCGCTGCCAACTCGTTCATGACGGCGCTGGCAATCAAGCGTCGCAGCCAAGGGCTGGCTGCGTCGATCCTTCACATCGGCGCCGTCATGGGCGTCGGCTACATCAACCGTAACCACGGCTTCTTGGGAAGCGTGCACGAGGCCTCGTTCAAGGTCGGCTTCTTGCTGCTCTCCGAGCGAGAGTTCCATCTCTGCTTTGGCGAGGCCGTCCTGGCATCTCACCCGCGCTCTGGGCGGAACCCCGAGGTCATGACGGCGTTGAGAACGTCGGGCCTGGACGATGTCATGATCCGGTGGCCTAGGTTCCCCCGCTTCCAACACTGTCTGCAGAGCGATCCCGCAGGGGACGGGAAGACGACCAAGAGAGCGGCTGATGCTTCAATCAAGAGCCGGCTAGCCGAGGCGGCCACCGAGGACGAGGTTCGCATTGTTGTGCAAGGTAAGCGTGTATATCCTGGCGAGAATCCACTGCAGCGCAAACTGACCTTTGATAGACGGCTTCATTCGTAAGCTCCGGGTCATACTTCAGATCCCAGCCGACAGGGAAGAGTCCCAGGTTCTGGCATCGAGAATCGACGATCTCGGCGTCGACTCCTTGGTTGCCGTGGAAATCCGCTCCTGGTTCTTGAAGGAGCTCCAGACCGAGGTCCCCGTGTTCAAGATCTTGTCTGGCGGTCTGGTTCAAGAGCTGCTCGACCACGCCGTAGCAAACATGCCTGGCCGCGAGACCCCGGGTCAGGACGATGGCTCTTCACCAAGTTCCGAAGAGATGCTTCCGGATCTGACTTCACCGGCGGTCCCGAGTGCAATCGATCCGACTCCGCCGGCGGTCACGGATCCGTCTTTATCGAGGACCCCCCCACAGACCAGCACGAACTCGTCTAGTCCAAGCCGTTTGGGCGACGACGATTCAGATAAACAGGACGAAGCCTCGTCTGCCACGTCCGTCTCTAACGAGGTGCCCAAGCCAAGCTTCGACAAGATCCTGCCCATGTCCCCTGGCCAGTCCCGGTTCTGGTTCCAGAAGCACCTCATGGAAGACCAGACGACGGCAAACAGCACGATATGCGTCGCCATCAACGGAACCATCAGGCTCGGCAGCCTCGAGAGCGCAGTCCAGCAGGTGGCGGCGCGCCACGAGTCGTTGCGGACGTGGTTCTTCGCCGACGAGAACAGGAAGCCTGTGCAGGGCATCTCGGGAACTTCGCGTCTTCGTCTACAGACTGTGCGTCTCGACGACGAATCTGGCGTGGCTCGCGAATTGGAGAGCCTCAGGAACCACGTCTACGACATCGAACACGGCGAGTGCATGCGCATCATCCACCTCGGTCTGACGCCGACCAAGAGCCATCTTCTTCTCGGATCCCATCACATCGTCATGGACGGCATCAGCCTGGAGGTTCTCCTGGATGACTTGCAGAAGGCGTACAACGGCCACGATATGATTGCCGAGCCCGCGTACCAGTACTCGACCGACTCTGAGAAGCTGCGCCAGGACTTGGAATCGGGAGCCATGCAGGCGGAGATGGAGTACTGGCGGTCCGAGTTCGCATCACCGCCGTCACCTCTCCCTCTGCTCCCATTCTCGGCCGCGAGGAAGCGCATCCCTCTCACCGCGTACGCGCACAACTCGGTGAGCCGCGTCCTCGACTCGCAGCTCTCGGCGCAGATCCATGACGCCTGTCGCAAGCAGAAGGCGAATCTGTTCCACTTCCACCTGGGCGTGTTCCAAGTCCTCCTGTTCAAGCTTTTCGGCGACGGCGACGTCTGCGTTGGCATGGCCGACGCCAATCGCCGGGACGACCGCATGTCCAAGAGCATCGGCATGTACCTGAACCTGCTGCCACTCAGGTTCCATCTGGACAACCAGCAATCGTTCGACGAGGTGCTCAAGGGCACGCGCAGGAAGGCGTACCTCGCCATGTCCAACTCGAGGCTGCCGTTCGACGTCCTGCTCGACAGCGTGAGCTGCGAGAGGTCGACGGCAATCAGCCCTCTCTTCCAGGCATTCATCAACTACCGCCAGGGAGTGAGCGAGAAGCGACGCTTCGACAATGCCGAGGTTGAAGCCACGTCGATCGAGCTTCCGGGATCCGGCTACGATGTGTCCCTCGACATCATCGAGAACCCGGGAGGAGAGACTCGCGTCACTTTGTTGGTGCAGCGGAGCCTGTACTCTGAGAGCGACGCATCTCAGTTGTTGGACATGTACTTCGCCCTGTTGAATGACCTGTCTCGGTCTTGCGACAAGGTGCTAGAGCAGGTGTCGTTGTTCTCAAGCCAAGACATCAACAATGCAATCCAGCTTGGAAAAGGTAAGTCTCCTGTATACGTCCTGGCATAGGTCCAGCGTAAGAAGTTTGCTCACAATCTTTATTGCAGGCCCCATAATGCCTTCCAAGTGGCCGGGAACTCTGGTGCACCGCGTCGACGACATGATTGCCAAGCACCCAGATGAGACGGCAATCAGAGACCACAGCGGCGCATCGTGGACATATCGACAGCTTGATGAACGGGTCGAACGGATCTCTTCCGCCCTGCTCACGGCAAACACGAAGCCAGGATCGGCCGTGGCCGTCTTTCAGGAGCCGTCGGCCAACTTTGTCTTTTCCCTGCTCGCCATCCTACGAGTCGGCGCCGTCTTCGTACCTCTGGACTGCAACGTTCCACCAGCGAGGCTCCGCGTTATGATGGAAGAATCCAAGTGCTCTACGTTGCTCGCCAATACCACGACGGCTGCTCAGACCGAGAACCTGGGGCTCTCGCCATCTGTCACTATTCTCGACGTTCTCCTTCTCCAGGATGAGACGCCAGTCCGCCATCCGGTCTCCGCTCGAGCCAACGACCTGGCAGCGGTCCTCTTCACTAGTGGTACCTCCGGAGTCCCCAAGGGCGTGGTCTTGTCCCACGGCAGCTTGCGCAACCACGTAGAGGCCTTGGTGCACACGCACGGGTTTGGCCGCGAGACGGTCCTGCAGCAGAGCTCGGTGGGCTTCGACATGTCCCTGAACCAGATCTTTATGGCCCTGGCCAACGGAGGAACTCTCGTCATCGTTCCCGAGGCCCTCCGCAAAGATCCCGCCGCGGTGGCCACGATGGTGCTGGAAGAGAACATCACCTACACCAGCGCAACCCCGTCCGAGTATCTCGCCTGGCTCCGGCACGGCGCGACCGGCCTTTCCCAGAGCACACACTGGGCATATGCCACGGCCGGCGGCGAAAAGTTTCCGCGAGAGCTGCTGCAGAGCTTCCGCCAGCTCGGCGGCCGCTTCCAACGCGAGTTCCGCTTCTTCAACGCCTACGGGCCGACCGAATGCTCCATGTCTTCGAGCGAGATGGATCTCAGCCTGCGAGACCACGACGAGGGCCCAGACATTCCAGCCGGCAGGACCCTTCCCAACTACAGCGTCTACATCATGGACCAAGACCTGGGCGTCCTGCCCGTCGGGTGGTCCGGGGAAGTCTGCATCGCGGGCGCGGGCGTGGCCATGGACTATATCAACAACGCCGACGAGGCGCGAAAGAAGTTCCTGAAGGACCCTGAGCCCTCTTCGTTGGCTATTCAAAACGGGTGGACCAGAATGTACCGAACTGGAGATAAGGGCGTCCTCGGGCCAGATGGGACCTTGAACATCATCGGTCGCATCGAGGGGGACACGCAGATCAAGCTCAGAGGTCTGCGCATCGAACTGAAGGATGTCGAGCAGTCCATACTGGACGCTTCCAACGGACGTGTAAAGGAGGTAGTGGTGACGCCTCGTGGAGACCCAGCCCTGCTCATTGCGCATGCTGTGCTGTCCTCTCCGGACGCGCCGGCCCCGGGCCCGGCGGAGAGTGGGGCCCCGGCGGAGAGCGAGGCCCGGTTCCTCCGCAACCTCGCCGCTTCGCTGGCCCTGCCGCAGTATATGCGCCCCGCGGCCATCATCCCCATTCCCTCGATGCCACTGAATGCATCCGGCAAAGTCGATAGGAGGGCCCTCGGGAGACTTGCTATCCCAAGCATAGTGCGGGAACCAGAATCGGCAGTAGAGCTGACAGAGACGGAATCCAAGCTGGCTCAGGTCTGGCAAGACACGCTGCCACGGCAGATGCACGAGGTGCATCGCATCGACGCGGCTTCCGACTTCTTCCACGTCGGCGGCAATTCGTTGCTGCTCATCGAGCTGCGGCAGCTCATCGACGAGACGTTCCAAACCGGCAGCATCCCCCTGATCAAGCTGTTTGAGAACAGCACGCTGGGGGCCATGGCAACCATGGTCCAGGGGGTCTCGTCAGGTGCCGACACGGCCATCACCATCGACTGGGAGGCCGAAACCGCCATCCCGAACGACCTCGTCGAAGCCCGCGCACAGCAAACGCCAGCAGCGGCAGTACAAAACAACACGTCTCCCAAGACGGTGGTAATCAGCGGCGCGACAGGCCTCTTGGGCAGCTCTCTGCTCCGGCTGCTGGCCGCATCCCCCGATGTCGCCAAGATGCATTGCATCGCCATCCGCGACACGAGCAAGCTGGTCGAATTTGCAAGCTCCCCCAAGGTCGTGCTGCACGAGGGCGACCTCTCCCTTCCGCGCTGCGGGCTATCGGAAGCCGACGCCGAGTCCATCTCGGCCGAGGCAGACGCCATCATTCACAACGGCGCCGACGTGTCCTTCCTCAAGACGTACCGCTCCCTCCGGGCCCCCAACGTTTCCTCTACAAAGGAGCTTGTGCGGCTCGCGTCCGCCCGCCGCATCCCCTTCCACTTCGTCTCGACCGCCACGGCGGGCAAGTTCAACAAGTCGGACGTGCTGGCCCCGGAGTCGCTCGCAGGCTTCCCCCCCGATCGAGACGACCGCCCCGGACTCGCCAACGGCTACGCGGCTTCCAAGTGGGCCGCCGAGGTTTGTCTGGAGAATGCCAGCCGGCAGCTCGACCTGCCCGTCTTCGTCCATCGGCCCTCGGCCATCATCGGCGACGACGCGGGCGACGACGTCATGTCCAACCTCGTCGAGTACGGGTCCCTGATCGAGGCGCTGCCGGACTCAAGCCGCTGGACTGGCTACGTGGATCTGGTATCTCTGCAGAACGTCACCGAAGGTATCGCCCGCTCGGTCCTCCAGCCGGCCCCAGATGCCGCCCGGGTCGAGTACCTGCACCACGCGGGCGACCAGGTTATTCCCGTGCAGAGCATTCGGGACTTGCTGAGCGGCGAGGCGGCCAGCGGCCTGGAGTCGCTGCCCATGGCCGAGTGGGTGGAGCGTGCTGTGCGGAGTGGCATGAACCCGCTGGTGGGCGAGTTTCTGCGCAACGCGGACGCCGACGGTGGACTGCAGGTCGGACAGAAGCTGTTGTTGAGCAAGGAAGACTAGGTGCCTACCTATGAGGTAGACTAGTCACACAAATATCGGTTGGGGGAGCTGAGGCAAAATATGTTATATGCTGGATGGCAGGCAGGGGTGGACTTTGGTAATTTGGGGTTTTAGTGTATGGAATGGCGTTAGGCAGCTTCGCGGGTTTTTATCTTCTAGAGTAAAGAAGCAGTGTATTTTAAAAATTCATCCCTCTATTACTTACTTTCGGGCATATATCAACTGTTATGGTTTTAGTCTATCCTTTGGGTGTATAGGCTACTAGAGCCTCTTAACCTAGTGATAAATATCCTATTATAAAGTAAGTTGTAAAATCGATGGTAAGGAACTGGTACAGATAGAAGGGTGTGAGCAGAGTTATGACTGTAACTGGCAATTTGGGACACTTGGGATAGCCAGTCGCTACTAGGGCTGTCTATAGGGTAGGTAGTCTGAATAAGATTAAAAGAGGAGGCCGGAGCCGTACAGAAAGAGAGAGATCGGTTTTTAATTCTTTAGAGATTCTTTCCAATAGTCAGAGAGACTAAAATATCTCAAGATAACTTTGAAAAAAAAACCAAAAAAAAAAAAAAAACTCTAAATTTACTAGTTTTATATTACTTCTATTGCTTTTTAAAATATTAACTGAGTCTGAATACTACCAGAATCTTATTTATAAATTTTTATTCTAATAAATTTAGTATTTTACTTTATTAAATATTTATCTAACCTTGTAATAGAATTTTCTATAGTTTTAAATAAACCAGCTAAAATATCCATATATTATGTATTATAAATACCTTTTAAAAAAAAAAAAAAAAAGACTTTTTTTGGAAAGAAATTCCTAAAATATTTTAAAATTAATTTGTTATTTATACGAATTTAAAATGCTTCTTATAAATTAAAAACTCCCACTTTTCAAAATAACGCTACTAATAAAGTCAGTGTACTAGAGACACCACTCAGTTCTATTAAGCAAATTTACACAGTCTCCGGCATTATCTTCCGATCAATCCCAAAATGCTTGTCTAGAAATCGGAAGCTTCTCTGCGCCAACAAGGGCCAGGCTCCAATACTGGCCGACAACCCACCGTCTGCTGCCTCGGCCGGTATCCAAAGTTCCTTGTTACTCTCCGGCACCATGGTGAGCAGCTTGTGGATCTTGACGGCCCCAGTCTCTGCCGAAGAGTACATCTCGGCACCGCCGCCGGGACCCGTGAGAAGAACGGGGCACGTAACCCTGTCCAAGACCTTACCGTCCTTGTCGGTGTGCAGGGAGAAGTCCTCGAAGCGTCGCAGCATGGCGGCGGGCGACTCGACGCCCATGCTGCTCACGCCCAGGCCCAACTCCCACCGCACCTGGAAACTCATCCAGCTCTGCAGGGCCGCCGTCATGTTGAACATGCCGTTGGTGACCCATCCGCTCTCCCACAGGCTGACAAAGGCCCGCGGGACACGGGTCATTGCCAACTCGAACATGCTGAAGAACGGGTCGATGGCCACGCATGCCTTGACGCGGGCGTCGGTGGCGGCGCGCAGGGCAAAGTATCCCCCGGTGACGGCGCCGGCCACGGCAATCCTGTCCATGTCCAGCTGCAGCTCCGGGCGCGATGTAGCCAGGTCTTGGAGGAAGCCCAGCACCTTGTCCGCGCAGACCTCGAAGTCGGGCCGCAGCGGGAGGCCCGACTTCTTCAGCAGCAAGCCCTGGCCGGGGCCCTCGAGGAGGAGGACGGCGTAGCCCAGCTGCGGGCCCGAGTAGCCGAACAGGAAGTGCAGCTCCTCCTTTGTCGAATCGGCGCCGCCAAAGTACAGCAGCAGCGGTGTCTTGCCGGGCAGTCGTGCTTCTTGGGGAGGGAGGTACAAGTACGCGGGCATGTTGATGCCCTTCTCGTACGGGATGTCGACCAACAAGACCGGGCCGTCCATGAGAGACGTGGCGCGTACAAAGGCCGCGACCGACCTCTCGGACAACGGCACGACCCTCGGATCATGGTTGGGGAAGAGATACGACGCGGCCCGGAAATAGTTCGCCGCGCGCAGGTATCCGTTCTTGGCCAACGTATTCAGGCCGTCTCTGGCGGCGTCCTCGGCGATGGCCTCAGCCCGCTCCGCCTGTTCTTTCCAGGCGTCGTGCCACGACTCGGCATCGTGCTTCTTGATCTTGCCGACGGCCGTCAGGAACTCGCACGTGTCGCAGCCACCGGCCGCCGTGCTGCCGAGGAGCCGGGTCAGCTCGAAGTCGAATATGAAGGAGTTGAAGAACTTGAACATGATGGCACGGTTTGTTGGCGCTGTGAACTTGTGTGGGAGAAAGAGAGGAACAAAGGGACGGACGGACGGACCTAGGTGTTTCGCTGCTCAGACAACCGGGCGCCTGACCAAGAACTTCCCGCTAGGTTTTCTGTTATGCCCAGTCAATTCATCCATCGATACTGTTCCCGCGGACAAAGCTGGTGCATCTCGAGTCGATTCCGGTCCCTATAGATGTCCCGATTCGGTGCTGACTCCAAAGTCAATGTCCCGAGTCCGCGCCCGCAGCCCATCCAACGTGTAATACCCCAAAATTCGGGACTTTTTTTCTTGTTTCGACCGACACTCGAAATCTCCTGCCAGGCTCCCCAGCCTGTTCTTCCACATTCTGCACAGGTTGACGGTGCTTGAGTCCATCTCCAAACCTCCCTCTGTCCTGGCTCTTTCTACCATTTCCATTCATCCCGTCCAGGCCAGTCTAAGCAAAGCTACGCACCTTGTGCCCTACACTATCCGTATACCTACAATATCCGTATATCTACACTTGGATCAATTCTATCTGAAACAAGATGGCTGCCCCTCCAGAGGTCTCGATGCAGGATCTCACGGGCTCTTGGTTATTGGTAACCTACCCCAGACGGTTAATAGAAAGTCTAGACAGTAACAGTTTTCCAGAACAAGACTCTCTCCGACTCGTTTGACCCAGCCTTCACCCTCCAGGGCATCCCATGGATCATACGCAAGCTTGTCAGCGTCACCACCTTGTCCCTGAAGGTGGCTCACGACATTGACGAAGCCGGGGGAAAGATGCTGATTTTCACCCAAGCCGCGTCCGTCGCCATCGCCGGGCTCAGCGAGGAGAAGGAAACCCGCTTCCTGGACGGGAGAGAAACGTTGCACTCCTCGGCCATGTTTGGCACATCCGCATCCCGGTCCTTCCTGGTCAACCTATCGACCGCCACCGGCAACGATGGAAAGCCCCTGGACCCGTTCTTGACCCAAGACCTCCTGCGAGAAGGGGAACCCGGCGGGGACAACAACTTGTTTGATCTAGTTATCCATCAGACCAAGGGCTGGACCATGGAACAGATTTGGGGTTTTGGCATCGTCAACGAGGAGAGACGGCTTGTGAGGAAAATGGTCATCAGAAAAGGTGCCGAGGTGGTTTATATCACGGCCTATTACGACTGGAAGGGAAGAGAGGATAGTCAATGAAGGGTTTGTTTGTGTGGTTCAAGGCCAATACCTAGATGCTTTTGGTACTTATTACCCACCTAGGGACCTAGGTAGCTGTAGCTAACGTCAATGTTGAATTTCTTGCGTGCCTACGACAATGCCGAAGAGTCTCGGAATTGCTTCGGTGCCAACCTACTTACTTTGGGCTGCTCTGCAATCCACTGCAGCTCATCATGTCAGGAGTCCTTTAAGATTGGGCGTGATACGTGACGCATAAGACAAACAAGCGAGTACTGGATCCGAGGTGGTACCAAGGTAAGCGACGAGATCAGAGCAAACGCATTTGCAAGAACATTACTGTTGCAATTGGAGACAGCAACGTCGTATTGAAGTACTACTCCAAGCTATGAGGTGGTACTACCCAGCGTCGCCCGACAAAATGACCCCAATCCCTTGTGATGATCCGTCCGTCATCAGCCATTGTGCCTCACTCCCCTCGGTACTGAGAGGGTTTTTGCCCCATTCCCAACCAAGAGGGCAACTAGGAGGTGACAAAGTTGACATTACCAGGAGGGCAACCAGTAGCCGACAAAGTTGACGACGTAGTCCTTCCCGCTCCCCAAGAACCCAACGCCATACAAGAGGAAGATGGCCCACTGAGGAATGTGTTCCGGGAACTTGGCCTGCTCCGTCAAGCCGCGCCCCTCGTACTGCGGCCCGCCGACCTCGCCGCCGACGACACGATCCGCAAAGTCGCTCATGCCGAGCCCTTCGCCGACGCCCAGCTCGTACCACATCATGGTATGCTGTGTCTCGAACCGCCACTTCTTGTCCCGGGCCGGCGAGGCGAACTCGAAGACGGCTCCCGTGTTCTTGTCGTGGTACGTGCCCGAGACCTCGCCGTCCTCGTTGTACACGTCGCAGACGTAGTCGTCGGCCTTGGAGACGTTCCCGACGCGCGAGCCGACCAGCAGCTCGTCGTTGTAGAACAGGTGGCCCGAGACGAACTTCTTGTACCTGTCGGCGCCCACGCGGGACACGACGTGCCAGTAGGCGATGGTGTAGGGCCCTGCCCAGGCTCGGAGGGCGACCCAGCTCTCGCTGAGTCCGAGCCAGCCTTGCTTGGCCCAGAGCCTGGCAGAGCCGCCCCGGCCGCTGAAGGAGAGCTTCTTCCCAGACCCCAGGACGGCGTCCATCTCGACCTGGCCGCCAGCTACGGGGACGCTGTAGTACAGATCGGGCGACAGCTGGGCCGCGTCGACTCTGTTCTTGCCGGCCTCCGGATCGGGGTTCGAGCCGTCTGCGTGGACGGGAGGCGTGGTGGCCGACAGCTTATACGTGCCGCGGATCCCCGGCGAGTCGAAGACGAGCTTGGTATGCTTCAGGTCCTTGGTGGTGTAGAACGAGTACGACTTGCCCGAGCTGTTCCAGAGGCCGTACGTGTAGCCGGGACAGTCGAGGATGAGGGACTCTTGGAGATACTGGAGCTCCTGGTGGTGCTTGCCGTCCGGCGTGGTCATGAACATCTCCATGCGCAGGTTGCCCTTGCCGAAGAAGTAGAACGAGTAGTCCCGCGAGAACATGACCATCATGAGCGAGATGCCCGTGTGGGAGATGCCGTCGAACTCCCACTGCTCCCAGTTCGTCTTGTTGATCGCGGGCGTGATCTTGACCGAGTTGATGGGGTCGGACGGCGACGAGGAGAAGGTATTGGGGCCGTCGAGCACCTCGTAGGCAGTGCTCCTGCTAATCGTGCACGCATCGTCGTCCCATCGCGGCGTCAAGTCGTCGTCGGCAGGGAACTCGGAGGAGCCGAGGGGAATCTGGTGGAGGTTTGCGGCGGCAAGGGAGGAGGAGAAGAAGGCTGCAAGGGCAAGCGTCTTGAACATGGTTCCGCCAAACATTTTCGACACGGGTTCCAAGATTCGAAGCTACTACAGGTACCGAATCGAAAGGCCCAGGGCAGAGAAATCTACTCACCTGCGACCCGTTTCCTTATACGGCGCGAGCCTGGATGCAAGGTACTTCGCCTCCGGAGTAGCACTGCACCAAAAAGTCCCGAGGTCCTCCTGGGAAAGCGACTCGGCCGGCTCTGGGAAAAGTCCCGACTGCACGCACCCGTTCAAGCTCCGAATATGCCCAAAGGACACGGGAAGATGAGAATCTGTGGGCCATGAAAAGCAGAGAGGTGCAGCTTGGGGTCGTCGCAGCTTGAGGTTGTCGCACCACACCACGAATTCAAGGCAGAGCAGCGAGCAGCACCGGATCATGGCGACAACACTTCTCCCAGCGCTTCCTCCATTGCGGCAGGCCGTCGTGCAGTCAACCGAGGAACTCGGGACCTTGGAACTGCGAACCGACCTGCCCATGCCGACCGTCTCGCCCGATCACGTCCTCATCAAAGTAGCGGCAGTAGCAGTGAACCACTGCGACTACAAGATGCCGGCCCGGGTGCATTCCCCCGGCGCTGTCAACGGCTGCGACTTCGCCGGCGCCGTCGTCCGTCTCGGCGACTCGGTGGCCCGCACGCCCGGCGGCCTCCGGATCGGCGACCGCGTTGCCGGCGCCCAGATGGCGTCGCAGGCCCGGCGGCCGTGGTCGGGAGCCTTTGCCGAGTACATTGCCGAGAAGCCGGCCAACCTGTGGCGTTTGCCGGAGCACTTCTCGTGGGAACAGGCGGCCTCGGTGGGCTGTGCCGTGGCCAGCAGCGTGGGGATGGCGCTTTGGTGGGAGATGAAGCTGCCCGGGACGCCCGAGGAGCCGACCGCCGATGCCAAGTTTGTCCTCGTCTACGGGGGTTCTACGGCCAGCGGAACCTTTGCCGTTCAATTGTTGAAAATGTGAGTGGCCGTGTGTGGTTTCCTTCTCCCTCGTCCTGTTCAGACGCTACCGAAGTGCCGTAATGAGTCCACGACGATTAATCCAGTGCGTGTTTCCTCAGGTCGGGCTATCGAGTCGTCACCACCTGCTCTCCCAAGAACTTCGAGCTGGTGGAAGCGTACGGTGCCGAAAAGGCCTTTGACTACCACTCACCAACATGTGGGGAAGATATACGGGCATACACCAACAACACGCTGGAGTACGCGCTGGACATCATCACCGAAGCGAGGACCATCCGCCAGTGCTACGCGGCCATCGGGCGCGGCGGCGGCAGATACGTCGGCTTCGAGCTGCTGCCGGACCATCTGATGGCCACGATGCGCAAGGCCGTCAAGCCGACCTGGGTCATGGGCCTGGAGGTGGCCGGGCTCGAGCTGGAGCTGCCGGGAGGGTACTATCGCAAGGCGAACCCGGAGCTGCACGCTTGGCTTCACGGGTGGATCAAACGCTTCGCCGCCTTGCTCGAGTCTGGGAGGTTGAAACCACATCCCATACAGGTGAACCGCGGCGGACTGGCAAAGGTGATTGATGGCATGGGGCTTTTGCAGCGCAAGGAGGTCTCGGCCCAGAAGCTGGTATATCCCTTGTACGATTATTAGGCATGGAGGCAGGTAGGAGGTACAATAATTATTAGACCAGTCTCAAAAGCTTCACCTACCTAGCCATCGAGAAATGCCAGTGACTCCTTGATACTGGCTCGTATCGACTCTACGTACGACTTGCTCCCTCGCCGTGACTTGACATCCTCCTGGGCCACAACGACCCAAAACAACCGCGCCCGATCTGCACGCGATAGTATCCCCGGAGCGGCGGTAGACAAAGAAACCGCCTCGCCCGAGAGGCAGTACTCGGCTGGAATCCCCATGCAGCGCTCCACGGTCCGCACCTGGCCCTGGATGGCGTCGAGGATGCCCATGGCATACGCCTTGAGCGGCATGTCCTGGAGCGACGAGACGCCGCCGATGCGCAGCACCGACTTGACCTTGATGGACTGCCACGACTCGCGCGGCACCTGGCAGAGGTACTTGTAGATGCGATGGAACAGGGCGTCGAGAAGCCTCATCAACGCAAGGTAGCTAGACAGAGCCAGGAGCACCACCTCGGTGCTGAGCGCATCCTCGGCGTGCGTTTGCAGCTGAGCCGCCGGCGTCAAGCTCTGGATGATGTCGATGAATTTCCTGCTGCACGCAAGAAGCGACGCTGCCGGGTTCTCGACATCCCGGCCCGCGCCCTCGTCCTCGTCGTCTCTGCAGCGCTGCACGACTTTGGAGGGCTCTGAGTAGTAGGCGTCGATGCTCGCGATGCGCTGGTCTATCTCGTCTCGGAATCCCGCCAGAGAGCTTACCGCGCTGAAGCATTGCGACGGGGGAGGAGTCAGGGGCAGAGTAACCTCGCCCTCCCTATCAAAGGAGGGGATCAGCATCCAATCGAGGGCATTGCTAGAGTCCCCGCCCATGTGAAGCATGGCGTTGAGTTCATTTTCATCGTCTGCATTGAGAAGTCCCTGGGACTGGGACTGTGACAGTGAGCTGCTCCGCTGATGCTCCAAGGAGGGCATATCTTGCTCTTGGCCTGGCGTAGGGCCCTGATGGATCAAAGGGGAGTCAAAGAAGAAATCCGGCTGTGGCTGCTCGTGAGCCGGTCCTGCGACGATGCCGTGTAGACTGTCCCCCAACGTCGACATGCCATGAGACGCAGGCGACAAGTTATCGACAGGGCTCGTCACCATGGCCTTCGGCGTGCCATCACCATCACTGCTTGCGAGACGCTGCTTGCGCGGTCTCCCGGGATGACCAGAGGCGCCCGTCACGCATCGCGCGCTCATGTAGAAGCAGCGGGCGCAAGGAGCCGTGCTGTCTTGGCCGCGGAGGCATCGAACTCGCTTTGCTCTGCACTGGTCGCAAGCGGAGCGCCTAACTGTGGGTTTAAGCATGGTTGGTTTTGGTGTTGTGCTCTTCGAGAGTGTCTTCTTCAAGAGACACGAAACAATGACCGACGAGATGGGATTAGTAAGGAGATATTGATGCCAAGCAAATCCAATGCTAGCAGAAACCCTGCTCGGAGGTTTTTGTGGCCAGCCAATCAGCAAAAATAGCGAACAAAGCTGCTCTTTGTCTTACTCTTTTGCTACTCACATCCCTTGCTCAATCCGGCACCTCTCCTGTTGGATCATGATCTCAATTAATCCTGGCTACAGTAATATGTAGTGTACACTATACTTTGGCTCGGCGGTTGATTTAACACTACCTGTAATATTATGCAGAAAAGACTGTCAACCGCGAAAGGAAATAAAACCCTGCGAGGTCAGCCACATCCATGCAACCAAACCCTCCGCGGGGCTTCACCCACAGAGCATGGAGCCACGCGAACCGCGCCACCATAATTGCCGGTTCTCATTCGGCCTTATATATTACAAGTACCCGACAGCTCCTCGCACGGGATCGTAGGTGCGAATATTTCCCAAAAAAAAACCTCCGTCGACCTTTTGCGAGAAAGATCCGAGACAGCCCCCCCGCCATCTGCCTATCATCCCAATACGACCTCACCCTATTGTTGCTAACCATCTTGTCCGCGCACCATGACGCAAAAAGACGCGGTCGCTTCGACTAGCGAGTCTGGAGAAACTTCGGTCGATGCCCAGGATGCGACGACGGAAAAGAGCCCGCCAAAGTTCGACAAGGGGCCGAGGTTCTGGGCCATCATGGGTGTCCTCTCCCTCATCAGCCTTCTCACGTCGCTGGAAGCCACAGTCACCTCGACCGTCATGCCATCGCTTGTTGCGGATTTGGGTGGCGGCGAAAGCTTCATCTGGGTTTCCAACGCATACTTCTTGACCATGTAAGCCTCCCCGTTTGACATAAGCCACAGGTTCTGGTTGCTTACCTTGTGTATCTATGTAGGACTTCTTTCATGCCCATGTTTGGCCAGCTTGCAAACGTGTTTGGCCGCCGGTGGCCCTTGATCATATCCGGGATCCTCTTCATGATCGGGAGCGGCGTTTGTGGCGGGTGAGTTTTGTTTTGCTGCGTCCTCAGTCCCTGGCTCAGATTCTTTACTAACGACCACCACCGCGCAGAGCCACCAACATGGCCGCCATGATCGGCGGTCGAGCGGTGCAGGGCATCGGAGGCGCGGGTATCGGCGTCCTCTGCGAGATCGTCATCTGCGACCTGGTGCCGCTCCGCGAGAGAGGCACCTACATGGGCGCCGTGTTCGGCATGGTGGGCATCGGAGCCGCTCTCGGCCCTTTCTTTGGCGGACTCATCGCCAGCTACAGCACCTGGCGCTGGGCTTTCTACATGAGCCTGCCCATTGGCGGCGTTGCCACCGTGCTGCTGATTGCCTTCCTGCGAGTCAAGTATGACAGATCCCAGACGTGGGCCACCAAGTTCTGGAGCCTCGACTGGCTGGGCAACAGTCTCTTCATCGGCGGCACCGTCCCCGTGCTGATTGCCCTCGGCTGGGCGGGAGGACAGCACCCTTGGTCATCGTATCAAGTCCTCGTGCCGCTCATAGTCGGTCTGACCACGATGGGAGCCTTTGTCGCGATCCAGGGCAATGCGCGCCTCACGCCGAATCCCATCATGCCCCTGCACCTCTTCGGCAATCCCATCAGCCCCATCGTCTTCCTCCTCACCTTTCTCCACGGAATCGTCACCATGTGGGCGCTTTACTTCCTCCCGGTCTACTTCCAGGGCGTCCTCGCCGTCGATGCCTACAAGGCCGGCATCTATCTTCTGCCCACCATCCTCGCGCTCCTCCCTGGCGCCATCATGGGCGGGTTGCTGCTCAGCAAGTTCGGCCGCTACAAGCCCATCCTCATCGTTTGCTTCGCCTTGATCGTCGTGGGCTTCGGCCTCTTCACGATGCTGGACGACACCTCAAGCACGGCCGCCTGGGTGGGCTTCCAGGTGGTCGAGTCCTTCGGCGCGGGCTTCGGCATGGGGGCCATGCTCCCGGCGCTGCTGGCTCCGCTGACGGACAAGGACACGGCGCTGGCGACGGCGACGTGGGGCTTCATGCGGAGCTTCGGCGTCATGTGGGGAGTCGCCATCGCCGGCACCATCTACACCAGCCGGGCCTCCGAGCTCGCCGGTGACGGCGCCATCAGCGACGCAGCCGTGACCGCCGAGTTCATGGCCGGCGGGGCATATGGCGCTGCTGAAGTCCACTTTCTCGACTCGCTCTCGGCACAGACGCGTGCTCAAGTCATCTCTGTGCAGAGCATCGCACTGGAGCGGTCCTGGCAGGTTGCCATTGCCTTCGGCGGCGTGGGGCTCATCGCTGCTGCTGTCATGAAGCAGATTCCGCTCAGAAAGGAGAACGACACCGACTTTGGCATGGTAGAGAAGAACAAGGACAAGCCTACCGAGGAGGAGCAGCCTACCAAGGAGCAGAAGTAGGCAAGAAGTACAACAGAGTTAGAAGTCCCAGATGGTGATAGTATCGCCCAAATGCAAGAGGGGAGCTTTGCGATGGTGCTGACAGGCACACGGGGGTTTAATAAGTAGGTCTAGCTCGCTAGACTAGATACTATCTAAAGAATAAGCTCGGCCTCTACTAGGAAGGGTGCATTTTTTATCTTTTCCAATTTGAACTTTTCGGGATGATATTATTACTTAACTTGCTACTTAACTTCCTGGCACCGAGCCCGTCCATCAACGAAGACTTCTCTAAAATGTTGCTCGGCATATATTACTGCCTTTGTACCTATGTTGACGGTATCTCAACCGGCATCTCAGGCGCCGTAACTTCCGTCATTGCTACAACTACCGCCGCTGCTCCGACCGGGTGTCAAGCACGGGGATAGGTGTTACCACGCCGAGCCCGATCGAGACGGGCATGACAGAATGCCGCAATATCTTTTATCAGGTTGTCTCGGGCGATGGCTGTTATAATTTTTGTAACGATTGGTACACTAATCTATACTCGTCAGTCTAGGGTAGCCTGATTCTGATGAGTTTGTGTAACAGGGAATCAGGGGGGTCAAGACTTGGATAATCGGTGTTACGTCAGATAATCTATATAATCCCGCTCCCAACTGGTCTGTACTCCCAGTATTGCTGCTATTAACTACCTGGCTTCCGTATGGGTTATGATATAGAGTGTAATAAATTTATGTAAATGTAAGATATTTTTCGGGCTGATTGTGAATGACAGAATTTGACTATTAACTTAAATTACCCTGGTTAATAAGTAAATATATATCTTGATATAATATTTTTAAAAAAATTACTACAGGAAGGAAGTCTAACTAAATACAGATATATAAAATAAGATTTTCTTTTTCAATAATCCCCTGCGCCAAGCAAGGCATAAACGTGACACAGCTCCAACAAGGTACTTTCACCAAGAGAACAGTCTAGTCTCAAATCAGAGCTTCTCCGCGCCGATCCATCCCCTCACCTCCTCAAACCCCCTCCCACTACGTGCAGCTCTAGCTCCTCTTTCAATCTGTTTTCAACCATCCCCAGATTGCTCGGCCGTGACAATTTCTACATAGCATCGTATTTACTCTAAAGAATGGGCGCCCATGCTCGCTACGGCACGAAAGCAACTCTCATCAGCTAGGATGCAAGCCACTGGGCCGTCGAGGAAGGACAAAAAGCGAGTTCGGAAATTTACTTCCGATGATCGGGCGGCTCATCGGATATTCGAGAAGAACCGCCGGGAGGCCTTCAAAGAAAAGTTGAATGCAAGTAGGGCTGCTATCACATCAGTATGCTAGCTACTAACGAGTATTACAGGAGCTCGCCGGCCAAATCCCAGGCCTCGCCGAGTGTGACCCACAGCGCCTCTCAAAGCACGTTGTGGTCGAGGAGAGCATCACTCGCTGCCAGACCCTGCACCGGAGATGTCTCGATGCGCTTGGAGACATTCGAGCGTTGATCCAGGAGCGCGATGAGCTCCTGCTCGAGGTCAACTCTCGTCGTCAGTTGGAGCGTAGGCCTCTCAGATCGCCACAGGCTGTTGCGCTTCATCTCGACGGCCTTGTGGAGTTGGAGAAGGAGGCGAAATTGCTAGCGAAACCAGCCACATCCCAGCAGCCCGAGAGCCGTCAGGCTGTGAGTTGCAGTCCGGACGAGGAAGGCACTGATAGGCAAGACCACAGTCATGACGATGAGGCTATCGTCACTGAGGACACCACCCAAGATTTGGCGACGGGCTCGATCATCTCAGTACCCATACCATCCATCGCCTCACCGTTGCTAGTCCCCGAACCAAGTGGCGAATCCATGACGGTCGGTCTGAGCTGGAATCTGGTGAACAATAATCACATTCCAGAGCCCTACTTGAATCCGTCACCCTCGGGAAGCCTACGCCCAACACAAGATGCGTCGGGCATCGGTGCATACGCGCACCCAGGGACTTTCTCAATCTCTTTCCCCGAATCTCTCGACTTTTTAAATGCGGAAAATTCGTTGCCTTGTCAAGACTTTACGTTCTACGATGCGGAGGCGATGGCTTTTCACCTCGAGCCTGGTATGTCCGATGCTCAGGCAACGGCACCACCGGGCTATCTTCCGGATAGCGAAACACTACAGTTGGGGGCAGGAATCAGGTGAATGGGAGCGTAACCTTGACTCTGGAATATTACTGGAGGTTGATAGCAATCTATTATTCCTCATGTGATCTGGCTATATGACTATTCATAAATCAATTCATGGCGTTCCTGTCGAAGAGCGCTTAGATGATCTTCAAAACTTCTTCCACCTTGGCCTTGCTGCGCTCCTCGCCGCCAGTGAAAAGCTTCAACGCATCAGCAAGTCGGGCAGTCGTCACAGGATCAGCCATGATGGCTTTTTGCAAAGCCTCGCCGCTATTGGCGAGATAATCGATGTCAGTCGAAGCAAGCTTGCCGTCCCACTCAGCTGCCGCAAGCGGGTCAATGTTGGCAAGTTTCTTGAGGCGCTCGGGACCTGGTCCAGCATCCTTGTACACGTGGACAGGCTTGGGTACGTAGGCACCGGGTTGCTTGCTGTCATCCCATGAAAGCTTCGCGAGCTCGTTTAAGACAGTGTGAGAGATGGTGGCAGAGTGGCAGCCCATTTCTGCCGCTGCCATTGCCTCCTGGACCGAGATGAAACTAGACAGGGTCAGTCAACGATTATTTGTTTGCTCATGATAGGAAGCCTACCTGGCATTCTTCACTAGGGGCTGCTCCTTTCCGGTTTCTTTGTACAGACGCTTGTATGTATTGATGATCTGGACGATGCGCGCCGACATGGGATGCTCGGTTGCGGGGTCCTTCACGTCGGGCCAAAGCTCAAGCTCGTCGTGTGCGCGAACCTCTTTATCGACTGTCAGCAGATTCTCGAATAGTGGTGTTTAGCGTAGCAGCTTACCGTTGTAGTATGGGCTGATGTACAACATCCCAGCTTGACTGCAGGCAATCGCCTGCGGGAGACTGAAGAGCGCAGTTCCAAGAGTAGGGATACCCTCGGCTGAAAGAATCTTTGCAGCGTTCAAAGCTGGTCCAGTGGAGGGAATCTTGATACAGAAGCGATCCCGGCCAATGCCTGCAAGAGCAAACTCGCGGTCGTAAAGACGAGCGTGATCAAGCGTGTCTTGGAACTCGTAGGCTTTGGAGGGCAGGGTTTGGAGGAGGACACGGCCTTTGATAGAGTTGATGTTCTTCTTGCACATCAAGACAGCCTGTACAAGTTCATTAGCAAGGCTTGCTCAGATCTGAATTGCTCATCCACCAATGCTAACCATGCGCGTGTAGATGGCTAGCCACCCCTGGTCCTTGAGGTCCTTGGCAGTTTCAAGGAACATTTCTCTGTTCGAGGCATCTCCAAGCTGGATGTCTACCCAGAGCTGGTTGCTGGTTTGGTCGTGAGGCACGATTGGCATTCCCTTGATGTACTCGGGGTCCATCCAGTCGACGTCGACGTTCACTGTGTTTTGTCAGCCAGGGGCGTATACAACACGCTCTCATAAACTAACACTGCTCCTCAAGCTTGTCGAGCCATGTTCCGGTGCCGATGCTTCCCATTGTGGTGATGGGCGAATGGTTTTTGTGTTGGTTGGGTTGTTGCTGACAGTTGCGGAGGAATTATCCTAGGAATGAGACTTGGGTACTTTGTGACCTTCTAAATCGTACTATAGAGCTTGGACTGTCCAGGATTTATACAAAATTGTTTTCTCAGATCTTCATGTGATGGGCAAGCATCGCCATGGTAGCAGCTTAGCTCCATTGTTGCCAGTGCCCTGCGTGTGCCAACTCCCTGCGTGCGACGATGCCCTGTGTGTGTCAGTTCCCTGCGTGTGTCATTGCCCTGTGTGTGTCAAGCTTCAAGACCAGCTCGACCTGCACAAAGGAAACAACTGTTGGCCAATCACACCGTATCCTCAATCCAACCATTATCAGCGTGTTCGCGTCGTTCTCCGATCCCGGCCACCCCCCAAAAGCGGGGGAGGCTATCATTAGCCTGTCCGCTGTTGAATGACGTGGGCCACTCGGCTGTGAAAGTCCGGTTGTTTGCGAGTCATGCTCCCGACTCACTATGCTAGGAATGGAAATGAAGCTCGGCCCGGTGAGACTGGACACACGCAGGGCATCAAAGACTCTCTCCGCACCCTCCTCACATGACCCAAGCCCTGTGCAGGGAACCCTGCTCCAATGCCCTGTACAGGACGATATGCCCTGCGCAGGAATCGTGGTGTGGTGCCCTGTACAGGGAATAGAGGGGACCCGACCCCCTGTACGGGACCTTGTCTGCCTGCAGGACCTCCTCACCTTGGATAGGAATCAGGATTACAGTTGGGAATCCATAGCTTCGCCTAGCGAGACCGAGACGCCTTACTCGAGTCGGCTTGGTGACAGGCCGTCGGTATCATGTACCCCGGATCGTCGTTACCCCATGGGGCAGATCGCTTTTACCCCAGAGTGAGCCCGCCTACTGCCCCAATTATATAAGAGCCTCGAGAACCTCAACCGCAGTTTCCACTTGATAACGCCAATAACAGACCGACCTGCCATTATCAGAGTCCCATCAACTCCATCCATCGTGCTCAAGCACTTCTGCCGTCATGTCTCGTGTTTCTGATCTCGAGGGCGATGTCAAGTCGGGGCTCGAGGCGACTCATGTTGAACACACAGAGCAAGACTACACCCGCAACGTCAATGCTAGGTATGAAGCCCACCCTCTCTATGCCTCATCACTGAAAGCCCCTCGTCTGACCATGTCTCAGAATTCGCAACCCTCTCATTGGCATTTCGAAGCAAGACCTCAGACTCCAAACCGACGCTTTCTGCCATGACAATGGCTTCCAGGGAAAGGAAGACGTCTTCTATCGCGGCGCGTTGGCAGCTCAGAACCCCCAGACCTACGAGGCGCTCGAGGACTTGACCGAGGAAGACAAGCACTTCCTTCAGCGCGAGGTCACTCACAAGTGGCACTTACCGCGCCAAATGTACTTTGCCATTGCCCTCTGTTCCCTCGGGTCTGCGATCCAGGGTTGGGACAACACCGGTGCCAATGGCGCAAACCTCTCTTTTCCCGTCGAGTTCGGCATCCAGGACAATCATATGCTCGTTGGTGCCATCAATGCCGCTCCAACTCTCTTCGGTCTTCTTTCCGCCTGGGCAGCCGACCCCATCAACAACTTGCTGGGTCGTCGCGGGACCATCTTCGTGACTGGCCTCTTCGCAATCTTTCCAGTGCTTGCCCAAGGGTTTACACAGAACTGGTGGGGCCTGATGCTCTGCAGGTTGTTCATGGGCATCGGCATGGGCATCAAGATCTCGACTATTCCCATCTACTCGGCTGAGGTTGCGCCTGCTGTTATTCGCGGCGGAGTCGTGACCAGCTTCCAGCTTTGGGTTGCGTTTGGCATCTTCATTGGCTTCTGCTCCAACTTGATCTGGTATCGCATTGGCGCACTGGCGTGGAGATTCCAACTGTCCGCGGCCTTTGCGCCTGCTATCCCTGTCGTCATCTTTGTCTGGTGGTGTCCTGGTAAGTCATTGATGCACGGAATCATTTATGCCTATGTTGGTTAAGCGTGCTAATCACTGCGCGATCAGAGTCCCCTAGATGGCTGATGAAAAAGGGTCGATTCCAGGAAGCCTTCGGGTCCTTTTGCCGTATCCGAAATAGCGAGATGATTGCAGCCCGCGACCTGTACTACGCACACCGACAGGTTCTGGAAGAAAAGAATGCCTTTGGTGGTCAGACTTTGGGCAGAAGAATGTTGGATTTGGTTCTCGTCCCGCGTCTGCGTCGTGCCACAGTAGCGAGTGCTTGGATTGTCATCAGCCAACAGTTCTCCGGTAAGAACCTTGCTGTGAACATAGAGGACAACCTCTCACTGACTCTCATCTCAGGCATCAACATCATGGCCTTTTACTCGTCAACAATTTTTGAACAGGCCGGATACACCCCAAAACAGTGCCTATTGGCGTCAATGGGTTTCGGCCTTGTGACGTTCATCTTCGCAATCCCAGCTGTTTACATGATGGACACGTTCGGCCGCCGAAACTTGCTCTTGATCACGTTTCCGAACATGGCTTGGTGCCTTTTGGCTGCTGGCTTGTGTTTCTTGATTGACGACAGCGTGGGAGCGAGAGTACCGTTGATTGCCTTTTTCGTTTATCTCTTCGCAGCCATGTACGGCCCTGGTAAGTTCTGCTTAGCTGACCCGGTCGAAAGGTTTCGCAGCTGATGTTGTTCCGACAGGTATCGGTCCCTTGCCCTCCATCTACTTCTCCGAGTCTTTCCCTCTATCGCATCGAGAAATCGGGGGTGCTTTCACAATTTGTGTGAACAACACCATTGGTAGCGCGCTGACCCTAAGCTTTCCTTCGCTGTTGGCCGCTATCGGACCTACTGGAGCGTTTGGCTTCTATGCTGGCCTCAACTTGCTTGCTTTCTTGGTCATCTTCTTTATTATTCCTGAGACGAAGTAAGTGCATGATCCATGGATGAATGAGTAGATGAAACATCTGACACGCTGGAAAAACAGGCAGCGAACCCTTGAAGAACTCGACTATATATTCGGCGTCCCGACCCGAAGGCATGCTGCTTACCAACTACGCACTTGGCTTCCTTGGTGGATCCAGCATTACGTATTTTTCCAAAAGGACGCGAAGCTAGAGTCTCTTTATCAGCTTGACTTACAGTGAGAATCTTTATTCGTTGAATGGCAAGTCCCCGGTGGAGTACGTGCTGGGTGGCGTTGGCAGTCGTTTCTTCTATTTGAGGATTCCTAGCTACTATATCACTGGCTTCTTGACGAAAACTACCCTGAATACTTTCGAGAGACATTCAATCAACACAGTTTAGTTAAATATCTTTGCTTGGCGGTGTAAGGTGAATTTGTAAATGATGCTGATCTCTGAACACATAAGCAACTCCTTGCGGCATCACGTCTTCCCCGACTGTCCCTTAGCCGCCTCTTCCTTATGAGCATACATGTCGATGACAAACCACCGACCATACATAACTTTACGGGTGCTTGGGAAATAGGTATTACTTGAGTGTACTCTGTAAAACATCGGGGTTGGTATCTTTGGTGGCTATATTGCCGGGACCGCTAGGATGAGTCTAGGGACACAGCTCTGCTTGTACGATGGATTCATCCGCCGCCCTCCTCCCCCGGCGCGTCCATCTCCAATCCTCCCGTAGACCATAGGCTAGGACGGAATAAAATAATGGACTGAGTGACGAATTCTAAGCCCTGTAAGAAGCACTTGCAAACTAAGCTATCGGGTCTGCCAAGATTGCCGTTCTGCTTTTTGCGGTCTCCGATGGCATAGGTATTTGCCACTTGGCGGCGCTTATTGTTTAGCCAACCTACCCACATGTTAGATGACGTATAGAAATTCAGTCAAGGAATAAATGTTCCATCAGGTGTGGAGACCAAGCATGATGATTGTATTGGATCAAGGATCACTCCGGCCTACCCTTTTTTTCTCAAGCCAAGAGGTTCGGGCAAACGACTCTAGGTAAGGTTCGTGGTGGAGCATTTCCCAGGCTATCAGCTTGATTTGTTGCAAAGTGTGTGTGTCGCATCATAACACCTCTTTGAGATAGTTGCCCTTGTTCCTACAGTTCGCTCTCCCCATGTGCTTTGTAATCTAGGCGTGGCTGCTTACGGTCGCATGGGCGATGGCGAATGAAGCCATCAGCGGCGCTTAACAATCATGCTCACTCATCAAGTTGGAAAAGGGAAATGTCTCCGAGGGGATTCGGGTGCGTGATTTTTCTCTTCAATTTCCCGTGATTATTGGGGAGGTTGCTTTATGATATAACCAGGCAGGAGCTGGATATCTTTCGACATTGAACACGGCAGAAAGTTGACCTTGATCTTCGTTATACTACAATGAAAGCTCTTCATCTCGCCCTAGTTTACCTGGCTACCTCTGCAACAGCGGCTATAACAGACTTTGACAGCTGGGAACATGGACGCGTCGCTCTAGACGACGTCAGCATACACTTCCGGTACGCCGGCTCAGGCCCTCCTGTGCTCCTTGTACACGGGAACCCCCAGCACAGCTTGACGTGGCAGTTTATCGGTCCCATCCTCGCACAGAACTATACCGTCATTGCACCAGACAACCGTGGCGCCGGGGACTCGAGTATTCCGCCCGATGGGAACTACAGCGCCACAGCTTCGGCGGCAGACCTGAAGGGAGTGCTGGACTTTCTGAACGTCACGTCGTCGTATGTGTTCGCGCATGACAAGGGCGTTGGTATGGCGACGGCGCTGGCGATTCAACATCCTGATATGGTCAAGAGACTAGCCTTGGCCGAGTACGGACTTCCGGGATTTGGATACGACCAGATCGCCACGCCGGCTCCGTTCTGGGACCTGTACCAAAATTGGCAACTTGCTTTCTTCCAAGTTCCCGACTTGGCTGAGTTTCTCATGTCTGGAAAAGAGAAGCAGTTTCTAGAGTGGTACTTCTTCCACGGGAGCTACTCTGGAACGGCGAGCTTTAGTGAGGATACCGTCAATAGATACGCCACTAGTATCTCCAAGCCAGGATTCCTCAGAGCGATGCTAGGTCCTTTCTCCGCTGCGACGGTCTACGATGATACAAAATTCTTCTCAGCGTCCTTGAACGACAGCCGTTTGGATGTGCCGTTACTGGGCATGGGCGGAGAAGCGAGCTTGGGGTGGGAGTCAGTGCTGCGCCAGACCTATGAGCCGATCTCGTCCGATTTGCAGGTTGACATTATTCCCAAGGCAGGACATTGGATTGGTGAGTGATTCCAACAGAATTAGGAAAAAAATCATCACTGATCAACAAATTAGCCGATGAAAATCCAGGATGGACAGCTCGGCGAGTGGCAAGATTCTTTGCGGAGGATGGTTCGGTGCTTCCAGAACTTGATCTCTCGTACTTGAAGGACTTGGTGACACTCGACGTGGGGTATTTTGGTACGAGGAGAAACATGGCACTGGGAATGCAGTAAAGATAATTTGGATCTTTGACGAACTTGGGTTGCGGTTTGGAGCATGTGTTAAAGATAGACAATTATTGCAACGGAAAGCCCGCTGATCCGACACCTGCAAGGCAGCTCAAAAGAATGGTGTCCTGGCAAGAGACCTGTCGCACCCCAAGACTAAACTACAGACTAAGGGCTTTATCAAGACTCATGCGATCCCAAATGAGGACGTGTAACATATTTGGAACGGAACGTATTCAGAATATAAGGCTCCTTAATAATACTCTAATAATACACACAAGGGGACATCTTGTTCCCTTTCCCGCATTTGACGAACCATCTTCGTTTACAGCAAATTTTCAGCAATAAAATATGCTCCACGTTTCCCCTCGCACGGCTCGTTTAACAGGTTTACTGGATCTATTGTCCAACTAGTGAATTATATGTACTCCCATATCGGCCTGTTTGCCCACCAGGTCAGTTACGTAGGATGTAATGATCGGATATCATCAGGATGTCAAGGTGAGCGATGTAGGTTACGGTTTGGTAATGTGGCAAAGGTAGTATGATGCAACCAAGTGTGTTAATATCTAAGGAGCGTAAGGCTTGGTGTAATGTGCAAATAGTGCACCTATGTATTAATGGGTTACTGTAGGGATCGTGACAGTTGCTGAATCGTAGGCGCGATTCTGTAAAGTACGATCTAACAGTAATTTGTTGAAGTGAAGTGGGGTGCATTGTTCTTGGTTGTGATCGCCTGGTCACAACACGGGCCTGACACCAGATCCCTTGCGATGGCAACTCATTTAGGCAGTACACTTAATAAATGCTTGATCGCCGCCTGGAGTCATGCTCTTGTGGCACATGACGCCACATAGATGACCGTTTTCCGCAGTGAAGACAACACGACATTCGCCTGGCCCAGGTTGCTCGTCCTTCTTCTTGTTGGCGTCGTAATGAGAAGCTTCGTGGCCCTCCGATGCACGCTGGTAGATGGGGAATTCGTAAATCTTCACGGGGCGCTTCTTCGAATTGCAAGCTGTGTCGTCGAACTTGATGGTACCACCGAAATTACTGAACTCATGCGGATACCCGCTCCTGGTCGGGTAGGTCTGTGTTCCTGGGTTATACAGACCCCTGACGCGATTGTACTCCTCTCGGGCCTCGGATACAGTAAAGATGAAAGTGCCGGTACTAACGTGACAAGTCACTCTCTGGGAAAGTAAGTCAGTTTTAATGGCTTTGTAGCATAGAGGAGAGGTGAACCCAATAGCTTACGGCGGGCATTCCAAGGTCTTCGGCAGGGACCGAAGGCACAGCAGCTGTAAGGCCTTGACCTGCGATGAGAAGGGCGAAGCCCATGTACTGAGTGCCAAACATATCGATTCGAGTATTTTATGGTTGTGTTGACAATGATGAGGAATGGGAGATGCTACTAGAGACGGCTCTAAGGCGAGGAGGAAGTAAAACCTTTATAGACGGAATACAGTTGATTAATTCCACGTGTAAACATACTGGTATTCGCTTTCGAGCATTATCTCGACTTCCTAAAACGGATGGCTCCTTTCAGGGGGAATACGAAGTCGAAGCCGTATTGATTCCTCTTCCGTATATCAGCACCAAACTCTGATGCAATGTTTTAGATGAGGGATTATCACGCTAGCAAGTCAATTGAAGGCCGGGGTCGATTTTACGTCGAAGTACCGCGATACGTAGCGTCTGGGTTGCTCTCTCAATAAAACTAGAGCCTCAGACTAAACTTCAATCTAATCTGTAATACTCTAACAAACAACTTAACAGTCGCAGCAAAGAACCAAACCTGGAAAGAGAGGCTACAAATATCTTACGTATGTGGTACAATGATACCTAATATCCTTCCTTGGAAGCCCTGGCAGTAAAACAATGGAGGTGGCTATGTCTGTAGGAACTAGATTACCCCTGCTACGTATGGATGACTCAGAAGAAATAGTGTAAAACCTGCGCCACGTTATATTTTTTTCCCTTAACTTTAACCAATGCGCATCTCGTGTATATTATACGCGTGAACTTAAGAGTCGATGAGCTGATTTGTGGGTCGATTTCAGGGGGTATCAAGGACTTTTTCCTCCTAGGTAATGTGAATCCTCAAAGCATGAGACTGTTAATAAGCTATTGTGACATCAACAGCCAGGTTTCTTGACTAATGCGGGGGGTAAATTCGGTGTTAGATGATCACTGATTACTTAGTGTTGCTTAACGCGAGGGTTTATAATGCTGACGTGATGCAGGTCTGAAGCAGGCGTTTCCCTGGGTTCACAGCCTCCGCCTCGACCCATAGGCCGGTGCTGTTATTTAGAGCTCCACTGTCGTATTCTGAAGGGCCTTTTGCCTGAAGCTGCACAACTCGTCTAGTAGGTGCGGGCAGCTCGTAAATAATGACGACCACGTTAATTAGCATGCGCAGAGCACATGTAACCGAGGTTGAAGTCCCAATTTCGTTTTATAGCAGACTGTCTGGTTCCCGGTTGGAGTGCCTCGTATATAAGATGAAAGGTCATTCATCATACATGATATAATTTATCCAGCGGCATTACTTCACGCCAACACAGTGGTGGTTTTCTCGAGCCTTGGTCTACATCGAAAGTTACCTCAGAACGCTTGTTTGTATTACTACTGAGCACTATCACAGGGCTTCAGGCTTCTGCTATAGAGAGGCAATACATCAGCTAAGGTCATGGATTATCCTAACCTTCCAAATCTCCAACTTGATCCTGGCTCGGACAGCATGACAGACACAGAATTGGAAACATTCCCGATTCTTACCTCCTATCTCTCAGCAACATCACAACCTACGGCGTCAGAAGCCGCAAAGCAAATCAATAGCCTTTTCCCGTCCCACCGAGGAAATGGTGAGGCAAATAAATCACCTGAAGGTTTCCTTGCCGCCTTCTGGGACCTCATGTTCCGCGTCGCTATCCAGCTTGACTACCAGACTCAGTCAATGCACAAGTTTGTTTCCCTGATAAAAGCTCTTCGTGACTTGCCAAATACTACGGCCTTGAAGGATGGCCGAAGGTTGTGGCAGGACTTGCCGGACTTGGCACTTTTCCTTACTGAAAGATGGCATCGTAAGTAGACACATTCGAGTCCCCTGACTTCACCAGGGTAGAGGATAAGCTGACTTGACACATAGAAGCGGACATTCTAAGCCATAACACTCTGCCCGAAACTGATCGGCGCTGGAAGAATTTGAATGGTCTGGTTGCGTATCTCACTAATGAACGTCTATATGGGGGTCTATATCGCGCATTGGAAAGCATTGGGATGGGTATTGAAAACAGCGGCGGGAAGGAAGCTCAAAGGATTGTCGAGTGCTTTGCACCAGCGGCGGCTGTTTGGTTCAATCTTTCATCACCGCAGATCTACCATGCGTGCAAAGAGAATGCTCTTGACGATTCACGTAGCCGGGGAAAGCTGTGGAAAGGAAAACCAGGTTACAGTTTGGAGCGTTGGGGCTTTTGGCGATCGAGACTTGTCCAGTTGCGAAACAGCCCTTTGACGAGTGATGAGCTAAGGGGGGATTACTTAGCAGCTGAGGCTTCTATGGACAGAGTGACAGAGTAGTTCAACTCGCAATTGGAGATACATCTTCGAGGTGCATCTCCCTTAAAATACATCACGAAGTACAGCAGACCTACACAAACCTGGTACATTTAAACAATCTAGCTATTATAAGAGAGGCTGAATTGACGATTCGACCTCTCTTTAACTCTTTAAAAAACCTAATACAGATTGTATTAAGTAGTGTACATAAATCCAGTCTGTTCGTAGTCTGTTTCGTCCATGAAAGACTCAACTGCGTCTTGAGAAGTGGAAACAGAGGCAGCCGCACGCCTCTTATTCTCCCACGCCGCATATGCCCAGTAAGCTCCCATAATACCAATGCAGACACAATAGCAAACGATCATAGAGATGGTTCCACCAACGTAAGCCGGTGCTTGGTTAGCTCGGAAAGTCTGAGGCCCGATAAGATTGCCCACAGCATAGCCAATATACAAGATGGCAAAGACGATGGTCTTCTTAGTGTGGCCTGCGGTGTTGGCCTGTGCCAACCCGATTCCAACAACGTAGGGTCCGAAATAGGTGTAGAGGAAGTATAGACCGACCATCTGACCGCCGATGTTGCTGCGAGGAAGAGCGTACACCACAGCAGTACCGATAATCGGGACGGTACAAGCCAGCATGGTAACGAGGCATCTCCGATTATGCCATTTCGCTGAGAGAAGGGAGAAAACAAAAGCAGCGATTGTTGACACGACACCGTTTGGCATGGTAAGAAGCGAAGCCTCGACACCGGAGTAGCCAAGACCAGCAATAATGAGACCACCAAAGGTGATGAGACCGCCGTTGGGAATGTTGATGGCAATGTTGAAAAAGAAAAGCAGCCAAGTTTTGGGATCAATCACGGCTTCCTTGGCTTGGGACCATTTCCAAGTATGGTTGACAATTCCAGTCTTGTTGGCAGCGAGGCGGTGGACAGCGTGCTGCTTCTCTCGGTCGCTGAGGAAAAAGGCATCCATTGGCGTACTGGGCAACCAAATGAAGGCGATGATGGACCAGATCATGGAAACAGACCCTTCGATGTGCATTAGCAGGGCTACGGGAAGTCAGATTGTCTTCCATAATTCACGTACCGGTGAGCAGAAACAAGTATTGCCAAATCGCCAGAGGAGCGCTGTCCGGGATATGACCAATGGCCCATGAGAGAAACCCATTGAAGACGGAACTAGCAGCAGCAAACACGAGAGCATTTCGCGGAGGCTGCTCGGACTTGAGATAGAAGCCAGCCAGGATCAGCGAAATACCGGGGACGATAATGGCCTCGAACATTCCTTGGCAGCGTCAGCAAACAAGGCAGTAAATACTCTCAGGTGTTCCAACTTACCCATCAAGAAGCGTAGCGTTGCAAGTCCGGCGAAGTTGTGGCAGGCTGCAAGGAAAAGGGAGCACGCAGACCATCCCACGGAGCATGCGGAAAGGTATTTGGCACTTGGGAAACGGTGGATGAGCCAAGACGAAGGAAACATGCCGAAAAGAGCCTGCGCGGCGATGAATTAGATGCTGGATACTCTGGCGGGGGCGGGTAGACTTACACCCAGGGATAAGATGGATCCAAGCCAGCTGTACTGTTGACCGACGAGGGCGTTGTCTTCGCGAAGACCATATAGGGCTGATGTTCCCAGTGCAACTTTGTCGATGCTAGTCGAGACGGTTAGTCTATGCAACGACAGATGGGGTAGAATTAACATACGCTCCGAGGGTAGCAACAAGAAACAACTAGGCGCGGCATTTTTAGTATTAATTCTGGGTCATGGAGTCAAGATCAAAGTCATACCATCGGAAGCAAAATCCAATCCATCTTCCTCTTGAATTTCTTGTCCTCTTCGGGCGATAGGGGCTCATAATGCTCGGCGTTGTTAAGATAGGTTGCTGCCTCATCTGTCTGCCGAGCATCGAACTTCTGCGATTCGCCTATTTCGGCTTGAGGCGAGGAGGGTCTCTCCATGGAGGCAGCCTCCTTCTTGTCGCTGTTCAGATGCGACATTGCGAATGACAAGTGAAGATTGAAGATGTTCGTGTTGGGGAAGATGGACTGCAGTCATTGATGGGATGCGATCTCTCAGTGGGAGAGGAGGCGATCTTATGTCAAGATGAGCCCTCAGCTAATCAGCAAATGATAAGGCCGCGACTCAGGCCGCGAGTGGAGCTGCGGATCTGGGGTAAACATCACCGGGATGGGACAGGGTTCCATGCTAAGTCGCTTAGTGATTAGACTAAGGCGACAAGCGTGTGGTGTGTTAACCACGGTATGTCCGATATCGTTGCGACCTAAGACGGGCATAGCCTAGTTCAGCTCGAAATGACTCTTGCAAACAATCTTTCGTCCCAAGGGATGAGTCTCTTATCGAAGCTGGGGGAAGGTCGTTTCGCCAGAAGAGCATTCTGTCTCTTATCATGCGTCTTTTCCAGATACCAGCAGTGTTGAGAGGAGTTGTCGACACGCACTACTAGGTACATGTACGAACAGACCCTGGATTGGATATCGACTGGGTCGGCCATCAAGTGACGTACAACGTAGTACTGCGGAGTAGTATCCCTCCCTAGTCAGTTCGTTTCGACCTTCCTCCAACTTTTGGACCCGCTGATATCGAGATAATCAGCCCATGTACAATCCACATCCATGTTGGATGTCACTAATCATCAGTCTATCACTTTCACGAAGGCTGCGACAACACCGCCTCACATTGCGATATCCCTATCTTAAATATCGTGGTAATGAGGGCTCATATCAACGCCAGACCATTTCCTAACGATACGAAAAAAACCATCTGAAAGTCTGATGGACGAATCAATCCTGATTGTCGGAGCCGGTACCTTTGGCTTGTCGACAGCTCTTGACCTCGCGCAGAATGGCTACCGCCACATTACCGTGTTGGATAGAGCCCCGGAGATTCCATCCTCCTATTCGGCAGGCTGTGACCTCAACAAGATAGTCCGGGCCGAGTACGAAGATGGCTTCTACACCGATCTCGCCTTGGAAGCCATCAAGGCCTGGAAATCACCGTTCTTTGCACCCTACTACGCAGAGACGGGTCTCATCATAGCCAACTCACCGAGCGCTGAAGAAAAGGCACGCAGCTCGCTCACTAAATCCTTTTCCTCGATTGCACACCACCCGGGCTTTCCTTCGGGCTCGTTCCGACTCATTGGGGCTGGTCAAAATCAAGATATGCGGCCGCTTGCTCCTCAGATTACAGGTTCCGCCTTGGATGATTGGACTGGCTACTTCAACAAATACGGAGGCTACGCTCGAGCTAGTCGCGCAATGGTCAAGATCCACAGCGAATGCGAACGTCTAGGCGTGCGCTTTATCCTTGGAGAGCAACAAGGCCACGCTACCAGGCTCTTGTTCCACGGCAAGCGCTGTATCGGCGTCGAAACGGCGTCTGGCAAAGAGCACAAGGCAACTCGTGTAATCCTCTGCCTCGGTGCTCATGTCGCTCGTCTGCTCCCGTCGATTGCGCCTCAAATAGTTGCAAAGGCATGGTCAGTTGCACATCTCCAGCTCTCGCAGGAGCAGGCAAAAGCCATGGCCGGCGTTCCTGTTGTCAACTGCCGGGACCTTGGTTTCTTCTTCGAGCCGGATCCAGAGACTTGCTTGCTGAAGCTGTGTGCTCACAGTGCCGGCCTCACCAACTATGAGACAATTGCAGCCGAGGTTGACAGTCAGATGAGCGTCCCTACCAGCTCCGGCTCTAGCATATCTGACTACCGAGGTCGGATCCCACGAGAAGACGAGGACAAGATTGTGAAGCTCATCGCCGCGACTATGCCTCAATTCTCGTGCCTTCCGCTGACGCGCAAGTTCATTTGCTGGTGCGGCGACACGGCGGATTCCAACTACATTATCGATTACGTTCCCAACACCGACTCGCGCTCCCTGATGGTCTTTTCTGGAGACAGTGGGCACGCCTTCAAGATGCTGCCGATTGCAGGGAGGTGGGCACGACAGGTGTTGGAGAAGGGAGTGCAGGAATTGGATCGATGGAAGTGGAAAGCCACGCCAGATGGGGATACGAATGACATTCACTGGAGAGTAGGAAGTGTGAGAGATGTCAAAGGTGTGGTGGACTGGGTGGCAGAAGATGAATGCCTTCATACGAATACCATTTCGACTTCGAGACTCTAATAACGAGTAATGAGAGTTGTTAAGAGAAAGAGAAATCGTCTGGATCAAATGTTTCTTTCATCTTAACTCTCGTGTCACAAGTTCCTTTCTTCAATCATGCAAGACTCAGCAACCTCCCTCTTGTCTCTACCAAATCCTCCCATCGCTCACACTTACCCAAGTCCCTGTCCAACCACACAGCTCTAACTACTTCCTCTGCTCTGACAATACTTGCCAACGGCCTTGCCTTAATCATACTCGTCAACATATCAAGCACCAATCTTCGATCGTCCTCATTCCAGACGCCCAGGGTGCCCACGACAAACAAGGGAAAGGTGAGTGACGGTTTGGGCGGCAGTCTGGTCAGGATCCGCATTACTCGTGCGGTGATCGTCTGAATCACAGGCGATGACGGCGTAGCGCTGTCGATACAGGTGTAGAGGTATATCAATGCGCATAGCCTCTTGCTTTCAGCAATATCGAGCAACTCGGGCGGCGCTGAACCCTTTGTTGTCGAAATGCGCTGGCCGAGTCGTTTGAGGGCGGCTTCGATGCAGTTGCGGCGAGCTATGAACTCTGGGTTACTGGAAGAGGCCGGTTGGTTCCGAATATCCGTAATCAGAGTGCTGGTCTCGGACAATTGCCGTATCAAACCACGAGAACATCCGATCATAACGTCAATCTCCGTTTCGTCGTCGCCGGCAAACCACTCGCTTGGCTCAAAGAGCGTGTCTTGGATCCAAGCTGTGCGGCTCATAATCTCGTGCGAGACAAACCACATGACACAGAACTTCCGGAAGTTGTCAGGTGCATCGTGACCTTTCGGCCAAAGAATGCTGCACAACATCCGGGCGGCTTTGAGATGTTGCATCCACGTTGATGAGCATGCTTCGACGATTTCCTGGCAAGAGAGTACTATCATGGTCGCAAGAACCGAGGCTAGACTAGAAGGAGAAGCGGTGTTGGCTTGTGATGATTCAATCTCTTGCCTGAGGCCTCGTAGTGCTCGAACCTTGTGATGGGCAGAGATTTGGTGATAGCTTCGCCCATCGGGTTTTCTAAAGGACAGCTCGTGAGCCGACCAGCTGAGGACAGAATGGTAAAGAGGTGCCGAGGTTAATGAAAGCGGCGCAATGAATTCGAGGTAGGGATTGTCCGTTGGCGAATTGCTCAAATTAGGACACAGGTTTGTGATGTAAAAGTCGAAGAGATGCAGGTCCAATGGGTCTCCATCAGGGGAAGCCGTGGGAAACCCACTTATGCCGGTCCGATAAAGAACCATGTGTTGACTTGATTCATCTTGACATGCCTGATCCAGTTCCCTCTCTTGCGGTCCATCTTGGAGCGTGGAACAAGAGGAGGGATGGAGGGCTGGTTGCGACACGGGCTGTTGAAGTGGCCCGGGTTGATTTGGAAAGCTGTCAGCCGAGGTATTGAAGAAATAGAAATGGCCTTTGAAGCTTTCGAGAGCTGGCGAATGACTGCGAAGCGACGTCTTGGACGACTTCCCATGGACGCCTGTGGCTCAATCTGATTAGAGTCGTCGTCCATATTGAAACACCCGGTGCTAAACTGGCAATTACCGCAGCAGTACTTACCCTGTCGACCAAAGCATATACCCCTAGCCATAGCTTCCTCTCTCCACAGAAGCTTCAGACCGTACTCGCAACGGTGCTGAGACCGGGCACAATTGCCGCAGACGGGCTTCTCCAAGCTACACTTGACGCGTCGCTCTGGCAATGATCAGCAATCGTATCCACAGGGCCCCAAGTTGCGAGGCGAGCGGGAGTCCCGGGGTAGCTCTCGGTACCTTTGCATTTCCAGCAGGCATTTCTTCCTCGTTTCTCCATGGCGTGTTTGTCTACGATGTTCAGTGATTAATTGGGGAATCGAGGATGTGATGATGCGAGACTAGGCCGGGGGGCTCCAATGAATCCACGGTCTGAGCCAGGTTGATAAGGGGGCGGGGTCCACAGCTACAGTGCGGCCAGATAGAGAAGATACTGAGATTACGAAATTATGCACTGGAGAGGGGCTCTAGTTTCCGTCTATGTGTGTAGCGGGCGGCAGTCGGCTTGGAGGCTGGGAAGGTCGAAACGAGCGGCCTAAAGAATCCGGGGTAGCGTGGAGAGTGGAGATGGTGGCAGAGATACAGGGCGTCTTATAGGTGAGGGGAGAGTCGTATTCGTGCTAGGATTCAGATAGGCATCAAACGATAGGTTATCTGTCTGGTCTGGCTGGGTATCAATATCCACATCCACACCCCCTCATTTGATGTAGTATTCTCCACCGCGATAACAGCACCCAGCCGTCAACCAACAATGACGCTGTATTCAGAGTGTCGATCGGGCCTAGTGGAAAGTACCTCGCGGCTCCGAAGTCGCATATGGGTCACAGGGTGAGCTCCCACAATGCTACAGAAGGTCGTTTCGACTATCCCGCTGAGATGGCGAACCTCTCAGTGCACATATATGCAAGGTCCTGGGCGGTCATTTTTCCAAGTTGTTTGTAGAATGCTCCATCTCCTGTAGATCCAGGATCCAAAGCCCTTCACCACATCGTCTTCTTCAATATTCCAAGACGAGATCCGATATCATGGGGGAATACTTGAACTCGGACGCCATGGCAGATTCCATCCTCATAGCCATGGACAGGGGTGGCACCTTTACGGACGTCTGGGCGTCGGTCGAGGGCAAGGAAGACTTAGTCTTCAAGCTCCTTTCCGTAGACCCGGATCACTACAAGGATGCTCCAACCGAAGGTCGGTCGGACTAACGAAACCCAAGTAAGACAAAAAGTTCTAGTTTGCTAAATTGCGGCCAGGCGTTCGACGAGTACTATCACACTACCTCGGGCGAGAGATCCCCAAGACGGAGCCCTTGCCAAAAGCCCCCATCCGCGCTATTCGCATGGGCACAACTGTTGCGACCAACGCTCTGCTTGAACGAAAAGGGACGCGGCACGCATTCTTAGTGACAAGGGGCCATAGGGATGTCTTGGAAATTGGCTCGCAACAACGCCCAGACATCTTCGCCCTTGACATCCGAAAGGCGTCCGTCTTGTATGACACCGTCGTCGAGATCGATGAGCGGGTCACCTTGGAACATTACGACGAGGCTCCAGATCGTCTCAACGGTACCCCGAAAGCCATCGAAGGCGAAGTTGTTAAAGGCGTAGGTGGTGAACTCATCCGAGTGCTGGAAAGGCTCGATGAAGAATCGACAAGGGCATCGCTGCAACGCCTCAAGGATCAAGGCTACACCACAATTGCCGTGTGCCTTGCCCACTCATTTCTCTACTCCGACCATGAGCGGAAAGTAGAAGAGATTGCCAAGGGTCTCGGTTTCGAACACGTCGCCTTGTCCTCAGCGGTCGGGGCTAACATGGTCAAGATGGTGGCCCGAGGCGGATCGGCTTCTGCGGATGCATACCTCACTCCCGAGACGCACAAGTACATTTCGAGTTTTGCTTCCGGCTTTACAGATGGAAATCTCGAGGGCCTTCGGTGCGAGTTTATGCAAAGTGACGGAGGCCTCGTCAACTACAAGGCCTTTCGAGGCATGAAGGGTATTCTTAGCGGACCAGCGGGTACGTCCTTTCCCTCTCCCAAATAACGGTGCGATTCGTACTAATCAGTATTGTGGTTCTAGGTGGTCTGGTTGGGTATGCTAGGACTTCTTATGACGGCCAAACTCCCCTGGTTGGATTCGACATGGGCGGCACATCTACCGACGTCAGTCGATTTGGTGGCACATTTGATCACATCTTTGAAATGACTACAGCTGGAGTTACCATCCAGAGCCCCCAGTTGGATATCAACACTGTTGCAGCTGGCGGCGGGAGTATCCTCAGTTGGCAGAACGGCCTCTTCAAAGTCGGCCCTGAGAGCGCTGGTGCCCATCCAGGTCCGGCGTCATACCGCAAAGGCGGCCCGCTTACTATTACAGATGCCAATCTTCTGCTCGGTCGGCTACTTCCTGATTATTTCCCCAGCATCTTCGGTCCCACAGAGGACCAAGCCCTCGATATCCAAGTCGTGAGGGAAAAGTTCACCCAACTGGCTGAGGAAATCCAAAAGGACACTGGCAGAGCCATCTCTCCTGAAGACGTGGCAGTGGGGTTCATCGAAGTGGCGAACGAATCCATGTGCAGACCAATTCGAGCTCTCACTGAAGCCCGAGGCTTCGAAATAACCTCTCATAACCTCGCAGTCTTTGGTGGTGCTGGAGGTCAGCACGCCTGTGAGATTGCAGAGAACCTGGGAATCTCCAAGGTGATTATGCACAAGTATTCGAGTCTCTTGTCAGCATACGGTGAGAAACATCTACAAATGCTGGTCTAATCATTGCTAATCATGATATCTAGGGATGGCTCTTGCTGAGGTTGTGCAAGAGGCTCAGGAGCCCTGCAACGAGTTCTTAACAGCGGAAACCATAGCCAAGATTAGCGCTCGCCATCAACATCTCCGCGACTACACAACAACCGAGCTGGTAAAACAAGGCATCGAAAAGACAGCAGTAAAGCACGAGATGTACCTGAACATTCGATACCGCGGCAGTGATACAACCCTCATGATCTTGGAGCCGGCCGATGGTGACTGGAAGAAAGAGTTCGTTGCTGAACACCTGCGAGAGTTTGCGTTCGTGCTACCAGAAGACCGAGAAATCATCGTTGATGATATCCGCGTCAGGGGAATCGGCATCAGCTCAGAGAACACGAAAGATAATGACGCGCTCGAAAGTGAACTTCGAGAGGACAATTTTGAGATCATCTCTAACGAAAAGAGCTCGGCCGAAACAGTGAGTGACCTTGCATTATTGTCGTGAATCCATCACTAACGTGGAAGTTGCAGCGGTCCGTCTACTTCAAGAATGGTGGTATGCACCAAGCAAGTGTACTCGTCCTTCAGAACCTCGCCCGCGGCAGCATCGTCACCGGGCCGGCCGTCATCATCGACAGCACGCAGACAATCGTGGTAGCCCCCGGAAGCAAAGCCAGAGTGCTCTCGAACCACATCGTCATTGATGTCAAGTCCCAGACAGTTGGTCGGGTCGATAATGCGTCTGCTGTCGACCCCGTGCAACTCTCTCTCTTCGGACATCGATTCATGAGCATCGCCGAACAGATGGGTCGGGCGCTGCAGAAGACATGCGTGTCACTGAACATCAAAGAGAGACTCGATTTTGCCTGCGCCATTTTCGGTCCCAACGGCGATTTGGTTGCGAATGCCCCTCACGTGCCTGTCTTCCTTGGGAGCATGAGCTATGCCGTCAAGGGCCAGATCGATTTGCTTGGTGACCAGATGCGCCCAGGAGACGTATACGTAACAAACCATCCAGGTAACCCTTTTTACTCTTTTGTACGGGAGAGGGCATTTTACTGATCAATTGCTGCATTTATAGTCCATGGTGGGACCCATCTTCCCGATCTCACTGTTGTGACGCCCGTCTTTGACAACGCTGGCAAAAACATCGTCTTCTTCCTGGCCTCGCGTGGCCATCACACCGACATTGGAGGCTCCGAAGGGACGTCTATGCCTCCGAACTCGACAGAGCTATGGCAAGAAGGTGTCGCAATCAAAACCTTCACCATGATTCGCAACGGCAAATTCGACACTGAAGGCATCGCCAAAATCTTTGCCGAACCGGGCGAGAGGGTGGGATGCAACAGCACGCAACGACTAAGCGACAACATCACGGATCTCCAGTCATTTGCTGCAGCGAACAACAAGGGTGCGAAGCTTCTCAACAAGCTGATTGATCACTATGGCCAGACTACGGTGCATTTCTACATGGACGCTGTGCAGGCCAACGCCGAGCTTGCTGTGCGGAAGTTCCTCAAGGACGTCCGAGGGAAGAGCCCCGATGGCATACTCCAGGCCATTGGTTATATGGACAACAGCTCCCGCATCCATCTACAGGTTCGTATCCGAGAAGACGGGAGTGCTACGTTTGACTTCACCGGCACGACGGTAGAGCTGTACGGTAATATGAATGCCCCCAAAGCACTTACGTATTCCGGCATCATCTTTTGTCTCCGGGCCATGATTGGCGTGGACATTCCCCTGAACCAGGGCTGTCTATCTCCGATCGACGTCATCCTTCCCAAAGGATGTTTCTTGAACCCGTCTGATGCAGCAGCCGTCTGTGCTGGAAACACCCACACCTCGCAGCGTGTCTGTGACACGATTCTCCAAGCATTCGAGGCAGCAGCAGCATCACAAGGATGTATGAACTGTGTCGGCTTCTTCGGCGGAGAGTCTCTCGACGAGAGCGGCCGCACCAAGGGCTTCGCCTTCTCGTTCGGCGAGACCATCTGTGGCGGCTCAGGCGCTGGGCCAACCTGGCACGGCGCCCATGCCGTCCACACGCACATGACAAATACGCGCATCACAGACGTCGAGCTGATGGAAAAGCGGTATCCAGTGCTCATGCGCGAGTTCAGCATCCGCCGTGGGAGCGGTGGCAAGGGCGCCTTCAACGGCGGGGACGGGTGTCGAAGAGTCTACGAAGCCCTTGCGCCGCTGAGCTTCAGCGTCATCACCGAGAGGAGAACTACGCGGCCGTACGGGATGCGGGGCGGTGAAGAAGGGTCGTATGGGTCGAACACGTGGAACAGGAGACAACCTGATGGCTCGATGAGAGGTGTGAATCTGGGCCAGAAGAATATGGTGAGGATGAGTCCCGGCGATCAACTCGTCATGGTCACGCCGTCTGGTGGTGGCTACGGTACGCCTGCGAAGGAGTCGCAGAATGGAGTGAACGGGGAACACACGAACGGGGAAGTGAAGAAGGCATTCTTGCCAAGAGCCACAGGAAGTTTGGCGATTTGGGAAGCAGGCCAAGCCGACTTTTAGTATTGAGAAGAAACAATAAGACTCTCGTAAATAGGCCCTTGAGTGGATGAAGCCAAATTATCTTCATCTGTGTCATTCATTCTGTCAACGCCGCACCCATGCCGCAGGTGATTATAATATACGTATTTCAGTGATGGAAATGCTGAAAATTATAATAAAATATTGATGGTTTCAGAATTGATGTGAAATAAAACCAGCATAAGAGTGAACGCTATCAATATTTCATTTGACTAGCTCTGTGTAGGTCAGGGACGATACCGATTCCAGTCACGAGCCGCCGGAACCACCAGCCTCGTTAAGGTTGTTACCCTTCCATATGTGCAGCAATACTGAGACGGTGAGGTTAAGATACCTTGATCATATACTAGCCCTGCTCTTCACCCCCGTACATGGCATATCTCAACTCGATCCCTTGCCCAACATGCAGAATGCGCCTTGCCAATGAAAGGCTTCATTCCTTGAAGTTGTCTCTAAGACTTTGAACCACTTTTGAATACGTCATCTCCCTCTGTTCGAAGATATCGGATCCTGGTTTGACGGCCTTGTCGAACCCATGCGCCGCATTTTCAAGCCGGACAACCTCAACATTGGCGCCGCCTGTCTTCAATTTTTCACCCATCTCTTCGGCCTCGGGTCTCAGGTTATCCCCGCCACAAGTAAAGATGATGGTCGTTCCAGGGAACAAGCCAGGGTCGGCATATATAGGCGACACTCTGGGGTTTTTCCGCACCTCGCTGTCGGGCGTATAGCAAGTGTTGAACATCCGGAGCACGAAAACAGGAAATGGATTGATAGGCTTGGGTACGGTTTTGAGAGTTGGGTCGCGCGCAAGGTCCACGAGAGGGTAGAACGCATACACTGCCCTGATGTTGATTCCCTCGATATGCCTTCTGAGCTCAGATGCCGCAACCAAAGCCAGGTTGCCGCCGGCACTGAATCCAGACACAGCTACTCGATCCAGATCAAAACGCTCGGGTTGGCTCTCAATCCACCTCAGTGTATCTTCCACATCTTCTACGGGAGCTGGGAACGGATGCTCCGGTGCTTTGCGATAATCTGCATCCAGGACAAAAACGCCGGCTTCCTGCGCGATTCTGTCGCAAAACTCGTGATCCATTCCTAGGCTCGGCTGGATGAACCCACTTCCGTGCCAGTTGATGACAACCCCACGGGGGGTGTTTCCGCTGTCGTCAGGCGGGTGATGAATCCATGCGTTGAGGAAGCGAGTTGGATCCCGTGTGGGGATCTGTATAGGTTTTCTGGTGCTTGAATTTGGCGCCTTGAATAGTGATCGCATGAACGGGTACGCTAGCAACCGCATAATAGAAATAATAGTCTTGAGATACAAGTACTGTAGGGGGCTGAAATCGGCCATGGCTAGCTTGGTGTATGCAACAATTGCAAAGACTGCGATCGAGAGTAAGTTACAGGGCTTACAATTGTCTGGAGCGCCCCAGATTATTTGTACTCTCTCACAGGCTAGCGCCGGAGTCCCGGACCCTAGAAGTATCCGTGATTAGGGGTTAATTGGGCTCCGCTCGCCTACGAGTGTGGAGGCTTTACGCGGGACGGCAAGTTTAAAACTCCAAGACCCCTGCATCAAAAAGATTCATCCAGTGTCGGAAGAAGACTCGCAGTAAATTACAAAAATATCTACTGCTGTCGATAGTCCAGCATTTAGGGTACAGAATTCCAATGGGTACCGGTAAAAAATCGCGCCGATGGCTACATGAATTTTACCCCGCCTGAGGGGAATCTTCGTCGTGTTCAAGTGAAATTGGATGCGCGGGATGCGGGATCGAAGCCGGAAAAGACCATTAGAAATGCACCAAAACATATGGTCCATTTTAAAACGTCAATAGTTTATCTCTAACATACTATTATAACTGATATATTTTCAAAATGGATAATATAAATTCCTTCAATCTATTTGGATGGCTTTGAGTAATTCTATATTTTGTATAGGGTAATTTTCTTATCGTTGGGTAGTAAGCTTATCTTATGGGTACCCATGGGTGCCCATGGTCTGAGTAATTTACACTCTACGAACACTGCTGGTCGCTAAGCCCCCTTAAATGGGAGGTCTATCGCCCAGCAGATTTGGAAAAACTACTTTGATCAGTGGCAGACCGCATTAGGATCGACCAGTTGTGACACTATGCACAGTCGATGTCTCAATCACATGGCTCTGTATTAATTCCCGTGGCAATTAAGCAAACTCGAGTTCATTCGTTCCATCCGTGTGCCTGCTTCCACTCCCCCAATATCCTCGCATTTTCTCCACACTTCATCGCATTTGCCAATTCCTCCGCATCTGTGACATCCTGGGCCGTCTTGATCGTTGGCTGTGCTCTCTTCTCCAGCAGCCACCTTATCACATCCGCTCCTTTCTCCTTTACAGCAGCGTAGCATAATGGAGTCCCCCAGCGATAGGCGCGATTGGGGAAATCGGAATCCATCGCGTTGACATCAAGCTTCATTTCATCCACGAGAAAAATCAACATTTCTGCTCTCTCTCTTCTCGCCCTAGCATCACCTCGAGATTCGCCATCTTCGGCCTGACAGCATGTTTCCGCACCAAGGCCTTCTTGAGCATCAATGAACGGATTTGTTCCAAACGCCGATGCCTCTCCCACCGCCCGATGAAGCGTCCTCTTCCCGAGAAGAGCTCCCTTGGCTTGCAAGTACCGAAATGATGCGACAGAGCCTCTGACAGCACACGTCTCTAGCAATGGAGCCGGCTGTGGGAAGAGCTCATAATTGTCCACCTCGCCATCGGTAACTCGTGCACCGTGCTGGACTAGCCAGCGAATCAACTGGCCATCATTGCAGACGAAGTCGATTAGCTTGCGGTTTTGTCCGAGGGGGCCGAGGTCCTCAGCCTGGTTTATATCCCAGCCATGGGTCAGAAGCAGCTCAAGAAGAGCGATCGAGGGGTTTCCGCTAATGGCGAGAGGAGAGACAAATGTCATGGGTGCTTTTTCATGCTCTAGAAGATATCTCACTAGGTCGACGCTCCCATGACGAATACATTGCCCCAGCACCGACGGAAGTAATTGTTCAAGATAATTGTTGGAGAGAGGATTGGCCTTGACAATTTCCAGAGCCGTGATGAGCTGAGGCAGGGAATTGTCCTTGATGGCCTCATTGATCATGCGACGAGGATGTCGGGACCGCATAGTTTTGATGATTTCGAGCTCTTGAGGAATAAATTCTTTTGCTGAGGGAACTCGATAGATGAGTGCAATAAGCAAGCAGGAAGCTCTACCATATAACCCAGATATTTAGTCATAACCAAGCCTTCCAATGACTCTTGCAAATGGCATGCAAACGAGCAGATGTCACTGAAAATAGGTAGATTGATGAAACACGGGCGAAACTTAAATTTAGCTGTGACCATTGTTTCGTTTTCCGGGCAACTTATCGGCCCGACAGCTTTTCCAATGCCAAATATAGACGATTAATCCCGCAAGTGCCAAGTTACGAACAGAAAAGGAAAAAGCTTAGAGGCTGAGACTACCCATGCCCGGGTCTGAGCATTCGGTTATTCTATGTCGCTGTTACTATTCCTTTTTTTTTTTTTTTTTTTTTTGCATCCTAACCAAGTCGAGCAGGTCAACTTGTCGGGCCGACAACTTTATGATGCCAAATGCAAATGATTAATGCCGCGAGTGCCAAGTGTAAATAGAAAAGGATAAACTTTAGAAGCTTAGATTATTTATGCACGGGTCTAGGCACTCAGTCATTTCATAGTACTATTACCATTCTATCTGCTATAGGTCGAGCCATAAGGCATTACTGATAGATCGAAGTCTCTGCATCATGTACAGACATTATACTGCCGAATACTATTGTTGATACTATTGTTGGTGTTTTTCTTTACTGTTGAGCTTCTAGTCCCCCCTCTGGGTATGTGTGTACTAGGGCACCCTAACCTCTTGATACTGCCGAATACACTTGGCTGGCTATTGATGAGAGCACTATCAGTTCTAAGAAGATATGCCGGCTCAAGGACATAATTCTATGCAAAATTTGGCATTTCGCGGCGAGAATTGTGATATCTGATACGTCACATAAGGACAGAGTCATAGAGTCAGAGATGTCAGAGCTTTCGTGTTCAGAAGTCTATTAAATTATGATGCAGTACCCTCCATGTTTCAAGATTAGAGTTTTTTCGTTCGTCCTTTTCAAATTCCTGGCTAATACGAGACTTGGCGACTAAATTCATGTCATCTACGAACTCAAACCTCCATCATTGCCAAATGTGAACTAAGCTATGCTCACCAGACACCACTTCATACCTGTCTAGATGCTTCAACTCACAGATGGCATAGCTCTGGCTGGATCCGGATCGGTTCCACCTTCAAAGTAACGATTAACACGGCTTGCCCGGCTGTGTTCGTTTATTCTCCACCGAACAGGGCTGGCGAGCAGAGACTCTAGCATCACCGGGCAACATCCCTCCTTGTTTAGGACAGAGATGGATCCAACGTTCTCGATCGATGGGCTTATCCCTTGAATTCTTTGTCATCAACCAAATCCTCAGGTATTTTATTGCCTATATAATGTTACCGATGGCCCTCAGCAATTCAGAGTGCATCAACTCATTCCTTCAACAACTTTCATTCATTCAAGCTCTTATCAAAAACTCAACATGGTCCGTCTTACCACTCTCGTTCTCTCTTTGGCTTGTTCTGCCTTGGCCTCTCCCTTCTCGAAGCAGCATGGGAATGGCCATCTGGAACGCATAAAGGTTCCATCATTCGCAAATGCCAGCGTCACAACCCGCGATGATGTTAGAAGTGCTCTTTACGACAGAGCCAAGCCCAGCTTCATCTGCGACGCAACCTGCAAGGCCTGTGTAGCCAAAATTCCGAAGAAAGGCAAAGGGAAGTCTACTCCTCGCTCTCTGGCAGCAGCACTCCATGAAAGAACCTTGGACGACATCGAGGACCTCTGGGGCGGCCGGGGAGAGACAAACGACTATGTCATAAAACAAATCACCGAAGTCGCCGGTAGAGGTGATGAACTGGACTGGAGCATGCTACAGCATGACGCTGTCTCAGGCCATGGGCCATGGAAGGGCAAGGATTTGCGAAAGTACATCCAAGGCATCATGGGGTAAGTGATGAGCTAAACACAAGTCAGAGTTTGCACCTCTGTTCAAGTTGCTAAGTGAGATAACAGATGCACTGCTGTCGCCATCGTCTCCGATAAGGGATACTGGTTTGCCCACTTTGTAAGTCGACCCCATATTTCAGCGTACTTTCTGCCAAATAAAGTATGTACTGATTGCGGACCTTTACTGTATAGATGGAAACTGGGTTCCTCGACCGACATGACAACTGGAAGAACAAAATCATTAAGCCTCTCAAGGAGGGCACCACCAAATTCACACGCCCTCTCTCACTAGCTGGCTCGGGTGGCATATTGAACAGGGCAAACAATGTCAAGATTTATGTCTCAACCCCACGCACCAAGACATCTACGGAGCAAAACCCGACTCTGCTCTACAAGGCCAAGGTTCAAGAGCTCATGTCTCACATCACTGGCAGCGGTTCGCCCTTTCAAGGTGCTCAGGTTATCACACGAGGTTACCTGAAGCCCGAGGACGATAAGCAGGCTGAAGAGTTCCACAAGTTAGCCAACGGAAAGGTCCTCATCGAGTACACCAACGACCAGCTTGACATTGATGGAAACCAGCCAAACCCAAAGGAGCAGATGTATCGTGTCTGGCTTGAGCAAAAGTATTTTGAGCACCGATTTCCAAAATAAGGGATGTTCTTCTACCTGTCGAGGGGTTTTGTTTCGCTTGACGATTTTCCCCTTCTCATTAGTTTTTCTTTCTTCCTAGGCTAGAGATTAGATTTGAATTTTGTTGAATAGAATTGAGAAAAGTTTGAATTTCGGAAATGATTCTGGCTCTTGCTTATGGTTAATTGCCCAGCTTTCGAATTGTCACTGGCTAATCACAGCCCCCTTTACCAGTTTCGGCATCTGGTGGAAATCGAAGCTGGGCGTTACGTTTTTAGGTGACGCGGCGCATCTGAGAGCATCAACTTTCACAAAGATTGTAGTTGATTTCAGACTCCTAAAAGAGTAGTAGTAATTTTAAGCGTAAGAATGGAACACAACTACACTGATTAATAAACGCAAGTCATTGCTCCCTGGGTTGGATTTTGTTTGCTTAAGATGTCGAAGCCGAACTCCTCGGGTTGGTGCCTCGGATATTCAGCCTCGGGTATGTGTAGCGTTAGGCAACTTGGAACTGCAACGTCAGAAGCGCCATCGAATTTACCAAAGTCTTGGATGGCTTTGTTGATGTAATCTCAATGTCGGGAAGCTTTTGGTCACTCGAAACACCTTGTTGACGAATTCTAGCGGTAGTTCCATCGAGCACGTCCTCTCGGATATTCTAGAGAGCTTGCGCCCCGCGTAAACAGGGAACGTTGGCCGTAGCAAGCGCGATACAGGATGCTGCGCCTGTTTAGAAGGGAAGTTAATTTGTTGAATTTGAAGATAAGGGCGAGCATGTTGTTTATATCTCAATATACACAGACGCGAGATATAGTACGGTACCCGCGGTTTACAAACGCCGGAAGCTTTGGTAGGCCTCGGCTCCTCGGGACCCACGTCAAAGCTCGGAGGGTCGGCTACATAAATTGCAGATCGCAGAGATACAAGTCTAAACCTCTTCGAGAGACTTGAAAAATTCCTCCCTAGCTGACGTGAGATTACTTGGTAGCGAGCATTTTTTCCCACATACAGTACCTCTTCTGATCCTTCACCAGGTCGTGATCCTTGTCGACATGCTGTATATCAATATTCTACATAATATTGGTAAGAATATGGAATAGATCAACGTAAGCTCAAGTATTCCGGAAGTGAGCAAATACAGGTCTGTGTAAGAAGGAACAAGGTCAACGGAACACTAATTGCCTACTATACCTACCCCACGTTTCTTCCTCGGGATCTAGGTTGCCGAGTAACATTACCCCACTGCCTGCTACGATCGGGAGATGGATCGATTGCGGGGAAAGCAGCCATGAGATCACCTCACAATCTTGCCGCTATGTGCACTGATATGTTGCGTAACCTTTAAGTTCTGCTCTTTGTTTGGGGGGGGGGCTTGTGTTTTAGGTTGCCTCAAGGCTCAGAGAAGACCGATTCGTACCGAGAAGGCGACTTCTGATCCCAACAGTCTAGAAGAGCGGGGGTAGCAAGATTGCCGAAGCTGCGGCTCAGCGTCGACCTAGCCAAGTGGTGTCGGAGAGACAGGCGCGTGAGAAGAAATGCACTATGTTGCAGACATGCATGGATGTTAAGATCCAAACATTCGCGATAGCCGAGGGCAGCATCCTCGGTCACCATAACTTTGTGTGTGTTCCCGGTCTAAGCCCCTCGGAATTTGATAACACTGGATCGAGAAAAATCTTGTTCCCGGATGCCTGGATGGGCCATACATTAGCGCGTGCATAAGTTGCGTGGCAGATCAAGTATAAAGACCTCGCCGCCCAGAGTAAGCAGGAGCACCGGCTTGTAGATTAGAGAGCCTTCTCCGGATTCTCAGACCATCAACACCAGTCGGTCCTCGCTATTTGTCAAGTCAAGATATTTGCCTTCTTTCGTAATCATGTCTTCGCTCGTCGATAGCTTCTCCCAATTTTCTACAGCGACCACCGCTCTGATTCTGCTATCGGTTTCGGCAAGTCCTCCACGATGAGATTAGGGACCAACCTAGTTCTATGACAAGTTCTATGTCACTACTGGATCTATGGCTGACTGAGATCTTCCTCTATTCAGGTCTTGTGCTACTTCCTCGGCTCGATCACTTACAATCTGTTTCTACATCCACTCCGGAGATACCCAGGCCCGAAGCTATGGGCTATGTCTCGGGTTCCCTTCTCCTACAACTACATGTCTGGTAGCGCACATAAGAAAATCCTTGAGTTACATCAGCAATATGGAGACGTCGTTCGAATTGCCCCCAACGAACTCATATTCGGTTACCCCGAAGCGTGGAATGACATTATGGGCCACCGGAAGAGAGACCAGGAAGAAAACGGCAAAGACCCTGATTTCTGGAGAGATAATGACGACCTTACTCTGGTTGGATCCAACCGCGAAAGGCATCGCCGTATACGGAAGATCCTTTCTCATGGGTTTTCTGCCCAGGCCATGATAGACCAACAACCCCTCTTCCAAGGCTACGTCTCTTTACTGATGGATCGACTGAAGACAGCTTCAGCTGGAGGCGAAGCTCAAGATATGGTTAGCTGGTATAACTGGGCTACATTTGATATGATCGGCGACCTAGTTTTCGGCGAACCGTTCGGCTGTCTGGAAACATCTTCCTATCACCCCTGGGTCAAACTCATTTTTAAGCACATCAAGGGAATGGCCATCGCGAACAGCGTGGTCAAATTTCCCCTTGCCAGTACTCTCCTGAAATTGATGATCCCCAAGGATGTATCAAGAGATATTGAGGCTCACTTCAAACTTACAGAGGCCAAGGTGGCCAAGCGTCTTGCTATTGAGGTTGACAGGCCCGATTTCATGCAATCCATAATATGGGCCCGCGATAAATCTGTAAGTGACTTGAATTGCAATTTGAGTTATGAGGCCTAATTTACCAGCAAATTTCACACCCGGAGATTCTCGCCAACGCCCATAACTTGATCGTTGGTGGCTCTGAGACCACTGCAACGGTCTTGTCAGGTGCCACCTATTTGCTAGCTACTAATAAGCCGGTACAGGCAAAGCTCATTGAGGAGATACGGTCGAAATTCAATAGCGAGGATGAGATCAACCTTCTGAGCGTCCAAAAGTTGAGCTATATGCTTGCTGTCTTCCATGAAGTCCTTCGTTTATATCCGGCTGTGCCCTCGGCCATTCCTCGCAAAGCACCTCCTCAAGGAACTACAATCCGCGGAGAATATGTCCCCCCTGAGGTAATTCTACTCTACCCACTATCCTCCAGCTAATAACACTTAGTACCCAGACTATTCTTAGCATCTGGTCCTGGCCAATGTTTCACAACCCGAAGTTTTTCAAAGATCCCGAATCCTTTATTCCGGAAAGGTGGCTTGGTGACCCAAGGTTTGACGGTGACCAAAAGAAAGCACTACAGCCATTTTCCGTTGGCCCTCGTGACTGTATTGGAAAGAAGTGAGTTCTACGTCCGACATTGCATAAGTCCCCCTACTAAACTAAGAGTAGTCTTGCGTATGCTGAGATGCGACTTATCTTGGCGAGAATGATCTGGAATTTCAGCTTGGAACTTGATCCTCGTAGTGAGGGATGGATGGAGAAGAACATTCTGTATTTCCTTTGGGAGAAACCAATGCTGTTTATCCGTCTTGTTCCAAGGGCTATGGAGTAGCCTCAGCTAGTGTGATTGAGAGGAATTGACTGCTGCCACTGTATGAACCCAACCTTTGGAATTACGGTGAGATGTCGCCAAGTGGCATGGGTAGGAAAGACCGGAGAGAGATGCAGGCTAACAGAAGATGAATATCGTATCCACAAAAACGTAATCCTGAGCGAATGCAACCCCTTTTTCGCTTCGCAGAGAATAGTAGACGCACTGGCGTTCAGGAACGAGATGGTATTGTATAAAAACACCTTTTCGTCTGTTGCGTCTTCTCATCAGGGTCTACTAATGATATTAATGAATAATAACATTGGCACTAGATAACCCAGTGTCTGTCACATTTGACAAGGACCTAGTAATGACTTAGATAAGAAATCCGATGTTAAAACAGTATGTAGGAGGAATACAGTATGAAACAGAGTTTATAGATAACGCTAGTACGTTTAATGAGGGAAAATAATTAGATGAGGGAGTGGATAAGCGACGTATTTCTCATCCTCATACGCTCATTCCTTAGTGGAGTTTTACACCTTTTCAGACAATTACATCATTGCTGAGCTTGAGATATTTACTTCAATACAGATGAGCGCAAACATTACTGTAACTCTGCAATCACTGCCTCGTTGGTCTAGACACCGGTCTTCAGTGGGATGATTCCAATGTCCGAACGGAGTTATGAGTGTGAAATTTAGTTACCGTGCCATCGGAGTTTTAAAAAGTCTCCACAAGTCCGATGAAGCGTCAGCCCTGTGGAGGTGGACCTCACGGAAACCCGGCAATTTAATTCGAGATTATCGGCATTGCGTGCCGAAGGATGATGCGAACTTGTTGCGAAGCCACCCTTCTCAGGCGCCAGACAATCTCGATTGGCTGGTCGACTTTGCCGCGCCCGTCGATTTGACGCTAATATTGCGCTTCTTGTTGCCCTATATTTGTCTGGGCTTTATCCGGATAGAAGCAGGACCTCTTATTGAGAGAATACATGCTATTTTTAACAAACTTGAACAAATTCATACGTACCCAAGTGTCCATCACTAAAATAGGACATTCGCCTTATCCCGGTTCCCCGCGATAATGCTCTAGAATCCATGAAATGAGGCTGGAAACTCGATCCCGTATTACCCGGTCTGCCCGATTCGGTAAAGTCCCTCAAAGCATCCGCGTCAACCCACCAACGTGCGCCAACGCAATTGGCTATTGTTCGATTGCTTGCATCATAGTGCTGATGTAGTTCTGCTACTGTAGCCACAGAGACATGCATAGCGAGCGAAGGATGCGAATGCGTATGATCCTTCGCGGTTTCGGAACCTGGGGGCCCTTGCCAAGTCTGGCACGCGCGAGCAAGCGCGAGGACGCGAGTGCGAACTGAACGGCGCTACTCTGATTCATTCTTATCTTTGTTCTTAAAAGCTTCAAAGTATAAGTAGGTTGAACTTCCCTCATTAGACTTGATGGGGAGGATACAGCGCTGAATATTCCTTAGCCACAGCCCTCACAACCCTCTTCCCACTTCGCATCTCAGTCTTCCAAAATCACATCCAGCAAGCGGTTCCATTATCACATCCTACCACCACCAAAATGCCTGCCCCAAAAATTGCCATCATCGGCGCCGGGCCCTCTGGCCTTCTCCTTGCCCGCCTCCTCCAAGTCAACTCCCTCTCTTGCACCGTCTATGAACTCGAAGCCTCCCGAGACGTGCGCAACCAAGGAGGCACCCTTGATTTGCACCCTCGAGCTGGCCAAGCCGCGCTTAAGGCCGCGGGTCTCTTTGACGAATTCCTAAAGTACTCGCGTCCCGAAGGCGAGGCTATGAAACTCATCAAGCCCGACGGTTCGGTCTTGTGGGACGACAACGCCACCGTCACCTCTCAAGCCGCCCAGAAAGAACTTGAAGGCGAAGGCCGCGATCGTCCCGAAATTGATCGCGTTAAGCTCCGCGATATCTTGCTGGATTCCCTGGACGAAGGAACCGTAAAATGGGATAAGAAGGTCATGCGCGTGGAACCTGACCCGTCCGCCCAGGGGAAGCACACTATCGTTTTCGCCGACTTCACAACCGAGACGTCCATCGATCTCCTCGTCGGCGCAGACGGCGCCTGGTCGAAGGTCCGCCCGCTTCTGACTGATGAGAAGCCGTTCTACTCCGGCATCACAAGCATCGAGCTCTGGGCGCTGGACGTCGACGCCAAGGACCCGTGGTTGAGTGAGTATATTGGCAAGGGGTCGTGCTTTATGTTTGACGAGGGGAGAGCGCTGCAGTGTCAGCGGCAGGGAACGGGAGCTGTGCGTGCATATGTTTCGCTGAGGGTTCCCGAGGGGTGGCTTGATGAGTGCGGTATTGATTTCGCCAATGCGTCGGGTACGACGCGACAGCAGATGGTAGATAAGTACTGGAGCGATTGTTCCGCGGACGTGAAGCGGGTTATTCTTTCTGCAAAGGACGAACTCGTCCCACGAAAGCTATATATGCTCCCCGTCGGCATCCAGTGGAAATCGAAGCCGGGTGTTACGCTGCTGGGCGACGCGGCGCATCTGATGACGCCGTTTGCTGGGGTGGGAGTCAATGTGGCGTTGGCGGATGCCATGGATCTAGCCAAGGCGGTTGTGAAGAAGAAGGAGAGTGTGATGGCAAAGATCAGGAGTGATGGGTATAATATTAGCGCAGCAGTGGAAGAGTATGAGAAGGACATGTTTGAAAGAGGGAGGATGAGTGCGGAGAAGACGAGGAAGAATTTAGGTCTGCACTTTAGCAAGGAGGGGGGTGCGGAGATGGCGGGACGTTTGAGGGCGCATGCTGAGGCAATGGCAAAGGGGGAAGGTAAACATTAGGAGAGATTCCTGCAGTTGGATTGCGCAGGCTGTTTATTGACTATATAGCTTCAGGTTAAGATTATAATATGTATGTTCTCAGGGCTGAATTATACTCCATTTTGATATCTCTACTTGGTGGGACTTCTCTTGGATTTGTTCTCAAGAGATTTGCGGATAATCGGACTAGTCATTGTGGAAGTTATAAGTGATTTAATAATTGTTAGAAGATGTTTTGCAGAATACGGAGTCGGTCTCGCGACGATGAGAGATATTGTTCCCATTTATATCATTTAGGTAGCTCAAGATAAGATTACTATCTACAAAGAACAAGGTTATTGTCTGGAGAAACTTTTGTGCCTCTAGACAGTAATGTTAATGTCTATAGTGAATAAGGTTAAAGATAACAAGGCTGAACTAAAGCTTAAGGCAAAGGTAAATATGGAATCTCCTAATTTACAAGCGACTAAATCTTCCAATACTGAATGTAAGATTCATCATACAGCTTCAATCTATGTAATGGTGCTAAGTAACCCTAAAAATCACAATTAAAAGAATAACCTCAATGGAAGTAATTCATGAGATGAAATAAACATTTCTGGCCGATACCATGTACTAACAACAGAGAACTTCTTCTGGAGAGAATAGGTGCCGCGTAAGATGAATACATGATTTCCAGCTGCCTGGTATCCCTCGGTGCTCCCCACTAGCTATTTAATACTCTGAAGTTTAAGGTGCCATTGCAATTCGAGTCCATCCTCGGTCTGCGAGGACTGCCGGCTGCGAGCACGATGATATAACGATGGTACAGGGTAGTCCAGTATTTGAGAATACTCCCACTAGAACCATCTGGACAGATGCCAATTTTTTGTATAATAGAAGTTTTGCAAATGAAAACTTATCCCTCTCTATTACCTTATTTTTAGCGCACGAAGAAGTCTTTCCTCTACTTCATCCTAGGTAAAACAAAACAGAACCATTACCTAGTTCGCGAACAGAAAAAATACGCGCAAGCGAACTAAAAAGCACCACCCATTGTGCAACATAACTGTGTAGCTACTCGCAAATAGTTATCAGATTGCGATGGGTGTATTAAACTAATCGTCATAGTTGAGCAATCGGACGTGCCGGGGAACATGCTGGCACCAGTCTGGGATCACAGGCTTGGTGGCCGTGTTCCCTGCATTGTTTTGTAGTATTCAGCCTCGGGTGCAATCGTTTGACGAGGGCTGTTCAACCTCCCGAGCTTCCGCAATCACTTCTCAATTAACCATCCGGTTCATGCGTTTGAGGTCAATGAACTGACCGAGTCAAGTTACAACACAACATCATGCGCTCCGTTCACAATATGTAACAAATCAGCCCCTGGGGGCAACGTTAATTCTTGAAGCTAGCAGTCCAGCAGTATTTACCATGGCCATTGCTGTTTTCCTGATATACCATATCCTCCTCCCGCTAGATTCAGTAACAATCCCGTGCGATCCGAGGTTATGTATACCTGGACTAGTATGCAGAATGGACCAATCGAGCCGAGACTGGACTCCTGACTGAGCACCAGCTGCTCCCTCGCCAGAGTGTCGCCAATATACTCCTTTGGCCTCTAATATTACGAATAAATCTACTTAGTCTTGCACATCCTGCCATTATCAGCAACATACCACTGCTCACTGCCAACGGCGTTGCGAGCGTAGAAGAAGCCGCTGTTGTCCCACTTCTTCTTGATGGTGAGGAGTCGGTTATAATTGCTGCCAAAGAACTCGGACTGGAAATTAGGCTGACGGAAATCAGCTTCATTCATATAAGCGCCACTTCCAGGGGTAACCGCTTCAATCTCGGGCATAATCTTCTCAGTCATGAGATTCTGAAGATCGAGCATGTCGGACCAAGGGGCGGTAAAGCTCCAGGGTGTCGTCAGAGTGGCGTGGACGAGGGCCTTGTTCCAGGCGGGCAGCACAGATTGGGTCTTGGAATTGCTGAAGGGGGAAACGTTTGTGCCGACACCAATCCAGGTCACTCCCTGCTCGACGATGCTCTTGGCGGTCGCGGTGAGCGCAGCATTGTTGTTGACGATGGTGTCGCGGGGAATGAGACGGCCGCCGTACTGGGCGATGCCGACCTGAATGTTACCGACGGGCAGGGGGCCGAAGAATGTGTCGTAGTGATCGTAGTACGAGGCGGTCTGGGTGTAAGAGACTGTGTAGTTGATCCCCAAGTCATTCAGAGCGTTGACAAAAGGCACAAGCATGGTCTGAACCTCCTCCTTAGTCTTGTTGTAGGCGGTCAAGGGAGCAATTTGGAAGAAGGTGTTGGTGAAGTAGTAGACGACCATGGAACCAGCGTCGACCATTGCGGGGAGCTTGGAGTGGAAAGTCTCGATGCCCTCGTAGAAAGTTGCCTGGTCGTTGTTGGTAGTGAAGAAGGCCAGAGTTGCACCGCCCACCTTGGTTTCGGGGAAGGCCTTGACAGTCATGGATAGAACAACGCCCCAGTTACCGCCACCGCCACCGTTGAGAGCCCAGAAGAGATCAGAGTTCTTGGTAGCCGAGGCGGTGACGACGCCAGAGTCGGCGGTGACGACTTCGAACTCGAGCGTGTTCTGCGCTGAGAGACCGAAGCTCGAGCTGAGGGCAGAGTGGCCACCGCCTTGGGTATATCCGCCCGTGATGCCAACGGTAGGACACTCGCCTCCGACGACGACGTATCCGGCATTGTGACCCGCGCTGAGGATATCGAAACCCTGAACACCGGCGCCGAGAGTGACAGCCTTGCCCTTGTAGCCATTCGCGTTGTAGTCGACAAAGTTGATGTCCTTCAAGCCATGCGTCCAGACAGAGAGGGCACCGGCACCGGTGGAGCGGCCGTTGTAGTCATGGCCTGTGTTGCGGATGACAAAACGAATGTTGTTGTTGCGGGCAAAGTTGATGGCGTTGACGACGTCGGCCTTGGTGCGAGCCTCGACGGCGTAGCGGACATAGTTGCCGAGTCCGCAGGCGCGAGACTCAGGTTGAAAGGGGTCGCAGCTCTGGTTGGCGAACCAAGGGGCCATGACAGAGGAAGAAGAGTCCATACTTGAGTGTGGGTCAGCAAACTACTCTGATTTTTGAAGGGAGAATAGCGCAATGTTGGGTGGAAACACAATCATCAAGGCGTCTCAAGCAACTAGCTTTCCTGGCGAACTTACTGAATAGAAGGCGATTGCCATTGGCTTTGGAGATACGCGCACTCCTTAGCATCATACGTAGGGTCATGGCAAGGAGATCCCAGCGGCACCGTCTTGATCAGCCGGCCATTGACAGTCGTGTTGAGGCTCTTCCACACATTGTCCGAGGGCCAGCAGCTATCGCCGGGGAAGCATTTGCAGCTAGCCGTAGTGGCATATCCTTGGGCGGTTGCAATGGCACTCGCCGCCGTCAGAAAGCTTGCAATTCTCATTGTCGGAGCTGCGTTTAGAAACTAGGAAGCCCTAGTGACAGAATATGAGCATTTGGAAACAGAAAGGAGAAAAACGGGGTGACATTACCTGTTTGAGTTGTCTTGGCGGATATGGAGCAAGCAATTGGTGCCACGGCCCGGTTTCTTGGGACGACCTGCAGAGAACTGGTGCATGAATGGAACTTTCTTGGGGTCGAGATCTTGAGTTTTATCTTGCAGCACGATAATATGCAGGGGTCGTTTTAATGAGCTACGCGGCCGTGCTTCCCGGCCATAAGTGACAGGGGATGGGAACCTGGTACCCTGGCAGTGGAGATTAAGAACGGATGCGGCAGCGGACCCGGCCGTGCCTGTCCCGGTCCCATGGAACGGTCGATAGAATACTGACAGGCCCTCTCGGGAGAGCTCGAAAGGCTGGCTGGAAAGTGGAAAGGCTGGGAGGAATATTGCCATTCAAGATGACCGTTGTCATGTATTGCCACGGGCTTAGCAAGCAGCTTCTAGTTGATTCTACATGGCATAGCAATGGAATATGAGACCTGCTCTAAACCCTCAAAGGACTAATGAAAAGCATAATTCACCCAAATATCTGACAGAGCGGGAGTTGGACTTAACCCCACACTCATCCCTCACGTCCAATACAGCAATATTCCGTCATTCTTCAGCAATTACCCAATATTCCACGTGGGTGGACTAGCATGAGACAGGTTGACCGTCGCCGACCTCGGTTAATGATCCAGAACACGCCCTGAGTGGGGGCCATAGACACGAGACTCAGTGAGCTATCAATCAACAAGCATGATCTGACGCACAGTAGACCTGGGTGACAAAGAACTGGCAACCTTTGATTAAGTGAATTGATCATCATAGAGGAGCATAGCCTTATTTTAATGCCCTTTAAGTCCCACCGCATGTGGATGCTCGCGTAGGTTCAGGTTCGCCCACCGTATTTTGTATTTCCAGGGAGACTACCATCTGTCACATTTTTTTTGGCCCCTATTGGCATGTCCACACTCCCTGCATGGTGTAGCATCGTGTCTGAAGATGTTGCATTGTAGGACCTGCTAGTTTAAGCCTTCTACCTGCAGCGACCCTGGTTGATCGGTTGCGAAGGGACGCATCTTGTCTCAATCACGTTTTCTTCTTTGGTTTGGGCAAATTGGGCAGCCTGCTCTGGCTTATCTGTTCTCTTTCTTTCTGGTTTACCCTTTGTCTTTTTTACAATTTTTCTTTATTGCTTTTCCATACGTATGCGCACCTGGGTTCCGACTCTTCAATCGCAGCAATGGGCTGGACGTACAATGTGCCGGGCGATCCTCCCACCACCGGTCCTCAAATCACCTCTCTGGCCATCGTTTTCACGGCTGTTGCACTCTTGACCGTCAGCCTGCGAGTATACGTCAGGGGATTCATGCTCAAAGCGTTTGGAATAGGTACGGAGCATGGTGATCTCTTGTTCTTTTGACCCTTGACTGATTCCACGACTTTCAGATGACTCGATTATCATTGCGACATGGGTAGGAGATCTCTATCTCGGCTTGATGGCTCTGCTGACCATAGATTCAGTTTGCAAGCTGTGGCTTCGCAGTTGTGACGATTATGCGTGAGCGCCCTTATATCGAAAATCGCCAAAGACAACCGACTAAGACAGAGCACAGAAACAAAATGGGGTCTGGGACTGAAGCATCTTGACGATATGCCCACGGAGAACTACCATAATTTCATGCTGGTAAGCGACCTGTCCATCGACTCCTACGACCACGACTGACACAACCCGCAGCTGCAATTCATCGGCGCGCCATTGTAAGAGACCACCTCCTTTCCCCACGATGATACCGGGACGCCAACACGACAAACAGCTACATCTCTAGCATTCTTGGCTTCAAGCTGAGTCTGCTGTTATCCTATCTGCGCTTCATGAGTTCGGGCTTCTGGTACAGGGCGACTGTCGGCGTTGCCGTGGCATGCACCATGTTCCACATTTCGTTCTTGATTGCTCAGATCAACCTGTGCACGCCGGTAAGTCTTGGAAATGGACGACGTCAACATCGATCAAGCCTAACATGAGTTTCTCCAAAGGTCAGGAAACAATGGGACGCCACTGTCACAGGGGGATCATGCCTCGAAGGCGTGCCCATGTATACGACAATGGCCTCTCTGACCATCGTCTTCGACGTCCTGGTGTAAGTTAAGTATCTCAACATGGTCGCGTGGGTGCTAACAACCGCCTCAGCATGGCCCTTCCCTTCCCAACTCTGGTCAAGCTCCAAATGGCCAACCGCAAAAAGCTCGTCCTCCTCGGCCTCTTCGCAATGGGCACATTCGTCTCCGTCATCCAAATCGTCCGCATCCAGACCATCAAGTCCCTCTCCAACCTCCTCGACTCGAGCCTCCTCATCATGTGGTCTATGGTCGAAAACAACCTCGGCATCATCGTCGCATCAGTCCCGACGCTTGCACCGCTCGTGAGGTATTTTAGCGAGCAGTCCAGAGTAGGCAGCCGGAGCCGAACCAAGTCCCAAGGCGACTCGGCGTACGCACTGCAGTCGAACTGGCGCAAGAACCTCTCGCGTCGCGATGGAGTGCAGACCCTGGGCAGCGGGGTGGATCAGAGGGATGGAGATAGCGCCGAGGACATATTGAGTCCCACGAACGACAGGTTGGGCGCGATGAACGACGAGGGCATTCTGCGGAAGACGGAAATTGTCATTGAGCACACGGCGCATGGCCCCCTGCATGATGAGCAAGCCAGCCCTGGTCGGTTCCAGGCCAAATAATGGGGTGTCAAAAGGCTATACGAAGTTCTCCGTAGCGTTAGGAGAATAGGCGGGAAAATACCGCATTCTGCCCTGTTTCCGAGCAAATAATATTTCCTCTGCTAACTGTTATCGAATACCGAAAATATCATCCCAGCTTGATGCCGTGATCTATTCCTGCTTGCGCAATTTGGCGGAAGAATGCTCAGGCCATCATCTCTCCGCAGCCAGGATGACAGGGGCCACCTCCAGACGTGAGGAGAACAGGGAAACAAGGTACGGCACGGCAGTTACGGCCCGGAAGCTGATCTTCCTAGCGGGCTTGGAAGCGAGTGGAAGTACAGGCCAGCCTGAAATTTACGCTGCAGCTACGGGGACCCTTTGCTAGAGCTGGTTCTGTTTCGGCCGAGTGTCTACTCTAGGTATGGGCCCACCGGCAGTGTTCGCACTTGCAGGGCTTCCATGTTCGGATCGGATGTCTCGGCTTGGCGTCTACTGGTGCCGCTTGGAAGGCTCGGCAAGAGATTTACAGTGGTTACAGAGATGGGCGGACGTACGACAGTATCCCTACCGTGGCATCTGTAACCTTGGTGGTGATCATGGTGAGGCACCCGGACGCACGAAGAGCAACGTACCGTACTCTCGGGTAAGTCAATGCTTCTCCTTGTTAGCCCTGCCTATATCATACATGTCTACCTATGCAGGGGTCGAGCTTCTCCCCCTCCTTGTCACCGCCTCGTGGGCTCCCTTCCCTCGGTAACCCTTCAATCTCCGGGGAGCGTCTACATGCTTGTCCGCGTTCTCTCTTTCCTCCCTAACGTAGCACTCTCAAGAAAGCGGATTGCCTTGAGTTGACGTCATTTGATCCGTACACCGACGTCCCAGAGCTTGCCGAGTTACGGGGTATACGAGTGGGGAAATGGGGAGCCGGGAAATCCGGAAGGTCCCGAGATGGAACACTGGGCGTATGATGAGACTCTCGCTAGTCGGCCTCCTACATTGATCATCACCCATTGGTGCCTTCACACTCACCTGCATGAAGTCGGGCATGGAGGGTGACTGGCAGAGAACTGACTGCCGTGGTACTAATGAATGCAGACAGGGATCTAGTGATAGGATGTTAATATAGGGTGATTATTCTCTGGGTCGGGGAAGCTTAATACATAAAGTATTAGAGAATTTTCCCAGGCTATTTGATTACCTTGTGTCATGCAAAAAGTAATTCAACTGACTAACTGATTGGTTTACTAACTGAATCGCAGAGTAATTCCGTCCGGCCGTCAATTCTTGTTTCCTTACATCACCACCTGTCCTTTTTGCAACTGGGATATCTCCGCTGGAATACCAAATGCTGCGCGAGGGGCAGCAGTGGTGTTTTCTTTGGGATTCAAAACACCAAATAACAACTTCGTCTGTCGGAGCTCCTTGGCTACCGTATCGCCTCCAAGTGATGATCTTTTGGTAATCTCGTCTAAAGTTTCGTTTCGTGTCATTGCCATGATATCGCAGAAGCTCGTGTTGTGGCTGACACCATTCTGGTATACAGCATAAAGGCCAACGAGAACACCGAAGCTTGCGCCCAGAATTGCGAGGCCGTTCGAGAGCCAGAGATTCCGCATCCGGTACTCCCATATATTAATAGACAAGGTCTGCGTTGCATTTTTGTTTGCCCATCTGTCTTCGCCAGTCCTAAGCGTCCACTCGTTAGAAACAATATGCACCTATCAAATTTCATCACCTACCAGAACCTGCGTGAACTGAAAAGACTTAGAGTCTGGTTTCTTGACAACTCCTCGATCAAGCGTCCAATTGGCAAGCCTCGGGCCAGTCCACGATCCTCTGCCGGGAATTGTGGTAGATCCTCGCCCCACCCGTCATCGTTGGACGGGTTGATGGTTCCAATGAGTAATGTTTGCATAATACTAGTACCAATAGTCTTGAGATCCGTAGAAGTGACAGTGTACTGATGACTACTACCGCCAGACCTCTGCTTGCTAATGGCGCCGTTCAGTAGATTCGCTACGGCTTGAGCTGCCGCGACATAAGCAGTATCGCTGCTCGTGATATTGGCCGTGCCTCTCCATTTGAAGCTGTACGGATGCGTAACGGAAATAACTTGGGTGGTACCTGAAGAGCCGAATCGAATGTTGTACGTGGTATTCTGAAGAGAGCATACCAGTCTTTCGTCATGAAGGCTCACCAGCAACGGGTAAGAGCCAGGATGGCCTTCAGGTTGAGGTTGATATGGGCATGCTCCACGACCTTGCAAACATTCTTCGTTCATCTTGGAGAAATTCCATGCCGATAAGTTGTGGTAGTCTGTGTCTGTAGAAGTGAGCTCCAAGTAACTGGAATCAGCCGTGAGAGACAGATAGATCGCTTGGCCACCAGCGCTGCCGCCTACGACGCTGACCGCCTCCCCTTGAATAATGTCAAGGAATTTTAACATGAAGCCAGTCGCATTATCGCATTTCAGAGACGGACCGTCGAACTGCAAGGTATAAGATGTATTCAATGCCTCCAGAGCCATGGGCAAGATCTCGCCACCGGAAGCTGTCGCGGAAGTGACTCTCATTAAGAGGGGAGAAACATTGCCAGCCATTCCTTCAAACCTGTACGACGAGCTGTTGTCGAATTCCAGTGTCGGGACGGTAATTGAGATTTGAGAATCCCGATTTCTCAAGGTGACAAGAAGGGAAGAAGGAGTGATGAGGGCAGAGAGAGGAATAGTCCTGCGTTGTGTAAGTGGACAATACAAGCGCATTCGCACCAGGCGCTCACCATGTCAAAATCGCAAGAAAAGTGGCCATCTTGGCTCTCCAAAGAAATTCCCAATTCATGAAAGATAGCATATCCGTCGTGGCATCATATATAGCATTGATGCCGGACACGGAGTACGGTCGCCGCCGGAAATTGGTCCAAATGCGCTGCTTGTATGCCACGGCCACGGCACACGCGAGACAAGTTTTGGTGGTAAACGCAAGGGCGAGGCCATACCTCGAGATCCACTCCTGTGTTGTCCAAGGCCGGGCACCACCCTCTCGAGTTCTCACAGGGGTTCCGTCGAGAGACAAATAGTATAGGTGATGGCCAATAGCTGAAATCGTCCCAAACACTAGTAAACCGACCATTTTGGCAGGTGTTTGCCATCCTACTCGCCATTGGGCGGTCTTGACCTCTTCTTCTAGTGAACTCGGGGGATGCGTATCTGTCGATTGAGTTGCATCAACCCTGGTGTAAGTGACAGGCTTGCGCCTGACTGACGGGTCATGCGAAAGACCTTGTGCGAGATGGGACATGGTAGAACCGGAGTGCAGTGAATCAAAGCAGCCTAGTGCTAAAATCAGAAGTCTGGTCGGCCTTGACTTTTGTTTCCGTATCAGTGTTGGGGCTAATGAGCTTTGAGTATTGGGGTGGCCAGAGTAAGAAAACAAGCAGATCGTAGCATTCAGAGGGCAACAGAAAATGCAGACATGGCCACGCCTTTATCGAGGCTCGGCGGCCCAAAACACAAGAAGACAGCAACCAACAAATCGCTCAACATCCGATTGGGAATGCCAACCAACAGCACTCGCCCCAGTTCCTCCTCAATCCTTTGGACCGGGGTAAGGCGCGGATGCACCAAAGTGGGATTGAAGCCCAGAATGTACAGGCATTTACTCGATCACGGGCTCGCCCCTGTCTTCGCCCAACATCAAAGTACTGCGGATCCTCCTGTGTACAAAAGTTTGAGTGAGATCAACACCAACAGTACGGTACCTGCGAGCTGCAATTGTGGATACAGTACATACGCCTTACTGCAAATCAAAGGGCTATTAAAAGCTGGGATTTGATGTTGAGGCTAGGTCGTTTGAGGCCTATACACAGCCCCGCACAAGTGGCGGAACAACCCTAAAAATACCTAAATTCAGTCCCATCAACGGGTCAAACTATCCACTCGCTTGGCAGACCTAGAAGCTAGGAGTTGCCAAAAACGGGAACAAATTGTTATTCAATAATACCCAGTGCCAATGGAACTGCATTTACAGTTCTTACAACAAGTGCTTTTGTATTCACGACATAGGCGGGAGCAGTCATACAAAACTTGAACGTAGATGAATATAAGCTGGCCTGCTTATGGCGTCGCCGGAGGTTCCAAATCGTCCTTATATAGCATCCTGGGACATAGTCATCTCGAATAGACTAGATTGGTTTCTACAGCTACTTCGAACAGCTGCTTCTACCACTAGAAGCCACTTACATTCCCATTTGGTGATTGCCTCCAAGCCGTCATAGCTACCTTGTACCAAGATATTACTCGGCGAGGCTCGGACAGATACGCCACAATGTCTTGGGTCAGGCAGGATAACGAATTCAAATCTATTGGCTGCATGTCAGAGTCTAGACCAAATTTAGAATATTGCACATAATCTCTTCATTGAGTGCGGGGAAACTCTCACGTTTCATCCTGTGGAAAATATTGCAAAATCACCAAGATCAATCGCTCACCACTCATTGTGCTCATATCGACGCCGGATCTACGCGATCCGACGGCTGCAACCCATTCCAGCCTCCTTAGCGCATACCACTCTTGCGATATCATGGATCTGAATCACGATGTCTCGGGTCTGATGATGGAGGTACCTGTCGGCATCGAAAGGGACACCTTCGGCAGAGAACATCATCCGCGACGCCCACTTCTGCTTGATACCGTCATGGAAGGCCGTGAGAAGGCGTCTCGCAGTAGATTGCTTCAGCTGCCAGCCGAGATCCTGGCCGAGGTGGTCGACTTGTTGACCGACGACAAGGCGGCTCTGGCTTCCCTCGCCCTGGTCAATAGTGATTGCCGACAGCTCGCCCGTTCCGTGCAGTTTGCCGAGATCCGCTTCGACTACAGTCGTCACAAACAGGAACTCATGTTGGAACTTGCACGTGAAGCCTTCAACTCCCCTCGGAAGCTCAGCATCGGCGCCTGCGTGCGCAGATTCACCTTCGCGTCCGATCCCAGGCACGTTATAGACGTCCACCTTGATCTGTACGATTCAATCTGGGGTGACGCTTATAAGTACTCCGAAAAGCAACGCGAGGGTTTCCGAACAGAGACCAACGACTTTTATCGGAAACTGAGAGCGCTTACGGTGCTGCCTATTACCGTCACAATGCCCAACCTTGAAGTTTTCGTCTGGGAGGACCGCTTCTCGCTCGATGAATCCTTCTTTCTTGGCGTGTCCCGCTCTTCAATCCGGCACCTCAAGATGAGCAATGTTTTTATCGATGATCCCTGGCTGATGGAAGAGCCTCTGACTCCCAAGACATGGCCACTTTGCTCTCTGGATGTCGACATTTCTTTGGCATTTCGGTTTCAGGACGTGATTGACTCATACGGAGATGGCCAGGATGTGCAGACAACAGAGCCGATAAACCCGATATCTCCTTTCTTCAGAACACTCTTCCAGCTTTGTGCTCCTACGCTTGAATCACTGAAGTGGACAACGGTGGATATCTTGTCCAAGGACAACATTTCATTCGGCCGCAATCCCATCTCGTTCCCGCGTTTACGGCGTCTGCAGCTTGGCTCTCTATATCTTGATGCTACCGGGTTCTCACTATTCATGTCAGCTCCGCTCCGGCATCTGGAGTTGTCTCCCATGGTTTTGACCCAGCACGGGGGCTCTCTGCCTGCTGATGGGACAGTGCGAGATCTTAGCAGCTTCGTCGTCGACGATTTACCCGTTGAGAAGAAGCCGTGCATGCGTATCGCCAAGTTTATCATACAATCTGACCGCCTCCAAAAGCTTTTCGTGCATGAGTGCCATGATGCACGCAACGAGAACGCTCACCTTGACCGCTGCATTATCCCTCTGCTTACACACGACAAATTCAGCCATCTTCGTTCTCTGTCTTTGGCATGGGGCGGAGGCAGCATACCAGCACATGAACTCGAAATTCCGGTAACAGCGCTTGCAGCAGTTGGGGCGCTTGTGTCGCTCGAACAACTCAGCCTCGGTTGCGGCTTGAGGAACGGATGGCGAACTCAATGGCTTGTTAACCACCCGCAACTGCGCGCCTCCCTTCAAGGTCTACATAGACTTAAGAAGCTGGCACTGGTTCGCGACACCTATCCAATCCCTTCGCCTGACTTTAACGCTGTGGATTATTATGCGCGACGAATGGTCATGGCCGAAGAGCGCGCTGAGGCGGAAGGTCGGATGGAATTGGAACCGGATGAGCCTGGTACTCGCAACAACCCAGAAGTCGAGATATGGGAGAGAGCACATCGAAACCGTATGCTCGACCACGCTGAGGCATATGCTGCAGTCCTGCCAGCGTTGGAATGGATCCTTTGCGGGCAGCGGCCAATGGCACTCGAGCGAGATGATGAAGGCCGGACCGACCGCTTGAAGGCAGTCCCGTTGACTAAATGCAGGGATGATTGCGATAGGTTTTTGAAAGAAACCTTCGGACTGGCGACTAAAGACGACTAAAATTCGGATATTGATGGCATGCTTCAAGAAAGGACACACTAGGTAATCGTGAGTCGAACTCTCCTCCTTCAGTGATGCATACACATCCTTTTGACAATTGTTGGATATATCGGGTAACATTCCATCTAGAGATGGCGGGTCAATCGGGTGTGGATCCTGCTTCTGGTCAGTGTTGTGATTCAGAATACCTCCTGCCCCTTCTTTTCTCTCCTACCATCGGGGAGCAGGAATTATATCACGGCTCGCCCTCGTTGTGGTTTAAGGGAGTTTTTATCAGGAAAATCATGGCGCAGAATGAGTACAGAGACAGAGAAGGGAAGGGAAGGGAAGGGATAAACAAATACATTGAGGACATACACGGTCATTTGTAGGCTAGAATCAATTGACAGATTCGCCTGGGAAGGTCGTCGATGAGAACTCAACATCGACAATTGGTTCAAGTTTTGAGCACCACAGCCTCATTCACTATTGAAGGAGTAATGGAGCCTTGAGACACTGGCCTGTGGTGATCGGGCTTGGAGAACTTTTAGTCGGGCTGCAAGGAGTAACCAGCTCCTTGGTTATGGGACTAGAGCTGCAACTTCAACAGGGCTCCTGTGGCATAGAGGATGCCATCTAGAACCTCGAATATATTATCGGGTCCCGTAACGAGATACCATTAGTTGAACTCTCTATCTTAAGTTATATGTCTATGTCATTGTAATGCCCTTGGGGCAGAGTTACTAGCTGCACAAGTCACGTTTTCGAAGGTTATTCATTCAATCCTAGCAAGGGTCCCCTCTTGATAACTAGCCTGTGACTAGGACTGAGTCCCCCAGACACGTCAGCTAGCTTAAACGATGACCTGCATCCACTATATAAAATAAGGTAGGCTAGGTCATCCTACTGAACATGATCAATCTAGCATTGTCCCGTGGCGCTCTTGTAACTGTTGAATGATCGGCGTTGGCTACCACACGGTGAGAGATCCTCGAAGACCCATAGATAGACAGATTGGAAGCTGTAGAATATTCTGCCGAGTCTCGAGGAGGTCCGGAAAGAGCGAGCCGAAAGGAGAACTGCTGAGATACAGGGAATATTGAGACGGAGCAGCAGCCTCACTCGTTCTGGTTACTACAGATTCTTGAAGGAAACTCGCAAATGGAAAAAGAGGTTCGTACGGGTAGCCTGGGCCGGGCTCGGTCAGGGCTATACGGTTCATTGAGGTCTTTAAGAATGCAATACAACGCTACTTTATAAACATATTTAGGTTCAGTTGGATAATAAAAGGAAATAAATGAAAAATGTACTTTTAATACATTGGCCAATACTCAGTCCAGAAATAAGTAGTCAAGTATTATGTATATTGAAAATTATTACTTGCAGCTTATAAAGGTATTGGGAAAGGTAACCATTTGGACTAGAAACCTTAGTCTGTCTGAGTGTATTGTTGATATTTGAATGGACTGGGTAAATAGTCTGTACTGTTGATACTATTGTTGGTGTCCTTTTTTACTGTTGAGCCTTAGTCCGCCCTCTGGGTATATATACTAGGGCACCTTAACTTCTTGATATTGAAAATTATTCACTGTCTGAATCACGTGGACGAGAGCGGACGTGTTCTGCAATACGATCCCTCTGACTCTAAATCACAAATTATATCAGTAATTCAATCTTTCTAGTGAAATGACGTATTGGAGAATATTGGAGCTATACCATAGTTAATCGCTCAGGGATACTCAGCTGGTATTGTCCGCCGCCCGTCTGTGTTTGGTCAGCCATCCACTCTTAAAGGGCCGTTTATAAATAACCAGTACTTACATTGACTTTGACATCCATTATATGGTTCGGGAAAATACTTTGCAGATAGTCCAAGAGGTCACTTTGCCTCAACCCATAATCGGGATAGCTGTCCATAACCATGGGTCCTTTGTCCGTCCTGGCCTCCGTAGAGGCATTTGGAACACTAGGAACAGAATCAAGATCGGAATCAAGTTTTTCATGGGAAACCTTGGTAGTCGGAATGGATGCTGTGCCTTTTTCCTCTGCTTGCTGGTCCGCTGGAATCCCCGAAGTTCGATACTCTTCCTTGGCTGTTTCGATGATTGTATTAAGCACCTTTCGAAGGTCAGAGGCCGGATATCGATGATCCATTTCGCATAACATGTGATTTTGAACCATGTCAATGACTTTGGGGGTGATGGTGTCAAAGCGAGCCACGGAGCTGGTAATAATTTGGTGCATTTTGGATACAGCCGTTAGCGGGCCAACGCCATTGTGGAAGCAACCATCATGTCCGCTGCCGTCGAAAGCTACCAGTGTTTTCAGCTCCTCGACCCTCATTCCCCAGTATTCGTTGTGGCCTTCTTTGCCAAGGGCCACCCATGCAGCGGTCGCACTGATGACGCAGCCTAATGACCATATGTCGGCTGCTGTTGTGATATGGCCAGAAACATGCTGTGATGGTCTGATATGATGACTGCGCTCAGGAGCACCTTGAATATGGTCAGTAGCAAACTTTCCACACAGGGCGGACTATATTACCATATGTTTGGCCGCCATGAAAGTCTGTCCCTGAACCATGCCGCTGGGTGAAGTCTAAACCGCCCAGAATCTTAGTGTGCGTGAATCCAAAATCCGCGATCTTAAGTTCGAAAGAGTAATCCCTGGAATGACTTCTGGATACGAGGAGATTCTCTGGTTTGATATCTTGATGAATTCTGTATTGAGATGTTAGTTGCTCTAACTTCTAGCGAATTTACCACTCTCGTGGCTGCTTACCGCTGATAGTCCACCCCCCCTGGGACTCGGAAAGATGGCTCATCCGCAACTGAGTGTTCTTCTCCGGGTGACTCAACATGGGTACTTGAATTGTCACTGTTGAGGACACGAGAACGGTGAAGCAAGGAAAGGCCCTCCAGTAATCCAATGAAAGCGGTCCAGAGGTCGCAGACCTGTGAGAATGTTTGAGGGGGTCGACTAGACGCTAACAAGCTGCCAAAGTCGCCGCCGGAAACATACTCCAATAGAAGATTATAAGTGATTTTCCCGTCACTTCGAAGTTGTCGGTAGGAGCCGTAGCATCGGAGGATGTTTCCAGAGTTCACACCTCTGAGAGATTCGAATGCTTTTCTCTCTCGGTCGTATTGGTCCTTCAATACCTCGTTGTAAGTTTTTCGTACCAAAGTTGTCTACAATCAAGTTAACTAAGAAAAGTGGCAATGCTAGGCATTACGACCCACCTGACCAAGAGTTGTGCATTTTAAATCTGTCTCAATCTTGGTTACCGTGATGAGATCATCTTGAAGTATGGCCTGTTCATGATAGATGGGCAAGATGCATGCGGGATCGATAACCTGGTTGACGAGAGTCGCTGTGTCAAAGATAATAGGGAAGAAGGCCCATTGAATTTCGTAGAAGCTTTGGAAGAGCGAACGAGCTGTACTCAGGTCTCGCCAGGTCGATGGGAAACGATGGAGAGGGAAATCCTCATCCCGAAGTAAAATGTTACTGTTAGTTTTGTCAAGAAAGGTATGGAGGAGATATCCGCGATCAACAAAGATTAGGAGGGTGAAAGCCGACAAGCAGGTACTCTTTATCAGGGACGGGTCGAGTTTGTGTTCAAGAAGGTATACCTCAAGGACAGAGCGTAGTTTTTCATCGTCCCAAAACTCCTCAGCCGCCGACTTTGGAAGATAGACTGGCTCTTCTCCGTCTGTCCCATTTCGGCCTCGAAAACGCTTCATCGCATCCCGTAGTTGAGTAACGACGTTTTTCACATTTTGCGGAGTAGTGATTGGAGGTGCTGGCTTGTGTGAATCCGACATGAGATCTGTCCACGCTTGAGAACCGGCGGTGCTTTCTCTCGGAGCCACCGCGACGGCAGAGTCGGTTTCGTCATCTATGTAATTCTTCGGAAGAGCAAATAGGGCGATTCGTTCCAGATGATTGGCGATGTGATTAGTGAGGCCTTTCGGGAAGGGACAGTTTTGAAGGCAGATTGGGCAGAATTCGCGGTCGTCAGCGTGTGCAGAAGCAAGAATTGGCAAGAGCTCTTCAATTTCGGATTCAGCGAGCTCCTCGTGTTCGTGGTGAAAGTGAGTCCTGAGTCCGTTCGGAGATGGAAAGATGGCCTGAGAATGTTTGTTGCAGCGCCAAGTCTTACGATGCGCAGAATTCTCATGCTCCTGCCATTGGCGCCGCGATTTGTAGAGTTCATTGGGCTTGAGGCATTCTTCATAGGTGCAGACGTAAGGTTGAAGGTCGTGTAGAACATGTGCTTTCCAAACCTTGCCATGGCCTTGTTTTGCTGGACACAGGACCAAACAATAAGGGCAAGTGAAGCTTTCGCCTTTGAGGGCGTCTGCTGGCGGCCCTGGAAGCTCTATGCCCTTGCCATCGGCGTCCAGAGCGGTAGAGGCGAAGGATACTACTGTTGCCCGCTCAGTCTCGTCATCACGACTTGCATCGTAGGGTGTCGCGTCAGTCTTTGACAGATATGTGCGTCCGTCGTCTCTGGTAGGCCCTGAGATAGGCTGCGCTTTCTTGTCTTCTTCGGCCACATCTTGAGATCTTGATTGACTTGCTACCTGGAGGCCAGCCTCACAAGCGCGTTGTGGACCACGGGGATCGTTTGGCTCCAGGTAACTCTGTGCCAACTTCTGAGCATGCCTTTCCCAGTACCTGAAGTACTTTCGACGCAAAGTGTTGGCCGTAGCTAACCGTTGGGAAAGGTCATTCTGAGCGGTAATTGGATCCTCGGCAGCTTGTCGTAAGTCTCTGAAAACCTCTTCAACATGCATCTTGTCGAGGACGGCAAATTGTTCAAACAACTCGATGCCTGTTTCTGGGTCTTCGGCTTTCAGAAAAACCGCCCTGTTTGATGTTGGTCGTAGCTTTGGGTCTCGGATTTTGTGCCCTAGCCTGTAGAGATCACTCAACACATATTTGATGCTCGATAGTCTCATCACTAGTTCCTGCGGTAAGGCGACATCATCTTCATTTTCGGACTCATCTGTTGTGCAGGTCTCAGAATCTGAAGATGCCGATTGGTCCTCGAATGGTAATCTTCGTCCGGTGACCACTGCATTGCCTTGATTCAGTTAGGAATGGCCTGGAAGATAATCGGAGGGGGTTTTAGAGAGGTCGTACTTTCACACAGGGAAGTATCCAACTGCTGCAAAAGTTCAGTGACATTCGCTTGCATGATCCTCGACTCGCGCAGACGGTAATCCAGAGATGCAAACCCCGGTTGGAGAGCGCCCAAGTTTCCGCACCATACTCGAAATTTGCCGAACTGGCTTTCTATGCTCGTTGGGGGGAGTTGGAGCAGATGATCCGCATCTGCTTGGCCGAGGTTCTCGAGAAGGTCCTCGAAGTCTTGACAGCAACTTTTGCTGAGTGTGAAGATGTCGCCCATGCTTGACGTCTTGAAGACCCAGGGCGTAGTAAGTTGAGAATGAGTTGCGGAAGAGCTTATCGACAAACGTGTTCAGTTTTTAATAGTCATCATCGACAATTGCAAATACAGCCAGAAAATCCCTCATGAAGGTCAGCTGAAGTCGTGAGCCGCTTCCAAAACATGCAAGATGGACCAATGATACCGCAGACAGGTGACTGATGCATGGGCGCCCAAATTTGGATATTTGGGCACCTGATGGCACATCCACTGTTACTCTGAAGTCAGGATACCATCACGAAATCACTAAAATAAATTTTAGAAAAAATTAGCTAAATATGTAAAGTTATGAGGGAGTTTAATATGATGTGATATTTTATTATGTGTATTATTTGTATGAGTTTACCAAGCGCTTTCCCCTTGAATTCGCAGGCTGCGCCCCCGCAGACAGCGGCCAGGTTGCATGCAGACTCGGCTAACTGACCAACATGATTGGTAGCCTTATTATCGTCCTTTGTCGGAAAGGAGGCGTTGGAAATGTCAGAGCGGGGTAGGTTGAAGCTGATTTTCCAACTTCAATTCCACGAGAAGGCCCATGTTGTTGCTTTGTTGGTGAAATGTCTGGATTCGAAGTCGCCGGCGTTGTGCTTGGGTCATTGCCTCTCCTCATCAGTGCCATGGAGCACTATAGAGACGGCCTGGACCCTGTCAAAGCCTTCCTCAGGTACCAGGATGAACTCAACAGAGCGCTTCGTGATCTTCGCGCTCTGCACACCTCCTTGGCAATGACGCTTGAGTACATACTGAAGCAGGTAGCTGGCCAAGACGAGGTGATCGACATGATGTCCGACCATCGCCAACAAATGTGGAAGTCCAACGAGCTTGAAACTAGCCTGAGGTCTCTTCTCAAAGACGCCTATGACGACTATGTTGATATCTTGGGGGATGTAGAGTCTGATCTCAAAGTTCTGGCAAGCAAACTCCAAGGCCTTGACCGTTGGTCGGTAAGTTGGCTCTTTTCGGCTAACGTTTGGAAGAGTAACTGATTAGTTCGACGTAGGGGACCTCTGATGAACTTAAAGCTATAATTGTCGCCAACCCTCCATCATCCTCCAACACGATGACGCGTCCAAGTTACGAGTTCAAAGCTCGTCTCAAGTTTGCCATGCGGAAAAAGAAAATCGTCGAGCTTATCGAAAGGATCAAAAAGCGTACCACTGAGCTTGAGGCCCTGATTTCCAAAGTCGAGCGACGTGGGGAGTGGACCACCTGGAAATCGAGCCTGAGCTCGTCTCTGGAGGAGATCTCAGAGCGAGCAACGACCCTTCACCAAGTTCTCTCTCGTGCCTGGTCATGCTCGTCAAAGGGACCGCATCACGTTCGCCTGTTCCTCGAACATCGCATAGTGCGAAAGCAGCTAAGGGCCAAACTGGGAAATAAGAATTCAACAGACTTCGGAATATCACTACGAACTCCGTCTGCACCGAGCAGCTGGCACGGGGCAGAGGTCAAAGTTGAAGAAAAGGAGATTTATGGAAGCAAGTAAGTTCAAATGACGAGCGGGGCTAGTCCCTACAAGATAGTTCCAAAGCGACAGAGACGTTGACGCCTTATAGGATGAGATTCGAGGAAGACAAGCACGCCGACACCAACGAGATTGCCAAGCTAGAGGAAATGTCCAACCTCTGTTCTATCTTTTGCCGTGAGGCTCACACGATGGACTGCTATGGGTTAGCTGTAGATTCTAAAGGCAAGTTACGGGGGGTTTACAAAGCCGTCAACCCACGTTCTCACGTTTCCAATCGGCTTTTTAACTTAGATGACCTGCTTTTCCCCTCCCCAAAAGCTATAATGCACTCAACGCTCAAAGGCAGGAGCAGATATCTCCTTGCAATCACACTTGCCTCGTCCTTTCTGCAGCTCCATGGGACGCCGTGGTTATCATTGCACTGGGACCGAGATGAGATTTTCTTCTTGGAACATGGAAACGAGAAGGATCTCCGCGTTGATGTGGAACATCCATTTGTAGTGCAGTCTTATCTTCGTCACCATGGAGGCCCGAACTGTGAGACTCCATCCTGCGATGCATCGATGGATGACAGTTCCAACCTTCTTACTCTCGCCAAGTTACTTCTGGAGATCAAGCTGAGCTACAAGCCCGAATTTGTACAGAAAGGTGATACAGGAGATGGTCGGCGGATGAGCGGGGCCGTGGAGGCAATCGGTGCATTGACACTTTCTCGCTGGATGAAACAAGAGAAGGATGAGCTCTCGTACGCATGGACGGATGCAGTGCAGCATTGTATAGACTGCTCAGTGAACGCTGACACCGATCTCCAGGATCTGAATCAGCGGAAAAACATCCTGAACCAGGTCGTCATGCCGTTACTGGAGGAGATGTATTCATGCTACCATCAAAGGGGACCTTTGAGAGACTTGTAATCGGCTAGAAAGTATATAGAATGTGACAAAGTGGCTAGCCTGACGGGTGGAAAAGAATTGGGACGCACCAGAACCCCCTTACGGCGGTCATATCTGCAGTGTCGAGTAGCAAAAGCTATCTAGATAAATACATAGAGCATTAAACAATTTGCGATAGGAATAATCCCGATCCGCTTCGTGCCTGAGACTCTATCCCGCGGCTTTGCTACAATGTGTACGGCTACTTGATCAATCATAAGTTTTCTTCCGTAGCAAGCTCATATAGATTACCAATTCGGTCAGAAGTCTTAACCCTACTTACTGGAAAGCTCATCAAGGTTCAAATTATCATGTCGGTCTAAATGTGAATATTATTTACATTTTATTACTCTGTATTTGAGTCGGGTTCGCCGCGTTCTATATACGTTGCAGGTTTTCAAAGTTGCAAGCTGATTCAGTACTTTGCTTTGCGACCGGTATACTTGAGCGAGAAAATTCCTCGCTCAATCGAGTTGAGTAGAATGTAGCCGGACTTGAAGTAAGGGAAGACACTCCAAGAACCGAGAAATGCGACCTCGCCATTAATATCGTCGTCCTCTGGGTGGCAGTCGAAGAACCCAACTTCCTTGAAGTTTCCGCCCGTAGGGTCAGCCTCAACACCAGAAACATCAACAATGCGGAGACCCGAGCCATAGTTAGACTGATACGTGAGACCACGGACCACCTTTACCGAACCATGTTAGCAACTTGTGGATACTGGGTAGGATCTTGGGTAACTCACATATTGATTGTGGTCAATCGACCTTGCAGGGGATTGGTAGAAACCAGTGTTGACGGGCAGCTCCAAGTTGGTGACGTTGAAAATGTAGGTAGTTGTGTGGCCATTCGCACCTGGACCAACGGCGTTCCTCTCATCGAGTTCATCGTCCAGGAGAAGAAAAGACATGGTGTCATCAATCAGCCAGCCCTGGTGAGTGTATTCGTTGCCGACGTAGGGGGTGGAAGAAATGACAGTGGGGTTGGACTTGTCGGTCAGGTCCATGATGGTGAGAGTATCCTCGTTGTAGTTGAAGCAAATCTCCTGGCCACGGTACTTCTCTGTGGGACCCTTGTAAATGACACATTGGGCGTCGTGTACATATCCATCCTGAGGAACGCAACCAGGCGAGACGGGATTGGCAGGGTCAGAAACATCGACCATGAACATGCCACCAGCACATGTAGTATTACGGGCATTGGCACCGCTTCGGCCACCAACAGCGTAAATCATGTTGGTGGCCTCATGAGCGACGATGTTGTGAGACGCACCAAAGCCGGTGTAAAGGGCCGTCAGATCCTTCTCCTTGTCGAAAGTCTTCGGCTTCCACCTGGGGTTTCTGCCCGTTTTGACCTGCAGTAGCTTCTTCAGGTCGAAGATTTGAAGACCGTGGCCCTCGGACTCGGCCCCAATGTAGGCGTGGTGACCGATGACTTTGATGTCTCTCCAGCTAGTCGCGGTGGTTTGGGTGTCGAGGCGACCAAGATACTCGAGGCGGCCAGTCTTGGTGATTTCAACAAAGCCAACACCATCAGTCTGACCGACAATGCCAAACTCCCGCCCATTATCTGAAGTCCAACCCCAGACATCATTGCCGCGAAGAGTGGCGGAGCCAAGATCCTCATGACTCAAGAAGCCATGGAGGTTGACATTCTTGCACTGGTAAGGCCCGGACTTTCCCTTGACGCAAGGCTGGAAGGACGTGATCTTTTTGTACAATTTGGAGCCTCCAAAAAGACCCTCGGCCTCGGCCTTGTCCCATTGCTGAGTCTTGATCTCCATCATTTCCTCCATCTTTGCGCTGGCTGACTCGGCGCCGGCAGACACAACCGTGCCACCCATGGCAGCAGCCGTGATGAGGGAGCGAAACTTCATAGCTACCGCGTGTCTTGTGAGATGTGTAGTGAAAGAGAGCAGCAGCAGCTGGATGATAGACCCGGGAAGGAAAAGAAGAGCCGAATCAGTTCTCTATGATTGAGACCTTGAGATCTGTATCCAAGCCACGTTGAATCCATTTGCTGCAGTACACAGTACAATTTTTATACCGTCTCATAGCCGGGCCACAAAGTCGTGCTTTGTACGTTCTTTGACGAAGCACCAGTAAGATTGATAGAAAATAAACCTCAATAAGCCAAGGCCGAGAAGCCCGTAAAAACAGTTGCTCACCTTCCTAAAGAGGCAGGTCAGTATATACAGTGGAGAAACGAATGATGACGCCAAGTAGCGGAGTAAGTAGGGTTATGACATATAAGGTCCTAGTTTCCATACGTCCTTGCTAGCATACACGGGAAAATATCCAGAACTGGCACCAGTGGAGGCTTGGTGTTGCATCGAGGCATTGGCATAACCTCTCCACATAATAAGATGCCGATCTATTCCTAACTCATGGAGTATTTATTTCGACCTACCTTCTACGGCAAAAGTGCCAGGGCATAGCTTGCATCCTAGCGCCTCGGCATTATGACAAAGCTTAATCCATCCCTGCAAAGATAAGCTTAACCAGAATACGAAGGCATTGTGAAAAGGGAAAACGTACACTAAGAACATAGGAGTGATGTCTATCTTTTAATTCTAGAACCCGCAGTACGCCACACGGCATATGATTAGCAGCGAAACACAACCCGCCGTACATATCGATAATTTATAGACTGAATGAAACGGAATGCATAGCCTTCCTTTAGTCAACGCATAGCCTCTTTTGGGTGACGCGGAATCACCGTGACATTCAAGGCAGGTAAGAAAACAATTCCAAGGCTACCTACCGACTACCCAATTAAGTATTCTGCGGTCTTTCGAGGACAGGAATTCACGAGCGAAGACTGGATATGACCTACCCTAGACTACTCTCGAGAATTGCAATTGAGCTGATTTAAATGCCGGCTGAGCTACTTTGCATGAGATGCTTGCAGTCTGTGGTCGCTAGTTTCATAATGTAGGCGACTGTTTCTTACAAGGGGGTTCATTCAGGTATGTGAGCGACTTCCTGTCGTGTCCCGCAATAAAGGAACGTCGGGTCTATACGGCGTGGAATATTGGCTGTCTGATATAACTACTCGAAGCCAGAGCTCCCTTTCTAACGGAAGCTAATAGGCACAAACAGGGACTCCATGGTCATTATTAGATCTCTCGTCTCTTGATGAGCTTTGTCCTCATGGGCCATCCTGGCAAATAGTTCGTTCCATTCGCAGCTGACACTCACCGAACCTCTTCGATTCACGCAACGGCGTTTGACCTGCAGATAACTATTTACAAACTGTAAAAGAAATAAAAAAACTACCCCTTAGCCTCCGTCAGTCACCGGATAAAGTCTAATACTTCTGTAGGTGGCTGTACTCCCACTGTATAGCTCCACTTCATCCTCACTAGACTGGATCAAAACACCATATATGTGCCTTTTTCTTAGAACGATCAGGACTAATCCACAATGCGCCGCCGTGTCCCTGTCGCTGTGCGCCGTGTCCCCCACACATCTAACATGGACCCAGCTACTGGGCCCGGATTCCTCTGCCCCTTCCTCCCTGGTTCCTCAGCCCTCCACGGCTTGTACAGGCTTGGGATTTCTGTATTAACAATTGTTGGGATACCTGGCCGCTGCGTAATTCTATCTCAAATGAAAACTGCAGTTAAAAAGGTGGGATTATAATCGAAGCTTATGCGAGGTTTCAAATTGGCAATACCCATCCCAATAACCTCCCACTCCCTGAAATATCTCAGTCGCTAATTAGGTTCTGGAATGAGGAACAAGCTCTTCAAGTTCGGTATCACTTAGTTCACCATCCTGTATGTCTTGTACAACTCGCATCCGACACCAGTCAGTGTGTTGTTCATGCTTTTGCTCCTGGGATGTGAAGCTATCCCCGATTGCAAAATGCAGCCTGGCCTTCTTTTCCGACCGAGACGGCTTAGTAAAGTTGCACAGAGCAGGCATCGAGCCGTATGCATCAGACATATCCAATCTCAGCGGCGCAATGACGGTATTTCGGAGATCAACTCGCACGCCGTAGATGCTCTCAACGCGGAAAACCAGAATGGTGAATGCAATCCCCGATAGGGAGGCTGAGGCAACGAGTGCGATCCAACCCAAGAAGGGCTTCCACAAAACGCGCATGATAATTCCGGACTCTGGGTACAGAATAGTCACCTCGTTGGATTCGGGAATGCGAAATGTGTCGGTCATGACGTTCCACGTAGCTTCGTAAGAAATATTCAGCATGGCGCGGGTGTAGACCGTCAAGTCAAGGGCCGAGTCCACCGGCCTGATGATGGCCAAATTGAGCATGACCTCTGGCATGGCCTCGAATATCTGACTTGTTAATGAGTCTCGCGAGTTAGAAGGCGTGGCTCGCAACTCGTCCGCCTCTTTATCCGAGACAACAGCCTCAAAGATTCCGCTGGAGATGACGCGGCTGTTGTTGAATGTGTAAGATCCGGCGCGCACAGAGATCTTTGCAATTGCGTAGCAGTTGATGGCAAACGGCATGCCGCCCAAGTTGTACCTGATGTCGATGAAATTGGCCACATTCATGTCACCAAACATGCTGGACGATGATGTGCAGCTCTGATTCCAGCTCTCCACTTGGTGCACATTCTTTAATCGGTCAACCAAAACCGCGACGTAAAGCTCATGCATCACTTTTTGGTTTTCTTGTCGCGGAAATGCATACTCAATTTTCGAGGAGGTGCTTGATGATGATGAGATTTTGGGAGCCTCGCTCCAGGCGTAATCTCTAAGGACGGCCATGTTCCCAATAGTAGACCGCGTGATGACACCCGCCGGGCTACTAATGTTAAGCAGACCCAGATTATCATCTTGTATGGCGGATATCAACTTTTTGGGCACTTCATTTTCGGGGTCCTGAACCCATTCAATATCGTCAACGATGAAATACGGAAAGTTGACATTTTTAACCGTAGAGTTGACTGGAAATGTGGTGTAATAGCCCATGTTCCTGCGCGGTGCCGCATTGTTTCTGTCAAGGGAGTCGGCGTTTGTTGTGAGTGCAATTGATGCGCTTCTCAGCATCAAAATCTCGCGTACTTCACTCCACCGATTGTATTCGTCCCAGGCCCGAGACTCTCCGGCCCTGGGGATCTGGACAGAGCCCTTCCTGCCCTCGAATTGTGTCGGCGTCCAGGCGATGCTGCCGGACAGGAGAGGAGTCGAGAGGTATTGCGCTGGGAGGGACAGGGAGATGATGATGACAAGAGCCAACGAGATCGGCCGGTAGGGGCTAGAGCGAAAAGGATTCAATGATGGGGGTAGAGGAAAGGCAATAGAAGAAATCTCATTGAGCGTCGTGCCGCGAGTGAAGAGTAGAATGTAGATGGTACGCCAAGCAACAATTGTACACCATGTCGTGAAGAAGGCCTTAATGACAGCATCGATGGCAGCGATGAGGAACGATACCTCAACCTGGTGGAGCGGCAAGAACGGCCGCAACGACCTGCGATATCCAACGCGGTACGTCCGTCCGTGAAAGTACAGGATGAGCAAGAGGCCGAGAGCGGTCCAGCCCAAGATGAAGAGAACCAACTCAACATGGGCTTTGAGAAATCCCAGCACACTGCTGGACCAGCTCTGCTTTTGATCTTTGGGCGCAGCCGGCGCAGCTGAGGAGCGGGATTTGGTAGAGTTCATGGTGAGGCGATCAGTATCGTGTCAAATAGGGTCTGTAGAGTGGACGGAATTAAAGAAAGAGTAGGTGTGTCGCACTACTTCAACTCTTGGAGGCCCACGGCGGTTCCGAGACTATATACCCACCTCGTTACCAACTGATAAGCACAGCCTTTTCTGGCTTGCAGGACGCCTGAAAATGTGGCACCGGGCGCACCCCCTTTGCAGCAAAACTAACTCAAGGCGTAATGATCTGAGACATAAACTGACAAGGCCACCTATGCGCCTTTATGTGCATCTGTACCCAGCCTCGTGGCTTCCTTCAGGTATGCCTTCTGTGAGTGAAGTGGTCTGGACACTTAATCTCTCTACCTTAGCACAAAAGTTATCGTTAGTTTACATGTTGGAAGAGCCTGAACTGCAACAGCGAAGCGCCAGCCGACAGTTCTCCAGCCGAAATCAGACAAGCGGTAACTAAAACATCAGCCTCAACGCCACGCTGCGGCCATCACCCGTACGCCAGGCAATTCAGTTTCATTCGCCTAACATCCACCAATGGTATTTGGAATAGTATTTGGAATTGGTTGGGCCTGCATAAATACAAGCGACTATTGAAGCAAACGCTTACGCTAGTGATGTAGGCTGATAAGGTGACAAATTACTGGAGAGCCTGATGTTCTCAGCCGAGTTACTGTAATCAGGTTGCCCCCACAGTGGCATTGCAAGTGCACAATTGACCCAATTACGAAGGGAGATTTAGGAGGAACCTAACCGACTTTGTAATTCCGGGCAGCCCTGAGGGTAAGATATTGGCAGCCTCATACGGGCCACTGATCTTCAATACCTAAGGTAGGTCAAAGACGGATGTATCTGCAAGCTGTCAGCGGTTATGTCAACCAAAGGTGAAGAGCTAGCTATAGCACTGATTGTTACGATATAATATTTTCTTGTATCTCACTGAGGCTAGGTTTTGCCACTCCTCGTCGAAAGATTTGCCATTTTCTCGAGCATGGCGCTGTCCATCAGATTGAAGTGAAACAGCTCGTCCCAGCTCCTATTTTGTCCTCACATGATCTCCCTGCATAGATAAAATACGCGTTTACTCATGAATTTGCGAAGAATCAAGGCTGCTCTATGGATAGGGCTGTCCATGCACTCCCGCATCTGCTGTGATCGTATTAAAAGAGTTGAATTTACTACAGCAAGAAGGAAGTACTTAGTCCTGATGATGACATTGAACACAGGCTAGGCATGATTGCTGTCGCAAGGAACTTACTGATTGAGACGGTAACAGTATTTTAGGTGCTCAAGAGACTCCAGGTAGTTGAACTCTAATAGTAAAAGCGATCTTAAAGGAATTTCACCAACCGAAATTGAAAATGGAAAATTACACAAATTCTTTGGCGCCATAATCTATTGCTATGGGGTAGATTGCTGTCAAGTAAAGTATCAAGAGGTTAGGGTGCCCTAGTACACACATACCCAGAGGGGGGACTAGAAGCTCAACAGTAAAAAAAAAAAATACCAACAATCGTATCAACAATACAGACCATATACCCAGTCCATTCAAAGGTCAACAATGTACTCAGACAAGTAAAGTATATTTCCATAGTCTCACGTGTTTTCTGAAGTAAGAAACTGGCATTCATATCTAGTTTATCGAGTCTAATGCAGCAGCCTGGTTGGTTAATCTGCGATATACTAATACATCCTATGATACTATGATGCTACTCAAATACAGAGTAGAAAGTTACCTCAGCGATCATAGTCCTTGCTGGAATAGTCACGGAGATAGGAAAGCCACCATAGTCAGGGTCCTCATTTGGCATCATGGCAAAGCTTCCGCTTCTTGTCTCGTCGCCGTTGAGAGCCCGCACCGTTCGTAATCGACCTGTTTCTTCATCCTCAACGGCCTTTTCCTCGAACTTGAGGATGCCAGTGAAAGAGCTGTTAGGGTCGATCGCTATGGCACGTACTTGGAAGCCCCAACCAATGAGCAAGAACTTTCCCTGGCCGCGGTCTATCACCATCCCGGCGCCTGTTCCCGATTTGCCAAATACAAAACACGGCTCGATGATTATCTCAAAGTTTGCCCAGACTCGGCGAACAGAGGTGGAGGCGTCGTGCGTCAAAACACCCTCCGGCAATTCATCAAAGCAGAAACCGACTGATTTGTTCGGTTGACGTTGGGCCTCCAAGACGATGGCTGAAACGGATTTGAGCAAACCGTAATGCTTGGTAAAGGGATTCTCACTGGGGTCGACCGTGTCGACGCCGAAAGGAGCTACACCCATAGCGGCGTATGTCCCATAAGCGATCCAAATGCGACGAGCCCCATGGTCGTCTCGCCGCTGTTCTGGGATGAAGAGAGGTTGGCCCTTGTGTCGATATTTCGCACATGAGCCGTTATAGTCGTTCAGGTAGATATCGGGACCAAGGAAGTCTAATGCGGGCGCAAATTCCATCCATATGTCCATAACATTGCTCACGGCGCCGCCAGAAGGATAGTCACCCGGCATGCCGCCTCCGCCGACAACAACGGGGAAGTCGTTATCCGAATCCTCACCAGCATAGTTCATCCACATGTTCGTGTAGTGAGGGATAGGATATACGCTCTTTCCAGCCGTAGCAACATGGTTCAGGTAGAGCGCGTAGTGATATGCCATGAATAGCTCGTCTGTTCGGGGACTGGAACCGAATACGGTCTCCCAGTTTTCATTCTTACCAGTAGAAGAATTCTGCCAGTTGAAATGTGTAAGATTCTGCTCTTTGATGTCTCGATTCAGGTGCTCCCAGTTTGACGACAGGAAATGGAGGAGTTCGTCGGGAACTGGCTCGTGGAATGCCGCATCCGCCATCTCGGACCCATCTCGGGAGTCGCCAAGCAACCCGCTTTCATTTTCGACTTGAACCATCAAAACAGTGGAATGAGACTCGTCGAAGTCCCTCAAATGGGTCATTAGTTGGCTGAATGCCTTTGCGTCGGCCTTGCGACCCTCCGGGTGGAAGAGCGACAGAACGTCGGCAGTCTCGAGGCGACCGCCGGCCTTGCGCAGTTTGGCGCGGGGGAATCGCTGTGTGTCTGTCTTAACCCAGGCCGGCACATACGTGGAGAGTCCTACACACCGGTTAGCTCTAGTTATGGCAGAAGCGATGAGTTCTTCTTTTACCGTTCTTAAAGGAGCCGAACCAAAGCAGAACTAGGTGCATCGAGTGTCTGCGCGCCGCCAGGATAATCTCATCCAAGACAGAGAAGTCGAACTTGTTCTCCTCTGGCTCAATCATTTCCCAGGTCACGCAGCCAAGCAACGTGTTGATATTTGTGTCTACCATCTTTTGCCAAACAGGCTCCATGTATTCAGGCGATGTCATGGACGAATTCTGAAGCTCGCCAGCCCGCATCAAAAACGGCTTCCCTTTGACCATGAGCTGTTTTGAGGCTCCAGTCTCGACTAGATGGGGGATATTGATGGCCATCTTTGCGTCGGTGACGACGTGGTCGGTGGCTATGTCGAGAAGCGTCATTGAAGTTGTGAGATGAGAGTGAAAGACGAGCCGAAGAAATATCAGGTAGTGGGAGGGCGTCTGAGGCCACGCTTTGACTGTAGATAGATGGTCACTTGATTATATTTGATTTGCGTCGCTAGAGCTGGAGTGATATTCGTCCTTGAGCGGATAGGTGGCTCAGCTCCCACCTGTTGACCGTAGACAGTCCGGGTTTGAAGCTTCGTGATAGGCTCACTTCCCGACTCCTCTTCGGATAAATTCACCTGCTGTGTGATAGACCAGATGACCCATTCACCCCGTCGTACTCGGCACTGGGGCGGGGATCTCCCTTTACCCATGTTGACGCTCGTATCGAGAGTTTCCATTTTCTGCCGGTTCCAACGACTCGCGTTAGCGTCAGAGAGTCCGGCATACGAACCAATGACACGGCGTCATTGCCGAGGCGGGGAAAGCGAGATCCCTGCCAAATCCGTCCTGTTTACATAAACCATCATGAGATCCACTGAAGCCTGTGGGCGAGCGATCCGCAGGGCATCTCTGTGCCGTGCCATATCGCCGCTGCCAGTTACCGCAAGATGAAGCACCCTAGAGCATGTCGCCAATGCCGAGAGAGCAAGCGGAGATGCGTCCGCCACAGCCACCAAGTCGGAGAGCCATGCGAGCCTTGCCAGCGACGAAAGCTAGTGTGTGCCAACTCGCGGACAGTAGGACACTCCCAGTCGCTGCTACCAAAAGCCGACGAGCCGCAGCCACAAGAAGTGATAGCGGAATCAACCGCCTCGTCAAAGCCTCCTTGTCCACGCGTGCCGACTCACGTTGCGGTGCGGCTTGTTGACCATTACTTGGACAAGCTGCACAACCGGCCCCATAGTCTATTCCATCCCGCAAAACTGCGGTTGCAGGTGCGGGACGGCTCGGTCAATCAGGCGCTGCTGTTGGCCATCTGCAGCATGGCTTCGAGGTTTGACGATGATGAAGAGATCCGTTTACTCGAGAACTGTTTGATGGACGAGTCCAAGCGTAGACTCCTCGCTGATCTAGAAAACATTTGCATCGAAAACATCCAGACATGTATCCTAATCGCCAATCTCTATGCCGCCCATTTAAAGCCGTCCTCGGAAGCTCTTTTTTTCCGTATGCCATTTCCCTTCACCTTCCACTACCCGCACCATACTTCGGCCATGGTCGCTCACTATCATGCAGGCATCGCCATCAGTTTGTTACAGATTCTGGACTCCGGTGCCTCCCCCGTAGGGACCAAGCTGATCGATCTCGAGATCAAAAGACGAACCTGGTGGACAGTCTTCATGGCGGATCGTTGGTCATCTTCCAGCCTCGGCTTACCACGCCAAATCGCAGACACTGAGCTTGCGGTCGACCTACCAATGGATGAAACCATCTTCGAGTCCCTGGGTGCCGAGGAAACAAAACTAAATGTCCCGTGGCAACCAGGCATTTGGGCTCATATGATTGCACTGGTTCAGATGTTTGGCCCCATACAAGATTTGAATCGCCGCAGTGTCTACGGAAACATCACCCTCGAGGAAATGGAAGCAGGTGTCACCTACCTTTCAAGTCGGCTAGAGAACTGGGAGCAAATGCTACCAGTCGATTCCAGAATGAATGAGGAGAATCTGGAACGGCACATTCAAAGAGGTACTGGCGGAGCATTCATCGCGCTTCATCTCGGATATCACCATTATGCTACCCTGCTCTACTTTCGGTTTCTCGAGCCCCCGGGGTCAACGTCTCCTCTGGTAGAGATCTACCACGGAAAGTGCAACTTTCATGCCCTGTCCTATAGTCGCCTCGTCAAGCTCGCCCGCCACAAGCAGCGTTGCGAGGTCGTCTACCCTACCGTTGGTCACATGGCAGTCGTATCGTCATCGGTGCTGCTCCACACTCTGTTGTTTGGCGAAGAAAGGGATCTCCAGAGCGCCCGTGATGCCCTAAACGCAAACTTTGCCGCCATTCTGGACCTGCGACGGTACTGGCGGAATACGGCACCCATGGTGTGTCTCATTCCAGGGTCTGAGCATTGTCACAAAAGCTAACCGATAATAGATACATCGGCTTGTCACCTTTCAGAACTTCTGCCTACTTTCCAATCATTATAGGACGCATAAATTAGACGGTTGGATGATAAGATTCTTGATTGAATATTCACTACCCTTGGGTGATAAGGATATTGAACCGGTGACACTGGGCCGGGACCTTGACATTGATGAGTTCTCGACCCGCACCCAAGTTCTCACCGAACAGGGAAGATATACTTCGTTTACGATCGACGATGGATTCTTGGAGGGGTTCGAGTTCGGGTTGTAACTCATACCATAATTCATATCTCAAGCAGTCCCACAAATTTCTCCATGATGTCACTAAACCTTGTCTGCCAGCTTAGCTCAAGCCTCGGCAGACATGGCCATGGAGGCGCAGGGATCGGCTTCTCAACGGTGTGATTGGCTCCAATTCCGGTGTCCTACGCACCGTCGACACCAGAATCACGACTATATCCTCGATTCCGCGGCTAAACCGAAATCAGCGACGGGCGTCGCGGGGAAGAAGTCGGGGTAAGTTGTGGGCGGCCGGAGACAAACGCCAACTGATTGGGTGTTACTCCGGAGCATCGCGAGATTTACCACGCGGTTCCGCCTCGAGACGCAGCTCCCCATTTCCCCACTTGTCTACCGCCGTCATTCAGCAAGCTCTGGGGCAACTGGATTGGTGGGCTAAGCTCTATGGGGAGGTAGAAGCTTTCCGGTTCCTCGTAACTACTACTTGAGGCCTCGTGAACAATTGGCGAGGCGGCAAACTGCTGGGATATAAAAGGCATCTCATATTTCTGCCATATTTTCGAGAGTCCATCATCCTCAACTCACTCCTCTCACATACCACTTGAAACAGCCTCTTCATCCAGTACTTGTCGCAGCTGGCACCAGCCTTCCTCGCCATGCACACCATTATGCGTGCTCTCGCCGCGGCGGCACTGGCAGTGACCGCCTTGGCTTCCCCATCCACGCCGAGGGCTGTCACGCCCAGCCCATGGACCAACTTCAACGACAACGGCGTCTTCTATCCCAGCAAGAATGCCACCAGCTGGCGCACTCTCTACGGCCGCACTCTGCAGCTCCCGGATAAATCCATCCTTCTTTCTTGGGAGGACTACGACCCTGACGCTACTTTTACGTACTTCCCAATCTGGAAGTCGACCGACGGTGGTGCTTCATTCAAGTATTTCTCCAGGGTCGACGACCAGGTCAATGGCTGGGGCAACTGGTACCAACCTTACTTGTATGCCCTCCCTGAAGCTTTCGGCGGCTACCCCAAGGGTACAATTCTGCTTGCTGGAGTCTCTACCCCTCGGGACCTCAGCCAGGCGTATATCGATCTATACGCTAGCACCAATCAAGGCCTGAACTGGGAGTTTGTCAGCCACATTGTCTACGGCCCAGGACGCGAAGTCATTGACAGAGGCCAAAAAGCTGTTTGGGAGCCATCTTTCTATATGTACAAGGGCCAACTGATCTGCTACTATTCGACTCAGGTCGACCCCAACCACAACCAAAAGCTTTCGCACAAAACGACTACGAACCTACGCCAATGGAGTCAGGAGGTTGACGACGTTGCGCAGCCAGATGCCTCGGTGCGTCCTGGCATGGCAACCGTCGCCTACAGTTCGGTCTCCAAGAAGTATGTCATGACCTTCGAGTATTGTGGAGGTCCCATCGCCGGTGGCTGTCCTGTCTACTACAAGGTCTCCAATTCTCCTCTGACATTTGGATCCGCTGGCTCCCAGCCAATCATCCCGTCCGATGGTAACCTGAACCCGAATGGAAGCCCGTATGTCATCTGGACGCCAACGTCGGGCAGTCAGCCTCCCAGCGGCGTTTTCATCGCTAGTGGTGGCAACCGCGAGGAAGTTTATGTCAACACCGATGCCGTTGATCCCAATGGTTGGAAGCTCGTCAACGTTGGACAGTGGTCGGCCTACTCACGCGAACTTCGCATTATCAATACCCCTACGAATAGTGCCGCTCAGGGGAAACAGAAGCTTCTGCTCACTAACGGTGGAAATATTGGTTGCTCTGGATCGTGTTACAATTATGTGGCCAATGGAGTGGTAGATATCCCGACTTATCCTCCATCCTAGACCACGCATTTGTATGAAAACTTGGCAGAACTAGTGAATCCTTAAGGTTGAATGGAATTGGTTTTGATATAGTTGAAGAAAAGGTGTAAACAAAGCTATCTGATTGTCCAGTAACTGTGCTCTTAACCCCGATATATAACTCAGGAATTCTCATCATACGTAAAACAGAAACACAAAGAGAAAATAAAACATTCGCAATGAAGAAGAGCCCCTTTTTCAATTGACCCCGCTAGTCCTCGTCATCCAGATGTACCTCCATAGACCCTGCATCCGAACTATCGTCACGGGCTTTCTTATTACTGTGAATGACGAGTGCCCCTAATAAGGAAATGTCAGCAAATGTTCCCACAGACAATCCAGCTAGTACAATGAGTCTTGATCTTAGGAAAGGCAGAAGCAGTACGGGAACTCAGTTATCTTGCCGCATTTACTCAGGTAGATGGTGCTACGTACCGTTGAGATTGATTAGGCCAATGTAGGACGAGAGCTTTATACAGCTAGAGCTTCCTCCACTGGGATTCACGGTTTTACTGCTGCTGCTGACGGCGGTTTTCAAATCAACAGAGGCTAAGCCTCTGCCGGGAGACGAGGGAGGTGTTGTTTGCATTGTGGACTCAAAGATCCGTTTGGCTTGGTTGTGTAATGGTTGGTCAGAACGTACAAGAAACAAGCCAGTGTAAGTAAAGATGCTTGTGACAAAGAGTAGCTAGCGGTTATTAGCCGCCCAAGTAGATGCATGTTGGCCCCTGTCAGCTGGCGAAATGCAGCCCACACTGGGACCCCGCCTCTGCATGTCGGCCAAGACAGGTATAGAACGACATGTCTTTTCCTTCTGGCAGATCAATATACTAGTCTGCGTCTTAATTCATATTTACTTCGTGAAACCTCCCTAGTTTATTTGCAAAATGAAGTCCTTGGCGACTAGTACAGATGCCGCAGCTGTGCCGGCGCAGCCCACCAACCAGGCCACAACATTCTCAATACCAACTGAAAGAGCTGCTTCGGACCCGTCCACAGGCTATTCTGGTGCGGAGAAGCGTGTTCTAAAGCACGCAGCCGATATCCTAGGTATTCCATATGAGGCCTTGGTGACCTTGAACTCGGTAGCTTCAACTGCTGCCGAGAATTCCAGCTCTAGTACTACGCCCCAGACGACTCCACCAACAAGCTCTGATCCGGACCTGTCCCCTGACTCTGATCCCGCGTTACCGGTTAGGCCGGTCCAGCGGACTACCTCGGACACAAACTCGGACACAAACTCGGGGGCATGGAATCATGTATCACCTCGACGGGATCCTGAGTCTCTGTCTGACTGGGTGGACTTCGGGTCTCTGGAGGCCAATGATCAATTGACGGGTCTCTCCAGCCACGCCTCAGCTCCCATATTGTCGAGGCCATCGGATGAAGGCTCTACCTTCGAAAACAGATCGATCAAACCGCTCGACACTCGTTCCGCCTCGGAAACACAATTACCTCTATTGACAGGCATAGCGTCTGGTTCACTCCCAGCTTCACATGGAGAACATGACCAAACCACTGCCACTGACACGACGGGTTTCCACGCTTCATTGCCCTCATTCCCGAACGGACTTATTGAGGGCTGGGAACATGACCTGTTTGCGGACGTGGATTTCAGCTTCGGCAACGTCTCTTGTTCGTTCACAATGGACCCTATGGACCTCATGAGCTTTGATTTCCTCCAACCCACTGGCGCTGAGTCGGCCCAGACGGCCCCTATTCAGTCTGACGACTCTGCCGCCAATATTGGCTCATCGCCAGGATCTCCGATTAGGCCTGTCTCATCCTCAACCCAGCTCACAAGGCCAGCTGGGGTTCAGAGACCTCCTCTTGCCAAGAAGCGAGGCGTCCGCGGCCCCTTCAAGACCACAGAGGAACGTCTTGAAACCGGTCTGACTCGGCAGATTGGGACTTGCATTAGGTGCATCAAGCAAAAGGCGCGCGTACGTTTAAACATCGTGTAACAAAAGTTCGTTACCCTTTTCACTGACACGAGACGTCTGCTAGTGCGTTCGAGATCCCGACAACCCAGACGGCGAATGCTTGACCTGCAAGCGTGTCTCTGCTCCGCGGTTAATCCATTACCCCTGTCTCCGAAAAAGGTTGACTGACACGTCTTATGTAACTGCAAAGTCCGATCCAGGATTATTCTGGACAAAGAGATGGAAATCATTGGACGTCGTTGATATCAACCATTGAGCATCACCCGAGGTCAAGATGATTGAGTTGCCCTAGGCTCGAAAAGGTGGCTATCCAGGCTGATCATGTATGACATAGTCTTGGGAAGAACGAGAATTACTCGTGGATGTTCTCAAATTGCGGGCCATGTCTCTTGTGCAGAGCAGGTCTGAAAGGATCTGCAGAATGGAAACTCTCGGCATCGATCCACAACTGCAGGATCCTGACCGTCACGATTACGGCTATGTCCCGGTACCACCGGTGATTTCCGCGCAGATCACCATTATCGCTGAGACTCTGTTCTTCAGGTTGCTGTAGATCCAGATCAGAAAGCGGCTAGACAGGCTTATCGGGACTAAGAACCTTGGTGCTTGGTTCACCACTTACCTGGTCTGCATGCTTTTACTACACAACTGCGCCCTCATCACCGGATACAACTTCCGAAAAGCGAAGAATCTGCGACTCAGCGTACGTGGAGAGTATAGGAGTAAAATGCATCAACGAGAAATCACTGACACTGTAGACAGCAAAGATATGTCGCTGCGGACGTCCTGAGAGACCTTCATGGTAGTGCCAACATTTTATTGACCTACTACCATTGCTGTGTCAAGGCCAACGTCCCCTTCGCAGCGGGATGGAAGTCACCCCGAGACATCGAGGCAGCAAAGTTGACAAAGGACGAAGTTGACTTCCTTGTTTGGTCGTACCAAGAGTCTCGGAGAATGGGTATGTTACTAACTCCTGAACCTTGCAATTTATTTCGCATCAATTCATCGTCAATTTGCTAACTGAGAACTTAACAGCGCCCCTGTTTCAGGAAATCAAGGAAAGCAACATGTTTCATCATGAGTACTACTTCATTTCTCAGCTGTTTGACGACCAGTGGGTCCTACCAACAGCAACAATTGCTTCTGTCCAGTAATGGGGAAATCGATTTGCTAAGATAGCACCGAGAAGCGAAGTACGACTAAGGGAGTGATGAAGACGGAGTGAAAGATAGTATGATTGGAAGGAAGTTGATCGCACCACCTAAGCCGATACAGAACGAAGACACGTGTAGTTTTTAAAAAGAAGTCGAACACGAAAAAACATGATTGATGTTGTCTCTCCTCTTCAAACTTGCAAAAAAAAAGTTCATACTCATGCCTTCTTCTTCACGCCTGAGACAGCGTCTGGTAGATCTTGAATGCGAGACGTGGTTGTGGAGTGACGTTCCACTTGAGTGTGTGGTCGTCCTCGTCAAATATCTTCAGGTGACCCATGCGGAAGACGGCTGGCATTGGCCACTTAAAGACCGGGTTGTCGTTCTTAAGCCAGATGCGCACAAGGTACCGCACATGCTCTTCGTCGTCGCGAAAGGTGGTGCGCGAGTGTAGCATCGACCAGTTGTTGACGAATGCCATGTCTCCGGGCCGCACGTCGAGTTTCAGCGAGTGTTTGCGCGACAGGGCCTCGATGGCGTCCAGTGCTTCGATCTGCTGGGGCGTGCAGTCTAGGCTTGCAGCTAGCTTTGGCACGCCGGGCCGGCCTGTCAGGAGGTATCGAATGAAGTTGATGATGATTTTGCGTCTCCGGCGCCCTGCTGGGTCTCTCCTTCATAGAAGATGATGGAGCGTGGGCGAGGGTCGTCGTGGATGCCACGGCTGTCTGAGTGAGTTTTCGGTCTTCGGGTAGAATAGGAAGTATGAGAGGGGATGGATTTAGAAAAACTGAATTTGCTAATGGTTGATTGGAGGAACAAAAAAAGATTCTAGATACGTACGGGTCAAAGTACCAGTTCGGGGTTGCCAGGAGGCGGATGATGTCGGGCCGTGTTGTAGCCAATTCGTTGTATATGGCCCATGATGAAGCGAGAAGGTGGTCGCCAACCTCGGCGGCTTCAGCTCGCATCTGCATACCTAGCAATTGAATGCGCACATGGTTATCGGAGCGCCGCTATAAAATTAGGACCTGATCCACTCCGAGGGGAAATTCGGCGAATCCACCACAGATCATGCATTTGTGAAGAAATCGATCCAAGATCATGAACTTCGTCTTCGTGCTTTACGTTTGCAAACATGGCCTCCAATAAAAACCTGCAAACTCTCGATGACAGTGGGCCAGTGTTAGGTAATTGTCATCCCTGGCGGTCTTGGCAGTCTCTGCGTCTGTTGGCTTTGTTGGCTTCGGCTTGGTGGTTGCTGATGCCGCGGAAATGTAACAAATATAGCGCTGACTGATAAAATGCTTTCATTGTTGGCAAGGTCTCAAAGTGCAGGTCACCGTTGTCTCTCCTTTCGGCACTCCTTTCTTCCCCTTACCTGTCAACTGGTCGCCATATGAAGTATCCGGGTCCTCGCGCCAAAGGTCCTCGCCAAGCAGCCCTGCCTCCAGAAGAAGACAACAAATATGCAAGAACGACCGTCAAGCGCTCCTCTGGGGAAAATGCACGTGTACGTGAAAGGAGCCAACCCCTGGCTGGATCAGCACGTTGAATCCTTCATTCGACAGCATGTCCCCGATGCCGTTTTCCACGACGACTTCAAAACTCTGCCGTCAACGCCCGACTGTGTTTTTCAATTTTGCGATGGTTGGCATCTCAATCGGCACTTTGCTCTCTTGAACAAGGTGCACACTGGCCTAATCAACGCTTACCCCAACAGCGATGCTCTGGCCCGGAAAGACCACCTTGCCCAAGTCGTAAATTATTGGACAGCCAAAAGACCACAGAGCATCTTAAAAGAACATGTGCCGATCACGATCCGACTCTCTCTTGACTATGCAGAGTACGTCGATGACGCGCTTGCGGCGGCTGATGACCTCACATTACTCTATTCCCTTGAGGACAACGAGAACATGGACCCCGTTGATCGCGAGTGGTGGATCCTCAAGCCGGCAATGATCGATTGTGGTGCTGGAATTCGGATCTTCAGTACACTGGAAGAGCTTGCAGCCAACCTTGAACTAGCGGCAGATGTCGACAATGAAGAGCCGCGAGAAGATACCGATGGGCTGATGGTACCGCAGCCGGAAGGAAAAGAAACACTCGAAGATCATTCTCATGGTTTTAATCCGACTTTATTGACTCCCGGTCTAGCCTCTCTGGATGGCTTGATCACTACCATTGGAGATCTCAGCCTCAAAGGGACCTCAGGCAAGCTCAAGATGGACAACATGGCTCCAGACTATGCTATTGATGAGAACGCACGTCTCCCATCGGCCCAAATGCGAGAGTTCGTCGCACAGAAATACGTCGTCTCAATCCCACCAATAGATGGCAAGAAATGGCATGCTCGAGCCTACGTCCTCTCCATTGGGCGACTCAAAGTCCATGTCTTTCGAGAGATGCTCGCCCTTCTAGCTGTTGAAGACTACGAGCCGCCATGGAATAACCCTAGTCTCAAGTCGTCCCTCACCAACACCGCACTTCAAGATGAAGATGAATTCACTACCAACGATTCTATGAGAGACTTCTGGGAGCTCCCCGATAATTTACTCGACGGAGACTGGAAAGTCGGGATTTTCCAACAGGCATGTGCCATCTCTGCAGAGTTATTCCAAGCAGCAGCACACACAATGTCTGACAAGTTCACACCTTTGAATAAGTGTTTTGAGCTTTTTGCAGTGGACTTCCTTGTCGACACGAACGGGACAGCATGGCTGCTGGAGGTCAATGAAACGCCTGCTTTGTATGAGCACGACTTTGCAGGCTCCATAGCGCTGCGGCTAGTGGAGTCGACTATTTGTGTAGCTATGGAGCACATGGGTTCAACAAGGCTTAGGGATGCTCACTGGCGTGAAGCCAGGCAGCGGATGGTTGAAGTTCTGGATGAGACAGATAAGCTGGGCAAGAGCAACATCACCATGATCTTGCCAGAGGAATAGCCAACCTGTTGAAGTATAGACAAGACCAACTGAAAATTTAGACTAGAAAAATGTTGAGGTGCGGGATAGGAATAGTTCTACTTATGTCGATATCAATATGTGGGTGACTTGTTTTTGTCCATATCCGTTCGAGTAAGTAAAGTCGATCCGTATATTTGACTGATCGGAAAGACAAGATGAGTCAAGTTACTTCTATCCACTAGGCGTCATGACCGAAACCTATCTCTTAACTTCATGGCTATGCGAGCGAGTACCCTATGGCTTACGCCCCCAAAGCACCTTGATGCGGAAATACGGGTGGTTTCTACGATCCCGAATCTCGCGGCGGAACTGTGAGATATACACATGGAATCTCTCCAGAGACCAGCCCAAAACGTTGGCCACGAAGGTCAACAGCCCTTCAGTATCTTGCGTTGCAAAGAGCTGTCCAAATTGGCCCATTTCCTTCAACTTCGGGTCTTTGGGCCAAGGACTGAGCGGGCACTTTATGATTGTTAGTCAAAGTCATGTCGCATCAGGGAGACACCCATACCTTGAAATTCCACTCCTCGATGTCCACAAACCCAGCCTCTTCCATTGCTTTTCGCTGAAGGTTATCGGCGAGGACCGTGAACGTTCGCCCGGTCGTTTTGGACCCCTCAATGAAGATGTCGGCCCACTGACCCATTGCTGACTCGGGGGTAACGGTTCCATCATCGCTCTCGATTGTCGGCGAAGCTTCGAAGCTCTCCAAGTAACATCCCGGCTTAAGTCCCTTGTATGCTTGCTTGAATAACTCGGTCCAGTCAGGAATCGTACCCACAAGGTAACGAATGTGAATGTAGTCAAATGATTCTGGCCCAAATGTCCACTCTTGAGTGCAATCATCGATTTCGCTGTGTAGATCTACATTAGTAGAGATCTCCCATTGTTATGTCAGCACTCACAATTTCAAGTTGGGCGGGACCCAAGAAGGCTGGATAGGCGAGATGTCGGTACCGACGACTTCACAGCCAGGGAACTCGTCTGCAAAGTCACTCCACACGACTGTAAGCTGAAGGTTTCGTTTCACTGAAAGGTTTACTCACATTGCCCAGATGCCTGAACACGGGAGGATATTAGCATGCCACAAACTCCGGGGTTCGAACAATGTTCATACCTGTACCGCAACCAACGTCAAGGACTTTCTAAACTCATTGATAAGTACTCGAAAGGTCCCAGTCATCGGATCTCCACCCACCTTGACATCTGATGGAATAGGTGCCAGGTATAGCTTTCCATCCTGCGCTAGTGTCCACATGTGATGACTACGTAACATTAGCAGAAATTTACAATACTCGTAGAGCTGGACGTATCCTCACATGATGTCCATAGCTTCACTCTGGGCTTCGTCGTTGGATCCCCTAATGATAGTGTGAGTAAATAATAAGAACTAGTAGGTCAGCTTCAAAATCACGACATACCAATAAAATGCATTGCCTCTGTCGCTATGGTATGTGCGACCTTGGATGGTTCTGTACCGCAAAATACTCGAAGTAATTGAAGCGGTCGAGCTCTCGGCATCTGGACCCAAAGCGGAGTCGGCATCGTCATCTGATTCCACGTTGTCGTCGGCCTCGATAACCTGCTCATGACCAGGGTCGGAACTCGGCGGCGAGGAATGTCTTTCCGGTGTGTCAGGCATTATGGTGGTATGATCCGTAAACTCGGTGCGGATTAAGAAAGGAAAACTGCGAGCTCCGGCTATGGTGGCTAACGAGGAGATATTAATCGCTCGACGATGAAGGCGGGGAGAGGAGTAGCGCGACGTAGCAAGACAACTTCGGCACTCTGCATGCAGGCGGAACCGGCCCGTGGCCGTTTCTCGTCACAACCGCGTGTACCAGACGAATAAAACAGGGGACCTTCTCAAAACGCTCAAGTTAGTCTGTACTAAAACCTCTGTTGCCGGGGTTGATCCCCGATGGAGACAGGGGGCGAATGGCCTCAAGACCCTCGGCCAACAATAGGTGCCACAATGTGGTTGGTATCCATACCTTGGATCCGAATTCGCGTAGACATTCCGAACCAATCGCCTCTCTCATTTGACACGATCGACGTTGCATTAACCCACAAAGACGACGAGAGTTGCCCGCCTGACCGACCGCCTGTGCTCTCGTCAAGGGTGTGTGGAGTTGGGTTAGCCGAAGGTTAACATCCACTTTCGACACGTTTCCGTTAATCCAGAAGGGCCTTGTGGAGGGATAGACTACTTAGAGTGTCAACTATTCCTTGCATTTGACGTGAAATGCACCTAATGATAGAGCAAGGGGTGTAATAACGTAAATCAGACGACTCGTGGCTCATGTACCAGATGGGAGTTGTATGTTCGACGAAATATCAATTCTGAGCGCCAAGCCAGAGAGAGATGCGCTGGCACCAAGAATTACGACTTGTAGTGTGATTAGCCCCCCAGTGGGGAAATATAGCTAGCAAGGGTCTGATCGCCTCTGTTTCGCGCGTAAAGGTCAGGACTGTCCAGGGTACTCCGTGGAGGAAGGGCGATTGTCTCGAGTCTGTAGTGAACGGACTGGATGCAAGTGAAGCCAATAATTTACGTCTTTTCGATCGAATAATTGACTACTCTGTTCTATAGCGTCGGACATTTTAGGCTCGTTCAAGATTGAATACTGCTACAGCGGGAGGCCCACACTCGCTACTTATTCGGGGTAATCTTAGATGAGTGTGGTTGTTCAGGGCTACATTGTTACTAGCCAAGAGCAATGGTAAACAGACAAGTTGAGAATACAGCACACGAGATCAATCAATCTTAGAGTCAGGCTGGAAAAGGCCGTCCCATCAGCCAAACCACAGACTGGAGAGGACAGTGTAAATTTCACATCAGATCTGGTGGGCTAACCACAGAGCGAGTTGTTGTTTTAGTGCAGAGTCTCAGCGAGCGCCCCGTAACGCCGCATCATGAGGGTAGTCACACGTATGGGACTAGCAGCGGCCAGCATGCTGAAAGTCTATGTCGCGAGGATATTTCGGGAACAGACGCATCCTTTTATCACGGCATTCGCAAGAAAGGGATTGCAGTAACCTTTTTAACTTTCTAAGATCTCGGCGGTTTTATCTGTCATGCGGGCCACCGAAGTTTCTAAGGTTTCCGTTGTCTTTTAAAGTAACCTGCTGGTTGATACGTCACAGCAGCGACATTGAACGCTTCAGTACGAATTTCCAGAGTTTGACACATTAACAACGCTTTTATTGAGGTCCAGATGGTGTCCTGCTTCTAGTAGTCTTTGTGCCTGTAAAGAACTGGAGTTAAAAATAGACCGTGCAATCTTATGTCGTAGCGGCTTTGCCGCAGAGGCACTGTCTTCATGAGGATTGGCGAGTTTAATAATGCATTGATGCCCGACAGGCAACCAATGATGCCAGAATGGCTGAACCCTTGATTCTGTATGCATAGGTGTCCAAATTATGCAAGCATGCCTCATCCACTCGTGTGGGACCAGTTTGTTCTTGGCAAATCTGTCAGTGTGACGATTTGGGACCGTAGAGGGACGGGGGATAAGGATCCGAAGACCCGGTACGAGGACGAGTCTCCATATGAATGCTGCAATGTCAATATCTTCAAGGGTATGTTATTACACATAACGCAAACCTTGAAAACATGCGCCGTATTTATGACCTTTAAGCTATTAAATGTACTGTCCTACCATGAAACATACCCTAAACCAGTCGCTGGATTTCTTGCATTACTCTAGCATCCGACTTCCACATGAGGGGTAGCCATGATGGGTATTTGAAAAGTCGCAAAAATAGCCGTGGTCGGACAATGACATGAAGATGAAGATGGTGGACAGAGATAATGTCAGGATAGTAGATATCCCCTAGGAGTTGTCGTCGTCCCCGATGGTATCCCGAGATGACATCTGAACGAGATAGACTGGGGCACTTTTCCTCGATCAAATGACTTTTCGCACGATCCATCGCTTGCACTAAACATTTAAACCAGAGGTTAGTTACAGAAAGACCAGCGTATTGGAATATCCTTCTTGAGCTCACAAAGAGGAAGGTGTTCGCCGCTCAGGCCTTCGATGTCTCGAACGAGATGGCGTTTTGGCATGATGAGCCAGTGAAATTGACCCGCAAGCCGCAGGTTCTCAATACCAATCACCTCATCATCCTTCAAAATGTAAATGGGTTAGTTTATGCCGCTATCTGCGTGCTCATTGACGGGGGTCGAGTGCCTACCTCGTAGACGATGGTAGCTAAATTTGCACGATCGCAGAATTTGCAGTTGTGTTGGACCTTTTCCGCCCATTCCAGGTTGGTAAGGTAGTGGTATGCTTTTCTGATCCGTTCCATTGAGTTGTGAGATGATTAATGCAGTGGGTCAAAATTGGGCAGTGATTTAGAATGTCCGACACAGTAGAAGGGAGAAAAATGCGATTGCCTTTTTTGGAAATGCCTCATAGAAACCACCAGTCTGTGTGTGACCTTATATGTCCAGTAGGCTGTATGCTCCCCGTGGCTGCTAGCCTGTGACGCTCTGCCTAAAGGTGTTCGCAAGGCGTCCTGCTGATGGGGCAGTGTTTTAGATATCCCAATCACTGCCTGTCCCTACTGTGGCGGGGGTAAATTTTCTTACATTTTCCGGCAATCTCAGATAAATTCCCAACTAACGTGGAGTCATTCAGTCAATTAGCCCATCTTGCACAGCCGAGTTGCACCTAATTGCTGACCACTCAATGCCTAGCGGCCTCCCATTGCTGCAGCAGGCGAGGCGCAGCAACAAACCGCACTATTAAATCCTCTGGAACGGTTTCAATTAAAACAATGTGTTGGATTATGGACCCAATTAACCCTGGCTACAGTAATATCTGGTATATGCTATACTTTTGGCTCAGCGGTTAATTGAACACAATGTATATAATACTGGGACGGTTTGTTTGCCGCCGAAGCGAGAACCCAATTCGTCTACGTGCTCTTGCTGATGGGTTTCAACTCGCGCCGACTGCTCTCCAGCGGATGAATTTAGTGGAGATTCAGCTTCAGACATTAAATAAGACTGCAGCGATAGAACATATGATAGCACATAATGCGATATGGCAACAGACCCGACAGTGATTCTCCTGCCCCGCATACCATTTCGACCTCTCATGGGCATTAATTGTTGCAGAGCCCTTCTTCGCTGAAGATTTCGCAACGTAAGAGCTCCGTCGCAAGGTTTCCCCAACTAGCCCGATTCGGCTGGTCGGAGTCCCTAGGTATAAGACCTCCAGCAAGAGCCAGTTCTAAATCGGTGGAATGGGCGCAGAGAAGCTCGAGTAGGCGTATTCACAAGTGTATACCCTGTGGCGATCAGGTTTTTATGCAGACGAGGAATTGGCATGGCGTCTATATGGCTGTAGTTGAGGCGGTTAGATTGGTTTATGCTAATGGCACGGCCAGGGGAATTTTGCCCCCGGTATACGCTGCTATTTAGCTGTCATGGGAGACTTACCTACGGACAGCAGCTACAAGTTAGCAGGATACACAGTCATTGCCATCGAGGAGGCGTTTCGGGCAATACAGCAAGACACCCACATGGCGCCAGCAACTTCATCTCCCTGCCGCGGAGCGCGGGACTAGACCCGAAGACCAGATCTTGACCAATCACTTGGACAGCATGGAATGTACCGTTCAGTTGGTACATGGCATCGACACGGATCCCGGGAATGTGGGCCGGGCCGTCGGCGGGATATTACGCCCCTGACGGGTATCATCTAGATATTCATGGCTTTTCACGATTGGACGGTCTCCCGCGTGAACCCAAGGGAGTAGAACCGCTGCATAGCCCCAGAGTACAAGATGCATGGAGCCTGCACGTCGTCACCGTCTGGTTCAGTTCCCTGTCTGGTGGATACCTCTCGTACCTGACGGAGCTGTGGTTCCGGCCAGTAACATACTAGAAGGAGAAAAAGAAATGTTAAAATCCAAGTCTCCCGACCTTTAACAAGGAAATCCTCGATCGTGGCCTCGAGGTGCCTCTGGCGTCTTTGAGATAACACCACTAAAATATGATAACCCCTGCAGTGGGAACATAGCGTTGTTTCTGGTTCGTGACTTGCTTTTTTATTACCCTTGTCTCTTCCCTCCCGCAGCCTCACTTTCCAGTACCATGGTTCACCCCCTGAACATCAAGTCGCCACATAAGCACTAAATCATGAATGATAACTGACCAAAGCGTTGCTCAAGACGAGAAAATTACTACTAGAGGATCATCAAGCGGCTCACGTGTCCTTTCATTCGTGGGCCCGACGATCATCAAACTAGGATGACCGATGTGATGTATCAAAACTGGAAATATGCCACTTACTTATGCAGGCCTTTCCTGTGAATGTCAGGTCAGTCCCTTATTTTACATTACAACGGTGCAAGATGAATGAGCATTGGCTTTGAGATCTTCCGAAGCTAAGGGACAGCCTACGTTGAGCCTATTAACCATCTTACGTGTGAGTTGCAAAGGGCGTACCAACAGGGAATCTTATTTTCGTTTGATTGCAGTGAAGCAGAATCTACTAGGCCCTTGTCTTCCACCATCAGATTTTCCCAAACCATTCTTTTGTATGGAGGCATTGGCGCTGTTGTCCCGTTTTTAGTTCCCAAAGCCGGCTGGCCGCCTACCTAGTTAGCGTGTGTACTTCCACAGCGATGTGGGGACTCTCTCTAGAAGCTCATCCTAGCCGGTCTCGCGACAGGCTGCCCCTGTGTTCTACTGTATTAGTACGTGGTTGAGAGAAGAGAGGTCGCCACTAAGTTCACCGACCACCCAACTGCCCTACGATCGAACCCGCACGGCGGTAGCCTCGATCTTGATGTCGAGAATCTACCCACATTTATCGACCAGCGTGGCTAGTTAGTGTTGTTTTCACGAGGAAACTCTTGGAGAATGCACGAGAATGGATCAACCCCAAGTGGATTCGATGTGCGAGCGGGAAAATGCCGCGTATTTGGTAGAAAAGCGGGCGACGGGGGGAACAACTTACCGAAGCAACTGCGACAACTTGTGATCCGTCATATTTCCTGTCGACGAGCACACAAGTCGGTTAATCAGGGCTCACATGTTACGGTCTCTTTCTAATCCGAGTCACCATGTTCAAAATTTTCCATTATATAAAGAAGCCGATGGTCCTTGTGATGGATGGTACGTTAATTATTTCCTCACTTTCAGTTTACCCCAAGCCCGAGGCAACGGCATTCAACGCTTGATGTCAACGCTCCATTCAGACAACACTTTTTTACTCAATTTGATCTTTACCTATCTCTCGTGGTTTGAAACCCTAATCGTCAAGCGTCCGTTATCGCAAGTGACCATGCGTTCCTTCACCCCCTCGCGCCCTGCGGAAGTCGAACGAAGCCTTAGTGGTGGGATTGAGGAGAAGAAGTTGGGGATCTGTTCAAAGATGAATAGGTCACGGGCTTTGAATAGCTGGGATAGAGTAAGAACCTGACGCAGGGTTATGTTGGCCAGAGTTAACTCAGTTCAGGGAATCATTCCGGATATCCTTCGACTAGATACACATGTGTATACACTGTATCTAGTGACCGCGAGCGATTTTGTCAGCGTACTCCTCCCACAAACGATGTTTTCTATCTTTGCCTGCATGTCGACCCATTTTACAACAGACCACAAGGGGCTTTCGGTTGTCGATTTCCTCCCTCGCCTGCATCTCGTCGTTGCTTGGATCTGGCTCCAATTATTGGTTCTGGATCTCGCAAACCAACGACTCCCCGATTCAGTTGCCGAAGACGAAATCAACAAACCATGGCGGCCGATTCCTTCGAAACGTTTAAGCAGAGATGGGGCCCGACAACTGCTGGTGGTCAGCATCGTGCTCACGTTGGGATTCTCCACCTACACGAGCAGCATCCCCCATACTCTTGTTTTGTTCTTGTTGAACTGGTTGTACAACGATTTGGGTCTGGCAAATGACCACTGGGTATTGCGCAATCTCCTTAATGCACTTGGCATCACATCCATTGGAGCTGGTGCTACGCAAGTTGCATTCGGTCCAGACTATGGCATTGATGCCAAGGCGTTGCATAAATGGTGGCTGTTGTGTGCCGGCATGATCTTAACAACAATCCATGGCCAGGATTTGTATGATCAGGAGGGTGACGCGAAACGATGCAGAAAAACGGCACCGTTGGTCCTTGGTGACAATGTTGCCCGCTGGACCATTCTCGTTCCAGTATTGGCGTGGAGTGGAATCATGCCAGCCTCGTTAGGCATGAGACCCTCGACAGAGTTGATAGGATGCGTGTTACCGATTCTCTTTGGCTGCCTCGTTTCGTCCCGCCTCTTATTCTGGCGTACCGTACAAGCCGACAAGACAACGTTCAAATGCTGGGCTACGTGGAGTGTTTGTCTGTATGCGCTCCCACTGTTTAAGAGCATGGAATAGATGCATGATCAATGTGGAGAAGGTCTTGTTAGTATTTGGATAAAACCTTCGGTTACATTTGCTATCACAATCTGTCTTCCTAACGACTTGTATTCTTGTCTCTTTCGCGTTCAAATGTGCAAGGCTCAAAATCAAGAGGCGAGGGCGGCAGGACACGACGAAGAGAAAAATACGGAAGAGGGTTTTAAAAAGAGGAACAAGGAGGAAATAACAATTTGGATAGAAAATAGATGGGGAACGAAAATAGAAACGAAGATTGGATAGATGTCACGACTTGTTAAGCAAGCCGGGCGGTCTACTCCAGCAGTAGTCAACCACACTTTCTCTCATTATGCCACACACTTAATAACATCATTGCAACTGTATCGTCTTCTACACCCCAAGCCGCCTATTTCGCTTTGATAGATCCAGCAAACTCCTTAAGAATGTTGACTGCCTAAGCTCTGGCCAATTCTCCTCGACAATGGCAAACTCCGCATGGTGCGACTCCCACAATGCGAAGCCACTTAGCCTGTTCTCACCACTTGTCCGTAGTATCGTATCGATTTGTGGTAATCCTAGTTGCGCCGAGTATGTCTGACGAGATATATCAGCCTCGGTGATATTTTTAACTGCCTCTTCCACTGACAATCCCTCCTGTAACACCTTTGCCTTCACGACCAGCCTTGCAGCGCGTGTGATTTCGGAGCGTCCGCCGTAGCCGATTGCCATTTGGAGGTTGAATTTGATGTTTTGGGAAGTGGCAGCTTCGGCTTTGTCAATCATATGATTGAGATGATCTGGAAGGATGGACCTGTTGCCGACGACTCGGAAACGGATTTCAGGCACGAGAAATGCTGCATCACCCGCCACTATCTCTTCAATGTACTCGGCCATCATTGAGAACAGCGGGTTGAGCTCCTGACTTCCACGTTTGAGGTTGTCGTCAGACAGTGCCCAAACAGTGAGGTTTCGAACTCCAGAGCTAAAGGCCCACGACAAAACCTGTAGGAGCTTGTAAGCACCAACTTGGTGGCCGTCCAGAACGCTTCCGAGCCCGCTATGGCGGGAATAGCGGCGGTTTCCATCCATTATTACACCCAGGTGCTGTGGTAGTTGATCGACGTTATGCAGGACCTTGCCCCGATAGTATGAACACTTAAGAACCTCCGTAAATTCTTCGCAGAATCTAGACACGGAGTAGATTGGTCGCTTGGCGTTCACTATTGTTGGTACGTGGGCTTCTATGTCTGGGAAGCGTCGGAGCGATTCATTAGGCAGCCCTTTAAAAAGACTGTCGTGATTGCTGCCAAATATCTCATGGTAAAGGTCGGTTGAAACATCGGCCATTCGCGAGTCTCCAGAAACCAAGAGATCCAAAGTACCATCCAAGGTCAATGTGCGAGGGCATATGCTGTAGTGAAAATGGGAAAGGAAGCAGCTCGCCTTTCTCAAACACCACCAAAAGGACATGTCAACGACGCCACGGCTGCATCTTTCATCTCTAATAACGTTGACTGATAGTGCCCAGACAAATCTCCTGAAAAGAAACAATGCAGCGACAGTGAATGGCCGTCTCAAAAGCCCACCGTCTCCAGGTGCGCCCTTTTCTCCAGCAGATTGCACAGAAATAAATACTCGTGCTGGATCTTCGGTGTTTGATGTCCATCAAATTGTAATTCATTTTGCAGATACTGTTCTACCTCAGTCATCGTCATCGGCACCTTTCGTCCCAGATCACTTGGGTCGAGCTTATCGGCCATGCTCTTGACAGCCTTCACTGCTCCGTCTGCTTCCTCTGCAGTTATGCTCCCCAAAAACTCATGTGTCTTGACAATTGCGAACACAAATGTTGCAAAAACTACAACATTGGTCTCAAAGACAAACAACGGAATGGAGCGGTGCAGCTTTTGCAGCCAGTTTATGACTTGACGTCGTTGGGAGCTCTTGGATCGGATCATGATAGAAATGAAGGTTACAGTACGTACAAGTCGACGCCAGGGGTCGGTCTTGTATGTACTATGGGCCTTGATTACTTTCGAAAGTTCTGGGTGCGAAAGCTGGAGACTCGAGGCGACGAGGACGGCGGAGACCATAATGTCTCCTCGATCGAAGAGGGCGTGTAGGTTTTCAAAGGAAGGATATTTATCTCTCCACACTAGTTTTGTGGCCTTGATATCCTTCCCATAGCGTAGCAACAAGGTCGTAACGTAGTAGGCTATTGCGACGGCGGACAAGATAATTATGAGCAGGCCGCATTTCAGGAGGAGGAGTTGAGAGTCCATGTTGGGGTAAATTGAGCATAACAATAACAAAGGCGTCGGTGGGTGGTTGTTCCGACTTTGGCCAGGGAGCAGATGAGAAGGCCCCGTGAGTTTAGCGTTTACAATACATTAACAAGTATACTTTCACCATCGCCATTATATCTCTCTCAATCAAGGAAGGGCGTCAATGACACATGTAATCCATCTCCCTCCCTGCGTGAAAATCTAGCTATCGGATAATCCCGTGTCTTGGGAACCTGACGCAGGGATAAATTGCCCGGAATGTGGATAGCTGAGTAAAGGATACAGTGATAAGTGCATGAGATATGATGCAGTGATATAAGCAGCCATGCCGTGCTCGCTCAGTCTACCATGTATAACTTTTTTAGCTTTACTCAATATCATCAGATAAACCAAAGCCACGTAGTCCCCACGATCCCTCTCTTCGCTTTCATCGTGGCAATAGCCGGACTAGATACGGGAAGAGCTACAATCAATTCTCAGGGCCATCGATTATTAAGGCAGTCGTACGGGCAAACCTCGAGGATTGTAAAGCGCTCCAGTCACAGCCCTAGCATTTGTAGTGGGGAGAAGAATATTTCCTACTTGTGGCGAAACATCATGATTGGGTCTGCTATGATACCCTCTTGACCTTTCGATGTGAGACCTGCATGGATCAGGTCTGTCTCAGTTCAGAATACAAGACTGGTCTCGGTTGAGAATGCAGTACGGGTCTGAGGCTGCAGCACTGGAATCAATCTGCTTCAAAGGATCCAGCCTATCGCTGAAAATAAGATGCAAGAGAAAGACGGATTGAGTTTCGTCCCGCCGCCCCGGTATTTGGTTTTCACAAATTCCCGCACATCCCATCTGGAAATACTCTTTTGGGGACCCCTAAGTATTTATCAACTTTGAAACAGGGCTCAGATGTTAATTGGTTCTGCTGGTTATTTTAGTCAAACAATCGCTGAGATTTATCGATGAACTGACCAGTCTTGGCTGCAAGGCATTTATCGAAAAGCCCAGACCTTCTTAAGCCGGTGGAGAAATTTCACAGGACAAGCCACGATACCTGTGCATATTTGCCGATGTCGAAATGAGACAAAGCGAATCAGATGTCAAATTCCTACGTTTAGACTGATGGCTTGATTGCAATGTGCTGTGTACACAGCGCAGTTTCCCTTATCGCTATCTTGTGCATGGAAACACCATCGCGTTCCAGCAGACTACCCTAGAACACCATCCATTTGCTGCGGATGGTCGAGCCGGACGAGGAAAAATACCAATTCGGCCAAATGATACAATAAAAGAAGGCGGTTTGGCTTTTTCTGGTGTACATCACAAAATAAAGCGCAGGGAAAGGTCAATTTGGTGGTGAATACTTATTGTGGGCTTATGCCTGAAGAACATCCTGTTCTTTTGTTTGTAGGAGACGCTCATAAAAATTCATCCAACGTATCTTTTCCCACCTGGTATTACCCCATGAACTGATCTAATAACCCGAACAATTGCCAATTAAAGATTGTGATACCTTTCGTGGATCATTGAGTCGTTCCACACTTCCACTATGCGCTCAGTCACGAAGTGCGTGGCGGTGCATGCGCGGGTCGTGGCCAAAAGCGGTGTGTTGACATGAGATGAGAAGTATCGGGAGATTTCGGTGGGATGATGCATGAGAGTTATTTCGCTATGGAGAGTTTTCCACGTCAAATGTCACTCCACGGAGCCAAGTGCCAAGAGTTAAGCGCCAAGCGCCAAGAGTCAAGAACCAAGAATCAAGACGATAGCCAAGGCCGGGTTGACGTCACATCCCTGTCGGTACTTGAGATACAAAGCCTCCTAAAACCTCTCTCTCTTAGCCATTATAGCTTTGGGGGAGAAGTGAAAGTCTTGGGAGATATTCCGGATTGGCAATAAGTTGAAGTCGCCTGGGCATCGAATTTCAACGTTGATTGGCCAGATTAGAAGCAGTGGTTAACCCTGGAGACAATCCTTCGTATGTAATATGATAATCTCTTTTCGTATCAGCCGGTCACTCAGACCGGTATTTTCGATCGGAGTCGATACAAACCAAAACGCCGTTGGAGTTTCTGTCGCCCCTCAGCCCACCCAACGGACGTGTGCAATCCATGCCAAGGTTGATGAACGGGACTTTTTTCTCGCCGATTTGCGTGGCTATCGTGGAACCTATTCCAAAACTCCGAGGAAGGTCAATAACATGACGAGATTAAGGCGTTAAACCCCCTTTCACATGTCTTTTGGCTTGACAGGCGAGGTCCGGCTTGCTCCCCAACATTGTTCAAAGCATCATCACTCTACCCATGCCATTATATCAAATCTATCACACCACAGGCCCCTTCTCAAACAGTATTTGAACCGGCCTCCCCTCGAATAATAAGCATAGCTTTCTCAGACAGCCATTTCTCACATTTCCTTCATATACATCTTGCCATCCTACTCGCTCTGAGGCCCCCTTCTTTTAGGGAAGTCTCAGCCGCCATTCTTCCCTTTCGCCGCCATTTTCGAGGCTCAGCCTCGAACGGAGTACTGGAGGGCATCATCAACCAGATCGTGTGAATTCTACAGAACGCACAACCATGTCGGACATAAACAGCACTCTCCCGGCGGGATATAGAAGGCCAACGTTTCACAACTGCAAGGACGGCGTCTCGGATCTTTGCCCCGCAGAGGCCTCGCTCTACGGCGGTTATTTCACTCTCGGAGCTTGCATATTTTTTGTCGCTGCTCATAGCCTTGCTCTTATCCCTCAGCTAGCACTCGGATTTAAAGGCCGCACCTGGTCTTTCTCGTCGTGGCTGACAATGGGTATCCTGTTCGAGATGATGGGCTACACTGGGCGCATTATCATGAGCTCTGATCCCTGGGTGTATGGCGCCTTTGTTCTCCAGCTTGTGATGCTCATTCTCGGGCCAACACTGGTTGCCGCGAGTATCTCGGTGACGTTTAAGCACATTGTGTTGTGGTACGGACCCGAGTATAGCATTTTTAAGCCTTGGCTATACCCCTGGGTCTTTGTCGGCACGGATCTCTTTTCAATCGTCATCCAGTCTGCCGGTGGTATTGTTTCCGCCAAGGCAATTGGCGGAGAGGTTAAAAACCAGGAGCTACTCGACGTAGGATCAGCGCTCCTCGTTGCCGGGACGACTTTCCAGATGGCCAATATGGTGGTTTGCGGTGGTTTGATGGTGCTGTACCTATGGAGACGACGCCATGGGATCACTAATAATGCGGGAGGAGTGCGATCATCCGGTGCCGAGGCCCACAATGCGAACAGTTGCGCAGAGTCTGAACAGACGATCAAGCCAAGCGACAAAAAGACGAAGATGTTCGTTCGCGCAATCACTGTGGCATACATTCTTATCATTATCCGTTGCGTATACCGGTAAGTTTACGTTTCTACCACGCCTTTATTGTAGGACTAAAGACTAAATAATGCAATAGTGTTCCCGAGCAACAGATGGGTTGGGGCAATGACCTCATGCAGAACGAAGCGACCTTCTTGACTCTCGATGGTGCTATGATGCTGATCTCGATCTGGATTCTCACGGTCTTCCATCCTCAGTTCTTCTTCCCCTTTCTCTCGAAGAAGTCTGGAGAAGGCATCCTGGCCGATAAATCGCTGGAGGGCGGGTCGAGCCAGGAGGGACCGGAGATGGGATCCATGTTCAAGACAGGATAGTGGAAGGAACCATCACGAGAATGTTCCTTAGAAGGCCGTTGGGATGACATCTCATCCCCACTTTCAATTCATTTCCGGATAACTTTGTTAAATTACTTTAGTGCTCATATCGATACAATGGAAATGGCTAAATTAGTTTTCCAGGACTACGTAGGACGAGACTCCGCGCTGAAGAAGTACGTTATGCAGATACCCGGACTGTGGACTTTGGATAACCCGGTAAAATAATTAAGAGACTGATTCACTTGCTTCAGCTCGTGAGCGACAGAATTAGTGTAATGGTACCAGAGGAGAAGGGATTGTGTAGGACCCAATCCCTTGGCCTCGAAAATATGGCGGGTTGGCGGCAGAGTAAAAATGGGCTGTTCACATTGCCTGCAGTAGGCACGACACGAAAGAAAAGAACTGTATTCGACATAACTCCCATCATCCTAAGCCCGTCATAATGGAGAGGTCGGGTGTTTCACTTCCTGCACCTGTATCGCCATATCATTTATAACGTAGATGGCCCCCATTTCTCCACTTCCAGTTTGGCGTGAGCTGGGTAATTGGATGGGAGTGACGACTTGGTGTCCTTCTGAAGTCTGTTCAACGTTGGTGGTTCTCGATAGGCCACGCTCCGTATCAGCCAATTGATGACTTGAGCCTGATTCTTCGCTGTCCTTTCCCTCGCTCCTTGCGATGGTAGTCAACCTGATGGTGTTGATAGGTCGGCTTTTTGGGTGGCTTCTGCCGTAGGAGCTCAGGAATGACCGGGGAAGGATGCGGCGAAAGATCGGCCGAAGCAAAGGGAAGCAAGCTAAGATAGATGGGTAAGTGGTCCTGGAGTGGAAAGGATGTAGTCATAGATAGTTACCGGAGACGATTGCGATATTGAGCTCAACTGCTCCCCACATGAAATTCAAGGCAACGTCGTGTGACATTTCTGTTGTATTGACGTCGTATCGAACCGACTCAATAATGACGAATATCGATGCGAGGCACACACTGGGGTCATTAGCGGTTGTGCATGTCGGGGTGGTGGAATGGAATCGGAAACGTACATGGAGCCGATGACGAAGAGGCCCATAACCGCAAGCTTCTGGCCAAGAGGTAAATGAAGTCTGCTTAGTTCAATAGTCGGCAAGACGAGAATAATGACATCCATGACGAAGTGTGTCAGGACGGTGCCGAAGAAGAACTGGGCGTCATTGATCTCGCAGCGAGCATTCTTGATTGACTTATCCCAGTAGGCCTGGACGGGGATGCAGTGGAAGATTACCATAAAGGTCCGCAGGATGATCCAAATGAGCGATATCACAAACATTATCTGAATGGGGATTCGAATGGAGGATAGCTTGAAAAGGCGCCAGTAGAGGCCCAGTATTGCGAACTTTGACGACGCGATCGAGAAGGCATAGCAAAATTGGCTACAGTACATGAGAAGTCTTGAATGCAGCAGCTGGTGTTCTCGCTGCGCTTCGCTGAGGGACGGGTCGACGAATTGGCCAAGCCCCCAGTCAATGGTCCCTGGGTGGCAGTTAATACTTGCAGAACGTGCTGGAGGTGCCGTAGGAAGTGGTGTCTACATATTAGCAGGATGGTATTGTATCCGCTGGCAAATACCTTTTGTTTGTGTGGTTTGTTAGCGCTCGTTTCATCCAGTTTGTTGCTTCAATTTTGCGCTGACTCTTAATCTGCCGGGGTGAACTCACAAATGCTGACACGCAGAAGTAGTCATCAAACCACCAGGCCATTTTCGTCATGCGTCGCGCGACGACCCGAAGCACCAGCGCAGTGAGCGCGGCGGCCCAGGTGATGGAGATTGCGGCGAAGACATTCGGTTGGAGCCCAGTCATGGTGGAGACTGCTAGCTCTCACGAGGTTGTAGTCATGAGGGGGGGAGGGGCTCGAGGATGTCCGAGGATTGAGGTGACAAGAGTGAAGTTTCCAGGATCAGATCACGCAGCGACTGACAATGATCAAAGAAATGCGAGCGGGGGGCGGAGTGGCGGGGCGGTGATGGGCATTTGAATGGGGGACTGTCGGTCAGATTCACATTTGGCTAGCCGTAGGTACTATCTTGAGTGGCCAGGTTGGTAGCTTCATGCGAGAGGGTCACATTGACAGGACTAGAGGCATGGAAGCCAATCTGGGGAACGAATTGCCGGGTCAGATTGTCGGGCTAGGACGCTGTCTTGCTTCTAGAACACAGCAGATTGCAGCCTTACCTCAATGCCGCGCCTTGGGCCTCTGCTATCCCAGCTGCAAAAAGCAGGTTCTGGAACAAGGCAGAATCAGCCCCAAACTCGGCAACAGTGTCACGTCGTCAGCTGGTGAGAGCCTGTCGTGGCACTCGATCACAAAGGGAAGCGGGCTTGGCAATGAATTCTTCACGAGGGCACTCTCATAAGCGGTGAACAGGGCTCTCAACCACCATCTACCGAGATGAATGGACCCAGGCTCCGCTCCCAGGGCTGTACCTTAAACCGCTCAGCACTGTATTACGGATGTACGGAATACACAGCCGAGGGCAGGGGGAGCAGTGAAAAGGCTGGCGTGCCACGGCATTGCAAAGAGCCCAAGGCGATTGGACGCTGCACCAGGGGCCCTTCTTATCTTCAGCTTCGCTGCACTTGATGCGTCATTTTCGTGGCAATCGCTTGAAAGTCGGGCGAGAGGTGGGCGCAGATCAGCGCCTGGCGTGGTCTGCAGGATGCTGATGTGCACAACAGCAAGCCAACGATAAGCCAGCCGGGAGGTTGCGGACAGGGATCTAATCCAATCATAAGCGAATCCGAGCTGAAGATTCCTCACCAGGCAGCCATTAATTGATGCCCTTTTATTATCTTCCCCTGCGCTGGCCATGGGCTTTATCAACAGAGGGGCACTGTCGATCATAATACATAGACGCTTGCTTCATCGCAGTCGCATTCGCTCTACTCTGTGCGTGGATGGGACAGGGACTCAACGTGCATTGGTGTAAGAGGCGGTCCAGCCGATCCGATTGATGGCACTGAACAGTAGCGCCGATGGTGTCTCACCATTCGATCTCGGCTTTTGTATCGATCAAATGCACATGGAAAGCTGAAGCCTTATTATACCCAGATCGAGGGGTAATTCACATCTGCTATTTTCCTGCATATTAATATTGGCCCCAGCCAAGTGGGCAGTTCGTGGATGGCCTGTAATGCCGGATCTAAAAAGGATGCTTATCCGTACGGTTTAAATTAGAGCGCGATTGCAATGGCTCAATATCATTTAATCAGTGGGCAATTGCAGTGAAATTAAACTATTCTTGCCTGCCGCTTCTAAAGTATCGTAGAGCCATATACAACTTCACCTGCCAACCCTGATGCACCCACGATACAAATCTTTAATATCCCATAGCACGTTGATCATTATTATTCTTTCAATGGATGAAATAAGCCTAACTGACTGATGAAGTTTCATAAGACCGGTGGCGTTATTTGTTTGAATAGACCTGCATTATCGCGTAGACAGTCAATGCGACTGTGCAGATCAATGAATGGATGTGAGTGAGTTTGAGATCTCGGGACTTGAGTTCTTCTGTTATCTCAAGAAAATGTAGTCAATGGTATTAGCCCGGTTTCCATGCCGCTCTAGAAAACTCACCAAGTATTACCGGACCCAAGGCTCAGACGACAAGTGTGTCTAGGAGCTTGAGAGATCGCTGCATACATGGCCAAGTACAAGACGTGTACTAAAGTGACCAGGCAGATGGTTGGAAGTTTCGAATTTGACATCTCTGTCATCTCTGACAGAAACTGGACTGCACTGGACAACATATAGCTCCCAATTTACCCTATACTGATACAACACTACAGCCGACATCTATATAGAATATAATACCATCTCCTAGCTTAACCTCACTTAATTAATCCTGAAAACCTTTTAACAACCTACATAATAGGTTTTCTAATTACCTACAGCAAGAGAATCTCGGCTCCAGCAACCTGACCACTCAATATACTGTTCAGCTTATAGCAGAGCTGAGTTCTTCAAAAGCAGGAGTAGTTCAGAATGACGCTCAAAAGCCTCCTAAGATCAAATTGTCAACTCTGCGAATCGATTTCTTAAGCTATCCCACTAGAATACCTAGCATGACGTATGCTCCAACTACAGCGACTAGCTTGGGTTTTTGGATGACATCAGCGAGGACAATACGACCCAACTTCAGAAAGAATTGAGTCTACTGGGTATGATGGACCGAAATAACCCTCATAGACCTGATATAAGAAACATAAGTCCATCCAATTAGCTGTTAAGTAACTCGGCTGGAGCTTTGAGCAGCTCCTCAAACAAAACGAGCTCGACCACTGCAGTCTATTAAACTAGGCATGCAGAAATGAGCCAACTCTATATTCCGTTGGAACTTATGCCAACATGCACTTTGGGAAAACGACGACGTACTATTGTTGCCGTTCAGTCTGAATTCCTCCTACTAGATGTAATTAGTGAAGGAATACTGTTGACAGTGAGGGCGGCAATAGTGTCTCCTCCTTTTGAACTCTGATCTGGTATGATTTGTCATCAAGATATAGGTAAGAGCGAATAATGGCAATGATGTATTTATGTAAGTGTAATGGGGACTTGATAGAATTTAAGTAAAGAGACAATCAAGGTCAAATTGAGTTCCATGCCTTGCTGCCCCAGGCAAGCTGTTGCAATTCATTAGCTAGCTAGGCACAAATCCACTGATGATGCAATCCCCAAGCCAGATGATCTTATACACAACGATAGACATGAGCTTCCTTTTTTGATGTCGTCCAGCGATAGACTCAATACCCAAACAGCGTCATTCCCGGGGAGCCAAAGCTTATCTGCTTCACCCGCCCACTGTGATGCGAGCCCAGAACCCTCGATCTCATATTCGTAGATGATGCCTTTTTGAGGGGATCGGCTGATGAGAAAATCAGTCCTAGTACGTGAAGCCCTCTCCACGGAACCCCCCTACTGATGGAGTAAGCGAGACACCTAACATCCATTACACTCAGAGACATCACCAGAGTCTACGCATATCTTTGGTTTCACAAGGGGCGATTCAGTAATCGATTCTTAGACGTAATTGGGGTTTTCTGTATAATATGGCATCTACATACACCGACGGCCGTCGATCAGGTACGGCTCCACTGACGGGCTAGCTGCGCATGTTGACTCGTTTACTCATTGATTCTGACAAAGCACTCGACTTGACGATTGGGAATTTCCTCGACCGCTAGCTTTCACTGGACCTAGTGAGCCGGTCAGTAGGACTACCTCGCGGTAGCTGATCTCGGCTTACTGGGGGGTAATGCTAGCCATCAGGCAAAAGAGGATTCCTGCTTCCACCCTCACGCGGTTATTGGGTGGCACACGAATATAGGTTCCGGTCTGCCACCTTATCTCAGACCATCTGCTATCCTGAGTAGATCGGGTAGAGACAACAGGTTCATAGTCTCCGTCACTATGGACCACGGCGAAACCGCTGGCTGGTTTCGGCATAGATGGATAGCTCCGGAGGTAACCTAGCGGGATAATAATAATGGTTTGTTCTGTTTGTGAACGAAGTGATCCACCGCTCATCATTATAAACGGACTATGCTGTCGAACGAGAGCTCCGGTACCGTAAGACTTCTCTAGGTCGGGTATGAGATCATTTACCTAAGGTACCAGTTAATAAATTACTTAGAAGATGCCGCTCCCACTTACATGCTGTTTTGTGAAGGCATCGTATATTTCCGCATGGGTTTTTGTCATATTGTACTCGTGCATACTCATTCCTCCAGTCTCAGACGTCTTGAAGAAGGTGCTTTCATTGTGTTCGTGACAGGCTCGGACAGCCAGGTTGCGAATATCCGGGTGTGCTTCGAGGACAACTGCCTTATCCATCGGGCTTGAACTCTGCCAGCTGCGCCTCCTTGGGAAGGCAAATATAAGTCTCGGGAGGGCCTTGTTCTCGTATTGACGGCGTGTCAGGTCTAAGATTGGAGGCGATGGACTTCGTGGTAGCTCTAACGTACGTAGAGGGCAGTGGTTGGGTTTTGATGGGTTGTGGTGGGATGTTTTGGGCATCCGGCTAAACTGCTCGCGTGAGGTCACGGGACTACGGTGGCACCTTGGGCAAGGTGCGCAAAAGCAACAATAAAAATCCGGATACAGAAGGCTATAGGCCTGGGGCGCCAAGGGCGCTATATCCGCTATAGCTACAGAAGGTTAGAGTGCTGTAGCTGCTAAGCTATTTTATAAAAAATGTATAATGTACATGATAAGCGAGCTGGCCGGATAAGCGAGCTGGCCACCCGCTCGTGCCCTTAATATATTTTACTTTCAATCTGCTATTTCTCCACCAAAAATTATAGAAACTCTTAGCAAAAAGAATCAAATAATCCTAGCTATCGAAGCTATCTAAAAAGACCCCCAGCTAAGCGCATAAGTAGCAGCTAGGATCTATAATATTAGTTATTTAACGCTTAGTACTTATCTTAAGGGAATAACTCCTCAACGCAATAGTATGCCCAATTTACATAAACTTATAGATTTAAAGGAGAAGATAATTATTAAGTATATTCTTAACCTAGATTTATAATTATTTCCTCTCTGGCTTTATAATATAAAAAATATAGCTAATTAACTACTTGCTAACTATAATATACCTCTAGTTAGTAAGTACTAGGCTTTAAATTTTATTAAATACTAACTAGAGCTTAAAATATATTTTATATATAGATATAACTATTAAAGAGCTTAATATAAAGATTCTAATATTATTTAAAGCTAGTTTTAGCTTATATAAAATATAATTATAAAATATAATATTAATAAGTTGAATATCTATAACTTTAATAAAACTAGGTTTATAATAGATATTATCTTAATTAGAATAGTTATTATAAATACTAAATAATATAAAAAACTAAAAATAACCTAGTTAGAAAATAGAGAATAAGTTATAGTAATTTAAAGTATTAATTTCTAAGAATAGGCAATCCTACTATTTATTATTATTATAGGCTAATATTATCTTATAGCCTAGTATAATAAAAGAATCCTATCTTAAAACTAGATTATTATAATTTCTAATAATAGCTAGATAATAAATAAAAAAGGCCTTAAATAGATCCAGTACTTTAATAAATATTTAAAGGTATATTCTTCTAGCTTTTATTACCTTCTTATATTAAATAGGCATAAAAGCTACTATTTAACCAAATTCAAGCTATTCTATAAAAAAAAAAAATTATTACTCTATATATACTACTATATTTATTTTATATCCTCTAGCTACTTAATATTAGCTACTTTAAGCTACTTAAGCAGGCCTACAGTCAATAAATTAAGGATATAATAAAGACCTAGATTATCTATATTACTAAGGTCAATTTCTTTCCTATATTTCAAGCTGCATTTCAAAGCGTAATATCAGAAAAAAACATCTAGAGAGGTTTTCAAGGTATAGAACTTATCCCCTATAATCCAGAAAGTGTACTTTCTCAATTAGATATCAAGTTGCAGACTCTATCGCCTGCGGAGGGGGATTCCAAGCTGCCTAACCTCTAGGTTCTAAAAACCCCAAATAACCTAATTAAAGCTACTTCACAAACCAATTTTATTAAAGATCAAATCAGCTATTATCAGGGCAGCTCTTCGATATCCATTCTAGCTACTATAAACCAATTTGCAAAGAGAGCGCGAGGAATAATATACTAAATGGCATTATTAAAGATAGAGGTTAATAAGCTTCAGGAGGTAAATACAACCCTTAGCTAACAGCAAAGAGTAAAAAAAATACAACTCTAATATTTAGGCAGTATAATAGTAGCTAAGGGGCAGGAACTATAAGATTAGAGGGAAATTGCTAAGTAGATATAGCAGGAAATACTATAAAATTATAGTTAGAAGAGGCAGATGGAGATAAGGGAATAGCAATATAGAAGATATAGGCAACCTGGGTATAATACCCATACCTATAAAGCTAATATAGATATATCTAATAAAGATATTAGTGATTGATTTTAGTTGATTTTAGGTATTGTGGTTGTTTTATCTTAATATCCATTCGTAAAGGTGTAGTTAGGTAGCCAGCTTGCTTATCCGGCCAGCTCGCTTATTATATACATTATATATATTTCACCTTTGTTAAATTTAGTCCGAAGAATATCTCGTACAGATACTAGATCCTCTAGAGACCGTGGTATTGAAGGTATGTGATCATCATACAATAACCGTCAGGTATTTCCCAGCATAACGTGACGCGTGGTTGTGATTTTTTCAATTTCGGATTTTCATGGTTGCACTTTTGCGCACCTTGCCCAACCAGCACCAGTCAACTCAGCCACAGTTTATTGCCGATGCAACTACAGAGTAAGTACAGAGTACATTTTAGGTATCAGTGCTTATGTAATATGTCTCAAACTTTCCCGCCTAAAGCGATTTTCTCACTATTGCACCAAACCTCAACTCTTTTTCTCATTACATCATCGCGAGACAATGCGTATTTCAACATGTCTTTCAAGCATATTCGACCGTGGTGTGGACTGTGCAGGTTTGAATTTGCTCAAGGCGAAGATGTTTTAGTTGGTTTGGTGGCCATCACTTATCCGAGGTGATCAATAGCTAACCGAACAACTAGTGACTCAAGATAATTTGCTTTCACAGAGGCCAAAATACTTCTCTACCGGATTAGAAGAAGATGAAGAAGAATATGAAAACTCTGAGGCCGAAGCAGAATAAGACGAAGAGCCAGAAGCGGCAGGGATTGACTATTACTTCCCATCATTGGAAGAAATCTCACAGAATAGACAGGCTATTGGCTGTCATCCAGGATGCATTGAGTCCCAGCAGCTCGGGGATACCTCGCGTCCAGAATTCATCAACATGGTCAAGAACGATTACATACCCTCACTCCTCGAGCTTAATCGACGTCACAAATAGTTATAAGCGAGATTTACCAACATCTTGTGTCATACATACAGTTTCAACGGGGATGTATCCCGCATGGTTGTTTAACACTGCCTCTCTGCGCTTATACTAGCCCACACAGTGCATATTTCTAAAATAGTTGCAGTACCAGCCGGTATAACTACAATTTTACCTACAGGGCCACTTTAAGCCAGGTATATCATATTCAAGGGAGTGTCTTATATTGCGGTATTGTCAAATAAGCGCCCTCGAATACAGGAGCAAGAAGAACAGCAAATCAGGAAGATCAAACCACCCCAAGGCCCTGTAGATTTGATTTATATAGCCCATAACCATTTAGGCATCCGCAAAATTAGGGCTACAAACTCTAAGGAAGAATCAACTATTAAGACAATACCGGGACTATAGTGGAGGACTCTACCTTTATTAGAACACACCCAACTTCAAGCTACAACCGATATAAGATAACACACTTTATTCTGAATATTTCTTACTCACATCATACACAGGGTATCAAACTGCACAGGTTAGAATATGGACAAAACCCAGAGTCAAAATCCTAGGCCATTCCGCAACTACTTACTAAACCTTTCCAGTCCTACATTCTCAGCAAGGCTTCCCAGATACCAAGGATAAGTCTTCTTAACTGCAACTATAAGAGTATCATAGGGTATTCAGCATATTAGCACTCCCAGATTATAGCAATCCATGTATATCGTCTGGAGAATGATTTTAAGGATGACAGAAAGTTTTACCAAACTTAAATAACAAAGCGCCGGGCAGCAGTTTAGCTTCATCTGCCAATAGACAAAGGTAAGTTTATCGCCGAAGTATAAAAACGCCCAAATCAGTATCCAGGACAAGAGCTTATTATAAGTTTATTAATTAAGTTCTATATTAGTCCTAATACCATATAGATAAAGATAAATACTAGATGCATTTGGGCAATCGGCCTACAACCTAAGAAAAACCAATATCTCGACTATCTGCTTCTTAGCCGGTTAATAACATCTCCAACCCGGCTCTTCTTCGAAGAGTCTTAGTCCGGTATTAGGGAGGTTGCATTTAAAGGCCTAAATATACAAAAGAGCGAAACCAATCCGCCATTTAAAATCAAACAACTCACATACCCTATATCAAGACCAGAGGAGCAACTGTTTTATACATCAGCCCCATTAACTCATGTCACTGCCATAACTTCATGCCATTCAAGACTTGAAGGGGTTGCGGCTATTATTAGTCTGCTTTTAGAGTATCAAGATAGTTGAAAACGGTATGTTGGACAGATGCGTCTGGACAGCCTCAAAGGCACGGTGACGGTCCACGATTCCACAGGAATAATGTTTCTACTCTCGCCGGACAAACGGAAGGTTCTTGACCTGCAGGTGTGTTATGAAGTTGAAGCAGGGGGGTGGATCAGGATGCCATGGAGCGGGAGTTTAGGTTGGTGGTTCTCGGGCACCGGTTGTAAGTTACGTCACGAGCTTCCCGCCTGACGCTTTTCCCACCTCGGAGACTTGAATCTCTTGAAGAGTAAACTTTGTTTAAGACGAAATCATCATTACCTCACTTTCAAATGCAACATGCCCGTGTATAGCCGCTGACGATAAAACCTCCCTTCAAATAAAATTCAACAGCCTCGAGACCCGTCAGTTCCTCGATCTATACCGTCCTTGATTAAATTCAAGCACGACGCTAGTTGTGTGGTGGTGCACTGCTAATGGGACCGTCACGATGCCTCGGCGGCTGGGGCGCCTTGGGAGGAAAAATGTCCTCCAAACGCGGCACCATGATCATCTGCAACCAGCGTCCTCAACTCCTAGACATAGAATCCAATTACTTCAATCTCTACCTCCGTACTGACACAGACGATTTGCTATAACAATTGTTTCCAATCTGCCTGTTGCTGGAATTTCAGTTTCCCTTGCCCCACACACTCGCTACACTGGTAACATCGCGTGCCTCCGCTAGATGCGCAGGACTATAGGGTAACTGATGTCAATAATGTGCTAAATTGACTGACTGCCTCTGCTTTTACTCTTCCATACCCCCGGCTTCTTGGCAAAGTCATTTATGGAACCCCACTCCCATCTCCTAGCCAACTCGAGGCTTATAAGTTATAAGCACCATAAGACCCCGCAAAATTCTTCATCATTCATCTTGCACTCCTTCGCCGTACAGCTATGGCATCCTTCACCCCAATCCCGACGTCGTTGATCGACCTGCCGAGTCGTTTGCCACGTCGTTTGCCCCCCGAAGAACCCGATAGACAAGTACGAGCGTACTTGAAGCTACTCAGCCGATTATCATCCTTTCATGACCGCCCGTATTCATGGGGTTACACTATTTTCCGCACCGTCTATACCCCTGAATCAGATGAGACGTTTCCAAAAGCCATTGAAAGCCTTAAATTTTGGGCAAACCGTTTTGTTATGAGAGAACTCGAAGTTAAGCGGCTTCCCAACGAGGCCCCGCTGGATCCCGCCCCCAACGAGGAACTAGCTCGGCGATTCCACTGCGATATTATGCAAGATGCCGCAACTCTGGATGGAGCGGGCGTCGAGGAAGTGGGCAAGCGCTTTGACGCCTGGGTCAATGAACATCTACAGCCAGAAGTTGGGAAGCGCATGGTGATGGGAAGATATTCTTTTTGCATCATGCTCGATCAACAGGGCATAGATCATCTGCTACAGATGCGCGACAACCCGACACCCCACAAGGCATTTCGCGCTCAGCTAAGGCTCCATGTCAAGCTCTTGACCGACTGGCAGCGTGACCCCGAAGAAGGGGGCAGATTTTGGATTCGGGTAGGCATTCAAGACCAGCTGTTCCCCCTATGCTTTGGATTGGGTGATTCAGATATTTCTGAACTTGGGTTGCCGGATGAAACGGACGGGGTTCATAATTTCTATGGCATGTTCCCATTTCATCCGGAGCTGGACTAGATATGAGAGAATGTGCTTCATTTTACCCACTCGTACGTCGGTACCATATAGGAGGCCAGAATATTCCTGCAATCTGGCAATTCGGTACGTAGAGATAGGTTAGCTGCGAGTTGCTGGGCGATGTTGATGCCCGCGCCCATGCAATGGTGGCGCAGCTGTCCAGCTTTTGATCCACCTCCAAGCCAGACCAAGTGTCGTTTGCCGAATATTGGACGAGGCTAGCACATGCGAGGGGAAGAGGGAGCTCTGTGCCGATGGGAATTCCACTGCAATTCTGGATCGCCGATTTGACATTGTGGGCCACGGGAGAGACGTTGTTGAGGTAGGCTACTTCCTCACAATTATCATCGCCTTCGCCGACTGCGTAAAGATTGTCGGATACACAGAATTAGAAAGCTAAATCATCCGAAATATGGTCTAGGGACGGTTGGATTGCCGTCGGTCCGTCTTCAACGCATTGTTCGTAGGCGAGTTCCAAATCGACCTGAAGCCAGTCGTCATAGAACGAATACAGTGAGCCTTGCATCATTGCTAGCTTTTTCACGTAGCAGTCGGAGCATATCTCGTTGACTCCGGCCTGCATGGGTGTGGCGGTAGTTGTCGAGAAATGTTGTAGTCCTAACATGCCGTCTCGACACTTGTGAACTAATCTATCAGAGACTCGTTGCATCCCTCATCGCAAATTGAGCCAGCTAGGGTTTTTTTAATCGAGAGTGCCTCTATCCCCGACCCCCCAAACATGGTCATATAGCAGTCGCACAGAACCTGGGAGGCTAATGCCGTCTTGAACATATCGGGCACGTCAAAGTTTCGCAGTGCGTCCAACGTGTACATCTGGAACCCTGTTAACGTGCGACACCCCCGGAGATTTCCTCAGAGCCCTGCACCCGGGCAGGAAACAACGACAAGAAGCCGTTGACATTGTGCTTGGCAGGTGTTGTAATGCCCTGCATGGTGTCACCCTCTCAACCGTGATTTCGGTAAAGAGGTTGTAGATCCATAGGTCCTAACGCTATTTTACCTTGACTCCGAGCAGTCTTCCGTGTCAAGACAATCCTAAATGTATTTAAAGAACCACGAGTAGAGCCCTGCGCCCGACAAATAGACAGCAGTCGAGCCCATAGTGCCCAGAACCCAGAAGGTGTAGCAGCTCGCATCATCCGTTCACATGTGACTTATGGATATGCTAAATGTATGATAGAGCAGGCTCTCCAGGTTCTTGCTGTTGTCAACAAAGACGGAGTCGGCAATCTACTCTTCAACAAGCATCAGTCTTAGGACACCAGTGAAGCTGGACAACCTGACGCTCTGTTAGATTATACAGCTGATACACACTCTCTCTCCCGCCGCAATGCTCCTAGGGATGATGGAAATCCGAGCGAAGCGTCGTCTCTCAACAGGCTATCGTATCCCGGCGGAACTCGCAATAGCGGCTCGGCTTATCGCCGAGTCCGATCTGCAGAATCCCAAGGGAATCTAGAGCCAGTAGGCCACTCGGAAAAAGTACGGCCGAGGAAACCTCAATCACACCAATTACCCGCTTGAGCAATAGATTAATCGGAGGTTGCTCTCTCGGTTTTCGGATCAGCAGAATGTCCCTTCAGAGTCGATTCTGGGCACTGGATCATTGGCGGTCCAAAGCATGCTAGCAAGAGCCACTTCGCATCGCCTGAATACAAGATCTGGCGAGATGTCAAGAGTTTCGGAGCTGAGTAGTGACGCTTTTGGCTGCGATTTCAGTGGAAGCTGCAGTAATGGAGCTGAAAAGATGAGAGGATAAAAAGATCCCAACCATTCCAAGATTCTTTGGACACGCCATCTAGAGACACATCTTGCACAATGAGACTTTGTAAAATATTTGTAAATGAAAATGGCAATGAGTTGAGTGTCATGTCTACGGAACAATGGAAACGGACTGATCGCTGGATATCAAAGGGTCGAGACTCCTGCCTGTGCCGCACTTCAACACCTGCCAGATCCACTTTACAAACTTGGCATGGCCATACGCAATGCCCAGCCGGGAGATCGAGATGCGGCCCGATGCCGATGCTATGCCAAGAGTGCGGCTGAAGAATGTAGAGAATAAACTGACATTGCAAGATTATTTCTCAACGTTAAATAGGATAAGTGTTGGTGTAGATGAGAACTCTGTTTTTCTTTATAAAATACAGTCTAGAATAGAAAGACTCAAAATCTTAGACCTGTACAGTGAATTAAATAAGCCAAAAATGTAGAGGTAAAAGGCTCCTCCAGCTCTTTTCTGTGCGCATCGCGACAACACGCCACACGGCAAGGTAACTAGGATAAAGTGCCAGAGCCTTGGAATGCAAAAGCTCGATCTATGGGCAAGCTGCGGCACCGAACGGAAGGCTCAATTGGTTCGGGTGCTGACCCTCCTGGCTACGCGAGGTCGCCCTCAATTTTCCGATCTTGGTCCCAACGTACGTGCATGCGCCGGATGATCTGGGTTATCTGGTGTTTCGTCCAACATTTAAAAATGATAGGAACGGATCGCAGGAGTTCTGATTCTCCTTCAGACTCGAACGATGTACAAGAGCCCATATCCGGGGTTATCTATTCGCTGGGCTGTAATCCAAGCAGGAGTGGGCACTGATGCGAACACATACTACGTAGTATTGCCGTAATAGAGCGCTGCTAGCTATAGGCGGTCCAATAAAAGCGCCAAGGAAAGGGGGGCGGGTGCGGGTCGAAATGCTCGTCTAGTAATAGGAACGAGGTAGCACCGAACGTGCCATGAGGTGCTAGGGACGACCAGGGATGTTTGGGCGTGATGTGATACATGGATTAACTGTTTGAAATTAGCGAGCGGCCTGTAACAACGGGCCTATAGCCTAAAGAAGGGCGGCGGCGGCAATCTATAACTCAGCCAGCAGTGTATTGGACGTTGCGAGTGACTTTACGAGTAGGATTCCGGATCGCCAGTGCCGTTTTGCCGTGCTAGCATACACGCCACTGTAGCCTGTGGCAAGCACCGGACTGAACTCTGCGAGTAATTGTCTGGGCTAAAAGAATGACCGGTGCCATGTTGCTCACCTTGCCTAACTAAGTAGGTATTTACGGGCCTCAAGGATTAAGCACAATGGAACGTTAATTTGAGGCTTGCCCCAGTTTTGTAGAAATACGCGGGGAACCGTGCTGATGCCCTAAAGTAAGGACCTCGGCACACAAATGGTAGCAAATTATACGGTATCAATCTGCGAGGACTGACAAATGGGGTTGGTTATTCTCCAACTTTCAAGAGCCGCATTTTCTATTCTCAGCCGCAATTACCATTCTTAGCCGGGACATACGGTACACGAGGTAGCATTGGTAATCCATGTAGACTCTTGGTAATGGCATTGTTAGCCTGACTAGCTAGCTCTTATTAGCTAGCCCTTGTAACTTAAGCCCACACGGGGTACTCCGTACTGTTGGTGCGGAGAAGCAATGCGGGGTTATTAGCTTGTTGGCTTGTTCTCTGCTCGGAAGAATGTCCTTCTAACGCGTGCTAGGCTGGGCCTCTCCGGAGCAGACTGTCTCCCCATTCGGCCGGGTATCACAGCCCAGGTCTCTCTATACGGGGGGTATCACGGCCCATGTCCCTCTATTCGGGCGGGTAACCTGACCTAACCCCAGCTTTTAAGCCCCCGCGAGAATTGGAGTCAAGTCTGGGGGAAGATCAAACCAGGATTCCCCTTCGACCGAGTTGGAGGACAGACGACGTGTCATGTGTTCTCCCATACGCACCAATCAAACGTACAAGACTCATCTCGGTATCATCTAACCCGCCGGGGTACACTCGGCCAGCTCTACCCCACAAGATACCCCAAGCGGATGATACCCCAAGCGGATCTTCTCCAGAATGGAGAGCAAGAGAGAGTAGGAAAAGTATGAAAAGCAGCAGCCTTCCCCCTCATCAGTGTTGCTTCCGACTCTTCTTTCCTTGTCCTCCTCTTCCACACTATACGTTATTCATACAGGCAAACACCGGCCAACATGGGTAACATTGAAGATTCTAAATCCTATGGCGACGCCGCCGAGGTCGAGCGCGAGGCGGCCGTCACCAAAGAGGAGCATGCCTACGACCTTGACGAGAAGGCGAAAGTCGCCGACTACAAGGCGGACGCAATGGAGGCAGAGGACGCGGAGCACAGGATGGGCGTGCTGGAGGCTGTTCGAGCGTACCCCATGGCTTCGTTCTGGGCGTTTGTCATGTCCTGCACTATTGTACGTTCCGCTCAACCCTTCATATCAGGAACCGCAGCTAACACCATCTTTAGATTATGGAGTCGTACGATGTCTTCCTGATCGGCAACTTCATCGCCCTACCCGCGTTCGCGAACAAATATGGTGTATACCACGCCGCAAGCGACAAATTCGTCATCGAGACCAAGTGGCAGTCTGCGCTTCAAGTGTCCGGCCAGCTCGGCGCGCTGATCGGCGTCTTCATCGCTGGTCCTCTCACCAGCCGTATCGGGTACCGCTACGCAACATTGACCGGCCTCATGCTCTTGAACGCCTTCATCTTCACCTTTTACTTTGCCAACTCGCTTCCCGTCATCTTCGTGGCCCAGCTTCTCGAGGGCTTGCCATGGGGCATCTTCATTGCCAACGCGCCGGCGTACTGCAGTGAGATCGTGCCAATTGCGCTGCGAGCCCCTGCCACCCAGATGCTGCAGATGTTCTGGGCCATTGGCAGTATCATCGTTGGTGCCGTCACTTACCATTACAACACCAGCCTCCACGCAGACGCCTACAAGTACGTGCTCGTCTGCATTGCAAGCAAGTCCTCCGCTAATAAGAAGCCAGGATTCCCATTGCGCTCCAATGGATGTTCCCTACCCCCCTTGCTATCCTCATCTTTTGTGCGCCCGAGTCGCCCTGGTGGCTGGTTCGAAAGGGACGTCTGGAAGACGCAGCACATGCCGTCAGTCGCCTTGGACGCAAGTCGACGACCAAGCCTACTGAGACTGTCGCCATGATGCGCCGTGTCATTGAGCTCGAGAAGTCCACCAAGGAGCCCAACCACTTGGAACTGTTCAAAGGCACTGACCTCTACCGAACCCTCATTGTGTGCTGTGTGTACTTGGCACAGAACCTGACGGGTAACCTCATCGCTAACCAGGCCGTCTACTTCTTCGAGCGTGAGTTTGTCTTCATTATCCCTGTTTTAGGCGAATGTCTGTGCTAATCCAAACGCAGAGGCTGGCGTGTCAACGAATACTGCCTTCGCCCTCGGTCTCATCACCTCGGCTCTGCAGATGATCTTCGTTATGCTCTCTTGGATCCTCACCACATACCTCGGCCGACGTACCATCTATCTCTGGGGCTCGGCCTTCAACGTTGCCCTACTTGTCGCCCTTGGTGTTGCAGGCTCTGTTGGAACGTCGAATTCAGCCTCTCTGGCAATGGCATCCTTGGGTCTCATCGTCTCCGTCCTGTTCACCTTGGGACCTGCGCCCGCTTCGTGGGTCATTATTGGAGAAACATCGTCCATCCGCCTTAGGCCACTGACGACTGGAGTGGGCCGCGCTTCGTACTACATCGTTGAGATTCCTTGCATCTTCCTAGGAAGTTATATGCTCAACCCGACGGTAAGACCTTTCTCCCGAGTCTTATTGTGATGATTGCTAACGTGGTGCAGGGTGGAAACCTCGGCGGCAAGTGCGGCTACGTTTGGGGTGCTACTGGTACGGTTTGCTTGGTCATGGCCTACTTCTTCTTGCCTGAGATGAAGGGCCGATCCTACCGCGAGATTGATATCTTGTTCAAGCGTCGTGTCCCGGCTCGCGAGTGGACGAAGACGGATGTCGGTGTGGAGGACGACGAGTAGATGCCGTTAGGAAGGCAGTAGTAGGACGTGACCAGGGCGACATAGTCGGTGGGGAACGAAGCACGCGATGCGGTCACTGTACTTTAAATGCATTGGTGCAAATACCTTGCATTCGCTCGAGTCTCGTCTTACGAGACTGAATTCTTTGTTGAGACATAGCTTAGACTAGACTTAGAACTGCCATATAATGAGCTACCCTAATCCACAAGAGTGTGCCTTGCTTAAAATTATACGGCGACATGAGCATGCAAGTCATCAGCCGTGAGATTAGGCAGTGGTGCAATCACTAGTAACCTGCGAAGGCTGATTCACTTGTAGCTTGGTAACAGAAATATTCATGGCTTTCGGGAATGGCCACTGTTGTCACATGTTGTCGCCTCCGTCCTAGAATTAAAGACAGAGGTAGCAAAACGACAGCCTCATCTTTAATGCGGCTATATTGAGAGTAAAACTGACCCCCACGACTCTGGGCAACGACCTGATCACACCTGGGCGCAACAGGCTGTTCTAGTTGATATGAGAGCAGTGTTTTGGTTTATTTGAGGTCCTCGCGACGTGTTATCCGCATGTTTAGTTCCGACTGGATCAAAACACCAAAAAAAGAATTCCGAATAGGCCTCTCCATATCAATAACGGAAAAGTCAAATCGGCGAATTAACTATGAAATTGGTGAGAATGCGCATGTCTAAAACCTGGGGTAGATCGCGTGATAAACATACCTCGACAGTCATTTTATTCAGCTCAATGCACGCAATGGGTCGACCCAGGCAACCCCAACGCCCCTGACCAAAGCAGAGATCGATGGTATTTTCCATGGCCTGCCGTTGTTCTTCATCGGCTCGCAACCACCGGTCCGGCAGAAACATATCAGCACCGACACCGAAAACACTCTCATTGCGCATGACTGCACGAGCACTCCAGGCGACATTGGTCCCGGCGGGGATGCGGATACCACAGACGACGGCATCACTGTCGGATATACGAGGCATGATACCTGAAATGGGAGGCCACATACGGAAACCTTCTTTTATGCAGGCCTGAAGCAGCGGAAGCTCTTTGGCCTCGGCGTGGGTAATGGGAGACGAGACGAGCTGGTTAGCTACAGCGGAGTCGATTTCCACCTGTAGACGCCTATATATAGTAGGGTTCGTAACGACGTGGACCATTACTGTCCTCAGAACCGTCGCTGTTGTATCGGAGCCGGCAATGCTGTTTAGTCAAATTGAGCTCCGGTTTCAACGTTTGCAGATCGGTGAGTTGAGACAACATACATTTGTACCAGAGACTCAGCCTCCGCTTCCTTCTGTTCAAGCCCGTGCCGTACGAAGGAGCCAAGCATGTCTTTCCTATCTACGGCTTTGGGCGTATAACGCTCGCCGACAACACGCTTTGCGATGGCCATAATTGGGCCAAGCCCGACGGCATCCCGCTCCGATGGCACCATGGCCTTGCAAAGTGACGACTGAAGGAGGTTGACGAGCCACGGGATTAGAGCGAACATCTGCATCATGGGGACGGAGGACTCGACTGTGCGTATGTAGTCGTAAAGGTCTTCGTCCCGGTCCATGAAGCCAAAGGATTCGCCGAATGCAATCTTAGAGATGACGTCGAGGGTCATGTACTGTGCCTTGCGTGCAAAGTCGACAGGGCGGTATTCGGTGGCAGTAGAGAGATATTTATCTTCGAGGAGAGTAACAAACCGAGCAATACCCGCATCAATAGACTCGTGGAGGCCGTCGACATCTTTGCCACTGTATCCTGGAGCGAGCTTGGAGCGTAAGGCTGAATGAACATCGCCACCGCGCATTGACAGCGTGCAGTCTCTCGGGGGGTCCAGTCGAAATCCTTTGTACCAAGGGGCTCGATCAAACTGGGAGCGAACTCCCCACATACGGCGGACCTCTTCTGGATCACCGCACACGATGTAGTTTGGCGCGATACGGGCAATGGAGCCTAGGTTTAGGAAGCGATGCCCCAGCAGTTAGCAAGCAACAAACAGTAGCTATGGGCCATTTATCATTGGGCGTTTGCCAGTGAGCATTACCGTATTGTTTGCAGACATCACCGAGTTCTTCAAACAGGCTCCCTTGTCGCGTTTTGTTGATGAGCCACAAGTCGGTCCAAGCAGCAAACCTGGGACCTTTGATGTGTCGCAGACGATACCAGCTCCTCACGCGAGAAATTGCGATGTGCACGCTGAAAAGACAGGCTACCAATACCCAGAATGCCGGGCGGCTGACGACCTCGGAAAGGGTTGAGAGAGAGGGCATCTCCATTTTGTTCGGTGTTGTCGGGTCGCCCTTTCAAACGAGGGGCATGATGGGGAAGAGGCTACGGCTGGGAAGAAAAAGTGGCGATAAGAATGATACGTCGCCATTACCGCGCGCCAAGGGGATCGGATTGACCGATCTTATCACCATGTTGCGTATGTATGTAACCCCTACCAATTGTCAAGACACCATTAATAATCCACAAATCATCAAGAACTATTGGTGGGACGAGCCGACCTGTGAACATGTCTTGCCCCTAACTAGGATTAGCAGTTCTTTTGTAGTATTCCATGTTCGCCATTTAGGCTGTGGATCACCGCTGTTTCCATCAAAACGTTTATACACACGACAGTTGCATGCATCTAGGACCGATATTGGCCATCCCAATCTTGATGCTTAAGATCATAGGAACTCAATCTTACAGTGATATCTGACGAAAGGTGAGGTTCCTACTAACGCATTCCACATTTACAACTGGTACACAGTACTCCTACCCTTGACTTAATACCATGATTGCGGAGTGTGACCGGCCGTTGAAAGAGCGTTTATATAGGCGCCGTGTTCGTGGAGAAAAGCGCCGACGATTTCACAGTAATGAAGGCTCACGAGATGGAAGGGTGTTAGACCTTGAGAGCCACCTCTTAGGTGAATTAGAGAGGGGTCCATTCTGTAGAAGTACTCGAGCGTATCGAGGAACTTGGCTCGAGCAACAGTAGTCACTTGAGAGTGTAAGATTGCGTTTCCGACATAATATACCATATTATACTCAGTGGACTACTGACGAGGCTCTCATCTGAGGCAAGTATGTGGAACACGTTGAGGCCAGTGCTTGTGACGATCAACCTGCGCTTCGGAGTAAGCTCCATCAAAAATCGCATGGGCTTCATCCTAGGAAGCACAGAAGATGGGTGTAAATCGTTATTAGTACCAAGTGGGTCTTGTGGTTTCGTTTGAGAATAATTTGGTCACGGGCACGCGAAGTGAGGATATACTGCGTTTTGCGATGTTGTTTTTCAACACAGCTCTGACTTCATTCAAAACTGTTCATAGAGTTTGAAAAAAAGACGTTGATGCTAACATTGCGAACTTCAAGCTGAATGTACCACCTGCGAACTATTCTCAGAGACGCCTTCTTATGTACTACTTGCTCTCCATTTCCACCAATTCCAGGTACTGACCAGCCGCTTCTTTGACAATTACATCAAACCCAGCCAGGCTTATACCTAGAACGTCTCGTACCTGTTGAATCTCGCATTAGTGATGAGCCAAACAATGACGCGTCAGTGCAATTGCAATCACACACCTTACTCGAATCCCATCTCAAGAGTATAGTCGGCTGCGGACCACTCTCCCGAAAGAGACCGGATTTAAAGGCTTCAGGAAAGTTCTTCTTGACGATGGGGATTTTATCCTCCCACTTCCCTTCAACGTTGAGGACAAAGGACTGATTTCCGTCGACATCCGAATCCAGTGCCCTGACATGCGCGCGAGCCACATCGGAACAGAGAACGACGTTTCCGATCATGGCTTCTCCCTGGTTGCCGGTCAACAAGCTGTAGAGCAGCACATTGGTGGAGCTATTGCGCATGTCATTGGTGCTGGTGAGGAGCTCATCCTTGCCAAAGATCCAGGATGGCATGATGGAGATCAGGTCAAAGCTCGTGGTGTTATTTCTCATGAATGCCTCCGAGGCGTTGAGGGCTGCAGCTTTGCTCGCGACATACGCCTGAAGCTGAGAGTCATACGGCGGCGCCGGAACGACCACGCGGGTCTCGGGCCCGCGTACAACCTCGCGCTCCTTGGTGTCTGTGACGTAGACTTCAGGAGGAGCGATGGCTACCGTGGAACTGGTCATGACGATGCGCCTCACCGTCTTGCCCTTCTCGTTTGCGGACTTGAGAAGACCCAGGTTGCCATTCACAGAGGCTGTGACAAAGACATCCTCCAGTGACTCTTTCGAAGGAGTCGGTTTCTGGCTTGTCGGGACAGGTGCGGCAGCATGGATGATGAAGTCGACTCCCCGTACGGCGGCATCGTACGCGCCAACGGCTGCCAAGTCCGGCACGATCACAAACATTAGCTGGGTCGTGGAGGGATCCATGGCAGAGATTGAAGGAGCCGCCCGGACTTTGTCGATCTTGGCCTGAGAACGAGCCGCAACACGAACTCGATAGCCGCTCTTCAGGAGGTCTACTAGAATGGTGTACCCCAGAAAGCCGGTGCCACCAGTAAGCAGAACGAGTTCTCCGGCCATGGTCGTGGAATTGCACTGTCCTCTATTAGAAAGATTGGGAGGTATGGTTTGTGATGTTGGAAGAGCGACATCTGTGCTGTCTTTATTATTTTATACCCAGAGAATAGATGTGCTTGAAGAAGTGCATACGTCAGGCCGACCATTTTAGGAAGTATGAAGCCGCCATGTTAGGAACACAGTGTCACGGATTCAATTCAAACATATTTCCTATTTCGGAAGTATCAGTTCAGCTAAGTTAACTGATCCACCTGACGGAAGACGGACCGCGACATGGGACTTTATTAGCTCCCGAGATATTCCTCCAACCCCGCTAGCAACGGCTGACAATGAGATTCATCCCATAGAAAGGTAGATAATGTCCTTTGTATGCTGCCATTACCCGGAATGAAGTCTTGGGGATATCCTTGCAGAATGGATTGAAAAAGACTCAAAAACCATTGCTCTCCCGGACTGGTCTCGGCACCTTCCCCCGTCCCTAGCAGCCCGACGAAAGCTATCCACAACAAGGCCGCTGTATTCCCCGACCAAGTGTCTCTCGTATATGGAACTAATCCGAGTGTACTTTGTAGTCTGGCGCACATCCGGCGTAGCAGTGGAGCTTTTGATGGCACTTGACGCAACGTAATGTACACGAAGATGTGGGCAGCTAGGACAAGTGCATGAGATCGCCTACCAGCATCAGATACATCGATGCAATCTTGATAGAGGTGCTGCAGAATCGCATCGTCTGCAACGTTGAGCAGTGTTCGCACGACCGCAAGTGAAACCATTGATGACTTCTGTGCTAGGAGCAGTTGCCTTAACTGGGCGAATACCAGCTGATGATTGTGCGAACTGTCGTTGGTTATTGAACGATCCAAAGGCATGTGTTGAGCCTGCTCTAGGATTGACGTCGGAACATGAGCGTGATCTGTGTGAAAGAGCGAGAATCTGGGCCGATGGCCCAGTGCAGTGGCAACCTGTATGTCGGCCCTGAACCCCTCTGTCAGCAGAGCTGAGAAAGAGGCAATTGATGAAACTTACAAATTGATGGACTTGCACAAAATGAAGTCGTCTTTGAAGCTTTCAGGGCCACCTCGTGAGTTGAAAATATTATGGACAGCTCGCAGATGCGTCTCTGCAGCCTTGAAGTCACCGTCGTAGGCCTGAGGTCGCATCAGCAGAGAGCAGGTTTCACCGTAGAGATACCACATACCTCCACAATTGCCAAAGTGGACATGGTGAACATCAAGAAAGTTATCTCGTAGTCCTTGCGGACAGAACTAGCACATGCTAGCCGGACCCCGATCTCTCGCATCGCATCTCCCTTTTGGTGTATACCCTCGAGCTGGATCGAATGATCTAGAGATGGATACTCCATTCGCCATACTGTTGCAGTCATCGCGAGAGTGCTGTGCATCATTGGCGCGCTCTGCAGTGCATAGGGAAACCACGAACTCCTTCGATCGACTGTGATGGAGTCGAACTTTACCAAGACTGACAATACAAGCGAGAAACATTAGCTATAAGTTCGCGACTAATGATCAGCGGTAGGAGAACCTACAGTACCTGACCAGATACTCAACTTCTGGATTCGTGGTTATCGGGAGGCTATTGAACGGATCGACGCTGCCAGCACAAAGAGACTCTATGTGATATGCTGGCAGCTGTATCGAAGTCTGGCGTGGAAGCACTATTAGCTTGGATGTCTACACAAATAGGCTTGAGGCCTAGTCGTACCTGTGCAGATGTCTTTGGCACCGACGGGGCGTTTGCAGTTCTGTGCTCTGGAGTTGTCAACTCGGCGGAGACGATACTAGTCCGAGCTTCATCCCGCTGTGTGTTCATCTCCCCATGCAACTCGAAGCGTAGCATACGCTCCTCTCCGTATTTCGTGCAGCGGAAGGACTGCTCCGCTGCCTTCGGCCTCGAAGGGCGTGCGGCTTTTTGGAGACCTGCGCGTATTGCATGACTTCTGATAGACCTGGTTAATTTCGATGATTTTTTTCCCCCACCTTCTACTGCAACGAATTTGTATCGTGGCATTTTGAATGCATCATTGCAACTCTGACGGCAGAGACAGGTTTCTCACCTTGCTTACTTTCGGTTATCCTCGTCGGATATAAGGGCTGTATGGCAGTAACTCCGATCCCTGGTTACTAATCCGGTTGTTGTTGAAATCTAACAACCAGAATCGAGTCAACTTAACTACGTGCGCAGAGGCATTAATATACAGAACTATTGGCGGCTGGTCCTCGCAGCCTCCATTTCCTGCTGTCGCTGCAGAATCGTTGACCCGTCTTCCTCGTCGCAGCCAGTGCATCACTAACACCACCAAAACCAGACCCTATCGCCCCAACTTCTTGCCACGGTGTTGCTGGTTCAACCAAGCCCCAGCCATATCTGCTTCCGGCCCTGATAAGCTTCGATGTGGAGAGAGTGGTGGTAAAGCAATGACGATGGCCATATGCATAATGATGCTGTGGATCAGAACCGTACATTACCGCAAATAAAGAAGTTTTAAAGCTGGGATTGTTAGTTTGTGTTCGGTCATGAGCAGACTATTCAGTCGGCTGGAAGTCAAACGTGAAAATGATTGAAAATCATGGGTGCGGTGCCAGATTTAGACACAGGGTAATCGAAGAAGCCGAGGGTACTAATCATGGATAGGGCTGCTCTGTAATGGTACGCTCATGGTAAACAGACGGCTACGCCAGTGTTAAATCACATCGATAAACAAAATCAAAATTTGACAACACTTTATATCCTCATGGCATTGCTGTAAAGACACCACCAACACTGTAAAATTGCGACTCATCAGTCTGGTGGTGTTTTGGTGACGGAGATACCGACGGGGTTAAGGGCAGGGATTCGGGCATCTAAAAGGCGCCGATGTTCAAACTGAATCCGTCGGCGAGAATCAACTCCACATGTTCCGAACCGTTCTCCCATCAATCGCCTCTGACAAGATGGTGTTACACACGTACTCTTCTCGGTGTGATGAGATGCCCGATGTCCGACGCATCTGTGAAGAGCGGAGACGCCCGGAGTCGTAACGTTTTCGCTAACTTAGCGCCATGTCCCATGAAAACGCTAACCTTGTTTCGTATTCACATGTGGTCTGATCCAATCAAAGAGCAATTTCCATTTCTCCCTTGGGAATACGATGCTCAGCGGAAACGATCAGAGTGGATGCTCACAATAACGAAACTAAAAACCATTTGATGTCGGACTTGATGTCGTTGCGAAGGCCGGAGATTCCGTCGGGGACAATTCAAACCGTGTCGTGGTTCTAGGACGTACATCAGCTCATGAGTATATATATCCCAGCTCTCATACAGCTTGGACGAGATTCATTATAGATTCAAAATTCATTTGATTCACCCCAACTATTACATCCCAACTTGAAATTTCACCATGGCTACCAAGTCTATCGAGAGAGTCTGCATTATCGGTGTAAGAGACCCTCAAATTCATTGTTCATGCTCGCAGTTCTAATGCTTGGTAGGCTACCGGTCGCATTGGAGGGGCCTTTGCAGAGGCACTACTGAAGACTGGCAAGCACACAGTCACCGCCTTGACTCGTGCAGACAGCAAAGGTCAGCTTCCCGAGGGAATCAAAGCCGTCAAGGTCGACTACGATGACGAGGCATCGATAGTGGAGGCTCTGAAAGGCCAGCAATTCCTCGTCATTACCCTTTCAGTAACTGCTCCCCAAGATCTCCATGGCAGGATTGTGGTCGCCGCAGCCAAAGCCGGCGTCCCCATGGTCATGCCAAATGCCTATGGGTATCCCATGGATAGGAAGAACATGGATGCAGAGGATACCTTTGCCGCCGGTCTTCTTTCTAAAATTGAAGAAGCGGAAAGGCTTGGCCTGTCAACATTCACCCTGTCCTGTGGTTTCTGGTACGAATGGAGTCTGGCTCTCGGCGAACAGTGGTTTGGTTTCACCATCAAGGACCAGAAGGTCACAATGTTTGACGATGGAAAGCGAGTCGTTACCGTTAGCACCTGGGAGCAGTGTGGTCGTGCCCTTGCCGGGTTTCTCAGTCTTCCGGAGTCTGGTGCCAGCCCTTGCGTTGGCGACTATACGAACAGCAACATCCTCATCAACAGCTTCCAAGTGTCGCAACGTGACATGCTCGACAGCCTGCACCGCGTTTTGGGAACCTCGGATTCGGACTGGGACATCACATATGAATCCGTTGAAAAGCGTATGCAAGATGGTACAGAGGAGCTGAAGAAGGGGATGATGACGGGCTTCGCCAAGGTTCTCTATGCACGGGGGTTTGACGCTGCTAACAAGAATCGCGACTACGCAGCGACAAGTTCAATGGCTAATGGTATTCTCGGGCTTCCAAAAGAAGACCTCGATGAGGCGACGAAGAGGGCAGTGGACATGGTGCGAAGTGGCTGGACTCCTTTTGCCTAGAAGTGCGAGGCAAATGCTTCCCGGAGTTTGACGATTCAATAATCGCCACTCTTCTAGATCCGTGGGCTTAGTAGTTGAGAATGCATTTCTTATCATGGAGTCTAATACAGGTCGCATTAAAAAGATCTATTATCCGTCCTGTCGGTCTTGATCGCCTGCCACAGCTCTATTCCATTGGCAGGCAATTGGACAGACTTCAGGTGCGAAATTCACCAGGGGGCTATCTGTGACTATCATAACTTCTAGTGCATTACCTCGTGGTGGTGGTGACTTAAGCTGCCTTCGAACTGACCAAGAACGCTAGGGTCTGTGGGATGAATAGGATTACACGATTTGTTCAAAGGACTCGACAGGCATTCAACGACTTTGGACCGAGGTTACGGATAATGGGGCAAAGAATTGGCGATACGTATCTCGAAAGCGGTTCTGCCAGTCTGACGGGCCGCTTCTCGGGAACTTGGTTGGAGTAAGCCGAACGAACAACAGGTTATACGTGTCTTGAGTTTGCTAGGATTTGGCAAGAGTTATTTCCCCTCTTATCGATCTAATTGGACTCAAGGGAGCGTACAGTCGTTCATTCGATGCCTAAGGCAGCTGCCACGGAGCGCGTCTCGTCCGTGCTGTGTATTTGCATTTATTTACCGTGGAGTTGACTCGAGGGCAGTAAAATTTACTAGAGGCTCTAGTCTGCGTAGACCTCGGGACGGCTCCCAAAGGGGAAAGCCACTATCTCTACAGGTGTACTTAGAGCGGGGGTCTGACTCGAAGAGACCCTCTCTTTGCGTGTGTCGCATTGACTGCTACGCCAAAAGTGGAATGAACACTCCGCTAATGCGTAGTGCAACTGAGGCCTATATACTGGATGTGACAGCGTGGGTGGCGAAATCTTGGGATACCTTACTACAGCTTAGAATTGCTAGTTAAGCTAGTGCAGATGCTTTATAATCACTTGCTTCTCCTCCTGTTACCCCGCAGTTAGTTCGCTTTCTACTCACTTCAGGCAGGTATTATTATAACTTGTGCATCGAGGCCCACAAGAGATATCCCAGCCTACTAGTGGGATCACGGGGACGAGCTAGGACTTGATGAACTGTATGATGATAATTACCTAGCTAGATGTGACAGAATGTGTGTCGCGGGGCGATCGCCTCTGTCGCTACGTCCCTAAAGCGGGACAAGTCGGGACGTAGGTCCGACAGTCGGTTCCACCAACACCTACATATAAAGGCGAATGTTGCATTAAAACAACGACGCCTAAAAATACTCGAAACCCAGATTTATCATTACCCCCTTCACTATAATGTCTGACCTTACTCTTTACTACGCCAAGGGCACTTGCGCCTTTGTCCCACAGTCCCTCATCCTGCACTTGAGACTTTCCGCCAAGTTCGTCGAAATGAAAGATAGCGGTAACGGCTTCGCCAGTGTCGACGGTAGCATGTCAAATATCGCGTACAAGAAGATCCACCCGCAAGGCTATGTCCCCGCGCTTCGTGTTGGCAATGAAATCATCACCGAGGTTGCTGCCATCCTCGTTTATATCGGATCACTCGCTAAGGGCCAGTCAATGGTGGCCCAAGGAGATATGGAGCAGGCCCGGCTCATGGAATGGCTGGTCTATTTCGCTGACACCGTTCATGGTGCGTTTGCCATGATCTACCGCCCTCGTCGTTACGTCGACAACCCCGATTTCCACGAGTCTGTTATACGAAAGGGAAAGAAAGGAGTTGAGGCATGTTTCACAGATCTTGAGCCTCGTCTCAAGGGCAAAGACTTTCCATTTGGGGAACGCTTGACGATTGTGGACTTCTTCCTATATATCTTTGGGCGCTGGGCTCTTGACTGCGGATACAACCTCGAGAAAGACTACCCCTATCAGTTTAAGCATTTCCAGCGTCTGGAGAAGCTAACTGGTATTCAGCAAGCTACTGAAATACATAAAGCCTGAAGTTAATCCGGACTTTTCAGCTGCAATTTGCAGCTTCGGAATAAGGGTCGGGTCAGTTACGATTAAGTGATACAGACCGAAATGAAAGATATTAAGATAGCGACGATACGGAATGTTAAGTAAGTTCTATGAAGACGATGTATTCAATTTCAATAAATTTGAAGCTGTGCCATGCGATGTTCGGATGTTTCTACATTCAATTCGCGATTATATTTAACCCCATGTTAAGCCGAATCTTCGCCATATACCGTCCCACCCTGTCGGCGAATCTCATCCATAACCTCCATCATTCGAATCGTTTCAGACCAAGGCATGGTCGAACTTTCTAGACGACCCGCCAACACGTCCAGAGCAGTGTTATCCGCTTCAAAGTGGTATCCTTTCCCGAGGACGGGGTAGTCGTACACTTTGCCCTCTGCCCTGGTCAGTGTGCCGGCCACCGCCGAACCCACGAACTTTGGGTATACTCTGAAGCCGCTTGGAAAAGATGATATTAGTCCAGTTACTTCAATAGACCCTTTGGTGCCTTCAATGCGAGTCAGTAAGTCAGGGTTACCGATCACGTTTGTTGTGGAAGTAACCACAGCTTGTCGACCGGTCGCGGGGTACTTGAGAATGACACTGGTTGCCACCTCGACATTATCAGAATGCGTCTGGGAGGCTAAGATGGCCGGATTCTCAGCATTGTTGGGATTGTTAGCGTCTAGGGCGATCGTTGCCCATGTCAGGGCATAGACACCCAAGTCCAGAAGAGAGCCTGCACCCAATGCAGGATCCTTATATCTCGATGTTGCAGGGAGATTCGCGATATCCTTCTCGATCCCGAAATCAGAGAAAGAGCGAAGAACGTCGCCAATGACCTTATCTTCGTGGAGAAGCTTCTTGAGGTCATGAACGAGGGGTCGATGACGAAGCCACATTGCTTCTGCCACATAGACATTCTTCTTCTTTGCCGCTTCAAAAACCTCGCGCGCATCGCGAGCGTTCAGAGTGAATGCTTTCTCGCAGAGAACTGCTTTGCCAGCGGAAATTGCGTCCAGGCAGTTTTTCTTATGGAAAGAGTGAGGCGTGCCGATATAGACCAGGTCGACGTTTGGGTCATCATAAACGCCTTGATAGCTGCCATAGATTGCCGGATTGCTCTCAGGGCAATGCTTCTCCGCAAATGTTTTCCCTTTGGCAGCGGAAGAGCTACCAATGGCTTGGACAATGTGGTGGACTTTGGCATCTGGCCGAGACAAGATCAAGTCCTTGACGAACCATTCAGAAATCATTCCGGTAGCTTCTCGTGAGTTAGCTCATAGCTTGAATCAAAATTGCGTTGGGGAGACGGACCAACAATGCCCCATCGAATGCTCGGAAGTTGAGACATGATCTTTTCTGATAACGATAATAATTATGACGGTTGAGAGGATTGAGGTGTCACGTTGAAGACTCAAGGAAGTCTACTGTCCACTGGTGTCCCACGGTTGAACTTATAGTGATGCCACCTCCTCTCCAATCCACACTTCCTTCCATATTATCACCTTGATCAGGTAATCGATTCGGCAAGTCTATGAAGCCGGAAGAAGAAAACTGCAAAAAACTGACGTGTTTCAATGAAGAGGCATCAGGAGGCAGCTGGTAGCTGGTTTATTAACGATGGGACGAATCGGAATCAAGTAAGCCGGCACTAAGAAGTATGTGGCCACTAGTTGGCGAAGTATGGGGCAAATTGGAATGAAGTAAACCGGCACTAATGCGATTCACTTGCCATGGAGAAAATAATGTTTACCCGGCATCACCAATATTGTGTCATTTAGGTGGACGCGCATTTGGGACTAAGCCTGTATCGTAGAAATCTGGCTTGTATCCGGAGTTCGGCAGGTTGATGCTGATTAGAACGCAGATCAGCTGTCTTAGGTATCTCTTGGCGTGGCTTCACGACAAATAGCGCAGTTCTTGATTATCATCACGGTCATCGGCTAACACTGCAGGTTGCGGGGAAGTCGAAAAGGCCATTATGGGTCGAATTGTGCAAGTCAATGGAATGAGACGTCACAGTTCAGGCAGCAACCCACAATGCTTAGCAGTACGGTAGGTCAGTCATGCTATCAATTGTTAGGCTACTCTCCAACCTGCGCGTTTAGATTGCGGTCTAGATCTATAGCGCCCTTTGAGCGACGCCACGTCGAAACTCAGCTGAACTTCGTGGCTGCTGCTGAGCTTCTGGACGGGTACCTTGCAGAGTTCGCAAACAGCAAGACCCGGGCGGTGTCGCCATATTACGCAATGCAGATGCTAAGGCGACAGACATCACGTAGGATTTATTTGTTATACTGAGGAAGTTGATTTATTCGAAGATTCGTTCCACAAGGTACCTTGGTATTTAAGTATATCGAGATGAATGAGGGGTTAAGGAGCACTCGGAGAAGATCCTGCAAGCCACTGTATAAGTGTTGCGTTTCTTCGCCGCAGTTCAACGGAGCTGAGGACAACAGCAGCATTGCAGCAAGTGTCGGCGATACATCAGCTCATCCGCAGGGATGACCAGCTAGTACACGCCACAAAATTAAGGACTAGACAAGTTTTATCTTACACCACCTAGGCACCATCCAACAACGGGGTTTTGATAATGATGGCTTAGAATGTGGCGAGTCTAAGTACAGTAGAAACTTTGCTGGCAAGGTTACTGCGCTCTGCTGCTTGATTTACTATGTATGTGCTTCTCGCATCATCGAGGGAACGGTTCCTCGTTCCTATCGCAGAGGAGACAGAATGTCATCAAGGCGGGCTTGAGCAAGACTGGCAGAGGTGTCTCATCGAGTGGCCTAATTGAGATGGAAGCCGGATCTGACGGCATCCTGAAATATAAGCCACCTTTTGGTGGCGTCAATGTGGAGGGTGACCATAATAGTCCTGGTGACTTCACATCTCAGCCGCGGCTGAAGCAACCATTCCCGCGCATAAATACAGACTCTTTCTTTACACATTTGATAATATCTTCACCCTCCATTTTGAGAAGATCCATTTCATGAGAGTTGAACCCTTTCTAATCATCTATCCCTATCATGGGTGTTGATATCCAGATTGAGGAGCAAATCCTCGCACAAGTTATCGCAGGAGCCGTACAATCCAGGCTTGTGTCGACCTGCATAGCTCCCTTCCCGCCGTACTATGTCGACCATATCAATGTCTCCGCAACTACTCCTCCTACTATAACCTACGGTGACAATTTGGCGTTGATCCACGTCACTATCGATGTTTTTGTCGTCCCGAGGGACGCGTTAGACTCGAATGTGAATGGAACACCTCCGGAAGCTCTCGTGCCGTTGGGCCAAATACGAATCATCCTACAGCTCACATCTGATGGTACAAGTCTGCTATTCAGTTACGATGACAGCGACCCGGATCCCGAATTCGGGATCTTCGCTCAGCCAATTCGGGATGCACTTAGACAGGCCGTGGGAGACACCACCGCCGACCTCTCTCCCCTCTTCTCGCAGCTCGGCATTGATACTCCGAAAACGCACGGCCTACAGCAGATGGGAGACAGTCTACTTCTGAGATTCGATCCAGACCCAGACACTGCGGCTGTTGATCACTTGCAGCTAAGCCAGAGCTGGTGCATCTTCTTGGACGCGCCAACGATGCTGACGCTCACTGCAAAGAAGCTTGCCGGTCTTTACAACACCATGAAGACAAACGGTATAGGAGCTACTCAACCATACGAAGGTTGGGCGCCTAAAAACAACCTGCCGCACGTAGATGTCAAAATTGGCATCGCGATACCCGTGGGCATGGGATACGCCATCACTGCAGCCTTTGTCATCACGGTCGACTTTTCCTTCGCCTCGGATGTTCTTCCCCGAAAGGACGGCTCTGTCACTTTGCAGGAGCTTGTGAACTGGGACCTGAGAGACGTCAATGCGAATGATCTGCCCATTGCACTTCCGCTGCCGTACGACATCTTTGCGCGACAGAAGCTCATTGCCGCGTTTGACCCTACAACGTTCGGAGGCATGCCCGTTGGGCCGACGGAGTTTATGCTACAGCAGGCTTTGACACCTCTCGGGCTTGCTTCTTCCGTCTTCGCTTACAAGACCATTACTGCGGACCAGAACGGCATGATTGTGGGCGGAGTTGTGGACGACATTCCTGGCACTCTCACCTCTATCCTCGCCATCACTTTAGAGCCATTCCCGGAGACTCGTTTCACGAAATACATATGGTGCAGCAGTACGGATTCTGATCAATCACATGCGCCAACCGGATATTCCGCCAGAGCAACCGTGTATTTGTCGGATGAAGGAGAGATATGTAGTACGGAAGTACTCACTCCAGAATCTGCAAAGGACCAGGTCAACCCGCTTTTGGACTCCTCATCTGGGGCTGTCATCCTTACTCTACCCCCTACGATATCATCAATAGTGAACAGTCTCGGCCAAGGAGTGACGCTCCTCATTCGCACCACGCGCGGCGTCCGCATCGTCAATCTCGGCCTACCACCAGCAGCACAATATGACCTTTTAGGGAACCTCACGAATGGAGACACCAGGATAATGAACGACTGCGTCGGTCCCATAAATGTCGATCCCTGGGTCTTGCACTTTGGCACGTTCAATCCGGCTTGGGGCCCAGATCCGGTCCCGATCTGGGTCGACAACATAGACAAAGTGGCGGCTTTTCAGAGCTCGATGATTACTCTGGCCGACGTCCAGGCTGGAGACGTCGTGACGTTGCATCAGCCTCTAGAAGGCGCCGTCTCAGTCGTTGCCCCTACAGTCAGTGGCCAGGTAATTGTTCCCGCTGTCTTTCCCGTTCGATCTCGTGACGAAGGCGCTACGCTGCAAAAGATCAGCCGTGGGGCACTTGGCTCTGTAGCCGTTACCAGCAGACTCTTTCAAAGAGTAGCCGTGCTCGAGAAGCCTGGTTCTATCTCTCATCGACTACTTGGAACCGCTCTGGGGGCCAAAATTATCACTACGTTCAAAGATCGAGTTGAAACCACCTCTATTGATACGCTGGGTATGATCCACACGCACTCAGAATCGAGAAAAAAATTCCAGGAAGATAATTCCCTCCCGTCTCATGCTGCGAATGATCATCTTCAGCAAAAAGTTGTTTCGACTTCCGCTACGACCTCAACAACCAGCCGGTTCCACAACATTGACATTCCTGGCCTCGTCGCTGTGCACTCTGTTCCAGGGTTCGAGAATTCCTCAACCTCAGTGGCCGAGCTGGACGATGGGACATATCGTGCCCTCCTGACCGACGGCACCGGCAATACAAGAGTGATAGGTAGCATTCCGCGCTGGCCTCGCTTGCCGCCCGTGTCTGGCGGCTGGGCGATCAGCTCTACAGCGGGGGATCGGGTTTCTGTGTTTAGGGTGACAGAGCTGGCGACGAAGACCGAGAGGGAGGGGAAGAGCTGCTGCAAGAAGTGTGCGACTGCGGTGGGTTGGGCTGGGGTTGCACTAAGGTTGGAGTGCTAGACTGAGACACGGAGGATGAAAGAAGTGAGAGGCATTGAAATAGAGATCGACAAATTAAGAAGCTGCATTCCGTAAGACGGGTAAATTCTTGATCCGATTTGATGAAGACAAGATGATCCCAAAGATGATCCCATGAGCCCCTGTCCTGGCGCCCTGAGCTCTCCTAGCCCTAGAGAATTTCCTTGAAAGGATCTCCCAGCAACAAAAAGATCAGCTTTCCCCAAAGTGTATAGCTTCACCGGACTCAACCCTTGCCCTTGCTGACCGCATACTCAATACATATTAAACCTTGCGTTTGATAGAAGGTGTCCACCTTCCTATTTTGTGGTGTGGGCATATTCCGCCGAATTAAAACAACACTTAGAGCGACCCTAGCATGCATGGGTCGGAACTTGATTACCACATTCGGGCTACGATCAACGGACTCGGGAAACGAATGGCCTCTAGTAAAGGCATTCGTGGTAGCAACCGCGCGCTCGATTTCATTGCCGTCGGTTTCTCACACTTCGGTTCCTCCTCCGTCTTTTCAAACTGCCGTGCGTATCACGCACTTTGTGGGTATCTGGACGTACATCGTTCTGGGGTTGCGGGTAATATTACTCCACCCCCACCACCTTCACGGCCCATCCGGTCGTGTTGATTATTACCGGATACACGTTTTCAGGTCTCCTCATTCAGTCTCCTGAGCGAATTTATTTACTACGCAGTGAAAGAGTGAGGACAGAGTCCATAGCAAGTATGCCTTGGTTTCCCTATCTAGATTGACCAACTTGCACATTATGACTGCAGTCCATCATGAAGTACATAAAGAACGCTCCATCGAGAAGGGGGTTTGTTTTCTTCGGTGAGGCTCAGTCCGCTTTGTCCCCTGTCAGAAGCATACGGTTAGAATGCATCAAGATGCCCCCTCTCTTGCTCCTGAGATGGCCATCGAATCAACCAGCCTCGTTACAGACTACAGCGGCACCTAGCCATCCGTCGAACCAAGGGCGATGCGTGCGAATTAGGTATGTACCATGTCCTAGAAGAAATGCCGTCTCGAATTTACATCGCTGCTACTTGCTTAGCCTCTTGATTATGACAAATGGGTTGGAGATAACAAAGAGCGGGCCGACAACATAGACAACTACGAGAGCACTGTCTGGAAACCAACCTCCTTCCCACTGACGCGTCTGCGGTAAATTATTAGACAATCGGAAGATATGGCATTATCTATATATTCCTACTCCTTCGACTACTCCCACGTGACCCATTTCCTCTTTCCTCTAAACCTCCTCGTCAGGCCTCTCTAATCTTTGTGTTCTTCTCAACTGAGAGCCATTTGCCTCTTCCTAGCATTCGCAAACATTGGTGCTACTCAATTCACTCCCTCTCAAAGATGATGCGAATACATCGAGGACTTTTAGCCCGTGACCTTGTAGCTCTTGAAGGTTTTCTTCATATACTGGTTCCCTTCCACCCCGTAGTATGCCGTGCCTTTGCAGTTGGTCTTGCTGTAGGCGGTGTATCCCTTTGCGTCCGGCCAACCGCCAGTCTCGGGGTTGAAATGGATTTCAGTTGTAGGCCAGTTGTAATCAGAGCGAAGGTTGGTGCATTTGTTCCTTTCATGTCCGTTTGTGAGGACTTTCTTCGTTTGGGTGCCCTTGCTGGCGAAGAAATCGAGTGTCCAGGCTTGCGCCATGGAGGCCATGACGGCGGCTGCGAGGATGGAAGACACTTTCATGATGAGTTTCTGGGTGTTGGTGTTGACCTTCAAGGAGCGATGATTATAGTTGAGGTTGACGAGTCCTCTTTCTTTTTTCAATGCGTTGAGCGGCCTCTTATAGTTGTTCTGAGGGGGATGCTTTGGCAGGGTTCAGTCTAGGCATTCCACATCTGTCTCGGACTCTCAAAAGTAAGAAGCTGATTGCCATAAGCTGGTTCTTCAACGGAGCTGTTAGTTGCTCCGTCAGTCGTGCCGTCTTACCCCCAGTGTGAGGTATTTTTAAATAGGCGAGCCGAATATCAGCATTAGCGGCCATGCTAATTAAAATTAATTTTCTTGCCTAACGCAACGTGGCCGTCGTTAGCTCGTGAGGTGTTGTCCCCAACAGATCCGGGCAAGATCGTCTGTCTCGTCGCCACTACTCCCTTTTTTCTCGGTCAGGGTTGACATAGTCTGGATCCCATCCAGTGAAAATCGGCCCATCATTCGTCTGCTCTACACACCGCATCAACCCCAAAATTCCACGGTTTCTCATCTCGGCATTTCCCTCCTTGTTAGGGTCATGTGTCATGAACCCTGGAAGTCGAATTGTCCAGACACTGTTGGAGTTTCTGCCCCTAATGAGCCTGATGCCACCAGCAGGAGCTGCCACGGAATGTCCGCTTCCCGAGCGAGAAGGAATTCGAGCCACTCACGTTGCCCATCATCTAGTCTACTCTTTTCCTGATCTGATGTACCATTGCCTTCGGCCAATCCAATCTCTCCGGTTCCAATATTTAGCCTTGTCATTGTGCAACGTATCCTGCTCCCATCATATACGCATGTGGCCTTGCACGAAGAATCGTAGATCGTCAGTGTTCTTAATTATGCTCTTGTATTTATTACCTTGGTATCAGAGTTTTCAAGTTGCACCACCCATTCTATGAGTGGCAAGAAGTAAAACGTAATGGTGTATGTCTTGGACACACAATCGTCGAAGTCTCAAATGCTCCAAGGCCGGCTATTACTTCAGAAAAGCCCTCGCCTAAACATCCTGCCGAACTTGGACGAAACCCTCCCCTTAGTCTTTACCGGACCCGGAACCCGAGCTCTCACGGGCTGTCTATCTTGCTCCGGAGACCATCCCACCTCCGTTGCTGGCTTTTGATCAGTTATCGGCTGAGCATAGGCTTGGCGTCTAAGTCTCCAGATGGTGTTGGGGTCTTTGAGTTTCTCCCGCTTGCAGATCTCAAAGTTGGATTGCTGTTGGATCTCAAACGGGTCCCTCCATCCTGGGGCAAGAGTATCCAACAGGCTCGGCGTCAACTGCGGGTGCTTCTTGCAGACATACGATGCGAGGTCGCACTGGCAGGACAACTCCAGAAAAGACGTGATATCGGGCTTCTTGAAAAAGCAATCCATAGCGTGCGAGAAGTCCCACCTCGCGAATGCCTTCATGATGATAGCCTCAAGCTCGTCGAGAGCATCCGTTTCGGGAATCCCAGACGAAGCTTCGATTACGTGGGCGTAGTACAGGCTGCCAAGGATCCACTGCTGGAGATGCGGGAGGATGAACGTCCTGCCATGCAGGTGAATCAGAGAACTCAACTGACCCAGGTTGGTCTCGAGCAGCACTTTGTTGGGGTTGAAATCGGGACCGGCGAGCTGCAGCAGTTTCGACCTTACGTCTACCGTGTGTAGGAAGTCGATGACAGTTCTGTGGAGGAAGCCGACGCGCTCGGAAAACAGGACACCGGCACCGGGCTCGGGTGTGATAAAGATCAAGTCCTTGCACTGCGCTATCAGCTGGCGCTTCTTGGTTCCCAGGACTTCGGCCTCGTCGAGGTCCACGTCTGGCCAGTCTTTGAGGAAACGCAGTGGCTCCCTCGAATAGGACCCATCGCCCAAGTCCATAAAGTAGAAAGTTATCACGGGAAAGGTGGTCGAGGCGTGAGCCATGGTGAGAAACAGCCGGGCCGTCCTCTCCCTGTAGACATCCTCGATGGTGACGAACATGCGGTCAAAGTACTTGCGTAGGTCGCTCGGAAGCTCCCGCAATCGTCGAATCAGGTCTGAGATATCATCCTCGTTTCGCAGGCCTCGAAGGAGAGAGCGAACTACCAAGAAGACCCAGAGGAACACACCGTGTGCGCGTTCAGTAATCTCCAGCCCGAGCCCCTCCGCGGCCGTCTTGTTGCGCTGCTGGAGCTTGTTGAAGCGCACATCCTCGTTCAGGTTGTCCTGGATAAACTTGCGGATGTCGTCGTGGGTGAGGTCTTGCAAGTAGAGCTTCCACTCGCTGTGCTCGAAAGCATCAGAAAAATCCAGCCATTGCCGACTGGATGCGCAGATTTTGATATCTTGTGATGCTCCGATGCGACGGATTAAGCTCACCAACTGCGCATGATCGCCATCGTACTCATCGAGCCCGTCGATGAAGAGACAAATCCTGCATCCCAACATCTTCATGTTGCCGAGTCTCACAAATGCCGCCATCAGCTCTGTCCGGCTCCAGGGATTGAAGACGTCCCCGTACTGCGCATTCCATCGATCGGCACACACGGCGGGGATGAGCTGAGGGCGCTGGTAGAGAATCTGCAGGAGAATTGATCGAAATAGGCCCTCTTGGGACTTTTGAATGGCAGTTCCGGGGTTCCAGAAATAGTGCTTAGCCACGATTAGATCGTTCTTACCGGCCCATTGCTTTAGGAGGTCTCTCGTGGTTGGATAGTCTGTGAGAAACCTCATGAGGGTAGACTTTCCGGATCCAGCCTTGCCGGCGATCCAGTAAAGGTCGTCGCTGTCCCGAAGCCATGCGACAAAATTATTCTGGCCCGTCTCGTTGAAAATCCACATGAAGGTGTTCTTGTGGGCCTCGGCCACGGCAAACTCCCGTTCTTTAACTTGGCTAAAGTGCAGCGTCTCCAGAATAGTCTTCCGCTTTTGCTCGAATAATTGCTCCATCTCGGTGACGTATTTGTCCATCGGCAAGAATTCTAGTCTCAGCGAGTTCTGGGCTTCGGCAGGGTCAGTATCCCACGACGTCTGTTGCAATTTGGTATTTTTAGGGACGTCCCGTTTCCAAAGCTTTGAGCCGCGGCGTCCAGAGGGCTGAGCAGGTATCTCTTGGGAGTGGGGGTTAATCTGTTCGGAGATCAAGTCAAGGTAGTCTATAACTTTGTTGAGCTTAGTTTCCATCGCCTTTTGATACTCTTCGCTTGACGAAGCGAAGCGTAGAAGGTTCTGGGCGAGATTCTGCTGCTGTTCTCTTCGCATCGGTTAGCAGGCTCGCTAAGAATTACAGCTCCGCCACAAGTAGAGAGTGCTCACCGTACTAGAACGAGAAGGTGGGAGGATATTTGATCTCGGAGGCTGTACAACCTGCGGCACAGTTCATCCAGTTCGGATTTCTTTGCCAGAGCCTTGGCCCTTTGCATGACTTTGTTGAAGCGGGTGTCATCATTATTAAGTTCGAGACCATCTAGGATGGTCATGATCTTGCCAGATATAGCAAGACAGCTCGCATTGAGGTTTTCCAAGACCAAATCCGGCACGTGGTCATTATTTAAGGTGGTTTTGGAGCCCTTGATACTCTTCAGCGATTGCTTCACGCTGTCCACAATATCCCCCAAGTCTTCCATCTCCTCCACTGTGGCGCTCGCGCTGCTGAATAATTCAGACGTCTTTAAGATAGCTTTGATTGAGTACTCAATGAACTGGGCGACATTTCCCGCAAGGGCGAGGGCGACAAGGGCTTCCATGACAATTCGGCCTCCATCTGTAGGGCAGGCGAGGCTGATTCTGAAGGTCGGCGCTCAGTCGCCCGTGGGCCAATTAGGAACCGCAGGCGCTTTTAAGGCGTTGCACTGTTGTGACCGCTCCGATTCTCGTCAATGGCTTTGAGCCATATTTTTGTTCAGGCCGCATGAGCAAATGGCTCAGCCTGACATTGGCTTGGCGGGTTGGGCTGATAAGATCGAGAAGAGCTGTGCCGGCTAAACTCGGGCCACAATTCCAATCTTGGTGCCAAGGGATAATTACGTGTCAGTGCATATGCAGTGTGCCACAAGACCCATTACAGCCTTGTATTGTTACGCTGTATTTTAGGGACGTGATGGCCTTCCCGCGTTACTTGCCAGCAAATAGAGTTGATTTACTTAATAAAATGCGGTGGAAGCATGCTAATCACAAGGAAGCCAGATGGTTCGGCAGAGAGAAAACATGCAATGAACTGGACAATAAAATTAAAATGCCCTGCTGTCTATGCTGGTAGGGGCCCCTTTCAACCATCAGTTGCGGCTGAAAGAGAAAAACAAGATTCTGCGTGCCTTAAAAATGTCTACTCAAATGTTAACCGGAGATCAACTTGGATGTCGAACTGTATCTAGCGAGGGGCGTTCCATCTCCCGCAATACAGACCTGTGTTGGTACGTGTTGTTTTAAGCTAAAGCTATTCGATCCCCGATGTGTGGGTAATTGGGAGTGGCCAGCATCAAAATATGTCAATATGTGAAAGAGGGGGGTATTATGACAGGCGGCGAGATAAAATTGCCACAACGCCTCTATGCCAACGGGTCTTCGGGTCAGATGTGGCCGTGAGGGACGAGAACGTGGCGTTGCAACGACGTGTATAGCGTTTCTATATACAGAGTGATCTATTTTATGTATCTAAACTTCAAGGAGCATACGTTTGGCCAGCAACCTTAACCGTCGTGGTGCCTACCAAATCAGCTGCGTTCTTTGCAACGCTGAAGTTATATTCGCCACTCTCAAGCACCCACTGCTGCTTCTCCTCGCTCCAGAATGAAATATCCCGGCCCTGGACAGGCAGCTCGACAGTTGCGTTGGTACCCGGCTCGAGGGTCACCTTCTTGAAGCTAGCGAGCACCTTGATCGGGTTCTCTGGTGACGTCTTGGCATTGCCGACGTAGACTTGCACGGCGATGGCTCCCTTCACGGAGCCTGTGTTGGCGACGTTGACGCTGACGGTCCACTGGTCGGCGGCGGTTTCCTTGACGGCAAGGCCGGAGTAGTCGAAGGTTGTGTATGACAAGCCGAAGCCGAATGGGAAGTTGACCTTGTCGGCGGATAGGCGGTCGAAATGTCTGTAACCAACGAAGACGCCCTCAGCGTACTTGACAGTCAGCTGCCGACCAGTGTACTCTCCAGGGAAGTTGCCATAGGCAGGGCAGTCCTCAATCCGCTTGGGGAAAGTGGCCGTCAAATGGCCTTCCGGGGTCTGGGCGCCAGTCAGAATATCGGCGATGGAGTTGCCGGCTTCCTGACCAGGGAACCAGGCTTGAACCAGCGACTTGATCTGGTCGAGCCAGGGCATAGCTACAGCCACACCGGTCGAGTTGACGACGATGGTGTTGGAGTTGGCGGCGGCAACGCCCGCAACGAGGCGGTCTTGGCTGCCATCCTTGGGAAGGTTGAAGCTCTGCTGGTCCTGGCCCTCGGTCTCCCAGAAGGTCTCGTGGCCAGTAAAGACAATGGCGTAGTCGGCAGCCTTGGCGAGCTCGACGGCTTCCGTCAGGATATCCTTGTCATGCTCAGCAGCCGACATGTGGTCGAAGCGGACACCAGTCTTGCCCTCGAGAATACCGAGGTCTTGGCCGTCCTGGGGAGCGGGCGGGGCACTGGTGATGTAGATCTTGTACTCCTTGCCGGCTTCGAGGTTCAGCTTGACAATGGGAGCGGCGACTCCACCAAGCAAGAAGCCCATAGGGTCAGAGCTGTTATCCTTCTGTTCGTACAGCGTCTCGCCGTTGATGGTAACCTTAGAGGGACCAAGACCGGTCAAAGTGAAGTAATAAGTGGCAGACTCGGGAGAGGTGAAGGTGCCTTCAAGCGAGCTCGATTTATTGACAACTTCCATGCCGTTAAGCAGAGACACCTCGGAGTTGGGGTGGCCATGTGTGACACTGGTAGGCTCAGAGCTGCCAATGTCATAAGTTCGCCAAGTGAATCCAGGCTTCCCATCAGCACCGACAACATGGTCCGAGATGAGGGGCATTTGGCGGAAAGTATGGGCACCCTTGGCATAGGTAAACTCGACATTCTCACCCTTGAAGGCTTCGTGGAGACCGTCCCAAGGAGTAATCTTGTAGTGGGTGTTGACAGACGCACTGCCGCCGCCGTGGGCGAGGGCCTGCTTGGCAAGGCCGAGGACGGCAATCCTCTTGCCACGGGCCTTCTCCTTGGTGAGAGGTAGCAAGCCAGCCTCGTTCTTGAGGAGGACCATACCCTTGGCACCTGCCTCGCGGATGAGAGCCTGGTGCTCGGGCTTGTTGATAGCCTTCTCCTCGGGAATGGCAGGGTTGTTGAAGCAGTTCTGACGCTCCAGGAACTTGAGGATATGGAGAGCCCTGTTGCTGATGGTCTCTTCGGAGAGCTTGCCAGCCTTGATGGCCTCAAGAACTTGCTCAGTCTTTCTCCAACGGGTGGGACCAGGCATTTCCAGATCCAAGCCAGCGTTAAGGGATTCAGCAGTAGAGTTGGTGCCGCCCCAGTCGCTCATGATAAGACCGTCCCAGCCCCATTCACCCCGCAGGACTTGCTTCAAGAGAAAGGGATGCTCATCAGCATGGTAGCCATTGACCTTGTTGTAAGCAGTCATAACGGCACCGGGGTTGGCTTCCTTGACGGAAATTTCAAAAGGCTTCATGTAAATCTCACGGAGAGCACGCTCGCTGACAATCTCGTCAACATATAGACGTTGGGTCTCCTGCTCGTTAACCGCAAAGTGCTTGATGGTAGCAGAGACACCCGTTGATTGAACACCCTGGACGTTCTGAGAGGCGAGCTTTCCGGCCAGATAGGGATCCTCTGAGAAGCTCTCGAAGTTGCGGCCGCCGAGAGGATGGCGGTGGGTGCACATGGTGGGACCCAGGAGACATCTTGCGCCCTTGGTCAGGGTCTCTTCTCCCAGACCAACACCGATGCGATGAGCGATATCGACGTCAAAGGTAGAGGCGACGCTACAGGCGGCAGGGAAGCAGGCTGCAGTGATGCCGCCTGAGAAGGTAGCTCCGCGTGCGCCATTAGGACCATCGCTAGTCTGGTGATAGTTAGCGAGCGTGTTCCCTTCGGGTTCTTCGGAATTGGATTCCCGTTATACTAACCTTGAGTGCAGGAATACCCTTCTCGGCAATCGGGACAGTCTCCCAGAAATCGAAACCGGCGAGGAGGGAGATCTATGGGAATGTGTTAACAACGGTGCACGTTGGGGCCTTGATGGAGAGTTATTGATTCGACGCACCTTCTCGTCAAGGGTCAACTTGGACAGCACTGCGTTGACGTCGGTTGGAGCCATGATGAACGTTGAACGCTACAGAAGGAATTGGAAGGAATAGGGATGAGACAACATCTTGCTGGCATGGGTGACGATGCCCACCTTATATAGCACGCGTAGTAAAGCGGTCCTCGTCCCCACGAAAACAGTCCATGCCGGCCATGTGCCACCCAAGAAGGCCATACACGACTATAGAACGACCCAGACACAGCCTAGAAACCCGAGACTCCCCGTCAATTGGGATAGTGCGTCATTGTGGAGTGAAAGCATTGGATGGGATTGATTGAGACGCCTGGAGATACTCCATGGATTCACCGCTCCGTGGATTTGCCTTGATTTTGCCCCAGAGCATCCGAGGATCTGCCATTCTCCAAGTCCGATTGGTGAAGCCATCACCGCTCTCGGGATACCGGGCCATGATCCGCCCCGGCTCTCCTGATTCCCTGCTCCTTCAACACATGACCATCCCCGCGCGTGCTCAAACCCCACACAATTGAATCCCCATGTCAATGTCCCCTCGAAGCACTAAAATTGCAGTGAAGTGAAGTGACCGATTCCGTGCCCACAATAAATGGGTGAGTGGGGCCTCTCAACTCCCCTAGAATGACTAAAATTGCAGTGAAAGGGGCCCAACTTCAAGTACCCCAGCCTATTCTGTCTGATGGGTGACTGGGGAATCTCAACTCCCCTGGAATAACTAAAATCACTGTGAAATTATGTGGCGGTACAACTTCAAGTTAATTGTTACAATACCAGTGCTTTAAGCATCTCAATCTGTGCATTTTGCTCGATCAAACAATTTTCAAGCGGAAGCTAATGGCCTCCCTAGTCCTCTTAACGCGAGATTGTATCATCGTTTTGACTAGGTTGCGGAGGGTGCACATCCAGCTCAGCCAAATTGGAGCAAAAATCACAAGAGGCATAGTGTGTGGTGTAAGCCCGCAACATTAAAGACATTTCTTCTGAGTATTAGTGCGGGGTTAGACTATGTTGTCCTTTCTAACTGTCAGGTGCCGGAATGCAAGGGATGTCAAAACGCCGGATTTGGTCAAGACTAGCAAATCTACATCCCGTAGCTGCAGCTATGCTGAAGGAAGCCCTGATATCAGCTACAAATAGCTAGGGACAGCCGCCTGTTAGCAGAAAGATCAGAGATCAATACAGTCACCACTACCCCCACTACCTTCCTAGCTGCCGAGCAGCTATTATCTGACCTCTTCACTCCCGTTGTGTATTCGAGCCCTGACACTAACGTTCTCGCCGGCTGGGTATGCGCGTGCAGGATGAGCCGCGGAGGCATGGAATTTGGCCAAGATTTCGGACATGATGAGCTTGGAAGTGTTTCATTGTGGAGATGAAATTAAAAGCAAATTGGCCTTCAAATGATGAAGTTATGAATCAGGTGCAATAGAAAAGTCAGTTATAGCAGCGACGCGGTTACAGGTCGTATCACCACCTCTTCAAAGGCAGAGATAGGGGTGTTATGCCTTCTTACTCAACTTAAGGAGTTTCCGCTAAAGAAGAGGGTACGTTGAGGTGTCATTAGCAACAGCGCAACTTGATTGTGACTGGCTATAGGTACTATGATTACTCGAGCCCATGATGTGAGTGCAATTCTACTAAGCGTTTATGCTAAACAATAGCGTTTATAGAGGCGTAATCGGCCACAGGACAACTTGATTCCAACTAGAGACTGAGCGTTCGGGGTGGTTTGCTGGGAAGATTCCGGCTGCGGTGGTGTTCCAGCCACTCCAACCCATTAGGATGCCTTATCGCCCGACTTGCCAGGCCAAGTGACAGCCGCACAACGGATTCTGGTTAATCCCACACCGCTTATTTTCCACTTTACAAGCTATATACTCTTCTTCTCTTACTTAATGTAGAAGCTGGAAACTGAGAAGGAGCGTAGGCCTGGATTTATTTGGGGGAAAACAACAACACGTTAAGGAAGTCTGCAAACAATTATGCCTGCTACTACTATTAGTATATCGTACTAATGGATACTGAATAAAGTTTGTCTTTTCTTCTGTGTATCTCAGCCTCAAATGAAAGAATACGAAGTGTGATAAATCTATACTCTAATGATCGAAGAGTTTCCTAAGGAAGGGGTGAGAAGTTGTTGAGCGTAAGGATTTCCATTATACTTGATAAAAACATACTACTGAACATTATTCAACCAAAACACCCTAAACGAGGCATCAATTACTCTGACAGCAGTGTGTGGGTATTCAGTGAAAACCTTTCTCATTGTACTGCCGAAGAGCGTAGTACTGATATCGTGAAGCACTACGCTCTCGAAAAGTCTTTCCATATCGAATAAAAACACCAAAAAGCATAAGGATCCCACATGCAATTAGCAGAATCGTCACCAAGACGTACTTGATACCCACTGCGGCAACCCAAGGCGAGAGAGCGAATATGAATGCAGTGCTGAAGGTATTTCGTACGACCGTAACACCAACCAATGCATCGCCAATAATCTGCTTACTTATTAACATTGGCCCTACAGATGCAAGAAATGATAGTGTGAACATACCTCTTTGTATGAGTCTGTTAGGTATGTGATAACAAGGCTGTTGATTGGAGTGACGCCAATATTGTATAGGGCAAGTCCAACTGCAATAATGGGCCAGGGTAGATGATTGTTCAGACCGATACCGAAAAGAAGAGCTCCTGTAGGAACAAATAAGAGGAACGGAATGATACACCACAATCGCATCTCTGGGTCGTAGATGCCATTCCGTCGACGAGAAAGATAGATGATCCACCAATCACTCATCGGGCCTATGATTAAGGCTCCAATTGTGACACCGATCATCCTGGGCAAACTCATGAGACCAATTTGGTCTGAAGTGAAATTATATGGCGGCTGGGTTAGATATGTCGACAAAGTGGTTGACATGACATCTCCTAGGCCTACCAAAATACCATATACAAGTGCGGCATAGGCAATGGCAGGGATAGTGGTCAACAAAATGAGAGGTTGATACATATGACGAAGGAAAGAGTCGTTCTTTTGGCTGGAAGATGAGGTGGTAGTGGTGATGGCTAGCCTCTCCCAGTAGGTCTTTCGAGGAATATCGGGGTTTATTGCGACAGGGGTGATGTTGCATGCCATGGCTTCCTCATTTGCTGGAATTGAGGCAAGGTCTGCGACGCCTTGACTCGACCAAGTCTTTTTCATATCTGTCGACTTTTTCTCAAAGTCGCTAGTTGCATCGTTGATGTTTCTAGTTGGAGTGGACTTTGAATCAGTGTTGACATCAGCCTCTGGTGGCGGATCCGACGTTGACGAAGGTGAGGATGGACAAAATTTGGTCTCTTCGTAACCAAAGCCGACGATGAAGATGGAAACACCGAAAAAGATGGCATTCCACCACCAAACCCATCTCCAGCCTTGGCCCTTTGCGACGAATCCCGCGATGAGACTCCCAAGATAGCTCGAGAGCAGCCACACCCAAACATAAAGTGCGTTCATCCTTCCACGCTCGTGGACAAAAAAGACATCGGCAATAGTCATCTGGACGATGACCTCAGCCAAGCTTCCGAAAAAGCATTGAAGGATGTTAATAAGTATTAGGTCGGCAATAGTTTGCATCTTAGCAGACCAAATGCTAAGAGCGAATTGGAGCATTGTACTGAAGAGGTAAAGTGGTCGACGGCCAAACTTGAGGGCGAAGGGAATAAGCAGAAGAGAACCAATGGCGAGAGAAGCGCAGCCAGCAGCGTAGCTATCGTTGAGCACTTCGTAGCTGAACCCAAGCTGCTGGTTCATTGGGCCCCATGTTGGGGTTGCAGCGTTGATGAACTCGGCGACCATGGCGACGTAGAAACAGACGAGCCCAATGTTGAGAAACTTGCGCCACTGAGGCCAATTAAGGGGATCGTTGGGGTCCTCAGATGGTCGCGGCTGTAGGATCAAGTCTTGTCCTGCCGGTGCACTTGTATTCTCAAGCCGCACCGTGCCAGGGGGCCACATGGTATTGCTGTCTGCGCCGCGATTCGAGAAGGGTGAAGCCATGGTGGAGGCGGGTGGAATGGGGGAAAAGAGACAAGGCAGCTGGGGTTTTGCGGGGAGGATAGAGAGGGGACCCAATGGAATGACAACGTAGGCACATCTAACATTGGAAGAGTGATGGCAGCAATGTATAATATATCATGATCACAGAAGTTTGAAAACATGGGCTTGACTGGGAAAGAAAGACGTTTCTATTGGTGGCAACTTCCAGGTCACTACTAGAAGCACTGAAGTATACAGATAGCCAATTAGAATCTCTTGTCAAGGTGTCATTGGGCTTATCAGTGGAGTGGGGAGAAGAAAGATCCGCTGTTCTAATTGGTGGCAACTTCCACCTATTGTACAAGTGAATCCCCTCATTTGAGATCATGAGTCGGTTGCTGGGCGGAGTTAAGGAGGGTTCTGAATTAGTGTGTCTCTGGATCACTCTCCAATATTCGATATCACGCCATATGTGGAGGCACACTCCGGGACCGTGATACGTATTGTACCGGCTCGATCCACCAATTGCGGATGGCGAAGCCGCGGGGGCGGTACTTATAAACATCTTTGTCGTTATCGGGCACCGATCTGCTCTTTAGTCGATACAATTTTGAAGATACTTCCTTAAGCCGATTAATTACCACCCATTACAGACCCAAAATACACCAATACTATGAAGCCAGCACCGTCATCCGCTCTAAGCGCAGCCGACACTCAAACGCACGCTGGCTTCCCCAAGCAGAAAGGGTTTACGCTCTCACACTGGCTTCAAGATGTGCAGGGCAATCCTCTTTTGAACCATCGCACGACCCCCGAGCTGCCTCAATCAGCAGACATCGCCATCATCGGTTCCGGTGTATGTATTCCGCAATGGGCGAGTAAACCTCCTAATGGCGGGCTAACGGCCGGCAAAGATGACTGGGACATTGGTCGCTAAACACTGCATTGAAACATGGCCTGAAAAGAGCGTCGTGGTTCTCGAAGCCCGCGATTTCTGCTCTGGCGCTACGGGCCGGAATGCTGGCCACTGCAAGCCAGATCAGTGGCGCGGATTTGCTGAGTTTGAGGCAGCTTTTGGTACTCAACAGGCACTCAAGGTAGGTCGAGAAGCTGTTCTTGTCGGCCTTTCTAACATGGCTGAGCAGATTCTGCAAAACGAGCAACAAACATGGTCTGATTTGGTGGCTTTCGTCCGTGAAAATGACGTCGACTGCGATCTTTGGGTAGGCGATACGCTGGATGTTCCGGTGACGCCAGAGGTTGCTAGGACTGCGAGGGATCAATTCGAACACTTCAAAGCTGCTGGTGGCAAGGTTGATCACATCAAAGTCACGCACGACCCTGCGAAAGCTGTAGAGGTACTGACAGCGCCACTAGTATCATGTGCCACAGCTGACCGACTGTAGATGTCCCGTATCAAAGATGCACAGGCGTGTTATGCTTGGCCAGCGTCAACTCTGCACCCATGGAAACTCGCAGCCCACGTTATGCGTGACTGCTTGAAGAAAGGCGTCAACCTCCAAACACACACGCAAGTCACGCAAGTTATTCAGTCTGTGGAAATTCCAGGGAAGTGGATCATTCAAAGTGACCGTGGCGAGGTTAAATGCTCGCTGGTCGTGCATGCAACAAATGCGTACAGCGCTGCTGTCGAACCTTCGTTACGTGGGCTAATTAACCCTATACCTCATATGTGCGATCAGGTCACTCCACCCGTGACCTTTACGGGGACCAAGAGTCTTCAGAACTCCTATGGCGTTCTCCTGCCAGAGGGAGGTCTGTTCAGCATCAATCCCCGGTGTACAACAGGAGGTCCAGTCCTTTTCGGCGGATTCAACCCTGGACAACAGGAGTTCATGAAATGGCTAGAGAAGAACCCGGAAAGGGGCACCGATGATGGCCTGCCTGGCTTCAAATCCGTGACGGACGCTGTACGGGAATTTACACAGTCCCAGTTTGTAGAATGGCCAACCGCGTCCACAAATGAGGGAGACGTTTATAGTCACAGGTGGAGCGGCATCATTGCCTCGGTAAGTAGACCGTTAAAGTCACCGAAATATCTGCTAAACAAATATTAACTTGCATTGACCAGAGCGCAGACGGTGTCCCGTTCATAGGACAGTTGCCCGGGCTGCCAGGTCAATGGGTTTGTGCTGGTCACCATGGACAGTAAGTTTTAAAAGTCCACTGTCATCCCCTGAATGTGCCTTGACTTCCATGTCAAACTAACATGTGTCTATTTCAACGTCATAGTGGAATGGCTCGTATCTTCACCGCTGCACCTGGCCTAGTCAAGCTGATGGGCGGGACCTCTTGGGCTGACACGCAACTGCCTGAAGTCTACCAAATCACCCCATCACGGATTAGACAGCTGAAGCAGCGAACTAAGACGGAATCGTCGGATCTGCCTCGCCTCTGATATGGAATTACGTAATAATGGACAGTTATAGAGTCAAGGTGTTGAAGTAGTTGAACGTGGCCTGCAAAGAGGCGGTGATCAAAAAACCGATTGGGTATCTATGATAGAAGTTTTTTGGACTTTCTCTGATGTATATGCTTAGATGACTACCATCCCCTTTTGTAACAGCTATTTGTTTCAACTTTGTCTGTGGGCATACTGTATCGAGTTTCTATTGTTTGGCTTTGTAACTACTCCCTCTTGAGCCGTTTTATTGACTTTGGACATTCGAGCTAATCCTGAGAGCGGCGTTTACGTCGTCAGAGCAAGTTAGTCACGTGCCTGTGTTAGAATGCAGATTGACACTAGGGAGTGTGGCAATGTGGTAATCAGGGAGTTCCGGTAGTATTTGAGGCATTTTTGCCCGCCCGGAGCAGTTCGTTCGTAATACTCAGCTCCTTCGCAATACACATCGAGAGCAGCGATAGGCTTACCCGACACCTCTTAAAATACTGTACGTTCGTAGCCTTACTTCAATCCAACCAACCAACGGACCCGTCTCTCAAGGGCTACTACACGTTCTAGCACTCCAACTATCTCAAACTGGCTGAGGCATCATCTACCATCGCCCTTTGCTCAATGTTTCCTAATGCAAGAAACGCACACAGTCGGCCAGGTCGAGGCACTCAACGGATACGTTCTGTGAATAGGACATTGGTAGCCTGCGTAAATTGCAAGGAGAAGAAGCTAAAGGCAAGATCATCACAATTGAATCTTAGGTGCCGTCGATTAACCCCCAAGTTCAGTGCGACAACAAGGTCTCAGGATGTGAGAACTGTCGGCGTTCTAGTTTGAGTCAGTACACCCTTCCAGCCCAGGATGTTCTCCTTGGTATTGCTTCTCTAATTCTCTTTTACTTACTGATGGCAGCGTGTCTTGTGGAAGACCCAACCACGAAGAGACATCGACCGCGAGACTACCTTGAAACATTAGAACAACGTGTGGCGTTCCTCGAGGGCGTGTTGAAACAGTATCGACCAGATCTAGCCAACGATCATCTCTTTCAAAATGATGCTCTTCAGCCAGAATTACAGCCTAACTCTTCTACGAGCACAAGGCCTATTGAAGATCAGTCCCGCGGCCCGTCAGCATTACCCACAACTGAGGAAGACGATGAACCTGCCGGGCTTGACGAGTTGGCCTCGAAAGTTGGTCTATTGAGTCTGAATGCGGCTGGAGCAGAACCTCATTACTTAGGTTCATCTTCAACCTTTGCTTTCTCACGACTGATCAACTCGTCACTTCGCCAAGTGGTATTAACAAATTCCAACGATGCAAGCGCATTTGGCCGAAATGAAAGCGATTTGCCCATCATACCAACACCATGCCTACTACCTGACCACGATGTTGCCGTCAAGCTTAGTGATGCTTATTTTCAAAACATTCACACCCAGTACCCTTTTTTACATGAACCAACATTCAGAACATGGGAGGCGACAATAGCGAGCGGGGCAGATGAGTTTGAGACCTTTATGTCTAACCCAGCACCTATGTTCTTCTTAAATATGGTGAGTCAGAGCACGTCATATTGTGAGGAAATGCTAATGTCTTAGGTGTATGCCGTTGGAGCTTTGCTCTTACCAAGTTACGGATACTCAGCTGAGGTAGGTACCCAAAATGTCAAGTGGCAAATACTGACTGGCTCTTAGCGGTTATACATCTCGGCGCAAATGTACATTGATCACATATTATCGCGTGATAGCCTGGAAGCAATACAGGCCATATTGTGTTGCGCGGTGTATTCTCTTCGATCTTCGATCGGTACATCACATTGGTAATTATGTGCCATCAATGTGACAAGGGAAGTCATGCTCACAAAGGCTAGGAAATTGGCTGGATTAGCCCTACGACAGTGCATTGATCTCGGCTATCACCGCAACTCCAAACACTTCAACTCGAGAACGGATCCCCTCCGGCTGGAACTGCGCAAGAGAGTATTCTGGTGTGCCTACGTAATGGAGACCCAGGCTGCTGTTATGCTGGGCCGACCTCATGGCATCCCCTACCAGGAGGTTGACGCCGAGGTATTTGTCACCTAAATCCGTTGGCCCAATGTCCTTAACAACGGGCATTGATTGTTCTTGTCTAACCATTTCGAATACAGTACCCAATAGATATTGATGATTCATGTATTACAGACGCTGGAATTCATGGTACACCACGGAATTCCCGCACTGATCCCTCGACGAGTATGACGCGAGCAATTCACACATTCCGGATTCGGCGACTGTTAAGTCGCATCCACAGCTCTCTCTACTCAAAGAATGCGTGTTGTTGTTCGGCGAAGCAAGCCAATCACAATCATGTCCAGCAACTTCGTGTCGAGGTTGAGAGTTGGCGCGCTGGAATCCCCCCATCTCCACCTTGTACGGGCAAAGAACTGTCACTTTTTGAAACCTCAGACTGGTTTGATATGGAGTATAACTACACCATCCTACAGCTTTACCGAGCTCAAATTATAGATCGCCAAGCTGGAGCCGCAGATAGCGTTTTTCTCGACTGTCTGAAGGCCGCAGAGAGTATCTGCCACAGCTATCGTCGCCAATTTCTTGGAAAGCCAACAAGCTATACGTGGTCGGCGCTTCACGAGCTATTCCTGGCAGGACTGACATATCTCCACTGCCTCTGGACATCGCCCGCAACACGCGCTGCCCATCGTCAGGGCCAAGTGAGCAGCACTTGCACCGACTGCACAATTGTTTTGGTGTTGATAGCAGAGCGATGGGAAGCTGCAGCACCGTACCGTAACATTTTTGAAACACTTGCCAATCGGACCATAACGATGATGGATGATAGGAGTGATGGGAAACAGACTCTTCCGAATGCTTCAACGGGAACTGATAATTCCAGTGAAGGAGATTTAACGGAGTGGATGACGAGTGTGGTTGATGTAGGCATGTCTAATGGGTTGGATGAGCTATTGGCAGGCCTGGTTAGCGACTTTCCACCTTACGGGTAGTATTCTTAATACTGAATGTTTCGATAATACTTCCAGGGCTGACTGGCAGGGTCGGCTGCACGCTGAAGAGGGATAACTTCGACTTAGCAGGGCTGATGATGACCTGGTTGGTCAACACAAGTGCCGTAGATTTTTTCCTGTCTGTATCCATGGGAGACCTCGCTGAAAGCTGCTGGAAGGTCAATCAGCCCATAGATAGGTTTCCCAGCTACTAATGGTGTAAACCGCTTGGGCGATGGAACTACCCTACACCTGAAGGTTGCCTCAATCGTTTCGGGGGGATAAGCGGAGTTAGGATCAGCAATCAAGGTAATTGCCACGGGGGAGGACTAAAATGGAACTAAAACTGGGGAATTAATTTCTTCCTGTTAAAGGCAACTATGCTCTGAGTTTCCAAGAATGGCTGGCTACAGGCTCTGAGTGAGAAAATGCGCTTGTGAGCTGCCACCATGTGGTTAGTCGTAGCATGACAACTTCAGATGGGAAATCAATTGTCGGAGATAGTACCGACGCAATCGTGCCATAAACTGCAAGTTGAACCCCTCCCCAAATAAAACAGGCAAGTTTTGCCGTGCATGACATGAGGTGGCTGGGGAAGCCCGGTGCTGGGTCTGAATACAGCTTTGGCTTGCGGCGGTGAACTGCTCGCTTCAGCTTAGCCGACGGCTAGCTCGCGGTGTCAAAAAGTGAAGCCGATGTTACGAGGATAAGCGATAAAGCCCATGGACGATAATATTTTCATGTTAGGAGATGTCCGTGGAATTATTAATTACCTCACGCCGGGTCGGAGCGCATTCCTGTCAGTTGGGTCCAGGGTTCGCCGATGGGTGCGGGGTTGGATAATTAGCGTCGGCGGCATGCCCGCAGTCACCGAAGATTAGATAGACAAGATAGTAGATAAGTTACTTAGAGTAGATAAGTTAGAGTAGATAGCGCTGTCGAAAGAGGACTAGTTGTGCTCAATTGAGTTGCTTGGCACCGCCGATCGTATCCTTATCTCTCTGACCTCATGGTCTCTTCCGTAACGTCCGGGATGCTGTTGGCCGTGTAGTTGGGAGTATAAGAGGCGGCATTCTCTCACAATATTCCAAGGCTCAGCAGCTTCTTTATTCCTTTGCTCGACCACCTGTGCTACCGACAGACAACAGTCTCCAAGCTCATCATGGCATCCCTCCTCCGCCTTGCCGTTGTGGCGACCTCTGCCCTCCTAGTAACAGCTGCTCCGGTCCCGGTCCCGGACCCGCCGACGCTGTTCACTCGAGCTGAGTTCAATGCCAGCCTCCCCAATATCACCATCTTTGCTACTGGAGGCACCATTGCTGGTAGTGCCGGCTCCAGTTCCGAGGTCACCGGGTACAAGGCCGGAGCTCTCGGCGTGGATGTCCTGATCGCCGCCGTGCCTGAGATTATGAATGTCTCCAATGTCAAAGGCGTTCAATACTCCAACATCGGCAGTCAGATGATGAACTCCAGCCTACTGGTTGGCCTGGCACAGCAGATCCAGGAGGCTGTTGACGACCCATACGTATCCGGTGTGGTTGTCACTCATGGCACCGATACCTTGGAAGAGTCGTCGTTCTTCCTGGACCTGACTGTCCGTACTGAGAAGCCCATCGTCATTGTGGGCGCTATGCGACCGGCCACTGCTATCAGCGCCGACGGACCCATGAACCTCCTCGAAGCCGTCACTCTGGCAGCATCTCCGAAGGGACGAGGTCGTGGCGTTATGGTTGTGCTCAACGACCGCATTGCCAGCGGTTATTACACTACCAAGACCAATGCCAACTCGCTCGATACGTTCAAGGCCTACGAACAGGGTTTCCTTGGAGCCTTTGAGGACATCAAGCCGTTCTTCTTCTTCCCCCCGGCTACTCCTGTTGGCCGTCCCTACTTCGACCTCAGCAAGAACGACCCCGTCGATGGCATGCCCCAAGTCGATATCCTCTACGGTTACCAAGAGTTGAATGCCGCCCTGGTCCCTGCAGCCATTGAGTCTGGAGCGAAGGGTCTTATCCTTGCCGGATCTGGCGCTGGTTCATGGACTGACAAAGGCAATGCCGCAGTCGAGAAGGCCATCAAGGAAACTAAAACTCCTGTTGTCTACTCCCGTCGCCCTATGGATGGCTTTGTTGCCCAGGGTCCGATTGAGGATGGTGTGGAATGGGGCCTTGGTGGTGGATTCCTGAACCCTCAGAAGGCCCGCATTCTATTGCAGCTGGCTATTAACGCTGGATATAGCGTAGCCCAGATGCGCACTATTTTTGAGCTGGAATAGAGTACATAGAGTGTCATGATTGCAATGTCAAGAAAATAAAGTTAATTATTTCAAAAGTGTCCCGTAACCGCCATCCAAATGACCCGCGAGTATCACTTTAATCCTAGGATACTCATCGAAGTCGACTCTCGCATATATCAGTCACCCACTAGATTGCGGTTGAATATATTTTCGACCGCCGGTGTATCTCTAGCGCCACGCGGAAGTAATTGCAAAAGGCAGTCTCTGTTTCATCATGGTGAACTCAGTGTAGCGGGGATCGAGTTGAAGGCTATACCCTGGCATCTAGCTGTATCCATCGCTAATTTGGATTTTGATATGCAATTGCTACCAGAAGGGCCTCACCTCCATCGTGAAATACTCTCTTTCACAGTACTCTTCCATATCATAACATGGCTCGTTCGACTGGCCTATGCGTATTTACAAAGTAGCTCTAATAAGAGCGCTTGCCAATGAGGAGATAATCCAAACCAGTGTAAGAACCTCCAGCTTAGGGGGACAAAACCTAAGTCTGGTTAGCTGCATCGACCAAGGAAATAAAAGAGACTTACTCTTCCGAACTAAGACCAATAAATCCACTCCAAAAGAGCCACTGCGCAACCCAAAATAGGGGTATGCTTATGGCGGCGATCATACATAGCTTCTGGAATCTTTGCCGGAGAACCCAGTTACCTGTGCTTTCAACGGGAACGGCTAGAGTTCCATAGACCGTGTATGTTCGTCCGTCGCTGCCAGCCAACAATGGTTCTCTCGAGGCCCTACTTTCGTCTATCAAATAGTCAGCCAGCTTCTCCTCCAAACATGTCCAATACTCACCGCACTGAGTCATTAACCTCTCAGCGACATTCGATTCTGTCTGCTTGCTTCTCTCCCATTTTGGTAAATCGGCTCTATCAGGTCCGGTCAACTTGTTCGGCCTATATATAGCCTGTATCGATTTAAAAAGCGCCATGCCAAAGATAATGAGCCACATGAGTGCTCCAGCATACATAATCAGGGCCGATTGTCCCCTTTCCGCACCCTCGAGACCACCGCGGTAGAAGTTGTGTTCTCGGCCATAATCGACGGTTAGGAACATGTAGTATGATGACAAAAGTTGGAGGATCACTTCCGCAAACAAAGAAGATGCGGCCGCGGAGAGATTTATTTCTCCAAATGGTCGGACACCAACCAGCCAAATGGTGGGCCAAGCAAACCGAGGCATTGAGCACCAGAGGAGCATCAATTGAGCAACGGGGACGTGTTCATAACCAAGGGTTTTCTGAACAAGAAACGCATTCAGGAAGTTCGCGACCAGCTGAAGAGTGGCGATTAAAATCCCGGTGAAGAACCAAGATGACGGGTGCGTGTGCGATTCAGAGTCGCGTGCGATTTGATGGACTCCTTTTCCATGACTGAGCAAAACGGCAAGAAAAGTAGCTAAATTGATTAAAGCAAAGCTTCCGACCTTCGTCTCGTTTGAGGCGCAGTTTTGCGTTGTCTTGATGGATCCCAGCCGAGTGATAGACGCAACGTTCGAATTGTTGGATGCTTTCAGAGTCCACCGCCATGGAATCATCTCGAGGCGAGTAGGGGTGGCTAATTGGCGCCAATTATCTGGGAGACCCTTCCAGTCCTGCACGTTTCCACAAAGATCATGGAGCCACTTGACATAGTCAATCCTGGTGTCGAAAATGTGGCACGAACCTCGGCAGGAATCATAGGTGATGTCGTGGCAGAAGCAAGTCCTGTCTATTGCGCGCTTGACTTTGCAATAGCCATCGGAATCAAGTTCACAAGCATCAGTCGCACATTGATCATGTAGCTCGGTGACCTGCTTCGGCATATCCGTGACACACGTGGGCCAGTGCCAGTCTTCCATGGGGATATACGCAAATCCCATGGTTTTTAGTTTGTCCGTCCAGTTGCCATGTAGAGATGTCGGCCCACAAGTGGCATTCATCCATAGTCGCTCCCTCGTCACTTGCAAGCCTGTCTGGCTTGGCTCGGAACATGGTTCCTGTCCCGGAACTGTAGTGAAGGACTTGCAGAAGCATGCTTTGTCAAAATAAAGGTCAAAACTGTCGTCATATCCGATGTGACCTCCCGTGAGATTGTAGCCGACAGTTTCAAAGCCTAGAGAGACCATGGACCGTAGGGATTCACTGTATTCCCAAGGACGGTCGGGATATCCGGTACGTTGGGTAGCGCTTGTGAAGCTACAGGATCCCATCACATGGTCAAAGGGTTCCATCGAGGCAGCAGATAAAGAGCTCGTTAGGCATGTTGGCGCATTGTGAGTAATGTCGAAATTTGCATATCCTTGAGATAGGGAAGCCGGGGAGAGATTTTGCAGTTCGTTTGCGTCGCCGACATCAACAAGCCACGTTCGACCAGTAGCGCTATGAACCCAGTTGTACAACTGTGCCTTGCCCAGTACTGATCTGCTGCAGTACGCGATATACTCTTTGATGACGTTAGGGCTGAATTCAGCGCTGAGACAGGTGAGTTGAGTCAGCCATTGCTGGTGGGTACAAATGAATGCAAAGTGCGAGGTGCATCGTTTGTGAGTACACTTCGTCATGGTGTTCAGCCAGGTGGACTGATCCTGCTGAGCGATGCACTGCGGCATAGGGGTCAAGTCTTCGGGATTAACCCAACCATCGAAGTTCTTCTGGATGCTCGGGATAGCATCTTCGGTGGGAAGTTTGCTAGCAGGATGGAGCGCTTCTGTAGTGATTCCGTTGGCGTCAAAGATAAGAAACATGCTAGGACGTAAATACCTGAAGCTACCCCGCAAATGCCAGCTATCAAGAGCAGGCATGTACTGATGAGTTTCATCTTGCTCATGATGCCAAGAGGCTTTGCTCTCCTTTCGTATAGTCGAGACCTGATTCTTCTTCGGTGCAGCGATCCTCGTCGGTGCGGGAAGGCAAACAAGATGAAGAATGAAAGAAGATGAGCCTCATTGTGTCCACGCGTTGAGCCACGTCATATTACTAAGGAATGAGGGGTCAGGCATCAGCCGCACGAGGCTGTCGCTTGAGCCAACAAGATCACATCAAGTTGGCCCCCACAGTCCTGATTGACTGGCACCGCCAACACACAAGCCTACTGCCTGATCATGATATTCTCCTTGCTCCTTGAAACTATCATACTCTGTACGTACTTGAACAAGTAATCCCCGGTTTTTAAGCTATTTGTGCACTCTGTTGGGGCTGGGGTAGGTGACCCTCTTACAGTAATCCATTCGAGGAAGTTAAGCCAATTCATTTCTATGCCCAATGACAACAGTACCCGCCATAGTACATCCACACTGACGGTACTATACGCTTCTTCAAAGATGATTACTTTGCAATTTTACTACACGGGCGCCTGCGGCTACTGCTTGGTGGACAAGGGACAAAGGCTGAGTCGCTGACAAGCGCACCACGAGGGCTCCTTCACGAGCAGCCAACTGTGTGTATTTAGTGAACAAGCCAACCGCACGCATTGGCGAAGGTATAATCCGGCAATTGAAATGGAGATTAGCGAAACCGCAATTGAGCACTGAATAAGGTGAAGTTACGTAGGCGGGAATTCTGAACATTAGCATCACTAGCATTCACATCTACTGCACGTGGTGTCTGTAATGACAGCCGTTGCAAGAGATAACCTAGCATACGCCACAAGAGACTGAGATTGATAATATAGCTCTAATCTATCTGAAGATTCCCATGCAGTCTCTCATAGCTCTGAGGCAACCTCTGCACGCTAAACCGAAGATGTTTCAACAACCCCATTCGATTCAGCGTCCTTTTCCATCTTCTCCACTCTCTCTTCCTCTCGAGCAGCTAAAGCCAGGAAGACTGAATCCGCACACACTTGCACAAGAAAGGTAAACCCAATAAAGTAGAATGTTATGACCCCATTCCACGCGAAGGGTCCACTGTAAACAGTATGCATACCGGTTGCAAGGGAGAAAATAATGGGCATAAGAATATTGATAATAGCGAGTTCCTTGGGGAATAGAGGCTTCTTTCGCGTATCGACAATAATGGCATAAGCGAAAGCAAAATTCTGTACCATAAATGTTGGCCAAGGCATAAACGCAACAAGCCACTGTGGTTAAACAGTCATCAGCATGTTTCCAAGTAGCATGGAGTTTACAAATATTTATATCCAAGGTTTACATACAAAGAAGTCGTTTAGGGCATGAGTGATCTCTATCGGCCGATCAGGGCGATAGGAAGCAATGGCGAGAACTATTCCCGGCAGCATAAAAGTCCAGATTCCGGCCGAGGCGGAAGCGAGCTGAACTTGATGGATGATGTAAGGGATATTGGGAACGCGGCGGATTTGGTAGGAAATTGCGGTCGAAAAGGGTAAATAAAAACCACCAGCAATCATGTTGATGGCAGCACCCGCATGAATGCGTGTTGTATGGTCCTGGTAGAACTTGGCAACCTTTTCAGCACCCCAGGAAGGCGGAGGTGGAGGGATGAAGTCGGCGATGGCGAACGAGATGACGAAAAAGATGACGGATGCTGCACCGCAACAAGCGCAGTAGTATTGGATGGCGGTGTTGCTCAGGAGCCACGAGCGAGCCCAGCTCTCCGTGTTGCGGTGCAACCAACTGTTGAGTCCCATGATGGACTGATGGTTTGATGTTGGTTTCAAGAGTTGGCGGTAAAGATGGCTTCGGCGAGAATATTGGTCAAGATTGGGAAGAAACTTTTGAAGTCCAGAGAAGTGGGTTCATAGAATAAGAATTTTGATCGATGATGGACCGTCTTATATAGGCCGTTGACTGCTTGCGGGAGACACATTTAGTTTAGAAATGTCATGTACTCTATCGGAATATCATATTGCGTAGTGTCAAACCAGCTACCTCCAACACGTCGGCCCATAGCCAGACCCAAAGCGTCCCCGGATGCCGAAGGATGAAGTGCCGTAGGATCGTGTGACGGCGAATGCCGGACTTTCGGGCCCGACATTCCAAGAATGGTTAGGTACCGAAAAGAAAATACAACATCACCATTACGGGCAGTTATGGGACACTGCAAGGAAACTCGATAAGCACGGCATTCCCCAGGAATAACATCTCGCTTTGGTTCCTCTTGTTATCTTGATCGACGTCTTGTTAATTGCAGTCTTTCTGACCACCCCATAGATTATTTCCCATGCTCTTTCGTGAACCATTACTATCCAAATTCCGTTTCATTGCGCCTTCACCGAACCGGCAAAGATCAGCCGCCATGCCCTCGGTCATCGCCGAAGGCATGTAGACGGCACCTTGTCGGCCGTTGCCAGCTTCTCGGCCCCCATCCGCGACGTGCTGTCCTTGCCTGTACTACCGAGTAAATACCAGAAGGATAGTCTACACTAAAAGAGGGGAACCGCGGTAATTACTTGCACACATGTTTGGAGGAAACAGATTCAGGTTTCGCCGGCGCGGAGCCTGGCCGGAAAAGACAGGCAATCACAAACTGTTGTCATGGAGTCTTCGGCACCATAGCCGAGACTACTTGGAGCTCAGGACTGAGAGCAACAAAATCTTCGGTCTCCATTCCCACTTTTGCATGTTTCGGCTTTGGCTGGTTCGGCCTTAATCCATCGGGGGCAGTCTTGTTACCGACGCACGAACCTCGACGAAGCCAGTAGGCGCTCGCTTCACCATGAATAACCCACATGTATGCTACGGCAGCAACGCGAGAGTTGGAGTGACCTGTTTGCTACAGTAAATGCACTAGAATGAGATGGTTTGATTCTCCGTTTTTAATCGCGAGATGTCTAAAACAACTTGCATATTGCGTCCAAGCGAGCCTCTATCTCCTCATCCACAAGTCTATCCCTTAAAAATGCAATCGTCTTGTGACCCTCCCAGTCCACCCTTTGATGCTCTTTGCCACGCGGCTGTGATTATTCACCACCCATAGCCGTAGCTCATTCCGTCTTCCTGCAATAATTTTCACACATATAGCGGGATGAGGTATATTTCGATAGTGACCTTCCGCTACATGCCCGCATCGTCTGCCCCGTCCGAATTTCGGATTCGCCTTTCTCGCATACCGGGTTAACTTTTGGAGCAACGAGCCGATCCCCCACCTTGAAAAGCATACCTAGCGATAAAGGGTTTTCGAAGAGGTCACTATTGACGAGTTGCAATGTTTTTCACACGGAATTAGACGTGTCGGCATATGCGCCTCTTGTGCCTGTTTTGCATAATGTGGCGCTGTGTGTGGTAGATAATGAGTGAGAAGTTCAGGAATGCTACATCGCCGATGTGGTTGCTCTCGGACGAGCGCCGAGTCGCGTTTAATTGTGGTGTTGAGAAATCACCCTCCCTGCTTTGTGGACATAGGGCCATGTTACAATTGTCAGCGTAAGGAGCTGTCTAGCGGTATCAGGGAAATACCTGGTTCCTGGAATGTATTATTGGTGTGTTGCCGAAAATAAGCTGAGATATCTCATTTAATGGTCCATGGCCTACATTATGATGGCAGTTCCGAATAGTTAATTTAATATAAGTTTTTTTAATATTTATACTATTATTAATCTTTTTAATATATTTTAATAGATATCTTTCTGAAAGTTATATTTATACTTATAATCTTTTAATATAAAATATTTAACTAAATTTAAATTCTTATAAAAACTTACAATTCCAAAAATAAGCTCTTTTAAACACCTAACTCAAAGCTCAGCCAGCCTCAGCTCAAGCTCCAGGATCCTCAGCTTAAGCTCGGCCAGCCTCAGTCCGAGCTCAGCAACAGCTCAGCTTAGAGCAGCAGAAGCTCAGCTCTAGAAACGGAAATAGATTTTGATTTGCTTGAGTTTCGTCTCCGAGTATATTGGTATTATTCCTGTGGGTCAGAAATGGTGGTCTACAGACATGGGAGATGTAGCTGCGTTTGTGCCCTTGAGCAGCCTCTAGTGGTATATTACGAACTACAACGCGCTAGGACAAGTGGGATTTACGCATCAACGAGCGACCTGTCTGCTTTTGCACGCTCGGTTCTCAAAAGTACTCCTCTCTCTCCGGAAGAGACAAGGGCCTGGCTCAAACCCCTAGCACACACATCAAACTCCAAATTCTCAATTGGTGCACCGTGAGAGATCCGTCAGGTGAGCTTGAACTCAAACAGTGATGGAAGGATCGTCGATCTCTATACGAAAGATGGTTCTATCTTGTCCTCCTACTCCAAGGTCGTACTGGTTCCAGATTTCGGCGTCACCCTTGCCATCAACGTTACTGGCGATGGTGCTGGCACCGTTATAAAGCTCCTTTCTGAGTTGCTGGTATCCGAATACGTCCCAGTTCTGGAGACAATTTCGAGAAAGCCGACGTTCCAGCAGTTTGGAGGCTTTTATGTCTCTTCCGAAACCAACTCTTTTATGAGGATCGATGTCGACGATAGACCTAGATTGACCATCACTTCATGGGTTAACAGTGGCGTTGATGTCTTGCTCGAGACCATCCCGAGCATCTATGGCTCCCCTCTATTCGGACCTCCAAGGATGTATCCCACCAACCTCCAGAACTCATCGAACAAAACATTGTCAACAAGCTATCGAGTTATCTTTGCATTAGAGAGTCAGGACGATGGGCTGCAAATACTCAGCGATGCATGTAATGATTGGGGTCTGTTAGACTCCCTCTCATATGGAAAGGTTGGGTTGGATGATGTAGTGTTTACAGTTAAGGATAATGGGGAGGGTGTTCAAGTGGAGTTGAGGAATTTCAGAAAGAAACTACAGAGACAGCAGAGCAGGTGATGTTCAGAGGATTGATACAAAGTTGAGGGTTAACGCTCACTGAATGGTTAAGTTGAGATAGAGTACCAATCTCGAAATTACCCTGGACCAGTAGAAATAATCACAATCCAATCGGTAACGCGAAAGAGGCGACCTTGGAATGAGCCTGCAAATGTCTTATTGCCAAAGGGCAACTGCTCAAGCTTAATCGATATGTACTAGAAGGGCTATGAAGACCTGCTTCATGCAATGAAAGAAAGGAGCGAGGTGACAAATCCAAGCACATCGTGCCAGCAGGTAAGCTGGCACAGATACACAGAAGTAATCCCTCTCACAGTCCGAGCTTGCTTCAATGGAAACAAAGTTGTCGATGATGGACTTTAGATTGCCGTAACGTCAACCCAGAACCTGGTGTCGTCTGACTGATACTTTGAGTTAGAGTCAATTTGTTCCTGGATCCACTGAACAGCGTTTTTATAGGTCTTGATATCTGCGGTGTCGGGGTTTGTAAGTCCCGAAGCGCCGTTGCGGTGGCCAGCGAACCACACATCGTATCCGTAGTACTCCTGGCAGTCCCAACGAGAAGCGACATCGGCGTACAGGTCCGAGCTGAGATAATGTTAGGAAGTAATTAAGGAATATGACGTCTTTGAGAAAAGAATTGCTCGAACGAAGGAAGCAGCAAATACTATCTGCGAATGCCATGCGTGACTGGTCAAGGGAATACGTACTTGAGTTTGGCACCGTCATTCCATTGACTCTCACTCTTTCCCGCAAATCCTGCTCGGGACGCGCAAACACGCAGCATACCCCAGTTCTGTTTGAAGATGCCAAAATTGGCAGAGTCCAGAGTTTTGGCATCCCCTATACTTCCATTAGCATGTCTCATTTAACTTCCAGGCTTCAGCACGGAGGGTTCATACCATAAACATAGTCAGTTCCCATGTTGTCTGTCTCCAGCATGGCGATTGCAAGGTCAAGAGTGTTTCCACCTGCTTTGAGAATGGCCTGCTTTCGGGTTCCAAGCCCAGACACGGTGTAGCTGCCACGGTCAGCGGCGTTTGCACCTGGAAGGGCACTGACGCCAACGAGGGCAATGCAAATGGCAGTGAAAATGGGATGCATGGTGATGGCTTTTGAGATGATTCTTTGAACGCTTTAATTGATTGTTGTGATACTGAAGAAAGCAGATATTGGTCTGGCTAGTCTAATACTATTTTATATTTCTAGGACTCCGTGTGTAGCTCTCGTATTTTGCCTTTTCGGTATAGGACAAGGATTGATTCGGTATTGACGCGTTCGGCCCGGAAGTATCAGTTAGATAGAATCCATTGAATACGGAACACATCGCAGCTATGCAACCGTGCTGCCTGAACTTTGTGAACTGTCATCAGCACGTTCTCGGCTTGAAGGAATTGGTGGCGGTCGAACAGGGATTCTCATGCATTACCGAGCCACGCTAATGTGTGAATTTGGTGAGCCCCTTTCGGTGTAGACCGTACTAGACCAAATTAGATGCGGGATACAATCTTCCGTGACTGCATCGGGTATAGAGCGTCTAACTCACAGGGATGCTCAGCAGCGCCGAACCCGCTACACCACGTCTTCGTCATCATACTATGGACAGGAAGAAGCGGCAAATGGAGCCGCAACAGAATCGCTCCTTGTCACTCGCTCCATATGTCCCACTCTAGTGAAGGTGATCCGGGGGGTGTAGCTGTTCCAACTGGTCGAGGCCTAACGTCGGAATACCCCGGACTGTGAGGAAGCAGGGGATTTGTCATGAGAGCATCGTCGAGCAGACTCGAGGCTCGGTCGTCTGACTTCCACATACGATGTGAACACGGCCATCGGCCGGAACAGAGTCTTCCGCTGCTGTTACTCGAGCCAAACGAAGTCTTTCAATGGAGCCTTAGTAGCTCCAACCGTCTACTGCCCCAGTCCTGTCTCCCCAGATTTTGGATATTAACACGCGCTAGACGCTCGAGAATTTGCTCTTAATTGTCTTCCCTCTCACCTCAACTTTGACACAATTCTTGCACATCTTGTGATTCAACAAACAAGACTTTCTTGTCTTTGGTAGTTTGCTATCTGTCATGACCGACAAGCTGACAACCCATAGCCATGATGATGGGGAGAGGGTATGTCTGACATGGATACACGTACACTTCATCTCACATACATGGTTTGCTGATCATTGCCACACAGAGGGAGATTACGACCAAGATAGCTGGCGGCAATATGGCCTTCGCGGAAGCCATGATCAAGGATCCTCCGGCGGCTTGGTCCAAGGCCCAAATCTGTATATACCTCTTTTCCATCATCGGCTTCTTCTGCAGTACCATGAACGGCTACGACGGCTCGCTTATCAACAACCTCCTTCAGAATGAGTGGTTCAAGGCAAAGCACGGTGTTGAAAATGATGGCATTTGGGCTGGTATTGTATCCTCCATGTACCAAATTGGCGGCGTCGTGGCGCTTCCATTCGTCGGCCCTACAATCGACGGGTTCGGTCGGCGATGGGGCATGCTGATCGGAGCCTTGTTGATTGTCATTGGAACGATTATTCAAGGCCTCTCAGAAGGTTCAGGCCAGTTCATGGGAGGCCGATTTCTGCTTGGGTTTGGCGTCTCCATTGCAGCTTCGGCAGGCCCCATGTACGTGGTCGAGATCAACCATCCCGCGTATCGCGGCCGTGTGGGCGGTATGTGTGCAATCAAGTCCAAGATGTGTCTTGTGCTAATATAAGGCTAGCAATGTACAACACGCTGTGGTTTTCCGGTGCTATCATCGCCGCCGGAGCTGCCCGGGCAGGCTTAAACACCGGAGGAGATTACTCTTGGAGACTCATTACGTGGCTTCAGGCTCTGTTCTCAGGATTAATCATCATCTTCAGTCTCCTTATCCCCGAATCCCCTCGATGGCTCTACGTCAACGGCAAGAAGGACCAGGCAACGGCCGTTCTCACGAAATACCACGGCAACGGAAATGCAGAGTCTCCGTGGGTCACGCTGCAGCTCCGTGAATACGAAGAGCTTCTCAACCAGGACGGTGCGGACAAGCGTTGGTGGGACTATCGCGCTCTATTCAGAGACCGCGCTGCCATTTACCGCCTAAGCTGCAACCTGATTGTATCAATCTTTGGCCAATGGGCTGGGAACGCAGTTTTGTCTTATTTCCTCGGCTCTGTTCTCGATACTGCTGGCTACACCGGATCCATCGAACAGGCCAACATCACATTGCTGAACAACTGCCAACAGTTTGCATTTGCCATCCTGGGCGCCTGCCTTGTGGATAAGCTCGGTCGTCGTCCGCTGTTGCTTTTCTCCTTTGGCGCGTGTGCTGTGGTTTGGCTCGGTATGACGATTGCGACATCTCAGTTCTCAAAATCGTATGCGGGCGATGACGCGGATGGAAATCCTATATATTCGAACCAGGCCGCGTCGAAAACCTCGCTGGCTCTAATTTTCATCTTTGGCTCTGTATTCTCTTTCGGAATCACCCCTTTGCAGGCCCTTTACCCCGTCGAAGTCCTGTCCTTCGAGATGCGCGCAAAGGGCATGGCATTTTCCAACCTGGCGGTTAACGCTGCGGGACTCCTGAACCAGTATGCTTGGCCAGTTTCCATGGAGAAACTTGGTTGGAAGACGTATATTATCTTCACGCTGTGGGATGTGGTCCAGCTCTTTGTGGTCTATATGGTAATCCCTGAAACCAAGGGTCGCACAGTAAGTACCCTGATACATCTGCATGAGCATCCAATTAACTCCGACCAGTTGGAACAACTTGATGAGATCTTTACTGCCAAAAACCCAGTCAAGATGTCCACTCAAAAAAGCACTATTGCTGTTGACAATGAGGGCGGGGTGGTCAATGTCGAAAAGGTGTAAGAGGCGTGTCATGTTGGATTGGGGCGGGCTAGGAGCAACGAATGGTAGAGTAGGGTGTCAATCAAGGTGATTCATAGTGCTTCCGAATCAGGCATGTGAAATTTTGTTCTTACAAAGCCATTCTATCGCCTGAAACCATGATCCTGTGAGTTCAATGGCTGCCTTGGGTTGACGTAAATTATGGTGTGCTCTGTGGATCCGCGGAATTTCCCCGTCGTCCCGTTTCATCTAGCAAGAATACGAGTCGTTTAGCGAACCCTTCCGTTGCGAAAAATACTCGCGTCCTTCAATTGGACTTGTGTAACAGTCCAAGCTTGTTTTAATGCGCGGGACGAGGGAGGGAAAAGTGTTGCATATCTGCGCCTAATTAAGCAAGTGAGGGGGGATGGTGTTGTGCCGAATTCAATCTGTGGAGACACATTAGTGCGAGTCGCTGCGACACATGAACCACGCTGTGCCCCCAAGTATTGCGGTGCTCATAAATATGGCTTTTAAGATGGCGTCTAGAGATCCAAAATATTGATTGCTACCGGTGCCATCGCCTCTCTTAGGGCTCATTTCAATTGCATCATTGCAAGCGCCTGCGAGATCGGAAATCATCCGTCCCAGGCGTGACCTCGGCAGCATGGGAGGGCACCTGGACCGCTAAGCTTGAAATGGCCTGAGAAGAAGCCGCTCCGTGGGTCAACTGCCCTAATGAGGCTAGGAGATGGTTAGCTGAATCATCATACGACATGGTGGAGGGTTCTAGGTTCGTAGAAGGACGGGCAAATGGAGGAGGATTTGAGGCCATGCTACCGAAGAGTCCTTTGACAGCTGCGCCCCAGCTTGGGGAACATGAGCCCTGCATAAGTCAACCCCGTGTTTAGTGGTCTAGAACAGGCAGATTGAACTGTCACTACTACCTCGCACTCCTACTGACTCTCGTATCCTTGTTGCCACCATTCAGAGGGGAAGACGGTGAGCCCCCGGCCATCCATGACTCTCCCCCCTCCCAAGATTCAGCATGTCACAATGAAACCCCGGATTTTCTGCTCATCACCCGTCTCTCCCCCGCCACACCAATCCCAACATCACCACGGCCGGCCTGCTGACCGGCACTTGGCACCCCTACAGTCTCCTACGTACTTACCCAGTCCTCCCTAGTAGCATCGGGACCACCCCATTTACCCCAAACGCCCCTCACCAGACCGTCTCACGTGCTGTCCAGTCCCGGGATTCTGCTATTTCTCTCCTGTCGCAGCTGGTTCACGTCCCTTTCTCCGAGGAGACTAGCCGTGGCTGATGACTCTGCTGGCCTCAACGTATCTTCCATCATCGTCGGCGTTGTGTCAATTACCTAAGGAATCGAGACGCCCTTTCTAGCCTCGAAAATGTTTTACCAGTGTAGGTCGACCCACTCAGCTTTTTTGCCCTGCCCACATTTCCCTAACATGACTTGATACGTCAAGTCCAAGGCGTTCAAGACAGTGACCGCTCGCCACCGTCTCAAGGCGACACTTCGCAAGCCAGGAAGCCTGGAAAAAGTCCCCATGCCTGCGTCGAGTGCCAGCGCCGCAAGATTCGCTGCGATGGTAGCCATCCTTGCCGTCAGTGTCTCTCCAGCCGCTCCGAGAAGCGATGTGTCTATGACAAGCATCGCCAGCGAGTTCTTCCTTCAAAAAAGTTGGTTCCCACACCTACAGCGCTCAATCGCCTGGTCCTGATTCCTGCCTGACTGGTACTGACACGTTTTAGAATGCTGGAAGACTTGTCACAGAACCTTGAGGAGTGTCGCACAGTCTTGAGGCGTCTGTATCCCAATCACCAAGTCAAATCTCTCCTCCCTCTGTCCAGACAAGAACTATGCAATCTCTTGGGCCAACCAGGAGAGGCGGAGACGATTGATGTCCTACCATCTCCCTCACTCAGCACGCTCGAAAAACCACTCGGTTTTGAGCAAATGCCTACCGAAGAGTCGGAATGGGACGAAGAGCGGCGAGATCGAGATCCTATACCTGCAGAGGCCGATGATATCAACGCCCTGTCACTTACCATGGATAGAACAACCTCATATCTCGGCGCATCTTCTGTCAAAGCCGCATTGATGGTCATGCTCAAGGTTGAACCTCGACTGCGAGCAGCCTTGGCGTCGCCTCCGAAAGTTCCTGGCGAGAAAACAAATGGCGGTCCAGTTTTCTGCCACCTCGTCAAACCCCCAAAGGAGAACTCTCCAATCGCATGGACTTGGAAGGGCCAGACATTCGTTGATGCTTATTTCAAGCGCTTGCATATTTTCACTCCAATGCTCGATGAAGTTACGTTCCGCGCAGACTACCTCAAAGGTCAGAGGCAGGATGCACCTTGGCTTTCTTTGCTGAACATGGTGTTCGCCATGGGCAACATCATGGCTACAACATCAAGCGACTTGAACCACGTCAAGTATTATAACCAGGCCATGGAACATCTCCATCTCAGCTCCTTTGGAAGCAGCCATATCGAGACTGTACAAGCATTGATCCTTCTAGGTGGCCATTACCTCCATTATATGAACCGGCCGAACATGGCCAATGCTATTCTGGGCGCGGCAATCAGAATGGCAAGCGCGCTGGGTTTACATCGGGAATCCCTCACACAGAAAAGCGGCGGTGTTGCAGTGGCAGAAACACGGCGGCGAACATGGTGGTCCTTATTCTGTCTTGATACATGGACCACGACGACCATGGGCCGTCCCTCATTTGGACGATGGGGACCTGCAATCAATATTCAACCCCCAAAGTTGATCACTAATGAGGTAGCTTCTATAACCCAGTCTCTTGAATTATAGCATTCTAACTCGACTTAGGAGGACCATGACTCCGCCCAGCACGCAGGCATCATGCCGCTTCTTGAAAACATCAAATTCTGCAAAATCGCCACGCAAATCCAAGATGTTCTCGCGTTGTCACCTCTTCTAAACAAGGAAGACCGTGGCCATCTAGATGGACTGCTGGTCGACTGGTATAACACATTGCCGTGGCTCCTCCAAACTACAGAACCTTGCGCAGAGCCACTCAGCCTCTCTCGATGCATTATGAAGTGGCGGTATTGGAATCTACGTATTCTGCTTTATCGCCATACTCTCCTCACTCTGGCCAGTAACAGCAAAGGTTTGACGATGACTGAGCACGACGTTTCTGCAATAGAAACATGTCAAGAACTTGCCAAGGCGACAATTGATGATATAAAAACAGAGTGGATGCGACATCAGATGTCTGGTTGGAATGCTGTGTGGTTCCTATACCAGGCTGTCATGATACCCTTGGTTAGCATTCTATGGCAACCTAAAAGCCCGTCACTCCCCGAGTGGCAGAGCCAGGTTGAGACAGCCCTAGGGCTCTTTGATGCCATGGAGGATTGGTCACTTACAGCACGCCGGAGCCGAGACGTCGTGTGCCAAATATATAATGCGAGCTGCCAATTTTCCGGTCACGATAGTAGCCCTTCGCAGGGCGGGCACGGCGAACAGGGCCAAATGGTAGAAAGCATTCATGCGTCGCCTATTGGCCTTGAGACAGATGACGTGGTCAACATGCTAGATCAAGACTGGTTGTGGGATGTTGACGGTCTGTTTTGGGAACAACAAACCCTACTGCCAGTTGAGGATGGCATTTTTGGAGTTGAAAGCGACATGATGTCTGGAGACTATTTGTCTTTAGACAGGGATGGCGCGTATGCTAATATGGAAAGTATATAACGATGGAATTCGCAGGATTGAATAATGAATGATATCTGGACTGGAGCGTCGACAGATGGATAACCTCGCTTGAATGGATTAGCTATGTACATTAAGGACAGTAAATTCTGGTGTAGGGGCATGAAAGCACAGGGCTGATGATAATTTGCCCAAATTATTACGTTGCACAGTGAAAGACAATACTGAGCCGAGGTGCCCAGTAATGCGACTAAACTATGTTGCAGCCAATTACGGACTGTGGGTTCAATAATATTTGCCAACGGCAGGAACAAGTTATCTCATTGTATATACTTAAAGTCCTTGGCATGATACTCCAATGCTGGTGTTATGTACAAAGATTAAAGGGCGTAGTTTAAACTAAATCTCGGTCTAGGGCGAACGGCATACGTAGCAAAGGATTGACGAGCCGAGAAATTAGATGAGTTTCACGCCTGAAGCCGCGAGGGTGACGTAGAACAACTTGGTCTGTCCGGTGATGATCATGCGTCCAGCACCCGCAAACTGGAAGTTGGCAGCGGTGGTTCCGGTGTAGATCTTGCCGATCAGCTTGCCAGAGGCATTCCAGACGTGGACACCATCACCGCAGCCAGCGTACACGCGACCCTTGGAGTCGGTATGGACACCTGTCGCTCGAGAATTAGTATATTGCAGAGATGTAAAGAACCATGGAGAACAAACCATCGGGAATGAAAGAAGCGACGTAGGCAAAAGTCTTGCGGTTCTGCCAAGTGCCGTCGGCGTTGACGTCAAACGAGTAGACCGAGGCCGGGGAAGACAAGTTGCGGCCGTAGAATCCGAGGGCAATTCCAGTGTCGGTAACGTAGGCGTTCTTGCCGCTGGGAGAGAAGGTAACGCCTATTCACCATTAGTATCTTGTGCCGGTGCCATTTTCAAGCGAGACTGACCGTTGGGCAGCGTGAAATCATCGGCAACGACGGCGACAGCGCCAGTCTTGAAGTTGTATCGGTAGACTTGGTTTCGCAGACCAGGGACCGGGCGGAAGTCCTGGAGGTAACCGTAGAGAGTATCGGTGAAGTAGAGTTCACCGTTACGGGGGCTGACGACCAGGTCGTTCAGGGAGTTGAACTGTCGGCCAAAGTAGTTGTTCAGGAGGACTGTTGTTGATTAGCGTACCGTTCTTTGGGCCGTTGCTCGTCACATCGCTTGGTGACGGAGTAGACTATGATTCTTACCGGTGGTGTTATAGGGTGCCTTGGGGTTCATCGCATAGAGAGCTGATGGCACATCATCGCCTTGACCTTCTCCGGCGAAGATGATGTTACCCTTGTAGTAAGTTCCACCTGAAGGTTGTTAGTGTAATGTCACCCACCAAGTCAGGGGAGTCCTGTACCATTAGGGTTGATAACCTGGGGGTTTGATGGCACAACCGTCACCGTCACCTCCTTGCCGTAGTTCTTTCCCTTTCGCACTTTCTCGGCCTCCTTGAGAGAAATCTTCTGGATGATGGACGACTTGTTCAGGCCGGTCCCAGCGGCAGGGGCGCCGGCATTTTGGACGAAGAAGACTTCATCAGTAGGAGGGTACCTGGTATTGTTAGATGGCCTGCGACAGAAAATGCCATGTTAGGTTGGATGACTTACCACACGACGGCCTCGTGGAAAATGGGGTCAGTCTCAGACGTAGCGATCAGAGTCAAGGAAGGGTCCTTTCCAATGACGTCGTAAAACTCCTCGTCATACACGTGGAAAGGCTTCGCAGTGAGAGACTTCTGGGTTACCCCAGGCCAAAGAAACACCTGTTCGAGTCAGTAATGTCCACATACAGTAATGGATATGTGACGAGGGGGAGTGAGTGGGGTCGTGGTGAAGGTGAAGGTGAGGGGCAACATACGGTCGAGTCGTTGGCCTGCACAGGAGGTGGCACATCATCCAAGACGTTGAAAGTCTTCTGGTTGATGATCTGGGCCGTGGAAGGCAGCTTGGCGGCCAGGGCACCCCATGACGTGAGATCCAGTCCCGAGTGGACGAGGATCCCAGCAGCAAGCACAGCGAGAGTAGAAGGCATCGTGGGTAAGGTGATGGTGGTGCTTGTTTGGGTCGTAAGGTGATGAGATGCAGGTTGCTGCAGGAGATATTAATATGCTTCCGCGAGCACTCCTGCCGCGCGTTGATCATTACCCATTCCAAATTATGGAGTAGTATCAAATGAAAGAATAAGATTGCCAACAGCTTGGCCATGAGACATTAATCATGACGGCATCGAAATCCCCAGGGCCCGATCGGCCTTTCGCCTCGAGTTGGGTCAAGACCCGTACATTAAGCTCACTTTACGCTTATCCGGATCCACGTTCATACTTGCACCCGCAGGCTATAATCTCGCATCTCAGGGCCTCGTACGACGGGGTGACCGGCAACAGCGGACATCGGCTGCGCTCGAGTTCATGCGGGAAGGTTCATGGGGGGAGCGATTCTCAGCTGCAGGTTCATGGCACGGCACCAGATGCCAAGCCGCTAGAATACGAGCTGGAGAATGGGCTACTGATGTCTGTACGTAGTCTGTACGTACAGAAACATGGGAGTCCTGCGTACATACCGTGGTCCGTTGCCGGGGAGTAAACGCCAAACGCCACCAACAAACTCAACCGCTGTCTGACGAATCCGACGACGCGGCAGATGCGTTGGCTGCAGGGAAGGGGTTGCAGTCATTAATCAACCCGCATGACAGGGCCCTAGGGGCTCATCCGGGTGCCGACAACACACACGGCATATCTCAGCGGCCGGTATACCTTCCTAAGCGAGTGCTGGCGCTACCACCCTCGCGCTGAAGAAGCTCTAGAAGCGTTACATGTCCAAGCTTCGATGGCTCGCGGAAGCCCGGAAGCCATCATCACAGATCCGACATGCTTATTGTTAGAGTGCTCACACTAGGCGATAGAGGCTAGGCCGTACCCACCGTGATGTACCATCCAGGGGCTCGGACGGCGGAGAAGCGTTCCGTTCCCCGGCTTCCCCCAGAGCCCGCACGAAAATCAGACAATCCTTGGCGGCTGCTTTGGGAAACACGGCCGCTCATCCCGCCTTCTCGGCAGCTGGAATTCGCAGTAGAAGTCGGGGAGGCGGGCGGGATGCTACGGTGGCCGGACGGAAGGGCCTTGTCGACTAGCAGGGATGGCGACCAACAACGAAAGACAGCGCTCCACAATCCTACAGACTCAGCACACACGGTACCTGATGAATCACACTTCCGCAGGGAATCTAGAAAACCTTGCGAATGCTGAATGGGCCGAGTTGTCGGGCCTGTTGGTCTGGCCACAGCAACCACCTCAGCGGAACCGAGAGAATTGCCGCACCCACCACTCGTTCGTTCCGTATCTCTGGGACAAACCGTCTGCACCTCTGTGACAAACTGCCGAGTCCCTCGGCAAGGTGCTGCCTGCGCTTGTACAAGGTACAGTTCCCCATCGCCAAGAGGACTTCAGCTTGCACCCCGGAACCCTGCGCGGCGATTCCTTGGTTGCTTGGCTCCTTGGCCGGAAGAGGACGCGCCGCACTAGCAAAACTCAAATGTCCAAGACAACTGGTGATTTTAGGAGGGCTTTTTGTTATCCATTTTAAATCATCCGAGATGGAAAAATTGGAGCAGGCGAGACCGCCACAATTATGCACGAGGCGGGATGGGGGCTGTTCCTCGAGCACCAGCTGTCACCTATACCATGGCTGAAGTAGCAATAGACGGCGCGTGTGGGCGCATTCGGAAAAAGAAAGGTTCTTGGCAGCCACGAGGGGATCAACTGTCAATCTTCTCAAATGTTGGCTCTAGTCTGTTGGCCAAGTCCCTCTTCCATTTGATCCTCGCCAACCTCGCAGATCCAGGTATTGTCTTGTCTTCTGCTCCGCACGCCTGTCCATCCCGTCTTCTGCCCCTGGTTTGGGGCCAGCCAACAACATGATCGACCTCAACACGACCAACGGCTCCGTGGCCGTCGTCATCATCGTCTTCATCAGCATCGCCTACTACAATGTCCTGGAGCTCAACGTCTACATCTTCGGCACCTTCAAAAAGCACAGCGGCTTGTACTTTTGGAGTTTCCTGGTTTCGACATGGGGCGTGGCCTTTAACGGCACTGGCTACCTCATCAAGTATCTTGCCGTCGATGTGTCCGCCAACCTCTATGCGACTCTCATCCTGATAGGCTGGTGCTCGATGATCACCGGTCAATCAGTTGTGCTCTACTCTCGACTGCACATTGTCATGCACAACCAGCGCCGCTTGCGCCTGGTGCTGATCATGATCATCACCAACGCAATCTGGCTGCATCTACCCGTCATAGTTTTAGTTTACGGCGCCAACTCGGCAAACCCGAAGCCGTTCACGAAGCCGTACGACATCTACGAGAAGCTCCAACTGAGTGTTTTCTTTATCCAGGAAATCATCATTTCAGGGTTGTACGTCTGGGAAACAAGCAAGCGCCTGAAACTAGAAAAGAGTCTGGGCAACACGAAAACGAAGGCCGTCTTGAACCATTTGATCTACGTCAACATCCTCGTTGTTTTCCTCGACATCTCCATCCTCGGCCTCGAATTCGCAAACCTCTACGACATCCAGACCGCCTGGAAGCCGCTTGTGTACAGCGTCAAGCTCAAGCTCGAGTTCAGCATCCTCAACCGCTTAGTCGAGCTGACGCGAGGGTCCAGAAACGACAGCTCCTACACCCGCAGTGCGCATGCCACCCAACATGATGTGGCATTGGAGACGTTCAACGGAGAGAGGGGGAGACACTTTAGGGGAGCAAATGGAGAACATGGCCCCGAGTATGAAGTCCGCGTTGGCAAGGGCGAAAACAACCCGACGACACATGTCCAAAACTCTGTCCTGATGAAGACGACCGAGATCACAGTCCACAGCCACAGACGCACGAGCAATAGCGACCACGACACGGAGAGTTTGGAGGAAATCAGGGCAGGGATTCCGAGCGAAGAGCGTGATAAGGTACGAGGAAGCGCCTCGTCAACATCGTCCGAAGTACAGTTCGCAAGGTTCAGAAACTGAGTTGCGGTTTACGATATCCATCTATTAATTAATTCACCTTGACCCTATTCCAAGTCTGACAGTGGCTGGCCAGTTGTGTTGCTCATTTGTGACGATCCTTTGCTTCTAATCGGTACGCGCCGCGTGGGAGGAGGCACATACGTAAGGGGCGTCTGTCGTATGTCGCCGCCATCGGCGCCTCCTGGAGCCCGGATTCCACGTTTGGTCTGGCCAGTTAGCCGTAGGGCATAATGCAACATCGTAAGGGGGGGGTGCCTGCCTCCGTGATCCCTCGGCGGATGGTACCCTACTGAACGGTCATGGAAGAAGCCCATGTCACGTCAGAGGAAGCAAGAATGCGAGACCGAGAGGGAGAGATTGCACACTGCACTACGTATTGTTCCGCCATACACTAGTCTGTATTTGCGTGCCTCCTTCTGGCTCCGGAGGCTCGGCACTCCGTCCCATGGAAACCTGCCGCTTAGAATACCCCTTACGCTGGCTCTCGGGAACTGGATGGTGTGCTACTTCTGCCGCGGACAGGGAAGATCAGCCGTACCTGCACTACTGCAGATAATGTACCACAACATGCAGTTCTTAGGGCCACGAGGCCGCAAGCGATTAGCGCAGAAAGCCTAGAGCACGCTGGCACTCACGCGTAACACAAAACGCGTCAGCTTGGCGGCTTGTCCATGTTTGGGAGGCTCCAATGATGGCATCCTCTGCAGTAAGAGCTCTTGCATTCATCCTCGAAATGAACAACACACCACCTTCATAGGGCACTGGTCGTGTCGCTTTTACTAACTCCAATAACAGTAAAAGAGGATGAGAATTCAGGCTGTTTGTAAACCCGTATGATACTAGGGACGATTGTGGATTGTAGATGTTGCTGGGTGTAGGGTATGGCACAAAGCTCATCTTGCTAAATGGAAGAATAGACAGACGCACTTTGACCCTTTTATTCCTACTTGAGGCTAAATACAACCATAATGCACTTGATAAATCCACAAGCTTATTTAAATCGAGGCTTGCAATACGCCAACACCAATATCTATCCCCAAATCCCGTTAATTTTGTCGACTCTGTAGCTAATTCTGAGTTTCAAGATCCAAATCTCTCGGATTTCTGGTCATAATAGGCGGAAACGTTGATATCGGACTGATACCTGAGGAAACGCTTGGCCGTTGCGTTGTCAAGGAAAAGGGGGAACTAGTCGAGGAATTGCCCCTGAGGATCGGTTCGTATCCTAGTCTAGGTCCCGCGGCGTCGGCAATGGACGACATTTGCGGTATTGCGCAGTCGCAAGTCCGGCCTCCCCTCTTGACTAGAGCGCGCAGTTGGTTCAAGATGGGGAACTCCAGCTTCAGCTTGACGCTGTACACGGCGCTCTTGTAGGTGGTCTGGATGACGTGTGCACCACCTAGCTCGGCGCCGATTATGGACAAGTCCATCAAGATGACGAGGATATTAACGTAGATGAGGTGCTTCATCACCCGGCGGGAGGCTTCCCTCTTGTGGGGCGTTATGAGCCGTAGCATCTTCCGGGTTTCCCACAGGTAGATGCCCGAGATGGTGATCTCTTGCGCTGCGAACCCGAAGAGCATGACCTTTTCGTAGATTTCAAATGGTCTGATGTATGGTCCTGGATGGGGAGAGTTGGAGCCGAAATTAAGGACTGTAGGCGGTACGGTAAAGACAAAGAAGCTCGACAGGATCATGACCAGGACCCATCGGATTTTTCGCTTGTCTTCAACAACCAAGTGAAGGCGGGAGTAAAGAACGAGGGACTGGCCAATGACCATGGGGACGCCCCCGAGGGTAATGATGACGATGTTGGCATAGGCATCGCGGCAGATCTGGAAGAACTGTAGCAGGAATCCCACCGAGTGCAGGACGATTCCCCACGAGGCAAAGATCAAGCTCCAAAAGTACAGGCCGGCGCGTTTGCGGAAGCGGAAGAAGATGTGGACGTTAATCTCGATGACGTTGTATATGGAGATGGCAAAGAAGCCGGCGATGGCCATGGCAATGGGGATGGTGAGTTCGATGCCGCCGCGGTAGCCCTGCTCGACGGGCATGTTGCTTGGCGTGTTAGTGTAGTTGAGCGTGTCCCAAGGCAGCTAGACCTCTCGGAATCCGCCGCGTCCAGAGCATGTGGCTTGGCAGACGACCAAGTAAAGGGCGAGGTGGCGAAGCGGCGGAGCGTTGGGGACGGCATTTGCCGCTTGGGGAGAATGCGGGGGGCAAAAGTGGTACTGATGATGGATCCCCGGATGATCAACTTCGAATGATTCGCTTGCTTGCTTGCTCTCAGCTTTGGGCTGGTCGTCGTGTCGTGGGCACGCGTCAAGCAGCCTCGTTTCGTCGCGGACAATAGGGGCTTCGCAGCCGAGAGAAGTCGTCGTGTTCTTCGCCCTCGCGGTGATGTTGAATCTCGCGTCTGGCTCTGCGTCTCCCTGCCGGGCGCTCTTAGAGTTCATATGTTGGCATCTGGTCATCCGGAATGGCGGTAGGTTTAATACTGACGCCTTAGGCCACAAAGCGAGCAAATGAGATGCCGAGTGATTGGTTGCTGGGAGCATCTGACTCGCGCACCAAATCGACGGCTCGCAACGCCACTTCGAGCTGAGCACTTTTAGGTCAAGCCATCGAGCGTGTACAGTGTGAAGGTTGCTATACATAGACACGTGGATGCTTCCGTGTTGTGGCATTTGCAAATTTGCATCACCATTTCAATTGTGCTAGACGACGAACCGCCATCTAATCTAACTTTCACCTCTGCAGTTCTAGAAACGACGTTACGTCATTCGATCATTGGTACCGACGCCTCAATGACTGAATTGCATTTTTAACTATGCATGACAGGCGACACAATCCATGTTCTTATGCTGTTGCAGTCTCAGCAACCCTATTTCTCTACGGAGTAGTGGTGGTGGGTAATGGAGCTGGAGTATTGAGCGGTGGAGAATAATGTTCATTGTCCCAGGACCGCCAAAGTTGAACAGAAGCTCAGCACGTGCTCAATTAGTAGATGCTTTGCCTATAAAATGTATTCTCGAATCAACGGACAGAGCTGAAAATATTCTCTGTATTATTTGTGACGCTAGCTGTTGTCAGTATTTCCAGGGGCTTCCCACATGCTATTTTGGTGATAGGAGCGCGTATATTCACATTTCATATTAAACAATACACCAGTGGATACAAAAGTACAGAAATGGGTTAGCATTTACTGCAAGACATCATTCTTACTTTATTAATATTCCTTGTTAGATGGCTTGAGTGAGCGTTCTACCTTCACATGCCGCGCCTTTGGACCGAAACAGCCTTCTTGCTTCTTCGCACAGTGTCAGCCACCCCCGGTCGCGTGGCGGCGCAGGTTTCAGTTCGGGAAGCCATACGAAGTATGCGAGGCTTTACGAGGCTATAATTTGACTCTAGAGAGATGTCTTCATGATTCCAAAGCCGCCATCGTTCTAGGCGTAAGGGGTTCATGTTAAACAGTTAGAGTGACGGACGACTAGGTGTAACGGTGGAGCTCCACCACTGCGGAGCAGATGAAACAGGAAATAAACACATCAACAAGAGAATGAACCACGATACACACCACTACTAAATTAATAGATGAAGCAATGAGGCAGGTCGTGCTGATACAGTATTTCCCGTACGGGGTTTGTGACTAGCTCTTACCCCGTATAATACCCTCAGATGCGCTTGATTCACTCGCTCTGACCTAGTAAAACCTCCTCGATCCAAACCACACCTATCCGATTGACCGAATGACTGACCTGCATATCTAGTCTCCGGATTGTGCTATGACATCACCCCTGCTGCCATCACTTCCGCACTGACTCGGATCGGCAAGACCCGGATTTCTAGAACGTGGTCGCCAGCTCGCGTGGCAGCGCTGCACCTGCTGATGTTCGACGGTGACCTTCACGACGACACCATTACGACTTTGACGCAGGCTTCGAACGTTCTGGGTCACAGAGGGCTACGATCTGGAAACCTCTCCTTTGAGCCGACCATCGCCAAGTGTTTCCAGCGGAAGCTTGCCGGCGGAAGCTTTCTGTGGCGGAAGGCGGCGTGTTACACTAGTTGTCGGGGCGCAATTACAGGGGCTTCGGCAGTGGTGAGTGCCGGTCACAGCTATTGACGGCTCGCTTTCTAGACGGCGTTTTCCACGCCCAGTGAGACATTCCTGCGGCAGCGCGTTTGCTGCGGCTTGAACTACTACAAATACGCTTTTAAAGAGTGCCAAGCCAATGAGATTCGGCTCTCACATGCACTACTAGCAACATATAATAGAGCGGTGTCAGTTGAAATGAGAATTAGTGAGAAGGGGCGGGTTGACACGTCATCATTACTAGATCTAATTTCCCTTCAGTTTATCTATCTCCTCGGACCGGAGGCCATCGCTTTATTTTACCCAGTCAGAATAAGCTTGACATATTTACGAAATATTAAGAGCGTTTTTGTTTACTCATTGTGTAGATGATGCGGGTAAGAGAGACTGTAATACCCAGCAACCCGCCCAAAAGGCGGATGGTATTGACTCTAATAACAATTCGTCTATGATAGCATGGAAGATAGAGACTGAAGATGATGCAAATGAATAGAACAGATAAAATTCACAAAAATTCACATCTACTCCTCTCAGTACTGTCGGTCAGATGTACTAAATGATGCCGTAAGCTCGGACTAAAAATGCCGACAATCGAGAAAATGACAATGTTTGCTGATGAAGTTGGACAGTCTAAGCTGCTATACGTAAGTCTTCCCGCCAAGCTCCAAGACTGACTATGTCAGACGGAGATATGGACTACAATAACGCTACCGGCAAGAGGGGTGATCATTCCCTTTTGCCGTAGCGGGATTGCGACAGACCACGTTCAAAGGCAAGGCGACACCCCCGTTGATGCGGCCCGCTGCGAAGATGATCTCGGCAAAAGCAAAGAGACGGCCTAGCCCTACCCTAAAGGCCAAATATCCCTGACACGCTGTCAGCAAAATTTAGCGTCGGCGATCATAACTTCTTGATCTGACAATGAGCTTTAGTGACCCAATTGTGGGCTTCATTTGGTAATGGCTCTATTAACAACCCAATTAACCCTTCCACCTACAAGGAAGAGTGACTGGGAATGTTAACTCGGGCGTTAAATGGCATTTTTTATGAAAGGACAAAACTATTGTTGGGTTGGGCGGAGTAACAAATCTGTAGGGATTACTTGACTGATGCATTCGATCCCGAGTTCTAAAAGCTTGCTGGAATAAATAACGCCCGTCCGTTTCTGAATCTCAAGTGCTACAACTCGGCTAGAAAAGATTCGGCCCAGACGTTGATAAGCCGGGTGCTGCAGGATGATGATGATACAAAACAGGCTTGCCTCTAGCGTGCCTCGTAGACCCAGTGCAGAGGGTCAATAATTTAAGTTATCGGAATCTCTCAACGGCAGCTCGAAAGCGGTAAAGACATTGTAAAGTGGCATCAATCTGGGTGCACTGATGGTACGGGTGATGGAATTGGTGCTTTACAGGGCATATCTGATCTCTGATATCGGCGCTACAGCAACAATGCTTAATGAAGACGGTAATTTGAAAATACAAGAATTTCTTTTGTTATTCCTTTCGAAATTTACTAGCTTTAGAAGTTATCCTTTTTCATCGCCATGACGTTCCGGCTGACGCATTTATTTGTCCAGGCTGGGAGCGTCTGCCGCAGTGTAGGAGGGGCGCTGAAGTAGCAAGCAGTGGACTAGTGAATTGGCCGGCTGTGTATTAGAGTATATCGGCAATATAACTGTTGGATCAGTAGTCTGTTAAAATACTATCAGTTGGAGACGGTCGCAAGCTACTGTTAACGCAAATTTACAGAAATGTGGAACGTCTTGTTTGGTCAATAATTGGCTGAAGCCCTGGAACGGGCCGCGTTCTTGTTGAGAATGGTTGAGCAAACCGAGAGAGGGGGGATTGGATGGAAACATATGATCCGACAAGCATCTGGTGTGATCATTATCAACAACCTGACCCAACCTGGACGCGATTGGCCCGCTCGAGAAGACAACCAGGGGGCTGCGGTAATAAAACGGACTGCCCTCGCTTGCTTAGATGAGGGGAATCCTGGCTTGAATCATTTCTTCTCCGTACAACCCCGCGCAATTACGAAGAACCTGACATTCGTGTCCGAGACAAATACTGGACTGACGAGATGGCAACAACCGATGCGGTTCTCCTGGCAGCTCCCGATGCTCATGTTGAATTCCTTGCCTTGAATGTGAGGATCATAAGCTCATCTTAACCCCAGGTCCTCGATGATCGAGATTCCTCGCTTGGCGCTGTAAGAACAACCCCTGCTAATCACCTGAGGTTGAGATGAGGCCACCCGCTCTAACCCATTGTGCTAGGACGCGGCATCGTCGACTGAAAGTTTGAGGAGTTCAATTCTCGACTACCGACACGAGAATGGTAGAACGTATCATCGATATAAGGATGGAAGTCTGTCACCGATGTTTTGCTTGCACCATAATCTCACACTAACGCATGTCAACCGCAGAATACAACCTCCCCAACGACAATGAAGAGAACGAGAGACTAGGTACATTTCCGCGTCTGGGTGCTAATTGACCACATCTACTCATAGCCTTTTTAGACCTACAGCACAATTTATTTCTTCTCAGTTTCGACAATAAGCTTGGTCTTTCGCCCCCCAATCTCCCTGGCTCCGAGGTCAAACGGGTTCTCGACTTGGGCACTGGCACAGGCATCTGGGCAATTGACTTTGGAGACGAGCATCCCGAGGCCGAGGTAAATGATTTGTCTCAAAATTCAAGGTTTATAGCTAACGCCCCACAACCTAGATTGTTGGTGTCGATCTGTCTCCCATTCAACCGAGCTTGTAACTCTCACTTATCATTTGGGTTTACTGTGCATACTAACACATAGCTAGTGTGCCCCCAAACGTCCGGTTCCTCATTGACGACATTGATGAAGATATGGATTATTCTGAGCCGTTTGATTATATCCACAGCAGAATGATGAACTTTAGTGTTCAGAACTGGACTGATTATTTATGGAAAATCTTTCAGTAAGCTTCATTTAAAGCGCTCCCTCCATTCTCTGTAGATTTACGCTAACTCGACAGGAATCTCACTCCGGGAGGCTACGTTGAGCTGCAGGAGATGGATGGTTTCTATCGGTCCGATGACGGAACTCTTACTCGGGATCATGCAGTCTCAAAATGGTGCGATTTTGTAGGTGAAGCAGCAATCAAATTAGGTCGGCCTTTCGAGCACACCGACAAACTGGGGGGTATTCTAGAGGGAGCTGGATTCACCGATGTGGTCACCACCTATTATAAATGGCCAACGAATTGCTGGCCCAAGGATAAGAAATACAAAGAGATAGGGGCATGGAATAACGAGAATGCAACTCGTGTTCTCGAGTCAGTATCTCTGGCGCCGTTCACGAGGGGTCTTGGATGGTCTAGCGAGGAGGTCAATGCCTTTCTGGTCGATGTGAGGAAGGACTTGAATGACCCGAAGATTCATGCCTACTCGCGAATGTACGTATCCCGACCTTTCGCCTTGAACTTTTGTGCTAATTCGTCAATAGTTGCTCGGTGTACGGGAGGAAGCCGGAATAATGAGCAAGTATGTGCGCATCACGTCGTGCTTGTAGAGGTCTAAGAATCCATCGACATATTCGATCATTGTCATGATGCATAGTAAGCCACCGTCACAACGTGAAGGCGAACCAACCTTGTACGTGAGAGGGTCCTCCGTATCGGTCGAGTTGTTTCAAGTTTACAAAAGACCAGCCAGCTATCCGACAGAGCAAATCTCTAAGTCGCCGGCAATTTTTAAGCTCGATTCAGCTAGCAACATCTCTATTCGCCTTTCATTGCACTGAAATCTATCCCGTAAACATCCCCTGTGTCCCAAAAAGCGCTACAGTTCCCGGATTTCGAGGCTGAGTCTGATCGACGGGGCCTTGCCATCCATGTCTGAAAACACGGGTCTCCAAAAGCTCAACCTCGATGCCTCCTGTAGCATGCGACCGCAGTCCCCCAAGCAGCCGACTTGTTTCGTTTTCCTGGGGAAAGGACTGCATGGTCTCAATATTCAGATATCAAAAAGAGGCGCAATACGAATCGCGATTCAACCCCCACCCTTAGCTGCAGCTGGTAGCAACAACGCCGCCGGGGCTCTTCATGACAGCTCTTGTGAACGAGGCGAACGAGGCATCCCACCGTCCTGCGTCGCTGCTGCTTTCGACTCGATTGTTGAACTTGAATATGAAAAGTGAACCGACACTGTATCACTCGTACCGGATAAACCGACCTGTCTAGCGACATCGTCGTATGGGAAACGGTAAACGGCCGCGACAACTGGTGATTGACAGGACTTCCAGGCGATGCGAAGATGTTCTGATTCCGGGCTGGTCTCATACCTTTCTCGACTTTCAACCGTCTTCCAATATATACAGGGAATATGAGCAAGTTTAGTTATCTATCAAAGCGTAGAAGAAAGGACGCACCGATAAACAGGTTAGCCTTGAGCGAAGCCCCGTGAACGAGAGCCCATCAGACTATGCCCGTCTCTCTGTTTCAAGATAGGTCCGCACTGTAGACGCCCATACTTTGCCCAAATCTGTGGCCTCGTTAGAGAGCGATGAAGGAGCAGAAGGATCCCCAAAATGAAACGTGATGTTTTCGGTGTATGCGTAGACACCAGGTGGAGGAGGGGCAAATAACGGAGGCATGATGATTCCGAAACAAATCCACCCTTTGTGTGTCTCTTGTCGTTCTAGTTCCGAAAATCAGTAGGAATACGGTATGGATTAGAGTTAATTAATTGAACGGCTGGCATGGTGTATGTTGCTGAGTAGGTACAATGGGGGTAGGGGACCTATTTATTGCAACAGTTGGCTCCTTTAAAATAGGGATGAGGTAATCTCTTTGGCACCCTGCCCAGCGATACTGGGGAACAAATTCATGGGTTGCTGGCGTACTTGTCTTGTCCGTGCTCGGATTGCAAAGCTGCCCCGGTTCAATGGCTAAGAGGAGATGGCATGGATCAGAAACAATTCATATGCTATCCTAGTTTTTGAAAGCCCTCCGCGTTTCCAATCCCTTGAGTTTACTAGAGAGTTAGCTCGGCTGGGTCAGCCACACGGCATGTTTTCACCATGCTCCTTGCGAGATCCTTCGACGTCCCATTTCCACCAAACTAACGTGAATGCCGTGAGCTGATATCATTCCGTATAATTCATTCAAACTTTCCTCTCCTTGACTTTAGACTCCTTAACCCCAATACCCAGGACAAACAGTGCTCGTAGAATGGTGCATGTACCAGTGATCACGACACTAACCCAATCCTCTTGTCGCCAGTCCGAAATCGCGAGACGGCCCTCAAGCCGCAACGCGACATACATGGCAGTGAGCATTGTGAAGTCGGCCCACAGAATGGCGAACTGCACGATTTTCCAGATATTGATGTCATCCGTGTAACGCAGCAGGATGACAAACAGACACAGGAACGACGTCCCCATGCCGCCAATCTGGTAGACAAAAGGCTTGAGCTCTTCAGTGGGTGGGTAGTTTGAGAAAAAGGCCAGCGTAGCTAGGTTGTGGTCGAAGAGGTTCACGTACATCCCGGCGATGGTCAGGATGGGGTCAATCCAGAGGAACCATGCGCGGTAGATGGGGTGTACTTGAACTGCCATTCTAGTTGCTTGATAAATGCGGTTCCTAGAAGGGCTTGTGAAGTGATGTCAAACGAATGGGAGCTCAGATTGTCGTTGTAGTCAGAGTATGTTTTATAGAGCTCGATGAACTTGTAGAGGAAGAGGTAGGATGTTCTTATACCCGTAGACCAGTCTAAAATCTGACTCAGCTCACCCACATCACCTTTCTGTCGAATAACTTGTCCATACCCCGCAGGCGTCATCTCATATGTCCGTATTGGGTTGCGCGCTGTGCTCTGTCAGCCCCCAACACCTTCGTGTTCCGTCAGCATTCAGAAAACACGTATCTCGATGCTATAACTTGGCAAGAAGATATAACTGGGTGTGAGGTGGGGTGGTGGTGACAACATTGATGAAGTTCTCAATCTTTGTGTCAGCCAAAGCTATTGTCGAGCCCCATGAAGTCAGTCTCATTGGTGGGTGTTACAGACCGAGTTTTTTTCAAGGCGCTGTCTATTTCCCTCTAAGTAATATAGTAGAAGCCATGAATGTTTGGGACATGCTTTCCTCACTCTTGCGATGGCTGTAACTGTTCTGCTCGCCATGCAGTACACAGCTCTCTGCTCTCAATCTACAAGACGAAGAAGAAAAATGTTTCTGCGAGTACAGGGGAATCATTTATGTTTTATAGTCAGACAATCTCAAGCGGAAGCACTACTTTACCGGTACATCTAATTAGCGCGACAGGCGTGGGCGTTGACGTGGTAGCTACAAGATAGTACCCCAGCAAAGGAAGGCCTTAAGACCGATCCAACACCCACGATGTCCAAGATGAGGCTCTTACTGGGGTTGATCATTAAGCCGCCAATCACGATGACCGAGAGAGCAATGCTGACAATGCTGGTACGGAGTTCATTATCCCCACTCCATGTTGCAGTTGCAATCGCAAAAAGGGTGACGTAGCAACAATGATCCATGCTCATCGGCCCACGAGCCGGTAAACCCTGCAATTATCCATTGTAAGGTCCACGGACACGGTGGACCGAGAAACCCATGGTGACGCACATGGTATCTCGTATCACCAGTCAAGAAGTCCCATGCCAAAGTCGCAGTCAAGCAGCTTCGTCCACAAATACTACCCTATAGACTTCACTGACGGCGGCTCTGTACTCTACTCTACAAATTCGGCTCCAAAGAGAATATGGCCGCTCAAAAGCGCCATCGAGACAATAATTCAACGAAATTAGTGTTTAAGGTTATCCAACTGTCATATACCAATTCTGTCAGTAAATTACTATTCATAATCTGTGGTGCTAGCTAAAGAATGAAATATTTAATCCGTGTTGTGACCCGCACGCATCAGCGTTATCTCCGCCGCGTGCTTCGGGGATATTCTCCCGCTCTCTCTATCAACAACACCCACCAGCCTTCGCTCGTCTCGACAACCGGCGGTGAGAGCATGGATCAATTACGTGGACTATGTGACTGGTTACATACACTCAAACCTATTACCTACGCATTGCCACTAATGACATTGATGTTTTTAGTCATTAGTGGACAGATGACAGCGTCTCCGAACAACTTCCCCTGAATTTCGCCTCCACGGAATTTTTGAAGTTGAGGAAATCCAGGTAGATTTAGGTCAAGATAAACATACTTTCTGCTGGAGTACTGCAACTCTGTAATATCTCAGCATTATGTCAAGCTACTTTACTCCCGTTACTCTTCAAAAGCCCAACTTCAGTTCAATAGAATTTGTTCTCCAACGAGCCAAATGATGATGCTAAAATACGGTCTTGGATTTAAATCATCACGTACCCCTTTATTATCGTCTTGCATTTTCTTGAGCGGCTAGGTTGGTGCTTCTTTTCAACGTTATTCTTCAAGATTACTTACCAGTCTACCCTAGAATAGCCAAATCGGCCCGTGTCCCACTCAACAGCCAGGTCCAACTGCACGTCAAGCTCACCCTGTCATATCAGAGAAAGAATAGGTCATGACTAATATTACAAGGATCTAGGACCCTTGCCTGACCCTGCATCGTTTAATGCCAAGGATTGGGTACGCCCGCTTGGCTAAGGGTCCGGAAATTTTGTAGGACTCCATCGATAGCGTGTTTTAACCAGCCAAGCCCTTTTTTGCGTTTCATCCGGCCGAATATCCGAACCATGGATTGAATTTACATCGCCATATCGACATGCGGCTCAACAGTCTTCTTTCCCATAATCGACCTGGTTAATTGTTACCATATTTTAGACAAACCATCCATTTTTTGGCTTTACCCATTCATAGTTACACACTTTACGTATAGGTTCAATTCAAGGGTTCTCTGTCTTGTTCTTTCTCCTTTTTGCTCTCCCCCTTCACATCTTACCTGTCATGTTTGCTATCATTTATGGACCAGTGGGTCAGTTATCCACCCTTTCGGACACCGAGCAGGAGACATTTATTACCAATCACGAGGGGTGATTATTCGGATATGGAGTCGGGATCGAGTGGATCATGTCACAACTGGCCAAGCTCAAGCCAAGCCGTCATGGCAGCACCTCCGGCCGACATAACCGATCATGATCCATCCGTAATGTCGGAACGAGCCTAAACTGACAGGGCATGAGGCTCCTTCGTATTTGGGATTTGGTATAATAGCAGCGAGCCGCCGGACAACGGCTCTTTATTTTTCGTGTCTCAGTAGTACATTCTTTGCTTCTTGGTCATTCTATTCATTCCATTTTACACTCTTTCTTCGTCCCAATATTGAAACCTCAACAATTACTCTCTTCAACATGCTCTTTTCCGCTTTGCTCGCGGGCGTTTTTGCCTCGTCCGCCCTGGCCTCGCCTCTCTTGGAGGATCGCGCCACCTGCACTTTCACTGATGCGAAGACGGCTATTAAGAGCAAGAAAACCTGCTCCAAGATCTACCTCAAGAACATTGCTGTTCCCGCCGGCACTACTCTCGACATGACTGGCCTCGCCAGCGGCACTCAGGTAAACATGGGCAGAATCTGGCGTAGATGGACATCTGAGCTAATCACGGTTACACTGGCAGGTCATCTTCCAAGGCAAGACAACTTTCGGCTACAAGGAATGGAGTGGTCCCTTGATCTCCTTCAGCGGCAGCAACATTGTCATTGACGGCGAGTCGGGCCACACGATTGACTGCGAGGGCCAGCGTTGGTGGGATACCAAGGGCTCCAATGGTGGCAAGACCAAGCCCAAGTTCTTTTCCGCGCACAGCCTAAAGAACTCGCATATCAACAACCTCAACGTCAAGAACACGCCTGTTCAGGCTTTCAGCATCAACAGCGTCAACAAGCTCTATGTGGATAACGTGCACATTGATAACAGCCTGGGCGACAGCAAGGGTGGTCACAACACTGATGGCTTCGACGTTGGCAGCTCCGATGGCGTTTATATTACCAATGCGGTAGTGAAGAACCAGGATGACTGTATTGCTATCAACTCCGGCACCAACATCGAGTTCAGCGGCGGAACCTGCTCTGGCGGCCACGGCCTCTCCATCGGCTCTGTCGGTGGTCGCTCCGACAATGTTGTCAAGGGTGTGAACATCCACGGCACCAAGGTCATCGACTCAGACAATGGTGTTCGAATCAAGACTGTCTACGGTGCTACTGGCTCAGTCTCTGATATCACCTACTCGAGCATCACGCTCACCAACATTGCCAAGTACGGCATTGTCATTGAGCAAGACTACAAGAACGGCTCCCCTACTGGCTCCCCTACCTCGGGCGTCCCCATCACGGGCGTCACCATCAAGGGCGTTACCGGAAGCGTCAAGTCGGGCGGCCAGAATGTGTATATCCTCTGCGCTTCATGCAAGAACTGGACCTGGAGCGGCAACAAGGTCACCGGTGGCCAGAAGGAGAAGAAGGCGTGCAAGGGTATTCCCAGCGGCGCTTCCTGTTAATGGAGGGTTTGAGATTGGCGTGAGCGGCTGAGTTCCTTCAGACAAGTGGCCATTGAGTGTGGACATGATGAGAGGCCAAGAGCTCTTCTGGGAGAAGCTGGACTGATCCTAGGCACGATTTTGTGTCTGTTTGTTTATTCTAAGTCTTCTGTACATACTACCTTTAAATATACTGTGTATACCTTCAAGTACCTTGATTAAAGTGAGATCACATTTGAGGTGTTGACACCACGGTGACGGTAATCCAATGCAGGTGTTCAAATCAACAAGGCTCAGAAATCTCGAGCTTTGCCTAGGTAGTTCAAGCCACCGGGTAGCTTCAATCCAATCCCTTACGGTACTAACTGTCCTCGGCGCTAGCCTGCTCTTGCTGTAGGGTAGTCATCTGGCACATGGACAAAACACTGGCCTTTTGCATCTCCATGCCAGCTGTGCAAGGAATGAAGTCTTGACGCTGATGAGAGGTATTTGATGGGCGGAAAGATAGACGATGTCGAACATGCAGCCAACCCGAGCATCTTCCACAAACACGCGCCCCCCAATAATGTGTCCATGACAAGGTCTCCCAACGTACTCTTCAAATATCACATCGTGCTAAATAAAGCCACGAGCACGCGTCTCACTTACCCCGCCCCTTTTCAGCCTTATCGCCCTGGCGAACCAGCTGCCAAGAAAATTTGACTGAGGGTCCTCAAGATCTCTCCGCTCATCACTCTCCCCGTCTCCAACCTCGCACCATTGCAGCGGATGGAGCAAGGACAATCGCAGATCCCATCCTATGAAGAAATCCAGCCTTAGTATTTTTTACCCCAGATGGACTCCGCAGCCTACTAGATATCAGCAGGCATATTTCGCCTGCTAGTCTCTCCCAATCATGGCAGCCGGTACATCAACCCCGCTCGTTGGCTCTCTCGCCACTATTCCCACTATTCTCACCACTCGCTCTACTCGCTCTACTTCATCTGCTTCCTCTACTGCGTCTACTCCTACTACTCCCACCACTCCCACACATTCCCCTTGGAATAGTGACCCCCTCATTGACGCCTCAAACGTTACCAACCAAGAGGCCGAGACTGCCCCCTCTCTCTACCAACAATGCATCGCCCTCAGGCAACGGCTGTCACAGGTCCCTGGATTTGACCCCTTCCTCGAACAACTCGACAGCGATGACCCCCTTGACCCTATCTACCCCTTGCGGAATCTATTTCGCACGGGGTATCCCCTCCTGGCCATTTACAACTCGCTACATCCTGCAAAAGAGTTAACTGTGGAGAGTTCCATCCTTACTGAGGCTGAAAAGTCCAAGATAGCCGTCATTAAATTCATCCGAGCCTGCGGAGAAGGGCTCAATATCTCGCCATCGGATACCTTTGGTGTTGCAGACTTGATGGGTGATGACCCAAACGACTTCGTCAAGGTCCGTTGCAATTATATTACTCTCGAGCACAGCGCCGGCCATGTCCTGACCAGCCATTACAGGTGGTTCATACCGTCAACTTTGTCCTTCACCTCGCCGCGAGCAAGCCACTGTGCTTAAATACGGGCTCCCAGATGGCTTATCGAGATCTGATTACAAAGGAGTTAGTCGAGACAGAGCGCAAGTATGTCGCGAACTTGGAAAATCTGCACGACTTCAAGAAGTCTCTGGAAGAGATGGACACTATCCCGGGCGAGATGATTGAGCAAATATGTCCTAAAATGGACGCAATCCTGGATTTCCAGCACCGCTTCCTGTCTCAACTCGAAACCATCAATTCAATGCCCCCATCTGATCAACACTGGGGAACACCCTTTCAGATGTATGAGGATGCTTTTGATATCTATTCACCGATTATTTCCAACCACCATAGGGCCACTCGGATTATGGACGATGTCTTTGACAAGATCAAACTATCCAACCACCCTATTGCAACTGACTTGCATACTCTTGAGCATTTCTCACTGAGCCCTTTGTCGCGGTTGGCGAAATATCCAGTCTTGCTTAAGGTATACTGGCTCATTGTGGATGTGACTGGAACAACCAACTGACACAAATAGGACTTGATAAAAAGGACTGAAGATGAGGAGATGAAACAAGAATTACTGGTCGGCTGCAATACTGTAGAACTCGTTCTGCAGAAGGTCAATGAGGCCACAGATCAAAGGCTCTTGGGTGCGGCTCTCGAAGATCTGATGAATCGAATTATTGACTGGAGGCAATACAGGGTTGAGCGGTTTGGAAAGCTCATACTGCATGGCACCTACGGTATTCTAATCAGAGATAAGAAGAAGGTGAGAGAGGTAGGTTTGAAGCTTTCATAAACTGGTTTCTAAACTGACATCAGGTAGTACAAGGCTTACCTGTTCGAAAACATCATACTTTGCTGCAAAGAGAAGTATTTAAAGGGACCCAAAGACCAAGACGACAAAGCACAGTCACCGGAACGCAGACATGACAACATCGGCCTTCAACTGAAAGGAAGGGTCTTCATGACTGACATCACTGACGTTGTCTTGACATCAGATCCCCGTAGGTGTCCCAACGCTAGGATACGACCTCTTTAGCTAATTGTGAATAGGCCCTTGTAGTGCGCAAATTTGGTGGCAGGGACCGTCTGACGCTGAGCAGTTCACCATTGCGTTTAATAATGAGATGGTTATGAAGAAATGGGCTGACGCGATTGAGACCCAAAGAAAGAAAACCGAAAGCTGCGCCGCCGATGCGCCGCCTCGATAGTCATTGTACGTTGCGAGCTGTCAAATCTTATACATGACTCTTAGTATGGTCGGTAGTATCCAGAGCACACAAACTCGGCCGTTCCGTGAGGTTCAGAGTAGGGCCTGTACATGAATACTGCCCAGTTCACTGATCTAACTTCTGTCTGCTCCCTCAAGGTGAGCAAGTTGCCGGCACAAGGTCAAAAAAACGCAGGTTTCTGCCCACTTCACGCTCAAACGCTGAGGCGCCCTTACTGCCTTTAGCGTCCACCACGACTTGCTCAAAACCAAGTTCAAGCCAAGCCCCTCCCGTGACCAGACTAACTGTTGATACCAAATAAGTTCGATGCATCTGATCACTGAGAGAATTCAACCAGCACAGCAAAGGCTTGGCCCATGAGGGAGAGAGGGGATGAAATTGACGAGGCTCGGAAATTGATTAAAGAAAGAGAGTGAGAAAGGAGGTGCCCATGTAGAGCGGCAGGTGGGTCGCCAAGTTGGAAACTCGATGCCTAGATGCGCCAAGTAGAATGACGGTCAGGGTTGGGCTCGAAGATCGACAACCCTTGGGACGCAATCGGCAAAACCGTAGCCTCGGAGACTAGTGTAGAGCTAGGAAGTCGGGGATCAAGACAGACCAGTCTGGGTACTTCCCGGCAGAGCCGACAGAGAGGTCCGGCTAGTCATGAACTGGTTGTCGATCTTTGTGGACGCCGCTATTTGGCACACTAGCATCACGCTTGTTACAGATGTGGCAAACACTCCGACTCTCACAACACGAAGAATCGCAATTCCCAATGCTAGCCCCTGGTCAAGTTCTTCACGAGCCGGCCAAGGCCTCGGCAGAGAGCGGGGAGGACATGGATCCAGAACGTCATGGCGTAATGAAGATGATTTCACCTCCCGCTCGGACGCTGCAGTCCAACCCCATTGTCAAAGCTATTGTCAAAGCTGAAGTAAAATCTGTGTAACGTTTCAAACGTGAAGCGGAGATCACACAATCACGTGTCGCATGCGAAGCCCAGATGCTGCTCTGTCAAATATCGTCTCCAGGATCGGTGCAAATTACAAGAAAGGCCAAGGGAATTAACCCACAGAGATATAGTGTGGCGCATGTTCCTCTGCTTCTCTGCATTGCTTCCCGACAGGCTAACTTGGCTGAATCCAACCGTATATCCTCTAGAATAGGCAAGGGGGATTGCAGTTGATGCCGGTGATGTTGGCACTAACCCGCAGAAAGTAATCATCTTTTTAACTATGCATGGTGGCTGAAGCGTATGCATATTGAGACCGCCATTACAGTCGGAATGGAACATCCGGGGGCGAAACAAACGCTGCGATTCATCTTCAATGTTTCGTGTGGGCGTTTTCGCAAAATGCACCACGTAACAAAGCTGCGACGTGCCCACAATGCAGTCTATTGAATCTCGTATGCGTGGGTTTTATCCACCGCTGATCGTCCTCCGGGATGCATGCACAAGGGCTCCGGCACTCCCTGCACACCACTAGCCGGAATGCGGGTTCACGAGCCGGTGAAGCAGTTTGAATGACTCGCGCCGGAGACTGGGGATTTGGCTCCTTGGCAATGATCGGCATTGACATGGTCCCGTAGGAATTGCATGCTGCTAGCAGGCCCGTGGAAGACGCAAGCAATCGCCGGCGAATTTGGAATATCACAGCACGAGTTTGAACACGATCCAGTGTCGATATTGTCGTCGTACTATCGGTCTCGGATTCTCTTGGGCGGACTACCCCTGACTTAGCTCAACCTTCACGACGCGTCTTGCCACTCAACAAGTTATAGCGTCGCAGGTAGTGGCATTTCCTTGACTCGGCGAGTGGTGATTACTCATTGTCGCCGCCCACACCCATTCGACGCAGGTAAGCCCAGCATGACATCTAATATCTCACCCCTGTCTCGTCATGGCTTGGTTCGTGCTAGTGATGCGTACTCCGTGTGCTCGAGAGCCCTAATCCGCCGTGTAACTGGGCGCCGAGCCCCCAGGAAGATCCTTTGGCGTAAGAGTCGCGGCATGCCTTTCCTTTTATGTACCAGCTAGTACTCGGTCTCCAATGACCCGGAAGCCAAATGATCAGCTAGACTGTTCATCCCCGACATCGCATCCTCCTGGCCCCTGTCCCGACATCTTTCGGCCATTGATGGTCCGGAACTCAAAATACTAGTCGCACCATCGTCTGCACCAAATGATCGTGCCTTGGAAGTTCGAATGTAGCTCGTCGAATGGAGTGGTCTAGTCTGTCATAGTAAAAAGGCGATGCTCTTTAGGCCCGAATGAGTCGGGGTGGTGTTTGTAAATAGGTTGTAAAGCCCAAGAGCGCCGCCACCCGCAACGTTTTGCCGTATGCAGAATTTTGCGGTTTCCTTTTGCTTGCTGTCGAGGCTTTTCCTCACACAGTCACTGTTCCTGCGGTTTACACTCCTTCTACCATTCCAGCGTCGCGAAGTGCGCCACTCGACAGCCGCCATTTTCCTAGACTTTACGACTTACGATACCCGAAATTGAACATCAACACGCACGGCGACGGAACGACCGACGCAGCCGTCACAATGGCAGGCTTCCTGGTACCAGATTACTACAAGCCTGATCTGCCCAACAGGAATGATATGATCGTTGCCTCGATTGCCTGGGGCTTCTCCCTGGGCACCCTGATTTTCAACTTCGCCAAGGCCGTGGGACAGACCAGGTCGTCGTATAGGCGGAGGAAAACGTTGACCGTCTACATGGCCCTGGTCTGGGCAGAAATCATTTCCAGCCTCATCCTCGGTGTCATCTGTTGGCTGTACCTGCGCGGATACATCCAACCGAGCATGCAATATTTCTTCTTCGTTAGTAAGGCTCCCCGCAGCCTCATTCCCTGAAGTTGCACTTAACTAATGCTGTTGTTCAGTTGTTGCATGGTCGACGCAAGTACAATGCCTCATCCAAATCATCATCAACCGAGTTGGCCTCCTCATGGTTGTCCGTTCAAATGCGACTCGACTCAAGTGGTTGTGCTTCCTCATCTTGCTGGCCATCAACATCAGCGTCTTCTGTATCTGGGTTCCTGCCCGTCTTCAGATCAACGAGACGTATATCCACGTCAACAACATTTGGGATCGCTGCGAAAAGGTCATTTTCGGTATCATGGACGCGGCCTTGAACTTTTTCTTCATCTACACTGTGAAGCAACGCTTAGTTGCAAACGGTTTGACAAAGTACACCCGGCTGTATCAGGCGAACTTGGTCCTCGTGACGCTTTCCATTATCTTGGACGTAAGTCTTCTGGCAATTGGTTCCGTGGTATGGATATGCTGACATACGAACAGGTGCTCCTCATTTGCATGATGTCTCTGCCCAATGGTTTCGTGTACGTACACATCACAAAACAAGTCCCTCACTCTATGTGGAAGCTAACTTTCTATGCGCAGCTACATTCAGTTCCACCCCGTCGTTTACCTTCTCAAGCTTCATATCGAAATGAACATGGCCGATCTCATCGGAAAGGTTGTTCGTGCGAGCAACAACAACGCCGATAGCAACTACGACTACAACCGATCCAAATCCGGCAAGACCACCTCCAATACTCACCATAGCCGCTTCGCAGGCACTCTTACTACCAGGACGCATATTGAGCTTGGCGACGAGGACGAACAAGAGCTGCAGGAGCGTGAGAATCTCCAAGGAATCAAGAGAACGGTCCAGACACGTGTGGTGGTGTTGGATCCGCACGGGGACGAAGAATCCATTCCTGAGCACCACCAAAGAGCTGTCAGCGAGGCAAGCTCATCACAATGAGTACCCATCCATCTACTCGCACAGGATTGAGGCTTGGCCATGGGTCATATTATGACAATGAACATTTGGCGACGATGGTTCTGGTCGAGTTTACAATGCTGGATATACAAGTTTTAATTAGATAATGGAGGCAGTAGATGACAGGGCGTAAGACTTCAGCAATATAGATATAGTCTTGCAATAATAGAAAGGCAGCCCTAGGTGACCAAATATATTAATAATTAAGCTGTTAAGGCCTCGAGGCTGTTTATTAATGGCTTTTTACAATCCGCAGATAACAACCACTCCTATCAATAGCCACACACCACTCCGATCTTGAAATGGGTAAGCCGAGCAAGCAGCCGCACGATTTCCAACTTCTGGTTACTGTTCCGGTGGCTGGCATTTATTCCTCGTATTTAGAGGACAATCCTGTAAGGCGACCAATCCCCGTGGTGTAATGTGTATTCGCGCCAGGCCCCTCACGTCGACCTGCATCGAGGCGCACCAGAATCCTTCATCCAGCTCTCTAAAAATATCGCAAGCTGACGACTCTCTGGAGATGATGTAGGTAGTACCTCAGCGTGAGGTCCCTCATCTCATCTTTCTTTTCCTCGTCTTCAAATCTTTTACTCCCACTATTCCCCAACCATGAGCGCATTTGACACGGCACCGCTGGTAGTAACGCCAGCAAGGCACCAGAGCCAAGACATTCCGTTCTCAGAGTGGGTTACTCTCCTCACTCTGTGTTTGGCACCTCTCATTGCGCACGTCGTGGTTGGCACCCCTTCGCCATCCTATCTTTGCACCAGTCGGCCGAAATGGCACGAGCGGATATGCCACTACAACCCGACATCTATTCTCTGGCGCTACGCTGCAATCACAGATCGACGCATCCGAGCCAGGTCCTGGAATAGGGCTGATCTCGCCGCCACAAATGCCCTGTTTTGGACCCCGCGCGGATGGGATGGTTCAGAAGCCATGTCCAACAGCCTCCTATACTGCACCCATCTCCCAGAGCACTCGAGAGTTTCCGTCTTCTCGCGGGAAACTATCAAGACTCTTATTGTCACTTTTCAGGGAATCCAGGCTATAGTTCTCTTGTCGGGTGTCTTCGTCGCTGGATCTGATGTCCACTTTACCATCTGGATGGCGGTCGATATCATATTCTTCCCGTTGGCTCTCATCGGCCTGCTGAGACTTTGTTGTGCCCTTTGGCTGAATGAAGATTTTTCATACTCCCATTCCTACGCAGTCCCTTTGAATCCTCGGTCAGCGGGTTCCGACCGGGGCAGGTCATCATTTGACAGCTTACTGGAAATTTCTGCAATGCCTCAACAGGGTCAATTCCGAGATAGGTCGTTTTGGCCCAGCAGACTGTTCCGCGCGGTGTTTCTTCTCTATACACTCGGAATGCCGACTTTTGCCGTGTTATTTTTGGTACGTGGGGGCCAACACATAGCGACGAGCTTTGTCGTGATGCTGTTTTTTCTACTACACGTCGCCGCGACGACGTTCATCTTGATGTTTTACTTTTTTCGGGGCCTTACCACCACGACTCTCATACCTTGCATCACAGCGACTTTGTATAAACTATACACCGCAATCCTGATTGGACTCGCGGTTGCGGTCATCGTTGTCGCCTGCGTCGAGACCCGAAGGACGCCGTGCGGCAAGTACACCAGTGGCTATGGTGCTCTGGCAGACCTCATATCATGCCGGGGTTCCGCTACGAAAGCTCTAGCGGTCACAGAGGAGGATCCTGAGGCTCTCTTTTTCGGACTGGTCGCTTACAACTTTACGGTCGCCAGCAACGGAAGCTTCATTGAGATTGAGCGTGACAAGCAGCAGGTGTTTAACTTTACCGGAATGTGCTTTGGAAATGTGTCTAGGTGGTAGCGAGGGCCATTCCCGGGGATTGACGTGGTAGTAAAGAAATTGAAGATAAAAATGAATGGGACTCAAAGACGTAGAAGACTCAAGGCTTAATGATGTGCAATTCCAAAGCCCTGGACTAGAAGGTTTTCGTCTCCAAGGGCAGTAACGATTCTAAACTGGACTTGCAGTTGGATGTAACCATGTCACATGAATTCACATTGACATGCTCCCAGTTTCCAGCGGCAGCATTCGACTGTCGTGTCACTGTTGATGCACTACGCTCAGAACGACATAATTCCAAGGAACTTCGAGGTGGGTCTCAAAGACGGGAAGAACTATGACAGGGATCCCCCGGACGGAGTTTTAAAATTCGAAGCCAGGATTTTAATCTATCTAATTTGATGCAGGATTGTCACGAGAGTGCATTTACTCCCCTTGGTACCGGCAGACCTTCAAGAAGCATTAGCCCCAAGTATCAACTCGCACGCCGGAGCTTAGTCACACCTTAACATCAAGACGCTTCTCAAGCGAACCCCCGTCCTCCAAATCTTAGAGTTCACACAGGCAGGCTACGTCGGGGATTCAAGAGGCGCAGGCTCAGTGCCCGGCAAGACGGCTCCAAAATAAATGGAATGCAGCAAGGATATTAAATTTGATTAGTACCATATTTCGAGCGTCACCCTGACGGAAGTATTCAAGAACATTGGCGGTGAAGAGTATCAGGATAACAATAGCCGGTCCTGTCGTGAGGATTCTCTGGGGAAGATTTTGGGAAGCGCGTCCAGGGCGAGGTAACTGAGTGGTCTCCATAGAGCCTCGAAATGAAGAAATTTGTTGTTGATTGAGGAAGTCTATATGATTGGATAAAGAATCGTGAAGGTGTGTTGGAGGAGGGAAGAGGGAGGAATGCTGGAGACAAGAGAACGAACATTATCAATCATATGGTGTGGCTTAGATTCAGCTGCGATGCACAGCCAGCGAGGGAGTGGGCCAGGCTGAGCCCGAGAAATGGTGTCATGGTGTTGGTCCGAGTCGAATCTAGACCGTAAGGCAGAACCAACACAGACTAGTTCATAACGGTCGTATGCTCCGGGAAATGGGAAGCCTCAGAACTAATTTTTTTGTATGTGAACAGAGAGAAGCAGCATTTTGAAGCAAGTAAGCGCATAGAGGGCTGGGTGAGCATCCGAATGGGATCATACTACTGGACTGTTAGTGGATTTGGTGCTGCCTGCCTGCGACTGCGCACACACTTCTGATTCCGCTCCGGAAGTACGGCATCTCAGAGCTCTGAACTAATCTACTTGCAGAAGGCAAGGCAGTTTTGCGAGGGAAAATGGACTTATCCCCGACAATAATCATCTCCCCTGCTTGAGGAGTATTGGCGCTGCAGACACACTGCAAGGTGGCAGCGACGACGAAGACACCACAATATTCCGGCAGCTGAGAATCGAGCTTCAGCGCTAATAGGAATATGTGCAAGACACTGAAGCTGGCGGGTAAGCCGTATCGCAATCCAGTGATAACTTCGCAGAGATTACAAATTTAATTCACCCCACTGGCCATTAATACCATTGGGACACTGTTACTCAATCAGTCCTTAGGCGCGCTCGTTCAGTACTTTCGGCCCGACGGTATCGAGGCCTGAGATCCGGTCATGGGTTTCCGTCTGTGATACCGACTGCAGACACCACTCCACGGAGCTTGGATCCATGGTTGATCGACGTGGATGACCGCCGTCCAATTCGCATACTCGAGGTCCAGGACATTGTATACGCTGCTCTTAGCTAGGTCTGGAGCGGACTGCAATCAATGTTACTGAAAGAAAAGATGGAACGGATGCAGGAGGCCGGGGCTCTCAACCAGTCAAATGTCTGCTCACTAATTTTCCGAGATGCCATGCCCATCTGCCGCAGGACAGGTGTTCGATAAAGCGGCCAGCACAAAATAAGGCCAGCTCGCTCGACGACGTCTACCGATCTGTCATTCACGTGAGTCGAGACTGGGTGGATAAAGGCGATGAGCTTGAGTTTGCAGTTCTCGGTGCGGACACGTCTGACCCCAAGGCGCTGCACCTGGAGACGATACGATCGACTGGAGCGGGGCTGTCTGCTACAGGGTCGGCGTTACGGATCTTCGGTTGAGGGTAACCGAATGAATTTGAACAGAGGAGGCTCTTTTTGTATCGTCAAGAAGAATGTAGAGGATATTGTTATCCTTGAATAGTCTCTAACATTGACGGAAGAGCTAAGAGATCTCTTTGTATCTATAGTACTGTAGAAGCTATCAATACAAGACTTAATCTTGGAATGGCTGCTCCACTCCTCCACAGAGATAGTCAACAGGTTTAAAATGCTTTATAATATTGTACAGGATTTAAAAATACACTCTGAGCAAGGGATGCAATACAAATATTTACTTGAGAGGTGGAGGAGTGCTAACAGGTGACGGAATGTGAGTAAGCGAAGAGCTGACAGCAGGTGAAGGACTGATAGCAGGCGATGGTCTGCCCAACGGGACATTATCCTGTGATGCCCCAGTGGCTGTCGATATCGCGTCCAACTCCATTCTCCTGCCAAGGCTCCCTGGCAATTCGAACATGGGAGTCTCTAATGGAGGTCTTCTCGGCTCCTCATGTAATTGGTAAACATGGTGGTCATCACCCTCAAGTTCCCCATACACATTGGAAAGCCCTGCCCTGGGTTGTTCTGCCTTCATGCTGAGATCGACGCATTCTATTCCAGACTCAGGAGAACTCGGTGCGGTGTCTACTGCTGCTGCTGCCTCTCTCGCCTTCGCTGCTTTTCGGTGCCGGAGGAAGAAGAAGACGCCTACGGCTACCAAAACCAGGAAGACCAGGCACGCGATCACGGTACCTGTTATGGTGCCGTTGCTGAGAGTTGAGCTATTCGATTTTGTGGTTTCGGTAGTTTGCGTTGCTGAAGCTGAAGCTGAGGAGGAAGATGTGATATTTGCGTCTTTAGATGTGATGGTCACAATGTTCTCCTCGGCTCCCTCCACCCAGGTACATTGCGATACATTAAAGACTTGACGTTCGTAGTCGGCCGTTAGGTAACTGCAGTTGCTTGTCAGTAACTCTTTCGCACTTTATCGACTATATGACCTGGAAATTGGACTTACGCTTCTTGTAAGAATACCCGACCCAGCGTGTACTGCGTCTCATTCGCTGCCCGCTTCAGTGGGAAGTAGTAGCTTATGTTTTCCACTAGAGGGTACTCTGCCTTGAGGGCAAAGGCATCGTACGGGAGAACGATGGTGACCGAATCTCCACCTTCAAGGACATCCGAAAGCCGAAATGAGACTTCTGCATCCGTGGCGACCAACGTGCTGTGGTGTGTGTCGTTCACCAGGTATAGCCCGGTGGTATTGTCCACAGTGAGCCCAAACGCTGATTCGAATGCATCGCATACATCGTCCGGGAGCCAGAGATTTGGATCAGTAGAATCGATGTATATGTTGATGGGGGAAGATAGGAGGGTAGTTTTGTCGGATCCGCTGTAGGATATCGATTGAAGAGCAACAACGAGGTCGCGTGTGAGGTCGTCGGCCATGCTGAAGCTCACTGAGTTCTCGGTGAACCGGGACGTGTCGTATCCGGAGAAAATGAGCTGACCAAAGACTTGCTTGAGGCCTATTTGAGATACTGTTAGAAAGGTCATAGTAGAGCTGCGCAAACGGACGCACGTACGGTACTTGGCTCCTGCTGTGTAACTCCAGCTGAGACTTGGAATAATATCTTCATCCTTCAGCGTCGTTATAAAGGATGGCGCAGAGTAATTGCCCAGTGTGCTAAAGTTGACTGGCTGGGTGTTCAGTCCAAAGATGCCCCTGCGAACGACGGCGTTAGCTCAAGACCATCAAAACTTGACACGAGCTCCATACAGGTAAAATGGCGACGCCGTGGCGATGCCAGCGACAGTGTGGTTCTCAAGAGTAGGTCCAGTGCTACCGTCAACAAAACCTACACCCAGAGTCTCCAACCCGAACTGGGCTCTTTGATAGTAGCCCAAGTTAGCCTCTAGGCCAACACCATCTCCATTGATCGCGAAGGTGCCCGCGTCATACCAGGTCGACGACTCATTTGGCGTGAAGAGGTTACCCCTCGATACTGCGCAGTCGGAAGGCACATCGGAGAAGACGGCGGTCGAGCAACCATACTCGGACAGGACAACCAGAGTTTCGGGAGATGCTGTTGAGACAAGGACGTGAACATCCTGTTTTGGAGTTCCGACTCGGAGGTTGAAGCTGCTCCACGGCCCGTCATTGCCCTCACTGGACAGATGTTAGCTTTCCGTTCTCGAGTTGAATCTTGGCGACATCGTTACAAATATTCACTCGGGGAGATGACGATAGCAGCCGGTGCGCCAGTGTTTCCTGTTGACCGAGCCTCAGACCTGCTGTTGCCATCATTGTAGCCGTATACCAGACTTGGAATCAAACATATGGCTGACACTAGCAGTAACGCGGCGGAATGCATGTTGATGGTCCTGCCAATGTGTTTCTGAGTGAGAGGCAAAGGGCAAACAACACAAACATTGCAGAGGGGAACTTTCACCCGGGTCAACCGCGCGGTGCCTGACGTCCACAGCCCCCTGAAGCGCTAGATGGCAATAAATGCAGAGATGCGTGGAGAATGAGAAAAGTGCACTGCATAGTGGACATGAAGGACTGGAGCAGGATTGTGCCACAACTGAGGCGTTTCTAATCAGACCCCTCCTCCCTGCATGTTGTACAACCATGATGAGGCTGGTACCAATATCTGGAGTTGGGATGAGATTTGGGTGCAACTCTCAGATCACTTCGAAAGCCACTCTCCGGAAATCTTGAAAGAGATTGGCCGGCCCATTTACTTTGGGAATTTAGTTGAAAACCACCGGCGTTGAGTAAATGCCAGAAGCACGTCTGATTCAACGCAGCCTGAGTGCGCTGCCCTCTGCGAATCCCCATAGCCCGCGCGGCAATCTGTACCTCGGACAGCCCTCAGCCTAATATGGTATTTGCATTCAAGACTTCCTAGGCTAGCTATTGGTCCTGCAGGTTCCAGGTGTAGTCTACACGATTCAATTGGGTCACCAGCCCCGGCATGGCCCTGTGGGATTCAGCCAGCGGAGTCTCTAATCTCCGAAGACCAGCAAATCAGCCTTGTGACACAGTGACAGCGGGAGGAGCTTCGGCGTGTGTTCCAGATCGAGACTACTTCCATCATGCGACGAGGTTGCAATCGCGAAGTCAGTCACCGCCTGCAACACTGCGCACGTTTTAAGCCCCACAACTCGGGCAATTTCAGGCTTAGATCAACCTTTAATTGCTGTAAGGCTGGCTTGAATCGACGCGATCTGGTATTAAGGCGTACTATTAGCCTCGCTATGTCGTTCTAGTTACTAACAAAGACAAGATCGTGCTCTTGCGAGATCTGTGCTTTAGTTTGGTTCTCACGACTTGCTGAAGTTGATGATGTGTTGGGGGACTCATCCACCCATTTGCTTGAAAGGGAGCCATTGCGAGGCAGTGGATTAAAGGTTTGTGGCGCTCTTGTGTCTCAGGGGGCGTCACCCTGCAGATATTGACAAGACGACCCTGGCATGATCTGACAGACTCGCTTGAGAAGATGGCCTTGAGCGCCCTTTCTTTGAGAATTCAGTCGCACAGCTTCCCCAATATGGAAGGCTCCCCCCGGCGACACCGCCAACACACTGGATACTGGCCGATTCACAGTAACTTAGATAGGCAAAGCAGCCAAGAAATCCAATCCACATTTGTGGGGGGTTATCACGCATTCACAAAGCTGGCAACGGCCCCCAATGCCCTGGAGAAGCATTATGTCCCTAGCTCCCCACCGTGACGGGCGCCATTTGTATGTGGCGGTTTCGAGAAACGTCGTAAAGCCATCCAATGAGCTTCGCTGCCCTTCGCCCGGTTGCGGCTGAGAGAGGGCACACTGATTCCGGACATGTCCGCCGCGGCCGCAATCGGGCTGGATAAATCGAGTTGACAGGGAAGCGCCTGGGAGCCGCGTACGCCTGTGGCATCGGATCTTAATCTCGATTCGGAGCCTTGCGCAGAACTTGAGCCTCATTTCCTGCACCCCTGAGGAGTATGGCTCACTCAGCTCAATTTTTAACCGAGGGGAGAGTCGGAGTTGAGCCCTATGCCCCTGCAGCCTCACCTACGCTCGGGTTTGGGCCTGGCACAAATCTACAGGGTTACAGAATGCTGTTGAGGCTGGACTGTACTCCCCCACGATGAGTGTGTCTATAACTACTTGCCCTCTCCCTACTGCTCAGGTTTGCTCGCTTTCACTTGAACCGTGGTGTTGCTCGTTACTGCCTTCTGTTTTGTTAACACGTCGCGATCATGTTGTCTTCCAACTGTTTGGCGCTGTTCGGACTCCTCCTTGGAGCGAAGACGGCATATGGCAAAGGTACAGCTCAAGCTGATCCCATGCGACTCAATCTCTAGTATCGAGTATTTCTAACCTGGTGTGATTTAGCTATTCCCATCCGTGCAGTGGACTCGACTACTCCGGTCCTTGCCAGCAGTACTGGTGATGATACCTCGACGATAACTTCAGCACCGTACTATTATTATCCTGCTCCTACCGCCATTGCCCCTAATAATTGCTCGTACTACAACGCAACTGAACAACGCACCTTGTGGAATCAGCCATGGTGTAGCGTGTACGTCCCTGACCGTTGCCATAGTTTTCTGTTCTAACTTGCTCCAGGTATGCCGGGAACGTCGAGTTAGTATACTAGCCTACCGGCAACAACTACTCATACCCTCCGACGATGACTGACTCAGTAGCGACGGACTACACTTAGTGAGCAGCTCTAACCCGAGCCACCTAGACCTGTAAGCTAATCGACAATAGCACGTCGCCATCAGTATACATAATTGTCAGCACCCTGTACGGCAAGAATGCATGCGGCACCCTCGGGCCAACAGCCAGCAGGGCCATCTTCGGGTTTGACCTAGATGAAGTGTCCACGATTGTTCCGTACTTCGATACAACAGCAACGTATCGAAGGTCGACAAGACAGCTGTACCTGAGCGATTTGGTTACCGATTGCGAAGCCTCGTACGACATTTCTACCCTTACGACGATGAGACATCCCATCAAGGAGGATGATACTCGATGTAACCCGTCGATCGTCATGCCCATGGCCATCAAGAGCTATGGCAACCCGTACTGGATGCACTGCGGTGTGAATAACTTCAAGTATGGACTCTTCGACCCGCCGTATGCGATCCCCACCGTCGACGGACTGCTTGTCACGACTGCCGCCGCTTCTACAACCGAGGAGCCCGCCGCCGCGGCTACATCTGCCGACCCTGCGGCCGTTGTATCTACGGATCCCGCGGTAGTTGCATCTACTGATCCCGCCATAGCTGCATCCACTCATGCTACGGCCGTGCAGGACGTCGTGTCGACGAAGGCTCTTGCAGCGGCGGCCACAGCTACAGAAGTCAGCGATCCATCTGGTGGTTCAGATGGCAACTCTTCCGGTTCTGACGATAGCTCTCCTGGCTCGGACGATAATTCCTCCGGTTCAGGTGATAACTCCTCTGATTCGGACAGCAACTTCTCTGGTTCGGACGGCAACTCCTCTGGAAACTCAGACAACAGTTCCTCCGATGACAACTCATCCGGGAACTCAGATAATAACTCTGGAGATTCCAACACTGGCTCTAGGAACTCCATTGGTTCAGGAGCTCCGCAAACCTCGGCTGCGGATCTCGCCAATGCCCCATCCGACCCGGCCGTGTCTACCGTGTCCGAGCAGGTCATCAGCCTCGGGGCGGACGGTGTTGTCGTCGTCAATGACGGAAGCAGCACGACCATCACCACCATGTCGGTCTCGAGCGATTCGGCTGGCTCCGTTGTCGTATACAGCGGAACAACTCTGACGCTGGGCGGCTCAGCTGCGACCATGACCAACGTTATCGTCGCCTTGCCTGGTGCTGATAGCGCCGGTTCTACTGGATCTAGCTATGCGGACTCCGGCGCAATTGTGTCTACTGTGGCCGAGCAGGTCGTCAGTCTGGGAACGGATGGTGTCGTTGTCGTCGAATACGGCAGCAGCACGACCAAGACCCACACCATCCCAGCGAGCGGTGTCACCGTGTCCGGATCGATTGCTTCGGTATCTTCAGTTGTTGTGTACCATGGAACAACACTGACGTTGGGCGGCCCGGCTGTTACGGTGACCGACGCTGTCGTTACATTGCCTGGCGCGAACGCCTCCGGTTCGGCAGACTCTGGATACTCTACCCCCGAGTCTACTCCCGTCCAGGTCGGCACCTCGCCTGCAAGCAGAGTGACGAGCGGGGCTCTATGTTTGATTCTAAGCGTGCTTACTTCTGCATGCATTCTATATCAATGATTGTTAGAAGGGACAATGCGTCATCTTGACTGTGATAAACAGCTACTTGGTGTTAGTTTAGGCTAGACTATCACAAATTATGATCCTCTTCTCCTCATAACTTCCTTTGGACACATTCCTCAGTCACCAGGCACTTAAGTGTTCCATTCACAAAGGGAACTGTCAACTTGAGTGATGCCATCTAGCTGGCTGATGGACCACTACGCACCAGAGTGTGTATTGATCAATGACACCATGCTCGATGAGATCCGGTCTAAGGCGCCGTTGGAAGAGACGCTACGTCTCATGCGAGCGTCTCAGTACATGTATGAGAAGAATTGAGGCAGTTATTGAACCGACACTGACTGACTATCGGTTCCTTAATGTATTCAGACACCAACGATCTAGTCTCAATTCCCAGATATTTTCTAGACACGCCGCCCTCCACCATGTGCTTTCACCTCTGTGGTGCTACATTTAGTATGGCGGATTCTGATCATATTGCTGGCTTTGATGGTAGCCCTGATTCTGTTGGTAACCCTGGGACTGGTTCGACTGGTGTTGCTGAGGGTAAGATTGCTGGGGTGGCTGATACTGGTCCGGCCGATACTCTTGATGAGATTGGTGCTGATCAGGCCGGTATTCTTGATTGTATTGCTGTTGGTCAGGCCTGTATTCTTGGTGGGACTGGTGTTGGTCAGGTCGATATTCCTGATGGGATTGCTGTTGATCAGGCCTGTATTCCTGGTGCTGCTGCTGTTGGTATTGGGAAGGGGCGTTGTATCCTTGCTGAGCATGCGACTGTCCACCATACTGCTCATGCGAAGCAGGAGGAACATGGCCTCCCTGTGAAGAGGGAACAGACTGGTTTCCGCCACCGAGGTGCGCATTAGACGTTGGCGCTCCCACGCTCACACCCTCATTGCCAATGTCATCCGGCACAGAGATTTTGACCTTGGGCAGGTACTTCTGCACCTTCTGCTCCACCATCTTCTGCACAAAGACCCAGCTTTCACGCTCGAACTTTCGGTGTCCGCCGTTGACGACACCCAGAATGCTCTCCCGCAGCGTCTCCTGCACCTTCCGCACGAGGCTGCGGATCTTGTTGACCAGCTTGGCCTTGATGTCGTCTCCGAAGCCGCGGTCTGCCTGCGAGCCGGCGTCGCGGTCTAGCTGCGAGTCGAAGGGGTTTCCACCGAGAATCTTCTCAAGCGGGCGCTGGAACTCGTCGGGCAGCAGCTCGAACAGCTGCTTCTCGATGCCGCCCAGCACCTTGCGGAACTCGAGACGAACGTCCCTGTGGACTCTGCCAAGGCCCGTACTTAGCTTGTCGCTGATGACCTTGGAGAAGCCGCCACTGCTTTCTCCTTCGGGACCATCGCGATCCCGATCGCCGAAACCTCGCGAAGATCCCTCATGGGACGACTTCTTGCTTCCGAACAAGCCTCCGAGCCCCTTGACAATGTCCTTGACCTGGTCTTCAATCTCGCCCTTGACTCCGTCGCCGAGATCCCGCGTGCTCGTGTTACCGCGCAACCAGCGTTTGATGTGATCCAGCGCGATGCGGGTAAACTGCTCAGCGATGGGGGCGTGCTGCTCCCGCAGCTTCAGGCCGACCTTCTCCTTGATCTCGGGGCTGATGAGGCGGGCCGTATCTTCTGGGTTGCGTGATGCGTCCTTGACGGTGTTGCTGATTACGCCGAGGAGCCCATCCAGCTCGAAGCCCTGGCCTCCTGATCTCTTGTTGTCGTCCAGATGGTCTTGAACAGCGTCGATGGCGGCCGAGAGGAAGCCCCTGGCTCCGCTGGAAGAGTCGCGGTTGCCTCCTCCACGAGACCGAGTCTCGCTCGGACCATCGCGGCCTTCGGTGAGGTTGAAGATGTCACGCAGGTCGTCGCCTGCTTCGTCAGTGACCTTGCTGAAGCTCCGAGTGAGCTTGGCGATCTCGTCGGCGAAAGGCAGAGACTGGCCGCCGTAAGAATCCGGGGCTGCGTCGTCCAGGCTGCGCGAGTTGCCCGAAGAGCCACCGCCGTCCTTGTTGAAGAGCGAGCGAAAGGCATCAACAACCTGCGTCTCCAACATGTCGATGGTCTTCTGTTGAAACTCCTCCAGCTCAGTCGTGATGCGGGGCTGGATCTGAGGGGCAAGCGAGTCGACATATTCGTCGACCTTTTTCATCAACACCTCGGGGACGGCGTGAGAAGACATGGTTGTTTGTTCTGTCAGGAATAGTTGAGCTGATGAGCGATCTGATAGTTGTCTGGTAGTATTCTGGTGCTAACCTTAGCACGGCAAGGGGCGCTCTGGTGGTGAGATAGTTGGAGAAGCTGAGCTGGACTTGTGCGTTGTCAGTCTTGGCCTTGGCCATCTGACGTCAGCCTCTGCACGGACCACATGAGGAAGAATGATTCACGTAACACGAGTTTCCAGTGAAAGAGATCATCAACGGTAGTTATTCTTCAATATATACACAAGCTTAATCGAGCCCCAAAAGAGGAAACCTTCCCCAGACTTAGGGTCTTACAGGGGGGTGGCCCTTGCAAATGTAAGTTACAAGATAAGGAAAACGCTGACGAAGTAGATCTGATGACTAATTAGTCTTGAAAGTGAACGGACTGGGGATGGGGAGGGAAATAGAAGGTTACCATCACCCTCAAGGCTATTTAAAGCGAGGATTGATTATTGCTATCTTCCGTAGCTCTCGGGAATCTAGGTCATGACCATAAATCGCTCGGTACCGCTGTTGAAAGCCAAAGATTCACTCCACGTACTACAACCGCTGGCCGCGTAACCTGAAATCCTCTTCCGCGTGGACATGCATGCCCACCATCGAGTCCGGTCGATTTATTCAGTGAAAGTGGTCCCAGTGCCAGTTAAATTGAAACTGTAATAATAAACTATCCTGTAGATTCATACAAGCGAAAGCCCTGCAGTAAACTCTAAGCCTCAACCAGTCAGCTCGCCCCATTCCGCACTTGCTTCACTGAGATTCTACACCCAGAGTAATATACATCATCATCGTTGAGTTGTTTATGATGCCCAAATTATCAATGCCTTGAAAGAGAAGGCAGCACCGTTGCGGCCAATATTATCATACAAGCCAAATTGGCATGCAGGCTCATCTTAGGACCCATAGTGCCCATTCCGAGGCAATTCCGACCCGACGCCGTAAGACGGACCCGAAGGCGGCATCTACAAATGTTAACGACTCGGAGTACGGCCCGAAAATAGGGCGGATGAAGAAACGTAGCCTCCATTGTACATCCACTGATCCAGATCGAGAAAAGGTTTAGCGCCTTCACTTTATCGGCCCGCATCGGACGCGAGACAGCGAGGAAGTCCGATAAAGCGTTGATAGGCAAAGTTGTTATCTGCAGCTCCAGTTCGAAGTGGATCAAATTCAGCTGACTCTCTCTATTAAAGCTGAAGTGTGCTTGGTACTCTATCCGTCCCCTAACATTGGTACACTCACGGGTACGCTTCCATACACCATCACTGCCCTTATCACATCTGTGGACTCAAGTTCACAAAATGCATCCTCTTGACCCCCTCACGTCGGCCGAGATCACTCTCGCAGCCACGCTCATAAAAAAGCACAACCCAGAGAACAGTGTCCATTTTAAAAACATCACACTGATCGAGCCGCTCAAAAAAGACCTGAGGAAGTTTCTAGCTGCGGAACGGAGCGGCGCTAGTTTGTCAACTCTTCCTCGCCGGGTATCCGCCTTGTATTATCACAGAGGAACTGCCGACTTGTTCTACACCGCAGTGGATTTGGGTGCCTCGGCGATAGAGCGGGTGGAGAAGCTCGATCCACGATACCATGGACAAGCCGACATGGATGAAGTGGTTGAAGTGAGGGATAGGTGTTTGAGCCATCCCAAGGTGATTGAGCGGATTGAAAAGTACCGACTCCCCGAAAACTTGAGTATTGTATGTTTACCACGGTCCGAGAAGTTGGACCCCTACATCGCCCGGTTGCTAACTTCGAATGCCAGGTTTGCGACACCTGGCCTTTTGGACGTGATGAAGAAAAGCAGAACAGGAGACTTGCACAAGTGAGACTCGCTACCGCCTACTCCCAGAAAAGAAATCACACTGACAGATAACACTAGTGCTTTCTTTACGCCAAAGATCGGTCTCATCCAGGCTCCAACTCTTACGATAACCCCCTCCCATTTTCCCCCATTATTGACTACATCACCAAAGAACTTGTCGACATCATCGAGTTGCCCATTGGGGCAGATCACAGTGTGACGCCAGACGTCCAATACATTCCCCATCCGCCCAAGGAATGGCACCACGACCTTCAATCCGAGCCCAAGCGAGCAGATCTCAAGCCTCTCACTGTCCACCAACCGGCGGGTGCTTCATTCACTGTCGATGGGCATCTCGTGCAGTGGCAGAAATGGCGGTTCAGAGTTGGCTTCAATTGGCGTGAAGGCATGGTGCTGCACGATGTGACGTACGATGGGCGGGAGCTGTTCCATCGTCTCAGTCTGAGCGAGATGTTTGTGCCCTACGGCGATCCCAGGTCTCCATACTCGAGGAAGAGTGTTTTTGACGTTGGAGATATCGGAGCTGGCGTTGCTGCAAACAATTTGGCACTGGGATGTGACTGCTTGGGACTCATCAAGGTATGTGATCTCCGCCTGTCTCCTGAATCCACAGGACCATTCGCACGTTCAAAGTGAAGTTGTTGACTCTGGAACCCGAACAGTATTTCTCCTTTACACTAAGCGATTGGAACGGAAACCCAGTCCAAAAGCCAAACGCCATCTGCATGCATGAGATTGATGATGGGATCGGCTGGAAACACACCGATGGTGCTACAAAGCAAGTCTCCATCGTGCGATCTCGCGTTCTGGTCTTGCAAACCATCATCACTGTTGGCAACTACGAATACATCTTCATGTGGCACTTTGACCAGGCCGCCGCGCTTCATTATCGAATCCAAGCAACTGGGATTCTATCCACCGTCCCTATCGCTCCCGGGGCCAGAGTGCCATGGGGTACGAACGTCAACCATGGAGTAATGGCGCCTTACCATCAACATGTTTTCTCTTTGAGAATTGATCCTGCGATCGACGGAGATAAGAACAGTTTCATTGAGGAAGACTCCGTTGCTATGCCTTTCGACGAAAACAACCCTGTTGGCGTGGGTTACATCACCGAGAAGCGAGTTCTCTCCAGCTCGGGCTTTTCTGAAGCTCAACCAAACCGAGTCCATAAAATCATCAACCCATCCGTCATCAACCAGATTACAGGCAATCCTGTCGCGTATGCCATTCACAGCCCCCAGAAGCAGATGCTACTAGCCCATCCGCAATCATGGCATGGAAAGCGTGCAAAGTTTGCTCTGCAGCCATACTGGGTCACCTCGTATCGCGACGGCGAACTGTACGCCGCTGGAGAATACACCTACCAATCGCTTCCGGACGACGTACCAGGCGGTAATCCTCTGCAGAAGAAGGGCGATTTGGCTGCGTGGGCTGGTCGAGGCGACAAGGTTGACGACGAGGACATTGTTTTGTGGCACTCGATCAGCTTGACGCATAACCCTCGCCCAGAGGATTACCCTGTCATGCCTTGTGAGACGATGACAGTGAGCCTGAAGCCGAGTGGGTTCTTTGAGCAAAACCCTGCCTTGGATGTTCCACAGAGTACTCAAAAGGCGAACCAAAGCGTGTTATACAAGGAACGGCAACCCCCACTGGAGGAGAAAAGCACCAAAGTTTGCTGCGAGTCCAAGCTTTGAAGTTAAGGGCTTAAGCAAATCGTCTCCCCCGTTTATTCTTTGTGTTTTTGATGTACTCAGTTATCTGGTTCAGACTAAGATATATAAATAGATGTTTTCCAATCAAATTGTCCGTTGTATGCTTTGGAGGCTGTATGACCAAGCAAACGGGCGAATGAACAAGCCAGCTCGAAGACTCTTGACTTCCATAACAGCCCAGTTTTTCGGGAAATGGAATAGGGCTTCAGAGGGAGTAAGGGTTGAGTGAAAGAAGATGTGAAAATTCCCTCATTGTAGTTGAAAATAAATTTGATCCGAGAATGTGTTAAGATCAGTTGCCGAGTCGAAACGAGTCCCCAAACCCAGGGACGAGTCGCGTGTAGGACCAGCCCACTGTAGATCCATTTCATCCGCAAGGAATGTTGCATCCACGGGAGCAAGGGTTACAGCAGTATTCACAACGTCGTCCGAGATCGTCTCGGCAAGATCCACAAATGGCTCTGTCGTCATCTCGTGAATCATTCGAAGTGTCGGACGGTGAATAACGATGTTGCTCAATGGTTTCCAATTTTCCTCAATCCCATTTCTCCCTGTCTCGCTCATCATTCTCGGTCGTTCCCATGTCTCTCCAAGGGGAATTTCCCTCGCCAATATTTCAAAGACATCTCGGACGCATTCTGCTTCTGCCCATCGTTCTGCAAGTATGGCTAACGTGCTGGAGCAGGCGCGGATGGCATCGGAAACATCAGCGGACTTGTAAGAGAGCTTCCATCTGGAGGTCGGGGTGGCGTAAAGACAGTATAGGAGAGTCACGCCGATTTGGAACTGGGTCAGGAGCTAAATACAGGTCAGGGTGAGAATTATATCATGAAATGGGTAAGGGGCCGGGCTCAGCCAACATTATTGAGCGTTCATTGGGAGATGAATAGGGAAGAAATTGCACTTACCCCTAACCACGGCTGAGCAATCTCCTTTGCCATTTGGAATTTCCGAAATAACAACAATGCTTGACAGCAAGCCTGGACAGACCAATCGCCAGTTAGACCCTGCACAATGGTCCTGGTGGGCCGGTACAACATTATAATATTGTAATAATATATCATCTTGAGCCACCCCAGACTCACGTAACCCTTTTGGGACGGCTCTGATGATATTCCGGACCGTTGATTCCACTCCTTTATCTTCTCTAACATTTTAGCCCGCCATGCAAAAGCCGTGTCAGAATGGGTGACGAAATCTCTACCAAGGACCGTCTCCTGAATTTCTGATTCGAGTTGACGGCTGGCTAAAACATGAATAGCTGATGATAGATTTGTTGGTGAGTTGGATCCCACGAGTTGTGATCCCGGCTGAGCAGAAGAAGCAACAGCAAGTAGTTGGTCGTCGTCAATGTTTTCAAAAATCTGCAAACGTCAAGACCCAAGATCCCGCATGATGGATTCAACACCTACTGGAACTGTAATGTGGTTGTCTGGAATCGAGCTCGGAAAGTCATACGAGCTGCACACTGCTCGATCGATGGCGTATGCGCACCAAAAGATCCTTCGACGGTGCTGAATCTGGATCAATGCGTCGCTACTAACGGGCTGAGGCTCAGTTTCAGCTAGGTGTAGCTGCGACATGATGCAGAACCGGATTGTCCAAGAGGATAGTGAAATGATGTTCTCCTGTGATGGCACATGGAGGGCGTAAACAGTGAGAAGGAGAAATCCTTGTGCGCGGATAATAGGGTTGGCTGATGCGACTACGTATGGAAGGTATTTTGTAGTCGCAAGGGTATAGAATGCCTGTTGCAATACTCGTCAGTCTCCAAAGAGCCGTTCGATTCAGACCGCCTACCTGAGACCGCATCTGTCCATTAATGCGGGCTTTGGTCATCATAAATGCGATCGCATAGACCTTGCGTCACAGAATCAGCAACGCTCGGAATATGCTGTGGGTGTAGAACTCATGGCATACCATGTATATGAAGAACCCCTTCCATCTCATCGATGCAGGGAGGTTATCCCTGCTGCCCCTCCAAGCCTCGGCCATTTGCAAAAACTCATGTTTGAGCAAAAGAGGGTATTGAGAATGAGCCATGTCGAAGTAGGTCTGGGTTAAGAAACTCTCCATTTCCATGTTCAAATCCAATGCTTCTATAGTTGTGCGGTGGTCCTGTACAATAGGAAGTGTCTGATTGGAGATGCCTGAAAGAGCACCGAATAAACCGGGGCTTACATTGTCGGGAGGGGTGAATGCCAAGGGCATAGACACAGGAAGAGGAATGTCTACCTCTTGTTGGACAGGAGAGTCAAGTTGGCCGGAATAGTCTTGGTAATCATGGCTAGGATCGAGTGGGAGCTTTGAATGGCAGTTGTTCTGTTAGCAAATGTTTCGTAATGGAACTAGGAAAATAGGGTTACAGTTTCGTGTCATACCTGAATCCCAGTCCTAGCTCCGGACGTTGACTGATCCAGAGGCTGTGCAACGTGAATGGAGTCGAATGTTTCTTGAGACTGGGGAGCGTTGATGTGAACGGAAATCTCTTGAGGCTGTGTGGCGTTGATGTGATCGAGGCTCTCTTGAGGAATGACGGATTCCAATAGTGCAACTCGCTCCTCTAGGCGTTGCACATAGCTGAATACATGTCAGGACTCTGTGCGGCACCGTGTCGCTAGCTTGGGAGTTGATGGACAGACTCGTGTTCCAGGGGTAGCTTCGAGGATGGCAACCTAGCAGGGGTACATTCTACTACTGGTCAGAGCCTTTGACTCAGCCAAGTGCACAAGTGGATGCTGCCATACCGGACCCAGACTGGGTGCAATTTGTGCAAGGTCGAACCTCGGTACACTTGGAAGGCTGGTCAGAACTGTTTGCGGCCTTGGCCAGAAGTCGTAATATTGGATTCACCTTTTGCTTTCGATGACGGCAACGTGCACACGCCAATAACTTTGGCCGTTTGGGTGGTCCCTGTTCAACTTGGGTCGACATCGTCTCAGGCCGTCTCTATACCTTCGCCTTGTGTTAACATCAGCACCCACGCACCCCCTCACAATGACAAGTTGGGCGGCAATGAAAGTTGTGGGCCCTGTCTCAAACTATGGGAAAATTATTGGCCCGGTGCCGTCTACGAATCCGCTTCATGGCGCCATCTAGCGTTGTATCGAGTGCTACAGTTGGATGCACAAAGTCCTGATCCAGATTATTGTACGGTGGGTCGGGCTTATCGTGGCATCCATCGGCGTCTGCTCCGATGGCTATCGGAGCCACCAGGTCAACGCCCGATGACCTTCCGAGCGATGGAACATGAGTCGCATCTTGGAAATGTGGCCCACCAATCGGGCTTGAGTCTTCAAGGGAGCGCGGATTGGGCTTGTTCAAACATGATAGCAGATTGAGACAGTTGGCATGACTGAATGTCGGTCTCGTTTTACGATAAGGCCAAGCTATAGGGTAAGCAGAGAGAGACTTCTTTTTTGGTTTATTTTCTGCTTCCATTTCCAGCATTGTCTACTTTTGACTGCCAAACATATCCAACATAATGACCGTTCGGCACAGTATTTCCGTTGCCGTTCTCAATTGTGGTTACACGTGTCCCAATATCGAAAAAGAAAGGGGCCAGTATCATGACATCTTTGCTTCATTGTTGAAACCCGCCGTCGAGCGTCTCAACAGAGGTCCCAACTGGTCCAACGCCAAACTCAACGTCACAGGATGGGACACGGTAAATCAAGTATATCCTCCTTCATTGGATAGAATAGATGCCATTATCATCACTGGGTCGCCAAATGGAGCATATCAGGACCTAGAATGGATACGGACACTGGATCGATACATCTCATGTAAGTTTGCACCGTGCATCTAAACGACTCGCTTGGTCATGTACTAATTTACGGCAAGACGTTTATCACCAACACCCTTCGATTAAAATATACGGTTCGTGTTTCGGTCATCAAATCATTTGCCAGGCACTTTTCGGGGATCAGGGAGCTCTTGTGGCAAAGGACCCTGCTGGCTGGGAACTCGGCGTGAATAGAGTGGACGTGTCGGATGAATTTGCGGACACGTTCTCGAGTCTACTCCCATCAAAATCCCTACAGCTTCAGTTCTTGCATGGCGATCATGTGACTTTTAAGAACGGACGCCTCCCCGACGGTGTTCATTTGGTTGGCTCCACGGCTCATTGTCAGATTCAAGGCATATATCAACCTGGCAAGATCCTCACGTTCCAAGGGCATCCTGAATTCGACCAATTCATCAACACGGAATGCTTGAAACTCATTGGACAGCGTGTTGGGTGGGAGGATGAATTCCTTGATTCTGCCATGGCAGCTGCAGCGCAAAGCGATGATGCATCCATCGCCGCAGACATCATAGTAGCATTCTTCTCAGAACCAGATAATAACATGTCGTAATGATACTTGAGGGCTCACGACGATTCAAACAAATTTGAACCAATTGCTGACTTACCCGATACTTGAAGTGATACTACTACCCAGTCCTGCAAAACTGCACACTTTTCTGCTGCACCGAATTAGCCACGATTTTTATGTCGACTTATTCCTCGACTCAAGTGGCCGCAGCACTTCTTAACACTGATAATTTAAGCTATGTGTTCTAACTCCAAGATTGCATTTACTTAAGATAAAACTATGGATTTTACAGGCTCTAGTCACTGTGGGCTGGATCAATTATGGAACACGGAAAGGTAACACTGGCATTTCAACAATCTAAACCTTCTCCTTGCATTCTATCAATATGTCCCTCATTCGCTTAATTCCTTCCACAATAACATTCTCTTCGTGAAATGCCCAGCACAGTCTAATAGTGCTTCCAAATCCCAATTCCGATCTTTTTTTACTCCCACTATCCCCCTTCACCTCGAACATTTTGCCATATGCAAATTTCAGTTCATGTTGTTCCAAAGAAATCTTTGCCAGCACTGGGGTAGGAGGCAAGCCCTTAGGCAAGGTGATGAGTAGGAAGAATCCACCGGCAGCTTTGATGCTGTCCTGGCCGCTTTCTCCACTCGTGGTAATTGAAGATTGATCACCCAAAATAACAGTTGAATAGGGTTTCCCTGTAGTGATCTGCACTCCGAGAGGTTCCAGATATTCTCGAATGGCATCGACCATGGCATAATACCGTGCCGAATAGTAGGGAATTAGCTTGTTTTGGATATGGGCTTCAAGTGCACCAGAAGAGAGCATTTTCTCGATGAAAGTTGAAGCAAGGTGGGCAGGGTTTCCGCCTGAGGTCGTTGAGCCACTATCGACTTTGATCAGTTTCAAATTTCCTGTCTTGGTCCCATGGTTAGACTTACGTATTTGCCAGAAAGGTTGCGAATGCGGGTGTGCCTTCTGCCCATGATACCCTTGTCCCGGGAGCGACGATCTTGGAAAAGGAGCCATTGCTCATCGTATTTCCCCATTTGCTATCAGGATCGACCTTTTGATTGATGTCCACCAGCCTTGGGGGAAGACTTAGTCTGGCTCCGTTGAGGATGACTCCCTTGTCTTCTGGCCAGGAGAGAAAGTCGTACACATCATCCGAGATGATCAGCGCGTCATATTCAATTGCCAATCGAACAAGATCATATCGGTGCTGCAAAGACATGGTCTTGCCACTGGGATTTGAAAATGTCGGTACCACGTAGATGACGTGCTTAAAGATCTTCTCATATCCATTTGCTGGTGTCTTGAGCTCCGGAGTGCCAGGCCCGCCGTTTCTAGCAAAAATTGCCTCTGCTTCGACCAGAGCCGCTCTCAAGAAATCCAAGTCGATGCCTTCGTCGTCCTCGGGAACACCCCGCAGTTTACCGATGAATCCACAGTCCTCGAAAACAGGGCAAGCCAGGAAGTATGTTGGCTCCACCATCCATATACATCTGGTGTATGTTGGATCTGTGAACCGGAGGAGAGTGTTGGCGAGATTCTGTGAAGCTCCGCCAGAAATACACACACGACCCTCGTCGATGGCTTGGGGATCGTTATGGTATTGGGAGCCCAACCATCGCGCCAATTCCTTTCGAAAGGGGACGTACCCCCGGTTGGGACCGTAAATCAAGGAAGCACTAGCAGTGTTGAAGTCTGTGAGAACAGAATTTGCGCCCGCATTTAGTTCCGCGGAAGGGAACAAAGAAGGAGATGGCCACCCCAACTGCAGGTTGATCTGCTTTCCTGTGGGAAGTAAAGATGTCATGACTGGGGTGGGTAATTGAGACTGAATGCGAGAAAGATAGGATAAATAGCATGCATACACCCGAGGGCCTGTATTTTACAGTTCTTATATGGGGCTTGTTAATTGAACAGACGCAGTCTCCGTACTAACCATCTTGGGCCTTCGGGGGCTTAAAATGCGATCGTCGAAGCTATCCATCACATCCGGATTTCTCGGACTACATGGCGATGTGATACTGATACTGTCGGACGTTGAGCCCGATACTTGCCCCACATTCGCAGTGACATCTTCAGATTCGGAGCCAGCAAGAAGGAGGTGCGATCAAACCAGATTATGCGATCCAATTCAATATCTTGCTATCTTTAAGGATTGATCCTCTCAGCTAGATTGAGGGTTTCCAAAGATTTCAGCAATACACAGTAATTCATTTATCTTTGAATGCAGCAAGAAAGCATTCGTTAACAGCTATCTCAGATTACGAAGGAAAATCCGAACTTTAGCACATTGCAGCTATGGCTCAGCAATTGCCATTTCAGGTATGTGGGCGGAATGTGTCTCTGAAGTAAATGGGCCACGGGTGACTGGTGCTGATACATGGGCATAGCTCCGTCGCCCCTCGCTATTCAAAGATCAATCCTGGGTCGGCGGTAACTGGGTTGAAGCAGGATCAGGAAAGCGATTTGACGTGACAGGTTAGTAGATGACACGAACGGACAAGGGCAAAATTGACCATTGTAGATCCCGGAACTGGAGACAATTGGGCCTCAGCACCAGACAACGACGCCAATGATGTTGAAGCTACCGTGCAGGCTGCCCACAAGGCATTTCTCTTTTACCGCAAAATTAGCCCTCGTGTGCGGTCACGGTGCCTGCTGAACTGGGGTACACTCATCCAAGAGAACAAGGATGATTTGGCCAAGATCGTTACATACGAGACTGGAAAACCCATCGCTGAGTCTTTGGCCGAGCTTGATTACGCCCTGAATTCCACGTGGTGGTTTGCAGGCGAAGCAGACCGGATCCAGGGAACCCTTTTTGACTCTTCAACGCCTGGAAAAAAAGTGATGACAATCAAGCAGCCGATCGGTGTGGTGACCGCACTGGTCCCTTGGAACTTTCCCATCGCGTGAGTGAGCTTTGGGAGATCTGGCAACCCTAGCTGACAATTCACAGCATGGTTGTTCGAAAGGCTGGGGCTGCCCTAGCTGCTGGATGCACCATGATCATCAAACCATCTCCAGAGACACCGTTGTCGGTACTGACTCTTGCGCTACTTGCCGAGGAAGCAGGTTTTGCGAAGGGCGTTCTAAACGTTTTGACAACGAGCTTGAACAACACCCCTTCACTAACTGAGGCGCTTTGTCGTCATCCTCTTGTCAAGAAAGTGACATTTACCGGTTCCGTAAGATTGATTTGAACCTATTGCTAGATACACTTCTGACATTATCCACCACAGACCAGAGTTGGAAAGCTCGTAGCAAAGATCTGCTCCGATGGACTAAAGAAGGTCACGCTGGAGCTGGGCGGAAACTGCCCCTTCATTGTCTTTGATGATGCGAATTTGAACGAGGCGGCTGATGGTAAGATGGGAATGGAATGATTCACCGCGTGACATTGGCTAACCTATGTGGCAGCACTCATGGGCCTCAAATGGAGAAACGCTGGTCAAGCATGCATCAGCGCTAACCGCGTGTATGTTCAGTCTGGCGTATATGACAATTTTGCCGCTATAGTCAAAGAGCGAACTTCGAAGCTTGTTGTCGGTCATGGCAGCTCTGTGGCCTCAACCCTAGGCCCTGTTACTACACCGCAAAGTCTTGATCGAGCATTAGCACAGGTGGAAGATGCCAAGAAACACGGTGCTCGAATCTTACTAGGAGGAGAGAGGCTGGCGAATAGCTCGGGATATTTCTTCAATCCGACGATTATTGCTGATGCGAAGAAGGAGATGCGCATAACGAATGAAGAAACATTCGCACCGATTTTGACTCTGTACAAATTCGAAACCGAAACAGAAGCAATTCAGTGGGCCAACGATACTCCTGTAGGCCATTTGTGACTCGCCGATTGCAGCCTTGCTAACTTGATGTGTAGATGGGCCTTGCCTCGTATGTTTTCACCAAGAATTTAGACCGAGCTTGGAGGTTGCTGGATGACCTCGAGGCTGGCATGATCGGCCTTAACACTAGTACGTGACGTCGATATCATCATCTTTCGAACATATATACTGACTGAAAAAGGTGCAATTACTGGTGCGGAGTCACCTTTTGGGGGTATGAAGGAATCAGGGTACGGCAAAGAGGCAGGCAAAGATGTCGCTGTGGAGGAGTACCTCGTGACAAAGGCGGTGTCCCTAGCATTAGAGAGTCGTCTATAATGGCATTGAAGCCCGCCTGATTCGCAATTTATCATTATAAACATGAACAACAAGATTACCCAGAGAGTGTGTCAGATCCGATTAAACGCATCACATGCACTTCCTATCTTGAATACTTGCAGAACATTTCCCTCTGATAGATGAAGACCCCGTTCCAGCAGTGGGCTGCGCCATTGTACAGAAAGGTAGTGTTATCATACCACCACAAACCGGCGATGTTGGGTCATCGTATGTGTGGGCTCAGTCTATCGAAAGATATCTACAGGCAATTCAGGCTATTTGGCGATCTCGCCCTCCATCGCTCACCGTGATACCGAACGGTTCCCGGTTGGCGTAATCTAGACAGCCCAGGATATTAGTGCCATAAAACCTTCTCCACTCGGCCAACTGAGGTTACTTACTGATAAGACATCTCGTGAAGGACTGACTTGCGATTCAGGTGTGGGATCCACAGTCAAAACACCGATATAATTGGCCATCGGACTTTTTCGGACATCCACCCATGACTTGAGGATTGGCTGGGAACCTGATAACGAACCTTATCTCTAATCTCGTGGCTCTTCATTCTACGCGGTGTGCTTTGAAGGGCTTGTGATTTCTTCAAAACGGAAGAGCTCATCCAGCAGAGGGGCGAAACCCTCCTTTTTGAAGGCTTAATTACAGGACAGATATAAGGTCCCTGTTACCCCGGAGTCTTCCTACCTCTTTCTAACAAGTCACAATAAGTCAAGTAGATTCGTCTCAACAATGGCTGAGATAGACAGCAAAGAAATTGCCATGGCGTCTACGGAGCCAAACGACGTCGACATCGGTAAAGTCACCACCACCAACGACATTGTGATTGATGATGGCGTCCGCCGTGCTCTCAAGTCGCGACATCTCCAGATGATTGCCCTCGGTGGTGTCATTGGCCCTGGAACTTTCTATGCCACTGGCTTTGCGCTGCAATACGCTGGTCCAGTTGGCTCATTGATCGGCTACATCATCATCGGTGTTGATGTCTTCTTCGTCACGCAATCCCTAGGCGAGATGGCTACTCTCTTCCCATTGACCGGTGCTTTCAACGAGTTCGCCGGACGATTTGTGGATCCTGCTCTCTCCTTTGCTCTTGGATGGAATTACTGGTACATGTGGGTCAGTAAACCTCATCGGAACCCTTACGAACCGTGGAGATGCCATACTAACATTCGTATACAAGGGAACTATCTTGGCAAATGAATACAACGGCGCTGCATTGATTCTAAGCTTTTGGACGGACAAGATACCCAATTACGGATGGATCTTGATCTGCTGGGTGTTCTTCATGGGGACATCTCTTCTGGGAGTTTTGGTATATGGAGAGATGGAGTTCTGGCTCGCTTCCTTCAAGTTTGCCGTGACTCTCATTTTATATCTTGTTGCAATGTACGTTCAACCCATCCCATTAATGTGCGCATCACTAACCACCCGCAGCCTCATCGATACCGGCGCTATTGGCGGCGACTACATTGGCTTCCGTTACTGGAAAGACCCCGGTCCATTCGCCAACGGCATCAATGGATTCGGCAAGGTCCTGGTATTGGCAGCCGTCATGTACTCAGGCACCGAAGCCGTTGCCATCACTGGCGGAGAATCTCGAAACCCCAAGAAAGATATCCCCAAGGCCCTCAAGCAGACCTTCTGGCGTATTCTCATCGTGTACGTGGGAATGGTCTTTTTCACCGGGTTGATCGTTCCTTGGAACTCAGAGGCCTTGTTGAATGCTGGCTCCAAGTCTGCATCATCTCCCTTCACCGTGGCACTGAACGCGGCAGGATGGTCAGGGGCTGGGCATCTAATCAACGCAATCATCATCGTCACACTTCTTTCATCGATCAATTCGGCAATTTACATCGCCAGCCGTTGCATCTTTGCTCAAGCCAAAGTCGGAAGAGCGCCAGCGTTCCTTGCAAAGACAACATCGAACGGAACCCCCATCAATGCCGTCGTTTTTACTAATTTGTTTGGCTTGATTTCACTACTCAACATCTCCGAGAATGCTGGCAATGTCTTCAACTACTTGCTGTCCATTTCGGGCTCTGCTGCATTCATCGCATGGGCATTTATCGGCTTGACGCACGCCCGTTTCCGTGCCGCGGTGGATGCCCAGAATATGCCTGTTTCATCACTCCCCTTCAAATCGTGGGGGTATCCATATGTGCCTTGGATCATATTTGGCGCCAATATCTTCCTTGTTATTATTTCCGGTTACACGACGCTTTTGACTCCGTTTGACGTCAAGGGCTTTGTGTTCTCCTACCTCGTGATTCCTCTCTTCATTATCTTATATGTTGGATGGAAGGTATACCACAGTAAGTTCTTCCCGTCCAAATCTCCATATAGTTCTTGCTAACTTTGAAACCTTTAGAAACGAAGTGGGTTAATCCTGCTGAAGCAGATATTACTAGTGGACGAAGGGAATGGCTAGGAAGCTCAGATGAAGAAGAGCCACGCCGTGACCTGTTCGCGAGGGTAAAGAATGTTGTTGTCGGTTAAGATGTTTGAGAGAGGTCTTTCTTTCTTACTGCCTCTCATAGGCAATCGTTTCCCCATTTTATCTAGTTAAATGACCGTAGTCGAATAATTCCAGTACGTTCAGTAACAAGTGTGCATAATTACAATTTGTTATTTCTGCCTTGTTTAAAGCTACCTGGCCAAAGTAGAGGGACCTGTATTTGATGAGATTGACGAAATCTGAAACAAACCACCGTAGGAAACATAAAATGATGGATGGCGGATGCGCTGGTAGTGTGGATAGTTACGTAACTTTACTGCATACTGCCTTTTACACGGAAGCAGCCCTTAGCTTAGGTTATTCTAGATAAATCCAATCAGCACTCATGGATTAATACCGCCATTAGAAGTAGCAATCTACGCGGATGTGTCTATTCCCAGCTACTTGCATAATAGTACTAGGATAAAGAGTGATACTGTAGAGAGACGACCGCCCCGTATCCCTGCTCCCTCCAAAATCTCATCGGAATGGAGGCCGAAAGATCCCTGCCCCGCCCCGGCCGATCCCCTTATCGTTGAGAGTATCGGCGCTGGTTTGCGATCGGTTTCTTGAGGCCGATGCACTTTGCTATTGCACTAATTCCTTATCTACTAAGCTGGACAACGGCCTATGCCGACGCTAGGCATGAAAGCTTTAGGAGCATGGGTAGTGTAGGTCAAAAACATTATTACATCGGAGGAGAGTGACGTACTGCCCATTCCTCACTGACCGTCGTATTTGACTGAAATTGGAGGATTCATTGTCTTCCTCTCTTACTTTTCTTTCCCTTTAACATCTTCCATCGCCATTACTTCACCAGGCTTCCATCTTGCTCTGATTGTTTAAGATAACAGTTTTGCTCATCATCACATCTCAATATTTCTAAAGCCCACTTGTTTTATTCCAAGTCTTCGGGTTTGAATAATCTGCAAAATGGCTTCCACTACCAAAACCTTCAAAAGCGATGATAGCGTTCTGGACCCTGCCATCAAATCCCATATTACAACACTCTATGCGGCTGTGGATAACCAGGAACTTGAAATCTGGGGGGCGCATTTCACAGAGGATGCCGTGTTGAAGAAAGGCACTTCGAATGTTAAAGGGAGAGAAAGTATGTTCCTGCCCACCAAACACCAATCCGATTGTCCATGGCTTTCTGACTCTTGCGTTTTCTAGATCTCGTGGAGCTCGTTACGAAATCATGGTCGAATTTCCAGAGCCGCGATCATACGGTGTATTCTGTCTTCCCGTTTGGTCCCAAGGCAGAGGAGGTGATGATGCATGGGAGAAGCAACAATGTGTCTAAAGACGGCCAGGCCAGCACCTTCACGTGGGCGGCGCGGATGCATTTTAGACGGGACGAAGATGGCAAGGTTCTCATTGATCAGTACACGATCATTACGGTAAGTTTATTGGAAAAGGATCGCGGCTGCAGCCATGGTATTGACTGAACGATTACAGGACCCTCACCCATCGACAATATAGTGTCTCTACGTGACGACCAGAGATGACACATCAACATAAGGTACCAAGGTGATTGCTCGGGTTTATATCGCGTCTTTCTAGTCCGGCCTGGAATAAATAACTATAGATTTCTTTGTAACTAGAAGATGAATGAGGATGTGTTTAAAAAGTTCATATCCCTTTTTGAACCGATGGCGGTGGTAATTAGCCACACTCCTTGGCAGACAACTGTGCTGCTGTTGCATAATGTGCCGAATTACGTGAGTATTTCACCAAGCGGCCCTCAGAAATGGAAATGGGGCTTGAGTTTCGTCTCCAAGTAATACCATATTATGAAACGTCAGAGACCTGTCTACAACATGTATTAAAAAGTGACATTATGCCCGCCTTGGACTCTCAGTATCCTCACAAATCTCATGCAACATTCTTAATGTAATGCGATGGATACCACTCTCTTCCAGTTTTCGTACCAGAATTATTAAACCCTCTCTTGCATCCTTTGCCAAGTGCCCCAGAGGTTGACTTCGAGGAATCGATACTGCCAATAGCTCAAAACAGTCACGGTAATGTTCCGCCTTAGGCCACCGATCTGCGAAGATTGCTAGAGCGGCGCTGCAATCGCGAAACGCATCGTTTGCTTCTTTCGGAACAGGAATGGCCCTCGCCCAGACTATGTACCAGAGAGTCACAGCAGCGCGGAATTGTGATATGACCTGGCATCGTCAACATAGGATCCATCGAAGGAAAGACTGGTCAACTTACAACGAGCCATGGCTGGGCAATGTGCTTCTTCTTTTGAAGCGATCTGAAACTCGTACAGACTGCACAGCTTGATTGGAAAGCCTTGTCCGCGATAGAAGAGAATATGTTCGATTTGTTGACGAAGCAAATAGACAGTTGGGTAAGATGGGCGATATGCTGAAGCCAAACTGCACTTCGATAGCCATGGCTATTCCGTACACTGTGACGGCAATGTCAATTCATTGCTGCGATCAAATCCCCCAACACCAATTATACCAAGCAACCACGCAGCTTGTGACTTGTGGAAGATATGGGGCTTACCTGTGTCTTGAAATAGTCTCTGTGTCTTCCCATTCTCTCAAACTTTTGAGCATGTGCATTTCCAATTCCAAGGGCACCATGTCTTCCAGCTCGTCTTTCTCCACTATGTGCATGAAAGAGGACTGAAGGGTTCTAATTTTGCACACGTGCGCAAAAGTCCTTAGATCAAAATATGTTGCGTCTTGGGCTGTAGCACAGTCCGAGAGCCAGGGCAGACAACATTGGGCTTCCGGAGCAGCCTCATATAATGGAGTTGATATGTACATATCAGGTAGGCTGACGGGGGTACCGAGGGCCGAACTGACAGCTCTGTCAAGGCTGAAAGGCCATTTTAGCTTGAGGTCGTCTTGAAAGGATTCCACACTTACACATAGGCGCACGACCACACCCGAATCGACATTAAGTTCGTAGGACAGCTAGGATCTCTCTTTAATCGATGGAATCGATGCAACGTGGCGAATTTCATAATAGCACCACTAATATGCGCGATTCGCCAGGTACTTTCGGCATGTAGGGCAAACATTGCAGACAACAGCATGGCTTGTAAGCGAATAAGCGGCGTCGAGGTAGAATCTGTCATGATTGATTGCTCCGCTTGCGCTCTCGACTTGAGGTTTTGGTATTTTGCGTCAGGGGAGTTGTCGGATTTGGATTCAATGAGTGAACCAATGGCAAATATCTGGCACCATGTTAGGCCCGAGCCGGCTCTGATATTCGGGGACGTACCATGTTGACGAAGAAGGCTGGCCATCCAATAGGTACGGCATTTGGCAGAGATCCTTTCCAAGCGGTATAGTACTCTGCGCATAGTTTGATATCCAGAAATGGGTACTGAGGATGGATGACAGTGAAATATGAACGAAAAAAAGACGCAGCTACCGGGAGTAAGATGTCATTTGGCGAAACTCCCGGATTGTTTTGTATCTCAAGACCTCCGTTGATAAAGCGTGACAAAATTGTTGATATGGTTCCAGCTTCACCATTCACTCTATCGGGACCATTCTGCTGGCTGAGTGAGGGTATGCTGCGATTACTATCAGGGGAATCATGTTGAGGTGATGGGCCAAGGTTTTGTGATGCTGGTGAACGCTGCCATTGGGTTCGGTGCTCGAGGCCGATGCTCAGTGAACCATGGGATACCGATGCAGATCGTGGCGTCTCAGCTTGGCCAAGATGGAGTGCTGGGTCCAGTAAGTCGTCACGATAATGCTGCTGCCAGCTTGCGGGAGAGTGGCAATTCGGACAAGGCGATGCTTCGTCAAAGTCGTTCTGGCGGCCGCTCCGTGAACACCTCTCACATGTGCGTTTCCTCTTTCTGAAAATAGTTGGCCCATCGGTAGAGTGAGACATGGTGGCGAATCTTCACTGGTCAAAAGTGAAGGTATTTAGATAAGGGAGAGGTCCCATTCTCAGGACTGCTCGTCATCAGCCCCACCGGGGTATGAGATCGAGCCACAAGGGTCTCCTCAAGGATAGACAGCCTGCAACGCAGTTCAGGCACCTATTGCTTGGTGGAGGAGACGGTGACCTAAGAGGCTTGGCATTAGTTCTTCGCAACAGTGCCACTTTACGGTATTAGAATCAGGGCCAACCAACCAGGTCTATTCTTTCGAATCCGCAGAATCCTTGATTCTGCGTTATTTAGCAGACAGGCGGACGATAAGAAAAGGGTTTTTGCTGACTAATATAAGACTAGAGAAAAACATCGCTACCCAGTGGTGGCGATAAGGCTAGCCCCAGTGTTTGGCCTTGATCTACGCCGGCTATCGACTACAAACCAGCTTAATGATATACAGTAGGTCAACCTCATGAAATTCGATATGTAGAATTGACACCAAGCAGTTATTGAGAAGTAACTGAAAATTGATCGTTCTCCCTTATCTATGGCGTTATCTCTTGACCAGCGGCAGCAGCGAAGAATGCATCAGCGAGATATGAGCCGGCATAGCTGGGCTTGTGAAACCCATCAACAATGGGCGGCATCCTAGAAGGCTTAGAAATCGTCTCAATGTATCCAGCAATGCCATCCTTCTGCCACTCCTTTGCAAACTTGTCCGCCGTCATGTTCAATCCCCCCACAGCCCAGATTGGTTGAACTTGCCAGACTATACCCAACTTGGCCATATCATCGCTGAATGAGCGGACCTGCTCTGGACTGAATCCGGCTTTTTCGTAATCGTACATTCCAGTGAAGCCGAATGCAAACAGCCGGTTTGGGTGCACCTTGCGGACCTCGGTGTGAAACTCGACAATGTCCTTCCACACTATTCCGAGTCAGTCTTTCGTCGTGCATCATTTCATATTGTGTCTCACCTGGTGCGTCCATTCTTGCCCAAGTCATATCGCCAAATGGTGCAGCCAAAATCGCTCGCTCGACGATTGTTTTGACACTTGGCCGCCACATGTATTGTCCCTCCTTGGACCTTGGCAAATCCCAATCGAAAAAGATGTCTTCTCCCAGGATAGCTTTTGCGATTCGACGTCTTTCATTGAGCGAAGTTCCGAATGCTGTTGCCTTTGATGAGTAGTCCTGGTACTGCTGGTCAGTTGCCTTTTCTTTGACAGCCTCATCATAGGTCATCAAGCCACTCCTGGTCTTCCACTCATCCCTCGCTTGCATATAGCTGCTGCCTTCAGCCATGGCCTTGGCGACCGCTACAACCAACGGCTCGATATCCTTCGTGGCTCCGATAATGTACTCGTGATCTCGAGGGTCGATGGTATTAGTGATGAATTGGGACCGGTCAGTGTCACACCGACACATGAGCAGCGTGTTTGTCCTGAGATATAGTCAGTTACGGGACAACAGCAGCAGAGAAGCTTGTATCTCTACCCCATAACATCAAATTGCATCCGAACAGCACTCAGTCGTGACAAATACTCGCTTGTAGGAACCACGGTCCGCCCCTCTCCAACCGTAAACTTTTTCAACCCGATGGCCAAGTCATCCAGATGAATCATAGCAACACCAGCTTCAACAAAGGACTTGGCGAGTTTTACAGTCGTGGTGAGGCCACCAAACCCCATATCGCCGTCTGCAATGATGGGTGCCATAAAATCGTAAACCTCGAGGTTCTCCCGATCAGATCTGGTGTGTTGCATTCTGAATTGCTTCTGGCGCTGGTCATGCCATAGCTGGGCCTTGAAGATCTTGTCAACCACCTTGGGAACTGTGTCCCACGGGTAATCGGCATGGTCACACCCCGGATGCTGCACTTCAGATAAGCCGCATAATGCTCCTGAGACATATACTGTCTATAAATGGCCCATTAGTCGATGCTTAATCGCAGGTGGTCCCAGGCGAGTTTGTTATACCTGTTGATGCTTGACCATCTGAGATACGACTGTCGGCTCTGTCGTACCGAATGTCTTTTCACAAGTCCCGTTTTTGGCGTGAGTATTCAAGATCTCCCAGAGTTTGTCTCCTTGAAGACTGGATGGATAGGTGATCGGGATTGTGTTCCGAAGCGCTGCAATCGCCTTTGCTGAGTAGGGCCTAAAACATGTGAACTTGTGGAAATATAATTCCGAGAACACCAGCTGACCTTTTTAAATGAGCCTGTCGGGGTTCCTGCCATTCCTTTTCGATGGTAGCAACCTGGCCTTGGAAGGCTGCTTCTTCAGCATCCAGATCCAATTTTACGTTCGGCATTGTGACGTTATTTCTCAGAGATTACTTCTAGATCAAAAGTCTGACCACAAGCTTATTTGGTAATTGATGAGAATAGACGCAAAATGCAGTGTTTAGTTGGAATAATGTACAATTTCACATCTAATGGTTCTACTTATCTACGTTGCTATGCTTCTTGTCATAGGCGTAATGAGCCTCGCCCTTCCGCATCTTGGCCAATTGAGTGGGGGCGGACTTGAACTCCGAAATATCGCTGAATGATGGCCGTATCTATGAACGTCGGATTCTCTCATTGTCACCCTCCAGGCTCCGACTGTTCCGATCGCTGACCCACTCCCCATAAATGGTGATAGCTCAAGCGCTAACTGAAACAGACTACACCCATTGCGATCAAAAGAGGGTTGCCTTGAGGTATGCATACTACGTAGTATGTTGATAGGGATCGTCGTCCGAACGGCTTCATCGGACATCTCACTGCGCGCCTTACATATCAGGTAATGTTAAGCCTCCTCGATCCGGGTAGCAGTATTAGCATGCTGGGCGACGAGTTAGAGTAGTAGCGTTAGAGCGCAACCTTGCAGAGAGTGATGATGTTATGTTAGTCAGGTACAGCCTAAATATGAACCTCTAAATCACTGGAAGTTCCTGCGACTCCCTCATAAGCGTAAACATGATCTTGAAGTATGTATTGAGTAGATAGCCAAGAACGCTAGCTATCTAACCGAACCATCTGACTGATTGACTGAATAAATGACAGGGCTAATTGAGTGACAGAGAAGAGAAGATAGAAAGTAAGAACTAATCTAAGGCAAGGCGCCAAAGATCAATTAGGCCTACAATCTAGTACAAGTGTCTCCGTCGGTAGCTCTTGGGAACTCTAGCTGCGCGTCTCGTAAGCTCGGTACCGCACCGAGAAGTGAGGGGCGCAGTTGAGTTGCTAGAGCCGCCGACCTTGAAAGCAGCAATCTTCTCGGCGGCGTGCTCGGCAGTAATCATGATGATGGACTGGGTGTTGCCGGTGGGCAGGTCAGGGTGGATAGAGGCATCGACAACAAACAAGTTGTCGGTGCCGTACACCTTAGTGTTCAGATCAACAACGCTGGAGCCGTTGGCATTTCGGCCATCGTCGACACCCATTCTGGCGCTTCCGACCCAGTGGTCTCCGCTAATCATGTTGGCCGAGATGATTTCCGCAGGCGTAGCACCGGGGGTGACATATGACAGGGTAGAGTTGCTACCGCTGGTGAGGTCGACCCACCACTGGACAAAGTCAGACATGGCCTTGCGGTCGTCCTCGTCAATCAACCACGGCTTGGTGTTGAGGACGGTGTTTCCGGAAGCGGTGATACCCAGCTCGCCGACCGTCTTGGTGCCGTGAGTCAAGAAAGTGCGCACAGTGATGACACCGGATGCCATGGCGCTGGCGGTGCCCTGGAGGTAACGTGTGCGGCCGTCGGCGCCCTCAGCTGAGGTCCACAGGTGCATACGCTGCGCAGCCTGAGTGATGGGACCGGAGCCCTGGTAGTAGAGGTCGAGATCAGACTCAACGGGCTCAGTGGCGATGTCTGTGAAGTCGTACGCGCTGAAGTTGGACTTGGCGTTGAACTGCAGCTTGACCTGGACGTGATCCTGCAGGTGGTGGCCGACGGGGAGGTCGATCCAGCTGGACTCGGCGGGAAGAGTCACGCCGGTCAGGGATGCTCCGCTCTTGACAATGGCGAGGGCATCGGATCGGCCGATTCCAGAGTTCCAGAGAAGGCGGGGCGACGACATGGCGCCAGCGGCGATGACAACTTTGCCGCCGGCCTTGACGTTGATGATCTGTCGGCTGCCATCATCGGCGACGGTGAGGACACCGGTGATGGTGCTGCCAGTGCGGACGGCTTGGAGGACCTTGGTGTTGAGCTTCAGGGTGAAGTTGGGCAGCTGCTTGGCGAACGGCATGTAGGTGCGAGCAGGTCCAGCACGCAGGTTGTCCTTGATTGACCACGAGGGACGCGAGTAGACCATGTGCTTCTCGTTGGGAGTCTCGATAGAGTCAACCTCGGCCCATCCCTCGGTGTTGAGGTATTTGGACAGGACCTTGTAGGTGTGGTCGTCGTAGTACTTGCCATCGTCAGAAGGTGCCGTGGTGCCGCGGTTGCGCTCGTACAGACGGGCAGTGGCATCGGCAACATCAGCAGCGTTCCAGCCCTTGGGCCACCGCTGCCAGTCGTGCTCCGGAGGGTGGATGAAGTTGAGGCCGTTGATGGAGCTGGATCCTCCCAGGAGACAGCCGGCGGTGGACGCAGTGTCGCTGCAGAACTTGGTGCCGGAGAGACTGGTCATGCTGCTACCGAGGGCAGGGATATCATAGGGTGTCAGGGTGTCGTTCCAGGGAAGAGCTTGGGATGAGCTCAGAGCAACAGTGTTGGCGGGGCCTCGCTCGATCAGGAGAACGCTGGCGCCCTTCTCGGCAATCCGCTCGGCGGCGATGATGCCAGCAGGGCCACCGCCGACGACGATGACATCGTAGGTGACGTTGTATGTAGTCGGCGCCGGGAACGTGCTGTTTCCAGGGACGGTAGTGTCGGATCCATCGCCAGTTCCAGGAGTCGTAGCAGAAGCCCACGCAGCCCACTCCTCGTACTTGGCAGACTTGGCCGCAGCGGCATCAACACCGAACTGGCCGAAGCCCGCAGCGTGGTAACTCAAAGCGCTGGCAGAGTCCGAGGCGGTCGTGGGGTTGGTATCGGAGATGGCCCATCCGAGAATGGGAGAGTCGTTGGCGACGGTGGTCTTGTTGGCAATAACGCAGCCCTCGCAAAGGAAGGTGTACGAGATGTGCGTGCTGTTGATGAAGGTGCCGTTGGCGATGGGCACGGCGCTGACTTCAGTGTCTGTGTAGACGTCGGGGTTGGCATACGATCCTGCAAGTCGGAACGTGGTCTGGATATCCTCGCCGTCGGCCCAGGCAATGAAGAGGAGGCTGTTCAACATGCCTCCCTTGAGTGAGACAGCACCCCATCCCTCTCCATCCGTGACTGGAACAACCATCTGACCAATAAAGTCCGAACCGACAGTCTCCGGGAGAGCAATACCGAAACTGTAGCCGTAGCTGGCAGCCAAGTATCGCTGAAAGTCAATACCCGTGTTGGGATCGCTGTAAGTCGAGGCCCTCTGAGCCACCGCAGTGGCAGCGAACCCAAGGAGGGCCGCTAGCCCCGTCATAGTGCAGTGCATGATGGTTAGAACTTGTCGATGTTTCTGTTTTAAGTCTCGTTTCGGCGATCAGCAAGCAAAGGAATGGCTGAGAAGATCTCAAAAAAGAATGGAATGATAATGAATGAACGCTGACCACCAGGGTCGAAGGAAAGAACGAGAAACACCGAACTAGCGGTGGAAAAGAAAGGAAGGCAGCGAAGATGCAGCTGAAAGTTCAGATGAAGAATTAAGCAACATAGTCCCGAGTCCAGCGCCGATGTTATATATATGTCCTCTTTCAGTCCCAAGGATAGACAATGGGAAGCATCCGCGTATCCCGACTGATCGGGATCCACAAACGCAAAGTTCCTTAATGAAAAGGAGTGCATCCGGCATCAGGGAAGATAAACTAGGGACCGTGGCGAGAGACCAGGGTCAACAGATTCTCCGTGTCGGTTTCAATCTTCCGCGGATCCGCTCTCAAGGATCTCAATGCAACTTTATTTATCGGTCCACTAGGTTGTTTTAAACATCCATGCCAACCGTCTCGAGCGAGCCGCTAACAGTACGTGCCGCCGTGATGTTTCAAATACCGCCGCGCTGATTGGCACGGCTCCCGAATTGAGCAAACCGCCGCCATGGCATGACTGCTCCCTATGACGTGCGGAGGATTTACATTGGTGTCGTTTGTTTTACTTACAGGCGAGGCCGGGCTGTGTGGCCAAGGGGGATCACCAACACCCGCATGTTGATGACACTTGAGACGGGGGTATTGCCGCGTTGACCAGTTTGCCCGAGGCATGTTGGGCCATAAACATGAACATGTGTTTGTTTGAAGCCGTGTATCAGGATTTCAAAATGTCCTACTGGTGGAAGCTCAGGATGCGATTCCTGGCGGCTAAGGGGCGAGAAGGCTAACGAGGATACTATCACTCCGAGGGGACAGATTGTTCCAGGTCCACTCGTGACAATTGCACCGCAATGAGTGGATAGAAATCGTACCAAGGCCAATAAATTCCAATAAATGTACTTTAGAAATTAACCGAGCGAGGGGGCAAACCTTCATTCTTCAAGGGTAACATAGGTGGGGTTTTCTCGTCCATTATTCGACTCTTACATACTTGCTATACAGATATTTTCCACTTACATCCATCCTCGCACTACCATCCATGATCGTTGGGAGCCCATTCTCTAGGCCCGAATCTTCTCCCACATGGCGGAAGCCGCAAGATCCGCAAACGTGTCGTTGACAACCCTCTCAATCCTGCTGACAATCTCATCAATGTCCGCCTCGGAGACAATGTACGGCGGGCAGACCAAAAAGTGATCTCCGGCGTACCCATCGTACGTGCCGCTGGCGTTGAACAAGGCAACCTCATACCCCTCGCTCATACCTCGTGCGTGCAACAGGCCGTTCAACCCGAGGCTAATCGGGAAAGGCACCTTGGTCTTCTTGTCGGCCACGAACTCGACGGTCCAGAACAAGCCCCTGCCACGGATGTCGCCGACGTACGGGTGCTGCGACAGGGTCTCGGTGAGCCTCTTTCCGAGATAGTTGCCCATCTCGCGGACTCGATCGACCAGGCCGTCCCTCTGGATAATGGTCTGCACCTTGAGTCCCGCGGCGGCCGCCAGGGGATGAGACATGTATGTCTGGCCGTGAGCGAAGCCCTTGCCCGACCTTTGGAACGAATCGACGAGCCACGAGTTTACAAGCACAGAAGAGATGGTACCATATCCGGCACCAAGACCCTTTCCGACCACTTGGATATCGGGGACAACATCTTCCTGCTCCCAGGCGTGGAGAGTGCCGGTGCGACCCATGCCGCACATGACTTCGTCGAGGATCAAGAGAGCCCCGTACTTCTCGCACACGGCCTTCATGGCTGGGAAGTATCCACGAACGGGCAGCGCGCAGCCACTTGCCTAGATCACTGTCAACTTGTGCTCACCATAGATCACGGACGATACGTACACTCCCACCAACAGTCTCGGCCACGAACGCGCAGACCTTGTTGGGGCCAACTCTCTGGAACTCATCGTCCAGCTCCTGCGCCAAGCGGCGGACGAAATCCTCCTCTGTCTCACCCTCGCGCAAGCCACGATACGTGCTGCAGGCGGAGACACGAGTGGCGGTCTGGGGGATCAGTGACACAAAGGGATCCTTGCGGCCCTTGAAGTCGCCGAGAGTCAGAGCACCAAGGGTAGCTCCATGCCAGGCGCCAGTTCGGGAAATGAAGCACGTGCGGTCAGGCTCGGGGATGGCGAGACTGCTGAAATGTGTCTTGGCCAACTTCAGCGCCACTTCTACGGCTTCGGATCCTGGAGTCTAGAGTCAGCAACTGTTGAGGATGAGCTTCGTTGAGAGGATCGTACCCGACCCGCACAGAACAGCCTTTGACATGTGGCCGTACGTCGACTCAACAAGAAAATCGGCAAGATCCTCAGCAGACTTGGTCTTGTAGAAGCCCGGGTGGCAATACGAGATGTTGGACATCTGGCTGATCATGGCCTTTTGGACTTCTTGGTTGTCATAGCCCAAGCAGGCAACGGCAGCACCGCTGGTGGCGTCCAGAATTTGCCGGCCATCGTTGGTGTTGAGATAGATGCCTGTGCCGGACTCGATGAGAGCAGCTGGGTGCTTCTCGAAGTTCTTGTATAGGAGGCTGTTGCTAGGACCTTTGGAACCCATTGTGAAGTAGTCGGTGAGTTGTAAAAGAGGAGAATGTGTTTGTGTTTGTGTGTGTGTGTGTGTTTGTGTGTTTGTGTGTGATGTTCGAATAGGTACGAAGGAGATACGGCGTCAAGGTCCCTTTAAGTAGTCTCTTGAGTTGATTGTGGTTCTATCCCAACCCCTAGATCCTCGAGGACTAATTGAGAGGCGGTTCGGGGTCGTCTGGCTGCAGACGCCTCACTCAGCATCTCGGACCTGCTCTAGATTGTTTTGACACTGTTCAGCTGCGATGATGCCGCCTCGCAGGGATGTCGACGCCCAGCCTTCCAATCACGTCACCAAAGCGGTCTCTCCAAGTGGAACATTTCCTAGTTTTCCTTCTCCTTCCCCTTCTCCCTCTGTGGATCGTACAAAAAGTCAGACAACCGAGCTCATCATTTGTCTAATCAAGCATACATCTCAAGACAGCAGCACCCGTCTTAGCGGGAGCCTCACCGGACGCAGGGCGAAGATCAATTCCTCTTCCCGCTGTCTCCGCTCCGGTGCCGCGCCGTGCCGCCCCCTGTATGTGGCGGCACGGGAGAGTGCGCTACAGCTGTGGAGTTGTGGATACTGCATCATTCCGACCTGCGGTCACACAGAGAGTGGCTGGCTGTGCTTTGCGGCCAATTAGCGGACTCTCAAGGGATGGGCATCCAGAGGAGGGGTCTCAGTGATGATGCGGACAAAGGAGTGCCTAGAATAGCTTAGTTGAAAAAGGGAGGTGATAGGTGCCCAAAGCAAGCTCACAACTCGATGCATCTCTCCTACACTGATCCCTTCTCCCAACCTCGCCAGCCAAGATGACCGTGGAAATTCCCTTTGTGCGACACGCCTTTGACGGGTCTGAGGCCACCGACTCGATACGACGTCTCGCCTCGTTTCTTTTCCAGGACGCCGGGTCAAGCGAGGGGGAGATTCGCGTTACGAGGTTGACCGAAGGCACCACCAATGCGGTGAGATTCACACGTAGAGCCGCTCCTTGCTACCAATCACTTACTTGCGGTGATCTGTAGTTGTTCAAAGCTAGTCGCCAAAGCACTGGCCAGGCCTCAGAGACGGTGCTGGTCAAGGTCTACGGTGAAGGCACCGAGATCACGATCGACCGAAATAGTACGTTTTCCCTGCAGAGACTCGCATTCAACCCGACTGCCACACAAGCTGACACGCCGAAGAGGAGATCAAGCTACACAAGATTCTCTCTGACAACAAGCTTGCCCCCTCCCTCTTGGTCCGCTTCTCCAATGGCCACGGATACCAGTATCTCGACGGCACGCCATGTTCGGTCGACGCGATTGCGGACGCCAAGATCTGGCGCGGTGTCGCTCGAGAACTCGCGCGGTGGCACGCTGTCCTCCCAGCTGCGCCGGTGAACAGTGCCGAGGCCGCTCTGAAATTCGAGCCCAGTGTTTGGTCGACTGCGACTAAATGGCTTGACGCGCTCCCTAGCGAGACGGCACAGCAACGGGCCCAGAAGGGTCTATTGGACGCCGAGTTTCAGTACTTGGTGGAGAAGCTGTTGAGAGACCGCCCGCAGGATTCCCTGGTACGTCCTCTACCCTACAAACGTTGCTTATTGCAAGCTGAGAGTCTCTGGCGCCTAGGTATTTGGACATGGCGACTTACTATGCGGCAATATCATCATCCAAGACCAGGACGCCGAGGGAATGCAGAATGACGTTGCATCGGTCAAATTCATCGACTACGAGTGGGTCTTCCTGCTGTCATGCTGCTGAGCCCTTTTGACAGACCGGTCTAATGCGGTGGAACTGTCTAGACACTCGACCTACTGCCCGCGGGCGTTTGAGCTGGCGAATCACTTTGCCGAATGGACCGGGTTCGAGTGCGACTACGCCCGGCTGCCGACGACGTCGACGCGGCGCGCCTTCATCCACGAATATCTCCAGACGCATCACGACATGGCGACGGAGCGGCACGGCGCGGCCGGGTTGGCCACGTCTCGGGCGAGCGAGGCCGAGGTGGACCAGGCCATGGCCGACGTGGACACGTTCCGGGGCTTCCCTGGCTTCTACTGGTGAGTCTCGAATGCACGGCGTGAATGCCGCCGGCTAATGCGTATGCGGCAGGGGGCTCTGCGCGTTGATCCAGGCCCAAGCATCCACCGGGTCGATCGAGTTCGATTATGCGGGCTACGCGGAGAAGCGCTTCTCCGAGTATTGGGCATGGCGGCAGCAGGACGGGCCAGGCTCTGGCAAGGCCGAGACCAATCAGGCCATGGAACAGAGGGAGACGAGATGGGCCGCCTCTTAGTCCGTAGCTTAGACAGGCTCGTGTTGTGAGGCTTGTGACAAGCTGAGCGCTAGCGGACGCTCGCTGCATCCATGTGCCGATCACACTGCCCCCCTCCCTGTGGAACCAATATTGTGCTTTTCTCCGCAGGGCCCGTAGCCGCAGAGTAGGACAGCCAATTGAGTGCATTAACCAGCGAGGCCGTGGCAGTTGTGGATGGGATGAGTCCGGTCGTGGGCTGGTCTGGACGCTGCCGCCGTCTCTACGAGCGGTGAGCATGCCATCTGCCGAGACAAGAAAAAGGGAGTTTACGGGAGACTGAGACGCCGCACTTTGCTTTTGCATCCTCGTCTTTGCCACTAGTCTGGCCGCTGGCGCCTCTCGTCAAGACATGCCGCGCATCCTTGTTCGTTGCAAGTGCGTCGAGTGTCTTGGGACCATTGTGCCGTGTCTTAACTAACTGTCGTCTCTCGCAGTCGAGGCAGACGCTTCTAGTTAAAATGGTTTCCGTTCCGCCACTGCTGGTTATACACACCGCCGCCAACTATTAGCAGTCCTACCCTTGATCCCGCCATCACCGATCCTGCCCAGCCCATCGCGTCATTCCCTGTCATGATGCCCCTGCCAAAGCCTCTCTCTCGATGTCTCTCCTTTATCGGCGCCGATGTCATCTGGCAGTCCAGCCGCAACGTGAAGCTGCTCATCCTGCTGCGCATGGTCAGGCTGCTCGGCTATGGAGGCACCACGTTTGTCCTGGCGCTGTATCTCAACGCGCTGGGCTTCGGGGATCCTGACGTCGGCGCCTTCATGACCATGACGCTGGTGGGTGACCTGGCCATCAGCTTTGCCCTCACCTATGTGGGCGACCGCATGGGTGTCCGGTTTACTGCCATCATCAGTGCTCTCTTGATGTGTGTCAGTGGTGTTGCGTTTGCGGCCCTGGACAACTTTTGGCTTCTGCTCCTTGCCAGTATAGCCGGTGTCATCAACCCTAGGTAAGTTCAGGTTGTCTTTCAATCGACCTTGCGACAGTAGACTAACATATCAACACGCAGTGCCAACGAAATCGACCCTTTCAAGGCCATCGAAGAGGCCGCCGTCGCCCGCCTAAGCACCCCCGAAACCCGTAACGAGGTCTTCGCTTGGTGGTCGATGCTAGGCATGCTGGGCACCGCGGTAAGCAATCTGCTTACCGGCTGGGTGCTTGATGTCCTTCAAAACTCGGGGTTCAAGAAAGTGGACTCTTACCGCTTCATCTTTCTCGGATATGCAGCCACAGGCCTCCTTAAGCTCTTCTGCAGCCTGCTCTTCAGCTCAGACGTCGAGCTGAAGGTCTCCACCAAGGAGACACCCCAAGAGGACGATGGCAACAATGAAGAACAGGCCGAACACGAACCACTCCTTCGGGACAGTTCGTCGGTGTCATCATACGGAGCTGTGAAACCCGATGCACAAGACGAGGCCGCGGCTGCATCGCAACGGAAGCGCTTGTTCTCGCCCGCTTCCTTTACCTTCATGTGGCAGCTGTCGCTCGCCATGGTGTTTGACTTTGTCGGTTCCGGCCTGGCACAAATATCGTGGATGACCTACTTCTTCAAGAGGGAGTACGACATTCCCGAGGGAGCCTTGGGATCTGCCACCTTTACTGCGGGAATTATCTCGTCGGTTCTGAACCTCGCCTCGTCGCCACTGTCGCACGCCATCGGCCAAGTCCAGACAATGGTCCTCTGCCACACCATCAACTCCATCTCTCTTCTGATGGTCTCGGTTCCGGCGAACAAGTTCGTCGCCCTCTCCATTTTTATTTTCCGCATCGTCACCAGGGAGATCGACAATGCGCCCCGGCAGGCGTTTATCTCTGCTGGTGTCCTGGATGAGGAGCGCACGTCGGCCATGGGCGTCATTAATATTGTCAAGACAGTAGGTAGTTGCATTGGTCTGTACTCTACTGGCTTGTTCGCGGGCATGGACAAATTCTGGCTTGCGTTTATAGTCGCTGGTGGCTTGAAGCTGATGTACAATGCCTTAATCCTGGGTTTCTTTTGGAGGAGGAACTGAGACCATGTTGGTCCTCGAGAACGGGCAACAGGAAGTTGGACTTGTACGAAGGTTTGGGCAGCACAAAGGGTAGCTGCATTTAATGTTATGGGTTGGTTGTTTGCTTAAAAGCATTGTTCAAATGCCGAGCAATATTAGTTGAATCTCAAAAGTGCTTCAACTGGCCTACTGGCCGGTAGTAATATCACAAACTTTCTCACAGACATAGTCCCTCCACCTAAAACATAGGCCTATTTAATCAAGAGGTTAGGGCACCCTAGTACACACATACCCAGAGGGGGGACTAGAAGCTCAACAGTAAAAAAAAACACCAACAATAGTATCAACAATAATAGGCCTATTTAATATCCAATTTATCCCAGTGGTCTCTGCTGCACACGTAGTACAGCCCTTGGTGTTTATTTGTTTTTATTGTATGTCAACTTCTTTGACGTTAACTCTAACTTAGTATTCCAATCGAGGAAACGCAACCCCAGATCACGGGAAGCCCCCGGTAGCCGAATGAAACCTTGACCCTCGACTCCTAGTTCCTTCAACTAGCACGGTTCTATGCCGATACGTCGCCCCACCATGTTGGGGTAGGGTTGCGATATAGGATCTCCTGCTAGTTAGTAGTTTGCGTCATTGGCCCGTCTGACGTCACGGCATCCAGCCGAGTGCATTCCTTGTGGTAAAATACGAAGGTGTAATTGATTCAGACCCGAAAAAATATGATGAACGATGGATCAGGTGTCAAATATACATAGGCCTCGCTTACATATCTACAGTGAGCAAAGACTTCGAGACGAGTTTGCAAAATATTTAGATAGATTCGGCGCTTGGGATTTTTACGCCCCTCAGTTGTTCACAAGCAGTTCGAGCTCGCAGAGAAGGTCAGGGTGTGAAGGTGTTTGCAAGTCGGTGGATGATGTGGTAATCGTTATCTCACATGCGCAGTCCTATTACACAAACATGGACATTTTAGTCAAGGTTTAGTGGACTCTTAGACTCGAATGGTACAAAACCATGGGGTTCGCGTATTCTCTGCTTGATACCTATATCGCCATAGTGCTAAACCACTTCTTGTCTATTAGCTAGCTCTCTCTCCAAGCCATGATTTCCACTTCTCTCCCCTTGGCTTATTTGGGTCAAGGTCATCTTGGATCTCGAAAAATAGGACCTCGAGGCTATTAAAAGGAAAAAGAATGTAGTGGAAATCCAAAACAGTACATACATTAAGAAGAATGCGTTTGTCAAAATCCTGAACCAATAATCCGTTCGTCCGAGATTAGTAGTTATTCCTAGAAAGATAGCCATACCAAGGCCAACAAGAAAGCACGCAAATCCAAAACGAGGTTTCATCCTAGTTTCAACATTCTTCAGGGCAACATATTTCATTTCTAACTCCTCTTTTCGTTGCCGTAGATTGGATTCTGAATCATGGTGTTGTATGATGGCTCGTACCTCTTGTGGAAAGAACCTAGTAATGTCGATGATATCTATACTTGGGGAGGAAATTCCGCTCCTATCTTCGTACCAACTGATAGCTGCTTGTTGATATAAGCTGTATGGCTGGTCAGGTAGACACCGACAGCTATTATTGGTCTTATCTGGAAGGCATTAGGGTCTGTATACAGACAGGCAGTGGAAGAGGGAGTACCATAATAGGGTTCCGCCGCTGCAATGAATGGCAGCACAAGTAAAAAAACAGCCATTATCTGACCGAATCCCATATATTCCGTTTCCGATGCCAATGGTGGGGCATTATTCCAACGGTATAGGGAAACCTGTGAAATTCCGTAGGCGAAGCTAAACGTAATACCAGTGAGTGAAGAAAGGAAGGATCCACGGTATAAATGAAATCCCGCCAGGAACCGAAAGTATACATCTTGCCGTGTCTCAAGTAGTATCTTAAGGTTGCCAAGGTTCTTGACTTGAGATTCCGCGCTGGCTTCCATAAGGATTTGACTCAATCCTACGCCAGGGCTCAGTGAAGAATCATATTCCACGTACAGATCCGCAATTAGAACAATATACTCCCCGAATATCACAGCCAACGCCAAGATTTTGCCGGTCACATCAATTGGCGACAGTTCATAGACACCCGAAGAATGGAACAGACACTCTACTGTCACAGTATTGTCTTCTTCCTGCCATGATCGAATAGTGACGGCCTGCGAGAATGCTAGGAGAACCAATACACACAGCATACCAGCAACTCGTATATGGCGGACGATGCCATGTGTCTTGAGGTGGGATTTGAAAACGCCTAGTGTTGCCAAGTGTGTAGTGGATGAAAACCAGGCGAGGCTCGACATAACAGAAAACTCGTAAGTGGACAAGCTCTTGTAGTTTGCGACGCCAGAGACGAGAATAGCCAGCCCAGTTACAAGTTGTTGGTCACTCATAGCGAGTATAAACTGCAATACGGCATGTTTCTACGCTTGAGACGACGCTGGCAGTGCAGGCGAAGTACTCGCATTTGGCATGGTCGGAGTCTCGCCATTGATACGTCTGGGGATCCAAGCTGCTCCTTTCCGTTTCACCCAATCAATAACTGCTCGGTCAAGACTGCCAAGCAAATCATCGTCGAGCGAGCCGGTCAGATAAGCAAGTATCACAGCAATGATGGTGATTATTGTTGTTGTCAAGAAAGCGGATAGCACCTAAAAGAATATCAGTCCTAGCTTAGTGGATGTGAAGTGGTACACAGCTTACCCCTCGGCCAACAATATCGGAATCAGCATCTAGCTCTCCTACCGCAGGAACACAGTAAGATGAATCTCCCATGATGGGTATTCTGTGGTTGAATAAAGAAAAGTTATTGAGGAAGACACCAGGCTTGGAATGAACGGGGAGAAGTAAGCTGGCAGAGTACGCGATTATCCACGACAGATGGTAATTCCCTCAAGCGGGGTTAATGTTTGGGATGCTGACCACCATTTACTCCTAGGGCCTTGCCCTAAAAAGTGCAAATAGCCAAGTTTGTTTTGCAGGGTGCGTTGGTGGCGGACAATTCGTGTCAGGCTGCGGCTGGCTGGTTGGCGAGGAGGCTTATTAGCTAAGCAGGGTACATCTGCAGCTTAAATTAAATGACCAAGGTACTACGAGTAGGAAATGAGAGAAATTGTTGGTGTTAAAGTGATCTGATAGTTTACGACATTACACGAATTGAGGCGCTGACAGAGAAGCAAACTTGATCACTTTGACTAGAGAAACCCCTAGACGAAGAAATAAGGTTCAAGTGTCAACATGGACTAGCGTAACGTGTATTTATTATTCTGATCGGCCTTCTGACAACTGATAACACGAATCGATGTTTAGATAATCTGTAATTTTGCATTAGTCAAGTGTGGACAGGCTAGTTATAAATACCAAAACGGCATTAAGAACTTACTAGCTGCACTAGGAAATTATGCGATTTTACCACTTCAAAGATCACGGCCGTGTTGGACGAAGAGAGAGTTCTCACCAAAGTATATCGACAAAGAGAAGATGTCCTGAGTTAAGCCCCAATTATTTATACCTACCTAGGTAAATGTAGCTAAGTACTTTAGTCGAAGTAATCATTCGCTCTGATACTTAGTACCAAACTTGAATCAGGAGTATTCAAGCTTCAACTAAAGATTTCAAGTATCGGAGGTTTCTTCCAGGCGCCAACGCCCAACACCAGCGCCATTCTCGTGAGGATAAAGTCGAGGACCGCAACAACCTCAGCAACAGTTCAGCCCTGGACGTAGCTCACGAAGATGGCGATGATAAGCTTGTCCTAGACTCGTTACCAGCAGAAGTGACTGTCAACTTGATGAAGATACCCAGTCTTCACTAATGGTCCAAACGCAATCATCCGGTAGGTAATACCTAGGGGCACCTTTACTAACAGAACAGCTAATAACGCCGCAATTGCTCAACCATCTCTCGGCACTCCTTCCACACAGAGTCCTCGCAAGAAAAGCCACCTGTCGACGTGGAGGATTCTTCCTCCTCCACCTGTATCAACCTCGACGCCTAGCTGTCAAGCCGCTCAAAAGGTTTCAGCTATGATTACATTCATACTGCCAAAGGGTAGCACGAAAATGAAGTTGGGGAGAGGCTTCAGAACAAAACCTTCCCTCATCGCAACAGCTCCTCAGCTCTCCATGCCGCATCACACCTGGATCATACCGACGGAGACCCGTGCTCAAGTGCGTAAGACAAGCTCGGTAGACACCAGGACAAGACCACTAGGCCGAGGCCGTTGAATCCCGGCTTCGGGATACTCCATCCATTCAAGGTCTCGGAAGTAGTATTGCGAATCAAAATGAGCGCATCCAACTTCACCACATCCCCACGAGAAATGCCTGCTAAACTAAGGTAAGTAGCAGATCAGGCGTTAGTACATGGCTAAGTAATTACCCGGATCCAGGTGGTTGGGTGGACTGAGTTGGGGTAGGTGTGGTGCAGGGATAAATCCGAAAATTATAAACAAATGCGGCTCGAGACAACCAGCCACTTTCAACGCAGCCATGTCGAAACATCGAAATCCCTCGTAGGCACAATAAACGTCACATGGGACCGAGTGGAGGCATTCCGACCCCGCATGCTAAATTGTTTGGTAGCACTGGAGCGGTTTTGTTTCCTCATCTGGGTGAGCGCGTTGATGGTTTCATCTCAGATGGATCGTCTTTTACTAACGCCCCAAGCCTGGAAAACCAGCTCCGACGGCGTAGCCTCGCCCCACAATGTTAAGCTTTCCTACGTAACAGTGGCGGATAAATGCCGTAGTGTGACTGGCGCGGGTGGGAGAGCCCCGAGATATACCCCTTTGGCGTCTTGTCGTACTACATCGGCGATGAATACGGCAATTATATCGCCTATCACGCCACCCCACACTCCGGTACTTACCCCGGACCCCGGAAAATCAAAGGTCTGCAGCTTTTCCACGCGTTGGATCCCCAAGGTAGCTTGATCGCCGGCGTCAGATGGCCCGGAGTCTTGCAGGGTTGCGGAAGAGCTACGTTACAACATCGGCCCGAACGGCATCGTGTTGAGGGGGCGTGATGCATGGTGCTAGCTTTCCAGCACTTGACTGACTCGGGCTTAAAAGGCGAATTGATCGGTGTGCGAGCCCATGGCTTGGCGTGTGATATAAGCTACGGGTCCCCGGAGGTTTTGGCCTTGCTCACTACATATCCTGTCCCATTCTTCTACCGGTTGCACTGGTTCTTTCAGCATGGCTACCGACGAGGGTAAAGAAGGCCATGACATGGCTGACTTCGCCACTGAACACAAAGAGGATCATCGCCATGAAACAAAGGAGCTCAACGCTCACTCGGTTGCGCTGGCCGCGGCGCTGGCCGAGCAAAAGCCCAACCCTTGGTCGCGAAACATGATGAAACTATATGTCATTATGGGATTGGGCTACCTCATATCGACCATGAACGGCTATGGTAAGTTTGGCGTCCGACAATAAAGTCAATGTGTTGTGCGCTTCCACCAGCTTACCCCTCCCAGACAGTTCGCTTATGGGCTCCATCAACGCCATGATCCCATATCAAGAGACATTTGGCCTTGACGGGGCTGGTTCCTCAACTGGAATGGTCTTCATCATTTATAACCTCGGTCAAATCGCCGCCTTTCCCTTTTGTGGACTCCTTGCCGACGGTTATGGCCGACGTTGGTGCATCTTTGTGGGATGCCTCGTCGTGGTCATTGGGACTGCAGTTCAAGCCACAGCCAATTCCCTGGGACATTTTATTGGCGGAAGGTTTATTTTAGGGTTTGGAGCGTCTATTGCCTCTGCTGCAGGCCCCGCCTACACCGTGGAGCTCGCGCATCCGGCGTATCGCGGCTTCATGGCTGGCATGTAAGTATCTTGCGCCAACCCGCCAACCAACCCATCGCCGCGTTCTACGACGTTAATATTAATTCCAAACAGGTACAATAACCTCTGGTGGCTTGGCAATATCATCGCTGGCTGGGCTACTTATGGCTCCAACTTGCACTTCACTTCGTCGTGGGCGTGGAGAGTTCCAACCATTGTGCAAGCTGGAATGCCCGGCGTTGCCATGCTGGTGATTCTGTTTTTCCCTGAATCCCCACGCTGGCTCATCTCCCAAGACCGTACCGAAGAGGCTCTTCAGGTCATGGCAAAGTACCATGGTGACGGGGATGTCAATCATCCTGTCGTGCAGTTGCAATACCGGGAGATTGTTGAACAACACAATATGTATCGAACCGAGAATCCTTGGTGGGACTACCGCGAATTAGTCAACACCAGAGCCGCTCGTTATCGTCTAGCAATGGTCATCGGAATGTCTTTCTTCGGCCAGTGGTCGGGAAATAACGTTGTTTGTAAGTTGTTCACTGCGTTGTTGAAGAATCGAAGCTAACTTCAGAAGCGTACTTTATGCCTGAGATGATCAAGTCGGCTGGCATCAAGAGCACGAACACACAACTCCTAATCAACGCTATCAATCCTATTTTTTCCATGATGGGGGCAATTTACGGTGCATCGCTCTTGGATAAACTTGGACGCAGACCGATGATGCTTTGGGGATTGACAGGTGCATTAATTTCATACATTTTCCTCACAGCCTTCACAGCCAACACCGACAAACATCCCAACCTGGCTTACGGAGTCATTGTTGCCATTTACATCTTTGGCATTTTCTTTGCTTGGGGCTTTACACCACTTCAGACTTTGTATGCGGTGGAATGTCTGGAGAACCGAACCCGTGCGAAAGGCTCAGGCCTCAACTTCCTCTTCCTCAACATTGCCATGGTGGTCAACACTTGGGGTATCAGCGAAGGCATCAGGAAGCTGGGGTGGAAGCTCTACGTCATCTACATTGTTTGGATTGGTATTGAAATGGTCATCATCTATTTTTGGTTTGTAGAGACTGCAGGGAAGACTTTGGAGGAGTTGAGCGAAGTGTTTGAGGCCCCGAACCCCAGGAAAGAAAGCACCAAGAAGCACAAGGTGGAGGTTGACGCCAGCGGGAGGGTTGTACACACGAAGGATACTCAAGTTTAGTTTAGTGTGCCTTGCTATCTACGAAGACATTGTTTCAAGGTAGACTAACCATTTTGTTCAATATTCTCATCGGATAAGGTGGGCCTCTGATTGGGGTGTCTGAAGATTAATATAATAAACTAGAGTATTACTATTCGCACACATTCAAAATGCAACTCGCACACTTGAGTACACAGGCTAATTTCTCTAAGAAGTCTTAATCATACACCTATTAGGAAGTTTAACCTAAGAAAATAAAATAAGTTTTCTTATAAGTATTTATCCCCTAATTTCTGCTATTTAAATTTTATCTTTAGATTTATTTTAGGGTATAAACTGGAACTTTCTCAGAATGTGATACTTTGAGGCAAGTACATCACCTCACGCTAAACTTAGGTAGACGTGAAAATTTGTACTTGTGTGCGATTAGCTTATGAATTATTGCATTGATGTGGCTCCTTCCATCCACAGCAGATCAAAAAAAAAGGCTGGTGGGTAGTATCGCAGAGGCTTGTTTGGAAGAGCTCTATGCTGCGCAGCAGAGAACAGGGCTCGAATAAGTGTGCGTGGCCTCCCACGCTCTCGATGGCCCACTGGGGATGAGATGTCGTTGATGTCCGGCCATATGTTGAGGGCATCAACGAACTTGCGACAAATTCCCATAGCTTCGTCCCAGGTAAAGCCATCCCTCTTAAGGCGGACAAATTTCCGAGCATCTGCGCTCTGCCTCCCTTGGAGATCCCAGGCTGATGGCCGATACTGTTTTGAGTTGGGAGTCTTGTATGCAGGGATCTCTTCGACGTCAACCTCGTAATGTCGACCTGGCTGCAGAGCAAGTTTGTCATAGGCAAAGGAGAAAGGATCACCGTCGCTTTCGATCAAGACGGAAGAGGAGATGGCCTAAGGTCCCGTTTCGAGTTGAGGCAATTCCATGCCTTGAAGCTGTTGGCGCACTTTCCTCTCGTACCGGTTTTCGTCGGGGTCAAGCCTGTTTCGAAGTAGGTCTTGCTGGGGGTTTGGAATTCCAAAAGGCTTGGCAAGGACAAGACCTGCGTCGGCGGAAGACTTTGACTTGAGGGAGAGAATGGAGGCTGATGTCGGAAGCGCAGTGGTAGGAGGAGTAGGTGGCAAGGTCGCGCTGACTGTGTGTTGGCCACTGTTAGCAGTGTCGCAGAAGCTGGTTTGCAATGGACCTGAGTCACTTACCACATGGACGGCGAGGTGTGCGGGTCCTCAATTGAGATGGCGACAAAGCAACCAACTCATGGTCGTCATCCGCCAGTTCTGGGACAAACTCATGATCGTCGATAGCAGCGTAGGAAAGGTTCTTGCAGGAGCGCCTTTAACGCTTCAGAGGAGGTGGTGGCTGGGACTCGTCGGCGAACGGGGTGCTGTACTGGGAGGTGATCTGGCCGGAGGCCTTGGTAGCAGCGGCGCGGCGCGGCCGGGGGGAGGCTATATACACGTGGATTAGTTACCCTTTCCGTGTAAGTCGTGTGAGTCTGGGTCATTGTGTGTGGGGAACCTTCTAAGCATGGCTCCCCACCACGAAACTCCACATACATTTGGGAGGCGTGTAAAACGTACCATAAGAATCCATGACAGGCAACAAGAATCCGAAATATTGTCCAAGCCAATGACGAACCGGTCTCGCCAGAGTGCCGGTACTGGACGCTGTACCATGCGAACGGACGAAGGGGGAGGAGGAAACGAGCGATACTTCAGACGGACCAAGGTCAAACAATATGCAGTGGACAAGCCACTGACAAAAGTACCAGCCTCGCAAGAGAACCGGTCCTAGACCTCGGAAACGCGTCCACAATTGAGAAAACTAGCTACACGAACAAGGCCCACAGAGGAGCAATACAGGAGGTGTCGGTACAGGAAATGGCGTTCTCGGGGCGCAGTGTTCGATCATGACGAAGAGAGAAAAGGTGTGCCAGTTTTTGTAGGCGAAGAACTTTGGAGTCGAGCCCTGTTCTCTGCTGCGCAGCATAGCGTTCTTCCAAACAAGCCTCTACGATACTACCCTACCTTCTTTTATTCATCTGCTGTGGATGGAATGAGCCATATCAATGCAATAATTCATCACATTGATCCTCAGACACTTCAAGCGGAGGCCTACACTATCCCTTTATCTTACGACAATGTCAATTCTAGTGTCCTGACTTCCGATACATCTCTACTGCAAAGTATCCGGTTCGTCAGTCTCTCAAGCCTTTTGCAGCCAATTGAAGAACCATTTGCAGACGGGTCGGACAGCGCTATGGTCGACCTCATCAGTTTCACCCGGCATAGTCGGAAGATTTGAGGTGAATGGAAGGCCAAACTCCTTTCTCCACAATGTGCTGGAACCATTTTGCCAGAGTAATCTTCCTGTGCGTGATGTTGTCTCGTATACTCATCCAGAGTTTTCCAGTTCCGTAGACTTGATCGAGTGTCACCGCTCGCTGTTCCGAGACAAAAAGACGAAGCATGTCATTGGTAAAGGCTTTTACCTCGGAAAGGGTTTTGAAAGGCGACTTCGTTCTCAACCACATAGCACAACATAGACGGGCCAGACGTTTTGCTGCTCGAATACCTTGTCTGTGATTGCCAGGTACCTTACTGAGTGAGCCTGCCATTGCTGAATGGCTCCAGACAAACGATTTGCGCAGCACCTGGATCGCCATTGCCCGATCTACAGATGATGTCAACAAGAAGATTCTGGCAGGCCAAACCTCAGCAAGTTTCTGCGGTCGTGTTGGTGACTGCAACTCGGTCCACCCTTGCGGCCTGTGTGGAATTACGATACCCTGTTTGGAAATCCTCTGACATTCGCAGTGGCGCACCGGGTACATGGGCGGCAAATGCGCATGGGTTGGCCACGGCATCCTACCCGACTTGCAGGCCGCATTGATGAGAAGAATAACATTCTCATCGAGACACGGTCTAGCAATTACTTCAAGAGTAATTATCACGAGCCCTACTATCAAGCGTTGAAGAACCAGCTTCTTAATGTGTAAATCCCTTTGGAATGGGCGGATGAAAGTATCGAACCGAGGCCTTTTAATACTCGGCTGGAAATTGTGTATGGTGAGTGGCTGGATAATGGTGATTTTGATAAGGAGCTTATTTCTTAGAACTTAGATAAGGATTTTAACGATGATATTCTGGGCAATATTATTTTTAATAAAGAGAATATAGCTGAGTTGTAAGTTTTAAAATAAGCTATATAATATTCTCTTCCAGCTAGAGAGTTCTAAAAAGAGTTCCCCAGTAGGGTAATCGGTATCTGGACTATTTATAGCTCTAACTTATATCTTAATTTGTCATGGGCGTAAAAGGTTCTAACTATTATACAAACTGAAATTGTTATGGATTTCCCTGGGACGACCGATTGGGAAGTCCTTAGGACATCACCGGTATATTCTCCGACGGTAAGCTAGAGAAGTGCGGGAAAACGGATTTCCTTGGGACTTCTCAGAGATTCCCCAGAAATATATTAAGTATAAAATTATATTATTTAAAATCTAATATATTAAATAATCTCCAGATTATTTAAAATTTATATAAAGCTTTATTAACTTATATAAAATCTTATAAATTTATAGTAAATTTAGGGTAAGGTAATCTGAAATAAGTTTACTTAATATATTTTCTAAGGCTTTCTATCTTCTAGAAACCTATAGATAATTCAGGAGTTAATTTTATCTGGTAAGAAACTTAAAACTCTAACTCTTCCTCCAGTTATTCCTCTGAAAATAACAATCTAAATAGAAGAATATAACATGTGGAAACATCTTTCGCCAGGAAAACTCCAGACTCTTCTTGTGGAGCTTAAGGCAAAGTGAGCAAAGAAACTTGCTGCTATTGCTATCTACTTTTGTGTCTGCTCTCCCTTGGTCTTGTCGACCCGGATGTTGATCACTCTTCCGCCCTCATACAACTTGCTATGAACATTATGAAGCATTAGGGCCTTGACCCAATGCTTCTCACCCGAGGCGCTTATAACCTGAAACCTGTGGGCAGTGTCACCCTTGCCCTTGCCCTTTCCTCCCTTGCCCTTGCCCTTGCCCTTGTCTTTGCCTTTGCCCTTGAGGTCCCCTGTGGTGTTAATGTCGCCAACAATCAGGAGCCCAGATCTCTGCCGGCTGAGCATGACATTCAGGCGCTGCTCGTCCGTCGTGAAGCCAGGTCCAACGGCCTTCGTGGTCGCCATGATGATGATGGCGATGTCGCCCTCACGGCCCTGAAAGGATTCGACGGTTGCGGCTGGTTGCATGGAGCCAAGGTTCTCATAGCCGGGCTGCTGGCGCATCTTGTTGATAACTTCGACGTTGGCCTTGTAGGGCGTGATCATCACGAGCTGGGTGGGGTCGACCTGCTTCTGCTTGACGAAGGAGCTCAGGATGTCAAGCGCAATCTTGACCTGGTCGGGGCTCCTTTTCGAGCTGGTGACCTGACCTTGTCCACAAAGCAGCGGGATCCCTCGCAGTAGATGATGACTGGCTTGAGCTCGCCTTGGGGTGCGGGCTTCAGCTCAGGGTACTCGGTCTTGAGGAAAGCCTCTAGGGCCCTGAGGTGAGATTTTGCCATCAAGGGCGAGGCGGTTAGGTAGTGTCCCTCGGAACTTTTCTCCACGAGAGTCATGACAGCAGGGGACAGTTGCTTGTCATCGCCGGCGAGAAGCACGGAAGAAGGGTGTTCCCCCAGACTGAGTAGAGGTCGGGGTGGTTGATATTGCCCGCCTCGTCAACTGCTATGCCCTTTGCGATCTCGTTCTTCCAGGCTTCGCAAGGTTTCTTGCAGGGCATGGAGGGCCAACTACCTACAGAGTTTTGAATGCAAGCATTCTGGTATTCTACTCGTGTTGTACAGCGGCTGATTTCTGGTTGGTTCATCGCCAGCCATTAGCCTCATGCAAGATTTTGGCGCATCTAATTAGAGCATCATCGGCCACCGACAATACAGGAGGTGTCGGTACAGGAAATGGCGGTCTCAAGGCGCAGTATTCGATCATGACGAAGGGAGAAAAATGTGTTTCACGGGAGTACAACACCTACATGTCATTTTGAGTGGCTAATTTCTACACCAATACTTCTCTGACAGCTGGAAAAGCATTTTCTTTGGAATTTAATGTAGTGAGCAGTCTCCAGAATATCCAAAACTCGTATGGGGCATTGTGAAGGTTCTATATATACCTAGCAATCCCATGCGATCCGGTGCTAACCGTACCTGACTTCTTTATCATCCTCTCTGAACCAATCGTCGTTTGCAAGTGTCTCCTCGTTGGGCGCATAGTTGATGATGGTGCTCTTCGTCATCGTATAGGCATTGTAAGCATCCAGCCCGTTCTCGCTGCCGACACCGCTCGCGCCTGTGACGCCGCCCCACGGGCTGCTGGGATCATTTCGATGATGCGTGTTCACCCAAACGATACCTGAGTCGATCTCCTCCGACACTCGGAACGCCTGGCTGAGGTCCTTGGTCCAAAGGGCTGCTCCCAAGCCGAACTCGCTGTCATTGGCAAGATCAATTGCCTGCTGCTCAGTGTCAAAGGCAACCACGACGATGACCGGGCCGAACGCTTCTTCACGCCATATTCGGGTGTGCAAATGACTGGTGCTAGAAACAAATTCGAGGATGGTTGGGGGGTAAAAGTACCCCTTTGAAAACTCCGTGCCATCGAGTTCTGAGGTCCCCGAAAGACGCCGACCTCCTGATACTGCCTTTGCATGGCCGTTCTCCAGAGCTTCGCCGACCAGAGACTCAACATTCGCCAATTGACGAGCGGATATTAGAGGACCCATTGCGGATTGCGGGTTTTTGGGCGATCCCATACGACGCTCGATGGACTCGGCCTTGGAGCGAAGCTTCGAGATGACCGCTTCGAAGATGGAGGACTGGACGATGATTCTCGTGGCAGCGACGCACGTTTGTCCGCTTGCAACAAAGGCACCGAATGCAATTCCGTTAACGGCAGCGTCGATTTCCGCGTCCTCAAAGACAATCAAGGGCGCTTTGCCACCGAGTTCGGCCGTGTATCGCGCAAGATTACCGCCAACGATAGACCCAATCGCCCTCCCGGCGACTGTCCCGCCTGTGACATCAACCTTTCGAACAATAGGGTGGCTCACCAGCGCCTTGCCAGTGGAAATACCAAGGCCAGGAAGGACATTGAAGACACCGTCAGGAAGTCCTGCGTCTTTCAGGATCCGGCCCAGCAAGAGGCTGGTCAATGGTGTAAGCTCGCTGGGCTTCAGCAGGACGCAATTGCCGGCCGCCAAAGCTGGGGCGAGCTTCTTGACTGCAATCAGCAAGGGATGGTTGAAGGGTGTTATTTGCACCACGACGCCCAGGGGTTTTCGATCCAGCCAGTTGTGCAGCTTTCCGGTCGTGGGAAGGACAGGTCTTTCCTCTGTGCGCAGAACGGCGGCGTAGTATTTGAACCAGCGAACCAGCGACGGAACTTGGGCTTTCATTTCTCGGATAGCTCGACCTGTTTGTCTAACTTCCAACGCAATTAGATCAGGGAGGTTTTTGGTGAGCAGCTCGGCGGCTTTGTCCAGGACGTCGGCACGTTCATGGCGAGGTTTCTTGGACCATACACCGGACCGAAAGACCTTTTCCGCCAACTCGATCGCGTCGGAAGCATCCTTCTCGGAGGCAGTATGGCACCTAACGAGGTTAAGTTTGTAATCAGATGGAACTTTGGGCTCGAATTTACTGACTGTGAGAATACTTCTCCCGTTGCAGGGTCTTCGACCGAGATACTAGGTTGAGGATGAGATTAGATGAATTAAAATGAGGTCATCGTGGCTTATTCTTACATTTCTCCGGTCCCAGCCGTATTCTTTCCTGCAATCCAGAGCAAGTACGTCTCCATTTCGTCGGATGCCATTGTTGTGGTTCAATGGAGAGGGAAGACGGCTTGTCTACCAGTTAGGTTTGGCCAGATCACTCTCCTAATTGAACAAAGCAAACTTGTGGAAGCTCGTTTGGAACTGAAAGCTTTATTGAGGAGGGGTTGATAAATGAGGGGTACACATATGTCGAGATAAGCATCGGGCGGAACCGAGCGCTTTATCTAATCTCGATGCGTCGTGCTGATTAATGAGTCCAAGTTCCAATTCATCCAGATTTCCTTCAATAAAACACTTATTGGTTGTTATAAGACCGGGATTCCCATTAATACGCGGCGTCTGTTGAAAAGATATCGTTGTGGTCATTTTTACGCAAAGCGACGAGCTCTAGGGTAGGTCATGAGCAAGTTGGTGATAGAGTTGTGAATTGGAAGAAGGACAAGAGGTCTCCTTGACGATTAATAAGATGACAGCACGAGAAATGAATGTGACAAGAGAAAAGAGATTGTGAGATAGAGCGGATGAGTTACGAGAGGGAGAGAAATAAACGTAGATTCACCACGTTTCTTAGCAGACTTTGACATGGCAACTAGCAGAAGAAGGGCTACAAGAATTGAACCTTGTTACCCCATGGTTTACAGGGAATCCATAATACCTAAATCCACTACTTACGTATCATACCACACCAAACATAGTCCGAGAGGCCAAACTCTTCGAGATTTGGTCTACTACCCTATAGCAGAATTTCGGATTGCAGAAAAAGCTCCGAGAGAAAGCACCCGAAACTCAATACAAGTAAACCATGCTAAATACTCATAAAGCACTCGCTGGATAGCCATAACGACCCTGATATCAATCCATGGCTTCATTCTCACAGAAAGAAGGATAGCATCGAAAACGGGCCATGAGTCCCCTGGAATGCAGCCATGTCCGTCACCGCGTTGCTGGAGTAAGCAGTTTAGCACGGCTGATTCCAGTGAGCCTTGCCAGTCGGACGTCATTGGAGAAATAAAATAGTCTACCACTCACCTGGAACGAGCTGGCAAAAACAAGGCAGGGCTCGCTTAGGTAGTGGCCGCCAGCGCTTCAAGTTACGACATAGCCAATCGGTTGGGAAACATCACGGATCCCGACGTAACTACTAATGCAGATTTCAAAGCAGCACCTTCTCTAACCGTCGTGTTTGGGTTGCCCCTCCCCTCCCTTTCGGCCCAGCTTGCCGTTAGCCCCCGTATCCATCCTCCCTTCCCTCGTGTCGATTCTCGGACCGCGATGGCGGCGAAGTTAGTCTTGCCGCGCTCGGATAAAACACGGCGCTGTCATTGCGCCCGGCGGTCACGTCAACTCGTATTTAAACGAGATTTAGCGGACTAATTAGATAACTTAAGTTTGTCTCGACTGGCCGCTAGATCAGACCCTTATTATTAACCCCGCAATCTCGAGAAAGCTCTACCGGCGCGGGTTCTAATAATGGAAATTTCCGCTTAAGCCGGAATGATGGAATGCCAATCACGAGGTCTGTGGTTTATTTGTTCGCTGGTCTCTTTGTAGATCTGTCGGCTGTGCAGCAGGCAGACCTATGCTTTCCGAGCTACATCACAGTGCCTTAGGATTCATATGGATTTCTCCCACTTTGATCCCTGACAGCAAACATTCATGATACAAGTGAAGAGAGCAGACAGCCTTACGAGAAATGATGGATGTTGAATGCCAAACCCATTCTCAGGGTTCAAGTTGTGCTTCCTGACATGGCTCCACCTTCTGCTTGGGCTGAAAAACCTCCGGCCGAGTCGTGAATCAATACACAAAGGAAGCCACTGAGCCATCCCATTGTTCCGCAAGAGCGGCAGGATGTCTTCTGCATCGGGCCTCTGCCGATGCACTGCTTGTCTTCCCCCGGCCAAACAGCGGGGACTAGGGGAACCACCCTTGCCATACTGCCTTACCAGCATGCTACGTCGTAATTGTAGGCAGCCTTACCGATGACGCCCTGAATGGGATGTGACAGAGAACGGCCGGGGTTAGTCAGTCTTGGGTGCAGGAACAATCCAGGGGAAGCGCTAGAAGCCAATTTCTCGTGAAGCAGAAACTAGATGAATGACACATCGGCATCTTTGCGGAGTGCACGGACAGGAATAATAATGCTTTTACGTAAAAGGTAAGGCTTGGCGGACACGGCAGCCGGCATGTCGGTACTTCGTACTTTGGTAAGCTGTTTGATCCAGTAAACAGAGCATCCTTGTACGCGCCGGGGAGAAAGCCACGGCGTAGAGCTGCCTGTAGCAGGTTGCTTTTGGGGAGAGGAGCTCGTCGGCCGCCCAGTAGGAAGAGGGAGGCGTCACGGACCATATATATTTCAAACAGGGCGCTCCGGCTGAAAAGGGAGAGCCCAGCGCTATTCAGCTTGGCACCGCTCCTTGCGTCAGGTGGGCAATTGGCATCAGAGTAGCCCACAGATGGTCTGGCATACCGCTGCAGCAAGTTGCAGACCGTAACCGCAATTGCAGTCTCGGCCCGTCAAGCAGGGTCAACGAGGTGGGTGTCCCTGCCGCGGGTGACCCTACAATTACGACCCCTTCAATCACACCGCGGTCGTGATCGTCCGCGCTCCCGGGTTCTGCACGCAGGCATGTATGTGCAACAGCCATGAGCTAAATTCCCAACGTCCAAGTTACACGGATACGGGTCTTTGGTGGGTCGGTCGACGGTACATTCACGACCTGCCACATGGCCCAGCTAGTCTCCCCCCCGCGAGCTGGCCTGGCCTCCCTGTGTCACTGTCATGATCCTGGGAATGCCTACCGACGGCCAATCGCTTGCCGTCATGCCTGTGCCGCCCCGGTTATCCCCATCTCGTCTAGATCGACGGCAGAATCCAAAGTCCCACCTGCGGCCCCTGGCCCGGATTTAGGATTGCTGCTAGCTGGGCAAACGCTGGACCATGGTCAGACAGAGCAGTAGGTCGCGTGCTCAGGAGGCTGCTAGCCCCCTTTCCCCTCGACGTCAAGGGGGCCGAAAAGCCACCATTCTTCAGCGTCGAGCCCTGTGTGACCCGTCGGATTGCAGCATTGAGCCAAGACTTCTCGGGTCTGTCACGGCTAGGTGCACCTAATGCCCAGTCCCTTGTGTAGCAAAACCACGTCCACGGCACGTCCATGCCGACTCCGGCACAACCGCATCAAATGGCCCACGCCAGGTGACCGAACGCTAGCTCGGCCACCCCCGAATCTCCGTCCTGTAGCTCGTGGGATCTAAACCTAAAGAGTTGATCAACGGCGTGCCCAGACAATACGAGACCCCTGAGTGGACGCCCCGTTCATGGAGCGTAGCACCTTGGCTGTGTTACAGTAAGCATTGCTTAATTAGGTCTGGGAGCACGCGACCAGTATTACTTCTCGGGAGGCGCTGTGTGTTTTCATCTTGCCGTCTGCTTGACGCTTCGGTTCTTCTCTCCTTCTCCTCTGTTTCTACTGTTTGCGCATCTGCCCGTACCATGTCTTCCCTTCCGGTTTGTTTTCTCTTCTCGGCTTTTTTTGTGTCTGTTGTTTTGTCCAAATTCGTCCATCTTTGCACTTATGTCTCGACCATCCCGACTGGCGCCTTTCTCCTGTACCTACCTACCTTCTTCATCGCCGACTTCCTCGTCATCTGCATTGCGAGACTTTTTCTGCGCCCAGTAAAGGGCCTGCCGTCTTTGGTTGGCGCCGTAATTGGATCATTTATAACGTAGGTTTGCTTATGCCACCACCGGTCAAGGCTGACACTCCATAGCATCTTGTCAATTGTGGGCGCCTCGTCGCAATTAGCATTCTACATCAAGACTGGAGGCGAGCTGGAATGGCATGAGGCGAAAACCTATGCCACCACCACAGATGGGATCAAGGTGCTGCTCACCGGAGGCTGGGCCGTGTTGGCATCCGGATGCCTGATCCTGGCTGTGGCCTGGTTCGCCCAGAACGCAGTCTTTAAGGCTGTGGGAGACTTTTTGATGGGGATGTATCTCCAGGTTCTCTCTGGTATGTTCAACAATACCTACAGGCACTCTTCAGTGGCTGACAGAACCCCTAGTCTTGCGATTCATCATCAAGCTGCGCCACGGCAGACCCAAGAGAAAGGCAGACATCGAGACCGAGACCGACGTTATTGATCCATTTGTCGACACGGATTCCTCTTCGAATTATAACCACTCGGAATCTCACAGGCTTATCAGAGATGGAGAAAAGACTTTCACAAACGAGACGAAGGCTTCCGGCCGGATGGTGCGGATGCTTTCTTGGATATTCAAGGCGGCGACACTGGCCTTCCTCACCACCACGATGATTCTTCGTCCTCACTATCCCTTCGACCACATGTCCATCACACTCCCCGTTTCCTTTTTCGATATTTTCAAATCCGAGCCCGATCACTGCGTCGAGCAGAGGCGCATTATGAAGAATCTATGGCCATTTCCTCACCTCATCGACAGCTCAAACTGGCAAAATGCGCAGGGCGACTTCAAAGGCTGGGCGCCGGGCCACAAGAGCGAGATGCGCGACCGATACAGGCAACGGACACCCGACTGGTTGCCTGATATGCTCCCGCGTGGATTCTTCCGATGGGATCCGAAGAGATTCGAATCTTTTAGCTCTGTTCAGGAATCTTGGAAACGCCAGTGTCCCAACCTCCGCATACGAGAGCCTTTTTATAACCCGGTCAACGATCCTCTCAAGATTACCAACCTCGACACTGACGTCCTGGAACCGCTGAGAGAGGCGTTCGATTCCGAATCCGTCAAGATAAAAAACGTCGTCTTCATTCTGATGGAAAGCCTTCGGGAGGAACTCTTTCCCCTCCGACAAGGCTCCGAAATGCATAAAATGATCCTGAAAGCTAACCCAGAGGCCGACCGAGAACTGATCAACTCGCGACTGGCTCACCTCACCCCCCATCTCGAAAAGATTTCTGGCATTTCTGGAAAGTTCACTGATGCCAACGGCTCCAGCTACGACGCCCCGGAGTTGAAGTGGAATGATCAAGCACGCCCTGGCTTCGGCGGCATTAATGTTGTAGGTGGCTTTACTAGCGCTACCATGTCCACCAAGAGCTTTGCGGCGAACCATTGTGGTGCTTGGCCGATGCCCGTCGAGAAGTTTGAAGAGTCCGAGACGGACAGTTATCAACCCTGTATTCCCCAGGTTCTCGGCATGTTCAACGAAGTAAAGGAAAACGCATCTTCCGAATCGGCCGACTTTAGGGACTGGCCGTGGTACCCTGCCCTCTTCGAGTCTATGACGGAACAGTACGACCGACAGGAGAGGTTCGACCAGAAGATCGGTTTCAAGCACATCATCGCCAGGGCCGAACTCAAGCACGATCCGAAATATAATGAATCCGACCCCGTCTATAAGCCAGTCAACTACTTTGGATTTGCCGAGCCCGTCGTGAAGCCGTATATCAGGGATTACATCACCAATGCGACAGCTAATAACCAACGCATCTTTATGTCGCATTTCACAAGCACCACCCATCACGCTTGGGATACACCCGAATGGTTCAATACCACCGACTACTTACGGACGGGAGGAACATCAAAGTGGCATACAGATTTCAACAAGTATCTGAATACCATTCGTTTCCACGACGCTTGGATGGCAGAGTTGCTGCAATTATTTGACGACTTGGGCATCTCTGATGAAACCCTCGTCGTTTTCGCTGGAGATCATGGACAGACATTTCAAGAAGACTACCACAAGACAGGAACGTACGAAGTCGGACATATCAGCGACTTCCGAGTTCCTATTACATTCCGACACCCCAAACTCCCCCGAGTCCAATACGAGGCTAACGCGACTACCATCTCCGTTCTGCCCACGATTCTCGACCTCCTCATCACCAGCAACTCCCTCAACGATAGAGACTCGGATATTGCTTCCGACCTGGTCAACGACTACGAAGGCCAATCTCTCATTCGACCATACAAGACCTCGGATAAAGGCCGGCGTGCCTGGAATTTTGCGGTTATCAACTCTGGCGCGGGTATGCTTGCTGTTACCTCTGCGGATGTCCCTTGGAGGCTGGTTATGCCGTTGGGCAAGGTGTTTGAGTATACATTTACAGACGTGAGAAATGACCCATTGGAGAAGAATCCCATCCCTGCTTGGTCGCTCGACGTCTTAGAGGAGGCCGTTCGCAGAAAGCATGGTAAAGAGGCTGCCCAGTGGGTGAGAGAGGCCCCTGCAGTTGGGCAGTGGTGGAGTTTGGAACGGCAACGGTTATGGAAATATCACTTATGAGACTTGGCTGAGAAATGTAAATACTGCCCAAGACTTAATTAATATTCATTACAAGGGAAATGTAGCCATGCCTAATCGTTCCCTTTCGGAAGATCACATTCGCCATCGTTGAACGCCTGTCCTAGATCCTAGTACTTGAACATGTCGCTTGGGGTTCCTTCTCAGACATGAGCCAGGTTTAATGCTATTTTTAGGTGACAAGGGTATCCCAGGTACAAGGTGAGGGTAGATTCGATAGGAAAGATGCAGGCCCTGGTTGAATCTTCGGCACTTCACGTGCCAAGCTTCCATAGTCGACCAACGACCAAAGAAAGTCCTCCAATAGCATGTCCAAGACATCGCCCAACCCTGGGCTGTCATGAAGACAGGAGTACGCGCCTAACTGTGCGTTGAGTTCATAGAGCTTGTTTAACTGGATGAGATAATTAGTAAACGTGTTGTCGTGGTACTAGTTCTAGGATTGGCTCACCATGTTTTTGGCAATTAACCAACGGCTTGCAAGCCTTTCCATCACCCCCATAGTCTGATCAAAATATAACTGAGCGTCGTATTGGTCAACACAGTCAAGTTGTTGCTGTGAACCTAACGCTAGGCAATGAATTCCTGCGGCAATAGCAGCGCAGTACGTGTAAAAGGAAGAGTCGGGGGAAATGCCGCCCTTAGAAGTCGCCGCCAATAAAGTCGTAAGCTGTCTTGCATTTTCCTGCGCCAAGTGAGAAGCACGCAAGACAAAGCTTTTAGGTGCCCTTGCGGCGATGGGTTTTAGTCGAAGTCGTAGAAGAAACGGGTGGTTTAGCAGACAGTGGCAGAGGTGGAAGAGCACATGCGCAAAAAATAGGTGACCAATCTGGTGCTCATTGATGCTTTCGTCCCCCTGAGGTCCGTTGCACACAAGATCCAGGATAGAATCCTTCCTGGCTTTCAGATATGACTCAAGCAATATGAGAGAAGCATTTGTTGCCGTAAAGTCTGATCGGGGATCCCAAGGTGGCAGATTGTCGGCTCTACTCCGACCATGAGTCGTCCTTGCACAACGGGAGAGGATTGACGAAGTCACAATTGTCAGGCTGAAGAAGCTGGGGGGATTGACCAAATCAACATTCCAGTCCAGCATTTCTTGCAACGTTGGCATCTGCTTCCACTCCGCTGTTTGAAATGCATCCTCGTCGCAAGGAAGTTGTAAGGTGCAGTCGTGATCCGAGATGGTTGCTGGCCGCGAGCGAGCGCATGACATGAGTCTGTCTACGAGATATATCGACCAGAAAGATCTCCGTCGCTCTTCGCGTTCTGTGGCTGGGAGGAATATTGGCGGTTCGGACTGTAGATCGGCGTCTTGGGAAAGGCGAATAGCGAGACCTAGTCGCAACCAACCAGAGCTGGTTCTTCCCGCTGATTCATCACGTAAAAGTCAGCGATTCTCAATTTAAACTCATTTGAATGTGGGTTGTGGCTTACCAGTATAGTCAACAATAGCCAGCAAGGCGACGGTCTGAATTACCGACAAGTCGAGGTTCTCATCGACACTTAAATGATCCTCAATCACACAGAGCCATGACTGGCGGGAGTAAGCGGCCGCGGCGTCGTGGATTCTTCCAGCAAAGTAGGGGGCATCTGAAAAGCGGACGGCCAAGGCCAGCATGGCAAAGAGTAGACACTTGGGCACGATTTCATTTTCTAGCCTCTGTTCAAAAGAAGCTTGGTGGAAGAATGAGTATGGGCGGTTGTGGACACGTGAGAAATATGTATCGAGGAGGGATCGTAGGACGTGGGGAGGAGGAATACGGTCGAGCTGGCTATTGGAGTGCTCAATTGTCAGCGCTGCGATTGATATTTGGTAATAAAGGGGAAATTTGGAGTGTCAACATACAAGTCTTCCAGCGTTTCTTCAGCTAACGAGACATCGTCATCGCAAGCCAGAAAACTTGAATCAGGTTCGATTTGGCCATCGGGTGAAGGTATGCTGAAGTGGCCTTCCGCCAACAGCGATAACGATGGAGAGCAACTGTGATTTTTTGAGAAATTAGGCAATGCTCCAGAAAGTGAAAGGTGGCGCGGCTTACGTCTGAAGCTCGGCGTTCCCTTGGCTGAGCCTGCTCAAGGCCGCCTCAATTGTCGAGAGTCGCTGCAATAGGTCGGGCTCGTTGTAAGTTAGCCGACATTGAGGTGGAAAGCTTTCCGAGAACATATTCACATTCGGCGTGACAGGAGGCGGCAATGCATCGCTCCTGCTGACGTTGACCGTTGTCATAGAATAGGGCTCGTAAACGCAACTGCGTCGGTTCTGATGGCAGTGGGTGCAGATAGGTCGTTGTCCAGAACATTTTATCTTTCGGCGTCTGTTTGGAGGAAGCAATACAATCAGCTTGGCTCAGCTTCACTCCCGCCAGGACGAGGGCGCTCGGCATGTACTTACCTGCAATTGGCACAGGCTTGGCGGATACGTTTAATGACACCCGTCGGTGACGCTCCATGTGTATCCATCGGCATATTGGTGTGGACAATCAGAGTCTACAAATTCGCAATATGAAAGGTGAGGTCTGTTGATGACTTTCGAGGAGAGTAAAGCGAGGGGGAGCTGTAGACTGGGGAAATCTGGGGTTGGTGGGGACGGAGATGGACGGATGCTTAGCCGTGTCATGACATAGATCCCGAGGTGCATTACCGCGGCAGTTTTGCCACATTGGTTCTTAGTGGCACTCACAGAGGAATTAGATACTCGTTCTTTACCCAAGCCAAATTAGTTGAGGACCCTAGCGACGCTGGACCGATTCCGGGATCGCCGGTCTAAGTACCGTATGGAAGATCCAATTCTCGTGATGACCGTGTGTTTCCATCTTCGATACATGTTCTATTTAAAGCTTGCTCTGTGGTTTTCGACCTCTGTACTCGTCCCAATTAATCTTTCGACCGGCTTGAAACTCCGTAACACCATAGGCACCCGGCGCATCGGCCTTCATCATCTCCTTGAACAGCTGCTTGATGACAATTGCCTGCTTTTCCTGCCCGCCATGGGCCCATCCAGCTCGAACCAGGTCCTTGCACATTCGCGTCGCATCAGAAGACGATACTCGTAATCGCACCAAGAGGGAATTCAAGAGCGTTTCCAACGCTGCTCCGTCAGTGGCCACATCTAGAATGACTCCCTTCGCCTTGAGCTCCTTTGGCGATACGGATCGAGCTGATATCATTGCTTCGCGAGCAAATGAAATTCCCCACTCGCGGATGACGTATTTTGAGATTGTCGCAGGACACAGTCCCAGCTTTGCTTCGCTCAACGTAACCGTGGCGTTTTCGGCGCACAGTCGAATATCGCAGGCGAATGCTAAACCGACTCCTCCGCCGAATGCCGGCCCATTGAGACAAGATATCGTCACCTTGGGGCAGTTATCAATAGTTTCAAACAGTCGATACAGTCTCTCAAATTGGGCATCGGCAGTTGCACCCCCTACCCCGACGGGTGTGCTATCCTTGCCGAGATCCATTCCGGTGCAAAAGAACTTGCCACTCCCCGTGATGACAATTCGGCTGAGAGTTGCATCATTTGCTGCCTCCGAGAAAGTCGAGATCAAATCATTGATCATCGTAACGGTCAACGCATTGCCATTCTTGGGTCTATTCATTGTGACTTTGAGATTTGCCCCTGACCGGTGCACAAGTAGACCATCGGTCTCGTTGATGCACGTCCAGGATAAAGATGGCGCTCCTTTCTCAACCTTTGGTGCTTTTGCGGACTTGCCCTTGCTTTCCAACGCGGCACCAGCACGGCTTCCAGTTTGCTTCGACAGTTTCTGGGATATCCACGTCCCCGTCGCAACAAGCTTGCTCAAGTCGACACCCGTTTCGATCCCCGCCTGGTCGAACATGTATACCAAGTCTTCTGTAGCGACGTTGCCTTTGGCTCCCGGCGCAAACGGGCATCCGCCGAGTCCAGCGACGCTACTGTCGAATACTCGAATTCCGCAGTTGTAGGCTTCCCAGACGTTGGCAAGGGCTTGGCCGTACGTGTCGTGGAAATGACCCGCCAGTCGGCTGAGCGGGACTCCATTATCGGCGAGGAATTTGATCAGATTTCGCGTGTTGGAAGGCGATCCAACGCCCAGTGTATCACCGAGACTGATCTCATAGCAACCCATGGCGATGAGCTCGTTGACCGCTTTCAAAACAGCAGCAGGGGGCGTGAGTCCATCAAACGGATCAGCAAATATACACGAGACATATCTGGTCTCATGGATTAGCTCGTCGGATACGTCGAAAGTCGCAGGAATGCTCACCCTCTGACCGCCAAACCCCGGCGCTGCGCTTCTTGGGCAACAGACCGCGCTCTCGCAATTCCCTCGTCCACGGTGCAGTTGATGTTGGCCTTGCTGAATCCTTCCGTGGCGCTGATAAATACCGCGACCTCTGAAATTCCATATTGACACCCAATCTCAATCCCCTTTACATTCGGGATCAACACAGGGAGGCGAAGCGATTTATTCTGCAACAGTTCTTGGATTGGCGGACTGTTCAAAACCTCGCGGCAGTCACTCAGCTGCGGGACCGCTCTTGGAGAGACGACGGATGTAACTTCAATAGCGCGCAATCCCGTGTCATGTAGCTTGCGTATAAGCTCGAGCTTGACGTTTGTGGGCACCTTTTGGGCGATGTTTTGTAGCCCATCGCGGGGTCCGACCTCGACGATTCTGATGTTCCTGTCCATGAGTGATGATTAGGAGGCACTGTCTCAAGCGTTGTCTAATGCACTGAAACGACTTATTTTAAGCCGGAAATAATCCGACATATGCAATCCGATTGCCAAATTAATTATCTGCTATTTGCCTGGTCACCCTTTAACGATTGGGTTGGGTGCGGACCGCCGGCTATTGTTGGCCCGACCGGACCGAACTTGTGGCCGCTCGGTCCGCACTCCGCACCACCTTAGATATTCTCAATAGGATTCTGACTAAGGATTGTGGCCTGGCAGATGCTCAGAAGGGAGTCGTTTGAGGGCAAGGGGGTTCTCGAATAAGGTAATTGACAATTCTTGCACTGTCTCGGCAGCGTGGATTAAGCATCAGTGCCCATATTTCTCGAGAGTACGAATGCATGGAACATGGTATGTTGAGTGTCATATTACGAAACCGGCTCCATGAATGCCCCGTTGAAAAAAAAACGACGACGCTTCTGGGTGCGATGGCTGGGTTTCTGTTTACATGACAATCTCAAAAAGGGAATGGTGACCTGCGAGTATGTACTTAATTATGTAGACATCTAGCTATAGTTTAGGCCTGATCATGCTCTGCTTGACAAGTCGATTCCCAATATCTCGAAGTAGATGTTTTTGGATCTTTCCACTCCCGGTCTGAGGGAAATTGACCACGGCTTCCTCAGCACCCACCCAGAAAATATGCTTGGGCGCCTTGTGTCGACCCAATTTCTCTATCGCCCAAGCACGAATCTCTTCATCACGGGGTCGGCTTTTTGCCGCAGGCGCCAATCTCACAAAGGCGCCCACTACTTCGCCGTATTTTTCGTCATGTATCCCGACGACACTGGCTTCTGCAATGGCTGAATGCTCAAGAAGCCGTTCTTCGATTTCTCGAGGGAAAATATTCTCGCCGCCTAGGGCCAAGATGTTAGCGAGACACAGCCTGGTGGCTAGGAAGAACGGAAACGTACCGCGAATGATCATGTCCTTGATACGACCAGTAAGATAGGCATATCCATCGTCATCAACAAACACCTCGTCGCCAGTGTGCATCCACAGAACTCCATCTTTGTCCTTCTTCATGACCTCGTCTGTCATCGCTTGGTTTCTCCAGTAACCCTTCTGCAAGCCAAAGCCGCTGGTGCACAGCTCCCCTTTTTTGCCTCTTGGCACAATGTTTCCTTCGCTGTCAATGACTTTTCCCATCGCGTGTGGTATGATCCGACCGATGCTATTCAGTCGTCTTTCAAGCGAGTCTTCCATGTTTGTAAGGAATGTTACTGGACTTGTTTCCGTCATTCCATACGCGATGAGAACCTTGTCAAGGCCCATCTTGATGCTCATCTTCTTGCCCAAGGCCGCTGGCATAGTTGAACCAGCGCTTAGACCTAATCGCAAAGTTGTCGGAGTCCACCCTATCTTGTCCGTCACTTCCATTTCCGCGACAAACATGGTCGGCACTCCATACAGCACCGTGGCGTGGTAGTCTATGATGGATTGTATCACTTGGCCTGCATCAAAACTATCCGACGGGAAAATGATTGCACTTCCGTGAGTGAAAGAAGCCATAAACCCAAGGACAAGGCCAAAACAGTGAAACAATGGCGGTGGACAGCACACTATGTCATGTTCAGTTAAGTGCAAGGCATCCCCTACGAATCTTCCGTTGTTGATGATGTTGCTACATTTCGTAAGCATGCCACTCTAACGAAGGAGCAGGTGGACCATACAAACTTGACAACATCGCAGCTTTCGGGTCGCCAGTTGTACCTATCCAGAAAATTAATATGGATGGCTATGATAATCTTTCATCAACAAGATCTTACCTGAGGTGAATTGAAGGTTGATTATGTCTTCGGGCGTGACCGACTGTGCAATCCGTTTCAATTCTGCAGCACTCGCCGCGTCAACTAATGAGGTCGACAGAAACGAATTATACTCTTGAATTTTGACTTCTCCTTTAAGCCCGGATACCTCATCAAAAGAAATGACTTGTAACAAATCAGGAAGTGGAGACCCTGGTGTATTGTGCTGATGCAACTGCTCGATATGCTGATGCAGTTGTCTAGACCCAATAGAGGGTGCAATAAATAGCACTTTGCAACCTTTTGTGCCTAGTTAGCTCTATACTCGGTAAACTCTGATGTGGAGTACTTGCTGCTTTTCTGTAATGCATTCTGAAGTTCATAAGGAGTATATGTCGTGTTCAGAACCACAACAGGGCATCCGAGTCTAGATGCTCCAAGGAGGGTTTCCAGATACTCGAAACGGTTACCGGCCATAATGCCAACGCACTCGCCATGACGGAGCCCGAGTTTGAATAAAGCTTCTGCTACTACCCAGCTTCGAGCTGCCAGCTGGCGGTAGGAAAGGCGCGCTGATTGCCATGGAATAATGACTGCGGGCCGGTCCCCGTACTGAAATGCTTGCTGATCCACGAGAGAGCCTAGAGACGTATGCCAAAGAGGCGGTTCTGTTGGGCCCTTGAGGAGACTCAGTGTCGACTGGGGTGGTTCCATGTTGCTCGGCGATGGAGGAAATGGCCTAAGCGTGGCAAGGTGAATAAGTGAGAGATTAAGTGGCAAGGTTACACAAGAATTCTTACCGCCTAAATTGAAATGTTACGAAAATTCTCTTCTTACCATGCCCATCTATACTTTGTTCAGTATCTTAATGAGGTGCCCCGGACTTCGATTTGTCGCTTTTCCGGGGCTGCTCCACAGCTATCCGTCTCTCGGTCCGGCTGTCCGATGGCGCTCCTCTCCGGAACGCCATTATCCCACATTTGATGACATGGCCCAGCCAAATTAACTGGCCTTCTCTATTGATCCCATTGTGTCAAAGTAAATCTCCTTGGCTCCTGTTGTATCTGTTCTATCATTGTCGAGACTATTCGCCGCCCAAAATGTCGACCTCATACTCGTATCCCGCTGTACAGTCAAAGCTCAATATTCACGATCAGGATTTCAAGAATAATCGAGAAAAATGGACGCCGGTTCTGGAAAGATTCGAGACTGCGCTGCAGGATGTTTGTAACGAGGGCACTGCCGCCTCGCTTGCGCGTCACCAGAGCCGAGGTCAATTGCTACGTATGTGAACCCGGCTCAATAGGCGTTGGCCTCTTGTCTTCGGGCGGGAAAACTGACCATGATCAATTCAGCGCGAGATCGGATCGCATTACTTCTGGACCAAGATTCTCCTTTTCTCGAACTTTGTTCCTTTGCAGGATTTGGAAATCCTGATTCCACTGCATGCGCGAACTTGATTGCCGGTGTTGGGACAGTAAGGTAACTCAACAAGCCCGATGGAATTTGTTCGCCGCACAAATCTGACGTGGATAGCGGAAAAATATGCTTAATCATGTCCCACATTCCCACTCAAAGTGGTGGTGCTTGGAATGAGATGACAGGTGAGTGACCTTGACGAAGTGCCGTACGCTCTGCTAACCGTAGCCACAGTGCTCAAGGTGAACCGGATGCTAGAAATAGCGTTCGAGAATGACTTACCCTTGATATCTCTGGTTCAATCTGTAAGACTGCCTTTTATTCAATTGACACAAACTAACTCTGCTCCAGGCTGGCGTTTTCCTTCCACAGCAGTTCCGCGTTTTCCACAAAGGTGGCCAACTCTTCCACGATCTCGCCATCCGTAGTCTTCACGGCAAGCCGTCGTGTGCTGTGGTATTTGGATCCTCCACTGCAGGAGGAGCCTACCATCCTGCCTTGTCGGACTATACCATCTTTGTCGCGAACCAAGCCCAGGCTTTCCTTGGCGGACCTCCTCTGGTTAAAATGGCGACCGGAGAAGTGATTGGGGCCGAGGAGCTGGGCGGCGCCGAGATCCATGCTACGCGAACCGGCCTCGCGGACCAGATTGCCTCGGACGAGTAAGCACCAGATGATTGACTACGTGGCTACAGCTAACAGAGTTGTCAGATTTGATGCGATTCACAAAACACGCGACTGGGTTGCCTCCTTGAAATCCAAGTCGAGGCGCCTGCTGTCCGAGGCAATGGAACCTCTACCTCCGAGATATCCTATCGAAGACGTGCTTTCCCTTGTTAACCCAGATATCCGCAAGGCGTTTGACATGAAGGAGGTGGTGCTACGCCTGGTCGACGATTCGAGGCTCTCTATTTTTAAGCCCAAATACGGACCAAACATGCTCACTGCCTGGGCTCACATAATGGGTAAGTCCATATCAACAGCACCTGCAACGTTCATATCACTCTAACACTTGGAGGTTTCCCGGTCGGCATTGTGGCCAATCAGATATCAGTCATCAACCCCAACGAGGCGGCCAAGGCAGCTCAATTTATCCGACTTTGCAATCAAGAGTGAGTCGTCAATTTTTACACTGTTTAGATAATAACTAATCTGGTATGAAGGGGCACCCCCATCATCTTTCTCCATAATGTGACTGGATTTATGGTCGGTGCAAAGGCCGAGCATGCGGGCATCATCAAAGTTGGAGCACAGCTTGTCTCTGCTGTGTCGTGTTCGCAAGTCCCTCACATCTCCATTATTCTAGGTGCTTCGTACGGCGCTGGAAACTACGCCATGTGTGGTAGATCATACAAGCCTCACTTCATCTTCACATGGCCGACAGGGAAATGCAGCGTTATGGGACCAGACCAACTTGCCGGCGTGATGGAGCAGATCCAATCCGCAAAGGCCCGACCCAAGGGAGAAGAAGTGTCTGCGGAAACCATACGGGGACAAACCGATACCTTTAAGAAACAAGTGCAGAGGGATGCCGAAAGCTACTCCACCAGCGGCATGCTGATAGATGATGGTATTATTGACCCAAGAGACACGCGCGATGTGCTGGGAATGTGCCTCGAGGTAGTTGGTGGAGCAAGGCCTTCGAAGATGGAGAGTAGTAGGTTTTTGGCCCGAATGTGAGATATATCTAGATCTTCTTTCCCTTCTTTCCATTGAAATTTTGCTATTAGAATTCCCATTGCGTCACAGTTTACCTGCATTGACTTTGATCATATCTACACCTCGCCTTATTTGGCATAGTCAGAGACCACAAGTGACATAACGCATGAAAGTATCTCAAATGATATATTAGATGTATACACGGGTCTTCAAGCCGCAGCAGGCCCATTTAAACCATGTACAACCGAATTATGCCTTCAGCACCAGCTCGATGATGCTTTGGAACGCACCAGGAACAGTAAAGACTGAGCGAACCTCAAGATTCTCATCGGCCTCCTTGAACAAAGCTTTCCATTCGTCCAAAGTGCGCTCCATACTGTTGAAAGCCGTGAGCATTTGCAGGTCGGCGGCAGATAGCATGCGCTGAGCCATGACAGGCATTGTACGATTGCCATGCTCATCATGAGCCGGCGGGACCACATTCTCACATAGCAGAATACGAGCGCCGGGTTTGAGGCTCGGAACCAGGTTCCTCAGAATAGAACAAGCATCCTTGTTTGGCCAATCGTGTAGGACCATCTTGAGAAAGTACACGTCGGCTGTTGTGGGCTGAGGGTTGAAGAAGTTGTGCACCTCGTAGGAGACGCGAGACGCCATGGCAGGTGGCAAATTGGATTGAAACTTGGCTTGGTTTTGTTGTAGATCCTGGACAATGAACTTGAGTGCAGGAAAGCTCTCGGCAAGGGCTAGGGCATCATGGCCTGCTGAACCTCCGACCTGATGGGTTTGGTCAGCCAATGTTCCACCTGATTCATATAGGTACATGAACAGTCGACTTGTACTTACATCAATTACAGTAGCCTCGCCGAAGCTGTTCCAGTCAAAAGCAACCAGCAGATCAGGTGCCTTGACAGCCGAAGTCGAAGCAGCTATCTGCATCGCCTCAGCAAACCTGTTGGCGCGATATCCCTCTGGCTTCCCCTCGGGAGTCCTGTCTATGTACTCCCAGGGTGATATCGGATGACCGAGGTGGTCAACATCAGCGAGCGCGACGCCAGAGTTCAAAATATCCTCGCTTGGCTTGTCCCTCCCTGCGCTGAACTTGCTGAGAGACTCGGGGACGTATACGGTTCCCGGGCGGACGTCCTCAAAGTTGTGGCCTAGCCAGCTACGCCAGTTTGGATATCTGGCCATGAAGGCTGTGGTAGAGGTGTGAGTTATGCTGCCCGAACCAGGCGGCTTTTCCGCAAATAGTCTCATAGTCATGGCATGTCTGATGACTCGTCGCACGATGGATTCTGGAAGGTTGGTTTTGCTAGCTATCTCGCCGTAACTGGCAGAGCCACCAAGTGGAACTGCAGAGAAAAAGTCGAACTGGTTTATGATATCCATAATCATCGTGTCATGGTTCCACTTTGCTCTCTATGTCAGCGACAACTTGTCTAGATTGGGGTTACTTACGAACAGCGGCTGCATAAATGCCATGTCTTCTGGCCCAAGAGCCATGTGGTACAGGTCAGAAGTGGCTTCTATCAGCTGGAATCGGAGCCCCATCAACTGGGGGTCTTTGGGATAGCGTTCCAGGCCTTCTTCTTGGAAGGATGGCGCCGGATGGCCATTGTCTTCGAGGTACTTTGCGATGGCATTCGCAGCATCCGAAATGGATGCTGCGAGGCTAGCGAGTGTTGGTTCCGGTGAACTCATTTCGGTGTTGATGTGCTTGAGATGGATTTGAATGAGGAATTGAGACCGACTAGGCACTGCGTTAACACAGAGATATTAAAACGCAAGGCTCCTCGGGATTACTTGACTCCTAGCTTTATTTGTACATGGCACCACTCATCCATCTACTAGAATAATTTCAACCAATGAGTCATTTGCCAATGTATGCACTGCTGACATGGCTGTCAGATCTTGGTCTTATTGGAGCTTAGGACACGAATTGATAACCGAAGGGAGACAAGATTGACCAAAGTTCTTTCCCAAGTCGTCTTTGACTGGAGGAACAAGGGTATGACTGTACACAAGACCGCCAAAAAGGTCAGCACTAGGATGCAATGATACACGCGCGCATGCATGGTAAGCCACGCCAGAGAATGCCACCGAATTTCGAGCATAAAGGCAAGAAAGGGAAAAGGAAACGACACGCAAAAGGTTAGAACAACGAGCTATGACAGCGGCATGACGTATTGAGGGGTAGTGTGGACGAGATGAGATGCGGGCAGATGGTGTATTGGTTGGATGAGTGATGTTTGCTGGACCTTTACGCATATGGATGGTATGATGATTCGACTAGGCTGGGTTCTGATATGATAACTCAACTCGGATTGTGACTCAAGATGATTCACGTAGGAGAGTTGGGCAATGCGGTTGGGTGGATTTACGGGGCTGTTGAGCCATTCAATAGGCTGTTGCAAATTGGGCATGACCTCTTGGCTTTTGCTACAACCGTGGCTTCGCATCAAGGCTTTGCATCTAAGCAAAAGCCAACATGGAGCTGCCTGTGCAGTGAGCTACCTAGTATTATCTCGGTGCAACTCGTCATTCAGCCAGTGAATAAAACAGCGTCGAGCTGCACCGCCCCAGCGAATAGCCTCACAAAAGAGGAATACGGTGGGGATCTGTGAAAGCGGGGTTCCCAAGGCAAATCTCCGTCCGATCTAGCCACGCCCGGAGAAACGCGGCCAGATACCCGTCCGTCGGTCCGCCTTGGAATGAGCGGATTCGGAGACGGAAAGACGGACCGGGAATAACTGTTTTGGGAGGATTGGCCATATGTACATACTCAAGGTGCGCTTCAATTCATTTTGTAGACCGCCATTAATAGAATACCTGTGATTCGACAACCAATTAGCGACTTCATCCGTCGTACTGCCCTCATTTACGTCGGAAGCTGAAGTCGAGATGGAGACATTCCCGCAGCGAGAGCCTCTCTTCCTGGCACCTCAGCCAATAGATCCTAGTACTGGACGATTGGTTATCCAAAAAGTGCTTATTGCGAATCGAGGCGAGATTGCATGTCGTGTCATTGCGACTTGCCGAAAACTTCAAATTCGCACCGTAATTATATACGTGCAAGAGTAAGCATTTCTGTCAACTGACTGCAAAACTGTACAAATGGCTTATAATATCTAGGGATGCGGATTTACGGCACGTTGTCGAGGCTGATGAAGCCATCAACGTGGGAAGCATTTCGGCCCATGCGATCAATCCATTTTTAAACATCGACCTGCTGGTCCAAACGGCACTCGATACGAGATCAAGCGCTGTCCACCCTGGCTACGGCTACCTGAGTGAAAATGCCGACTTTGCTACTCGCGTTGCCGAAGCTGGGCTGATCTTTCTCGGCCCCAGCCCTTCTGCCATGTCGACCCTGGGCGATAAACGAAGATCAAAGAAGTATCTGCAGGACAATGCGCCCGACGTCCCCTTGATTCCCGGCTTCTCCGGGTCTAGCCAACAGGTAGGGGACCTCGAAAAAGCGGCAGAGGAAATCGGGTTCCCGGTCATGCTCAAGGCGTCCGCCGGTGGAGGTGGAAAGGGCATGCGCATTGTGTGGGAGTCGGCGCAGCTTCGCGACGAGTTGGAGCGAGCCCAGTCAGAAGCTTCGAGATCCTTTGGATCCAGCGATTGCATCTTGGAGAAGTACGTTGAAAGCAGCAAGCATGTGGAGATTCAGATTATCGGCGACAAGTACGGAAACGTCGCGAGCTTCTTTGAGCGAGAATGTTCTGTTCAGCGCCGCCACCAAAAGGTCATCGAGGAGACGCCTTGTATATTTCTCTCCGACGAGGTCCGACGCGAGATGGGAGAAACTGCGGTCCGCATCGCCAAACTCATTGGGTACGAGAACGCCGGCACTGTCGAATTCGTCGTCGACGTCAAGACGTCCCGGTTCTTCTTCCTCGAAGTCAACGCGCGGCTGCAGGTAGAGCATCCTATCACTGAAGAAATTACTGGAACCGACCTCGTCGCCTTGCAACTGTTCGTCGCAGCAGGAGGCAATTTAACATCGCTATCACACATCGAATCCCTCAAGCAGACGGGCCATGCTATTGAGTGTCGACTTTGCGCCGAGGACCCAGCACGAGATTTCTTCCCAGAGCACGGTAAAGTCCAGCTTTGGCGCCCAGCAGATGGGCCTCTTGGACCGGGTAGAGATGTTCGGTATGAGACGGCCATACAAACGGGTTCCTCGGTGTCAATCCACTTCGACTCTATGATTGCCAAAATTGTGGTGTGGGCTCCAACGAGAAACTTGGCCATAGAGAAGATGGCAAACGTCCTGGCTCATACAGCCTGCATCGGTGTCAAGACCAACCAACTGTTCCTCCAGCGCTGCCTTTTAGAACCTGCGTTCCAAGATCCGCGGTACAACACATCCTTCATCAATCAGAACCTAGAACGCCTACTCCGGTCCCCAGACTGGGAGGGACAAGAGTTTTCGAGGAAGCTTGCGAGCGTCATTCCCAGTCTGTTCATCCGCAAGTTACCTCACTATCTGTGCGGAGGCGTATCTAGCAGACGCCCTTTTCAGAACGTCCGAAAGCAATTCCGGAATCAGCGCTACGATCCAGTTAGTGTGCATTGCGACGTCGTCACAGGTGATTGGCCTGGTGACTCTAACGAGTCTGGCGAAAAAGCTCCGCCGACGCTATGTTTATGGATGCCTGCATCCCCGCGCGTGGATTCACAACATGAGCAAGTCAAGATCATCCCCTTCGGTGCATCCGGAATGTCCGGAGACGAGAAGAACAACAAAGAAAATACTGACGTCCCCAACAAAGCGGCCATTGCAATTACTAGCCAATACAACAACATCAGCAATAAGCTTCGACACATAGCAGATGACCCAACAGTTTCCACAGAGGTCAGCATTGTCCGCTGGACTCCTATCTTAGACGCCGCATCTCCAACCTCCAGCCATTCATTCTCAGCAACCCTTGAGATCTCAATCCACGGGTCCAAAGTCCAGGCCCACTGTGTTACGCCTTCCAGCGAGTCTGGTCTTCTGAGCCACTCGCAAGTTGTATTCTGCCACATTCCACAACTCGGAACATATGTCCAGTTCCAAAGGCACAGCCTTCTGTCGTATGCCGAGGGCCTTCGCTCCACTGTTGCATCGCAGATCGGTGAAGTGCAGAACGACATTCTAGCACCAATGCCATGCAAGGTCCTGTCGCTGCAAAAGAGCATTGGAGAGGAAGTGAAAGTAGGGGAGGCTGTCATGATTATAGAGAGTATGAAAATGGAAGTCAGCATCAAGGCTAGCAAGGAGGGACGGTTTGAGACATCGTGGAAAGCGGGTGATGCGGTAGACGAAGGGAAGGTTCTTTGTCGGATTGAGTCGTAAGATTATTGCGAGAGATTAGAGGTTAAATCACTACATGGATAAGCTTGGTCCTTCAACTCGTGCCTCGGCTCATTCAAGTGGATGAGTGACGTGGTCCTGCTTGTCGGTGTTGCGGGTTTCAGCTACCTGGTTCCACCGCGAACCGCCCGTTCCGAGAGCTGGGTACAATATTCATCCCGTACCGAGGACTTCATTCCACCCGTGAGCCCAAGTGCTATTATCAGGGCATTCAGTACGGACTTCTCGTCGCAGTGCATCTCATTGCACCTCATTCGCGGACTCGGACTACGTAGCAACACCGGTCTGGGTAATAGAAGCATACTGGAGTGGCCAGTCCTTATCATTCCGTCTCATCCGGCAATTCAGCTCGACCCCCAAGTAGTGCTAGCTACAGACTTCTTAAGAATCGCTATTGCAACTACAGCGGCTTCGTCGCATCGTTCGTGATCCTACATTGTGCATTTCTTCTTCCTTCCCCATCTGTCCTACTCTACTTCCTTCGTCCTCCTTCGTGCCCAGTACACGCCTTCCCCTTCAGTTAAATCGCCTCTTCCTTCCACTTATTCTCATTCCGGAGGGTAGTAATTGCTGCAACATGGTCTGTTTGACTTCCTCTAAGGCATGTTGATTAATCGATGCCTAAATAAAATGTGGCTGTGCAATCCTTCGATCTACAAGGTAACACTCCAAGGTAACATGTCGCATGTTTGCGATTGGCGTCAGCCCAGCTCAAAAAGCTTATCATACATGTGTGGATCATTTCAGGGGCGTTTCAGCAAGAGCATTGTCGCTGGAAAGTGCCGTAAGCGCCCAGAAGGATCCGGTCGGACCTTCTCCAGGCGCTTCCAATCCTTTGAACTGCGAGATTTGGGGGCTGAGCTGGATACGAAGAACCACGAAGCGGCAATGGCGGAAGAACTACAGAAGGATTCTTGAACTGGTTGCGTCTACAGAGTGAAGAAACCTGAATTTTAGTACGGTCGGGTTCCTGCTTCCTCTCCTCCCACACTTGGGCACTAGAGAAGAAGAGCATACTTACGTTCTCCAGCGGATCAAGTCGCTTTTTTTATCTACGGTGCCTATTCTTAGTTCACCGTGTGATTTTTCATTCACATCAATTAGTCGCGCGACCCTATCCGAATAGCCTTCGGCATTCTTCATGTTAAATCGTCTCAGAGTAAACCCAGCTTCCGACAACGAGCTGAATCTTAGTCGCTGGTCTTGGGGGCCAATGGCATCCTTCTCAATACTACCCCGCTAGTAACTGCACTAAAATGGCAGGTCCCCCTGTATCCCCTGTCACTAATTGCGCTCCTGCTAGGCCGTCTAATCAGTTCCTCACGTCAAAGGATGGAAGCCCTGAGATCTCTAGATCCTTAGCCTCTTAAAATGATCGAATGGTGGCTGTGTACAAGTTTAATGGCTTCTATGTATTTTTAAAGTATTGCTTCGACTAATCAAAGACAGACATCCTATGGCTCGATACCTTGAAATGACCTCAACTCCTATTTGTACACTAGAAACTTTATGATAAGCTTGAAAATACAATTAATACTTAAAGCTGGTCGATTCTGCTGAGATTAAGAATGAACAATCAACCCAGCATCAAGCTCCTCATCCATCACACAACCTAAGCCTACGCATCCCTACATCCCTTTACTACATCATGCTTTCCAACTTGGTTACTGCGTTTGCATACCTGTCTCTGGCAGCTGCAATGCCCGCAAAGCGACAGCCAATCGACGAGCGTGGCCTCCACAGCATCATCAACGACCTGGATGCTCGTGGCGAAAGCCTCGATTCGCTCATCAAGCGAATTGACCCCAAAATCTACAGAGACGAAATTCCTGATTGTTCTACGGAGGACCCGAGCTTCATGATCCCGAAGCAGACCGGTTACTCGGTTGATCAAGGTGTCAAGCTTCCGAGGATGGGCAACAATGATGCTTGCACGACTGGGCACAACGGCGATCACTGCTGGACTGAGTACTGGCTCGTTGAGTCTGCAGTAGAGTATACAAGCTGGCAGAACTCTGGTGCTGCTATTGACTGCAAATCAACGTCGTCTTGTAATTCGAATGTTGCTCAACTCAGACAAAGCTGCACCTCATACACCCGCTCATCGAGCAATGGTGTCGACTACAAGATTCTGGACGCCTCTTTAGCCTATGCCATTCCCAACACTGCAGCTACGGTCACCTTCGGCAGTAGCATCAACTACCAGCATACCGATGTTAGCAGCGACACAAGCATGATCTGCACAACTGATTCCACAACCAAGTATGATTCTCATTAAGCCCCCAATAAATGGCCTTTTGCTAACCGTCAAACTCTAGCCAATGCAACTGGGAGGACCAAGCCTGTCACCAAGTCTGGTTTGCTGATCGCACCAAGCGAATCTGGGGACACATGGACCGAGTCTGTGTTGGCACGACTGACGCGGGTAAGTACCCTGATGTTCAAAGATCTGACCCAATTCTAACCGATTTTTGCACAGCGGTTCAGCAGCAAACTCTCAACGCCAACGGCCGCTATGTTCGCGGCCAGGCTGAATTCAGCATTGCCATTCCTATCAACCACATTGTTGGCTGCAATGCACTTTGCTCCGATCAAACCTACAGCGAGCCTATCCCTACTGATGGAACTGTTCGCATGCCGTTTGATGTCACCTTTGATTAGGTGTATTTACAATATGCTAGATTGAGGTGGAAGTTTTGAGGGTAGCGGTCGCTTGTTATGCCGGGGCAGTGTCAACTCCGGGTCAGCAGTATATGCTGAGAACCTGGAAAAAGCTCTGTGTGGTATTTCATCAATCGATATATTTGTCTTTAGATTTAGGTTGTCAGTAAGCAGATTCTTCTACATGTTGCAAATCCGTACTCTTTATTATCCAATGCTCTCTAGCCTTTTGAGGGCTGCTCAGCTATCCCATGCACACTACATCAGGTAAGCAGCTCAATAAACTGGTGAGTTTTAACACTATTCTGGCATCGATATGTGCATTCTGAAGAGAAACGTTCGAGTTTTCCGAAATTGGGGTTTTATTTCAAGCTTGCATGAAATGCTGGTTCATCGAGATCCCATCGGCTTGGCTGGAAACGTAAAATGACACTAGCTAACTTATAACGGATATAGAAGCGCCTGGAATCGAGGTTCTCTTACTGTAGTTGAGAATGCACGTCCGTCGGATATAACGGAGAGAAGGTTGATGGATCCATGATGCTGCAGTAGGAGGAAGCTAGTACTTGGTGAAGCGGGGCGGATGACTAAAAAAGGCAAGGGCAATGACTGTAGTAATTTCACCATGTCCTCCAATCTGTAAACTTCGGGTGGCTTTCTTGGCTCAACTTGCAGCTTCAGTGCTTAGGGAACGATACGCGAAGTGCTGCATCGGAATCCATGACTCGCAGCTCGGTGATTACGTTATTTTGGTTCCATCCCCACTACTAGGTGGGCTCCAAAAGCGGCCCCAGTCTGCCTCGCTCATCCAGGAGGCAGGAGGGGGGTCGTTGTGTGAGGAAAACAAAGATACGCCAATTGCAGATTGGAACAAGTAAGGAAACAAGCCAGTCATTTGATGTGATTTATATAAGTATCCTAGGAATAACTAACTACAGTATAGAGTGTTTATTTATACGAGCACCCGAACCTACTGTCTCTTCTAGCACTGGGTGTAGTACTAAATATGTGTCTCTATTATTTGTGCGATATTGAGTAAATCTAAAAGAAAGAAAAAACACTCAATATCAACACATACTTGGTCAATCAAATGTCAGTACATTGGCACATACACTGATATATGCTTGTGTTTATGTGCCATTGGATACTCTCCCAACGAACGACGCCCCCATCTGGTTCGTTACTCTTAGATGAGGGGGCCGCTTTTAAGGGCCCTTAGTATTAAACAGCTTCCGATTCATGTTGACTACTGCCCATAGGTCGGACCCGTCCTGGACATAGGTTTGTGATACCCTTCATTCTCGTGTACCCAAGATATACCATCTGGTTACACCGTTAGTAAAATTAAAAAGTAAATGGCATGTAGAGGATAACCTTTTATAATATGCTGTCATTGATCATTGATCGTTGGGGATGTTAAGCAAGGGCAGTAGATCTATATTTCGAGTGCATATATGCACCTGAGGATTATAGCCACGGTATCTGACCAGAATTTAACAAAACCAGTGTAATTAGACTCTAAACATCATAATTCTGCCTAGCTACTCATCCAAGGCAGGTGTATCTGCAAAGGAAGTCTTGGCAAAAGCCTCCGGATACCGGTCACCCGAGATATCCGCCTTCTCAGTCTCCAGCCGCACGTCGTTCTTCTCCTTCTCGGTCAGGGAAACTCCACAACTGCCCACGTTCTCAGTCAATCGTTCCGGCTTCGTCGTTCCGGGAATTGGGAAGATGTCATCGCCCTGCGACATAAGCCAAGACAAGGTTAACTGCGATGGCGTTACTCCTTTCTCCTTGGCAATCTCGGAGATTCTGTCCACAATCGCAATGTTTTTAGGGAAGTTCTCTTCGCTGAATCTGGGCAACCACGCCCGAATATCCCCCTCTTCGAAGTCGGCATGGGAGCGCAAGGTTCCGCTCAGCATGCCCCGGCCGAGAGGAGAGTACGCAACGACGGCGACGCCAAGCTCCCGCGCTGTCTCCAGAAGCTTGAACTGCTGCGACTCAATCTCCAGCGAGAAGGGTGAGTACTCCATCTGCACTGCGGAAATTGGATGCACGGCGTGTGCGCGACGGAGAGATTCGGCGCTGCACTCGGACAGACCCAGATACTTGATCTTGCCAGCCTCCTTAAGCTGCACCATGGCGCGCACAGTCAACTCGATGGGAGTCTTCTGGTCCAGTCGGTGACAGTAGTACAGGTCAATTGAGGATACGCCGAGACGCGAGAGTGACTTGTCGCAGGCCGCCAGGCAATATTCGGGTGAGCTGTCGATCGCCATGTTGCCATCTACATACTTGTTGGCGAACTTAGTTGCCAGGAAGATGTCATCTTGCTTCTCTGGGTTGAGTTTAAACCAACGACCGATGAGGTCTTCGGAATCCCCGTACATGTCGGCTGTTGATAGTTAGTACAGCGCATCATGAAGTATTTCGGCTGACTGGATGGTCGTCCTGGGCTTACCGGTATCCCAAAAGGTCTCGCCCAGCTCGTGAGCCTTATCTAGGAGCTTCATGCGTTCAGCGTCAGGCTTGGCAGCGCCGTAGAAGGCGCTAATGCCCATCAAACCGAGGCCTAGCCGAGTAACCTGAGGGCCATTTTTACCCAGAGGGCGCGTAGGCAATACATGGGGCGACATTGTGTTGGGGCTTAGCTGGTTTCGTGATAGAAGGTGTTGATCGAGAACTCGATATGAGTCTGTTGACAATGTAGGTGAAGCGGATCAGAGAAATTGAAGGGCTGCGGGCTATTTGCACTTTTATACTTCGAGGTCTGTAAGTTTGTTGGTACTACTGCTCGGTCTGTACCACCACCCTGACTCCACGCAGCCTTGGCTCCTTTTCAACAAGTGGCTGCAGGAGTATGCACACTGCACGGCCTTAAGCTTTTATCCCCATTCAGCCCCTGATTTATTGACGAAAAGGCGGATGTGAGTTTCGCAACATATTAATCACGTTATCAACTCCGCCTCCGTTATCTCCGGCGACGTGCAGTAGCCAACTTAGTTCTCCGCAAACCTCCGACGTAGTTTCTCCACGATGGTCCACTGAAAGCCCCGCTTAGAAAGCCTAGAGCACGCGTTCTCGTTCCATGACGTCTTTATTAGGCAATCCAACACCCGAGGCTGATAACATCCCAGCGCACGTCGTCTACCGAGGCCTAGTGTACCTCCACTCTACTACTTGAGATTCTGAGCGACACTCTACAGGGGAAACCTTGCTTAACTACATTGGCCGAACAAAATTCGTTAGTCGTCGTGGAAACTGATTGCCGGATGTTGCGACACCGATGCGCTGTGAGGGCTTCTTGACCGCAGAGCGTCGTCCATGTGTGTCAGAGCCTAGTCTAAGAGACACGGAATTTTATTTTAACGATTGACGATTCATCCAAAGCACATTCATGTAATATATCGGACAGAATTGAGTCAATTGCAAGCCCTCCATTAAACCCCAAAGTGAGCGTATGGAACCCAATACATCGCTCCAACTCCTTCATCTTCGACACATAGCACAACGTCCCTCGGTAATATATCGTCTCTCAAGTGCCTGGAGCCCGCATCCACAGCGCCTTTCCCTTTTTCATTTTTCACGCTATCTATCAGTTTGACTAGCCTGATGTTTGACTTCAAATCCAGCCAACGGTTCGAAGCTGTCTAGTAGCGGTGTGAAGACCCTGACCGGCGGAATGGTCAGTTTTTTCCCCCTCATGCATCCCGTCATACGTCATATTCGTCATATCCACACACAACTCATCATTGTCTTCTCACAAAGTCCCAATAACGTGCCGAAACCCCGACAGGGGCAGCCGCTGATCAAGTCAATGATTCGTCAAAAACTTCTCTTTTTTAATCTGGCTAGTCCCACAAGCGGACAGATATGCAAGGAATGAAGAATGCCTGCGGAGATTTAGTTCAAGAAGATCAGCGACTGTGAGAGACCATTTCTTCCCGTCTAGCAGCAGTTGGCTATTTAATGGATCGAGATCATGATGTGACCCTGGCCAGAGAAATGATATCCTTCACTGAGGCATACGCGAGATGAGACCTTGTTTGTGTCGGAACGGTTCTACCGCATCGAGTCCCATCGCCTCACATAGACCGCGGATTGTGTCAATTTCTTCGGCTACAAAGCGTAGCTTTGAATGTCCTGGTGTTATCTCCATAGACATGAGCAGTGCTTGGTCGAAAGTAACAACTGTAATGTGGTGTTACAACGGTACTCACTAACGTCAATGTCGACGATAGGATCGTATTTGTAGTCCCTTGAATCTCAGCGGCGCTCGGAGCAAGTAGGTACTCCTCGAGTTCGGGTTGTTGGCGAATCTTAGCGATCAACTAGTCAAGCTCCTTGCCCCCTCATACCGCCGCTGAGAGGCAATTTTCTGGGAAGGCTCGGCATCATATTCCAGCCAAACCTCCGGCATCCAAGACTCCCCTTCAGTGCAGAGATATTTCCAGTTTCACATATTTGGCGCTGAGACTATTCCCGAGATTGCTCACTCGTCCTACTCGGTCCGTATGATTTTTCGGTGTTGTGTCGACCGCATCTTGCAAAAGTCGAATGGCTGTTTCGAGGTCGTCCAAGGCAATGCTGGCAAATCCTGAAGTCGATTCAATGCCTCCACGGCCGAGCAGAATGCCGCTTCCACACTAGCTGTTGGTCTCACTCAAGCGTGCACAAGGTAGTCGGATGCTGATGTGGCTGTCTTCTTCACGGTTCCATCTCAGATGGGATGCAGTCAGGCGGCTAACCGACTCAGCCCAGTGCTCACTTGCTCATACCCAGCTGGGTCTCACACTGCAATTTTAGCACTGTAAGGAGATTGAAGGTGCGCCGTCGCTAGCATCGCAAAGACGTGGAACCTTCACTGCAATTTTAGTCCTCCCACGGGAGTTAAGACGCCCCACTAATCTATATTATACGCCCCGCGCCGATCGGAGAGATGTATTCACTGCAATTTTAGCACTGCGAGGGGACTTGACGCCCCCACTTATGCATCTTCATCGGGAGCTAGCGCGTGGTGGACGGCTCGGCAGCATTTCACGGCAATTTTAGCACTGTAAGGGGATTCTCAGCTAATATGTGTTTGCACTCAAGACTTCCTAGGCTAGCTATTGGTCCTCTGTAAGGGGATTGGAGGTGACCCTTCACTGCAATGTTAGCACTTGAAGGGGAGTTGATGTCCCCACTTATGCATCTTTATCGAGAGCCCAGTCGTGACCCCGGATTGTACAGTACGAGTCCTTCAACCGAATAGAAAGTATTTCACTGCAATTTTAGCATGGTAAGGGGAGTTGATATCCCCACTTATGCATCTTCATTGGGAGCTAGCGCGTGGCCCAGGATCGTACTGTACCTAAGTTCCAATTGAAATGTATTGCACTGCAATTTTAGCACTTTCAGAGGAGTTGATGTCCCCACTTATCATGCATCCTCGGACCGTAAAAACTCCGTCAACTCACGCAGGTCATCGCCCCAATAGGAAGAGACATCACAGGAGATATTTTACTTCAATTTTAGCACTTCAAGGAGAATTGGGCTGCGTCAACCATCCATCTTTTGGACCTAAACATCCCTGCGTTTTCTCGTGAGCCCTTAGCGCCACTCTCAGTGATTAGGCCCTTCTCAGTGTCGACTTCAGCCAATATCGCAATGGCAGATGTAAATTCCCCGTCGAGCGGTGGAAAGGACTGCTCTACCGCCTTATGGTTAGGACAAGCGCTGTGCTCCCCATACCAGAATGACCAACGCCTCACTGCTGGAACGTCTCGCTATGACGGAGATTCGACCTGTGGGAAGTGGCCAACCTCTCTATGCACCAAGGGACACCGTCTGCACGATATCAAAACCCTTTGCAAGGCCTGTGATAAAATAGACGTCACATTACTGAAAGAGGGGGGCCCGCCAATTACCTTGCGCGACAGCTTTTTCGACATCCCCAAGACGTCGAAGCAATGCAGATTTTGCTCGCTTATTGCCCAGTATACGAGAGGTGTGGCGGGGACTCAGTATGAATCAGACTTTCGCCGCATCTTGGGTAACATGGACGCTGTGGAAGATGGTGCAGTAACCCTAAGTCTGGTTGATGGGAAGTTAAATGTTCAGCTTCTACACCCAGATTGGTGGAAACAATTCAACTGCGACGTGAACGGTTGGGATCTGGGAAGTTTCGACTTGCTAGCCGGGAAAGGTATTTACGTGCTCAACGTCTCCCCTAGATTTACCCGTAGCGTCGAGTATGGTTATATACAGACCTTACGCCAGCTTGCTAACGTATTACTTTCCTCAGACATAGACCTCGCCGGCGATATGAAGGACTTCATAAATTTGAATGGAGACCGCGCCTCCGACATCCCAGCCTCCAGAAAACAATTATTATGCCGCTTGGCCAGGGAGCTTGGCCGAATATTCAACATGCCAGCCTGCAGACTATGCACGACCCCGAACACATCTTCGGGCTCCATCAACAATCAGTGGTACACTAAGGATGAGCCGCCAACCCTCCCGGACCGAGTGATTGAGATTCTGGATTCACCAAGTTCAGACTCCATCATGCTTCGTCTTCGGTCAACACATGGTAAGCAAGCCGGGTATTACATTGCACTTAGCCATCGTTGGGGTGGTGACCTTACCCTAAAGACCACTCGCGACACCCTGGCGGACCGTTTGAAGGGCTTCAGTCTAGATGACTTGCCACGGACGTTTCAAGACGTTGTTCTTGTGGCCAAAGCCATGGATATTCAGTACGTCTGGATCGATTCATTGTGCATTGTTCAAGATCATCGGGAGGAGTGGCTGGAGCAGTCAGCAAAAATGGGTTCCATATACCTAGACTCCACCGTCACTGTAGCCGCTCACTCAGCGGGACAGTGCAATGAAGGTTTCCTCTGGAGAAGCCAAGTACCCTCAACCCTTCGTATAGCGCCTCAAAAAGGCGGTCCTGAGTTTCTCGTTTCATTGCCGGACATCGACCCTGGACAACTGCGAGCACGGTTTATTAACAGCGAGATAAGCCGCCGAGCATGGATCCTACAAGAACTTACCCTGTCGCGCAGGATTCTGCACTTTGTGGAGGGCCATCTTTTCTGGGAATGCGAACACCAATCCCCCTTACCGCATGACCTAGGCCGAGAGACTACAGCGGATATGTTCCGGAATGCCCACAATCTACCCAATGTGCTCACCATGTGGCTGAAACTTGTCTCCCAATACACCGAGTACCAGATGACTCAAAATGGCGATAAGCTCGTGGCCCTTGCGGGTATTCTCGACGTCTCGATGAAGAGAATTAAAGAGCCTGAAAGGATGAACTACCACTGCGGGGTGTTCCAACAGGACCTAGAAAGGTCCTTGCTGTGGCACAAGGCTGGCGACCTTACGATATACCCGAAGAGAGCTCCGTCTTGGTCCTGGGCTAGTACAGATGGCAAACTGCACTTTCTCCATCTTGAACTTAGGGAGGTGCCAAGGACACTGATGAATGTGAAGGGCCTACACCATCAAGACTACCTAAACGCCACAATCAACCAGCCTTGCTGCCGCCTTGTGATTGAGGCACCGGTCATACGGATGACTGCATCTCTGGTGATTGAAAAGAGGAAGCATATCAAGACCAGCCCAGCCAACTCACCGAGGCACATCGTTGCTATTATCAAGGACTGGATGAATCGAATTACCTTTGGTTGGTGTATTCCAGATGATGGTCGTTCATTGAGTGTCGGTGCGTACTCACCTGGCGAGCCCGTTTCATTGACTTTTCTTGCTGTCTCTGGTTATGAGATTGATGGGCGACTGGAGGGCGCCTGGTGTGTCATGATGGTTCCAGAGATAGGGATTAGTGGGGTGTATAAGAGAATTGGAATGGGGTATATAAAGGATATGGAGATTCTTACACCAGCTTTACAAGCTTTAGAAACAGTTACCATAGGGTAGTGGTAGAGCAAGAGGTATTGAGATAGTGGGAAGAGCGCAAAATAAGCCGGAAACCCAGGACAACCGCGAACTCATTACAGAGTAATGCTTCGGATATTGTTCTATATGCTATCTAATGCGCTAGTAAATCTGGATGTGGGTATTTGAACTGCCATGGTTGATGCGCGCTTTTCTGTCGATCATCCGATGACTTGACACGTTATTTCAACGGCAGAAAATCGGTGCCCATGATCAGCTGAATCAATAAGCTTCATGTCCAATCCAAATGGCAGGCGACTGAGAAAGACCACGCAGATGCTGGGGCAAGTACTCCCAAAATAGACACCCCAAGACTGTTGCCAAGACGCCTTATACGGACTGTAATCCACAAATAAAACGGTTCTTTAGCGCATATGGTCTCCGTCAGTAGAGCCGGCGCGCGCCGATTGGGTCGAGCCTGACTTGAAACAATGTTTTAGGTGTCGCTCCCATCTTAGCATGACCTCACGCGAGCTTCGCTGTTCCGACTGGACGACGAGAGATCCTTCGGTCAACATCCCAGCCCAGCTGGAAAAAGTATTACGCGGCTTCACAGCCACAGTGGAGGAGGCCCAGCTGTTACGTATCAAGGGGGCTGCGCATTGGCAAATACAGTAGATAGAGTCTTGGCATCGACAAGCCCTTCCTTATTTCCAGGTCGAATCCGGTGTCCCATATCATACCGCTAAATCGTTTGGTAATTGAAACGGAACCCCTCCACACATAGAAGATGTTGTCGACATGGGATTGGACCGTTTGGTGAAGATATCGTCGTCCAGCATAATCGTCCCCATTGCCATAATGACGCTTGCCAAGCAACTCCGCCCCTACACGGCCCGTGTATGATCAACCTCCAAGTAAATCTTGTCTTGGCCAAGTTTTATCTCGGGGAATACACGCATGAGAGAAACGATTAAGCTGTATTTCCCAGCCCTGTATCCATCTCCCGCTCACTCGGCCCGAGCTACATCTCCGCCTTTGAGAGTAGATTGGTCGTTTGGATGAGGTGTAGAGCCACATTTCCATCATGAGGCTTAGAGTCGTCGTGGATGAACAGCGCATTCAGAAACGAAAATGGCACGTTTCAAAATGGGGATGTCAAGTCAAGAAGTTTTAGTAACATGATGTGATGGAAGGCTTCTGTATAAGTATCTCAAGTGCCGTCACCATCGAGTGAATTGTTCAACAGCATAACAACTCCAACTATCATCCCATTCGCATCTCATTAAACCATCAATTTTCAGTCTCTTGCATTCTACCAAGAAACTACATCACCACTTTCACCAACAGAGCAAACATGTACACAAAGAACATTGCCCTCGCCGTTGCTCCCCTTGTTCTCCTTGGTCACGCCGACGTGAGCCTTGACAGCGACGATGTGCCCTCCAACTGCCGGGCCATTTGCAAGCCTATTGTCCAGCTGACGCACCGTTGCGAGGTTGATCTCTCCAACGTCAATGATCGAACGGAGGACATTCTTGAAGCCCAGTGCGTTTGCACCAACAAGAGTTTTGAGGTTGGCCGTATTGCTGCCCTCTGCGCCGACTGCATTGCCCAGAATGTAAAGTCAACCAAGAAGGCTCGATCTCTCGCCGCCATCCGGGCTCGCAAGGTCCAATCCGCTCGCAAGATTCGAGCCCGAGACAGCGACACTGACTCGGACTCGGACTCGAACGACGATTCCCAGAGGAACTCTGACTCAAAGAGCAACGATTCTGATTCTGATTCTTATTCTTCAAATGACAATAACAACCCACGTCGCAAGAATCTCCAAGCTCGCAATAAGAAGACCAGAGCTCGTCGCGCCCGTAATGCCAAAGGCTACGACTCCAACAGCGACGATTCGCAAAGCAACGCGGACTCTGAGAGCGATGACGACTCCCGCAGGATGGTTCGGGCTCGCCGCAACGTCCGCCGCAACAAAATCCAAACCCGAAATGACCACTTGGACAACGCTGACTCGGAGAACAACGACTCACCGAGTAGCGACTCAGACTCGGATGACGGCCTCAAGAAGATCCATGCTCGCCGTGTTATTCGCCGTAACAAGAAGCAAGCTCGGGAGAAGGATTTTAGCACTGTCGATTCTGAGAGCAATGACTCTGCAAGCGGCGATGATGACTCGAATTCGGATAGTGACGATGACTCGCGCAAGAAGGTTGGAGCTCGGCGCGAGGTCCGCCGTACCAAGTTCCAGGCCCGAGATAACTCTGATGACACCGATAACAACGACGACGACTCGGACTATGAGGACGGTCTTGAAGGTGAGCTGTCTAATTACAATCACTACGCCATAGAACTAGTTTACTGACATGCCCCCTACAGACATCCGCACCATCATGTACGCTTGCGGCTTCACTAGCACCAGTTACGCCGCCTCCAATTCCAACGCCGCCGCAACCATCACCGTTGTGGCTACTGCGCCTACGGAGACGAACCAGTTGACTACTACCATGGTCCCTAGCCACGTTACCGCCTCCAACTCTGGAAGTGGAGAGATCAACGCCGTTAGCCAGACCACTTTGACCACTGCCACGGCCACTGCTACTTCCACCCGCTTCGGCAATAACAATGACGACAATACCGACGATGAGTACACAGACGACGAGGACAATTCCAGCAGTCGTCGCAACAGCAGCACCACCACAAGCGCTGCTGGAAATGGAAACAGCGCGGTTTCGGTCACGGAGAGCGGTGCCACGGCGACCCAGAGCACCGGCGCTGCCTCTGGCCTTTCTCGGTTCGGTATTGCTGGGGCCCTAATTGCTGGTGCTGCCGCGTGGCTGGCGTAAGCTTATAGCTAGTCAAGTGTTTCCACAACTCACCACGAGCGGATATAGAAAAGGATGGTACTTAGTTCTGGGTTGGAATTTTGGTGTTTCGATACAGCCTCAGAGCAGTGTGTCTGGCCTGAGCTGGGCTCCATCGAGAAATGTTAAGAATATGATCACAAGCACTGGTAGAACAATAAAACGCAATAGAAACAGAAATTAAACAGAAATTATCCGCTGGAACTTGATGTCATTAACAGCGCATTCTACCGTGTATATTTCGATGGGCTCTCGACTCCATCTGTCTTTTTTAGCACTTCAAGGGGAGTTGCGACGCCGAACGACGTCGGGTGCACCCCCCCCGCGTTTCGCTGCAATTATGAGCGCTTCGGTGCAAGGAGAGAGTAGGGACTCGGGGATAGCTGAAATCAGATGATGAATAGCCTCCGGGAGAAGACTTTCTGATTCTTCACTGCAATTTCAGCGCTTCGAAGGGAGTTGGTATGCCTAACTGTATTTTATTGGTGGCCGCCTGCCTGCCAAATACGATTTCACTGCAATTTTAGCACCTCAAGGGGAGTTAGAATGCCTAACTGTATTTCATTGGTGGGAACTTGGCCGCGTGTAAGCAAAAAAAAAAGCACTGCAATTTTAGCACCGCAAGGGGAGTCGGGACGTCACACTTAGAGAGGTACTCTAAGTGCATTCAAAAGCACCGTCACGGTCACACTGTCTTGAATGCCTACGCTTGGCACTTTCTGTGGTAGCTCGACATGTCCAAGAAGCAGAAAAAGTCCACTTGTGCTGCTCCCTTGTTTTGGGCCCCAAACATGCCCATCAGCGAGCACTAACACCCGATTGGTTACGTCGTATTTAGGGCTTCTGTCAAGACGCCTTCGACGAGGACTGACGCAGCATTTACTAGTCAGAATTCCATTCCTTACCACATCCCTTTTTGTTGTTTTCTTGACGATTTAGACGCGTGCAGTACTCATTAAGGATGTGAGGCTGAAGACTTCCTCTGGATACTAGTCAGACGTCTGGAAAAAATTGGGGGTTAGACAAGACTGGATCAAATGCACTAGAGATAACCAGAAGACGGGGTTCTAACTGAGAGAGGTGGTAAATCTAGCTTGTCTCCGTCTTATTGGCGTTTTGATGCCTGAGGTGGTAATCACTTAGCAGCCTCCGACATTTGAGCATCAACCGCGGAGTAAACACTTGTACGCATTCATCACATTGCAGTTTAAATTAGAGGTAAAATAAAAGGAACTGAAGCATTTACTAGAGACTAGTACAGGAGCTTACAGAAGCCCAGTAACTTACGGAATATGAATGCTTCCTTCTGAACAAAGAGCTCAATGCTTTATCCATCCTACATACAAATTATCCCCGTGTACTAGAGTCCCGTACATCTAGCAATTGGCGGCATACGGTGTACTCCGCAACTATTAGCCACATCCTCATTCCCCAAAGCGATCTATTTGTGACACCTCTCTTTGCACCCAAGTTGCGCCTCCTGAAGACAGTTGTACACGCAAGTATTCTTAGTAGGCTTGGTGGGATTGCAAGAGAGAGGGCAGAGAGATGTGTAGAACGACACGCATTTCTGCCAAACTCCACCGTAGCATGCGAGAACTGGGACACGCTCTTCAATGGAATTGCTCGTGGTAGGGGGAGCGGCTGGTGCGGATAGGCCAAGTGTGGTAAAGGCAAGAACGGCCAGAAGGGACTTCTAAAACAAGGTTAGCATTTATATAATAGCCAGCGTGCAGGGCTATACTTGCGGTAGGGAGCATCATGATGAGGTTTGGTAAAGTAGTGTAATTGAGGGTGAGTTTGGTGGATTGATAAAGATGGCTGTGTGATGTGAGGAGAGAATAGATGGCTGTTGAAGTTGAACCTTTGAAGAGGAATCAGCACCATTCTTATATAGATAACTTCCCCTCCAAGTCTGGACTAGTGATGGGAAGTCAATGAGTCCATGTAGCTGAAATAGGAAGTTACCCACAGGTATGATGCTAACCAATGAATTCCATTATATGGGATTAGGCGAGGGCGGAATGTACTACTCTCCGCACTTGGTCCCTCGAAGATCGTGTGGTTTTGCTTGGATTCACTTGGCAGATGCTTCATTCGCCAGTTAGAACGCTCCATGCCCCCGTAGTCTCACCATTTGTCAAGGTAGGGCTGGGAAAACACGGAAGACAGGGATATAACAAGCGAAAGCATTTTAGCCTACGACTTTCAGCTTCTAGTCCAAATATGATTGGCTCGCTGCTTTGTGGCGCTTAAATTGCATGGTGATATGCCAAGGATGAATACGAATTCTACGGATCGAGCGCCTATTGCTAGCTTGAGGGAATAAGGCGAAAGCAGAAGGGCTGAGCTGCATATGAGCAGAAAGGATGATTGCCTGATTTGCGGGGCAATCATAAAGTGGCTCATCCATGTTCTACACCCAAAATCTAAGCTTAAAGTGTTGTCGCTAACCAATTTTAAACCAAAGACTGTGGTGGGTGTTATCGCGGATGTCCATTTTGACGGTTTGTTACCCTCGAGCACGACTTCTTAAGAATAAATTCGATGTAGTTATCCCCCGTGGGAATCAAACATTTAGGGAGTAAGAAAATGCCGCAAATACTTTACATAATTCACAGAAGGTCTTTGAGCGGGGTGGTCTGAGGTGGCAGGGCCCTGAATGTATGTTGGTTCAACCAACAACAACCAACACCATCTGGGGCCATCACATACACGATCGGCCCATTCGGTCAAGCGGTCGGCTATGCACAGGCGAGAAATGTTAAACGAGGTCATTTTACTAACCTATAATGGACAGGACTTTTGCAACATCCTTCGGCAGTATGTTGTCACATGGCTAGTTCGCATCTTATCAATCAATCTATGGCTGCAACCATTTACACTACCCAATAATTTTAGGGAGTCGGGGAAGAGTCGGGGAACTTCGTTGCGGCCCCCAATCTAGATGCGCCACTAACAATGGGGGAAAGACTAGGGAGATGGCCGATTGGCCTACCATTCATGGCACGATGGATATGAAGGAGTCAGTCACACCGCTATTAGGGATTAGTGGAAGATCCCAGAGGTTTCGTTTCTTAGCATGCGTCTACCTCAATCAGCCAATGTCCAATGCCTTGCCTTGCCTACTGCACTTTCAAATGAGTGACTCAGGTGGTGCATCAACCTTGAGGTCTAGCAAAATGGTAACACGTGGCACTGCTTGCCAAGCGCCTGGCATGGTAGAGGTAATGGTACAGATGACGAGAGTTGGAGTCTCGAACATACACGACTTGCAACACTCTTGGGTAAAGTGAGAATACATCAGGTAATGAGATTACGGCCCTGATAAGACATCGCCAGCACAGGGGCAGCTGGAGTTGACTCAAGCCGCCAGTGGCGAACAGATGTGACTGATACTGTTGCCCCCATCCTAATCTCGGCTCGGGATACGTCGAACAGGGGACACATTCAGCCGCACGCCATCAAGACTCACCCTCACCACTCCAGATAATTACGCTTGAATGAAGCAGCTACGGTACCGTTTCGCCCGTTCCTAACGATTCCGGATCTAGTGGCTCCCTAGACAAACGTTTCATGAGTGTCTGTTATTCCAGGACCTAAGCTTGGTCGTATGATAGTAGTCTGTAACTGGCCCAAATTGTTGAAGATGGAAAACGCAAGCCCTATTTGTACCTCAATCGTATGCCTAATCGCTCTTGGCTCTAGCACTTAGTCTATCCCAAACAAACCAAGCTACAATTACCATGGTCGTAAGGAGCAATGAGACGATAGCGAATATCCACCACAAAGGAGCCACTACGGTTTCACCACTTCCTCTTGTCTTGCTTAGATCAAATATTCCAGTGCTGAAAACACTCTACATAGCTCAAATTAGACTTGGTCAATTGAGATTGTTCAACTGCAGCAGGTGATTCGAGGGAGGAAACTTACCGCCGCAAGTGTACTCGGTAGAAATACCAACGTCATGAACGCAATTGTCCTCATGGTCTTGCTGTCTCGCTGTGCCGCCTTTGCTATCCCTCTCGACTCGTCCGCAATGGTGGAGTTCACTCTGCTATCTCTCTGGGATATCAAATTGTAGAGCTTTATCATTCCCCATGTTAGCCAACAAACCCCTCAGACCACAAGCCATCACATAATTCGAAACGTAGACTTACCAGATTGGTTTGACTATGGATCCTTGCTCGTAGAGCTTGCGTTTGGTTATGCCGGAAGCGACTGAGTTTGAGTAAGAACTTCAACCACTGGAGAAGATTGTCTTTTTCCGGGACGCTATGGAACTCAGGCAGGGTTGTTCTCCGTCGAAGATCTTCAAATATGTCATAGAGCTCAAGGAAAAATTGCCCAAGCTCGATTTCATAGTTGATGAGATCGCTCAAGAAGATCAGGTTAGTATTGCAGGCATGCATATCCCGAATCAACTTTTCATACTCCGCGTCAGTCAGGACTTGCGCTGTGATAGCCGCCGAGGTCATTACAGTCATATCCTCTATCCTGACGACCTCACGATCGAGGACCTTGCGTTGTTCCTCAGCCTTAGCCCCATACTCATCGTATAAGATGATAAGAACGCTTAGCGGCGAAGCAGCATATTCCTCTCGTGCGTCCTCGAACTTTTCTAGCATCTGCGGAATGCTGCTTTGCTTGGTCAAAAATAACAGGCCTGCAGCCGCGCCATTTTGGATATTAATTCGCAAGGCTAAGCTAAAATCGTGGAACGGGGTATATGGCGAGGCAATTACTACCACTGAATATCATGTCAATGGATGCTCTCATATTGCTTCTATGCGCCTGCGCGTAACTTACGGAGGGTAGAGGGCTTCATATCCACGCCATCGGTCGCGTAATCAACAAAATGTCCCAAGGCGCCATTATTGGAAACTGCAGCTCGAGTAAACAATTTTGCTAATCGATCGCTACCAAGCAATTCTTTAAACACCCCGGTAGTCAATGTGAAGGGAGCCTGATTTCCATTTCCAGCTCCGATACTGCGACTTTATTAGCAGCAGAGCATATGTGTTAAACTGGTTCCTCACAAAAGAGTAACTGAAGATTTGCTTCTCTCCCTTTGTGTGTTCAAGTTGTATACACGTGCCTGGAAGCCATTAGCTAGACCTCTGGACAGGGTTCAGAGTTTTACTTGCATATTTAGTTGCTCTCCATTGTATCTCGTTTGCTGATGTCATCGGCTGAATCGAATCGGCTTCATCCTGGCTTGCGACTTTTGAGTTCTGGAAGCCCCACAAGCGGTTGTTGGAACAAAACGTGAGTTGCTCAAAACAGCTGTCGGGTGATTTTTCATCCATGACCAATGCTTTATCCACCACGACAGTGAGTGTTGTCTGCGTCACCGCACTGTTAGTGTGGGTAATAAGACACCAACGTCTCTAAGTCCCGCAGTAGAGCAGTGCCAGGGAGGTAATACCCCAGTGGCGCCAAATAGATAGCAGCTTAAGTTCGTACAGATAAGCAAGTGGAAATATGGCAGTACTATCTGTTTGGAGGCGACAAGTGGTCGCGATATGGCACGACGAGTTGCAGCCCCAGGGCGGATCAAATTTTATTTAAAAGAGAGTGCTCCAGGTTCCGGTGGGCCCTATTTCAAAGTGCAAAAGATGAGATAAGCCTATGTCAAATCGCAGAACCGGCTCGGCAAGCATGAGGGGCAATCAGCCGCGACAATACCTGACTACGGTCCAATTACAACATCAGGTTAGCTGAACTGTTTTCACTAGCCGCATAAGCTGAGACTGTGGCTTTCTTCCACTTCATGATAATTGGCTGTTATGTAATATGCCTTACCAAGGCAGCATCATAAGGTGCGTAAGCTGAGATTGCACTTGACAATAAATGGCTGCCGTGAATATGCCTTGCCAAGACTATCACGAAAAAATACATTTACAAGTATTTCTATATTGTCCACATTGACAGCGGTGGATCACCGATGATTCCAAGCCTATTTCTATTTCTTCTCCGTACTTATCTATTAGCGAATGTATCCCCAAACCACCAATCGGGTCACAGAGTCGACTGGCAGCTCGCTGCATTATGAACGAGATCCGAGAGGAGAGCACAGGAGCATGTAATTTATGTAGAGACTCCTAATTAAATTCAACATAAAATGTACGCACCCCCTAATTAACTCATGATTTTTAATAGATTTCACACGACTACTCTGTGCTCTGAATCTGACGTCACAGTCTATGGGCTGGGAAAGATGTTGGATGAATGGCGCAAATTAGGCCATGGAACAAACTGCGTCAACAATCATAGCTCAATTGACGAATATTACCAGCTACTTGTATGGTACAATACATTCAAGGGACTTGCCCTCCATGCCGTTTTCGTATGTGCCTGTCAAGATTTTCCTTCCGAGCCGTGCCATCCCTTCCCAGCTTGTACGAACTGCAATCTGGATGTGTGCAATACCACCTTCTAGTGCTGTGCTTATCTCTCATGTGACGTGCAAGGCCTGTCTGCCAAGCGAAGCTCTCGTTGCAGTCCGCCACAGTGCACTTGCATGGGCGGGTGTGTTCCTTGACATGCCGGCTTTGTGATTTTAGCTCAACTCGCAGAATTATTGGTACTCGGGAATACATACTTTAGTAGTCGTTGGCTCAGAAATGTGGCGGGGCACTCTTGGCAGTGAAAGGCATTCGGAGTAGCCGAGCTATGTTGGCTATCATTGTTGACCTGTGGTTGCTGGTTTGCAAGAGTGGTCGCGGGCCGTGATTCCTCCTCAACGTGTGCGTCCTGTCCAGCAGGCTGTGCATTCCCTGAACTCCCCCAATACTCTGCAAGAGGACCCTCATGCTCGGATTCGATCCAGCGAGGGTTGACGAACTCAAATGGACCCTGTTCTTGTTCGTGTTGTAGAAAGTGACTATTGAGTCCGGACGACCCTACTGTGTCTTTACTGGAGATAAAAGTTCCCTACAAAGACAAGAGGGGACTTGGGGAAAGCCTGCGGGCGAGAGATGGACGGAAGGTAAGAAAGAATTAGACGGTCGCGATAAGAGTGAAAGAGTGAACGGGTGGGCAAGGAGTGTGGGTGCAATGAGCGACTGCGGCTGCACCGCCAGGGCCAACCGTGGGAGGAAAGAGAAGAAGGAAATTCGATTGAGCGGGGGAATGGTCAGTTCTTATAACAGGACACGCGGGCTCCAAGTTTACGCCTGATGGAAACAATGTGACATCGCTCATCTACAAATGATTGGTTGCCTGTGAAGGAGGGTCGACCTCAAAACTTATGTCATCCCATCGAAGCCGATCGGGCCAATCATCTTGAGTATCATTTACCAAGTGCTATCAATGGCATTGTCCATGTGAAGATGGCTCAAGGGGCATAAGTAAGGGCATTTGCTGTCAGGAAGCTCGAGCTTCTTTCTTCATCTCAGTCACTCTGCTTGTAGAGATTTACTTCGCCAACAGCGCAACATCCTTCTGTGACTTGTCACCTTTACCCGGTACATCCATCTATCAGCCAACATGTCTTCGCTCTTCTGCTGCAGCGACATCAAACCCTATCGCCCCCAATATCTCTCGTACGAAACCATGTTCACCACCTTCATGCATTGGGCTGCTTTTCCAAGACAGGCATCCCCAAGCGGTGGTGACGATGTCAAGGTCGATCTTATTGACCACCCACCTTCCTTTGCTGTGCAGCTCGTTCGACAGGTCAACTACGGTCCACTCGAGTCAAAGAGATACTTCATCCCTGTCGAAGGCAAGGCCAATGAGTTCGTCGAGGTACTCGAAAACGACTTGATCCAAGCCAACTTCCAGAAGCTCAACTCGTAAGTATATCTTTGTTCGCTATCCCTGCACATGTACCCGTCAATATGGGTACTAATTAGGCATAGATACAAGAACTACAAGTGTGTGGCCCATACCAAGTTCTTCGAAGTCAACCTTTACCAGAAGGATCCGGTCAACAAGCATCACTGGCGAGCCAACCTTGCTCGTCCGGCAAGCTCCATTGACTTGTGAATAGCAAACTAGCAAGCTAAATGAAAGATTCTTGCAACCATTATCGTGCCAAACTAATCTCCCTGAACACACACTATCACCTCTCTGTTGTCTTTTTAACACGATCGATATTGAAATGACGTTGACCAGCACCTTCTGCGATCGTTTTCGGCTGGGTGAACTTGATGCCACGGCGCTGAGAATCAATGGGGGCATACCAGCTCCCATCAAAAGCACAGAAACTAGGTCTAACCTCTCGAGCACCAAGCTGCTTCAACGTGCTCATGTACCAATATTTGTGTACTTCTAGACTGTAAGCATCCGGTAGATCTCGGGCTCGTCGAAGGTTAAAATATGGGTTCTCGTAGAAGTTCTGTTCTTTCTCTTTCGAGTCTTTCACGGGACGCTCGAAAGCGTCGGGGGCAGAGTCAAGTTGTTCGCGGGCAACTTGTGACGACCACACCATAGTGTGCTGGAGCGTGGCTTCGAGTACTTGGCGGATCTGGGGTATCGGGCTGTCTCTGTCTTTGGGGGTTCGGCATGGAACCACAATGTATGCCGTCAACTCGAAGTTGGTGGCGCGAGTGACCCAGCCGCTTGTGTCACCAAGTTGCTGTAAGATGTTTTTGGCTTCAGCTTCCATTGTCAGGAGCTGAGCTGGCGGTGACTCGGATTATAGGATTCCTGAAAGACTTGGGCAAGGGTGTGGAGGAAAGCCTCGACGAATGAGAATGATTTGTTGTGCTGATCATCCCTGGAGGCTTCCTTCGACTTTGCCATCATGGAAGATGCCTTTTTTGGTGGCATGGCATCATGTGTTTCTGCCAATAGAGCGGGGTGTTGAGATACATGCCATTTCAAATGGAAAACAGCTGGCCTTGTGGTAGGCACAAGAGGAACAAATCTCCTCCGTGAAGAAGGCCAGATGCCAGTTTGAAGGAGTCGCTCCATTGGCATCTGGCAATATAAAGTTGGGATGGTCTTTTGAGGTCGTCCATAGGCAACAGTTGACTCCTATGACCTAGCATAGGAGTCAATTATTCCCTTATGTCAAGAAACTGCCTCGGGCTAGCAACGTTGAATTTAGTCGTCTCAGTTCCACACTATGTCTGAGGAACGACGGGCTCTCATTCCGATCCCTTACACGCGGACCAGTAGCGCAGTATTTGACGATTGGCGCCATGGAGATCATTGATGGTACCAGTCAATTGATGAGAATTATCTAAACAGTAAAAAAACTCGAATACCTATGTGCTCAGGCGCAGCTATTGAACCTTATTCGGGCCTATACGGTCCTCGTCAGTAACGCCGGTCAGATTGACTGGCAGTCTTGTTGGGGCCTGCCGCTCCATTGATTCGGCCCTACCCTAGAGTCTGGTTCCGAGATCTCGGAGTCTTTGCAAGTGCGCAATACGTGGGTTTTAATGCAACATTTCTATCCCTAGCTAAACTAATGAGCTGTTTCATTGGTAGTGGTGGTGTGGTTTAGGATTTTTTGGAAACCAGCAGGCATCCTCAAACTCTGGATACGCAATTTTCGGGCAACATAATGAACCCTTCCTCCCATCATTTTCCTATTATTCTATGTTTTACCCTTACAAAGGAATTTTACGAGTACAATAAAGTTCAAATAAATAACCATACAGCTCTAGCTATCATCATAATTGAGAATGTAACTTGAAGCATCTCACCTTGTATTGGTTCAAGTCACGCAACGTGAAACTCATATGTGGAATGGGGAATCCCCTGTCGGCAAGTGTTTATGTCAATTAGACCCCAACAGAGACTAACATACGCCGCGGTAAATTGTCATCGGTTCCTGAGAAGGGCGATGTGCTTTAAACAATTCCCTTGGGCATGAATGACCTGACCGCCAGCAAGTTCAAGGTTCAGTTATGACGGGGCTAGGATGCGAGCTTCCGAGGGCGACGATGTTGGGTAATGATTGAGAATCTCTTGCGACAGAACATATTGTGTACCGCCAATTACTCACACTCTATAGAGCACACACTAACCAGACACTATCACACAGCCTGCTAGTACACTGGTGTGCAAGCCTTAGAGCTGTAAAGGAAGTTACATGGTCTACGTCAATGCAACGGTAATTAATGAGGCGCCAACGATGAACACTCGTATTTTATTAAACTTGACACGACCACAACGGCTCGACCAGGCTTTGTTTGAGATATGTATTAGTCCACTTAGGGATAACAGGGTAGAATAGCGGGAAGATGTTGACATTGTCCTTCAACCTCGCCCCAGACACTAGAAAAGAAGGAAAGTTACTATAGCCGTTGAAGCCTAGTAAATAAATAGGATTGTCGGGTATCTCGCCCAAAGCCGGTGTTTGCCATTTAAAAGACCATACCCTTGGTCTGCTGGATCTTGTGAAGGTTGATGTTGCGGAGCATGAAAACCCAAACGATGGACAGACTCATGACGCCGACACCAGCAGCCAACATCCTGGTCTGCGCATAGCGGTAGGACTCTTGGATGGCGATTCTAGCGGGGGTTCCCCACTCGTAGGCCAGCTGGGCGGTAATATCGACAGCAATGTTGTCGATATCGGCCATGGCATCGGCAGGGAGGTTCCTCGCAAGGGCCTGAGGGAAGGTGTTGTTCCAGATGGCACCGCAGACAGTGCTGCCAATAGCTCCTCCGGTAGTACCAACGACGAACAGGAGCGCAAGCGCGGCGGCGACGTGCTGATGGTCGACGGCGGCCAAGATGGCGACTTGCTGGCAGATGATGAAGATGCTACCACCGATAGAGATGAAGACCTGGCACATGACGAGGTAGCCGACATTCTTGGTGGTCATGCGGAAGTAGATCATGAGGCCCTGGGCGAAGATGTACAGGGGCACAGCGCCATAGAGGAGCCACTTGAAGCGGCCGGTCTTGCGGATGGCCCAACCGACGAATAGCAGCAGGACACCGGAAACAACGTTGAAGGTGTTGCTGATGTAACCAGACTCGGCAATGCTGACGCCGTTGACGACCAACAGGAAGGAGGGGAAGTAGTTGGCCCAGCAGTAGTAGGAGATCTGATAGGTGGCATCCAGGAGACACGCGCCGATAACAGTGCGATCTGTGAGGAAGTCGTGCTTGAGGAATGGCTTAGGGGCCAAGTAAATCTCATAGAGGGCAAAGAAGGCCAGCACGCAGAAGCCAACGACGATCATGGCGATAATGTAGTCCGTGGACCAGCCATTGTGAGCGTAATCGGCGAGGGTGAAGGGGAGCAGGAACACGGTGAGACCGGCGGCGAAGAGGAAGCAACCGAAGGCTAAGAAAGTTAGTACTGGTAGTGATACAAAAGTTGCGCTGCTTACCATCGAACTCAATCACGTAGAACAGGATGCTCTGGATGATGGTGCGGCCGCTCTTCTCGGAGATGACAATGCCAGCCTTTTCAGCCTTGCGGAGGTTGGCCTTCAGCAAGAGGTACAAGGGCGCGGCGACAAAGGGCAGAATGATGGCGAAGCAGCCGAAGCCCCAGCGCCAGTTGACCTTTTCGTAGAAATCCTCAGCGGCCTTGGGACCGGCAAAGGCTGTGATGACGTACGGCGACGAGGTGAAGGCGTAGGCAAGACCTCGGTTCTTGAGCTTGGATACATCGGCAGTGATGACATCGATACAGTAGGTCATGCCGCCGAAACCAATCGAGTAGAAGACCTGGGCGGCGCAGAAGGTGGCCAGGCCGTTGGAGGTGGCCATGAGAATGAGGCCCAGAGTGGCGAAGACGGTCATGATGAGGAATCCCTCGGCTCGGCCCCACAGATCGAGAATCTTGGCGACGGGGATGTACAGGGCCGCTGTCATCGAGTTGGACACGATGGTGATGACGGTGAGCAGCGAGTGAGCCTCGAACTCGCTGGTGACGAAGGCGGTCAAGCTGCCGAGCACGGTGGACTGCATGGCGTTGACGAAGTAGAGCATGAACATGCTGTCGAGGGCATCGCGTTAGCTGGATTACACGGGCGGCCACACAGGCGGCGACTTACAGGAAGAAGACGGCAATCAGCGAGTTCCGGCTCCAGGTCAAGGTGACGGCCTCGACCTTCTGGACACCGCGCTGCGCGTCCTCCTGGATCTTGTCGCGCTGCGACTCATCGCCGCTGTCGCTGGCTCGCACGCCGTCGACGACTGGGCCCTGCTTGTCGTCGTCGACGGGCGTGTTGGCGTGGACGTCGGCGGCCATGTCAGTGGCGGCGTCGCTGGCGTCCTGGCCGCGGCGGAACTTGAAGAACCCGACCATGGTGTAGCTGTGATCGACCGGGAATGGGAACACAAGGGAAGGCTAAGGGCTGGAGGTTGCTGAGAGGGATAGCTTGCAGGAACAGATCGAGGAACCAGGCGGGAGATAGCGGCCCTTGTAAATAAAAAAGCACCCCCTGGTTGCCAGTAACCCTAGCGCCTTGCAGTGTCCGCGCATCGACAGGCGTGAAAACCGCGCATCTGATTAGATTAGATCACGCGATGCTACAATATGGTTACTAGGTATGGTTACCGGGCTGGCGCACGCCGTTGTGTGGCATTGCACCGACATCGGGCAGGCTTGTGACAGTGGAGGCGTTACGAATGGTGATGCTGCGAACGGATGGATTCGTATGGCGCCGAACAAGGGCTAAACCGCGAAGAGGCACGATATTGCCAGATGCGGGTAGCCCATGTTGGGAGGGAGGAGACCGACGGGCTCGGACGAGGCAAAAGCCCCCACGGTTAAGGTCAAGGTCAAGGTTAGAGCCAACAGAGCTACCGGGGTGTGTTTAAGGTGGGAACTGGGAAGTGGAACGGACGAAGAGAAAAAAAAACAGCGTGTCAAGTGGACAAAGACGAAGCGTCGAGAGGGAGCTTGGGAAGAGGTGTTGGACGACAAGTGTGGTCAAATGCCAAGAGACCGAGCGTCTAGACCCGAGAGAATGGGATGTCTGGACCCAGCTGAAGGAGCTGCCAAGTGCCAAGAAGCGGAATGTTTGGGGCCAAGAAAACGGGTCTGCAGAGCCAAGAGCAGAGCCAAGAGGATGGGCGTCTAGGGGTCGAAGCAGGCCAAGGGAATCGACGACAGGCCTCAAAAGGTGCGAGGGCAGGGCCACATCGAGGTCGACGACGATGGTCAGGACCAGATCGACATGCGTCCAACCCAAAGGGAATAAAGAAATGCGTGTGAGGATCGAATACGCGCGTGTCCAAATGCCACAAAGATGGCCCTACGGCTCCCAGTGCCATGATCCCAGCTCGCAGCAATGCTAGACCCAACGCAATGGGAGCCCACCCCGAGCCAACCATGTCGAACAAGCGGCCTCGCAACCTGGAAACTGCATTGTGACTATTGCGGACTGCAGCTCGGCCTTGACTGTGGGCTTCAACTCGCTCATAGTCATAGTGTCACCCTCAGCCGAGAACCAGCGGCTTGGCGTCGTCGCGCGGTTTCATTAGCGGACGGCCCGAACGAATGATGGAACTCTGCCATGATCTAATCCATCAGATTAGATGGAGTGGCGTCGCCACGCATTACGCAGAGCGCGAAGAGCAGAGTTTTTCCCGCCTCGACTCCGGAACCTGGCCGGCGAACTTGGCAGCGACTCTCCAGACGCACACGCACAACCATACCAGGAACCTTGAGAAAAAACCACGAGTCCCCTTCGGATCCGCTCGTCGGGCGTTTGTCGATTTCGATTGTCGATCCCCTGTCGCTAAAGGCGCCGCTATGCCGTTGCAGGCTGTGGCAATTTGGGAGCGTCAGGTGGAGTCGTGACCGAAAAAACATGCCACGCAGGAAAAGTCATGCACTTTGTGACGAGACGAGGGAAACGCTGGCTGCATCTCGGTGGGATCTTGACGGTTTGGGGCAAAGGCGCCAAGAGAAACCTTAAAACCTGCTCATGGGAAGAGAAGACAAAAGCGGCTGATGGGAATCACGGTGGGACATGGTGAACCGCGATGCAGGATTGAAGCGTCAGGCGACTGCGAAATCAAGGTCCGGCCGGTCCCGAAGTATTGATGACTAGAGCGTTAAGCAATCGGCTACGGCGGTAACTCGCACTCTGGGCCAGCCACAAGGGCATCTTGGCAAAGGCGAGAAAGGCCTCCGACGAGCCGATCAAGGCCTCACGTTCCATGGCCGACGAATTGACAAGCGAGACGGTCGAGTTGCGCTTACCACGAAGCATATCCAAGCCGCTCTCCACAAAGCGTCAGCTTCCAGCGTCACTGCAAGCCCTGAATGGAGGGGACCCTGGTAATTATCCCTGTCCCTGCATGTCGGCTCCATAGTGATCGTGGGGGATTCGGCAACTCGGTAGATCCGAGTTACCGTCGCTTCGGGTGCGTCTCCTCCACGCGCGAAGCCATCGCCAATTAGTCTGGCGTGGGTATAATTTGCAATGCTTACCTTGTGTATGTCTGGTTGACGCCGAGTTTGGGTAAAAAATTGTAACCAAAGCAATTGCGCTTTTTCTCCGTGATTCCCATGTTTCCCCTCTTCCTATTCTGTCCGCATTTCGTCCACCTCGTGTCCAGGCGCATCATCATGATGGTGGGGTATACGGACCTCGGACGATCCGAGTTGCCGCTGCTTCGGCACGACTCGTCGTCATCCATGTCCGAAGAAAAAAAGCCATCATCACCAGGTTGTGCTTTTTGCATATTTGCCAAGCGTTTCCCTCCCTTCAAATCTCGTCCGCGAGTCTCGTGTTCCCACCCCATTTCGTCTGGCGACACTTTGTGGTCATGATGGTGGGGGGGGGGGATATGGAGAGCTTCCGAGCTACTTCGTACGGGTTGCGAAAATGCAAGGGTTTAATCGGCGGCCTGATCTCCCCACATCTTGTCTTGGCTCGGAAATGGATCAGACGGGGAACGCGTTGAGTTGCGTGTTCTATTTACTTGGTGCGAGTCTCATTCTGTAAACACACATCGAGAAGCGGATTGTGATTGAACCAGTAAGTAATTGAACCAGTGTTAAAAGTTGAGCAATACAACGCTTTTCATTACTATGTCATGGCTTCTACAGCTCTCCACCTCTACCTCTCCCTCCCTCTACAGCTTCGGCTCAAAACCAAAGTTGGTACCGGCCACCCGCGGCAGCATTTGCTGGAACGGGCACAGCTGGAAGAAGCGTTCCCTCGAGCACACGACCAAGTTGGCCCTCTTGTGCGGCAAGTCGAGGTACTTGTTCTGGTGCAGGCCAAAGATCATCTCGTACATCAGGATCTTCTCATTGGTCAACCGCGGCTCGCCCACGACCTGCTCGGTGCGGCAGTCGTCGAGGAAGGTGTAGTGCATGATGCTGGGCCACCACGACATGACAATGTGCTGGCCGCGGTACGAGGCGTCGCCCACGAGCGCGTGGCGGCCGCGGTCAAAGTCCAGCGACGGGTAGTGCGCGCCCATCTTGTCCTCCTTGGCCCAGTAGATCTCAAAGTAGGCGAAGCGCTTGTCGTCGAGGCAGCCGAAGACGGGGATGGTGTGGGGGTCGTCGTGCAGCGTGTTGAGATAGGTGCGGTGGTGCTCCAGCGAGCCCGACTCCATCCAGCCCTTGGCCACGCGCGGGTCGTTCTGCCAGTTGTGGAAGAGCTCCAGCTGCACCGGGTCGCGGTAGTCGATGGCCTGCAGCGAGAAGTGCTGGTCCAGCGAGGGGATGTAGCGGCTGTAGATGACGGAGCTGGGCGCCGGCTTGGGCGCGCGCCGCGGGTGTCGCAGCAGCGTCGAGTCGGTCGGCGTCAGCGTGTACTCGACGTGAGGCACGACGTTGGGATTCCACGCGGGGAGCCAGATGGGCTGCGTTCCCAGCGGCGAGGCGCAGCCCTGCCAGAAGGCGCTGCGCAGGACGAGCACCTCGCCGTCACGCGGCTGGAACGTCTGCGTCGAGCCGTACGAGGGCTTCGGGTGCTCAATGGCCACCATGGAGTTGAGCAGCGCCGCAGCGAGCTCCGCGGCTCCGGCGCCCTCGACGCGAAAGCGGATCGACTCGGTCGTGCTGTCGACGGAGAAGAAGGTGTACAGGAACAGCCACACCTGCGCCGTGGTGGGCGCCTCTTGGCTCGCCCAGCTCGCCGTCCACACGGGGCTCCGGCGCGCGTTGGCCCACGGCGTGTTGTCGTTCTCGTCAATGGTAGTGTCCGCTTCCTCGGCCGGCAGCCGGCTCAGCACCAGCTGGTCGTTGTGCAGCGTGTGAGGGAACGGCGTCCCGGGCTCCTGCGCGGCGGCCTTGCGCAGCGCATACGACTGGATGCCGTCGGCGGCCGCGGTGCGCTCGAGGGTGTACGTGGTCTTGTAGGGATGCGGCAGCCGGGTCTTGATGGGCGCCTCCTGCGCGAAGGGATCGGGGATGGGAGCCATTGCGACGGGGGAACTGTCAGATCGAGATGGGCTGTTCGACACGTTGGGCGAGGTGCTGATGCGTAAACGGCCCCGTCTCGGCCAACATTTATATGGCTGCGCGACTATCACGTCCGGTCTCGGTGTTGAAAGGGGCGGGCTGGGGACACTACGTAGTAGTACTACATGGCCTGGGGACCTGGGGACGGCAAAGGCAAGTTCCACACTGGCTGCACATCTTCATACCGGTACTCCCCCGAAAGCCGAGAGCTTCGTTGTCGATCAGAGGATGCATGCAACTTTGTGAAGAGGCTTGACCCAGCCATTGGGTTATATCACTCATCCACGTACACTCACTACTCACTCACACTACTCGCTCACTTGCAGGTAGTTAGCTCACACACTCACTCACACTCACTCACACTCGCTCCACACTCACACACACACCTTCTCTCTCTCTCTCTCTCTCTCTCTCTCTCTCTCTCTCAAACACACCCACCAATATTGAATCACTTTGACCGCCAACAACACCGGCTCAAACCCCCGAGAACAGACATCACCCTGTAGCTATTACAGCAAGTTACCTAACGCAAGCCTACTCCACAACCAACCCTGTCGATAAATGCAACGAAAGCCACATCATACGAGGTGTATTCCGCCACCCAGAGCCCACCCCTGGCTAACAGCTTGCCGAAATGCACTCTGCTTGCGGTTAGTCCCTGCTATCACCACGCCTGCGACCCTGCTAAAGCTCCAAGTACCCAGCCGCTAACGAGAGGGTGGAGAGATTGATAAAAAAATTTCCATGGTGGAACACGTGGTGTCTGAGTTATTATTTGTCGCAACACCGGCCGACTTGCTCTCTTTGGGCCTCTCCGTTCCTCACGATGCGAGCCAGCGTCTTCTTCCTTCTTCTTCCTTCGCGGAAACTCATCCCCCATACAGCAATTGCTGGCTGCGGCGGCCCTTGTTAGCGGGTTGACCCCATTCCCACATCCCACCGCTGAAGCGTCTAGAGTAGCGCGAGGAGCTAGACCTGCTGATCATTTGCCGCATAAGATGGGGGCGTGCGATTGATAAGATCGGAATCGCACGGAGCAGCCGCCGTTGACGAGGTTGCCTCGGGTACGGCGGGCCAAGGCACCGTGCAAATCCCGTCCCGCCAAGTTCACGATGCCCCAAGCGCGGCGGCCATTCACGGCTTTTCGCTCCGATGTTGTTTCGGCACCTGTTTGTTTGCTCCACGTTGAATCCCGAAAGCGACAGAGTAGAGCGATCTTCAAAGTCGGTATTCCTGCCTTAGTTGGGGAAAGCGTACATTCTTGACCGCCTGTCAATGGGTTGGATGGATTGAGGGTATCTCCATTAAGGTGCTCCCATAGTAGACTCGATGTTGACGAGCTGACATGTTGGGGGACTCTTCCGTTGACACCTTCGACTGTTGTGCCATCTGTCCCCAATTTGAAGACCGCATGCTGCTAAACAAAGACCCCGGTGTCAATTGAGGGGCCGCACCCTACGAGGCCAGCTTCTGATAAATGCTACTGTGCGCTTCGTCGAGGCACACCTACCATAATACTTAAGGAACAATTGAAGTCATCGCCAGGAGTTCATAGTAGGCAGTTCGAGATGGATTGCAGGATCGCGACAAGTTGGCCAGCGATAAGATAAGGAAAATACTGCGCCTGAAGCTCTGGATTTAGTGCACCTCAACTTGCCCCACCACTGAAAAGGGGCAAATTGGTGGTTAGTAGAGCTGCTTCGACGGCGTCAGTAGGAACAAGACAAGCCACAGGACGAGTCATTCAATTCACAATGGGACATGGGAGATATCCCTTCTCGAGGCTGGGCAGGGCTACCCCTTCAAGTGAACTCAGCTCGCTATCACACCTCTCTCCCAGCCACTTTACAGGAGACTCTGCGGACGTGTTATGATCGCAATCCGAGACATTGACGGAATGGTCGATTGAAGGGAGGAAGCCAGAAACCAAAACGCCACTAAGGGAGACGATGAGACAGATACTCACGATTTGGCGTGTCTCCCAGCCAGAACTGTTGTACATCTCGTAGCATGGCGCTCACTAGGCCTGCGACTAGTAAAGGTCCAGCGAGACACTTCGCGCCTCTCGAGATTCCATCGCGAACTCAGGGGCAGCGATGCGCGTCCACGTAGTCGTTCCTTTAACCCGTCAATCCCTCTCTCTCGCTGCCTCCTGCACCACCTCGCCGTCACAGCTGCTGCATCATGATGGCTCCGTGTACCTCGCTCGCCCGCGATGAGAGCGACTGCCTCCCCGACGGCGCCGATGCCACCGCCCGGGACCAGGGTCCCTCGTCCATGTTTGGCCTCCGTGCCGGCCGGCTGCTCGTCCGCTTCGGCGGGTTCCTCGTCCCGAGCTTCCTGCAGGGGCGCGGACAGCCCCGGCCGGCTGCACTCCGCCCTACGGCGTATCTCGACGGCATGCGCGGCGCCGGTGCCGTCGTCGTCAGCTTCGGCCACTACACGACCATGACCTACAACACCCACCGCGGCTGGGGCAGCGACGACAGCTACTACAACTTCATGCGTCTGCCTATCCTTCGGCTGGTGCATGGAGGAGGAGCCGCTGTGGCACTGTTCTTCGTCATCTCGGGCTACGCACTCGCGTACAAACCCATGCAGTATATCCGCAAGGGCGACCTGGGCAATTTCAGCACCACCCTGAGCTCCATGGCCTTCCGACGTGCCATCCGTCTGTACCTCCCAACTGTGATTCTTACCGTTTCAATCGCTTGCATCATCCAAACCGGCATATACGACTGGGGCCGAAGGGTACCTGAAGACACGCCGTGTTTCTCACATCTGCCGTACCGTCCTGCTGCGCTTCCGTCCATGTCCGCGCAGGTCGGTCTATGGATCCCTGCTTTCGCAGGGTCTTTTGCCCTCTTTGACTGGGAGTGGTATCGCGGATTCGCTTGTGGGTTTATACTGCCTCACCATCTTCCCATGTACTAATCGATATGCTAGACTATGGTACCGGTCAGCTGTGGACTATCCCTGCCGAGTTCCGCTGCTCGTTCTACCTTTTCCTCATCATCCTAGCGACAGCTCGACTCAGGACGATGTATCGATTCCTTACCATTGTAGGCATTATGTGGATAAGCTATATAAATTCCAGATGGGAACTCGTCGCCTTCCTCAGTGGCGTGCTTCTCGTCGAGTGGGATCTACTTCGCGGGGCGCATGTTGCAACTCCGACCAGAGAAAATGAAGGCGACCCTCCACAATCAACACTTGAGGATGTTTTCTGGCACCTCTTTGCCATTCTAGGCCTTTTTCTTCTAAGCCAGCCCGAGAATGGGGGTATTACCACCCCCGGTTGGGTTTTTCTCACGTCTTTGATCCCAGAGTGGTGGGCTGATAAACAGCAACGCTATTGGCAAACCATCGGTGCAATCATCTTCCTGCTTTCCGTGGGCCACTCGCGATGGTGGCAGGGAGTTTTCAACTCGCGTTTTGCACAGTACTTGGGCAAGATTTCGTACTCGCTGTACCTCGTCCATGCCACAGTGGATGGCTTGTTCGGCTATCACTTCAAGAGCTGGGCTTGGGATCTGACAGGCCTGGAGGGCAACGCGTACCATCTCGGTTATGCTATGGCTCTCGTGTTGAATCTCCCGGTTGTCGTGTTCTTTTCTGATGTTTTCTGGCGGGCGGTGGATATTCCTAGTGTCAATTTTGCCAGATGGTATGAGAGTAAGGTCGTTGTCAAGGCCGACTAGCCTAGTCAAATGGGTTGTGTCGCTGGCATCGTCCACATCAGGGTTAGCACAAGTATCAAGCAAATATCATGATTATTAATGTCATTGTCATCGCTCCCAATCACCTAAATGGGACAGTAGTGCAAGAATAGCTACTGGCCACTCATGACACTTCTGTGTGCTGTCCAGCCTCAATCGCAGAGATGACGTCGGTGTTTTTGCAATCGCTGTCACACCGATACCCCGCAAGGTAGCATTCAAGGTCTCTAGAGATCTTATCAGATTCTGCATCCAGCGCAATAGGACTCACCCAAGCTCAGAAGTCTCTAGGAGTCAGATAGACCTCCATCCCTCACAAGCTGGCGCACACTGTGCCCGCAGAACCCATCAAACCTGAGCAATCTTGCGGATAATTTCAGCCGGTTTGTATTCCGCTATCATCTCCGCGTTCAAATCTGGTTCCTTGGCAAATCGTGCGCCACCCAATAAGAGCCTCCATCTCGCGAAACAAAAGCAATATCGTCGGTGAGGGAGGCGCCACTTGTCTTGGCGATGTCTATTTCCTTGATAAGACTTTGCAAAGCTTGGCACGTTCACGCAACGGTGAGGGATATAACAGTGCATCTCCCTGCTCCAGATGGTCCGACAAGCACACGCAACTGTCCTGCCGAATGTGGGATCAAAGCACGCTGATCTCGCGGTAGAGCGAACGAAATGCAACATCACGGGCCCTTATTGCGCTCTTGTATGCGTCGACACGTCCTTGGCTTTGCGATGGCTTCGATTCACTCCCACTGACATGGCGGGTTGGGTCACGCTCGATGACCCAATCTGGACCAGGATGAACCTTGCGAGCGCGATAAGAGTCTGGTGACCTCGGGAGCAAGAGGAGGCATTCAACTCCGAACCGGGCACTACAAGCAGCGGAACACGACGATGTGACTGCATCTGGGAAGACGCCGTGGAAGGAAGATCTTGGCGCCCCGCTGAACATCAGCAAATGCGGATCACCGAAGGAATAACACCCCAGCGAGAGATGCGCGACAGCGTATTCCAGTGAATCTCGGGTCGACCCGGAGAGCGTGCGCGATATATCTCTATGAAGAGATCGCCAACCGAAGTCTTGATGGAGCCGACGACATCAATGCCGACGCCAAGGATGAAGGGATGCTCATTTGTTTCTTCCGACACGATGAAGGCCCGCAGCTGTGCGACACTGACTTCCAGAAGCAACGACAGAGTAGTATACGCACAATCGCCAAGATGTAATCGACGATACCCTCAGGATGGCAGCGGCAACAGGGTTGATGCAGGGGGACGACGGAACGAATGATCGACACACTCAAGCCGCCCATCAGAGTTCCGTCTTGGATGTGCATCCGATTCAACTTGATGGGACGTGGTCTCATACTGGCGCCACTGTCGACAAACGAGCGAAATACGTCGACGCGAAATGGGAGATGGCATTCTAGGGCCCAGCGAAGCCTAACCGGATGCTCTGACGACAATGCGACAGGACGACTGACAGCGTAATCGAGGACACAGATGTGTGAGAGGGGATATGTCTTTGTTCGGCTTTCGTGGGCATGATCGTGTCTCGTAAGGGTTGAGGAATGTAAGGCTTCTCCGGACGATTCGTGGCTGGGCCAAAAGAGACCTCTGCCTTGACGCGCTCTCAGAACCCGTCCGTCGGTTTGCTCTCGTTGAAGACGCTTGTAGGCCGTCAGGCGTGTGTTTGGCAAGTTGCGAGCAGAAGGTTTGTATATCGAGAACACCAGGGTGAGTGATGTGAGTCGTCAAGTGCATGGTTTCCGAGAGACGACTGGACCTTCTTCGTCAAACCCGCGCAATTGCGATGCGATACGTCTGCGCACCATTCAACAAAATACTAGCCTGCCTGCCAATACTAATCGTGTGCCCAGTCCTTCCAGAGGATTGTCGATGAACTGCGCCGCAGCTACGAGGAATGCTGCACCGCGGACACGACCACAATCTCTATCACCGTAGAGTAGAGCCGTGTGTTTGCGAGCCTCCGTATGACTTATCGGCCTTCCGACATTCTCCAACCTCAGTCGTCATGGTAGAAAGTCATCTTTCGAGCATTATGTGCTCGGAGGACTGTGTGTTGTGGTCGGGGTGGATGGAAAGGGGGCATCTCGCAGCCGGAAGGGGTCCGTATCAGGAGGCAGTCAGCAACTTGTATCGACAGTCGCGACCGACGTCTCCTTCAGTTCCACGGCCGATTTAGATGTTGCGCGAAATTCCACGCGGAATGGCTTGGATGAGGGAAGGTTGCTGGGGCGAGTATTAGCTTCCACGATCCTGCTGCTTGGGTATACTTGAGCCGGGTGCTTTGCGATAGACTCACCATCAACCAGGATAGCGAACAGCCAAACTCATACCAACCGGTTCCTTCACTGTTGTTTGCCCCGTGCTAACACTACCGTACCAGAAACCCGTGTGTGGAGGCATCGGCAGCCATCATGCCCGCCTAGGTATGAGAGATCAGGGGTCCTCGAGGGTCTCACTCAGGGCCAGTCAGGGCCACACGCAACGTATGCGAACGCCTGCAGCCATGACCCCGGTGAACCCTATGCTCTAGCGAAGTCGGCCGTGTACGATACGATTGAAAGCGAGATACCGGAGGGACAACTGCTGACCCTGTGAGAGACGCCGTGGGGGTCGCCTGCTTGTCAACCATTCAGCGACGACGTTTTACCAACCAACAGGTCATCCAAGAAGATACTCGCAGTCACCTGAGACACCTCATCTTGGCAGGGCTGATAGCTGAGGTCCTCACGCGCCAGCCGAGTATACTTCCGGAGGACGAGACGAAGCGAGAGTCCGAGGTGACGACGCTAACGACGTCGGTGCTCATCGTATGATGCCGAATGTTGTCGTGCTCGCCTGAGCTTGGGTCGATCGGGAGGAAGTCGTCGGGATCGCGGTAGATGCAAGGGGAAAAAAGGAGCCATATCCACGAGCCGTGATCTACACCTGCGAACCAACACTCGAGCAGATTAACTCGCATTCATCAAGATCCAGAGCTCCCAGGCCGTGGCACCGGTCATGTTCGAGTCGCCGGCACCGGTGGAGTTTGTGTGGGGGATTGGATTCGGGGAGGGGGGATGGCATCGGCCCAGAGAGGCACCATCGGCATCGCCTGGTTGCGCCACGTTTCGACCAAGGACCGGGGGTTTATGTGTTCAGACGGGATGAACAGGCAGGACGCGGCGTGCCTGGTCAATACGACTCTGACAATTTTCAGCCAGGTTCACACGATGCTCCAGCCGATATCGGGTTCTCCATACAATGTGCTACGCTCACGGCCTGAAGCCTGAAGCCTGAAGCCTGAAGCCTGAAGCCTGAAGCCTGAAGCCTGAAGCCTGAAGCCTGAAGGGAAGAAGCGACGCAGTGGGACCACACGCACACGCCCTGCTGTACGGACTTCCAAATGGAGATAAGATGTGATTGATTAGATTGCTAAGCCGGATGGCGCGGCCCTAGCCGTCTAGCGTATACAACGGCCAAGGGGAGGGGGGGTGCGTATTGGGCAATGGGTTAGGGGACGAAGTATCCCCCCCAAGAGTGTCATGCAGTGCCGGCATGGGGTGTTTTTGCTTTTTCCGGCGTCCATGTAGATGGAATCGCACGTCGGTTAGAATTGGCCGGTTGCTCCCGACTGCAGTAGCGTCTCCGCATCGCCAGGGTTTTTCGAGGAGGCATTTGTGTCTCCATGCTCGCTGCTGACCGTGGAGAGGCCGGAGATGGTGTTGAGCAAGGGGGTTGGTGAGGGCTTCGCCAATAGGGCCCGGCGCATGTGATTCTCGGCCCTGTTGATGCGGGCTTATTACTGTTCGCGGTGGATCCTTTGTTTCTACTGCCGGCATGGGCTACGGGATGCAGGCCCAGCAACCATGATGGCTGCGAGGTGGTGAGCGTGGGGTGTTGCTAACGGAGTGGAGAGGGGTTTTGCTAAGAGTGAAGAGGGGTTTTTGTTAGTCAAGTGTCGATCTGATTATTCGAGGGTGTCGATGTTACCGCGTCGATGGCGTATAGAGTTGATGCCGTTCAACCACCGCAATTACGCTTGAAGAGTCCGGTACACACAACCCAGTCAACTCTTGAAGCCTTCCTTGTATTGTCCTTCCGTACCGCAACTTCACGGCCCGTCCGAATTACCGAATAATATCTTGCATGCAGGTGACGCGGTGCGGTGGGGCTGCGTCCAGGCCCAAAGCGACTAGACGCCGCCATCTCCTGCGCGTTGCACCGTCACTACAGCATGGCTTTCAAGTGCCTCACTGACGACGAGGCAGTCCAGGTACCGAACATCGACTCTAATAAGGGACCTTTGCCCGCCGGAAGCACCAGAAGTTCCCTACAGACGCCCTATACACATCTGTTTCACCCCAATTACAGCACCCGCCATGGCCCTTCCCACCTTCAAACGCCAGCCCCCAGCCCAATCCTATGGCGTCGTCTCGTTCCCCGCCCAGCACGTAATGCTGGTCGTCTTCACGCGGCCGCGCGCCCTCAACGCCATGACCAGCGCCGGCGAGTACGAGCTGGAGGCGCTGTTCGCCTGGTACGACGCCGAGCCGTCGCTGCGCTGCGCCATCGTCACGGGCGCCGGGCGCGCGTTCTGCGCCGGCATGGACCTCAAGGAGTGGAACGAGCGCAATGTTCGCCGTGCGGCTGGGCTGCGAGAGGACCGCCCGATGAACCCGCCGTCGGGCTTCGGCGCGCTGTCGAGGCGGCACGGCAAGAAGCCTGTAATTGCAGCCGTCAACGGGCTGGCGTTTGGCGGCGGCATGGAGATTCTCGCCAACCTCGACCTCGTCGTCGCGAGCAAGAGCGCCATCTTCGCCCTCTCTGAAGCCAAGCGCGGCGTCGTGCCCAATGCGGGCTCCCTGCCTCGCCTGGTCAGGACCATCGGCCGGCCCAGGACCATGCAGCTAGCCCTGACGGGCCGGAGCATCACGGCGGCCGAGGCCAAGGAGTGGGGGTTGCTGAATGCCATCACAGACGACGCCGCCGAGGACTGCGCCGTGCTGGAGCGCCCCGTCGTCAAGGCCGCCCTGGACTACGCCGTGGCCATTGCCGCCAACAGCCCGGACAGCGTCATTGTTGCGCGCGCCAGCGTCATTGCCGGCTGGGAGGACGGCAGCGCCGAGAACGCGAGCCGTCTCAACTGCGAGAAATGGGACGAGGCGCTGGATGAGAGTGCCAATATGAGCGAAGGGTTGCTGGCGTTTGTGGAAAAGCGAGCGCCAAAATGGGTGGACAGTAAGCTGTGATGGATGATAGATCCCAGAGTAGTCTCGGATATCCCTACAATACGCCCTGTACAACTGCCCCTGTCAGTTATAAAAGTTTCTGTAGTTACATAGCACTCCCGCTGCGTCGATCCAAACGGCTCTTCCGCGTACAGGTCGAGCCGCTGGTGTAGGTAGACTACATCCCTTACCCAACCCAGAATGTCTTCTCTTCTCTACCGGGCAATTCGTAAACCCAGATCCTGACGACGGCCCCAAAGGAACCTTTTTTTTATTACTGGCAGGCATCAAGGTCGCAGGAATCCCACTCTCCTCTCGGCTTGGTAATAGACCCATTCCATCAGCTTGGGCCACCAGATCCTCTCTCGCCCGTGCCGTCGGATCACGGTGCCAAATCGTGGCCCACCGTCCGCCAGCTGCAACGATGGATGATCCGATGGTCAAAGTGGTCGAATCTCCGTGACTCAACACCGGGTATCCCTACCTCGTAGCTTGTCTCGCCTCCGATCGGCTCGGCCGTGGGCAGAGCGTGGGATACTGAGCCCAGATCAACAACAGGTGCTTTTGGCTCGCAGCTAATACATCAGCCTCAAAGTAGGACGAGACGCTTTAGGAAATCTTGTACTTTCGTGGCTTAGGGGCCAAAGGTTTCACGTCCCATGGTCTCTCCTGTTTCCTTGCTTGTGCGCTGGTGGCAAAATTCGCTCATGTGGGGTCATCTTATCAATCAAATCAAATCAGATAATTCACGGCCCACGTGATGGACAAGCCTTGTTCATCGCCAGAGACCATCCCGTCTCATCTCGGATTGTAGGCGTAAACACTAGACAGGTCCGTTTGCAGCCACGTCACTGAACCCCAAACAACGGCGGGCGATCAGTTGGCTAGCGGGAAAAGCTCTGCGATCTAGGCTGTCTAGCAGGGGACACAAAACATCACGCTCCGGGCTGGAGAGGTGTGGCGGTGCCGAGGTTCCTGGCTCCTGTTCAGTCGCCCGAAGGATTGCATCGCGTGGCGAATACGATGGACAGATGGGGACGTGAATAGCCACGGCCACGGGCATACATTGCCGGATGTGGGTTTGGCACAGACCGGTCAGTGATTTGCACGCAGACGAAGAGCAGGTTTGCAACGGAGGGCCATGGCATGGCATGACTTCCTCTCTGGGAAATGCCCATCCGAGGTTGCGACTGGACGAGCGCGAGGTCCATAGTGGCCGGGATGATCAGGAACTAATGCTAGCTCAAACCACAAGGCCAGGGTGGTTTAGGTCGCATTTTGGGAGCTCGAGAGCTCGAAATGCTACGCAACTACTGCACAGGTGGAGGATGGACGAAATACTCAAAATAGTTAAATTTGAAAGGAGCCAATGTGCGAGTCGAAGGTGCATTGACTTCTCGGTTTCGCATGAACTACGTTTAAGTTGAGTGTTTTTAGGTTCATTCTTGGACTTTGGAGACGATGTAACTCCATCTGTAGGGTAGCCACGAGGATGCAAGTTGAGGCGATTCCGACGATCCATTTTGCCGCCCTTGCCTCCATGCCCAAGCTAACAAGCTACGCCCGCAACCCCGGGAGAAGGGGTGGGGGAGGTGGTATATTCGGCCGTGGGCTATTGCGGAGCAAGACGCGTAGGAAACCAGAAGAGGGAAGCAGGAGTAAGAGAGCATCTGAGGAAGAAGCAAAGTGGTGGGGGTTGTTTTCCCGGCTAGGGGGACCTGGGGTTGGGCGGTGGTCAGCCCTGTTCGGCGTCGATTAAATGGAGAGGTTTTATGGAGGCTTTCACCTGGGATGGATTCACGGGCGTCGTGGGACCATTGGAGATGCTCGGTTCCCGGCATGGCGGCATGAGGAAGCGGGGCCGAGGGTGAAAAGTCGACCAGTGGGTAGATGGGGAGATGGGGAGATGGTTGAGATGATGGCACATGGCATCGGGGAGGGTGGTGGAGGAGAGGGTGGTGGATGTATGGGATACATTGTATGCAGTTGCTACGTTCTATGGATTGTGATTTGATGTCTACAGTGTGTATGCAAGTGTGTATGTAGGAGTAACTGGAACTGAGAGAGGCCCGAGAGTGAGGCCATCCAGACCGTTCGTTCATGGCGTCTGCTACCATGCCATATCCCTCCATCCCATTCGTCCCACGCCGCGGCTGCACCATAATGCATAGTACGACTACACACCCGTTCGCACAGTAGCAGTCAGTCACAGCTGAACCCCCCTGCAGCTGGTAGTGCATGAACGCCTTCCCCTTCTGTCCGTATGCTGGAGCTCTGCGGTTGTGTCTGCGGCCTGGAGCGGCAATGCAACTCCTCTACAGGATTCATGTGGCTCCAGCGGGCTTCAGTGGATGTCCAGGGCTTCAGTGGGTTCCCAGCACCCCTAGTTCACTTACACCCCCCCTTACAATGAGCCATTATTCCTCTGTAGTTCGTGTGTGCCGCCATTCTGAAGAGCACGCCACAAACCCCCACCCCGCCAAACCACCGACCCGGTACCATCAAATTTCTTATTGGTACACCACCACGGCGCCATCCACTGTTTTATACGTAATCCGATTCGTGCCAGCTCGGGGTCCCTTAGCTGCGCGCTGCTATGAAGTCATTGTTGGCCGATAGCGGAATGTGGTATTTCCAGGGCTCCAGGGCGTGGAGGAGGAAATCGAACGGGGTATGGGTGTGTGTGGACGTGAAGTGGACGCTGCTGCTTGTATTTATGTACTGGGGCCTGTCCGGAGCTCCAACGAGTTGCGACCTGGACATCATGTTCATGTTCAGTGTGCTAAACCACCAAGCATTGCCATCATGACACCCGGTGCCCTCATGACCGGAGACGTCGAGTGCGCCGTTGAGTCGGCGCCCAAGAAGCCGGCCCAGGCCAACGGCTCTTGGTTCGACGTGCCAGTGCTCTCCTCCAAGGCCAACTCACAAGACGTCAACTCACAAGACGCCTCCTCACAAGATCCCTCCCACGACATTCACCAGCTCGAGGCTCTCCTCCTCGCCTGGGCCCTCCTCCTCTACCGCAACAGCAACGGCAGCCCCGTTCAATTCTCATGGAGTTTGAGCGAGCTCGGCGCCGCCACCACCACCACCTTTGAGGTCAACACGTCGACGCTGGGCTGGACGGCGACCGACTCGGTCAAGGTTGCTCTCGCCGGCATCCGCGAGTACTTGCGCCAGCAGCTCGACGCCGAATACCCCCTCGCCGCCGACCGCTACACCTTTTCCTTCAACGACGAGTTTGCCCCTGACGGCTCGTTCAGCCACCTGAAAGATGGCGACCACACAATGTCCTGGGTAAGATGACCTGCTAAGCTGTGACGCTGGGATGAGAGAGATTGAGAAACGCAGCGGCTAACACGAACGCGCTCACTTACAGGGCAACGTCCAGCTCCAAGCCGTCGTAGCAGACGGAAGCCTCTGTCTACGGCCTCACTGGCGCGAACCCCTTGGCGCAGAGTACCTCGCCACGCACTTTGTGCACTCGCTCGTCGAGATCCTCACCACGACGCTCGCCGACGTGGCCACGCCCATCAGCGCCGTCCTGGAGCTCGGCGACGTCGACCAGGCCGTCATCTGGAACTGGAACAAGGACGTGCCGCCCACTGAGGACGCCTGCATGCACACCCTCATCTCCGACATGGTGCGCCGCCAGCCCGATGCGCCGGCCATTTGCTCCTGGGACGGCGACTTCACTTACAAGCAGGTCGAGGACTACTCCGACCTGCTCGCCCACCACCTGATCAGCCTCGGCCTCAAGGCCGGCGATGTCGTGCCGCTGTGCTTTGAGAAGTCCCGCTGGACCGTCATCGCCCTCATGGCCGTCAACAAGGCCGGCGCTGCCTTTGTGCTGATGGACCCCAGCCAGCCTCTGCAGCGTCGCCAGGTCATGGCCGCCCAGGTCCACGCGCCCTTGATCCTCACATCCAAGAGCCTCGGCCCCTCTGGCATGGACACTGCTCCCGAAGCCCAGACAGTCGTCGTCGACGAGCCCACGCTGCTCTCGCTCGCTCAGTCCTCAGCGCCGCGCGGAGACCTCCCCGTCGTGCCCACCGACGCCCTGCTGTACTGCATCTTCACCTCGGGCAGCACGGGTATGCCCAAGGGTGTCATGATCGACCACAAGACGTACACGACCAGCGCCATTATCCGCAGCACGGCCATCGGCTACGCGGCCGACTCGCGCGCCCTCGACTTTACCTCGTACGCCTTCGACGTCAGCATCGACAGCATGCTGTGCACGCTGCTCCGCGGCGGCTGCCTGTGTATTCCCACCGACGACGACCGCATGAACGACCTCAGCGGTGCGATCCGAAGGCTCAAGGTCAACATGGCCAACATGACGCCGTCGGTGGCGCGCATCCTCGACGCCGACATCATCCCGTCGCTGCACAGCCTGGGCGTCGGCGGCGAGTCGTCCTCAGCGGGCGACATCGCCAAATGGGGCGAGCATACACGCATCGTCGTCGGCTACGGGCCTTCGGAGTGTACCATCGGATGCACCGTCAACCCCAGCGCCGCCGGCAAGCCGTACGTTAGTATCGGAGCCGGCACTGGCGCCGTCATCTGGCTCGTTGACCCGGCCGACCACAACAAGCTCGTGCCCGTAGGAGCCGTCGGTGAGCTGCTCGTCGAGGGCCCTGTTGTCGGCCAGGGATACCTCAACGACCCCGAGAAGACGGCCGCGGCCTTCATCGAAGACCCCCCGTGGCTGCTGGCGGGCGGCGGCGGCGTGCCCGGGCGATCGGGACGTCTCTACAAGACGGGCGATCTCGTCCGCTACGACCCCGACGGCGAGGTCGGCTTCATCTTCGTCGGCCGCAAGGACACGCAGATCAAGCTGCGCGGCCAGCGCGTCGAGCTGGGCGAGATCGAGTACCACGTCAAGAACCTCCTGCCCGGCACCGAAGTGTGCGCCGAGATCATTGCGCCCCAGGGCCAGGGTAAGGAGTCCATGATTGTGGCCTTCATCTCCGACCGCGAGGCAGCCAAGCCCGAGGATGCCACTGCCGAGGCGCAGCATCTCGAGCTCTCCCCCCGTGTGCGCGAGTTGGTCGCCGAGCTGGACGACAAGCTGTCCCAGGTGCTGCCCATCTACATGGTGCCGTCGGCGTATATTGGCCTCAACAAGATCCCCATGCTTGTGTCCGGCAAGACGGACCGCAAGTCGCTGCGTGCCCTCGGCGCAAAGGTGCCCCTTTCCACCGCGGCCTCATCAACCACCACCATCACCAAGCCCACGACCGAGACTGAGATCTTCCTGCGTGACATCTGGTGCCGTCTGCTCGGCCTCGAGGAAGACCAGGTCAGTACCACGCACAACTTCTTCATGCTCGGCGGCGAGTCCGTCCTGGCCATGAAGCTCGTTCCCCTGGTGCGAGAAAAGGGGTACGCCATGACCGTCGCCGACGTCTTCAACCGCCCCAAGCTCGTCGACATGGCCAAGGAGCTGAAGCGCGAGGATGCCGCCGCGCAGGTCGCCATGGAAGTGCCGGCCTTCTCGCTGCTCCGCGCCGACATGGACCGCGAGGCCATCTTCGCAGAAGCCGCCGAGCAGTGCGGCGTTGATGCAGCCGTCATCGAGGACATTTATCCTTGTGCGCCCATGCAGGAGATCCACGTCGCCTTCTACACGCGCTCTACCGAGAATTACGTCGCCCAGCGCGTGGCCGAGATTCCCAAGGCGGGTTCCGTCGAGAAACTCCAAGCCGCCTGGGACGCCGTGGCCGCCAAGAGCGCTGTCCTACGCACGCGCATTGTCGAGTTCAAGCAGCACGGCTTCATGCAGGTCGTCATCAACCAGCCGACACAGTGGCAGGCGGCCAGTTCCAGTCTAGATGCCTTCCTGGCGGACGATGCCGCCGTGCCTATGACGCCCAGCACGCCGCTGTGCCGCTTTACCATTGTCCACGACGAGGTGCTCGACAAGCGCTACTTTGTATGGACGGCGCACCACGCCATCTACGACGGCTGGTCGATAGATCTGATCCTCGAGCATGTCAAGGCTGTCTACGACGGTCTCACCGTGTCGCGTACTGCCGAGTTTAAGCACTTCATCCGCTACCTGGCAGATCCCAAGCGCGCGGAGGACTCTAGGGAGTACTGGCGCACGCAGCTAGAGGGCGCAACTGGACCTCAGTTCCCAGCTCTGCCGTCGCGATCCTTCATCCCTGAGCCGGATTCTCTCGAGGAGCGTTTCATCACCATCGACCAGTCTGCGCGGTCCGAGGCCACCATTGCCACGGTTATTCGCGCCGCCTGGGCGCTGGTTGCTTCTCAGTACACCATGAGCGACGATGTCGTATACGGAGAGACCTTCTCTGGCCGTACTCTCCCCATTCCTGGCGCCGAACAGATCGAGGGTCCTATCCTGGCCACTGTCCCCGTCCGCATCCGTGTTGACCGCGCTGCTACCATCCAGGAGTTCCTCCAGTCCATCCAGGAGCAGAGTGTCCAGCGGGCAGCCCACGAGCATCTCGGCATCCAGAACATCCGCCGTCTGAGCCCCGACGCCCAAATCGCCTGCGAGGTCATGATGGGTCTCGTCGTCCAGCCCGCATTGCCTGAGGCCCCCGAGCTCTCAGACGAAGACCTCCCTCCGTTCCGCTCCGGAGACCAGGCTCTCGAGGCCCTCCACTTCAACTCGTACCCCATCATGATGGCGGCGTCGCTCGAGAAGTCTGGCTTCCGCCTGGTGGCCAGCTTCGACTCGCGTATCATGAGTCCTGCGCGAGTCAAGAGAGTACTGGCCCAGTTCGACTGTGCCGTATCTCAACTCCGCGGCGATCAGACACAGTCGCTGAGCGCCATTACCTGCGTGAGCAGCGATGAGCTGAGCGAGATCTGGAACCTCAACAAGGCGGCGCCGCTCTCGCCTTCAAGCTCCCTCGCTAGCGGAGACAGGTATCCCATCATCCGGTACGTTCCCTGGGTTGTGCACCCCAGCAACGTCAACCTGCTCGTGCCCGTTGGTACCGTCGGCGAGCTGGTCCTCGAGGGCGTCGGCGAGGCTGCTGAGACCGAGGCCCCTGAGTGGCTCACCAGCGGTGTTGAGGGCATTGCCGGTCGCCAGGGCAAGCTCCACCACACTGGCGATCTCGTCAAGTATGCTGATGACATGAGCTTGATCTTTATGGGCCGCAAGGAGACCATGACCAGCATCGACGGCCATGTCATAAACCTCACCGAGACCGACATTGAGCTGGAGAAGTTCCTCCCTGCCAACACTGCCGTCGCCAGTCAGCTTATCCTCCCCAGAGGTTCAACTGGCCAGACTCCCATGGTCATATCCTTCGTCCAGGAGAACCCTGCCGCCAACGCCCAGATGCTTGACCTCGGCATTGATAACACCGAGTCTCTCCCATTGTCGTCCAACATCTCGATTGAGCTCGCCACCGCCATCAACGGCCTCAACAAGGCCATGATGGAGACCCTCCCCCCTTATGCTATTCCCTCCATCTGCATCCCCGTCGCCAAGACCGCAGGCAGCGAGTCAATCGATGTCAAGACTGTCAGCAAGATGACCGAGCAGGTCACTCTCGCACTCGTCACCCAGCTCCGCAAGTCCTTTGCGAACCTTGAGCGGGTCATCTCCGAGTCAATCACCATGACCCCCAACGAGCGCGCGCTTCTCCCCCTGTGGGCCAAGTTCCTGGCCATCGACGAGGACAAAATCTCTCTGGATGACAACTTCTTCCGCCTGGGCGGTGACTCCATCGTCGCCATGCGGATGGTCTCTGCCCTGCGCCGCGGCGGTTACCGTCTGTCCGTGGCGGACATGTTCCAGAACATGAAGCTGCGCGACATGGCCAGCGCCATCATCAACAGCAACCCGGCGCCTGAGAAGCCCGCCAAGGTCTACTCTGCCTTTTCTCTGCTGAACTCGCGAGATGTCGAGGCTTTCCTGGCCGAGACTATCCGACCTGCCCTTGCGGACTCAACGTGGAAGATCCAGGACGTCCTGCCCGTCACCGACACCCAGCAGCGAGACGTCAAGTCGTCGATTGTTGCGCCCAGGAGCTCCATGCAGTACAACATGCTCTACCTGGAAGAGTCGATCGACACCTCGCTGCTCCTCGAGAGCTTCAGGTCCCTCGTGGCTCAGCACCCTATCCTGCGTACCGTCTTTGTCCAGCACGAGGCTCAGACCCTGCAGGTGGTGTTAGAGGACATGACTCTGCCCTTTACGGCGCTCGAGACCGAGGAGCCTGTGGACAAGTTCTGCAAGGAGCTCGCTGAATCCGACATTGCCAACGATACCGCCTTCGCCCTCGGCGCGCCCTTCCTGCACATCTTTGCCGTCCACGGTGCGAGCGAAAAGGCCTTGATGATTCGCATCTCTCACGCCCAGTATGACGGTGTTTCCCTGCCTGAGCTCCTGCGCCAGCTCGAGCTGCGATACCGTGGCGAAGAGGTCCCCGCCTCGACCCCCTTCAACAGCTACATGCAGCATTTGGACGAGAAGCGTACCGAAAACCTCAAGTTCTGGCGCAACGTGCTCGAGGGATCGTCGCCAACCGAGATCATTCCCGCCGCGGATGCCGGCACCAAGACTGCCTTCATGACCAAGCCCGTCGACGTCTCTGCTCGCTCTCCCGATACTACTTTTGCCATGCTCCTCAGCGCCGCCTGGGCCAAGGTCATGGCTCGCCACCTCGGCATCTCCGATGTCACCTTTGGAAACATTGTCTCCGGCCGTAATGTCGAGCTCGAGGGCATCGACGGCATCATGGGACCGTGCTACCAGTACATGCCTGTTCGCGTCAAGTTCGAGGACAACTGGACAGCGACCCAGCTGCTGGACCACGTCCGCAGCCAATACCTCGAGGGCAGCCAACGCGCAACCGTCGGCTTCCAAGAGCTGCAGAAGGAGTGCAGCTGGTCCGAAGAGAGCACCTTCTTCGGATCGTTCGTGAACCACCTCGACAAGGAGTTCTTTGACGAGGTTCCCTTCGCCGGCACCAAGTGCCGCGTTGACTACTCCATCCCCCACCCCGAGCCCGCGACTCCCCCGCGCGTGGTGTCGTATGTGGAGGCTGGCAACACCTTCGTCGGTATCGAGGCCGACGAGGAGCGCCGGGAGTTCTGGGAGGCCAGACTGGAGGAGCTGGCTGTTGCCGTGGAAGGATTCGTGACGAATCCTGAGGCTATGTTGTAAATGGGATTTGGGCATTTTAATAGCGATGGGTTTATAATATCTTAAAAGGAGTGTTTATATTGTCATGTACTTATGTCTATTTAGTATTGTTTTAGTAAGAATATTTTTATATCTTGACCTCTGAATCCGTATGATCGATCTAAGTGACAGTCATGAGAGATGACAAGACAACCGTGAGCAGCTGCTACGGCTACAAGCTAGCTTTCCGAGAAGCCAATACGGCTATGTTCGGCTACGGCCGGATTCCAAGGAGGGGCAAAAGAGGGGCAATGAGCATCATTTTTCGTCTCGAAGGGACGGACCAGATGAGCCCTGGAACTGCAGCGTGACCACAAGAAAGGCGAGTCTTGAAGTCTGGTTCTGCTGTACTCACGCAGTATACCCTGCTACTAATACTGTAATATATCGCTTGCTTGGCGTTGTGCAGGGTTCTACATCTTATGCAGATGAGATCTCCGAGGACGGAGTGAGGCTCGTCGAGATCCACCATGTGGATTATCAATCTTATCAGATGCAATGGCGCGGTGGCACCATCCTTAAAACGAGTCTGTCCACCTGTATTTAAGAAAGCCGCGAGCTAAAAAATGCACTTAAAAGCTCTCTGCCGTTAACCGCTTGCCACTGTCGTAACTAGTTGCAGAATGCGAAACATGCGCGGTATAAATATCAGCCTGAATCGGGCCATGCGCGCCATTCCGCGCTCTCTCATCCATACCCGGCCCGCCAGGACAATCTCACAAATGGTTGCCAAGATGGAGCATGCGCATCTCCCCAACACGTGCCAGTACACGGCCAAGACTGACAGGGGAGACTATATTGTCCAGGTTGCCTGGCCTCTTATTTGGGGCGAGGACCGTGTCCCGCACAAGGAAGAGCCTGTCAATACCATGTGAGTAAAGGCCGCATCTAGTTCCAGGCACATATCTGACTTAATCCAGTTACGTTGTTGATGGAAATGCCTATTTCTTCACAGCGGTGGATGTTACTCGCCGTACGGAATTCACCCATCAGGAGCGAACAGTTGTAGTTGGAATCGGCTATCCCAACAAGACGTGTGTCTACGACCACCGCAGAGGCCCTGATCTCACTCCGCCAACCGCAGATGGCAAATATGATATCCCGCTCGATGCGTTTGGACAACCCCAGGACCATCTTCAATTCGGCGAGGCGTCCATCTTCCTCGACACCATTGAGAACACCATTATGCCCCATGTCCAAGACACTCTTTTCCCCAAAGCGCCACTGAACACTGGTCGCAAAGCTCTTTTCGGCCACTCATATGGCGGAATCTTCGCCCTGAACACACTCTACACCAAGCCGGAGCTCTTCAACACCATTATTGCCGGAAGCCCCGTGGTCTGGTGGAACTACAGCTCCATCATCAAGGAGCAAGAAAAGGCATTCCTCGCACGAAAGGACACCATCGACAAGCCCCCAGCGTTGTTGATGACGTATGGATCGGCAGCGTCGGAGCTTAAGATGACACCAGGCGAGCCTGACGAGTCATTTGCCAAGAGGAAGGCCTGTTCCGAGGCGGATCAGATGGAGACGAGGGTCAAAGAGATGGTGGAACGTTTGGGAAGCTCGCCAAATATCAGGAATATCTGGACGTGGAAGTTTGAGGGCGAGGACCATGGAAGTTCTGCCGTGACGGGAGTTCAGCACGGAATCATCAAGTTCCTCTGTGAAAAGCATATTGGTTAGACAAATTAGATCAGTCATAATTTTACTGGTCCTCAAGTGATACGATTTTCCAGGTCCAACAATTTTTTGTTGCTGCTGTGATGTCACTGATGTGTAGTAACTTTTACTATCTGATGTTACTTCTTGAGATTCCAAGACGGTAACCTGGCTAACTATCACCAATCCATATCTTTCTCGACCTAAATATAGCCAAGGACCCTGTTTACCGCATTTGCTGGGGTCGGCGAATACATGATCAAAGCCAACTGGGGAGCTTGAGCAAGATCCTTGAAAGTTGGCCGAACATGGCCGACGATCATGCAGGCTACGCTTTAAGATGACATATTCGTACTTTGCACGATTGGCTCAGTAGCTAAGCAACCATTGTATGGAGAGACGCCCTTTGCCACTTCTTCAGCTGCGTGGTTAATTGGCTGCGTGAAAGCCGACGGATACGTTCCGGTCGGGACGGATGCGGGCCGGTTAGATCCACAACCGTATCAATCATCAACCCCTCTGGAGCAGGGATGTTATCAAGGGCGCGTCATTATTTACATGAAGTAGATAGGTTCTTGATTCATTTCTATATATTGAGGAGAAGAATATCTCGTGCATTGGTTCGCCATCCGAACCTCCAGTTGTCTCAATACTCGTATCCTGTTTGTCATCGAGTCGAACAGCGCAATGAATGGAACAACAAGGACACGTCCGCAGCCCGCCCAGCGCGTGGCCCAACAACCCGACGATGTTTGGTAGGTTAAAGTGGTTCTGTATAGTCTGTTGAACAAATCTAATCTTACATCAGGTCTATTGTGAATGACGCAGCATCCAAGTCTCCAATTCAACCGGTCGTCAACATGGGCCAGGGTTTCTTGTACGTGCCTTTATCACCGTCTCTCAGCTTGGCAATGGCAAACGCTAACAAGCTCTCAGTGGCTATAACCCGCCGGATTTCCTCCTTGACGCAGCCAAGGACGCCCTGAATCGAGTTGACGCAAATCAATATTCCCCTACCAAGGGCCGCATCAACCTGAGACGGGCAATTGCAAGCCACTATTCTCCTTCCTTGGAACGAGAGATCAACGCTGAATCCGAGGTGATCATCACAACTGGCGCGAACGAAGGCATCTTGAGCGCATTCATGGCCTTTATCGAGGACGGGGATGAAGTAATTGTCTTCGAGCCGTTCTTTGATCAATATATCTCAAACATTGAGATGGCTGGTGGTACTGTCAAGTATGTCCCGTTGATCCCGCCAGCTCGCGGAGATGTGGAAACTTCGACTTCGGGGGACTGGTCCATTGATGTGGACAAACTGGAGCGAGCATTCTCATCCCGAACGCGTATGCTTGTTCTGAACTCGCCTCATAATCCAGTCGGCAAAGTCTTTTCGACAGAGGAGCTCACTCTCATCGGAAATCTCTGCGTCAAGCATAATACCATCATAATCGCAGATGCCGTGTATGATGCATTGACCTACATCCCCTCGAAAAGGATGGCAACCATTTCGCCCGATATCTGGAACCTGACATTGACGGTTGGATCTTCGGGAAAGACCTTTTACGCCACGGGTTGGCGAATCGGCTTTCTCATCGGCCCCGACGATCTGATCAAATACGTTGCCGCAGCGCACATGCGCATCTGCTACTCAAGCCCGAGCCCGTTACAGGAAGCCTGTGCGGTCGGTTACCCACTGGCTACGAAACTAGGATTCTGGGAAACTTGTCAAAGGGATATGCAATCCAAGATCAAACGCTTCGTCGAGGTGTTTGAAGAGCTAGGTCTTCCGTATTCGGCGCCTCAGGGCGGCTATTTTGTCATGGCCAACTTCTCGCGCGTCAAAATCCCTCAAGGCTACGAGTTCCCACCGCATGTTGCTTGTCGCCCAAGAGATTTCAAGCTTTCTTGGTTCTTCATTGTTGAACTTGGGGTAGCTGCGATTCCCCCAAGTGAATTCTATCTGCCGGAGAATGCACATGTGGCTGAGAATTACTTGCGATTCGCAGTGTGCAAGGAGGACGCTGTGTTGGAACAGGCAAAGGAGAAGCTGAGGGGCTTGAGTAAATATATAGTCTGAGATGCTTACAATATTGAACAAAGTTAGTTTCACGTAATGGAACCTCAAGTTGAATAATAAATCGAATAAGATAGTATCAAGCGGTGAGGGTGCCCTAGTACACACATACCCAGAGGGGGGACTAGAAGCTCAACAGTAAAAAAAAAATACCAACAATCGTACTAACAATACAGACCATATACCCAGTCCATTCAAAGGTCAACAATACACTCAGACAGACTAAGGTTTCTAGTCTAACTGGTTACCTTTCCCGATACCTTTATGAGCTGCAGGTAACAGCTGTATCTGAATAAGATAGTATTTTATCATCACCGTGGATCAAAGCTTGAAGGCCCATAGAGAGCTTTCAAGTAAAGTGCTGACCGAGGGTATGAATCTGCGTGTGCAAATAGAAATAGCTGCGAGAGTAAATAGCACTACTAAAAAACAATCTATCTTAAATCGAATGGCGACTATGAGTGTCTGCTTTAATTGAAGACGTAATCTTCAGTGGCCCACCTGCTTTGGTGCAGGACTTGCAGTCGAATCTTCGGGGACACTAAAAACCTTTCCAGGATTCATTATCCACCTGGAAACAGTCAGCATAAAAAGCTTTCACTCCGATTGTTGATGGCTCACTTTGGATCCAAAGCCTGCTTAACCAACTTCATTGTGTGGATGGTGTCGGGGCCGAGTTCGTTAACCAGAGAGTGCTAGAATATCAGTTGGGAGTTCAGAAAGAGTGATATTCGAAAATCTTACCATCTTCCCCATGCCAATTGCATGCTCGCCCGAGACAGTTCCTTCCATCTCTAGAGCGCGATCCATCATCCGGTGAATGGCCTTTTCAACTTTTGCGTGAAGTTCTGGATTCTTGGCATCGTACATCAACGCCTCGTGAAAATTGCCATCCCCGACATGTCCCACGACGCTGGCAAAAATTCCTAATTGATCTCCCTCCTTCTTGGAGATTTCGACGATCTCGGCAAGCCTAGAGATGGGCACGGCCACATCTGTCGACCAAATGGAATGTCCTTCAGGTTTGATCGACGTCATCGTCCACAAGGCCTCTTTTCTCGCTGCCCAGAGACTCGATTCCTCGTCCTTATTCTTTGCAAAAAAGTACTTTTGGGGGTTGCTTGACTGGATGGTATTTCTCACCTGGGAGATGTCCCCATTTACTCCCTCCTGTGTCGGCCCAGAAAACTTGAGGAAGAGGGACGGGCTTTCATCCCAGTTAATTTTCCGAACCGCTTCGCTTCCATGCCGGTTGATGATGCGCATCTGAACGTCGTCCATTAGCTCTATGGCGGCAAGTGTAATACCCGACCGGATGAGTTCTGAGGCCGCCGAAGCAGCGTCAGCGATGCTCGCAAACGAGACAACAGCGACACCGGTTTCCTTTGGCACAACTGCAAGCTTGAGAGTGACTTCGGTCACAATTCCCAGCGTCCCCTCGGCGCCGACAAACAGGGAGGTCAGATTGTAGCCAGCAGACGTCTTCCGCGGTCGTCGCCGAGTTTTGATTATTTGGCCATCTGCGAGCACGATTGTAAGGTTGATGACCCAGTCCTTCATGGTGCCGTATCGGAACGCATTGGTTCCACTGCAGTTTGTAGAGACCATTCCCCCTATAGTTGCCGTTGGGGAAGGGTCTAGGGGCAGGAAGAGATTCTCGTGCTCGATCTTTCTGTTGAGATCCATCCAGTTTACACCAGGTTGCACCACAACGTCCATGTCATCAGGGTGGAACGTCACGATCTCATTCATGAATGTAAGATCAATGACTATTCCACTGTATGGTGATGAAAAATTCCCTTCAATGGAGGAGCCGGCACCGAATGGCACTTGAACTATCAGTCCCTGTGGAAGCCGTCTAGCCTGGGGGCAACATACCTATGGGCACGTTGTGTTTGTTGCAAATGGCTGCAGCAGTGGATACATCCTGGGTGCTTTTTGGATACACAATGGCCACACCGCGACCTGATGAGTTGCAACTTGACCAGTCTGAATAACCGTGAGTCTCAATATCGTCCTGATCGTAGCTGACTGCATCGTCTCCGAGGGCAGCGTGTATCTCTCTGGCAGCCTGCGAGTGTGTGGGTCAATATTCCGTGGCACCATGGCTCAATTTGACAGAGGATCTTACCGCGAGCATGCCATTTCGATCAGCGTAGCGCACCTTTGATAAGCCTTTGGACTCGGGGACGTCTGCACGACTCTGACCGATGGCGACTCCAGCCACAAAGACTAAGGACAGGGCTCCGAAACCGGCTAAGCGTCTTGGGGTGTCACTTCGCACATTGGACTTGACTGTATATGGCCGGGCGGATGAAAGTCTCTCATGCAAAGGCCTTGCAATAAAAGACTTTGTGAGCTGCCTGTGGCAGGCCCTCAAGTTCGGCTGGCTCACAACGCGATGCATTATGTGTCTCTAACTGGTGAGTATGAGCCGTCCCTGTGTGATGAATGAAAACTAACCCAGCATTTGCCATTCCCAGCAAAGGCACGTTTGGCTCATGCCTACCGAGATAAGACACATCGATGAGGAGACCCTTACTTCGTCGGCTATTGCCCCGCGGACCGGATCACGCGGGTTACATCCGACGGATACAGCCCGGAATGTGCCGCGTGTTATCGCGCCTGATAACGAACACGGTTCAGTGGGTCTGGTGGCGATTCAGCTGAGGGGCAGATTATACTGTGATGGGCTTCAATGATAACATTCGAGCTGCAACTCTTGGAGCAGGTAAACCGGTTTCATGGAAAGTGGGTAGCTAGAAGCGATTGGAGATCAAGATCTTTGGGATTTTGAGTAAAAAATTGGGTATGTCTTTGGTGTTCGTCCGTGGTGTCTCTCTGATGTTTTATCTTGGCTACGAGCCGCAAGGTCCTATTCTCCCACTTGAGCAATTATATTTGGCGCAGGAGGCAGCCATAAGCAATGAAACAAGACATATATTCCAGGTAATTCATATTTAATTCCGGGTGTCAGGTCCATTCTACATCTCTCCATTCTCTAAATCCTCCCCGTACAGAGATGATTCAAGTCCAGGGTAGGCTGTTGGCTACTGAACACTGAGAAATCGTCCTACTGGCAATCTCAGGGTCCAGGCTCTTGACACACGGGGACATGGGGATAGAAATGATCTGTAATTTTGGATCTGACGAGATCCGCTAAAGATCAACCCGCGAGAAACTGAACCATATCTAACCGTCACTTGACAAACCTGCATCTTTGTGGATAACATCCTGGCCCCTGTTCCCATCTCTTTTTCAGGGCGCGGGGTATCCTGTTTGTATCTTAACGCTAATCCTCTCTGGGAATTTGAGGTTATGGCGTAAGTCAGTCAGATAAGGCAGCATCTACTCCGTTCGAGTTTCACTGTCACCTTTACACACCAACTCTGTCATTCCTCGCCCTAGCTCTTTGGCCATTACCACAATGGAGACATACGAGCCCCGAGATGAGAGGCCGCTGAAACGCACGCGTCAAGCTTGCGACTCGTGCCGGTGCGTGTATTCGCGATACTACTAGGATGGAGCTGATTGTATGGCAGACGGAAGAAATCTAAGTGTTCAGGAGAGCGACCTGTCTGCGCCACATGCGATAGGCTGCGGCGGTCATGCTCTTACACGCTCGAGCACCATTATGCGTTTTATACGGAACAAGATCAACCTCGGCATGGTTCCCACGAAAGCAGAGACGTGCGTCCGTGTTCAGGACACTCCGAGTCAGAAAGAAGATGGGTAACATGCCCCTCCTAGCCCCATTGACAGCTGAGGCTGAGATCAACATATAGCAGGATCGCATAGAGTCACTAGAGTCAACCCTGGCCGAGGTGGTACAGGGCCTAAGAAACGGCATATCGCCGCATACGCCATCCACAGTTCGGCGGCAGCGCCGGCCTCTCGCACCTAACAGTCCAGCTCCGTCCCAGTCAACTACAACAGCCGCGACAGGAGCAAAACAGTCCCCACTTATTTCTTTGGTAGCAAGGCCTGTAATGCCGTCTTGGGACGTTGTCACTTCCATGGCACAGGTCTACCTGGTATACTGTGACTCTCAGCCCCTCCCATTATTTCATCGAGAGACTTTCGTGTCATCGTTCGTGAGGCGTGACTCTGAGGTAGTGTATGCAGTCCTGGTGCTGGCCTCCAATTTCTCCGAAAAGTTCCCGCCCAGTGGACACGACTATGGCATTGACGTCAAGGAGTTCGCCGATGCTGCTCTCCAATTGGCCATGTCCCGGGTGGTTTCACGACGCGTAGAGTTATCAACGTTACAGACGTTGGTCTTGCTGGCTTTCTACGAACTGAATAGTAAGCACCTCTTCTGTACACTTTTCTTCTTTGGCTTGACTAACACCCTGCAGACGGAGACCTAGACCAATGCCGAGTGCACTCTTCTATGGCAATGACACTGGCTCAGTGCGCACAACTTCATCGAGACATGCCCGGTAACAAGAACCAGCAGATGGTGGACGAACGACGGCGGTGCTACTGGAGCATCGCTCTTCTCCATCGTTTACTTGGAGAACAAGTTCCTACCTACTCCGACCAGTCAACGCAGCAGATTGTCTTCCCCATGAGTGCCTCCTCCCCTCCGGCTGTTGCAGCAAGTCCGGAAGGCCAGCGTCTAGCGATCTCTATGCGTCCAGATGAGGAACAAGGCATTCTGTCCGTCGTTCTTAGGTTGAGCGAAGTGTGGTCCATGGTGCAGATCTACGTCAAGGGCCAAAGATCGCCAGTGCGCGGTCTTGCCCCGTGGTCTCACAAGTCCGAGTATTCCAAGGCACTCTCGGCGCTGATGGATCTTGGACAGAAGCTCCCCCCAATCCACAGATATCGCTTTATCCGCCTGTCGAGCATTACAACTGAGGAGCTTGAAGAGTCTAGGGAATACTGGGGTCCCTGGTTTCTCAGCCGCTTTTTGTACCACACGTCCATGTGCATTCTCAACCACCCAATTCTCATTATGCTGCAGCTGCAAGGTAGTAGAGACGTGTCAGAGGTGTTTCTGCAACAAACCTTCTTCTCTCTATCACATCACACTTCGTGGATCCTCCACTTCATCGAGTTTCTGGACTCTAGACAATTTTATGTGTCGGATCCTGTAATTGGCTACTCCGCGGCGGTGGCGGCAACGATAGAACTCCACCAGAGCTTCCTGGAAGAAGAACAGTCAGCCCGAAATAAGAAGAAGCAAGGTTACGATCAATGCCTGAAATTAATTCTAGACATGCGCCATCAGTGGCCACATATGGAACATATTGTAAGATCCAAGAAATGCCACCAGTCGTTTGCATGCTAACATGACCAGGCCAAGAAGTTGCAAAGTCTTGCAGAAACAATGTCAGTGTCTTACGAGACTACCATCACTCGTCAAAGTAACAACATCTGCATTGACATCTCTGGCTTCTTTGGAATCCTGGACTTTTCCGCATTTTGTTCCGCAGCTAGGCCGACGAATATAGAGAACTCTATGTTTGGGTCTACATTGGCCTTTCACCCAACCCTCCAGCCTCAGAATCAAGCTAATCTTGAGCGCTTGCCATCGATTACGGCCATAGAGCGCACTGCAACGTCGACAGAGCGGGCCAATGCTCTTGCAATGGTCAATGACCCTGCTCCCCAACCAGATACAGTTCATGAATCGACCAATTCCCAAGCCACTAGCGATGTCATGTTAATGCCGGCTGATCAATTCAATGAGTTGCTGCTTCCAGCTGATCAATTCTTCGGTGGCTATGCTCATGATTCTTGGGAATTGATGCTGGGAACGTCGTCCTCCGTACATAATCCGTTTGTTTGAGAATGTGTGGCGAGAAAGTAGGCTGTTTTGTACATGACGTGTATACTATACTGTCGAGTTTAGCCCCATAATGACTCTCTTAACCCTGGCGATGCTTATGGCTAACGTGTAGTCTCTTTGTCAAGGAAGTGGACGGATTCATATTTGTCTGGTAGCTGTGGTTCCAGAATACAAGCTGCATTAAAGATGGAGCTGCTTGTTTTCAGGCTGAATATAACAGCCACAGTTAAAGCTTGTATACGAACACCCGACTCTCGACGTTTTTCATCTGCGTTTCGTCCCTTGATGAATTGCACCAGTGTCTGAATTAATGGTCAGCCTTGAGGAGGGATTTTGAGACCGTTCAAACTGACAATCCATTGAGGCATATGGCGGTATTTAAAGACGGACATCGATAGTAGTAGAGCCTATATGCGGCATCATCCGACGGGTCTGATCTCCATTCCTTCGGTCAGGCTCGGGCCGTGTCCGATCCGTGACAGCCTTAACGAGCTCCGCAGATTTGGAAGCGGAGTCACCAATTTGGTGTTGATTTTGAGAAATAATAAAACAAATCAACAGAAAAATCAATAGAAAGTATCATGACTATTGATCTGCGGAGTGTCAATAATTAGTATGAGAGGTCTAGTGAGACTCACAAGAATCGCAAGCACACGGCTTCTTGGCACTACCTAGGCCCACAAGCAGCTTCAACGCCGCCTAGGACTTGCACAGGAAATAATCACATTCTTCGGCACACTTTAAATGGTTTTTAGCTCTAGATGTCTCTGCTTTAGTGCCTCCCTCGAACTTGAGTATCAATATTCACCATCCCTCACAGTCTAAAAAAGGTTCCGGTATCATTAAACTGCCTTTAGTTATGCTAAAATGCAGGGAATGAGCGTTCTTGCTTAATCTGTAATTGATGCATTTTGATGCACAGCCAAAGAGTGGATTCGTATGATCCTAACTTTTATCTATTATGGGATGTAAAATAAAGACGATAACATTATTATTAGGGGATAATACTTAAAATCGTTATTCCCTAAACTGCTGTATTAGACGTACTGTTAATAATTGTCTTTGGATTGGAGTTTGTACTTGTGTGTGCAAATAGCAATACTTTTTGGGATTTGGATGTTGTTTATATATGAGGCTTTACTACCACTGATGCCCTCAATCACACGATGGTAGAAGGCAAAGCGCCATCGTCATGTAGTCCCGAGATGCAAGTAAGGTGGCTATCATGCAGGGGCTTCCTAGCGGGTTGCACTATCTGGGTACAAAGCGAGTTGCCTGCAACAGTATGCCTCTGGAAATGCCCGTGGCTCTCGCCCAAGCCCAAACTACATGTGAACAAATTGCTGTCCTGGCTTGATCTTCAAATGTGTCCTAGCTGCGAATGCCGAGTCGAGGTGGCTGAGGGGATGCTACTGGCGAAGCCAGTTACGGCATAACTTACAGGGCGATCAATTATTTTGCAATTCTTGTAGTACAAGGACCATATATGACGGAGGCATTTGAATGTTAGTGTACATGATACCTTGCATAACCTCAGAGAGTAGCTGAAACGATGGCTGAACGCATTGTGTGACCACCAGGGATCATGGCTGCGTTGATACACCAAGTTACAAAACCGCATATTGAAACCAGCAACATGATCTGGCGCCTATAAGGGCTGGCGGGTTGAGAAACATACTTCCCGGTTGAGAAGGGCGGGGGGGCCGCGATATTTAGACTGTGTGCCCGGGTGCGCAGCTCATCAATCTGCTTGCGCACGCTGACAGCAGCATCGCCATTGAGCAGCACGCCATTCTCCAACGACCGACCCTGGTGCAACATGTTGCGCTGCGTCGGCCACAGGTACGACGTGCCGAGGTACGCAGTGCTTCCGTCGGCAATGATGGCGTTCCAATGCGGGCGTGGCTCCCACCAGCTCGAGTCCTCGAGATGCAGGTTGGGATAGCGTGCCAGGGCATCCGTCAAGAGTCGAATTGAGACGGGGTCCAGCTCGCGGACTTGTATCGTGACGTCGACGCCGCTCGCCACGCGGTCGAGGAGCATCTCTGTCATCACGGGGTCGACCAACTCCGACAAGCTGACCATCAGTTCACGGGCGGCGCCACGGATTAGGGCGTCTTGCACGCGACTTATATAAGTCAAGCCGGCGACGGGGTCGTTAATGACGACCCCGTGGCTCGCGAGCTCAGCGGCAAGCTCAGCGCGGCGTTCGGGGGATGCATCGCCACGAATGGCCTCGTCGGTGTACCGCCGGAATGAGATAGCCGCAGTCGGGGGCAGTTCGATAGAGAAGTCGGCTTTGTTGATGGGCCATGTGTCCATGACGGCGCCGGTGCTGAATAACACGCGGTCATCAATTACGATGCCCTTGGCGTGCATCACCTGGCGAGTTGGGCCGTCGGCGCCGGTGAAGGTGTCGACCTGAATGTGATTGTCGTCTAAGATCTGGATATAGTTGCGGAATGCCGGTGTCTCCTGGAAATCGGTCGGGCCAAGCTTGGAAACGACGATGGCCATCTCGGCATCCGGGTTTTGGCGCCGGAAGTCCACCAGGGCGGAGAGCACACCGCGGGCATCGCCCTGATTGCTCATCGAGAGGTTGAGCAGCGTCAACCGTCGCGGCTTTCCCCTTGCAGCATCTGGCTGCGCATGATCGCGGATGAAATCTTCGAACACGGCGAGGTGGCCGGCGCCGTTGGTCAACAGCGGCATCTCGCCGGCCGGAAGACTGCCGAACAGTGGGTCCTGGATCGGCCCGCCGTTCGGGTCGGCCCCGACGCTCGTCGCCCGGCTGCGGAGTTGATCCTCGCAGAATAAGAACCTGTCGACGTCGAAGCTGGCGCCAAAGTCGAGCGATTCCACTGTTTCGTATCGCGGGGAAATGTCGCCTGGCTGGATGGAAATGCACTGCGAGATGCCGCTGCGATCTACGCCTGTCGCCATCAATCGGCCGCTGTCGCTGACGCCGATGGTATACGGCCCTTCGAGCTCACGGCCAAGCAGCCGAGCCTCAAATCGATGACCAGACCGGAGCGGCATTCGTACTTTGGCCTCAGATGCCAGCGGGGCCATACGCACGATGCCGTGCTTTACTGGGCCCAACTTGTGCTCGCCTTCGGCACTTGGGAATCGCACACGTGTCGCCTTGGTGCCAGTCAGGGTTCGTGTACGCGCTGGATTACGTGGATCCGCCAGTTTGAGAATCAGAATCGCATCTGAGGGACTGGTCATGGCCTCGAGCGAAATGACACGCCAGTATATGCCATCGAGGATCGCCGGCCGGCCAGTGAAGCACTCAATTCGCATGTCTCGGTGCATGGCTCGCTGATCGCGCAGCAGCAGCTCGCCCTTGAGGCTCACGCCTACAATATCGTGAGGTAGGCCATCGTATTCGATTGGCACAGGCGCGCGAGCCCGCTCGGCGCGCAACCGCTGAAACGGTGGAAGCATGGGATAGAAATGACCACACCAAGTATTCAACAACTCGTGCGGTTCCGCAACAATAAGTTCGCCCTGATTAGCATGGGCAATTGTGAACAAGACGACGTTGATCTAATCCAGCCCTGTCACCAGCAAGCCGCAGACTATATACTCGGCGCCTTTCGCTCCTCTTCTCCTCATTTCTCACGATCGATCGCGCTATGCCCTAAGTACGTAGGACCTGAGACATGCCGTGATCGACATCGGCCTAGCGCTTCACCGCCGCGGCTTCAGCTCTGCGGCTGCAGGAAGGCGTCATGGCGTACAAGTACTCCTGTGACCAAGACAAGTACTGTCGCGTGCCTAATGGACTCCAGTTCTTGCACTACGACCCGTGCCGTGCCGTGTGTTGCTGCATCAGCCGTGGCGGGGTTGGGAATGGAGGCTTGTGCCTCACTGCGTCCCAATGTCTTTGACCAGTAAGAGCGTGGCACCGAGGAACCGACGTGTAAAATTGGTTCATGGCTGCCAATAACTGCATGCGGTGAAATATCACAACAGCAGATGCCCCTGACCATCAAGTCTGGCCAACTTCGCCAATCCGAGCACAGCATGTTAGGTCTTGTCTTGCACCACGTACCGCCTTTAAGAACCTTTACCACCGTGTTCCGCCTACGATGCAATGACCGCACGACTGGATTGGATGATGATCAGTTACGCAGATGGCTGCTTTTAGGCCCCGGAATGTGGCAACCTAAGTTTGGCCAAATCCGGGCAGGATCACCACAGCCGACTTGAGCTGATGATAGACCAGTCTTTGAGCTTAAATGAGTCGGGAGTTCTTGAGCCAATGCAACGAAGTCGCTCGGTAGCTACATACTCTGGGAGAGTCACTTATTTATGAGTGTGAACCACTTGCGGTGGTGCTACGTCAGTGGCGAGATATTGGAGACACGGCACACATGCGCCAAACCTTCTCATCCACTCGTTGCTATTACAACATTAGTTCTGAAACTCAGCTAGAAGCCTCTCGTTTGCGTGTCCACGGGGCTCTTTTAGCTGCGTTTAATGTTATCCTCACTGTGTGACAGCTTGATCGCCATTGTGTTCGGATAAGTAACCTTCCACCAAGCTGGTCGGATATAATTGTGGCCGAATACAAAGACTGGAATGAAATGTGCAAATGATTCAGTAATGAACGGCATTGTTTCACGTGATGCTCTCCGCTTTTTGGTACAATTGCAGCCTTCACATCATTTCCATGATTCCCCGCAGTGATGTAGCCCCTCCATTATCCATCTTCCCTCCGACCGCAAGGAATTATGTCGTCGATCCACCGTTACCGCGTCTTAGCTGAGTCTTGGACCAAGTTTGAGATTGGCCCATTAGCATCGCCGTAGTTCGTACAGCGGGCGGGTAGAGCGTTGAGGATATGCCGGGCGGCCAATCCCAACCACAGGCCATCGTGGATAAACCCACTCAGCGGAAGATCTACTACACGTGTCGCAGCTGTCGCCGTCTGCTGGTGCGATGCACAGTCGACGAAAACCCACCTTGTTGGCAATGTGAAACTGACGGCAGGGAGTGTGTCATTGAAGAATATCCCGGCGACCGCGGGAGAGCGGCTCGATCTTCACAGGGAAAGGATAAAGAAGGTAACAAGCAGCCAAGGTACTTCAAGTTGTATCCTAATTCTGGTGTCTCAAATGTTTGACCTGGGAGCTTGACTAATACAGTTCTTCATTCCCGCCAGGTACCAGGTGCTGGATCAACAAGGGCGTCAACTGAGGCATATTCCTGGGTCTTATCAACAGCTTGCCTTGTCTGGAGATGCTGTGACTCATTCACCTTCTTTGCCATCCCCGCAAAGTTTTTTTTGGTTCAAACCTAAGGATAGTCACTGGGCAGATGACGACTGCCAGGCTTCTATCCTGACCGAGGTTGCGGCTGCTTCGCAAGATCCGGCTTTGCTGCATCTTGACGCACCAATAACAGCCGTTCGTTATACGGCATTGTCAGGGCAGCCACCGTCTCCAATTTACTTTCCGAGTGAAGATAGTCGCCCGCCAACTGCTCCCTTACGGGGATGCAGCAACTTTCTGGGACAGGTACCCCAATCATACAACGAGAGTTCGAAGCCCCCTCGAGCCGAGGAAGACAACCTTGAAAGCAGACTCGTCAATGACTATAACGGATCTGCCACGAATGCTATAAGCCAGAATTATTTTGATTGGCCAGTCAATCCTGGGTTCCCAACCCATGATCTTCATCAAACCGGCGAAGATGGAGTATCGACCTCGTCAACCGCAACAATGGAAGAATTTACAAGTGGCTACAACTCTCCCAATGCTGAAATGAGTCGGATTTCAGGTCCATCATCGCAACGCCGCCCTAACGGTGGCAGCCTGGATGTTGAGTCGTCAGATGCGCAATCTTTGCTGCAAACCCCTGATGGAATAATTGCTTTCAATTTGTCTGCCGCATATATCCAAGAATCAATGTATAAGCCTGAGGTCTGATGGCGTGGTGATCTTGGAGGCTGACTGGAAATCCACGAGTTTCGGTTGACACTCACCGGGCTTTCCGTTGGCGTTATCATGACCACCGAACCTTTCTCAAATTGAATCAAGGTTCTATGCTTAGTTTAACTTCTCGTTCTTTCCTGCTCCTCAATCTTAGATAGGCCAATCTGCGGCACGCTTTCATTGCAGAGACCCTGGGGCAGCCCTTCACACTTATACATCTCCCTCAGGCCATTTGGTAATGAACCTTACAAATTAGGTATAGCGTGCTTTGGTGCCTCAGGTACGATATAAAATGCCTGAGCTCTGCTGAGTTAAGTTCCAATGAACGCCCATCATCTATCTACTCATCAATATTACTGCTCTCTGTTAAAACAATTCCACCGCCATGGTCAACGTCGCCGGTAGAAGCAGAGGCTGTGCGACGTGTCGCAAACGTAAAGTCAAGGTACGAATATGAATATGCTGCTCATCCATTCTCTACTCGTTAACAGCCTGTACAGTGCGACGAATCCGTCCCAGAATGTCTTCGATGTCTCAACATGGGCCTGCGTTGTCCAGGCGCGCGGACCGAGTCATTCTTTGTGCATGCCGTATCAAGTTCGTCATCGTGTCGCCCTCTTGGTATTCCAGCTCGTAGTCTGGTTCCTTCGCCACGATTACCGGGGCCGCAGCCGTCCAGTGCCAGCGCCTTGGACCAGCTGTTTGTTTCCCATTTCATCGAGACTTTCTTCGGTCCCATGAAGCCACCGCCAATTCCCAACATGCCGCCTAAAACATGGCTGCACGAGCTTCCTGCGTTTCTAGCTTCTCCAGGGCCAGATTTGGTGAAGCACGCTATTCGCGCAGCATCGATGCACAGCTACGGCAGTTTCACTGATGACGTTTCCATCAAGACAGCAGCGTGCAAGTGCTATGCCAAAGCACTGCAAGATCTCCAATGCCTGCTGTCATGTGAGAGTATCTCCTTTGCCGAGGGCGTTGTGTGTGCAATCGTCATGCTCATTCACTTTGAAACCCGGGCTGGCACGAGCCAGAGAGCATGGCTTCAGCATATCAAGGGGGCTGCAAAGCTGCTCGAAGCAGGAGGGCCGGAACGTTGCCGCAGTGGATTCATGCACCACATGTTCAGCCATTTGCGTCTTCAAGTGGTTGGTTTAATCCGACGGCCATTGCTCTTTTGGACTCTATATTGACGCGGTATCCAGTTTATTGCCGCCATGGCCGAGAACGAGGTCTCCGCTTTCGCATCGGAAGCATGGATGACAATCCCTTTTGAAATCTATCCGAAACTGGTCTTCGATCAACTTATTGATGCTCTTTTCGGAGTTCAAAGATGCCTTTCAGTGGCGAGCCAGTTAATTAGATCAGCGGAGCACGAAGCTTGTGAGCTGGTAACGAAGCTTGACAAACTTCTACAAGACGCCATGTTCCAAATGCATGAGTGGTGGTCTGGATGCATATCGAGCGGCGTCTTTGGACAAACGAAACTGATGGAAGGATCCAATTCCAGAACGGAATCAATTTTTTCTGTGGATTTAAAGGAACCACTGCTACCGTTTACGAATATTCCAGCAGCAGCCTTATCCTCCCTCTACGACGCGGCTAACCTAATCATATTTCGTCTGTCACATCTCGTGTCTCCTTCAGCAGCTTTATATGATATGCGCATTCAAAAGCACGCACAATCCATCTTGTCAGCATACCATTTCATCATTGCAGCATCTGGACCCGCACCAGATCGTGGGTCAATCATGATGGTCTTGCAGTTGAAGGTCGTCAGCCTTTGGAGTTCGTCTTCACAGCAACGAGCCTTGGCTCTGGAGATGCTACAAGGGGAAAAGGTACAAGGCGGAGGGCTTTCAGATGTCGCAGCGGTTTCGCACGAGTACTTCGCCGATGTAGCCGCTCACATCCTGCAGCACTACTCTGGCAAATGAAAATGTGGTCCCGTCATGTTTCCTCTCCTTCTGATATCAACCGCAGCTCACCACATAAATTGACGCAAATTATTAACAGAAACTCTCTTCGGTCGACACCATGCAAGGGTTGTTGCCACGCAAACACATTACGTACACTGCAACCAACACACTCCGGCGACATTAGATTCAAGGCGTGGAATACGGTCATACGAAGAAGGGATGAGTGTTTCGACAAGCCCCATCATAACACTAATCCCGCGGCTAAACCAGAAGTCGTTAGCTTTGCGACTTAGCGGACTTCCCTCGTCATCACCCTCATCACACGCCTTTCTGGTCTAAATTACTGGTCAGTGTATGAGTCGTCAGCCGCAAATTGCGAAGAATGTAGTGGTGCTGCCTGATAGTGCAAGTGTAACCAAATCCTGGAATATCGTGGTATTTAAACCCAAGCATCGACGCCCATTATCTTTGTTTTGACAGAATAAACTCAGTCTCATGAGCACGCCTCAACATATCCTTCTTATCACCTCAACCAACAATGAAAATCGTCATCATCGGCGCTGGCATTGCAGGATGCACAGCTTACCTCGAGCTTCGAAAACACATACCAGAAATTTCGTCTATAACGATATACGAGGCACACGATACCAACAAAGACACGGATGCTCATCAACGCGAATCAGGCGGTACACATTCATCCACCCTGCTTGTCGGCGGCGGACTAGGCATTGCGCCAAATGGCCTGGGTGTCCTGCAACGTCTTGATGAGGACCTCCTTCGAGACGTTACACGCAGCGGCTATGTCACCTCGCACTCCAACTTGAAGGACAAGAATGGAAATGTACTCATGCGCATCGAACCTAACGGGCCAAACCATGACAAAGATGCTGGTCCTGCTGCGCATATGCATACCGTGGCATGCAGTCGTCATTTGCTTTGGCAGAGTCTGCGCAGTCGTATCCCGGACGAACAAATTATCAACAAACGAGTGCTGGACGTTACCGCCAACGCTGACGGCAGAAATACTGTTCGCTTCGTTGATGGTAGTGATCCCGTCGAAGCTGATCTGATCATCGGGGCGGATGGAGTCCGATCCATTGCGAAGAGGGCTCTCTTCCCAGAATCTGGAGAAGACTTATATCCCCCGAAGTATGAGTAAGTGAGGTTTCGCCTCCCGCCTCCCGTCGCGCGTGAACCGCAACGGTCAATGGATGCCGTGTCGAGCTGACCATTGCTTCCAGAGGTCTTGTCGGCATTGGCGGGTTTGTCAGCGCCGCAGACGTTAAATATTGTGTCGACAAAGGATCCATGAACTTCATTTTTGGAGGAAATGGCTTTTTCGGCTACTTCTTCTCCGACAGCTGCTCCTCCGATCCTCAACGTGACTCACCCTTTCACGTCTCGGAGCCGGGCGATTCCCTCGCCTGGTGGTCCACCTATGAGATCAAGGACTGTCCCGACGGCAAATGCATTGACGTCGACGATGTGGTTTCTCAGCTCCGTGACAGACATTCCCAGTGGAAAGACCCCGTGGTCCAAAGGATCCTCAAATCTCTTACAGTCCAAAACATGTATCCGACGTGGACCTCGCCGCAGCTTCCAACATGGGAGCGTCATGGGGTTGTCTTGCTCGGAGATGCTGCGCATGCTCTCCCCCCAACGTCAGGCCAAGGTACATCACAGGCATTCGAGGACTGCGAGGCATTTGCTCTCTTGTTAGCTCGTCACCTTGGAAAAAGGAATGAGGGACATTACTCGACTGAGCAAGCGGCATTGAAACAGGCAATCAGCAGAGCTGGGAAGCAGTATGTGGCTCTGCGCCAGCCACGCGTGAACGAAATTCTGAAAGCTGCACAGAAGATGCAAAACTCTAAGCGCAATATGGGAGTCATCCAAGAGTATGCAATGTACGCTTTCATGAAAGTTTTCGGTATTTGGCAACATTCTCAACCTCTCTAAACCAGCGCTTACATCGTCACAGGATTGTTTCCCAGTCTCTTCACAAAGTCAATTCGCAAAGTGGCTGAGTATAATATTGCTGAAGAGGTGTCCCGTGTGCTCTCATTGGAACACTGAGTCCATTACGCTGTTATGTAGTGGTCGGTCTGGACCTAAGGGATATATCGGTCGAAGGGTTTTGTTGGCCGATAGGTTAGGGCGTCGTCTTGAGGAACTCCCATACGCTTCGAAGGGAACATTGCTGCGATGCTACCCTCACTATACTCGCTCGCCTTAACGGTGATGGTAAGGATCTTCGTTCTAATCGTGCTTGGAGCAATAGAATTACTGCAATACCTTGATTGCATATTCAATAACGACCGTCTTTGTTGTCCTAGACTCCGTGATGTGCCTTGCGTCTATCAGAAATAACTAGATAGAATGTCCTATTTACCCCCTCACGCAGGTAGTGGTTAGTATGCAGGGCTTTCAAATGACAAGCCTGCGTACAGAATCTCGTAGACGTTAAGTTCGACGGAAGAGAGGCCTTTTCGTCGCTGCCCGGCGAGCTCTGATACATTAAAGCTTCACTCGCTGCCATTCCTTTGACAATACTCCACGGGGTTGTGCAAGGGGTTTCTCTTTAGCGGTGGGATACTGCGTGGTACCAGTCTGACATTGAAACCAGGCTCTGGAGGCTGAACTATTGGTGCCTTAAATTGGTAGAATATAAGGCATCCATACCTCTGTACTGTCACACATGGCCAATAACACCATGATTGGCTGCATTTGTTATTTCCCCGCGTTCGATCCTACCTATTTGAAGCGTTAAATTCCCTCAACTTGTCCATCAGGATCTCTCGCTCTGCCACTTCATATTCCTTATCGAGGACTCTACTGAAGGTGATCTACCGGTCTCGACCTCATACATGCTCCGCAGAATCAACCATCACTTATCAAAGATCTCTGCGGGATCTCTACCAGCCCCATCATGAACAAGGGACGGTATGTGGAGTTCACCCTGGCAATAAGGTACCTGGATATAGGACGAGCCAGGGAATTATTACACGATATATTCGGAGACCACTGCGAAATTTATGTGCGTAGACCTCTTCTTAGGACGTTTCCGGTTCATCATTTCCTCCACTAACAGCCAGTTACTCGGTAGTTTCGTCGCGGTAACCTAACAGTAATGGCACCTCGCCGTCTCAACAAAGACGAACTCAATTCTTTGTACCAACAGACACTTTACCGCGACATTCAGCTACAGAATGAAGTGTTTGCAAGTCATGCGAGAGGGGGGGGGCGCTTTACTGGCTCAAGCGGGGGTTCAGCCACGAGTTCAGCGACGCAACCGACCGAAAACGTACCCTCAATAGACCCTCAACAAGGCGTATCCCATTCCGCGAAAGGCAACACCGCAAGTGGGACCAAAGGCAAAGAGTCATATGATGCATCCGCAAGACTTGGAACTCCTGACATCAGCGGGATCCCATTTTTCAATCCAAATTCCCAAGTTACTCCCCTGATGAACTCGATGAAGGGGTTGAAGATGGGGAGCCCAGTCTTGGTTGAGATGAACCGATCCGGTATGGATGATCAGGGTAAGAGGGTATTGAGCGGCATGTACTCGGTCCAACTGGAAACTGGTGAGACGTCCAATGTGTTTAATGTGACAGTCCGCATGTCGGCGGAACAGCCTGATCAATTAAGCGCGGAGAAGGTGGTTCAAAAGGTATTTTAAAATTCCCTTCCGATCGACCTGATAATTGGCTACCTTGCTAAATGTTTGGTCGCTAACATCTTGGATCAATAGTGTGCAATCAAACGACTTCACGAGACTATCTCCCCAGAGCGCTTTTGGGACGAGTATGAATCCCTGAAGCGCCTCAGTAGCGTGAATCATCCCCATCTCGTTGAGACGCTTTCTGTATTCAGATCCGAAATGAATGGAAATATGTACTTCAACTTCATGTTCCCACTTGCTTTGGGGAATCTGAAACATCTTTTCCGAGGAAGTTACGGTGAGAACCTCAGACTTCACACACGCGCCCAGGAATCGCTCTGGGGACAGTTTACTGGGCTTTCAAGTGCTGTTGCATACCTCCACGACGCCATACAGATGGCTCACCGCGACATCAAGCCATCCAACATCTTGATCTACGAGGAGATAGCAGCCGGGGGCAATCTAGTGTTGAAGCTTACCGACTTTGGTCTATCAGTCGACCTCACGAAGGCCCTGACCTGGGAGCAGGGAAGTGTGGCTCTACAGTCGGCGTGGCTCTACGACTCCCCGGAGCTTCGGAAGGCGTCACCGAACAGAGCTACGACCCCAAGCTCAGACAGAATCCGCATCCCTTCAGCCAGGGACCTTTTGGCGAACGACATCTGGAAGCTAGGGTGTGTTTTCACCGAGATGGTCTCGTTTCTTGTGAGCGGAGGCTCGGCGGGCGTCTCCGAGTTTCGAGACTACATCACGACGACTGAGGGCAAGGTTTCGTCCGACATGTTCAACGACACTCGCTTCGATGACGGCGAGAATGTGAAAACCCAGGTCCTCGACTGGTTTAGTCACCTCTCGGGTAAGGATGTGCGAGCAAAATTGCTTGAGCCCATTCTTCGGGAGATGCTTCTCAAATCCGCTCAAAGACCCACGATAACGCATGTTTGCGAGGCACTCATCGAGGCTAGTACCCCAACGATTATGCCACTGGCTTCACTTGTATATGAAGCTATCCCCGAGGTTCGTCCATGGCTAACGTGCGCTGTACAGGTCAATTTCCCAAATATCGTCTATGATGACGGTTTACGTCTGGTGCGATTTGCTCCCGCAAATCAGGTTAAACCTCTCACACGCGTCGAAACTCTGCAACTCGGCATGGAGAAATTGACCGGAAGGCCAATCGATTGGACTCCATTTCGGCGCCCTCGTCAGGTTCTGAGACCTGACCAGTTCATGATGACGTGGCAAGTGAGTGCCCAGCGGCTTGTATGGATCGAAACGGAGAATCTATGCTAACTACCGTTCTGTAAAGTGGGGAGGTCATGAGCTCAGCATATCGCTTTCCCAAGACGAGCTTGACCGCTATAAGCCAACATGCTTGCCTAGGACAACCAACAACACTACTCTCCTCCCCGTGGCAAACAACCAAGCCGCTTCCTCACAGCATGGTTTTTTCAATATACCTTTGAATACGATGGGACATCCCGCGAACACCGGTAGCCAACCAACACACGGTAACGCTCCTCTTCCGGGCATTACGAGTCATCCTTCCACGCCCCTACCGACTCCACGCCCATCTAAAGACATGTACTGGTGTGTTGAGAAGGTCTTTACAGAGCCGGCTGAAACGCACCTGTTTCCCATAGTCAACACAAACACTCTGAACGATGACCAGGAGTTGTATCGACAGGTAAACAGGGCTATCGGGAGCTCAGTAGGCAGTTCCCGCACGAGGTGGATTCTGCGACGGCTGTCTTGGAAACGATGTACTAAGGTCGAATTTGTCAAGGTACTCAACCCCGAATGACCCTCACTACAGTAATCCGACAGACACTGACAGCGCTTGCACAGTTTGTTGTGGTGTGGAGAGATAGAGACCAGGTCTCTCTTATGCAAACCGGCCTCCCTCCCACTTCCGACCGAGACTATGAACACTCTGTCCCTGAGCCGTACGACGTTCATATGAGAGCCGCAGGGGAGCAGATAGTGTTTGGACTCAAGGATCCAAAATTGGCTGAAGGAGAAACGACCATCATTAACATGTTGCCCAAGAAGGTCAACCCTCCTCCGTTTGTAAAGCAGATGGGACAAGCGGGTTGGGGATTGCACGTCAAGATGGGATTCTCGCAGCGCAGGTTCCTCGCCTGGCTTCTCTTCTGCACTGTCGGGAACGGTATCTTTGTAATTGTCTGGCTAACAAAAATTAACCCCACGGACTTGCAGAATGCCGTTGTGCCAGCTACTATTGCTACAGTTGCTCTGACATTTGCCTGTACGGTTATGCAGATGGCAGAGGAGAGGTATACTAGTAAGTGAGAGTGTTATCGAGATAAATTGAATAACCGTCCCCTGGATCTTGCTGTTATTGAGAGGATTTCCCTAAAAATGTGTTTTTTTGGCCTTGTGTCGGCAACTTGCTCACCTTGAGGGAGCAGACAGAAGTTAGATTAGTTCACGGCGCCATTCACTTGCGACTTTTTCCGCTATATAGGCTCCCCCCAGACATGGAGTTTGGATCAGAAATAATTCTCTTGTGTCATTGGTGACATTTTTTGAACATTAAACATATCCTCGCGCCCTGTTCCGTTCGAAATAACGATGCAAATAAGATGGACTGGAATTTCTCCGAGAGGACCATTGGCGGACAGACGATGAGCGTCGCTTCTTGCCTTATATTACAGGCTGCTAACAGGATGAGGTCACGTGTTGGACCGGTACACTGTGGAGTCGATGCGGCCAAGTTTCCACACGATGAACCGAACCACTCAGCGCGATTCCAGCCACAACGTGCGTCGTCTAGGAACATTCGTCAAAGTAGCCCCATAAACCGCCGGGCTTCCCTACACGAACCTGCTTGATGCAGCATAATGCCCGCGATCCAATCCTCGAAAGGGTCTCATTCGCCGCTGTCAACCACGTGCAATCGACAGCCCGGGATATATAAGATTGCCGCGAGGAGCCCGAGACCAGAATGCCTCCTTTCCGCCCTTCCCTCCCCAGACCGCAGCTTCTGCTTGTTGTCGTCGTCCTCACTGCTTCGCTCTTTGGCCTGAGAGAGTACTACATCATGTTGTCTGTCCAGAAAACCTCTGTGGCCGCCCTCTTGTCGGCGACGACGGTGATCGGCGCGTCCGTCGACCTGGGCTGGTATGCTCCGAGTGGCTCCAAGATCAACAACCTGACCTCGGCGCTGGAGAGCGACGGAATCTACGGATTTATTTATGATAGCTCCCAGACGCCCAACAACAAGTATGGCACGTACAACTGGTGCAACATGCCCCATGCGCGCAAGAGGGAGTATGTCAAGGCCTCTCGCGACTATGAGCTGAAATACGTAGAGGTGGTGAGTGAACCAGCCGTCCATATCTCAAATGCAAATCTAACCTCATACACTCATACACAGATTCAACGACACCACAAGCGCACTCCCTACGCCAGCAACGCTTTCCCCGTCGAGTCGTACCAATGGAACTGCGACGACCAAGGTCTGTACTACTTTGGAAGGCCATTTACCAAAAACGGAAAGTCGGCCGCGGAGTCTTACTGGCAGGGCTTCACCGGTGAAATCAACCCGTTCGTTCCGGCGGGTTGGATCGGATCGTGCCAGTTCCCTCAGATAACCGCGGCCGGCCTGGATGACTCTTGGACCCACGGCAAGGATCTGTACGAGGTCTACCATGATCTGCTCGATTTCCTCCCGGCTCGCAACAAGAACTGGCGCAAGAAGGTCATGTTCCGCGTCACCAACAACCAAATCACCAGCCAGGTTGCGGGCATGTTCATCAACGGCATGTGGGGCACTACCGACTCTATCCCGCTCGCCATCCAGGCATCAGGTGTCGACAGTCTAGAGCCTCAGTATACCTGCAGCGTTGGAAGCAATTTGTTCAGCCAGATCAAGTCGTCCTCCAACTCACAGTGGCAGCAGCACTTGACCAAGAGCAGCGAGCTCTTCAAGACACTGGATAACATCTCTGGCGTACCCTCCACCGACTCGGGCTTCCACGCCTCGTTTGACCATTACTACGATAACGCAAGTTCAGTAATGATTCCGCATTGATGATAACACGCTAACGGTAGATATAGCTGTCCGCTCGTCAATGCCACGGAAAACCCCTGCCCTGTAAACTTGTCGACGGCAAGAACTCGTCCACTTGCGTTGACCAGAAGCTGGCCAACGCTGTCTACCGCATGGGTCAGTGGGAGTACTCTCAAATGTACCGCGACGCATCCGCCTCCCTCGCTGCGTCATCCACTGCGTATGGCGTGTGGATCGCTGAGTTGGCCAGTCACTTGCGCGCCGTGATCAAGGGCGAGTCCAAGACCATCTACTTCCACAACTTTGCGCACGACGGATCCACCAGCCGCGTGCTCAGCATACTGCAGATCGATGAGATGGTCTGGCCGGGTATGGGGAGCGAGATTGTCTTTGAGCTCTACCAGAAGAAGAAGAACGTGCCCAAGAACACAAGTGGATACCATGTGCGTGTTTTGTTCGGTGGGCAGACGTTGAAGTCTTCTAGCCCTACTCTGGGTTTGATGGAAATGGTGCCTGTCGAGACTCTGCTCGGCTACTTTGACGGTCTGGTCGGTGAGAATGCTAGCTTGGTCAAGGGCAAGTGCTCCGGGTCGATCTCTGTTTAATATTCTGGAGTGGTTTTGAGTGTCGACCTTGTAAAGCCGACTTTGTATATAAAGCAACGAGGATATGGACTAGTCACGTAATCTAATGTTCTTTCTGCACTGTAACTATGGTTTAAACATTTACGAACATAAGGATATGGCCCAATGATGAAGGGAATCATTGGTAATAGAGTTAATTTACTATTATAGTAAAAAAGCGGTCCCCAGATTATAACCAGCGCGCAGCATCAGACCTGAGTCCGCCATCAGTCATGACCCACAGCATCAATCCATTCATGATCGACACTGGACTGGCCTGTCCATGGAACTTGAATTTTTCGCTTTATGCTATTAAAAGAGCGAATTGGAGCATATTTTGTACATTTCTCAAATTGTTTGTTAGTGTAGCTTGAAGAACCGAGAGCCAAGAGTTGAGGTGCGCACTTACGGCAGAATGATGCTTCTGTTTCGGAATATGGAGTCTCATACTAAGCACTAGTCGAATGCGTCGAGTGCGCTGACTGGTACGACATGGTAAGAGTCAATTAATTTAATACCAGGGATAAACCCCACTTCAACAAACTGCCAACAGCTTCATCTCGCCCTGCTCTGGGAGTAATCATGATTCGTTAGCTAGTTGACTCATTTGACCTTTGACTCAGCCACTATCGCCAGCGCAGAATCCTTCAAATGAGTCACAACGTGTGACATCCCGACCACTAGCAACCAATAGCAAATCTTGATGTGGTTGCATTCTCCCTCTTGCTTGGCTACCTTAGCTGAACCCTCGTGCTTTCTCGACCCATTTTTCGAAATTATATAGTCTAACAGCCCTACTCGCGTCCGACCGGATCGTATCTGGCCAGATTCATGATGGATCTTTACAATCTTCCGATCGACCTTCGCCATGAAATTGCAACACACTTGACTTTCAGCTGCGTTGCCAATTGGGCACTCGTTAGTCGCCGACACTATGAGTGCATTAATCCTATCCTGTACCTAAAGTTGCCCCGTTACCGACCTTCAGAGAAACGGGGCGAGAAGCCATCTCCAGGGTCCGACCCTCGCTTTCGAGGCCTCGTCTTGGCCTGGGCAGCATCTCGAGGAAGGCTAAACACAATCAAGAACATTGTCTCGTCGGCAGGACAGGGGCCTTGGCTCAACGAACCGGTTTTTGGATATGGCCATGGAGGTGGACTGAGAACTCCCGGCTTCTACGGAATGCCACCGATGCATCATGCCGCAGGGTGTGGCAATGCCGATGTCATCGACCTGCTAGTCGACTATGGCGCAGATCCAGACCTGACCACTGCAGGAGATCTTCGTCCAATCCACTACGCCCGCAACGCAGACGTGGTGCGAACCCTTGTTCGCCATGGCTGTTCAATCCATGCTACCAACCTAGAGAGTACACCACCTCTCGCTTACCTTGTCATGTCACGGACGGGTAATATCGGCGCTATCAAGAAACTGCTACATCTAGGAAGTGATCCTAACGATGTAGCACCTTGGGGTAACAATGCCGGACAAGAAGCAGTACGTCTTGGCGACCCAATGATCTTGAGGTTGCTCTTGAAAGCTGGGCTCCGAGTCGCAGATATATCACCCGCAGGGAGAGCCTTGGTGAATACAACCCCGAAGCAACCGTCAACAGGGGGTTCTACGGTTGACCGCGATCCTACTAACCGACGTAGAGGAAGATCCTTGATATACGAAGCAATCAAGCACTGCGGAAAGCTGATGCTTTACGCGGTGGATCTCGTCGATATTCTTCTCAAACATGGCGTCCCCGCGCATGGTGGGGAAGTTGTGGTGTATCGAGAACTGACCCTGCTCCGGACAAACCTCTACTTGGCCGTAACTCTCCAAGTATCATCTACGCTTGTGAGGCTACTGCTTGAAAACGGAGCCGAGACAGAGGCCAAATGCTGGAACCCTGATCTCTTCTCAAGGGAAGGTGCTCGTTCTCCACTACAGAGAGGAGCAAGTGACCCAGAAACGCCTATGACGCGGGCGCTTTTTCAGGCCAGCGTCGGGGATCATACACCTGTTGGCCGAGGCAGACTCAATATCGCCTCCATACTCCTAGAGTATGGGGCCAACATCAACCAACAGTTTCAGGATTCAACACTTTTGACAAAATTCTTGGCTGAGGAGGCGACAACGGACGTGCGAGAGGTAGTCCTTTTCATGCTCGAGCGCGGCGCCGATGTGCATGGGACTCACACGATAGATCAAAAGCGCTATCAACCAATCCATCTCGTCTTGCGCAGCTCGACTCTTTTCGAAGGAGGCTCAGGCTGGTTCAAGCGTAGCAGGCGTTGCGGACAGACTGCAGGACTTGACTTGCTACGAAGCCTTCTGGAGCACGGCGCTGATCCTAACGCGTTAGATGAGCTTGGAGATTCTCCACTGGCATATGCGTGCCGGCTGCCTCTTGAATTCAATGCCGGAGGAGCCATTAAGCTCTTGTTGAAGCACGGAGCAGATATAAACGGCGTTTCCAGTGAGGGGCTTGCTCATCTACACACAATTCTCAACATGTTGCCACATCGATCGAGCGAAGCAAACAATAGTCTTTTCTATTGTCCTGGAAGCACAGTTCTGGAAATACCCACCAGATTCCAGATGATGATGACAGGCGCTGTCTCGAGAAACCTAGACCTTGAGGCCCGTAATGTTGAAGGGATGACGGCTCTAATGAGCATCGCTGCGACAAAACTGCATCTGGGCAGGGATCAGGGCACATTCTTTGATGCTTTCACGATATGCGAGAGAATGATGGTCATGTTGTTGCGCAATGGTGCTGATATTCATGCGACACAAAGTGGAAACAGCGATAATTCGCTTACCTCCGGCGGCACGGCACTTCATTTCGCCTGTTACAACTGCAACATTGCCGCGCTCGAGTTGCTCCTCCAAAAGGGTGCATCGAAAGATGTCAACCGCCTCACTCAAACCGGTTTCACGCCCCTGATGGTGTTGATAACTGGAGGACTTGACAAAGCCATGACGAAAGCCGAGTTGGAGCATATGACCCAGGTGCTTCTCGATGCAGGTGCGGACCCGGCTATCAACAGTCCAGACGGCAAGACAGCCTTCGATATCTGGATCACGCGGCATCCGACCATTTATACTGGAAGATTGATCCGACATTAAGCTGTTTGCGATATCATGACGTTAGTCTGAAGGGGGTTAGAAAACCCCTCTCTGACCAGTCTCTGTCACATATTTCGGGATCGGGATATCGGATTTCTACTGTATTGAAGCTTTCTTCCTTCATCATAGGCGTCCATCGCCACCTGCCTCGTCATAGTCCTAGCTTTTCCTTGATTTTATCAATAGCTAGCTGAAGCCAAAGACTCCGGACCATCCGGAGCCTCTCGGCCGTCCGAGGTCATCCGAGGTCATCTTCATCTATAAGACTGACCTAACAGACCTCTATTAGATAGGAAGAATAGCAAGAGCTTCTCACACACATGATCCTATCCATCTGCTAGATGCAACAGTCTCTCCGGGCCTGAGCAATCATCAACATCACCATCACTGCTTTGAACACTATTGCCCTGATCAAGTTGACCGTATCGGATCCAACACAAAGTGCGAGTTGAAACTATCGCCGGCTGTCGGTGGCACGTGGGAGCTACATTTACATGCAAGCTGTAAAGAAGACTGACGTTTGTTTGAATGGCCTTTTGTCTTTGCAATCTCTTTCTGCACATCTAAAGAGCTCTCGGTGCTCAAACATCCATTTCTATTCCCTCTGTAGTTCTCTATTCCAGCAGTGAAAACAGCACATGTGCTTTGATGCAACTCGTTGTGTATCAACCTCACACCGCCTTTACGATTTCTACGCAGGGAGAGCTCCCTTACCGGCAGCCCTGCTAGCAGAAATTGCGCCACGAATGCCGAATTGTGTCGGCACTCCATCGATACGGTGCACAGCGTTGAGATTCTTGACAACAACGATTTGGAAACACGTGGCGCTACCCTGCCTCGAGGCAATGACAGACCAGGCGAGAAAGAGCTCCCAGATCTAGGCCAATTGTTAGCATTGTCAATCCTCGAACGGTCCTATGGACAAACACTCACTCTGTACCAGCGCTGACCGTACTTGGCCGTGATTGCATCAACGTTGCCAACCCAATTGCGATACCACTTCCAGATGGTTGCCGAGTAGTGAACACCGACAGTATCAACGCTACACATGGCCAGTCAGCAAGGCTTCCGGCTCAAACTCGCAATGCTCACGTACCTCTTCACCTCGAATCCAGCCCTCTCAAGGGAGCGAATATAGTTCCACAAGGGAGTAGAGGCATCGGCCCCGCGGAAAATGAACTTGTTCAAGTAGATCCCCCAGATAAAATCCTCGTACTGCCAAGCCTGGCGGAGACCAGAGAGCTGCACATACATGGCGCCATCGTCTTCAAGTAGATCGTAACACTGGCGGAAGAAGCCAGTCAGCTTCTTCACGCCAACATGCTCCCCCATTTCGAGTTGAGAAATTTTGTTGAACTTCTGGTCCTTGGGAATGTCGCGGTAGTCCATACAGAGGATCTTGCTCTGTTCCTCGGGAACCCCAGCACTGCGAAGGGCATCAGTAGCATAGGCAGCACCCTTCTCGGCAATGGTAACGCCGGTTACCTTGGCTCCATAGTTGAGACTTGCGAACTTGGCTAGAGTGCCCCATCCGCACCCGATATCGAGCATGGTCTCGCCTTTCTTCAGGGCGAGCTTCTCGCAAACAACAGCCATTTTGTTATCTTGGAGCTCTTCGAGGGTTTCCTCCTTGGTAGTATCCGAGATGGCACCGCTGGTGTAGATCATACGTGGGCCGAGGAACCAAGCGTAGTGATCGTTTCCACTGTCGTAGTTAGGGCGAATCTGGTCCATATCTTGCTCCCGAGTATGAGAGAGGACGTCGCGGGCAAATGTACCAAAAATGAACTTCATGAACGACCAGGTGAGGGCGAAATGAGCCCAGTCGTAGCGGTACTCCAAAATATCAAGGACATCGCCGTTCATGTCAGCCTCACCGTCGATGTACATCTCGGTGAAGTCCTGCATCGGAACCTTGGTCCTGTTTCTGTACTGGCTCTTGAGGGCATCCGTCTTGAAGGTGATGTAGGACTCGATGGGTCGACCAGGAAGCTTGGTTTTGTCCGTGATGCGAGGGCTGAAATTGGAAGTCCAGGTCCAGACGACAATCAACAATGGGAGAAAAAGGAGGACTCCAAAGAAAACTCTGGTCTTGAAGCCGCCGCCAAGGAACCACGCTAGGAAGCATGGCACACCAATGAGGATGCTAAGCAGGGCGTAATTGCTGAAGCTTTCGTATCCAGCGCCTTCAGCAGGAAGAGGAGCATTTTTGATTGCAGGGGACGATTGGAGAGTCAGTACAGCTCAGCTCAATTGATGAGGGCGCAATTGATGTCGGCGGGGTAGGCTCACATTGGTCGTGGGAACACCGCAATCCTGGTCACCAAACTTCGAAGGCTGGGCTGAAGGGGTCTTGATGAAGTTGATGTCCTTTGCTAAATCCGTTTTCGATGCCATTTTCGATGCCATCTTTCACATTCGCTATCCTCCCTGTAGGATGTGAGATTGATTGCAAGGAGGAATGAGGGGTTGAAAAGTCGGTCTGTAAGAGCTCAACAAAATGAAAATTATTAATAATCTGCTAAGCAGGCAGCCATTTAAGGAATTGTAGACACGTGTTCTCGGACCCGGTTTAGGGCAACCCAAGCTTACCGAGGAGGATCATTTTTAGCAGCAATTGCAAGTTACACAGCAGCAGCTGATCTAACATGGCGTCTGCTGCTTGTGTCACTGCCGCTACGGAAGATGGGACTGGCAAATTGCGCTAAAAGGGTAAAGATCAACGTTTACTCCGCGTGCAGATATCAATGAGGCGCTTTCTCAATTAATCTAAACCATGAATAGAGTAATTCGATCCCCTGCCTTTCTAGCTGTAATTTTTCCAGGCTCCGTCGTTCTCGGTGGAAAGAAATTTCGGGTTTGCTTAGGGTACTGTGAACACGTGTGCCATAATGCGGACCGTCTGCGATGCGCGAGCTAAATCAACACATTGCATGATATAGTTTTACGGGAAAACACTGTCGACGGGACGTTCAGCAAGGGAATCATCATGACTACTAGGTGCATTGAGAAGTTCCAATCGATACTCGTTTGCAAGCACCCGGTACGGTGAACTTTTAAGGCGCGTCACCTCCCGAACAAAGGGGGATCATTTCCCATCATTTCAATGCAAACTCGATCTTGTTGCCAACTCTGCCATGTCGTCACAGTGTCCTCTCGAGGAGAGTATGGTTCGGCTCTGCCCGACCTAGCTATAAGCGACATCTGTCCTCTGCCCACCTTGAATTTGCTTGGTTCACTGCTTCCGTAGCTGCAGCTCCACCATGCCAACAAATCGCGGGGTCATCTCAGAAACGCCAGCTTGTCGCAAGCGTGATGAGATTCCGGTATTGCCAGGTGGGAAAAAGCGAGTCCCTAAAACAGAATTAAAGTGCTTTTACGAGAAACCCAACGATTGAGGCATTTTTTTTCTATTAACATTCCATTCCAAAGTCAGCGCATGCTGCTGAAAACATGCAGGAGGGAAGTCTACAGCTGGGTACAGGGTAGCCCTAAACAGGTACATTCTCCATATTATACAGCTTCCAGTGGAATCACAGGGACGATGCTAGGACTTGATGAGCTGGATGATGATGATTAGGCGAGCTATGTGTGACAGACGGTGAGTCGAAGGGGCGTCACCTCTGTCGCTGTATGCCTAGTACATGTCTCAGGCCAAATACGGGACAAGTCGGCACAAGACCAACAGCTTCACATGTATTCGTCTCCGTGACAGGTCAACGTTTGTTGCTCCTACAGGTAAACGCAGGTTTCCTCCTGACTTGATAAATTAAAACCCGACTCCTTTATTAAAGAGATGCTAAATTTGCAATAAGGCACATGAACATACTACTTCTTCTCTGTAGTGCAATAGTGCAAGGGTTCGGCGGGGACTCGGGGGTCACTAGCCCGGGCGCCCATTAAGAGATATGCGGCACGATTGAGTAACGCTTAAATTGATTGATCCTTTTGGCATGACAGCTGGAGGACTTTTGCAAGGCCGTGAATGCCACCTTGACTCTTACATAATTTACTTAGAAAACTCTGGCTTTTTATTGACAATGTCCCGGGATTTGGGGCTACTGTTCACCGTTCCTGTCTGCTCTGTTAGTCGGTCTCTGAGAAGACTCCCGCATATGAATCCAACTCCTGATGCAACGTAAAAAAGACTGCTGATGAAAGGTGTTCTGAGATTGAAGCGCGTGTTGACAAGACGCCTTACTGACGTAAATTGATAAGCATGTAGAGTTGGTAACATGGGTCTAGTACAGCCTGCAGAGGTCGGCTAGGAGCTGCCGACTGGAGTCGGCCAACAAATGGAGCACCGCTGGAAAGTCTTATCTCCCTCCAACTTATCGCCCTGGAAATCCATATTATAGGAAGGTGGTGCTCCAACAATTACCCGATGCCATATGCCTGTAACGTTCCAAAGCCAAACGGGATCACATCCACACCAAGACCGTTGCAAAGCGTAGGCCGCACGCGAGACGATGCCGCAACTCAAACCGGAGCGGGCTATGAAAGTGGAGAAATCTCAGCCGGGGAAGGGCCTCTCTCGGCCAATCCTCACTGGCTTAGCTGGTATCATCTTGGCAACTGCGTCCTTTGGGATCGTCAAATTCAGTGTGCAGGACATTGAACCAACGGATTACTCGCTCAGAACAGAGAAGATTCTCAGCACTACACCTCTAATCGACGGACACAACGACCTTCCGTACCTGCTCCGGCTCGAGCTGCAAAATAAGATCTATGACAATACTACCTTTACATTTCGCGACGGTAACTTGCAGCATGCTCCTTTCGTATAAGTTCTGCCTATGATACTGAGGTTGAATAGGACTTGCTAGCCACACAGACCTCAAACGTATGAAAGAGGGTCGAGTCGGAGCACAGTTTTGGTCTGTTTTTGTTGAATGTCCTGATATCAAACATCTCGACGATGCCAGTCACAGTGTTCGCGACACTCTGGAGCAAATCGATGTAGCCCGGCGCTTCATCACTGAGATCGCAGACTTTCATTTTTGTGACACTGCTGCATGCGTTAGTTCGTCATTCAGGTCAGGCAAGGTCGCATCCATGCTCGGCGCAGAGGGACTTCATCAAACAGGATCGTCTATTGCCGTGATCCGACAGCTGTTTGATCTGGGGGTAAGATACATCACTATTACGCATAATTGCGACAATCCATATGCGACGGCGGCATTCACTGTCACAGAGACAGGGGAAGACGGCGGTTTGACAGAGTTTGGAGCCGCTGGCATCCGAGAGATGAATCGCCTGGGGATGATGGTTGACCTCGCACACACCTCTCACCAAACCATGCGACAAGTTCTGGACATTACAGCATCTCCCGTCATATTCAGTCATAGCGCCTGTTATGAACTCGCGAGAAACTATCGCAATACGCCCGACGATGTGCTCGCACGGTTGAAGGACAACGGTGGGGTGCTCATGGTCATGTTCGTGAAGCGCTTCCTGAACGCAGAGAATCCAGACGCGGCAGACGTGGAGAGTGTAGTAGACCACATCATGCATGTGGTTGAAGTGGCAGGATGGGATCATATTGGTATCGGCGGAGACTTTGACGGGACTGTAACGCTTGCCAATGGCATCAGCTCTGTGGCAGACTATCCGGTGCTCATACAGGCAGTGATGAAACGGGGTGCAACAGATCAAGAGATCAGGAAACTTGTGGGAGAAAACCTGTTGAGGTATGCCAAGATCCAAAAGCCATTCTCTTTACAGTGCCATGGTATGTTTACTGACAATGCCACAGAGTTTGGAGCGAGAATGAGAAAGTTGCGGCCCAGCTGTCAGCTCAGATACGACCGGTTGAAGACGTGTGGGTGGGAAGGAGATTTTTGCGATGGAACAACCCTCTGCCGTTTATGATTCCGAACAATCCCAACAGAATTGCGGCTGCCGACTATCCATGAGCGGGGAGATGGTTGATCATAGGGACTACTGGAGATTATCTTCGACTTGGTAATGTTGTGGATAGACTTTAAGATGGCTAGGTACAAATAATTGAGGATGTTGGCGTATACTGATACTACTTGTGTGATGTATCCAACAATCCTGGCTCCTGCACCCCAACTTGATCCAATATGCGGGAGTAGTGCTCGACTCTTCTATGCTTATCGAAAGCAAACACCCTTTCCTTCCCTCTCCTGCACTTGACCAAGTCAATTGTTGCATGCACCAGCTCGTCTCCCTTTGTCTTGGACTCAGCGATGATGTGCCCATTGGGATCGACAATGCTCGAGCCGGCAATGAGCGATCCATGGTCTTCTTTGCCTGCCTTGGCTGCGTGGATGCTGTAACATGCATTCTGGTAGCTCCCTGCTTGGCATGACAAGCGATGGTGGAACAGTGCCTCTTCTTCTTGCTCAACTTCTGTTCCAGGGTACTGTGGCGCAAAAGCTGTTGTATTGTATCCTTCCTGTATGACATCGGCTTAGTACATACCATTCACCTGATTTATTTGCACATGGTTGGGCAAACCCAGACACCTGGCGGACAGGACACAGTCTCAGTGACTTACCAGGATAAGCTCGACACCCTGAAGTCCGTAGCACCTCCAACCTTCGGCCCATCGACGGTCGTTGCAAATGAGCATGCCCACAATTGGATCACCCCTCCCCTGCGTCTCTTCTGGACTGGCAAGCATCTTGGCGTCCTCGGACTTGAGTGCTCCCTCGATAAGCCCGGGCACACGAAAAGCCTGGAAGCCAAGGTCTCCTGGAGTAAAGTATCGCTTTTCGAGTTGTTGAGTTACCCCCGGGCGCTGATCCGGCTCGTAACGTCCAGGCAGGTGGATCTTCCTATACTTTGCAATGCATTGTCGCTGAGTAGCAGAGTAGTACACGGCGGTGTTGTAGTCGATGACCTTGCCACATTCTGTGGTCCAACGCTCTGCATATCCAAACGAGATGTCAATGCCGAGCTCAGTCGCCTTGTCTATTAGAGGTTTGGCATTGGGCGAATCGATGATTGCATAAGCGTCACCCGGGGATGCTGGCTCAAAGAATCTGGCAATTTCCTCGGGGCTGTCGATAATGTAGGAAGGGAAGAAGGTGGTGAAGGTAAGCTCTGGAAACACGACCAGTCTGACTTTCTTGTCCGAGGCTTCTTGGAGCAAGTTGAGCATACGTGCTAAAACATCTGACTGTGGTGTTGTAAGGCTCTTAATCGGTCCTAGCTGGGCTGCTGCTACAGTCAGCAGTCTTTGCTCTGAGTGCGAACCCATGGCGGCACTGCGAGATGCGTGATTGACCGAACTGATGAACTTGCTTACGGCATATAATTTATATCATGCAACTGTATGCGAAGATTCGGGATTCCGCGTGGCGCTCCTTTGCATTCGGGTCGTTATGACGTTATCTACAGTACTTGATGATCGGCAATCACAAGCCGATGATACAGAATCGGCTGCCGACATTCCTAAGCTCCACCGATCATTCGAGTTGAATGCGGCACATGTACGAGGGCGACTGGCGGGGGCACAAACTGAAGCCAGGAAAATCTCCTAATTAGGCCAGATTCACATAGAGGGACTGAATCGGTGTGCACTGGACATATACTCCGGTCTCTGCTGATCTACAGAGGTTAAAGTATAGCCAGCTAGTTGGCCATGCAGAGATGTAGGCACATTCGTCAAAGTCGGAAGTGCAAGATCCAAATAAAGATACTGATGTTAACCAAGACGCTTAACACGTATTGTAGTTCTCATCATTGTGCGGACCTCCCCGTGCTTCGAGTGGCGCCATTCACATTCGTGCTCGGATGGGGACGAGATCGACGGCGTATCTGGCTAACCCCCTGGATCAAATGTTAGCACACGACAGTCGAGATTTGGGAAAGTATGAGAATACCAAGAAGCTTGAAACCCAGTTCCTCCGGCGCCATAATTGTGAATGAGCAGCCGATCTTGGATCAACTCAGATGCGACCCGCGCGCCGCCCTCTCTCCCAGCTTCGTTACGGACTGTCAGTGTCTGGAGATGTCTCACAAACGGCTTCATCACTTACGTCGAAGTCCAACGCCATGCTTGATCACTTTAAGGTCCTCTGGGGGGCCCAACTCAGGCACCAATGCGCAGCAGCGCTTCTTGATGACTTCTGCAAACTCCATGTCAGCCTCTCCATCCCAATTGTGTTTCTGCCGACAGCCTCCAAGAATTACACCGCTACGCTCCCCGCGCGGGAAGACATGAGTAGCTTCCCCGTCGCGATGCGGAGCGCGGAAGGCCATTTTACGGATAGGCTCCTCGGGACCCTCCACCAGAAGTATTTGACCCTATCGAGTGCAGATACAGATTAGAGATGGTCATTCATACGGGGCATCAACGAGTAGCGTACTCTGGCAGAGAAAATTTTGTCATCTTCGACACCGCCTAGCGTTAAGGCTCCTATGCCGGTGCAGTTGAAAATAGCCGTTGCTTGAGGGTAAAGACGGAAGGCATCTTTGATGTGTCCGAACACTCGTCGGTGGACCTCTATGCCGAGTCTCATTGCCTCGCTTTGCAACCTGATGGGAGTAAGTGACTCTGCTGGTTTGGTACGAAAGGGCCACACGGCGTAATTACCAAGGTAGATATTTCTGTACATCAATGACGAATGTGACAGGCGGTTAGGGACACTTGGGCTAGCTGGTCGCTAGCGGGGATGTCTCTAGGGTGACCCAGATGGGGTTAAAAGGGGAGGTCAGTGCCGTCACTGGGAAAAATCATCGTTTTTCCTTTCATCAGAGATTCTTCCTAGAAGTCAGAGAGGCCGGAAGGGCTCGAGGCTGCTAGGGAGTCTATTAATTGATTGCCTTCATTTTTGAGAGATTTATTTGAGCCTTCTTGCCATCACTACGTTCCCTGTCCAACCTCCGTCTTCAACCTCCCTCAGATATCGGTCTGCCGCAGGCCCCATTGATGCCTTGCCAGCGAACTTTCCTGCGACCGACCCGATATACAATCTCATGAGATGCTTCCCTATCAGGAGACATAAGCCTCAGGTTGATCCGACCTCATACGCGTAATCTGGTGCAGCTTCGGGCTGACCGGCCAAGACGCCTGTGCGACGACTCTCTGTGCATTTCCCCTAGGGAAGGTTAATGAGTTGGGTGTTGTTTTCCGTCCCTTCCTGCTGCTAAACGAAACTGGCCATCTCAAACCCAAAAATAGTCCCACTCGGCAGATCCTTTGCCTCGATCTTTTCGAGGCCTCCAACAAGTTCTTCGAACCAAAGCTTGCCGGTTGCGGGAGTTTTGATGCCAACCTCATCAATGGAGGCTTCATAGTGCCACCTGATGTTCATGGGCTGGATGCCACATTCTGGCCGAGCTGAGGAAAGCTCCTTGAACTTGCGGTAGGTGATTGCTTCCCAATCCTCTTGGGGGCCATTGTCTCTGGCTGCTGGGAACCAGTTGGCTCCGCCCCACGCAGAGGTGTATTCGGGAGCTGAGTCGCCAGGCAGCAATTTTGCTGCTATGGTAATCTTGGCGGTGGGATACCTGGTTCGGAGCTCAAGAGCGGTTGTGAGCCCAACCACTCCGGCCCCAATGACAAGGAAAGACGCTGACAGAAGAAGTATTAAGATTTATGATTCTTCAGATTTTCGACGGTGTGTTTGACTGGAAGACTTACGCATACTGTTTGGCATCACATCAACAATCTCGACTTTGGCTGATTTCATGTCTTTGAGGCACGACGCTGGTGGATGTGCAGCTACGAGCTGGGACAGGACTTTTCGGTCTTACTTATTCCTTGTCACAACTTAGTGGGGTTAACAGAGTGCGCTCCATTTCCTGTCGGCTGAGGCCTTGAGAGCCGAGCGATTAGCGATTAGAAGCAATACTTCTATCGTTATCAAGCTAATCAATACTCTCAGCATATGACTTCCTTGTCGCGCGATGAAAGATTGGCATGAATGATGAGAATAGTATACGCACGCCAATGAAGACTATTCGCCCGCCAGAATATAGCCTCGGGCGCATTTCTGGTAAAAAAATCATGGAACAAAATGTTTTACTGTGGTATTGAATCTATCTATATACAATGCGTCATGGCAGTGGATTGCCATTTCCTTACTTGATGATGTTGACAGGCGTTAGTGGTTTGCCAGTATCGAAGAAGGCCTCCAGATTGTCCAGGTTTATTCTTTCAAAATTCTCCCAGCTAGTCCGCGAGCACACGCCAATATGTGGAAGAACCGTGACACGCCAATTATCCTTGAGCCTGGGATTTATACCAGGCTCATTCGCATGCACATCCAAGCCAGCGCCTACTACCTGCCCGTTCTCGACAGCTTCCAGAAGAGCCTCCTCATCGATCATTTTCCCTCTTGCAATGTTGACGACCCGAAGGCCTTCCTTTTTGGCCAAAGAGAATTGCTCCTTGGAGAGGAGGTGATGGGTGTCTTCTGTGTAAGGCGCAGCAAGGACAATGCAGTCGACATGAGGAATCATGTCGTCTACACTAGAGTAATAGGTGGCCCCATGCTTCAAAGTCTGCTCGGCCTCGAGTTTCCGTCGAGGGCCTTGGTAGTGTATCTTCATGTTGAATGCCGCCTCACATTTCTGAGCAACAGCTAACCCGATGTCGCCCAAGCCTACCACGCCAAGAGACTTGTGACTGGGGTCAACGGCCTGGGTTCCAAGTTGTCGGCTTTGCATCCAGTCAAATCTTGCACACCACTGGGCATATGTGAGGAAGCGAAACGAGTCGAGGACCAGCGCCAAGGTCGTGTTAGCGACGGCTTCGGTGCAAGCATTGGGCGTGTTGCAGTACCAAATCCCCTTGGCCGTTATAGCTTCTATGTCTGCTGTATCATGCCCATGACCGCTACAGCAGATGAGCTTCAGAGAGGGAGGGTAATGGGGTACGACATCTGCAGCAAAAGGGACCTGGTATGCAAGTGGGCCAGCCTTGAGCCAACCGTTGCGAACTATTGCCACGATATTCGCATAGGGTCCTCCAGGTCTCATGCGTTCCTTGAACTGATGTGTTGATTCGCAGTCGTAGTATAAAATATTGAATCTCTCGGCCAGTGCGCGCCGACGCGTATGATCAACGGCTTGGACAGTGGATTCAATCAAGAGAATTTCAGGTTTTATCGTCTCCATTGCATCTGGATTTGGAAGCCAAGGAACAAGGGAACGAAGAAAACAAAGAAAACAAAGAAAACAACCAGAGACTGTTCGTGGTATCACTATGTCTGGCTGGCGTCTCGGACTAAATCCAACTGCTGTCTGTCGTCTGAAACAAACACCGGCTGGATGAAATCGTGTCGCTGTTTGTTGCCGTATCTATCCGATCAAGTCGGCTGCCACAGCCGACTAGTACCAGGATAGTTCCATTCCTTATCTCTGAACCGCCAATATCCTTGCCATTATCTGCTTCGCTAGTCCTAGCTCCTGAATCCTTGCCGACATCGGTCTGCCGATCATTTATCCATCAAACCGTGACCCGATTGTCGGTTCTAAATTCCCGACCTTGCCATTCTCTCTCCAAAATGGCCGACGAGTTGTCCCCCGACGGGTCGAATAGCCCCCATGCTGAACCGACGACGGCTTCAAGGCCAAGGAGACGATCTTACATTGCGTATGGGCACTTCTACCAATTACCTTCCAAGCTAGCCCGGTTTTTCGCCCTCGTCTGCTGACGCAAGCCTCCTCTAGTTGTCGTCGATGCCATTCTCTGAAGGTCAAATGCTCCGGAGGTGTTCCGTGCCAACGATGCCAGAAAGCTAGAAAGACGGCTGTGTGCCATTACCCTCCACGCGCCCGAAGAGTGACCGTGTCGGCAAGGCAAGTTTGGAAAGGGGGAAGTTCCTGCCGAGGGAACCGTACTAATAAGTAGTCTTTACTCATTAGTTATTTGCATCGTCTGCAGAACAACAACAGAGATGCGGAGGGTCCTCAAGTCGATCATGACGACACTATTCATGTCGACACCGACGAACTCTCGATGGTGCAGGAGGAGCCGCGAGCTCCAAGTGATGTCGCCCTTCCTGTAGACCCTAGCCTTGACCCCGGAACTGAACCTGATCCTGCCCCTGGCTTCGGCAATGTGGAAGCAGACATGGGCAGCAGGGTGGACTCGCACATCAGCAACCCAATATACGAGCCAGAGCGCCTCTTTGCTCTGGATCAAGCGTCACGGCAGCAATTCGTCGGCGAGTCAACATGTATGGCATTTGGCGATCGCATCTTGCAATGCCTCAACCCCCAATCCACGACGACGCCTCTGCCCGCTGGCCACCAATACGTGCGCAATCCCCTATTCGCACGCCAGCTCAGTAGTGTCGCCAGCTGCAAGTTCCCCGAGCGCATACGGGCGAATCTTCTTGTTCGGGTTGCTCTTCGCTTCATCGGCCAGGACTATCACCTCTTTTTGCACCACGACTTCCTCAACAAGTTTGACAAGGCGTATGGGTCGAGGCAAAATCCAGAGTACGACTCTGTCTGGATTTGCAAGTTCTTCGTCATACTGGCTTTGGGCGAGATGTACTCGACATCGCTGCCAGCTGCGAAAGAAGCCCGCCCTTCGTCAGTCCCAGGAACAGGCTACTTTCTCACTGCTGTGGGTTTACTCCAAGACCTGTTTGAGGAGCCTTCCATCGCCCAGATCGAGACTTTACTGTTGTTTGTAAGCCGCCCCTCTTGTGGTTTTAACCCTTTGACCACTCTCATAACGGTCAACGGTTGGCCTCTTGCTTTGTAACGTGTTCTTTGATGCCTGAGCTTGTTGAACTCGCCATTTACTGTGTAAGCACGACTGACATGTATGAAATGCAGTGCTTCTACTCAAACGTACTCGGACGCGTGAAATCGGCACACATGTACAGCGGCATGGCTGTGCGCTCAAGTACCTGTCTCGGTCTACATCGAAGTATTCCCGACACGTCAATCCTGTCTCCCATTGAACGAGAGCACCGAATACGGCTCTGGTGGACTGTCTACATTTTTGACAGATCAACCTGCTCGAAGCTTGGACAGCCCTTGACAATACAAGACGCCGACATTGACGTGGGCATGCCGTCGTTGGACATATTGATCCCAGAGAGCCAGACCAGGCTCGGATCTCCAGACCACTTGATTGCGTACATAAATCTGGCTCAAATTACGGGATTTATCATGCGCGACATCTATGCACCTGCATCCAAAGCCAATGGCGGAAGATTGGTCCAGGACGTTCGCGCCATCTTGCAGAAGCTGAGGAAGTGGGATGCCCACGTTCCAGCTCGCTTGCGATGGAATCCTGAAGGCGGAGTCCCTCGTTCAGTGGCATCTCTGCAACTGCATTTTAACCAATGCATCATCTTGACTACGCGTCCAATTCTGCTCCATATATTCAAAATCAGGAATCCGTTCGCGAGTCAGAGTCGTGGAGCCACCACCTCTGGCGGCAGTGACCCTCCACAGATATCAGATACAACAAGGTCACTGGCAGATTCATGTGTGGCTGCTGCTCGAACCTCCAACACAATACTCTCACAATTGTTTGTGGAGAATGCCCTAGCTACCTGTGGATATTTTGACGCTCATCATCTCTTTGCCTCGACGCTTGTTTTGATCATCTCGGCAATCTCATCACCCAACTCCAGTGACTCCGACGCCGTCCAGACAGCATTTCAACTCTTGATGGTAATGCGAGATAACGGGAACGCAGCCGCAGGAGAATATTTTTCCCGCCTGCTCCAAATTCAATGGACTGTTAGTCGGCTCTTCACCCAGGCCACCACAGCCAACGAGACAACCCCAACCATGGATGCTCCGAGCGGTACCGTGGGAAATGTCGCGACGCCAAATCCGCCATCTGGATTAGCCGAGTTGGACGATTACGATTGGAGTAAATTTGTGATCCCTACTTCTTTTTACCCAACTTACGACGAAGCAGCAGCGGTAGGAACTATCCCCGCCGATCCTTTAGACAACCCATTTCTTCAAGCTTTTCTTGATCATGCGGATGGTAGCAGAGACGAAAATACTCTCTTCAACACGGAAGACGAGGATTTCATGTCGTGATATCTTGAATAGAATGGGATAGAAGAAACTAGCACGGGTTGACAATGAGTTGCTTGGCTAATGATCATGCGCCAAGTTACAAGACAGTGTTGCGAGAAATGAGCATGTCGCGCGACTCAAAGAAGTAAACATATCATACTTTTTACGATCGGTGGTTTGAATCAACATCCTTCTTATTATGACTGGTAGCGGATGACATCGCTTATGGCGGCTGCTATGGACTTGACATTCCCGTCATTTACACCACTCAGGCTGGCCCGTCCATTAAGCATGAGATACACATGGTGAACCTCCCTCAGCCGTAATACTTGCTCTTCACTCAATCCCGTGTAGCTGAACATGCCAATCTGTGACTCCAAATGGCTCCAATCTCCCACATCCGGATACTTCTCTATTTCGTTTCTCAATAAGCTTCTCATTCGCTTGATGCGGCCCGACATTGTCTGTAAATCCTGCTCCCACATGGTCCTTAGCTCCAGGTCCGAGAGAATAGTATGAACAATTCGACAGCCAAAGAGCGGGGCATTGGACATCTCTGCTCGTACGAGACGGAGCAGCTGACTTTGCGACCCCAAAGCTGGTGTTCGCGCAGGTAGAACAAGATGGAGAGCACCAACTCGCTCACCGTATAGGCCAAAGTTTTTAGCAAATGATTGCGCAATGCACATGCCTTGGGGGGTATCAGAAACACCGTCTGCGTCAAAGAGTACTTGCTGAAAGTGTCGAACGGCCCAAGCATCTGCGTCCACGTCCCCTGTCGCAAAGCCTTGGTACGCCGAGTCAAAAAATGCGAAGAGCTTCTTGCGCTTAAAGAGCCCCGCGAGCGCCTGCCACTGCTCCCTGGACGGGTCAATGCCAGTAGGATTATGTGCGCAAGCGTGCAGGATGATGACATCGCCTTCTTCCGCATCTCGTTCCAGTGTCGATGCCATGCCCTCAAAGTCCAATGACCGTTTTGAGGATTTGTAATAAGGGTAAGTCTTTCGGATGACGCCAGGTGCGGCAACCTCCCAGACCAGGCCATGGTTGCTCCACGTAGGGTCGGAGATGAAGACGTGTCGGGGCTTCAATTGCTCAGCCAAGAATGCAGCTCCCAAGTGATTTGCACCTGTTCCTGATATTGTTTGTACCGATACAACATGGCTCCGGGAGTCATCATATTGACCCAAGATGAGTTGTCTCGCTACCGACAAAAAGGGCTCGAATCCTTGGATTGGAAGATACTCATGATCCAACAAAGGCAAAGCATGAAGTACACCTTTGGCCTAGAAACCCCTTAGCAATTTCCACTTCCTGCTCTGACCGCGTTTCATCAACATACTGCTTTTACACTTGGTAGAACCCATGGTTTCGAATTCTCGTCCCGGTAGACTCCTGCTCCCAAGCTGACCTTTTTCGGATCACGATCAGCTATGAAATCTGCTGTGATGGCAAAGGCCTCGTCTCTTGGAAGTGCCGGGATTTCGGCGAGATTGGCAGGCATGTTGGTAACAATACCTCGGTAAGAGATTGATGACTCGAAAGAGGAACAAAAGCCTTGTTGAAGTAAATCGCTAATTTCTCTGTAAAATAGGAGTGACAACGGAAGCTTCACTCGTAGATATCTTGTCCCTAAGACATCTAGGCCCCATGAGTTCTTGCGGCGCGGATACTCCAGCCGATCGTCTTATCGGCGAGGCGACGATAACATGGTCGGTAATTATACAGCTCAGCCGACGCGTAAGCCGACCAAAGATTGTCAGGAATGTTCGGAAGGGCTGCCCGAAATGTAGAATAACACCAAATTATCAGATGCTTGATCATCGTGGAGGAGACAACCATCATCATTCTCCACGGGATAAGTTGTGACCGAATGAGCCATCGTAGCAGAGAGTTAAGTTAACGGCTTTATTGTATTTGTCACCAGATTGATCCCATTGACTGAAGAGAAATGGACCTGGCTTGTATAGTCCACGATCCCAAATATCACGAGACTGTATACTTCTTGTGATGTCTGTATATAGCCCAATCTCGTTAGCGTTTTCATTTCTAATTGCATGTCTAACTATGCTATTGTCGCAGCATCTCTAGAACCAGTCGCTTATACACTGCCACGCATTCAATCAAGTCTGGGATTTCAACCTGCTCGTTCTCTCCATGAGCATCCATGATGGATCCTGGCCCGTAGAGGTACTTTTTATGGTCGCCATTCAGGCGCTGGATGTCAGTACCAAATGAAACGGGCATGGATTCCAAGCCTGTGGCCATTATCAGCATCAGATTGGACCAAAGAGTCGTTATTACATGTAATATGATCTTACCTTGAAGCTGGTGATCGAGAAGAGTTTCAGGATATGCGAATGACTTTTTCAAGGTGATGTCGGGGTATTTTCTGACTACCTCAGACACCTTTTTCTCAATGCTTGCCAACCCAGCCGCGACACGAATGCCGCACAGAGCAGAGGCCTCGGCTGCGAGGACATTGTATGCCACGCCGCCATTGATCTTTCCACAGTGAAAGGTCGTCGGCCCAAGCAGCTCAGAGGTTGGAAGCTCAAGCGTCCCAAGTTCCTCCAACAATGACACTAGCATCGCTGTTGCACTCTTCCCCTGGGCAGGATACCCCGAGTGACAAGCCTGACCAGTCGCAAAGAGCTCGAAGACGTAATGTCCCTTGTGACCGGTAGCCAGCTTGCCCTCCGTCGGCTCTCCAAAGATGACGGCTTCCCACGTCAGGTTCATGTCATTGGCCGCAAGCATTCCAGGGCCTCCTTTCTCCTCTCCCACAACGAAGAGCAGAGACACATCTCCGGCTTTCGTGGCACCGTCAGCCCGTAGCTCTTCGAGAGCAATGATCTGGGCGGCTAAAGGGCCTTTGTCATCACAAGCTCCGCGGCCAAAAATGGTGTCTCCCTTGATGCTGAAAGGAATGTGCGGCGGGACTGTGTCCATGTGAGAGGTGAGCAAGGTACGTGCCTTGCGACTGTCGCCGAGATAGGCATACACATTGCAACGGTCGGAGTTTGGTGCAATTGGGATAAGTTCCACGGTATAGTTCAAGGACTTCAGATACTGGGCAAGAAAGACACCAATTTCGTGCTCCTCCTCGCTAACGGACGGAATTTCCATTAACTGCCAGAGAAGTTTGACCACTGGAGTGTTTGCCATCTTGAGGATTCTTGAATTGGTTGTCGATCCTGGACCAACGCTCTCTGGGGGTTAATACCAATATATTTGCAAACAGGGGTCCTTCTCAGCACGATAAGAAATAATCCGTTCTTTTATCTTTGAATTGTTATGGATCGACCACTCTGCTCAATCCACATGACGGTATCGGCACTAGCTTGCCGAGCAAGACACCTTCCCGCGTCTGTGGCGCTATCATATCAACGAGTAGTCGGTAATAACGCCGGCTCAATTACATAGCAGTCAAAGGAGATGATGAAGCACTGGGAGGATAAACACTAGCAATCGCAATTCTCACAATAAGTTTGAAGTAATGCAATGTAGTTATGACTAGATTGAAGCTGGTATAAGGAGTGCTTTAAGTTCAATATATTCAAACCTGACGCTTTATATACCCTGCATATGTAACGAGTCAAATTTACTTGGTTTAAATAGCTGTCTACCCAAGCCCATCTATGGTGATATTTTGTTGGTGGGAGAGGCTGTTAGTGCAGTCCGCCGTCCGCAGGGTAGCACCCGGGGAGGGGTAAAAGATGCAGAAAGCAGCAATCAATCTACTGCTTCTCGATATCTTTAGAAAGAGAGAGAGATAAAATAGAGTATTGCTATTCGCACCGGTTCAAAATGCTAATCGCACTCAAGTACGCCCTTTTATACCTAAGCTTAGTGCAATGTAATGTACCCGGACTGTACGCCCGCTTCAAGGTATCTTATTCTGAAGGAGTTCCTGCCCTAAAATAAATTGAAAGATAAATTTTAAACAGCAGAACTTAGACAATAAATTTTTAGAATAAAGCTTATTTAATTTCTTAGGTCTACTCACGAATCGGTGTGTTGTTGAGACTTCTTGATAAAATTGGTTGATGCCCTTGAGTGTGCGAGTAGCATTTTGAGCGTGTGCGAATAGCAATACTCATAAAATATCCATAAGAGCCGCTGCGAGAGCCATGGCATAATGAGCGTACTGGGACAAGAAGTATCATATAGCTTCAAGAAGGGAAAAAGCGTGCCGTTCTATTTCCAAGGAGAATCAACGCCTTAAGTAGGGCCATCCTAAGCTACCTTTTGGCCCCTACTGAATTAAACTCCGGGTGGATCGTTGGCTCTATCACAACATCAATATAATGAGGTCCGTCTTTCGGTGTAATTGTAACTTGTAAGCTCCTATCATGACCTTCTCAACATTTGACCCTATCGTCAAATCTAGATTGAGTACCTAAAGTAAACATCGTAATCGCCCAAGTCGGGATTCGGCACGATCGGAGTTCCGGCTTGTTCCGCAGCCAATATCTTGGCCGCGCGCTTCCGGTTCACCCAAGTGAAGGCAGTCATAAGAACCAGCACATCGACAAAGGCAAAGCATGCCAAGCCCAATGCGATTGTCAGTCCAGGAATATATCGCGGGGCGGTCTGTGTAGTGAAGATCTGCCCCACGGCGACACCCGCAGTGTTTCCGAGACAGAGAGTGAATCCAACCATGGTCGCTCGCTTATAGTGCTTCGATACGTTATCTTGCAGCCACATTAACGACAGGCCCGTTGTTGGGTAAATTCCGAGAGCCGCAACTGGAAAATATTAGAATGATACCTTGAGAGACCCAATAAGAAAAACAACGTACTGAAGCTTGCAAAGAACCTCACTTTGAGGTTGTCGACACTAATCAAAAGCGCATAGCCAACAATTAGGCAGAGAAGGCATCCAGCAATGTACGGTCCACGGTAACCAGTTCTGTCTGAGAAATACGCAATGACCAAAAAGAATACCAAGGCGCAAACATATATGGGAACAGTCATGAGGTTGGCCGTGACAGATGCGTAACCAAGGCCACGGACAATGGCCGGCATGAAAGTTGTCAGTCCGTATAGAGAAATGTTTACCGAGAATTGGTATGCAAAGAATGCATACCATTTGGGATCGGTAAAGGCCTTAAGACATTCGTTCCAGGAGAACTTCTCATCGTGACCCCAAGAGGGATCGGCTGCATAACGAGCCTTCATCATGTCCTTTTCGTCGGCCGTCAAGAACCAAGCTTCGGTAGGCGATTCGGGGAAGACGAGCCAGAACATGGGCACAACGATGATGGTCATGGCACCCTCGACGGCAAACAGCCACCGCCAGCCTTCAAAGTTGGAAGTGCGGATCTGGGTAAGACCGTATGCGAGAATACCACCAAAGGCACTAGAGAAAGCGCTGAAGGCAAAGATGAAGGAAGATCGTTGACCCCGTTCGGACTTCTTGTAGACCCAGCCAAGGTAGACGTTTATGCAAGGAATAAGTCCGGCCTCGAACAAGCCTATCAGCAGTCGGCAAGCGTATAGTCCGTGGTAGTTCTGGATGAAGGCTTTTCAGGTCAATCAGTACATGTATCTCTCTGAAAGACTGTTGGAACTACACGTACCCATTCCGAGAGAGCTGGCTCCCCAACAGAAAGCACTGGCGGTCATGAGAGGCTTGGGGCCTATCAATTTCAGAAGCACAGCAACTGGTCCCTCGAGCGGAACATAGGTGGCGAAACTGTAGGCAAGATTCAGACGTCAGGGGGCTTGCAAAGGGGAGCGCATGTAGACTCACAGCAGGGTTGTCGCTGTGCCAAATTGGTTGCCAACAAGCCCAATATCCTCTGGCATTCCTGCGATATTGGCATTTCCCAAGTTGCTTCGATCGAGATTGGACATCATGTATAGAACACCCATAGCCATGATTGCGTAGAGCTGTTGAGATGGGGTCAGCTTTTTTTCTCTTCACGTCAGTGGATGGTTTTGCACTTGCATCAAACTTTCTCATCATCCGCCTTTCTTTGATGGGGTCGATAAAATATTCGGATGATCCATTGTCAGAGTCCGGTACCGATGATTCATTGCGTGTTGTTGCGCTTTTCGTCGAATGCGTGTTGTCATGTTGCTTTGCACCTGTGCTGTTGCCAATTGCCATGTTTGAGGGCGTCGGATATCAAACGATCACGTAATGGTTTGAACTTGTGTCGTGGGATCAGAGAGGCATTCGGCGCTACATGTGTGCAATTATAATAACTTGTCCAGGCTGTAATTGATCCTGGCTTCCAGTCTTTGCCAAAGATAAGAAATCGGAAGATAGAAGGGTAAAGATTCGGTATCAGGATACCTAGAAGTAGCACCTCGTTATCTATCTGCTAACCCCGGCGGTCAACGTTGCTTTAATCTCGATCCGATCTCCACAACTACCCTACAGGCTCTACTGACTCCAAAATTGTCATGTTTTTGTTGTATCTTTTACCATAATGTCAATGTAATTGTTACAAGTAACACACCGGCCAGCTATGCCAAAGCTAGCCAAAATTCCGACCGTGAATTATCTGCGAGATCTGAGGTCAAGGAATCTTTAGACTATCGCCGTCGGCATCGTTATGCCGACTTTTGCTGTGGAGATTAGTCCACTAATTACTTGGCAAGTCGGCTCGGTCGCTGTGAGCCGACAATCCGCTTGGCATACTACCACACTTATCGTGGACCGATCCTTATCTAACGCGGCATATCAAACCAGTCGGCATTTCATCCGAGGAGACCGGGCCGTCCGTCCCAGGCCGAGCTGCTCCTCCGTATGCAAATTCACCCGGGGCTGATTCGATCCCGGGTCAGATGAAAACCGGAGTCAAACGTTTATAGAGGGGAATATTGTCTTGCCAAGTGTTACCATAAAAAGACGGGGACTTGGGCAAATCAAGAAAATTCTACCATCTTGATTGAATAGATTTGTTCACGACAACCAACCCAAGGTCCCTTGTCCATCATGGCCACCACTCCATCCGGCATACGCATTGCCATCGACCGAGGCGGTACCTTTACTGACGCCTGGGCCTGGATCCCCCAAAAAGACGAAAAACTGGTTATTAAGGTGCTCTCGCAAAGCCCTGATGAATATGAAGATGCTCCGACCGAGTGCATCCGACAGATCCTTGAGACGGCCACTGGCCAGCCAATCTCAAGAGGAACGCTATTGAACCTGGATCAAGTCGAATCCATCCGCATGGGGACGACTGTGGCAACCAATGCCCTCTTGGAACGTAAAGGCGAGCGCACCGCGCTAGTCATCACCAAGGGATTCCGAGATATATTGGAAATAGGCAACCAAGCCCGACCTCACATCTTTGACCTTTCAGTTCGCCGCATGGGCAAATTATATGAGACTGTGCTCGAGGTTGACGAGCGTGTTACCATCGAGGGCTTCGCAGAGAACCCAGAGCCCAAGCCCATTATCGACGTCGCTTCAGATCCTGACCTGACGATAGGCTTGTCCGGCGAAGCAATTCGTATCATCAAGGCTCCAGACTACGACCAGGTCCGGCGTGACCTCTCGGAGCTGTGGTCACGGGGCTATCGAAGCGTAGCTATCGCCGTCATGCATTCTTACACTTTCCAAGACCACGAACTTGGTATTGCCAATATTGCCCGGGAGCTCGGTTTCAGGGTTTCTGCTTCCTCGGAGCTTCAGAAGATGGCCAAGATTGTACCGCGAAGTCAATCCGCAGTTGCTGATGCTTATCTGTCGACGGTGACGGATAAGTATCTAGACAATTTTCGGAAGGGCTTCCAGGGTCAACTGCAAGACGACAATGCCAGAAAACTCTTCTTGAACCAATCAGATGGTGGTCTGACGGCCTACACGAACTTTAGTGGCCTTCGAGGAGTACTGAGTGGGCCAGCAGGCGGAGTTATTGGCCTCTCCAAAACGTGTTATGATGATCGTGATGGAACTCCTGTCTTGGGCTTCGATAGTAAGTATCCTTTGCACCCTTCTGCCTTGATTCCTTTCGTTTCATGATCTGACTTATTATTAGTGGGCGGTACCAGCACCGACGTCACACGTTATGCTGGATCCCTGGAACACATCTTTGAGAGTACCATCGCAGAAATTACTATCCAGACACCACAACTGGACATCAACACCGTAGCAGCCGGTGGTGGTTCAATCTTAAGCTGGGAGAATGGCCTCTTCAAAGTCGGGCCAGGAAGCGCCGGTGCTGATCCTGGCCCAGCCTGCTACGGCAGAGGCGGCCCCTTGACCGTCACAGATGCCAACTTCTTCCTCGGCAGGATTGTGCCCGACCTTTTCCCTCGTCCATTAGACTACGCTGTTGTTCAGAAGAAGTTTAGCGAGTTGACAGATGCCATCAACTTGAGTAAAGAAGGCACCACCAAATTCGCCCCGGACGAAGTGGCCATGGGCTTCATCACCATTGCAAACACCACAATGACTCGGCCCATCCGGACACTCAGCGAGGGACGAGGATTTGAGACTGGAGCTCATAACCTGGGCTGTTTTGGCGGTGCAGGTGGTCAACACGCCGTGGCTGTGGCCAGGGATCTCGGGATCCGGCGCGTTATAATCCCTCGTTATTCCAGCATCTTGTCAGCCTACGGCATGGCACTCGCTGATGTGGTGGCGGAGAACCAAGAGCCAGAGACGGTGACCTTTTCAGAAGACGCTTACACGCAACTACAGAGTCGCTTCGATCGACTAGCTTCCCAAGGTAGCCAGGAACTCGCTTCTCAAGGATTTGAAGAGGACCAAATTCAACACGAACGCTTCCTCAACATGAGATATCAAGGCAGCGACACAGCCCTGATGATCCCACATCCTGGCGTCCTGGCTGATTTTGGGGAAGCCTTCACCAGTCGCCACCGCCAAGAGTTTGGGTTCACGCAGCCTCGCGACATTGTCGTGGATGATGCTAGAGTGCGCAGCATCGGCAAAGGCGCAGATCTCAAGCTGACTAGCCCTTTCGACGAATTGCGCAGAGTTCAGTCATCACCACCTGCCACTCCCGTTAAGCCTAGGGAGATGACAAAAGTGTATTACGAAAACGAGGGCTGGATGAAGACTGGCTTGTATTTCCTGGGCGACCTTCAAATCGGGAGCCGTATACGGGGACCTGCTATGGTGGTCGACAAGACTCAGACAATTGTTCTAGACCCTTCCAGTGCGGCTGTCGTTCTACCTGAACATCTCATCTTGGACATCTTGGATGTTCAAACACTTGAAGTTGCTACGTCTGCCGTGGATCCAGTGCAATTAAGCATCTTCAGTCATCGCTTCATGAGTGTCGCAGAGCAAATGGGTCAGACAATGCAAAAGACATCCATTTCGGTCAACATAAAAGAACGCCTTGATTTCTCCTGTGCCATCTTTTCGGCAGACGGAGGACTGGTGGCGAACGCGCCGCATATTCCAGGACATCTAGGCTCGATGAGCTACGCCATTGCTTACCAGGCCAAGTTGTATGGCCCTGGAGAGCTGAAGCCCGGCGATGTTCTGTTGAGCAACCATCCACGCGCGGGAGGCACTCACTTGCCGGACCTTACAGTTACCACGCCAGTGTTCGATGAGAATGATCCCCAAAAGATTCTGTTCTTTGTGGCCAACCGCGGACATCATGCCGATATCGGTGGCATTCAACCAGGTTCCATGCCGCCTCACTCAACAGAGCTATGGCAGGAGGGCGTTGCTGTAGAGACGTTCAAGATGGTCAATGAAGGAGTGTTTGATGACGCAGGTCTCCATGAAATCCTGGTCGACATTCCTGGCTCGTACCCTGGATGTAGTGGAACCAGAACTTTGAAAGACAACATTGCAGACTTGAAGGCAGCAATTGCTGCAAACAACCGAGGCATCCAGCTCATTACGGCATTGGTCAAGGACTACTCGTGGCCTGTCGTCGAGTTTTACATGGAAGCCATCCAGAACAACGCTGCGCAATCGGTTCGACGGCTGCTGAAAGAGTTTGCAAAGCGATTCCAAGGCCAAGACCTACAAGCCACAGATTATCTAGACGACGGAACCCCCTTGTCACTGAAGATCGACATCGACGAGGAGACTGGCAATGCCGTCTTTGACTTTGAGGGGACAGGTCCTGAACACTACGGCAATCTCAACTGTCCTCCGGCAGTCATGTACTCTGGCATCATGGTAAGATGAAACAGGAGGGTAAAGAATTGCAACACCTCAACTAACCTCTTCTTAGTACTGCCTAAGGTCAATGATTGCCACCGACACTCCCCTCAACCAGGGATGTCTCGCCCCGATCAAACTCAAACTCCCCCCGGATTCTATCCTCTCACCCTCGTTGAAGGCAGCAACAGTGGGCTCGAATGTCGAGACATCCCAACGAATCGTCGACCTGGTCTTCAAAGCATTCCAAGCATGCGCCGCCTCTCAAGGAACCTGCAACAACCTGACGTTTGGATACGGTGGCACCGATCCAGAGACCAACGAGGTGGTCAAAGGCTTCGGATATTACGAAACCATTGCTGGTGGCTCTGGCGCCGGTGCGGACTGGGAGGGCGAGAGCGGCGTACACACCCATGTTACTAACACGAGAATCTCCGATCCTGAAACCTTTGAACGTCGTTATCCCGTTCTTCTCCGCGAGTTCTCCATACGTCGTGGCAGTGGTGGCCCGGGACTCAACCGTGGTGGTGACGGCTGCATCAGAGACATCGAGTTTCGTATGCCTCTCCAAGTGTCCATCTTGTCAGAGCGCAGAGTCATTGCGCCCTACGGCATGGCAGGCGGTGAAGAAGGGAAAAGAGGTCTCAATCTCTGGGTGCGGCGCGATCCAGAAGATGGTACTACTCGAACCATCAGCCTGGGTGGGAAGGCAACGACCAACATGAACGCCGGGGACAGGATAATCATCCAGACGCCTGGTGGCGGTGGCTATGGCCCGGATCCCAACATAGTGAAAAAGAAGGAGCTCTTTGGCATTTTCAAGATTGGAGACAAGTTTGCAAGCGCAGGACCGGCTATGAGGACGGGAAGTCTGGCTCAAAGGGATGCCACTGCTGAAGGTAACTAACAGTTGACCTTCGCGAATGATGGAAGGATTCAAGTTACAGATGTACAAATATCCTTGATACTTTTAGTTTGATCTTCAAACCATATTTGAGAATGAATAGGACGTATTCTTGACCAAGACGATACATAAATCATGCCTGGTAAAATTATTGTACTGAGTCGCTGAATGGCGGACTATTACTCCGCTGCCTCCAAGAGAACCGAAAAGGGTGAAAGAATTTCTCATGGCAACCTTAATCTTATTGAGAAAATCTATAATAATAGTGGTATCCATCGTTAGGATATCCAATCTAGAGAAAGAATTGACTGATCTGAGAGGAAGATGTCAAGTCCAGTTCGTCTGACGCAACACCCTGTCGCATTTCACGTATCCTAGATTTAAGCCATTGATGTGCCCTCCGGTAGTTGATTCCAAAACAACTTAGTTGTTCAAAACGTCTCAAAACCCAATCCTGGTGAATGCAATCACTTGTCGCTAACGCGGCCATAAAGAGAGGCCACGACGCGCGAGCAATGGCTGTGGCGCCGCCATTTTCCCAGCTATAATACGCAAGCTTTAATATCTGCTCCCTTGCTTCTGCCCTCTGCTGCTCTGGACGATCCATGTCGATAATACGCGAAAAGTCCAGGACACTGCCATAGTAGTGTGGTACAATCCAGCATAGTGTCATGATAAGGCCTTCGTTGCTTGGCTTCAGGGATGAAGATATCCGTGCAGCTGTTGAGAAGAGTTCTCTGAATTGCACTTGTAAAAGCTCTAGCATCCGTTTCGCAGCTGGGATGAGAGAGGAGGTCTCCCCATCTCGACGTCTGATCTGAGCAGCCATGAGACGCAAAGTTGAGCAGTAGCGATATAGTTGAAATGCCGCCTGGTTATCGTCATCGTACGCGACCTCGGTGGAAGGGTACTCAGTGCCCCAAGTGGCTTGAGATAAAGGCTCCGAGTGATCATAGATGGCTGAGAGAAAGTGGGACCACGGAACCTCCGTCTGACTTGGATGATCCAGGCCCATGGATCGGGCTAGTGACAGGTTCAATTGACCGCCTAGCCCAAAGGAAGCTGCTCGAGCATCAAGTACTGTCAACCGCACCAATAACCGACTGGTCAGATATGGGAGATCCTGTGCTTGACGGATTGAGTGGTCTGCTACCAGAGGCGGCTCACTGCCCGTGTGCAAAGCGGGTACAAGACTTGGAAGATTGGCCTCTAACACAGATGCTGCGCCTTGCAGATGCTTGCAGAGTGCTTGTCCAGTTGTATCATGACCGAAGTATTGTTCGTAGACGAGTATCAGCCACAAAGCCGCCAAGACCGTGTTCAATTCTGAACGGGGCAGGCTTCCCTTGATTGCCTGGCCGAGAAGGCGGATCGCCTCGCAATAGTGACGCACAGCATCGACACAAAGCGCGTTATCCTCGCCCCGCTGCGAGCTGTCCGGTGATGCAGAGAGGTACTGCAAGCCAATTGCCAACACCATATGCATGACGAGGGCCGAAGAGATGCCGATCTGGAAGACAATCGATTGGACCGAATACGTCGGCGTTTTCGTGTCGTGGAGACTGACAAAGGTACTTCGGTAAAGCAATATCGCCGCATGATCTGTGGGACCCAGACAAAGGCCAGATTGGGATGTGTGGGCATAAAGGGGAATGTCATACGCCCAACTGAAGCGAGGCAGTGGCGAAGAAGCAGCTAGAATGACAGCCGCGTCACTAGCTATCGTACACGGTTCGACGTGTAGACTGTTGCAGGCCTGACGACCATGGCCAGATGCACTTATGCTCGTCGGTGGACTATCCCGCCGTCTTCTCGGTGACGACCAGTCGCACGGCCTCGACAAACGCGCGCAGCGGCGGCACACGGGTTTCGTTTCGTCGCATTTGACCTTTCGACGACGACACGTGTGGCATCCAGTCCGAGACCGGGGGCCGCCTCGATTGCCGAAGACGCCGACGTAGACGGGGTCTGGGTTGGTATCTTCGAGGTCCATGATGGCTAATGGCCAGGGGTAAAGAACAAAGGGGACGATTCCAGCCGCGAGATGTCTAAGAGTGAGAAGTCAACTACCGACACGCCTCGAGACGCTCAAGCATCTCGTCAGATGAGCGGGGCTCACGAACCGACGGTTTGTCAATGCCATTATTAGTTCCGTCTACATCCCTGCTAGTTCGGAGTGATAGCCGAGCATCCATTGCTGGACCCACTGATAGGCGAGGTGGTGTTGAACTTGACGATCCGTCACGCTCATGGGACCCTCATGGGACAGTTCCGAAGCCGCTCCCAACTTATATATAAATTAGCTAGAGTGTTACAAAGGGAATTGAGTGGGAGACATAAAATTAATCATTGATCAAGAAATGGCCATCAAGAAAGGAAACAACGGCGACGGCCATTCGCGCTTCTCGGCACTCCAGCCTCTCAGGCCTGGAGGACCGTTTGCTTTGGACGCCAAGTTTCGAGCTGACCCTGCTCCCAAAAAAGTCAACTTGCTCATCGGAGCATACAGAGATGACAAAGGGAAGCCATGGCAGCTGACCTCGGTTGCAAAGGTAGGTTCGCATACGTTGGTTACAACTGCCGGACAATCTTCAGCTGTTACGATCATTTAACCAGCCAGATCCTACAGCTAATGCTCATGAGTAGGCCAAGAAGCGGATGGATATTGAGACATGCCATCATGAGTATCCTCCCCTCGTGGGGAACATCGATTTGCTTCAACCTGCACGGCAGTTAATCTTCGGCGACGAGATCCTCCAACAAGCATCCGATTACATCTCCTCCATCCAGACAATCTCAGGAACCGGCGCAAACAGTCTGATTGCGCATTTTGCGCAGAGGAAATTCCACCCGACCAACATATGGATTCCCGATCCAACATGGGACAATCACATAGACATCTGGCGCGAAAATGCACCTGAGGTCACTCAACGTCGATATCCTTATTACGACGAGGCGACTCGGTCTTTCGACTTCAAAGGCATGATGCAGATTCTTCAGCAAGATGCACAAGAAAACGACGCCATTCTTCTTCATGCCTGTGCACACAACCCCACAGGACTAGATCCAACGAGAGAACAATGGCAAGAGATTGCGCTTCTCTGCAACAAAATGAAGCTTTTTGTTGTTTTCGATTCGGCGTACCAAGGCTTTGCATCGGGAGACTTGGACCGTGATGCCTGGGCTATGAGACATTTCTTCCAATATCCCAATATTGAGATGGCTGTCTGCCAGTCCTTCTCGAAAAATCTCGGGCTTTATGGAGAGCGTGTTGGCGCGCTTCACCTTGCCGTGTCGCGAGCACTGAGTCCGCCAGCCAACCAATGTGTCCTAGGCCATCTAATCGACACCCAGAGATCCCTCGTTTCCATGGCGCCTCAGTTCGGCGCTCGGGTAGCAGCTGCGGTTCTTTCGCAACGAGACTTGCGCGATATGTGGATATCTGACCTTGAAGTGATGAGCGGGCGCATCAAGGCGATGCGCCAGGCTCTCTACGACGAGTTGGTGACGCTGCGAACTTCTGGTACATGGGAGCATATTGTAGAACAGACGGGTATGTTTTCTTACACGGGATTGACCCAGCAACAGGTGACAGAACTGCAGGATGTGCATCATGTCTACCTGCTTCCCTCAGGACGCATATCACTGTGCGGGTTGACAAATGAGAACGTCAAGTATGTAGCTAGGGCTATGCATAGTGTTGTTGCGAACCAGAAAGCTTAATCTACCCAGAGAATAAAAGAAACAGGCAACGTTTTTCAGAGTTCGTGTCAATTTTACACTCACATCTAGTGACCTTAAGCTCCCAGATCTTGACCTCTCTCGTAGGATGCCCATGGGATCAACTTGTTGTCGAGCGAGGAGGCAAATGTCGTAATTGGTCCAAGATAGCCTTGCAGCGTTCGCGCTACAGCAACTTGTGTTGCCTGTCAGACTGCAATCACCTTGCCATTGAATATTGGTGCGAGCAACTTGTCATCTGGCGAAAAGCCTGGAGTATTGATAAATTGCAATCACCAAGTGTCTCTGTGACACCACCTACTACTGAGTAGTATCTCAGGTATAATACTAGCCTGAGTCGATACTATACTACCAGGCGAGAATACTACAGCTGCACTGGGCTCAAATATTACCGAGGCACAAGTAGACCTTTTGGTGTAAGGTCTAGGGCTTTCCTCTCCATTCTTGTATCACTTTATCATTGTGTCAAGTAATACTGACCTCTGTACCATGTGTGGTGCCTATAGGATGCCTGGCGAGGTATCGCGTGACTGTAGGATGTGTGACACACAAACAAATAACTGAATGAGTCACAATTTCTTGAAACACGATCTGTGAATCACGTTCAGTTAGTCTCTATAAATGAGGTATGGCGCCGTCAGACCATTTCTCAGTAGGTAGACATGAACACGAGTTCGCTCAGACCTATTTTGAAAACACTAAGGACATCAACTTCGACAGTTCGTCCGCTCCTCCTTCGCGACGCCCTTGACCTTATTTTCATCTTAACCAATCTCGCCAACGTGAATTAAGAAAGCATGTGCTACCTGGTCACTCTCAGTTACATATGCCCCCGTTGCAGCCGGGCTCTCAATATTGTCACAACGGTGGAGGTTTGTCCGCCTGGGAGACAGGCTGGTCCATGCGCCCGCAAGATTCCCCTTTCAAAGCGCGAGTTTGTCAAAAGCTCAGAGTGCCCATGGTGCCGCGTTTAGGACGAGAGCGGCTTTGTTAAGTAGGGATGCTTCATGGGAATGGCCGAACTACGGGCATCTACTGTGCGCCCGAGCGCGTTAATTCTTGACTGATCTTTACTTTCATTTTATTTCGCGTAAATCTTGTTTTCGTACGGCTCGTGGTACATCATTGGTAGTTCGTGCACCATCTTGGTGGCTGCCCATAAAACGCCTCGGGCTGTACAAGATCAAACCTGGCCTGCTGTGATTCGATGCACAATGATAAGATGAGTAAAACCCTGACGTGGACTATGCTTCTGTTTCTCATCTTCATCATCTACTACAGGTATTCTCAGAAGTCTGACAAAAGTGGCTATCTGTGATGCATTTGGTTGCTTCTACTTAAGCTCACGACCGAGAACTAAGATGCAATCAGTCCGTATCAGCATTTACCAGGCCGCGGAGCTTTGCACAACTTAAGCTGGTTTAACGGATTGCGCCAGAGTGAGCCTAAAACTTGTGTGGTATTTCTGGACGGAACAAAATTCTAAGCCTGAGTCATCGTGTTGTATGATCGTACGCATGCACCTAGCATTCTGCAGAGCCACGGTAAACTGGGTTTATGATGGAGAATTATCATACGGAAACGGAAAAAGTCTAAAGTGAGATTCAAATTGTTCATTTGGATCTTAGTTCAGCTAATGCGATTTCTACTACCAATTAAAATGGACCAAAAGGTAATGACTCTATGCCGGCTAAATTCCTCTCTGCCTCTTCTCGAAGACATCGTTCGCAGGTACATGAAAATTGAAATTGGTCTTGAACCAACCCCTGCCTACTCATGATATCTTCATAGACTGTTAGGTCGAAGTAGGTGATACAACACTCTTCCCCCTGGGCGATGTCGCGTGCTGCAGTGTAGACCATTCGTGCCTGGTTGTTAGGCTTGTGCGTGACCTACAGATAAATGCGGTTAACTTAAAAGTCCAAGCGATGGTGAGGGATTTCTGATTATTCCTACGTACATTTGGTAGGCAAGAATGGTTAAACATTGCGGCCCTGGGGTATATACCCAATCCGTAAGATTCCCCTCTCTGCACGGGTTGATCAACCATATACAAAGGTCCTGTCATCTTCGGATAGAGTCCAAATGTGTTTGTTTCCTCTTTGCATATGAGTGATAGCATGTCGTTGGCAGTCAACAGGCAAGGTAGTATTGATGCGTCGCTGAGATACGTGCTGGCCAGTCTCTTCCAGTGCTCGATCTGCTGTTCCGGCCATGAATTAAGGTACGCGCAGCACATTTCGACGGAAGCCCAACCGCGCTTGAATTCATTCTCCCATGAATAGAGCTGAGATGGTATTGACGTCCCCCTGTGCAACTCCAAGCCTCGCCCGGCTAGTAGGCGAACAACATGCCAAAGTGTGACAAAGTTGTACTCGCCCTCCTGACGGCGGATGGTCTCTCCATTTTGCTTCAGCCACAGGCACTCAAATTCGTGCCTTGCGCAGTCTGCAGCCCGACAAGCATCATCGCACCAAATGACGTCTTGAATGCAGTTTCTGAGGCAGCACGAACCTTTGCCGTCCTGTTTTACACGTCGCGAGCAGACGAGGTTGCTGCAAATGAGATCATCCGTCCTTGGTGAATCCACAGCTGGCACGACGGCGTATGGAGCATCCACCAGGAGAACGGTACCTGATGGCACTGGAGCAGACACGCGCAGAAGTCGGCCTTTGCATGGATCATGATCAGGGACTAGGTGAGGGTGGAGGTAAAAGTCGGCATCCTGAGCGTTAGTTTCGTTTGAAGCCTCTGACTTTTTGCTCATCGGCTTAGGTGCGGCCAGCTGGTTCCAGGAATCCATTGTAACAGCGGTGAGTTTGACGGGAGAAAAATGGGAAAAGCGGACGACAGCGGAAGAGGTGGGAATCCCGTCGACCACGTTCTCACGTTGCACCAATAATGTCTTAGGCACCCCCAATAGGGTTAGATGAAGCAATCGCCAACCGCCGTGATGCCGTGGCCGAAGTAACCCGTTCCGGTCTAAGTTCTATTTTCCATCAGTGCTAGAGAGTGTGTTCTCTAACACTGAAATCCAAAGGAGGACTAGTAAATTTTCGATCGGTTGCTGTTTGTTGATAAGGTTAGCTTCATTTGTGGATTCGTGATAGTATCACCATTGTCCGACATCCACAGCAGTGCCAGCCAACCATTTTCGATGATTGGTCATACTCCGTATACCCACTTCTAAAACATCTGGAATCAATAGGAAATACGTCCTCACACTCCTTCGCACTGTATTAATGTACCCTCGCTGCAGCAGAGTCATTTACTCCTTAGTAACCTCTTCACCGCAACAAGCCCGCCCAGTCATGTCAATCCATCAGCATCACGACTAATACCCACACCTTACCTGCAGAATACATGATGGATCACGTATAGACGTGCAGTTCTTTTTATTCTATATAATAGTATGAAATCAGTCCATTTGTCATTATCACGGAGAATTATGAAGAATCACATAAAAATATATTAAAGGGCAGAGGGAGCAGGAGATATTTGAGGAGGCAGACAGACTCGATTCCACAAATTGTTTCTCTTATAAAAGCCAAAATAAATTATTTCCTCCTCGTAAACCTTGCGTAAAGGGCACGCTGTGGCGTAAATCAGCCGTTCTTAAACCCGAATTTCTCCTCGTTGCTCAGGGCTATCTCAAATTTCAGTAACGGCGAGGGAATTAGCTTTCCATTTCTACTAAACTAATCGGCCAACCTTTACAGGCATCGAAACATGTAGAGGGCATAATAGTTCAAATTTCTGAGAAGCTGTATGTTTTACTTAGATGCGTACCCAAGGATTGAATTCGCATCTACTCGAACATCTTGCCCCGCATTCTCTGCCTCGGGAGACAAGCGTATGCCAGCAAGAGCCGGAAACGTCGGTAGCACCGTATCTGCTTCACACGCATCACGGTCCAAGAGGCCAGATTGAATCAAACTTGAAAAGGTCCCGGAATATTTACTACACGAAAGTTTCCCATTGACCAATCAGCACATATCCCTCTTTGGGACAAGTGAAGAAGAAATGCGGAGGCCGCGGGTTCCGGAGACGGGCTTGCGGGTTCCATCTATTTACCCGGGTTCCAGAGTCTAGTAAATTATTCCGCAGTAGTTGGTCTGGCAAAAGATTTCTAATCGGTTTTGCCAGAGATTTCTACGTGATGATCTTATGTTGTGCCTCGGACTTTACCTTCAACGTCCTTGCACTTTAAGACGTCGGGCACGCCAGGTCTGAACTTCGAGTAATTAGTAGGGGCACAATGACAATTTTACACTATGTTAGCTCGATAAAATTAACGAGACAACCTCGCGTTTCTTGTGGATGGAAATCTATTCACCAGCTAGAATAAATATCTAGTAAAATAAGAATTAATGAACTCGATGCTGATGTTCTTGTTTTTTTTTAGCTTTCACAGCTAAATAGATTCTCAGTACAGCACAGCAGAAGCAGGTTTGATAAAATGTTTGCATCTCCAATCATTTTCTTTTATATAGAGCATAGAACTATTGAAATGTCAATGCAGCTAAATATGGATTGGGCACTTCCCATGCGTCCTCTCTGATGTCAACCGAAAAGTATAGGACGACAACGAGCCACGAAAACTTTAGGACACTATTAGCAGTAATTGTCCGAATAACTGTCAGTGTCAGACAAGCCAAGGCCTTAAAAACCGAGGAATATATACTGGCTCGAGGAAGGCTTGTTTGAACTTGTTGGATCTCTTCCGCACAGTGGGCAGCCATGTCTATACTGGGAAAACCGAGTATTGGGGTTGTAAGGCCAACACAAAAGTCAATCAATGCCCGTGCTCAACCAACCCGAAGTTGTTGAGAAACGTCGTGAAGACAAATTTGGTGTCGCATTAGTGTTTGGTCATGACGAGCAGATTGATCATGGCCAAAAGCCAACAATATGAGTCCTAATCCGTGAGATAAGTATTCAAATTCATTTATGGTCAATTGAGAAATACTCGTACCCACAAAACTAGGATGGTGGAGGAACTTGGGCGGTGATATCTCGGCAGTTGAGTGATATTGGACACCCTTAGATGGCCAAATGCTGTTGTTGGTGTGAATCTCACGAATCGGTCGGCATCACGTCTGCGGTACGTCGAGGGGAAAATTTGATAGGACGATAGGAATAAATGGCTCGCGAATTGATGGCCTACGAGGGACATCGACCTATTGGAATGAATATTTTCCGAGTCGTCCGCACCTCTCGATGGGGCTCTCAATCCGGGGTCTCATTTGATTTGTCGAGTTATTCCATGGTCTGGGAGTCTACCCCGATGTCATCGGCCCTTTACTAACCCGATTTACTAGAACTCTACATAACTAGCGGCGTCGCCAATCATCACCCAGATTGTTTCCCAGCATATCATTTCCTCCGAATCAAGATCCTTGCGTCATCCAACCCTTGTCAACATGGCCAGGCAAACAGAAAAGCTGCGAGTCGTGATTGTTGGAGCCGGCTTCTGTGGCTTGACAGCCGCAATTGAATGCCAACTCCGCGGCATGCATCCCATTCTCGTTGAGGCATATGGCGGCGCCAGTTCTCACGGAGATTTGCTGGACTTTGTGCCCAACGCCGGACGCGTCTTTGACTCCTGGGACAACGGGAGAATTGGCGAGGCATTGCTCGCCGCCGGCGTCAATAGGGCAAAGACTCTGGACTTTTACAACCAGGACAATGTGATGCTGAGGAGCGATCCGTGGCCCCAAGGCATCGACCTCAAGGGCACATTCGCCGGCCACAGGGGCGCCATGCACGAAATTGTTTACAACTACGCCAATGAGCTCGGTATTGAGATGCACTTCAATTCAAAAGTCGAGCAGTACGTGGATTCGGACAGCGAACATGGCGTCATCATTGCCGTAACCGGCAAGAAGATTGTCGGCGACGTTGTGCTCGCGTGCGACGGCCCCAAGTCGTTGGCAAGGTCGCAGATGCTCGGACTTCCCGAGAGCAGAGTAAACAGTGGCTATGCGATCTTCAGAGCCTTCTTTGAGCTCACGGAAGATATGCTGAAGGACCCGTTTATGGCTGAGCTCACCAAGAAGGATGAGGACACGACGAGATTCTGGGTTGGCGAAGACATGCACGGTTTCATCTACACTTGGAACCAAGGCCGGTAAGCTGGTATACGTTACTTGTTTCCTACAAATGTTTACTATCTTGTTAGTGATTGCGCCTGGGTTCTCACTCATCTTGATGATGCGGATATCAAGGAGGGTTGGTCATTCCCTGCCAAGAAGGAGGACGTGCGCTTTTATCTGAAGAAGGCCAAGTTCCCTGAGGTTTGGAGCCGAGTGCTGGAGTTGACTCCCGAAGAAAGAATGGTCGATTACGTGAGTTATCCGACCTCTCTATGCCGATCTCTTGTGTATGATAATGACGGGTTGGAAGAAACTGGTTTGGAGAGACCCCCTCGCCACGTGGCTGTCACCTTCAAAGCACTGCGCTGTCATGGGCGATGCGGCTCATTGTCACTTGCCCACCTCTGCCAACGGTGCTTGCCAAGCTGTTGAAGACGCGGCAACAATGGCCATTTGCTTAGAAAAGGTAAGCCACCCGTCATATGATTGCGCCGAATATCTTTATACTGATAATCCCAAAGTCACAAGGCGACGTCCCTCTCGCTCTCCAAGTGTTTGAACGTATTCGCTTCAACCGTTCCCACGTCATCCACCAAGCCTCCATTTCCACGCGCAACATTTACCACAAGAACAACTGGACACCTGAGATGGTTGAGAAGCACCCCGATTCACTCGTCATGCCTCTCCTAGACTGGGTCATGGACTTCGATTGCCAGAAGAATGCAGAGGACAACTACGAAAGGTTGGCTGCCGAGGTCAAGTCTGGAAAGACTGGCACCATCGAGGAGCTTTCCCTTCCGGCGGGCGGAAATTATGATTGTATGAACTTGAAGGAGGAGGATAACAAAGCGGCAGCGTTGCAGAAGACGGTGGCGGCGTGATCTCAAAGTTCCCACGCAATAGTCAAGAAACTGCACCAACCACAGCTATCTACTTGGTTTCAAATGCGATAGATACATAGAATTACTATTTGTTACCATCGAAATTCACGTTCCCCCTCATTGCGGTTGAAGGCAAGGGAGCTATCGGTTATGTAATTGCTCAAGAATAACGAGAATGACTGAAAACTGGTTCTCTGTGCAGGCGCCGGTGCAAAAGACCAAATTGACAGGTTGGTCAGTGTGCGTAGCAACCTATTTTAGCCACACGGTGTGTCGTGACGCCACCCGGCGGCTGACTCCTTGTGATTCGTAAGACCTGAGATTGGTGCGGCATGAATAGTGCCAGGCCGAACGCTATGCATCCCTCAATATGTATCAGCCTTATCCAAGTGTGTAAGCATACGATGGCATGGCTTAATACGCCTGCTTGGCGCCGAACCTGCGAGGTATGGAGTCATTTGATTGCCATCTGGGTAACGCAGTACCTAGTTTACAGGTGATGATGCCCAGTGAGGCCTGACGGTCGGGAGTGCTCTCGATCCTCAGCCGGGACAAAGCGGCAGCTATGGTGCTACGTCTTAAGCGGAGCATTGTCCAAGACAGGCACAGGCCAAGGGATTTCCGACAAGGTAATGGAACAAATCAAGATGGCAGTAAAAGACAGTCGCAGCCCGGTCGGAGGAGGAGTAATCAATCAACAAGTCAATCATTACGATCGGCTCGGTGCAAAGGTGTCGCGTCGGTGTACAATAGTGCCGCTCTCAGGCGCGTGCCGAGTTGGCGGCATGCACTCGATCACCACCTCGAATGGAACAGTCCAACAAGTCGGCAGCAACATATTAAACGGGCCCACGGCGAGATAAAGGAGGGCGGTAGAAGGCAGTATGGTCAACGGGCAACATAGGAGCGACAGGGAAGAAGATGGTAAGGCGTGAATAATCTCAGTAGAGGAGGATGGGTGAAGGGTATAGAGAGGGAATCTGGTTCACCTAAAATCTGCCTGATAATCTTGAAATGTGCTTCAGTTAAGTAACTAGCTTAGATAAATAACACCATACCTGATATAAGTCAGCTTTACTAACTTGAGAAAACTATTAGTATATATACAGCATATCGGTACCTTGTAGGCTTACTCCCTGTAGATACTTATAAGATTATCCAGCAGTTTTATAAGCTTTCGAATTACCACCCAATTTAGGCAAAGTATAGAGTTTAAAAGATTTAACACCCTTATTCTATTATATACAAACTTTTTATTATAGCAACCCAGCCTCTTTACTACTATACTTATAGCTATATATATAATAGTATATATCTACTACTCGTAGTTTCCCCCCTTAGATTCAATAATATATCCGTATTCCAGGAGTAATATTTCCCATAAGAAGCATGCCCGTTCTTCCCGAGTAAATTTATCAGCTAGTATTAAGCCACAGACTAAGTTTTTAACCTCCTCTAGAGTATACAGTATATTACGGTTCTAAATCGCTATATCTTTAGGGATTTTCTGGAATAACAATTTGATATCGCTTACGCAGTCTTTATACAATTTTTCTCGCGCTTTAAAACAGATACGGGGTATAATACCCGGTATGCTGGTATAAGCGCAAACACGCAAATCGCCCTGCCACTAGGTTTTCCTGAGCACCTCCAATACACTATCGATCTCCGCATCGAGAGTACTTCTCCCCGCCTCGAACGCGTCGTACTCGGTAATGTTAAATCCAAGGTCGCTGTGTAACCTGTCGAGCGTGCTCTTGAGCGTTGACTCTTCCCACCCCTGCGAATCCTTCTGTTCTCGAAAGAGCCTAGCATCTTTCTCCAATTGGCGCAATTCTTCGACTTGAGGTTCTTCATAGGGCTTGACACGCAGCAAGTTAACCTCGTTCTGGAAGCCGGGTCCGGAAGGTGGGTGCGCGTTAAGGGTGAGAAGCAATCGGATCAAGATAACCTTGAGGCGTGCCTCTTCAAGTTTCACCTCAGGAAGCCCAAGACCAAGTGGCGTTGATCGGTTTTGCCTCAAAGCGAGCTCCAGTGTTGTTCTCCCGAGTGGATCTTTCGTGTTTGGGTCCGCTCGATGCAGAACAAGAATGTCGAGCAGCTCGAGAGTATCAACTAGGCCTCCCGTAAAGGTGGTCAACAGAGCGCATATCAGCGGGAGGTTGGTCGGATGCCGCTGACCTCTTAGCATAGAAGGAACTGACAGATTCCCACTTTCCGCGCCGCAATTATCGAGGACCACGCCTAGCAGCTGTGGGCTATGGAAACACCACGGGAACTCAGTCCAATGTCGGTCGATTGGCCCCGGAGCAGCCAGCAACTTCCAGGTTTCCCTTTGCGATAGGAACTTTAAGGCTTGCGCAATGCTCTCTTGTTGGTGTTTAGAGAAAGGTCCTAGCCGCGGCAGGAGACATAGCATCATGGCACCGTATGAGAAGTTTGTTTCGTGCCAGTGGGCAAAGCTTCTTTGCCGCCAGGACAGAAGTAGATCAACTACCTCGCTCTTGCCATGAGTCGCAGCTAACCAGACGGGTATCATTTCGATGGCTCGACCCGTCGCGTCGGAGATATGGTAATGCATAGCGGTGTTGTCGTACGTTAATGGTGCGGTGGTCCCCAGAAGCCACTTGAACTCCTCGGCGCAGCTCCGACGTGGCTGCCACCTCTTCGTCGAGGGAGTGGCGGCGGCAAGAAAATGCACCGGCGAAAGCCCAGTGTAACTTTCGCCGGTGTAATCACTTGGACGTTGAATTGATCTCCTCTTCAGTGTTTGTAAAGCAGCCCGGTGTTCGGTGCATGCAGCTCCTTCTCGAAATGCACCTAGGAAAGCTTCGTCCAGTAGCATGTGTTGCTTGACGCAATCCCAGCAGGGGGAACCGCGGTTTGGGAGGACTGGTGTCAGGAGATCAAAATTAGTTCGTAAGAACTCGACTCCCAAGTCAGCCGCTGCCATTTGGTCTCGAACTCTCAGCATCAGCATCATTTCGCGGCAACAGCGGATCCGCTGCTGAGCTGGAGACTCAGACGATCCAGTGGCACCAGTTCTCTGCGTTTCTTCAGCCGAATCCATCCTTTTGTTACAAATTTCAACCATCAATCTCAGACAAGCCTTGTTGCTGTCACTGGCTCGGCCAAGTGCATCGCTGGTTTGTTGGAACGCTTGTACGGCGTGCAGCTTTGCTTTCTCCCAGTTCGACTGCATGCTATACGCCTGGGCTGCTAACTGGTGTGAGGCCGCCTGATGAATGAGCGGCAACGATGTCCACTCCAAGACCTCTTCTAAAATTCCAATTGCCTCGGATTCATTGCCCAACAGCATCAGTGCCCCAGATAGTCGGATTCGTAACTTGAAGTGCCCGGCAAGATCCTCAGATTCGTTTGGGCCCGATCTCTGTATCGCTGGTGAAGGAGTGTGCGTGTACGACTTCAGAAGCCGGACGAGGTATGGGAAGTCTGGTGCTTGTTTCTGATCGAAGCTCTCAGCCCGAGACATCCATCGCTTTGGGTCTGGGCGCCAATTGACAAACCGAGCGCAGTATGAATCCGAGCATTCCCAAGTCGCGGAATAATTCGCAAGCCGCTCTGCTAATAATGGGATCAGGCGCGTCTTACGTTCGATGCCCTCTGTGCCACCAGCGTGCTTGAGCAGTTCTTCCAGATAATAAACCCACCTTCCAAACTTCTTTGAGAGGTGAGGGATTTCCAAGCTTTGGGGATGTTCCTCGACTTCCTCGACTGACATCGAAGTAGAACTGGGATTGCGCCCAGTCACCTTCAGCAGTGGTTTTGGCGTACTTGGCCGTGATTCCGATGTAGACTCGTTGATTAAGCTGTGGCGAGATTCTTCGACCTCGACTAGCAAGGAAGTAGAACTAGGAACGCGTCTAGTCACATTTGGTCGTAATGTTGGCGTATTTGGCTGTGATTCTGACGCAGCCTCGTTGGCCAAGCTCTGGCGAGATTCCTTGACCAGCAAAGAAGCAGAACTGTGATTATATCCAGTCACGTCTGGTGGTGTCTCTGGCGTACTTCGGCGCGATTCTAAAGGACATTCGTTGAGAAACGTGATGTTCATCTCGGGATCGATGTCTTCGCTCCAAACTGCTGATGGCTCGAACGATTTGCTCGTTTCATCTTGGTTTATGAACTCTTCGGTGCTATGCATGATTTTCATCTGTCAGCTACTATGGGAATTAAAGTCGTTGTATCGAACTCACGAAGTAGTACCAGCCTCGGTGGTGGTGAGAGGGAGTTGCATGGAAATCCATGGATGCTCGCGGCACAAGCGCGCTGATGGCCTCTGATGAGGCTCTGGAGACAACAAGTCGGCAAGGAGCTTCTGAGCAACCTTCGAAACTCCTTTGGACTGTAGGCTTTCGACGGGGAATGGAAGTTGCCCAGATAAATAGTTCATGAGATCCGGTATATCGGAGAACGGTATTTTCTTGCTAAGCAGCTTATAAGCTACCGCTCCAAGCGACCACATGTCGGAGAGGAAAGTAGGCGAGCCTCCGTTGCTAGCTTTTAGGAATCCAAGCTGTTCTGGCGCTGCGAATGCGAAGGTTCCTCGTTGTAGGGTGGATGTTGTTGTAGAGTCTTGCCATCTCCGCTTACTGATACCGAAGTCTGCAATCTTAACGAACCAGTTGGGACCTTTGTTGACGACCATGATGTTCTGACTTGAAATCAGTCGACAAGCTTGAATAATAGTCGAAGACATTAGCTTACAACAGGTTTCAGGTCTCGATGAATGAAGCGGTTGTCGTGCATATACTCAAGACCCTCCGCCATCTGCAAGAAGATTACCTGCACTTCACACTCTGGTAGTGGCCGAGAAAGGTAGCGTCCTAGGTCACCAAGACTCAAGTATTCCATTGAGATAAACACAGACACATCATTCTCAAACCACCCATCCGCACAAACAAAACAATGCGAGTACTGCTAAAGTCAGCTAGAAGGTCTAAAGTCTAGGATTAGTTGACTGGCTTTTGGATGGGAGAACTTAAAGATAGCTTCTAGCTCCCTGGTGTAGTCAAGCTTTTCCCACTCCATAGTATATTTCCCGATCTCTTTAACAGCCCTTAGCTTAGACTCATCCTCTTCGCATCTCTCTCTATAGACAGTGCCATAGGAACCGCGACCCAGCGGATTCTCACGGACCCATCGCTCAACAACACGCACCCGTCGCTCGCTCGCTGCGTGCCCGGGTATGTATCGCACATGTTGAGTGTAGGCATTCGAAATCTCGGTGTCGAGCTTGGAATCTAGGACGAGATCGGAGATGTAGCGAGCCTTGACTATCTTCGTCGTTTTTGGACTAGGACTCGGAGGCACCCTCTGTGAAGCGGAGAAACCGTCCATTTCCGAACCGCCATCCGTCAGGGTACGGATAAGTCGAGCTCAGGCGCTTGGTCAATGATACTGGTTTCGCTATGAATCAATCTAGAAGGTCGTCGGCGGAAGGAGAATGGTCAGAGGAAGAACAGGCGCGTTGTTGGAGAATATCTGGAGGTTGATGTGAGGAGAGCCTGGCGTCCCCTTTTATAGCCGGGAGCTCATATTCACAGACGGGCCGAACAACTCTAGACTTATTGTTGTTCTTCAGGAGTGCACCAAGGCTTGGGCAAGAGACCAGGTATGACAGGTTGGAAGGACGAAACTTTTTAGCACAACCCGGCGAGGGTATTGCTTTTGTCAAATCCGGCCTAGCTTTTCTCAAACCAAGGGCTTTGGTTGGGAGAGGATTATTGAGATGGCACGAGTAGGGCGACTCTAGAGGTTCGCAGTAAATAGACTTCCTTGGTGCTCGACCGGGTTAGGTCAATGACTAAGTTACTGCGGCCCAAGGAGAAGCTCCGCCTTACATATATGAGATTATCGAATCTTACCCCCCCCCCCCCCCCCCCCCAGAATGTTAATAAAACGCAAAACTCGGGCGGAAGGGAGGGGATTATCGAATCCATCTCGTTATGCTTTGCTCATAAAGCCGGGAAGAAAGCCAGACATGTATCGAAGTCTAGGCTTAATTATTTGTTTATTGTAGCCGTTATTCTATAGTTTACAAATGTTTTTAGTCGTAATTACTTTATGTCTTAATTAGTATCTTACACGTGGTCTCTAACCGTAGTCCTAGGCCCGGTCTCAATAATTACTGAGACGTCAGATCCCGAGCTCTTGCGGTCCAGCTCCTTCATATGCACCAACTGCGTCTCATCGTCGACATTTCCAAACTCAACAGCATATGTCCTCTGTTGAGTGATTCCCCCCGAGTCCGCCACCACGTGGCCCGGCTCCGCATGGGACGTTGCACTCGTCCCCAACTGCCTGCTCTTGTTGCTCCTGTTGCTCTGCCCAGTGACTCCGCTCCTTCTGTGGCTACCGTAGTTGGCGTAGGACCCCCGTACCGTGCCTAATACCCTGGGGAATAGGCGGGCGATCCCTAGGCGCAGCGATGGCATGCAGGCGCAGATGATGCCCACGTTGATTTCTATGGTGGACCACTTGACAACGTCTATGAACTCCCAAGTAGCGTTTTCGGCATGTGATCCCAATTTTATAACCACTTGAAGACGGAGAGTACTGACGATAGTGACACTGGAGTATCAAAATTAGAAGCTGCGGGAGAGGTACTTGATGTTAGGGGGGAAGAAACGTACAAGGTTCCGACGCAAAACATCATCCCGACTCCCACCTTCTTCTTCCAATCCAGGTTGAGAGTCCTTAGCTGCGATAAGGGAACAGCAAGCAGCCACAAGTCAAGAACAATACAGATCGTTGCGTTTGACCACGCAATGGCGTTAATATCGAGGCAGTGTCCTTGGTGCTCTCCGTCCCACCTTTTCCAGAAGTAGCTAATAGGCTGGCACTGAAAGACGGCCAAGAAGATGAAGAGGATGCCGAAAACACAGTTGAAGGCAAGCGTGCACCAGAGAATTCGGCGGGCGGAGTGTTCGAGGAAGATGCGGAGGTATAAGAAGATCATGGAAAATTTAAGCAGCGTGATCTGGCTGAAATATAATATCGTCATGACGTGGAAGAACATGCCGAAACTCGTAATCTTCTCAGGAGTCAGCGTCCACACATCGCGGCCCAGGCCGTTGGGTACGGCGCCGTGGACGATGATGACCATGCTAGGTATGCCGCACAGCATGGTGAGAAGGATGAACCAGTCATCGAGGCCAAGTCCTAGCTCCCAGTAGAATCTGGAGGCGAAGCGTTGGAGGATGCAAAGCGCGGAGATGACGACGAGAACGTTGGAGAGAACCACGTATTCGCTTGACCTGTCGCGGACGGGAGCGCCGCAGCTTGTCAGGGTGGTATTTTTGGTGACTTGAGAGATGTCAGTAATTATGTTTTTTCAAAGAAGAAGGCAAAGGGGACCTGGTATTCACCCAATAACTCCTTGACTGTGCATGTCTCGGTGACGCAGAGCGTCACCTCCATCTGCAGAGCCTGGTTTGTGCACAAGCACGTTCCGTTTGTGGCAGAGCATGTCGACTTGGGGATGGCGACGGCAAAGCAATTCCTCTGAAAAAGGTCAGTTGAGAATTAAAAGAGTATGGGGGTTTTCTCCGGAATGGCGATGCTATCAACGTACTGCGCAATCGGGTAATTGTAGGAGCGCGGCTGAGGATGACCCCGGACTCGCCAGTCCAGCTGGCAGGGCCGCGAGACTTGCGAGGACGACGCGCTTCCACATGGCCTAGGAAATCGACGGCGGCGATAAAGGGCGACCAGCCCGTGATGCCCTTTTGCTCGACCTATATGGGAGAGAGGGTGTTTTGATTTGGAACAAGGAGCAGTTACTCAACAATCACCACCAAGACATCAGCAGAAGAACTGAATGCGCAACGACGGATGACTCGAGATTTAACAAGGGAAAAGCACCCGCCATTGTGCTTCGTCACGGATCTTCACAACAGACTAAGGGGCTGAGTCACATTAAGGCACCTGGGCGACTGGATTGAGGCCGTTGAGTGGCCTCCCGCAGGCGCTCACGGCGCGAAAGAGGGAGCATCTCCAGCAGTTGATTGGTGCTCGGCGGCCGAGTAGTGGCCAAAAGTTCGGAGAGGGAGTGGAGACGAGACGAGGCGCAGCCCAATACAGATAATCTCCTTGAGCCGGAGCGTGTTATTCTCTGGTCGCCTATCAAATCGCATATCGCAGCGATATCAGGGCATCATATCATCTGCAGGCTACTGGGTCGAAAAAAAAAACACCGCAATGGCTCCCTGCCAAATCGTGCTGATTTTAGGTGGGGTGGGGGGGATTCAAGTGTTTTCTTGAACCGAGTGGCAGGACACACACAAGACACAGTACACCTGAATGGCATAATTGCATTTTTCTTTCATGTCTCCACATGCCGCTTGTGGTTGTCGCGTCGAGGAACCATGTCGCCACAGCAGCATTGGTGCGTGCCGAGTGGTGCTTCCTCCCTGGTCTTGCCGTATAAATCTGGACGATGGGCTTTGGAGATTTCATGTTTTTCACGGTCTTTCTTGGACATCTTGGACAACAGTGTCTCCGTACAGCCGCACGAGCGAGGATTAAGGCTGTTCTCGCTGTGCTGACTTGCGGGAGCGGAGCGAGGTGTTGTATACGCGCTCGATAGCGGTGTTGTGTCCTCGGTAGACATTGGCGTGTTATCCTCGATTGAAATCGGCGTGCTATCGTCTGTTGACGTCAGCGATGTATCCTCCGTTGACAGCGATGCGGGATACACCATCAAGTGAGACGACGCGGGAGAGGGGTTTTCGTAACGAGTACCCTCTGCCAGAATCTGGTGGGGATCAACGAAATCGCGTTCATTGTGAGCAATTTGTGGTGGAGGCGAATCCACAATTATGGAAGAAGGGATGTCGGAATGACAGTCGTGGTCGTAGTTCCTGTCGAAATAGGTTTGGCAATATTCGCAAACTGAACCACCAAAGACACAGGGACCCCAGTGACTTGTATTTAGTTGATGATCATGATCTCGCCGCGAAATGGAGAATGCGGGGAATGATTCCCCGCACTCTTATCCGTGAAGAAAAGAAAGAAAGCGGATAAAATGTGACCGAGCTGGTGATCAACGGTTGAGAGTGCCTCCTCGTGGAGAAGTCTTACTCGGGATGGAAAGTAAAGAAGAACTTCCCTAGAAGGAGCAGGCACTGGCCCTCTTTATGGATGCCAGACCGTCTCTACCTGTGCGGGGCGATTACGTTCCTCAGCTGCCAGTTGTGGCTTGCACACACGTTGAGCCAAGCGCATGGCTTCCAAGGCTCTAGGGCTGTCTCAGCTGCGCTGCTTCCATGCTTTCCTATGGTCCCAACGACATCATTGAGGCCATTATTCGCCAAGGTGTGTGTCCGCGACACCTGACTGGCTTCATGCGTTCGGTGTGTAAGACCGGGTCCGGCCGGATGCGCGAGGCCGCTTGCAGAAAAGCGGGGAATTTACCACCATGCGGCCTGGCCAGGCGAGGCCATTATGCTGATTCGTCCTGGCCTTGTTTCCCCTTTGCATCAGGCAGATTCGGCGATAAACTAAAGCGAGGCAGTGTTACGTTTGAATCGCCACCAACATCGGGCAGACCAGGATCTTAGGTGAGGCCATAATGCTGATTCGCCGAGGCCTTGTCAATCTTGCTATCCCTTTGGCGCGATAGGGGCCTTTTTTATATTGTATCCACAATTGCTGTTCAGCTCGCAGGTCCGCAAACTTGGCAAAGATCTTTGCCATCCTGTTGTACACAAAAATGACCAGTAAGACCAACAATGCCATTCTTCGCATTGCGCAAAGCTGGGATATACCGCCGGATGGTCTCCTCACAGGTCTCCCCTTACTGCCTGCAATATATGTCCAGTACAGAAAAGGCATTGTATGGTGCGCCTAAAGGGATGCTTTGAGTAAGGTACTATCGGACCACAACCCTGGACCTGCAAAAGCAATGATACCCACAGTGACTTCATGCACGAAATTCACCACGCCGAAATCGTCAAAGAATTAAGGATTCAACTGAACTTCTATTGCTATACAAATCAGATAAGGCTCTATGTACATTTAAATTCCCTTTTAGACGTTGGCTGTACACCCCTGCCGCGTGAACCCAGGATTACTCGACGGCACGACACAAGGAATAAACAGAGCCAAGATTCGCAGCCGGTCGGCTTTGAGGAAAGCCACTAGCCAGCCTGTTTGTTCAGGGCAATTTCTCAGTACACCCCCATTTTTGCAATGCCATGGTATTGTCGAACCTGATTGACATGAAGATATGGCCTCACAAAGTTATGAGCCACTCTTCTCTCGACTGTAAATTGACTTCATCGACTTCCTGTGCCTGTACAAGGAACATGTTAGACAGACACACCCTGCAATGACGTGACCATCTTACAGGCCGAAAGGAAAGGGAAAACGCACATCTTCTTGTCTGCCTTGCCAGCCGCATTCGCGACTTTTGTAGCCTCCTCTTTCTCCTTTCCCATCCGCTGGGCCTCTCTCGCCTCCGCGTTGTCACAATAAGTGCAGATCTTATCATATCTCAGATAGGACTTGTTGCACACGGGACAACCCACATAGCACCCGGCTTTGCGACACTTTGGGCCCGGCGGCGTCTTATGTATGGGACAATGGTGCTGGCGATACATCTTCTCCAGCGCCTGAGGCGTGAAGACTTTCTTCAAGTGTCCCGTCGAGGCTTCGTGCGGCTTTGGGGCGTGTTCAGGGAGTGTAGCGGCGTGCCTCCACCGACACCAGAGGTGAGGAGAGTGGGGACGGTAGACCGCGATCGAGAGATCTCAACGGTGGGCTCAAGAATCCTTAGCTGAGAGCTCCGGGAGTGTGTTGAGGGATGCCTTTGACGGTGCCTGTAAGGGTGGCGCGACGATGCCTTTAAGACTACAGTACTGTAAATACGATGCAGAGGCGAAGAATGGCCTCAGCGACAAGTACTAATTTCTTCGCTCCCGGAGCCTGATGACGACTCATCGAGCGTGTGTGCTGCTGCTGGGCAAGGCGTCTCGCGACACAATACGGCTCGCCTACCAAGTACCACAGCTCAGAACTAAACCCCGCCTCAAAGAGTGCCTGTGTAGCGAACGTGCATGGAGGCGAAACCTGCCCCTGCATCTTGCGGGCTGAGATTCGGTAGCCCAGCCATGATTAGCATCCATACACAATCGGTTCAGTGAGGCCATTTCGGCAGTCCAGCCAACGAACCACGCTGCTTGAGATCTGTCAGGTTGTTTCCCCCATGCCCTGACCAACCCTTGGCGCTGAAGTCTAGAGCATCCCTTCGTCATCCCCCTGTACGGTTGTGCTTGGCGAAGCGTAGCAGTGGCGGGATGTGTAGACTCTGTGGAGTGAGGGGCTGAGGAGGACAAGGTGAAGGCTGGCTGCATTTCTGTCATTTACGCGGCTGCATTTCCTCGGCCCCAACCAGAGACTCCAGCGACATCAGCGTATGGCGCCTCTGTGTGTCAGGCTTGATAAACCCCGGGCTGGATTGGTACTCCGCGGAGCCTCTTCCGAGCCGAATTCCTTGGAGCGTATATGGAGGAAACAGGCCCTTAGCAGACTTGATCGATTTGAGGTTGAAATTGACTCTGCTAATCAAGAGAGATCAACCCGAAATCCATGTAGTGACCCTGGGGGTCCCCTGTCTGAAAACTCCACTACTCTGGGGAAGAGCCAGGGCCGGTCGCAAGCGTTTGTGACGCGGAGGATGGTGCAACTTGTTAGCTTATGCCAGCTCCTCTCATTTGTATCGGGATGGGGCATTACGGGCCTTAATCTTGTTAATTGTTATCTTTTTTATCCCTCACCTTCTTGAATGCGTGGTGTGTTGGGGTGGTATGAGGCGGCCTAGCGAGCAGAACAGCAGCCCGTGGCTGAGACAGCGTATCATCAATGACAAGGCGCCCATACGTTACTCGACCTAGTCAAATTAGGTTCGATAGATGTGCATGTGCCAGCAGCAGGCCATTTATTGATGCAGGATCTTCCTCACGGCGGCAAAGCGGGAGACTCACTTGCCTTGCCAATGGTTATCCCAGTGTTTGTATCTGACGTCAACCGGTGAAGAAGCGACCGGGGCCTGAAAACCAGTCCGCATATTAGTAGCCCAGGGTGGTGCATACCTCTAGCGTTCAGTTGCCTCGCTGCTGCCTTCGTTCACCTGCGTGAAAGCTTTGGTGCCCATTGTTAGAAGGCTGCTCAAACGGGTCAAAGCTGTGGCGACGAGACAAGATTGAGCCGCCAATATCGCCAAGTACTGTACCCTTTCAAATTGCGTAAACCTACGCGTGCCGGTGACTTTTAGGTCAATAGGCTTGTCTGGACAGTCATTGTAAAATCCTTCTCTTGGTACTGCATGAATGATCAAAAATAGGTGAAGTCTTTCTCTACATAATCGAGCTATTAATGGATCTTTATGTGCCCCGTTTCCCATACTAGGGGGTCTCCACAGCAAAAGTCGGCATGACGATCCCGACGGCGACCGTCCAATGATTTCCTGACTTCAGATCTCGTAGAGAATTGATGTCAGCAATTTCTTTGACAAAGCTGATCGATGTGTTACGTTACTTGTAACAATTGCATTGTCATTATGGCAAAAGATACAACTAAATCAACACTACTCCCCTTTCCCCTTCGCATCTATCAGTCACCCCCTTGGTACCTTGGTGTTTCTCTATTTATGCCCGCGCGCATCTATTATTTCGCGGTCTCATTGTTTCGCCCCAGGCGGTCTGTCTTATGCTCTGCTATTGCTATTGCTTTAATGTCTGTAATATCTTTAATTCTTTAATTCTTTTTTAAGGAAAATTAAATAAAATTAAATTAGTAATATTAAGTAGTAAATAATATTATTTTATCTTTTTATTTTTAATTTTACTATTAAGTAATTAAATATATATTAAGAGCTATTAGTCATATAATTTAATTAGAAATTATAAAAAAAACTTAATAGTAATATTATTTTTTTTTATTTAAAAAGATTTTTTATTAAAATTATTTTTTTTTTTAAAATTAAATTTTTTAATATAATTTAGCAGCAGGAAGGGACGGAAAACAACACCCAACTTATTAACTTACCCTAGGGGGAATACACAGAGAGTCGTCGCACAGGCATCTTGGCCGGTCAGCCCGAAGCTGCACCAGATTACGCGTATAAGGTCGGATCAGTCTGAGGCTTATGTCTCCTGATAGGGAAGCATCTCATGAGATAGAATATCGGGTCGGTCGCAGGAAAGTTCGCTGGCAAGGCATCAATGGGGCCTGCGGCAGACCGATATCTGAGGGAGGTTGAAGACGGAGGTTGGACAGGGAACGTAGTAACGGCAAGAAGGCCCAAATAAATCTCTCAAAAATGAAGGCAATCAATTAATAGACTCCCTAGCAGCCTCGAGTCCTTCCGGCCTCTCTGACTTCTAGGAAGAATCTCTGATGAAAGGAAAAAAACGATGATTTTTCCCAGTGACGGCACTGACCTCCCCTTTTAACCCCATCTGGGTCACCCTAGAGACATCCCCGCTAGCGACCAGCTAGCCCAAGTGTCCCTAACCGCCTGTCACAGCACGCGCCATTATGATGCAATATAACTACGCATACGACGATTCTACAAGTCACATTTTCGAATACCTACGCAACAAAGTCCCATCCTATCTTAAAAAGAATGGCGTTTTTTACATCTACAAAGGTGATGAAGGATTTATATACAATACCAGCGCAAATCTTCAATGGGGATTGGGATTCCTCATTCAAAATAGAAGATAGATTTACGGTTGGTTTTATGGTATTCTTTTTGCATGGCAAGCAATAGCTAACCTGTTGAAAGTCGTTGTCCCTATCAGCCATATGATTGTTGGCTCCGAATTTCATCCCCTGGCAGTGAAGCTTGCTAATCACTTTCTAATTGTTAATCCCTTGCTAATAGCAAGAGTATTACAGCCTAAAAACTCCCTATTAAAATACTTCATTTGCTCATTCTGGGTAAACTTCTCCCGAAACCAGAACCAACTTCGTGACCTTAACATAGACTAAGATACCTATAACAATCTCTTTTCCCCTAAAGTATTAAATGTCAATATATATATATTTATAAATAGAATATTTCCTAAGATTCGCTAAGTTCTTAAAAATAGAAACTTCTTCTTTAATAATCTTATAGGTTTGCCTCGGGTTACACCTAATTGACCAGCAGATAGAAGAATAATTTACTTACAATTCTATACCCATTGCAACCAAACTTGCAGCAATATTAATAATACTGCAGTTTATATAGGGCAAAGCAAGCTAAGACTTTAGGTCCGTTATATTTTTCACAAAAAGGTCCTATCTTATCCCCACTCAACCTCACCTTACTATTCAATAGCAAATAGGTCACTGCTAGGTTATTGCTATACAGTTCCAATTGGTTATTGGAATCCTGCTATAATTAACTACTTATCCGACCAGTTTCTCAATCTAGCAGAGTAGATAATAGTATCCTTATTTAATTCTTACCATCCGCTTTTATATTCAACAACACAAAGAAGCAAAGGGGCTTCGGATATTAATATGGGGTAAAATCTCAGCTACTACTCCTTTATCCAAACAGTTACCCAACAAATATACAACACTACCAGTTAGAGGCGCTAGCCTGCTATTCGCTTTTGGGGTTGCAATGTGATAAGTCCTATTTTTAATATGTTCTGTCGTTCTCTAATGACTTGTGTGAGGATAAAGAAGTCCCACGACCCAGCAATTCGCACATTCACCATCTATTAAATACGCACCTCGATTACCACCAATTAATAGCAAAGTTAATTTGCTAACTTTAGGTTCCGCAATAAGAACATAGATCAATCAACTATCAAATTCAGCATCACCACAATAGACGGATATCATAATCCATCAGGAGCTGGATATTTGATTTTTAAAATTATAGACAACCGCAAGCCCCATCCCAAGCTATGGTTTGGATCTCCGAGTATTGGGATAACCAAAAACTTCAATTAAGTATCTTATTTAGGAATTCGGCTTAAGTAATTTGATCCGTCGAAAGATGCATTTTTTACAGTCCCTATCCACCGCAAGAACCTGCTAGCGGGATTTGCTAAAGAGGGATTTAAGTCCTTTCTTTCCATTTACAGACTTACTATGACTATAATCCAGCTACTCGAGGGAATTACCTAGATAGGATCTGTTAACACACTCGGACTTCAACGGGAACTCGCTCGGCACTGTAAAGGTAATGGAACTCAAGGTGGATCACCTTGCACAGATTTATCAATAGATCCCTCAACCTGGGAAAACAGTCTTAGCACCACGAATCGCCTCCTAGCAAAGAAACTTCCAACTCATAAAGGATCAATTTGGGATTAATAGAACAATTGTCGGACCAACCATCCCTCCAGACATGACAAATACCTTTTGGTATCCTACGACGCAAGATGCAATAGGCCTCCCAAAGCCCCATTCTTGCGATCTCTGCTTTTACTCCACTACTGACACCAGTAAATTCAAGTGTGAAAGAGACGAGACACGCCCGGATGTTTGGGTCTGCAAATTTTGCTCTTTCCTCAACAGGCCGTGTACGTTCACTCCGCAAAGCATGTCAAGGCAGTACTGGGGAGACACGCCACCACACCTCCAGTACAAAACTAATGCTCCTGGGTGGTCACTGTATCCTACTGGACCTCATCGATTTCTTACATTCCATCATGCAATTCCGCTGATTGAACTCAGCACTCCGGTTCGCGTTCCAGGGCCCTTGGAGGGAAATAATGCGATTGAGTTGGAGGAGTGATTTTAGCTGGGTACGGGTTTTAATTTGGTTGCTTCAAGGGGATTTTTCAATTCCTAAATTTTCCACACTAAACAAACTAGCTATCGTCAATTGCTATCATAAATAACAAAATAGTAGCAGTATGTCGCGGATTTATCGCTGGAGCTCTTTGAGAATATAAAGCTTAATTATTGCTATGCTCTGAGAAAGCTGTGAAAAGCCCGCATTTTTTAAGATTATAAGGGGTACCCCTTAATTTTCTGATTTTATACTAAAAGTTGGAGTTAGATTATTCTAATTATATCTTAGACTAGGTAGTTTTTTTTTTTCTTAGAAAAAAAAAATACCTCTTAAACTTTACTCTAGCTATTAAATATATATTATAGTAAAATTATCTTATATCTCTAGTAATTATATATATATACTATAAAATAATACTTATTAAGTTATTACCTGCCTTACTTATTATCTATATTTTTATTTAATTACTAAAACTTCTCTAGCTTTAATAAGAATATTTATACTTTTATAGATTAATACTATTAAAATATTAATAATTATAATAATATTAAATAAAAGATATAATATAAAAATAATAATTTAAAAAGATAATATTAAAAAAAAATATATATATCTAATTTTAATTAAAATTATAAAAATAATAAAAAATTTAATATTAAATAAAATTATTATTCTTATTAATTATAAAAAAATTAAAATAAATAATATTAATAGATATTAAATTAAATATTTTTAATATTTAAATTTAATATTATATTTTTAAAATATAATAATAATAATTACTATTTTATATAATTTTAAAAAAAGCCTATTATATAAATAATATTAAGATTTATATTATTTGGTTTTTTTTTAGCTTTACTTAATATTATCAAATAAATTAAAGCTATATAGTAATCTCAAATAGTAGAAATAAATAATAAGAGCTACACCCAGCACCAGAAGAAATAGTAGCTAAATAATAAGATTATTACCTACCAGTCTCTGCCTAAAACTTCCATTCAGCCCCTCTAACTTCAACTCTATTATCTGCAGTTAACAATCTTACTATCTGCAGTCAATAACCTTAAGATAGTAACCTTATTTCGAGCAATAGGATATAAGGGAGACTGATATCTCCCATCGTCAAGAAACCAACTTCCCTTCTAACACTCATCCTATCACAACCAATTTTCAATATAGCGAATTTCATTCGAGCAGCTCTTTCCAGGGATAACTCGTTATATCCGCATTATAGATCCCAACTCCAATATGATGTCGGATTCTCTCAGAATCTAGAAGACGAATCGGAAAGATAGAAGCTGAATTTCCTCTCGAGCTTCCTTGAGAAAGAAAATCTATTTGAGCTATCGCCACACCATCCGCAACACCTAAATAGAAGCCAACGGATCGCATTGGCTATTTTTAGATGCCATTTGCTTCTTAATAATAGGACTAGAGTTAATAAGCAAGAAAATCAAACTCTTGTCCGCAGTCTTATCCCATATATCCAAATAGAAATGGGCGCGCTTTACGACTTGGCCAAAAATATCAACAATCCCGATCCAAGGGGTCAAGTCTTCCTCCAGGATATCGCCGGGGCCCAATACGACCCCTGGTTCCAGGAGCTGTTGTGTTGCGTTGGGTTGGTACGGATGCTAGCTACATAGGGTGCTGGCTAGAGGGGGGATTCGAATGACTTAAACGGGTCATCATCGGCGTTGGCTTCGAGACGATCAGGTACGACTTCAGGGCGTTCTGGCAGGGCAACTTACGGATCTCGGGGCGTTAGGTCGGGTCGTGGGAGTTTTCAGTGCAATTATCAAGGTTAGACTGGGTCGAAAAAGTTAGACAGGATTCCGGCAGAGAAGAAAAAAGCAGCTTGAAACCCAAAACTTGAGCCTTGGCAACTGTGACGTGCGCGCAACGAAAATGCAGTAAATTCAAATACTAGGTTCCCTTATCGAGGGTAAGATTTATATTATAAAAATATAATTATATTCTAATTTTATATTTAATTAAAAAATTAAAATAATCTATTTTTAAATATAAATTATATTATTTATTTTCTACTTTATAATTAATTTTTACTTTTTAATTAATTAATTTATTATCTTTTTAATAAAAAAAATAAATAATATAATAATAAATTATAATTATAATTATATTAATAAATAAATACTTAAATACTTAAGATTAAATATTAAAATACCTTAAAAAAATACTAAAAAAATTATTAAATAATTAATTTATATAGAAATCTTAAATTTTAAGACTAACCCCTTATAATTCCAATTTTTATATTAAAGTTATTACCGAGTAAGAGAGTACCATAAAACTAGAGTTTTAGGATACAAGATGAAATTTTTAAATAATACTACAACTTAACGATGTCTGCAGGACAGACTTTAGAATTTTCTATATCTCTAACTTCTGTTCGAGTTCAGCTAGTGGTGGCCTCCCTTTCGTCGTCGATGATTACAGATCGTGCGTTGCCCGGAGCCTCGTTGATGGCGGCGACAGTGGCTTGTTGCATATCAAGATCGCCGATGTTGACAAGTTTTTTGGAGTAGCGCACTTCCATTTGAACCAAAGCGGCAGTGCTTGCTGCCATGATGGCAGGGGCGACGAGAGACCAGCTCTTCATGATGACGGGAGTAGATGATAAGTTTCGTGGGTTCGTCGGAAGAAATAACTAAATAAAGGAAGGAAGGGAAGATGTAGGTGATGAAATAGATGATGAGAAAGAGATGATGAGATGATCGTTTGAAGGTTTACAATCTGATTTATGCACTTTTGGTCCCCAATTCTAACTGGCACCCTCCTCACGATGTCCCGAGTGTCTGCCTCTCTACCGCCAAGCCTCGAGTCTCTCTTAGTATCAGACGTGAAAAACGAAATGCTACCTTTCGGTACAGAGGTTCGGGCCGACCTTCGCGATTTTACAGGAGCCTAGAGCTTAGGGGATCGTTCCCCTTGGCATCAAGTAACGAACCCCCTGAAACAGCGGCCCCTCTGCTGCTGGGGGCAGGCGCCTGACGATAAGGCTGGCAGGACAGGCGCGGGCAAACGGGGCAAGGATGAATTGTAGTGGATGAATTAAGCTTAGTCGCTGAGAGAATTAACACCCTGTGTTCAAAGACAAATCTGTATATAGCTTAACCTTATGTTAGGTTCTAGAATAACCGAGCCGTCTCGGCGTAACCTGATTCTGGATTCGGGGCAACGAAATCATTACCGTGCAACCACATCAGCTGGCGACCATGGATTCACCCAGGCCGTGAGTGTATTGTAGACATGTTTTTAGACAGCTGCTATGAATTGGAGACTTCAGAGCGTAGCACATGGGATGGAAGTACTGATCTCGTCACGATGCCCTCATGTGGTGTTTGCGGCGGCGTTGGACCGCGACACCAGGCTAGCTACGCCCGGTTTCCTGAATATCATCTCTCCACGACCCATTCTTCTGCGTCAAGCATTTATGCTGTCTTCTCCCCTTTTTGATGGCTGTGCGATGCAACGCGATGGGTATGGGTATGACGTGGGGTATATTCCCTCCACACCGCTACCGCCACTCACCTGACAGCCAAGACCTCGACCGTTGGGGTAATAAATACGTCCACAAGTAAGTCTTGAGGACGCACGCATCGTTCGTTGGCTCCGGCGTCTCATCTCAGTCAATCAATCTCGTCTCCGGGTTCCGCAGCACTTGGCGGCAATGCATTGTCTGCCGATCATACATAAACCGTCGTACACGGAAGAAACATGGATAGAGACATGGAAACCTGAGACAAGGGCTTGGTTTGCATGTGTCAGTTTCCCCACCATCCGATTTTACTGTCGGAATATCGAAGATTCATACATGCGTGATTATGTGACCCTGTCACCTGCCCTTACCTACTAGGTCAGCTGTTTGCAACCTACCTCAATTTCTACAGATTCAACAAACACCCCCAGGCCCTATGTTGACCCACAATTAGATTACCCTGCTTAATTATTAACCGCTTCATAACCGAGGTAAGTAAGAAGTAGTCAGGTAATCAACTCAGGACTCAAGGAGCTTCCCGCAGTGTCTCTCTTTCGCCCGTGTCTTTACTTGCCCACACACAGCAGCGCAACTCCAAGACGACACCCGAGTATCCTCTGGGCGAAAAGCCGCAATGCGGTATACTTTACTCCATGATACCTCACTTGAGACGACCTGCGCGCCTGCCGTGACAACACGGCCAGGGACCCAAACCACAATCAGCCCAGGTCGGGGCATCTCGTATCGACGCATGCTCGCCTCCTTCTCGTTTGGATGAACCGAACGCATGGCCGCCGAGGCCCAACACGGCACTGACCGCATTTCGGGTCTCGTGAAAGGGATCATCCACTCCCATGTAACCTGAATCATAGCATCGGCCCGAACATTGTCAAGACGGCTAAATTCCAACGGCCCAGGGTCTAGGATTTCTCCCCCCGTAGCATAGTGCCAGGATCCACAACAGCCTGGAGATCAATCATTGGCTTTCGAGACGTGCATTGCCTCGGGGGAAGTGAAGTCGGGAATGAGGCGGAGAGAAAGCTTTGAAGCAGCCGGCCCGGGCATCCGCAACTAGTGCTACGCCAAAGCTGAAGGACAATTGGAAGGAAACTTCAGCATTCAAATGCTTCTTCATATAAGGGACCTCTCAAACAGCTCGGTCTTGATATGGGGCCTTGGCCGACGTGGTTTACTCGTGAGCAGCGCAACCTTGGCTAGTGCTTTGAGACTGGGCTCGCTCGGTTTCGAGCGATGACGATGCCTTGACTGATGACTATCTTTCTCGCCTACCACAATAGACGTTTGGATGCTTCCTCTTCCCCACCCTAGTTGTCGGGTCCTAACGACCGCAGCCATGCTCCCGCAGTCATGCTCCCGCAGTCATCCTGAATGGGACTGACATAGGCAGGGACTCATGTTACTATAGGCCGCAGTGGACGCCTGCGCCTTATGAGCACCAAAATAATATGTACCGCTCCAACAGTTGGCAGAGAATCTCACCACAGGTTTGACATGCTATGAAGCTTGGATATGTGACATGTCTACGACGACCTCGCCTATTATGGACTTGTGGATCATCATCAACTCCCACCACAACTTTTCATGTTCACATTCATCCAGTCATCTACACCTCCTTTATTTTCCACCACTACATCCATGTTCTTCCATCGCGCCTCTGCTGTCCTTACTTTGTTCAGCTTCACCTAGGCAACCCGTCTGGACTACCCCGTCGTCCAACGCGAGTGCACCGTCTGGGGCTCCATCAACATCCAGTTCAAGACCCATCTTCCATTCCTAACTACACGGCTGAGGTGATGGTGTCCGGCTGAGTTCCCGAGTCATGCTTTAACGGACACCACCTGGAAACTATCCATGGGCGAGGATCGACGTCTATAATGTCACATTCGCGGCTTGAGCCGAGGTCTTTATCGTATGCGGTCACAAGAATACCTATCTCAAGTTTCCAAGGCATCATCTTGCCACTAACACGTGCGGCTAAGGCTTTGCTCGTCACCTAAGTCCTTTAGTTACCCACAACCCCTATGTCCGTCTATTGGTCCGCCCTAGCCCTGCCATCTTAAGGAGCTACCCATGCGGCTCTCTGTTACCCTGCGGGCTCTTTCTGCGCGATGGTGGATCTTGGCATCTACCATATTGGATTGCCTTCTCATGGATCTCAAAGCGTTCGCCCTGCTACTCTACAGCTGCCAGCCGACAAATCAGAAGTTCCAAGCTACTCAAGACAGCCAATTTTCCCTAAATCTGGGCAAATTTCGCCAAATTAACGCCAGATGGCAAGATCTCCGATTGCAAGTTTGTGTGGCGTGACTCAATCAAAGCCTGGCTCTTGTCCACCGAGTACTGCTCCAAAATCGGAGACGCTGCTCACTCCCATTTGCCAACATCGTCACAGGGTGCATGCTAGGCCGTTGAAGACGTTGCCACAATCGCCATCTGTTTGGAAAGAGCCAAAATAGATGTTTCGCTTGCACTCCAGGTCTTTGAACGCATCCGCTTTCACTTATCCACCAGCCATCGATTTCTACACGACATGTCTACCACAACCACGAATGGGCACCAGAGCTTATCAAGCAGGATACCGAGTCATTTAGCATGGCGAGTTTCAATTAGATGACCGATTTTGATTGACAGGAGCAAGCTCGTGAGCACTTTGAACATGAACCGAAGACATTGGAAGCAGGTTGCAAGGCACTGTAGACTTGTTTGTTACCCGCAGGCAGCCCGTTTGAGGAGCAGGTTAGAGTGGAGGAGCTTCGCTTGAAGTTTAAGAAGATTTGAGTCTGGTTTAGTGATAGAATTCCACAGGAAAGGGACAACGATGATGACAAGACGGAAACACGATTGTCATTATGTCGTGTACCAAATGTCTTTCGCTACTTTTAAGGAATTTAGTTCATGTTCTAAAAATCTCAGGTCACTCTCCAGATTGCTTAATTCGGCCAAAGCATTGACGAATTGGCTTCTTCGAGTAATCTACAGCGATCCCTCGAGACTGTTATCAATACCACTCAAGAACGTAGGATTGGAAGTACGCAAATCGATGTGGCTACCCTATAGGCACAAAAGACACATTTTTCCACTAGCCGCAAAGACGGGAGCAAATACTCCGCCATCCTTGGTAACGGAGACTGGAAAATAAATTTCCACTCACTACAGACAATGTGGTACGATAGTTGGTGCTTATTGCGTTATCGGGAGACATGTCACTGAGCACTGATTGCCGGTGAGCCTTGAATACGCAGCCAGTCAGAGCATCATGCAAGCGAAGGATCCATCAAAGGCGAACAAGACTATCGAAACAATAAATAATTCCGTGGTATGATGCCCCTCATTTCCCCGCGTTTAGCACATTGCTTTTCATGCTGTTGGGAGGATCTTCCAGAGTGATCCCATCGCGATGGGATTGATGTGTCCACAGCAACCGAGATGAGGAGCCAGAAAAATCTGCACTCCACTCTGGTTCCGCAAGGACAATAAGTAAAGATGGTGCGCTAATTCCACGCTAGGTCGGCTGATTCCGTGATGCCATTGACGCAATAATGTTACTCCAGGTGAATTGCTCAGAATCTGGCTCTCAAAGTTCAGACTGCGTGCTCTGGGTTGGAGCCGTTGCTTATCTTTGGTGATGCTCAAATCTCTACTCAGGAGCACCAAAGTTCATCGTCCTGCAGCAACATTTCTTCACCCACCAACCAACGCACGGAAGCCACGGAGGGAGCCAGGGGGAATGACGACTCCGGCAGGTGGCGATGTGGATGCTGGAACAAGATAGCGTGGAACTAAATAGGATGTGACCAGGGGATCATCAGCTGCGACCCAACACATCGGGAACAAAATCTCTTTCAGATCATGGCCGAAACGCCGCTTACCCCTTCATCCCCGATATCTCTGCCACCTCAAATGCGACCTGTACCTCGTATCTGTCCAGTTACACTTTTTTGACTTTGAGCCAAGGCAGATCCTCGATTCCGGTGCCTGGGAGTCGGGCAATCTCCTGGCTGTCATGGCTCCTCTTCTCCGGTTTTTGTTACCCAGCCTTCCCTGCACCCATGTGGCCCACTCGGGGATGTCAGAAATGATCAGCGGAGGGAGTCGAGGCAAATCATCGCAGTCAGTTCCCTGTTTGGGCATAGGCAGAAAGGGGAAGGTGGGCCGAACCCTGGCCGCTATCACACGGTTCGATTTCGCCAGGCTGGCCGAGATCCATCCACTTGCATCCACGCTGATCCACGTTGAAGCGCCGTTGCGGTCGGTTGGCGCACACGGATCGCAGGAGATCTGTGTGTTGTGAAATCAGCCACCGGCGTGAACCACATCCCGGCCGGAACAGTGCAGAACCGCCGAGGCTATCTAGAACTAGGCCATTCTAGCGTCCGTCTCATGCGAACCGCATCGTGCTAGCCTCCGGCCGGTACCGTAGAATCTTCGGAGGGCGTTCCAGGGCCCTGGACAACCCTGCACGAGGGCCCTGCGAGGCGGACCTGAGCTCCACGGGATGGAGAGCGATCTCATGGTTGGTGATGGCTTGGCGGGTTCCTGACTCGCTCCTGCGGCAATGGTTGGACAAAGGCGAGCCGTTTAGGTAACGCAGACCCTCAAAACCCACCGGTAGGGGCTCCGATGACGGCCGGAGAGATAATAATGGGATGATTAGCGGCCACTTCACGTGGTATTCGTGGCTGCAGGTTCGCGGAATCGGGATAGCCCCATCGGGCTGCATATCAAGCTTCCTGATTCAGAGCAAATAGGGGTCCCTGGCACAGAGGGCCGCCGCCGGCCTGTCTCATAAAGACGCCTCAGCACATGGGGAGCCGGGTCCCAGAAAATGCGGGCATCCCTACTTCGCCCTCATGTGCAAACTTTGCTTTTCTCCCTGCCTCTTGCTCGGAGTTTGGCCATCGCCCTTACGTCGATAGCTGCCACTCGAGTCTGTCTGCCAACGACATCAAAGCAGCAGCAGCAGCAGCAGCAGCAGCCATGTCGGCCCTTCTCGCCGAGCTGTGGACGTGGTACGGCCTCACCGTGGCCGTCGTCGCCGTGCGAATGTACGTTTTTGGCCTCTTTCCCGACTTGACAGCGTGATCGACAGTGGGCTTACCCGATTTGACGTCCAGGATATCCCGGAGGATGTTGTACGGATCTTTCAAGGGGATGCGGGTCGACGATTACCTCATGCTACTCACTATAGTACGAAGCCTTTAGTCACAGTACCACCACGGCGCATGGCGGTGATGCTGACCTCCATTAGGTAACATATACGATCCTGTTGGTCGTCGTCAAGGTCTTGACCTACACGCCTACGAACCTCATCAACCCCGCCGACGGCATTGTCCTCACTCCCCAGTCCATCAAGGACCGTGAGTATGGGTCCAAGTTGGTCATCGTCACGGAGCAGATGCAGATGATTACCATCTGGGGCGTCAAAGCATGCTTGCTAGTCATGTACAGTCGATTGACGTAAGTTCCCGCATCTCAACTAAATGCGTGATCCTGGTACTAACATCTACGACGATAGTACGAGTCTGAGGCAAAACTGGCTGGTCAAGATTGTTGCAGGATATGTTGTTTTTAGCTTCGTCCTCATGGAGATCTTATTCTTCGCGGCGTGGTGTCGGCCCTTCCACAACTACTGGCAGGTTCCTCCAGACGACAGTAAGTTGACTTTGGTGTTTTGACCAGGCTGCGACTAACATGGATGTGCAGTGAATTGCTCGGCTGAGACGAACCACATGATCACCAACACCGTTATGAACATTTCTACCGATATCATGATCATCGCTCTCCCTATGCCAGTCTTCCTCCAATCCCAATTACCTCTGAAGAGGAAGGTGATTCTTTGCGCCGTCTTTGCGCTGGGTGGATTCTCGGTAAGCTTGCCTCTCAAGTCCTCTCATGGTTTTGAAGCACTCGACTAATCGATTATCAGATTCTGGCCGCTTGCCTCAGCAAGTACTACAGTTTGGGCGATCCCTACGGCAGCGAGTGGATCTACTGGTACATCCGCGAAGTGTCGACCGCCATCATCACCGCCAATCTCCCGCTCACCTGGACGTTTATGCAACGTGTTTTCCGCCTGGGATCCTTCCATGCCAAGTACGGCAAGTCCTCCGGCCAGCGCACCGGCGAGGCCACGAACCGACTACGATCCGCCTACGGAAACCTCAGCAGCCGCACGCGAGAGGAGCCCGCGGCCAGGACTAGGACCGGCCTTAACGACATCGACATCAGCCCGTCGGAAAGCCAGGAGCAGATCAATGGCGGCTACAGCATCCCGCTCAAGATCTACCAGAAGAACGAAGTGCACATCACAAGCGAGCAGATCGACGTCAAGGATGGACGCACGTCACCGAACCATACCGGCACGAACGGTGTGACATTTGCCAGGGACGACGTCTCAACGAGTAGTGAGAACGGGGATAAATCCACCGGCGACCCGGAATTGGGTGTTGTCACTAAGGTTTATCATAGAGTATGAGGCATGTAAAATGGCTGCGGTCGGCTGTATAATATCTTGGACAGCAAGACCTGGATTGGAAGTGGGATACCCTGCGTTAATTAGAGCTAAACCGGAAGTGGCGTTCAGGGAACATGAACATGGACTGAGCTGATGAGCCAGACGTGGCTTTGACATTTAATACAAGTAAATAGTATAATGATATTTTACTCCCCAGTACTTTAATATGTTGACGTAAAAGTTGTCATTTGTGGCCATCAGCAGACACTATATCCGGTGACTGTACAGGCGGATCTTGCCTAGCTTCGACTCCTAGACCTTGTACTCGCATGCTAACGTCTCACCCTACGCTTCCGTCATCTTCAAAGAAAATATTTCTTATCCAAAGGACTTGACTTTCCCTCTTTCTAGTTGCATATGGCTTGAGTCACTTAGTTAACATCATCACCATCATTGGTGACTTGGTTGTAAGGCTGACCGTTAGACCTTCATCAAACTCCAAAAAATTGAGAGCATTACTCACGGGATCTCCATTTCCACATTTAGCAAATGAAATGTAAATAACGAAAACCAAATTGGATGCAACTCACTGTTTCACATATAGCCGCCGAGGGTCATTCGTAAGAGAGCATGGATGTGCACCCTAGTGGTGCAAGGGTCACATGATCTCATTTGCACTACCAGTCGTGCAGATATGGCTGCCCACCAAGGGAAAGGGGGCTTGGGGACGGTAGATAGGGAGATTCCCCGCTGTTTTAAGATAATAAAAAACACGGTCAATTTATCAGTCATAATAACGTTATTAAGGTCGTAACTACCAACAATTCAATCAGTCTAAATTGGCATTATTTGGTCGGACATTTTGCGACTGTCAGACCCCACATACAGGATCACGAGATCCGTCACGTTACCCGGGCTGATTCATGATTCATAGAGTGTCAGACGGAGGGATCGGAAATCCCTCGCCGGTCAAGATGATCAACACACGGTCAATCAATCACTCATAACGACGATATCAAGGTCCCATTTATCGCCAATTCAATCAGGCTATTTTTGCCTTATCCGATCGTACATTTCGTTTCGTTGCGTGAAATGCCACCAGCCCAAACTGTCAGACCCCACTTACGGGATCACGAGATCTGACAGGGGGCTCTGTCATGTGACGAAGGTGAAAAGCGTGAAACAGGTTGGTCAACCTCAGAAAATCAGCGGAATAACACCCGGCCCGGCCCGACTGACAGATGTGCGACAAGCTGTTCAATGTCAACTCCTGGGCCGCCAATTATTCCGCCGATGTACAGGGACGACCAACCTCCAACCTTGGGATGGACCGACTTAATTAGACGGGAGGATTAAAGTGGTCCAACGGGAGCGCATGCCCGGAATCAGATTCACAACGAATGCATTATATTGCGCGTTGAATAAAATCACATTATCATGCAGTTTCTTCATCAAGTATGAGTGTCCTTGTGTGTGTTAATCTCTTGAGTGATTCAGTTGCTGAATTTACGGAATTGTTCACCGTCGCGCTGTTCACGATACTTGTTCCGTTGCTTCAAATTTGCCCCACGTGTTCCGCCAGAACAGCAATTGAACCGCAATTCACGGGCTGTCACACTGAACACCTCACAGCTGATGCGCATGTCGAGCAATGAACAAGTGAAAAGATAGAAATAAAAGATCGTGAAGCAGCAGCACAAACTTATATCAACCACCAAACCCCCTGAGCCATCACCCGATTCTGTAACGCCTCACCAAATCTCACAATCTTCCTAACCTTCTACTGAAACACTGACGAAATCATGGCGGCCGTTACGCATGTCGAAGACGTTGGCGTGGAGATGATGAACCGGGTGATCCTTTCGAACATGAGCGACACCTGTCCCCTCTGCATTGAGGTAGTGCAACAGTTTGTGGTCACTATTGTCGTCGCCCTCGAGCACGGTTTCGACGAAGACGGCGACTGGATCCAGAGAGAACTAGACGGCGATGTCAAAGAGAATCGACGCAAGCGACGCTTGGTGAACATGATGCCTGGCTTCAAGGACGCCAAGGGGCGCGCTGAGTGGGAGGCCGGCCATTTGCGTTCTGAGAAGCGCATTTACTCAGAATTCAAGCTGATGGATTCGAAAACGCGACACGCGGTGCTGTACGCCTTCGGGGCACGTTTTGGTAAGGACAAGGCCACGATTGATGGCTTGCTGGCATCCGAAGCCGTGGAGCTCGGATACGAGCCCCAGTCCGCTCCCTCCCGAGGAGAAATGAGCGCCGCGGGAAGCTCCCGCGTGGCGTAAGAACACGAAAATGAGTCGCCGGGAAGCGAAGAGGTGTGAAATTTGCAGGCGTGGTGTTTCCGTTGCTTCCCGTGGACGTGCCCCTGGATGCGTGGTTCCGCTGTTGCCGTTGGCGCACAATATTCCATGAGCCGTGGCTCACGGTGGTACCAGAGAGATAATAGACTTTGCTAAATAGACACCTTATATACGTGAAAACGCTTCCCGTGCGCACAGCATCCGTCGTAATGAGACGTGGCAGTTACAGTGACCACGTAGTCATTGATGTCTGCCACCGATCAGTCGCCTGAATCCCGATGCCCAGCTTCAAGCCGTCATTGACCTGCCCGTTTCTTCCCGCGATCCAAATGAAATGGCACACTCCGTGAAACGTCCTTCGTACCTCAATAATCTCAATGCACAGTCTGCTCGGTCGGTCCGACTCGGAAATTTTATGCTGGCCAAGGGATTGCCATCTCGATCCGTGCAAGGTCCTGGACACCAGTGCGCTTTTGGGGGGGGGAACAAGCTCGCTGTTGGTACCACCATATTAGCTGCGTGGGTGAAGGATGCCTGAGAGAATGAGGGTATTGTGTTGTAACGAAATCCGACCGTTGTTCCGCTGGCGGTGCAGGACGGACACGCTGCTTGGTGTTGGATGATACCCGTGTTCACTTTTTTTCTTTGGCTTGGCGAACCGCAAAGCAAGACGGCACGGAGGGGGGATTGTGACTCTCCTGCCAGTAGTTTCACCTGGAGTCCGAAGCGTTGTTTTTTTTTGAGAAAAGAAAATGCATCTGGCTTTTGGTAGGCCACCAACGTGCGCTCTCATGGTACGGTGGAGGAGGGACGAAGGAGAAACATGAATAAAAATTGACCTACAAATTCTCAACCAAAACCAGTACCTGAATACACAATAAAAAGACTGAGCATTTGACATGAGAAAATGATTTCGAGGGAACCAAGCTCGACATCCTCGGTTTCGCCCCTCAACCACGCAACGATCCGACGACCACAATCTGCTATTCCTCTTTCTCTCGCGCCTTACCCTTACCCTTTGCCTTCATCTCCTCTTCCTCCTCCTGCTTCTCATCATCCTTCCGCTTCTCTTCCTCCTCCTCCTGCTTCTCTTCTTCCTTCCGCTCCTTCATCTCCCGCTTCCATTCCGCCACCCAATCGACGCAAACTGTCATGGGAAACTGGACAAATTTGGACCTGTAAACATGGGAGATAGGGCGGCATATTACCATGGGCGACACAATGAAGTCCACGGGGCGGCCCGGGGAACCAGACTCATACTGGCGCTCGAGATTCTCTCGCATGTACTGTTCCTCTTGCGCACCCCAACAATCCACATTTGTCATGGTCTGGCCAATCAACCCGTCAATTTCTGGCTCGAATGCGAAGCCTGATGTTTTCATGTTGTCGGGGTGGTGGAAAACAATCCGCACGTCGGACAGGGCGTTGTTGAAGATCTTCTCCATCTTAGCAACTCTCTGACTGATCAGATCTAGGAAAAATTGAGCCCTATCGCTCAACTCGTTAGGGAAGTTTGAGCCAAGCCCTCTGGCGATGATCTTAGAGATGGAAGCAGGTTCAATGCGGTAATCTATGACACGCGGATTGGGTTTGTTGACCATCGCGTCCCGACACATCTTGAAGGAGAGAAACTTCCAAACGTTCCAGTTGGTCATAAGCACCCGTTGGGTTAATGCTTCTGGGTTGCACTCTGTCTAGACATTAGTTATGCATATAGAGGGAAGATGGGGTCATACCGAGCAAGGCATTGTGCATGTCGTTTTGAGCCTTGAAGTAAGGTGATGTCCAATCGATCAAGTCTGGGCACTTCCCCATCAAGACTGACTTGACTAAAATCCGCCAGATCCACGATTTGAAGAGGTAAAGGGAGCCGTTCTGCATTAAACATAACATGGGGGCATCCGGAGCCCAGCTGAGAAATTCCTTTTTGGTGGATTCATCAAGGCTCTCCCACGCAGTGTCCGTGTAGTACGTAGATACGAAATGTTCAATGGTTGAGTCCAGCTCCTGCCAAAAATAGTAGTCGAAATCGTCATCTTGCGTAGGATGTACAACCGTTCTGAGAAAGAAGTAGGAGTGAGGTTGGGCGCGAGGCTTGGAGGATTTGGCCGTGTTCAATTGTGGTGCTTTAGGGAGCGACGATGCCGGGAGAGGAGGCGTAGGGATCGGCGGCGGTTGTTCGGCCTGAAATGGTGGTTGTTAGATCCATATAATGACTGTTTTAAAACTGGATCAAAATCACTTACGGGTTTGGAAGGAAGGGTCTGATCCGAATTCGCCGGGGTCGATTTCGAACCTGGGTCCATCGCAGAAGTTGTAAGAGGGCTGGCGTTTGAGTCTTGTTGGGTAGATGAAAATCGCCGCCGCTTCTGGGGAGAACGGGACACTGTGCTTTTGTCGTCCAGGAGCGCAGCGGGCTGGGTGTGATCGCCAGTACTTCGCCCGGCCTCGCTCATGTTGACGAGGCTCGCACGGTACAGACAAGGAAGCCCAATGTATGGGAAGACAGTGTTGTTCCAAAGGGCTCGGGAACAGTATCTCAACGTGCTGAGACGTGCCTTTGCGACAAGTGGCGAAAGATGCCAAATTCCATGCGTGAAGGTGATGGCAGGTTGGGAAAAGAGACCTACTTAACATCGGGGGGGAATCTTCTGGCCTTCATCGGCTGTCCACCCACTCGGCCAGGCGCTACAGAAGCCGGGCGTATTGCGTTACACAAAGACCTGGTCGCAAATATGGGGGCTGGGAGGATCGATTCCAGACAAGCGGGCGCACCGCTCGTCAGAGGCTCCGTGACGTGGACAAATAGAAAGGGACTCACACCCTCAAGCACAATAGCTCAATACACGCCTCCATCCCCAGCGCGGCTGGAGCGTGCACTTCCCTTTTGGACTAGTACGCGGCTGTGACACAGTGGGCGTGGATACGTGTTTGAAGGAGCTTTGCTGCCATCAAACTGGCGCGCGTGCGGATTTGCAGAGAATACATGAGGGGGGTTCTGATAATGATGGGTTCCACCGCCGCTGCTGTCGTCATACACTTGGTGAATTCATCACGTTATCTCCTCTTTCCCTCTCTCTCCTCTACCTCATCTTTCTAGAGAGGGCGGGAGTTTCTAAGTGGCAAATCCTACCAGTCCTGCCGCCAAGCACAAAGAAATACCCCCTTGCACCAATAGCTCCACGCCACAGCCAGCCCAAAGGCAACCTTCCGTTCAGCCCCTCACCCAAATCGGGTCAGCTGCAAAATGCCGGTTTCAGAGCTCAGGCTTGAGGCATCTTCACTCCGGGCATTGGCAGCCGCCCGCTCGGTAATTGAAACGACGAGTAGACCGCTTCCGTTGACCGCCAGCAGAGCTAAGTAGACACACCTGCACATGACCGAATACGAGCTTCTTGGCAATAATCACCGTGTTGTACTGCCACGCAGTCACCGTCGGCCAAACACATGCTAAGAGAGTCTCGTTCCGACGGAGAGCCCCATCGGCGTATCGTAGTGCTCATTGATGTACTCAAGTCTAACCCCTTCATCATGGCTGGTACGTTATTAACGCAAGTAGTGTCACTCGGTAATACTATCACTGAGCCGCCCCTGAAATCTACATGGGGAGCGGGCGACGGCTCCTGGTCTGAAATTACTGACGGGAATCCACCACTGCCCGACAACACATGCCAACAGAAAGGTAAACACCCGCCACTGATTATGTGGTAGATCATCGGGTGAGGGCGGCTTCCAGGACATGCATTGGAATCGCGCAGACAAGTTGACGGAGATGCCCGTGACTGCCACGTACTCTTAGAAGCTTCCAGCTTACCTGCTGGATGCCGAGTTGAATTCAGCTCCCACCCCAGCACGTTGCATGGGAATCATGTAGAGAGCCTAAGGAGGCTGGGTCTAGCCAATCATCAGTCTCTAAGCTTCCGACTCACTTGGCTAGTGCCCCCAGAGGGCTTAGGATCCTGCGATGGATTATTGGTTGAGATCAGCTTTTGAGGAGGCGGACTGCATTGCTCCTGAGCAAACAGCTGGAGGGACGCTGCTTGAGGTCGGATGCCTGAGGCAGAGGGTACCGAGTTGATCTGATCCAGTTGAGGTTTAAATACAGTCGTCGTCCCCGACAACTTTCTCTTTCCTTTTCTCTTCACCTTTTCTCATACCCTCGACCCTTCCTCCTCTTGTTGAACTATCTTTTTCTGCTTCATGAAACCCATCCTTCCACTTCCTCCTCTTGTTGACTAGCACTCGCCCCCCACTCGTTCAATCGCCCTTCCCCTTCACGAAACCGACCCTTCCCCTTTCCAACCCGCTCTTTTCTCTCTTACCATGTCTCAGTACTCTTCAAACACTTCGTCCCCACCCGTGATCTACGTTGGGTTGGATTTTGGTACAACGTAAGTACTTATCTCGCCCCCAGAGCTCCCAGAGTTCCCAGTGTCCTGCTTGGGGATTGATGTTCAGACATTTACTAACCTTTGAACTACCAGCCACTCGGCCATCGCGTACCACATCGCCAAGGAAGGTGACCCCGAGCACATTTCCTTCCTCAGGGAGGCATGTTCGGCTGCGACAGTCAGACGAGGGTTTCATAAAATCCCTAGCACTTTGTGGTTAGATGATGACAAGAATGCCATCGATTGGGGTACTTCCTGGCCCCCCAGAGCCGGATGTCGTAAGCTTGAATGGTTTAAGCTTATGGTCTTGTGGAGGGACCAATTAGGCGAGTTGAAAACCTCGAAGAAGTTCACTGAAACGCAAAACAACCTCGACAAATTGGGTCTGGGCGTCCTGGACGGTATCTCATTGTACCTATCGCGACTGTGGGGTCAATTCCGGGAACAGGTCGAGGCTGAACTCAGTAACTGCAGCATTGACGACTGTTCTATTCACCTGACCTTGACGAAACCGGCCAACTGGCCGGAAGACGCCGTCATCCGCCTTCAGAAAGCCGTGCGAGAGGCCGGAATTCGCTACGATGTGAAAACTCTGGATGAGGCAGAGGCCACCGGAGTCACCCTTCTGATGGATCAGGCCAGAAGATTGGAGGTAAATGTATGGAATTACCTAGAGGCTCCGGCTTCAACTATCCCCTCCCCCCCTGACCATTGACTTTCCTGTTCAAGACCTCCTTGATAGGGTGTTTCTACATCCCTGCAAGTACCGTGGCTAACATATGGTAGGTCCAAGACACCTTCATCATCTGTGATTGCGGAGGTGGAACCACTGTAAGCTTTTGAACCACTTCTGAATGCTGTTGTTTTGCGAGCTGACCTATATCTCAAAAGGACTCCATCGGTTATCAAGTTTCCAATTCGTCCCCGTTGGAACTTTCGGAGTGCGTACCAAGCGAGTGCATTTTGGCGGGAGCAGTTGTGTTGGACGACGCGTTCAAAGACATGTTTATGTCAAAGCTTGAAGCAATGTGTCCAGCGCCAACCTTCAAAAATATCAAGCCTCGTGATATCGATGATTTAATCGTCAGATATTGGGATTGCGACGCGAAACTGCACTTTGGTAGTTCGGGACAGGGTTTGACGATCAACCTGCCTGTCGGGTTCGTCGGGGCTAAAGAGAGGCGGGCCCGCCAAAAAGACGCGACCAACACCAAGTTGATCATCACGCAGTATGAACCCTCCCACCTCAAGGCCTATTATTTCTGCTAACGGTTCAAAAGCGAGGAGCTAGTCTCCATCTTTGACCCCGTGCTCGACAAAATCGTGTCATTGATTCAAAGTCAAATTGGCGCCGTCATGGCCGCAACAGACCAAAAGCCGAAGGTAGGTTCGCATTTGCAGTTTGACTAGTTTACCATACACTAACTGTAGAACCACTCGCAGGCAGTAGTCCTCGCCGGCGGTTTTGGCCGCAACCATTATGTCCAATCCGTCGTCCAGCGCAGAATTGAGGAGGGATCGGGTGGCGCCATCCGAGTGATTTCGTACGATGATACGACTGGGTGAGTGTACCTCTCTGTTCGGCACTTACAATCCATGGCTAATTTCCTCAAGATGGGCCTCAGTCGCTGTTGGCGGTGTTGCTCATGCTCGGCTGATGAACCCAGGGCAGAACCCAGGGCAGAACCCAGAGCAGAACCCGCCCTCCATGGCCATCGTGCAAAGTCGTCTCTCAAGACAGAAAATTGGCTTTCGATCGGCCAATCGAGTACTACAATGGATTGTAGAGCCGGTAAAGCACAATCTGAGTCCCAAGTCCAATTCATAAAGCTAATGCATTTTGTGTATCAGGGGACGAGTCTGCCCGCCAGAGCACCGAACAAGTACGCCGTCGACCTGCAGGCCTTTGGAGTCATGAATACTCGTGGATCTACATATCTCACCTTAGATCTATGTGCTAGGTCTGGCATGGATCCGGTTCGCAGGATATGCCAGCTTCAATGGCTCGCGAAAGCAGGATCGCCGGGCAGTGCTTGCTTCGAGCTGGGGCTGACGTACGATGGGACAACCCCGTCGTTCACCGTCTTTCTCGACGGTCATCTCCAGGGCTCCGGAGAAGTGAAGTTTGTGTTCGACTAGGCCGAACCTAACGCGATTTCGAAGGAGCAATGGACTACCGTCTCAGTTGAGGCCTGGGTTCGCAGGAAAGGACCATGTTTTGCTTGATTTTTGGTGTATCTCAAACGGCAGCTCAGATAGTCAACCTCATGGGTAGCTCAAAAAAAAAATGTTTTGCTGTTCATTCCCTTTGCAATGGCTATGATGTGGGATTGTCCCGAGCTAGATCATGTCGTGTTACACTTTCGTCGTCCAAATACTCAGACATGATGACATCAATAAGCGCTGTTGCATTGACGAGTAAGGCTTGTAGGAGAACTTTTGGCATCGGATAGCTAGTGAGGATGAGAGGGGTTAGTGACTACTGGGAATCCGCGCTGTTGTATGTTTTCTTGCTCACCGTTCTTTTTGTTTCATTTGATAGTAGTCACTTTATTTTTGCTCCCGTAGACATGATTCAGCCAATGCGTAGCAAAATACTATGCTCATCACAGTGTGGTCTCCACGCATCAGATATTGCCAAGTGAAGCTCAACACAATGCGCGATTCTCGAGTCGGTTAAATTCACATCAATTAAATTATTAATTATATCATCGTAATGCTAATAACTGAATACCCGTTCGTATCATCATGAAATGCACAGTAGAGAGCCAATAGGCATCCATACTGAAAACATAACCAATCTCACTTCGACTGAACACTGGTGGTGTAGACTTGTGATCCTCCGCAATACTTGACCCAGCCATCTAGCGCCAACTTCTTGATAACAGTGGTGAATCCGTAAGTGCTTGATCCTTTGGTCGCGCTAGTGCAGATACTGTTGGTTGACGCAGTGGACATTGAATTGGGCGAGTCGGGATATTCGATGTGGAAGACAGGCTTCCCAGCCTTGATATAAGGCGCGTAGGCGTCGCATTCGTCGTATTCAACGCATTGCTCGACAGTGACAAAGTCGACAGAGCCTATAACTTGCGCAACAATCTCGGGACTATTTTTGCAACCAATGGACATGTTGTAAGCGGCCGCGGTCTTGGCGAGGAATTTGATGTAGTTGATAGAATCGGCTTTCGACAGGTTCATACCAGTGTCATTTCCCTTCAAATGATGAGTTAGTACGAATAATTGAGCAGAAATTCCAAAGGAGCAACTTACATAGCCGTCAAGGTTGTCGGGATCAATGGCATTGCACCCCTTACTGGCTGCGTAAGCAATGCGTTTCTTCATGATGTTGCGCACGTTGGTGCTGCGAGTGTTGAGCCAGCGCTCATCATCCCATCCATCCATGTCGTTTCCAAGATCAGAGTCGTTGAACTGGTCGGCGTCGTCTCGCCAGTCCTCCCAAGATCCGGCACTGAAGTAGCAAATGACCTTCTTGCCGGCGTCCTGCAAAGCCTTGAAAGTGGAGGCGTCATTGTCGTACATGTCCAGGGTCCAAACTTTGACATTGGGCGAGAGCGTCTTCTTGTTGACCTTGATGGGGTCTTGGAGCACAATTTGCCACGTGTCGCCGACACTTGGCTTCCACGTGGCTCGTGGCTTGGTAGTCTTGGGTTTGGCTGCAGCTCTTCGAGGTCGTCCGGGTCCCAACGGACTAGCAGCGACGATCTGGAGTCCGATGAGGGCCAATGCCTTCCAGGACAGAAAAGACTTTGTTGAAGGCATATTTTCGTGATTACTATCACAAATCCTGGAATGCTGAAAATTCCTGGTCCTCGTGGAGCTCGAGGTACTTTGAGAGGCAACCGTGGTGAAGGTTGGAAGTGATGCCTTAGAACCGTGAAGTAGGCCCAAGTCAAGGGGTTGAGAGAGGATTGAAGATTGAGAGGGAGTTGGAACAGTGCTGTCTGAGCCTGGAGGACGGAATTTGGAGTTCTGCGACGCGTCTGTATTTATAATAAAGGGATCGAGATGTCTTGTCTTTGCATGTCCGATGAACACGACATTGTCTGAGACAAGCTGTGATGGTCTCTCCCTTGGATCGGATCCCCAACACGGCGGTAATAAGCCGCGCCAAATTAATATATGACTATGGCACCATGCTTCAACGATCTAACATTGAGTTTGGAAACAGCGCAAACCTAACGTGGCCAACGCCCAACTGCCAAGATCCGATGCTCGATGCCGACCTGTAACTGTAAACTCAATGCAGAGCGATAGAGCACACGGCTGTCAACCGATTTGACGCCATCCGAGGGGGGTCTTCATCTAGTCCGGATCGGGCGCTTCATCCGCCATGGACCGACGGGCGTTGGAAGTTGATGACGGGTACGCGGCTACCCTTTTCCTAACTGAGGCCTAGATTGAAATGTTATTTCTAACCTTACCGGCCTGGACATGCATCCGAGCCGCAAATACGCTTTCCAGCCCACATTCCAGCACTCATTTTCCACTACACATTCCAGCACCTGTGTCATATCACATTCCAGCGCCCCAGTCGACCCATCGCGTCTCTCAACCGAGGCCTGGCTGGTGGAACCTTAAAGCGCTCCATCCCTAGACAGCTAAACACTGTTCGCCAGCTATTTCCCTTTCTGTCTAAAGGCGGCTAGCTACTGGCTCACGTTGCTGGCCCGGGTCATAATGGTCCTAATTAAGATTTACCCGTCTGTTGAAGTTTAGCAGGTATGGCTTGGCAAAGCCGAGGAACGGACCAGGCTTTGCGCAACGACGAAAAGCATCCGACACAGCAGTGTGATATGAGTTAGTTTGTTGGGTTGGAAGGTGAGCCCATACTGGCCCTCAGTCACTTTTCCAAGCTTCACGAAGCATGTTCTGGAGCCACCACGGGGTATGATTGCCTTGAACAATTTCTGAGAATCACATCTCATCTTACTCGAAACCGCTTTGTAAGAATTAAACCCTCTTCCGCCTCCTGTGGAAGCGCCTGGTGTTGCGGTCGACATCATCTCTGTCTTGATCTATTGGTCAAGGTGGCTAGGTGGTGCGCTCAATACGCTCCGGATGTGAAGAATACCAAGCACGACAATGCTCGATTACTACAGGAAGTGATCCGACTGAATGTTGCGTCACAGAATGCTCGAGGGATCATCGATCAGAAGTGGTTTTGGCACCCACGATTTCTCATAAGCAGAATCGATCCGATTTATTAATCCGCGAAGACAAATGTTACGTAACATTCATCTCGATAAATATGCCACTTCCAGCGCCCCCTGTTGGAGAGCGCATTCCAGTTTTTGTCCGATCAGTTAACGTGACCGAATGCGACAACAATTGTGGTAAGAATATGCCGCCAAGCTCTGTCTTAGTTTTGGGCCTCAGTGCCGGTTGCCTCTACGGCCAGCAATTTTATTATTTCTCCCCAATTTCTAATATTATTTATTGACAAGAATATGGTCACACATTCAACGTTACCTGGGACTCGACAGAGGTCGGCTCATGGTGAAGCAGGAGGCCGCAAACCTTGACCCGGCAGTTCGACCATCACAGACCACCTGGTCGAGAATGTCACTGTTGTGTACGACGCTTTGGATCATGCACTTGTCTTGAACTCGAATGAGCGGATCATGGCAGTGGTTTTTGCTCAAGTCAACCGACAGGGTTGGGTCCTCCAAGAACGGCAGATATCACCAAGGATACTGTACCTGGTGGGGAATGATCAACTCACTGGGAATGCGAGGGGTCGACGACTGGTGAAGCTGCACCCAAAGGCTGTCCAAACTGGACGTGGGCCTTCCCAAGAAAGCCGCTTAATGTCTCCGTCATTATACACAAAATGACTCGGCGTTGGTGAGAGACAGGCTGATCGCCTTCTCAGAATTGCGAGGCTTATCGCCGCAAGGACTGATCAGGACTGCCTTGCAAGACTTGAGACGCAGCGTTTGCAAGGTGAACTGTGAACTTGCACAAGTGATAGGTGGCGAAGTGGGTGCGTTCTTGCGTCCCTCACTCTAAGGGCGGAGACAAACCAGGTCCTAATGGCTTCTGAGTGAAAGTCGTTTCTTCCTCCCCGGTGCTACTGTCACTGCAATTAGCTAGAGCAACGGGTTTGGGTCGGAATGACTCCTTATGCTGGCTGTTGACTATAGCAGAGTGACTGGGGGTGACGATAAGTGTGAGCGTGGGGCGGATTAGTGATTAGGCTGAGGGATGTGGCCTGAGAAGGGTGTTTGGGGGCTTTTCATCGGATTCTCAAATCTGCTACCTGCATTAGAGTACTAAGCACACTGCTCGAGCATGCTCCGCGGCCAAAGTATGGAGTCGAGGCTGGTGACGAGACGGTGTTTGAGACGTGGCTCCTCGAGCATGCAAGCCATTAGAAGGGTTGGATGGCTAGGGAAGCAACGCGGTGAAAATGACTGATGCTATGATCAAGGCGATTGCGCGGTAATTCGACTCGTGTAGGACTTCAATATGTTGTGTCTGGGGGAAACATGTCTCGCCAGGTAAGAGATTGAGTTTCTGTCGTGGACAGTGGGAGCAGGGAAGCTAGTGTGCAAGAGAAAAGATAGGGAGGTTGATGCACTCTGGGGTGTGGATGAGCTGATCGCCTTGAATAGTCGTGTCTTTGGGACAGTGGGATCTTAAGTACTCTTCTGACACGACTTAGTACGACTGGCTTCAGTGACACATGATAGAACCATCAAGATATAGGATATAAATAGCGGCACATGTCTATAGATGTTTGAGGGCCATAGCAAGAGATTCAGCACTATACACTTCTCACAGGACTCTACACGGCTGGCGTTGGCGTCGCACGACAACATAGCCAAGATCTGGGATCCAAGCATCGGAGTGTACCTGTGGACGCTCAATACTGGCAAGTTTGTAATAGAGATGTCTTTAAACTCCACTGGTTCGTATCTCGATATTGAAACCGGGTCATTTGCTAGAGGCTCAGCGTCGTGATAATGTCGCCTCTGGCTTACTCGGTTATCCCCGGGCGCCCGCATACATGAACTGACCTCACTCCGCCTCCATCAACTTGTACTCTCGAGCTTCACAGAATGCGGAGACCCTTCACCACTCGCGTACGGGGAGTTCTCACTGCCCTGTTCTGCTTGCGAGCAGACACCATTCCTTTGTAACGATTCCTTGCTGGGAGGCATTCTTAGTTTCGCCGGCTCTACCAAGATGGCTCGCCGAATGGCCGTTGTTGATGACTGTCTACACGTCTTCGTTGTGTGTTTGATCACTTGGAGGTGGGGCTGAGGATGGTGCGAGGAGGTAGTTTCACGCATTGCTCGGTGCTACTGGAGACACTTCATTCGAGATGCCTCAACGATGAGCTGGAGATGTAGATCCGTTGCAGAAATTGGAGCAGCAGCAGTAGCGAAGCATAGGACAGACCTTCTGGGGCGAAATAACAAGACCGTGAAATGAAGGATACGCAGGGACAAATGGAGAAACGACAAGGCCCAAGGGAGGGTGACTGACGGAGCCGGGAAGGAGGAAATTAGGAGTGGGGAGTTCGAGAGTACGAGTTGGTGGAGGTGGAGGGAGGTCGGTTTATTTATGCTGGCATCCAGGGATGGCGAAGCAAAATAAATGGTGGGCTTATTATGTCGAACTGACCTCAGTTGGAGTAACAAAGAAATGAGGGCATATTACGGCAGACTTGTCTGCATTTTGTACTGTGGTACTGTGCACTATAATGCAGTGGAATAAAAGAGACCAACTAACCTGCACCAAGTTTCACTTGCATGAGGAAACGCAATCACATCTAAGACCAACGAATGCTGGGTAAAAATATTTTGGATTTAAATTTGAAAGCGCTGCAAACTACTATTGGGTATATAATCTAGACTTCAATCTTCGACGTGTCGTGTTCATCACCAAAGGCCTCGATCTTGTAAGAGCTGAACTTGCGAGCCGGCACCTTGTTGGCAAACAGCAAGTCGATCTCTTCGAAAGTGCGGTCCTTTGTTTCCGGGAGCCTGAAGAAGGCCCAGATGAACATGAGGAAGGTTGTGCTTCCCCAGACGAAACCGGTGTACCCCTTCAGGTTCCACTTGGTTGGGTTCATAAAGTAAGGCTGGAGGACGGACGCGATAATTCCAGCAATGGAATATGCGTTGCGCGCCAAGCAGATGGTCTTTTGGCGCAGTCTCGTTGAGCCGATCTCAGCAGGAAGAGCCCATCCCAACTGGCCGGCAGAAAGCTGGAACACAAAGGTCCAAACCAACGTCAGGACTGCTTGAGCCATGCCGACCTTGTCGTCTGAAGTGCGCGCGTTGAGACCGCCAATGAGGAACAACACAACAAACATGGCGGCCATGCCCCAGAGATAGGCGGTGCGGCGGCCCACGTATGGCATGACAAGAAGCCAGGACAGAATAGTTGCGAAGAGTGCCATGGCGTTTCCACCAACGTTGAGTCGGTATGTTTGGTTCGTGTCCAGACCGACTTGCTGGAAAAAGTAGGTCGAGTTGTAGGCGAAGTAAAGACCCGACAAGATCTGGCCCGCGAAGACAACACAAGCGATCTCGGTTCGACGAAGCTCAAAGCCTTTGAAGCAGTCCCAGTACGAGGTACCAACCTCCAGCTCTTGCTCGAGGTTGTTGGTGTACACAATCAGACCCAGGGTCTGTTGGACTTCTGCCTCAGTAGCCTGCGGCCGGAGTCTCTTCAGTGACTTCTCGGCTTCGTCATGGCGGCCAAGACGCACGAGATGCCAGGGCGTGTCGGGGGCAAACCAAAGCACGGGGATAAGCACGGCGGGCCAGAACCACTGGATGGCAAAGGGGACTCGGTACGACCACTCGGTGGTGTTGTTGACCAGGCCCGCCATGATGCCGGCGGAGATGAGCTGGCCGATGATAAAGCACATGTTGGTCCAGCTGGTGAGGTAAATTCGCAGCGACATGGGCAGCACCTCGGAGGCGTAGGCTGGGGCGGTGGTGGCGAAGATGCCCCAGGGAACACCGCAGAAGATCTCGCCAACGACGAGGACCTTGATGTTGGGTGCAAAGAAGACGATGAAGATGAAGGCGCTCAGCGAGATCAAGGAGCCGAGCAGCGTGCGGACATGACCGAATTTCGCAACCAGGTAGCCGTTGAGCAACGTGCCGAAGAATCCTCCGACGGCCGACGAATTGCTCAAGCCAGCCTGCCAAGCCGCCGTGAGCTGATAATTATCCGTCGCGGCGTTGTAGTGGCCGTACTTCTTGGCGAAGCCGGGGTAGGCGTAGAAGTTGCCCAGCAGGTTCGTGTCGTAGCCTTCCATGACGACGCACATGGAGACGGCGAGGCACCAGAAGACGGTCCGGGGGTACTTGCGAATGGCCTCGAGGGGCGGCAGGTTGTGTTCATCCTCGGAGCCCTGTCTGGCCTGTTCGGTGGTGGTTGGGTTCTTGAGGTCGGGCTCGAGGTGGTGGCCCTCGGCGTGGACGGTGGGGGAGATGGATTTTTCCATGTTGAGCTTCAAAGGTGAGGGCTTAGCAATGCATAGATGCCAAGAGATGAAGATGGCTAGTGAAGATTACTAGTGAATATTCCCAGTGAAGATTCCCAGTGAAGAAGAAGCCGCCAGTGCTCTGGAAATATCAGATTCGTTCCTCGGTCATGTCTGGCCCCAGGCGTTATATAGACGTTCGGGGTGTCCTCAAAAGGCCAATCCCCGTGGGGTGGCGTGACACCAAAGCTCTCTGGGGAAGTGCGGGGTCGAACAAGAGTCTACGACTGGCTGGTCAAGTCCGAATATTACTCCTTTGGGCTGGACCCGATATTGCCAGGGGTGGTGAAGTGCCTCCGAGGTCTGCGCCGACGGTCACGGGGGACGCTGGAATCACACTCTGCTGGGGAGTATCACTGCGGTATGAGGTACAGGTGCTCTCTCTTTTACTAAATACTGCGGCACAGGATTAAATACTGCGGCACAGGTGTTGCCTCGGTGTGGAACCCGGTGGAATCCCCTGTGTCAAGAGCCGAGTTGCTCCGTCGTACGCCGGCATTTACTCCGTACGGCAGAGTGAATCCTACGGAGTACAGAGATGACATATTTAAGTCACATCATGTCCTGGGACGGCGACAATCAAGCCACTCGATTACACACAGAGGCGAGGTGCTCCGAGACCGCAACAGCCAAGGGCGCCCGCCATGGTGCGCAATTTTCCAACAATGGATCCCGGGGAACAATCGTCGGCCATGGCCTTTAGTGCCTCACATTTGAGGTGTCTAGTGAGACGCTTGAGCCCCGGTTTTTGTTAATGCGGCGGAAATGCCGTCCGGCTTGTCATGGCGCGGAACAAACTCTCGCGATGCATCTCATAGCTTCATCCCTCTGCTTCAGTCCGCCACGATGACCACCTTGCTTACTGTATCCGGCCTCAAACGCAACCTCACATTGAACTAGTTCACCAGCTCTCCCATTCGCCACACTGGCGCTATTACCCGCCGTGATATAACGTAACCCTCCATGTCCACGCCATCTCCCCTCGGCGTCCAGTCCATCCCCACTTTCACCGCCACCTGCATTCAATCATTCCATCGCCTTCACCACCATGACGCCCGGCGACGAGCTGCAGCCGCTGCCTCAGCAGGCCTGCGACAACTGCCGCTGCCGCAAGATCAAGTGCGACCGCGGCTCGCCGTGCAAGCATTGCGTCGCCGCGTCGCTGCGCTGCCAGTATCTGCATGTCATTCGCCGCAAGGGGCCGCGGCGAGGCATCGGCCGACGCCTGGCGCAGCTGAAGCAGGGCCAGACGGAGCTGGACAGGAACTACTTTGAGGTTATCACCGTCGACTTGCCGGCGCCGGCGAGCCGTGAGTTGAAGCCGAGCGGCAGTTCGCATTCGCAATCGCAATCGCCACAGTCCTCCGGCAGCTCTCAATCCTGCGCCAACTCACACTCCAGCGGCAATACCGTCAGGGGTAGCAAAGAGCCGCTTCAAGGCGACAATGCGCGTCTGGCCATATCCCCGTCGACAAGTACCGAGTCGGAAAATGCTGTCGTCACCCCTGCCTCACTCGACCAATCCATCTCTTTGCTGGATGCCGTACTACCACTGCCGGACCTGGTGGCCCAACGTCGACGACTATGTCGGTCCCTCGTTGCTCACGTCGAGGTCTTCCTAAAGCACATGTTCCCCATAATGCCCGTCATCCACGGCCAAGAGATCCTCGCCGACGCAGCCCGCCTGGATCAACTGGCCCCCTCACGATACGCACTCATCGCCGCCATGTGTGCGGCCACACGCACGCAACTGCAACTGGACTATGAAGAAAACTGCAGAGGCAACGGGCCTGGGGCAGATATTCCCAAAGAGCCGCCGCTCACTGGCCAGATGCTGCTCGACATTGCGGAGACTTCACTGCGCCAATACAATGTTGTCGACGACTACTCTCTAGATTCGGTTCTAGCTTCGTATTTCATCGGCACCGGATACGGAAATCTCAACCTCAACCGCCGCTCTGGCTTCTATCTAAACCAGAGCATAAGTCTTGCCCAGTCCCTCAACCTTACCTCGGAAGCTGGCTACGTCGACCTCTGCGAAAGTGAGCGCGAGACGAGACGACGAGTCTTTTGGCTGCTGTTTGTTACAGAGAGGTCAGTTCCTCTTCTCCCATGTATCATGTTCAAGGTACGCTCTGTTCTGACTGCATTCTTAGAACATTTTCCCTGCAGCACCGTCGACCCATCATGCTACGCAGCCGCATCCCTAAGCCGCGCGTCGTCGATTCCGACTGCCCAACCGTTATGCACGATTTTCTGAATCACATTCGCGTATTCGATCTACTGCCATGTGCGCTTTACGACTGGGATCCGCAAGACGACGAGTACAAATCCGACGACGTGTCCCTGCCCAACAAAATCAACGCACGCCTCTCCGCACTTCAAGTGGACAACTCCTTCATCGAAAGCCAAAGATTCGATACGCTGATTACGCAGCAGTGGCTGCGCGTGTCCATGTGGCGGTTGGCGTTTGGGACACAGCCGTCTTTGGCGTACGGTCGCGAGACACATTTACCGGTTGGGCTTCCTATCGATGCTGGCAAATCGGTCCTGGTTGAGTTGTATTCGGTTGGTCAATTGTCAAAGGACTGCCACGGCATTGGGATAGTAAGTTCCTCGCCTAACCTTTGAATAAATTGCTGATCGGAGACAGGAACAAAAACTTTTCGACATTGGAATCGGTCTAGCCGACACGGCTCAATTACAAGGCCAGAACTTCTCGTCGCTCGAAATCGGCCCAAGAGACTTGCTCAGCACCATCGTAAAGTTCCTAACAAGGATCCGCGGCAGCGAGTCCTATCTCCTGCCCAAGCTGTTGCAGCGTTCCGAGACCATTCTAGGTCACGCCGACCCGGTTGCTCATATCGACACGCAATGGCCCATGAGTGATGCTGGGACCAATCTAGAGGATTGGGCTATCGCTGACGACCTCTCGGTGCTAGCGGACAATTTAACGGATAAAATAAGTTGGGAGCTGCAGGATTGGGATACGTAACCGAATATCTTATATATACCCTATTTTGTAACATGTAGGCGTTGAGGGCGAACTAGTCATATTGCGAGAGGCCGATTGCGGCATTCTGTATTGATATGTTGGTAATGAGGGATCAAATGTGGAACACAATATAATGAGCTTGTTTAATGAGTGGTGCATTGTTTCCGTGGCCAATGTAATGGCACGCCTACCAACATGAGGAACCATGAGAGTTTTTCCCGTCACTGGTCCTCCAGTACCTATAAGTTTCTATCAACCGATATCATGGCTCTAATTTCCCACCCAACTGATTACAATCTCTCAAGAATCGCAACCCTGCTATCATAGTCGCCCTTAAACTGATACTGAATGCCGCCGTTCATAAGCGTGGCTCCTGAATAAGTCTTGTCGCCATCCACCTTGTAAAAAGCAGAAGGGTCCAAGCCCTGGAGTCTGAATATGGGATAACTGTGGCTTGTCGTCTCTTGGACCTGGAACGCAAACAGAACAGCCTGGCTGCCGTTCTCAGAGACGAACATGGCTGCGGGGAAGTTGGACTCCCCGGGCAGGTTCAGACGCCACATGTCTCCTCGCACAACAATGGGGTTGACCCTTTCTGCGAGGGCGATGAGGTCTGGGATCTGCTTCCTGTCCGATTCAGGGATCGTGGCTGGGTTGAGCTCCAGGCCGAAAGAACCTCCCATCATGGAGACGTGTGCTCGGAATCGAATTGGAGTGGTGCGTCCGGTAACCTCGTTCGGTACGACGGATACGTGCGCACCCATGCTTGAAGCAGGATACACCAAAGATGTGCCAAACTGGATAGAGATGCGATCAAGCGCATCTGTGTTGTCCGACGTCCACACCTGGGGGAAGTACTGCAGGATACCAGGGTCAAAGCGACCACCGCCAGCCGCACAGCCTTCCCACAGCACGTCGGGGAACTGAGTCGTCAGCTCGTTCAGCACGCGGTATAGGCCGAGCATGTAGGTGTGGTAGTTCTCCGGGGCAGGACTCTCGTGCATGCCGCGGTTGTTGTCCCACTTGACGTAGCTCACCGGCACGGTTCGCAGAATGTTGGATACCGACTCGATGATGAAGTCCTGGACCTCGCGAAGGGCGACGTTTAGGACTAATTGGTTTCGGGTCTCGGTGCGCGGGTACTTGCCGGCGTGCAGCACCCAGTCAGGGTGTTTCTCGTATAGCTCGGACTTGGCGTTGATCATCTCAGGTTCGAACCAAAGTCCAAATTGCAGCGTCTTGGTCGAGTTTGCTGTCTGGAGCTTCGTGACCTTGTCTGCAAGAGCCTTCAAGCCGTTGGGAAATCGAGCTGGGTTGGCCTGCCAATCACCAAGGCCAGCGTGGTCATTGATACGGGGATGTTTCACCCCGAACCATCCATCGTCCAGGACAAAGAGCTCAACGCCAAGGCTTGCAGAGTCCTGGGCCATTTTGTAAATGACGCTCTCGTCAAAGTCGAAGTACAGGCCCTCCCAGCTGTTAAGCAAAATGGGGCGGGGCTGGTGGACAAACTTGCTCTTCATGAGGTGGTGACGGAAAACGCGGTGGTATTTGCGCGACATGCCTCCAATGCCAGAGTCTGAGAAAACGGAAACGGATTCCGGAGATGTCAGAGACTCCCCAGGGCCGAGGGGCCAGGAGAGCTGACCGGGGTTCATTCCGATCAGGGTACGAATGAGTCCCTTCGGGCTCTTCTCAACCTCAACGGTAAAGGAGCCAGTGTACACGAGGGAAAAGCCCCAGGCTTCGCCTTGAGACTCTGTGGTGGTTGGTGTGACAATTGAGACAAATGGGTTGTGGCAATGAGAACTGTAGCCAGTGGTGCTTCCAAAACTATAGTCAAGTTAGTCTGACGATGTTCTCTTCTCAGGACATTCACACTCACCCTTGTGTTCCGTAGTCGACCTTGCGGCGGATTCTGGTAGCCTCTCTTGACCACTCGCCATGCAGCTCGAGCATTTCGTAATCTCTGTACGGCAAGTCGGCACTGAAGCTGGCCAGCTTCTCGACAGAAATCCGCTCATTTCCCTTGTTCGTAATCTTAACACTGCGCGCAATCGCGTCGTACTTCGGGAAGACGGAGTATGTCAACTCGGCTGCCACCGCACTGAGACTGTCGTACATGTGGATCACGAGGGTAGTGACCTGGTCGGCCTCACCAAATGTCGAGGGGAGACCGGACAGGCTCGGCTTTCCTTGTATGACATTGTGAGACTGGTATTTGAACTCGCTGACGGTGTGGCCTTCAGATTGCTTGATGACCATGGCAGGCGAGCGGAAGTCTCCTCGGCCCATGTCGGGAAACTCGCGTCTAATATGGGCTTGCATGGACCAGCCCCCATCAGCTGGGGGAGCCGGGATTGCCGGGTCTTCGGTCACTAGGCCTCCAAAGTGATCGGAGATGAGGTCACCGGTTGTCTCATCGACGTGAAATCGATAGGAGGAGTTTTCTCCGTTCAGAGCGAAGGAGAGCCCGTCGACAACAACAGCTGTATAAGATGATGATTAATCCCATGGACGATAAAGTTGGAGATTGTTTCAACATCTCAAAGACGCCGTGAACTTACCCTTGGGCTTGGCCACAGCCGGAACAGGGTGGATGTGGGTGACCGTCATGTTGCAGTAATTGACTCAAACGGTGCTTCGGTGATGGTAAAGAGTGCAAGAAGCTCGTCTCGCTTTGCACGAAGAGAGACAATGAGATATCAGACCTGAGAAAGTCACGATTATATACAGCAGGGACTACGCATAAGTACATAACAGCACAGCGATTGACCCAATCGGATAGCAACATGGCAGACTCTTGGGGCGATATGTGAAGTCCGGATATTTCCCCAACGGGTTAGACGCGGGCGGTGCATCATTGGTCAGGCGCCTGATCCCCAACATGGCGTCTCCGTACGGGTGACCTCCTTGGGGCGCCCCGAATTGACGCAAATTGAGGGGTTGTGATGGAGGCGTGATAGGGGCATTTGACTGGCTGGTGAAGGGGCGAGAATCTGTACTGCTGCATCGGGTTTGCCGTGTTGTCGTGCGCCTTACATATGAGGTGTGAATACTGACGCCGGTTAAATCCGGCTGGGTGTGTGTCTCGGCTGAGGCGGGCCATGGTTCCGGGAAGTCAACCTGCTGCGGCAACGACAGAAATATCACTATAACGAACAACTTTCTCAGTTCATTCATCTCTAGAGAATCTGACCCTCAAGTAAATTGGACAAGATGACGGGATTAGGTTGTCATTCAACTTTCGCGTATCCTCTAGTTAGTCCTACCATCAAGTAGGTCTCACAAAAGTCAAAGAAAGACATGATATATAGGCAATGTCGCTATTCGCAACATCCCTCAAATAATCAAACCTCTCTTCTCTTAATTCCAACCCAACATTCCACAGGTTTCTTGGAAAATCCCTCATGCGACTCCAGCTTCCCCTGGTAGAGTGTGAAATCATACCGACGGAACGCAGTGCCTATAATCAGGGCCAATTCCATGTGGGCCACGTTCTGACCAACGCACGCCCTCGGGCCGTATGAGAAAGGGTTGAAGCCCATCTTCTGGTGATCGGTCAGGCTCAGCCAGCGATCAGGCTTGAACTCTTCCACATCCAGGCCCCAAATGTCCGCGTCGTGATGGAGGGTATAGCTAGGTACCGAAAGCACGGTGCCCTCGGGAAAGTGGTCTTGGCCGTAAGACACTCCCCGTGGAGAGGTGACGAGTCGGGGAAGTCCAAGGGCTGACGTCGAGTGCAACCGCATTCCCTCGTCGATGCACTGTCGGAGAAACCGCAGATTCTTGACCATACTGTGAGCGGCGATGGAAGAGCCGGAAGGAATAGCGGCGTCAAGCTCCGTCTGGAGTCTAGAAACAATCTTTCCAGGATTGGATCGTTCACCTTGCAGGATCCAGTAGATAACAGCACAAGCCGTGTTGGAGACTGTGTCACTGCCTGCAATGAGTTGGGTCAGTGCCTCGGAGACCAACTCATCCCTCGGCATCGGGTTTCCATCACCGTCTTTGCTGTGGCAAAGCATCTCCAAAATATCATTTCGATCTCCTTCTGTTGATAGACCTTTCTCGGCCGATCCAAGACGCTTGGAAACAGCAGCCTCGGCAATTCCGTGAAGATCAACCACCGACTGCAGTCCATTGGAAAAGAACGGGTCCGGTAGGTGCTTCGCGAAGGGCCGTAATTCAGGTAGGAGACCAAGTGTTGAACTCACTTCTCCCCGTCGATTGAGAGTCTCGGCGCCGGGAACGTACGTCTTGGGCTTTCCAGGCAGAGTCGATTCACACTCATCGCGACCGCGGTCAACCATGCCAAAGGGCGCTCCGAATGCCAGATCGCCGATAATGTCAAAGGCCAGAAAGGTGCACCATGGCATCATGTTGACCCGCGAGAAGCCATCTTCTGTAGTCGGGTACGCAGCCATGCGATCGAGTTGATCAACCCATCGCTTTAGGTTGGCGGCCATGTGCGGCTCGAAATCCTGCACAGCTCCAGGGGAAAACGCATGAGCGACAATCTTGCGCTTCCTAGTATGCTCGCCCCGGTGGCGCACATTAAAGACTCCAGGGACTCCAGAAACAAAAGCATCATAGAAATGGCTGCTCACTGGTAAATAAGACGTCACAAAGGATCAAAGGAGAGGATTTTACTCTTTCAAGAAGCCATTCCCGTGCGCATAGACTGTGCGCAGTCCCTCGGGCGTGGCAATCGAGACATGGTTGAATCCGACCCGGACAACTTTGCCGTACTTGCGATGGGCAGAATCAACCCAGGCAAACTTCTGACCTCGACGAGCGCCTAGTGCAATCCAGGTGTTACTGAACTTGGCCACGAAAGGGCCTGGGATATGCTTCAGGTGTCGGTAAGTGGTGAAGTATGGAACTACCCAGTAGAGGACAACCCAGACGGGCGCAAGCACACATGTCAGTGCGATTAGGTGAGAAAGCTGCATGACGAGATGATTCTACTAGACTGCGCATAGAGAATCGATGTCAAGGGGAAGAGTCACATAGGGTACTTATATCAAGTGTGCGGCAGACCAACTCCGCGTTTACGAGCCGCAGATCCGATCTTCCCTTCATGCCAGCGCCACGATACCATCAAATACGACCGGAGCAGTGGGGTGATATGCGCAAATGAAGAGTGGGGTGTTGGTGGCTGCAGATCTTTGTTGCATCCGATGTGAAGCCAACCCCACGATTGAACATGGCTCAAATCTTATCCCCCACTCTTGTGTTTGAAGTCGCACGAGAGCCTCCCTTGCGTTGGGTATCAAGCCAGCCCCGCGATCTGACATGGCTGGAGTGGGATATCCCCCACTCCCCAGATTGGAGATTACATTGCGCCGAGAACCAGTCCACGATTCGTCATTTGAATGAAGTCTCAAGTGATTTGTTGAAAACCAGGGCGGCTGTGGTCTGGGAATCGTTTGGTCCTTGACTGGGCTTGGCGTGGACCAGAAGTGGGAATGTTGGTGGACAAGCAATAGAGATATGCCACGATAACTACCGAGAATGATGCAGATCTTAAAGTTTGCTTAGGCAAGCAAATTAACAGGGAATCCTATTTGATGGTGGCCCTGTTTCAATTCCGTACTCCGGCTAGCTTCGCTACCTAGCTCTCGGGCAATACCCTAGCCTTGGGCATCATTGCTTATTCGATTGGTTCATGTCTAACTCGAATTAATTACTGTCTGTTCTTGTTGCATTCACGAATAACGAAGCTTGATCGTGAAAGTCGACTCGAACCAGCATACGAAACGTTGGGTGTTAGGTTGTAATCGAGGTATAGTAGAGCTCGGTTATTACCCATTAATGTTAACGTCGTCAGGGAAAAAAACAAGCCATCATCGCCATCATGCCTACCTCCAAGACAAAAGAGTGATATTCACGCCACCTCTGAAACAGCTCTGGAATACAGCATCCATCACGCAATCGAGGGCGTCATCCAGCGGCCAAATGTTCGCGTTCTTAGAGCCTGTCAGCAAGCTTCAGATCACGGTAACGATCATGTTATCGATATTATCCCCAGGGAGAAGACGACAGTATTTCTGCCGCAAATAAAGCAGCTTTAGAGTGAGATAATAAACGTACGATTGAGACCATCTTCGGGCGGGCATATCTTGACGTTCTAGCAACTCCTAGTAAGCTCTAGACACGACAACGACGATGCAATCAATATTATCCTCCGGCGAGAAGACTCCTTATTACCGCCACCTAGGAGTGTCAGCCTGATTAGTGTTGGAGACAAGCGTTGATTAGTGGAATGATAGTGGGATTCTAGATGCGATCAGGATGTCTGGAGGCTAGACTCATCTGACCTACTCATGACGAATGCTGAGCGGATCAGTGATGATATATGACATCACCTCTTATTTCTTCCAAGTTCCCCAAAATATGATCGATCCGACGGGTACGGACAGCCTTTCCAAAAAAAAAAAAAAAAAATTCAATCATTATTGCAATCCCACTACATCGCAGAGATATGGATTTTCGGTCAAAGTTATGCAATAATATTCGTGAGGGCGAGCCGTTGGAAATCAATTATGGCGCTCCACTAACAAAAACCGGGCGTTGCCTTCGCAATGATGGCAATTGCAAGTACCTGCTAAAGAGCTCAGAAGACTCTGCGGCTCTTGTAGGAATCAATCCTCCTCCGGAGCAGACTTCATCCAATGCTGTGGCCATGTGGGTGAAATTAACCCCTGACGACGCTCAGAAGCGTCGCCTGCCAGGACCTCCGATCTTTCATGACATTGATGATTCCACGGGTATTACCAGGGTATAGATCATGATTCCGGCACAAAGTACGCCCATCGACGCCAGGCGTAAGATTCGGACACACACACACAGAGAGAGAGAGAGAGAGACAGAACTCATCCGGTTGATGATTACACTGGTAAAACGCAGGTAAAAGAAGACACATATTCCGAGTGATATTCCTTATGGCTATCACAAATCACGGCGCTCGTTCCAAGGGGCAAGAATTGCCGAACGTGGGCAGACATGTCTACAGCCAGTTCGAGCCCACCTTCTCTCAGCCGGGCGCAAGATCCTTTTCATTATGCCATGCAGGGCGCTCACGCCTCGGGCTTCTTGCCCCATATGAAGTAAGCGGGAACATATAGATGGTTGGCCGGGTTCCTGAGGTCGTTCTTCACCTTGGCGATAAGGATCTGGATCTCCGCCTCTTCCCAGCCAAGCACGCGGGAGAAGATGCCGGGCGTGTACGAATCGATGACTTGCTGCTCCTGGATGATGGCGTGCTTGCCGATCTCCTTGAGTGTCGGGTCTTTCGGCCAGCTGCCAAAGGGGATCTGGGTGTTGTTGAGCGTTTCAGGTTCTAGAGATTCACGTGGGTAAATTGGGGAGGACAAACCTTGCGAGTCTCCTGCTGGACGTCAACGAATCCAGCGGCCCTCATCTTGTCCGGCAACTGTGGTGCCGAATCGAGGGGCTTACCGAACTTTCCCGCACCCTCGCAGATGTTGGTCATCCAGAACTGAGCGTCCGTTGCCAGCTTGGCCGTGTCGTCGTCGGAGAGGAAGCGCGGGTAAACAAGCTGCATCTCCAAGTAGCCGCCGGGGGCTAGATGCTCGAAGGCTCGGCGGAAGAGCTGACCGTCATCGGCGACGCATCCGCCCAGCTCACGGGCGTGAATGTAGTCGAACTTGTTGCGGTAGACCCAGTCCTGTTCGAAATCATCCACCTCGAATGTGCAGTTGGGCGGTGTCCTGTTTCTGGTGAGCGTTATTGAACAAAGAGGCATAACTCAGTACGGAAAATGGCGTACCACTTGGGCTGGATGGGGCTCAGATCAGTGCCGATGACTTCTGCAGAGGGGTATTGGCTACACATCAAGCATCAGGAGCTATTCCACCTTCAAGGGCTCAGCGGAGGAGTCTGACTCTGCGAAATCCATGGCCCAGATGCCGGTACCGGTGCCTAGGTCAAGGACGCGCTGCGGGTTTTTGCCGATGGGCGCGAGAAAGAGCTCTCCTCCGATGAGTAGACGGTAGATGTGATGCGCCAAGTCCATGCGGTCCTGCTCCTCCTCGTCGTTGGGCTATGAAGTCACGCAAAGGCAGATTAGCTGCCGTGATGGCGATTCCGACTTCCAGTCACTGGTGGCCGGTGTTGTGTTGGACGAAAACTCACCACTAAATATGCACCCTCTCGGAATGCATGATAACGGCGGCCGTTCTATGTTTGGTGTTAGTCCTAGTTAAAGCTATGGCCCCGTTACGTTTAGGCATCTCGACACGAACCTCGTATCTGTGAAGGGTTAATAACGGAGATTTGAAGAATTGCCCTGCTGGGGTTTCCGGGTCACCGGATGGACCTACTTGTAGTGCAAAATACTGGAGTTGAGCGAGGAGAGGAAGCTGGCAGATCTCTCACTAGTAATTTTGTTAAACATTGGACCATTCTAGATGCTGGTGAGGCTAGACTCACGAGGCAGCATAGGCAGAGTCGTTCTCGAAGTCCTGGAAAAGGTAGCGCGTCAATATCGGCAATTGGGGGTGCAAAAGCCTCAGTTAAGGAACCACTCACGTTATCGACCTGTAGAGGCTCCTGTCCTTCCAGGTCCGACCCCGAAATGGAAGCTTGTTCCTGAGCCATTATTTCGCAGACGGCAGCGTGCAGCAGGAACTGGAGGGGCGGGGAAAAGGTGAGGGCAGAATTCGGTGACAGACCCTGAATGTCTCATATTATAACAGCACCTCTTCGCTTAGGAGCAGCTCCCCGCATGAGCATCACACCACTTTGCATTCTGAAAGGGGCGGAGCGGGCGCTAGCGGAGGTGACACCGCGTGCATTGATAGGCTGGGTGAAGATGTTGCATGCTTGCAGCCGCAGCCAACAGAAGAACTCAACATGTCTCATTGGTCACGGACTGGCTGTTGGTTCTCAGAGGGGCCTGGAAGTTTCCTCTGGCAAGGGTACTGCATATTGCGGGTGGATACGGGTAGGATCAAGTTGCTCCCCGGTTTCTTTAAGCAGACATGGGTCATTCGAATTCAGGCATCTGCCGGAACGAGTACGAGGTATTGGGACATTGAATGTAGCGCACACGTCAAGCATTATCTGCTGTGTTGGATATCTTACGTGACGTTAGGCTGCTGCTTTACTCAAGTAACAATGAAACTCCGCAGAGTGAGATGCTTCTCCGTCGTACAGGCCTCTCCAAACATGATTCCGTGAATATACACCTCTCCAACGAGCTGGTATTTGTCTCGAGATGGTCGCAACACGAGGGGTACAATCGACCCACTCAGTATACAAACGATGTCGCCATCGCTCATCGCTTGTGGGCCAAGTCCAAGACACCCATTGTCAGTAACGAACATCTTCCGTGCACTGCATGCAGTCCGCACTGCTTCCTCAAAATGACTTGCATCTCCAACTAGACCGGGAAAGGCTCTATTTATAGCAGAAAACAACCAAGCTTGCAGGTCACTTGGTGGATTAGTAGACTCTGAAAAAGCAGCATCTTGGTCGCTGAATCTGAAAACGCCGCTCATAAATGCCAAGAAATCCGCCACATGTTGGTTCGGTTCGTGAGTCAGACTTCCATACCAATCTTTGCCGGCTGTCAAAGTTAAAGATAGGAGCTCCGAGAGTTTAGGACCGTTCAAATGTCCCTTCGCAAAGGCAGAGAAGTGCTCGCGCAGAAACAATTTCCCCCACATGTCATGTTCTCCCATGGTCTCAGATGAATGCCGAATGGAAGAAAACTCAATTCCGCTGATTATAAGACTGGTTCCTACAACCTGCGGGCTAACCCTAGCAAGCCCAGCACATGCGGAAAATGTTTTCGAGGCAGTCTCCGAGGGAGCGAGGGTCCGAGCAAAGTATTGACCCCAACGTGGAACCCAGCTGGGAAGGCCGTCGTTTGCGTCAATTGTTTGCCGACATACCATTTGGTTGTGAGGATCCTGGCTTGCAAGTGACAAGGATTGCGTGGTATCCCCTGTACCTTCTGCAGATTTCCCCGTGTACGGTTGCTCGGCGTGCTGAACATAGGACAGGATCCTCAGAGATCCTGATTGTTGGATGATCTTGGTTGCGCATTCCAAGTACGTTTCTGATACCGTCTTGGTGTAATCAGGTTGTAGGAAGAGTTCACCACAGTCAGGATTCGAATCAGTAGTCGGAATTCCAAGAATGCCGTAGACCTTGTCCCTTGCATCAGATGAGATGAATTGACGGGACAAGGTCAGGAGCTGAAGAAACGACACAGGTTCTTGCTCTTCGGAACCATAGGAAAGCGAGTACATGAGACAAGCGTTGTAAATACCACTCATTGCCTCGAGTCGTAGCGTGGGCGCCGGTACTGCACGAATCCATGCAGCAGCAAATCCGAGGCGCTCCCAGGGGATGGTTTCTGTCAAGCTGTCAGATGGAGACGACGAACTGAAATCACAGCCTCTATCGGGTTATGCATTGAGATATAAAATTGTTGGAGCATCACATACCGGCACCCCACATGACATCTGCAGTCGGGGCAAGGGCAACCTCTTGAAGACACCACAACCGCCAGAACCATTGCGTATTGAAGAGGATGGACATTCTCCCCCATACATGATCATCTGGTGGGGGTACAGCTTGGAAGTTCTTCTCGAAGATCCGATTGATCAGCTCAAAAACAGGCTTCGCCGAGTCTGTATCGTCTGGGCCGAGCCATATGAGAACCTTGACAGCATGTTTGAAGATCAATCGCATCAAGCTAACCTGCTGGCTCTTTTCAACTTCATCACTTTGGTTAATACAAGCAGCATCCGCCCATAATTTGCGCGGCTCGGATTCATGTCGCAGACGTCTCAGAGCATTGTGAAGATTTGCTGGAATTGTGATGTACTTCCCACCGCAGGTGATGGTTTTCGATTGTGTCTTGGATCCCCAAGCATACGACATGGCTGAGTATTCGCCCTTTGCTATCAATGAGGTCCGCTGAAGTCTCACCTCCATTGGATCATCTGGTCCGCCAGGCAATAGTTCTAGGACTCGGGTTTCCACTGGTCTGTCGAGGGCGCTGTAGTTGTACGGGAGGAGTTCTGGACCTTTTGGGTGCGAAACAGTATTTACTGTGAATGAGTTGTAACTCAACGTCGAAGGGTTCTCGGTACCACGCTCAAGATTGAAAGGATTTCGTCGTGGTAAGCTGGTCGGTGTTTGGCCGGTCATCATTCCGGACGGAGAAGAAGCCACCCGTGATGTTCGAGATCCACTGATTTGCTCTCGGGACCGTTTTGCGCCCAGTGCATTTGGAGGGTCGATTTCGTATTCCTCCCAGACTGGGTTAGTCTGATTTACCGAAGGTGCCAAGTTGGGCGGTGCTGCGTTGGCTATCTTCCCAGAGCGAGACGAATCCATCCACGGCGCTTGGAGCCCACTCACACGCTCTCTGAAACTTTCTGGACCCCATGTGGATTGGCTTACGACCGGCATATATCGTGATCCCCCTGAGATCGGTTGGGTCTGGCTCGCCGCTGGTGCTGGGTTGTGACGAGATTTCTTGGTTATCATTCCGGGGAGAGGCGGGTCTATCCACACATCGTACCCGCCTGGTTGGCCGTCAAATTCTTCAGAATTCCATACCCATCCTCTTTTTGTAGATTGGGCTACTACTGGCATATTTGGTGACACCCTCGTTGTGGGATGAGACAAATCCATCCACGGTGGTTGAGACCTGCTGGCTTCCTGTCTAAAGGTTTCGGAACTCCATAGCGATTGCACCGGATACTGCGGAAAGTCTCTCGCTGGGGTGTTGGTTCTCACTGCGGAGCGATTCGAATCCACCCTTGGCAGCCAGGAACCGCCCATCTGTTCTCCAAACTGCTCGAAACCCCATGCCGATGATTGCGAGGATAGAGCAGCCTGCCGTTGCATCTCTTGAGATGCTTGCGCTGTGTAGTCACCCATTGTTTCCGAAGTAGATGGGCCCATCCATCGCGGCGGTAGGGCACCGCTAACTTGCGCTTCGAACTGTTCAGATCTCCAGATCGATTGTGCCGGTTGGGGCTTTACGGCTACCCCGGGCGGGAGTTGGGATACGCTTGAGGCCTTTGGGGCCAGGCTCTCATCTGGTGACGACATCGCGACGGGATGCAGTCCAAGTAGGCGGTGTATTCGCACATGTATTCCGCCCCTAACGCGGTTTTACAGCTTTGAGCCGACGAGGAGCAGTCGTGTTGGAACGTCTGACAATTGAATAATGCTACTGTACGAGGATGACAACCCGTGCCACCTGAGCTGCGAGTGCATAAATGGACGGATCAACTTCTTGCCGATGAGATGACTCATTCCGGTCATGCATTAAGTTGATGATGGATCCGATACGGTCAATTCAATCGTTGCAATAGTGTCCCAATTGATGATGATGATCGCGATGACCTCCCGGTCATCCGGACCGGCCGGAAGAGGGGTTATTTGACCCCCTTCATGACTAAGGTCCGGATATCAATCTACTGAAGGTTTCCTTATACAGGGTCTCTCTCCAACAGTTGATCAAGATGACTCCACCTGTTCAATTAACCGCTGAGCCAAATATAGTGTACACCACGTATTACTGTAGCCAGTATTAATGGGAGCATATTCCAACGCCACCTTAAAGACGACATAATGCTAAACCACTAATTGTAAATATATAATATATAAGAACAATCAAGCAGATGTTCATTCAATTCTAATAGAATTTTATAAAAATAGAAATATTAATTACTATTAATTATAAAACTTGCCACTTCTCCAAGTTGCCAGTTCAGCCGTTAGGCCATTGACCAAGATTCCCAAGCTAGCGAGCCAAAGGAGTAGCCCGGTATGGACGTGTTATACACACCTCGGCCCTTCAAGACATAATGATTTAACACGAAATGATGCGTAGTGTCCGACTTATATCTTGGTTTCAAATTATGGCGAATGCGTTCGGCATCATCTGGCGCGTGCCTTGAACGTTGCCCACCGTGTCGCACGGTTTTCATCTAGTACGTCGCAGGAGCTACACAGAATGAACGGCATACGATCACCGTAAATAGTCGAATTTGCGATGAGACACCTAGAGCTTGCTATTTTAAACGTGAATCAGGTTTGGGACGCCCAATGTCGTGTGAAAAAGAAAAAGAATGAAAACCTAACTCAACACCAAAACAAGAAAATACCCGCTAAAACGGCCAGTGAAGTCAGACTTGGCTAACGTCGTCCCAAAGCGTATATGGATTGTGAGAAACACCCATGCTCCGGTTGAGACGACGTGGGCTCTGCTTCGATCTCAGAGATATCTCAATCCGTCCCATCTCCTGAAGTCCATCCAGGGTCCTGGAATCCAGTTCCACTACATCCTCCTTGTAGTAGATACGGGATCTGCTCGAGCCAGAGCCAGTCCTGTCATTACTAGCCACAAGTTTGGAACCATCCGTCTGGCTAGTGCCACGCTTTCGAGACTCGGAACTACACACCAAGGCTGTCCATGATTCAACGTCTCGCTGTGCACAGATAACGATGTGTGTTGGTTCCGCTTGAGCCACGAAATACACCACAGTATTCGTTTTCATATCTACCAACGTCCAAGTTTGCTCAAGTAGAGGACGATTTGCGAAAGAATCCAACCTGAGTCGGTTGGCTTCTAACCCAGGGATGCACGTATTGAGTCGGTCGACACGGTGAGCTCCCGAAATCGCGAGGAATCGTCGATTTCCGGTTCGAACAGCTCGACTAGTCCACTTACTGAGTGCCATGCTCATTCGCCCTCCATTCGGCAGCTTGAATAAGTTGATAGAATGGCCCCAGGTGCCGTCAACTAGAATGTTATAGTGGGCTCCCAAGCCAATAGCACGGCAAAGGGGTCGTATCTGTACAGTTTGGAGCCAATGGCCGGTCTTCTTCAACAGAGATTCAAGATCCCACGTGTCGGGCGTTTGCCATTCCTTGATGCACAGCCATCGTTCGAGCAATTGTACCTGTTTGTTCATGAGGAGTATCGTGGCAAAGATTTCGAATTCGCTTTCTCGTCTGGGTTCATTTGTCTTGACTGGCAAAAAGTCTTCGATCAACTGAAAGAAAATCTCCGTGGAATAAACAGATATCATGCCGAGCAACTCCAAAAGGCTGAGGAGCGCGGGGAATTGCGTTGGAATTTGATCGTCCAAGGCAACTTTCTCTATAAAGAACTTCGTGGCTTGGGGGGTCCCTGCCTTGTGGTTCCAAAGGAGATGTTGGACAACTTTCTGGGTTAGTTCCATATCAACGGAACGCTGTAAATCGGTATCGATCAAGTGGACGAAGAACGAATCCCGTTGAATTGAGGCAACAAATACCGGGACGTGTATGGCCTGCTGTATCCAATTTTCCAGATGCGGCCGCGCAACTTCTTCGTTATCTGTTGGAAAACGTCGGTGAGGAGAACTGAGGTCTTCATGAAAAATGAAAAGAATTTGCTTGGCTGCTTTCACGACGTCAGCCAAGCCCCAGCTCTTCGACCGCACTCTATGTGGCAAAGGCCAGTGTTCGCCGATACCCCAGTAGCCAAGAAGGCCCATCTGCCTAGCTCTTTCCTCGGCTATACGGTGCAGCATGGCTCTGTTGTTTTTCTTCGTCGTGTCAAATACAGTAAAGTCAAATGTAGTAAACTCATACGTGACGAATAGAAATGGGGGGACGTCCTCAGATCCGGAACGATGTTTGAGATCATTGAACGATATGGTATCAACACCGTGCAAATCAGGCGACTGGGGATTTCGTAAAGCATAAACCCAGTCAGCCTGCTCGAGAGCTGGAAACTCTACAATATCATCCGTTCCAGGCTGCTGGGTCAATTTCGAGGTTGTGCCAGGAGACGGCGCAGGCAAAAAAGCATCTAAACTTCATCAGCATAAGACTTTTTATTCCGGATATCATTCACATACCTTGAGATGTAATCAATTCAATCTGTTTATCTTTTTCTCTGCCTGAAGGAGCTGGTGGGTCGCTTGTGTCATTTAGGAGAAGCTCAGAGGCCTTAGAGGAGCTCTCGCTTGGGTGTGAAAATGTCGAAGTTTTTTGACTTTGCCCTCCCGTCCACTGTGATGGCCGGGAAGTCACAGTCCACTGTGCAGAAGGCTCATAATCCTGTGCAATCATCTTGTTGGCGGGTGTTTCATGGGTGCTGAAATTAGTGAGTATCAAAACATGGCGAGATCATGTGCGATGGATCAGACAGTCTTACCTCTCTGGACTAGAACGGCCCTGTGCCTCATCAATGTCTTCGTAGTTCTCCAGCCACTCATGACCTGCCGCTTCATCCGCTGTGAGTCTCTTCCTGGGTGATGCTGCCATGGTTTGCTGAATAAACAGGATGCAGTGTGTACTCGCCCCGACACTCTCTAGCTCATTTGTTGGAAACTGTGTGCCCATGGTCACATAATTCGCACGTTGGTTGGGCGAAAGAAATGTTGCTTTCTGCGTCAGAAGCTTGTGTGTGATCTCCCCCAGTGCCCACAGATCAACCGCCGAGGTGTACGCAGCGACCTCGGTTTGGTTTTCCTGAAGATCCTCAAGCGTAAACATCCCGAGGACCTCGGGGGCCATATAGCCCATCGTACCGACCTCCATAGTTCTCAACGCCGTGGACCCTTCCACTCGCTTGCTGATGCCGAAATCACAAATTTTAACCCACCACCGTGGGCCTCGGTGAACAACCAAGATATTGCCCGGCTTAAGATCCCTATGCGCAAAGCCGCTCTTGTGCATTGACTGTAAGGCTTCGACTAGTTGCATGGCAATCAACCTTGCCTCAGGCTCAGGGAAAGGTCGTACAATGTAGTGTCGCAAGTCCCCATGCTCCAGATACTCCATAGTGATAAAGAGCGCCGTCTCGTTTTGGAACCACCCAAATGAGCGTACAAAACAGTCGGCAAACTTGTCGTGAGAGAACTTGGCGATGGCTTCAAGCTCACGATGAAACGCAGAAGTCGGCACGCTGTGGTGTTTGCGGATCTCCTTGACGGCTCGAAGTCTGGGTTCCTGTTGGGATGAGACCGTGAAACACTCCTCAAGCCAAACAGTCCCATACGCGCCGCCTCCAAGTTCGTGCTTCCGCTCCCATATCTCTTCGGTCTTCTCCCTCCGGCGGCTGGGTTTGGTGCCTGCGGTCCGGCGAATCTGTGTCGTCTGATTTGTACTCGGATTCCAGGTCGCATCAATCTCCGAATCGACGACCAGGTCCGAGACTCGATGCTGGAGGGCGCCTGGCCTGGTGGCCATCGTAACAAAGATGTTCAGTCCCTGGAGCCGCACACAATAAACCGTGAGACCTTGTGTTCGCAAAGGATGATCAGGCGGGGATAAGGCGAACACGGTGAGGCTGAGTGCGATGCGATAATATGGGCTGTGCCATAGGTGGCTAGCCGCATGCATGTACACGAGCCTCGCGCCACGCTGCCACCACGTAGACCGCTCTCATTTGTGTTGGCAGATGACCCTATATTACGAAACCTCTGATAGATTGATATCCTCACCTTAGCCACAAGGGAGTCACCAAACCCCTCTTCGGCCGACCTGGGGAGCCGGGTCAAGATAATTATCAACATCATCTTCATCGTCTTATATACTATGGCCCGGATCAACTTGACCGTAATGGATCCATTAGCTGGCTTTAATCGACATACAATTAAATGGCCTGCCACAAATCGCCTTCAACGGGCATGTTTTTGTACCTATTATGATACCAGACGCCAAGTTGTCTCCTCCCGGGATTGGATGATCTGCACCTGTGGCTTCTCCTGCCTTTCGAATATTGTATGGCTGTTTGGAGATCTGCCTGGTATTTAACATTCGTTCAATAATACCTATTTCGTAATCGTGCGCCTCAATCACACACCATTCCTCTCCTGCGCCTACTGTTTTTCTAGCAAAGGCCCGGTCTAAACAAGCGAAGATGTCGCATTCCATTACTTAACATATATGGCTAATTGATCGTCCCAAAGTAGAATGCGCACTCCAACAGGGGTCACGATGGTCGCGCAATAGAGATGGCTAAATGTGACAGAGGAAAATGGAGCAACCAGAATAGAAATGAACAAGGCATGGTCTAGAAGAATTCCATGGTAGATTTAAATAGTACCTAAAGTATCATTTAGCGCTGGGCGCTAAATGGATAGAAAGCAAAAGTCGCACTCAGTGAGCCGCTCTAATGTCAAATAACAACATCCGATACAATCCACTGTTTCGCCGCAAATCTTCAAAACAATTGGTCCAAGAAACTATGTAGTTGCACCCGAGAACGACCCAACTACGGGATCCTACTTCGACAGACAAACTTGAGAATAGTAGGTGGCGAAAGTGGTAGCAGCGGCGGCGCAGCAAAAGATAGACTCCTGGTTCGCCTTCGCGGCGCAGGCCACGCAGGCAACGACAAAGTTGATGGAGGAGTAGTTGGTGCAAGAGCGGCAAGCGTTGGGGTTGGGCGCGCTGTTGCAGCTAAAGGAGTGAGACTTGGAAATGGCGGCATCCTTGATCTGCGGGCAGTTTCGGGCGCGCTGGTGGATGGACGGGACGGTGGAAGTCGCAACCACATCCAGAGCGAGGACGGCGTCAAGATTGGCCAGCATGTCTTCCTGCTTGGAGATGGCAACAATGGGCTCAAAGAACTTGTCGTAAAGCGACTCGGGGATGCAGTCAGAGGGCGAGTTGAGGTAGCTCTCCGGGATGCGAGGCATGACGAAATCGTTGGCCCCAGTGCTGTTGAGGCTCATGGCCTCGTAGGTCTGGCTCAGAGCTTGGAGATGGGAGAGGTTGATGCAACCAGTCTTTTCACCCGCGGTGTAAGTGAGCGAGCTCGAGAGAGCAGAGCCAGCCAGCATGGCGAGAACGAAGATAGTAGAGACCATTTTGCGGTGATGGTTGACTTGAAGTCGTGAAGAAGTGGATGTAGAGTAAGGGGAGATATTGGAAGAGATGCTTGATGTGCTGCAGAATAGATGTCTTTGATTTTCAAGGCGGGAAAATCCTACTTTATATCTTCTTATCACTCAGACTTGACTTGTCAAATATCAAAGCACATTCACTCTCCCTGCCTGAACACCGCTCCGCGGAGCTCCGACAGGATCGCTACACCGAATTCTCGACTGCTTCACATTTGGAAACTTAGAATGACTACCTTGAGAGACTCCTTCCCTTGGAAGGCATTCCCAATCTCGGAACCAGTGGCACGTTTTCAACTTGTCACGTTGATAAATGTCGTTAACCAGACACGTTGTCATTAAACGTGTTTACATTGGCTCTTAGAACTCTTCGAGCCTATATTGAGTTTTCGGATGACATGGAACATTGTCGTCTTTAGAACCAATGAGGTTCTAATCCGAATCCAGTTAAAAAAACTCGTATACACTGCTCCGTATGTCTCCAGAATAACTACGAGATACCAAGCGTGAAGTTTAAATTCATCTAATTCCCCTGCAAAGGACGTGCATCTTTGCCGCCTAGCGATAATTGGACCACTTTTGACCCCTGCATTGCGATCCCGAACTACGACGAGTGCCGTCTCATCCGGGCTTGATGACCAGATGCAGAACTGCGCCCGTGTTCAATTACTTTGTCTCTCGAGATCTACCGGTAGCATGGTTTTCGCATGCTATCTGACCCCCGTTCTTCACAATAGCACTACTGTTTCTTACTATGTGTATTTACCGCTCTTTGGAGCCTCCCTGCAGTATGGCAAGCTTATGTTTGAGGCTTATGCTTGTTCGAGTCCTTGAAAAATTTAAGTTTCGTCCCGTCCTTGACAGTACTCTGAGGAGATGTGGCTTGAGTACATGTTGCGATAACGCTTTGTTCTTGCTTGTGTTTTGAAACTATCACTGACTATTGTAGCCATGGTCACCTTCTCTTTGTATCGCATGTGATATAATAGATGGGTTCTCGAGAGAAAAGAAAGTTCGTATGCACTCTTCTCCATATTTCAATGTGGCCGAGCGTAGTTGGGGCTTAGTTGACAGCCGAGGCCAACGAATGAAACACGACAAAGCCCCAATAGGAAGTAAGGTATAGCCCAGCCCTGTAGGGCACGTTGCCAATGCTTCGATGCAATAGGCAGAAATCCCATCAACAGGGTATATATAGTACGAACGGACAATCTTGTTAAAGTTCAGAACAAACTTCACGATTATTGGTGTCTAATACGAATGGGAGAGGCAAATGGCTTCATTTTCGCGCAACCCAGTCTCCGAGAGATCCCGAATTACCATGCAGCGCCCACGGGACCAGAGACATTGTATTCACAGTAGAATCTTGCCTCGGAGTTGGTGTGATGGATATTGTAGGTCTTGCTACCCTCAGGAGGCATAGTTCACGGCTTGTGGCTCAGGTATAAAGAGACGAAGCTCCCGCCGACATTTTCAAATTGAAACAACAGCAAGCACTCAATCACTCAACCACTCAATACTCCAACCCTTCTCTACTTATCTCATCACCAAGATCTTCTGATCACCACTCCAAACCGCAACAATGAAGTTCACCGCCATTGCTCTCACTCTTCTCACTCTCGGCAGCACGTGAGTAGAATACTCGTTGGTGATGATTACAACCTGACGTCTATTAGTGCGACTGCCAAAATTCACCACAACTGTGGCTGCAACGTTCGCGGCCGGTACCACGTCGAGCTGAGCCGAGCTGCCTGCGCTCTCTGGGGTGCCACTCAGCCCCATACCTGGTTCGGTAAGGAAATCTTTCATCCGATCATCCGGTTCATAACTAACAGTTTCAATAGATGGCTATTCCGTGAGTTGAATATTTTCCACCTAGGAAATCCCCTTCTTACTAACCACATTCTTCACAGTGCATTGACAAGGGCATCGGCCGTGGCATTGATGGCCAGCCGTTTGAGAACACCTGCCAGGAGGCCTGGGATGTCAACTTCGGTGGAAACCGAAATGATGTCCGCGGCAACTGCTGGCACTAAATGCCGGGTGGAATACATTCCATCTGGTCAGCTAATTTCATTTTGATCATCTCTTGTTTCGGTCCTCATTCGAGGATGTAGTCTTTTCCTTTCTTTTGGCTTATGCCTGTTTAGTATCTAAATCTGCGTCACTGGTTTATGCTAGCTGACTACGCGCTTCGGATATCGAGATTTAGTTATGTTTTAGTGTTTTATATATAAGACTGTTGTCGAACTTGCTGCTGCACAAGTGAGTGACTGTGGCCCCCGGACTAAGAAAAATAGCCGTAAGACACGGCTCGTGAACATTGATAACTCTGTGGCACCAATCTTATTTCTGGCCGAGATATCTCGTTCCATTTTACCGAAACTGGTAGTATTTTTAGCTTAAGGGCTACGTATCTGTTGTTGTAAATCATCTCTTGGCTGCGTCTTCTTAAGCTTGTCCACGCTCAGCATCCCTCCAACCCAAGCATATAACCCCTGCACTTCTATATCAAGAACCACCATGCATTTCATTCACGCACCTTGCTACAGGGGAAATTACGCATGCCCGGTATATTTTCGGGCAGATACTTTGAAACTGGTTATATTTAAAAGATGTCAAGTATCATTTCAGCTGTATTACTAGTGCGGAGGGATTCCAAAATACTACAGCTTCTTTTTCACAACCAACACTGCTCCTGACACTGCGCCCTTGACCATCTCCTTTCCCTTCTCCACACCAGCTTCATGCAACAGCTGTTCAATCTCGTTTCGAAGAATTTTCACCAGATCCTTGTCAGTCCCGACAAGGTCAGGGTGAGCCTGATGCCATCGCACCTGAGCACTTCCACTCGCCATCAACTTCTCGAACGTGTCCAGATCCGCCACGGACTCGCCCACATGGAAGTCCTCGCCACTGTCCCACTCCTTGCGGATGAAAGCGCTCTCATCAAATGCCTCCACCGGCTCCGGCAAGGTCCAAGGGAGTAGGATGCCGCGGTAGCGATTGCGGGGGAGCAAGTTCCCAGCCACGTAGTAGGGCATCAGAGGACCCTCTTGGTGCTTTTCAATAGCAGCTTGGATGGCGGCGGAGTTGGGCATGGAGGGATGTGCGCGAATCTCGCCAGAAGTCCAGAGCACGACGGTGCCGCCGGGCTTGAGAACACGAGCTGCCGCGGGCCAGAAACCCGCCATGTCAAACCAATGGGCGGCGTTGGAAGAAGTGATGAGGTCGACGCTGGAATCCTCAACGCCTCCAAGTTCTTCAGCAGTAGCACGCTCGTAGCGGATTGGTTCAGAAGTCGATGTGACGCCGCCGAGAGAGCGAGCAGTAGCAATCATGCCTTCGGAAGGGTCGAGTCCAATTACAGAAGTAAATTGCGGACCAAGAGCACGAGCGGCGAGGCCGGGACCACAGCCAACATCGACCAGCCTGTCAAGTTGACCGCCCGTAGAGGTATGCTGTTCCAGGACGAACTTGTACAGGTTTGGGTGGTAGTCGCGACGGACTTCGGAATAGGCGCTTCCTTGCGCGCTGTTGTAGGAGCTGAATGTCTTTTCTGTCGTCGACAGCGCTGGTGCGGGTTTAGGGTGGGACATGGTGAATTAAGTGGCGTGTTGTTGCACCAGGAAGTTGACGGTTGTTTCGTTGCCGTCTTTTGTATTTGAACTGGAATAAAGAACCGGAATTTCAAGAGGGAGCAAGTGGTTATCTCATCAATTTAAAGAAATCAAAAGATGATGAGGTTATGACTTATGCTGCCCTCTTAACTTCAGCTTACGCTCCGTTTTCTCCGATTGAGTAAAGCAACCAATAGCAGCTTCCCGTGGCCAGATCACGCTATGCCCGTTACAGGGGAAGAGTGCGAATCCCGGCCGGACTTTGGTGTCCACTCCGGATCCCGGATTATCGGCGTGCGGGGGCTGCGTCTAAACTGGCAACATTATTGGTGGTGAACCGACCAAAGGATCGAAGGCTTGCCGTGATTCCGGCGTGGAAGATATCTGTCTTCTCCGGTCAAGGCCATAGATCGGAAGCGGACTTTCCTCACTTTCCACCTGGGCAACCCAACTGAAGCTTGAGTAATCGGTAATCCCTCGACAGGAGCACACCGGATGCTCAACCCCGGCCGATCGGGATTGTCATGGGGTATTATGGCGTCGTCAGCAAAGGCTGTGAACGCTGTCGCCGGCGGAAGGTCAAGGCATGTTGCAATACCTTTCATCTTACAAGGCACTAATCCACTGACTACCTGGTGTTGGCAGTGCGACCAGCGGAAGCCCGCATGCTTGAAATGCCAGAAATCAAAGATTCAATGTCCAGGCTACCGGGACCTAGATCAAGTCTTGTTTCGGAACGAGTCTGAACGAATTATTCGGAAAGCTCGCCAATTGGACCAGCCACAACCGGCACTGGGCCAAGAGGTCATTGCTACTTCCAGCCATCCGCCAAAGAATGGACTCGCTACTGCTTGCGAGGCCCCTCCAACTTCTCTCCCACTCGGAATATCATACCCCCCTTCTCAGCCGGTTAATAACCTGGGTGCCAGTTTCTTCTTTACTAAATACACCTTTAATGAAGTCCCCTTCTGTGGAGATTACCATGACTGGCTCACTCAATCGTACTTCAACGATGGGTCTGTCCTCCAAGCAGCCATCGAGGCGGTTGGCATGGCTGGAATATCCAACGTGTCCTACGCCCCCTATGTCGCCTCCAAAGCTAAAGAGCAGTACTGTAAGGCTGTGACCGCTGTCAACCTAGCTTTGGGGGATCCAGTCCAAGCGGCGGCGGATTCGACGCTGATGGCAGTTATTTTACTGGGGCTATTTGAGGTATCCCGAACCACTTGCTGCTTTAATGACGATTTTCCTTACATTCATATAGACTGTTAATTTTGAGACGTCAGATCGCTATGATTACTGGGCCGCCCATGTCAAAGGAGCCACGGCCTTGCTCGCGCTACGAGGTCAGGAGCAGTTCACCCGGAAGCGTGGAGGCCTGCTTTACATCCTGATCCGCTCTCAAATAGTGAGTCTTGTTATGACTTCCCCCCTTGCTCACCAGGAATCACGGCTTACATGTGGTATAGATTTCGGCCTGCACACAACAACACATGCCCGTCCCTCAGGCCCTAGTCCAAGCAACCCGGGATTTCCAAACCAGCATCATTCGCCAACAATGGCAGCGCAGCAATGTCGCAAGTCGCGGTTCCGTCTGTCAAATATCTTTCCGAATAGTAAACCTCGGAGCAGTCTTTGCGAACGGCGAGATCACCGATCTCGACGTCATACGCGACATGGCATTGGAAATCGATCGTGACCTTGAAGCCTGGCGAGAGGGTGCGCCCTCAGGTTGGGCGTATGCTCGAATAGATGCCTCTGAAGCTGCTCCCGGTACCTTCTTTGACACACATATTCATGTGTATCCTAGTCTCTGGATTGCAGAGGCTTGGAATAACTGGCGAGCCCTCCGGATAGTGGTGAACAAAATCATCCATCAATGCGAGGCCTGTTCAGATGCGCCCCGCGATGCTCGACAGTCCGCTCCCCTCTCCATTATCCAGGAGTTATCTACCGACATGTGTATTTCCATTTCTAGTTTTATGGGCACTCCACGTGGGTCTTTAGGCTCCTCGATTGTACCCAGGCGGCTAATCATGCTTCATAGGCATCCTGTCCCTTATCCGACCACTTTTTGTCGTGGCTCTGGAGGAGTTGAATACACGCAGCATTCGTGGCTTTGCCGTGGAGCAGTTGCGAAGTATTGGCGAGTCGGTAGGAATTCGGCAGGCTGGTCTGCTGGCTACAACCATTTCGAAAACCCTTGACGAATCGCCAAGAAATTGTGTCCCCCTGCCCAATCTGTTTACCATTCCGTTGATACCTTTCTTTTAATTACAGAGAGAAACATGCTAGATTCATCTGTATTTTTCTTCTCATTTCAGGAAGGGGTAAATATACGTGTTATGTTATTATCCTTGGCCAATACCGGGAACAACTTCAGCGCGGCGTATTTTTCGCATCGAAAATTGGAATGTGCCGTGTCACATTCTGGGATCTTCGGAAGACGCCCGGAACAGCTTCCAGACCGGCTGTTAGGAGCCCGGTCTGGACAACGGTCTCGGCCCTGCGGATCTCGGGCCCGGAAGCTGCCGAAGGCCTCCCATTTTCATCTCTAGGATCGGTCCCCGGCCCTTCGTTAGATAGGAAATCAAGAGCTTTCATCATGATCCTCACCGTATCTACTTAGTGTGACATGCCGACTACTCACATGTGACTTTGTAAGTGTCTTGTGTGGCAAATTGTGCCCTTATCTATATCAAATCTCCCTATTTCGTTCTCATTCCCATTTTCCTTGGCCGGGACTGTGTACATTTTCTTGGTGGCAAATCGCTCACACCATCACGCCCGGCAGAGATACAATCCAGCGCGTCGGATGGCGGAAGGGACACCAAGACAGTCCTTGCATAGAATTCATCTGCCAATTCAGCATTCCCCATGCATCCCTTCCCGTTCCGCGTACTTTGCGGGCTGCCAGATGTCGCGTGAGGTCACACGCAACAAGCTCATTGCAATATCCACGCACCACGCGTGCTACGCCGTACGTACGCCGCGCCGTACTAAGACATGTCATCTTATTTTCATGCCGCCAGATCCACATCTCCAGAAGTATTGAAGCCCCACACACCAGCTATTGGGCAATCGACCCAACCATTGCGCAGTAGTTCGAGCTATCGATCAATAGTGGCATATCTTTTGTAGTGGCGCTCGCCCTTGTGGCGCTAGCTGCCCAGCTAACTGCGGAATGCCCAGGCACATCGTATTTAGCTCAGGGGTTGGTTCCGCGCCTGGGTCAAGAAGAATTGTCACTTATATCCACTGGCGTTCTTCCGTCCTCGACCGTTTGCACATTTAGCTTGTCCAAGGCAACATCGATCACGATTCAAGTAAGCGGGGTTTGGAACCACTTAGCCATCCATCATGTCTATTACTCCTCCACTGGAGCTGGATGCCCCGGCCACCACTCAAAGGCAAATCTTGGTCACTGGCGGCGCTGGGTTCATCGGCTCGCATCTGGTTGATCATCTTCTGGCAGAAGGCGGCTGGCGGGTTGCCGTGGTCGACAACTTTGACGACTTTTATGACCCCAACATCAAACGCTCAAACCTCGCCGCGCACCACTTCAACCCAAACTTCACATTATACGAAATCGACATACGCGACCGCGACGCCCTGCGCGATGTCTTTGCCGAGAACAACTTCACCGCAATTGTGCATCTTGCTTCGCGGGCAGGTGTACGGCCGTCATTGGAGAAGCCGGCCGCGTACGTCGAAACCAACCTGGGCGGCACGCTGAACATGCTCGACTGCGCAAAGGAATTCGGCGTGAAGCAATTCGTCTTCGGGTCTTCGTCGAGCGTCTACGGCTTGAATACCAAGGTCCCCTTCGCGGAAGGCGATGACACCCAGAAGCCCATTTCGCCTTATGCGGTATCTAAGACGGCATCCGAACTGATGTGCCACACGTATTCTCATCTCTACGACATCCGATGCGTGTGTCTTCGTTTCTTCACCGTCTATGGCGCACGGCAGCGTCCAGACCTGGCGATTCACAAATTCGCAAAGCTGATTCACAGCGGGAAGCCGATTCCTGTATTCGGCGACGGCACAACGCGCCGCGATTACACCTACGTGGACGACATCATCCAAGGAGTCCGCGCGGCGGTGGACTTTCGGGGATCTGACTACGAGACCTTCAACCTGGGCGAGTCGCAGACGATAGAGCTTCGAGAGTTGATTGAGCTGCTCGAGGAAAGCCTCGGCCGGAAAGCGCTCATCGATCGGCGCGAGTCACAACCCGGCGACGTGCCAATTACGTTTGCGGACATTTCAAAGGCGAAGAAGTTGTTGGGATACCACCCCAAGACCAAGATCGACCATGGGATTCCAAAGTTTGTCCAATGGTTCCTCCATCAGAACCAGCTTGTCAAGAACTAGAGGGAAGGAATTAGACTTATTAATTAGTTACGAAGCTCGACTAGAACACAATATTTACTTTTAATTATAAGGCACATCTTGCCATGGTGCTGACTGGCACAAATGATCTAGCAGAGTCTCTAGTCATTGTGGTAGCATTGGATAGAAAATGCTTGAATTGTGGATAAAACTGTTTTTTTTTTGACCTTGCGCCGGCAACTTGCTCGACTTGAGGGAGCAGACAGAAGTTTGATTAAATCTAGCAGAGTCGAATGTTGAGTTGTTAAGGGCTATCCAAAGGGGTAACTCATACAAGGCACCACTGCAATTAGGCTGCAATCAGGCTACAATCGAATGAGCATGAAATAAATTTGTGTGCGTTATCAATTCATATTATACATGTTCTACAGTTTAGATTGGTCCCTTGCCGTCCCGAAAAACCTCGTCCCACCAGTGCGGCCCCTCGTCTGGTTTCTCGTCCGGATATCGACATATAGTGTTGAAGTTGCCCTCAATCATAGGTTCCAAAACCGTGTGGAAGAACACCCGCGGCTTTCTTCGCACGCTGTCCAACGGTGGCGCCCAGTACGTGATCTCGCCACCCTCAGTTTGCACAGTTCCCAACGGAGCCAGTTCCCTTGGCGTCAGGCTGCGAGTAACAAGCTCTCGCAGGTACGGAAAGATCCAGATTTTATCCCACAACAAAATACGTCGCTCTTTCAGATTGTCGACGTGAGCGTTGTGATGCAGCATCACGGGAACGGATTCGGTAAAGAAGTCGGCCCAGAGGGGCATCTCACCCCAGTCCGGATTCTCCGTCACGTTCGCCAGTGGGTTTTGAGTGGCCTTGACATCATCTGGAAGACCCTTGAGCCGGACAGGAGAGATCTGTCGTTCTGCCGACTGCGCCGCAATCTCGGTTTGGTTGTTTAGTTTGATAAACACCCCGTCATCGTGGGCCCTTGAGGTAGGGATGGACAGCTCCTGATAATAGTCCGGCCCGACATGGTACTCGTAGGTCTGGTGCGTCATCGCCAGGACCTCATCATTTGCTGAATTTTGCTTCCTCATCCACTGCCGCCAAACCTCCTGCTCACCAAACATCTCTCCCACCAGGCCTTGCTCGCTTCGCACTTTCATGCCCGTGCCGATATAGGTGTCCAGTATGGATTGGGCACGGCGAAACATGCGTCTCATGTCACCTGCCGGGCCCATGTAGCTACCTCCGTTGATGAACCGGGGTCGAAAGTCGTGCTCGCGGGTTTCATTCTTGTCAGTCTCAGGGCCGTACAGGTCGGCTCTGAGCGGACTCTCTGGGAGAAGGTGGCAGCGTAGGTTTTGGCCGGACGAGATGTCTGGGTAGCACTTTTTCTCACATGCTGTGACGATGGTCTGCCGCATCGGCATAGGCGAGTTGCCGCGCCACTGCTCGCGCAACCGGGCATTGGCTCTCGCAATGCTCCTATGAAAGCGCGCGATGAGAACATCGGGAGGTAATTGGAACCAGACATCAGAGCCATCGGAAACAAGAACGAGGTCATCCTCGTCGAGCTTTTCGTCAGGGTGGGCGTCTGGGTGCAGGGCGGCATCGAGATATCTCACCATCCCCACTGTCTTAATAAGGCTTTTGCCATGCTCCCATTTCGATACGGAGTGGTAATCCAGGCCCCAGTTGATGATGATGGGGCGTGGGTAGCCAAGAGCAATAGCGGTCAGGATGAACTTGCAGATTTCCGGGTTTGGGTCGGTAGCGGGCACAATCACGACGAGACGGCGGTTTTTGGCCTCTGGCGGAGCTTGCACGTCTGAGGTCGGCTGCGTCGGTGGCCCAGACAACGTCGTATGAGCTGGGTGAATCGGGACGGACTGGCCATCTGGGGCGTCTGTGGAATTCTGAGAGAAGCTGTCGGAGTATTCCCTGGCGTTGAAGAAGAAACAGAAGCAAATGAAGAATAGCGCAATGAGGCCGAACCACCTCTGCGGGTGTCGGGAGGGTCCCACGGAGTCTAGTCCCTCGCGAATCGACATTTTCTTATTTTGGAGTCTGCTCCGGAGTAGTTCAGATTCGGTCGGGGGTGACGAGTTTTGGTTCTCCGAGGACCCGGTATCCCTTTATATGTACGTGTTGAACTAGTAAATCATAATAGGGGAGAGGTACACCAAATGCCACCAAAATTCAGTGGCAGCAAGAGTCTCATGATTCTGAGACTACCAAGAGCGACATTAGATAGCTTGAAGCCACAGTTTTCCTTGTGTCAGTCGGCATCCAATACCATGTGGGTCCCGGCACAGAATTGCCAGTGCTAGCTCATGTACAATCTCGGGGTCGAGGCACTTGCAGATCGCGAGATAACCCTATTGGTCAGTCTTGGTATGTTACTGGTTTATAATTTGCCGCTTTTTTAAGTTGAGGTATCTTAGTTAGTAATATTACTCTAACTTCTATCTGCCTTTGAAGATAAATAAGTTACTAATATAAAATAGAAAAATATACTTTTATTTATTTTTTTATATGAAATTAGATTTAAAAAATTAAATAATATTAGCTAGAATAAAATATAGCTGTGAGAGCTGCGAAAACTATTAAAGAAGATTCAGAACAAGCTGTAAGTTATTTAGATCCGGTTTCTAGACTGAAGGTTGACAGGCGAAGGGGGTTTTTTTTTGAAGGGGGGGAGGGGCGGGGTCGGGGGCGGTTATTATACATCAGGGTTATCTTACTTTAATTCACTTCGTTGACCAGCCCAATGGTTAATGGCACATCAGTACGAATTCTTGTGTATTTCTACAAACACAGGGGTAAATTGCAAGCCAACATCCGTTTCAGCCTCCCTTGTGCGTCTTGCCTACTTAAGTTAGCACGTACGGCTAGTACGTATGGAGGCTGCGCCCATTTGAAGGGATAATGCATAGAAAGAAGGGAGTGTGTGTCAATTTTGTTTTAGACAAAAATGCTAAATCACCAAACAAAAGACGCCACGGCTCGTAAAGGGGCTGGCCATTACTCAGGGGGAACTAACGAGGCTTAAAGGGTGTTCCCATCCGTAGTAACTGAGTGCTTTGATCGGGATTTCGGGACCCACCACGAATAGCACACACTCGGCCTTGTCCCGTGGCAGGAGTCACAAAATCTGGCGCAAAGAAAATAGCATTGGACCTGCCAGCTAAACAAATGCAGACGCAGGGAGTACTTGCGATCTAAGCCTATGACGCTACGCCGCAGCTTGGGGTTGCTGTCGCAGGCTTTGCTCGGTGGCCAAGGTACACATATCGTGCGACGTACACATTTTGCGCCCAAATTCTTATTAAGTGCCAGGTGCCGGAATGCAAGTACAGATGGAGAATGCAAACGCTGGATCTTGGCATCCCTGAACGCCAGATTCGGCAGGGTGAGTAATCTGTAATGCATTTCCGGGGCAGGATAGCTGTGGCTACGCCGAGGATAGCTTTAGAGGCAGCGGCCAAGATAACCGATGGATAGGTAAAAATAGGTAGGCCAGACCAGCGGCATCTAGTGCGTTGACGCCTTCCCATGGTGCAACGGCAGCATGCGCTGTCTGGCCCTTGAACTGGATGTTGGACTTATGATTTGCCAACTTCGGCATATAGACATCGCCCGTAAAGCCTTTGCATTCGCTCGCAGGGCTGGGCCTGGACACTGGCCTTCTGGTTAATGTCCCACAGCGGCGATTTTTCCCCATCAATTGTTTGCTGGATACTTTCTATGATCAAATCTTGATCATAATGGGTTTCTTGGCCATCTTTGACCTGTCTCAAATTTGCGTCATTTTGATTGATTGCTCGACGATGAATCTCGACGAATATGTTTTTTGTCGGTCCACGACGTTGTGGCGTTGTCACTCAATCGTGCAGATCGACACAATATTCAGATACGGGCGCTGGATGTCTTGTAATTACGGAGACCAAATTTACGAGCTAGAGAATCTTCAAGAGATGAAGCCATATTGTCACGACAGTTTTACTCAGCATCGGCTGGACCAATTCGGTGGCACCGAGCCGGCCGCACCGAACGAACCGGGTGAGGAATCGGTCATGTCATGATTTTATGCCGTTTTTATCGTTGAAACTAGCCCGGCTGATTTCTCAATGCTGCTGTTACTGGATACATGTCCAATCAAAGATGGAACTCCGCTTGTTATGTTCTTCTACGCACTTAATTGAATCCTTGATTACTGGTAGGGCCCAACCGAGGACACAACAGAACACGAAGGATGATAGAGTCGCACCTATATATAAGTGAAATAGAAATGTGATAGTGATGATGTATCCGATTTATAAAGATCTATGATCATCATCCGCCGTGGTAGGTTGATGAATATAATACAAAGTATTCTGGTTCTAAGGGATCTGGATTAGGGTGTAAATTACTCAGATCATGGGTACCGATGGGTATTTTACGCCCTAATCTAGATATATGTACCTGGTGTTTGCCACCTTAGCTCTGAGTTTGTTCTTATGAGTCAATTTCCATACACCTTGGCGCTCTGTGGTTGGATGCTCACTAGTAGTTCCCAGTGCGTCCGATTCTTCTTCAAGCTGTTGCAGAACTTTGAGTTTGCCCAGATTTCTCCCCCTTCCAAATAAATATGAAAGGCACCACGGACATCAGTGCACTGAGCCCGGCCAAAAGGCCACATGCTCCAGCAATACCGAAATTCGAAAACATGGGGGTAACGGCGAGTGGGAGAACCGTAGCTAGTAACGAGCGCGAACAGCTTGATGCGGCGTGGGCAGAAGCTGCGAGGACTCCGTAAGCGTCGGTCAAATCATTACTAGTCGCGAATCAGTGGCCCAGTCAACATCAAGGGAAATAAGATCTTGGACACGTACAGCAGGGCAATAAAAATGCACATGAAGCCCATGCCAAACGGAACACCTGCCATCATGGGTACTGCAAATGGAATATCTTTACGAGCAGACCGGCCCAGCCAAAAGAGGGAGATGACGAAAATCGGACCTCCGACACATACAAGTGGTGGGCGATAAGACTCTTGATTCTGAGACTGAGGGCGCTGGCCGCTTTTAGGGCCTCCTCGCTCCCCGGCTCAATCTCGGCTCAGTGGTGCCTCAGCCCGCCTCAGCGGTGCCTCAGCCGCCTCAGCCCGCGCAGCCCTCATCAGCTTTCTGCTCACCCTTTCCCCTGAGCAGTCCCCTCCTCGCTCTTGCAATGATCCTTACCCCTGAGGCATGGGCACATTGCGTTGCCTTGTCTAACTCGCAGCAATCTGTAGCTTTCTCACGTCCATGTGGTGCCTTTCCCCTTTCCATTCGCTCCCAGGCTTCTCTTTGGTATTTAGACTCGAATTCCTCCACAAAGATGCTAAACTTCCTTTCCCTATCTATTCACTCCCAGACCTCGCTGTAGTATTAAGACTCGAATCCCTTCACAAAAACTCCAACTTATACGATACTTCTATTACTATGTTAATGGAGAACCTCCAACGAGCACTCAAATATTACACTAGTGGGGAGATAGCGGCGGAGAGGGACTGGCTAGCATTCTGGGGAATACGAAGAGATAATACCGGCTTGCAAAGAAACTCCCCCGGAGGTTAGGTGTAGTTCTAAATCATATAAGGAGTCTGATGTGAAAACAAACTCAATACAAAGCCTAAGCTATTTATTTAAATTCGCTGCTTTACTTAGGCTGAGATATGAGTTGCCAGTATGAAATTCATAACGGAAAAGCGTAGCAGGAATTACATTCATCGCCAGGGTGCTTTAGCAGATTGCGAACATTCTCCTCCTCGCAAATGCAGCCTCGTCCAACCCTTCCCCGCTCATCCACCCATCGACGAAACACTCCCCCACGAGCCTGAACCTCTGCTGCCCTCCATCGTCATCAGTCGGCCGCAGAACAACAGGGACACTGCACCCAAACAGTATGCAGACCAAGTCCCCCTTCACAGTCCTCTCCGGTGCCATGCCGACGCGTCCGTCCTTTGTGACCATCATCCGTAGTGACATCCTCACGACCGTGTCGAAGAACCGCCCAAAGATGGTGTCGTGGTAGTATTCGTCCTCATTCGGGGCGGGATCCGTGAGAGCAGTGTCGGCCAGTGGGCAGCCTTGGAGCATACTTTCCAAGGTGCGGCCCTGGATCTCGAAGAGCTTATTGTCTTCATACCACTGACGGAGTGTTCTGCAACCCGGGAGGTCGATGCCGTTTACTATGCGCACGAGGAGGCGGACAAAGTCAAGAGAGAAGGCCTCGGTGGGCATTGCGAAACGCATGTACCTGTCCTTGCGGTCCAGTACCAGGCTCCGACAGACGCTGGTAAGGATCTCAGTGGCCGAAAAGGAGGAGGCGGAGGCGTCCCATCCTGAGCTCCGGACCATGGGTGAGTGAGCTGACCCGGCCAGCCCGTCCACTGTATCGACGATGGTACCTTGTGCGTTCAGCGTCGCCTTGTCGAAGCTGTATACGGGCGGTATGTTGCCGGCTGCCGAGAAGCAGACTCCGGGATCCACCTCGAGAGAAAGGGAGGGGCGGAGGTTGCCAATGTGGGTTTTGCAGCTTTGACTGACCATGGCTGGAATTACGATCGTTACTCTCTTCTGCCAGTCCGGCACCCATGAGGGACGCGTCGACGCGAGTGCTGGTGGTCCGCTGTATATCGAGGCCAGACAGATGATGTCCAGCGAGTTGTACGCCTCGATGAACCGCTGGGCGAAGAGCCTGTAGACTTCCTGCGCGGTCATGGCGTAGCTGACGGGCATGAGGTCTTGGTCTGTGGCGAGACCACGGAGACCGTATATCCGATCCCGGTCGTCGGTCGCGTCCATGCAGCAGAAGTAGGCGGACAAGGCCGCGAGCGGTAGGCGCGCCTCGGCCCCGGGCTTGCCAGGCTTTTTGGACGCTTTGTACACCATCAGCGCCCTCCTGCGATGATTCGCGTGGGTAAAGCATGGCTTTTCCTTGATGCCGACCGAGGTGCAGACGTCGGCCATGAGGATGCTCAGGCAAACGGCGACCCTAGAGGCGGTGCGCATACCGCACCAGAACGAGACACGCGGGGACAGTACAAACTCTTGGACGCTCCACATCCTCGTCCACCACTTTCTCGAAAGGAAATTCTCGAATGCTTTCCAGTGAGGGCGGTAGGAGTCCGTCTCCAGCAAGGCGCGAGCCTCGGGGGCGCTCAGATGGCGGCGAGAGGTCTTCTCGAGAAACTTGACGAAGTCCACGGCGAGATCGCTGTCGCTCGACTGTATCCCAAGCCACACGACGGTTATTTCAGCTTGGCCGTAGATGAGGTTGATGCGCTGCACCTGTTCCGCTCTCTCCTCGAGGTTTGCCTGGTCGATGCAAATCGAGTCGATCCACCACCAACTGCCGTCAAGCAGCTGATCCTTCGCGCGGAGTGTTTGTATGAAGGGGCCGAGCGACCCGAGCACCGGAAGCGTTTCCTCGTCTATCTCGAGCGCGAAGGTTCTCGCGGTTCCGGTCTCATCAATCGCCCATGTATAGCTAATGCACCGGTAGGCGGGGAGTGGTTCGTCGAGAGCGAAGGCCTGGAGGACGGCAGACGTACGGCGGCCATGGTCGGAAACAAACTTGAGAAGTCGTATTTGATTGGCGCGAAGTGGCTGGTACTTGTATGAAGCTGTCGCGACCATGTTGGCTTAACGATGAAGGACTCGCGCTGGCCGCAGAGTAGTTGGCTTAACGAGGTAGAAGCGGATGATAAGTACGACGAGATAGAGAGATTTATAGGCACCCAAAGACATGTATACCATCGCTTCCAGGCTGCCTCAGAGGCCACTCTGCCTTCTGGGAAGACTTGGCTGAGGCTGCATGACCCCACCGCACCATGATCCAATGGGGCAGCAAGGTGACCGGGTCCCAGGCTGCAGAGCACCTGGAAGATGATTGGCGAAGTTCTCAAAAGAGGCCAGTTAAAAGGGGGACGGAAGAATTGTCAACAGAAAGTGGAAAAAGGCACAAGGCGTCGGACCGGATGAAGTTGGTCCGCCACACGGCCGCATCCCTTCGTGATGAGCACTGCCTACCGCCCATTCGATCCTCATAAAGCACCAACAGGCCGCACCTAGTTTATTAGCCCTCTACTACCTAGTACTAGTAAGTAGGTAGCCTTGTCGCTTCGCGGGATATTGTCTGGCTCATCCCTGTCACCCCCCCCCCCCCCCCCCCCCCAAGTCCAAGTGTCGTCTATATAGCACTTGGATGCATGAAAATGCCCTCTGGGTTCAATGAAAAGTGAAGAGCACCAGGTGTTGTACGTCAAACCTGTTCATTATTTTTGGCCCCCAATACTTCCACAGGCTGAGCGGCCTAGCGTTATGCAGGTCTCACTGTCTCAGCCGCTCGTCACCCGACCCAGCCCGAGGCCTTCAAAGTCGCAAAATGCTCGAGGTTCCTCCGCATACATTTCCAAGACCCAAGGATCGAGCCTCCAGTCGCATTCAGAAAAAGCGTCAAACTCCCATTTGGAGTTTCATCTACGAAGAAGCCAGCAAGAATTATGGAAGACGTGAAGTCCAGGAACTTGAGAAGTGGGCGAAGGACTTCGAGGTCAATAACGCTGAGCCAAAAGACTATTGGAGATGGGTACACCTACCCGCGAATAACGTATGTCGAGCAAACCGCGACCAATATATCGAGGATTTCAATATGCTAATACGATATAGAAAGCTTGGGTCGAGGTTCGTAGCCGCGTCCTTGTGGAATGTGGGAACACTAATATGAAGATCAGGACTTGATACGTCCATTGAGTGGTATGGACGATGACATCACATTCAAGGCGTATTGGAGCGGGATCAGATCGTTCATTACTGGATCATACCACGAAATTAGAGGCCCGGCTCCACACGCTCGCTTCCGAAAGCCTTCTTTTACCCCTTTGTTTGGATCCCACGGCGGAATCTTCTCCCTAGTTGTGAGTTGGCCCTTATTCAGGGCTAAGATAGACCTGACTCTCTAGATTCCATACTTTGATGCAGAAAGCCTCGACTGCTTTCTCCAAGACAAAACGTGCTTTTCTCAGCTTTGTAAGGATAACTTTGCCAACAAGGAAGAGTTGAAGCACCTCTATAACGAATCCGACGACAGTCTAGCCAACTTCCATGCACCATGCACGCTAGATCAGTCTTACTACCTCTCCCTTGATGATTCGGGTGATCGCGACAGGGACCAGGTCGTAGTCAAACACGTCAGGCGTGAAGAAGAACTGAGATTGAACAGGTTTTTACAAGACGGACCGGCAACTGTGCTGGCGAGAACCACTGTTAAGCCTAAGAAGCTCCTCATGGTAAACCAGATGTGGGTTTGGAAGATTGACTCCAGTGAGTATCAATAAACATGTGCTGTTTACCTATCTCCAGGTCTCTAACTGTTGATGATCAGCGACCCTTATCACTGCGTTTCCCGATCGTCGACACCCAGCGCAAGAACACAACCTCTTGGCGCAAATCTCCGAAGCTCTGCGAACACAGCCGCCTCTGAACATGGGTTCCATGATATCTCTCATGCTGAAATACGCCACTGGGTTCGTGGATGCCCCGACCAACGCCGGACTGGATGAGAATCTATTTCATATCTTCGAACAAAGTATCGCTTATCGGGTATGAGATGATTCATGGCGGAGTGATTAACTTAGAGCTGTACTGACCATTTTGCCGTCTAGGCCCAAGAAGACGCAGACGGCTATGCAAAATTCAACAAATGGCAAAAAATGTTGAGCAGCTTGGACGAACAGCGAGTCCCGAAGCAGAGGATGAAGGACCACAACGCGAAACGGAGGCAAATGGGAGATGAATTATGCAACATAACAGATGAGGTAGAGTACCTTCGTGAGATCAAGGACGTCAAAGATGAGCTGAGGATTATTTAGCGAGTTTTGGAGGATCAGAGGATGGTCGTCGCCCAGTACGATGCCGGCCAGGAAGGATGGACAATCGGTGTGAACAAAAATCGATTCGACACAGAAGAAGTGTTTCTGCCAAAGGATGGAGAGGATGAACTAGCGCTCCTGAAGAAGAGGCTGGAGTTTCGGATCTCCAAGGTCAAATCGCTTTTCGCGGACGCATCTTCGGTAGAAAACTCGGTAAGGGCGGTCTCCACCCGACTTCACACCAGAGCCCCCCGGCCCCCACGCACGAGGGTCTAACATGGCATTATTCTCTACAGCTCAATCATCTCCTGGATCTCAAGCAGAAGCAAGGCAACCTCATGGTTGCCAGGGATACACGCAGCCTTGCAAACGAAGCGGACAACAGAGCCAAAGCCAGCGCCTGGCAGAGCCGGCTACTTTTTATCTTTACTTTCATTACAGTTATCTTTGTATGCTTTACCACCCTGCCTGATAACTTTGGACGATTTGCTAAATGTACTTTCGACACCTATATCGTTCGCATGCACATTTCTGGCGGTCCCGGTTCGAGAATTTCCTCGTGGAAGCGGAGAAGAGGTGGCCTGGCGATGGTTCCAAGTATTCGCCGCAGGTCGTAAGTTATGGAAATGATCCAGTACATCTCTCCTCACTAACTCTGCTCTTACAGTGGTCACAGAAGCCATCAAGTGTCTGGTCGTTGCAACATGGCTTGTCCCAGAGTGGAGTAGTTCCTCAATATCTCTACTCCCTAAAAGTTGGAGAGGACATAACCTTGAGAACAAACAAGATTCAGGAGTCTGAAAGGTAACTGATGAGGATATGATGAGTAGCCGGAGAGGGGTCCGAAAATGAAATAGGGCATGTTTCTTGAAAGGCTGAGCCTAGTTTGTTACTAATGGATGTGCTATATTTTCTCGCGTTACTAACAATTTGTACTTTATTAAAGTCACGAAAGTGCAACATTTCATGTAGTTCGGCCACAACTCAGTTATAATCCTGAAAAATTGCATGAGCAGAGCTGATGCAGGCCGAGGAACCGTCGACGAGCTGAAGATGAGCTAGCTAATGGAGAGGCCAGCGGCGATGCATGCTAAGTCATGTGTCGCTTGTGTTTCGTCTCATAATACCACAGTCTCCGATCACTATCTTGTTGTTGTGCATAGCATAGGGTATGTACACCACGACGAAGGGTTGAGATGCTATTCTTTTGTGAGTTGATTTGACTTACTTTCTGTGTCAAAATTTGCCAAGGTGAAGTCTATTTGATCTGAGGACACAGTTGAGGTTCAAGGGAGAACTTCTACCGGCAGTACGTGTATTATTCCTCTCGTCTTCTATGCCCTTTTGTCCAGTTTGAAGGTAGTTGAAGATTTGTTACTAAGCTACCAAAAGCTATTTTCTAATTAAAACAAGAAAGGGCACAACCATGTAGTTAGGAATAATCATAGCCGGTCAAGAATCAGCGAATAAAGCTATTTAACTCTAGCCGATTCTTAAGAATAAAAAATATACAAAAAACTTTTGCACCTTAGTCTTGCTATCTCAATGAAAGTTTACTCATACAGTTACATGTTTCTATTAATTTGATTGAAGTTTCGTCTTTGAGAATAAACGAATATTATGAGTACAGCTCCTACTCCAACACACTAGCTTAATGATAAAGCCATTGCATTGGTAAAATCATGTGCCGCGATAACGCGTGTCTGAAGAATAAAACTTGAGTTACAATTGTCACAGTATCCTGGAAGATCCCAATTTCCTGCATTGCCAAGCTATTGATCTCCTTACAGTATGTCGGATGGGTGCAAAATTACAGGACATATCGGAAGTGAAAGTTTTCTTTGCATTCCAGGCATTAGTACATAGCTCTGTCGCATTACCAGGAAAAATGTGAGGAAAACTCACATCTGTTAGATCAGAAAGACCGAGAGCAACGTCAACGTCTCTATCGACACCCTTGGCACCGGTGGCCAAACGGTCACGCTATACCAGGTTAGATACTGCACACTTCAGAAGCCTAAATGACGACATCAGACATACCTGGGTGTTCTTTCTCCAGTCTATAAAGTACATGGCTGTGACAAGCAAAATCTGGACGCAAAAGCAGACGATCATTGCTGCAAACCTGGACTAGTATCTTGGAGTCTCGTACGAGAAGAAGAGCTGTGGCCTGGTGATGTTACGGAGACAATAACTTGGGTTGAACCCGTTAGTGGTCATGTACCTCAAAGATTGGCCGTGGATTCACTGTAGCTTACCTCACGAAAACCGACGAAGGAAATATAGTCTTCTTCGTAAGTCCCACAACATTGGCTTGAAAAGGGTAAGAACCAAGACCCAGACAACGCTGAAGCCGACCAGCAAATAGTAACCCCTATATTCATCAGCATGTTTACCGCGACAGTCAATACGCTACGCGAAGGCTACAAGCGGGGTGATTAGCTATAAGATATATGAATTCTTTTCAATAGAGACAAGTATTCATATGTTTTCTTTTTCTTTTTACCAACAACATCTGTTCAAGGACCTGCCATGTCAAACAATAACCAGGTTGCTGAGTTATATAAAAGCGAGATACCAGCCTATCTCTCTGTAACTTGGACCGCGAGCGAGATGTGTAACCATACTTAGACACACAATGTTTGTTAGCGGTAGTTCTACATCTTTCGCCGAGCCATTTTAAAATCCCGACTCCTTTTTATCCACCTTCGATGCAATCATACGGTTGGAAAAACAGAGTCACTGGTAAGAGCAAATTTAAGTAACCCTTATGTTTTCAATTCCAAGACATCTATATGCGGCTGAGAAGACTAAATTACAAAGAAACAAAATACAAGAATAATTACAGAAATGTCATTCTCTTTACTAAACGAGTGGCTTAGGTAGAAACAGCCTTGCTGAGCGAAAGTGTAACGGGCGAGCCGCTAAGAGTAACCCACTGGATGGGAGGCTCGGAACCAATCTGGTCGACAGTGACAGAGCCACTATCGGCAGTGGCAGAGCCGGAGGGAATGGTAACGGGAATAGGCACCTTGCAGGTGTTTCCGTTGGCGGTCACGGTCACGGACTCGATGGCGCCGCTGCTTGAGAAGCCATAGGACAGCTTGGGGCTGCAGTTGTCGAGGGTCATGCGGTCGGTGAAGTACTTGGTGAAGTCGTCGTGCTTCAGAGACAGTAGAGGCCAGTTGGTGAGGCGGGTCATCTCCTGGACGATGGTCTCGGTCCAAGCCATAACAAGAGACATCTTGCCGGTCTTGGGGCCAATTGTAATAGTATCGACGTCAATCTGGCGCATGTTGGCCTGGTGGAACATATACGGATCAGCCATCAGGGACAGGAGATAGCGAGTGTTATCGTTCTTAGCCTGGGCTAACAGGTTGGTAAAGTCACCAGAGCCGGCGGACGTGTTGATCCATTCGAGGGTAGTGCAAGCAGCAGTGTCGCAGTTGTAGTAGATAGTTGTGGCAAAGCGAGGGGCGATAGTAAGACCATCATATCCATTGCTGGCAACAGTGCTGATCAAAGGCCAGTATTTGTTGTTCGGGTTGCGCAAAACGGGACGGGTGTTATCGCCAACTACGTGGGTGATACCGTTGTCCATCCAGGCCCTGATAACATCGCCGTTGTGGAGGCCAGTAATAGCAGGAGGGATAAGGCCGTTGCCAGAGAAGAGGGTAGCCTGATCAATACCCATCTGAGCCATCCAGGCCTGATTGAACTGAATTTCGCGGTTGGCATCGGCGTAGGTCGCGTTGTTCAACTCCATGTGCGAGAAGGTATGCGAGACATGGGAGAACTGGTTCAGGTTGCTGGCAGTCAGGAACCAGGACGCAAATTCATCAAGAACAGCGCACGTCTTGGTCCACTTGTAGGTGGTCCACTCGGAAGGCCAGAGGTTTACACCGGTGCCAAGGGGCTTCTGGAACTCGAGAGCAGTGTCGTTAGGGGTGTCGTAGTCCACAGCGTAGTCGGGCTGGCACACAGATTCAGACTTGGTAAGGGCAGTAGCCGCAATCAAGTCGCCGTTACCATTGTGAGCAAGCTCGAGGCGGAAGTCCGAACCAGCGGGCATGCGGGAGTTGATGTCCTTCTGCCAGGTGACGTGAGCGTTGAGGTCGGCGGTGCGCAGCTTGAAGTCGACGTTGGCAGGCGAGTAAAGAGTGGTGCTGAGCTGGACATCATCAATCTGAGGAGACAGGTGCACCTTGCGCTTGCCCAGGAAGACACCGCGGGTCATCCAGTGGATGTGGGCGTGCTGGAGGAAGGCAGAGGTCTGGGACCAGTCGGGAGCCCAGCTCATGAACCAGACGAACTGCTCGCGGCCGCTGAAGTTGTTGATGACGGCGGCCACGCTCTCGGAGCTGAAGCCAGTGGCGGTGCCGAACTTGGCAACGGCCTTGGTGGTGGTGGTGTCAGTGATAGTGGCGGGAACATGGTAAAGACCAATGGTAGAGAGCCCAGCATTGGTATTCATGTTGGCAGTAGGGAAGTCAGAGTTGTCCGTGATGCTAATGAGCTGTTCGACACCAGCACCGCAGCATCCGCCACTGACAGCAGCAGTACCGAACTTGGGACCAGGGAAGTCATTGATGCGAACCATGCGGACGCGGAAGGCGGTCTGGTAAGCGTACAGGGCATTCCACTGGACATCGGTGAGAGCGCTGTTCCAGGAAGTGCCGTAGTTGTAGGCGACCGAGTCTAGGACAATGATGCCACCGAAGTTACCGGAAGTCAGAGATGAGTTCAGAACAGGCAGGTCGACGCCGCCGATGGGGACGATGAGGTTCTGGTAAGGGATACCGTAGGCCAGGAGACCGAGGCTGGCGGCTAGGGCAGTGCTGTCGTCGGCGGCAATGATGAGAATGGTGCTGTCGACGGTGGCGGCGTGAGCGGCGCTGCTGGCAGAGGCACTAGCAGAGGTGCTGGTCGAGGAGCTGGTCGAAGAGCTGATTGAGGAGCTGGAAGAGCCGCTGGTTGAGGAGCTGGTAGAACTGCTCGCGGCACTGCTAGTGGTGGTCGAGGTACTACTAGTGGCGGTTGTCGTCGAGCTGGTCGTGGTCGAGCTAGTCGTGCTGGTCGTGCTGGTCGTGGTCGAGACACTTGAGGTTGTCGTCGTCGTCGTCGTCGTACTAGTCGAGGTGCTGGAAGCGCTGGTCGTGGTCGAGCTCGTAGTGGTCGTAGTGGTCGTGGGAATAGAAACAAGACCCTCAACAACAGAAATGGCGTTCATCTGGACCTTAGCAGTAGCGCCTCGGCCGCAGGTAACGGTAGTTCGAACAGTAGAGCTGGTGCCAATGACGGTAACGGGCTGTGAAAAGGTCAACCACTTGAGCGTGGAGCCGCTGGCAACGACCGGGAAGTACGGCGTGCTGCCGACGAGCGAGAGGCCCATGTAGGCCTGGATCTGGCAGCTGTTGGCCACGTTGCTGGAGACGACGGCGTACTGGAACTGGACCGTGTAAGTGTGCTTCGCAAAGAGGTTGCTGAGGAATGAGCTGATGGTGGCGGCTAAGAGACGCTTGGAGAGACGGCTGGTTGCAGGACCGGTGGCAACCATCTCGACAACATAATTGGGGTCACTCTCAGTGTCGACAGTTCCCTTGGGTCCGGGAGCCTCGATGACCTTGACATTGCCGGTGGTGTTGAAGCCGTCGAGGCCATCAGAGAAGTCGGGGTTGTCGAGCACGTTGTCGGGGTTGTCGGCGATAGCGTTGGTAGTTGAGCCGTCGGATCGGACTCGGAGGATTCTGGCATCGGCGACCTGGCTCAGGACGCCCAGGGCGGCGACTGCCACGTTGAGAACGCGCATGGCGTTGGTGGGTCTTTAGAGACGCACGGAAAGAGAGAGTGAAGCTGGAAGCTTGAAGTTGGAAGCTGAATGGGGTGAATGAAAGTGTCGACTCGGATCGAATCTAGCACAAGGAAGAACGGTACAAAAGAGTGACCGGAGGGGAAGGGAAAACACAAGGGTGCAAATGAGACATGGAACTCAGCCTGGATGAATGATTCTCGACAACATCCTGGACGCAGGGGGGGCCTTTAATAGGAAATGAAGCATGGTGGTCAAGATGCCGGTTCAGCAGAAATTGCCCGAGGCTCTAGACTAAACGCGGATCGGATCTGGTCTCTGGCGGTAATCCCGGGCATCCGGAGAGCCCATGTGGCTCGCTACTCCATACACAATAGGCTCTTGGCGGATGAGATATCGGCGTTGGCGGAGACTCCAGGTCATGGGGATTGCTCCAGCCTGGTCCACTTCGGAGCCACTCTCGCGTTGCAGACGGTGTTAACGGCGAGCAAGAAGCCATGTGGCTCCTGTGGCTCTCCCCTGACGCCATGCAGTCGACGGCCGGAGTAGGCCAACAATACAAAAACCCCTAGCGCCTCCTGACCTGAGTTAAGCGCCACGCTTTCGCGATCCAGGTTGCGGTGAGCCGACGGCCTCAGCTGTGTCAGGCCCGTTCTAGCGTGGCTCGACTGGCCCGATGCGGCAGAGCGTCGCGATCGAGACTACGGAGATCTGCGTTAGCTGCAGCAGGGCGTCTCCTACGCCGTGGTCTGCAGTAGTCAGGGCCGGTCCAGCTGGTGTCTGCTCGGGGCTGTTGGAGATTGAGTGGCGGACGCGCCGTCCATCAGATGGAAGTTTATCGGCGCAAGCGAGGCCCTGAATCGTGTCGGCGGGAGCGTCTATTGAACCTCGACCGCGGGCATAATCGGCAATTATGCTTTGGTCTGCAGAATCAAGGGCCTCACGGGGCATTGCAACGGCACGGCCGGAACTCTGCAAGGCTGGCGAGGTTCCGACTTCCATTTCCGTCCAGAATACACGCGCGAGAAACAAATCAACGGGCTTGGCAATAAATGGAGAGACACGGGATCTCCAACTCAAGACGGGGCAGCGCGCGATACGCGAGAGACATGGTTGCGTTCCAGAAATGCATCGACAGGGCATCCCGGCTTTCCCACCTTCAACGCAGCACATCTACCTACCACGTAGTATTCACCGCATCATGTCCACCAACCGCCTTAGCCAGCATGCTAGAGCACAACCGCTGCCACTCCTCAGGCCACTTCTTTGGTGACTCCGCCGCTGGCGTTGCGCCGGGGCCGAGCGAGCCGTCACGTCACAGGGCCTCACCGCGGAACACTGGGGCCTCCGCCTGACGCCGCAGCATGGCAATGGCATCGATTAAGCTCAGGTGAGGGCGGAGACGGCACGCAGCTGCTATGTGCTATTGGTTGACAGGACGCTTGGCAAGCCTGAAGGCCGGAAACGGGAGAGACCAGTCTCGGAGGGGAGTGGAGCTTAGACATATTACGAGATACTAGACTTAACAAAGGAGGAATCATCAATGCTCCCCAGACGGTCGGGAGGCACTAGACCCCAGAAAGGCCACAGGGCGCACGTTGTGGGGGTATTGAGCCGAGATTCCGAGTCCAGGGTGGCAGTTCTTCGCAGTCGCGATTGCAGACTCTGTGAAGCAATCTAGACTCCTTTCCGTCAATCTGCCATGTCATTTCCGCACCGACCCTCAATAAACCTGGTTCTGCCAAGGGGGCGGACAGGGGATTGATAACTTGGGCAGGGAAATCCTAGTTGATATACGTCTATTAATACCCTTATTAGCCAGATCCCGTCCCCGTGGCCTAAATGCCGAGTTTGTCGCACGCCTTATCTAAATTTGTGGTGTAGGGTAGGGGTACGCTTCAGTTCCCCGTGCGTCTCTTCGGCTCTCTGTGTACCTAACTATAATAGGAATAGCTGTATCTTATCGTCTGACCGCCTACTAAATAGGGCTATCGCTTATCAAAACAAGTATCTGCAGGACCTTACCCTCTCTACGGAGTAGGTAGGTATAGAAACTATCTGGCTACCTAAAGTAGACTGCTGCAGCTTGAATACTACTGCAATTAAGATAATGCCAGCTAGAGCCTACTATTACTGAAAGTGCTGCTGGACTGAAATGGTGCTGTAGCTAGAAGTCACTGTAGGTAATTGCCTGTAGCGGGCAATAGTGCTTGGAGAGGAGGTACTTGTGAAATGGCAGAAAGCTAGAATAGGAAAGGACAACGATACATATAAATTAGTGATTCCTACGGCTTGAGAGCTGTACCTTCTGTTAAGTGGCTCTTTTAGCGCCTTACTAGCCTTTATCTAGTTAGACATACAGGGAGCCGAAGATATTGCACGGGAGCTGAAGGGTAACGTAAGGTAGGCCGACTCCGAATAACCGACACTCAGACGGATGGACACTTCGCACTGCAAAACCCTCGATATTTGAACTCTGTCATCTCCTTAAAAATCGGCTCATTGTTGTACCGCATCTTGTCACTATCTGCCGGCTATATCCCTTCCGAATTCCAGAACATATCGTCTGGATCCAGTTTTACCATGCTCGGCAGCAAACTTGCCAGATCACCCAACCAACATGTCTTTTGCGCCACCTCCGTATCTACTTGCTCACACACATGCCGCAAAATTCTCGTTCAAAACGCGCAGGAGATTTATGCCGTCCGCTATGTGGTCCCCGAGCCCGACCCTAGAAAATTGGAGCAGACGCATCTTGTGGTGGTGGAAGAATGACGGGGCTGAGCGCCCAACGCCCGGCAATACCGAGTGCCCGCTACCTCCGAGTTCAAGCAACACAGCTTACGTATGGGTGGCTTCAGTACTGTGGGTATTATCATAAAGAATCAACATGAGCGCCGCCTCAATACTTCCTTGCTTGAGGGCATACGTCATCACATTTGTTGCGTACATGCTGGCATGCTGGCATGCTGACAGGGCTACTAGCTCCGGTAGTGTTTAAGACCTGGGCTGGCAGTACATTTCGCAGTGGGAATGTCGTGTCCAGCAGCGTGCCGTATTCGAATGCCCTCAGGCTCTCAAGTCACCCCATGGTCTTTGATTTCAAGCCCCTTTCAGGGTTTCTTGAGTCTCGACATGAGTGAGCAGGAGCTGAAGCTTACTTCTGAGACCAGCCACGTCTCCGTAGAATGCGCCATCCATAGTCTGGCTTGCAGGGACTATCAGCAACACCGTGTTCAACTCTTTCGGGGCTTCTGTTACTAGGTCTTGCAGAGTTCTAAACCAATCTACTGCATCGTTCTGAAGCCAGTTCAAGGCTAGACTGGTGGTGGTGACCTGATTTTGCGCCTCAAAGGTATCAAATTCAAACTCGGTGACAATACCAAACAAGTATTGAGCGGATTCAAGAGGCCCTCTTTTTGGGGTCAGGAATGACCTGCGAGTGACTACCAAAAGCGGTGGCCATAATTTCGAATCACATGGAATCGGTGGCGAGGATGGGCATTTCGTCATCACTCTCGACCGCATGCATCGAGTTAGCTTACAAGAAGATGGGACTGCCAAGCTCCAAGCAGGCGCCGGAACAGGTCATGTTGCCACTGAGTTGTACAATCAGGGAAACCGAGCTATACCACTCGGGCAATGCCCGAGATAAGCTTAGCCTCGATGTGGGCGGCTGCTGCTGCTGACAGGGGCGTAGTGTTGCCACCGGCAGTCTCGTGTTGCATGCTGGCTATGGCATTTCTATGTGGACTCAGGGCTTTGCACTGGGCGGGTTGATCCGTGAAACCGTTGTCCATTCCAACGGTATCATTGTACGCGGATACCCTGTGGAAAATCAGGATCTGTTCTGAGCTATCTGCAGAGCCAGCTCCTCGTTGGAATGGCCACGGAAGATGCGTCTCCTCCGCCCAGTTCGCAGAATTTCTTGCCCATAAACTCAATGTCGTCATTGGGCTAGAAATGAAACTAAAGTGTCGTTTGCTAGATTCCTGAGCAATCTGAGTTGAAGCCACGGGGAAGTTTGAGGCCACAAAATCTGAGCTATCAGAAGTCTCGGTGATTGAGGCCGACCCCCTCACAGATGACTACCATGCAGGGAGATACGACGATGCACAGTCGCCACTGAGTGTGATGTGATTGATCATAATATTCGTTGTTTCCGGTGGAAACTGCTCGCCCTTTCCTGGTGAAAATTGACGAGTTAGGGTATGTCGTGGGTGAAAACGTCATGCCGAGTGCTGGCTAAGTCGACTATCCAAGCAGGTAATCATATAACCAAAGGTTGGCGTCGACGCCACTGCGTGAGGGGTAGTCTAGACTGCCACAGGAACGCCATTACACGTACGCATTCCAGAGTCCAGACACAACTGTTGTGCTCCACAGCTTAGTCTAGACCCAAAGCACAGTGACATAATCCAAGACACAGAATTTTTAGCGTAGTCACTTATCAGAAAGACCACATTCTGGCCAACCACCATTGAACATGCCCACGGGTGAGTTTTTCCCGTGAGTGTCTCAGTCCCAATGCTCTGGGCCCGGCCACGCAACGCAAGGCGTAATGCGCTTTGAAACGTGGCGATATGAGACACAGCAAGGGAGAGGCTGACAGGGAGAAAGATATGAAAAATGGGCCGCTGATGGGATTGTTCATCCCTCGCATCACGTGGGGCACGTGGGCTGATAAAGTGATTGAATCGTGGGCTACTTGATATGGAGTTGGCGTTTATAGGGGAGGATTATGTAAATTAACGGCTAGTCCAACTGAGCGTTTATTCAAATTGAACTATATCCAGTGTGGTATGGATTCACTTTCTGAAGATGGATATGCAGAATTATTCTGTGAGAGATAATTAAAATAACCAGTGCCTAGAAGCCGGGTTTCTCTAACATCCAGGGGCAGAGACTTGCCGGAAATCTTCAGTAAATTGTTCCAACATTAGCGTCCATGGATGCCGGATGGTCTGGATTGCAATTTGCCTTAGTCTGGGAGAGGATAGCAGTAAAGGTCCCCGTTGTAATGTCTCAGACAAAGGGTCACCGGGACCTGTAGTTAAGACATCCCACTCCTCAGCACTGCCTCGTTGTTATCACACGATAGAGGGGGTACGATACCCACGTGTGGAAATTCTGTGACTCTGGCCATCGATAGGAATTTTGGTCCACTTCCCAGTCAGTTGCTTGGTTCTAATTTGCACCGTACGAAATAATGTCTCAATAGACCTCTGGATCCATATTCCGCAATGCGCCTCCCACCGAATCGACTTTTTGCTTTGTACTTGGCTGACGAGGGAGTGTAGGCCAGTATGTTCGAGGCCCGTATGTTTGAGGCCCGTATGTTCGAGGCCCATATGCTCGAGGCATCGGTATGATGTTCCGGATCCCGGGTAGATTTCCTTTCTATAACAAAGGGCCGCCTTCCGATGGTTGGCAGTTTGAGTTTGTCACCGTATTACGATACGCTTCACTCACTCGTAGCAGCTTTGGCTCAACGCCAGTTCATTCGTTACTGTCACTCTCTTTGCAATGAAACTTTCCCCAACAAAGGCACTCGTGCCTTGTCTGGCGTTTGGCCATCTCGCTATGGCGGACCCAGGCCCCTTCCAGGTGGTCCCGAACCCCGGCGGGTTCAACATGTTCAATGCCGCCTTCGGGGGCACAGGACTGTGGGAGACTGATATAGTCTATCAAGGTGCTGGTAGTGGTGGAACTTTCACTAACGGGCCAGAGTTTATGGGAGAAGGTATTATACTAACAACAGGGTCGGCTTCAGGAGCTGAACAGGGGGGAGATGCCAACGTTGACGCTGGGAGACAAGGCAGTTCTTACTGTTCTCCTGGGTTTGACGAAACATTGTACAAGGTATACTTCGACGTCCCGGGGGATGTCCGAACCATAGTCGTCAATTACGTCTTTGCAACGGCAGAGCGAGAGTAAGAGAAATGTACATCGAAGTAGGTGCCAAATTGCTAACTGATACTAGTTCCAATACCGACTTCGAACTGCGAAAACGACTCGTGACAAAGAGACGAGTTCGTCAGGACAAGATGATCATTTCATTCGACGGCGGCATGGAAGTCGAAAGTCTATCTTCCGATGACGACGCAGTGACGTTCCGAAACACAGAGATGTCGTACCCACGTTCGACGGAGTTGCGGAGCTTCACGCTTGCGACATTCCCCGGAATACACAGCCTGGTGTTCGCCATCTGCGACGAGAATGACCATGAATTTGATTCGGCCTTGCTGTTCAATGTAGAAACCGAACGCAGTAGGATTGTAGCTCGTGCGGACACCACTCCTACCACCACGCCTGTGAACACTCCTACGACCACTTCAACAACCACTTCGGAAAGCACTGAGAGTACTTCGGAAAGTACTACGACTACCTCTGAAAGTGATACGACTACTTCTGAAAGTACGACGAGCACTTCCGAGAGTACGACGAGCACTTCCGAGAGTACTACCAGCACTCCAGTTGACACCACTACTTCTGAGAGCACTACCAGCACTGCGGTTGATACCACTACAACGTCTGAGAGCACGACCAGCACCCCCGTTGACACGACTACTGAGTCTGAGAGCACTACCAGCACTCCGGTTGACACGACTACTGAGTCTGAGAGCACTACCAGCACTCCGGTTGATACGACTACTGAGTCTGAGAGCACTACCAGCACTCCGGTTGACACGACTACTACGTCTGAGAGCACTACGGGCACTCCCGTTGATACTACGACTACGTCTGAGAGCACGACAAGCACTCCCGTTGACACGACTGCTACATCTCCTGTAGACACCACTCCTGTTGACACCACTACTGCTTCTCCTGTGGACACGACCCCTGTTGACACTACTACTACATCTCCTGTGGACACGACTCCTGTTGACACCACCACTGCATCTCCTGTGGACACCACTCCCGTTGACACGACTACTGCATCTCCTGTGGACACCACTCCAGTTGACACCACTACTACGTCTGAGAGCACTACAAGCACTCCCGTTGACACGACTGCTACATCTCCTGTAGACACCACTCCTGTTGACACCACTACTGCTTCTCCTGTGGACACCACTCCTGTTGACACCACCACTGCATCTCCTGTGGATACGACTCCCGTTGGCACGACTACTACATCTCCTGTGGACACCACTCCTGTTGACACCAGCTCGACCACTCCCATCGACACCACTTCTGAAAGTACTACGAGTACTTCTGAAGGCACTGCAAGCACCCCTGTGGACACTACTCCCGTTGACACCACTTCTGAAAGTACTACGAGCACTTCTGAGAGCACTGCAAGCACCCCTGTGGACACTACTCCTGTTGACACGACGACAACCACTCCCGTTGACACCACTGCATCGACGAGTAGTTCTTCAGTCACCAACCCAACTGACACTTCCGTTGGCACGCCGGTTGAGACCCCGACCACAACGGCAACAAGCTCCTCGACCAGTGCTCCAGTGGATACTTCCTCCGAGACTCCAGCTGGCACGCCGACTACCACATCAACCGCTGAGTCTTCGTCCAGCACTTCCATCGATACTTCCTCCGAGACTCCAGTTGGCACACCGACTACTACATCATCTGGTAGCTCTTCGTCCAGCACTTCCATCGATACTTCTTCTGAGACTCCAGCTGGCACGCCGACTACTACAACGACTGCGGGTTCTTCTACCAACAGTCCGATTGACACCTCTAGTACGGCAACTGAGACCCCGACTACCACGTCAGCCACCATCTCTTCGTCTAACACTGTCATCGACACTTTTATTACCCCGTCTGGCACGCCGACAACTGCATCAACTACGACTTCTCCTGTCACCACTCCAATTGACACTCCTACTACGACATTCTTTTCTCCGATTGAAAGTTCAACTACCACATCGACAACGAGCTCTTCAGTCAACACGCCAGTGGACACATCTGATACATCAGCCGGGACCCCGACTACAACATCGACAGCTAGCTCTTCAGTCAGCACGCCAGTAGACACTTCTGATACATCGAGCACCACGTCAATCACTACTACATCAACCGGTGGCAGCTCGACTACCAGTTCTTCGGTTAACACCCCTAGTGGTACACCGGTGGGCACACCAACTACCACATCGACGACAACGTCAGCCACTATATCTTCGTCCAACACTGTCATCGATACTTTTATTACCCCGTCTGGCACACCGACTACATCGACTACTGGCACCGAGAGCAGCTCAACCGACATTAACAGCTCAACCACCAGCTCTTCAATCAATACACCAGTTGGCACACCGACTACATCGGCTACTAGCTCCGAGATCAGCTCGACCGGTATCATCAGCTCGGCTACCAGCTCTTCAGTTAATACACCAGTTGGTACACCGACCACATCGGCTACTAGCTCCGAGATCAGCTCGACCGATGTCAGCAGCTCGACTACCATCTCTTCGTCCAACACTGTCATCGATACTTTTATTACCCCGTCTGGCACACCGACTACATCGACTACTGGCTCCGAGATCAGCTCGACCGATATAAGCAGCTCGACCACCAGCTCTTCAGTTAATACACCAGTTGGAACGCCAACTACATCGGCTACTAGCTCCGAGATCAGCTCGACCGATGTCAGCAGCTCGACCGGTATCATCAGCTCGACCACCAGCTCTTCGGTCAACACACCGGTTGGCACACCGACTACATCGACAACTGGCTCCGCGAGCAGCTCAACCGATATCAGCAGCTCGACTACCAGCTCTTCAGCTTCAGGCAACACACCAGTTGGTACACCGACTACATCGGCTACTAGCTCTGAGATCAGCTCGACCGGTATCATCAGCTCGACTACCAGCTCTTCGGTTAGTACACCAGTTGGCACGCCCACTACTGGATCAACAACCAGTGCATCGACGAGCATCTCGGCTGGCAGCTCGACCACTAGCTCGGCCACCAGCTCGATTACAAGCTCTGGGACCAACGGCCCCGTTACGCCGCCGGGCACACCCACTACTACATCACCGACCACCGCGTCGACAAGCAGCAGTTCCAACAGCGACTCAACCGCTAGTAGCTTGACTACAACCGTCTCAACGACTGCAACTGGCTCGACAGCGACTGATTCAACGAATACACCTGGTTCCACGCCTTCAACTGGCTCGACGACTACAGCCAGTTCGACAGGAACTGGCTCGACAACGGCAAGTGGTTCGACAGAAACTGGCTCGACAACGGCAAGTGGTTCGACAGAAACTGGCTCGACAACGGCAAGTGGTTCGACAGAAACTGGTTCGACAACGGCCAGCTCGGCAGCAACGGATTCAACGGCTACAACTGGCTCGACAGCGACAGACACAACATTAACTGACTCGACGGCTTCTGGATCAACAACCACTGGTTCTACCAACACCGCATCGACTACGAGTGGCACGGCCATCACTGAGTCTTCTCAATCTGCGTCCTCTACAAGCGCTGGTGTATCGGCGACGAATGCGCCTTTCATTGACGGTTACGACTATCTCGGGTGTTTCGGCTCCCCCGACGGTTTCACAAACTGGGTGGAAGAAGGAAACGATCCTGATATGGATCCTGCTCTTTGCATCGCGCTATCTGGAGGAAAGCAGTACATTGGTGTCTACGATACGTATGGATTCCCAGAAACTTTCACACGTATTTTGACCGCTAACATTTGCACAGGTTCTGCTATGCGGCTGATATTATTGATGACACGGTTCTTGTGGACGACGCAAATTGCGATATTATCTGTCCTGGCGATTTTAACTTCTATTGCGGTGGATTGAACAACGGACTCGTCAGAAGATTTAGTCCCCTGCATCGAAGAGCCTTGGATTCTACTATTCTCCTTACTGTCTACTCTAAGCGGTCAACTGGTAACCCACCTCCTTCATCAACGACAACCTCCTCAGCGTCAACCTCTGTAGCAACGACCCTTTCAGGCTCAACCCTCTCCACATCGATCATTTCAGCTTCAACTCTCTCCGGATCAACTGTCTCTGGATCAAACCCTCCATCATCAACACTCTCAGTGTCTGTCACATCAACTGTAACGGGTCTGCCTGGTTCCGTTGTCACGACTACCTTGACTGACGGAAGTGTCGTCACATCAACTGTAACGGGTCTGCCTGGTTCCGTTGTCACGACTACCTTGCCTGATGGAAGTGTCGTCACATCAACTGTAACGGGTCTGCCTGGTTCCGTTTTCACGACTACCTTGCCTGATGGAAGTGTCGTCACATCAACTGTAACGGGTCTGCCTGGTTCCGTTTTCACGACTACCTTGCCTGATGGAAGTGTCGTCACATCAACTGTAACGGGTCTGCCTGGTTCCGTTTACACGACTACCTTGACTGATGGAATTGTCGTCACATACACTGCCGGTAGCACGGAAACAGTCACCACCTTTATTACTACCACGATCACATACACAACACTCTGCTCTGGATTCCCTCATACCCTCACGGTTTCAGAGTACTGCACCACAATCGAGTTTGCTCATTGCCCCATCTGCGAAAATAAACCACCAGTTGTGGAAATGACTACAATCGTGAATGACTGCCACGCCTGTGGCCAGCATGGCGAAGACACGATTACGCTTACAGTGCCTATGGATTGCCTTGCGAGTGAAACAGCTGGAAGCCAGCCAGATATTGGTGCTTCAATGGGACCGCAGCCAGCTGAGCCAACCATGGTCGGAGAGAACGGCGCCGCTGCAACACAGTACATCCCGCAAGGGAACCAAGCCAAGCCAACCTGGGGCGCAGATGATGGTCTTAAGACAATGGTCATTCCAGGGCCTGGTTCTCAGCCCGGAGGTGGTCATTCAGCTGCAGGAACAGGGGAATCAGACAACTCCGGTAACTCAGGTCAGCCGGGCAACTCAGGCTATCCCGGCGACGGGAGCCATGCAGGCGACTCAGGCGACTCAGGCGACTCAAGCAACTCGGGCGACTCGGGCAACTCGGGTAAGCCAGGTGATTCTGCAGGCACTGGAGGTTCCGGTGACTCCGGCAACTCTGAGAATTCTGGAGGGCCTGGAGGGTTTGGAGGTTCTAGCACCCCTGGAGGGTCCGGAAACTCTGGTAACCCTGGAGGATCTGGAGGGTCCGGAAACTCCGATAACTCGGGCGGCTCAGGAAACTCAGGCGACTCGAGCAACTCCAGCAACTCCGGCAGTTCAGGCAACTCGGGTGAGCCAAATGGCTCGGGCAACTCGGGCGGCTCAGGCAATTCGGGCGGCTCAGGCAACTCGGGCGAGCCAAATGGCTCTGGAGGCTCTGGAGGCTCTGGAAACTCCGGTAACTCTGGCAACTCTGGCAGCCCGGGAAGCCCTGGTGAATCTGGAGGATCAGATGTCAACTCCAATGTTCATGGATCGACGGGCTCTGAAGCCACGGACACCCCTCTGGTTGTAACAGCAGGTGGAAGCCGCAAAGCCTCGGAGAACACGTACCTTCTCGGGTTGGGCATTGCGGTTGTATTGAGAGCAGTGTGGTAAGAGCTCAATTCGAGGTATGGTGGCTAGTTTGAAAGGAACATTTACGCATTCAATTAGAAGCTGTGACCGCGCTGTGTCACACGTATCATTAGATTAGAAAGATTTTATTACACTCATTTTCTATGTTGAAAAACATTACCACTATCTTTACCTTTCCTTCCCCGCGTCATCTCAGGCGTGGCTTATCGCCCACATTCGGAGTTTGCGATAACCGCTCTAATGCATTGTCGGCTTGTCCGACGCCTCAACCGTGATTGTCGTGTCCAATAATTCCACTGCGATTACGACATCTTTAGCTTTGTGGAGATCCACGTTAAGGGAATTTTCTCATTCTTGCTGGAGCCTTAAAAGCGTAGATGCGTACATCTTTGTCTCTTGCTTAGCTGCAGATTCTGTCTCTACACACCAATTACCACCCCCTGCAATTGCCGGCAGAAGAACACCAAGATGGCCACCAAGTTCGATACAATCAATCTCCCGGCCATGGCCCAATATGAAGATTTACAGCGTCTGGTACCTGTTTTGACTGCTCTGTTGGTGGTCGCTGTGTCTTACCTGGTGTACAATGTATGTACGGGTTGCATCGAATGCGCATCCTGTCTCATTCGTCGGCTTCTCCGAATTGTCCAGCCATGTATCAGGCTTGCTAACATACTCAGGTCGCCTTTCGCACAGACATCCCGCATATCAAAGGCATGCCGGAAATTCCTGGCGCAGTGCCGGTTTTCGGCCACCTTCTCAAACTTGGCGAAGATCATGCCAGCGTTTGTGAGAAGTGGTGGCGTCAATACAACCACTCCGTGTTTCAAATCAAACTCGGAAATACGCGAGCTGTCGTGGTGAACTCATTCGACGACTGCAAGAAAATGTTGCTTGGGAATCAAAATGCTGTCATTGATCGGCCGACTCTGTACACGTTCCACGGCGTCATTAGCAGTACCCAGGGCTTCACCATCGGCTCCTCTCCTTGGGATGATTCTTGCAGGAAGAAGCGAAAGGCAGCTGGCACAGCGCTTAGCAAACCTGCCATGCGAAACTACTACCCCATGTTTGATTTGGAGAGCTACTGCATTCTTCGAGATCTCAAGGCAGATAGCCGAAACGGCGAGGTCGAGATTAGCGTTCGACCCTACATCCAACGATATGCCCTCAACACTACCTTGACCCTCTGCTATGGCATTCGCATGGATGCTGTCTACGACGAGCTGTTGCGTGAAATTCTCCACGTTGGATCGGCGATTTCACTGTTGCGCAGTGCGTCGGAGAACCTGCAAGACTACGTGCCGATCCTGAGATATATCCCAAACAACACGAAGAACGCCTACTCCAAGGAGCTCCGCGACAGACGCGATACATACCTGAATCTTCTCTTGGACAAAGTGCGAGAGATGATTAAAAATGGCACTGACAAGCCCTGCATCTCGGCGGCGATTCTCAAGGACGAGGAAACGAAACTTTCAGGAGTCGAGGTCTCTTCAATCTGCCTGTCTTTGGTTTCTGGAGGATTCGAAACAATTCCCGGCACCCTGACCTCTGCAATCGGATCCCTTTCAACTCCGGAAGGACAGATCTGGCAGGATCGCGCTTACGAGGATATCAAGAAATACTACCCCGATATGCGCGACGCTTGGACGAGCAGCTACGTGGAGGAGAAAGTCCCTTACATTAACGCAATTGTCAAGGAGGCGGGCCGTTACTACACCGTTAGTTCTATGAGTCTCCCTAGAAAGACAGTGACAGAGGTGAATTGGAATGGTGCCATCATCCCCCCAAAGACGATGATCTTGATCAATGCACAAGCTGGAAACCACGGTATGATTACTTCCGTCCTCATTTAGCACAAGCTAACATTTTTAGATGTTGATCATTATGGTGACGACGCGGGCAAGTTTGACCCGGAGAGATGGCTCAGCACTCTCGATCCTCCTACGGAAAGAGAGCAAAATGGGCTGGGTCATTTGAGCTTTGGCACCGGATCCCGTGCTTGTTCGGGCCAACACATTGCCTCGAGACTTTTGTACTCTGCGCTGATCCGTATTCTATCTTCCTACAAAATCGTGGCAAGTGAGACGGAGCCGCCCAACACTGACTATGTCGAGTACAATGCGATTAAGACAGCACTGGTGGCTATCCCCAGAGACTTCAAGGTCAAGCTTATCCCTCGGGATGATGGTGTTACCAGCGAGTGCCTGGATGCTGCCAAGGAAAGGACTCAGGAGCACTACAAGGAGTAGACTGACTTATTTTGAAGTCAACTGCGCACATGGTTACGGTGGGTGTTAGCACTGTTGCCATTCTTTGCGGCGGCATGGAATGAACTAGTCAAGGGAATCTGGTTTAGAATATGGATGAGAAAGTCAATAAAAACACCAGATTGATAAACAAGACGATAAGTAATGTGCATAAATGACCTTGTCGGAGCTTCCGACCGGCAAATAAACCCCACTCTGCACATTTCATCCAGCGAATTTAAGTAGTCTTCCGTAGCACATCATACTCAAGCTTCGTTTCCAGGATATCATTTCCGCAACCAACACAAACACAATGTCTTCGCTCGCAATTTCCCGACTATTTGGAGTCAGTGGTTACGTGGCAGCGGTCACCGGAGGCAGCAGTGGCTTAGGCCTAATGATATGCAAAGTGAGTTTCGATTATGCACACTGGAAAGATGCTGCAGTTGAAGATCTCTGAATGTCGGGAAAATATTGATATTTCTAGGGACTTGTGACGAATGGCGCAAAAGTTTATGTTATCGCCTTGCCCAGTGAACCTATCGATGAGAAAGTCGAGGAGCTGAACGAAATCGGGAAATTAAGTGGAGGGAGTGCTATTGGGTAATGCTACGATGCTATGGAATGTCACACTCGATCTTTAAGCTAACGATTTATAGTCTTCCCTGCGACGTATCTTCAACAGAGAAAATTGCTGCAGCGGCAGAATACATCAAGCAACGCGAGACGCACCTTGATGTTCTCGTCTCAAATGCTGGCATCAGACGGGACCCGGTGGTACAATGCAATGTTCTAACGGCACCTCTGTTGGAGCTGCAGTCCTCAATGTGGAGTTCTCGTCACTCGGATTGGGCAGATACGTTTTGCGTCAACACAACGGCTCACTATTTCATGGCTGTTGCTTTCCTACCACTTCTGTCGGCAGCTGCAGAGAGTACCATCGAAGGCGGACGACAAGGGCGAGATGTAGGCCGCGGCGTCATCATCATCACCAGCTCGTGTGCCAGTATGCACAATATGACAAACATTGACCTGACCAGCTATGCCTCAAGCAAGGCCGCAACGGATCATCTTGTTCGACTGCTTGCCGCAAAATTCAGCCGCTTCTATGTTCGGGTGGCGGGCCTGAATCCTGGATGTGAGTTAAAATCTGCTGTGGGCTGAAGTTGATCACCGACACTGACTGTAAATAGTCGTGCCGAGCAAGATGAACCCCGTCGGTGAAGCGGGGAATGTGTTCAGTTCGCTTTTCGATCAGGTACCTGCGAAGAGGGCAGGCGACGAAGAAGACATTGCCGGCGCTGTTCTTTATCTCGCTAGTCGAGCTGGGGTAAGACTTCTTTTCTTCACTTTTCTCTCAAGAGTCATTCAATTTGACGATTCACTCATTGTTATTCGTTGCTAAATTCTATACATAGGCTTATGTCGATGGAATCTCGCTTTGTGTTGATGGAGGACGCATTCTGCTCGCAAATGGGCAGCAATAATTGCCTACGGATGAGAAATCGGACATGTAGTCTCCAATGATACTTCATTCAATAGGTTTTACTCGTTTTGATTTGTGACATATGGTAAATTCACACAGACAGCCATGTATGACGCAAACACTTCGGCACCTCAGAACTGTGCCGCTGCGTTCCGCTTTTTGAGGGGTTGAGGCAAATGTTGTGGTTACAATGGAGAATATCTGTATCTGTAGTGGAGCAGTGATTGACTAATCTTGCATTATCGTTAATAGCTCCAACCATTGAATTAGTTCTGATAACCGCCACAAAGAGCTATCTGCGGGGGCCTCTCCGGACTGCAGCTTTGTGTCACCGTCGGACAGCCCGACAATGCGGCATCTTTCGGCTCTATTCTGGCACTTGGTTGACTTGTGGCCTGTTCATATGAAGCCGGGTAGCATTGCTCCAAATCCTAGTGGTTTCGTGATGATCACCGCTTGAGAAAATATGTCAATTGTATCTCTGGCGAACGCGAACACGCGGTAAGTAAATTTCGATTTGCCGAGTTCGTCCAGCGAAGCTAAACCGGTTTTAGGTCTGATTTTAGTGTCAATGACTTGCACGAACTCGCAGCCGGGCTCGGAATTGAGATTGTGAAGGATCAAGATGCCGATGATTACCTTCTACTCTTGAGATCCTTGCAAGGGGTCCTGCAAAACATCAAAGATGGCCCTGACTATCATCACCCAGCACTCGATCCCTATCCTGTGGACGGGACTCGCAAATATTGGAAGCCGATCCAGGATGATAATCCTCTAAATGCATGGAGCCACCGATGTGACCTCAAAGCCACAAAATGCACCAGCGATTTATTATTGGACCGAACAATTGTCATCAAGGACAACATATCCGTCGGTGGATTGCCCACGACCTTGGGCACTTTACCCACAGTTTTATCTGAGGATGGCGTTATCCCTGTTTCTGCCATTGACGCAAGTGTCGTCTCTCGCATTTTAGCTGCGGGCGCAACGATCAAAGGCTCATCGACTTGCGAAAGCTTCTGTGCATCTCCTTTATCGTTTACTTCGGCAACTGGTCCCGTGCACAACGCTCTTCTACATGGGTACACGTCTGGTGGAAGCAGCAGTGGCTCTTGCGCTCTTGTTGCCGCAAGTGTACTGACTGGGCAGTCCGGTAAAGCCTTTGGCGAAACTGTACAGCTGGCGATTGGCAGTGATCAGGCCGGATCGGTCAGGATTCCAGCTTCCTTCAGCGGCGTTTATGGACTGAAGCCGACATTCGGGTTGATCCCTTATACCGGGGCTGCGTCTATGACTCCCATGATTGACCATCTGGGCCCTATTGCGTCCAATCTTGAAGACATTGCAGCGTTGCTCAAGGTCATGGCAGGTTATGATGGTCTAGATCCTCGAATGACACCCGAATCACCCCTCATGACTCAAGTGAAGGACTATCCCCAGATTCTGGCTGATTTCCGCCACCGTGTATCTATCAAGGATGATCAAAGAAGGCGAATGAAAGTTGGGTTGCTGAAGGAGTCCTTCAATATCCCAGGATTATCCCCCGAGGTTCGGGAGACGGTTCAGCAAGCGGCAAGATCTGCATTTGCGTCTGCTGGTGCAGAAGTGATCGACGTGTCCATACCGATGCACCTTGAAGGCCCTTCAATCTGGACTGCATCCACGCGGCCCTCAATGTCTGATTGGTTGTGTCAAGGGAAGCCCTCTGGTCATTTGTCATATTTACCACCGCATCTTCAAGCGAGATGGCCTCCAACCCAAGAAGTCTATGAACTCTTGACGTCAACCAATCCTGGAGTTGTCAATATCATACTCAGCGCGCAGTTTGCTCAAAAGGAGTTCGGGCCGGCAGTGGAAGCAAAGGCGCATCGCAAAATATTTGAGCTGAGAGCTGCGTACGACGATGCGTTGGAACATGTCGACGTCTTGGTCACCCCATGTGCACCAACAGTGGCGATGCCACACCCACGCTTGACTGATGACCAAGGCAAAGCATCTAGCATCATGGACAAACTCGGCGTTGCGGTTGGCGTGACCAACAATACTTGTCCGTTCAATGTGACAGGACATCCGGCCATGAACGTCCCTTGTGGATTTTCTACCGTCCCAGACCATCCCGACGTGCAGTTACCAATTGGGATGCAGATAATCGGAAAACGCTGGGACGACGAGTCCGTGATCATGGCGGCGGCTTTGTTCGAGGAAGGAAAAAAGAGGGTCGACTAGGACAGGGCCTGAAGTGATGTCCATGGATCTGTATTAAATATGGATGTGGAAGAGACAACGTATCAGCATATTTATATCTTATTGAGCATCATCAAAATTCTTCTAGACTTCAATATACATGTGTGAGATGACTGTAACGGCCTTTTGCCTTGACAAGTTATTTCTGTACCTGGAGTTCCTATAGTTTGATATTTTCCAAGAACCCAGAGATTTCCTGATCCATCCAATCAATATCTCGTTTGTTACTCCCAGCACCAGCCAAGTGGCCCCAGATCGACGGTATGACCTTGAGCCGCGCATCCGGAATCAATTGGCATTCTCTCTCACTAGCCTCCCAGCGAAAGTACTGGTCTGTTTGGCAAGGCATCAGAAGCACTCGGGCTCTGATTTGAGACAATGCTTCCCCCAAGGAACTGCCGTAGGATGAGTCGCACACCGTGATGTCTGCCTTTTGCCACATCTGCAGCTTCGCAAGAAGATCGTCCGGGTGCCAACTCTTGTAATTAGCACCTGCAACATCGGCGTCCCAGTTTTGTAGTGTTTCGTAGCCTAATTCCTTGTAGGTTTCTTGGTCAAACCACTCGGCGCTTGTCAACCAGGCAGAATATGCCTTTCCGAAGGCTCTCAGACCGCGCGGTGATTTGGGAAGCTCTGTCTGCTGATTTCCGTCTGCATAGTCGATGGAACTCTCCAGCGCCGCTTTTGGCCCCTCTAGAAATTGGAAGTTATGCCGACTAGTTCGAGCGGAGGAGCAAACGATGACGGCGTTTTGCACAAAGTCCGGGTACATGACGGTCCAGTAATAAGTGCACTGGCCGCCCATCGAGAATCCAACCATGACCTCAACCGTTTGAATAGAAAGATGTTTGAGTAGCTCATGCTGGGCACGAACGCAGTCTCGGTAATCAATTGACTTCGGAAACCCCGGCGTGTTGGAGGGACTTGACGACTCGCCGTTGCCAAGTAATGCTACCACGATGATTCTGTGGTTGTGCAGTGCTCCATTGGCGAAGTTGAGTGCTGAATTGACTCTGCCCCGGAAGCATGTCTGGATCACAGCTACCTTGGAAGCCTCTGTGTTGAGATCTAGGTAGGCAAGGCGAATTTCCGGAAGAATTGTGCCGTCTTGGAATGGGAAGTCGGACAGAGAGAATAATTTCATCTTCGGTTCTGCTGGTGTCTCCATGGTGACGTGGTGAAGGTATGGCCCGTGGAGAATCGGAGGGGAATCACGTAGCCTTGCCGTGGTATTTTCCTTCGAGATAGATTGATGTGAATCCTGTGGACCGGGTGTTTTCGTATCTGAGTGTTTCGGTATGGCCGATAGTGGAACCGGCACTAGCGAACTGGTAAATTATTCCTTTTACGGTGCAGCGTGCTCGCGAATAAACAAGTTAATGGTACGATCTCTTGAAACCTAGCAAACGACAAGGCTTCAATGAGACCCCAACCAAGGGAACATGTTTCAGCGCATCGCTCGGCGTCGGAAAACGTGTGTAAGGCGGTTTGTCCGAAGCTGGAAACATGTTGTTTGTCGGTACCTCCGACAAAGGTGCGGATCAAAAGTCGAAGTGGATCCGATAGTTGTGAATGAAGAAGGCAAAGAGCACAAAAACGTTGTTGGCCTTTATTTTCGAATCTGTCGGTGATAATAAGAATAATTTGCACTTGGTTTGGGATGCTAGTTCGTAAATCCTACGGCGCTGTGTGATGTATTCGATAATATTGAAACCGCTTGCATGTGCACAAAATTATAAGACAATTATCCGTAGATCTACTCGAAAGTGTCTAATGTTTCATTGTACAATAACAATTGTGTTTGATATGCTTTCGATTGACACCCCTCAGCGGCCCCTAGATTCTCATCCTTGAAGGTCAAACTGTATGTACTAGCAGTGATGTGAGGATGAACAAAGAAATCATTACATACTCCAATCTGCTGAGCTGCAGAGCTGACCGGCAACAAATGGTATCTCGTCTCGGATCACCAACGTCTTTAAACTGGCATGCATCTACTCATCAGGCCTTCGCTTTACCCTCCACAATGAAACCCCCAAATACTACAGCCCCAGAAGTAGGCATACTTGATCCCAGCGCTTGCTTGACTTTCGAATCCTGGATCGGAATGCCCAAATAGGCTTCCCTCAATAATTGCTCCAACCAATCTACATTTTTCTCGTCATTGGTACTCTTTGTGAGATGTAGGCGCCGCAAAAAGGAGTACCAGTTCAAATCCCTATATCTCGATACCTCAGGCTTTATACCATTTGAAGAGGTTCTCGCCGAATAATCAACACCCTTGCGGTGTAAGAGTCGAGTAAGACATGGGATAGTCATAGCAAGGTAATCCAGGCCCTCTGGAATCGTAGAGCATACCTTGGCATTGCCTGAACCGATTGGCGGGCCGTTGCCGCTGGTCGTACTGGTAACAGCTGTGATGACATTGTCGATATTGGAGCATACAACAACCGCGTCAACATCATTGACAACGTGGAGCCACTTCCCCGTACAAGATATAGAAATAGATTTCATGCAAGTGCCCCGACCAGGCGAATTCACCACATCCATAAACTCAAAGCCGTAGAGCCTTTTGTGGGTGCTTTTCTGCGTAGCAGCAACAGTGGTAAGCAAATTCGCATTAAGACCAAGAATCAACTGCCGAAAGCGGAGGCCGTCGGTCTCTACACCGAGGACAGGAGTGTCACCAAGAGGTTCAAGGATCTGAATCAATTCGGCGGCATCGGAATGACTGTCAACGAATGGCACGCGGTTCTGAGGTGAGCCAGGGCATGCCAGAGCGTATGCTTGACTCATATGCATCAATAAGCTGAGCTTTGGAGCCAACCAGCACCGTTTCTTCGCAGCGTCGTAGATGATGGCCAACTCCAACGCCGTGTCTCTAAGGAGCTTGCAATACCCTCCGAACGGCGTGAATTGAAGCCGATGACTGGTGTATTTGAAGTTGGTTTCCAGTCCCATGATGGCAGACAGCGGAGCTGAAGCTCCAAACTGTGAGACAGCCGTGAATCCATCCATCTGGAGGGACTTGCCTTTCTCAGGGCTGCCGGTGTAGTCAATTTTGGCTGGCAGACCTCTCGTTCCGAGGTTGATCTGGGCGACTTCACACCAGCCGAGAAAACACCGCATGTTCCGGAACTGGTGATAGTTGTTGGTCTTCAGTCGTGGCCCTAAATCAACGGTGTGTGGATTGATTTGACCCTTCAATTCCTTGTTTGTGATGAGATGAAACTGCGCCACGTTGCCTTTAACCTGGATTGGCACCAATACTGTATTGTACCCAGCAAATACCACACCACCGTCCACAAATAGAGGGAACTCAACGGCAGTGAGAGCTATCATCAACGGGAAGGACAGCTCAAGGCCCTTGCCATTGTGATCCTTCCTTTTCTCTTCCACATCAGAGGTGTGGTGGTAAAACCTCTCGACTTCGACCAGTCTGCTGCGGCGAAGCTCAAACAAGTTCTGCCAGCAGTCATATGGCGTTGCCGTTAGCTCGAGAGTCCCATGCCAGAGAGTCATTGCTGGTCTGATTCCATAGGTCTTCCACGAATTGCAATCGTCGTCTGTGGCGTCGGTTGGTGGTGGAACTTCAAAGCGCTCTAACGCCCACCTGCCTCTGGACACCGTGACCATCTCCTCAGGATCTCTACCGCGAAAGGCCTTACAAACAGTGTCCATGCCCCAGTACAATGTTCTGTGGCGTAAGTCATAGCCATCGACAGCGCTAATGTAGACGCTGTCCCAAGTGCACCATACATCTGACATCAGTCCGTCAGGGAACTTGTGAATATACATTGCTAACATTGTTAGTGTTAATAGCCGAATGAAAAAGATTTATGAAGACTTACAAGCATCGCCTGACTTGAGCTCTTGGAGGTGCTCTACCACATGGGCAAGTAGTCGGTCTAGAAAGTGTGCGACGTCAGGAAATTCCTTGCCCAATTGTTCTTCAATCAACTCTGTCCAAGTACATGCTCGGAAACATTGAATATTTTCAGTGTTATTCCTCGATTCCGCAGGTGCCAATAGTGTTGTCAAAATGACCTCTTGATCGAGGTTGATATCGGATTTGCCGTCTTCGACGATGTCCAAGATGAACTCCGGCACCTGCCAGTACCAGACTGGTCCGGTGTATTTCCAACTGGAACATGTGGAACTGATTTTTCTCCAAAGCCCTTCACATGTTTCGAAATCCGATGACTTTGTTGCGAACTCCCATAGCCGTAACTCGTCAAAGCAGTTGTTAGGAATTGGTGTCCATCTTTCCAAGTCGTTCATCCCTTGATTGCGCAGCAACGTCTCCCACTCCGATGCGTCAGAGGCATCAGCGCCATGCTCCAACAGCCATGAGCTGACATGCCCATGTCCTGAAAGGGCAGCGCCCACAACTGCTGGGCCCTTGCTCCTGTCAACGGCGTCTATGTTGGCGCCGTGACTGTGGAGAAGTTTAACGATGTCAAGATTTCCTTTCCAAGCTGCTCGTACTATTGGCGGCTTATTCTACATTGAAGTATAAGTTTCAAGGCTTGTTTCAGGAACCAGAGTAATAGGATCACGTACCAAAACCCCCTCGGGATCTGCCCCGGCTCCAAGCAACAGCCTTACCATCTCCGTATTGTTCTGGTCGGTAGCGGCCCAAACAGCATCATAATCATCCTCGTTATCAGGATCAGGATCATCGTAATTGACATTGACCTTGACACCCACCAACAACAAAATCCGGAGCAATTCAGTATCGTTTCGTCTCACAGCCAATTTGACCATTGTTCTTGGGTCTGGTAGATCGTCAACATTTGCCCCATGCGTGAGAAGTATTGGAACCATCTCGGATCTTTCACTGAGCCGGAAGTCGATTGCATGTTGCAGCGCCGTTCCCATGCGGTCATGTGAAGCATGAACATCTGCACCATGCTCGAGGAGGAGCTTTACTATCTCGAGCATTTTGTAACCTCTGGTTTGAACGGCACCATGTAGTGCTGTTCCCGTCCAAAAGTGGCGCGGAGCATTAACGTCTGCCCCGTGCCTGAGAAGAATCTTGATAACCTCAAGTCCTGCCTCACTTTGATTCCGGACAGCCAATTGCAGAGCAGTTCCCTCGGGGCCTGGAGGACCGTTAACATCGGCGCCGTGGCTGACAAGTAGCTCTACTACCTCGAGCATTTCAGAGCCTTGCTTCCAGATGGCAGATTGTAGTGCTGTTCCACGGCAGCCGGGTGACGCGTTGACATCTGCGCCGTAACTCAGAAGCAGCTGGACTATTTCAATAGCTTTTTTGCCCGAGTTTTGGGCAGCAGATTGCAGTGCCGTTCCATGGCGGCCGGGTGAAGCGTTGATATCTGCGCCGTGACTCAGAAGCAGCTGGACTATTTCAATAGCTTTTTTGCCCGAGTTTTGGGCAGCAGATTGCAGAGCCGTTCCCTCGATACCTAGCGGGGGATTGACATCTGCATTGTGATCGAGTAACAGCCGTACTATCTCGACGGCATCCTCGTCCAGATTTTGGGCGGCGCATTGTAGAGCACTTCCCCTCGGGCCTGACCGACTGTTGACATCTGCGCCATGGCTCAGTAGTAACCGCATCATTTCCAATCCCTGGCTGCCAGCACATATCCCGGCAGCTCGTTGTAGAGCAGTGCCGGAGTACATGTTAGTGTGAGGGTCATTGTAGGCCAGGTCAACGTCGGCCCCTGCTTCCAAAAGCACACTCGCGACATTGAAGGACGTGTTGACCACCATGTGAATCGGGATTTCGATGTCATATTTGTCCGTTTCAATTAAGAGTTTCTCAAGTTCATCTTGGCCTAGCTCAATCCCGTTCACTTCTGCGTCTTGCTTTGGATTGTTTTCGTACCAGTCGTCGTATCGGTCTTCGTATCGGTCTTCGTATCGGTCATAATTAACGTATATCGCCCCGTTGACGTCTATACCACTGGATATCAACTTCTTGATTTCGCTGACTCGGGCTTCGTTCAGACATTGAAACCAGCGACGCGTCATTGTCGAAGTGAGGGTTCGTGCTTCCTTAGACTGAGAAGTTACGGGTTCCTCTGAGGAAAGAGACTCCCCGCCTGATGGGATTTTGGTGCCCTCAGATGGTGACGATTTCATCCATATTGATGGCATTTCTCCAGGCATTTCCGATTTCCCCTTTGAAATCGTCGTTGGGGTCGCTGAAGCCATTGTAGGTGAGCTCTTTCCGGGTGCATAGCTCATTGCGTCGGATTTGCGTATTGGACGTTCTTCCCTGAAATCAGTGGGAGGTATAGAAGGCTATCTCGCACAAGCAAATGAACACGGCATTAAAAGAAAATCCATTCTCGGTAAAAGACAGGGAGGGGTCGTATCCAGTTTTATCTCCTCGCGAGGCGTCGAGGAGGCTATGCAGAGTGGCGAGGCAAACGGCTGCGGACAGACTAGTGATTAAATAGGGCGACTTAAGGCAGCGGCTGACATGAGGGGGGATATCACACATGATGATTGGACGCTCATTTCCACCATTTTCATTTTCGAGACTCGGCTAACTCAGCTGCGATTCATTTACCCAGTGTAAATGAAGCTCTGGGCGGAATTCTGCCTTGCATTGAAATGGAAGGTGTTCATTGAGAGGAGGTGATTACAGTATCATACATAGGTTAAGAGGATAGCTCAAAGTAAAATTTCTGCCTAGCATTCGCGTTTGAGGCGGAGCAATGCTACGTACGCCTTTGGACGCCTTCAAACGCCCTAAGTTCGCCTCACTTTCAACAGGCAATTGCCGCTATCCCTGTTTGGCAAGTACTCAATGGAAATTTCAATGGCAAATTCCCATTTCAATAGATTTTATTAATAAATACAGACCACCTTCCCATCGTTTCTTATGAGCATTTTCTTTTTGGAAGCTACTACCCGCCTATCTTTCACCAATCCTCACCGTTGCCCGACCTCGGTTGAGACTCTTGAGCAGGCAGCCCGAAAAGCGTTCATATCACTGTTCCTACGACTACCATATTTTCAAGAGATCTGGGTTTGACGTATTCGACCTTCATTGCGAATCACTCGCGACTCACTGTGTCACCGGCCGCCAAGATGGATACTATGAGAGCGCGTCCTAGCTGCGCAGGAAGCGCTTTCAGCGGACCATTCAGATCGTCCGCGACGGTTGCACAGGCTCGGCTATCATCTTCTGAACAAATATTTTAAACCAAGGTAAATCTTAGACCTTAAAGAAGCCATCGATTCCGTCACGAGTTTTAAAAAATAGGAGCCATGGAAGACCTTAAAAACGCCATTGCATGTTACTAACCCACTTTTCGTCGCCCAAACATGTTCGACATTACCAGAATCACAGCTAGTAGAGAGTGACTTCGTTGCCTTACCAGAATCCCAGATTAAAAACGAGCTTACGAGACTATGGAAACCGCCATGCAACTCGTCTCGAAGCGGATTTCTCGGGCCATCCACAATGCAGACAAACAGGACATTCTCAGCCAAATGTATGGGCTATGTACAGACGCAGCAACCGTGGTATTCTTTGAGACCAAAGGGCCGTTAGTTGCATTCAATTTCCTCGAGCAGGGCCAGGGCCTGGTCGCAGGATCACTAGAGGAAACGCGGTCCGACGTGGTTGACCTCCAAGGGAAACATCCTGAGCTTGCAAAACAATTCACCCGGCTTCGCAAACAGATAGAAGAACTTAGTGCTGGGCATAAAAATTCTGGCGATTAAACCCGTGAAGCGCTCTGGGGGACTGACGCAAGTGGACATGTCGAAGTAATAAAGTAGCTTGACAAGCTTCTCATCGAGATCCGCAAACAACCGGAATTCGAGGGTTTCTTGACAATACCGAACGAGAAAATGATCAAAGAAGATGTTACGCACGGTCCGATTACCATTATCAACATAAGTGAATTCCGTTGTGATGCATTATTCATCGAGCGACACCAGGTACACTGGATAGCTTTGCCTCACCTCGGAATTGCAAATATCGGGGCAAAATCGCAAGAAAATGACATAGAACGCCGGAAGATTCGAAATTGGCTCTGGGAGACAATCACAGGCCCAATCTTGAGTGCTCTTGAGATCACTTAACCTCCATCTGACGACAACAACTAGCCTCATATCTAATGGATACTGACCGGACCTCTTAACATATCTCCCTCCACGCAGCAAAGAATCACTATGAAGGCTCTACCGAGAAGGTTATCGATCGGGTAATGTCTTCTTACAGCACTTATATTAAAGCAATTACCCACGGCCGCCGCCGTCCTGTTCCTGGATTGGCATCTCAGCTACAGAATAGGCACTCCTTGTTGCCATGGACCATACACCCGAAACCTCAGAGTGTCTTCAGTGTGCACCCAGTGAGATATCTGAAGTGCGTAGCCTTTACAAATTCTCAAGCCTGAACCTGATTGAGACGAGCCGAAATAAAGAGGTCGATGCTCTGGGTTCCTTGTGTCCATAATGGCCTATGATCTGGAGTATGAGCTCAGACCCTAGTCAAGCCTTGTATACAATGTCAAGAATACCTCATGTCCTAATTTTCACATCCTTACCCTGTGCAAGTTGGCAATCCAAAGTACGAGTAGCTAAGATCTCTCCATGAATCTAAGAGAGATACTTCAGATGCTGCAATAGCATCGCAGAGAGTGAGTCGGTTCATCACTATTCCTTAACCCTATAGCCCACTTGAGAGAGGCTCCGAGATTGGCTACCCTACACAGACCAGTAGAATATTAGTTGGTGAATAAACTTAAGGCAGAAATACATTCAGAAATGAATCCTCAATGCTTCAAATTTAAATTGCTGCAGTCGTTCAACCGGGATGCCATGTAGTCGAGCTGAAAAATTACCGTGCTTGAGCCGTCGGCGAACCAAAGATTTAGCGCAGGTTGTTTTGGGATGAAATGGACGACTGGGAATTGGCAGCAGAGTAGTATGATTGCCGAGGTTTCTGCAGTCGCCGTTCGTATTCGCTGTGGATATCGCGCGGTGCCATGACGGCCTGCGAGTCGTGCGTTTCGCCATCCTGCCGTTTTTGTTAATAGGGCAGTGCCGTGGGCCTGCTATTGTATGGCTAACAATGAGTACCTATCGGATCGCAGGATACCCTGAGAATCGGGCGGCCCGAGAACGGCTTTGCTCTTTGAGTAGGCAAGCGCCTAGACTATTTAATCTGGACCAGCGGATCTGCCGACTCCGCGTTTGGTGATTCATCCCAAAGCGTGACGATCTCCTGCCCTATCAATTCGGATTAGCTAACGTGAGGAATGCTGTTTACAACCTTAAGGAATGCCATCGACGGTTCTGGATCAACATGATTAGTGGGCTGCCGCAAGCTTTCTCTTAGCGTACTGAAACCACCATGTGAAACCTGAACCTGGCTAGAATAGCATCGGAACCGGCTTGTTTGCAGCTCGAGTAAGTCAGCCACAGATCGATCTCGACTCTCCGGAGAAAGCAAATCTGGATTACCTCATCCTTGAGAAGAGCGTTATATTCGCCATCTCCCACGGCTCAAACTTACCTCTCAATCCATCCACCGGGATACATACTCGACTAAGAAAGTCTGTGAGACTTGAAATTACCGTCTCGGATTTTTAAACATCATCCTCCACATTCGATCATCGCTTCTTCGGGGAACCATGCATCTCAGTGACCCAGGCCCAGCAGTCATTTTGGTCAGATCCCTACCCACCCACATCCAATCTCCCCACTAACCAAATGCTCACGGTAGGTGGTTGGCTGGCTTCTCATCGCCGTGGCCGGTACCATCATCATAGCTCGCCTATTTGTTCGCCTCAAGATTGAGAACCGAAGATGGGCATGGAGTGACATTCTCATGTGCTCTTCCTGGATCTGGGCCACCGTCGCAACCTCATTCAACGTCAAGTTCATGAAACTCGGAGCCCTGGATGCAGGTGTATTGCTCTCATTGCAAAATTACCGTGGCGAACAAGATGATATCACTATGCTGTTCAAGGTGAAGTTCAACAAGCCGCCTGGCCTCGTGGCAACAACAACAACAACTGGCTAATGTAACTTGTAGTACTTCTGGTTTTGGTCCGTTGCTGTCTTAGCTGCCATATATCTCGCCAAAGGGACACTTCTCGCATCGTACTCGCAAATTTTCCCTTCCTTTATGGTAAAAAGAAGGACAACTCTATGGGCCACAGCTATTTTTATCGCTTTGGCGTATTTGGCGAGCACCTTGACACTCATCATGATTTGCCTGCCAGTCCACACACACTGGTGAGTACAGTCTCCCGTCTATGTTCAATCATTTGGTTTGTGGGAGGCCGAAATCTAACATGCATTCTCTAGGGACCTGGACCCTACATCAAAATGTCCGTCCACCAAGGCCGTAACCGTATTCCATGTTTCATGGGCCCTCCATGTTGCTGGAGATGCTTTTCGTATGCTATAGATCTGACTCTATGGCTTCGTTGCAGTGCTAATATCCCCCTAGTCTTTTTCCTACCCTGGCTTGTCATAACTAAACTAGAGCTGAAGACTTCGGTCAAAATCGTGGCGTATTGCACGTTGTTCCTTGGCCTGCTTACAGTTGGTCTTGCTGTTTTACCATTTGTCGCCATTGAAACTGCACCGAATAAGAATCAGGTCTCAACCAGTTTGCTTGGTATGTTTGCTCAGTACCGCTTTTCTCAGTTGTCTGCCTCCAATCAGGCTAACTAAAATCTCCAGTGCTCTTGGCTACCCTTGACTGCAACCTCACTCTCATAATCGCCTGCCTTCCCTCGCTTCGCTCATACTTTAACCTTCGGATCACGGAGGTACCGACACAACTCAAGGTCCAGGTGGTTGGGTCTGTATCGACAGACGAAAATGAGAAACACCCAAATTTCACCTCCATAACCTGGGGCCACCGTCGTGTTACATCATCGATTTCTCTTGAATCCGACGCTAACCTCAAGGGCCACCGTCGTCGTATATCTTCGGTGTTCAACGAATCTGGCCATAACCCCCGGGGATACCCTCGTCCAACAAATTCCGTTTCTATTGAAGCTGGCAACAACAACTACTGGGGCTATCGTCGTGACAACGAGTCCATTTCTGTTGAATCCGATAAGGATGCAAAGGATGATGACGACAAGATTGGCGAGAAGGGAGAAGAAGTTGAACAAAATTGAAGGCAGCAAAGGTGCCCATAATATAGATATGGTGGTGACAAATTATTTGCGGCAGCACATGGTGATTGTTTGGAGAATTTAGCATACAAGCAGTTAGAATATGAAAGAGCCCGATAATACTTTATTTTCCACCTTACTCGCAAGCGATTCATGCTTCCAAATCAAAATGTCAATTTGGCGCCTCGAAGAGCAGGCTGACTTCTAGTCTACATTGGCTACGGTAGACCCCCAACTTTAGGAGAACGATGGTAGAGATAACTTCAAAGATTACATCCTCACCCAATTCTGTTCGGATTGGTTGTTTCTAAGATGGGCCAAGCGGAAAGTCATGTCGTGGTGGGAAAAGGCCAATTGCGTCTGTTACATGATGACCATGCGAATACGGTCGATGCAGAAAGTCTACACAGATATTACAAGATTGTATTGTGCATTATTTGGAGTCCACATTTGATGTGTTTGTGTCCATGATCAAACGAAAATGCAACGGTTTGTCCAAGAGCCCCATCGTCACCGCACTTAGATAAAGAATGACTGTTCGACGGCTTGTCCGAAACTGGCGATCATGGCTGCTGTGGGTTCCGGCTGTTACCTTTCGGTTGTTCCGACAAACCTCGAGTTTAAAAGTCAGCCAGTGACATCGGTGACAAGGAAATATGTAGAAATCCCCAGTTTTCGAAGTCCAAAACGCACAATAAACCAGACACTGAACCGTCTTCTCACGATTTATCATCTTATTTGTTCAGAATTACTGCCGTCAACCTTTTCCCAAGCCTAAACATGTCTCCCAACGGGCAAGCCTTTCTACTGGATCCGACTGCGCCCGAGGGGCCAACTCGATATCCCCATGCCCGCATTAGTCCTGCCGCCGCACACAAAACCATCTACGTCTCTGGCATCGCATGCCGGCGGCCGGACGGGAGCTACCCAGGTGTGACGGAGAACGCCGACGGCACTTACACTCTTGACATCCGAGAGCAAACCGCTGCCGTCCACAAGAACATCGACGAGATAATCAAGGGAGCTACGGATGGGGCTGGTGGAATTCTCAACGTCATCGATGCGGTTGTCTACATCTTGGATATGAAATCTCAGTACGCTGGGATGAACGAAGAATGGAACAAAGTCTTTCCAAGTCGGGACAGTGCCCCGGCGCGGGCAACGATTGGTGTCAAGGAACTGCCTGATCCTCGTTTGATTGTGGAAGTCAAAGCGACGGCGGTTGTTGGTTTGTAAATTCACTTTAAGAGTCAAATGAATCTACATCAATTACCTATTTTAGCGTAATGCTGATCATTGTGCGGAAAAATGAACAAAAGTCGAGGGAAATAATCGTCCATCATTGGCTTGCAGATATCCTCGACAAGCTAGGATGAGCAATTGGCAATGTCGATATGTCCGATCTACAAGTACGTCATGAACATGTTGCTGGTGTGTCGGACGAGCCGCTCTCATGTGCTCCGATAATAGCGGGGTTGACGGCTCGATAAGGTATCAATCCGTCTGTAAATTTATGAAAGTGTCGTCTTGTCGGCTTCTCCGACAATCTACGCTTGGTACTTTGGGCTGATTATGGGCCCCGCTACCTCGTTTTGCAGCCTTAGTACGACGCCTCGTTTTGCGAAACATCAACCACAGCCACGGAATTTGCTTCGGCACACCGAAAAGTCGCGGCAACTACCTACGGTAACTTGCTCTAGTATCTGTTCCGTTTCAATGCTCCCAATGCGGCCCCTTTGAACAGCCGTGGGTGGTTTCATCAACAGTGAGCTGGTGGATAAAAGAGGGTAAAAATATTGATGCAATGAGTCCCAGATAGACATTTCCCCTCCAAATCAATATAGGCGCGCAGCGAGACTGAGCTGGAGATTACAGCTGTCTTCGCCACTGTCAAACACAACGTCGACGCCACCATCGAAGTTGCTTTCAAAGCACTTCTAGTCCCGGCATGGAAGGATCTTGGCCCTTCAGATGATGAGAAGCTCATGCCTAAATTGGCTGATCTAATCTGGGAAAATCGGAGACCCTCGAAACCATTCGGACTCTCGACAATGGTGCGTGATTCCCAGCCCCGATTCAAGAGAGGAGTCTTTGATGTGTGTGGGGAACAGGAAAGCCGTGCCCGGTTGCTCTCGATAACTACGCGGACGAACATTGTGTGACTAGGCTCACAATACAAAGCTTGCGTATATGGTCCGCCAGCCAATTGGTATTGTCGGGCGGATTACACCGTGGAATCTCCCGCTCAGTATGACCGCCTCGAAGCATAGCTCGGCATTGGCAGGCAGCAACATGGTCGTGTTGAAACCTGTAAAGCAAGTTACACTGGGTATATGATACCTCGCCAGTCTCATCGCCAAGAGAAATTTTGTCTTGACATTGAATGTACTCAATATGCTTGAATCAAAGGCTGGTGCGATTATTGTGGGTCGCCCAGACCATGGCAAGGTCGTTTTCGCGAGTTTAACAACAGGAAGGGGTGGTAAAGCTGGTTCCTTCAACACTCAGAGGTATGCGATGGAGACGAGGGGAAAGTCTCATCGATGTCTTCGACGAGGTAGACTGGGAGCAAGCCGCTACAGTGGCCCATTCAGGCATCGCGCATAACCAGGGTTAAGTTGACACGTCGCGCTACGTCCCACATTCCACTGCACAAAGACATCGACGACGGATTCGTCCTGCTATTCAATAAGATATCCAAACGGGTTAGCATAATTTACGATGAGTTGGCTGCCGATACGTTTCAAGGGCACTTGTTTCCAAGGATCAATACGCATGAATCCTGTAGTACAGCCACAGTGAGACGCAAGGGTTGGGCCTATGATGGCCATGACTACTCTCACAAGCCCGTAGAGGCAGCATTGCAGACCTACCTACTCGGGAATCCAGGTGATTATGTCCATCCATGTTGGCTCTAAGCTCTGATCGAGTCTAGTATGTAGATTAGTGGGCATTTCCAAAACAGCTGCCATGATTGGGGAGGGGAGGCCTTATCGGATCTGAGTCATGGCGATGGCCAACTGGACCTATCAATCGTGCAGGAGATGATGCGGGGAAAACGGGGGATGGGACAAGATCGATATCGCGATAAAGCGCAGACGCACCCCCAACTCGATCAAGATAACCAACCCTCCCTCTCCTCTTTTCTTACTGCGGAATTTTATCGCCCGTCTCGATCTGCAGCTGCGTATTCTCTTCTCCATGGCGCCCCCTTTTGCAACAGCCTACGCTAGAACGTCGTGCTCGCGATGTCACAAGCGGAAGAAGAGATGCGACCGCGCTTTGCCCCAGTGCGAAAACTGCCACAAGGCCCGTATCGCCTGCAGCTTCCTGGACGATGACCGGCAAACAGCGTCCTATCCGATTGGGTAAGAATTGTCCGTTGGTCATTTGCAATCGAGTCGTCACATACGTGAATGATTCTTCAGCTCAGTGGTCGCAGGGCTGACTTATTACCTAGTTATGTGCGCAGCCTAGAGAGCCGAATCCAGGACTTGGAAACCCAACTTGCTGGCTCGCCGCGGGCACCGAGTTCCGCGGCAAATGAAGAGGCGTCTCTCGCAGATGAAATCTCATGTTCAGGTCAAAATCCAGAACAATTCCCGGATGAGTTTCACGATGAGTTGGTCGTCATCGACCCAGACGGCACCTGTCCGCCGGCCTTTTATTCCCATGACGGATCCTGGGGCGACTTGGAAATCCATCCCGAAGACACTGCCCCGAGATCAGTGCGAGAGACGCCACATTCTCTCGACGAAGAGCTGAAACACCTGTCGCTCGAAGCCACGGCGGAGCGACATCTCGGCTCCTCGTCCGGCCTCTCGTTTGCGAAACTCACGCAGATGGTGCTTCGACGCCTCACTCCCGATAAGGCCGATTTCGTCTTTGCAAACGACGACGACGAAGACCGGACTCTGCAGCAGTTCAACGCCGGGTCTCCGTCGACGATGCTGAACAATTTCATGTTCAACAACTTTGGAAACCCTACCGCGTGCGATCCGATTTTGTTCGGCGACTACCCCCTCTCGGCTATCGCGGCACCCGATGAGGCCGTCGCCCACTTATCTCTCCTCACCGACGATACCAAGGTTAGCCGCTTGGTAGATTTCTACTTTGCCCACTCACATACGCTGTACCCGATTATACAGCGGAGCGAGTTCACTGCCACTCTTCACTTCGTCCGTTCAAACCCGGATGCCCCTTTGGCCCAATCTCCGTTGTCTCTTTTCAGAATTTGGATGGTTTTAGCAATCGGCTCTACGGCATATTGCTCCGTTACATTGGCTGAAGAGTCAGAGTCCATGCTGTATTACGACAAAGCTCTGACATATTTCGAGGCGGCTCTCGAGTATGGAGACATGGTACGTAAGACGTCCAGATCAACAATGCATTCTGACACTCCCATAGGCTGCTCTGGAGGTCATTGCGCTGCAAGTCTCATACTCGTTCTTTAACCAACTCGGGCCAAGTATAAACCTCCATCTGGTCATCGGGATCCTCACACTAATCACCCAACAGATACGTGGTTCCTTGTTGGCTTAGCTGCTCGTATAGCTCTCGGTATGGGTCTTCACACATCCAAGACTTATGAAGGACTACCACACGATGTTGTCGAAAGGCGGAAACGGGTTTTCTTTTCCATCTACATGATGGATCGGTAGGCGGAAACCCTGATTGTGGTGACACACACTTGCTAACGACATCGTCCTCCTCAAGTGTGGTATCGCTAGCACTCGGGAGGCCGTTTGCTTTGCACGAAGATGACATTGATGTCTCGGTAAGGAATTCCTATGATACAATTCTCTGGAGTGGTCCAGCTAATACCCAACCTTAGCCTTTTGCCGATGTCGATGAAGAGGATGTAACACCCGACGGCATCCAAACCCCCACCTCTCTTAACCCTTCCATGATGGCTGTACCTCTCCACATCCTGGCTCTGAGGCGAATTGCCGGCAAAATGGCCACGCTGGTGTACTCAAATCGGAGAGTCGCTCTACTGGACACGCACGAACGAGAAGACATACTGCGGTCACTACACAAGGAGCTTATCGACTGGCGCCGCAACATGCCGTTCCCCCTGCCCGACATCAACGCCCAAGTGCCGCATTTGACCAGCAGCTGGTACGACTTTAACTACTACACCCACCTCGCGATGCTCTACCGACCAACGCCCCTGTTTCCAACGCTGGATCAACACCGCATCAAGATCCTCGCAGAGGCCGCCTCCATGTCCATCCGCCAAGCCACAAACATGCACCGGCAGAAAAGGTTTGCATATAACTGGTTAAATCTTCTTTCCGTTTTCACCTCGACACTGTCCCTCATCTATGCCGTGACGGCTCAACCAGATAACCTAGCGGCAGTGCTGGAGGAGACCAAGGCGACCAGCGACCTCGAGCTATCCATCGAGCTGTTCACGGCGCTCAGCGTAAAGTTCCCCGCGGCCAAGAAAATGCAGAGGATGGTGGATCAAGTAGTCAAAAAGTACGGCGACCTGCACAACAAATCGGACGGCTTCCATAGCTCAGTTGGTTAGAGCTTCGTACTAATACTACTACTTGCTAGTGTTGGTGATGCGAAGGTCGCAGGTTCAAGCCCTGCTGGGAGCAAAATTGCCTCGCAATGCTATCCAATTTCTTTTTAACAATTTCGTCGATTTTTTTTGGTGGGTGGGGCGGTTGAGTGTTATCTATTGTGGTGTTGCGATCCACCACCGATAGGACAATCATCAAGTCCAGTAGTATCTTGCTCGCAGTCTTCCCGAAAGTAGCTAGACGGTGGTAAATTGCGGTGCCTGGTTATATGTTGTAGAATTCTCCGAGATGTTGCGCTCTTGAAGGGAGTTACCATTCCCCAGGGAGGCGGAATATTAGTCTCCAAAAGTAGCCATTCAGCGCAAAGGTAAAGTCCCGCGGTGTTGACTGTGTGGTATCTAAGTATTATGTCTTGTTTGGCATCTAGTACCTGGATATGGCGGTCGTTGTTGTGTGTCTTAAAAGCGGCCGACGAAGGACCCGGGTTGTGTTGGATCATCAACCGCCTCTAACTCCTCCCCCCACAGCCACTTGCAGCCCTGTCGTCACAATTAGAGACTCCTCAGACTTTCTGTTCCTGGCGTACTGTAGAATTTCTTCTCAACCTTTTTGTAGGCCCTTAAGAACGTCACGGCAGATATCGAGATTCTCCGACAGCCGAGTCGATACAAGACCAATACGGCAACTGTCTCAAGACGGGACGAACACTCGGCGTATTTCGAAGATCACCATACCAACCCGAATATTGGGGAAACTACTGGTCATTTTCATGGTCAGTTGATTGCACAGACATTGGGTTCTCAGAGAACGTGTGCGTGAGTACATTGCATGTTGACCTTACGTTACCTTTTTGTTGGCTGAATATATTGCGGAGAAGAGTGAGACTTTCAAACTATGATAAGAAATGATGTGTATTCCGTCAGACTGAGTGCTACTTCTAGGGCGTACATAGTGAAGGCGGTACAGATATAGACGACTTGCTCCATCTGGTACCGTAGTTGTCGTCATAATTGATGCACTAGTCCAATCTATTCCCACAGTAAGAAAAGCTCATAGATCCCGTTTAACATGCCTTACATGCTCAAAATAGGCTCTTTCTGCTTGGCCTTTTGCTCCCTAAATGCGCTTTCAGTCAGTCAGTGCAAGACATCTACAATCCATCCTAGCGGGAAGGGGCACAACGCCGATCTCATACTGCATATGCCTTTATTTTTAGACCGCCGGCATTTGAAAATTCATACTGGCATGGGAGATGTGAGTCAATACCAACACTGCTAGTGGGAGATCAGCGGCTGGAAATGCGCGCATGAGCCGTAATGTATAAAATGGAAGCGTTTCCATCCGAGTTGCGACACGTCCTTCTCTGATCACTTCCTCATTCACCTTCTCAATTAAAACATATTATTAACGAGTCAATTCATCACTCGAAACGACCAGCTATTCCCAGTCACCTTCGCAAATATGAAACTCTCAATTTTGGCTTTCGCCTTTTCCCTTTTACTTCATTCCACATCCGCGCATCCGACACAGAAGCTCGATCTGAACAATGAGCGCTCTCTCGATGCCACGACTCCCGGAATCTACGAGGATACGTAACCATGCAAAGTACAGAAGCAAACACTAAATCGAACTAGCTCGCAGCATTGATGCAGCTTTCAATGAGCGAGCCAATATCTGGTCCCCAGACTCCGAGGGAAATATTAAAAGAGAGAAAAGCACCTCCCAAGAAGCCGGTAGCTTTTACAAATCACTCGGATTCGGACCGAACAACGCCCTTGCGGCGGCGTTGAACTGGGAAGCCCTCCGCCGTTACCTTATCCTTGTCGAAACCAGTAACATTCTGGGGGCGAAGCTCAAGCAAGACCAACAGTTTTGACTTCTCTTACTTGCCAAGGCACAGGAGAATATGATCGCCAACGGTGTCAACTTGGCGAAGGCAGCCTGGTTTGCAGAGCAATGGAAGAAAAACCTCGCCGCGCTGTCTGCTTTGCCTAAAACCTCAAACCTTACCAGCGTGGATTTTATTAAGACACTGTTTGGAAAAGAAACGGGCCACCTTGGAGCAGAGTCAACCCAAGTGTTTTCAAACTGATTGCAGTTTTAGCCATAGAATCCGTTGTTCCTCGGTGGTCATCACACTCTATAACACGCTGTTGGAATCGAATGGCGGGAGATTTCGAAGATGGTTCGACGACAAAAGCTATCTTAGAAACTTTTCAAGTCGTACTCCCTTTCCAGATTTATTTACAGGAAACCGACACCTCTATCTTGGTTTCAACACAAGGTTCATTTTTCCTAGCCCGTAACATAGTGCTAGCATCTATTATGTATTTCCATTTCAGGAGCCCTTGGAATATGACACGTGAGATGGCGTAATTTTGTGGACATACATCTTATATGCATGGGAACGTTGAATTACTGAGTCATTTTTAACACTCACAACGGTGGCACAAGTGGACTCTCAATCTAGCCCAGCAAAATATATCGGACTCACAAACCTTTGTATGTGTTAAAAGCCACACACGTCTCCTCCCCCCGGGGAGAGTTTTCTAGAGTTGATCTCAATCATGTTCTGCGAAGATTTTCTCGGTCTTGTCCAGGACCCTGCTCTTCTCACAGATGACTTTGACTACAGCAAGTTTGCTGCTGACGGATGCTCGCTGTCTGAGGTTCTTCGACACCACATTCCGGATGTCGCATGTATCGGGATATCGGGTTTTTGCGGTTATGGCGGCCGTGAAGCTTTTCCTTTATCGTCATAGGTGTCCATTGCCACCTGCCTCGTCAGCAGTTTCGTCATCAACCTAGCCCTAGCCCTAGCTTTTCCTTGATTTTATCTACAGCTAGTTAAATCCAAAAACTCCGAAGGATCCGGAGCCTCTTGGCTGTCCAAGGTCATCCGAGATCATCGTCAGTCTCTTGGTCTATAGGACTGACCTGATCTAAAGACCCTCATTTAGATAGGCAGAATATCAAATGCTCATCGCATACATCATCATTTCCATCTGCTAGATAAAACAGGGAAGTTCAGCTTCTATGACAAGACTGGCCAAAATGTTGGAGAAATACGGACAAGACCACCCTCAGTGTGCGGCACTTGTTAGAGATGTATATCTCCCCTCCCGTGCCCTCGATCTGGAACAATAGTAACGAAAAAAAAAACCCCATTTAGTATTGCATTTAGTATTTTAAGCCTAAATTGACGCCCGATTAATATTATATTGCTTAAAAAAGTAGTCCTTCTGCTAGAAGTAGAACTACCCTACAACCTGCAAATACAGGCTGGTATACGCACAGTAGGGGAGCAGTCGGGCCGGGCGTATTTCCCGACCCTCTCATATTTTGTTATTGTAGTTGTTAGTTGTTCGTAGCTGCAGCGGGCGCGTCCGAGGGATTTATTTAAATCTCGCGCCCCGCGTTTTGTGACTCTCTTTTTCCTTCTTCTTTATACTTTTGTGAGTTAACCTCTCCCCCGTCTTCATGCCCCGCCAGCAGTGTTTTCGATCCAGGTTCGTGTCGCTAAATTAGTGTTGTTACTATGGTCTTATCGACAAATGGTATTTCCTACCTCTTGTTAGCAGTACAGTCTCTGAGTTCCTGTAGCAAGGACAGCAGCAGCAGCAGCAGCAGCAATAACAATGACAATAGGTTCCCGCCTCGTCCCCTTCGCGTCCCGGCTGCGACTTCATGGTTTGAATGGCAATATTTACCAGTAAAAACCTTGGTTATAACATGGATGTATACTGATGTACATGTTACTTTACAAATTGAACTATATTGAAACACCTCCACAAATAGAAATCCCAAGTCATAACGCCAGAAAAGACTAAACCTCCCTGACGTCAAAAGGCGTAAGCTTCAGAGAATACATATACAATACATCCCACCCAGATATTTAAGGTAATTGAGTGGTCACATAAGCTACTCATAGTGTGTTTGTCAATTTTGTCACATCAAGCTTGGAAAGGGTCACCGGTGGGCTATCTGATTGTCCTCTTCTGCTGTCTGCAGGTAATTGAATTTTGGTCCAGAGGCGGCTGGAGTGCCGTCGGTATGTCGTGACTATTTCTAGTTACATAAATGAATGTCGTAAGAAGAAAATTTAATATCCTCGCCATCAAGTATGTAGCGTTCCAATCCAATGGCCTAAGCTCTTTAATAAAAGTAGATGAAGAAGATTAATAAAAGAATAGCAGGTAAAGCATACTGGACAGTATGCGAGATTGAGCCTGATGAAAAGGAGTGTCATGTTAAAAGTCATCTCGCCCAGAGGCATCCGAACCCTAGTCACCCATTGTGTCGCTGGAGCAAACACTCAAAAGTGCCTAGCTCACCCAACTTGCAGCGGCTACCTCATTTAGGTATTAATAGCCTTGGTGTGTCAGTCTCTACCACCAGTTGGAGCGGTTTCCGAGTTACATACCTTCTCACTCAGTATGGGGGCTTGTAAGGGTAGGGCTTCTTTGTGACCGTTTCAGTTACCGTGTCGGTCTTGGTTACCGTGTCGGTCTTAGTCTTGTAGACGGTGACTGGGTACTTGATCTTCTTGGTGATCGTGTCCGTAACCGTGTCGGTCTCAGTCTTCGTAACGGTGACGGGGTACTTGATCTTCTTGGTGATGGTGTCGGTTTCGGTGACAGTCTCCGTCTTCTTGATGGTGACAGGGTATTTGATCGTTTTGGTGATCGTGTCCGTCACCGTCACCGTCTTGGTAACCTTTCCGTAACCGTAATCGCCAGGAACGGCGAGAACCATCGTCATGGAAAGGAAGGACGCGATGAAAGCGAGGCACTTCATTTTGCAGGTTTGCCGGGTGGTTTGTGGTTTGAACGAGGGTTGCGAGTTTGGTTGGGCGTTGAGTGTGCAAGTTGGGTCTGCAAGCTGAGTCTGCAAGCTGAGAGTGCGAGTTGAGGTAGAGCTTGATTCCTTGATGATTGACGGCCACGATGCCCTCTTTATACACAATCTTTTTCCCAGCCATTGCCTTGTACGCTTGCAAGATCATTCCCGGATCACGCAAGTGGCTAGAAGTCAAGGCGACAAAACAAACCAAGGTGCTACATGCACGCTTTGCGTTGGAATTGCTTTGTTGGCAAACGTGCACCGAGCTATGGCTTTGCTAAGTTCAGCCATCAACTCGTATATGCTCGTAAGACCGTATTGATGCAGTGGCCGCAGGAGGACAACCCTGGAGCAGACCTATTTTCGCGACCGTGGCTTTTGGCTAGTTGCGTTGTTCCCATTCTCGTGACGTATTTCCCCTCAAGTCTACCGAATTAACGCTCTGATGTCTTATGTGCAATATGCTGTCATGGATCGGGGTCGGTTAGGCCGGTGGCGTGGCAGCGCAGGGAGCTGCACAGAAAAGCCAGCTGAGATGAGCAGCAACGACGTAAGAATATCACTTCTTGGCATCTAGTCGCGGGCATGATCATCTTCGATGAGGGGTCAATCCCTCCTGTGCATACTCTCTTTCACCGGTTTTCAATGAGACAACTGAGACCGATCCCAGACGACGGCGCCTGGATCTACTCGTCACACCAGTGCAATCAGATAAGGCCAACGTCGCAACGTAGCTCGACAGTCATCATTCATCATTCATCTCGTCCTCATCGTCATCACTCAGAGGCTGTTTTCCTGTAATTGGCCAGGAAGCGCTCTCCACAGTCGGCGGTTGTACTTCCAGCAAGTGATCCAATGATATCGTCACCATCTCACCAAACGCCCGTTGCTGCAGAGACCTCACCTATCACATGCACGTGCAGCAGCTGAAGTAGCACTACCGGCGGCCCTTTAATGGCGCAACCACGGAACAATATGGCGACATGTGCACATTGTCCACTGAAAGGGACTATTCGTTGTTATATTTATCCTCTTGCATCCTTAAGGCGCCGATCGGAGCAGGCTACCAATAGAGGGGAACGGTAGCGAATAAGGTATCAACGCATGATGACCTGGTGCCATCCAATAAACAGATATCAATCATCAAGCCCTTCTAGCTGCATTACCTCCGCTCTTGTCCTCCCTTGCGTTTTCAATTGAAGCTGAGAAATACGAGAAATGACAACAATGCACCGCGTCTAAAAGCCTCACGACAAGGGGATCTGTCTACTTAAAACGCGCCACAATAATGGTACATGTTTCCTCACCTGAATTGTATGGTGACAGAAGTCAAAGAATTATTGCATCATTGTCAGCCGTGCTTAGTCTACCGCCCTTGTCTTATTGATTCTCACTGCGCAAACATGGTATTGGGATTCTTCGCTCATGGGGCGGTATTGCGCCATGGAAGTCCGTAAGCGAGCGGCAGAGAAAAGATTCTAGTCAATTAAAGTCGCTTAAGATCGTGTGGGGTAACAGGGCAGAGGGGTGAAGTGAATTGACCAGTCCTCTCATCGTGGTCGAACAACAATCCGTCCTCGCTAAGAATCCCCATGACGGTGTTCCACTCTTTGTTTCCAGCCACCCTGGCGATCCACCCGGCCTCAAGAGCCGGGCCAGATCATCCGGTGGTCCCCTGAAAAAACATGGGGAAGCATGGCAGTTGTCCCCTGCTTCTCTGGCTGCGCTGAAAAGCATTGGCGGCTCCGAAGGGGCCCAATCTCCTGAGCAAGTTTGGCATCCCGCTTACTCTTGGGGTTAGATGGTACAGCGCATGGCCACGCCGCTGGCAATTGACGAGAGGTCTGCTGACGAGCAGAGTGCAAGGTCCTTGGCTGAGAGCCGAAGCATTGTCTATGAGGCTGGCAAATTACAACAAGGATCTCGCAGATCAGCGGCTGATCGACGGTGTGAGAGTGGAGGCACTGTGATCGAGGCCCTGACGACCCCAGTCCGCCGTACGATAAACGCGGATAAAAGTGGCACTAGGGGGCCTCAAAAGCGGTGTCTCCGGTGATTTGTTCCTCTTGTTGAGGCCCCTAGTAAAGGGAGGCTTGGCACAGCTTACACAAGGGCGGGGAGGTGGAGTGAAGACCAAGTAGGAGGGAAGTAAAGAGAGAACAATGCTTACGGAGACCATGTCCAGGAGAAGCCAGCAGCTCGTTGATCATTGAGGGAGCGGATAGAAATTCGCTTGGGTAGGATTTACCGTATCGGCGTGGCAAGTTTACGCGGAATCCTTCCCCCACTTATTGCCTTCGGGCTTTTTTATAACCAATGATTTAGGAAAACTAAACCTCATACAGCTTAGCTTTTGGCTATTAAAACCACGTCAATTGATTGAGCCGATCAGGAGAAGAACTGGGACCAGCAGAACCATATCCCTTTGAGTGCGGTAAGGCAACACTTAGGTCACTAGCAGGGGGGTCCAGCCAACCAGAGTATAGCAAATTAAAGGTACATAGATCCCCACCTATTTTATATGGTGATAGAAGTCCCAGCAATTCCCCCCTCTACATAACGCTACATTACACTGCTGACAGCGATATCGCGATTTCTTTAGTCTCTGACCTCTGTTGCCGTTGACTGCCCGTAACGGCTGCGGCCGACCCTCTCCAAGCCGTATTCCTTTACAAGCTTGACATGCCGAGGGATTCTTATTCCGGACCCAATTGTGCTGTATAACAGGCGTAAATTCGTCTCCAGTCCGAAATCTCTGTCGGGCCTGACTGTCAGACTGATACTTTGCGATAAGGTCATTAACAATACGTTGGCGCCAATTGCCCTGTGATATCTCCGGCTTCCACTGTGGCTGCCCTCGCTGCTGTAAAATATAGCTGTTAATAAGGGCTATTTCTAGCAGGAAGTCCCAAGCTAGAGCCCTCCAGCCGCCCCTACGGGCACGCCGGGTAGGGCTCCAATATGACCGCATTTGGTCACCGCGATCTACAGCACCCATCTCGTCATTGTAAACAGCAGCGATGGATGGGATAGAAATCAGCTTGACAGCCTCGTCACCAAAAAATCGCTGTATTGGCCGTGCTTGCATTTGGTCTGTTGTCGGTCTCTTCCTTATGCGTTCGAGTCTCTCAGTGCCCTTGAACACAGTGGACAGGAATAGCACGAGGGCGTTATCTTTCCATGCGATCTGATTGACCTAGCCGAAGACAAATTAGTAGGGAAAATCAATACAATCCTGTCTCTCTGACTGACTTGGTTATCTGCTGTCGGGATAGCTTTGATATCATTGAATTGAAGGCTGCCGGCAGCTGTGTTATCTGCAGCTTTGAGCTTGACAAGAGGCTTGTAGATGCCACAGTTCCTGCGGGCTGTGCCTGTGGCACCGTGGCCGCATTGTCGGAGCCGGCGAAAGAGGTCACAGGAAGAGAATAGGTTATCGAGAAATACATGGTATCTGGCTTCCGGCAGCAGATTTACTAGGGCAACAACCACAGCTTGGGTCGGGTTCAGATGGATTGTCTTCCTCTCTTGTCGCTGCTGCCGGGTCCGCCGCAGCTGTGACGGCAGGCGCCGGTAGCTCAGCCGGATACCAACAGGCCCGTATTTCCGGCCGGGCCGGTGCCAAATCCACCGCAGGAAATAGCCTTGTTGGGCTACAGCCCACACTTTGAAGCCTGTGGGGATAGGTTTATTAGGGACTGTTGTTGTCTCAATAGATCGTCCGAGAAAGCGGACCATACACTCATCTACAGCAATAGATGTGCCCGGAATATAGAATAACGTAGACGTATGTTGTATATGGTCAGACCAAGCCTTAATCCGGATAAAGGTGCGGCCGTAGAAGCTTGTGTTAGGATCCTTATCGATGGTTGTAAAGTTAAAGATCTGAAGATATCGAGATAGCAGCTGGAATCGGTCATAAGGCATCCATTTAATTACTGGATGAATAGGGCGTAGATCCTTAGATCCAGAAGTCTTCCAATACAGCTTGATCTGCGGCTCGATATGTATTCTCATATATATCAAGATCGCAAGCCATATGTAGATTTCGGCAACAGAGGTCGGCTTCCAATCCAGCAGCCGAGACCGCGGCTTCAATCTGCAGCTGCCATCTTCATGCTGCTCAAGCCGGTGACTGACCCAGCTGTTGGTGTATTGGGCCCAGCCTTCTACTAGGGAAACAGGCAGGAATTGCTGGAATAGTGACAGCGGCTCCGGGGGTAGGGTTGTTATCTCAGGGACCCGGCTTGGAATGACCATCGGATCGAAGTTGTAACCGCGATCCGGAACCGGATCATATATCGGCCGGCAGGTGTTATCAGTCGGCTGCTCGCGACGGCTGTTATCAGTGCCAATGAAGCTATTGTCATCATACGCATTGACTGCCTGGCTGGAGAGCTGTTGGGAATCCATAAGTGCACACAGAATGAGTTGTACGGTGAATTGGGCGGGGTTGATTCTAGCGGTGCTTTAGGTCACTCTAGGTACCTCGGCTGTGGCAGGGGTGTGGTGGGTCCCGTGACCTAAGTGTTGCCTTACCGCACTCAAAGGGATACCCCACGTCCAATCCTACCCTGTACCACCACATCGGATAAGCCGGATCGTCACGATAGACTTTTCATACTGCGAGGTGGTGATCGTAGAGGTGGTTAAAACAATACCGGCTGGTGGGAAGTACATAGTTCTCACACCGGCTGTGAATTATCACACTGATGACCTCAGCTTAGGTTACCTCGGATCAGTTGTGGAGACCCGTAACTTTGAAGTCAGGGTGTAGAATACATCTAGGGGTCAATATACCGGCTAATCAGAGTGTATACATCCAACCATCCATCCCCTCATTAACCCGTTGACCAGCTCGGGCAGCCTTATTGCATCGCCAAAGATGCAAGTCCGTCAAACCGATGATGGTAATGCTAACCATTGAAATAGCGAATGTCGTCCATATTCCCGTCTATCATTGAGTTAGAAATCTTCATCCGATGCTAGGTGATACTAGTTTAAGGGCGACTAACCGTGTAGAGGGGGCTCTCTGTTGATTTGAACGCAGTGCCTGCGATGATACCTCCGATACCGCTACCAATAAGACAAGTCGCGGAGGCAACCGCTCGTTTCGACTGGGAGGTGATGTTGTTGGCTTGGAATGTCAAGACCCCAGGAACACAGAATTGGAGAAAGCCAACACCTAGAAACATGTTAGTCGTGGAATGCTCAGAGTGAGGCTGGGGTTCTGACCCAAGAACGCGCCAAAGTAGCGAACGGCGTTGGCTTTCCCGTACGCCGTGATTAGCATGCTCGCAGCCGTCAAAGCCTGGTGAAGCGCAATGATTGGGCCTCGAAGTTTATACCGGTCGCCCAACCACCCAGACACAAACGTCATGATGGCGGCGAGGATGTACGGCGGGGCACTCAGAAGCTGCGCCTGCGTGCTGGAATATCCCATGCCGTCGCGGAGGATAATGGGCAGAAAGTACGAGTACGCATAGCCGGGCAGCGTGGACGCCATCATGTTGAAGGCCCAGCAGTACAGGCGCCAGTCCTTGAGGTGGTGGAGGACCTTGGCGGCGTTGATGGTGTCTTCTTCGCCGTCGCCGCGGTCATGGTTGATTCGCGCGATGATGAATTCCTTCTCGGCGGGTGAGAGGAACTTGTCGGCTTGGGTGGGGAAGTCGATGATGATGAACCGGCCGATGAAGCAGACGACAGCCGTAATGGTGCCCTCGATGATGAAGATCCCTAGAGCAGTGAGCATACGAGACTAGAAAATGCAGGTCTTCGGATGCTTACATCTCCATCCATTCAATCCCTGTTGCCCGCCAAGCAGTGACAGGGCATAAGCAAAGATGGCAGCGAACGCGCTGGTCACGACCGAGAGGATCCAGAACCCAGAGAGCCGCTTGCCAACCTCGAACCGCGTATACCAGCAGGTAATGAGATAAGTGCAGCCTGTTCATTCCCAGTTAGTCCATGCTCGTGGTGGTGCAGAGACGAACCAACCAGGCAGAAAACCAGCTTCGAATATTCCGAGAAGGGCGCGGCACAGAGCCATGGTTCCCCAGCTTTGCGTAAAGCCCATGCCAATCAAAATCGCGCCGAATGAAACTCCGAGAAACGAGAGCCAGTTGGCAGGTCCGGCCTTGGGCAGGACGAGGTTCTGTGAGATGAGTTAGCATGAAACCACCACACAACGCTAAACGCGCAATTTACATACGCTCGGAATTTCGAAAACACTATGGAGCTTTGATTAGTATTCGCGGTAGCCCAAATCATCAGAAAGACGTACACGTAGGCTACGAAGAAGACCATGACGATGACGGTGTATCGATTGCCAACTGCAAGACCGAGATCCTCCTGCATGCCCGCAACGAGTGCGAGGCCGAGGTTGGTGCGGTCAATGAGAGAAATGGAGTACATGATTCCTAGGATTGGCAGAAGTCGCCAGTCAACTCGGCGTCTTTGCAGCCGTTAGTAGATGCATCTTGGATTATCCAGAGAGCGAAGAGTCTTACATGGTCTTCTTCTGCTCCGCCACACTCAGGGTGTAGTTGGGAACTCGGTTTCCCACCTCAGTGTCCTCGACATGGGCTGAGAGGTCAATCTTCTCGTCAAACTGCGTCGCGCCGACATCGTCATCACACAGCGACGTTTTCGGGCTGGAAGAGGGAGCCATGATGGGTAATTGGACACTCGGCCTTGGCTTCTCAGGGTGATAGGTCATTAACAGTTGTGAACCTGCTTTTTTATTGCACGGTCTCAGCGATTCTATATGCGATGCAAGGCGCCATTCTGACTCTGTGTCTTGGCGATGCTCCTCAGCGAATTCCCAACTCCTCTCTAAAGTCCCAGCTCCCATTGGGCCGTGAACCAGATCCGCAGCATTGCCAAGAATGATAACAAGGAGCCCGCAGATAGTCTGGGGAAACGCGGGGTACGAGGCCAATTAAGACGCGATGGCCGTGTCGCCAAGAATCCCCACCCGAGTCATGGTGTTCGAGTCAGAATGCCGCGAGTGAGGGGACGCCGTATGGAGGTTAGGACGGCAGGGATGTTCGGCTAACGAACTCCTGGTCTGCGTGAATCGCGACAGCGTGCCGGTAATATGTTGCGCTTCCGCCGTTGTGCTGTGGGTGAAGCTGGTGGTCGTTTCAAGTCAGGGCATAGGTTTTGCTCGTGTCAGTTATGAGTCGTCGATTCGCATCTGGCAGCTTCAGCTGTTTGCCGTGGCTGTTTTGTGACTGTGCATCCTGTGATTTCCTATCCAGACGTTAGCCTCGGGTCTTGTCCAATTCGTGTTCCGTCACCCATGTCACGATCCCACATACTTATGCCACGTCCGTTCAGCGTGTGTATTTAGATGGAACCGAGGAACCTCCATGAACGAAGGTATGTCACTGTACATTTCCGGAAACGTCCCGAAGAAATCCGCTGTCATGGTCCAGGAATTAATGTCCCAGATGCAGTCCATGTACTCGGGCGAGATGGAGTACCGCCCTGTGCGCGTATTCCTCTTGTAGCAGTCTCTGAACTCGAACGGCCAGGAAATTCTGAAGCATTCAACAAAAATCTTCCAAAACGAGTTGGAACAATATTGGTGTTGCGAAAAGACGAACCGCTCCCGAACACCGGGCCTGGGCTGTGTGAGCTGATGACTGGACTAGTGGATTGTGTCACTTACCACACGAAAAAGTCGATGGCTGAAGAGTGTGGCAATGATTGCGACGGCCTATTCCCGAGTTAGTTGACCATCTAGGCGAAATCTGAGATGCATCACGTACCTGCTCAAAAGCCACGGCGGAAGTTTAGCCCACTGCTCATCTGTCGCTTCGGCGCGATGTCGAAGCATACGATGCATGGTGCTCATAATCGCCAATCTCTCCGTGTCACCGCAGTCACGAAACTGCAGCTCGTCGATCTGGCGAAGCCTATTCCAGAGCGGAGGCAAGCCAGCACCAGCCGCCACAACGTCCCAGCCTTCCAGAATAGCACGAATCGGCGTGTCTTCGAACAGTTCATCTTCCAGCTGCAGCGTATTCCGACACAGCATTTCCTTCTGGCCCAGAACCTCGTTTGCGGTCCGCCAGATGCTGGGAGACGGGTTGACATGGTCGATGATGGGCGAACTCGTCGAGCAGTCGCAGGCAACGTCGGGGGCGGGGATGATGGGCCCGTCGGTTGTAGGGAGGCATGACTGGAAGATGGAATAAAAGTTGATGTCGTCGTGCAGCGGCGCGGATGAGGCGGCAATGGCCAGAGAGTCGTTCTGCGGGGCTCGGGAGTAATCCGACGGTGATGGGACGCCCCAGAGTTCACTGACGGCGCTGTCGACGGGAGGAGAATGCAGGTCGACGCCTACAAGCTCATTCCCGAGCGTTATCTGGTGATCTACACCGTGTAGGGGCGCCGTTACGTCGGGAGTGGGCTGTGCCTTGGACGCCGCTTCGGCTGCGGGCGGTGCGGACGGATGGCGGATGTGAATGGTGTCCTTTATGGACGACAGGGTCTCGGCCAGATGATCCCGCTGTCTCGTGACGTCCATCAGCTGCTCGGTGAGGTGGGCGACGCCGCGGCTCGACTCCTGATGCTTCATGGCCTCGATGGTGGCCTCGAGGAAGGCGATGCGATTGCGGTTCCTCTCGCGGGCGGCCCGCTGAGCGCGTCGGTCGAGTTCGCGCTTCCGGGCCTGGCGCGTCTCGAGGAGATCCTTTTCGGTCGGTGTAGGCGCCATTGTGAGGAGCGTCGGTGGTGTTGTCGTGTGAAGGCGCGAGAAGCTTCAGGCCGCCGCCGTGGAATCGGATGTGGGATGTGTGCACGGTGGAGATGAGCCGGTGCGTCGGTACGTTCGGGGAATCCGGTAGGGTTTTATTGCAGCGTGGAGTACCCCGGACGCGATAATGCGGGGTATTCGTGGGTGTTCAGTGTATTCAGTGGGTATTATTTAGTGGGTGTTGAGTACGTGTTTAGTGGGTGGCTTCAGTGGGTAGCTTCAGTGGTGATCTGTATTTAACTCGTGCTCTTTCTTTTCTCAATAGTCGTGTGCTCTAACCCACTGTCTAACTCACTCTCTAGCATTATTAGTGTCTAGACTCCTTTCTTATACTCTAGCGTCAGCTGTGAAATGACTCCGTGATCCTCCTCCTTGCCTCCTGGAAGCTGGCTCGTTACTTCAACCGCTCTTTCAAGCTGCAACACCACTGAAACCACGCCGCCAGCGCCCGTCTTCCACGACACAGTCGCCAAATTGTCTCTCCCCATCGCCACCTTTGCAGACACAGACTCGCTCAATCGCAGACGCGGCTTGAACAACACCCGCTGGAATCCCGGGGCGAGAGACCGTATGCCTGCGAGTTCGGTGCAGTACTCGTACACCGGCACGCTTCCCCACGCGTGACAGTCTGACCGCTGGCGCACGTCGTCCTCTTCCCACGTCGACAGGTTGTTCGCCAGCATCTTCCTCCACGGGTCCCATACATGCGCCCAGTACGCTTCGTAGACGTCGTCTCCGGCGAGGGAAAAGGCACGCAGCGCGTAGAATTGCATCATGTACGAGCATTTGGAGAAGTGTGGCTTTGCGAATGCCTCTGTGACGAGACGAGCCCTATCTTCGGGGAGTGCAGCGCCACACAGTATTGCAAAGACCTGGCAGTGTTGAGAGTATGCCAGGTCGTCGGCAATGTCTGCGGTTGAATCTGTGAAGAAGCGCCCATCATAACAATGCGTCCGGATTGCGGAAAGGAGAGACGCCGCTCGCGATTCGTATTCCTCCGCGTTTCCAGGTCGGCCGACCGCGCGTAACAGTCCTGCAACCTGTTGCAAGGTATACGCATAAAGCATACTGAAGTAGGTATGGCGATTCGACTTCCGTCCAGACGTGGGAACTCCCTTGTCAGGATGCTCGTCCGTCGCGCCCCACGTCGTCACCCAGTCGACATACTGCCACACATCCTCAGGTAGGTTGCTTACAAGACCAAGGCTGTCAACATGCGCGTCAAAGAACTCGAGAACACCGTCGATCCGCGGCAGGAAGGACCGCGCGTATCGTGTGTCGCCAAAGAAGACGTGGTGGTCGCACACTTGCAGAGCCCAGAGCAGAGAGAAGCCGGCGATGAGCTGGGGCACATGGGATGGAAAGCGGGAGTGGGTGAGCCCCTCGACCCCAATTGAGGAGGCAAAGTTGGTGATGGCTTGGCGCATCAATCGATCGTCTCCTGAGAGGAGGTAGTGGAACAGGCCTACGGCACGGGAGTCGCCAGAGTATCTGTGGAATTAACGCGTCGTTCACTTCTCAAAGGATATTGGAAGAACTTACTGAAGCTGTTCGTAAAACGGACAGTCGGAGTACCCGTCAAACATGCAGTTCCGCATCGTTCGAATCGACACATCCCAGATATCCTTGCTTTGCACGTCTCCAGGCTCATCCCAACTAGCCTTGACTGCGAGGGGATAATTGACCTGGGTAGCATCAAACGACAATAACTCAACTGGCTCAGGTCCGGTGGTAATCTCAAGTCGCAACAGGCGGAACGTCCGAAACCAAAACGGTTCATACACAACGGTCTGCGACTCGGGGATGTCTAACACCACGTCATCGTACGGCCCAATGAGATGTCCAGTTGCAGCATCCAGTCGATCAGCTTTCGTCCGGAAGAATGGATATGATCGGGGCTCAAGTTCATATCCTTCCGAGTACGTCACCTTGAGCTTGACATGGGACCTTTTGCCTGCTTGAAAAGTCCATCTCAGGAACGCTGTCGAATGAACTGTGGCTTGTAAATCCAGCGTGTGGGAGGAACCACCAGGAAGGATCAGCGTCTGCTTTCCCGACAAGCACGCAGTCCAATCGGTAGCAGCGACGGTGCTTTGACAGGCCCGGACAATGTCAACATCGACTTTGCTTTCCTCGGGCACTGGAATACATCGGGGACGTAGCCGCCAAGGAGCCAAGTCACCATTCAACGTCCTGATTCCATGTACGATCGGCGTAACTGACGGGGTTGGTGTTGTTGGGGCGATGCGCTCGTTGATCTGTCGAACATTGATTAGGACTCGTTCGAGAACTCAAAGATGGTGATTACTTACGTGCAGGAACACATCGTCGACCAGACCAATGGGGAAGAGAACACTCTCATCCACTTGAGCGCGCCAGCCTTGTCCAGAGCTGAGGTCGACGGCTTCTGCATCTGCTTCGACGCTTCCAATGACTGTCAAGCCGGGGAGAGCTGTTCTCTCGAACGGCATCGCAGTTCTGGACGACGCATAGTAGCGAATGACTAGAAACTTGATCTTGTTGACCCCCTGCTTCAGAAACGGAGCAATGTCAAGCGTGTCGTAGTACCAGATCAACAGACTACTCCTCGCCGGCCCAACAGCGACGCGAACGCCATTGACGTAGAGTTTATACCGTGTGTCTGCTGAGAAATTTAGGAGGGCTCTGGTCGGGGCAGATTGGAGCGTGAATTCGCGCGTGAAGGCGACCAGCTGGCCGGCGGTATTCTTCGTTGAGGAATCGATCCAGTTGGGGGTCCAGATCCAGTTGGCCTGGAGCTGGTTGATTGTCTGCGGAGTCTGTCAGTGTTGGACCAACAGCCAGGGTGGGCATGCTGTGCACTTTTTGCTCGGCGGCGGACACCATTATGCCGGGGTAATGTCGCGATCTTTGTTGGCTGATCCACTGGATCGAGGGTTGCTCAATATCCTGGGACCTGGATTTAATCTTGTCCGCACCTCGCTTGGCCTTTTCTCCAAGCTGCTCGGGGGGAGATACACAATTTGCGATGAGGGGTCAACACGTTCGGACAGCTCACCGAGATTAATAAAGGTCGGGGTAATCAGAATCATATCACATTGGAGCGGCTGGATAATATCCAGCCTCCCACGCTCAGCTCCAAAGACTAGGATGCCAGAATCGGGTGATCTGCCACCGACGGCTCGTACGATGCAGTCTTCTCCCTTCGGTACCGGGATATCGGCAGGATAATGCGTCACAAGGTGTCTTTTGCGAAGCCGAGGCCCCAAGTGCCATTGATTGACCGTGATATTGCCATGTCGGTCTCAACGCTCGTCGATCCCTGGCCCATTGTAACTTGGTGCGGAGATGATCCCTGTCTTGAGATTTATCTAGCTATAATCCGCCTAGCCTAAGACCCCTCATGAGTATCCCTACCCTATACTCCGCGGGCTGATAAGCCGAATTTACAGCATTATGTCTCCTGCACTATTGCGCACTGGAATTGTTGCAAAATGGAAAATTAGGCATTCGTTAGAGATAGATGCGCCAAGTGCCATAAGTCGAGCCACCCTACAGCTAGGGCTCGGAATGACGGGGTATGGTATGAGAAGAATCTGCGGACGGCATTTGCATCAACTGATTTTCTATTTCCACACCCAAGTTAACGAGTTCGTTAGAATTGACACCGCTTGACGACCCCATCAACTGGAATCCAGTCACAGCAACGGAGTATAGACAATAATTTAACACAGTGGTCTTAAGTATAGGCGCAGAAAGATTTGTCTTAAGCGGCGCACTCGTTGAAACTAACAAACAGTCCATGAAACGGCCAAGTTTTCACTATCCTCATTTCACAGCTCTTCATTCTACCATTTACAAATACACAATTAAGGCTTCGGAGGCAGCGAGAGTGAAAGTTGCTGCTCCTCCAGACACAGTGTTCGTTTCCGTAACAGAAGTCCCCTGAAGCACACAGGTGCCATTTACAAATGTCTGTCCTGCAACAGTTGGGTTCGAACCACGGTCGACTCGAGAGGTTGAGAAAGGGGCAGTCAGGCGCTTAGCAGTGACGCGAGAGGACGATAGACCGGTCAAGGTGAACGTCTGCGACGGTCGTGTGCCGCTTGTGTAATAATCGGAGTTGTAAAGCAGAACTTTGACGGGGACACCAGATTTGTAGATGGCATAACCGGCGTAGGCAGTAGTCTGGTCATCTAGAGGAGCGATCTGGTCTGCATCCGCGAGAGCCATGGTTGCGAAGTAGGCACCGAAGTATGGGGCACCCATGCTGTATCTTCCCCACCAGCAATATTGGCCTATTCATCGGTTAGAAGTGTTGTGCAACTCATGCAAATAAACTTACAGTTGCCGATAGTGCCCTGATGGAAGTAAATCGCCTAGAATATGTTAGCATAAGCCCCAAAACGGAATTAGTGAATGAATCATACCTTTGTTCCCATATGTACCAGTTGAAGAACATAATCTAGAATCCAAAGAGCGGCTCCGAAAGTAGGGCTGATTCCACCACCACCTTGGGTAGCTAGCGCATTGTAAGCCGACAATCAACGAAAGAAGCCATTGTAAGATTTACCCGAGTTTGTCTCTCCCATAACATGGGATTTCCCCTTGGCTTTAGCGGCGCTGACTTCAGCTGCAAAAGAAGAAATCTGGGAAGTAATGCCACTGTGGCTCATGAGGCTAGCTAGATTGGCCGTGCTTGCAGACTGGGGATAGTTGTGTGAGCAGTAGTCCTTGACATAACTATTGGCATTGCCCTCGACGGCTGAGAGCCCTTGGATACTCATGGGCGAGGTGTAGAAGTAGACACCGGCGGAAAAGATATTCGTGGCTGACAAGTTTCCGCCGACTTGATCCTGCCATGCGACCTGCGACGCGTAGTCGGCAGCAGGAGTCCAGGACGCTCCGTTGGCAATGGGGTCCGAACTGGTGAAGACTAAGAATAAACTAACATTAGCCATTTTGATTGAACGTGGAAGAGGATTCTTGGGATTCGCACAATTGGGTTCGTTTCCAAGTTCGATGGCGTCCAAATTGGTCATCTTGGATTTGGCGAGCTTCGCTGCGGCTACGGTGTTGGCGATATTGTTCAGGCGGCGATTCAGCCCAATGATGACCTCGCCGCCATATGTCGCGGCCAGATCGAAGAACGACGGGCCGAAGGTGAGCGTGGATGGTGCATCGCCGGAGCTGGCGACGGTGTAGGTCACCGCGTTCGAGGACGAAGCGTCGTATGTGGCGCGGTCCCTATCTCAAGTTATTAGCACGCGAAGGTTGCCAGACGCAGAAATGGATCAACGCACTGCGTGGTTCCTCCAATTCGCAGCGGCGGCCACGTTCCAGAAACGTCCTTGAGGTTCTGCAGACATTTCGAAGTCGAAGCGACGTCATTGAAGTATCCAGGAAAGGCAAAGAATTCAAGACTGGGAAATTAGCAAAGTTGGTTTTAGCTGTGGTGGACATGTGCAACTCACGAGACTCCCACAGGGGCATCCGGGATCTGGCCGCTGGCATTGGCCGGTACGGTCGTGGGAATGTTGAACGTCAAGCCCGAAGCCAGAGCTATTTGGCTCAACAGCCAGGGGGAACGGAGAAAATGAGGCATTGAAACGGAATGCTGAGTGCTGGTTGTACTGGACGTGTTTGTTTGATAGCTGGCCTTAGTACGAGCCAGAGTCGTATTAACTCATGGCTGCTATAGCACTTTATATACACTAAAATGCCCCTCACTGTTCATCACGAGCGTGCCAAGGTTTTGCAAGTCCTTGCAGAGCTTCCATAACGTGCCGAACTATGATTCCCAATTCATCTCGTCTCCGGTCCGCTTCACGAGATTTTCCTCGGCGATTTGCAACAGCGAGGAAATGCTGGGGTCCCCGCACCCGGATTCAGCAGGAATGAAGTTTAAATTTCTCCCACGTGGAAATAGTAAACAAAACAGGATTATCATCTGGGGTCATCAGGGGCGTCGGCGGTTCCTGACCCGACCTACGCTCCAATAGATGACGAGCGCTTAACGGCCTTCTCACCGAGGGAAGCGAGATGTCTTAACTCGGGGGATCAAAGACGGCCATATGTCCAAATTGATTGGTGTTGACGGCTCACACGGCACGATCCCTGACGACCCCGCACAATATAGACGTTAATTCCGTCGATGGTCTCATGCGCCATCTTTCAATTCCGCGATTGAGGGTTCCCCACACGGGACTCTTTCCTCCGAAGATCCAGGACATGGTGGTTCCCCGAGACCCCTGTGCTGTGTGGGGTTAATACAACGGGATATTCGTCTATGCAGCAGTTGATATAAAGAGATCGGCCTTGGCTCCTCTCACCTGATCCATCACGACGGGGCACATCCAGTAAATAACCTTTTGATTGGATTCTTCTCCACTTCCTCATCGACTTCACCACACCGTGCCTGACAAAATGTCCAAAACCGATCAGCCGAAAGGCGAAATCGACACGATTGAGAATCGTGAAACAGCCGAGGACATGCAGCAGACGATAGAGAAGGGAGGCGTGCCGCTGATGCGATCGCGCGAGGATGATATCAGTGTGTGGCAGACTGCTTGGCGATACAAGACGGTCGGTGTCATTGCCATGTCTGCAGCGTTCAGTGCTGCATTAGATGGTTACCGTAAGAAATGTCCTTGAAATGATTCGGAAGAAAATACGCTGACCAGTGCTCTAAATGACAGAGATCAATCTCAACGGCGGCATCGTGTCCAACAAAGGCTTCATCAAACAAATGGCCAAGCAGGGAACGACAATCATTGACGGCAAATACATCTCAGCTTGGGGAGGAATCCAATCCGCTGGCCAGACTGTTGGCCAAATTGTGAGTACTGCCATTTCCCTCGGACATTGGGTATTCCTTAAGGACAAATTTGCTTACTTTCTACTTCCATCGTAGCTGCTTCAATTTGCCACGGAAAAGTTCGGCCGCAAAATAGCTCTTTACATCATCTGGACTATACTGGTAATCGTAAGTAGGGCTCGATCTCCCTCCTTGGATCTCCACACCTCGAGTATGAAGCTGATACGTTGCCGTGATTAGAGCGTTTTCATCGAAACGTTTGCGACCCACTGGCAACATTGGCTAGTTGCAAAGCTCTTCTCTGGCATGGGAGTAGGTATGCTGCAGGCCACACTGCCTCTCTATCTCTCCGAAATCGCACCGACCCAGCTGCGAGGCTTCTTCATCAACGCATACAGCTTGTAAGTTTTGCACCCGCGCCGCAGCGACTTGACCTTCTTCTGGTAGTGTCATTGTGGTGCATTGTTGCTAACCTCTAGTTTGTTTGCAGCTGGTTCGTTCTGGGTCAACTCTTTGCCTCCGTGGCCTTGAACCGGCTCAATGCTGCTGATCCCCTGGACTTCCGGACTCCAATCTACTCTCAGGTAAGATAAAATAACATCCCGAGGAACTCGTAACTTGAAACTAATTCGGTATGACTAGTGGGGTATGATTGGTGTGATTATCATCATCTTTGTCTTTCTGCCGGAGACACCATGGTGGCTTGTGAGCCAAGGCAAACTAGACAAGGCATCCAAGGTTCTCCAACTTTGCAACGGCCATATAGAGGGCTACGACATTCAAGAACAAATCGTTCGTCTGCCCGCTTTATGATAGTCCCTAGAGTCCTGTACTTACTGTTTAATAGGGTATCATGGATGCTACGGTCATGATGGAACGTCACATCGCCAAAAGAGACTCCAGGGAAGGAATATGGGCCGTGTTCCAAGGCCGCAATCTCATCCGGTTCATCATTGCAGCATGGCCAAAGATCACTCAGCAATTTGTTGGTCTGGCCGTGTTTAATACCTACGCCACCTACTTTTGTGAGAATTTCTGACCGCATCCTTTGCTTTCTGCACGCGTACTAACTCGACTTGCAGTCCAATATGCTGGAAACAAGGACCCCTTCCTCGTCACTTTGATTCTCTCCAGCGTCCAGCTCCTCTCGATGATCCTCACCGCCACGCTCACTGACACGTTGGGCCGACGACCTCTAACAGTCTACCCTTACGCTGTGACGGTTGGCTCTGTTCTCAGCCTTGGTATCATCGGATGCTTTGACTACACGCAAAAGGCTACAAGTGCTCTCTTGGTGAGCAGGCGCATGGTTCCCGTCGAGAAATACTTACTAACGAATACCATAGATCTTCTTTGCCTGTCTGGCTACCTTTTCGACCACTGGAGCCTCAGCCATTGGCTATGCCTACACGGCGGAACTCCCTCAACAACGACTACGAGCGCAGACGGCAGGTTGGTGTCTCGCTGTGTCTAACATGATTGCCATCATGTTTAGCTTCTGCACTCCCATCATGATCAACGGACCGTCGAAATGGGGTGTCAAGACCGGATTCTTGTAAGTCCATGGGATCGGGTTACCTAGTAAGATATGTACTGACTGTAATGTTTAATAGCTTCGCTGGTACTGGTCTGGTCGCCGTTGTTGTGGCTTGGTTCATTCTCCCTGAAGTTGCGCGCCGAACCCCCGGTGAGATTGACGAAATGTCAGTTACATCCTATATATTTTCTATGCATTGGAAAGCTAACCATAATGCGTGGGATAGGTTCGAGAAGAAAGTTAACCTCCGTCATTTCAAGAACTATGTGACGGAAGTTCAGATGCGGGCAGACGAAGAATATCCGGAGAAAGAGCAGAATACGCCCGCTTAGGTGAGCGGGTAGCGAGGGGAGTATTAATGGTGGCCATTTATGTATAGTGAGAGCTTCGATTGAGATATGTAGGGTGGGTCGAAGTGAATGAATATGTAATGGTCCTGTAGTGGAAACTTCTACGTCAAGCAATATGGTTACAAATATTTGAATCGTATGTTGAAACTCGAAAATATTGAATTGCAAGCCCAATTAAAAATCGCCAACGGCAGATAAACCTTCCAGTTAGTGGTGTATCTCGTAGAGGGCAATTTCCGGTTAACAAGAATCGTACAAAGGGAACAAGGGAAACTACATGGATATTCGCTTCTACTCTTCGTTTACTAGTAGAAAGTAGAATAAGCCAGCCTAAGCATCATTCAGTGGATAATTCGGCGCCGGTGAACAGATCTACCCTAGACTATCGTAACCAAATTCGAATCGGTGAACTCTTCCCCTCTATCTTCTTGGGAAATAGGCTCAATATTCCACTTATCCTCATCCTCTCCGTCACTATCGTCACTGTCGCTACTCTCATCATTGAGATCATACTTGCCACCTCCCCTGTGCTTGAATGCAACGTTGCCATCCCTCTTGCGCCTGATCTTGATAGCTCGGTATGCGAACACTATCTTAGTAGTGGAGCGCCCGTGGGAAGTTGTCCTAGCAGTACCAACTGTAAGATCAAGTTGAGGGCCAGCCGATACTGGGATCCCAAAAGCTGTCGCGTCAACCCCGACCTTGAGCTTGGGACCATTCTGAATCTCCTTCGAGGATGATCGACTGAAGCCGGTAGCGATTTTGAGCCCGGTGATCATGTACACCCTTTTCAGTCCAAGAAGGCTGTCTTGTAAGAAGTTTTGAACGCGTTGTGACGCGAGTATGGAGTCGGTGACAAGCTGGTCGTTCGGCTCAAATTCCAGCGTTTCGAGGAGCTCGCATTGATAAGTATCCTGCTTGTTCCTGGAAAATGCGTACACAAGCTCGCCAGAACCTGCTAGGCCCTGGACTATGTTGGCGTTGAGACCGGCAGTCACGCCAATGGATTTATCGACTGTTTCTTTAAAGCTGCTGCTTGTCTGATTCATCAGATTTGGGGGGATGTCGACATGGTCATCTTGGTTGAGCGGTCCCGTGAGTCGGTCAAGGTTGGCGAAGATGCTTCCAAGTTTGGGAGCCGTGCCACTGTCCGGGTTGATGTCGAAATTCGGAACTTGGAAGTAGCATAGTTTAGGCATCGGGCACTACTCGTTTTTGATTCAGTACAACAGCAAAACAGCTCTCAATGCTGGACACTATTTGTAGCATAAAGAATGAGAACGGGATTCAACTTCTCAGGTATCAAAAAACCCCGCACCTAAACCTAACCCGTGGGATGACGAAGTCCTTTGGCTGACGTGACAAGCGATTGGATGATCTGCCGTGAGGCTGAATAGTGGATACGGCTCAGGTTTCTAATTGCTAGCTTTGGCGATTATTCGGCCTGCTGCATTGAAGCTAGGCTTGTTTGAAGATTAATCGCCTATCTGACTATCTCGTAAGTCGTTGCGGTACGTGACGCCGAATTTGGCCCAGGGAAATATTCCTAAAACAATATAAATCGGGTATTTAGTAGCGGGCAAAGACACGCGAGAAAAACACTCTCTTCACTAGTAATTATAGAGAACACTCCTGATCTCATCTTGAATCCATGCTTCGCTCCGCTTATCATCAAACAACTTCCAGTGTTGAACCCACCAGTACCCAGCCTGCAGACCCGGATCCTTCATCTTTTCGAACATGCGCCTCATGAAATCGACTCGGTGAAGCTTATTCCACTTATCCACCTCTAAAAACCCCTTTGAATAATCGAGAAGGATTGCCGCGATGCCAGCGGCGATAGGTGCTGCACAAGATGTGCCACTCATGTGCTTGTGATCACCGGGAGACTTGAGATGCTGTGGCCATGCAGACCTCACACATTCGCCAAGGACCATGATTTTTTGGTTATCTCGTGGACTCGGTGTAAATGTTGATGGGGTTCCGTATCCCTCGGCGGAATGCACGCAGATGACATTCATGTCCCTCGCTGGCCATGCGACTCCGTCCGGTCGGTTTTTGCCGTCGTTGGATGCCGCTGCAAACATCAAGACATTGTTGTGAGCCGCATAATTGATCGATTCAGACAGGGTTTCTTCTTCTTCCTCAAAGCCAAATGACATGACGATGATGTCGACCTTCCACTTGTCTACTGCGTGTCGGATAGCCTAAGTGAATTAATATTGACAGACACCAATGAACCTTGAAGGCCGAACTTACCTCCGAGATGCACGCCGCCGATTTTTTCATCGTGGGCTTCTTTTTATACACCCTCGCAACATGAATGAGACTATTCGGAGCAATCTTGCGAAGCAATGTCGCGAGATGCGTGCCGTGCCCTACTTGATCTTTCCACTCATCTTCTTCGTCGACCCAACTCTGATATTTAATTTCAGACGTGTTGTTATAAATATCTTGGTTGTCCTGCGACAGCTCAATGCCACTGTCTAAAATGGCAATCTTGATCCGTTTATCGCCAGAAAGGCGGGGATTTCGCAAAGTGTCAATTCGACACAACGCTTCATTGTGCCATTGAAACCACTTTAGTGCCGATGATTTTCTAGACAGTGTTAGAGTGTCTGCATAAATAAATTCAACGGCAGAATCGCGTACTTAGCTGCATCAATGGACTCTTCGGCACCACCACTAAAGCATGTCTCGGGTTTCAGCGAATCTTCTCGTACCAAGCGGCCTGTAGAGGTCAGGAAGGATCTTTGAAACGGGACTAAAAACTAACCAATTTCATTGGAATGGGAAACAGGACTGATTGGAGTTGAAGGTACTCGAGTAATGCCCTTGCGTACGAAGTTGTCAGGACCATCAAGGTCGACCTCGGGGGCTAGTTTGTCATGAAGCTCCTCTAGGCGAACATTGTGTCGTACTTTAAGCTCAGTTGCCAAAGGGTGAACAATGCATGATAGGATGTAGTGTCGGATCGGGCCTTCTTCTAGTAGGGTCTTGCTTGGAAAATCTGATGGTGGCTTTAAAATCAGGCATGCGCGGATAACATCTCGAAGCGCAGTGGGCAATCGCTTGGAGCGGCTATGTCGACCTTGCCTTTCCAAATCCTTGAGAAGTTGGAAAGCTTCAGGTCCGTCCGTGTTCCACTGCTCACAGGAGGTGAGACCAGGAGATCTCTTGAATCTAACGCCAGTTGCGATCTCAAGAAACATGATCCCAAGAGCTAATATGACCGGGTGAGCGTGGTATTGCATATGATCGACATTTTGGGCATCTGCATGCGGTTTTTGGATCTCCACGGCAAGGTATGGAAATGTTAGGAGAGTCGACGTCGAGTCACTCACGCGGCGGATGAAGTAAACCATGTTGCTGCTCCAAGCTGTTTGAAGCCAGGAACCTGGGTAGAGGTACAGCATCGAGTTGGCGAGGCCGTAACAAAGAAGTAGTTGATCTCGTGAGGTATACTTCGCGATTTGAGACGTCTTAGCATCGTCTCCCAGTAGCTGGTGAAGAGACTCCATGGTGGTGTGCTGATTGACGCCATCTAGAAGCTCTGGCTTGAGATGCCATAGCTTCTCGTTTTCAGCCACAAAATCCACTCGAAACCGTTTGCTTTGTAGTAGCCACGGACAAATATCTTTGTCGACTGGTTTCCGAAAATCGTCGCATGTCTCTTTAGACCTAACCCTTCTGTTAGAGCGCGGGTAAAGGGGCAGCACTCGTGACCTTACCGGGATTTCTCGACTTCGAAATTGGTCACTTTCCACTCGACAATGTCCCTACAGACAGGTAACAGAATTTCAAAGTTGACTGATAGATGTGCCTGTTGTGCGATGGCTTTTGATGCAATCTGGTCCGCCAACTGGCGGTATCGAATTAGGCTGAGTCTTGCCTGCCTCGATCCGGTTGGCCGTGCTCCTCGATGGGAACACTCGCACTTCCAGTGATGGTCCAAGAGCCCGTAGACTTTATCAGCCAACTCCTTCATTCCATGACTAGGATGTTGAGAAAGACTCAAATCCTCGATGTCTTGCCCAGAGTGCGGGTCTCTGCAGTACACGTCAAGAAGATGAGCCGCAGCTCGTTTGACGCGGACGAGAAATTTGGCGCGTTTGTCACCATTTTGCTGTTCCTTTGCGTGGAATAGTCTCACATCAGATCCGAGAAGTGCCAAGTATATCTTCTGGTGCTTGGCCGACTGGTCTAGTAATGCCGAGCATTCTTCGAGGCCACCCAGACCCTTCAACTCGATAGAGCGGCAGAGTTGTTCTAATTTCGGGAATTCTTCTGCCTGGCCTTGTGTAAACTTGGAAGAAAGAAATAATGTGAGCATCGTGTGCACAAAGCGCTTGATGGGATGAACAAACCTGTGCCGGTTTTTGCTTGAAGAAGCCGAACGGGTTCCTTCTGGTTGGGATCCGACTCTCTAAAGCTTGTAGTAACTTTGTGAGATCCTTATCGTCGATACCAGCAGCCCACTCCCTCCGTGATACGGACAGCGCTAGGCCGAGTGACACTATGTCGGAGTAGCAGTCGTTGGCGTCCTGGCACAGTCTCGCATCCTCGACGTCAGACTCGATAAAGTCCCTCGCGAGCGCCCCGAACGCGGGAATGACCTGGCCTAGGAGCCGCAATTGCCACATTCGGGTGGAGCTGGTAGATGTTCAACAGACTGGATGATGGGCGTGGTGAACGGGCTGTGGAGAGGAAGAGTAGGTGAAGCGGGATCTGTCCTCGTAAGGCTGAGGTGAGACGGCGCGTGATTTACCAGGTTTCGCGATAAGCAGGGATCTTCCCCTCTCGAGCTGAATAAATTAGATCCCGTGAGACTAGCCTAACTTGGTTGTGAGGCTGCACGCCGCAAAATCAGATCTTGGCCATGATTTGCTGGAACCCCGCTCAGTCTCACCAGCTCAGCCAGCTCTTCACAGTCGTGGGGACGGAGTTGAGATAATCACTTCTCCTCTCGAGCATAGCGTGGCCGGGAGCCAAAATGGAAGCCAAACCAGACGACACGGCAAGTCTCAAGAAACTGGCACAAGACTGCGAGACGCGGCTACGGAGACTGTCCCGAGAAGAGGAGGCGCAGAAGGACACCGCCAAACCCAAAGACGGCTATTGGACATCGCATCAAGTAATTGAGTTCAACCTATGGTGTACGAAGGTAGGAGTCTACAGTGAGGGGCTTCGATCTATTGATCTTCGACTCAAAGATGTACCTGAGATTTGCGAGATTCTGCGGAATCTGCTTCAGTCGCTGAAGCGCGATATTACAGGTGAGTCAAGCTGCCGAAATATGAACCCTCAGACACTGATAGTAGCATAGCATTGGAAACACCATCGGAAGTAACCCTTAAAAACCCAGTCGACGAAAAGAAAGTGGAAGATGGCGACTCCGACAGCTCCTCGCTCTCCTTCGACTCTCTTACCTCATCTGAAGACTCTCGGATGCAGGATTCAACTGATGAGATAGGAAAACGGAAACTCCAGCTGCGAGATCACATCGAGGACACAATTGACCGCCTGCATGGGCACGAGCGACAGATTGAAAATTCGGGTGCAAAGCATCGCAAGGAGCGAGTGCAACTCTATCGCGACAAGGAGGGTCCCAGCTGGGCATACGAAGGCTACAAGCAGCTGGCTACCCGAAAAGTCAACGACGAGTTCAAGTTGGCATCAGACACAATCAAGAGCAGAATTGCCGACTCTTTTGCTCGGCGTCGAATCCGATTCGAATATCTGGAGCGACACCAGAAGAAAAGAGCCGCCGTAATCCTCGCACCGAAGCAGAATCCAGTATTGACGCGCACTGTTCAACCCGTACAAACGCAAAATTCTGTCATTGGGATGCCAGAATTACCTCAAGTAAACTTGAAGTTGCCGCTGCGACGTCTTACCATGGATCAACGCACCATATACTCGGCAACGGAGAACACGAAACTCGTCATGCGTCCTGGACCAAAACCCCAAGAAAGAGCCGAGAGTGTGGCCTCAGTTGCGCTTCGCCATACTGGATTTCCTCCGCCCCCTAAAGTCACCAATGGCATTTTCCAATGCCCTTACTGCCGGCTTGAATTTCGAGCCCGTGAGGCTGAGAAGTCCCGATGGATGTGAGTTGTTGTTCACTCTGTGATAGATTCAGTTTTCTAATGAGATAAACTACAGCCAGCATGTCATGCTAGATTTCGAGCCATATTTCTGCCTTTTCGAAGGTTGCGAAACGCCATTCGAGGTGCCAAACTCATTTAGCGGGCTGTTGAGCCACTTGCAGGAACATCTCCCACTCCGTTGGCACGCTGACCTGCCTGGTGGCGAACACAAAGAATTCGACGATGAGGTGTTATTTGAAGAGCACGTTAGGACCCATGGTGGGGTTTCCGGTGATGCTCTAGCCATCATGAAAGAAACCAGCCTCCGAAGAGCAGCATTCTTGTTCAAGAGTTGCCCATTTTGCGGAGGCTATCCGGATGTCATCGAAAAGAAATATCCAAACCCAATCGACACCGACGCTCAACTCGCGCTGCGAAGGCATATCAAGCAACACATGCACGACATTGCGCTATTTCTTCCCCCATACCGAGAGGACACTTTTGAAAACTTTGAAGAATTCAACAGCTCCGCTGTGACCCGTCGACACAGTATCGACATGAACAACACAGAAGACACTGAAGAGTGGAGGGCAATTTGTGACAACAATGACTGCGACTGCAAGCACACGGAAAAGAATTCTGCGGTAGAGGGAACGCACTCTGACTACTATCCATTTGCAGCCACCGCCGACGATCCAATGGATAATGTTCGCAAAGGGCGAATAGACCCTAAAATGGGCCAAGCAATCGAAGAGGATTCCGATTTCTGGCCTTTGTTGTTGGATGGGTCGAATCTATATGACCGCTCCAAATGGTTGAACGAGGATTTCGGATCTGATGATTGTCTGAAACCTTTCATTACCGAGTTCTTTGCTCAGAATTCTGGATTTCTCCCGGATAGCGATTCCCCAGCTACGGTCTCAGATGAGCCTCGGAAGAAATCAAGGCTAGAGGAAGAGGAAGAGGATTCCCCCCAGGACCAAGAAGCTGCCTTGGAGGCGGCCGAAGCCAACGCTTTACCAGGGGCGTTTGACCAAGCAACAAGCCTACAACCCGAGATACGTCGCCAGAAATACAAAATCGCATGGATCTGTCCAATACACATCGCCTATGCGGCAGCAAAAGAACTTCTCGACGAAAAGCACGCCGGCAGCGAACTTCCTCCGAGGAACTGTGACGTCGATTACACCTTGGGCAAGATGGGCGCCCATTACGTTGTTCTTGTATTATGGCCCCGGAGGCCGTTGAGTTCTCAATACCTAGAGTTTGAAGCAGAACGCCTGCTAAGCATCTTTCCCAACATCGAAATGAAGCTGATAGTTGGGGTTGCTGGCGGAACGCCAAGTCCACAACGAGATATGCGCCTTGGCGATGTTGTCGTCAACACTATGAGCAGTGCAAGCAATGGACTCTTTTGTTATGACTTTGACGAGACAGTCCGAGCTCGAAGATTTGTAACAAAAGAGTTGAAATACGTTACACCAGCCTTTGCCAGGGAGGTAACGGCTTACCAGAGCACGAGTATCCCCATCTCCGACCTCAAGTATCCCTATTCCCTTGCGGCAACAGATGAAAGATTTTCTCACCCCGATGCGAAGAGTGACGTGTTATACGCATCTTACATCAGACACCCCAACAAGCTTGTACCATGTTCCGTGGGATGTGGATCTGACGGAACGAGGCTGGTAAGGAGGAAGGAACGAGTAGCTGAAGGCATCAACCCGCTCATCTACGATGGTGTCATAGCCTCTTCCACACACAGGATGGAGGATGCTCAACTTAGGGATAGCCTGATTGAGGAGATGGAAGTTCTATGCTTCGAAGCATTTTCCGCGTATTTGCCATCTGACTTTCACGATATGATAGTCCACGGTATTTGCGATTACTCGGATAGCCACCAGTACGCTCAATGGGAGGGATACGCGGCATTAACGTCAGCCTTGTATGCGTATCAACAGATACTCGGCTTTGATGGCATGAGTCCTGATGAGGAAGGCTCAGGCCCACTGGAGACAACCCCCGGTAAGTATTTCCTCGTCAATTGGAACATGGTCTACATCACAATGATCTCGTTTTCCTTGCAAACCTGGCTAACGCGACTTTAGATACACAACCACTAGTCCATCTTGACGACGCTCAGCCGAATGCTGATGGCCCTATCTCGGATCCTATCCCTGCGGCGGGCACAGTGATGGTCCAGGCGCGAGATGGTACGATGCATTCCTCCAGGGCATTCGTGCAAAATCACAGCTCCCAAGTAGGTAGACTGCTCCTTCTAGGAATCAGTGAGACATTTGCCTTATCACTTGGGTACACAACGAGCAACTTCGAGGCAACTACGCACTTGACGCAGTGGTTCGATTCAGGGGTGATGGAATCCAATCGTGCCATCACGTTGACGATGAGAACCACAGATGGAGATGTTGGGGTGGGAGATGCCGCCGTCTGGACGGGAGAGAATATTTCATTTGACCTACTACTTGACCGCAGTATTGTCAGTCGATACGTTGTGCCCGATGGTAAGTATCTTTTATGACCCACTCATTCTCTCACAAATCTGTTGACAAATTACAGGCTCGGCCCCGAAAGAGAAGTCATCCGCAGAACGCTACACAGCAACAGCTCAATACGACTTCACATCGGATGATGTCGACGATATTCAGTTTGTTGAAGGTGAGAAGATTGTGAACATCGACAAAGTGTCCGAGAATTGGTGGTTAGGCACAAACGCGAAAGGTGAACGTGGCATGTTCCCAAGAAACTACGTGACAGCTTTAGAAACAGTCACAGTGTCGAGCATCACTGCGGTAGCAGAGTGGGACTTTGAGAAGTCTGAGGACGGTGAGATTGGGTTTTCCCAAGGCGAATACCTGACGGATATCACTATGAACGACAGGGGCTGGTGGATAGGAACTAATGCCAAGGGTGAGACCGGTATGTTTCCCGGAAACCGTGTGTATGTCATACTGGATGGGCAGGCGTCGGAAGCGGATAGGGCGTTAGTGACGCTGGGCTATAATAAGGCTTACGAAAATGAGATCGACTTGGTCAAGGGAGAATGGGTTACGAACGTGGTAAATGAGGACGAAAACTGGATGGTAGCCACCAATGCGAAGGGGGAGCGTGGTCTGTTTCCAAGTAACCAGCTTGGCCACCTCAAAAAGCAAGCTGGCACAAAGGCAAAGTATAGGGTTTTGTTAACACCAGGTGTCTCGGCAGTAGCCCAGTGGGACTGGGAGGGTTTTGGAAGAAAGGAGATTGGCTTTGTTCACGGCGACCTCATTACGAACATTGGGGATTACCGCGACTCGTGGCTGGTCGGCACCACCGCGACGGGTGTACGCGGTCGATTCCCAGGCAGATTCGTGAGGCTCATAACAGAAGCGGAGGCGGCTCGTCAGCGGATCACAAAGCCAAACATCTACAGGGACCAGATGACCATACAAGAAGCAAAGGATATAATGAAGCCCGTGGAGAGAACTATCTTCCCATATGAAGGTGTGGGCCAGATCGGTAGGTGGTTGGTTTTATCCATACCATGATGTCAACTAATCTTGATTCATAGATCTAAGTTTCCCTGCAGGTGCCGAGATCACAACTATCAAACTGTATAAGGAGGGTTGGTTATCTGGTTACTACAATGGGGAGTTTGGTATCTTTCCAATTGACTGTATATTTAGTTTCTTCTAGAACTCCATAGAATTGCACACTGTGTACGTTATGATTTCATGAGACAGGGTTGTCTTTACTAGAAAGATGTGGCTTTCGGAGACCAGACAAACTTTTTAATGAGCGTGTCCCCGACGTCACTTGCCATGAGTAATGGAGAGAGTTGACGGGCGGCAGCATTATTGTGAACATCCCTAACAACGGCCAGTTTCGTTCAGAAGCCTCTAAGCCAAGCAATAACGGCGGCAGCGGGCTCTGGACTTCTTCTGTTAGTTGAGAACGTCTTAATCAGCATCAAGGTCATTACTATATTGTCCAGCTTCGGCCATGGTCAAAATGCTGTCGGCGGCTTGCTCCTGGGCGCTCCTTTTACTCGGACATTCCCCGAGATCATCATCACGGATGGTAGCAGCTCATCCGTTCAAGGAATAGTATCCGTATTACACGGTAAACAGTCGGGTTTTTGTTTGGCTAAACCCCACTCAGTATTTCTATTTACGAGATCGAGTGTTTCTTCGGTGTAATTGGAACGATTGTGTTTGGCCAGAGACTGGGAAGAAAGAAGACCATCATGTTGGCATGTGTGATTCTCTTCATTGGACGCGTGTTTCGAGTCTCGACTACAGCATTGAACTTGGTCGACCTATTGCTGGTCTCGGTAACGTATTGAACACGGGCACAGTTAGTACGTTGAGGCTGCGCTTCCACCTAATTTTGGAAGCATTTTAAAACACCTGCAGCGGTTTGGCATTCCGAACTCATGCTTCCAACTTAAGAGTCTGTGAATACTTCTTTATTCTCTTCAAACGGTTTAGACTACCTGGCTCCTCGACGCAGCGACGATAAAAAATGAAGTCGTAGTCAGCGACCATTCAGTGAATGATGATGCAACCTGAAAATATGAGTAGAGTGACAAACTCTTCAGCCGATTAGGTGCCACCCAGTGCACCAAAATCTACTACCGATTACGGAGGGGCGCAGCAACGCGTGTTAACGTAACCACCGGAGTTCTGAGAGAGTTCATTTTCCCTCCACTTCTTAGGGCTTCCTTCCATAAATGGAGCATCTAATCCGATGTTAGCATGTGCTCGAATGGTCTGCAACAGTGCCCAACTTACACTGGGTTGTACGCATGGATGTTCGGGTTGACGAGATCTTTTCGAACATGAGCTAGAAAGACAATAAGGCTTTCCTTGGACCATGGATGGATTCTAGTGAACGGTGCCATCGACAGTGCCTCCAAGGCATCTTTCCAGTTGACTTGATTCCATTCACCGATTTTCTTATCCTTCTTGTCCTTGGGCCATGGATTTGTCGGCCACTTGAAACTGTTCAAGCTCACGTCGACGAACCCAGCCTTAGCCATTGCAGCTTTCAGGTTCTCAAAGTTCTCGCAAGGTAGACCAATTTTGACTGAGGCTTCCCTAAGAATCATGGACCATTGACGAAGATTATTATCCATTTTGAGTGTGCCATCGTCAGATGTTAACAGAACATCTATTTCCTGGACCTCAACGTAGCCCCCGGGCACCAGATTACTATTCATTTTAGCTCGTCTGAATGACTGTTCAAAGGCTCATCGATACTTACTCGTATATCTTCTGCAGATACTCATCCCAATTTCTAATGCTGAAATTCATCGCCCTGCTATGAATGTAGTCAAATGGCGCCGAGTAGTTCCACTCCTCATCAATATCGTCTATGATAAAGCGGACATTTGGGGGAACACTACCAAGATGTTAACATGTGATAGTAAATGATTTAGGTCGCATCATACAGGTCTGGTTGAATGGGTGATAGATCGATGCCGATAACCTGCAGCGTTGTTAGTGATATGTTTCGCGTACAGAATAGATCGCCCAGAAGGGATTTCGCGTTACTTCGGCCTCCGGGTGTTCATCAGCGAAGTTCGTCGCCCAAAGTCCTGTACCACAGCCTAGATCGAGAACTCGTTTAACCACCCATCCAGGCTCGTTCGGGGGTGCTAGGCCGAGACAATCGCCCAGAGTAAGCAGCCACTGATAGTGCTGGTGGTCTGGTCAAAGTCAGCAAAAATGTGCAAGTAACTGCATCACAGTCTTATATATACCTAGCCGTTCCATTTCGATTTCATCATTAGGAAAATAGTACTCTAATATTGTTATGCATGGGAGCTGATCAAAGCAGAGTTGACACAAGCTCACTTTTATCTCCAAATCCATGGTATGTTCTCCCGTTTTCATGACGGTAGTTCAGAATTGAGTTCGAAACACTCTTGGTTGACGAGGCTATATCCTACAGATTGAGGAGGTCAGCGGCGTTTTCTTTCGGTTTCAGGGATGGCAAAACATCCGTACATTACCAAGCGAGGAATCTAGGTCGGCCTGAGGGGTTAAAGTCAACCCATGAGCATTTGGTGAAGGGAGGGATGCGAAACATTATCATCCATTTCTGCCACGGTATCGGCACCGGGAGCTATCAAGTCATCGGGGTCCATCTTCCGTAGTTCTACCCTTTGGTTGATTGAAAAATAATTGCGTGCTGAAAGGTTGGCCACCCCTCGTTGGAGAAGATCAGTCAACTTATAGCCGCGAGCCCCCCTTGTTGGTGAACTTGGACAAGGACCAATAACAGCGTATCAGAACTGCAAGACCATTGTGAATCACCATATATCGGTGCTTATTCAGACACACTTTGGGATGATTTCTCACCGCCGAAATCGGAAAGCTCAAGAGCTTCTAGAAAGCGTGATTAACTTGAGTTTGACCGATCTGAATAACTAAAACACGAATACTAGCAAGCAATAGTTTCGCGTACATAGAAAATAACTACCCTAATGTGAAAAGAGGTAACAAATGTTACTCGAGCACTGAGACAGGGGTTGAAAAGAGCCAGGCGCCTGGTGGGGAGTAGGGCTCTGGTCACATCTAGTATTTAAGGCATGGTATGGGTTGCCATTGGGAGTGCTCATTCCGCTTTTGGTGGCGAGTTTTGTGCAACAGGGGACAAGGAGATGACTGAGAGGCAGAATGGCGAATACGGCTTTCATGGTAGCGTTACGTTTGAGCTCCTGCAACTTGCTTTTGAGCTTATCTTTTATAAGACTTCAGTAAAAGAGGAAGGAGGAGAGAGGAGACACAAGTCTGGTGCTCAGCAGGGCGACAGAACGATTTTTTGCGGATTCTAACCTCAGCTCAGTGTTATCCTAGTCGATTTATTCCGTCTATGCCAAATCCTAATTTTCTGAATTTAGAACTGCAGTTGTTCTGGGAATTAATTCATAGTCAAACGCCGAGTTGAGGCAGCAGCTTGAGTTTGCTGCAGTCAAGAGCATGTACAATCCTGCTCATGCTGTCATCACATCAGTCTTGATCTCTAGAATGCGCAATTGCCACTTTACACTTCTAATACATGAAAAGAAATATCACCGTAGCTATTGTGATATTAGGTGCGCCTAGCTAGTAGTTGGGCTCCTTACCCCCGAGTGGGTCAAGGACAGGAGATGGCACGGCCTCTCATGGTAACGCTGAACCAACATAGTATGGAAGTGTTCGCGATTAACTTGTAGAAAGGAATAAGCCATGGAAAGCCTTCTAGCCGTATGAAATCTCGTTGCAGTTTTTCTTTACATCCAATCAGGTTTAAGCACCAGAAATCTGGACTGATACAAGCCTCATCACAGACTTGTGTGCTGGGTGCATGTGCTTCACTGCGACAGATAACTTACTGGAGCAGTGTATCGGATGTCGACCAAATTCAGGTTGCTGATTCACTTGAGAAGGATGCTTCATTGAAGCTTAAGACATTGACTTGATAGCTTGGGTTGTCAGCAGCTGTCTCCCAGAAAATAAATATTTATTCCGAGAAATTCTCACAGGAGCCGTCCTACATATATCTTGGCACTGAGGCCAAACTCAATGGCCGCACTGTAAGTGCGTAGTTGTGTTGGAGCTGATGGCAAAGCCCACACGATGTCAAAGGTTTGGCATCGACAGCAAAGATCTCTCGAGTGTTCTCATATGCGGGAGCCCAGCAAGAAGATTCGACGCACTGTGGCGAGCAATATTCTGATTAAATGTTTTGATTGCACCAAAACCAGCTCTTTTATACATGCAGCTATGCTCCTAGACAAACCCGACTGTCACACCAGACGTTGAATTACGCTGAGGTCAAGAAGTAGCACTAATGGATGAGATTATTCTACGTCTGCCGCATTATTGAAAATCGGCTAGACTTTTTGTTCCGTCGGCTCAGTCATGCGGCTTTAGTGTGCCTAATTTGCACTGAATTGTTGTCAAAGTTGATATGCCTCGGCTAGCCCGCCCTCTCAAACCGAGGTATAAATGAGTGAACCGACAACTATCTCATCCTCGGCCGAAATTAGCATGCAAAACGGCTCAATGGTTCCGACAGGGAAAGAGATTGAAATCATAGTTTATTTATACTAGTACCGGTGGTGCTAGCCGGCTATCACCTTTATCTTTTCCGTTGACTACAGAGTTTCGTCTCGCCCTTGTTCGACCGCCAGCTACTACAAACGTGCACGCTCAAAATGCCAATTGCAACTGCCTTAACGGAAGCACTGGGGATTGAAGGTTCGTTTCAACCGGTCTAAAATATTAAACTCAATGCCCGAGCTACTTTTGCTGATGATAAAAAGTCCCGGTTATTCAGGCTGGGATGCAATGGGTTGCTTACGCAGAACTTTCGGCCGCGGTCTCAAATGCGGGAGGATTGGGGATTGTAAGAGAGTCTTCAGATATAATTTGGAACAAGCTAAAACATAATCCTGCGACAGCTCAGCGCATTGTCACAGCCGACACCTGGTAGGTTCTTGTCTAGCCTGACGAATTCCCGGGAACTCCAAGTTGCTAATTTTCATGTTGCAAGAGGACCTCCGAAAAGAGATTCGAAAATGTCGCGGCTTGACGGATAAACCGGTATGATAATTAAAGAAGATTCTTTTACAAACCAGCCAATCTGTGACTGAACTTAATTTTAGTTTGGCGTCAATATCACCCTTCTTCCCTCCATCAACCCTCCTGATTATGAAGCCTATGCTAGGGTTGTTATTGAAGAAGGTGTTAAAATAGGTACGGGTGATGATACTTAATTAATGACCAACATCTTTGCTAACACTCGGTTCGCACTGATTAGTCGAAACTGCTGGTTCTAACCCTAGCAAGGTCATCAACTTGTTGAAGTCGGCGAACACGAAGATTATTCACAAGTGCACAACCATTCGACACGCTCTGTCAGCTGAAAAGCTGAATGTCGACTTCATTTCCATAGACGGTTTTGAGGCGGCGGGCCACATCGGCGATGGTGATATTTCGAGCCAGATTCTTCTTCGGCGCGCTGCCCAGTCACTATCTGTCCCCTTTATAGCTGCGGGCGGATTTGCAGATGGCCAGGGCCTTGCTTCCGCATTATCGTTGGGCGCGTGCGGCATCAACATGGGCACTCGGTTTATGTGCACGGTGGAGAGCCCCATCCATCCCAATGTCAAGCAGGCTATCACCGAAGCCAGTGAGGGGGATACCGAATTGCTTTTAAGGAAATGGAAGAACACCAATCGACTTTTCAAAAACGAAGTCGCAAAGGAGGTGAAACGAATCGAGACAGACCAACCAGGATCTCAGTTCAACGACGTGCAGCACCTCGTTTCTGGACAGCGCGGAAAACAGGTGTTTCTGACTGGTGATATCAACGCAGGGGTAAGTTTGATACCAATTACGATGATTTTAAACGCTAATTTACAATTTAGGTGTGGACAGTTGGCCCTGTTCTGGGAGTTATCCAGGACGTTCCTACATGTGCAACGCTCCTTTCCCGAATTGAACGGGAAGCGATTGATACTATGGCTAGGATCAATGGACTTGTTCGTCCAAAAGGAAAACTATAAATTCTGTATCCTAGCTTTACACTTAGCCGGTGCTTGCGATATTAGAGACGGCGGCGTGGATACCCTGGGGTCTTTCTCCGCTTAGAAATCATTATGGGAACGAAAAGTCTGCCAGCATGTTGGTTTCCCTCTCGTCGACACCAAATTCAAGGCCGTCAAGAAACAATGGTATCGGTAGGTTATCAAGTCCAAGGTCCAGGTTGGCGGGACCTCCGAGTTCATTAGGTATTTGCATCGTTGGCGCGGGTTGGTTGGATATGTCTTTGTGCCCTTCCAAGTCCAGGTCTTCGCTTTGAAACATCCCATACGGGTTACCGTATCTCGTAGAATCGTGATCTTGGTTAGAACGACCACGATCATCCGTGTCGCCGATGAGTAGGCGACAAAGAGGAAAGCGTGCAGACTTCGGCGACAAAGGGAAGAGACTGTTTTCTGAATAGCGTCCCATCGAAAGGGAAAGGTCGATTGTCTGAACAAGTCGAAAGTATAGGGCAGGTTGTTGGAGAAATAAATGTCCCCAACCACTTGCGGGTGTGATGGGCTCCAAGCCTTTCGAGGAATAGGTGTGGGTGAGATCTGAATGTTTTGAGACTGAGTCGTTCACGAGATTACTGTCAGTCTGCTCCTGCGCCGAATGCTCTAAAGTGCTGAATTCGAGAGCTTTTCTTATGATGCCCCAGACATCATCAACACCGTCGTATTGAGTCTGAAACCCTCTCATGGCTTCCATATAGACATTGAGTCGGCCTTGCTTCTGTGCTGTTTGCGACGCTTTCGTGGAAAGTTTGACATCAAGGATATGCAAAACGAGCGGAAGGGCAGCGTACGCTACACTGGCTTGGTCTCAGTTCGGGTTCATAGATGTAATCGTTGTCGCGTTAATGGCACTTACATGCTTATAGGAAGGTAAGTCCCAAGCTTCAGTTGAATCAGCTCTTTTAGGTTATCGGTGATCCCAGTGGCGCCGTCCTCCAACTGGATCCTGGTTTGACGCAACGTGCTATACTCATCCTCAAGCCGAATCGAGCCCGTGCTCAGGATGAGCGCTTCGTACTGACATAGTGCCAGTCGAGCAGAACTGTCGAGTGAGGAATTAGGAATCTGATGAAAGCCATCATTTGCTGGGGATTCCATGACTTACTGGTAATAGATGTACATCAGGTTTGTATACAGAACAAGCGATTTGTTGGTGCTCATCATGCCGGCTGGCGCTGGGAACCGAATGCTTGCTCTTTCGAACCAGGCATCCAAACCGACTTTGCTCGATTGGATACAGCTCACGGTTTGCTGAAGTTTGAGAACACTCAAAAAGCGGACATCGAGAGGCTGACCCGTCGCGTATACAGTCGTGATGACATCCGTGAGTGCAACTGCAAGGTCGCAAAGTGTGATAAATAACCGAATCAAGGACCTTTTTGTTTCAGAATCATATACCCGTGAAAAACCTATTTCATGGGCAAAGTCATCCTCTGTTAGTGCTGCCTTCTCTGGATCAAAGTCTACCAAGGGGATGTATAAGTGCCTTCGCACTCCCAGCGGTAGTATTCGATCTCGGACGATGCAGCACCACCAAAGCCGTTTCAAAACGTTCTTAACTTCTGGGTCCTGGTCCTGTTTGAGATAGAACCGATGTGCTCCTGCAGCTTGAGCAAGTTGGATGGCAGTTACTAGCCAAATCGAGTTGATCCTCTTCTGATATCGCATTGTGGCATTATATGACAGCAACAATGCTCCTTGAGCATTTGCGACGGGACTGGTTTCTCCACAAAAGTCGAATAAAAGCTACAATTAAATTAGCTCAAGGTTGTTTCTGATGAAGGATGCGGTTCGGGATATTTCCATCCTTACATACCTTGGCACGTCGGTAGTATGTGTCCCTCGCGTCCCGCAATGACGTAAATCCTAGAGATCGTATGGTATTGAGTGACATGAACTACATGATATCAGCCAGGTTTGATTAAAGGGCCTTTTGTATCGACTGGTACTCACGCTACACGAAGCAAAGAGCATTGCTTGGAAGAGGAATAGAGAGAAGGATGTGCGGCCATTCTGTGTGGCATATCCATTTCGATGATACATATTCCAGAAGACGGATTCGTCAAGCAGAGGTAGGTTTGGATGAACATGAAGAAAATACTCTCGCATGAATTCATCTGCGGCTTGTCGGCAAGGGGCTTTGAAACACCCCTGCGCCTCCAGGAACTGGGCGTCGAGTTCGGACAGTAGAGAGAGGTCGACCTCCAAGAAAGGGTAATATGAGTAAATCACATGTGCTTGGTCGAGGAAACGGTGGTGTGATTTAGTAGGATCAGAGTCCTCATTCCCATTGTTGGGAGCTGGTGGGCTGCTGTGTTAGCAGACGCTTGCTCCCTGATGAAAACTGATCGGGGGCTGGATTTGGATTACCAATTGGAATGGCGCGAGGGGCACGATCTCTGATTTCAGGATGATTTGTTTCGGATATGTCATCATTTTCATGATCCATAGTCAGATCCCATAGGTCGTTAGAGCCGAGTAGGTGGTTGTGTTGCGTTGGCTCTGTGGATCGCTCCGTAGATCGGTCCAGTGATACAGTTATTTCTTCGGCTGGGCTGCTAGAAGAGCCCTCAGAAAGAAAGCGCTGCCGTTCTTGTCGTTCCTCCTGCTGCTGCTGCTGCTCCTGGTGCTCCTGGAATGAGTCGGTTGGTGGGTTATCCTGAAGTGCACTGCGTTTCTTCTTCGAAGGGCGGCTTGGTGGAAATCATCGTCAGCGGTCCTCCATCGACATGGGAAAAGGCCCGTAGCTTACTATTTGGATGGCCTGGATTTCACTATGCACTGGCGTTTGTCGAGGACACAGTTGGTGCATTGTCCATCGCGATGGACCACGTCACACCGGACCTTTCTGGTCCGACACGCCAAACAAGCCTTGGATGCCCGGCTTCGCGCAACACGGGCAAATCGGGTATCGCGGAGACTCTCTTGGTCCGACATTTTCAAAGAGCGACGAAGGTCAATGACGGATCTGAAGGTGGTAAATCTCGTCAATGTAGAGGTTCTGGTGGTTAAAATGACATGGGAGATCTAAGTAATCAGGGGATGGGAACCCGCTTTTGATGGAGGTGGGACCATAGCTTGCGGGGAGACGCGGGGAGAAGCGCGGGGAGAAAGATTGCGTCGATGAATAACGCGTGTCTGTCTTAACGGCGTTCAAGGAAATCAAATCGGGATGCCATGACAGGAGAACCATGACCATGCAAGCATCTGGGGTGTCTGGCTTGGAATCTCATTGGCCGACTGAACGACCAGAATCCCTCTGACTCAGTGAAAATGAATCGCCTCGATTTGCGCCGACGTGGCGTGACGATCCAGGTTTAGTCACATTTTCATGCCAAATGATGTATTCGATTCCGGACTAAGAAGCAAAGCCCCGCACAGCTCGTTTATGTCACTTTACAAGAAGACTTTATTACCTCGATCTACATCCAGCGGATTTCAATAGTACGTGCGAATTATTAAAATGGACTTCGTGCTCCTTCAAGTGTAAGGTTTCCTGCAGTAAAATAAGAGATTTTTTGTTGACCTTTGGTCTGTTCTGGTGCAATAAAAACTTCGGCTGAAATATTCTACCGAGGTTGAAAATGAGCCGGCATAAACTAAGTGCCGACGGACCAATCGGCCAAACCATGAATAATACCTACTTCACCGTATCCTGCAGGGGTTTCGTGTCCTACAGATGCGAGTCACGGGCTTTGTGCTCATCTTTGAGCATTCGGCGCAAAATTTTGCCCGATGGCGATTTGGGAATGGAATCCCTGAAGACAATTCCGCCGGTGAGCCGCTTGTATGGCGAGAGTCGACTGTCCATGAAGGTGAGAATTGACTGGGTGGTAACATTCTCCCCTGTTCGCACAATGTGGGCTTGCGGGTGCTCTTGTCCGTCCCTTTATTTGGCTTGCGTAAGCATGAACTTGTCATCAAAAAGCTGGGAGCGAGAAATTCTTCTTACCGGTTGACCCGAATGACGGCACAGTCTTTGACGCCCCGATGCTGAAGGAGATGTCCCTCAAGCTCGGATGGTGCCACCTGGAATCCTTTGACCTTGATCAATTCCTAGAAGGCAGCTGTAAGCAGGTGGCCTTTTAGACAATGTGAATACTCGGTACCAACCTTCTTACGGTCAACGATACTTAGTAGCCCGTTCGGCTGGATTGTGACAATATCTCCCGTTTTCAGCCAACCATCGTCTGTCCAAGCTTCCTTGGTTGCGGCGGGATTTTTGTAGTAGCCTTTGAAGACATTAGGTCCTTGAACGAGGGCCTCTCCTTCCTCACCATAGTCCACCTCATGACCTTCATCGTTAACTATCTTGATCTGCACGTTGGGGACAATATACCCAACGCTCTGGTGAGATGGATCAAACTCATCGGGTGCGAACAAGGTGACAGCCATGGTAGCCTCACTCATGCCCCATCCTTGCCTGCTATGAGCCTTGCCCACACTAAATATTGTTTCAAGCTGTGCCGAGAGCTCGGGTTGAAGAGGAGCAGCCCCGCAAACTATCGTTTTGACACTAGAAACATCGTATCTGGACAAAAGCTGACTCTTGACCAGCATCACTACTACTGGAGGGACGAGTAGCAGATCTGTGACCCGGAATCGTTGAATGTTACTCAGCAATAACTCTAAGTCAAACTTCCGCATGATAACTGTGGTGCAGCATCGTCGGATATTGACCACACAGTATGTGAGAAGACCCACTGTGCGTACCGTGAGAATAGTCACAACACATAGAGACGTTTCAGAACATACTGGCGTGATAAAATGGCACGTACGCGCAATGAACATCCTGGCTGGCCGATTTCAGATCCGACTTTCTCAATCTGGCCAAGTGATCGAGATGCAGCGTCTGCTCCGAGTTGGCAACAAGGTTGCGATGCGTAATCATGCATGCCTTCGGATTACCAGTCGTCCCGCTGCTGAAGTTGAGAACAGCAGTCCTATTGAAAGAATTAGCCTCCTCAGTTCGTCTCAAAGTGACAGAGGCTTACTTTTGCGAAAGTTCCTCGACATCATTTAGGACTTTCCAATGATACATCCCATGGCTGAGAAGGTCCTTCACATTTCGTATGCCGTCTGTCTTGGAATGAACCCCGTCGTCGATAAGGATTATGGAGCTTCTGGGTATTCCGACAGCCGTTGCCGCCTGCGTCGCGATTTCAAGGCGCTGGCGGTCGGTGAAGATACATTTTGCGCCGGAAACATTGAGTTGGTGAGTAAGTTCTGCATAGTGTTATTGTTCTATGCTACAGCACTTCTGATCGATAGCCTGCGCGACCGAATGAATCTTGGGTTTCTTACCTGAAGCCGTATATCCTGGATTGGCCCCAGTGAAGACACAGCCAGCGCAAATCACTCCTAAGACGATTGCCGGGTACCAGATCTATTGGTGTTAGCTTCATACATAGTTGCACCTTTTACTGTTTGGCAACATACAGAGTTCTCAGTAAACATCAAAATGACGTCTTCTTCTTTCGCATTTACGACTGTTCGCAGGCCACCAGCGAGCTTTTTCACAAGAGTTTCCAATTCAGATTTGCCAACCGTCTGCTCATGTCTTTCGGCATTTACAAAGATCGTAGAATCTGAAGTTGGTGCTGTTGTATCTGTGTTTTAGATTATCAATCTCAGTGTCACTGTGAAGTCGTTCGTGCAGACAATTGGGCGTACCAAACACATAGGTGAGAAGATCCACCGCGGGTATATCTATTCGGTAACGAGAGGAGAAAACCATTGTGCTATGATAATAAATCTTTGCGTGCTGGTAGGTGGAAATCAAGAAATGGATCGACCAGACAATAGTTTTCACGATTCTCTGTCAATGTTGCCGGTCTTAAACATCGTGAAGACTAATCCTGCCGAGAAACAATTTGGGGTGCTCTGCTTCGGCCCGAGATAAGACGTAATGTAATTGAACCGCAACCGAGATTACCACGACCGGTCCTATGCCGCGGCTGAATTTTTTAATCAAGGGAAATTTACCATGGTAAAATTAAATATGGACATGTAGAAATTGCGACTCTAACCAGTCCATAACCTGCTCGAAATAGTAAATGCTGTCTTGGTTCCGGTAGTCGAGGATATTTGTTCACCTTACTCCACGCAACCTACCATTGTCTAACAACACGGTCAATCAAGCATGGCCCAGAAATTCACACGCGATGAAGTTCTTCATAACAACACCGAAGAGTCTTTATGGTGTGTCATTGACTCTTGGGTATATGATCTGACGGAGTTTCTGGACGCTCACCCCGGCGGCCGAGCTGTTCTTCTGCAAGTGGGTGGGAAGGAAGCCACAGACGACTTTTACAACCTTCATCGACAGGCTGTCTTGGATAGATACAGCCACCTGCGCATAGGTTCCATTGCAGATGAGAAACCTCGTGTCCTTCGCCAGCAACCAGGGGATTTGAGCCCTGTCCCGTATGCGGAACCGGCGTGGCTGGCTCCACAATTCCGGAGTCCCTACTATAACGAATCTCATCGACGACTACAGAAAGCGATGCGTCATTTCACGGATACTTATGTTCGTCCGGAAGCACAGGAGAAAGAAGCATCGGGACACAAAATAAGTCAGGAACTTATACAGCGGATGGCGTAAGTGCATTTACCGTTTCTTCACATGCATCCCGGAACAATGCTCAAGCGAACGAGTAGGTCCGCCAACATTTTAGCCATGCGAGTTGGGCCTGGGGATCACCTGAACAACCGAAGCATCTTAAACGGGGTGCTTGACGGCAAAGACTTTGATCCTTTCCATGATCTCATTGTCAACCAAGAACTAGTTCGCGCGGCTGCGCGAGGTTTTTGGGACGGCAACATGGTAGGCATGACCATTTCCTTAACAGCGGTTATGCACCACTCCAACAATGCTTCTTTCAGGGACAAGATTGTTGAAAGTTGTCTCAATGGCCAAAAGACGATTTGCCTCGCCGTGTCGGAACCGTTCGCTGGAAGTGATGTCGCGAACCTCAGAACTGTGGCTGAGAAGACCGCTGACGGGAAACACTACATCGTTAATGGCACCAAGAAATGGATCACTAACGGAACTTGGTGTGACTACTTTGTCACAGCCGTCAGAACGAGTACTGGTCTTTCGGTCTTGCTTATCGAACGAGGCGAGGGCGTGGAGACGAAACCTATCAAAACGGCCTATTCGGCAGCGGCTGGGACGGCACTAGTAACATTCGACGATGTCAAGGTCCCTGTTGAGAACCTTCTAGGTGAAGACGGACGAGGAATTTATGTGGTGCTGAGCAACTTCAATCACGAACGGTGGATGGTCTCGAGTGCCAGCATTCGGATGTCGAGACTTGTTGTCGAGGAATGCCTCAAATGGAGTCATCAGAGAGCAATTTTCGGAAAGAGGTTGATAGATCAACCTGTCATCAGAGAAAAGTCAGTAACACCGAAATCCCTTTGCAACGAAACTCGAACTGACCATTCTGATGGCATGTAGGCTTGCGAGAATGATGGCGCTTGTGGAAGCAACGCAAGCTTGGCTAGAGCACATCACTTACCAGTTGTCTCAGAAGTCTTATCAAGACCAGTCTACTGATCTTGCCGGACCAATTGGTCTCTTGAAGATGTATTCGTCACGCTGCGCGCGAGAGATTGCCGAACTGGCGGTCCAGATCTTCGGGGGCAGAGCTCTGACCCAGGGGGGAATGGGCAATATCATTGAAATGGCCCACCGTACTTCTGGGTTTGATTCCATTCTAGGTGGATCGGAAGATATAATCGGTAAGCTCGAACTCTGCATTTCAAAGTTACCAGAATGCTGACTAGAAGCACAGGTGACATGGCAGTTCGCCAGGCATCGAAGGTGTTTCCGAAATCAATGTTATGAGTTCCCAAACATGTAGTGAGGATTTCCCCCATTTGGTGAGCATCTAAAGACCAATTGAGATAGCTCAGTGACAGCTCGCGAAGCAGCTCAGAGACAGCTCAGGGACAGTTTTTAGAAATCAGGGAGAACTCAGGACAACCTAAGCCCAGCGCCAAACAGGTTGTAGATAACCAGGGCGTCACAAAATGAAACCTTCAAACTATATCACCCTGCATCTGTAAAAAAGCGATATATGGCTATTGGTCCCAAAGCATTTGCCACACTTACCTCGTAAGACCAATCGATGAAGCCCCGTCACACTCGTACAAGCACGGCATATAGAACGTGAAACAGTACCCCGAACAATGATTTCAACAGACTAAAAGACACGATAAATTTATTTGCTCAGTCCGACGGCTTCTGGACGTCCTTGAAACACAGCTTTGCCATTTTGTCGAAAGCGGTATCTTCTTCAGGTTGATATTTCAGGACAATGTTTTCCCGAACCGACTTCAGCAAAACCGCTTCTTCAATCTCAACATATCTCCCGTGGACTGAGTAAATGAGTTGCCCTTGTCTTGTGTCATCAGCCATCAGCAAGACCGCAGATCGAGCAGGAACCTCGGGCCCTTGCACTTTCGCACCGATTCCTTCAACGATATCCTTGGCGACGATTCCAGTTGCAGTCCAATTTGGTGAAATTGCGTTGATTCGGATTGATGGATGGAGTATGTTCAGGCTTGGAACCAATCCACGCATGTATCCCAGGACTCCGTGCTTCGATACGGCTGCGCATTGCGTGTCAGACAAATCGTTAGCGCTCCAGCAAACGGGGAAATTTTGATACACACTGTAATCCGTAAAACCAAACCGCTGAAAGCTCGAAGCTGAAGCAGTAATGACGATACTACCTTTCCCCTGCTTCTTAATGTAATGTAACCCCAAGGTTGCTGTAAAGATTGTTCCTTTGAGGTTGACATCGATCACTTTCAGATCAGGTTCGAGGAGCAGCCCGTTCTCATCCACCCTGTCTTCGATGAAAATGGTTCGACCTGGAATTCCTGCATTCGCAAAGACGTGATCTACTTTGCCATGGCGTTCTTGTGCCAGGCCAAACAAAGCCTGTAGATCTTGCCACGAGATTATATCTGTTTTCTGGAAGGAAAGGTTTTCGTGCTCAACGGGAACCGGGCTCATATCACCTGCAACCACAAAAGCTCCTACGTCTAGGAGTAAAGTTGTCGTTGCAAGACCGATCCCGGAGGATGCACCTATTAGTACCTTAATTCGTGACCGTTCTCACCAGCTGATGTCGGCGGAGCCGGAGCAAGGGGAGTTACCTGTGACGACAACTACACTGCCCTGAAGAGTTGCAAATTTCTCGGTTGCGATTTTGAATTCCGCCATCTTGTTCTTCTTTTCTGTTCTCCTCTTTTTTCTTTGAGGAATTCCTGTGAAAGATTCATAGAGAACATAAATGAAAGTTAGCGATCGTCTGCACGATCCAGGCCGGGCTTAAACAAGAATGTCTATTCGACCACCACCCCCGCAAATATGCGGATGCCTCTTGGCAACACCGAAAAAACTGACTCATCTCCCAACTAAAGCTCAGAGTCATATGGTATGGCTCTGTCGCTGAGTGTACTTGTTTGTAAGTCCACCCTACAGAGGCTGGCTGGATAGAGGCTGACTCGAAAAAGACTGACTCGAAGTGTCCTCAAACGCGGGGTAAAGAGCCCCTGCCACCCACACACGACAAATGCAGTGTTGGCTTCCTATGCAGTCAAGGTGGACCTCTAGGGTGTGTGGTCGATTAGGTACTGAACCGAACAAACAAAAAACATATAAGGGCGAGTTGGAAGGAATCATGTTTAATGTTTGCTCAAAGAACACATCTTCCGACAGAAATTACTTCATCTGATTCGATATGGCTGGATTCGAGCTCAAAGTTCCAAAAGGGAGGGAGCTGGTCGGCGGAGACCTTGTCGCTCAGACCTTGGCCAGTTTTGGCGTCAAGGTGGCATTTGGGTTACACGGCGGTCACCTCGATACCTTCCTTATGGGCTGCGTCTCTGTTGGCATTGATCTTGTTGATACTCGCCACGAGACCACCGCCGTTCAAGCCGCAGAGGGATATGCTAAGCTCAGCGGAAACACGGGTGTCTGCTTCATTACTGCCAATAGCGGGTATGATTTTCCGACACATCGGAACCTATACTAAGCTAACCGATACCGTTCTAGTTTTGCGAATGGCTTCCCTGGTCTGACAACGGCGTTTGCTGATCGGTCGCCCATTTTTGTTGTCACATCCTCCGCTCCTCTCCGCGATGCTGAGACCAACTGTCTCCAGGGATTCCACGACCAGGTTGTCCTGGCGAAGCCCGTGACAAAGTTTTGCCACAGGGTGACCACAGTCGAAGAAATCCCACGCCTCGTTTCGTATGCCTGGCGGATGGCACGGTCTGGCGCTCCTGGGCCTGTGTTACTTGATTTCCCCATCGACGTTCTTTCAACTCCACCCCGTATCAACGGAATATCTTGGGGTTCCGTGGGCTCCGTTTACCCAACTCCACCGACTCCTAGTTCATCTGCTGTGCACGAGCTTCTGAGTATCTGGAAATCCGCTAAGCGACCAGTCATCATTACTGGAACGGGTGCAACCCCCACAGCTCGAATCGGAGGCAAGCAGTCTACGCTGCTGGAGCTTGCAGAGATATCACAGACGCCTGTTTTCCACTCTTTGAAGATGTCATCGTCAATCCCGCATAAGCACCCACTTCGTGGTGGCCCTTCAACCAATCTGATGATCCTCAACCACATATCACAGCCACAGCCAGACCTGGTCATTCTCCTTGGCACACGACCGGGTGCATTCTTGGGAGGTCGGTCGGGTGCTCTGATACCTAAAGCAGGGTGCAAAACAGTCCAAGTTGACATAGATGCATCCGAGATGGGCAGATTTCTTCCCATCGATCTCGGCATCGTATCTGACGCCACGGAATTCGTCGAGTCCATGTTTGGGGTAATGCGCACAGAAACCGACTTGTGCGCTGAAAGAGACGTCGAATGGATCAAGATGACGAGCACTCTCAAACATCTTGTGCATCAACGATACGGCATCGATGAGAAACAAGGGAAGCCCGATGCAGATGGAGATCGAATGCATCCTTACCACGCTCTTAATACTCTTTTCGAAACCCTCAAGTCGTATCATCCAATCATCCTGACAGACGGAGGAGAGTCTAACGGTTGGGGGCAAGATGTAGCAGAATCGGCTGAACCATTACACTCACTGTGTGCACTCGGCTACCTTGGTTTCTTAGGGAACGGTTTCGGCTACTCGCTTGGAGCCGCTCTGGCCCATCCCGATACCCTTATTATCAATGTCCAGGGCGATGGAAGCGCCGGCTTTCATATTGCAGAGTTGGACACCTTCGCTCGGCACAAGCTCAAGGTTCTTACCGTTGTTATGAACAACTACAAGTGGGGTATGTCAATCGCCGGGCAAGACCTCATCTACGGTGAAGAGGAGCCCGCTCGTCCAATCAGCTCTTTGTCTCCTGCCTGCAGGTTTGACATAGTTGCTGAAGGATTCGGATGCAGTGGAATCAAGTGCAATAAAGTCGATGATATCCCTGGTGCCGTGTTACAGCTCGTGGAGTCAATGCTTGCAAAGGGGGCAGCTGGCCTCGTGAATTTAATTGTCGATATGGAGCCGGTAACCGAGGGGACAAAGGCAATGGTAGGCAAGCCTGCGCCGGGCGAAGGGCAAGATGTCATTGTGGTGCCGTATTATGATAATATTCCCAGACCTTACTACCGAGATAGCTGAACCAGTTCACCTCGGAACTAGAAACTAGAAATGTGATATTTTGATTTAGTGGAAGCATATCTTAATAGAGCAGAATGTTAATACCTACGGTCACTAGATAAAAGTTCCATGTTGTTTTAAAAATCACACCTTTAAAACAATTTTGCTACTTAAACAATTTACAAAAAAGAACCTTTAAGCTATTGGAATAGTATAGTTTTTTGTTAATTAAATACAAAATAAAAATAACTTCTTATAGTTTTAATTAAGAAATCTTATTTAAGAGAAATTATGTATTTAATCTTGAAATATCAAGATCTGTTAATTTTAACCTAGAGTGCTTTCTAGCGAACTTTATACAGATAATAAAATAGAGAAATTTCTCTCTTATTATCTTAAAATATTTAAATACACAAAACAAATCGAAGAAAATTAATCCTCTTAACCATATTATAGACTTTATTAAGATCCACACCTAAAACATTTATTTTCTTCTTTTGATTCCACAATCTCGTTATTCCAGTCTCTTAAAGAGGGTATGTTTTGGTGTAAAAAGGGCGACCACGTAAAACTTTACCCCCACATATGCCTAGAAGAAGTCCCTGTCGCTAAGAAAAATGTCCTGTGGGGTTTCTCCAGTTACAAGAAGCGACAGCAGTGATGAGGGAGCACGAATCAGCAACCGCCAAAGGGTGGGCTGTCGACAGGGGGCAGATAGACGCAGCATTGCGACATGAGATAAGCTCCAGCTGTGGCACAAGGATACGAGTGTTGGAAGTGGAAAAACCCGCATATCATTGTTCTAGTTTGCGCAAATAAAATGCCTCCATCAATACAGTCATGTTTGTTTCGGTCCAGTCTTTGCCTCATGCCACATGTGCGTGCACACAACACATAGATAATTTCCATGATAATTTCCATGCCCGAAGTTATGCAAGAGCTTGCATATTGACTCACGTGAGCGGCTGTTGTGGTTGCCTTACCTAGGCACTTCCACAGCCTGATGTGATCTTGTCCGACGTACCCCTCACACACTCCGTCTGGCTCGCCATCCTCCTGCATCGAACCCAGAAAGATGGGAAATGATAGTGACCAACTCGTTGAAGCTCAGGAATGACGAGGCCCGCCGAATTCCAGCCTAACGAATGCCATGTCTTCTCTACTAGCACGGTTCGCGCCGCTCAAGCCCGAGATTCGTCTCGCTCAAGCCGTCGCCGAGTTCAAGGCCGACCTGTCAGACGAACAAAAGGCCAAATTCCACTCCACCGAGCAACAAGCGTCTCGAGATCCCCCAAATATCCACGATGTTATGAGATTAACAGCCGAAATCGACCGGCATGTTGCGACAAAGGTTGGCGGCGGCCGTTGTCTTGGAACTCGTGTCGTCAATATCTTGGAAGCCGTTCAACGATTTGCCGCTCTTGGTGACATCATGATTGGCGGATCTCAGAACTTGATTGCCTGCGGCGTCTGGTCTCTTGTGCGGACGACGCTGCTGGTGGGTTTATTGAGTCACGGCATGTTCTTTGACTAACGGTTGAAATAGATGCTCGTGGGCGCCTATTCCTGGCTTGACAAGTTATCGGAACTTTTCATGGCCGTGGGCCGATCAGCACCCCGTTATCAGCAAATGGCTTTGCTCTATCCACGATCCAAGAAGCTTCAATCTTCCCTTAACGAGTACTTTCTAGTAGTCGTGCGCGTTTGCCATGATATGTTGAAGCTGAAGAAAAAGTCGATATTCTCCAAGCTTACATCATTCATGACTGAGTCCGACATTAGCAGTTATCAGTCAGACTTTGGTCTGTGGGCGACTGCAATCAAGGAGGAAGTGGATCTGTTGATGGCACAAGAGATCCAAGAACAAAGCCGTCACATCAAAACTCTTTCCAAGCACACCAAATCTGAGCTGCATCGTGAGAAACTCGAGGACCGTCTCCGTATCCTCGATTCCTGCTCAACATACGACTATCAGACGACGTGGAAGGAACTACGACGTCGAGGCAATACCAGTTGGTTCACCCTGCAGCCCGAATATCAAGATTGGAAAATTAGAAGCGAGTCTGCTACGCTCTTGTATTCTGGTAAGCTCGGGTCGGGAAAGTCGTTCACATTGGCAAACATGGTGGACGAGCTCAACCTCAACAAAAACGGAAATCCTCCCGTCGCTTACTTTTTCTGCCAACACGAAGCACCTAAAAGCCTGAGAGCACGTACAATCCTCGGATCTCTAGCTAGGCAATTGCTGTGTGCGATGGAAGAGATCGTTGTGATTCCGGAAAATCAGGACGCTATTAGGGCTCAACCCCTCGACCTCGACTGGATACTCAACTTGCTGAAGCATAACATTCCACCTACTACCAGGGCATACTTCGTCTTGGACGGATTGGATGAATGTGACGAGAGGGAGGTTATGGAATTCATCAATTGCTTGCAAGCGATTCAAGATGTTCATCCACTACTCGCTTGTCTGTCATTCAGGCAAGAGGCAGGCAACACCATGGCAATGCGCCTTACGCAGTTGAGGCATTCGAGAACCATTACTATCCCAGAAGATAATCCTGATATCGCAGATTTCATCCAAACAGAACTAGTGAGTCGAATCGAGTCAAGTCGTCTTATCTTAGGCGACCCAACCATCGTCCTCGAGATTCGAGACGCCTTACTAGAGAAGGCCCAAGGGATGTTCCTTTGGGTCGTCCTTCAAATCGACTGTCTCTGTCTTGCGAGAACAGATGGGGCGATTCGCCAAGCGTTAGCCAACCTGCCAAAAGATCTCCCAACCACTTTCTCTCGCATTCTAGAGCAAACCGCTGCTTTGGGAGGTGACTACCAAAGGCGCACTCTTGAACTCATTACGGCAGCTTGTCGTCCCTTGAAAACAAACGAGTTGCGAGAGGCTCTAGGAGTGGTGCCTGGAGAAACCGATTGGGACCCGGCACACCAGCCCAACGACATATACTCAACGTTAGCTTGCTGTGGAAGCTTGGTACATGTGGATGAGGAAACCTTGTCAGTAAAACTCATCCACCACAGTGTCAGGCAATTTTTACTCAGCGGCCCGGAGGGTATAGCCGGCCAAACATTCACTTTCGAGGACGCAAACAAAACCATGACGACTATTATCATGACATATTTGAGCTACGGTGTTTTTGACACCCAGATCTCCACCAGAGTGATGCCACGAGTTCAACATGGCGCAGTTCCAAACAAGGTCATCAGCTCCGTTCTTGACTCGTCGAGCATCCGAAAGGTCGCCTTAGGACTACTCAAATCTTCAGTACCGTCGAAGATTGACGTCAGCGAAGTTCTAGCAAAGGAGACTCAACATTCCAAAAGCCAAAGAACTGAGTTTTTCTTCCTCTTGTACGCCAAGTCGTACTGGGCAGAGCACATTGCTCATAATTTATGGCAAGATCCAGCAATTGTCCAAACTCTGGGTCGGATACTAGATCGTAATGTTGTTGTTGTGGATACGAGGGATGAATATGGCCGAACCCTGTTGTTACGAGCTGCTGAATTAGGGCATGAGGCAGTTGTCCGATTGTTGATCGAGAAGGGTGCTGCAGTCAACGTTGAAGACGATGAGCGAAACACACCGCTAATCAAGGCTGCCATGTTCGGCCATGAGGCTGTGGTGAGACTACTGATCATCCATGACGCTCTAATCAACGTGAAAGATCGATATGGTCAGACAGCACTGTCTTCGGCTGCTGAGAGAGGCCATCTGACGATTGTGCGGCAATTGATTGGTGTCGATGCAGATGCCATCTCAGAGAATATTCATGGTTTCTCACCACTCTGGTTGGCTGCTAATCATGGGCACGCGGCAATTGTGCAGCGGTTGCTTGAAAAAGGGGCTGTGAATGACAAAATGGAGCGTTACGGTGGAGAACGACTATTCAAAATTGCTTTGAATGGACCCGAGTTTGCACCACTGAATGGACCCGAATTTGCACCACTGAAGCTGCCTGGCATGGGTTCTAGCTTCGTCCATGATGGCTTTCAGCCACTCCTTTTTGCGGCTGCTGGGCAAGGGCATGAGGTCATCGTACGGCTACTGCTAGAAAGAGGCGCTACCATCGACTACCGAGATTCTGCGGACAAGACGCTCCTTACTAAGGCCGCCGAAGCAGGACAGTATGTTATGGCAAAGTTGCTGCTCGACAAGGGTTTTTCTATTGAACTACAAGACGGTTATGGTCAGACACCACTTGCAGGGGCTGCTAGGAGAGGCCATGAGGACATCGTCCAGTTGTTGCTCACGCACGGTGCGTCCCCTCACCAACGCGATAACACTGACCAGTCGCCACTTATTGCGGCTGCTAAAGGAGGTTATATAACCATTGTGCGGATGTTACTGGATCATGGTGCTAGTCCTGCATGGAGGGATATGAATGGACGGTCGGCAGCGGACATGGCTCGGATGCAAGGGCATGTGGACATCTTCCAGCTCTTGGTTGATGAGGAAGACCTGATAGGGCCGCTCGCACGCAACGATGTGCACTTTGTGCCCGCTGGAACGTTTGCCTCACAGTAGTTGGGATAAGAGTGATTGATCGAGTCGAAAGATTTGGGGCAAGGGGTCTGGCGTCTGGACAGATATAGAAGCAGAATTGGAGAGTGGGATTCGAAATTAACGTGGGACAGGGTTATACATGCGACTATTACGACGGAAATTTGTTTGCTTGATTACTCCATGGCTCTTCATATACGATCACGTAGGAGTGAAGAATCCGAAGTCTCTCGAGTACGAGACCATAAATACAGATCCCGATAGTCTCTGTTATGAACTTCACGAGTGGCTTGACGTCGGGTGAGATAAGTCATCATTTTGGCACGATACGAAATGTATGTTGCAGTTCAACAGGAGGGGCACAGGACAGAGAAAATCTGCAAGGAAGATCTTGGCTTGGAGCAAAAAGATTTTGGAAGGACTAGAAAGCCGAACCATTTTTTCTCGAACTCGACTCAACCACTGCAGTTTTCCCGAACTACCAAACGAGCACGGGTTTCACTACCTTGCCACTCGCCATATCTGCAAGCGCGGCCTCAAAATCGTCCGCCTAAGAATTGTATAAGTCAGTAAACGTTGATCCAAAAACGCGAGCCTAAGATCATACCGCATAAAACTTTACCAACTTGTCAATAGGAAGCTTTCCCTCCCTGTACCACTCAATCATCTGAGGGATATACTAGATTGGGTCAGTCTCTAGTTGACATGTTTGGAAAGTAATCCTTTTCTTACCTCTGAGGGTGTTGCGTCGCCTTCAATGCTGCCGCGGAGCATCTTCCCCGTCTAAATTTGTCAGTCTTCCTGTTAATCAGATAGGCGCAAGATGCATACCTGCATAAAGGTGATCAGATGAACATTGAGCAGGGCGTCTGGAGGCGGGACCCCCACGATAATCATTTGACCCCTGCTACCAGTAAAGTCCATGCCTGCTCGAATTAGGTCCATATTGCCTGTCGTATCTATCGTTACAGTCGAACCGTTTCCGTCGGTGATAGCGCTGATCTCTTTTGCTATATCAATCTCCTTATCGCTGGTGTTGATAACATGGGTCGCTCCGAGTGTCTTGGCCAACTCAATTCTCGCTGGGGTGCGATCGACACCGATAATGGTCTGACAATTCCTCAACTTTGCAGTCTAAAGAAGTCAGCTCTTATCTTATAAGTAGATGCCATCATTGGCAAAATCCATGCTTACCATAATAGACACAAGGCCTACACCGCCCAGGCCCATAATGACAACTGCATCTTTCTCGCTAGCCAACGCAACTTTGTCTACTGTTCCTGCGCCAGTTTGGAAACCGCACCCCAACGGCGCAAATAGCTTCAGTTCTTCCTCGTCCTTGACGAGATGTGATACATTCACAACTGACGATTCTTTGGCAATTGTACGCTCCGCAAAAGAAGATTGTCCGAAAAAGGTCCCGCGAATGTTATTCTCAGCTGTGGTGTAGACATCAGACTCCCCTCCGTAGTTGGAGTCCGAAAAACTGTTACAAAAAGACGGATGGTTGGTCTTGCAGCTCTGGCAAGACTTGCAGCTCTGAAATGACAGTAACACCGAGTCACCTGCGGAAGCTGTCGTTACGCTAGAGCCTGCTTTCAGCACGATACCGGCTCCTACCAAAGTCAGTCAGGAATAGCGTCACCCACACAACAAGAAAAGAAGACCAACCTTCATGTCCCAAGACCTTGGGATAGGGAATCATCTCAGAGGGCCATGTTCCAAAAATCAAATCTGTGTGGCATACGCCAACAGCCACAACCCTGATCAACAACTCATCAGGCCCGATATCGCGTAGGGTTACATGCTCCAGTTTCAAGTTCAGCTGATTGTTTTGAGGCTCGTGTGCCACAATAGCTCTAGTTGTATTGGCCGATGCGGGCATGGTCGCGTGTTAGAGAAACTTATCTAAGGATGAATGAAGGTTTGAAGGTGCAGGGAATGTCGCGGTCGAGCAAAGAAGCAGTGGCATATTAATAATTACAAATAGAACCTGGAGCATTCGTAACGGTTGTGGAACCGCAAATCGGTACGAGTCATAAGAACTGACTGACTACCGAGGGTTCGGCAGAAAACCAGGTGCAAATACGATTCCCCATGGGGAAGTAATGCACCCATCACCAACAAGGTTAGCTTACCCTGGAATGGGTGTGAACGCATGTCATGCGGGGGCAAAATTAAACCGAAAACTATTGAACATGTATCACAAGGGCTTTGCAGAATACCTCGGCAATATGGATAGCCTGTAACGGGAATTCGTCTGCTCCAGGAAATATGTACTCTTATTGAACAAGCCAGCGCCCCCAGAATCTTGACGGGAGGTTTGAAAGCCTGTACAACGCAACATCAACAGTCTACACAATCATACACGATAATTTGAACAGACCATCTATCCAAGCACCATGGCTGCAAACGGGAATGTCAACAATCTGGACTTTACCACCTTTTCTAACATCATCAACGGACAAGCCACCCAGACGAAATCCGTCCGTCATGGTATCAACCCCTCGAACAAGACAGCCCTGTTCCCATCACCTGTGTCCACTGGCGATGATGTGACAGCTGCCATCACGGCAGCACGCACGGCATTCGGTTCCTGGAAAAAGACTCCCATTGAATTGCGCAAAGAGAAGATCAACGCATTATGTGCTGGGCTCTTGGCGCATAAAGCTGAATTCAGTCGATTACTGACGACTGAGCAAGGGAAGCCGGTATGTGTGATGAATCTGGTGTCGTAGCTGGATAATGCTAACAATGTGACAGGTCCAATTTGCGGAGCAGGAAGTCGATTTCGCAGCCCACTGGCTTGCCGGAACATGCCAGCTTGATCTTCCTGAGGATGTTGTAGAAGACACCCCTGAGCGTTATGTCACGACTCGTTATGTCCCCCTCGGAGTGGTTGTTGGCATCGTTCCTTGGAACTGTGAGTTTTTTGGGAATACCATAGCTATGAGTTCACTTGACCTGACCATCTCTAGTTCCTTTGATGCTCCTATGCGGAAAACTTGCTCCAGCGGTCATGGCAGGAAACTGCATCATTATTAAACCCTCTCCGTTTACGCCCTACTGCGGCATCAAGCTAGTCGAGCTTGCTCAACGCTTCTTTCCACCAGGCGTCATTCAAGTCCTGAGTGGTGACGACAACCTCGGCCCTTGGTTGACAGCGGATCCTGGCATTGACAAGATCAGCTTCACTGGGTCGACCGCCACGGGGAAAAGGGTTATGGAAAGCGCGAGTAAGAATCTGACCAGGGTCACTCTCGAACTGTATGTGGTTGTGCAATCCTCTTTGCTTCGGGAATAAAAATGACATCTAACGTTTGGTACAGTGGTGGGAATGATCCTGCGATAGTCTGTTCGGATGCTGATGTCGAAGTTGTTGCGCCACAAATCGCTCAGGCAGCATTCATGAACTCAGGACAGATATGCATCGCGATCAAGCGGATTTATGTACACAAGGACATTTATGATTCCTTCAAAGACGTCTTCCTGAAGACATTGTTATCATTGAAGGTCGGTGATGGGTTTCAAGATGGGACGTTCCTTGGGCCCGTTCAGAACGAACTCCAGTATGATCGGGTCAAAGAGTTCCTAGTTGATATCCAAAAGAACAAGCAAACAGTCATCGCTGGGGGGAATATCATGGAAAGCTCGGGCAACGGGTTCTTTATCCAGCCAACGGTTGTGGACAATCCCCCGGATGCAAGCAAAATTGTGGTGGAGGAGCCATTTGGGCCAGTCGTGCCTTTGTTGCAGTGGTCAGATGTGGATGAGGTCATTGATCGAGTTAACGCCAACGACATGGGTCTAGGAGCTTCAGTCTGGACCACGGACACAGGCCTCGCTCAACAAATCGCTGAGAATCTGGACGTTGGAAGCGTTTGGATGAATGCGCACTTGGGTATTCAGCCAACGGCCACATTTGGGGGTCATAAGAAGAGCGGAATTGGCCGCGAATGGGGATCAGATGGCTTGAGAGGTTACTGTAACTCGAAGACGTTCTTCTTTAAGCAGACTAAGTAGAATGTGTGCCTGACTGGAGTCTGAACACTACAGCGTACTGGATGCTGAAAGATTTCAACGTACAATACATTTCTGTTTTATATATTGAGTTTGCAAAGCATTTCCAGAACATGACCTCGTCGCGCTCCCTAGGCATCAGACCTGAATCAGTAAGGGATTTTTTAGACCGGTACAGATTGGCACAGTAATTGCCGCTGTCGGAGCTACCATCCGTATTATCGCAATACCACTACAGCAAAAGAGAATGATCACTCCTCTTGCCGGTAGCGCTATTGTAGTCCATATCTCCGTCTGGCATAGATGATTACCAAGTTTACTTTTTTATTGCTTTAAAAGACAGAAACAGATGTTCAGGCCGATGGCTCAATATTTCTACCGAGAAAATCTGCCGAGGACGAAACTTGTTGCCATGGCTAGCGCAAATCCGGGGTGAAGAAACAAGCAACGAAACCACCCGATTTCCCCGCCTCGGGATCGGAAGCTAAAAATGATGAATCCAGCCGAGGAGGGGTCTGCTATTAATATATACTTCTAGCAGGAATTGGATTGCCGCTGCTCAGTCCAATCCAATTTCAGCTTCTCCCAAGAGGTCTTGTCGCCACCATGGTATTCGACGCCAACATGTTATTCGACGCCAACACGGTATTCGACGTGAATAATCCTCAGATCCTTCAAGCCTCCTTTGCCGCAGGAGTCTTCTTGCACATCTTTGCGTTTCGCAAAGGTGAGTGGGATTTGCTGGTCCCTCACCTTACCTTTGCATATGCTGCTTTGTTTTTTGGTCTTTCTGGATGGATTCTCCACGTCCAAGACACGAACACCTTGGAGAATTTGGCCGCAACTTTCTTCTCTATCATCTTGATCGGACTTTTTCACGTTACGGGTATCCTTACCAGCATGGTTTTGTACCGTGTGTTCTTCCACCGTCTGAGAAAATTCCCCGGGCCGTTTTTGGGTCGCATTTCGAACCTCTACCCCACATACCTTCGAGCCAAGAAGCTCCATCTGTATGAAGAGGTAGAAATACTTCACCAGCAGTATGGCGACTTTGTCAGACTTGGTACGTCTGATATACAATCCCACTCACTAACGGTAGTTTTTAACGTCCATGTAGGGCCGACTGAGCTGTCAATCATTGACCCAAGTGCAGTCGAGGCGATCTATTCAGCAAGATCCCGTTGCACCAAAGGTCCATTTTACAACGTGACCCATCCTCGCACTCCTTTGAACATGATTAGAGACCGGACCGAGCATCACGCTCGTCGAAAAATCTGGGATCGAGGGTTTAACGCTCAAGGTGAGAAGGGATAATTGCTGAATAGCTGATTTCATTCTAATACCTGTCGTCAGCATTGAGAGACTACGAGCCTCGTGTAACAAAGTACACAGACGAATTACTTTCCCGGTTATCTGAATCTCAGGGCACTGTTATTAATGCAGCCGATTGGTTCAACTTCTACAGCTTTGACGTCATGGGAGACCTTGCATTTGGTAAATCCTTCAACATGTTACGAGATGGCGTCAAGCATTATTTCATGACAGCCTTGCACGCGTCCATGACATTGAACGGCTATTTATCTCACATCGCATGGATCTATCCATTTGTTAAACTCATTCCAATCATCAATTCAGAAAACTCAAAATTTTGGGCCTGGTGCGGAAACCAGGTTGAGGAACGATCAAAGGTAGCGTATGGCCCGGTCGGCGGTGGCCTTGAAATACGTGCCTAACTGTCGAGCCTCGCATAGAACAAACCAGACAAGCCTGATGTCTTTTCTTGGATTCTTGATGAATACGAGAAGAACCCGAAAACGAAGCAAGCTAAGCTTAATCTCGATGGAGAGGCATATTTGATCGCAGTTGCGGGAAGGTGAATTTTACTCGTTTCATCTTGTTACTATCCTTTAACAAGCTCTAATACTAAACGAATTCTAGTGATACTACAGCAGTGACCCTAACCAACTTTTTCTTCGAGCTGGCGACGCATAAATCGCAAATCCGTACTCTCCAACTTGAGATTGACGAGTATTTCAGCCAGAGAGACAAGGTTGACGCCCACTCGCTGTCTAAACTTTCTCATCTGAATGCTCTGATTGACGAGACGCTTCGACTGCACCCTCCCGTTCCTTCCGGGCTTCAACGAGTTACTCCACCGGAAGGTTTGATGATAGGGAAGACACGGGTCCCGGGAAACACAATTGTGCAGGTCCCACTACACACGCTACAGAGAGGTATGCAGCGCCCCAAATATTTCCAACTTGTTGAGTCGTAATTCCTAACACGCTTACAGATGAACGCTTTTTTGAAAAGCCTTTGGAATTTATTCCGGAACGCTGGACTACCATGCCAGAGCTAACCAAAAATAGTTCTATATATGCACCATTCTCTATCGGTATGACCATCCCGTGATACCACACCATGTCCTTTTTTGGGAACTAACTAGTCAAAGGGCGTTATTCATGTGTTGGAAAACAACTCGGCTTAATGGAGATCAGATACGTTGTCTCGCAGATTATACGGCGCTTTGATGTGCAGCTAGCACAAGGGCAGACGACAGAAGCTTTCCTACAATCCAAGAGAGACACCTTCACTCTGGCAATTCCGAGACTAGATCTGATTTTCACACCTAGGACTTGATACAGAGTGTCCTCGGTGTGTAATATACTTCAAAATTGCGTCACCGGCAATGGATTGATAGGCGGGTGAAGATCTTGATTGACTCCGACTATGAGGAGGATAATTATTTGACTTATTGTCACTCTCTGTCTTTAACAGACGGGCACCACTATGTTTCATAGCGGCGGACTTGCCTCAAAACAGCACAGGTAACATCACAAGTACCATTTTGGGGAGAGGGAATGGGATTTGGTGTTTGAATGCTTGCACGTATCTCGTCTCTCAAATTCAACTATCGACTAACGTGGGACCTAAGAACTAAAAACTGTGATAATCGGTGATTCGATCACTCCTTCTTTGTGATAAGACTTGAGTACTCATTTGTCACAAAAACAACTCGGCCGTCCGGTGCTTCCCACGCTCTCTCGACGTCCTCCATGAGATACGGCTTTACATGATCCATATGAATGTCCTCGAGTGATTTCAGCATGTGCGGAACCTCCCCGAATGCTTCGCGTGGGTTCCATGAACCAATTCCCGACCCCCTGATGGTCAGATCTCGGCGGCGCAGCTCTTGTGACGGTATCTCGGCTTCGACCCCAGCAAGTCCGCCAATAGATACCCAAGTCAACTGTTTCTGACCCTTGGTGCCGAGTAGAAATGCGCTCACGTATGGGCCGTAAAGATAATCGAGCACGACATCCACGTCACCGGCGGCGGTAAAGTCTGTTGTTTCGGCAGGGTCATTGAGAACAACGTAGGAATCCAGACCGAGACTTTTCAACGAAGTTTCATCGCGTCCTGCTCCTATCACCTTGGCGGCTCCAAAATGCCGAGCCACTTTGATGGCCAACTTTCCACTCATGGTCGTCGCACCCATTATCAAACATGACCACCCTTCCTGCCTTCCCTCTCGGAGAAAGTCGACGCGCTTTTTCAGTGCGAGCCAACTGCTCATGAGCGGATTCATCAGGGCGGCTGCCTGTACGGGATCCGCATCGTCGCGCATTTCCCACATGTGCTTTGTCTGCACATTGACATATTCCGCAAAAGAGCCCGCTCCCGCCACGGGAGTGACGAAGTAGACGAGCTTTCCGGTACTGAGGTTGACGCCGACTCCGTCTATCCCCGGCGTGTTTGCGTCCCCGGTGACTGAGTAGTGTTCACCTGAGGCTCGTTTTCGGACGACCTGATGCAGTCCAGCCGCAATGAGCTTGACCTGAGCCATGGAGTTGTCTGTCGGAGGAGACGGCCGGGGCACTCTAAGAGCTCCAGGTTTAGCCCCTGCGCTGAGTACTCGGATTGACAACATGATGAGTGGTTGTATTGGCGCTATTTCGCGGAAGTCGATCAGTGGGGATACGGCGTAAAGTGGACCGTTTTCTTTTTGATGGATGATGCTGAACAGCGCTGAATTTGCGACTACTTTTGCCAATCTCGCCAGAAATAGTCATTTATATACTCTCCATTTCAATCGGTATAATTCAACAACTCCAAAAGCCCGTTGGACATGCTGCAAACATTCCGCATCCAGCTGTAACAAGAGGCCATAAGCATGACGCGGCGCCAGATGCCACCAGCGCAAGGGATCGGAGGTTATAATGAAACCCCGGCCCGCATCTCAGCCCTAGCAGCCTCGCTTCCTCAAAACACGGCATTTCGGCGCCGCTTGACCCTCTATTTGTCGGCGCCGACGCCCCGGTGGCCGCTGACCAAGAGATAATGGCCCCCAGATTGCTACCTTGCATTCGAAATGGATGTAAAACAAATACAGCGCTGACGGTGCATTCTCGTGGCTAGTGTTTAACAAGAGAGTCCCCGCTGTTGCCGCGTTGCCGTCGAGTCGTTCCACTTCAAATCGCTGCCTCTCCTTCTCACAGAAATGCATCTGGGAATAGAGGGGGGCGATTTATTCAATCATTTGTAACCTTTCTTCGCGTTCTCTACTGGCTACCGGGTACGTCGGCGCCGGATTCCCACCGCTACCACCCTGTTGGGAATTAGCTACGGTGGATTCCGAATTGTGGTAAACCAGGAAGTTTATGGCCTCGGTGACGATATTTTTGACAGCAGCTGTTGCACTGAAATTTTCGTAACTCCAGGTATCACGGTCAAAGGCTCTACAGCAATATATGTGCTCAAGCAGAGTCGTTTCACATCCTCAATGACAAGTCTCATTAGTCACTACATACTCATACTCCCAAGCTTCGTGTGGTCTAATATTGCTTCCAGCTCCATCACAACCCCATTGTAAACTTCCTGCCGGAAATCATCCTCCTCCAGACCTTTCGCTTCCGTGCACCCTATACAACGCTCGACAACCGCCTTGTAGGTGGGGTTGATCAACGCTACTCTACGTTCTAGCAATTTGTGTGCCGCGATCGAATCGCGGATGATGCCAAGGTCGTCACCTTCGAATGCCTTTTCATCTGGGTCACGCAGTTGGTCAATCGTGGAACCTAGGATGATCTCCAACAGCAAGATCCCGAGCGCAAACATAGTTGGGTTGCTCATTAATGCGGATTTAGCTCCTGGTACAGAGGAACCGGTTCCCAGAGACCCAGCTGGACCCTTCGGAAGACTCTTTAGCAGGAACGGCTGCTCATATGACGGATTCACACCCCGTCTGAAGAAGTGCACGTTGTTGCGTGTCAGAGCCTCCGGAAGCCACGGCGTGTTGCTCAGCTGAAGCACACTCGACGCGATGGCGAGTGCAAGTCGAACCCTTTCTGCTAGCGATGTCAATGGTTGTAGGCCCTTTTTCCCCTCGAAAACATCATTCAACGTGATGATAGACCAGTCATTGCTGTTAGTCGTCGTCCCAAGCGGGTATACCTGAAATTGCCGATTGGTACACTCTTTGTCGATCAAGTGCCCGTAGCAGACCGGGCGTGCTTGGCGACTGTTTTTCAGGGTCAGACAAAGGTCGAGAAGTGGTTCTATCATTTCGCTGGCGCCTTCAGGAGGGGTTTTGATAAAGGCAATGTCTGTGGCCGATCGGGTGAGAAGTGTCAATGCGCTTTTAATATCAGGCTCCGATTTTGCAGAGTTGATGAATGGTAGTTTCTGGTTGATTGAGAAGGTGACACCTTTGATCTTCTTTGTCTTGGATGCAACGGCGCATGGCTTGGATGGAGTCTCCGTCGAGGGAAGCGCTGTCTTGATATTGACCTCATCCCAGAACCGTTTATTGCCCACATTATCGGTTACTTCGAATGAAATTGCGACTTTGAATTGTGCATCGCGCATAACCTTTTCATTTTCATCTTCGTGTCCGATGTCGATGAATCGCGTCGCCAGTTCAAGACTCACATCGTGCGAGTCAGTGCATAGGATGCTAGAGCAAAGAGCTCGATAGATGCTCGTAGAAAGATCCCGCAAAACTGTAAAAAGTTTCCCGCGAGACTGCTTCCGTCGGCTGGGCTCAAGAGTAACGCTTAGGCGTGCTAGCCCCTCGAGGTTGCTTATTCCTCTCGAGATGGTGTCGAGCGCGTCCTGGTAATCCTTTCTATTCAAGCGGTGCAGCAACTTCTTGAATTCGCGCGTCATCTTTCCTCGATTGACCCATTCGACCTATGTTATGTCAGTCAACCAACAACTCTGATGATGTTGGTAAATTCACTCACCTTTCCATCGTGAGTAACGTGCACTCTGAGGCGTTGCATCACATCATCAAGCGCTTCTCCCACTTCCTGGACTGTGTCTTGGAACGGTTCATACGAGCGCCACAACCTCCGTCGAATCTTCTCGTTCGTCTCCTTGGCTTGCCATAAGGGCCCAAAAGGATCCTGTAGCATTGGCTCGATATCTCGCTGTGGGACCACATCGCTGATGAGCTGATCACAGACGTTGTATAGCTTTGCACGCTCGGTTGTCAATTGTCGGTTGAGGCTCTTCAGCTCCGAAGGGGCTTTTCCCCAGTCGCGCATGAGGCTGCAGTAGGCGTCCAGGGCCGAGACGAGTAGGGGAATCGTCCCTAGGACGATACCAGCGACTTCAAAACCAGACATTTCGAGATGTCCCTTTGCCTTTGACGGGCTGCGTTTTGAATTGTGACAAGAATATATTGAGCCGTTTTTCACTTTGGGGGATGAAGTCTGACGACTTGTATCGTGGAACCCTGCAGTCCAATCAGTGAATCGCACGCATGCTTACCCCGCACGCAGCTGACAGTGTGTGTGAGGCTGAGCATATATTCTCTCATCAAATCGGCATTGTGCCTTGTCTCGTAATTTCATCACACTTCATTCTGTTCCAGAATACAGAATTTTTACACGATCAGAACAATCAGTTGGTTGGTTCTTGAGACATTAGCACAATTTTTTTAAAAGTGGCGTCAATCTCCTCACGACGCTTTCCTTAGTGTTGGATTCGACCTCAACATGGATCACAACCACGAGCTAGGGGCTATTGCCTCCAGTGTTCAGGCCGTCCTGCGCTCTTTTCATAGCTTAGCACACCCCGTTGCTAGTGATGCTGCCTCTCCCAGTATAGATCCGTTGCTGACCAAATTCGAAGACGAGATGACGCGCTTCAAGATGTGGGCTGGTAACTTAGGAGCCCACCAGGCAGGCCGAGCCTCACTCGATCATCGATTGAGAGAGGCACCTCATCTACAGGAATCGGTCATTTATCTTCTCAAGGATTTATCCGAATCTTTACAAGATGCAGTGGCTATGGCAGCCCATGAGCAGCCCTCGTGGCACAAAACTCCGCCGCCCAACGCTGATGAGGGCAATACTAAAGCTCTCGATGACAGCAGTGACTCTGGGTTTACAGACTCCGAAGAAGAAGATATTTCACCAGAAGCGCGTCTGTCCACGATTTGTACTGACGTTGGAGAGGCTATCGACTGCCTTCTACGTCTGTCCGTCGCCATCGCGAATCCAGCACCTCATGAGAGAGTTCGCAAGCTCGGCACCGGCCCCTCCGAGGATGTTTCATTCTATGAAACGCACGACATCAACTACGTTCGAGACAAGTTCCCCAAGATGAGCGATGAGCTAGCCAGTATCCTAGGCAAGTCAATTACGCGTCGTCGACAGTTCTTCAAATACCGCGAAGCCCACCATACCAGACTGGCTGAGGGCTTGGAAGCGATGGCTCTCGATACGGAAGTAGACACAAGCCGCACTGAAATAGTGCCCAAGACTGTTGCCTCATCCCTGCCTGATCACTTGAAAAAGTTGACAAATTTCGATCTCAGAACTGATGTGATTGACGAAGACGGTCGATCTGAGATGGGAATGTCACAAACACCCTACGCTACCTCTGCGGGCTTTCTAGCAGAAGACGTGGATGGGAAGATGCAAGAGCCGCCTCCGCCATTGAAGGTACCGCCTTTACCAGCGGCTGCAGAACGCGGGAGCTTCGAGTGTCCGTTTTGCTATAGAATGGTTTCCGCCAGCAGCTCGGCGGCGTGGAAGTGAGTTCATTTTACTTGTTTTCGGTTGAGATTTGGACACGCGTAAGTCTTTACGGCGAGTCAACTCAGCATCTAATCAGCTTAAACAAATCAAATCAAATCATCTGGATGGTCAGTGTCTCCATTATCTAACAATCTCTTACAGACGCCATGTCTTCGGAGATCTTCGCCCCTACACATGTCTTTTCTCGGGCTGTATGGAATCCAATATGGATTTCGATCGCCGTCACAGATGGCAGTTGCATGTTTCACAGTACCACTGGCGATCTTGGTTTTGTCCCTTCAAATGCGAAGGAACATTTCCATCCAAGATTGAACTTGCGGGTCATATTGGCCACCAGCACATGCCAAACGCCTCGGAGGATCAAGTAAATACTGCCACAGCCCTTGGGGAGAAATCAGCCTCGAATGAGAGTGTCAATAACTGCCCTTTGTGCGCCCACGCTGTGGTGGGGTTGAAGCCATATGTCAAGCACGTTGGCCGTCACCTGGAGCAGTTGGCCCTACATGCTCTCCCGAGCCTTGACGATGAAAATTCTGAAGACGGCGGTGGCAGTGACGAGCAAAACAGCGCAGCGTCTGAAGCAAATTTCAGTGACGGCAATAGCTCGTATGCTCCTTCGACATCCCCATCCCTACGCCGCCGGCTTGACGAACCGGAAGCTGTTTTTGCAGAAATTGCGCTGAAGAGAGATGATGAAGTCTATCCAGAAACAGAACGACTAGGACGAGAATTTGGCACAAACGAAAGCTCGGGGGATGGATGGGAGGAGGCTCAGCATGAGCACACCACCGAGGGAGAGCAAGATGCCGCTGAGGCTGATGGGGTCACTGCGCAAGCTGCCGCCATCCGCGGTGTTGAGAATGAGGAGTATGAGCTCGAAGTTTTGAAGAGAAAGAAAGACATGAAAGGAACTCTTAGCAAGGAAGATATGGCAAGAGTTAGCTTGCTGTCAAATCTTATCGCGCTGCACAGAGTCGCTGTGAACACACCGGAAGAGGCTGAAGTCGACAACTCTTTGGCCCACCATTCTTCAGCCCTCGACCCCCAGCAACCGGTTTCTAACGACATGATTTCTCCCATGATTAGCATGCAGACACAAATGCATCAACTTTCACCCAAGGATACGAGCAAAGTCACGGAGCTGGCCTTGAGAATGATGAGCAACGCGTCAGAGCGGACAAAAGCCAAGCACAGGGCCCAAGTACATCAGATACTTCCGCAACACCAGCGGGAGGAATTGCAGGCCCAAGGCAAGGACCTTGCTTTGTGGTTTTACGAAAACCAATCTCTCCAACTTCTTGAGACCAACACGGTTCAGCCCGAGCTTGAGAGTCTCAGCCCGTCAGAGGCAACAATGCCGCAAGAGCAACAACAGGATGGCCATACTGGATTTTTTATTTCAGAGGGAAAACGTCCCGTTCCCACACAGAGTGGACAAGACATTCCGATACAACTTTTTGCGAACGACAACGAGGCTGCTGCTGCTGCTGTTCTCCGCAAACGTGAGGCCGAGTTGGAGGCCGATTTGGCCTACTTGGAGGCAATGAAAGCGGCGAGGATCAAACGGGGCGAGAAAGATGCAAACAGTTACGACCCCTTTATCCATTTCCTTAAGGGAAAGAACTTGGACAACGAACTTCACCTGGGTATCAGTGGATCGGAGGTAACCGACGGCGTGATTATGTTAGACAGCTCTGAGCATCCCCTGGGCGTTGGTCGAAATCTTGAAGAACTTGAGGCGAGAAAGGCTGCGGAAGAAGAGATGGAGGCTCAAGTCATGATGAGAGCTATGCCGGAAGTAGAGGCCTTGAGCAAATTTTGTCCAGAATCGACGGCGGAGGAAGTCGCACAGCAAGAGTACGAGCGCCGACTAGAGGACGACCTGCGACGATCCGGACTCGATGATTCGGCCATCGGTGCCATTCTCACTAAGGAAAGGGCACAGGGACGCGAGAACAAGGAGAGAATATTAGAGGGTGACGTAGTACCCGTGGTGGAGGTTCCGCGGGATATGCTACAGAAAGGGACTGAGCATGAAACGGAAACACATCCCGACGAGTCAAAAAAGGAGGATGAACGACTCCCGATCAAGTTCAAGGATGCAGTGGGTCGGAAGTTCAGCTTCCCTTTCCACCTGTGTCAAACCTGGCAGGTACGTCTAGAATGAGATCCGGCAGTCGTGTTCGATTACTAACTTGAGATTCGCCGTGCAGGGGATGGAAGCTCTCATCAAGCAGGCTTTCCTCCATGTGGATGTACTTGGTCCACATGTTGAAGAAGGCCATTACGACATCGTTGGACTGAATGACGAAATCATCCTTCCAAGTGTCTGGGAGAAAGTCATTGAGCCCGGCTGGTCTCTAACGATGGTGATGTGGCCGATTGTTTCGCCCAAGGGAAAGGACAAAGGTAGGTCATTGTCGTTCGCGCGCATGGGAAAGAAACTGATACGAAGCCTAGAAAACACATATTGACATCCGCACCCAAGCCTTCAGGCACGATATAGGAATTATGATGAACAAATCAGCTGCCCTCCTTGCCGCCGGAATACCGATTCAAGAAACCGTTTGCTTCTACCGATCGGTGTTTTCTCCTGTCCTCTGATATCTAGCCCAACTTGCTCTTCTCATCATGCAGCGATTGGAACGCCCTATGCATACCTTCTATTCGATTTCTATATCGCTCGCTTCCCTCTTTCCTCAATCCACGATTCAATCCCCTGCATCATGTATCAGCCATTTCAGGAGCGAATAGCATTGAAGGGTATCACAAACCGGATTAAACTTAAAGAACAGCCATCCCACAATCGTGAGTGTCATAACTGTTCCCCCAACAAGAATATACCAACGCCAATCAGGATTATCCTTCAACAAGTCCACATTCATGCCAAACAGACTCTGGGTGTACACCAAACTGATCAGTTGTGCGCCAGGAACAGAAACGGGAATGGAACTGAAAGCCTCACCGAAGCGAACATGGCGGGGAGAAAGATGAACTATACTTATTAGCTTCAGAAACTTAGAAAATGGATGTGTAGCCTTACGGTAATCCAACTCAGCCGTTTCATACTAGTGGCAATGCTCGTTGACTTGTGTGCCTCGGTGATTGATACCCATGCAAATTCCTAGACATATCAGCGCTGGAAGTCTGAAGCTTGTGTTAAATAAATACAAATTGTAAAAGGTCTCTGACTGTTTCGTCAAGCGTGTCTAAACGAGGGTTAATCTTTTTTTCCAGCTGGTTTATGGCCTCCAGTGTTGATTGTAGGCCATCACCATTCTGGTATTTGTGACAATAGCTCGTTGCAAACTTCGTGGCTTCCTGTACATTATCTCGCAGGAGACGCCGAAGGATCGTCCACATCTGAGCATCTTTGGCGAGTCGATACACAAGTTCAGAGCTGTTTCCTTGTTCGCGGAGTTGATCGAGGCGCTGCAAGATACGGCGTCAGCCTAGCGTGTTCTTTCTAGAGGAATTGATGGCGGAATTGCTTTTAACAGAGGGTGGTCGAAAGGTACTCACGCAGTCAGACAAATGTTCATCAGCTGAACTGCACAGCTCTAGCCATGTTTTCTCGAGCTCAGATATGACCTGTGTGAAAAGATCGGCACCGTTATCTGGGATTGCACTACTCTGTAGCATGCTGAAATGTTCCACAGATTTCCACACGGCGCCGCGACTCTGCACGACGGTCCACATTACCCTGCTGTCCTCGAAAAAAGGAATTTTAAATTCTTTTCCGTTCTGATCTTGTCGGCTGAACACGACTGATGCAAAAAAGTTCATCTGTTGAGATAATCCCCTGGATATATTTGGAAGCATATCAATTTGGAAATTGTATGGGGAGGAGTCAGGGTACCACTGGCTCGGGCGGAGGGGTGTAATTGAGTTGACAATCAACGTCATTTCAGCTTTGTCCCAAGCAGAGTAATCTGAGAACAAACTAGGGAAGATTAGTAAGACTCGGCTCCATCACAAGGAGCTAAATTACTTACAAAACATGTCTTTCTGGGTATGTGCCAGTTGATGCGTGTGGCCTTCGGTCTAAAATTTCGTTGGCTGTAACAAGGCGTATATACTTCCTCCCTTCTCTTTGCTCTGCTAGACATATAACGCCTGATCTCTTCCAATATACATCAAACCAGTCCCTCGGTCTAACATGGCTAGTAGCTGCTGAATGCTCAAGAAGCAAATCAACGAGCTCTTGATCTCCAAGGCGAATTGCTATGTCTAGCGCCGTCATGTCTTCGGCATCCTTGTTGTCGATTGGTGACCCAGGGAGAAGAATCTTCGCGATGTCTACACGTTTCCGTTGAACGGCAACTTGTAACATGGTTCGTTTTTCGGAATCTAGGAAAGCTAGATCACAGCCAGCCCGGATAGCCATGTCCACGACTGCATATCTTCCTTCTCGGACTAGACTATGCAACGTCTTGCGGTGGAAGGCTAGAAGTTCCTTGAATGTATCGAAATGGCCGTTTTCTGCTGCCCAAGAAATTGGTGCTAGACCGCGGTGGTCTCGACATGTTATACTGATGTTCTCCTTGTCGTTAATGAATTTGTTGGCGAATTCACGCACCGTTTCCGTATGTCCATGTTCCGCAGCCCAAGCTAAAGGGACCCTTCCGTCTTTATCTCGGTCGTCCGTGATGATATCCTCTCTGTCCATCAGGGCTTTCACGACGTTGGTGTGGCCTTTCTCAGAAGCCCATGATAGTGGAGATCGGCCATTGTTGTCCAGTATATTTACTTGGATACGGGGATCTGCGAGCAAGGCAACTGAGATGGTTCGATTTCCCATGCCTGCTGCCCACGACAAGGGTGTTCGACCACTGCTATCTGTCGAGTTTATATCAACGTCATCTCTAGCGAGGAGACACTTCGCAGCTTTCGCACGGACGTTCAAATTGATCCTCCGACGTGATGCTACGTCTGTAGATCTTGCCATCCATGATAGCGGTGTGCGGCCGCTATGATCCGGGCGGTCTGCTTCAATGTTTGTTGCCTTGGTGAGGAGAATTTTGACCATCTCGTGGCTTCCGTCTGAAGCCGCCCATGACAACGGTGTCCGACCATCCTTATCTGCATTATTGACATCGACATCGGCCTCATCAAGCAGATGTTCGACGGCGATTTTGTTCCCCCGCTTTACATTGGAGTAGATGGCGTCGATTGTCGTTTCCATTTCGCCCTCTGCCTCCTTCTGTGGCGGATTTCCTTGCATCTCACGAATGCTGAATCGCTTCTGTTTGAACTGGCGGGGATAGTGTTTCCGATCGCGAAAGGCTGCGACTTACGAGAAAACAGATAGGAAAGTGCCCAGTGATGGATTCATTAGTTCTGGGTAATGCCTCGAAACGAATGAAGATGTTGGGGTGAAAGAAGTCAGGCTACTTCGTTGGAATCTCAATAGGCGTGAGGTATATTCGCCTGATTGCTGCCTAGACTTTCCCGCGTTGGGCAGCATTCGATTGAATGCACAGCCTTCTATTGAATGCACAGCGCGCTTGTGTCATGTTAACGCCTCGCCGGCCGCATGATCTGACCTATTCTCGGGCAAGACGCACATGTTCGACAAGATTCAAATTGCAGTCATAAAATATTCAATTTAGTACATTCATACCACAGCATTCGCGCCCTTCTACATCACTCTCAGTGAAGTGACGGGGTTTCCTTAATGCCATCTGAATTCCTTTGCTCCTCCTTCTCCTGCTCCACCGACGCTACAGACATGCGGTCAGCATCCTCCGCAGCCTGGTCAAGAGCAGCGCGGAAAGCGATGCGCCGCGGCAACAAGATCCGTACATCAATATAGCGCAGAGTACAGGTCATGATAATCACGAGGACCAGCAAAGCAAGGCCAGTCTGCCAGCCGTAGCTGTAGTAGGGTGCTTCCGAGGCGGGCCAGACCAAGACCTGCGACCAAGCGGAAATGGCGTAGTATAGAGCGACGGAAATACCGACGATTAGGGATCGCGCCTCGGGGTCTTGCGGGATTAGATCGGAAAGCCATGAGAAGATCAGAGGCGCCGTGCCTAGACAGGTAAAGGCGATAAAGTAAGCTGCGTAGGCTGCGGTGAGGCCAACGGAGGCGGGATGCGATGTCCAGATGCTCATGATGATGCATGTGATGATTCCGATGACAGCTTGAGCAACGATCAGGGTCCATCGACTCTCAATAATATCGGAAAGCAGAGCCCAGATCCAAACGAAAGCTACGTTAATTGCATACGACCCGATCGGGATTGCGTTGATTTGCGACACAGTCCATCTTGCAGTTCCATCGGCATTCTTGAGTGATTTGAGGAAGAGGGAGAAGTAGACGTTTCCGTAGGTGCCGAGAACAGTGGCGACATAGAGAATAGCGATGAAGTAGACGACCCAGCTGGAGAATGTACGCTTGACTCCAGCCCAGGTCATCTTTTTCGGCTCGGCACGGCCGTTGCGAGCGAGTCGTTCCATAGCCAGCTCCGCATCGACTTTCTTGAACCAAAATGCACGCGGATTCGGGTTGTTGGGCAGATCAGGCATCATGAAGATACCTGCAACACCCCAGACAACCGTCATGATAGCGTTGACGACGAATAACCAGCGCCAGCCGGCCATTCCACGGTGTCCGTCAAGGGTTTCTGTGATCGCAGCCTGTAAAGCGCCAGACATCATGGATCCGACGGCTTGGCAGGAGTGATAAAACCCCATGCGCTTTGCCAGCTCGGTTGGTGTGTACCAATACACTATAAAAATTAGCCTACTAACATGCGAAAAGCGATTGGTTCACATACTGAACAGAGTCATCATTCCAGGCCAGGCACTGCTTTCGCAGAGGCCAAGAAAGACACGAAGAATGTACACCTGCTTTGCGCTTGTAGTCATGGCAATGAGGCCAGTAATAACTCCCCATGTAATCTCAAGACCAGGAAGCCAGAAGCTGGGTCGGACGTAGGTCAAGATAATCTGCGAGGGAACAAGCATGATGCAGTAGGCAACATTGAAAAACGTTGAGAAACTAATTCAGTTAGTTATAATTTCGCATGACGATGTGTGTAACTCACTAGTTGAGCTCTTTGCCATAGAGCTTCAGGTCTTCCTGCATGCCAGAGACGTAGGCATTATTGATGTTTTGCTGGTCAAGATACTTGATGACTAGATCTGATTAACAACGGTACCTAATTACTTGGCCTAAAGGCACATATTACCTTGAGAAATGCAACCAAAGGTCATGAGGAAAATATCAAGACGTCGGACCAGGGATTTTTCGTCTGGAGAGCGCACATGTTGATGTGTTGGTGCAAGGCGGCTGAAGCAATTGAAGGATACCATTGTAAGATGAGGACCGGGTTGAATCAATGACCAATCGAGAAGGGATGTCTGCTCGATATCGGTCCAATCTGTCCTATCATCTACGAGACCGGTCGGGGTGGGTAATATCGACGCGTTCGTTCGCAGATTTGGAGAAAGTGTGACTTGACGAACTGCATAGGCCGCTGTTCGAGGTACCTTTTAAACAAAACTCGGGGCGATAGCAGTTCCGTAAAGCGGGCAATAATGCAAACAAGAATAGAGTGCTGAACCATGGCTAGGTCCATCTTGATGTAACCCCATAATATTCGCATACGCACAGGCTGCCTTTTACAGATTAGGAGCCGTCCATGGGCTGACGAGTTTTCGTTCATCGCCCCACAAGCGGGGAAGGAAGCGGAGAACCCTGTGACAGGGACAATGTTATCGGCGACATTTAATCCCGCTTTGCTAGGGTTGAAGTGTGAGAGTGTAGCTTTCTTGACGGCGGTGGTTGAAGCCCTATCTTATCCGCGGCCATAATGGAGGACGCCTAATCATCAGGCCATTGGCGACAATATGCAATTGTCACGCGTGAGTTTATGGAAACGTTACATTCGTGCCTGTAACCGCCTCCCTATCAGAGTCAAGTCAGATAATGACAAGTAGTGAAGAAACCCGACAAAGAATGGTGCGAGCCGCTTGTGGCCCATGATTTGCGGACGTTGGCCGACAACGGAGTCCTCGAATGTTCATCAAGTCGAATGACCCACTTGACCAGTTACGAGGAGTCACCTAACCAAGGGTGGTCATGATCCTCAGTTGTCTAGCCAACTTGGAGCGGGGAGACAGTTGCAGTAGTTTTGATGGGAACTTATGTTAGTTTCTAAACGCTCTGCGACTTATCACGTAATACCTTCCCCATGAGTCATGAGACCCAATTACAGTTGATGGCTTGGCCACACTGATTCGAACCTATACATGATTTTGTTGACTATTCCTACAGCATCCAAAACTAAAATCAACGCTTGGTTCTCATGAACGCATCGATAGCGGATATTTAAAGGATTCCTTCCATCGTCTCCACCCAGAAATTACTTCATCGAAACCCCTAGACAAGAAGAATCTCAACCCACGCAATTTCCAACCGCGCGTGTTAATATTACACGAGGTTAACTGTTGTAAAGCTGATTTCTTCCCCCGAAATTACTTCGCCGCACTTTATACCGTGGGCATAAACTCCACTTACGAAATGATGTTGGTCAGAGTTTGGCTTTGGATGGAGCACAAATGGTGTTCGGCCACCAGCTAGAAGCTAAAACTGACATCAACGATAACGGTCCGTAAATCAAATCCCAAATACTCCTTCCTCGTTCTTATTAGCCCCTGGCTCAGCGATTTCCTGGTTATTTCGGCCTGAAAAGCGTGATTGTTGTCCCTATTTGGCATTTGGGAGTCGCCTTGACCCTCGCTGTTGCAACTCCCAATCTCGTCAATGGAAGGCAGGGTGTTGGAGGGATCGGATTGCCGGAGCTCTTGCATCAAACTCATTTGTCAGGAGTAGTGCTCGCAGTTAACGCCTCCCTTGTTGAGTTAGTCAACTATAAACTGCTTGGATGACCGCTTGGCTTTTTTGTAATCGCTAAATGGAGTTTTGTCAGCCCTTATGGTTCGCCAAAAGGCTTCGACGCGGTTTATGCAATTAGGATAATCAGTTTTGAGATGAGACACTATTTTTTACCACGACATCATGTCGTAGAACAAATTGATTTCGACAGTGTGGTGTCGGACATGTAACTATCAAGCCTTAGAATATTCTGCTGGGAAGAATAGATAGTCAAACCTTTAGTCAATCAGCAGGTTTAATACGCGATCTTGTTACTACTACTTTAATGCCATTTCCATCTGTCCGATTACTCGTCTTCTTGGGCCACGTGCGATTGGAAGGGGTGGGATAATTGTTGTAGTTTCGCGACTAACGGAAATTCGAATTACGGCTCTCGCCAATCCAATTCGAAAAGCCAAAACAGCCAGAGCATAGCAGATTTCAAATCCTAAAAGTCCCACTGCTGACACCAATTCTTCAAAAGACCAGGTGTAATCTCACTCAATCTCTCGACTGTTGGACTCCGGGTCTTGGTCCTCTCCATACTGAACGTAACGTGCTCCAGTCCTGCTCGATTAGCCGCAAGCATGCCGCGATAGGTATCTAGCAACTTGACACTGGGGTTCTTGTCAATACTGGTAGTATCAAGTGCACTCTCTTCCAACTTCGAAATACACTCTTCCAGAGGGATTATTTACTGAATTTTGTCGCTGTAGTAGCTCTTTACAGCATCAGTCAACTCGGACCATTGCATGGTGACCGGATTGACAGCGAGGAAGTAGCCCGAGATCTCTGCGGCAGGGGCCTCGATTGTAACACCAGAAATCTCGAAGATGAGTTCGGCACCTCAATGGGAATCCAGTCAACCACCTGACTAGAGCCGATGTGGTTGGGCAAAGCACCGAGATATACCGAACTGGCGATGAGGCTGGGGATGAACTCTTGGCGATTCTACGCAGCCTCGCTGCTCCTGAGGCCCGCAATCTGTCCAACCCGTATCGATGCGGCTGGGATTCCGGTTTTCTGTGCGGCGGCATCCAAAATGAGACTCCCGGTACGCTTCGATTGACCGTATCCCATGATAGGCATTGTTGGATCATCAAGCTGATGCTCAGGCACCGGCTCAGTTGCCGTCCAGCCGCCCGCAGTACTGATACTCGACAGGAAGATGACGGGCACATGCTTCACAGCAGCGCTTGAAAAGTCAACAAGATGGCGTACGCCCCGAATGTGCGGCTCAAACGAATTGACGCTGATTTGGAAGTTCACGGGCCAAGCGTTGTGAACAATGCGGTCAACTGTACCCAGAAGCTCAGTGTATTTGGTCACACCGAGGCCAAGATCGGGCAGTGATAAATCCGTTTCTAGGAACTTGACCTTGGAGAAGTCGGTGCCCAAGCCGCGAGATGCACAGGCTGAAGGCTGTCGGGACTGGCCACCATCCTTGCCTCGGTTGAGGGCAATAACTTTCTTGACCGACTCTAACTTACAGAGGCGATCGAGCAAGTATGCTCCGAGAGAGCCAGTTGTGCCGGTAACAATGACTGTCTGCCCGACACTCAGCGGTTCCGGCTTATTAGGATTCGAAGCGGGCAGAGCTTCGGTGTACTTTGCTAGGATGGCTTTCAACACCTTGGCCTGGCGCTCGGCATCAAACTCGGCGCTGATTCCACCTTGTTGAGCGGCCGAGCAGAGATAGTGGGCCGACTGTCGCGGGGTGGGATTCCCATAGACAATACGAGGAATCATCAAGCCATCCTCAAGCTTGATGCCCGCACCTTCGAGACCAATGCGGAGCAGTTTGACGGTGTTGATGACCTGTAGGGAGTCAAAACCTACGGTAAAGAAGTCCGTTTCGATTTTGAAGCCGTCGTGTCCGCTGAGTTTGGTAACCAATTCAATGATGGACTTCGCTAGGGTGTCTTCATTGGTGAGATCCAGATCGACAGAATCAGCTGGGTCCGTTGTCTCTGCGTTTTGGTAGACCGACTCAATCTCTTGAGCGAATAGCTTCACAGTTGCTGTTCGAAGAGTAGTGCCTTTGGGTGTTCGCAAGAAGTCTTTGCCTGGCGGCGACACCGTCACGAGCCAACGGGCAATCTTTCCATGTGCGACTGTCTCAGCGTTGGCCTTCTCGACCAAAGGCCACACATCTTCAATGAGAGCCCGGGCCACCGCATCGTCTGCGCATGGCGTCATGGGCTCCAGAATCAGAGCTGGCTGGAATCTCTCCTGGCCCACCACCAAGGCTCCCTTGATGGCAGGATGGCCAATAATATGCTCTTCCATGCTCACTGGGTTCAACTTCTCTCCGTTGGAGAAGACGATGACATCCTCAAGTCGCCCACAGTACATCCAGTGATCATGGAGCGCAGGGTGGGGCTTGTATAGATCCTTGGTTGACCACTCATCCAGGTCGGGAAATGTGTAGAACAGAGCCTGCAGACCTGGATCTTTGTCTTGGGTGTTTTTCCGTCGAACAACAAGCTCATAAAGCCCGTCTTCCACGGGACGCCAAACGCAGCCCATAACTTCGCTGTTGAAGATGAAGCATTGCCAGTTCTCCATGTTGGATTGATAATGGAGTACAAATGGCAAGTATCTGATGATAAATTAGCAACTTACTCAACCTAACCACCACGCCGAATACGTACTCGGTTGCCGCAACTCCGTTGGTAAGGAGAACACCATTGTCAATGAGAGTTTTGCCAGCCTGCTGCCCGAGATTGCCTACCGAGATGGTCAGCGTATGCCCGGCATCGCTTAACAAACCTATTCTTCCGCAAGACTTACCTCCACCAAAGCCCACATACTTGAGTTTCGCCAATTCAGCTAAGCTCTCACTCTTGGTGGAGAGCTCCTCCAAGATAACAGGCGGGAGAATGGTTCCTTGGGCGCCAACATGCTTCAAACTTTGAAGCACGAGGTCTGAGCTGAGCGGCCGGTCTAGAATGGTCAAGGCGAAGGTGGCCCCGAACGCAAGCGTCAACTTGAGCAAGAGTATCATGCCTGCGGCGTGGAAAAGCGGCATCGGCATGAAAATCTTCTCGGCTCGAGTTCCCCATTCGTATGCCATGTATTTGCCACCGTGGGACGCGGGCATATCGCGCAAGGCATCGGTGATGGCGAAGGTGCCCTGTTTCTGAACGACAGGCTTGGGCAAGCATGTTGCGGCTGGTGTGAAACACGATTGATGAGTCCCATCTGCCTTCCTCGAATGTCCGAGTATAGGGAAACGGCGGGGAGGTGGCTGCTATCATGATATCGGCACTGGGAACCTCAAGTGTCTGCATTTTGCGTTCTCCAATCCATGGCTTAATCATGGGCGTAAAGGTGTCGGCATGCCAGAAGATGTCGCAGTCAGTCGCTTTGAGAAGATGCTGCTGCGCTTCTTTGCTGTTCCGCGGGGAAAGAAGAAGCGCCTTGTACCCAGCTTTCATGCAGCCCAAGACGATGACGACGTACCGTACGTCCATTGGGCCTATGTATGCGACAGTAGGAAATGTACCTTTCCACGCTGGTCCGTACGCCTCTGTAATCTGCCATGCAACAGAGTCAACAGCTTGAGCCATTTCCTTGTATGCAACGGGCTTCCAGCCATCACTAGGATTGCTCGTGTTCGGCGCATGGATGAAAGGACGCGAGGGTTCACTAGCAGCGATGCCATCTAGAACGTGAAGCATCAATCGTCGTCCATAGTATGGTTCTACGTCTGCATCCACGTGGACCATCTTGGCTTTCGTTAATAGGGGTACTCTCGATCCTTCGCTGGGTGTGAGTTGGGATCTAGAGTAGAGTGTAGAGAAAGAAATCAATAATAGAGCCACAGATGCTTCGTCTGGGACATTTGTGCTCTCTTTATGCTTGACGACTATCAGTTGGACGCGTCATTTGAGCGACTTGAACTTTTCAGCCACTTTGCGCCATGGATGCACAGAGACCTGGCTGTCCCGCATGTCTGAAAATCCAAGCCAATCCTTCACGATTAATCGCTAAAGGATCTAGATGCTCCAATAGAAACCTGAAAGATATGGTGATAGTCTCTCGTTTCCCCGCACAGCATGGGAAGAATGACTCTGATACTAACCTGCATCAAAGATAGAAGCTGAAAGCTACATTAAGGCATGATCGGCCGTATCACACACCTTCTCGCTTGAGCCGTCAGAATCTCGGTCAAATACGCAATGTAACGGACACAAGTCTGTTACACTATGTGCATTGTGCGTCTTGACGGCATCTACCTCTCAAGTACCTCACGTTGATCTGACGCCTGTAGGTAGTGTACTGACCCTAACAACACGGTCTATTGCCTGCCGAGCCAGCTTTGATAGCCAATGAATCTCGATAAGGCTTTTCGCTGGGGAATGGCCGCATTATGTCCATCCATCCGAGCAGTCACACCAAGACAAAGCCACCGGAAAGGACCGGTTACCCTACACCGCTCCCGTCATTCAGAATCGTCTCTGAGCTATCTCCCGTACTTGGGGTCTAGGACGTCGTCTGCAAATATTAGCAACATTCAAATTCGGAACTTGGAGCTTATGAATTCATCACAATGTTATTACAATAGCCACTAGGCAATTTATAGTTATAATAAATGGCAAGTTGACGTGGACCTGACTGACTGCGAGGGCTACCCTGCAGCACATGACAGCTTCCTGCAGGTGATTTGTCATCATTAAGAACCACGCCCGGTTAGCTCAATCGGTAGAGCGTGAGACTCTTACGAGAACGCGATCTCAAGGTTGCGGGTTCGACCCCCGCATCGGGCTATTCCTATACATAAGATTCGATTGCGAGCAAGCGAGGCTTCTTTTTTTTGTTCTTTTATCTTTTTGTACCCGTAGAATATTGTGTTGGGTGGAAATATTATCCTTTCATCTATAGGTAGGTAGGCGTGGCCTCATCATCTTCCGAGTTGTCCTCCAGCAACAGCACACATCCAACCTCTTCCCTCTTCGCTCTTACGAGGATTAGGATGTGCAGGTCACAAGCACCAAACGTGTAACCACAGCAACATACGTCTCTTGACGAACTCGTAATGTGAATCCATCGCCAGTCCTTTCCGCAGTCTCCCTTCCGCTGTCAAACCACACTAACGCAGCATGAACAGAAGAACCCCTGTGGCTGTGCGCTCCCTTCATCTTAATCCTGGTTGACGGCAGCCAATACACGACGGATACGCAGACGTGCATGCGAGCCTTCAGCTGTCATTGCGCACAGACGCATTTTGTGCGTTTTAATAGAATTGTTGGTTGCAAAATCCGACAGTCGGCGTGTTTGTTTGAGATGGGATGAGGGAGGTGGCCATCTGAAAGACGGATACACTGCGCTAATACGGAGTATTAGTGAGCTGGACATCTCAAAGACGGATATCTACAGACTACACTTCAAGACTTGTTTGAGATACTCCCGGTGCAGTCTGGAAATCAATGTGGACGGAACCACCACCTCCCTGTAAAATGATAGGATAGAAATGCCAGACCCTGCAACGCCCACCGTGGCAAAGGAACCCCTTCGGCGGATGTCATCGTGCATTCCAACAAACACCTGCGGCCTTGGACGGATTTGGTTTGCCAACGCAGCAAGGAGCCTTGTCGACTTTGGCCATCCAGCGCCCGGATTGGGTCGCCTCCCCACCGACCGCCAGGCATTAGAGCCCGCTAGACTGCTTTCTCCCAGTTCAGTCCTCCATGTGCTGTGCTGAGTGGGGTGCTGAATCAATAGACTGTCTCAATTGTGGTGCGATAGCGGCGCTGGCCGCGGCTACGGCTGCAGTAGATGGCTGCACACTTACACACCGCTCCCACGGCTGCACGCCGCCATTGGCGAGCAGCGGTGCGGTATGTTTGATTCAAGTCGACAACACCAATGGAGGAAGCCTCGAGGACGAGACCCACGCGGTGCATCACCAGACAGAGACAGTCATCGGTGCCCGATGGCTGGACTCCCGATGGCTGGTCTTGGTCTTGGTGAGCGAGACGGCGTCGAGCCGCTCAACAAAATTCATTGACCGCCGGCCACAATCTCTCCGTCCGACCCCAGGGAGCACCATCGCCTTCTGAACCTCTTTTTGTGACTTGGCTTGCTTGCACTAACTAATTTCTAATTCCTCCTCCTTCATCCGGCATGTCTTCCAAGCGACACCGCCCCACCCGTCGGGCAGAAATTGCGCCAAAGAAGACCGCCTTTCACACGCTGCGGAATCAACTGCGCCGCAACCTGGTGCGCTCAGAGTCCGGACGCGACTTCGTCCCTAGTGCCAGCCTCGATGCCATCTTCACCTTGGGTGCCATCGAAAACGCCGTTGAACAGCTGGTCTGTCAGCCGGATGATCGAACGGGTCTCGCCCACGCGATATACAACCAAGGGAAGAAGCTATTCGCAATCTTGGTCTGGATGCAGGAACCGGATGCCATCGTCACGTTTCGCAGCCACGACCTCCTCGACAGAAAACTACCCTTTGAATCCTCCCACATCGACGACTTGGGCCTCAAGTTTGCCCACGGCCTTGTAAGCGACGAGCAGTGGAAATTCGTACCCTACTCCTTTCCACCAACCATGTGGGAGTGCCACCGGGAAATCGACACCGACATGGTGATGCCTTTTGTCGGCAAGGCGGAGAAGGTCGGGGCTGGCATGCATGCGGATGTTTACAAGGTCGCCATCGCCCCGTCCGAGCAGGCTTTCTATCCCAAGGATGTAAGTTGCCATCACTCTACCGTAGCAAGAGTAGTTAGCTTATTTATCTTAGAGCGCACGAGTGCAAATTATCAAGAAGAGCTTGAATCCTAATGTCGAGCAAAACCGAGTTCGACAGGAGCTGTTGTGCTTACGGCTTCTCAATCATCTGAAGCATCCCAACATTGTCTGCATGTTGGGTTCATATACGCAGATGGAACAGCACCACTTCTTGTTTCCGTGTCTAGACATGGACCTGAGCACCTTTCTCAAGAGGGATACTCGATTCGGGAATTTCGAATCGGACTGCACATTCTACTCGGCGCTGCGAGGACTCGGCTCTGCACTATCCCACGTCCATCGACTTCATCTGAATCAGAAGACTCACGGGATGGATTTCGACGGTATTGGCTGGCATCACGACATCCGGCCCGCCAATGTCCTAGTGAGCAAGACCACATTCCTGCTCACAGACTTTGGCCTCGCAACCTTTCAACAGGGCCGTGTCAAGTCAAAGATGCTGTGGCAGCCGACGTCTGGAGATTACGTTGCGCCTGAATGCCTGGATGCCGACCAAAAAGAGCAGATCGTCGACCAAGCCATCGACGTTTGGGCATTCGGCTGCCTCCTTGCCGAGATTGTCACGTACATGGAGAAGGGCGCTGCTGGAGTCAAGGAGTTCAGTCAACACCGGTTGTCGATCGGACGGGGAGGATGGACAGACAGCCAGTTCTACGACGCAGACGGCGAGACCAAAGACCTGGTCAAAGAGTGGCTGGGATCTCTGGCTACAAATAGTGTAGAGGAGCGTCTGATTCCGTCGCTTGTCAACACGTCACTCCGCGCCATGACAGCCGTCAGGCTGCGTCGTCCCAGGATGATGCATATTGCCGGCGACCTCACCCTCCTGAGTCTCAAGGCACACTTCTACGCCGTCGAAGAGCAGTTTACTGATACTCGCGCGCTGAATGGGATAACGGCCGGCGACAATCTCTGGTTTCTGCACGAGCGCTTTCGAGCATGGGGTGGAACGCTGTCGCTCGACAAGAAGGACGCGGTGGCGACCCTCTCGGACCATATTAACGAGTGCTACGATGCCATCATCGACAACTTGGGTCTGTTGTATCAGGAGCTAGAGGACGCGAGTTATGAAGTGTTTACTTGTCTGGAAGATCGATTTTGCTTTGAGGAACGCGTCGACCGGCTGGTCGAGACGCTGTGGTGTCTCCTCCCCATCAACATGCAAGCAGTCACGAAGGATTACTGGTGCCGCGCTGTCTTGAATGCGGATTGGACGGATGCTTCCGGTGATGTGTACGGCACGTTAAAGTCGCGAAATCTTGTCTACAATAATACCGATGCTGCTGCGGCAAAGATAGAGACGGTGCCGCCAAAGGTAGAAGCACCCGCCACAAGTATAGACGCAGATGACGAGAATAACTCGGGGGATAGCCCGCGCCTCGGCAACAGAGCCAGGCTCGCGCTGACCCTATCGACTTACATCAAGGACTTTAACAGCATCGGGTGGCTGCAGGAGGGCCTCAAGTCGCAAACCATGCCCTTTCTCAAAGCCCCCGCGATCGACGAGAAGAAAGGCGATGTCTCATGGCGGTCCTACGCGTCCGGCATGTACCGGAGCGTCATGGGAGCCATTGTCGAAGAGAGGTCGCCGGGGCAGAAAGCGGTCTGCGGGACCATCGGCACGCAGAGAACGCCTCGGCTTGTCGCTGCGGCTTTTCCTTCTACGGCTACAACCCTGGGATTGTCTTTCTGGAGATGGGGCTCTGGACTTCTGTGAGCACTTTGCCGCCGAGTTGAAGATTTCACACACTGAGACTGGTCGAGGTACAACGAGAACGCATCATAGCGCGTCACATACAGCTGGAGACAGAGACGGGCGCAATGCACGCAACGGACTGGGTCTTCTTCCCCCTAACCACTATGGATCAGTCCTGCACGCCCCGGATCAAGTTCTTGATGCCTTCGCCATTCGTCGTCTTGTCCCAGGCCTCGGTCGCGCGCTCAAACGGCACGATGCTGCTGATGAGCGACTTGACCGACACCTTGCCCGAGCCCAACAAGCCAAGAGCGATATCGTAGTCTCCCGGCGCATAGCGAAACGACGCCTTGACGACGGTTTCTTTCTGCATCATGGCTCCCATGGGTAGTGTTTGGTCCGGCTTGCCCATGCCTATCTGCACAAAGACACCACCTGGTGCTGAGGCATAAATGCCTGCTTGGGCGGACGACTCGACACCGGTGCATTCCAACACGACATCCACGCCGTCGTCGAGATTCTTTTCCTTCGCAAACCTCGCCGCATTCTCCTCTGGCGATGCGTCGAGGGCTGGAACGAACGTGGCACAGTCGAGAAAGCCCTTTGCAAACTCGAGTTTCTTCTCGTTGATGTCAGCAATGAAGATGGATCCTGCGCCAAACGCCTTTGCAGTCGCAGCGACAAGGAGTCCAATCGTTCCAGAGCCGAGGACAAGCACGCTCTGGCCGGGCCGCACATCGGCGAGACGAACGCCGTGGACCGCAACGCTCAAGGGCTCGACGAGCACAGCCTCCTCCAAGCTGAGCTCGTCCGGGATCTTGTAGGCAAAGTCGTCCGGGATTTTGAAGAAGCGGGCCAGCGTTCCGTGAGTGCGAGGAGGATCTGCGGCGAAGCGCATCGCGGGACAGAGGTTGTACTTGCCCGCCTTGCACCGCTTGCAGCGCCGGCATGGGAAGCCCGGCTCGATGGCGACGCGGTCGCCTGGTTTGAGGCTGGTGACTTCGCGGCCGACCGAGTGCACGATTCCCGAGGCTTCGTGGCCCATGACGAGAGGCTCTTCCTCGGAAACCTTTCTCGTCACGCCGCCGTGCTTCCAGAAGTGAACCTGGCGGGATGAGCGCTGAGTCCAGGCGCAGGTTGCGTCGCGGACAACTTACATCGCTACCGCAAACGCCAGTATACGAGATGCGGATCAAGATATCGTGAGGATCCGTGATCTCGGGGATCGGTCGGTCCTCGAAGCGAGCGTGCCCGGCACCATAGAGGAGGCAGGAAAGGTTCTGGGAGACGATGAGCCATCTTCCACGAATTGCTTCCGACTAGATATTTTCTTGCGTACATTTGCAGACATGATGGAATGATATAGTAATTGAAAACGAATAATGACTGATTTGGCTTGTCCTGAGTTGATGATCCTGCGCGTTCTCTCTTTAAATACGTGCCCAAGTGGCTGGCTGTACCCCGCGTCTGACGTGTGCTCCAGTTCACGATTACGGAGTGATATCGACCGATGGTAAGTTATGCGGCAGGTGACGTCTTTGCACTGTCGATCGCAGTCCTGCGGCTCGTGGCTTGTCTGGTGTGAGAGGTGGTTATCACCATGTACAATGTTTTACGCTCAACTAATTCCAGTCTCCCAACCTCGCAAGATCGTGTCGCTAGACTCGGAGATTGATTCTGCGCCGCGTCACACAGTTGAAATGACGGTACTATCACATGAGATGTCAATCGCAGGAAGCTAGTGATTGGCCTTGGAAGAGAAAGCTGCAATGAACCCTGTCAACGCATGCCGGACATCGGAGCACACTGCCCCGACGCAAGCCCAAACTAATTCGTATGGATGCCCAAATATGCGATGCATTCGAGCCTTGACTTAGTAATGCTGATGGTAGTTACCTCCATCGCAAATCTATTCTACCTGAAAATCCATCCGCCTATGCCGTAGGTTAGTTCAAGTCTGTCTCGCCGTGATCCATTTCCGTACAGCAGCATCTCAATGACAACAGTGGAGGCATATGAGCAGGAATTTATAACTACAGTGGCTTTGATGGATAAATGATTACTAAAAAGGAGATTGAAGATTTCACAACTGTCCACCGTCGCATTCTTGTCAATATAAGTTAATTCCATCACCAAGTTAACCTTAAACTCAATGCTAATTTACTTGGGACGCGCTGTTCCTCGGCTTATCGAACAAGCCACTTGGGGCGACGGGCAAGATACTGTACCCGTTCGCTGCCAGATTCGAATTAGTACCGGGAGTCGCATTTTGACAGGGCGTTGGGCGAAAGTCGCATGCAGCGTTCCATTGATGTGTATCTTATCGCTGTTTCGGACGGTACTTCTGTCGACTTTATTTTGGGTGAAGTATGCCCAGCCATGACCTCCTAGGTTTCATTTATTCTGGACCTTGCTGTCGTGAATTAAATAAACCGCTGCCGCAATATAATATTTCCTGTCGATTTGAGGGCTGCTTCTTTTATAATTATAAAATACTGCAACTGCCGAAGTACTCAACAGTGCTGTAACAGGGACGGTCATAGGCTCTTAGGTGCTATCCCAGCACCTATAACAGTTGAAGGAGATGTAATTGCGCTGATAAAATAGATCTGCGACGTTTTCTTCGTCTGAATAATTTAAGGATGCACTTCCCGTTCCCCAGCATCCAGCTCACTTAGACTTTGCAGTATGGGACGAAACCAATGGGAGCGGTGTTTGCCAACACAATGCAATTATTTCGTCTTGATAGTTTCAAGCCACGTAGTTGACACGAGTGAATGGTCATTTTAAATAATATTCTTTTGTGATTTTGGCCAAATCCGACTTGTCGCATTGAGCATCGCTCTCCTGTCAGCTTCATCACGTTGATGTGGAACAGTGGGCTGGCTGACTACCCTTTGGGGGATATCACCACTTACTGTCTCTCGACTCCCCCAAATGGATACCAACCCGGCTTTTACTACTGTATTCGAATGGAGACGCCGACGCTGCGATAACCCTGGTCGTCTAAAATACAACGCGGCACAATTTCTCCCATTTGACCAGGGTCTTGCTGTAGTAATGCCTGAGGCACAGTATTGGGGGCCGAAGTTGATGGATTCCTTCAGCTTCCTCACAAGGCTGCGGTTTAATACCGTAATCATCATCTTCCCACAATGCAATGATCAAATAACTCATTCTGTGCCTGGAAACGCAGCCATGGCCAAAATGCGTTTGCTCCTCGTCGCCATCGTTGCGCACGCTGTGGGAGTCGCGGCCGGTGACAGTTTGGGCGACTTCTCAAACGACCTCGCGACAGATCTCGGCCCCCTTCTCACCCTTTTCGGCGATGCCATGACCAAGCAGTACCTCAGCGAAAGCACTTCATTCCTCGACTATCTCATCTTCGCCATGGCCCCGATTGGGATTCTCACCGCGATAGTGTCGACCATTCGTGTATGCGGCCACTCGTCCCTGCGCGCTTTCGTTGGGAGATCTCAGGAGGGCGAGGGAGTCATCGAGGCCGAACTATGCACCTCAACAAGCCGAGACGTCTGCGAATTGTTCAACCGGGGTGGCATCGCACGTGTTCTGGGCAAGCCGAGCGTCCTTGAGCTCGTGTACGACCCCTCGAAAGCGCCAAGTGTCTCCGGAAAGTCCGACGACTCGGAACTGCGCCTGTCTCGCAACTACTTCACGGGAATTAAATCTTCTGATGATTGGCAAAGGGTCGAAGGCTCCGTCTTTGAGCGGCCTAGCAAGAAAGAAGCCTTGGCCGAGGACTTTGCACCAAACCCGAACCTCTCGCTCAACGTTGGCATAGTCAAACGGCCGCAGTGGGTATTTGTCGCTATTGCTGCCACCGGCGTTATTCTTCAAGTCGGTGTTCTCGTCTTGGCTGGCGTGGGCGTTTGGGTCCTCAAGTGGAATCTCAACGACGGAGGAAAACCTGCTTCAAGAGATTACGCGCCAATCATGTTCATTTCTGGAACAATTGTCATGTGTGCCGGGATGTGGGCGTGCGCATATCTCATCGGTCAGACCACGCACGAAGTTCGCTTCCGTCGACGGGGCAAGAAGCCTGCAGGAGAATGTCCGCGTCTCTTCTGGCTCCAACCGGGTCCTCAAGTCATCGGCGATCAAAGTTTCGATCCCTACGGCCATGTCGAGGATACGGAACACGCTCTTCACGGACTTTGGATGTCATCTCGAAAGTTTTTCGACGAGAGGTTGTTCGAGATCAATACCATACTGGCCATCACAGCCGTGACACTTGGCTACATTGCGCAATTCATCGGCCTGCGAGGAATGAAGGCTTGGGTTGCTCTGGCTCAACTTGCCGTTACACTTCTCATGAGTCTCCTGCGCGGATGCCTCCGCATGCAGAGACTCGGCAAAAAGTCCAACCAACTTGGCCATATCCCAGATCTTGTTTCCGGTCACGAGCTGGATTGGTTGTCCTTCAAGATAGCACAGCAGAACTACAAACTGCATGTTACCGGGCTCTATGACGACGCGTCGCATACGACTACTCAGGGCAAGGAATCAACCCGCACTTTCAAAAACGACCCACACGACACAAAATCGGTATCCGTGGATACTTCAATTCTACCCAGCTCAGATGACACACTACCAATATCTGATCCTGACAAGGTGGTTAGAGTAGACGACATCCAGCACTTACTCCATATTCGCAAGCGGCTTGCGCATTTGACAGGCCATACTTCGCTCAAACGCCTCGACTCCTCGGAATACCAAATGTGGAAAGACGATGCTATCAAAGTCCGCGCCAAGGCCAAGCAAATCTCGACAGCCCTTTGCCAAATCGCCGAAAAGCTGTTTAGAAAATCACAAAAGAGAGAAATCAATATTCGAGTACAAGTTGGCTCTCAAAACATGGAAGAAGACGATTATTCGAACCAAATCATCGAGATCCTGTTCAAGAAGTTTTCTCCATCATCTCAAAGGGGTTGGATTATAGACTCTGCAAAAATCGAGGCGATATTGGGTCTTTGGTTATGGACCATGACTTATGACTCCCTTGTTCACAAAGATGCCGATGCCTCTCCAAATGCAGCTAAGGACATTGTGATGGATAGAATTGTCTCCGCAGGCCCTGACGACCAAGGTTGGTCTGATAGGGCCAACAGCGCTGACGGAGAGATAAACCTTTGGCTGGGGCCCAACTCCGTCAAGTTCCAAACCACAACCATCATGGTCAAGCCGCAGGAATCCTACAGCTTTGGGTCTCTATGGAGATGGATGGCTGCACCTAACGAAGACCCCTACTGGGAAAACCTGGCTCCCAATGCCGACGATCTCAATGCGCCACTGCATCGACTGTGTGGGTGGACATCAGTTCCCCAAGCAGAAAGAGAACCCGAGTCAATTCGCAAGCTGCGAGTTCAGTTTGTTAGTCTTCATGGGTCACAAACTTCACTCCTCGATGTGTGCGCTCAAGAACTGTTCACTACACTTGTCAAGTCGCTAGGTGGTCTGTTGACCTTTGGCAAGGCCATTGTTGGCGAGAGTGCTGGCACGGGTCGGCTGGAGAGCCAGACTGTTGAGACAATCGCTAATGAGTTCGTACAAAGCGGCCTGGGGACCTATTCCGAGGCTCTACTTTGCATCATACCGGCATTTAGAGGAAGTCTCCCTTCGCCAAAGCCTCGCGAGCTACTAGCATTGGTCATCGAGACAGCCGACAACTATCGCCGGAACCAGGAATGGAACCGCGCAGACATCCTCTTGCGATGGGTTTGCACCTATTTTTCATCGCCGGGGGAAGATCATGGAATTAGCTTCGAGCAAGTTGCGCGAGAATTCGCCAAACACGGCGTTCTCCAGAAGACACACCAGAAACCATCATCACCCCCATTAAGAACTCAGCCAAAGATCCTAGCCGCTCACTACGGCGGGCAGGACATCACAATCCTGGCAAAGTGGCAGTTCTGCGACGGCGAGGACATTGTGATTCCAACGCATGAGCAGGAGCTTCCCATTGCCGATCCGTGGATGTACGTCCGCAAGTCAGTCAGCGTGGTGTACCGCTTCAGCGACGGCGAAATTCGCGGCTTTGTCGTCCCACAAGACACCAACCGTACGTATACGCTCACTTTCGATCGCAGACACGCCGACTCGGAGAGTGCAACGTTTGCCACGTCAAATTACACTTGTTCAGTCTCATCTGCTATACATATCCATGCAGTTATCTGGGGACTTGAGCAAGTCGAGGACCAGGAAGTCTACGAGAAGCTCTACAAGAAATTTGCCCTGAAGGAGTCGATCTTTCTTCATAATAATTTCTTTAAGAAGGACGGCTGGCTACAGACTGAGAAGACTGCTGCTGTTGTTTACTCTTCCAATGGGGCTGTGAAGTGTATTTCGGGTCGGGAGAATACCCACATGTTGTTTGCTTATTAGATTAGGCTCAGAGTAGGGCATACCCGGGATGTAGTAGTTAAGTGTATAGTAGATTCCCTCGGAAGAAACGACTCTGAGTAGAAGGAGGTGATGGCGTTATTAATCAGACGATTGGAATTTGTACCTTGAGTGACGTGCAGCTGAATGGAGAATTTTCACGTAATACACATGCACTATTAATATGATAGGCATCGATGGACACGGTCAACAAAACTAATTCGTAGCGGGATGGGATGAAACATAAACTTGGTGTTGTTTTTTGCTACACCTATAGTCTAAACACCATCGCTTGCCTCAACTCTGTGTTGGCATGGAAGTATCCGTTTTGGTACTAACAACATCTCCGCTACGCCACAACGCCGTGACCGTTTTGAGCTGCGTGTAAAAGTCGACTCCTGGCTTTCCATAGAATGTGCTTGCACCACCCCCAGCCACACTCCTCTTGTTTCCAGTGAAGCTGAACATGGGCAATGGCACAGGGATCGGAACGTTGATGCCAACTTGGCCGACCTCGATCTGCCGTCGGAAGGACTCGGCCGTCGGGCCTGATCGAGTAAATACCACAGTGCCGTTGCCGTATTCGTTGTTGTTGACTGTCTCGATTGCCTGGTCCAGCGTGTCCACGCTCATGCATAGCAGCACGGGACCGAAAATCTCCTCGTTGTAGCATCTCATTGACGTTTTTACATCTGAGATGATGACAGGCGCAACCCAGTTACCATTGGGGTAGTTACTAGGCTTGTAACCTCGACCATCAAGCACAATAGTCGCACCCTCCTTTTCCGCGCTTTCGACCAGAGTCTCAATGCGCAACTTGCTTTGAGGGCTGATCACAGGGCCTAGATCGGCGCATTTCTCAAATCCAGCGTTAACTTGTAAAGTTTTGGCTCTTTCCACCAGCTCAGGCAACCAATTCTTTGCTTCTCCTACCATCAATAGCACGCTGATAGCCATACACCGTTGTCCAGCTGCGCCGAATGCCGCGCCGAGGATTGCATTCAGACACTGGTTCTTATCACAGTCTGGCAAGACCACCGCATGATTCTTGGCGCCCAGGTTTGCTTGCACACGCTTGCCGTTGGCGGAGGCTCTCGAGTAGATATACTCGCCAGCTGCGTTGCTCCCAACAAAGCTGATTGCCTTGATGGCAGGTTGATCGAGGATGAAGTTGATCGTTTCGTGGGCACCGTGGATGATGTTTACCACACCATCTGGAAACCCAGCTTCTCGGCAGAGCTCTCCGAGAATCATGGCGGTTCCAGGCACGCGTTCTGAGGGTTTGAGGAGGAGAGTGTTTCCGGTGATGGTGGCTATTGGAAGACACCACAGAGGGATCATGGCAGGGAAATCTATAAGGTCAGCACACTTTCTGTAATGGAGTTTAGACCCAAATGAGGGCGAGTCTCGGGGTGAAAGACGTACTGAACGGGCACACTGCCGCAACCACACCAAGCGGCTCCCGGTAGGTTCTTGTCTCCATGTCTTTCGCAACCTCGAGAACTTCGCCTTTCAAAAACTCCGGCGCAGCACAGGCAGCTTCAGCAACCTGCAGTCCTCGAAGCACATCTCCCTTGGCATCAGCAAATGTCTTGCCCTGTTCGCGCGTAATTCTCGCCGCCAAGCGATCCATGTTGTCCCGAAGCAACGCGACAAACTTGAACATGATCTGCTGGCGAGCCATAACGCTCTTTGCCCGCCATAGCGGAAATGCCTTTTCCGCTGATGCCAGAGCAGCTGTCAATTCCTCATTGGTACTTTGTGGGACCCGGGAGATGAGGTAATTGGTGGCTGGGTCATGGACGTCGAAGAATTTGGTGGTGCTTGATTTGAGAAATTTATTGTCGACGAAATACGGAATGTCCTCGACGGTTTCCGGTTCTTCGTGCGTTGTTACCGAGGGTAACGGTGGAGACTGCATTGCTAACTCGGTCATGACGGCGTCGGAAGATTGTCTTGCAAAGAAGGGAAATCGGGTACCGTGATAGATACCTCAAGTTCTAAGTACAAGCAGCGTACGATATTTTCATGAGGGTTTCAAAGTATCACGCGATGCAGCGTATTCTTAAGGCCAGCAAACTTGCAGTAACCAGCTTGTGTGGTACCATGTCAGGATCGTGGCCATGACACGTTATCGTCAATTTTCAATCTTCACACCCAACACAGATTGGCGTATCACTCAGTCTCCATTCCACCCCAGTGCCCCAATAGGTACTCCACGTTCTACGCTTATTTCGTTCCATGCATGACAAGACGCCCATCAGCCGTGGGAACCTGAGATAAGATAAACATGTGCGTGGTTGTGACAGGGGGTAGAGGTGTGGAACTAGGAAGAAATGGCCGATAAAGGAAGCTGATAACAAAAACTCGATAACTAACGCAAATTGATAACGCTTGTCGTAATCGTAACCAATTAAACTGAGAGTACAGCGAAATTAGAACCAAAATTGAAATCAGCATGGTGTGTCTGTATCCTCAAGCCGTGGCCCCGCGATCTCGCCATTTGTTTCTCACCTGGTCGAGAGGGGTCTGTCTTGCGCACAGAGTGCCATCTTAGCTGTGCCAAACCTTCACTCCAGAACACACTCCACCATCCGGGACCTGAATGGGCCTGTCCTTGATTCTGAATCAGAAAGTGTAGGATTAAACAGGTCAACCGGGATACTGAGCACGGGTCAGGAGCGTGGCTTGAAATCCCCTCAAAGCTGCTAGTTCAGTTCAGGTCATGGCCGGCCACCCAATCCACAGCCCCATTGTCGGCGGCAGCGGAAGCAGTTTTGCTGGTGACAATAGCGGTAGGAACCTCTCATCTCCTGGTCTTTTCATGTCGTTGAATCGTTGAACTAATGCTCAACTTCACATCAGGTCCATTTTCGAACCATGGCTACACCGAGGTTTGTCGTGATCCCTCCCCTCGCCGAGGTTAATCTCTCAGGGCTTGCCATCCTTCGGACTGACACTTCATCAGAGCACGTTCTCGGATTTAAGCGGGGTTTTTAATCTCGATCCCAGTGTCTCGCATAATTTCGTCAACAACTCGCTCATCTTGTCAAAATCCCGCGCGTGGACCAAAGTTCACGACCCAGTAAGTAATAGAACCCACCATCCATCATATTGTCGCGGACTGTTAGCTAACAATACATGCTTCCAGGCTACCCAAGCCTTTTTAACCAGAGTGCCTGAATCTACAGTTCTAGAGGTGCAGCATGCGGTTGCTGTGGCGTCTTCAGCACAGCCCAGCTGGGCCTCAACCTCTTTCCAAACTCGACGACTAAAACTGTTAGACTTGGTCAACGTTTTGTACCAAAATGGCCCTCGCATCGCAAGTTGTCCATTTCATTGATCGTTCCTCGGGTTCTGGCTAACCTGGGATAAAAGATTAATTGCATCATCGAGGAAGGTGGCAAGACTATGCAGGATGCAAAGACAGAATTCGACAAGGGTATTGACGCGATCCTCACGGCCACCGCAATTGGTAGCGAGATGATGGGAACTTACTCTTCGAATCACCCAGTCAGGGTACACACGTTCCACGAACCTGTCGTATGTCTAGCCTCTGCAGCCTCCGTCCCGATACGTGTCCTCTGCTAACGTCATCAACTCTAAGGGTGTGTGTGTGTCTATAACGCCTTACAACTTCCCGTTCATGATACCACTATGGTCTGTTCCGCTAGCTATCATGACGGGAAACACCGTTGTCCTAAAACCGTCCGAAAGAACACCCACCGCTGCCATGATCTTGGCAGAGAGTTTTCTCCAAGCTGACTTCCCTCCCGGTGTCTTCAATGTTGTTCATGGGGGAGCCAGTGCCGTCAATGTTCTTTTATCCCAACCAGCAGTTATGGCAGTCAGCTTCGTAGGATCTGACATTGCTGGAGAACGTGTGTGTGAACATGCCAGAGCAAACAGAAAACGGGTGCAAGTTGAGACTAGCGGCAAAAACCACGGCGTGATTATGGAAGATTCGGACAAGATATCAACGCTCTACGCGATTGCGGGCAGCGCCTTTGGTGCTGCAGGGCAAAGATGTATGGCTTTGAGCTTGGTAGTATTTGTGGGATCAGCCAAAGAATGGCTCCAGGATCTTGTGGAAATTGCAAAGTCTCTAGTAGTCGGCTGCGGCACTAATCCGGAAGTTGGGATGGGGCCTCTTATAAGCGCATCTGCAAAGGAGAGGGTTATTAGCATCATTAACAGCGCGGAACAAGAAGGCGCCAGAGTAGTCTTGGACGGGAGATACTGCTCCGTGGACGGATATCCTGATGGTAACTTTGTGGGCCCGACCATCTTGACCAACGTCAAGACGTATATGCAATGTTATCAGGAAGAAATCTTTGGACCTGTTCTTATATGTCTCGAGGTTGAGACCTTAGATGAGGCCATTGATGTCATTAACGAAAATCGATGTAAGTCATTTACCTATACAACCACATCCCTCCTTCACTACACTTGTCCGTTAAATACGTTCGATCTCCAAAGTCCCGTCTTGTCGAAGTAGCTGAATTACTAACTACGAATATAGATGGTAATGGGTGTACATTGTTCACGTCAAACCCAAGAACTGCCCAAACCTTCCAGCAGGAAGTCAACATCGGCCAGATCGGCATCAACGTTCCGGTTTTGGGTAAGTAAAGCAATGTTATTGGGTCCCAGTGCATACTGATCAATATTCAGCTCCATCAGGCCCATTGCCTAGAACCAGTAATAAAGATTCATTTATCGGTGGTAAGTACACCCTTGAAGATGGGTGATCCTGGGAGCTAAAATACAATCTTCTAGATATAAGTGGACAGGGTCGATCATGGCAATTCTTCACTATGACGAAGACAGTAACAACATTGTGGCGATAGCTACTTTTACTACAACCAATAAAAGCTGCAGTTTCTTCATTTTGTGCATACGGGGCAATAAGATCCCATCTAAGACGCTACACATATACCACGTTGAAACTTGGAGGATCTATACACTCGTCGCGCGTGTCATTTCAATTTTTGCCAGTGCCGAACAGACGATCGCCAATATCTCCAAGGCCCGGCTTCACGTAGCCGTGGCTGTCAACTTCTGGGTCAACGGCTCCAACAACGAAGCGCGAAGATTCAGGCCATACCTCACCAGCCTTCTCCAATCCGATCTTGCTGGCCAGAAGTGAGACGAATGTAACTTCTTGTAGGCCCCAATCCCTGTACAACGGGTTAGTCTCACTCATATATGGGCAGCCTCCTGACTAGCAGGGTTACATTCTAGGCAAACTTACTTGAGAATGCTAATGACTGCAGAGGCGGTACCGCCAGTTGCCAGCAAGGGATCCAGGACGTAGGCGTGGGTGATGTTTGGGTTTTTGGTTGGGAGCTTGTTGTAGTACTCTATTGGCTGCAGAGACTTTGGATCTCTAAATAAGCCGAGATGGTAGACGACCAAATCTGTGTCGGTCGGCAACTGTGATGTAAAAGGCTCGCTCATAACCATGCCTGAGCGTAGGACAACAACAATGGCCACTTTCTCGCCGGGCGCAATTGGCTTGATGGCATCTTTGGCGATAAGCTTGGTGAGCTCGGTTGCGAGAGCATACACTTCGACGGGTTTTAGAGATTGGTCGCGGAACGTTGCCAGTTTTGACTCGAACTCAGCGTTCGAACTGATGACGACGTTTGGTGACATGATGGGTATAAATTGGGCGGTTGTTCAGTCTTGCCGATGGTTGACTGGTGTGTATGTCGTCGGACGAGTCTTGTTGAAAATTACAATAAAGTATGTGAAAGACACCAACGATACAGCTGCTTGATGAAAACTGGTCGGAATTTCCTGTTACAATATACAGGGAATTAACAGCTGCTTCACGATGTGGAGCTGGCTTATCTCTCATTGGATCCCTGTGTTGTCCTAATTGCACCGTTCCGTATCGGTTTATCTTAATCTCGCTATCGTGCGTGTGGAATGCTACGCTCACCCCTCTAAGCAAGATAACAGTGGCGTGCAGAGAGCGAAAGATCGTGATAAGGACAGATGGGCTAACCACAATCGCGACAATCGTGGATGAGTGGATACCTCGGTACCTTGGACTTGTGATACTCGAAAACAAACATGATGGGTGGTCTTGATCATGAGATTGAAGTCCCAGATTATCCTGTGATTTTGTCTCTTTTTCTAGGATTGCATTTTATACGCTTCCTAACTGGAGCCAACCCTGAGGCATCTTCAGCAACTGCAATCAAATTTCACTACAATGGATGACGACAGAGAGTATTTGCTTTCCCTTCAGGCTGTTCGAGCCAACGCCAGCAAGGTCCTCGACTCTGCAATTAACGGCGAATTGATTCATTTTGACTATGACTCTGAACGCATGGCTGTAGTCGCAGACTTTGTGACTGACGTTATCAAGGTAAGTTAGTCTTGACATGACTCTAAGCCCCAACGTTTTACTGTCTTGTCATGTTACTGGAGTGATCCCTGCTTTGGAAGACCGGATCTAATGGAAAATTGCGCAGCGCGACTTCGGTCCAGACAAGTTTGATCAGATCCCACCTCATGGGCGATGGCAGCATTTCGACGTGGGAGGCGTTGCACGCGTGGACGCGCTTTGCGACCAGTGGAAAAAAGAAGGTTGCGAAGATCCGAAGGAAGTTACTCGACGGTTGATAGATTTATTCTTCGTGTCAGTGCTTCTTGATGCCGGCGCTGGTGATTACTGGCGGTTCAAAGAGCCAGACACGGAAGACTTCTACACCAGGAGTGAAGGCATCGCGGTGGCCTCACTACACATGTTCACGGCTGGAGCCTTCGCCGGAGATGCATCACTCAAAAGTTCTGTGAATGGTAAGCGTCTCTCGGAAATCACTACTTAGAGCCTTCGCTGACCTGACAATGTAGGAAATGGGCTGTTATCTTTAGACGATGACACCTTTATCCGATATTTCCAGCTCTCCGAAGAAAATCCGCTAGTCGGTGTATCATCTCGGGTTCAGCTACTGAATGACGTCGGAGCATCCCTTCTAAAACTCCCGGAAATCTATGGAGAATCTGGCCGCCCAGGAAACATCGTTGGTGAGTTTTTCTGGTGCTTCTTTGCACTCACGAAACGTCATTTACTAACCCGCTATGTTTTCAGATTATCTCACAAGCTCGGACGTCGAGGCCAAGGTCCTGGACTACGAAGTCCTTTGGTCGTGCTTGCAACGTACCCTGATTCCCTCCTGGCCATCGAACCGTACTCGAGTCAATGACCAGCCTATTGGAGATGCATGGCCACTTCAAATTCTCAATGTTCGAGCTCAGGCAGATAACGATATACGCCCCCGAACCACGATCCAGCCATTCCATAAGCTCACCCAGTGGTTGGCATATTCTCTGACAGTACCTTTTACGAGAGTACTCGGCTATACTTGGGCAAAGGCCGACCTAGGAACTGGTCTCCCTGAGTACCGCAATGGCGGTCTATTCGTGGATCTTAAAGTCCTGAGCCTAAAACAGAAGGACTTGGAAGTTGGTCAGAAGACATCTGGCCAAGACCTTCCACAGTTTGACGCTACTTCAGATGTCATCGTGGAGTGGCGGGCGATGACGGTGGCATTGCTGGACCAGCTGTATGGTATTATTTCTGCTCGGTTCGGTGAACTAGGCGTCACGCTGAGTATGGCACAAATGCTGGAGGCTGGCACTTGGAAGTCAGGTCGCGAGCTTGCAGCTTCGCATAGACCAGCGACGAAGTCAAGCCCGATTCTTGTAAACGGTGACGGTACTCTGTATTAGGTTGCCATCCTTAGCCACGAACAGCTCAAACAGATAGAAGAAATGAACAGCAAACTAGACAACTAAAACAAGCTTCCTTACAATCGTTTGACCCAGTGCTTAGGCTTATCTCGAGGAGGTGTGTGGTATGTGAAGTTGCTACCCTATAGCATCAGACTAAGTTAACATCGCGAGTCAGGCTTGTCTCCAAGGGCGATTGGGACGAGATGAGTAGTGCTGTCAAGTATACACTTTTCAGTGTTGAAATTGGCTGTACTAATATGCGCCAATTTTCACAGATGCTCGCAGTCTACCAACGGTTCTAGACACCATTAAGAACATAATTGCCTGGATATCAGCAAATGTAAGACCGCGCTATGCCAAGTGTCATGTTCCGGCTTACATGCTAACATAAACTATACCGACTCGGATTATTCCTTGGGTAACGCACCCATTATATCAGATATATCCTGTCATCCCTGGAAGAACACCGCCGGCTACTCCAAACGATAATAGGCCGTATCAGCCGCAACGCGACGAACTCGCACATTGCGAGGACGACCTTCTTCGCGCTTTTTTACCCTCCATGAATTCTTTGCATAGGAGTCTGAGAACTGCATTATTTGAATGACCAGCAAAAAGACCGGAACCAGTTGGCCAAATCCCAGCTTTTTCTCATCGTCGGGATTCTTCATTATAGAATGGCCAAATTGTTGGGTGTCAAAAATCGAAATAACGCCCGACGTGAACCAGTATACCATCTCCAAAAAGGACACAGTCTCTGATGCGAGGATATACCAAAAGACACGGAAAATAATCCCCACGTATCGAAGAGCCCTTGGAGGCATATCCCAAAAGCTGGTGTGGCTCTTATCTGCAGGTTGACCGCGCGAGTCGATACAGTACCATCTGAAACGGTCAATCCACCAGAGACGAAATGGTCGGATCAGATCAAGTATGCCGGGAACGTAATTGTAAAAGACGTAGAAAAAGTCGACCCGCATCCACATCAAGGGTTTACCCCCGCGAGCCTTTCCAAGAGTGCATTTGGCCGGGCAGTTGTACTCGCTGTTCCAATTTTCGTAGGCCGAGACCCAGCTACCGAACAGTAGTAGGATCGCCATCAAACTCATCAAAGTGATTCTTATCCAGTTTATCGCTTGCCGACTCAGGTACTGGCGTTTCGGATCGTCTCGCTCAGGTGAGAAGTATTTCACACTATCCGCGTAGCTGTGGACCACCAACAGCGACAATAAATGCGTATTGGAGCTGAACCACGCCAATTCAGTTACTGTAGTGAAATGATAGATGGTGATGGTCCCATTTCCAAGTCCGATAAGACCAGAGACTAGTATAGCAAAGCCAGTCACAAGTTGCTGGTCGCTCAGTGACATGACCAGGTCATACAGGCAGTTGGCCCAAAGGTCAGGGTGTTTCAATCGCTTTTGAACGCGGTCTGAGATGGCCCAGCGGAAGCACTTGTCGATCGGATTAATGCTAGAGGAATCAACGAGCTCTTTGCTCCCATCGGCTTGCTCAACCTCTACCCTCTCAACACTCACTCGACTGAGCATCAAACAAAGTCCAGTAGCGATGACCGTCAATCCGGCAGTAACCATAAAAGCCGAAATGACCTGAATGATTGTCAGTTTCTCCAGAGTCAGACACCTTAATCTTTCAGGATGGGCATAACATACACCTGGACCTGCAATATCTGGATCCGCTGACAACCGTGGACACCGACACTGACCATAGTGTGTGTCACAGTCGAACATGCCATCCTCCACATAGTTCCATCCGTCTGCACCTCGGCACCGAAAATATCCGTCGATACGGCCGCTACTATCAGGACGAAGGCATATCTCTGCAGACATGCTGCCGTATGTATTGGCTCCTGCGTATTCTGTGTCTTTGTGGTCAGATATTCGAGCTTGAGGTCATCTACAGTTCTCAAAATTCGCGTTCTACGTGCTACTAAGCTTGTTTGTATGCGCAGGTGGCGCCACGATGGACCGACATAGCCACCCACGATTTGATGCGTTAACACGAGGGATGAGGCATTTATGTAATTGGTGCTGACACGTTGATGACTTATGACGTAGGCCCAGCTTTCACCGGAACCAACAGTTTCAGCTTGTATGCATAATGGCTTGACTTTTATACCATAGTTACCATACTGGGCCATCCTGGTCATTGTCTGGCTTATGGGCGGGGCTGCGCTAAAAATCGGTGGACAGCCGGAGGTAGTGTAAAAGAGGGAGTCATGGTTCTCCTAACAGTTTAGAGCTACGGAACCTGATATTCATCATAGAATAAATAACTAATCTGAATGCCCCGCGTGATGTCCGCTGTGCATATCTGTACCATGCAATGCTTGAAATTCCTTGAATACTTTCACATGGTCCGCGTGTACCCTCATGCCGGTCTTGTTTCTCCCCGCAGACCATTTCCAAATAGCGTCCCACGAACGGCATGAATGTGTTGGATGAGGATCCGTACGATAGCTGTTTGTCTTTCCATCCCATTGAAAATAAATAGGTGTGAGATCCGAATGACAAAGCACATGCTGGCGGAAGTAGCCAATGCAATGATCTGCGTGCGCTGTTTTGTCGTAATCTTGTGTCTTCTCAACGTACAAGTCCCAAATAAGATCGCGAAGAATCTTCTGAAACGTCCCAGAATTAGCCGATGGATGAATATAGCGGTTCAGAAAAAAACTGGTTCAATCCAGTATACTTACCAGGCAATGAAGCTGGTGAGACATGGTTGTCTGCACAACATAATAACCATCAACTCGCCCATGGCTATTGTATAGCGGTGCTGATGTTCCTCTCGATAGCTTGGAGTTTTCCTCCTCCGTTATAGCCAGCATTCCAACTAAGAGTTCAGTCAGAAAGGGTCCATGCAATGAGGCTACTTGATCGAAACTTGGATGAAAATCCTACCGCTGAGATCGTGGTGCCATATATCCAAATCTTGGGCGGCCCGCGGGTCGTCAGGGTAGTTGAAGTACGGCCGGAGGGTATACTCTTCAAAATCACGGGTCTTCGTATCAAAAGGGGCGTCCGAGTAGATACCTCCATCCAACCATTAGACACTGAACTCCATCCGGGATGATTCATAACTTACGCTCGAGTTCGTTAACAGCGTCACCACCATGGGCCGACAGAAAACAAACGTCCCCCCTAGTCTTCACATATGCGTGAAAGAAAAATGCGTATGAAGCGATAGACATCGCAAGAATACCGTACTGAGCCACCACCACAAACAACCGTCTCCTCTGCCTCTTGCCAGCGGGATAGGCCTTCTCGTTAGCTAGCATGTTCATGTCTTCCTCCAAGTCCAGGGAACTGCGACTGCTGGTACTCATTGTTCCTGGATCAATGAACGATATGGGATTTAAAAATGGTAATACTTCTCGAATAGCTATCGTCTTCTTCCGAGAATCTGTACTTGAGTCGATTCTCAGAAATGAGACCAGTCTTGTTATTTCTGCAATCACTTCCCAGCCAAGAAGAAGGACCAGCCATCTCAACCCGTTTATTAGTAAATGCCGAGCCAGTTGCCGATGAGGAGACAAAGTTCAAAGGATCCGAGGTAAAGAATCCGAGGTAAAAGATCTAAGACAAAGTTTAGAAGATCTGACGTTTGAACTTTGTCCCCCCATCCGTGGCAAGTCCAGGTCCTTTTGAAAACACAACCGCACATTATGCATCATGACGTAGCCTTTTTACTGATAGCGGAGAGACTTGAAGCAGGATTTTTACCCATCATTATTATGTGTAATAGGCTCGACTTGGTCACCAGTAGAGCCAGGATAGGGACCAATATACGCAATTCTCACATATTCGGAATCTTGACTTTTGTATTGGGCTAACATAGCCAGCTGTTACAAAAATGTCTTGAAGAAGCTTCATCTCAGCGCCGAAGGCTTTCGTGCCTGAAACTATATGAATGGCTCGATATCCCTTTGGGGTAGCTTCTAGTATTTCCTATACATCACTTTGTCTTCAAGTCGATCGTACATATCGATTCATTACTTTCCCTTCCATCTGCCATACTTATTTCGAACTCACGATATCATCTTTCATACTGCAAATATGTACCTCCTCCGAAACCTAGCTGTTGTGTCCGCGATTGTCCCTGCTATGTGGTCTTCGGCTATGGCTGTGCCTAAGATTGCCGAGCTTGGAACACGTGGTGAGGCAGGAATCAACCCCGACTACATTTACACGGGAGTTGATGCCATCGCCGGTGCCAAGGACAAGGAACGCCGCGACCCAATCGAAGTCAACCCCGACTATATTTACACCGGAGTTGATGCCATTGCTGGCGCCAAGGATAAAAAACGCCGTGACCCAATCGAGGTCAACCCGGACTACATCTACACTGGGGTTGATGCTATCGCCGGTGCCAAGGATAAGAAACGCCGCGATGCCCATGTCGACGCTATTGCGGGCACTGAAGCTTGAGGTATCGATTATCCTGATCGAAATGCAGTAGCTTATCGAATGGTCTTTCCGATGATGAAGTATGGGCGTGTATCTAGGTCAATTATGCCTAGCTTATTCAGGTCAATTTAACGTTGCGATCAACCTACCAGGAATGGGTAGTTAGTTATTTTAACGAGCTGAATTTAAATCTTTTCGGGGAGTCACACAGCGCCGTTTTGTGACCTAAAAATAGGGGCTTTGTTGAATAGAAAGTATCTGCCGGAGTGTCGGCTGCGGGCCAGGGGTCTTGAGATTGCGTTAGACCAGTAGATCCTTCAAGGACGGAAATTTACGGAGAGAACATACACAACACGTACCCCGTGATCAGGCATCAATGGACCGAATATGCCTACTATCTGACAGCTTTATCTTGCTATAGAAATGAGTAATTTATCCTTTTGAATTACTATTACAGCAAACGCTTTATATATAGTTGACTATATTGACAATTTAATTCTCTTTGTAGAGCCCTGTACTGTGGGGTTTCACACCCGTGCCGGTTGACTACGTGGACGGCCTCTCGTAACCGTATTGCTACCATCTATTTGGTCCAGGATGCTCTCTACATCAAAGACCAAGAAGAAGTAATGATATCACCGAATGCCCTGAGTTCTGGGTATATGTTTCGGTCCGTGTTGCGCATCTGTCACGCACGTCTTACGGCACAACCGTAAGTAAGGATACGGACACTGGCCCGTTACGGACGGACGGACGGACCGGTTAGCACGGCGTCTTCGCTTACAATCCGCCGGGTAGAGTTTAGTTTGTTGGTTAGAGTGATCGACAGTCTCTAGGGGAGGATAGAAGAAGCGTTCGGGACATCATTTGCCACTTACCACTTTGGTTGTTTCATGTAGTTGGAGAAGGAGATGATTGGTTCTCCTCGTATCAATATCATACCATTTACACACCTACTATTAGCCGGGACTTTTAGTTTGGTTTCACCAAAGACATAACGCTCATTTCTGATGCATGCGGAAAACATTTCGTCGATCTTACTATTTTCCCAATTACGAATCCCACGTGTCACCCTCCACGGCACTGAAAGAGTCTAAGATCTTTGAAAGTTTTCGGAGTATGCATGAGGATTGGCTAGAATGAATTGGTTCTTGGACGAATAGGATTCGCTGGAATGGATAAGATTCAGTCACACAGATGGTAGCGCTCGCTTAACTAGGATTTCGGCGGATTTACCCAGAGTGGTATCTTTATACGCGTTTGAATAGATATTCTCCCAAGGCTTGGAGTATGTGACTCAAGGAATCAGTGGCTCTTACTGGATCTTTTGTGTCGCACTCAACGTTTTAAAACTCTAAAAGCAGAGGTGTTGCTGCAGTCATCCCGCAGCCGGGTTGCGGTATAGTGACTACCGTCCCGAGGTTGTCGTCTCCGTTTCTTCTGCCGCCTAATGGTAAATCTGCCTTTTTACCCAGGGCGCGTAGTTATGCTTTATCTCTCTCGCCCTTGCTCTTAGTGTTAGTCTTGGGAGCTGATGGTGTCGAGCGCCGACCACTCGGTTGATCGGAAGGGGCGAAGCACGCGCATATCATTGCATGGCCTGATACCCAGGGTGCATATCGGGTTAGCACCGAAGCCGTTGGGAGTTACCGTCACTTTTTGGTGATCAAGTTCTCGTATGAACTCGGCGCGTAGAGGCACCCCTGGTACAGAATGCCATCGAAGTCGTACCTCGGGTTCGGCACGTCAGGGGTCTGCTTGAGCGAGTATGTACCTGCAACATTAGCCACGCGGCCATTTCTATCACTCGGGATTCCGTTCGATTTAGCCGAATTTTCTCTTCTTGAATAAGGCCAGTGCCGGATAAATACCAAGTTGTTACCAAAAGAAAGTCTACATGCATGTGCTAATATTGAAGTGTTGCGCAATTCTTGTTTTTACCATGTCCATCCCACGCAGTAACCTGGAGAAGCACTGTCGCTTGATCTCTTCGACTTCGTCGGGTTTGAAGATATTGGTAACTGAGATGCAAGGTCGTATCCGTGATGTATATCGGAAAGGGGGTTGGTGAACAGTGAATACTTCGCTGCGGGGGTTTCACGCTAGAGTCTTGTGGGAATCGAAATGTAGGGCTGTCAGTGTCAAAAGAAAGCTTAAAACAGCGGCACTTCATTTATTGCGACTGTGAGCCATTTCGATGTAACCCGCACGATTGACGGACTGTAACCTCGACTGCAATTCCCAGCGAGCCAATGCCAGGAAACGGGGTAGTCAGGTGATGCGGTGAGAAATACTGGTAGCAGCAAGCCCTGAGGTTGGCTCATCTTACACCCAAGTCGAAGGTCAGAAAGACGCGGGTCTGGACTGATTTACAATTTGAGCATAGAGAATGCATTTCCTCCGACGTATCCGACTGTTCCGGACCACACGGTTAAGATAATGGGTATGTACTATTTGAGACGAGGTAGAGGGTAGAAGGAACCGGAGGCGAGTAATTCGAGGGGGTGCTGATCTTGGGGCATGATCAGTCTCAGTCCAAAGGGGTATTCGTTCTTAGAAGGGATGTATGCAATCGTCCGCTCGGTTTAGCCTACCAAATACTACAGGCCAGATTTCTCCCCGATCAGAATTCTATAACGATTTGGAGGGGGGATTATTCAGTCTCTTCACAGGCTTTCAGGATGAGAGGCTCTCTTCCCGTTCTAACATGAATATCTGGGTTGAATTTAAAACCGGACTAATCGCATCATTGTCAACTCCTGCGCCGAATGGTTAGGTGGTAGGCCTCCGCCAGCAACCACCTTGCCGCCACCTACGGTAAAGAATATGAAACGCTGCCATTAAGCAGATGCAACAGCTTCTTCAATCATCCTCGCTGGCCGCAAAATCTCCGCATCCAGGCGACTTCCACCCAGCAACGTGACACCAAACGGTAATCTCCTTGCGTCATCTGTTTTCCCAGACAGTTCAGAGGCTGGATAAGTAGTAATGGGAACTGCGATAGCGCAGAGGTCGAGCACATTTCCAGCATGTGTAAACTCACCCAGCATGCTGTTCTTCCGGATAGGGTCAGCCAACATCTCTTCGATCGTCCAATGGGTCGTTGTTGTTGGGACCAGGACAAAATCGACTTTGGTAAAAACCTTTTCGGCCTCGCGGATATGTCGAGCCCTGGCCTGCAGGTCGCGATACGCCTGCACAGCAGAGCTGTTTCTCTGGACGACTTGGTTGAATAATTCGACAATAACGGGATGCAAATGAGCGCGATTCTTAGGAAGCCAATCATCAGGCAGACTTGCAAGCCTTTCGGATACAAAAGTGCCCTCGTAGAGAAGCTTTCCGGCCTTGTCAAAAGGCGACCAGTCGATGGGTGTTAAAACCCCACCTATTGATTGCAGTTTTGTCACCGTTTCATTAAACATCCGCCTATACGGCACTGAGCATGCAGAAAGAGCCTCTGCAGGTGGGATTCCGAACTTGAATGACTTTGCCCAAGGCCCAACCGAGTTGACATGTCTCTCAAAAGCAATGACGGGCTTCGCATAGGGGTCGTTCTCGTCGAAACCTTCAAGGGCACGGCTGACCGTCGCGGCATCTCGGACAGTCTTCGAAATGATGGCGATGCAGTCTAGAGAAAGACACGCGGGGGTCAATCCAACAGTTGACAGGGTTCCTCTGGTTGGTTTGTAGCCCACCACGCCGTTAAAACACGCCGGTACGCGGCCGCTCCCAGCGGTATCGGTTGCGATGGAAAACGAACACAAGCCAGCGCCAACGCTGACGCAGTTGCCGCTTGAAGATCCTCCCGAGATGTAATCCGGGTGAAAAACCGAGTGAGTGATTCCGTACGGGCTCCTACACCCTGACAAACCAGTCGCAAGCTGGTCAAGGTTTGTCTTTCCGACGAAAATTGCACCATTTGCAAGCGCCTTGTCGTGAACAACTGCAGATCTGCTAGGAATATGGGCCAACGGTGGACATGCGGTAGTTGTCGGCAGTCCAGCCACATCGAGACTGTCCTTGATGCTAAATGGGACACCAAACAATGGAGGAAGCTTGGCCCTATCAGGGTACTGTCGTACAAGCGCCTCGGCAGCTTGTAGTGCCGTATCCTTGGTGACAAGCTCTATCCAGACGGCCGGGTCTACCTCTTTGTAGGCTTCGATTTTGCGATACAAGGCTTCAACGACTGTCATTGGTGACACTCCAGCCCTATATGAGCGCTGCAGAGATTCGATCCGTAGGTCTCCATCCCAATCCGGAGGGGTTTGAGGTGGAGTGTTGGCCGAACCCCCTAAAGCACGAGATGATTCAACTTCGAGTGCTTCAAGCAGTGGGCCAAGCTTGGCTACGAATCCAAAAAGCCCTTGTGACCAATGCAGCATGTCCAGAGATGAGGTCTTGAATGCTGCATTGTATCCAGCCGTGGCTTCTTCAATACCGCCTAGCATTTCATGAGCAATTGGTTGTTGGGGTCTTGGAGTGGAAACTTACAGCACTCAAAGCCACGATCATTTGCCTCCCTGATGGTCGTTGCAAAGCAGCACTCAGTCGTAACTCCCGATACAATCAAGTGCGTGACTTCAAAGCTCTTGAGCTGATGCATCAAGGTAGTGTTCCAGAAAGCACCCTTTCCTGGCTTGTCGATGACAACTTCGCCCGGCAACGGTTGAAGCACATCGATAATGTCATGGCCATATTCTCCTCGTATCAACAGCCTGCCCATTTTACCCTGGTCCCCAATCACCAGGGTGTGGTGTGCATTTTGGGGAGCGGCCGATTGTCTAACCAGCTTGGAGGATGGACAATCGGAAAGATCTGGCTCATGACCTTCTCTGGTGTGGAATATTTTCAACCCAGCGTCACGACAGGCCTCGAGCAATTTCTTGGTTGGCGCAATTGATGCTTGGACGGCGTCCAAGTTACCGCCTTGGATGTCTCCAAACCCCCCAGCCAGGAGAAAGTCCCTCTGCATATCAATGACTAGGAGCGCCGTGTGGGCCGGATCGAATGCGAATGCATACGGTTGCGCATCTACCGAGAGAAGGCTGGACGCCGTTGGACCTGCGACCATCTTGGCACTGGTACAAGAACGGCTTTCGAAGAATGAGAAGTGAAGCAAGTGGCGATGCCGTAAAGCGATAACTGCTGTAGGTCGATGGAGATTCCCTCCAAGAAGATCTATATACTTCTCTCTTGCTAGAATACGTGTATCATCCGAACAATAACATTTGCTGAACTAATGGCAGACTGGGCCATTCAAATCACTCATCATCTGACTTGCTCGCAATCGCTGATAAGACAGGCCTACCGACGGCCCTCCAACGGCCCAGCGACGGCCTGCCGACGGCTTCTGAGTCTTATCTTTGTGGCGTCTTGATGCTAATCCGAATTCCGCATAGTGCGTGCTCTGGCTTGCTCATGAGATCTCACCTGTCCTCATATACATGGGATACCCCACACGCCACAGTACCAGTACCTCGGATATCTGCGTGGGGAGCCCTTGACATGCGTATTTGGTGTGGTTAGAAGGCCTACGCTTCGCCTACGCTTCGCCGCCTGACTGATAGCAAGCACAACCATCTTGATATTGTTTTTCTGTTGCACATGGCGGGCAAATAGACCCCATCAGTGGTACTATTTATGCCCATGCACCCTCGAGATCAATTCTAGTAATCCCATCGCAATAACGCTTGACATTTCAGAACCACCCCTAGCGCAAGCAAAATGCCATCTTTCTCCGTTCAGCAGGTCAAAGAGAGGGTCAAACCTCATCTCTCATGGACGGTGCCCGCCAGACATGGAATCTACGAGGACAGCAAATGGTCCAACAAAGGTAGCTCAAACAATCCGTTGCAAAGTATAATCCACACAGCTCATTCGAAATGTAGATCTCGACCCAATCGCGCCTGAGGATCGCACTTGGGGCGGTCTTGATTATTGGGCATACTGGACTTCCGACATGATGGTCAGAGACTTGCTCCGAGTCTATTCTTCTCTTGCTTACAGGGCTGGTAGGCTCCGCCATTGGCATCCACCGTCTCGAGTGTCATGGCCCTCGGTTTTACCGCCAGGGAGACAATCCCAATTGTCTTCTTTGGCTTTGCGATTTGCAGCGTGGTCATCACTCTCACGGGGAAGATGGGCGCGACATATGCTGTGCCGTATCCAGTCATTGTTCGCTCCATCTTCGGAATGTACGGATCGTATCCGGTCATCTTGATTCGAGGTGAGACCAGCAACAGAGCATGCTAGTATAAATTGGCTAAAACTTTGTTAGCATTCGTCGCCTTGATGTGGACTGCTATTCTCACAGTCCAGGCCGGTGACTTCCTCCAACGCTGCCTCGAAGCCATTTGGCCGAGCTTTATCGACTTCCCCAACAAGCTCCCCGACGATGCTGGAATCACTTGTAAGCAAATCCAATCCCTTCGACCTTGCTACTAGGAACCTATTATGTCGGGTCACTGTGCAAGGTTTGATTTCAATAACCACTAGCAACTAACCCGGAATCTTAGCTGCCGGTCTCCTTTGCCTCTTCCTTTATTGGTTCATTCAAACCGGCCTCGCCCTTATGCCCATCAAGAAACTCCGCATCCTCTTTCTTGTCAAGGGCGTCATCGTCCCTCCCACCTTCCTCGCGCTCTTCCTCTGGGCCGCTATCGTAACCAAAGGAGGTGGACCATTGGTCACAGGAAAGGCCAAAATCACATCCGACTACATGAACACGGCATATTCTGCATTGACTGGTCTTAATGTTATCATGGGACTTTTCTCGTCCATGGCCGTCAACATGCCAGGTATTTTAAGCTGCCACTGACCCAAGCGATTGGCAACATAGGCTAATGTTGCTAGATTTCGGTCGATTCTCCAAGAACAGGTTGGGTGGATATCATCAATATTTCGCTCTACCCGTGATCGGAACGCTGGCTTCTCTCACTCCAATTTTCGTCACTTCCGCTAACCAGTACCTCTGGGGAGAATTCCAATGGTACATGCCAGCCGTCATTGCAAACTTTGATTCTCGTGCCGCCAAATTCTTCACTGGATTCAGCTTCATCCTCGCCACGATCGGAAATCAGGTCGCTGCTGGTACTTATCCCTTCTCCAATGATGTTACCGGAATTGCGCCGAAATACATCAACATTTTCCGAGCTACGCTGTTCATTTCTATTTTCTGCGTCATTTCTACTCCTTGGAATATTATCAAAAACGCCACTGGCCTGTTGGCTTTCCTGAGTGGCTATTCCTGCCTCATGGGACCGCTGGCTGGCGTTATGGTCTGCGATTACTACATCATCAAGAAACGCAAGCTCAATATCCACGAGCTCTACCGCAGCAACGGCATCTACTGGTATGATGGCGGCGTCAACTGGCGTGCATATGCTGCCTTTATCACCGGCTTCGCCCCGCTGCTTCCCGGATTCGCCAAGAGCATTAAGCATGAGTTGAACGTTGGTGGTGCCTGGAAGATTTACACTTTTGCGTGGATTTTCGGATTTACGCTATCCACCTTGGTCTACTACGTTATCTGTACCTATGTGTCGCCTCCGACCGGAGCTATGGTCGACGAAGCAGTCTATCCCCGACAGAAAGGAGATATCGAGTCCGTCGTCGACGAGGTCTCTGATTCCAAGGGCTCATTTTCGGCCAAGGAGAAGGAGCTTAGCCCCACGCCTCCAGAGCACTAAGCGGGACGGTATGGGGAGTGAATTGGCCATGGAGGGTGTTTCTTGGATTCTCACTAATCACTTCGTTTTCCATAACCAATTGATTGATCATTCGCTTGGGCTTGGACCGACATGAGCTTCGTGTGAGGGTATTCCGAACTTGATCGCGTTGGCACACTCTACGATGACTGTATTTCCATAGCTTAATATACGAGGCGCCTAGCCCCAAATTAGTTGCAGACTACAGCACTACAGCAGTATGTACACAGTACACAAACGCGGGACACAATCAATCTCCTTATCTCTGCGTTGACAAATTCAGCCGAAGCTGGCTGTGATTGGTTCACTTCTTCGCCTTATCTCCCATCATATCTCTCGCCAGCAACCAAGTTACTGCGTACATAGTACGAAGTAGGATCTGTACTGTAAGCTTGGCTTCGATGTGCGATTTCAGCTATGCAATCTTGGCTGAGCCAACATCAAGCCTAACCTTACACCTTCCTCTTTGCTTCTTCACATTGATTTCCGATCGAGACCTTGCCACACGAGGCTTGAGACTAACTTACCTCACGGCTTATTGACGGCCTGTTGTGGAGAGCAGCTCCATACACCCTCGTGTCCAAATCACACACAGTGCTGCATCCCCCGCAATTGGTAATGATCGGATAAGGCTGGAGATCCCTACACTGTGCCAACCACTTCACCCGGCTTCGAAATGGGTGACCCTCTCGCCGGTGCTCAAGCCGTAGCCGTTGAGCAACGGGTGACAGTTAATCGGCCGTCCAGGCCATGCGACTCGTGCCGGAAGAGAAAGAGTCGCTGCGAGATGCCCGACGGAGCGTCTTCTTGTGTGCTCTGCCAGTTCCATCACCGGGAGTGTACCTTTCAGCAAACGACCCGGCCGAGAAAAAGGAAGATCACGTTTCCAGAGGATGAAGAGCAGGAGGTCATGTCGATGCCATGGACGGCGTCGCGACATGGTTCCACGTCAAGCGCCACGAGTGCGATACGCACCGTCGCCAGGATAGACTGCTATGAAAACTTCAAAGGCCCTACGCTGCTCCGCAAGACGCTGGGGCTGCAGACTCACCGACACGCGACCTTTCTCGGCCCATCCTCCGACTTTGAGCAGAGTCTCCTGCACTCGGCTTCTCTGGTCAGTCATGACGAAATCACCATCGGCCCAGTAGCCCTCCGCAAAGTGGGTTCGACGGATACCTTCCTCCAGACGCTTGATGAGAGCACCTTGAGCCATCCAGAAGAAATCTCACGGCTGGATGCCGTCGAGACTCTTGTCGCACCCCATGGACACGAGCTGATCCGCCTGTACTTCCGCATTGTTCACCCTAGCTTCCCCATCTTGCACAAAAAGGTATGGCTTGAAAAATACAATCGTACACACCGCGAGTTTTCTCCGCCTTGCCTCGCTTTTGTATACATTCTTGCCCTACACTGGTGGACGTATAGCGCAGAACTGGCCTCGCTACCGAAGCCTAACACCACGAAGCTTGAGGAAATCGCATTGCGAGCGTTGGCTGAAGTAGTGCACCGGCCCAAGCTCTCCACAATCCAAGCTGGTCTTTTGCTCCTCCAGCAACCAAAGGGCGACTCATGGGCATTAACCACGCAATTGGTTGGCATCGGCCAGGAAATTGGGCTACATCTAGACTGCTCTGACTGGAGCATACCCACGTGGGAAAAGGGCCTTCGGAAGCGGCTCGCCTGGGCCTTGTTTATGCAAGATAAATGGGGTGCACTTGTTCATGGCCGGCCGTCTCATATCAACTACGAAGATTGGCTTGTCCAGCCGCTTACGGCTGACGATTTCCCCGAGAACGCTGTAGATGAAAACGATGAGGATGGCAGTGCAGAAGTCGAGAAGGGTCGATTATTGTTTTGTGAGATGGTAAAGCTGACTGAGATCCTGTCCGAAATCCTGTCCACTTTTTACACCCTGCGAGCTCAGCGCGAGCCCAGAGGAGGCCTAAGGGAACAGTTGGCCATTGCAAAACCTATCCAGATTCGGTTGAAGGAGTGGTTCTCGCAACTTCCTGAATCTGTGAAAGGAGAGGATGTCAAGCCGAGAAAACTGTCTTCCACAGGTAAGTTTCTACGGATTCCCCATTACACTGGCGCTTTGGAAGTAACCGCTGGTAGGGTATCTCTGCCTTGCATACTATGCTACTGAAATCACCTTGCATCGCCATATTATTCGCGTGGCATCGGATGAGGCGGACCCAGAATTGGTCGAGATATGTCGCAACGCAGCAAAAGCTCGTTTGTGCTCCGCAGTCGACTTCGTCAGTAATCTAAAGCCGGAGCATTTGCAATCGTTTTGGTACTCGCCATCTTACTATAATTTTTCAATCATCAGCACATTCATGGTCCTTCTTTGGTCGACCGCAACAACCACAGAAGAAGCGGCGTTTTATCGCCAGAAGCTTACTACATACCGATGGATCCTTCGGGTGTCAAGCAATGCCTCTGACGTTCTAGAGCGTGCCAACGCGCAACTGCTCCTGTCAACAGATGGCCTGACCAAATTAATCCCAGAGGAGGTGGTTGGTCGAGTAGATAGTCCGGAGGAGTCTACAACGTCTCACGAACACCTTGATGACCCGTTTGATACCCCATTGGCGACGATTTCTTCGCCTCAAATTCTTCAAACATTAGATGTTGGGGGACCGTTTTCCCCTACTGCGTATCAGTTGGGCGAGATGTACCCCAGTTTCGAGTACGATATTGACTTTCAGGGTCTTGGCACAGCAAACGCGGTGTGAATTCTGAATGTGAATTAATCTAAAATATCAAGAATAATAATTCTTTTGTCTGTTTCATGAAATTTATCTTATGTGAGTGTAACTTTACTCAACGATATAGCCAACCCACACATATAAATACAGCATTTTGTCTGTTACATGTTTTCTTTTTGGAGCTTTTGATCTGATTGAGTATCAAGAGGTTGGGGTGCCCTAGTACATACATAGCCAGAGGGAGGACTAGAAGCTCAACAGTAAAAATACACTGACAATAACATCAGTAATACAGACTATATACCCTATATTCAGTCTATTTAAAGGCCAATATTTCACTCAGACAGATTAAAGTTTCCAGTCCAACTGGTTACCTTTTCCAACACCTTAATGAGCTAAATCTTGGAAAAGCTAGATCTGCTGGAAAAGCTAGATCTTGGAAAAGGCAAAATCATGATGGATATAAAGCTCTGCAAGCCTCACCTCTTGCATTCCAGTCATCCTTCCATCCTTCCATCCTTCCATCCTTACACACACCTCAACCAACCACTCAACCGACCACTCAACCAACCGAAGATATCTGTTTTCTGTCTCACACTCCAGACCGATATAGTGTATCCCAATCGTCGCTTCACTCGATCTAATTGAGTATATAACACCATATATCGGTCTGGAGTGTATGACGGAAAGCAGACATCTTCGGTTGGTTGAGTGGTCGGTTGTGTGGTTGTTTGAGGTGTGTGTAAGGATGGAAGAATGATTGGAATGATGTTGCCATTTCCAAGATCTAGCTCTTCCAGCAGATCTAGTTTTTTGAAGGCACAGCTATTACTGCAGCTTATTGAGGTATTGGAAAAGATGACCAAATCGACTAGAAACCTCAAGTCTGAGTAAAATATTAACCTTTGAATAGACTGGGTATATAATCTGTATTATTAATACTATTATTGGTATTTTCTTTTTACTATCAAGTTTCTAGCACCCCCTCTGGGTATGTGTGTACTAGGGCACCCTAACCTCTTGATAACACCATTTTGACAGAGTGAGGCCATGCACACACGAGTTGAACTGACATCACGGTTCATCCTCATGTTAATTTTTTTTTAATTTTTTTTTCGACCAGGCCCGGATTCGTAGTCAATTCGGCAACTTCCCATGAGCTTTTCCACCGAACCCAAGTGGTGAAAACCGACTTTGTGCGTCATGGTGGAGAGAGAGAGATTGAGATTGACGGCGGAGCTGTAGTGTATCTTGACACGGCAGGGGTGCACGTATGGCATTCTAGAGGCGTGTCTCAAAGCTAATCTACCCACGATTCGCGTTATCGCTCTGCGATTCCTTTGGGATCGATAATGATCTGACACTAACTATTTTCGCTAAACACCCATCGCTCTATCTAGTCTACCGATTGACCTTATCCCGGGGACCATGTGCCGTGCAACAGAACGAGGCGGCTCTTATCGTAGCAAATACCTTATCATGCACCCTACCAGAGTCCAAGCCATCCATTTTCTTGCCATCCAAGACTTCAAGTATTCCATAACTAGCGCTTCTGTCGCCTCTCAACAATGCCAATAAACACTTCGTATTCTCTTGACTCAGAGCCTTCAGAAACCATTCGAAGCGGAGGAAAACAAGTTAAAATGGCTGCCGTCACTGCCACCAGCGCCGATGGTGCTACTACTCCATCCAATGAGCCGTGGGCCAACCCTTTGAGCAAGCGATTCCAAAGTCGCATTGTTGTAAGATTGACTGCTTTAGCTTGATGACAGAAGGAGATTGCTAATACAGAATGAATAGCTTACGACCTACCCTGGGCAGAGCGTTGTTGACCCCATCACTCTCAACTGGGGCGCTGCCGACCCCGAAGAGCGCGGGCCTATCGTCGTCTCCAGGTCAGGAGAGACACTCAAGAAACGAAATGCCATTGGAGCCCATGGCGGAAGCTACAGCGTGTACAATGCTCTCGCTATTGCAAGTGGAGATCTTCCACCGGATTTCAAGCCCGATTTCCGAAACACACAGCCAACCTTCGATCCTCCCATCCAGCCAGCTTGGGGCGATGCCTCAAAGATTGTCGCAATGGATCCATTTGGGCATAATATCGCTCGATACTACAAGACACATCTTGACTCCGGGCTTGACATTCGACCGACTATTGCCATTACTCGCGCGCACATGCGAGTCTCGGAGATTGTTACTTCAATCGAGAGCGGCCAACTGCAAGTGGACGGCAACGTGGTCATTAACAAAGAAGGAGACGTGCGGGTGACCAAGGTCGCCGTAGAACCTGTTTGGTTTCTGCCAGGCGTCGCTGCGCGATTCAACGTCGACGAAGGTGTGCTACGCCGTGCCCTATTCGAGTTCACCGGCGGCAGTTACCCTGAGCTCGTGACGAGGCCAGATGTCAACGTCTTCTTGCCTCCGATCGGTGGCTTAACTGTTTACATATTTGGCCCTCCCGAGCGTGTCTCAGACCCAAATGTGAAGCTAGCTCTCCGAGTCCACGACGAGTGCAACGGCTCAGACGTCTTTCAGTCAGATATCTGCACGTGCCGGCCGTATCTCGTGTTTGGCATTGAGGAAGCCATCAAGGAGGCGCAAAATGGCGGATCCGGTGTTGTCATCTACTTCCGCAAAGAGGGTCGTGCACTGGGAGAGGTGGTCAAGTACCTAGTGTACAACTCGCGAAAGCGTGGAGGCGATACAGCGGACCAGTACTTTGCGAGAACTGAGAACGTTGCCGGTGTCCGAGATGTAAGTATCAGAGAACCACGCACAAGAAGGCCACCCTGCTAACAATGGTAGATGCGATTCCAAGCACTAATGCCCGATATCCTCCACTGGCTCGGCATCAAGAAGATCGACAGGATGCTGTCCATGTCCAACATGAAGCATGATGCTATCGTGGAGCAAGGCATTCCCATCCTAGAGCGTATCCCCATCCCCGAACGTGAGACCCCCTATGATACGTTGCGTTTTGAGTGTTGATTACTAACTTGCTCGCAGATCTCATTCCTTCAGATTCAAGGGTGGAAATTGATGCCAAGATCAATGCTGGCTATTTCACTGATGGTAAGAAGTACACAGACGAGGAGTTGAAGGAAGTGAAGGGACGTGGATGGCAGAGCTGGGAAGATGTGGCTCATTAGGACAACCTGAATGTAGAGCAATGATTTTCTAGATATCTAAAATTACCTAACTATATGTACCATCTTACTAAATATCACTCGTGGACTGTGCTGGCATGTTTTAGTCTGTCTCTTTGAGATTTTGATCTTCAGCAAGCACAAAAGTTCATAATAGAGCATTGTGACAACGCCATAGCAACATTTACACATTTATTAACTTAACCATTTACCACGAATCGTTTCTTTGCTAGAACCTGTTACATAAACAAAACAACACGGTGTTAAAAAATTTTCGCTTTGTGCGAAGTTTTTCTGTCTTCAAAGCTTTGGGATATGAATGCTAGATTTTGCAGGAGCTTGACATGGCCATCGCACATGGAACCCGCAAGGCTAAACTCTTGGTCTAGCAATAGGTTGGAGCCCGAAATAATCTCATCCACAAGTCGCTGGTTTACCAAGTATCTCGACGGTCAAGATTGATCTGAGTATTGGAGGGGTGTGAAGCTAGCTTGAGTCTGATGGAGATAAGGGGCCCACGTTGATGTCCTATCTAATCTCACCCAGGAGGGTGTTTGATTAGCAAGGATGGGCAGCCTGCAGTGAGAAGCTGCTGCATGCACACCTGCTGATAACGCCGTAGCTCACCGTAATAAAAAGATAACGATTTGTTATCTGCGCTGATACGGATATTTTCACGCCTTCCCATGCTATCATTATCGTCCACTGCTTTGTCGCCTCCAATCACCGTGATTGACCAGAACTCTGGCCTGGGCGAAATAATTCCCATCAGCAAGTGCCAGAGACAGGTTCGTAATACCACACCCGAATTCAGCAGAACAATTCCGAGAGCAACGACATCCATGACCGGCAGAACTCGCGCCTCGGTTTGTAAAATACAGCCTCACGTATTGGAACGTTTCTCGTCCTGTCCTACGCTCACACTTCAGCGCTTCAGGGCAGGTGCCGTGGCCACTGCACTGCAATTGTAGTGCCACAGGGAGATTTGACATACCCCACTAGGTACGTACCTAACGCTTAATAAATCCATGCTGCCTTGTGGGTATGCACTGCAATCTTAGCGCTACGACGGGAGTTGGGACGCCCGACTCATCTGTCATACAAATGACGTATTCAGAATAAATAGAGCAAAACACCTTAACAGGAACATATTCATAAGAAAATTATCGGATCATCTGTGTGAATGCGGACGTCGTGGCAAACCTTGAAGACAGCCGGCTGTGGAAGTCTAACCGTGGCGAGGGCGAGAAATTAATACACGTCGAACACCACGCTCTTCAATGAAAGAAGTTATGTTTTGATTGAGACGCGTAAAACATCTAATCAGTCTCGAGATAAGATTTTCCCTTGTTCAGTCAACCGTTCCGTAAAACCGATCGCCAAAATCACCCAATCCAGGGGTGATGTGGCTGTTCCTCGTTAGTTGGGTACCAAACACGAGCTGAAAGGAATCCGCTACTTACTTGGAGGCTGTCAACTCCTCGTCCACCGCCGCCGTCACTATCCGCACTTCTGGGAAGCGAGAACCGAGCGTGTCCAACCCTTTGCGGGACGCTACTAGATTAATGAAATAAATCTGCTCCTCTGGGACGCCAGCTGCCTTGATGATGTCGATAGCCATACACGCTGAGCCGCCAGTTGCCAACATCGGCTCAAGTATAAAAACGGCTGCATGTTCACGAATTTAGCTTGCATATTTCTCATTCCGGCGTCATAGCAGACTGGGGAAGCCGACCTTTCCTCGTTACGTTCTTTGGGAATTTTGAATAGAGATGTGCAGGGAGACACGTTGACTCGTCTCGCTGGATTAAAATCTTTCCGTAACTCAAAGGCCCACTGAACCAAGGTGTTAGAACGACTTAGTATTCAGAGCAGCGAAGGTACAACCCACGTGTAAGTCCTTCGTAGCGCATTTTCCATGCTAGCACCAGCGCGAAGTATGCTTACTCCACAGACCTCTTTGGTTGCCAGAGCACCCTGGAATGTGGCGCCTGTTGGTGTTGTGACATCTGAAGCCTCAACTGGCAGCAGATTCAAGGCTGAAGGAAATCGTCAAAGGTAAGCTTGAAACACGGCGAGAGGGAAGCCGTACCAGCTGCCATGACCAAGGTTGACACCCTTTCGACAACATCTGCGAATTTGATGCAATCTGTTTTCGAATCTCGCAGGATTGTCATCAGTGCCAATAGATGGTTATCCTGAGGCAAGACGGTCACGCGACTAGAAGTCGGTATGCCATTCATCAGACTCATTTTGGCACTGGAGGTTCCTGTTGACGCCGTATCTTTTTTCAGTTTCTTCTAGAGAAGGTCCACTGGAGATATCCCCGTTGAAAGATGATGGTAATGTTTTGTCTGAGAATAACTGAGCTCATTCCCGCACTACGCTACTTCATAGTTCTTATCGCCACCACCATCATTATCTCAATGAGGTTCAGTGATTTGGTAGCGTGTGGGTCCGATAAGCCCGTCTCCCCTCTCCCTCATTATCAACGTACGTCTGAACTGTTTGCGATAAGCACCAAATGCGGGGAGGTTACATTGGACACTCATATCTTGGTGATTGATAAGGCTGTGGGATCATGTATCTATAGCCACTCCTCCCAATCAACCTGGACAGATGCGTCGAAATCCGGGTGTTGACATCTTGATGTTCCCGGACGTGGGTGGTTTTTGGGGCTTGATGGGTGATAAGCAAGGATGTAGTTAGGTACTGTTTCTGGGGCGTGATCTTTCAGGTGTGATTCATCAGGCGTGATTCATCAGGCGTGATGAGTCAATAGAAAGCTCAAATGAGATGGATTTGAAAGGATGAATAGTGTCTGATGCGCAGTTGAGTTGAATAAAAAAGAGCCTGTACTTATTCACACAAACAATTAAGATCAAATCACCATGACAAATACTGGTATTCGTTTTCTCGCAGGTGAGATATGGCCTTGAGTTTGCTCACTCTTACGATTTATTCCTTACCATTTGCATCATAGGGAGCAGCCATCCGGTGCTTGCGAAGCTCGTGGGCGATAGGTCAGTCATTTTGAGCATTTCTTACCTGCCTATGATTGATTCACTCACTTCAAGTACGACTGACGAGTAAACCTGATGTAGTATCGGATATGGAACAGGATCTAAGGGTCTCTTGAGCACGAAATTCTCCAACGGCGAGACTCTAGTTACCATTGGAGAATCAGTTCGAGACGTCGATGTTTTTATCCTGCAAACAGCCTCGGAGTCTGTTAATGATGCGTTGATGGAACTGCTGATTGCAATTAGCGCTTGCAAGATGGCTTCCGCCAGGCGCATAACCGCAGTCTTGCCATGCTTCCCTTACGCGCGGCAAGACAGAAAGGATCGAAGCAGGGCCCCAATTACGGCCAAACTAGTGGCCAACATGTTGGAGGTCGCTGGATGCAATCACGTAATAGTAAGCAAATGGCCGACCGTCAATTTCGTGAATTTGTTCATTGAGCTCTTACCATCTCTTCTCACTAGACAATGGATTTGCATGCCTCTCAGATTCAAGGGTTCTTTAACATCCCAGTTGATAAGTACGCTCACCCAGTAAACATTCATTCATACAGAAATAAGACCAGCTGACTCGGCCCCTCGTAGTGTTAGCTTACTCTACTCTCCTCCCAGTACTCTACTAAATAATACTAGCTCTATGCGGAAAAAGTCATGATTGAGTATATCAAGCGCCAATACGTGGTGGGAGATTTGGTGATAGTTTCTCCAGACGCCGGTGGTGCGAAGCGGTAAGCATCCCATCACTGGAACCACCTTCGAGGAACCTTGGATCTAAATTCACCTAGAGCTGCTTCCATAGCGGATAAACTAGGCGTCGACCTCGCAATCATCCACAAGGAACGCAAAATCGCAAACCAGGTCAGCCGCATGATACTAGTCGGCAACGTTGCAGGAAAAACGGCAGTGGTCGTAGACGACATTGCAGATACCTGCGGCACTCTTTCAATGGCTGCAAGCGTGCTGAAAGGATCGGGTGCCGAGCGAAGCATCGCTATTGTCACGCACGGGTTCTTAAGTGGTCCGTCTGTGGCAGTCATCGAGAGCAGCGATCTGGAGTGCTTGGTGGTTTGCAATACTCTACCTCTTCCGGAACATGCTCGCTCTTGTTCTAAAATCCGGCAACTGGACGTGAGCTATCCCATTGCCGAGGCGATTCGCAGGACACACAATGGAGAATCGTAAGTCGAATTTCCTCTGGATGACTAAAACACAACAGCTCTCCAGCTAACATGCCTGACTAGGATATCCATTCTATTCTCATGATGCACTAATGGTGTATAATTGGTTGCTCTGGGTGGATCACATTTGCGTGGCGGAATAACGACGGCCTGTTAAACTGGGAGCTCCCCTCCCCTTTTCCAATAAAAGTCTTGCTTCAAACTCGTATTGCCAATCCTAGCTGCTACACACTGTCATACTTCTTCACAGTCAATCCTTATGCGCCCTTTTCCACGACTCACACAACTCAACATGGTGGTCTCCTTCTGTTCTTCGTCGAGTGCAACGCCATTGTGAACAATTTCTCCTCCACAATGGTCCACCATACATGTGCCACAATTTCCAACAAGGCACGAGGATTCAACATCAAAACCTGCCTCAACCAAAACATCCAAGAGTGACTTCTCCTGGGGTACTGGAAGGATTCTACCAATTCGCTTGATCTCAACTTCAAATGGCTCGCCCTTGCCCACTGAAGCCCCGCCGAAGGATTCGTAGTGGGTACGAGAGCGCGGATATCCAAACTTTGTGGTCAAATTGCGACATGCGTCAAGTAGGGAAGATGGGCCGCAGACGTAAACTTTGGTGTCGACTACCAGCTCCTTGCTTGGTCCGTGAATGATGGAATTAGGATCAAGCCTTCGTCCCTCATCTTTCGCATAGATAGTCGTGCAGTCAAGAGCAAGGCTGTCAAGATAACATGCATCGCGTCGGCTCCGCACAGCGTAGTGCACCTCGAACTGGACTGTCGAGTTCATGAGCGCCCTGATCTCAGCAAGGAAAGCAGTAATACCGATGCCACCGATGATGAAGATATGCTTCCTGATATCCTCGGTTTCGATACTGTCCTGCGCCGCTACCGCTTGCTTGCCCTTTGCAACCTGAATGATATCCCCAACCATGAGATTGTTGTGCAAGTAACGCGATCCGCCTCGCGAGTTGTCGTCCAGAGCTATGCCAAGTTCAAATTTCTCAAAGGTGCCAGACACGACTGAATATGCCCTTGAATAGCAAGAACCAGGGCCAAACTTCAAGCGGACGTGTGCAAAAGCTGACAACTCCATATCCGCAGGCTCCATGCTGCCATCGGCATCAACAAACACAAATCTTTTAACTCTGGATGTCAAAGATGTCTTTTCCACAAGTTTGAACGACCGCCAGGCTGTCGGTGCCAAATCCCCGACGAGTCGACCTTGCATATCCTCAACGCCTTGTAACAGTCGAGTGCTGAACAAAGTGAGCAGCTCTGCTGCCAGTGCAGGAAGGTAGCTAAGCTCAGCCAAGGCCTCGGCATTTCCCGGGTCATGATAGAGGAAATTCTGCACTCGCGAAAGAGACCAAGTAGGGTTGATGCGCTCGACAAGCTCGATTTGGTCGCCCTCTGCCACATAGCCTGGTTGGAGAACGCGATAATACCACCCTGTTCGGCCAGAGTTCTGACAAGACTTGGATGTCTTCTTGTACTCGAATCGATGATTTAGCTTGTAGCAAGGCTGCCGAGGCTGCGAGACTTGGACGAGGACATGTTTTCCTAAGCGATAAATATCTCCTACACAGACATTTCCTTCATGCATGTATGCTGCGGAGATATTCTCGCCAAAGCCCCCAACTTTGAAAAGATGCTCGCGGCCAGGGGCTTCTTCGTTCCAGGTTTGGTAGTGGCTGGAACAATAATGATGAATCGCTTTGTCAACTCCGCCGTGGAATTCATAGCACTGTTCATCTCCGACAAGTCCGAGGTCTGTAATTTGAACCAGTCCTTGCTGCGGTTGTTTGTTAATCGCCGTACGGATTCTAGACGGGCCAACCGTCTTGGCCTTCCCCAATCGAAGGCTCATCACGGCGTCATTCGGAGGTAGTGGAGCAACGTTGGCTTCCGTGTTTGGTTGGGGGCCGGAAGATTCCATTTCCAAATTCCTAGTGAACGAGGCGCTGACTGCTTGAAACCTACAACTTGTGTGACGGCTTGCTAATGCCTAACACTGGTAGGGCTGGTAGACGCCCAGAGGAGGGGAATATTAGGCCACAAATGGGAAACAAAATGGAGCAGCTCGCAAGACAGTTCGCTCCTAGAATGTGTTGATGGAATTTAATCAAGAGAAAATCACAGATAACTCGTTTGTAATTTATCTGATGAGCTGGCGGGAAGATGATGTAGGAAGATGGTGGGGGGTCTGCCTTGGTTCACTATGTAAGCTTATCATCTCATGTCAACATTTATTCACGGGGTCAACAATTATCCGGGTTCTGTACCCTGAGTGAATACGTCATAAATAGTATGTACTACCATGACGGTCTGCGGGGAATGCATCATTCGCATCGTGCCCGGGAAGTGACTCTGAGGGAGTCCATTACAAACTGATTATGATTAGTAGATTGCACAATTCGCAAGACGACCGACAAAGCGCTTGGACCTTAAGAGTAAGTCAAAGATCCAGTCTGATATGTAGAATTACGTTTAGCCCCCCATTGCATGATGATAGAGGTAGTATTATACACGCTTAGACCAGGTTGAATATTGCATTACTCGGTATACCAGCGGATCAGCGTGACCACAAAGGTTCAGAGGTTCGCCTACCGTAGAGCTACGAGCCGTAAATTAGGTGTACGGTAATAATCGGCCTGTATCGTTACTGCGCACCTATTTGCTAAGGCCCTCACCTCAGGATAAGTTTAGAAACGGACAAAGTTGGCCATGAGTCGATCAGTCGCAAAGGATGGAATGGGTGGCGTTTTTGAAACCAGACAATGTGATCATATTGGACTGGTCCACCTCGCTGCGTTAACTCCTATTGTCCCTGACAAGATTCTGTACAGCAAGGGTATTCCAATAAAGCTCCAAGCACTGTGAATTGAGATCGAATAGTGGGAGATATGCTTACGTTTGAGGACACTTAGCGCCAGCAAGAAATCTGAGCTTCGTCTACGTATATCATCGTGATTGTAGTATGCTGATTTTTTTTAAACATGAGAACAGTCATAAGACTCCGACTAAGAAATAAGGACTCAGTTGAAAATTTTGACCTATCCCGAGACTTTCTTCGTGCGGAAACCTGTATTGCTATTGTATTCGCTTTTATTGAGTCGGTCCCTCGGCGGGGCTAACGGCTACCCTAGACCTTAAGTTTAATAACACCGAAAAAGTACCCAGAATCCAAGCAAAGGAGATTATTAAGCGAGGTGCTGCATAAGAAAGTGTTAGAAAATCTGATATTGTGTGTTCTCTAGATACAGTGTCTCAGGGGCTGTACGTAAAGGAGTCAAAGAAGAAGCTGCGTATCTCATCGCCACGGGTGATTTTCTTAGCATCTTTTGCAAATTTGCATCCGGGTCTCAACATCATGAGAACTCGACTTTATTGGAAATAGGTCCCTACGATAGAAAGCTGAATGGAGTAAAGAGATGCTCGGTGGAGGAAGTGATTGGGTAGAGCATCACACCCGCAAGCCGGTCTGCTTATATTGGTACTTTCGTTCCATTACCTTCGTTGGCCTGCCACAGTCTTCTCAACAACAGGTGGGGCAATTAAGGGCAGCGTGAAAGAGCAAATTTAATAAAATGACACCGTAAAAAGGGAGAATCACCAGTTCAGATTTAGAGTCACACGGGACCACCTGGATCCGCATGATTGAGGACCCAAGTTAATGGTCGCAAGCATAGTGCGTAGGGCGATTAGATGGTGAATTCTCACTTCCCTGCCTTGAAGCGAGAAAGAGTGCACAGAATGGCCGGATGGTCAAGGAGCAAATGGGAATAGGTTTATAACCTGCTGGACAGAATTGTTGTACTCATTAGACATGTGGTATTGAGTAATACACGTCACGCCTGAAGATAGTAGAATAAAGCTATAGGTAACCAATGTGTTGATGAGGTGAGTGTGTCGACTAATCTAAGGTCCTATGGCTGATGTATATAAGTGTGCTTGGTAAAGGGTCAACAGGGTGTTGGTCCGAATTAGTGTTGATTCGGGCTGAGACGATACTGATATATTGGATTATGGCTAATCCGAGAAATGAAGGAGAGGTCAATGGCCAACCGACGCTTTAATCGGGTCGTGACATGACAGACAGTTTGATTTAAATTGGTGGCATTGGGAACTCCATTCCTAGTTTCAGTCTAAACGAGAAAGTCTCCCAACAGAAATAACTTCCAGTGGCCAAACCTGTCTGTAGCTCATATGTCTCTCAACCGGAGTCACACGACGCGCATTTAGTGTGAGTGCACTCCGGGCAAACTTGAGTAGCCATGATTGAGCCGCGACTGCATTTGCACTGCTGAACTATTAGCCATCAAATGAATTGGGTGCTAGGGGACGCATGGATATACGGGGTGACTGACACATGTCCACGATATTGGCGCAACAATCTGAGTCTGGATGTGTTAGTATGGGCCCCTCCAGCAAGGAATCAATGTACGCACAGGATGAATTTTCAAGTCGGAGAGCAAAGCAGCGTGAAGAAGACTTTGACCGAGAACACTATGGCCGGGCTGAGCTTGGGGAAAGTACAGGTCGGAAGAGTCCATGATTCAAAAGAATTGAAGACAGTAAGTGTCACACTGAGCGGATAGGATCAGGATGATGATCATGAAAGCTCTTGATCTCCTATCTAACGAAGGACTGGGGATCGGTCTTATAGATCAAGATGAGGGCGGCCTCCGGCAGCCTCCGGGGCCGAGGTCTGGAGGGCTGAGACCGAAGAACCAACTGCCGGGGTCTGAGACCTCGTACAGACCGGATTCCTAGCAGCCGGCCTGGAAGCTGTTCAAGGTATCGTACGATGATCCCAAAATGTGACAGTAAGAATTGATTTGGAGGTGATGTTTGAAGTAAAGAACGTGTATAAAACGTCAACAGCTGCTTACATTAAAATCTTCTCAAATCACCAGCGACTCTTGGAAGTTATGAATACCCATAGAGCAGAAAACAGGCGTCCCGTCTATTGCTATGGTCCACTGTTAGATCAAAGACAAACATCGAGTGTGCTTCGTTATATTGAGGGCATTCTAGCCCACTTCATGGAGGCCGTCCCTGCATTCGAGGGCACTAGTGATGAGGGGCTGTTTGCCTGGGTAACATCATGTTATAGCCAGAATAGGATGCGGTTAGACCATATACAATAGCAAGGGGGACATCGTACGTTGGTAAGAGCACAGATACACCAGCCTCTGGATATCCCTTGCCATCTGGGCGCTAGGAGTTTGCTCTCCCAGGTCATAATAATTCAAGCCCTTCGGCAGCGTCAGAAGTCGCGGACGTGTCAAGTTTGCCAACAAGTCATGGCTATTAGTTAATGCATATTAAAAAGAATACCGAAAAATGGCCGCAACCTCGTTATTTGGACATGCTTCGTATTTTTGATGTGTCTGTTTCTTAATGTCCTCTCCGGTTCGAGAATTTGACGTCAGTTGAGTAGCCGAGGGAAGAGACAACCTTTCTAGGCGAGCGGGGGCTGCTCCGGCTCCTAACCAACAGGTAGTTACATGGGCGCAACTGACAGTCCTCGCTTATACGCCGACAAACATTGGAACTGTGCCGCAGAGTTGCATGAGAATGTGATGTTTGTCGATGACGATATCTGCCCGACTAAAGAGGGGCGAAAAGGCTGTGACGCTCGCTGATTCTCTTCCTGCCTCACATTTTTGGTGGAAAGGCAAATTTGACATGCAGACTTTATCAGTGCGCAGATTTCCTGGCGTTGCTCTCATTCTCTTCCTTAGCGAATTCGAGGCGGTATCTTGCTCTTGAGTGTTCTCTGTATTGGTCACTAAGTCGATGGCAAAACTTGGCTAGTTCCTCAGACTCGACGGCACCTAGGGCAACAAGATACTGAGGATCCGTCACAGACAGCGGCAATGCGTACAAATTTGGCATGCACAAACTAATCCCCTTCCACTTGACATTGATCTAGATCAAGATCATGAGATGTTTGCGTTGCTTTCGTAGTGGGGCGGTGATGGGTCAGACTGGGGCAGGATCAGCTTGAACTAGGGAACAAGGCCCAGGGATTTAGCATGCTTGCCTGATACGCAGTGGAGCAATGAAGCAAACAAATGAAGACAACAAGAAAATACGGGACGATAAGAGTACCTGATTTTCCTTCTCATCCTACACCCTTTCATGACCAATATCATCCCTTTCCTCCTCACTTTCTCCCAATCCTTTACAGTCGACTATCATTGAGTTACCAATTTTCCTTGTCACCGAACATCGCACTTTAGTGGCCATAAGTGCCGCTTCCAGGCTGCGAATAGCCGATTTGCAAACTCTCATTGTCTGATTCTCTGATCAGTATCAAGTCAACCGCCTGAGATGGCTGATATTCTCGCAACCATCTTCGGTCTTGGGAGATACGTTCATAAGACTGTTAATTTTATTACTGAAACAAGACAGATTGGAAAGGAAGCTCCTCACCAGTTTCACGGATATCAATATGAGATTCGGACGCTCGAGATTACGCTCGTCAGAATGGAAGGGCATTGCAACCATTCTGACCTTATCCCGTTGATGCAAACATCACTGCTAGCTGACTACCTTTTCTGGTGCCGCAAAACCTTGGAGTTGGCATCTGAAACTGTGAACGACTTCGTTGAGCGAACTACGACTGGTAGCAAGTTTAGGCGACGACTCTTTCTTGCAAAGCTTGCCCTGAACAACGATCTAACTCACCTGGAAACGCGGCTAGAGAAGCTACAGAAGAGTTTGGAGAGAGTTCAGATCTGTCTTCAGTTCGGTTCAAGGTGAGTAAATCCAACTCACCATTTGTATGCAATGACTTACCGTTGGCAGAATCACTGGGACAGGAATCTTTGGGAACACTGAGGTGAACATCGACGAGGAATAGGCCTCAAGGCTAGCTCTAATAACGGAGACTCTGCATTGTACCCAACAAAACAAGGCCTGCACTCGAAAATCGGAGAACCTCCTGCAAAACCGCAGTTTCCAATACACGTGTAAGACGATGAAATCTCTCACCGGCGGTGATTTAAAGATTTCGCCATGATCACGAGCCGTTGGTCAGCAACGAAGCAGATACGTGTTGAGGAGAGCTTGCCAATTTTCCTGGGAAGTTTTAAATATGGTGTGACAGCGGAGGATTGGTTATTTGACTGACGAGTTGATGTTGAGAAAGTTGTGGGTGAATTCTGGCGGTCATTGATTAGTGATAACGACTGCCCTGAAATGCCTGGTGCGTGGGTCGACTAAACCGGGTTGGAGAGATTGAAGGGCAAGTATTGATCATAGGTCACTAGAAGGAGCCAATTGGCTTAGTAGCTAGTTGAAATTACGAGGTATAAACACTACCGCGATCCTATTAACAGGGTTCAAATGTGGGCGTCCTGGTTTGCCCATTATCCAAAGTGGGAGGCACCGGTCGTTCGAGAGATGATGTTAAAGTCAGCTGCCCACCCTCTTTTCTCTTCCAACTTTCCAAACAATCTGGATTCAAATTTTCAACCAACGAAAAGGCATTGTGGAGGTGGTGACATTATTGTGGTGAAGCACTATCGATAGTAAGGTGGGCACTTTGCTAATCCAGAATTGAGGGCATGTGATGATTTTTTAGCAGTATTGCATCTCTCACAGGATATACATCACGCCCTATAGTGCGATATAGACCGACTTCAGCTCCGTCCAATGATCCGTAGCATATTTCGAGTTCTCGCGACCCTCGCCACTTTGTTTCCAACCGCCAAATGGCATATCAAGCGTCATCGTAGGGCTTGAACAGTTGATGCCGACATTTCCAGCCTCGAACTTCTTCGAAATACGGAGAGCGCGCGAGATGTCCTTCGTGAAGACGGAAGCATACAGGCCGAATTCAGTATTGTTCGCGCTCTGCAGCACCTTTTCCTCATCTTCGAAGACATTGAGACACATAACGGGGCCAAAGATCTCCTCCTTGAACACCTTTGAGTCTTCCGGTGCATTTTTGATAATGGTTGGCTGGATGAAATACCCTGTGTCTCTCTCCCGCTTGCCGCCCGTAACAATTTCCAACCCCTCCGCCTTTGCTCCATTCATGTATTCCATGATTCGTTGGGATTGCAGCCTGTCAGCTTGAGGCCCGCGGAAAGTTCCAGTCGCCAGTGGATCATTACTCGTACCCAAGGCAGCAAATACTCCCTTGAGAGCCATGGTGAACTCGTCGGCGATTTTGGCATGGACAAAAACTCTCGAGCTGGCAACGCACGTCTGGCCAGAGTTGAACAGGATGGAAAAGGCCGAGGCCTTAGCAGCCTTTTCGATGTCAGCATCGTCAAAAATGACGAGCGGGCTTTTGCCTCCGAGCTCAATGGTGACGTTCTTGAGGTTGGACTCTGCTGCAGCCTTCTTGATGGCACGACCAGTATTTGTAGATCCGGTGAAGGAAATCTTCCTTATGTCCATGTGGCGTGCGATGGCCTCGCCACAAGGCTGTCCAAAGCCACTGAGGATATTGAAGACACCCTTGGGAAGGCCGATTTCCTGGCAACACTGGGCAATCACCAGAGGGCTCAGTGGCGCTTTTTCAGATGTCTTGAGAACAAGCGTGTTTCCCGTGATGAGCGCTGGGCCAAGCTTCTGCGTGATCATAGTAACGGGCACATTCCACGGCGTGATCGCGCCACAAACGCCAAAGGGCTGGCGAAAGACAAGATTGACGAACCCGGGAGTGTTGAGAGAGGTATCCCCTTGGACATCAGTTGCCTTGCCTGCAAAGTAGCGCAGCTGTTTGATGGCGGAGTGGGTTGCGACTTCAAGGAGCTGTTAGCATAGATTCATCAAAGATTTGAGGATGAACCAGGTCTCACAATCGCTATCAACGGGCTTTCCCATACTGATGGCATCCAAGTACGAAACCTCAGCAAAACGCCTTTCGAGCGCATCAGCCAGCTTGTACAGATAGGCACCACGTTCGGTGGCCTCCAGCTCCGACCACGCCGGGAATGCGGCCTTGGCAGCAGCGACCGCATCGTCAACGTCATTGGCATCTGCTTCAAAAACAGAAGCAACGATTTGCTCCGAAGTTGGGTTGATGACATCGAATTTCTTCCCGCTCCTCGAGGGAACGAACTCTCCATTGATGAAGAGGCGGTTCTCAATGGGAAGTTTCTTGAGCTCATCAACGCTCTTCGAGACGACGGGCATGGCGGGAAAATTCATTTTGAGAGAATTGAGGGAATTGAAGAACGGGTAAATAAGTCGGTGGTTGTATTGGGTATGGAACTTGATCAAACAAAGTGGCTTGTCTTCTCCCTACGATGAAGTCGTTCAAGGTCCTTATATACCAAACGCCGTTCAATGAGAAACAGTAAGCTGTTACACCCTTCCTTGACACCATGGACTTATTCCTTCTCAAAATAGACACTCACAAACGCCATATGCCAAATTGCCGACCCATCCGCTGCACGATGCTGATGCTCTGTGGGGATCCCCGCCTGATATATCCGACTGCTGCACAATGCTGATGCTTTGTGGAGATATCGCCTCACATGCACGGCCACTTTGGTACTAGGTTGCCAGGGAGGGTGTATTCGCTGCGGAGTTAATAACAGGGGCTAATTAAGATCTTGGCGATTACTTTTAGCCTACGGTATTCCGTATTCCCCGTGTCGACTCCAGACTAAGATGAATCTCGGCGTTAAGCCAATGCCAAGTCCCGAATCATCAGCAGCATGCATAATGCATATGACCGAAGCCTAATCAAGCTCCCCCACTCCCGGCTGGACACAATTTCCGCTCCCGCCTCTCCCTCACAGTGTAGAACTTCTTAGAGTATTAGATTTGTGGCCTCACGTTTCTGACTTGTTATTACCTGTTCGGATCAAATCCCTTTGCGACCTCGTTTACGCAATTCCGACTCACCATGCAGTCTAGTACGCAGACGCAACAATCCACACAGGCCTGTGCAGTTGTCACACAACCGCGGCTGCTGGCTCGGCCGGACCTTAAAGCCGAGGCCCGCTCTCTCGATGAGGACTGGTCGGGGCTCGCGTCGGCAGCAGAAAGGCGGAGGATCCAGAATCGCATCAACGCGCGGGCATACAGTGAGTTAATTGGGTCAACAAATCTGGCGCCAATGTCTAATCTGAGAGCAGGAAAGAGGAACAAGGCGTTGAAAGCAACTACAACACCCAACCGTAGGATTGCGGACGGGATGGTTACTACGGTCCATATTTCCGAAGGATCCTCGCTGAAAAGGTGGAAAGCCGTGATGCCCTCGCCGCGCTCTGGGCTTCTCCTCACAATTGTCTTCATCAACTTAAAGCGCGCACTACTTTATAACTTTGCTCTCCTGGGACATGATAGCAAACATATGTGCTCCGAGCGGATGGACTGTAGCAGCCCCCTGGGGGATCTCCCTGCGGACCTCCAACCCACGACGATACAAAGAACGGTCGCGCACCAGGTCGCGATAGATGCGTTTCCTGACGCCAATCTGCGAGACCGAATGATCATGTCTCAACATCTGATTAACGACGGAGATTTCGAGAACGATTTGCTTGGTAACTTGTCGGAACGGGGTGGGGGACTCGGCCTCCAGGGCCTCGTTATATGGGGAGAGCCGTACTTGACGTCAAGTTGGGAGATTACCGAGACATTCTTCCGCAAGTGGCATTTTTTAGTCTCCGGGAGTCCAAATCTCATTGCCAGTACTAATAAATGGAGAAGGATTCGAGGCGAGGAGCCACTTGTATCATCTAGCTCATCCACTTAGCACGGTTCTTATCTCACAAATTCTACTGGGTTAAGGATGTAATCTTAGCTGTAACTTGGTTGATTTTTATCCCACCGGACTATCTTTAAGTGCGAAAAACCGCCACATGTTAATCCATTTTGTTAGAGCCGTCCGTTTGGTCACTGTACTATATTGAAGATAGCAGATCGGCTTGCATCCGAAACATCGTTTCTACATCGTTTCTACGATCCCAGAGACCTATCGACCCATCGTGGCCCCTAAAAGCATACATATAGCTGTCTAGACTACTCCAAACTGGCACATAATCTTTTTGTTACCCGTGGATAGTCCACAATTGGTTACAATGCATATCGCTTATCATTATCACACCATCGCGCCACTCAAGAACGTTTGTATCTGGCTCAGCTCGACACCCAACCCTCTATCAACAATAGTACACAACAGCAACGGTTTATCACCTCGACAAAAGCTATACGCCCAGACAAGTTGGAGGAGAAGATGTATTAAGAGAAGAAGTCTAACTGAAAAAAGATTTAGATAACCATTTCGTCTTGGTCATCATTGTCCATCACCGTGCCCAGCTCTGGCATGTGTGGCTCAGGATTCCAGGCTAGCTGGTCGCTGAGGTTGTTGAATAGATTAGTGTACGCCGGTCCTTGCTCCCTTCGTAACAGATCTGCAATATCAAAGCGCTCCCTATTCTCAGCAAGTTTGATTGCTGTTCCAAAACCCTTACTCAGGTCAGGTACCGCACCGTTCTTGAGAAGGAACTGCACCATCCCGAGTCGGCCATGCTCGGCCGCTCCTTCAAGAGCAGTTCGGCCATCTCTAAGAGCTGGCGGTGCATTGACGTTGGCTCCGCGAGCAATTAGCATTCTGGCAACCTGGACATCTCCGCGAATTGCAGCTCCCTGTAGAGCTGTGATACCGCCGACTTCCGCAGGCGGGGCATTGACTTCTGCGCCATGTATTAAAAGAAATGCAATAATCTTGGCGCTCGGTTCCTCCCATGAAGTGGCTTGTTGTAGAGCCGTTCGGCCACCGTACTTGCCGGCAGGGTCATTGATCCTTGCATGGTGCTGCAGGAGGAGAGCCGCCATGTTCTCAATCTTGTCTGTAGATTTCGATTTATCCCTCTTATGCGGCAAGGGATTCTTGAACAGGAATGGATCTTCCAGGACAGCCTGTAGAGCTGTGCGACCATGCTTGCTTTTGTCTGCTGCCGGAGCATTGATGTTGGCATTGTACTTGATGAGAAGCTCCATGGCATCAAATTTGCCAAATCTTGCTGCGTATTGGAGGGGAGTCATTCTGTCAACAGGGTTTCTGTCTTCAGTCCTTGCCCCAGCCCTGAGCGCTAGATCCAGGCACTGTATTGGTGCTGTCCTAATGAGACGATGCAAAACAGTGCTATCAGTGCCGTCAGTACGATTGATAGTGCCACTCTCAGACCGGGCAAGCAATTTTTTAAAAATGACTTCGCGACTGACTTTCCAATTGAGGGGAACGTGGTTTGCCGTCCAGGCTCCGGGTCCAGCTGCCGCTTCCAGCAGGGTGATAAGCCCATTGGTGTTTGCAGGTGCTTGGCAGTTTGCGCCGGCTTCAATGAGAGAGTCCACCGTCTCGGTATGCCCTCCTAGAGCTGCGGCCTGAAGTGCTGTGAGCCGCCGTTCCCTAAGCATGGCAGCCTTCAGCCTATCCACCATCTCAGCATCATCAATCTCAGTCTCGATATTCCGTATAGACTCATAGTATTCCTGATCAGGCCACCTGTCAACAGGGCTTGCAGGAAGGTTGATATCCGCGCCTCGATCAATGAGGTACTCCACAACGGCTGTCCTTCCTTCAATCGCAGCACACTGCAGGCCACTTCTGCCACCAAGCCCATACTCGTCAATGTTGATGATCCCTGCGCCAAGCAAGAGACCACATTCGAGCAGGCTTCCATAACCCGCTGAAATCTCTAATGCAGACGGACCAATCGCGGCGACATTGCACCCAGCTTGAACCATGGCAAACAAAACATGTCTTTCTTTCGTAGGATTTCGGAAATATTTACCAACCAGGGGAAGAAGGTAGCGACAGAGTTGTGTTAGATCGTCATGTGTTGGCTTTGACCCAGCCTGTATCAGCAAATGAACAATGTCTGCTGCGGTATTCAATTCCTGGGCTGCGAGGAGAATAGGGGGTCTTGAGTCCGAATTCTCGTCAAATTCGCCAGCATTCCGAGCTCGACGATAATTCGGTGTATCAGGGTCTACCTTTCGATGCAGAAAACACCTCATTGCTCTGATATTTGCTGTTTCGATCGCATAATACAGTCCGCGCTCTAGAATCTCATCTCGAACAATTTGATGGTCTTCGATGAATTGGCATAACGTGCGGCTGCCGTTCTTTGCCGCCTCAACTAAGTCGAATATTTCGGGTACGTTGTTTTGTGAAGGCCCCCTAAGAAGCTTGAAAATGGATGCTGATTGTTTCCGCGCGTATGTGAGTAAATCTTCATCGTGTATCATCAGATCCTGATAAACCGTCGCACCCTTCTCCAGTAAGACTTCTACCATTCTGACATGAAGTCGCTCTGTAGCTGTGCAGAGGGCGGTTTTCTTTTCGTTATCACCAAACCGATGGTTAACGTCGGCCCGAGCATCATCAATGAGAAATGTGACCATTTCTACAGACTGTTTAAGAACAGCGGCTTCTAGTGGAGTCTTTCCATGTCCGAGTCTATCACTGGCAACAAAATTAACGTTGATACTTCGTGAATGCAGCAGCTTGGCAGCGGCCTCTAGGTTGTCATCCTGAACGAAGCGCGTGATCAGATCTCTGCCCAGAGAACCCTCGATAGCTCGTTTCTCTGCTGCCCGGATGAGGTTGAAAGTTTCCGTGGGATACCGCCTGAAGATATGATTGCACAATTTGTTGAACTTGTACAAGTCAAGCACTGGAATCCTTGGGAAAGGAGAAAAGAAAAGCCGGTCCCGTGAATCTGCAAACAAATGAAGAAGTTCAGTTATGAAAGTGCTCATATTGGTTGAATTCATTAGCAAAAACTCGGCGAGGTCGCTGAACTGATCATTGTCGAATATCCATTTGATAAAGTTTGCAAATTGGATCGGGTGCAATGATTCATTTGACAAGAGATATCCCACAAGCGAGAACAGCTGATCGTGTGACTTGCAGCCTTGAGACTCGAATGGAACTCTTCCTTTTTTCACATCATTGGTGAAGACAAATTCGGCTACGCTTGCCACATGATGGGGAAACAGAATCTTTGGATCCGCGTGCTTGAGTTGCGATTCGAGCCACCCAGGTTCCCATCTGGGTACTCTTGCGGAGATTTGATCCCATTCGGCCACGCAAAACCCATGTTTGGGGTTGAAGGCGCTGTTCTGGCAAATGTCTGGAAACAACAAAGTGACTTCTGGTTTAACGGTATTAGCCAAGGACCCAGTATGTTCATCGAAGTATGAGTATTACCTGATGGAGTCCAGGGTGCTTGCGAAGCTTCCATTGAGGCCTGCATCGGATCACTCAATATTGATGCGGACGTAGCTGATGTGGTGAAAGATGCATCCGAGAAACTCTGATGTCTTGGTGACAGAATGACTTGCTGAGCGTGAGATGCTGACTCGTGAAGTATTTCCGACGTGGTTGCCGCGTCCACTGGGGAAGAAGAAACCAAGGCTATGTTGGAATGATTTAACGGGCTGGAAAGAAAAAATGACATAAAAGCCGAAAAGCCTGGACTGAAGTGATCGCCTTGCTGGAGAGTACTCAGGTCATGCGCACTTGTGTCATTTATCCCAATTGCGAGATCGGCCATATCCTCCGCAGTCGTCGTCAAAATCAGAGGTTCGACGTCTAGGTTCGTCAGTGACGCAGTGCTCTCCTCAACAGCTGGAATGATTCCAGTGTTTTCGAGTACCGGCCCAGCGGCAACACTTTGGGAAATTGAAGTGCGTATTTCAATACGATGTTCACCAACTGTTCCGAAGCCTACATCTGCGGACACTGAATTAGCTCTGAGGGAGTTTACCGGGAATGAAACATACCTATGTCTGGGTCTAAAGCGACTTGTACATGTTTGTCGCAACGTTGGAGGGCTCTCTTGACGCGTTCTGGATCTTGTCGTCGACCCGAGATGTAAACATCAAAAACCTGGTCTTGACTTTGTTTGTGAATCTCAATCTCATTGGAAACTGCTTTCCACTCGAGAGAGGTCAAGTTCTTCAGGCCCATGAACTTGGACTTGAACTGCCTCAGACTGTCGCGCTGTCAGCTCCTGATAGACGACGGAGAGAAAGAACGTACGAGATGCTAGTACCGTATTTGTCGTTGATCCATTTGCACGCGTCTTTCGCACTCATGCGATCATCCATGTACTTCTTCACCGCGTCCTGTTCGTACAGACTCCAGTTGATAGGCATGATGTGCGGAAAGATGTCGAGCCTCTGCAAAGTGGGAGACAAATAAACAGAAGCTACTGATTGAATATCAGTCTAAATTAATGGGAGACGAGATAGGAAAGAAAAAGCTGATGAGATTTGTGGAAACTTGGCTCGGACGCGCTGATACTTGTAGGCCACCAGGTGGTACTTTTTGCAGCCCAACCTGGAGGCAAGGCGGGACTTTTTGTACCTGATATGGGATCATGCGGGACTTTTGGACAGTTTCGCACTTTATACAAGGCGACTGTTTGCCTTGTTTACGCAAAAAGTACAAAACGCGCGTCATGCATGGGACCTTTAGCACACGATGTTGATTGGATGCCTCGTTTGCCTCGTCCCTTACACTGCTACAAGGAGCATTGTGTGTACTGTATCCTCAATGGTCGTTGAGCTTGCGGGCGCTGCGATTTCGATGTTGATCTGACTCGGAATTTTACACTGAAGTGTCGAAAATAATTTGATATGGATTGGAAATAGATGGGAGGTCATGAATTCAGAATGCATCGCCGTCCCAGTAGCTTAGAGCTGTGATGCTACTGCGTACAAAAAGGACGCCCTACCGCTGTCAGAAGTATAAAGTGCAGGGTTGGCGCTGACGCATAAGCTGTACTTGTCCCCGCCGAGTTCCTAACTGGCGAACGAGCATTCCTTTTGATGATGGCGCGAACCCAGTAAAACCCAAACGTAACTCGAATGGCTAGACATAAAATCCCGGGACTCTGACAGACCGTCTATTATTTGCCGGTGGGATGGTTCTCGGAATACACCCAATCCCAATTAAAGCAGTCTTGTCTCTTATGCGTAGTTGTCAAGTGCTTGAGCAGCCGCTCACGCTTCGGTTATTCGTCGTTAGAGATAGCTTAGTGTTATATGGAGTGTCAATGTGGTTCCTTGACATTCCCATGGATCTCCTGTATGGGATTAGAGCAACGAGCACGGTGGACACTTGGGCAGAAAAACTGGTAAATAAAATACATATTTAAGTCCAATTTTAAGAAATGATATAACTAATATCTCGCCTCTGACTAAAACCAAGGGCCGGAAGAGGTAAATTGGGATTATGTTGCTTTCGTCCCTTCATAGTACGCTACTAGATATTAAATAATTATTGCACATTTCAACGCTCGACAGACGTAACATCGTTGCGCGGTAAACTCTGGTACTTGACCCTGGGTTGCGGTACACTTCGAAGCTCACAACTTTCCTTCGCTCCGGTACTTTTCAGCTCGAGCAAGAATCTCCTGGCAGTCCTTCCAGATTCGCTGCCGATTGCGAAGGCCTTTTAGCTGATTACCGGCGAGCTTCCTTGAAATATCCAGTCGAACTTTGCGCCAGTCGGTGGCGTGCGGATTTTGTAGAAAGCCAGCTGCGGGCAAAGACTTCTTTGATGGTTCATCGTCATCTCGCTCAGCTTCAGTTGTATAGTTATCATTGGTGTGTTCTCCACCTTGGACGAGTAGTTCGTTGATGTGATTTGGCTCGGCCTGCCTCCGCTGAGATTCCGCAGCCTCCTCAAGCTCCTCAGAAGATTTCGATGCCCATATTGAGTAGCCGTGCTTGGACCAAGCCTCCCACATCCAGGGCCAGTCTCGGATAATGAGGTCGTGGAAAACCGTGTCGGGTATGTCGCGAAAGGCGCGTGAGCTGAGTTGCACGTTCGTCATGTCTTCAAAGTCCAGTTGTAGAAGAATCATAGTTCGGACTTCCTGCGGTAGGACTGAGAACGGATCCACAACTACGGCGTCTTCAGAGGATCGCTGGGTTTCAGTTGTGGTGACAGACTGACACGAATCTCGTCTCAGCCGGGCGGATGTCAATAGCGTATCGAGTCCTGGAACGTGGCATGGGTTCGCAACTAGGTACTCGGCACCGGGGTTGTGAGTCCAGAACTTATTCCGGGCTTCTATTACAGCATGATCTCGAGGAAAGTGTTGAAAAGAAGTCTCGTTTGCTTCCAGCTCCCACCATCCCGTCAGGGCCTTGATGTCGATTTTCCCGTGTTGATGCACCGACGCTTGCTTGAAGATCTCCAGACAAGTCGTATGGAAAGGAAGGGCGTATTCCATTCTCCGACTCTCAGACCAAAAGATGTTCTCGGCTTTAGGTTGCGTGCAACTGTGGCGCTCGGGGAAGACAGAGAGGCCCGGGCCGTCCCGACTTGGCATATAATCACTGAGGCCACTCAGGAAGAATGCGCCAGACTTCTCGAATTCTTGGTCGTCGTCTTCCGGCTCCCAGTCTGAGGGTTTGCGAACCAGGCACTGCACGGTGTTGCATCCCCGTATCTCTTGGAGGGATATATTCTGTCCGTTATAGCCGCCGCCGGCGACAGGCCCGTAAGAGCAATCCGGCCCTGCGATATGTTCCAGCTCGTGAGTTACGCCAATACCACGGAATCGCCTGTCGATCTCATCGGCCGGGAGTGGATCTGGCTGCTCGGGGAACATTTCCTCGTGGCCAGGCGGCCGCTCATCTCGAGTTGGGCTATCGTGGGCCGATGTCGGCTCGACTCGATCAGCGTAGCCCCTGAGCCCGAAACCCCAGGGGTTGCGCCGAGCTCTGAGCGCAACCATACAGCCTGGCGGGCATTTACTGCGCGTGTAGTGTCTACTATTGACATATGTGCCCGCGAACAACCTCGTGCAGCTCCAGGCTGCGGTGCGCGGCTCAGACGGTGTGCGAATGCGGCTGATGTTGAAACTGACACCGCAGATGTGGCAGTGGACCTCGGAATAACCCATGCTGCGCCGAGTATAGTAGGCAAGCAGGGTCAAATGTGATACGGGCCTTTGTTTCGCATATGCGTCTGCAAGTCGAAATTAAAGAGCAGACGCCTTATGAAACACTGACGGTCACTTGGGTTACTTGGGTTAGTTGTCGTAATGCAGAACCATCCTTCCGTCCTAAGCGAGAAATCAGCTCACCCCTGTTGCCGGGTCAACGAGGAGCCGCATCCCTGCCTGCCATCAGCCAAGCCGGCACGATTACCGAGAGAAGATATGGGGGCATTTGGCCTATTTTTGGATCCTTCGATCCGAAAATCTTTTTTTATTACGAATAAATGTTTTTATGGCTTTCCCGGCAACACAGAGAGTAAAGTATCCTCGGCCAAGTGGCAGTATCAATCCTCATCGTTAGCAGCAGATAATCCCGCACTTTGCCGCCTTGATCTACGTCACGATCGGCGACGATCCTGTTAGCGCACGACGTGGGGCGATGGAAGCAACCTGATTCTAAACATGGACATGTGTAAAATGACCCCGGAAGATGAGCAAGACGAGCAATAAAAGAAATATTGAAGACCAGTCTGTGGTAGGCCGTTCTGATTATATGTGGAAAAGCCCTGTCTGCCGAGAGCAGTTTGGTATGGCTCACGTGATACCTTTCTGCGGATTTCGGCTCTCGGTAGTCGGTCCACGGATGCGAATAGCCAGGAGAAAACGCGGAGGTTTCGGTACTCGTACTCTCCACCGAACGGAGATTATATTTGCAAGCTCGAGACTCATGCTATAGCCTAATAACAGATTAGGGTGTATTTGGCATCATAGGTCGAAAATACAAACAATGTGAGCCGGATTTGTCAGTTAGTCTTCCATCCGCTTTTCCGTATGACCTTCTGTACACGGGATTCGGCAGTCGAGGGCGTCGGAGTTAGAGTGTTTTCGATGAGGTGGTGTAATTCCAACCCGGCAAAGAGCAACGCCTAGTATGCCGAGAAGGAGTCCATTACGTCTGACCAGAGCTTAATAATGTAGTTATAGATCAAAGGTATATAAAGCTACAACAGCCCGTTACATTTCCAGAGCTGCCAAGGTCAATGGAATAACTCCTCCACCCTTACTACTTCTCTAGAAATTCACCCATCCTCTTGGTATACCTTAAGCCCAGAACCATGGCTCAGAAACTCATCGTCGTTGTTGGCGCCACAGGCGGTCAAGGAGGCGCCGTCGTATCCGCTTTCCTCAAGGACTCGCAATGGAAAGTCCGCGGCATCACCCGAAATCCACTTAGCGAAAAGGCAAAGGCCTTGTCTGCCAAAGGTGTCGACATGGTCAAAGCCGACTTGAACGACTTTACCAGCCTCGAAACTGTTTTTGAAGGCGCCAATGTTGTCTTCGGCATAACGGACTTCTACGACAGCTTCGAGACGCAGGGGTGGCAGAAGTCGATGGACGTTGAGTATGCCCAGGGAATAAACTTGGCCAAGGCCGTGGCCAAGGTTCCAACGCTTGAACATTATATCTGGAGCACTCTGCCGTACTCCAGCAAGGCGACCGGTGGCGCTGTCATTGTGCCGCACTTTGAGGCCAAGGCCCGTGTCGACGAGTTTATCAAGGAGGATGAAGCACTCCTACAGAAGACGACTTTTTGCTTCTTTACAACATTTGTCTACAATCTCACCCACTATGATAGCTTTAAGCCCATCTATCATGTAAGCGCAGAAGACCCTGACGATACTTCCATAGAGTACTGACATGTTGCATCATAGCCGAACGCAAAGAAGTGGATTCAGTTTTATCCCGCGCCGGGAGGCTCTGTGTATCCCTGCCTTGGAGATCACCAGATTAACACCGGCCTCTTCGTCAGTGGCCTAGTCCAGAACCGACCACCTGGCGGCACATATGTCAAGTGCGCTGTCGAAGACCACACACTTGAATCATATCTTGCTCTGTGGGGAAGAGCTAGTGGAATTTCTCCCGAGGCTGGGTCGACCAGCATTATTGAAGTTTCTCCAGAAACCTACATCGGTTTGTATGGCCCAATGGGCGAAGAGACAACACGTCAGTGGGCATTTACCAAATTCATCATTGACAATGGTCTTATCGAGAGACTTGGATCCGTATTCAAGAATGCGCAGGATTTCATGTCCGAAGAGGCCATCGCGTCACTCGTCAGTGTCGAGGAGAGTTTTAAGACGATCGATTGGAAGGCATATGGATATTGATCCACTGTGAACATGTCAGTGTTTTAGGACGCGAAGTAGTGTATTCACTTATTACTCCTTTTGCCCTTCCAAAAGTTGCAGATGGACCAGGGCAACATTTATTGAATGCATTGGCTATATAAATGCAAATCCTAGAAAGGTGTTCTCAGTTCGTCGAAAGCATCTTCCTTGAACCGTGACAGCAACTTGCTGCCAATTGGGATGTAGAGTGCGCGTCAGCCAGGGATTTGCTTAGCTTCAACTTCGTCGGGAGATCAGGAATGACTGCTAGCAGCAATTATTTTAGACGGGCCCCCGGGTGACGCGATCTAAGAAAGATTTTACTAAAAATAAGTAAGCGAGGTGATTTAATGTGTATGATGACGAGGTCCAGGGTATCTGAATAGTACACGATGTATAGCGCAAATTAAGCCCCCAAGATGAGATGCGAGCAGGTGAATACCATTTCGCTAAAACTGGGATGTTCAATATAGAAACCTCTAAGAGGAAGGTCGCTGCTGCGAGAGGAACAAATGCCTGAGATCTGTAGGAAATTAAATAATCTTAAGTATGACGCAATCCCAGTTCTCATGGCGTATGTTGTGGCTATGTCGTCGCAAATACAGGGGGTTAGCACCTCCCATCTGCTAAATATAACAACAGCGATATACTCAGCCACCGAAAGGAGATCTGGGTGTGCAACTCGCTAAGCACTTGGTCAGGATAGGAATGGATTCCCATAAAAAAGTTCTATTCACGAACACGGGGTTCGGTTGGTTGGATTGCTCTTGGAGATCACCATGCAGCACGCATGCAGTTGGCTTCAGGGAGTCCGACCTGGAATGATACCGTATCTTATTTTGATTTGTTTTGACAGCCTCACCTGAGACAGTACCCCTTTCTCTGACACATTATTGCGATGAAATATCAAATCTCTTAAGACGTAATTGCCCAAACCTCGGACTGGTTCCTTTCTTTTCCCTCACATTCTTACAACTATTGTTGAAACAGAGACCTTTTATTCCATATTTTCACTGCACCATGTCTTCCAACGAAATGTATGCATGCGGTACATTTCTTCAGATTTTTGGTGATATTTACTAATACGAATAATAGCAACGTCGATGTGCTGGTCATCGGAGCCGGTCCTACTGGCCTCGGTGCTGCTAAACGGCTCCAGCATCTGGTACGTAAGCCTACTGCATTTACAAACCTACTTGCACCCCAATCTTAGATCACTGACTGTCTTTGTCTTGTAGGATAGTGTGTCTTGGCTCATTGTTGACTCGAATGAAACGCCAGGAGGCCTTGCATCTACCGACACTACCCCGGAGGGCTTCGTGAGTGTTATATATTCTGATGCCTTATTGAGCCATGATGGAACTTACAGAAATTACTTTTATAGCTATTTGATGTCGGCGGACACGTCATCTTCTCCCATTACAAGTACTTCGACGACTGCTTGAACGAGGCCCTCCCCGAACCAACGGACTGGTACGAACATCAGCGAATCTCCTACGTCCGTTACCAGGACATCTGGGTTCCGTACCCATTCCAGAATAACATTGCGGTACTTCGTAAGGAGGAACAAGCGAAATGTTTGGGCAGTCTCATTGACGCTGCTCTCGAAGCCCGCGTTCGAACTCCAGCTGATAAGCCGAGCAACTTTGACGATTGGAACATTCGAAATGTTGGCGAGCGTTTGAATGAGATATTCATGCGGCCCTACAACTTCAAGGTCTGGGCTGTCCCGACGACAAAGGTACGTTCTGAGCTGCGATAATACCTGGAGAGTGTATTAAAACCCTTTCCTAGATGAACGCGACGTGGGTTGGAGAGCGAGTTGCTGCTCCCAATCTCAAATTACTTACCACCAACGCGATTCTCAACAAAGTCGCCGGTAATTGGGGCCCAAACGCCACATTTCGTTTTCCCGCAGAGGGTGGCACAGGCGGCATCTGGACTGCCGTAGCCAAAACACTGGACAGTGCTAAGACTCGTTTCGGTGATCATGGAGCAGTGACCAAGGTGGATGCAGACTCCAAGACTGCCCATCTGAAGGATGGCATGTTTGACCACGTCTAAACTTTGCATATTTTGCTAATAAAAAAAAACAGGAACCGTTGTCAAATACGAGACACTCATCTCTACCATGGCCATCGATCACTTGGCAGAGGCAATGAGCGATACAAAGCTTCAACAACTATGCAAGCCGTTGTTCTACTCTTCTACTCATGTGATTGGTGTCGCCGTTCGTGGACAGCGTCCAGAGCGCATTGGTGACAAGTGCTGGGTACGTGCATTAAAGATCCTAATCCCAGCAATTCCATGGGTTCTCACTCTCCCTGTTCATCCTAGCTAACACATCCGGGTTGAAGCTATACTTTCCTGAAGACAACTGCCCCTTCTACCGTGCCACAATCTTCTCCAACTACTCCCCTTTCAACGTACCGGATGAAGAGGTCAAGCTTGCAACAATCCAGTTGGCCAATGGTCAAGAACCCACTTCGTCCGAGTCGCAGCCCGGGCCTTATTGGTCTATCATGCTCGAAGTATCGGAGTCTACGTACAAGCCCGTCAACCACGAGACATTGCTCCAGGAGACTATCGAAGGTCTCATCAACACAGAGCTGCTGAAAGGCGAGGATGAGATTGTCAGCACTTACCTTCGTCGTTTCGATCACGGATACCCTACTCCTACTCTTGAGCGTGATGGTGCCTTGGCTGAAGCGCTTCCTTACCTGTACGACAAGGACATTCTTTCTCGAGGTCGTTTTGGGGCCTGGAAGTACGAAGTTGGCAACCAGGACCACAGGTAGGCTACGATACACCATCTTGTTCCAGCAAAGTAGCATGCTAACATCATCTCTACAGCTTTATGCAGGGAGTTGAAGCTGTCGACCACATTGTCTCGGGGGCTGTAGAGCTTACCATATCCAACCCTGACTTTGTGAACACCCGCGCCAATACTGAGCGCCGCCTCGGTAAGATGAAAGGCCTCCGGAACTAGATCTTTGACTAGGTTACTGGAGAGGTAGAGGTCTTGGATCCTTTTCCGGGTTTTCCTTATCTTCAGTTTGGGGAACTATAGCATATTGCTGCTACAGTATCCATTTTATTTTCGTTTGCGCATTCTTCGAAGTCCTGAAGCTATCTGCGCATGATCACATGCGTGATAAATCGGTTTCTACTCTGGTTATAGTAGAATTTCTCTTTGGAATCAGTATGTAGCCAAAATTACAATTATTTCGGTCTTAGCAAGTCTGATAGGGATTGTGCGAGTGATGTAACGAGGAACCACACTCCCCCCTACGGAACAATTTTGCCATCAATATTTTAGCCTACTGAGCTGAATATCGTAAAGTCTATTTAATACAACGTAGCTTTCACAGAGAAATTGATTCGTCTGTAATGATCTGTTTCTGCCTAATTTGACCGCCTATTTTGTTGACGGGGTCGTAAGGTTGTCCAATCCTTTCTGGTTGGAGCCTAAACTGGACGCCTTGAAACACTGAGCTGACATTTGAAACACCATACTTGCACCATTTCTACCAATAAACTAAGAACCATCCCCACCTCGAGTCGTCAATGATGAGCAGACCACATTCAAGAAAAATGTTCTCCTACAGTCCTTTACACCAGGATCACTCGGAAGTCAGGCTCGTTCGCTTCAGCCAGAATGACAGCCCCTCATCGTCACTGATTCAACTCGAGATTCGCCACACATTTTTAGAGGACGCAGATGCAACTCATTACGCGGCTCTATCGTACACCTGTGGAGACGTTGACGAACTCGCGCCCGTTCTTGTTACTATCAACGGCGAGTACTTCGTCATCGGCGACAGCCTCCATGCGGAGCTACTGCAACTCCGCGAGAATGGCGTTCGGTCGTGGCTTTGGGTCGATGCAATTTGTATCGCACAATCTGACGCCGAAGAGAGGACTTGGCACACCAAAAACATGCGCGCAATTTATGGCTGCGCCGATCTGCTCTATCTCTGGCTTGGTCCAGGATGTGACGAGACAGATAGAGCCATGGACTTTATGTGTCGCTTTGGCCCTGGAACATTGGCTATCGGCGCTATGGATATGAACATGGAAAAATGCACATCAGTCAAGGACTATTTCGTGACACTGCTGGATTTAGGCAGCGAATATGAAATAGTCAGTGACGACGCGACACAAGTTGAACATCAGCTGGCCAAGTTCATGGTTAATCTAGTTAACGAGCCAGGGCTCGGCGTGGTATCATCTCCCGAAACTGGAGAGAAGGGTCTGATTGACGGCATTGAAAAGATTACCATGCACGAGTATTGGCATCAGATCTGGGTCATTCAAGAAGTCGCTGTGGCAAAAGACACCATGGTGTTGTGTGGTTCCAAAAGCATCCCGGTTGATGCCTTCCAGGCGGTGATCACGGCGCTGAAATGGGTTCGCCTTTTAAGCCACTCTACACAAAATAATCGGTTTTTGGACGGCCTGTCAGCCAGCTTTCACACGATCCCAACTTTGGAAATTCGTCGAAAATATCGCCATGCACAGGAACCGATAACCATGCTCGGCATCCTCTTCCACGACGATCCTCCTCCCCTTCGCCCGCTCTACTCTGCATCTGACCCTCGGGATATTGTATTTGCAGCGCTTGGAATTCTTCCTGAGAATGAATTTCTAGACCTGGACGTGGACTATGAAAAATCACCAGCACAAATCTTCACTGACTTGACAAGGGCTTTGATTGCCTTCAGTGAAGGTCATGTCTCGTCACAGAATCCGACGCAGCGGTTCCGCCTTAGTCGTCCCATACCGAGAGCAGATGAAAATTCATGCGATTTAGCACTGCCTTCATGGGTTCCTGACTGGCGGGAAGTGGGCCGGCATGGCTTTGGTGGCATTGCCGCAGTCTCGGGCATGGCCACAGCCGGAACGTGGCCGCCGATACCTGAAACACGGTGTAGCGAAGAAGATGATCGACTTCGACGCATTCGAAGACCCGGGTGCATTGCAGATGTCGTTACAGAGGTCTTGCCAATGATGCAGTGGGAGCCTGGGAGTGCGTATAACTACGAGGCGCATCTTGCTTCAATTCTCGACTTTGCCAACCTAGGAACATCCTCGAGCCCAGAGGAGGATTATGTGTGGCGTACGATTGTTATGGATCGCTTCGAAGAGTATTTCGACGTACCGCAAGACTCTGACATCTCTAGTGAGGAGATTGCGGGCCTTGCTCGCGTGATTGTGCGGCGAGAGCCGATTGACGCCGAGCTCCTGACACCGAAGCAGAGACAGCACATCGACTATGTTGCCGATGAATGGGGATTCGAGGCAGATACCTCTGAGCAGAGATTACAGCTGGTTGTTAAAAACTGGGAAGGGGGCATCCTGAGTTGGTTCAGTCGCGGGAGGGCGCTGTTCAAGACCGTCAAGGGCATGTTTGGCCTTGGCCACGTCGTAGTGCAGCCTGGCGATGTTGTGGCCTTGCTTTGGGGCCTGGGTTCGCCTGTTGTGTTGCGGCCGCGAAATGAGAGCTGTGGTGGTGGGTTTACTTATGTTGGAGATGCGTATGTTGATGGGATCATGTATGGGGAGTTTCTCCAGACATTGCCAACGCATGAAGTGTTTGACATTTATTGAGCTCGGCATCATTAAGGAAAAGGTTGTAGTCTGTTGTTACGTTGGAAAAGTAATTAATTGACAAATATTTGGTTATTAAACCTAGCTTGAACCGAATTGACCCGCCAACACCCAAGCATCGCTTTCCAAACTAGCCTACTCTAAGAAGCTATTAATAAGACTCCTACACAAGTATTAATTCAACATCTAAATTAACTTAGCACTACAGGATATTCTTATTAGGTATTACAAAGGTCATGCTGGTATGGGATTTCTTCAAATTATGTAGTGTTAGCACACAGTCGATGTATTCTTCAACCAACGTGGAGATTGATGTGAATCCATTCAATTTAGATATTACCGATTAATAGATTGAAGGAAGACAAGAAAACGAGTTCTAACCAAGCTGAAAAGAATCTTCGAAAGAGGCAGAGCGGTAGCCAAATAACTCCCTCCCTCACCAAGGCCCCACGGTAATTACGTGACACTCTGCACTGGGTCTGCAGTCATCTTGAATATATATACAAACAGATCGTACCCTTGGTGCAGTAGGATCAAGCACCAGCTCCTGCTTGCCCAGATCAAGCAGCTACAAAGCCACCAAAAAGTCAACTTCCCCCACTAGTAACGCATCGTTCTTCCTCCTTATGCTTCATCTTTTTTAACATGGATGACTATGCACCCCATCCCTGAAGCGGAACTCCAGTTCTCATGCGCACTCCTAATGTCTTCCAAATCCCAGGTCTTCTTGATTGGTACCTTGATCTGGCCGCCTTTGAGCAGGCTAATCAAGGTACGAAGATCCGGTAGGTAGTTCTTGTCGTCTCTGGTGATGAGGTAGAAGGCGGCAGACTTTTTGGACCAAATTGCCAGGTTGCGCGCGTACAGCTTGAGGACTGACGTGACGGCCGATCTCGCTTTCGATCCGCCCAAAGCGTCCAGGTTTGCGCCGTAGCCCACGAGGATGCTCGATTCCTTGCTGCTCAAGATGGAGTATGACTCGTCGAAACTCTCAAGACCGAGAGCGTCGAAGGCGGCGTGGACGCCCCCAATTTTGTTGACCTCGCCTATCCAATTCTTGTTGGTGTAGACGAACGGCGTGGCACCGAGCTCCCTGAGAGCGGCGTGGTTGCGCTCCGATGCTGTACCGTAGACTGTTGCGCCCTGTCTCTGACTTAGAATCATGGTAGCGTAGCCAACAGCACCGCTGAGGCCGTGGATGAAGACTCGTTGGCCCTTGGACACCTTGGCCACGCGGACGACCATGGCGTAGGCCGTGCTCCAGTCCAGAACAAGTCCAGCGACCTCGTCGTGCGGGACACCTTCGGGGACGGGAACCACGAACTTCTCGGGCACGTTGATAATCTCGGCGTCGGAGTCGTATTTGGTCAAGGCCGCCACAAGGTCGCCCTGCTTATACACGGAGGAGCCGGGGCCGTTCTTGCGGACGCGGCCCACGAAGCAATAGCCTGGAGTCAGTGGGGGCGGCAGTTGGCTCGGATATCGGCCCAGCCGCATGTTGATGTCGGCGCCTGAGAAGCCGGCGACGATGATGTCAACCTGGACCTCGTTCCGTGCCGGTGCTGCGATCTCGGCGTCGACGACCTTGATATTGGAGGGGTCGCCATAACCGGTGATGACGGCCTTGCGCATAGGGGTAGACATGGCTGGATGACAATCTGCAAGCGAATTACCCGGTAATTGGGATACGTATTTAATAGTAGAGTAATGTATCGTAGACGAGGGAAACGAAAGCCATTAAATACAATTCTTGGCAGCGATATAGTCTCAGGCGCTCGCATTCGCCGCCACCGGGTTTGTCATCAGAGACGGGACAATGAAATGACTTTGCGGACTCTCTTAAGCTTTCTAATGACGAGATCTTTGCTCAACCATGCGGAGGCGGCCTTGAGACGGTCCGAGATGGAGGCCAAGGTTCGGCGGACTTACATAATTTTCGGAGGGAGAAAGCCACTGGCTTGAAGTTACGCCGGTGCAACGCCACTAGTCTCTATTTGTCGCTCGACAATGGCAAGGCTCAAGCTTAAGAAGCTAGCTGTGGGTACTGAGTGGACACTTTGTAACTACGGCTGGCTAGTCAGGATGAGGCGTCATGTCGCGGACTTGGCCAGGGAGCATCACGACGGGTCCACCTTTCGCGATACGCGTACAGCTGCTTAAATAACAAATCCGCTCATCAGGGATATAACTCCGCATAGCCAGCGCTCTACCGCTGGAGTATGTGACGGGCTGGCCCAAGAGCGACTGCGAATTGGCATTGACAATATTTACAGACTTGAGGAGGGAGAGGGTAGGGCCCCTAGTATCAGGATATGTTGAAACGAATCTGATGCCCTTTATTCCGTTCTTTGGCTCACCATTCCCGAGTATTGTTCGTGCGAATGTACTACGAGACGCACGGTATCGCATGTTGTAGGATCAACCACAACATGGTAATAATTGTGCACAGCTACAGGTTCTGAGTCGCGGTTCAATATTCGGTCCATGATCGACCCCCCTCGATTTCCCGGTGTACGACCGCATTCACCAAAATTGAACATAAGCACCTTAATCCGTTACTATATCAACGCTCGCAACCTCCGTGCCTCTTCCGGAAGAATAAATCCGCGAGCATCCACCTGACGAGTCGTTGGCCGTGAAGAAGCAAACTAAACGACAAGCTCTTCTTCTGGGGGGCCTCAGAACCGTTGGCATCCAGATACTAACCCCTCTGGGTTCCTCGGCCTCGGTGTAGCTGAAAATCCAATCATGCACGAGTCTTTCATCAAGCACACAATGGACAGTTCTACCTTTGCACTTCAAGATCTTACCTATGGCCATGGTACAACCGGGTCAAATCGCCTCAAGATCGCTATAGCACGCTTCCTGACTGAACACCTGCACGCAGTCACGGAAATCTCCACAAGGCACGTCACAGTCACAAATAGGTGCAGCTCTTCAATCAAGCACTTGTCTTAAGCCATTTCAAACCCCGGTGAGGGTATCCTACTCCGCCAACCATACCATCGTGACTTTGTCGCCAGTATCGATCTCCCAGTCAACGTGGCACTACTGTCTTTTGCATTGACTGATTCATTCGGAATCGACGCTATATAAAGGTACGAAGTTACCCTGTTGCAATCTCGAGAATCTGGAACGCCGATTTCAGCTTTAATGCTTTGCAACCCACATAACCCGACCGGTCATTGCCACACAACGCGATGCACTCGTGGGTCTAATGCGACTCCGTGAAAATTACAAAATCCATCTTATTTGTGATGAAATTTACGCCCTTTCAGTCTAGGACAATACCGTGGACACGGAGCCTTCCCAGTCCCTCTTGTGTCCTGCTTGTGGATCCACCCCCAAACATCATCAGCACTTCACGCCCCCATGGCATATGGGGAATCTCTCAGGATCTTGGCGCAAACGGTCTGCGCCTTGGTGCCATTGTCTCTCAAAATAACACAAACACCCACGCCGCCCTCGTGCCAGTGGCTATTTACAGCTCAAGCTCTTCACCTGGAGATCAAATCGCCGCCCACATCCTTGAGGACACCGCATGGATCGAGAATTATATCACATAGAACCATAGCGTATATCCGAGAACAACTCACCCGTCACGAACTGTATGCTCAAGGTACCAATGGTACCTTTTTCTTGTCAGTCAACTTTGTACGGGTGTACCAGAAAGTACATTTACCCTGGAGCTTCAACTGATTCTCAAAGCACACGACGCTACGCATTCGTTATCCCATTCTCTTGATGTTCTTGATCATCAAAGAAATGCGAATGACCCTAGTCTGAAGACAAAGAAAGACATTGAGTTCTGAAAAACGATGGTGTTTAAATTATTATAGTTAACACGGGGCAACGCAAAGACAAACCACGCAGAAGTGCGAACAGAATTGTTCTAAGAGGTGAGCGATCCTCGGAAGACTACATGATAAGCTCCTTGTTAACGAAAAATCTCGGTAGCCGGAAAGCCGCAGATAGCCTTCTGTCAACAAATATTCAAACAGGCAAAGGGCGCTGTCAACATTAATTCATGGAATAGGTTAAGCGGATGGCTACTTCCCCACTCTGACACAGTACAGTGCTATCTATTTCCAGGACCAGATAAGCGACGACCTGGAAGTGAACTGGACAAATGAACACCTGATACTTCTAGGCAGTTTAACAACAAAAGAAACATTAGAAACTGAATATTACGCCATATTTGGTAGTTTATTGTTTCAAAAGAGGGTAATAGAAGGATCGTTTCGCTATTGATGAGACGGGATAAATAATATCTCTGAGTTACCGGGTAAGAAATATTACAGTTTGAATTATAGTTCATACTGTATCTCTAGTCATCTGTGTGGAGCTCCGCCAGTACCAGTCTGAGGTGAGTCGTCCTGAATCTTTCATCATTTCCAAGCATCCAACGCTCACTCACCATCCATCATTTTGTTGCTTAATAGCCACCTTTTCTAAGCAAAGCCTCGCCTGACACGTGCTTTGGCACACACTTCTCTATCATCATGGCAAAGAGAGGTCGACCGATGCTGAATCTCAGCCCAGAGGAGAGAGTCGCTCGCAGGCGCGCTCAACTTGCCGACTCGCAACGGAAACTGAGAGCCAACAAGCGACAAGGCGAATCCAAAGCCAACGGATACCGTAGGCAATCCAGCCGAAGTTCTTCAGACACGTCATCACCCCCAGCGCACCGGCTCGAGCGCTCTCCCTTGGGTGGCCGCGATGCTGCGATGGCACGACAATCCAAGGGCTCGGACAGTCCTCCCTACATCGCTCGTCATGTATGGGGGGTGACAAGATTCGGGGACAAGGCTACAGACATTACTCGCCCTTTCTGTGGCCAATCCTCAGACATAGCTGTACCCGTCGCAGCTATGTCAATTCCTTCGTCGGCAAGCATTATCTCCTCCAACCCCCTGCAAAGAACAGATTCTCATTTCGATTTAGTCACGATAGATCACCCGTCCGAATTCCTTCCATGCATTGAAGGAATGTATCTGAATGGGGTGTCCCATGGGATGGCTGGTCATGATGCATCGACGGAACTCTTTTCGTTATCCGATGATCTCACCCTCAATATCCAAGCCTACGGTAACGATATTTCCGATGTATCGACCGGGTTCCTTTCGTCCGTCGGCGATGTGGCCACCAACGACCAATCCTACTGCACGAGCATCTATGAAGGCTTTGCTGGCGAATTCTTTGATCATTGTCAGATCGATCCGTCATTAGAGTTCTCGGTGCACGAACCGCCTTTCATCTGCGACAAGCATACGGACAGTCAATCGCTAAACGAATGGGCTTTAAGATCATACGGAAATAAAACTGGCTGCGTACCTGCGACGACGGATATTGCTTCCGGTACTACGACGTCGGGATTTTCTTGTTTGGACCCCCAATGGCTAACATGCCTTTCAGCAATCAGTCATTCCTATCAGGATATAACCGTAGACCCTTCCATAATATTCCGATGAATGAATTTGAGAAGACGTGCCCATTAGAAGTCAAACATTTGACGCTATCGCACCGTCGAATCACGTTCCATCGACTAGAGAGGTACGTCCATCACTGACATCACCCCATCCACACTTTTGAACGCGGCACCTGGCTGATGCTGATGATAAGGAATAGGATCTGTCTGGAAACTCACCAACTATGTCCTTCCACTTGGCGCCAAGTCCAACCGCGGTTGTCGACAATACCAAGAGGCCAAGCCGAGCGAAATCCCGAAACAACACGACGAGTGAGAAAGGCAATTTCATGACTTCTGATACCGTCATATATGCCAGAGGTCTGCGCTCCCGCTTAGCGCACCATCGAACGGCTTGAAATTTACGGCGCGACTAGCAACGACTGCTGCGATCTTTGGCAATGTGCTAGGTTGGAGGATAGACGATGGTTTATTATTTTCACGCACACCTCAAGATATTTTAGTGTCCTCCGAGACAAATTACCGCACCTCCGACCTAGCACGATACTCAGATAACATGAGGAACTGGAGCAATGGCCGCGCGAGCCAGGGACTGTTTGGAGTCTCATGTTGAAGGAGGGAGGGGCTACAGTTGTCTGCATGGTTACGTGAGTGGGAATTCCCGATATTAGGCTGTATGGAATCGTTCACGACTGGAATTCCTCGGACTCCGTAGTGAAACAAGAGGGCGATTTGGTCTACGACAATCGGTATTCATAGTGGTAGTTTTGAAGCTGAAACGAGACTGCACTGAAAAACGATGAGATATTTGGGGATTGCGGCTTTGTGCTTGCAGCTATGCCGCTGGCCAGATTCAACCGCAAGGGCAAGAGCAGCAGGGTTCGACAAAGCCTAGCTAGTGCAAATACACGATCTCATCATGATCAATCTGTTGCGCCACACCCGTGTATCTCCACCGACTAAGGTATGCTGACGTTGACTAAAGTATGATGGCGTTGAGCCCTCCTCTCAATTAGTTGTAGCGTAGACACTAACGAGCGTCCCTGGTTGTATCAACACTTGATTGGAGGCATCCCGATCTGGGAACTGTATTTAGACTTACCAGTGAATGGACCGGTCCACCGCTCAGGAGTGTTGAACCTATACTGCCAATCTCGATGGCTTGATGACGTTTTGATATTGGCCCAGCAAAGAATCGGTAGGTCTTGTCATCGCTCGCCCATATCTTCAGTTGAAGTGAACCTCGACGCCACCTATCAGGTAGTGCTATGATCTTTGTTTCCTGGGCTGCTTCCTGTGGTTTTCCGAATGTTGTTACACGGAAACGGAGGCGCGTCGAGTCACCCTTGGTCCAATTACAGTGTCCTGGGCCAACGAGACCAAGGTCGATATGCTGATACTGTGTGAGAAAAAAAGTCACGCCAGCCTCCTCTCCACACGATACGGGGTCGAATGATAAGTCGACGCTGAAATTGAACAGCGTATGGGGTTGAATGCGACCAATAAATCCGAGACCATCACGCGGGTCGAAGTTGATGTCAGCAGTGATTTTGCTGCAATAGTGTTGCACCTTGGCTTCTAGTAATCCTGGGGTCAAGGTATTAGTATTTGATTGTTGTATTCTTTATGCCAACATATCTCCACCTAACTGGCCATGATGGTCTGTTTCGTCGAAGGTTATTTAGTCGCTATGTCGTATGGTTCCAACATCGACAAGATCGCAGTAAGGTTTATGGGTAAGCGTTAAATGGGGCACTGGGGAGTTTATCCGTCACCGGACTCCGAACTCTTAATTTTCTCAATAGCCTGAACGCTTTCGGTATAACCAGGTCAGATGGTTACTTGCGCACGATATTGTGGAGTAATGTAGCATTGACACGTAACTCGCAGACGAGACTTGATCGCATCACGATCTCGTTCCGTTTCTGGACCTGCACTGGTGTCGCTCTAAGCTCGTACACATTGTCTTTCATTGCGAAAATACTAACCTTACCTACCTATATAAGCACTGAATATCCTGTAGATCGAGTATCACAACTCTTCACCCGCTTGAACTCCTTGTCCTCCTACTATAACCTTGAACAGCAGCGGATCCCCTGCATTGACTTTGCCGGACTGGTCGTCCCCCCCATCCGGCTGCACATCGTCATACGCAAACGCATAGCCTTTATGGTCGATGTTGACTTCATGCACCAGTCGGGCATAGTGGTTCGTTGGGTCCTGCCGGTAGAATGTATCCGGGGTGCTTGGCTGCACATCGTACTGGTACAAGGTAGACCGAACGAAAGCCGCGGCGAGGCGAGGGATGATGGCGTTCCTGATGGGCGACGGTCCGGTCGTGAAGGGACCGCTGTTGCAGCCAAATATGTCCGCAGTGTTTGGCTTGTTGAATTCCTCGTCTCCGATCTTCAGCGTACCGTTGCTGCCCACGAGGCCCTCGAGGATTCCTGCACCGGATTGAGTGTTGATGCTCATCTTCTGCCCAGACCCATAGCGCTGCCACACTTCTTCGACGAGCGGCTCATAATAGCCATCGAAGCTTGCATTCACAGCGTCTCCATGCGTCGCATTCAGGACTCTCAAATTGCGACCATCGCGATGTACGACCAACTTGTCCCATGGCCGACCATCCTTCTTCGCCTGTGCAGTCAGACCGTCCACCATCATATCTAACCCGTCAGATGCCATGCCCGTCACAAACTGAACCGCTCCCGAGCTCTGCCTGAGCTTGATGGCGATCGGCATCCTAGGCACGAAATCCACGTAGCTGATATTCGCATAGAGCTGCGCATCATTCAGCGTAAACTCGACGAACCCAAAGTTCACCCCCGCATTTGGATCGCTTGGATTCAGCACCGACGGCTCAACAAGCGCCGGTCCAGGGTTCAGCAGAAAAGTCAGTTCGCCTTCGGAGATCCATATTCGTCCTCCGGCGATTTGAGGGATGGTGATTTTGACCGTTTTCCCAGGCGCTCCGAGGGCGATGGCGCAGTTTTCTGCGAGGGGGGAGCCTATCTGGGGGACTTCTTGAGGGAAATACAGGTCCTTGCCATTTGCTTTGAGGAGACAACGTTGATTATTGTGTTGGATGGCTATGCCAGTTACGTAGGCATACAGATGATGCGAACTGGAGACGTTCTTGAGGGCTATTTCGAGTGACTGCGGCATCTTGACTGCGAGACGTTGTTTCACGACATTAGAACTCCTCCGAATGTTGTGGGTATCCCAGAAACCCAGGTTTTGAGCAGACCAGAATGCGTCAGGTGCGATGACGTCATAAGCAGTCGTGGGCTTGCATGCTCCCTAGACATGGCCAATCCTAGCCCGAACTTGAATGTCTCAAGGGTCAGGTGTCGTTGGTTGATGACAGACGCTGGCCCTAACAGGTCAAGAGACACTTTTGCGGATTGGGGGGGGGGGAGATCGAAGAACGGACGAACAGTTTGCTTCATTGCTGCTCGACACTAAAAACTTGCTAGGACTGCTCTACAACAAAATCGACCTTGAACGAGGGCAGAATAGCTAGCTGCATAGCTAGTGCGAAGTGCTGTCGGTAGAGCTTAGGTCTTGTAGGAGGTCCTAAACAATAGTGCAATTTAGTGGCCAGGAACATGACTGGCATTGGCAGAACCCAGCCCGACAAACATCTTTCTCCATTCGGCAAATAGTCGCAGGGGCGTTCTTGGATTGTGGGAATCTATACATCACAGCGATACAGCTTTGTACTTCACTAGACACCTTCGCCCAAACACGACTATAGGCTTTGTTCTTCAGCTATCCTAGACAATCTGTTGGACACCTGAATAACACAATCACTATTGCCAAACGCAACAATGCTCATTGCTGAAGTCAACATTCTTGGGGAAGCTACCTTACTGCCTTAGTTCAACAACACTACTTCTGAGGCAGAACACACCACTAACCTTTCTTTCGTGGCATACGAGATCGCAAATAAAGTTATGCGTTCTTGACTTGAGGATAAATAGCTGTTTACAGAGAAATTCAAGTTACTCCCCTGGAAAGCTCAATTGTTCTTCTTATTTTGGAGAGCATCCTTCAGTCTCCAGAACGGCCACATTCTGAGCATCAAGAATCGTATCCAGCCCTCACCCAGCATCTCCAGGAGCCACATTTTCGTAGACATGGTGCCAATTCGCATAACCTCCCTGGTCCCAAAGAACCTCCACGGTCCAAAGCTCCAGCCCTTGCCTCTCAGAGTCTCCGTCACAACATGTTTGGCGTACTCCTCAGCCGTCATCCTCTTTCCGCTTCCAACCTTTTGTCCCACGTCGCGCATGCTGTCGAATAAACTGTCTTGCGGCCATGGCTCGGCGACGCCGCTCTGGCCCTTGCTGCTCACAAACGATGTTACGACGTTGAGAACGCGGACGTTGTAGTGCGCCAGTTCGAGCGAGAGACCGCGGGAGTAAGATGTAAGTGCTGCTTTGGACATGGCATACACGCCCTTGAACGGGTATCCCAGACGGTCGGAGAAAGAGGAGATATTGACGATAAGTCCCTCCGACGCCAGAAGGAAAGGCAGCATCTTGTTGGTGAGAGTCATGACTGAGATGACATTCGTTTCGAAGACGGAACGAACGCGCTCTGGATTTGCATCTGTCAACGGCATGACATATCGAACGCCACTATAGAAAGTCAGAGTCGTGTAACTGCCTTGGCGTTGTGTGACCTTACGCGTTATTCACTAGGATATCCAGCTTTCCTCCGGTGATCTCCTCGACCCGCGCTTTCGCCTCATTGATGCTGTCTTCGTCATCCACGTCGAGACGGACCGCAGTCAAGCCCATGGCCTCTAGCTCAGCGAGGGCTTTGGGATTACGAGCTGTGGCGATGACATTGCAGCCTAGCAGATGGTGCAATGTGAGCTTTGGGGTCTTGGACAGACGTTGGTTACACTGTCACATGTTGAGCTTACTGCGTAATTGGTACTCTTGCGCTAGTGCACAGCCGATGCCGCCAGGTGAGCAGCTATTCGTCATTAATTAGAGGCAAATAGCACGTTTAGAGCGATTGAAACTTACCCGGTGATCAGAACCGACTTTTTTAATTGCTGAACGCTCATGTTTGGATGTTGGTGAAGAGGATAGATGTGGTTTTGCCGGGGATTGAAGCTCGGCTCGGAGATGGGTGGAGAACTCTCTATCCGGATTAACAATACGCCGAGATGCGTGTCGATGCTTTCGGGCATGGCACCCAAACGAGCTTCTCGAAACTCTCCAGTATGGCTTGCATCCTTGCATATGAGTCGATATGACTCATTTTTTCGAAGTAGCCACCAGACTTTGTGGGTAATTCGTGATTAAATCACCCCCTCGAAGTCGACGAAAAGAGGACTGGCTAAATAACAAGATCTTACCAAAGATCATTCAGCCCAGGCCAGGACGTTGATGTGTCGGAACACTTGTGCAATCATTCTCGAACTCGGTAGTATATTGTTTCGGCTGATGAATTGTACGTCTCTTGGCATAACTATAACCCAAAAAAAAACCAGATCTTCTATTTGCCGACACAAAATAAGGTCAAATACACCGTCCTAGACTCATCCATCATCGTTCACTCAAGTTTCTTCTAGACCTCTCAAGGCAGCCCACTCGTTCTCCAGTATCCCAAAGCCAACTAGGTCATACCACTTCCGATCATGCCAGTACGTCTCGCGACTACGACCTTCTTCCACAAACCCCAGCTGCTTGTACAGGTGCAGAGCACGCTCGTTGTAAGAGAGAGTAGTGAGCCCGACGCGATGGTAACCTCCATATCGAAACGCCCAATCCAGCGCCCAGTTGATGGCTTCTTTGCCATAACCTTGATCCTGGTAAGGAGTAGCCAGCATGATGCCAAGACTGGTCGATCGACTGTGCACTTGTTCCGCGCCTCCGCAGCTTAAAGCCAGGAAGCCGATGGGCACAGGTGTAGCGTCCTCCTTGCTGTCACCTCCCGGAGGGATGCAGATCATGACCCCTAGGGTCGACTCAGCTATCCTTTTGGCCAAAAGATCGGTTTGCTTCTTGTTTCGCGGCTGCACCATGCTCAGATCGGCAAGTGTCGTGTTGACGGGGTCGTTCTCGATCTGAGCAAATAAGAAATGCTTGTCGGCTTCATTATCTTCAAAAGCCCGGTAGACGAGGCGTTTAGATCGGAACGCGTTTGCAAGTCCTTTGAAATCCATGATATAAAACAAATCGGCGTTGTTTCTCGACAAATCTGAGGGCTGTGAGATGCTGGAGTAGTGGTAAGCCGACAACTTCTGTGCCGGGACGGAAAGGGATCCCTTATACATGCATCTGACCAACCCTTTTCGACATTTCCCTTGTTACATATCATGTCTCCCAAATTAGGAAGGTGATTTGGGTCAAGGTAGCTACAAGCGGATTGTGGGGTACCATCGCGCCACTTTTGCCAGTTCCATTGCTCGTGTCTTGGCCACTATCGTGTCTCGGCGACCTCAAAAATGGACCCTTGAAGCTTCGCCTCGGACTCGGTAACATTATTGCACAAATTGTGACAGGGCCCAATCGGCATGTTGTACTGCTTAGTGTATGCCTATGGAGGGTCAGTGGAGGTGGAGTGTCCGGGCGCATAGGACTGTTTTCATAGTGAGAAGGCCCAAATCGTCACATACGCCAAAATAGATAATGAACTTGGGAGATCAAACCGCAAGATTATTATAATTCCAGATAACTACACAAAAGTCCCTCCCAAAATGACCAAACAGGATCTTCACTCCGTTTTAATGGTTAGAGGCTTACGACCGCTGACTAATACCGTATCCGTCTGACCACGAGGTGATGATGACATGTCCATTTGTAGGAAGGCTTTCTTCACTCATCCACAAACAAGACGTAAATTGATTAACCGCCAAGATGTCGTCTGAGCGGGATGAACTTGCGTACGATTTTATTCGTCTCACGACCAAGCCGTCTGCCCAGCTCTCCTACAGCTTCACCGCATCCACTGCCTCGGAGACAGCCAGTCCGTCGCTCATTGTGTTTGTCAACGGCCTTGGACTGCCACAGCTAGCATGGGCACCAACTATTGCCACGCTACAAGCCATCTCGCCCGATGGACTACCCGCGATTCTCACCTACGATCGCTTCGGACAGGGCCAGACTGTTGACCGCGACCCAGACGATAAAGGCGCCGTTGACCCCAGTCATGCGCATGACTGCATGAGTGCCGTCGGTGATTTACACCAACTGATCACCCAAATCGCAACGGAGAAACTGGGCATGGATGGCTCCGATAAGATGAAGCTGATTCTGGTCGGCAACTCCATTGGTTGCGCACTCATCCGCTTGTTCGCACAAGAGCACCCGAATACCGTCGCTGGTGTGCTGTTCCTCGACAGCACGCTCACCGATTCCGACTTCGTCTCGCTCTTCCCAGACCCAGATGAACCAGATTTCGACAAGACCGCGCTGCCGCCTGGGACTACTCCAGAACATCTTCGGATCGCCCGGGAACAAATTGGAAAACTTTTCCACCCAAACGTGGGAAACAAGGAGGGCCTCAGCCGCAGGAATCTGACTCAGCTTCTTCCTCGTGCTGACGCGCCAAGTCTTCGGGGACCAGACGGCAGCGGACCTTTCGTGACCGTCTTGGGCCACGATTTTGTCACTTTTGCCGAAAATAACGAACGGTCGCTTGGAATTCCTGTTGCGGTGATCCAGGCCTACGTTAACCCGTATTGGCATCACTACAACGAGGGCTTGGCTCAACTCACCCAGTCAGATAGGAGCCAAGGACCATTTCAAGTCCCTGGTGCGGGACATTTCATCCAGGCTGATAACCCTGAGTATGTGGCCGAGAAACTCCACGGACTACTTCGTATGGTTTAATCTAGGCCCTTGGAACAGCGGGCGAATACAAGCGGTTCTGCGCCACGTGGTGGATTGAATTATGTCCGGTGATGGAAATGGAACCACTGAATCCTCCTCATCCAGTAATGACATTCGCCCAACCTCACACGTCAGCAGTGTTGAGATCATCGATATTGGGAGCTTGCCGGTATTTAAGCGTCTCGGCTAGGGTTTGGGCAACACCCGGCAGTTCTGATACAAATGTTACTGTGGTCGTGTTTTGTTGGAATAACGAGTCCAGACATGTTCGTGTGAGCACTTTGTGATATAAGGCCGCAATCCATCTTAATCACCGACACATCCCAAAGCATTAAGAATTCCTCCTATAGACTAAACTCCAATCTATTGCCCGCATAGTCACGAGCAAAGAAGCGATCTGGGTATTCCACGCCTTGTGCACCTTGATGAACCCATTAGCAAACTTAAGACCCACGGTCCGGAACAAAGATACTTACCAGAATCAAGTTGCCCAGGTTTGTCCGCTGCCATTGGGGCCGCACTGCCTCCAGCCTCAAAGTGTTCCCAAATCTTCAGTTGCAGTGCCGCCAGAGCTTCCTTATCCTGGAGCTTGAAGCATGGGTGCCTTGTGGACTCGAGGTCAACGTTACTTCCGAACGCAACGTGGATTTGCTGGCCGGAAGAGCCGATATCGAACCTTTTAGATGTCAGATATAATCAATCTAAAAGTCGTGGCCATGTTTTGAAACCATACCAAGCTAAACTGCCCTTCTGCAGAGCAGGCACTGGACGTGGTGTCAGCCCCAAAATGCTGGCGTAGAATTCATTTGCCAGGTCCAGGGTGCCTTCCGGCACAGTGATATTAACATGGGCGATACCAGCAATCATTTTGAGTTGCTAACCGATGCGTGCCGGGGTAGAGGAGGCTGTAGCTACTGGATTTACAGTTAAATATGTCACAGCTGTCGCAAATCTGTTGCGCAATCGAAATGTGACGCAATCCCTTTGGCGCGGGGTAACGGGAAAAGATATCACCAGTGTCCGGCTTCGCTGAGGGATAAATCCTAAGCCGGCCATAAGACCGTGGGAAAGCTAACCTCAAATGGTTACACTATACACCAGCTTTCTCCTCTTCGGCCGTTTGGTCGGTGTAGGGTAGGTATCGTTGGGCGGCGCCACTTCAGTCCAGGGCGTGGAAGACACCTGACGTATGAAAAGAAGAAGAAGAAAAGATGGTAAGAAGAGGGAGAAGTGAAAGAAAAAGATAAATCCCATCCTGAGTTCAGCTAGCCTAGATAATCTAATGTACCTTATCTGCCTATCCCATCCTGGTTGAAGAACTATCTCGGCGTACAACATTCCGCGGGACTTGCAGCAGATGCGATCCAGACTCTCTCATTTCCTCCGTTCCCCCATGAAGTCTTTCATTTCGAAATGACTCCGCAGGGATGAGAGGGTATCCTGCAGCTCGCCCAGCCTTGAACGCCGAGTCGTCGAAAAAGCCCTGTGTCGGTGTGCCAATCCAATTGCCGATTGACAGTAGTGTCTTGGCCACCCTATGTCGGTAGCCGAGGTCCCCTTGTCCGTCGTTTTCGACCGCCACAGAAGGGTCACGAGTGAAAGGCGAGGACAACTGTCTGGCACTCATTTCTATTGACGGCGATGGGGGAGTATGAAGTACTACTGAAGGACTTCTGCCGCGATTAGTATCGTTATCTTCGGAGCCACGACGGCTCGCCCAACGACTTCTTGACCGCCTCGGCGACCTTGCGAATAAACTTTGTCGGTGGCATCGATGGGAACAATTGCATTGCTTGTCGCCCACTCCGAGTTCTAATTCGCCTCTCACAGCCTCGACTTCGTCGGCCATTAGAAGGTATAATGATCCGACCACAGCCATGACCGTTCCGGCTATTGGAGTCCATTGACCTTGAGACGGCACGAACGACGTTAGTATGGTGGTAATATGTGGAAATGGGCAGATATATCTCACCGACGCTGGAGATTGGCTCTGTTTGGTAGCGAACTTGCCGACTGAAAAAGTTCATCTCACCGATTATCAAAATGGCAAGTCCAGCACCGCCAAAGACAGGAATCGCTACAATCTTCAGAAAGAATTGTATTCTGCCGTTAATTGACTTCATCATCTCAGGTGTAGCACGCTCGGTGTGCTCGATGACATGATCCAACGATTCGTTGTTGACTTTGCGCCCCCACCGCTCTTTCCAGTTGTCAAGGATCTTATTCCGCATAGAGATGAGGCATAGTATGGCGTGCACGCAACAAGCTGCGGCAAGGAGCGTGGCAGTGCCAAATGTGAGCTTGTCCGGCGCCGGTACAATGTAGAGGTTGTCGTCTGGCCCGCCGCGGATTGGGGAGAAAGGACCATTTTTTGTCGAGCAACGCAGGCTACAAGTGTTGTCTTTTCCCCACGTGAAGTTCGAGAAACTCGGTGATGTTACGTTTCCTGACTGTGGGTCGATGCAGTCGAAGGTCTCGATTCGATAGAACTCGACGGCTAGACATATGAGACCTGGGGCAACGCACACGATTAGATCGGAAACACGTCTAGAAATGCGAGGATGAGGAGTATTCCTACCTGATAGAAGCAAGATCGTCCAGAGGAATATGACGTTTCGGCCCGGGTCGTTGAAGTACGTCTTAGACATCATGGTGGCCACGGGAGCAGCCAGGATACCAATTGAGCACAACTGGAATGCTCCATAAATGTCCATGTCAACCGCACCTATGGAGGTTATCACGTTAGGCATTTTGTCCACATGGATAGGCTCGAGTTCTCACCGTCAACGTGCAGCGCTGTAAGCACTATACCATGTATTGCCGCAACAGCGGGTAATAGAAGCGCCGCAGTCAAGCAAGCATTGACTACCCACCCTACCCTTTTAGCCAAAATACATGCTGCCACGAGGGTGTAGTATCTTCACGGGAAAGTTAGCCGAAGACAAATCATTTGCGGGAATGTTTTACGGCTCACAATACTCGTGACCCAGGACCATATTGGCCCGAGACGGGCCACACACAGATGACTTCCAGTGCGTCGATAGTGGAGTTTGTGGATGATGCGATGTCCTTGGCTTCGAATATCCCATCAGCGAGGGCAGAAAGATACGGCGGCATATTCGTTCATTTCTCGGGACGCAATTGACAGGTTTGGCATGGATTAAGAACACAAATTGGAGTCGTCTAAATTTAAGCTAGAATCTGCCGAGTAAAAATACGATATTGAAGGGGAAGAAAGAGGAGAAGACGACGAAGAAAGAAGAACAGCAAACAGCAAGAGGGAACACAACAGAGTCGCGTGCCCAGTTTCCGTGTTTGGACCAACGAGCCACCCACACCGGCTGTCGGGGACAATTAGCATCGCACAAACACAGTGTCGTTTCAACCCCGACGTCGAACAGTGAGGCTCTCAAATCATATTGGTCGTACGCAGGCATCAGCAGCTATCTGCTAACAGCCCTACGAAGGAAGCAACAGAGAGGAAGGAGGGACGAACACGCAACCGTTCCGGGCTGGGGTGCTATTGTAATCAAGGATGAGGCCAGGGTGAAGCTAGGAAGAGGCTCTGCAGTGCTACCACTCTCTAAGAACCAGGGCGACGCGGGGTAACACCATGATGTAGGCATCAGAATTCAGGCGAATAGAAAGACGTCTGGTGAGACACTGCATTCGGCACTGCCGACTCACGTCAGGCGGTTCTGCGGGTCACTTTCAGCAAGTTCATGATAAGAAAATCCCTCACTGACAGCCAGATTGGGAATCCAGTGCGAAGGAACAAATTTCGAAGGCTGGAGAATGGTTTCATGCCATGTCACTGTTGATAGAGTTAAAAGAGCCTCAATGAATTATGTTGTGAATCAGTCTCATAATTTGACCGCTGTAGCGCCGGCATGTGTTTTAGATGAGACTCATCGTAAGTTTCCTTGCATTTCCCCGTCGATCTGTGGATTGAATCGCGATTCACTGCATGCTCAACCATTGCCACAGCCTCATTCGACGTGCAGATGCCAAGTCCTCACCTCATGTGGGCGGGGTTTCGCCGATCAGCGATAATTCCCACCTCGTAATGACGGCCCTCTTTCCCACCTCTTTCCCCTTCATTTCGGGGTCTTGTAAAATGCATGTCTACTACAACTGACCCTATATGAGGCTTGTTTTTTGAAATCATGGCAGAACCAACGGAAACGGCCCGTATTTCAGACTGGCACTCAATTCTTACGCTCATCGTCTTCCTGGTCACAAGTGAGTTCTGGAAGTGGCTGTGTACGCCAGATTCATAAGCTCGTGGCTAATCTTTCTACTATTCCCGTAGATATTGTGGTGCTCTTCCCATTCCACATTCCTTTTTACGCCCCTCGGTTCGTTATACGTGCCGTCCTGGGCTGTTTAAGCGCCATTCGAGTGATATCACCAACCGGACGCGCGACCCAACATGGCTCACTTCAGGAGCAGAAGGGGCCCGGCGACACCAAGCATTTTGTTCGCCTCCGACTTCCAATGAATTTTGTCACCGCGCCTCTCATAGCGGACCTCTTTCTGTTGGCAGTAGGGGCCATTGGCCGACAAGAAGTCCATGATGGAACAATTGGCGCAAATAACATTTCGCCAATCGACATCATGGCTTTCTTCCTTACGCTTGCCTACATTGCCATTTCGATCGATGCATCCGGTCTTATTCGATGGCTCGCCTTCAAGGTGCTCCAATGGGGTGGAAAAGTCGGGCATAGGCTATTCTTCTACCTATATGCCTTTTTCTTCGCATTGGGAAGTTTTATCGGCAATGACCCCATCATTCTCTCGGGCACAGCTTTTCTCGCCTACATGACACGAGTGTCGAAGAACATCGACCATCCGAAAGCCTGGATTTACAGTCAATTCGCCGTCGCCAATATCGCATCAGCTATTCTTGTGTCATCCAACCCGACGAATCTGGTACTTGCTGGAGCGTTTGATATCAAGTTCATCCACTACACAGCCAACATGATTGTCCCCGTTGTGATAACGGCCGTGGTTTTATTTCCGTTTCTTCTATATTTTGTCTTCGCCGACCCGTCCCTCATACCCACCTCGATTGAGATGGAGACACTTTCGCAGGAAGAAAAAGCGAAAGCCCCAGTCAATCCAAATATTCCCTACGCACGCGGGGCAATTAACAGCGAAGACGAAATGTCGGCCAGCGACGATCCAAGGAAACTCCTTCCCCTGGAGGAGATCATGAATCCTTTCCTTGACAAGCGCGGTGCTGCATTCGGAGCTGTCATTATGGCCACGACACTCATCACGGTGCTTGCTCTGAACGCTGCCAGCACGAGCAGCGGCGAACATCCAGTTTTCTGGGTAACCCTCCCCGCTGCTTTTGTCATGTTCTGTTGGGACATTGCGTCTGGGTGGCACGATAGGGAGAAGACTCGAGAGATTGCGAGAAAGGGACGCCGAGAAGCAGAACGAGCCAGAACTGAGAAGGCAAATAGGTCTAAGGATGCTGAAACAGAAAAGAACCGACAACGCGAGATGCAGGAAATGATGGCGATTCAACCAGAGCCGCCCAACACGACACCACAAGGTCAAATTCAGATCAATGTCACGAATGCCGATAACGATATGCGTTCGGCGGCATTAATCAACCAGTCTCCTGATCTGACCCCTCCCTCGCCGGATAGTGACGAGAGTCATACTACTGTTCCGAGTTCGCCTTCAACCTCTTCAACCTCCACCAAAGTAGAGGGGACCAACAATTTTGAGAGAAGTCCATCATTGGCCGATGCGATGTGTTCATTAGAACGGACAGAATCTGGCGTTTTTGTCGCCAACTCGACGGGCCAAAAACCTGATGAGAGTCTCCCGGGTCCAGTGATTTCAGAAGGCCGGAAGGGAATTGCAGAAGATTCCCCACCGAGACAAGACGCCAGGCCTACAACATTGGTTTCACTTATCAAGAAGGGATATAGCTGGCTGCAGGATACGTTCCCCACAGCCACTGTCGTCATCTCACATCTCCCCTTCGCCCTGGTGCCCTTTGCATTTGCCATGTTTGTCCTGGTCCAAGCCTTGGTCACCAAAGGCTGGGTAAAGGTCTTTGCCTATGGCTGGGATCACTGGGTGAACAAAACAGGGACTGTGGGCAGCATAGGAGGAATGGGGTTTCTCTCTGTCATTCTCTGCAATGTATGTACATTGACTGACAGGAAGCTGTTTAAAATAAGCTAACAAGTCATACAGTTCGCAGGCACGAATATAGGGACCACGATTCTTTTATCCCGTGTTATCCAAGAATGGGTCAACATCCATCACGAGAACCGTACTAGCATCAGCGATCGGACTTTTTGGGGCACAGTGTATAGTATGGCACTTGGTGTTAATTACGGAGCGTTCAGCACCGCATTCAGCGCATCACTAGCAGGACTTCTTTGGCGCGACATTCTCGCTCGCAAGCATATTCACGTCAAAGCTGTTGAATTTGCGCGGGTCAATTTCCCTATCATCGCCATTGCCATGGTCGTCGGCTGTTCAGCACTGGTTGCTGAGGTCTACATTATGAGACACAACACCCCGTACAAGGAATTCTTGTAAACTAAAAGTTAGCAATTTCTCCTATTCGTTTGTGAATCTTTGTTGTATCTAACCTCCTTACAGAATCTCACGACACTCATTATTTATTGGGCTTCATCACAATGTTATTAGTAATAACGACAGGTGTGAAACTTGGTGTAAGCTATATCTTAATTTATAGAAGACTAGAAATTTAATATATTTATCAGAAGAAAAACGATAAAAACAACTCTACTGACGACGAGTAATATTCTTCTCCTATTTACCAACTCTTCTACATCTACATCCAGACAACAAAGGTAGGGTAATCGGGGGGGGGGGGTAACCAGTCAACAAAAAATAATAGAATTAAGCTGCATGGACGAGGAATAGAGGGGAGAGGACTCGCTAGAAATCAGCCCATCTCAGAATCACTTGCCACAAATACCATGTTTGTTAGCAGATGAATTATTGTTGACCAGCAGTGTTTCGAGCCCCCACATGTCAACAAAAATAAAATAACCTGCTACGGATATAAAATGATCCGCATTAATTAAGCTCCTGCTCGATTTGGATGTAGCTCATTTTTTATTGGTGACAGGTCAGGGTTTTGGTAGGCAAGTAAAACCTGGTTTTGCATACGGGACTCCATAGCAGCAGCACAGTTAAAATGACGCACTCCGTCATAACTGGTTTTGTATCTTCCACGGATTCATCTCCAAATCAACTGTCAAATTTTCAATCCAACCTCCTTTGGCGATTTTCTTGTCAGCTAAGCCCCAATCACCACCAGCAATGGAGCGCAGAGCTGACCCTGAACATGGCTGCACCATTAGCCAGCCAGAGAGCGAGCATACAAAACCAGCCTAGTTTACCGTTGCCGGGTCATTTCTAGTTTACTTTATATCCTTCGGATACATGAATAGCTTTGGTTACTTCCAGGATTACTATATCCAGAATGACCTCGCTGAATTCTCACCGTCCATTATCTCGCTCATTGGTTCAATGCAGCTTGGATTAATGCTCCTCGTGGGGCCTGTCTCTGGCACGCTATTCGACGCTTACGGGATCAAGTGGCTGTACCTAGTTGCTACTACAGGATCCATTGTGTCTTGCATTGGGCTTTCGTTTGCGCAGCCGGGGCGGATTTGGCAGTATTTCCTCAGTCAAGTAAGTTAGACTATTCTAAACGACCAGGAGCGGAGCTAATCCATCCAATCACTAGGGCGTATTATTCGGTCTCATGGTCCCATTTGGAACCTCTGTTGCACTCCCAGTTGTTGGCCAACATTTCAGACAAAACCGCGCCCTCGCCATGGGCGTTGTGGCGGGGGGAAGCAGTGTGGGAGGGGTATGTTTGCCAATTATGTTTTCACATCTGGTCCCTCGAATCGGATTTGCATGGTCACTACGAGTTGCAGCGTTCATCATGCTGGTATTCTACGGGATAGCTGCATTTATCTCGACAGAAAAGCTGCCCGCGAAACCGCTCAAGTCCGCTCGACAAATTATCGACTTTGGTGGCTTTCGTGACATCCGATATAGTACATTAGCGTTGGCGAATGTGGTTGGGAACTTTGGTCTTTACGTTCCTTTCTACTACATAGGTAACCTCGCTTGGGATGGTATTTGGTTCACTTTCTGACATTTCCTAGAGCCATACGTTGCCGTCAATTTCGACGGGTCTGGCGTTAGCAGTTACTTACTTCCCATTGTCAATGGATCTAGCTTCTTTGGCCGTATAATGTGAGTCCTCGCCATTTAATTTCATAAATTTGAACAGCCTCTAATATAACTGACAGAGGTGGATACACAGCTGATCGCATCGGTGGTCTTAATCTTCTATATGCTCTCACAACCGTCTCGGGTTGTTTATGCCTCACGATGTGGCTTCTTGCTTCCAGTATTGGCATCGTCGTGAGCTTCGTTTGTTTATATGGTAAGAACTAAACCCCGTTCTGACACACTGAATCATGCTAACAATAGTAGGATTTTGTTCCGGCATCTTTATCAGTGTCATGTCGCCAGTTACATCGCGTTTGTCGCCCGATGACAAGATTGGCGCGCGGCTCGGTGCATTTTCAGCTTGGGGTGCGATTAGAGTCTTCACAGGGACTCCTATTGCCGGATCCTTCTTGAAGAACAATAAACCAGGCGAATACACCAATCTAATTATCTACACGGGGGTCTGTATGACAGTTTCGGGTGGATTGATGTTTGTAACCAGATTACTATGCGACAGGAATTTAAGAAAGAAGTGGTAGTATAGATGGGGACTCTGCTTTTATGATTATGGCAGACTCTGGTGAGATGATGGAATCGATGAATTACAGTAACCCAATTCCATCCAAAGCTTTAATGATATAATTTCTCTTGAATTATTCGACACACTTCTGCTGGAGTTCGTCCGCATTTTATCCGCATTTGTCATGACTTGTCCAAGAATTTAACTCAAATGGCCCAAATCACAACAACGAGATGAAAGCTCGTTAGGGGGAGTGCCGTTGGTTTGGAGACCTAGCTTGTGAACTAATATCGTGATATCGTGCCCCGCAAAGATATTTGAGAAACCCCAACCCGCAACCTAATTCTCTAGATCAGAAGGCCCACTAATCTGATGTCTCAGGAAGACTAATTGGACGGTTTTATCTGCCGACTTCAACTGCCGCATTCATCCTCATGGAGACTTACCGAGGTAACTTGATGCCATTTACCACATATTAAGAAAAGCACGGCTCCGTCAGTGTTGTTCGGATCCAGGCTATCCATGATCCGATTTGACAAGAAATAATACATTGGTCTGCAACTGAAAACATGGTCTTCTACCAACCGGGAAAGACGGAGCATGGGCTCCCACATGATCCGTTCAAGGTTAGACCTCCTAGTCGTACCTACATTCCATGCAAGCAACCCTAATCAGCTCAGGCTTGCGTCGTCCCACGTCCTATAGGCTGGATTAGTACTGTTAGCCCTGCTACTGGGAACGGTCCGAACGCCAATGCGACCCCAATGGCAAACCTTGCGCCATACTCGCAGTTCAACAACCTTACGTTTGACCCACCATACGTCATGTTTTCCGCAAATCAAACATTCGCTGCTGAGCGAAAAGACACAGTGCGTAACGCTGAAGCTACCGGTGTTTTCTGCTGGCAACTCGCTACGTATCCGCTTCGGGAAGCCGTCAATATCACCGCCGAGCAAACCCCGTACGGCGTCGACGAATTTGAGCGAGCCGGCCTTGAGAAAGTGTGGTCTACATGCTTAAAGATTCCTGTCCCAATGGTGAAAGACAGTCCTGTTAGGTTTGAATGTGAATATTACACCACGCTTCGGCTGCCAGGTAACCCCCGATGGGCACTGTCGATGTAGTGATTGGGAAGGTTGTTGGTAAGTACTTGCATCGCCCTAGCTAGACGCATAGCTATGGCAAGAGGCTACAAGACCCATTCTGACTGTGTTTAATAGGTATTCATATCTCCGATTCTGTTCTGACGAACGGTCTCATTGATATGTCCAAAACACAACCCATAGCCCGCTGTGGCTACTTTGAGTATGCTAGAATTACCGAAAAGTTTGAGATGATTATTCCTGGCGATAAGGCAACGTTGTTCGGTTTGGAGGGAAGTGTCAAGCAGCATAAAGAGTTTAGTGAAACAGGAAGGGTACATGATGAGGACGAATCCAAGGCGTCTTAAATATACAGTCCGGGTTCTAACGGTAAATGGGATTTCTAGATCTCATGGAGAAGCGCGGCTGATCATGAGGTGAACGTACAGATCCTATTGTCCGACTCAAGGGAGCTCGTACAGCTTTGTTCAATTGGTGACCATGAATGCAGGAGGCCATCCTCCGTGAGAGTAGAGGCTTACTCTTGTGTCATTTAATCCACGACTCCCTTATTCCCATTTCTTCGTTAGACTTCGTTCTGCTTGACAAACGTGGGCCGTCTGTCGACTGTCAATCGATTTGTGCGTAGTGAGAATATGAGAAACAAGTTGCAACAAATGAAACTTGATTATGTTGAAATTAATCTAAAATTGAACCCCGGTAGCCTAGCCACTCGACATGATAATGTTGTTCAAGTGTCGCGCGGCTTTATCCAAGTGATCATCTCCCCATCCCCAAAATACTCATTTCGTACATCCATATTCTGCAGCTCAGCATCCAACTCCACCTCCTTGATGTCCTTGACGATCATGATAACATCATCCGAAGGATCTGTACTGGCGTCTCCCTCTATCTCAGCCGAATCGTCTTCCGCAGGATATTCCGCGTCAGCGACGAGCTTTACCACGCTGATGGCAAAGACAGCAGACGACGTCACTACCCTCGCAAAAATCATGTCTGAGGTGAGTGATGCATCTGCGCCTGGGGCCCCGGGATGGGGCCGCGGAATGCGGCCGTGCATTTCGAGATCCAAGGCAGTTCGCGTTTTTATCGGGGCGTTCCTCGTGGAGGTGATGGACGGTTCGTATCCAGTCTTGATTCCAGTTATCATGTAAACTGGCTTGTTGTTGGATGTACACAGATAGTCTTGGACTCCGACTGACTGAAATGCTTCCATATAATCCTCCTTCGTTGGAGTGAAGGAGATGGTGTCGATTCGTTTGAAACAGTACCTCATGTGCTGCGTGCTCCGACGGCCTGTCCAACCTTCACCGACCGGTCCAAGATTGAGAAGCCTCCATCCGGCGTACCTCCCTCCGTTTACAATCTTGGCCCTTGATGCACAGAACTTGTCTTCATGGTGACAGTGAAGCCGAGAATGATCGATGACTGGCTCCTCGTCCTGGTTCAGGGGCCAGAGGCTGTCGAAGTCGTCCACAATGGTACCGAGAGTGAAGCGCCCAGCTGGCGCAGGCGGCTCAAAGTCGGGAAGAATGTGATAAGTTGGCCCTTCAGGATCTAGTCTCAGGGTACCGGTAGGGCCTTGAAGTCCTGCCATGTTTGAAGTGTTGGAACGACAGCGGACAAGTCAGCAGCTAGGGTGACAGATCTAAATCTGATGGCTGGTGAGCACCGAAGCAGCGCAATTTGAGCCCAACCCCGCATCTTATATCAGGTGATCACTCGACTTTCCATAAGGCTCCAACAGCTTCGCCCGAGTTTGGTGGCGGTTTAAGACATCTATCTGGTGCTACAGTGGCGGGGACAGGTGACGAAGTGACTGGCTCATCTTCCTCGGGCTGCCTACGCTTGTCCGAATTAGAGATTTAGTGTTGATCGTTGCTTTTTCCAGAATTTCCAACCCGGAGATACGAGAAAAGTCGGCCGCAGCCTTGTTGGGGAGGTCCTGCATGTCTGATATGACAGAAGGAATATGCTAGAGTGAGAATAGAATTTCGCCACTTGCGTACCTGTTGCCAGATATAAATTCACATACGACACTAAATTTGGATGTACTCGATTCTCTTAGCTGTCCCTATTGTACCGCATTTGACGCAATTTCGACAATATCTTTCCCAGGTCGAGTTGAAAATTTCAAGAAGTGCGTGCATCTTGGCTTTGTCTCAAACGGCTTCCCGCAACTGCACGTCCAATTGGTGGCCTGTCCATGCCTCAGCATCCCTTGCATATGCTAGGAACCAGTAACTCCGAGCTCTCGGACTCGGAATAATGATTGTAAATCCGAAGTACAACACCGCAGCCTGATTTCGTGCAGGGTCGGAGTTTTCTCTTCCATAGCACTTTAGTCTCACCACAGCTGCGACGTTGCGAGAAAGTTCACGAGTTAAGATGGCAAAACACGTTCGTGAAGACTTTGAATCTCTGAGAGATCCCGATACCGATGTTGAGAGTGACAAGCTACGGGATATCCGGGAGCACGCCTTGTATGGATCGCAAGACGTCGTCAAACGTGCCGCACAGCCCCAAATCAGTGCCAAGTGGTGGCAATTGAATGAGATGTCCAGTGCAATTTAGAGCCGTGTTAGACTAAAAATAATCACATGAAGTTTCTACCATTCACCATCATCCATAGTTTCCTGCTGTCCTCTCTGCCGTGTCAGAGGGTATAGCGGTATCCAGGAATACCTTCGAGGACCTTCCCTTCCTCATCTACCTTCTTATTCTCCCACGCAAGGTACAAGGCAAGACAGCCAGCAAGCACAATGTTGAGCGCCATACAACCGAAGCTTGCATACAAGCCGGGTCGATAACCGGGGAAGTCCTGCTCTCGGAAGACAACAGCTCCGATGATACCTCCAATCCCTCCGAAAACTGTCTGAATCGGGACTGCAAATTGTCGCTTGCGGGTGTCCACGACGTTGTTGGATAAGAAAGCCAACGCTGACGGAATGGCACAATTGTTTCCAGTCACTGCCAGGAAGATGCCGACGAGTCGAGCCCCGGTATTATTGCCCCAACCCATCATTGTGAGGCCGACTATGACGAGGAGCGAGTAGCCGATGATGAAAGGGCTCCGCATTTTTACCCGATCAGCCAAAATGCCAGTTGCAACAGAGATAATGGCCGAGAATATGTATGGTGGCGTTGTAAGAATTTGGCTGAGCGCGACGCTGAACCCGAAGCTGCTCAGGATGGACGGGGTGAAGAATGCGAGCGAGTACGAACCAGCTGTAGGGAGCATGAGAAGCATGGCCAATACGTAAACCTTCCAATCGGATGCTGCAGCCAAAAGTCCTCCTACAGTGGTTCGTTCCTCGAAGCCCTCTACTCGGCTTTCAGAGAGTCTTTCCCGAGCCAGCTGCAGCGTGGCTCTGTTGGTCCATTTGGACGACTCGGGGAATTCGGGAGCCCACAGAAACACAGGGAGAGCCAGAGATACGGTGAAAGCTCCAGGGACGATAAAGATCCATCGCCAGCCGCGAAAACCGCCGTCGCCCTCCATCATGCTCAACCCGTAAGACAAGATGCCACCAAACCCAGAAATCACAGATCCAAATACGAACCAAATAGACAGTCTCCGCTGGACCTCGTAGGGCTTATACCAACAGGATATTACGAAGATACAGGCCGGCTGTGAGAGTAAGTACTCATTAAGACAATGGGAGGAGTAAACATACGTTGAAACCACCCTCAAAGAAGCCTAGGAGAACCCTCAGTGCTACCAATTGACCGTAGTTCTTGATAAAGCCAAAGCACATTGCAACGGCGCCCCAACTAACGAGAAGAATGGCCAAGTAGATTCTTGTTCCCAGACGCTTGACAATTGCATTTGACGGAATCTCAGTCAAGATGTACGTGATGAAGAAGACGAGGAGCGCCACGGAGTACATGCTGCCATGGAGATTCAAATCTTGCACCATGCCAACAATCTTGGCCGCGGCAATGTTTGTCCGGTCAATAAGAGAAAGTGCGTATGCGACGCAAAGCCATGGGAGGACATGCCAGTCGATTTTCCGAAGGAGATTGCGCTCCTGCATAGCATCGTGCTGGGCTTGACTCTCGGCAATATCGTCGATGTGATCTGTGTACGACTCATTCTCGGCCAAGTTGGCCTCATGTTTTAGATCACTGGAACCTTTGAGAGTCATTCTCAGAGCTGAGTGGATGAGCAGGATGGATTGTTTGATCAGGAAAGCGGTTGGCAAAGGGCCTTGTTGATGTTGTTGGTTGTGGGATTGTCTGAGAATATCCGAGAGAACCAGGCCTGACCCTGTCTCTTTATAATGCCTTCTTCCTCCCAGTGAATTCTGAGCCTCGGCATGTCAGAATCTCAGTGCGGAGAGGGGTATTGGTGCCAAGAGACCTGTCGTCGATGTTGAAGTACTCGGTAGTCGGCACTTTGTCTTTTTGCCGGTTCCTTTAGTCCCCGATGAAAACCTGGGGTAAGTGGCATCTGCAGTAGAGTGGAAATGTGGGGGAGAATGAATGAACAATACTTGTGCGTCAATTTACAGAATGAGCAATAATGAGCCTGCTGCTAGATGATCAAGGTTAATGTGACGGTCGTGCTTAGTCTCGGCGGCGGCCACTCGACAACGGCCATGCAAGTGACTTCACACTGTCGCTCGCAGAATATTTCTATCAGAGTTGCCGAAATCCTCCAGCTCGGGACAGTTCGGCTCATAGCCCAGGCAGGCAAGTCTGTTCTTCAGGAACAATGTCCAGGATATCAACCCTTACACCCCAGCTACATCGTCAAGCTGGAGAGGCATACAACGCATCAAGATTTTGTGTCTACTCTACTGAGCCTCATAAACCGCCATAGTATGCTCAGAGCCCGCTTTCCCAAACGGACGGATGCACCGATCTGGGAGCATCATGACGCACTCCAAATTGAAAGATGGATACCGCCGCGGCGCGGCGTTCGATAAAGGTTATCTCTAGGTTGATCGCATTCATAAAATCTACTACGAGCAGTATGGAAAGTAGGACGACCTTGCTAGTATGGCAACTCCCAGGATGATTATGCTAGAGGGCCCTCTTGAAGTGCTACCTGGACCTTTTCCACTCGTCCATGCGTCAGCAATGTATAGAGTACTGCTCTTACCATGTTTCGATAGTGATTTATCTCCACGGAGGCCCCGGCGGTCCCACAGCGCCGACCAAACACCAAGTTCTTTGATCCGGCCTTGTATCGGGCCGTCCTTTGGGATCCACAACATCGGGATATCTTGCGAGCCAAGGTTTTCCAACGCTATCCTGACACGGAATTTTATTGAAGATACGATGAAAGACCCACCCAGCCGGGCGTCCAGATGCTGAAATTGGTGTGGCTGATGAAGTGTATTCTGTTGCATCCGCGCAGGCGTCCCATCAATATCTACTAGACCCGCATCCTATCTATGTATATTAATCTCCACTCTGAATAGAGTTGTAATTATTCCACTGTTAACACAAATAGAGCATTATGGTATATGACTATAATAGAAGAGAAATACCAGACCTAGCTAGCTTCTCTTTCCAGCTTATAGCAATAATTTTCCCACCAACAGTATTTTCCTTTATTACTTGACATGCTGAGGCAATATCTCTTATATATGCAGTGTATAATGGGTTACATAAATACATATGAAGTAGCTGGGCGAGATGAAGGTAGTAGTCAATTGATACAGAGACTGAAGGTTGACCAGCTTCAGTTTTTGGCTTCCTGGCGGAAGGACTGGTCCGTTTGCGCCCATTATACGGGGCCAGCGTCTCCGTTACAATATTCTAGATGATATTAGTGAAAGAAATTAAGATTAGTAAATAAATACCTAATTAATTAAGGCTATTATTAATCTTAACTAGCAAGAAATTCCCCCTCTTCATAGGCTCCAAGACCCCTGCTTCCCTAGTCATCCAGGCCCCAGATCCCTCTCTCTAACAAATAATGCCTCATTCTAATGCCCCCGCACTGGGGTGCGCAATCTTGATCTTGTCCTTCATCCACCGTCGGTCCGTCTTTGTAGCCGGAATCAAACAAGCCCCTGATGACAGACCGCTATCAGTATACCTACCTTGAGACGGGCTGTATTCGCGTCTTGCGCTTGGTGTCTGTGACACCAGACATCAGGCTCCAGTTTGAAGAAGTCTCGCTTGACTCCAACCCTGTCTACAACGCGCTTTCCTACACATGGGGTGAGCCTGTTTTTACAAAACGAGTGTTCATCGAAAATGCCTATCTCGACGTGACACCAAGTCTCCACGACTGCCTCCAACATCTGGCCGGATACGCCGGAAGCAGGATCTGGATCGATGCTCTTTGCATCAACCAAGTTGACGATGAAGAGAAGTCACGCCAGGTCCAGGCCATGTCGCGAGTGTACCGCCAGGCGACAAAGGTCATCATTTGGCTCGGCCCAAGCGCTGATGGCAGTGATCAGGCAATGAAGGGCGCCGAGACATACGGCAGAGCAGCTATTGATGCCGGTATTCTCAATCTCAACGCCGAGAACATGACTTCGTGGGATGATGCCGCCGAAGATACAGAAGTCGGAAGGATAAAGGACGCGTTGTTGAAACTCATGGCCAAGGCTGCCGACTCCGAGGGTGATGCCAACCAGGTCGACGAGCGATTCCCACGGCTGGCTTTTGCAAAGTTGACTTACAGGCCGTATATGACTCGCGTCTGGGTCAAACAAGAAATCACTTTAGCTAGAGACACTCATGTTCTATGTGGCACTCATTCAACCACCGTGGAGTGCCTGCATGCGCTTGTGATTTTCTACAGCGTCCTCCAACCCTGGGAGATTAAGGAGTGGAGAGGAGGCAGGAGCACAAGAATCCCAGGTCCATTCTCGGAGCAAGAGCTGATGGCTGTGGAGTCTCCATGGGACTTGTTGAAGACTGCGAGTGCGAGCGAGGCGCTTGGCTTTGCCCTCTTAGGCCGGAAGACGTATCGACAGAAAGGGCCACTCCCGCTATATCAGCTCCTGCAGCAGTCGTACATTCGTCGATCCAAAGATGTCCTGTGTTGCAAAGACCCAAGAGATAAAATATGGGGCCTGGCGGGGATTTCCAGCGACATAGATGAGCTGGGGCTCAAGGTGGATTACACGAGCGGTGTGGACGTTGTCTATGAGGCTACGGCAAGGGCACTGTTGCTCCAAGGAAACGTTGACATGTTGAGGTGGGCTCGCGCCGGAGAGATTCGGTCTCCATCTTGGGTTCCAAACTGGGAGGTTCCAGTTCTTATGGGATGGAGTGAAGATTCTGGAAAGCCTCTATTCAAAGCCACAAAGTCGAAGCGCCAACCGGAATCCCAAGACACGCGTGCCGCCATGCCAGGGTCCATTCGCCTCCACGGAGTCTTAGTGGATACCATCGCAGATCTTGGCTCGATTTGGACCGCTGACCCTGACAAAAGTTTTGACCAGAGTGAGTTTCTCCAAATGATTCGAGATCTGGTCACGTTCTTGGAGAAGTCCCGATACCCAGAAGACCAACAGACGGACGCAGTTTTCCGCATACCCATCGCAGACAAGGAGTTTCCCGAGTCCAGTCCCTACTTTGTTCGGGCAACAAAACGCTCGGAGGACCAGTTTTCTGCTCTGATTTCCAAGGAGATGGATAGTGATATGATGGCTGCGACGTATTCGTATCAGAGTTGCATGAGCTACAACTACATGGCCAGGCCGATTCTTTCAAAGCAAGGTTATGTGGGACTGGCCCCTGCCACAACAGAACCTGGGGACGTGATTGTCCTTCTGTTCGGGGGTAGCACTCCGTTTATTTTAAGACCCCGAGCTGGTGATCAAGGAGGGTATTTTGTCATTGGGGAGTCGTATGTTTATGGCATTATGGACGGGGAATTTCTTGACGGCGGAGGTTCTGCCGTGGGGTTTGATTTGTGGTAAGCTTGAAATGAAAGCATGTTTTGCGAGGTGTGAATTAAATAAATCATGATTAACCCAAGGCTTGGACATGTTGGATATAGTGGTTGATATTTTAAATATTCACTTTTTGAGTAAATAATAATCAACGATGTCCCCAAGTGGAAAGTCTATGAAGCATCTTAGCATAGACTCCGACCTAGGGAGATGCAGTGTAGTTCATGTTCACCACCTTCGCCTCGAAGGGTTTTCTTACTGGCATGACCTGCTCGTCATCTTCAAGCAGGCGTTTGATGAATCTCAACCCAGGACGCTCTCCCAATGGTGGTATAACGGGAAGAATAGATTCCAGTAGTACACCTTTTAGGTTGCAATACTTGTTTTCATCATGAATATGGTTTTCGACACAGTTCGTTGCCTACTGAGCGGCATGCAAGTATATTGGCCTTGCAAAGCACTTCAGCAGGGATAGTGTTCACATACGATACTGCGAGTAAGGGGTAAGTGGGTTGAAAGGAACATAAACACCGCCCGGCAATAGCCGTTGAATGGAGATACTGTACTTTAAACTATACGGGATACTATGTATAGACTTAGTTATTTATATCTACTTGAATAGGTAAATACTTTTGTGGTACAGCGACTATCAGTAACGGAAATAGCTAATCGAGCGCTGGCACGGGGAGTCCGTCAACGATATCTACATCTAAACCCAATTTTCGCAACGCCTCCTTGGACCTTTCACCTCGAAGCTCTTGTGCCTCTTCTTGAGACATCATAACGAAATCGTACTTGAGCAGCTTTGTACCAATAGGAACGTTGTACTTCTTGCTGACACTCTCATCGACGGTCTCAAAATCGACAATCAAGCTATCCTTGACGCCAAAAACCGGGTCTGACGTCTCGTACGGGTCTCCTCTCGGATACAACGCCGTGATTAGGGTATCATATCCTTCCTTCTTCAACATAAAGTGGATGTGCCCTGGCCGATTGGGATGGCGGTTGAGGAGCCTCAGCATCGCGCCTACTGGGCCATCCATCGGAATTGGGTAAGGCACTGGCACCACAGCAGTGAAGTAAAAGAGACCTTCACCGTCGCTTCGAAGCACTGCACGGCCGTCTGGGTGGTCTCTGTTTGGATTCTGAACATCATAGAAGCCATGCGCATCGCCTTCCCAAACATCGCAGACTACATCAGAAATATTCTTTCCAACCGAATCTCGTACAGAGCAGAGGACAAACAGTCGGGGAGCATCCGGATCCTCGTGGAGAACATAGCCGCTATTCGTAACTGGAGCGTCGTGTGTGTGGAATGGCCCCAAGACCGTTCCTTCTGTTGCTTTATCGTGGCGGGGATGGTTGATGGAATCCACCAGCAAGCTCATTCCCAGCGTGTCGGAGAGCAGGATCAACTCGGCTCGCAGATCGTCGCTTATCTGACCGGCTGCTGTGAGAAAGTCGATGCCGGTTTGCCATTCTTCAGTCGACAGACACGTCTCTCGTGCAAAGTCATGGAGATGCGTGACCAAGCGGTCGAAAACATATCGTACCCGTGGACTCAGGCACTGATTGTTTAATATTTTGACGTTTTCTGTGATGTTTTCCGACGACAGATCTTTCATCGGCGGAATCTCTGTGGTGACGGGTGCGCATCGCGACATTGTAGCGATTGTGTAAGGTGGTCACAGTTGATTGAGTGCTTCGGTCAGGTCGCCAATTAAGAATGGCGGAGGTGGATGAAAGAATACACAATTGGGCCAGCCTCTCAGCCCTGTGAATGGGCTATCTATCTCTTTGTACTAGAAATACCCCGCGATGATGATATATCACGTTACAGTCAGCGTGAAGTCACCATTACCATCATCATCATTCGGCTGATGACTCCGGCAATACGGAATTACGGATATGCTGACGACGTGGGGCCTCAGACAACTTGTGTGGGGTGTGGGGCGTGGGGCCATAGGGATTTGGTGGGGATGATTGAGGAGCAAGGCCTCAACTCGTGAGTCTGAATATCGAATATTGGTTGTTCAGCGTGAAGGGGAAATTCCACGTAATATAGTCCAAGATCCTACCCTGCTCTCTAAAGTAATTAAGATGGCGTAAAGTGGCGCTAATGGTCATCTGACCAAACGGGGCGCATGTAGAAACTGCCATGTTGACTCAAGGACGGGGTGGGATGCCTCTTGGTAAATAAAGGACAAGAGGGCATAGGCAATGAATCCAAATATATATTGACAAACAAAATGATGGAATAATTTCCGATCCGTCTCCTTTGAAACTGTCGCCCATATCAACGCCATGATGACAAGTCCCATTCAGGATCCTTCCCCACACTGCCTGGATGCTCTCGAACGAACGCCTCCACATCCTGGCACCGAGCCAGCCAAATCTGACCCTCATCTCGTTTCTGCGCCAAATACTTCAACACCGCTTCCACCGCTTCGAGGCGCTCCGGGCGTTCAGTCAGAAACGGATGAAACAGAATGGCCAAAAACTCCCCCTTCTCGATTGCCTTGTCAATTTCGGAAATAAAGCCCTCAACCAATACTTGAGGTTCTTGCGGAGCAATTGGATATTGTCCTTTTAGCTTGCGTAGGCCTGCGAAAGTCTCCATGTAGAAATAGGCATCGACTGCTGCCCATTTGAAGGGAAGGATGACAAGGTCGTCTCCGTCAGGGCCGCTCTTGACGACGGCTGCCTTTTCGGCTGCGGGACTGAGATATCCTAGCCCAAACTCTCTGCACATCTTGATCGTCGTGTTGCCATTAATAATTCCACCTGGTGGGCGAAATCCGCGGTACGGCTTGATTTTATCGGTGGCAAGCCATTTGCCGATTCCTTCGGATCCGAAACTGCGTTCAAAGTTTGCCCTCTCTTCTCTGTCGTCTTTGATCTTTGCCCACGGCTCGTGTTGCCATGCGTGCCAGCCAACTTCATGGCCAGCCGCGACAATCTCATCCAGGATGAAGGCGCCGTAGACGTTGATGTTCCAGGATTCGATGAAGTAGGTGGCCAGAATGTCGTACTTCTTGAGCAATTTCAAGAGCTGAGGAATCACTTTCTTCACCGAGAAATGGTTCCCAATGGGTTCGCTCTCAGGCCAGAGCTTCCGAGTGAGGTCTGCCGCCTCGCCCATGTTGTCCATTGTGATGCAGATAGCTGCCCGAGCCCCATTTGGCCAGAGTGCCTCATTCTTGGGGCTGTCAATTTTGGCGTCCATGTCGAATCCAGCTTCACGGGGTGTATTTTGTCGAATATTGCCAAGGAAGCGCGTATGGGCGTTGTGAGACTGTAAAGCTGAGTGTTGCAGAGAGCGTTGGAGAGAATTATGGTGGGGAAAGAGTGCTTGCGTCACGGTGGGAATCGCGTTTAAACGTCGCAGTGTGGCGTCGGATATTCCCCGCCGGCCTAGAATGTGGGGTCGTTGACTTGATGCAAAGCGATTAGTGTCTTTTGAAATTGTAGAAATACGATGATAGTCCATCACTCACTCCCCTGTTCAATGACGCGGTGACACTGGGGTTTTACTCTAGGGTAGGGGATGTGGCATCGAATAACTGCGCAATTTACCACAGTTTTGATGATGAACATGTAGGATGAGTCAGCAAGTTAATCAACATGGGATGATGCTCACAATGCTCAGCCCAACTCAGCCTGAACATGGCTCTCCATCACTGTCACGATGGCTGGTTTCCAATATGAGCCTCTCAACCCATCGGATGACGAAATTCGCATCCTCGATCTGCTACCTGGACCAGGGCCTATCTCTTGCCGTTTGAGGAACGTACGACTATCCGATCACCCCCAGTATGAGGCTCTTTCATATTGCTGGGGCACCTCGCCCAAGAAAAGAGACATTTGTGTTAACAACCATTCCATTTCTATCGGGTTGAATCTCTACTCTGCTTTGCATCATCTGCGGGGAACCGAAAACCATCGCTCGTTCTGGATCGACGCCATATGTATCAACCAACAGGACCCCGCGGAAAAGAATACCCAGATCCCTCTCATGGGGCAGATATACGAGCAGTGTTCGAGAGCCGTCATATGGCTGGGTCCATCAGACATCCTGACAAGAAGAGCATTCCGCGTACTTCGCGTACTCTTGGAATACGCCCACATATGGCCGCTTGGCAACTTTCTGGTGTCTTTGCACGAGTGGCGCGATGCAAAGTTTAAGCTTGGCCAGACCACAGGCCGATCTCCCAAAAGCGACAAGATTTTGAAGAAGAACTGGTTCTGGGATCGCATCTTCGATTCTTTGGCAATTTGGTACCTGTGGAGGAGGCCCTGGTTTTCGCGCGTTTGGATCCTGCAAGAGTCCACCGTTTGTCCCGATGCCATTGTCAAATGCGGCCACGATGAGATAAACTGGATACAGCTCATCCATTACAGCAGGGAAAAAGAAGAGCTCAACATACCATCGGAAGCCGAAGGGCCGATGCTTTCTCACCTTAATCGGAGGAGAGAAGTTGAAATGGACCTGTTTGACGCTTTTGCAATCAACGAAGATTCTTTGGCAACCAACCCGCGCGACAAGATTTATGGCGTCCTTGCACTTGTCCACTCAAACGACTCGATCGATATAAACATCGACTATTCTAAGGATCCTTCAGACATCTACCTCGAGTTCACGACCGCAATCCTCAAGGCTAGGTCGGACCTGGACGTTCTCGTGCGGGCTCGTGGCGACATACCCTATCCAGACGGGAAAAGACTGCCATCCTGGTCACTGAGTTGGGAAATAAGCCACAGCCAGCAGCTGTATTCCTTGTCCTTTTCGCAAAACATGAAAGATCGTACTCCAAAACCTCCCTCTCCCGACGACGTTCGGGCTACCCAAAACTCTCAGCCTCAAGTATCATTCGCCGAGGATGGGAAGGTCCTAGGATTAAGCAGTGTAAGGTTCAACGAGATTACGGCCGTAGGATTACCAATGCCGCAGAGCCATCTCTCGCCAAAGTCGAGGTTGCAGATGTTCAAAACATATCTCTCTTGGCGCAAAATCTGCGACCTTGATTCGTCGACCGCTTATGAGCCCACTGGACAATCTCATCGTGAGGTTTTCTGGCGGATGCTAAAATGGTTTTTTCTGCATTCCGGCTATGTCAACGTGGCCAAGGAAAATGCAGAGCTGGACTCTTTTGACAAAACTGTGGTGAGGCTCACGAGTCTTCTCCCACAGTACCTCTTGGGCATCCAAATCGGGATAGTCCTTCTCTTCGTATGGGACATCTTTCTCGAGTTTTCTTATACCACCGGATTCTACACGGAAAGCCCGTCTTTCTTCTTCGAGGCTTCTGCGGGATGGGGAAGAACAATGGTCAGGACGTCGAACGGATTCATGGGTCTCGCGCCATCTACAGTCAAGGTTGGTGATGTCATCTTTCTAGCCAGCGGATCGCGGGCACCGCTGGCCTTTAGGCAATACGGCGCGCGGTGGAGGCTCATAGGGGAGACGTATGTTCACGGCATCATGTCTGGGCAGGCATTTGACAGCAGCAAATGCGAGATGATGTGGGTGGAATGAGAGTAAGCTTCTTGGTAATTTGGATAGTTTAGGGGACACTTCATTCTGTATTGCTATTTCCAAAGTACATGACATATATATCGAAATCGCGCTGTCTAATTCTATGCTCAAGGAAACCATCTTTGCCTGTTGTAACGGTTCTATAGTCACACTTACACGCCGGAGTCCTCTTGCTCAACCTCGTTCTCGGCCTGGAAAGTCTCCCAAGCGTCGCAGATGTCCGACATTGTCGTGTTGTTGACCATTGACGGGATTTCACTCTGGCGCTCAATGAATTGAACGGCAAAGCCCTCCGACGTATGCCAGCCAATGTGGCAATGCATCAGCCACACACCGGGGTTGTCCGTCTCCCAGGCCATCACCAGGTACCCAGAGGCAGGGAGCATGGCAGTGTCGCGCCTGGGCGGGTTGCTCGTGTTGAGGGTCACGGATGACGAGTATGTGCCAGTGCCCTGCGCGAGGATGAAGAAGTCGTGGCCGTGGAGATGGATCGGGTGAGGAACTGCCATTGTGGTCTCCACGACGAAGTAGACCCACTCGTTCGCGTCTTCAAGCTGAATGACAGCATCTTGAGTCTCGAAATCAGTCGTGCCATTGGCTACCGATTGCAGAGTTGGGTTTTCCCAGTCAACCAGCATGGTGGTGCTGTTGAGGTACCACTTGAAAAGACCGGCCGTGTTCTTAGACACTGTAGCAGCGTCCAGTGCGCTCCAATCTGCTGAGGATACCGTTTTGGAAATATAGGGAACGAGGCTTGTCTCATCTTCGCAGCTATCGGTGTACGAGTACGCGGTCGTAGAAGGAGTGCTGGGGCTGTCGCCGTAGTAAACGATTCCTTTGATGTTGTCGGTGCTGTCGTTGTCGGAACAAGCAGCTTGAGGGATCGCGCGCATCCAAAAGTTGTCGGCAACATCAGCTTGGTCTGCAGTAACGATGATGTCGTATCGTTGTCCTAGAGCGTCGTGAGCATAAGATGAACATAATAATTAGACCTGTAGAGCACTTACCCATGCTTATATCCAACACTGTTGTGTTGTAAGGCTCAATGGGAACGAGATCGGAAGCAATCACCATCATGGTATGGTTATCAATCGAAAATTTCCAATGAGTGTCGACGGCAGCATTCACTAGCCGCATGCGATAAGAGGTGCCGCTCGTGAATGAAACGTTGAAGCGCGTTCCTGTCTGGGAGGAGTCATCATCGTCGCCATACACGTTTGTGCCATTGATGAGACCGTTATCAAGGGTGGGCGGGCCGCTTGTCTCAGCAGACGAGTATAGCTCATCGACGGTCTGATGATCCCAATCGTTGAGGAAGACCATGCCAAGATCTTCGTCGTAGTTTGCAGTAGCTGGGCCATTGATAATAATACCGCCAAAGATTCCCTGCCAAGCTTGCAGGCCAAAGTGGGAGTGGTACCAAGACGAGCCGTATTGCGTGGCCTTCCACGTATATGTAGTTGACTCGCTGACTGCAAGGGGACACTGGGTAATTGAAACAACTCCGTCGTTCTGGTTGGTGAAGTTTTGGCGGATACCGTGCCAATGGATGCTGGTACCGTTGAGAGAGGTGGAAAGAGAATTGGTGACATGGACAGTAACAGTGTCGCCCCAGTCGGCAAAGATGGTAGGGCCGGGGATGGAGCCATTTACAGCCATGGCTGACCGCGAAACTCCATCCGGGGCGACGGTTACATCGGTCAACTCGAACCAATACTCGCGTGTAACTCCGGTATCGACATACTCGGTCGAGTAGTCTGTGTCGATGGAGTAGTCACACCATTCGGACCGGGTGGTTGCCGTGTTCCCGCTGCACGACGAGACAGCTCTTGAGCTCAGGCTCCTGGCCAGTCCAGCTGAGGCCAAGGTAGCAGCAAGGGTGCCGGCTAAAAAGAGAGAGGACCTCATCTTAATAGATTGGATCGAGGTGCTTGGAAGAAAGCAAGTGAGAGATAGAGGAGTTTAATGTAAATATTCGTAAGCTTCAGACCCAAGTCATGGGGTTGAGATTGAAGTTGATGTGAGGCGCGTGTCGATGGATGGAAGTGTACGAATAGTCTTGGAACTGTCCTGGGCATGTCTTATAACTATTTTCTCGTCGACAGGCCTTTGGAGGTCTTCAATGCCATCGAACGATGTCTCACCTATTCCAGACGCATACGAGCAATTGCTACGCAGTAAGTTCGCGGATCGACAATCCCAAACGTGATGTCGGCTAGCAATCCCGTCCTCGTCAGCGAGAGGCTGTGCGACTGTGGATCACGATGGCATCAATTGCCCTTCGTGGAAAATTCCGCCCAATGCGTTTTCTCCTATCTTCGCTACCCCGGACGCCATCGCGGTAAGGGTCAGGTGAGGCTTCACCGAAGCGCCATTGACCGTTTGGGGAACAATCTCGGCACTTGGTTCATGCAAGATGGACTTCCCGCTCCAATCGGATATCGGTTTTCCGTTTCTGCTGACGCCAACAGAAACGAATACTCTCTTTCAGGTACATGGAGCGCGTAGGCCATGCCGAATTCTCCACCTGGTGACGCGTTGGCGATGCTGACGTAGTTGCATCGATCGCATCTAACGTAGTATCGCAAGTCCATAAGACAGGTCTTATTCAAACACATCACATTACAACCCTCGCTATTGCCGATTCTGTCCATTGTCCCCTCGCTCAGTGGCTGAGCCACACTCCAAGCGAAGCGTTTGAAGCCGCGCAATGAAGGCGCGGCCACCCCGCCACACCGCAGGGAGCAGGGGATGAACGACGATCCTACGGTATACGCGTGTCCGCCAGCCCCTGGTCTGCAAATTCAGGGGCCAAAGGGCCATGTTTCATGCACCAGATCATCTTGGGTCACGGGTCATTCAAGGCGATTTACTTTTCATAAATCTACCTTGTGGCCGCTCTCATTATGGTGTCCATCTCACTCAATCCACTCAATCCACTCTCTAGAACATATTCAAAACAAGAATCCTGCAATCACCGCAACACTGCCAATATGCATTCCCTTTTCTCCCTCGTCTTTCCGACCTTGTTCTTATCGGGCATAGCGTCTGCCAAGTCTAGTAGCTCGGATCCGTTCCAGATCTATGGGTACGGCACAGGGATTGGAGGTGCCCAGCTATTTTCGTCCGGAGGTCTGTTACACCCGATCGGGACTCTACCGACATTGCGCTGATTTATCCAGGGGACACCTTCTTCGGCGACTATCAATTGGCCAACGACACTGAGGCCGCACCTGTCGTGTGTAAGTTCGAATCAATCAATACTGGGCATTTCAGTTTTAACGTAAAGTAGTTACGTCGAGTGATGGCGTTTGGCTGGGCTCTCCCAACTCGACAGTCTTCTCCGACTCCGATCTCCCATCTTGGTCCAACTACACCTTTTCTGTCCCGTCAGCCGGGTCTTCGGCCCACGACGTCAGCTTCATCAGTAGCAGCAACAGCACTACGGGTGTGTTTACGACCGGCTTTACTTTCTACGGCACATTCATTTTTGTCACGGGCACGAGCGGCAGCATGGAGTCCCTCTGGTATGCCCTTCCGACGGACACAGACGGCATATATAAATTGAACTGGAACACCACGGGCGATGATACTGATGGAAAGATCTTGCTCACTTTGAAGACAACTCCTCCTTCTAGTTCCAAGTGAGGACAATCATTGTATTGCCCATCAATAGCATTGGATGGCGTGCGAGCATGCCAAAGATGGTGATGGTACCATAAGCCAGGGGTTGGGTGGTTGATCCATTCCTTTCAGTCTTTGTTATAGAGCATTTAGAATCAATTCCGTTTGTTGACGGTGGGTTGGAGTGGCTATCAGCTGGTCACTCTTAAGGGTAGCTGTCAAGAAGAATACAGTCGTTTCATCGTACGCATTGATAGGCATTCCAAAGCGCGAGAATATTGAGATTTCCCGAACGAACTGCTCATTTACCTGTATGTGGCACTCGGAGCATCTCAGCCAAAGCAAGATCGTCATCCTTGACTCTTTAATCGTGGCTTTACCAAAGTAACCTAGACCATCCTTTCATAACTTAGTAAGATGAGAGGAAGCAAACTCTGTTCGTGAGGTTCCTGAATAGCCTTCTCAAAAGCGACCACGGTCGGTTGGTACGATATAGGGCTGTAAATACGCCATGGGTACCCACGGGTTTAGTACCCATTCTAAGCATGTGGGTACTGGTGTGTTGAACAATGAGCCGGCAGCTATGCGTGGATAGAAGCAGGTACCAATTAAGAGTCTATTATACGTCAGCAAATTAGAAATTAAATATATACGATAAGAGTAAATTCTTTATTAGTTTATATTCCATAGATATCTTGGATAAGATTTGTATCATATTCTTTGATATTTGAACATAAATTTAAATCTTTAGTAGAACTTCTTCACCTACCCTATAGAACCTTTCTATTTTTAGCTCCCGACAAGAGAAATAGCACTCATAGGTACCCAATTTTACACCCTAGCAGACTACCGCCCGAGGCCCCTGACCCGCTGCATCATCCCCCTGAGGGAAAAGTGTCCAGGTGTTCAGAAGCCCTGAGGTCACTGAATCAGGAGAATCTCTGATTTCTCATTCTGATCCCTCTTCGTAGCATCTCTACACTGAAGCGTGTTACGCGGCATATCTGGCAATTCCTTCCACTTGGTACGATTCCTGAATAACTAGATAGCCCACCAATAATGACATTCCATTGGCTCACCCTATGCCAGCTTAATTCCGTCGAGTAACATTTTTTGGTCAATCAGGAATACCACGCCTCATTCTTGACTTTCGTCGCACGCCACGATTCAAGTATCAATCAAGTCCCCAACAACGGTGTGAAAATAAATTACAATAGGAAATAGTATTTGAGCACAGGAAGTTGGCGGCTTGGAGATATGATGACATTGAAGCAGCAGCTTTCAACAAAGAACTGACTGAAGGGTGCGCAAAAGAAAAGCCAGAGGCATTGTTTGCATTGACCGTGTCCACTCCCCCGAGGTTAGGCAGCTCTTTACGTCGGATATTGGATAAGGAGCGAATGAAAGAGATTATAATAAAATCCGAAAGATAAAGTGCAGATCTAGTTGTGCACCTTTCCGTCGCCTTGAGAACTTAGTAGTCCAAAGCCTATGATAGCTTATTTGTATGTCATGAAATCCGTTCCATTGGTGTGAGTGCCAATTTCTTGTCATCAATGGACCAAAGGATTGCTCTATATGCACCACTATTTGTTCTATCCAAATCCATGACCCGTGCCTTATATCACCGTTGAGCGCAATCTCCCAGCGACCACACCAGTATGCTAATCAATTTTCATGTTGAAGATAGTGTAGTGTCGGATCGTCTCTCCATACTTAATAAAGACGAGAGCAAGCGGGACCATTAGGATAGCAATAAACGCCAGGAGTGAGGAGCCCCACCCTAGGCCCAGTGCCTCGAACATCTTTCGCCCTGCCAGGGGTAGAAGGGCTCCTAGAAGGGAGCGGAATACGGTGCTTGCAGCAATGGCAGATACGGAATGTTCAGTATATGCATCTACCAAGTAGATTGAGATTGACATCTACATGTATTAGTTGACCAATGGTATGGAAAAGGGTTCGGATTGTACTTACAAATGCTGTGACCATGCCGAGTCCGACAAAACATGTGCCGATGATGGGCAGAATCCAGTGTTCGTCCTTATCAGCAGTCCAGCCAAACAGGAACAGACCGACTGGCACGAACACGGAGCCTATGGCCATGATAGGAAGACGGTATTCTGGTTTAGGCTCTCCGCCGTTCTTCTTGGTTAGGCGCTGAAATATCCGATCGGACATGCCTCCTGCGATACCCAGTCCAATCATCGAACCTACACCGAAGCCGATATAAGAAAGGCCGACTTGTCCTGTCGTAAACCCGTATTGCTGTTGAAAGACCATTGGAATGGCAGTGAAAAGGAGGTACAGGTATCCGTAGACCATGGCCATGTACAGGGACAGCGAGAATATAATGGGTGAAAACAGCAGCATCTTACCCGGTCGGATGGTTGCAGCTCTGAAGAGTTCCCTGGTTGTGCGTCCTGTATCGAGAGCTGAACGGAGTTTGGGATTTCCAGTCTCTTTGCGAAGCTTCTTTGTCTTTTGCTCCAAGAGAGTGCGCGCATCTGTCTCGCGCATGAAGGCGAAACCGAGGATCACAATGACACCGCCCTAGGATGAGGTTATGTTAGCTGTGGCTGCACTCATATGTTGGGCTTGGCTCAACTCACCACCATAGATACAACCCAGAATGACCAACGCCAGTCTTTAGCTTCTGTCAAGTATCCACCCGCTATAATATATCGTCAGTTCAAAAGTCCAAGTCTTCACACCGACATTTTCCTACCGATAGGACCAATAACGGGGCCCATGAGCGGGCCCATTGCCCATGAAGCCATAGCAGCCCCACGATGCTCTGCGGCGATCGTATCGGCCAGTGTACCAGCCCCGAGAGTCAGAGGACAGCAGCCGGCAAGGCCAGCCAGTAGTCGAAAAATGATGAGGCTTGGTAGATTTGGAGCTTTTGCGCAGGCGACGTTGAACACGACGAATAGGACATTGCAGACATTGTAGATGGGGTTCTTGCCGAACATCTCGGACAAGGGCGCAACGACGAGGGGTCCAAAGCAGTATCCGAGGAGATATACAGAGACGATGAATGAGGCAAGTTGTTGGTTCGTAGAGTTGAACTCGATCATGACTTGTTTGATGCTCGGCGAGAAGATGGACGATGCGAGGGGCCTAAACTCAGTTAGCACCATATTCCGCTCCGAAGTATTTGCATGGGAAACATACGTGACGAATGTGATGGAGGATACGAGGGCGACCGTCATGACCTTTTTCCCTTGCGACCAGTTATGGGGGTTCGCGGGGTCATCTGGGCCTTCCCAGTCGACGACATTGGGATCTCGAGGGGGAGGAGCTTCAAGCTCGACCGATGTCGTGCTGCCCTCGAGATCCTCGATGTCTCGGTCTTTGTTGTCTGTATTGGGACGTGGTGGTGCGGTGCTGGCGGTTCCGAGTCGGCCGTACGCCTCTCCCGCGTTGATGTCGTCGAGCAAAATCATCGAGACCGGCGTCTTCGTTCCAAGCTGGCGAGAGCAAATATTCCAATATTTGCCAAAGTGATGGCCAGGAAGACAATGGAGTGTCTTGGGACGAGGAGAACTCGAGGGTGGGTGGGCTGGGAGAGAATGGCTGATATGCGTCCACCAAGCTCGCTAGATGGAACAGGCCATGATCAGTAATGCAAGATTGAATCTCGCGTCGTAAGCCCCTACTCCACGGACTCGGGCTGCCGCTGGGATTGAGGGGAAGAGATGCTTAGTGAACATCGGGCAAGGGTGATAAAAGAAGGCCGAAATCTAAGCTCACAACAAGGCTTCATGGGAAATACCCCACAAGGCGTCTTAGATGCAAATGACATCGCAGGTCGGGGATACAATACGGCCATGCTATTGGCTCGTTCGGGGTGGTACAGCAGCCAAGTTGCCGAGTCCGCGGATATTGCAACGTCCGCGGACTTTTGCACGCCGACGCTAGGGATTAAGTTAGTCCTGATGAATTTTCGTACGATTCAACGTGGTAATTTGAGATACGAGACAGGAAGTTACCCTGACTGTCAACGGTATTTGTAGCGTCAGAAAATACCCAGTGATATTGATTCTGTTATTGAATGACAGTCGATTCATCTATGTAAGTCGTGCTCTTGTAAGTCTTGAGCTGCATCGTCCGATCACCGATCCGCTCAACAGCGCTAAATCCATATCAAAATGGTGGAGCTTGACTTATCTGGCTCAAGTTAAATCGGGAACGTAACCGAATGCGACCGGATTTAGGAGATGCCGTTTGCCAAGTCCGGCCTCACCAATCGAACGGTCCAGATAAATGGCCCTCGCAGGCGAATCCCGGCCGTCCCGGGCTCCAATTCCACCTCTCCATCTCTGCTGTCACGACGGATTTTCTCTGCTATTTCTGCTCCGACTGCCGATGGTGGTACGGCTTTGGTTGGCATTTCGTACGTCAGACTGCATAGCGCAGTTTCCGAGCTGCTCAGGGATCCAGATGCCGGATAGCCGGGCGGTGGGCATCTGTAGAAATTCGACGGGCCACGCAGATCCCCTATGTTCTTCCCGTTGACCATTTGACGCCCTCTTCCTCACGCAAATACACCGGCATTCGAGGGGCCCTCTGCCCTCTGAGATAGACAATGGGCCGCCAGCCGCGAAAGCGCCAGATCTCGTGTCACTTCTGCCGCGCGCGCAAGCTGCGGTGCAATCGCGAGTTTCCCTGCTCCAATTGCACATCCCGCGGAGTTCCATGCCCGGAGCCTCAGCACGCCGCCTCACCGGCCGCCCAGCGCCCGGCAGCCAAGAAGGCGGCTCCCAAGGCCGGGGAGACGGACATCCAGAGCCGCCTGGAGCGACTGGAGGGTCTCCTGCATGGGCTGAGCAAGCACCTGGAGGCTTTACCCGAGCAGCCCCAGCCAACCGCCGTCGCCTCCTTTGAGCCCCTGGCTCCTCAGCTACCCCTACCACTAAAGGTCCAGAGCCTTACGAACGATGCTTTGCGGCTTGAAGCTTCTTGCATTGTCACTAAAACAAGCGTTAGTGGATAGGACCTCATCACTGTGTGATTTGCTAACTCCATCGCCAGGACTCTTTTTTCTCAGACAGCATCGTCTTTCGCGCGTGCCCCATCCGCTCAATCACGCAACTTTCATCATACATCTTTCAGGACTTGTCATCCGAGCCCACGCGATGTATTTGGCTGCCCAACCGCGGCGAGGCGGAGGTGTTGGTTGACAAGTACCTCAACGACCTCACCGCTATCCACCACATCGTCCACGCCCCCTCATTGAAGAAGATGGTGACGCTCATCTACGATAGCCTTCAAATGGGCACCCAAATATCGCTGGGGCTTGTGGTTCTTTTGCTGTCAATCCTCGCCATGGCCACCTATTCGTGGACACCCCTGGACGATGAGAAAAAGGTATTCCAAGACTTCAAGGAGGCCAACTCGCAGACTCTCTGTTGGGTCAAGGCCGCCTTCAATCTCCTTGAAATATGTCAACGCAATGCCCATAACTCCCTGGAATGTGTACAGGGGCTCACGATACTATCCATCGCCATTTTCAACCTCGAGGGCCTCTCCCCAAGAGGTCGAACCACTCTCGCTCGTGCTATATTCATGTGCCGAGAACTTGGGTTGAATCGCCTTGATCACGCTTACAGAGACACTCTCTTCGAACACTACCCACCTTTGACTGTACTGACGGCTGAAGTTGGAAGGAGGGTATGGTGGTATCTGATAGGAATCGATTGGTATGACTGACTCACCCACTTCACACTCCTACCCGGCCACTAACATGAATGATAGGATGCTTGCTCGTTTTCCCGGTCCACAAGAAGGGACGTACTTGATCAATCCGGAGCATATGGCGGTTAGAAAACCCCTCAACATCAGTGACGAGGATATGGCAGAAGGCCAAGAACTGGTCGCCAAGCCAATAGACCAGCCAACATCCATGTCCTTCTTCCTCCAACGCATTCGTGTAACGGAAATATTTCGAGTCTTTTCTGATCGAGTACCCCTTGAGAAATCCAACACAAGCGCCATTCGATACGAAACGGTCCTGCAGATTGATGCAGCAATCGACAGCTTCATCCAACACGAAATTCCAGCTTTCTTTACGATGGATGCCAAAAGCCTAGGGGAGCTCCCTCCTAATCATCCAAAGCGCTCCCGCACCATTTCAATCCAACGGCACGTTCTCAAAATTTTCGTCAACGGCCAGCGCTGCAGGCTTCACCTCCCCTACCTTGCGCGCGGTACAGTTGATCCAACGTACGCACATTCACGAGAAATATGCCTCAAGAGTGCGCGGCTCGTTCTTCAAGGACAACAAGACCTCGAGAAAGTAGACGCTTCTTTTGCCTGCACGAGACTTCGCATGGGTGTGGTTGCGCACAGCATTTTCTTGGCCGTCATTGCGCTGCTGTTTGACCTGTGCCTAGTGACCGATGCGGACGACAAAGTGGCCAGACAACAGGAAGCTGAGTATGCCTGGAAAATCTTGGAGGAATCCGAAGTGCAATCCGTCCCCGTCGCCAAGGGAATGGGCATCCTAAGAGAGGTTATGGAGAAGTACAGAATACCAGTTCCAAAGGTGAATGGGCATGGTCAGCAGGAGATCGTAATCAACGGCGCTCATGCTGCTATCCCGCTGAGGCCATGTACGACAGATAATATGGGGCCACCACCTGGAGTGGACTTTGGCAAAGACCACCATACTGGCGAGGATTTAGAAGGCCAGATATCCAGGATGGATCTGGAGGGTGTTGACTGGGACCGCCTATTCTGGGGTCTCGATGCCCCTTTTATCTAGGTTTAGCAAGAGAAAGTTGCGACAAATGTATAAGTAAATAGAAGAACTTGGCGAGTTTCGGGATTTTGCATATAGATTTTAATTCGTCATAAGAGGGTGTGGCTATTCTAATAATATAAAGTGACCACTGCCAGCATGCATACGGCGACCATTGCGATATTTTCGTATTAATTAGACCACACTACTTGGTGAAATCAACACATGGATAGTGTCATAGTAATGGGCTGCGATATCCCTTTCATTATCTGAGGATGGGAACGGAAACCTAACGCCGGCTAAAGCCAGCTTCTCTTGTAGGTAGAAGTGAGGGGATCACCCTGCGGGCCAGAGCCGTTGTAACGGTTTTCTGTCAAGTCGGACTTTATTATTTCTGACGACCAACATATTGGTCGTATTTAAATCTCCGATTGCTTCAAGGGAGCATCGAGGTCGTAGTCCTGCAATTAGTAAAACTTCAATTTAGCAATCATCGTCTGTGCAGGGATCGTTGTGCAAATTGGGAAGCCTCCATAATCTGGGTCATTATTCGACATGTTTGCAAGAGTACCTGACCACGTCTCATCGTACACCCGCACGTCTCTTTCTAAGGCATCCCAGGAGCTGCCAGCCGCGGAATCGCTTGGCAATAAGATCAACGTGCGCAAGCCCTACATAGCTTAGATATGTTCGTGGCACACCTAGACATGGTGCAGGCAAAGGCCGAGGGTTTGCCTTGAGGAACAAAGACGAAAGTTTTTATGCCCAACAGAATGCCGGCCTTGAACAACGAAGATAGAGGACATACGAGGCACCCCGCTTCTCGTCTTGAGGCTGAGAAGAGGGAAGCTGGTGATGGCGCTAATCCCAAAACGACGCTCATGGTTCGAGGCACGAGGCAACGAGACGTGTTAGACAAATGGCGCTCGCCTTTGGAGGAACGACGTGAGGAAAGGTCTGTAAATATCTACCAAAATTTGGGAATTTCGCACATCCAGCTTCGTTACTCAAGGCTCCTTTCGGTTTGCGTCACCTGTTTGGTCGATTCTAATAATGTGACACCCTGTGTCAGAGTGCAGAATAGACCGAGATTCCTATGCAAGGAGGTACAATTATAGTGATACAGGTACATTATGTCTCAGCCTGACGGCATATCTCTCTGCTCGATCACGTGCAAAGCTGAAGGCATTAGGCATCATCTTCAATTCGAACTTCAGCTAGCTAGCTACCCAGTTGTCCATTCATCTCCACATGATGGCCTCACCAGATCGCTCACTCTTGCAGGTTCCAGAGCCCAACCGCCTTGTGAGCCTCCCTGCCGAGCTCCGTATCGCGATCGTGTCATACCTGCCCAACCGCGACATTAAAAGCTTGCGTCGGACATGCAAGCTCTTTGGCGAAAGCGTGCTTTTGCACATCGACCGCGTTTTCCTGTCCGCCAATCCCATCGACATCAGGGTGCTTAGAGCGATTGCGAAACACGAGACATACCGCCATGGAGTCGTCGAGCTCATTTGGGATGATGCGCGCCTGGATGTGCCCCCAGATCCACCAGCGTACGACAACTTCCGAGATATCGAGACATTCTGGAAAAGTTGGTATGAAGAGGTCTGTGAGAGCAATGTCATGGAAGCAGAGCATCGGAAGGGCTCTGATGTCAACCGTCCAGACCACGCGGCAAGGGACCGATGGATCGCCGCCCAACCATCAACTGAAGTGCTCTGGCTGCACTTTAAGAAGATGTTTTCAAGACAGCGCGACGTTTCCACAACAAGCCGCGATGCCTCCGCTCTGAAGTATGCACTGGCACAATTCCCTTCACTACGGAAGATTACCTTGACACCCGCGACTCACGGCGTGCACTTCACCCCACTGTACCAGACGCCCACGATTCGCGCCATGCCGTATGGCTTCAACTATCCCATCCCCCGCGGCTGGCCGGTCAAGAAACCAGGGGGGTGGGAAAGTATGCCTTCGTGGCAGAGCAGCAGCTCTGAGGAAGATGCTCTCGACTACACAGGTGGCGTGGATTATGCATTATTACACGGGCGCTTGCTCGCGAGAGGCACAACATCTCCGAGTTTGTCGTAGACGTGTCTGCTCAACACGGGTCTAAACGTCCACATGTTTGACCAACCCTGTGATGAGTACAACGACTTTATCACAATGCTTCGTAAACCTGGCTTCCGCCGCATCGACCTCGCGTTCCTTGTGGATGGACAAAGCTATAGGAGCTGGAAAGCCTTTTGCAACGGCCAGTTACGATCTGCACTCGCCCTCGCCACAGACCTAGAGCATGTCAGTCTCTGTACAAACGTTCCCTACGAGGTCAGCAACAAGATCTGGGCGGAGAACAACATTAGGTACTTCGTTCCGCTGCGTGCCATTTTCCAAGTCGAAGCTGGCCGAAACTTGGACATTTTGGGCTTTCAGGATTTGCCGTACAGCAAGACGACATTATCTCTCTGCTCGCTGCCCTGCCACCGACGTTGCGGTCGGTGGAACTGAGCTTCCTCTACTTTCTATAAGGGCACGGTACAAACAGGGAGTTTGTCGCTGCAATGCGTGACACTCTTGATTGGCGTGAGCGCCCTGTGAGTGACAGGCCCAGGATCACCATGGGTTGGCATAGGGATGGCGTGGTGCCGAAAGATGGGCGGGCCCTGTGGGTGGACGAGCAGGTCAACGAATTCGTCTACGGCCACGGCGAAAACCCGTTTACGGAGGATATCCCGAACCATGTCTCGACAGGCGTAGGGACTTGGCGGGACTTTTTTGAACCGGCCTATGAAAGACCCAATGTGGAAGATGCAGACTTGGTGCGCATGGGAATAATTAAGAAGAGTGAGTCGTTCGGTGCTTACCGCAGATGCCCCTGCGGGGCTACTTCCAGAGACTCAGAGTAGGACTCTACGACTTGGACTGAAACAGCGGCCCAGGAATAAGAGGACCTATATACTGGAGGGGAGTGCAGTCATATATGAGTATGAAAAAGCAAATAGTTTAATCTGATATTTGCATCTGTCTTGCCCTATTCTAACTTAACAAATGGATTGAAGAATTCCGAATTGAATATCCCGCTCTCGACATTAGCCACCGCATTACGACACCCTCCCCTTGCTCTCTTTCTCCTGCTCTTGGATTTTGCGCTCCAACACATCCAATCCCACCATAGGCTTAACAAAACTATCCAAAAACCCTACCGGCAAAAGGGCACCCACCCGCAACTCCTTCGCATAACGACCCTGCCATACCCAAAAGGGCGGATGCGATTTATCAAGATTCTTGACAACCTGTTCCGCCCACTTGAAACGGTCCATGGTGTCACCGTCTTTGCCAGCCATGAACTTTTCGATGGGTTCCTTTGCCAAGTTGTAAAGCGAGTTGGATGGCAGCGTGGCACTGGGGGCATTGTCGAAGAAGTTTGACCCCACGGCGCCCGTCATCAGGTTGATCACCTTGATGCCAAACGGCGCAAGTTCCACACGCATGGATTCCGTTAGACTTGCCGCGGCGGCCTTGGAAGCGTTGTACGAGCCATGGAACGGAAGACCGCCGACGCTGACTGAGGCGATTGAGGTGTTGTTGATCACCATAGGGCCGCGAGTCGACTTCATCAGAAGCGGGAGAAATGATTGGGTCATGCTGAGTAGAGGAAAGACATTTATATCAAAAAGCTCTCTGGCTTTGCCAATGTCAACGTCCATGAGCGGCATACAGTACCCAGCGCCGGCATTGTTCAATACGGCATCGAGCGAACCACCGGTGAGCTCTTGGACTTTGGCGACACTGTTTTTGATTGACTCATCGGAGTTGATGTCCAGCTGTATGATCTCGATGCCTGTGACTTCAACTTCCTTCAGCTTGGACATGTTGCGAGCTGATGCAAAGACACGCCATCCGGTCTTGTGGAAGGTAAGGGCAAGTGCAGAGCCCAAGCCACCGTCGGAGCAGCCGGTAATGAGGATAGATCGTTTAGAGGCCATGATGAGTTATTAAGCATAATTTGTTGCCTTAAAATGGAAGATCAAACGGGGTAGGATGAGTATTTATAGTAAATATTTATTGCGGGAGTTGCGGGGAAATCCCACGGAAATCGCAACTTGGAGGCTGCGATGAAATCCGAGGGTGTGGTGTCAAACCTTGGAAAGGCTTCAATCCCGTTAGACTAACTCATTTGAAACAATTTATCGGTCGGATCTTAGTCCGAGGGTATCGTATTGATTAGTCGGAGGCCTTTTCTCTTGGGAATCCCCCGAACCGGAGGCTTTGTCTTGACTGGGGCTCATTGACCTACGGAGGCTTTCTCAACCGATCGAGAAGCGATTCGGCGGGACAATTCAGCCGGTCGTCTCATGGCCTCCGCTGTTCTCTGTCGATTGGTGTGGGTCTAATTAAAGGTGCAGGATAATCACCGGGTTGGGGGATTGGCATTTAGGAAGGGAAAGTCACGCAACCCCCCCAGCGGCAGTTAGATTCCAGCCTCGACTGATATGGATTTGATAATTATAACCACCTTTATCACCATAGTCTAAGTCTTAGACTGGCGGAGATTTAATTTTACAAGTTGGGACTGACTTCGGTAAACTGTTGAGCGTTCCAAGCAGACATGCCCATGCAGAAGTCGCTACCTGATATCTAGTCGTGGAGAAGGTCAACTATGCCAATTGACACAGGTAATACGTTGCAAAATATGGAGGCAGGCTAAGGCATTTTCTTTAATGTGTATAAGAACATGGTGCCTTACGATACAAAGGGATGTATGTAGCCTGGACTACTGAAGACTGAGAACTGCTGCTGTGAGATGGTTGAAGTTGAAGTCGGTAGGCTAAATCACCAAAATTCTAATAATCTCGAATATATTCGATGAACACTCCACTGTAAGCCTGTGGGCTATCTCCAAGACTCTAACTGAACCCGATCACGAAGTATTTAGAACCATCACGTTATCATGTCAACTTCGGAACGTGAGAAGTAGAATTAACCAGACAGTCTAGGCGATTTTCTTTTGCTCTCTCCATCGTCTTCGGAGCACTTGTGCGGCACTCTTCGGCCTTCGATCTCGCGTAAAGATGCCTTTCTTATTTCCATCTACCCGAAACATGGTCGAAGTGCAGTGAAAGTCGGCAAACGTCCACACATGCTCTCCAACAACACCATCGACTCGGTCAAAGACCCGATGGAACATCTCTAGGAACCGACTTTGATATTCCTCGCTCCATGGAACATCGCACACGGCGTGCAGCCCGGCTTGAGTATCGGCGCCGTATTCTGTCATGATGATGGGTTTGCCATATGTCTCCTGCCAGCCTAGCAGATCCTTCTCCAACGCCTGCTCTGCGGCCTCTAGGTCTCCACTCTGTGAATACCAACCATAGTAACGATTTAGACAGAGAACATCGAATAGATCTGTGATTATATCCTTTTCGACAGTTGCGTGACCCATGTTTGTGAAGCAGACTGGACGAGTAGGGTCAAGCGTGCGCGTTAGGGTAACCAATGGTTCCATATACTCGCGTGCCCCAGACTCGCTAGACGCAGGCTCGTTGGCGATCGTCCATAAAACCACAGAGGCATGGTTCTTATCTCGCGCTATAAGTTCTCGGATCCCCTGCGCATGCGCTGCCTGCGTCTTTTCGTTGATTGACTCTGGAGAAAAGGTAGGGGGGGCTTTGAAGCCGAAAACACCGGCGACGATGCCAAGGTTGAGGCCGACCGCTGCAGTCTCGTCAATCACCACGATACCGTGCCTATCTGCATAGTCGAGTACCTCCTCTGCATATGGATAATGTGCCGTCCGAAATGAATTAGCACCCATCCAGTCCATCAAGTGAAAATCGTGGATCATGTAGGCGGGATCAAACCCCTTGCCTCGAATAGGTGTGTCCTCATGTTTGCCAAATCCGGTGAAATAAAATGGCTTATCGTTGATCAGGAACTGATTGCCGCTGACCTTGACTGAGCGTACCCCAACAGCAAGCTCGTAGCTGTCTAGAATTTCGGCATCTCCATTTGATAGGATTTTTGCAGTGAGTTGATACAGATAGGCTGAGCCTGGCTGCCAAGGGTGTACCGAGTCTAACTGTATGCGATTCTTCTGTCCTGTCCCTTTGGCGACAATGTTTCCATCTTCGTCTGTCAATGATACACGGATTCTATCATTTTCGACAGGATGACTTGTTTCAATGTGAAAATCCACAATGCCGACACCACCGGCAAGAAGATCCGTGGAGATTGTAATGTCATTGATGAAAACTTTAGGCACGCAATAGAGGTGTACTGAGCGTGCCAGCCCAGAGTAGTTGAAGAAATCGTGCTGGTAGTGCTGTTTCCGCTTCCCATTTGGGAGCTCCTCAATTCGCCCAGGGGGGATAGTATCCCAACCAAGTTCGTTATTCACTGCTATAGTGAGGCGGAACTGCTCCCCAGGAGCAAGCAGATGGGTAATCTCGGCTTCGAAAGGCGTATAACCGCCAATGTGCTCAACAATGAAGTGATCATTGATGTAGACACGTCCTTGGTGGGTTGCGGCATCGAGACGCAAAAAGTATCGTTCTGAAGTGGGCCATCCTCGCGGGATAGTAACCTTTCGCTGGTAATAAACCCATCCGACATGGTCCCGGATACTTCTGTCGACAAAGATGTCGTTGTAACTTGCGGGCACCGGAACCTGCAGTTTTGGGGAGATGAACTTAGTCCAAGCTTGCTCTGTCTCGATAGTTGGCGAAGACGCTACTGCGAAATTCCAAATCCCATCCAAGGAGACAAGCTCCCGGGTTGAGTTGGCTTGGGGCTTGAGCATATTGAGGCTATGGAGAGAAATGTCCAGCAAGTAGGCCGGGAATGATGACAGAAAGGGTAAGGGACATTGGGGCAAGTTTAGCGTACTATAAGTTATCTTTCTTGGTGAGATGTGATTGCAGTTTATGTACGCCGCTTGCCGCTCCGGCTCCTCCCACATCCGGGGAGTGTTTGGTCTATTTCACCATCGGCGAGAAGACCGGCTCGGGAATTCCGAAGTTGATACAACCACTTCCGCCCCGCTTTTATGAAGAGTTCGTCAGAATACATGTGATTACATGCAGGACCACGGGGACGACTTCTTAACAAGGTCAAGTGTTCCCGGAAGGGCATACATAAACGGAGTGAACGTCGAAAACAGACCTATAAGATTCATTGTATAGGGAGCTGATCCGTCAGGGTGTCCAGGATCCGCGAATTGCTGCAGGTTCTGGCTCGTCACAGGGCTGCAAGAACCCTGTGTCCACTCCGGCTCCACACTTCGGGCCAGGGAGCATGTTGAGAGGGTGGAGGAACGGTAAGTGTTAACGGGAATAGTCTGGGGAAAATGCGGGGGATATCGCCTTGATTATGGAGGTTTTGTATTTATATCAGCCTTGTGGCTTGGCAGACAACAACCTCGTTTACTTTAGTAATCTACTTCCAAGAATAAACGCTGCATCAAACAATCCAAGGACATCCCTCTGACTAGGTGTATAGAACATGTTCTGTGGTTGATTTGCTCTTAATAATGTATTTGTAAACCGCTCATGCTTGGAAGCCGGTTTTGCTGATACATATTCTCTTGCGAGGCCGAGGTGCACGTCCACTCTTTGGCCCCCATGCCCCAAGAGGCTATGGCCTGGAGTAATTCCACTTGGTACGGGGTGAATGTCTGCTATTCCACCACAACAACAATCTTGCCGTTGGCCTTGCCAGATTCCATCAGCCTATGAGCATCTTGAATCTCGTTGAACTTGAATATCTTGGAGGGTTTGGCGTCGAATTTAGAATTAGCAATACTCCGGATGATGTCCTTCAGTGGAACATCCGAGAGAGGGAATTCTGGCGTTCCAAACACAAAGCTCCCAAAGAAATTGAAGTGGACGCCACTCGCCATCTGCAGCAGAGGGTTGAAGCCTGGGAGTGGGCCAGGTCCCTGAATAGGATCAAGGCCGCCCAGCCACCCTGCCAGACAAAGCCGGCCATCCCGTTTAACCAGGGTCAATGATTCCACAACCGTGGTGTTCCCCACAAGCTCCAAGACCCGGTCGAACTTCTCGGGCTTTCCCTGTTCCTGTAGACGCCGAGGAAGCCCGGGGCCTTCCAGAATCGCATCGACGACGCCCAGCGCTTTCAGCTCTGCGAACTTTTGCTCGCTTCGAGTGGTAGCTGTGACGATTGCGCCGGCCTCGACAGCCAGGTTGACAGCCGCCCTCCCGAACGCAGAAGTGGCACCACGGATCAACAATGTGTGTCCCTTTTCGAGCGCCAGGTTTCTGAACAAACATGTCCACGCCGTGGCATAGCTCTCAGGAATTGCAGCTAGCTCCGCCCAAGACAATGGCAGTATCTCGTGCAGATCACCAAGAGCAACAATATTATTGACACTGGCAACAGTGTATTCGGCGTAGCTGCCAGGGATTGTTCGTCCGAGACCACCCATGAGCGAGGCGACTGGGGCTCCGACAGGAAGCTCACCACCTGGACAATCCTCGATCGTGCCGACGCATTCGATGCCGCTGATGGGTACGGACTCGGCCCACTCCCCCCGGCGCATGTGAATCTCGGCGTGATTGACACCGAAAGCGCGGATGCGGATAAGGGCTGTGCCTAAAGTGGCCGAGGGCTTTGGGGCGTCTTGAATGCGGAGATTCTCAACGGGACCGAAGGCGGATATAACGATGGCTTTCATTGTGTCGGATGTGAGTGATGGCTGGGATACTTGTTTATTGCGTAAGTAATTGCACCAAGCCTGAGAGAAGAGTTGTGAGCAGATGAAGGCTGTAGATGAAGGCTGCAGGTGGACTGTGATATACTTGTAGACTAGGGTGAGAAAGCCATCCGTAATGGTATGTATAAGCATCGCAATTATTAATCGCTGATTTCTCAGCTAAGAACAGGATGTATTCCCAAGGGCGCAAGTGGCAACAGCACTGGACCGGCGTCAGGATCTTGACGTGGCTGCACACACTTCAATACCCTGCCTGTCACACATGCAATGGGTGAAGGGAAAAATGATAGAATAAAGTCTATTGATAAATTCGCTCAGAGATGTTCCATCGGATGCTGCAGTTGCAGTGACTATGGGAAGTTAATTGCCTTGGCGCACACTCGCCCGATGCTTGATGACGAGATTCCACGTAATTATGGTCTCACAGCCTGCGCAGTCGTGTCCGCGTCCGCGTCCCTCGTCTCCGGATTTAAAACATTCTTGATTCCAAATTCTCCGTGTAAAGGGCGTGAGTGGACATGATGTAGGCTAATATAGAACTACGCTAAGCGGGAGAGAGCGGTCGTGAAGCGGCTACCCGTGCCGAACCGTGTATGTATCCTCGTTGTGTCTGACAATGACGTTATATCTTAGTGAGAAAATTGCATAAGCAGTCTTTCGGAGAGAATCAGGTGCTCTGATCTCAATCACCGTCTTCTTGTTTTTTATCATCCAATGTCGAAGAAGCGCCATACAAACTGCCCCCCAATAAACATATAAGTGCAATTCCCTATAAACCTTCCTGTCTCGGAAGATGACGGTGCTGCGACCACCTTTCCAAACACCCGGATGCACTCGATGTTTCTCTTCCAACAACTGATTCTACATCTTTGTCTCTGAGAGACGTATCGCGCTTGAAAATGCTATTCTGCTACCCCCGAACTGCACAAGCGGACAAAGTGATACTCGAAACATGGAGAATATCCGGAGCCAATGGCTGCACCCCCAAGGCTTGTTCTTTGCGAATCTGCCCCACTTGCGTGAATTGGGGGTGGCAAAAGTCGATGAGTTCAGTACACAGGGTGTTGAGAAACAGAAAGAAGCCCATACCCGGCTACATTTTTCCTACAACTTTATCAGCGACGAGTATCACGAGTTCAATCACACGCTGGGACTCCCGACATTTTAATGGAATGAGAAGAAGTTGATTAAGAGAATTACATTGGGAACTGAAGATGGGGAATTGTGCGCCACTGGTATCTTGTGTTTCCGTTAGACAAGAATGTTGATATAGTTATCCAGTGGCTGGAAGAAAAGAGAAGGGTTTGAATTACGGAGCTAGAAATCGAAGAAACAGCTAGTTGGATGAACGGAGAGAATTGTATGAAAACCAAATACCATACATACATGCGCCCTTTAAATCCCAACCATCTAGTCTATATAATTACCTCCTTAGGACCCTACATTATTGTTACATTCGCAAACGTGGCAATTCTAATCCTCCTCCATCGTATCCCTCTCGTGAATAGCTTTCCTAATAGCAAAATTCCCCAGTCGCACAAGTTCGGCCACAAAATTATCCACCTGCTTGATGTGGAGAATATCGTGCGGAAGCTGCTGCACCCGCATGCGTCTGATTAACTCCGGCGCTGATTTCAAGAGGGCGAGGTCGTCGTTGGCGGCTGGGTCAAGCGGGTTGAGTAAAAGGTTGCAGAAGATATTTGTGATGGCGGATATCGGATGGAAGAGGATGAGCCTAACAATACTTTAGCAATAAGGCATCCAAACATGGCTTCCACATGGCCTACCAGAATGCACCTTCGAACAGTGCGTGATTCGCGGCACGTAGATAGAAAAGCGTTGATCGACTCGCCTCCACAGACAGAGCCAAACTAGAGCTGACGCCCTCAAGCTCACCCTTCTTGCTGTTTGGCCAAGCACTACACCTGCCACTCGCTAGATGAATCATCACCATGAGATAGTGGTAGTCGACATGCCTCATGATGATACGCGTGCTCAGGAGAGGCTTAACGTCAATTTCTAAGCGGGTCTCCCTGCATAATGATAGAGACGGGCGGAACTTGGGGGGTAGCGAAACCCGCCATTGCTCGAGTTCGTTGTCGAGTTCGCGGATGTCACTGAGGAGACTTGCATCTGACTTGCGCATGGCCTCGGCCGAGTACAGAAGTCTGCTCGTTTTTGACTTGATCAGGCTCAACCGGAGGTCGCCTGGGAACGACGGGACAGTTGCCGCCGGGTACCCTAACATGGCCTTTTCATCATCAATCTCGACATATTGAGCTTCCAGGTATCCCTCTGGAAGTGTCAGATCGCAGTGTTCATCCGCCATCGAAGGTGGATGGCCAGTTCGCAGGGCCAGTTCCTTGTCAAAGATGAAACAGATCCAGAACAGGTCGCGTAGGTGACACTTTGCCCGTCCGGGATGGTCCGCACTCGCAGTAGACGGCATCCGTGGTGCAGGCTGAGAGTGGGAGCCAAGCATAATGGCCAGTCGACATGCGAGAGAGTGGTTAACTACGGCTGCAGGAAGTTGCCCACAGAAAGCTTGATACATGGCCTAGACGAGGTTAATGTTTGGCGAGCCATTGTGCGTGGAGATGGCAAAGGGTAAAACGAAGAAGAGTGCTAGGGCGTTCTTACAAGCAAAAAGGTAGTCTGTAGGGTGACTATATTCACTGCTAACAGGGTATGGGGTAACAAGTATTGAGCCTTTGCAGCACAGGCATCACCGTCAACCTGAGCAATCAACTCGCTTGTTTCCTCGCGCATAGAGGACATGACAGTTAGAAAGATGAAGACGCATGCTTTGGCTCCTATTTGCTCTACCGACGGTGAAGACGACTGCGGTTCGAAGGCAAGTTCCACAGTCTGCCGGAACAGAACAGGGTCAAGAACGGGAAACTGGGCCCAGACCAGTTCCGAGTAGACGTGGAGGTACTCCAGGACGATCTTTCGATCAGGGAGCTCCAGCCACGACGACAGCTGCTGGGGGCCTGTCGAAAGCGGTGGCAGGCCCGGCAGATATGAGGCTTGGAGGGCACCGCCAACGCCTTCGGATCCCAGGAACGCAGGGGGCTCGCCGGTGCGGGACTGGATCCACTGGATGCCGTCTGCGGAGAAGGAGGGGATGCCGCTGCTGGAGCTGACCTGGCCGAGGAGGAAGCCGGCGAAGTGGATTTTGGCAAAGGTGACGGGTGGTGAGTGGCTGGAAGAGTGGCTTAAGGGGGGGTAGTGTGAGGTGTGGTGTGAGGGAGCGGCTACAGCTACACGGGGACAAGTTAGAGGCTTGCACGGTGATAATAGCCGGTATAAGGGCAAACTTGCGTTTTGTCTCGGCCTCCTTGAGCTGTGTTAGGGCTACGGCAAGGGCATCTTCTAGTCTACCGATGCGAGCTGCCAATTCCGGATCCGACCTGCATGACGAAGTCGGCTGTTGTCAGCATGGGTTGATCAAGGCTGCAAGGGGAGCTACAAAACAGGAGACATTCGGTACTGAAGACCAGCGTCCAGGGGCAAGGAAGGCACTGACTTGGAATTCGCAGCATGCTTCTTAGGTCTGTTGGCGCGCTCGTAAGAGCACTTCAGGTTATGATGCTTGCACCAGTCGCATTGTGGCACCGCCGCATCGCATCGGATCTGGAGCGGCATCAGCCCCAGCTCGGGACGGGACGAAAGAGGAAAGGACCCGACGAGGCGGAGACGAAATGACGGCGACGCACCTTTCTGCGGTGGCAGGAATCACAGGCTATCTTGCCCATGGTGGGATGAGAGGGCTCCCGGAGAGGGAGTTGGGACAGGATCGGGCCGCGACGCCGTTACGGGCCGTCCAACGCCGGCGATGAAGGGGAATTATTGGGGAAATGGGGAAATGGAGAAGGGCAACGAGGGAGGGGCTGGTGAGAAACAATAGAGAAGGACGTTCTCGACGCCCGGATGGACAGATTATCACCGTCTCATCTGGCGCTCCGGCGAGACCGGGCACCACTCCACCCGTTCATTGGATACTCGGCGCTCGGCGGCCGTTGCCGCTGAGTCAGCGGGCCGTTCGCCGAGAGGCTAAACTGCTTTGATACGTTGTCAAACGTGGGATTGCTACGATAAATTCGACACGGCTGGGCGAGTTACAGACTCTACGGCGGAACTGCGTCCTATTTCAGTAATCCGTTCACACAACATCCCTCTCCAATTGTTCTTCAATTCTTCAGACGCAGATGAGTCAGCGGGCCGTCCGCCGAGATGCGAATCCACTTTAATCTGTCGCTAATCGCGACAATGCGACGCTATCGACGGCGTCTAATTTGATACAGGGACGAGTTACGTACACTGAGGTGGAACTTCGTCCCATCTAAGTAATTCTTTCGCACAATAGTTCAACATGCTTCTAGAATTGTTCTTTGATCCTTCAAACGCGCATGAGTCAGCGGGCCGTTCGCCGATATGAGCGCAGTCTCTGCCTTCGCCGTGACTATGCCTCTCGTGTACACGGTCTAAACAGCGCCGGAGATGAACACTGGACAGGATGACGCACAACGGTATGGCGATCTCATAAAAGTAGAGCTCTCCCGTTTGTTTCCGTGATGATGTGAGAAACCAAGTCGCCGTTCATGACTTCATCCATTCTTCACCTACCGTTCTCCACTTGTCTCGATTGTCGTCCTGGCGCTGTGAACTTATCATCATGGCCCCGACAACGGAGACCAACGTCCCCGGCGACGAGAAAACTTCCTCCGTTCCCGGCGCCGAAGATGCGGCTGAATGGTCTCTCAAACCTCGCGTCGAGGAGTTCCGACAACGCGACGCCCAGTCGGGCTTCCCCAAGAAAGAGCTCGGCATCACTTGGCAGAACCTCACTGTACAGGCCGTCAGCGCAGAAGCCACCATCCACGACAACGTCATCACGCAGTTCAACGCCTTCCAGATCATTCAGGAACTGCGCCACAAACAATCCCTCAAGACGATCCTCGACAACAGCCATGGCTGCGTCAAGCCCGGCGAGATGCTTCTGGTGCTGGGACGTCCCGGGTCTGGCTGCACGACGCTGCTCAACATCTTGGCGAACCAGCGTCGCGGCTACGCCTCTGTCAGCGGCGATGTGCACTACGGCTCCATGGATGCGAAGCAGGCAGAGCGGTATCGCGGCCAGATCATCCTCAACACCGAGGACGAGCTTTTCTTCCCCTCGTTGACGGTGAGCCAGACGATGGACTTTGCGACCCGCCTAAAGACGCCGTTTCAGTTGCCCAAGACGGTTGGCTCCAGCGAGGAATTGCGGACGCAAACTCGTGATTTCTTGCTGCAATCGATGGGTATCGAGCATACCGTCGGCACCAAGGTTGGAAATGAGTTTATTCGTGGTGTTTCTGGTGGGGAGCGGAAACGAGTGTCTATCATCGAGTGTCTTGCGACGCGCGGCTCGGTCTATTGTTGGGATAACAGCACTCGGGGTCTAGATGCCAGCACGTAAGTCAACTCTATTTGTAACGCTGTTGCAAAAATCCCTCGGGGGAGTCAATCTAATTGGATGCAGAGCACTCGAATACACCAAAGCGATCCGCGCCTTCACAGACGTCCTCGGCCTCTCCACCATCGTCACCCTCTACCAAGCCGGCAACGGCATTTACAACCAATTCGACAAAGTTCTCGTGCTTGATGGCGGACGACAGATCTTTTACGGTTCGCGCGAGGAGGCACGTCCGTTTGCAGAAGAGCTTGGCTTCGTCTGCCAAGACGGCGCCAACGTTGCCGACTTCCTCACCGGCATCACGGTTCCGACCGAACGTAAGATTCGCAAGGGGTGCGAGAATACGTTTCCCCGAAATGCTGAGGCACTGCAAAAGGCATATGAAGAGTCGCCTATCTACACTAGGATGGTGTCCGAGTATAACTACCCTTCTACGGCCGCGGCAAAAGACAGCACAAAACTATTCCAAGAGGGCATCTCGGTCGAAAAGGATCGTCAACTATCTGCCAAGAGCCCTCTGACAGTGGGTTTCATTCCCCAGGTCAAAGCATGCGTTATCCGACAGTATCAAATCATCTGGGGCGACAAAATCACCTTCTTCACCAAGCAGCTGAGCGTTCTACTCCAGGCCATCATCGCTGGGTCTCTCTTCTACAACGCCCCGAACACAACAGCTGGACTCTTTGTCAAGTCGGGGGCTCTGTTTTTTAGCATCATGTTCAACTCGCTGCTCGCCATGTCCGAGGTTACAGATTCATTCACCGGCCGCCCGGTCCTTGCTAAGCATCGGTCATTTGCCCTGATTCACCCTGCTACCTACTGCCTCGCCCAAATCACCGCAGACATACCAATTATCTTGTTCCAGATCTCGGTGTTTTCCGTCATCGTGTATTTCATGGTTGGCCTAACGGCGGCTGCGAAATCATTTTTTACATTTTGGATCATCTTGGTGACTACAACAATGGTCAGTACTGTTACTCGCTGCGAAACAAACCCTCGCTAACCTCTGCCATCCTAGTGTATGACAGCCCTTTTCCGATCTATTGGTGCCACCTTTTCGACATTCGACAAAGCTACCAAGGTCTCTGGATTGGTTATCATCGCGACAGTTCTATATAACGGATACATGATTCCGAAACCAAAGATGCATCCGTGGTTTATATGGATTTTCTGGATCAACCCTCTCTCATACGCGTTTGAAGCACTCATGTCGAATGAGTTTCACGACAAAGTCATTCCTTGCGTCGGACCCAACTTGGCTCCCGTAGGTCCAGGATACAACGACACGGATCACCAGTCCTGTGCTGGTGTCATGGGTGCGATTCCTGGACAGACATCTGTTTTGGGCGACAATTATCTTCAGGCAATGTCATACAACCATTCGCATCTCTGGAGAAACCTGGGGATTCTGTGGGCCTGGTGGGCGCTGTTTGTGTTTGTCACTATTGCCACGACCTCAAATTGGCGTTTCTCGGCACCGGGAGGCTCACCCCAGCGCATCCCCAGAGAGAAGACCAAAATTGCTGTGGCCCCCATTGTCGATGAAGAGTCGCAGAGTCCAGAGAAGGGTCGCGGACCCACTGAGAACGTAACATTGAGTGAACAATCTGATAGCACCGCGGTAGTGGATGGTGCTCTTGTGCGAAACACATCCGTCTTTACCTGGAAGAACCTCTACTACACTATTGGGACGCCTAACGGGGAGAGGACCCTTCTGCATAACGTACAGGGTTGGGTGAAGCCAGGAATGCTCGGCGCCCTAATGGGAGCGTCAGGCGCGGGTAAAACAACACTACTCGATGTTCTTGCACAGAGAAAAACCGAGGGTACAATCAAGGGATCAATCATGGTCGACGGCCGACCTCTTCCGGTTTCTTTCCAACGCTCAGCCGGGTACTGCGAACAACTCGATGTCCACGAACCGTTTGCGACAGTCCGCGAGGCTTTGGAATTCTCAGCTTTATTGAGGCAACCCCGTGACGTGCCACGAGAAGAAAAGCTCCAATACGTCGATACCATTATTAATTTGCTTGAGCTTGGCGACCTCGCTGATACGCTTATCGGTACCGTCGGAAATGGTTTGTCGGTGGAACAGAGGAAACGTGTTACCATCGCCGTGGAGCTTGTATCGAAGCCCAGCATCCTCATCTTCCTCGACGAGCCGACTTCAGGTCTCGACGGACAATCGGCTTTTAATACGGTGCGGTTCCTCCGAAAGCTAGCCGACGTCGGTCAGGCTGTGCTTGTAACCATCCACCAGCCCTCCGCCCAGCTCTTCGCACAATTTGACAGCCTCTTGTTGCTAGCGAAGGGGGGCAAGACTGTCTACTTTGGTGACATTGGAGATAATGCAGACACGGTCAAATCCTATTTCGATAAGCATGGCGCGACCTGTCCCCCAGAGTCCAACCCTGCCGAGTTCATCATCGATGTTGTTTCGGGCCACTTGTCGCAGGGTAGAGATTGGGCAGAGGTTTGGTTAACCTCCCCAGAACACGAGGCTGTTGAAACTGAGCTCGATCGAATTATCTCAGAGGCGGCTGCAAAACCACCAGCAACAGTGGACGACGGCCACGAATTCGCGACGCCAATGTGGGAGCAGATCAAGATTGTAACACACCGGATGAATGTGTCGATATTGCGCAACACGGACTACATCAACAACAAGTTTGTTCTACACATTTTCTGCGCGTTATACAACGGCTTCTCGTTCTGGAAGATTGGCGACTCCCTTAGCGACCTGCAGCTGCGTCTCTTCACTGTTTTCAACTTCATCTTCGTCGCACCAGGCGTTATCAACCAGCTGCAACCGCTCTTTATCGAGCGCCGCGATATCTTTGAGACTCGCGAAAAGAAGTCAAAGATGTACTCGTGGGTTGCGTTTGTCACCGGTCTTATCGTGTCTGAGATCCCCTACCTTATTATTTGCGCCGTGCTCTATTACGTGTGCTGGTACTACACTGTTGGGTTTCTTACTGAGAGCTCTCAAGCCGGCGCTACGTTCTTCGTCATGCTCATGTACGAATTCATCTACACTGGCATCGGACAGTTTATCGCAGCCTACGCGCCCAATGCGGTCTTTGCCTCCTTGGTCAACCCCTTCCTCTTGGGCACGCTTATTATGTTCTGCGGTGTGCTTGTTTCATATGATCAGATTACACCATTCTGGCGCTACTGGATCTACTGGATGAATCCGTTCAACTACCTGATGGGCAGCCTACTTGTCTTTGATGTCTGGGACCAGCCGGTGAACTGCGACAGCCTCGAATTCGCCGTCCTCAACCCACCGAATGGTTCCACCTGTGGCGACTACTTGTCGTTTTATCTGTCTATTGATGGCATGGGCGCTGTCAGTAACCTCGTCAACCCAAACGCAACGGCTGAGTGTCGCATCTGCCCCTACCGTGACGGCAGCGACTACCTGAAGACATTGAATCTCAAGGAATACTACTACGGATGGCGGGACGCTGGTATTGTTGTGATTTTTGTTCTCAGCTCGTACTCGCTTGTGTACATGCTGATGAAGCTGCGAACAAAGACGTCCAAGAAGGCTCAATAAATGGTGCGTTAGACGGGTGGCATGAGATTGGCCATACATCCACACTTCTCTTTTTGTTTTGTGTCAACTATAGGGCGTTCTTCATTGTCGCAGGCCCTACACACATGTATCATAATATTTGATGGTCGTTAAAGGAGACTCCTGGGATATTAGATTAGATCTTAAACTTAATTCACAATGCTCGCAAGAGAGGGATCCATCAATGAATGCCGCGACATCATGCAGATTCTCCTTGACACTGAGCCGCATGGTCTCGACGTACTCACTACTCGGGCGAACCAAGCGGTGAAACCGAAATTTTGGCCGTGACCAACCATATGCATCACACGTTGCTGCCTTGGTACCATACCTTACACAGCCAGGAAATGTGGATGCTGAATTCAGGCGAAATTACAAACGTATCCAATCATCCAGAACGAGAAGTCAAGCCTCACCGTCCAGGTTGGTGTAAGCATGCATGAAGTGGAGAAGGCAAATTCTGGACGAGACCAATGAACAGATGGCTCGTAATCCCGGTCACGGCCTGACTTCTGGCTGAAAGAGAGCCGTAAAGCCAATGACACTTCTGTCGCCAAGACGTCACAACGCAAATTTTGGCACGCCTTGAAACACATGTCGCTCAACTTGAGCAGCGCTGACGCCCATAAATACCAACACGGTCCCGGGCTCTGATCATAAACCATCTTCCATTTCGCAATACTCTGCGACACAGTTTCAAGCCAGGCTCATTCTCAAAATATCAGTTCTCTTCCTTCCTCTGCCTACTTCCCGAAGTGTCGTCTTCTCCTTCATCCTCGTCACGTCCACAACATGTCGCTCACACAGAGAATTCCCGCCGCTACTTGGGATGCGCACAAGGAGCAAATCCGCATGTTGTATGTGGTCCAAGATAAAACTTTGGACGACACGATCAAAAGCATGAACGAGGACCACGGCTTTTTGGCAACGTTAGTAACAGACCCCGCACTGTATTGTATCATTCGAGGCTAATTAAACATCCAGGAAATCACAATACGTTCGAAAACTGAAGAATTGGGGCATGGAGAAGTACATCAACGGCGACAAATGGAAGATTGCCTTCGATTTGGCCCAGAAGCGGAAACGGTCTGGAAAGGAGACGGAGCTTTCCATTGATGGCAAAGTCATTCCCGTCAAGAGAATGAAGAAAGAAATGAGTAGATACTCTTACTCCCAATGCGGGTTTGGAGGGTTGTCAGGTATGCTTGCTCTCCAATAATAGAAGGAGACAGATCATGACTAACTAACCTGATCATAGCCATGCCGGCAAATGCCTCGTCCGGGATTGTTGCCTACACTCCACCTTCGAATGATGTTTTTCGTATAACCTTCAACACCATCCCTTGGCTGAGATTTCAAAGCTCACTGGGATCCGTCTGTAAGTATCAGGATTTGATGAGTAACCTTTTCGGGTTTCTAACTTATTTTCGCATTCCGCTCGGGTATTGAATTTCTCTTGCCTCAGGTTGAGAGTTCTGTTCGGTCAGGAATTACAAATCCCGTCCCAGAGCTAAGAAAAGCTCTTCTCGATAATCTCTCCCGCTACGAAAACTTCTCAACCTTCTCTTCAATTCTTGAGGAAGAAGCAAAATCCCGAGAGAATAACTGCCAGATCCAACCACTCCTCCAGTCAAAGCCCCTACTCCACATATTACAAGACGCCGTGTACATGTCCTCAAACTCTTTTCTTTCCAGGGGGGGACTATGGGATTTCACTGACTGGATTGTCGACAATGAATATTCTTGGGTTATAGAGTCTTTCGTTCAGCTCAAAGGGCCATCGATAGCGATCTTCGCTTCGAACCTCTTGCTAAGTGCAATCGATCGCCAGAAAGTTGTGCTTGTGCGAGCACTACTTGTTGGAGGAGCGAATCCTAATTCCCGGGACACGTTTTTCTGCCCCCCTCGCACAGCGCTTGATCTTGCAGTACATAACGTGAACTTAGATCTTGTTGATCTTCTGTTGCGTCACGGGGCTGATCCAAATGACTCAGGCTCCTCGCGCCATACAGTTCTTGACCGCTTTGGAAACAAGCAGTACTTGGAAATGAGCGCTTTGGGAGGAGCCAATAATTATCTTCGGATTTTTGATATCTTAATCAAGGCGGGTGCAAAAATAACGGAATTTGGCTCACCATTCACGGCAAAATGCTTGGCAGCCTCATTGAAAACTGGGAAGGTGTGGCAAGTCGGATTGGCAGCAAAGGCTGGAGCGTCTACTGAGTTCATCGGGAACTTGGCAAACCTTGGACTGCAATCTGCAATACAGAGAAATGATTTAGACAAGGTCCGAGCCTTGGTCAATCACGGGGCCGATATCAATTGTCCGAGTTTCTACCTTGGGGATCCGCAGCAATACGAGTCGTTCGAATTCGCAAATCCACTTGCGCTTGCCGCCAGTGCCAATAACTTTTCGATGGTTCAGTTACTCCTAAAACTCGGCGCAAACGCGACTGGGATTGTGTCCTCAGACGACCTGCGTGTACGCGCGAAGGGCCTACCAGAACATTCCAAGATGCGTTATTCTGGAAGGATACCAGCGCTCCACCATGCGATACGCAACGGTAACACTGCCATGGCTGAATTACTTTTGCAATACGGAGCAAATAAACATGCGACAGATGGTTTTGGCAACACTCCATTACAAGCGGCATGCGCATCCAAGCAATTGGAGGTGGCTGGGATACTGCTCCGCCGGGAAGCCCAGCTAAATGCTGCTGCAAGCCTTTCACAAGACATTCCAGCCCTACAAGCAGCCATAGAATCCGGCAGTGTAGAAATGGTTAAGCTTCTGCTGCACCACGGTGCGATTACCGACTCTGTCTCATCTGCTGCAGCTGCTTTGAGAGCCGTCGTCAAAAAGGGTGTCGTGGAGTTTGTGGCCTTGCTACTAGATGCTGACGCTGATGTCTTGCATCGCGACTCATCGATTGTCCATTTTGCTGTGGAACATTTCGCACCACTTAATATGGTGAGACATCTGCTGAATGCTGGAGCACATGTCGAGGACGTCGTTAGCTGTTGCGAACCTCCAGACCGACGTACACCGCTTCACATGGCAGTTCAGCGCAACAATCTTAAATTAGTCAAGCTACTCCTCGAATACGGAGCCGATATCAGCCATGTTAGAGGCATCACAGCTTTCGTCGATGCTTGCAATGGAGGATCAGATGCTGAATGGGTCCAGCTCGTGCTAACCCTTGTTGAGCACGGGGTAGACATCAACTCATACAGCTCCAATCCGAATACGTGTTCATTCCTCCAAGCAGCCATCTCAGTCGGGGATTTTGCCATGGTCAGGTTTCTCTTAGACAGAGGAGCAAATCCTAACTCATGTCTGAATCCCGATGAATTGCATCCGCTGCATGGAATTATGAAAGTAAGAAACGAAATCTTTGTCATTGAGACATTGAATACACTCATTGCTCTCGGCGCAGATATCAACACGTATGATTTTCTCGAGCAGTATGAGGTGGACGCCATGGCTAAGATGATGTACCCGTATACTGGCTTGGACGGCCTTCGCCTTCCAGTCACACCTCTTCAAGCAGCCGTGTACTACGGCCGCAGGCGTGCTGTAGGCGTATTACTCCAAGCCGGAGCAAATATCGACGCCCTTGCTGCAGGAGGTTTCGGCTTCACTGCACTGCAGGTAGCTATTCTTGAGCGGCACGATGGGCTCGTGGACTCTTTGCTCGAAGCGGGTGCGAATGTCAACGCCCCTGCTGCGCCCGAGATTGGATTTACAGCGCTGCAGACGGCCATCCTCGCTGGCAACGACGATTTGGCTAATAGACTTTTGGTTGCTGGTGCGGAAATAAATGCTCCCGTCGCGTCGAAGTATGGGATGACAGCATTACAAGCAGCCGTTTTTCGAGACAACGAGGCCATTATCCAACAGCTGTTGAGTCGCGGGGCGGATATCAATGCTTCGCCATGCGGAAACAAAGGTGCAACAGCACTGCAATACGCGGCAATGAAAGGAAATTTCGATCTAGTTGTTCAACTCCTTAGGGATGGGGCAGACATCAACGGCGCGCGCTCTGCGACTGAAGGTCGAACCGCCCTGGAAGGTGCTGCGGAGCATGGAAGACTTGACATAGTTCATCTTCTACTAGAGAATGATCATGAAGTGGAACTCTTGGAAGAACGATGTAAGGAGGCTGCAAAATTCGCCAGCGCGGAGGGGCATATGGTAATAGCAGAGCTGCTTCGGGAGTGGAAGAGGCCTTGATACGGGACTTCAAGTTTGGTTTTCGACGGGATCGGCCGGATTATGGTAAAGATTAAACATAGAATTAAACCATTCAACATAGTGAACAAATCTTCGAACATTTAATTCTTTTTGCAGGATAGTCTACAATGCGCACTCTCTACCCTTTCGGCTGTTGCCTCTCCATATCCAGATATTGCATCATGATCATGAAGTTTCCTATCGTCACTACGAAGAAGAATGAAGGTCGCAAACCCGACTTTCCATCAAAAGGACCTAATTCACACCCCATAGTGGACGTACGGAACCCAAAGCGGCCAGTGTGGCTCTGTATTTCCGCATATCACAGCGTCCCTCGAATTGGGGTCCGCGATTGCCTCCTGCCCACAGCCTTCCTCCTGAATCCAACTGTCTCGTAGCTCCCTGGTGGCATGGTGGAGCCCGTAGCTTACAGACTCGTCGCTTATTCCACGGTCTTGCAAGAACTGGTACATCAATCTCGCCATCCGCACGCACAACTCGTCATCGACCTCCCACAATGTACCCACAACATGCCGGAACCCTGCTAGTTGGAAGGCACCCGTTAGGTGGATGCTTTCATCAATTGACTTCTTGTCCCGGATCTGGCCGGTTCCGCAGGCTGAGAGGTAGGCGAGAAATGGCGATTTGGAGCTTAGGTTGGTCTCTAGTAGATTTCCTATTGTTAGAGGATCTTGCTTCCAATCTTCCAAAAGTAAGAGACTTGTCAACGGGCTCTTCTCGTTGATAGCACCATGTCCAGCAAAGTGGAATATCATGCAGGTTTCTAAAGCAGATGACACTGCCTTGAGATTGGGCTTAGGGTTGATGCATGCGAGCCCCATTGACTCGCAGATAGTTTGAACGGCGCTGATCTCATCCCTTGTATGTTGAAGGCTCTTCTGTTCTGGCGTGTTCTGCATGGCGACGAGAACAATATCTCCTGATCCATCTGCTGCTATTTGTGGGCTCCTTTCGAGACGATGGTGTATGATCGTCTTGATAGAAGAGCTGTATGATGACACTACTCTATCGATAGTAGTACTGGAGTCACGCTGCAGATGGTTTCCTGCTGCGTGGAGAGGAAATCCAGCAAGTGGCCCAGTTGGAATCCACCATACGTGCGGCCAAGAATCGTCAGATAGAGGCTCGGTAAATCCCAACGCATCTAAAACTGGCTTCACAACAGCATTCCAAAGCCAGCCAAGTGTTTCAAGCGATTGAAGATGGCGGGCTCGTTTCAGAATCTCATTCCGAGAGACTTGGTGCAGTTTCACTACCCGTATATCTGTCTGCCCCAGTATCAAAGCATCGCATCGAGAGCTGACGTTAAGAATAACTACCGGGCCATGCGCTGCAGCCTCTCTCATCTCAGCTTCCGATGACGGGAGAAGAAATCGTTGAAACCCAGGTTGATCGCGTATTTCCTTGAGAAGTAGTGGCATTCTGTTGACAGCCTCGTGCCGCCGATCAGACTCGACAGGAGTGTTTGTCGCCTCTGGGTCGTTCTGAGACTGAGACGGTGGCGCGTCGAGCTGGTTTCGAAGTTGAATGAACGAATCTGCGAGCTCGGGATGCTTTTTCTGCAGGACTGAGAGATCAGCCCGCAGATCTTGAAGAGAACTTGCAAGGACGCCGCGGCCCGTCTCGAGAAGTTGAATTGCAGCGAGAGGCTCTTTTCCGGCATTCAATGCAATAGCTGCGGAATCTGAGGCGAGCCCGACGACTTCTGACAAAAGATGTTGCTTGTCCTTGGTTTGAAGCGAAGGGGGGCTAAGCAAAGGAACCAACTCGATGGTAGTCTTAGCAGCGAGATATGCCTGGTCCTTATCTTGAAGAAAATCCGCCGATGACAAGATTGCACGTCCAGCTTTGATGCGGAAATTGATGGGAGACATTTGGTGATTCAACGCAGTGTCATAGCATTCTCTAGCCTCTCCCAGGTCAGTCGCCACCTTGGTGCGTAGATACCTGCTTCTGAGTTTAATACCAAGGGCACTCAACCGCGAAGCTAGATTGGGATCGTCCGCGGGAGTATGTTCAGCAGAAGTTCGACTCGCGTTTATGGACTCTTCAAGGTCTTCCATCGCTCGAGTGCGTAAATATCTGTACCGAAGCTTGATGCCAAGGTTGTTAAACAACGTTGCTGAGCGTGGGTGGTCTCTCGGAGTCGCATCTATGGCCTTCCGAGTCATACTAATAGCTTCCTCGAGGTCATTCCTGTCTCTCGTGCGTGAGTACCTGCTCCTGAGCCGAATGCCGAGGACCTCCAGTGCTATAGCTCGTTCCGGGTGGTCGTGTGGGTAAGCCTGAATAGCCTCTTGGGATATGCTGATAGCCTCATTGAGGTCTACCAGCTCCTTAGTTCGCGAGTATTTATAGCCGAGTCTGATACTCAGGTTGACGAGTAGTCCAGCTCTCTCGCGGTGCTGCTGTGGGGTGATCTGAAGAGCACTCCGTGTCATTTTAATCGCTTCTTCAAGATCCTCCATCCCTCCGATACGCGCATATCTGTTCCTCAGTTGAATGCTAAGGGTAGTAAACTTTCCAATCAAGCTTGGATGGTTCTGTGGGGTGGCCTTGATAGCAGCCCGAGCTCCATTAATAGCTTCTTCAAGATCTGCCATGGCTCCGGTGTGTGAGTATCGTTTGCCAAATTGAGAACCGAGACTAGCCAGTCTATCACCACGGCGTGGGTGATCTTGTGGTGTAGCCTTGACAGCTTTTTGAGCCATAACAATCGCCTCCTCGATGTCTCCCATCTCCTTGGTGCGTGCGAATCTGACACCGAGTTCAATTCCAAGGCTATGGAATCTACCTGCGAGGTATGGATCGTCTTGCAAGGTCGCCTTGATTGCCTCTCGACATAGACTGATAGCCTCTTCAAGATCCGTCACTACCCCAGTTCGATAGTATCTGGAACTGAGTTGAATGCCGAGGCCATGCAGTCTCTCTGCAAGTTCCGGGTCATCTTTTGAGGTAGTCTTGACACATCTTCGGGCCATAGAAATAGCCTCCTCGACATCCCCTAGTTCTCCAGTATGCGAGTATCTATCGCCGAGTCTAAGACCAAGACTATGCAATCTCCTCGTTAGATCTGGGTGATCTGGTGGGGTAATCTTGATAGCTCCCCGCATCTGGGCAATGGCTTCTTCAAGGTCCACAAGCGCTCCGGATTGTGAGTAGGTGGTGTTGAACTGATGGCTAAGTCTGTGTAATCTGGCTGCGAGTTCTGGGTGATCTTGTGGGGTAGTCTCAAGAGCTATCCGAGCCAGATTAATGGATTCTTGAAGATCTTGACTATCTTCAGTGCGTGAATATCTGGTGTCGAGTTGGGTACTCAAGTTGCTCAGTCTTTCAACATGGTTCGGGTGGTCTTTTGAGCTGGTCTTGATGGACTTTTGGGCGAGAATAATGGCCTCATCAAGATCTGCTGAGACTCCGGAGTGTGAATATCTATCACCGAGATGCAGGCTGAGGTTGTTCAATAGTGCTGACCGGTCCGAGTAATCATCCGTAGCAATCTCAATAGCCTCCCTTCCCACCTTAATAGCTTCTTCAAGGTCCACTACATCTCTCGTATGGGAGTGCTTGGAGCCAAGTCGAATACTAAGGGTGTTCAATCTTTCAACCCGCTTAGGATGGTCTCGCGGGGTATTTTCGAGGAGTTCCCGTCCTGTAAGAATAGCTTGCTCAAGGTCCAAGATATTATCGGTGTGCGAGTGTTTATCACCAAGTCGAATGCTAAGGTCGCTCAACCTTCCGGCTCGATCGGGATGACCTTTTGGAGTAGCATCAAGGGCTTTGCGTGCTAAACTAATAGCCTCATCAAGATCCAGCACATCTCTAGTGTGTGAGAATCTATTGCCAGGTGGAATGCTCAGGTTGTTGAATAGTCCAGCTCTCTTTAGGTCGTCTTCTTTAGTTCCATCAAGAACCTCACGACCCATAGAAATGGCTTCTTCCAGATTCGACATGTCTCCAGTTTGTTAGTACTTGTTTTTGAGGTGCACTCCAAGGTTGTTCAACCACGCAATGTAGCCAGTGTGAACTGTCGGCGTGGCTCTAAGAGTGGTTCAGGCAGTAGAAATAAGGTCTTCGAGGTTAGCCACATCCTCAAAAGATGTAGTCGTGCGTTAATCCAGCCTCTAGATTCCCCCTCAATGATGAAATCTGTGTTCTTGAGCTGGAAATGTCTCAACTTCGATGACGTTGGATAAACCGTATGGAACAAACCCCGCATCCCAGAAGCTCACATCAGATCCTTGACATAGTCCCCCAATAGCTGGGCAGGAAAATGTGGCTAGCAAGGGTCTGCCTACAGGGTATGAAAGATAAGACTCGCTGGAGAGGGGGATGGTCTTTCTAGTCTTTACAGATTTCTTGTTTCGAGCCATGTACCCCTTCCAGCCCAGCCGGAGCAGCGTCTCTAAATCCATGAGGATCTTGACTAAATACAGTATAATCATATGCCTCCGGCTTGCGAATAGTCAATACGTAGTCCAGTGCCGACTAGAAGTTTATTAACGCGATAAATAATATGCTTTAGATTTATGCTGTCTTTCTATCATTCTGTCTACAAATAATGTGACTAGCATTTGCTGACAACAAATACTGTGTTTCCCGTCCTCTGAGTCAGCGTAAAACACTTATTATAGCACTACAATGGATTGATCATACGACATACGATCAATCTTACGCCCACTTGATCAGCCAAGTGCGGGATATTTGAAGGCGCTGTCAGCTGCGGGGTATGTGTTTATATGAATCTCACACCCCCGAAGCGATAGCTACGATGAACATATCCTTACACTCTTGACTCTCAGGTGCTTTCCCACTCTTGAAGATCCCGATGCGTCTTATCAAAACGGATACTCTTGAAGTGCAAGAGTTTATTGCTGACGATGACATCCCTCGATATGCAATATTCTCTCACACATGGGCTGATGAAGAAGTAAAGTACGAAGAGATGCTTGACTCTTCGCGCTTCCACAAGAAAGGTTATCAGAAGATCACCTACGCTTGTCAACAAGCTGTGTCAGATGGTCTAGATTGGATGTGGATTGACAGGTAACGAAATTTCATGCCGTTTTATGTCCATCCAGACCGGTATTTTTCCTCATCCTAACATTTCTAGTTGTTGTATCGACAAGCGAAGCAGTGCAGAGCTATCGGAAGCTATCAATTCTATGTACCGCTGGTACGAGGCGGCTGCTGTCTGCTACGTCTACCTAGCAGACGTCTGCTCTACTCTAGACTCCGAACAAGGTCTACTCGAGTTCAGAAACAGCCGGTGGTTCACCCGTGGATGGACATTGCAGGAGCTTCTGGCACCTCGAAATGTTTTGTTCTTCTCCCAGAGCTGGACCCATCTTGGAAACCGGGAGAGCTTGCAGACCTTGATCTGTGGTATTACTGGAATCGAACCAAATTTTTTATTAGGTCAGGATTTGGATTTCGCGAGCGTTGCAAAGAAAATGTCGTGGGCGGCTCATCGAAACACCTCTCGAATTGAGGACATTGCCTATTGTCTGTTAGGGATTTTCGACGTCAATATGCCACTTCTGTACGGCGAAGGGAAGAAATCCTTTCTCCGGTTGCAGGAGGAGGTATATCGGGCCTCTGGAGATGACTCAATATTTTCGTGGGGTAGTCCTTACAGGTTGGACTCGTTCCTCCGGTCCAAAAGTCCAAGCCTAGATCACAAGCGATCAAGAGGTTCTGAAACTACTCAAGCCAAAATTCATCTCACAGCTGACGAACCTCTTCTTGGACTCCTGGCGGTTTCTCCGAAAGCGTTCAAAGATAATGGAAACATTATGCGCCTTCGTTCTTTCGAGAGCATTGGGGTTCCTCCCGTCTTTTTTGGCGGTGGAGTGCGCATCGGTCTTCCAATAGCGAAGCAAATTCTTCCGGATGGGAATTTGGTTGACTTACCGTGGTTGAAAGAGGCATCTGTGGCCATTCTGGGTTGTCGGATGGAGCGCGAACATCAAACCATCATCGGCTTGTTGCTCCGTCCATGGGGTGGCAAGTTCTCTGCCAGGTGCGGAAATCCAGTCATCCTTCGGACTGACTCGTACAATTTCTGGGACAAAGCCGATCCGTACCTAGAGAAACAGATCAAATTTTTCGATATCAAGGCCCCGAAGCATCATCCGAAGTATATGATCAGTCTCAGTCAAATCCCATACGCGGCAACAGGATATGCTTTGTCTCGTGTTAGATCGAATCAAGGTACCAAGTGGAACAAGAGAGACTACGTACTGGAATGCAATGACGGTGTTGACGCTCTCCTGGCCGCATTTGTGTTCAAGGCGAATGGAAAACAAGCATTCACAGTTATTCTAGCGCGTGGGACTAGAGGTGAATGGAGAAAGTACATGGAAGATAACATCCAGAATCTTCCTGTGGATAGCTCGGATCCGTATGGTTGGAAGCTGGCGCGTCAGCTAGCTGGAGATGCCGAGCCACAAGGACTCTTGGTAATCTGCGCACCTCTTGACATCGGGTTGAGCTTGCAAGACACGCCTTGGGCGGATGGCTGTTCCTCTGGCAACCCAACCTTCAAAGACGAGGGAGGGTTCGACAGACGCGCGATAGCTCGTGTCATGCAATCATCAAGGATCTGCTGGTTGCAAGAGAATGGGTCCATGAACCGCGAATTTAGGATGGATGACCTGAGGGTCAAGGTGAAGCTAGACTGGATGAAAGCTCCGACGGTAAATTCGGAGAACACTACAGTTGAGATTGAAGTACTTTAGTCTTGCCTTTTGTTTTCATTGCCGTCCTATCCCGGATGCTAGCACATTCATCCTGGCCACTCCCTTTGCCACAGCCCCGGCCCTCGTCCCGGTCATACTCTCCCCCGGGCCCTCCGTGCTTCGATAATACAAATCCTGTTCGCACCGACTCGCTTCTGCCAGCGTCTGTGATCAGCCATCAAGGATTCCCAAGTCTCTCCAATACCTGGGCGATCCGATCGTCAAGCTCTGCTAATTCTCGTCGCAGGTTGGCTGCTTCGCGTAAAATTTTGATTTCGCAGTAATTCAAAGACTGCTCATGGTCGTAGCGGCTTAACATACATACCTTAGACGGCTGATTATGCATGTCGAACGCCTAAGCCGCCAACGAGCAGGTTGGTCCGCCAGTCCTATCATCATGATGCGCAACGGATCACCTACGCACACGTGTAGTACCTCTCGACATGCTCATTAGAGCAACAAATACCAAATGTACTGGAATGTGAACTAGATTGTGTCAAGGCCCTATAGGGACTTCCCTCCGGTCGAAATAACATCCATCCAGCCGTATCCGATGGTGGACGTAGATCCGCTTCCCCAACCCTTAATCGTTCCCACAAACTGTGTCCCCGCCCATCACGCTATGATACATTCTTTCCACTCCTCCGCCGCCTTCTTAGTGGTGAGAAGCTTCTCTTACCGTGTAGAAGTTACCCAAGTCGTACCCGACCTCGTTCGTGCTCTTGTACCATCACAACATCCTCCTCTCTGGTCCCATCGGGTCCCCTGACACCTACTCTCTTCGGTTATATGAGCGAGGACTAGAGTTCTTTGATATATAGGTGGCCTTTACGAACTCGATGCATATCAGGGTGTGCTTGTTATTCCTTTCTTCCTTGCTAGAGGAATTAAGAGTTTGTGCCAACGAACACAACAAGGACAGCTGAATAGGTGGCCGTTGCAACCAGGGTCTCCACATTGGTCCCTTTTATGCCAAATGACATCCCGCATGCGAACATGACCATGAACAAAGCTGCTGTGATAAGGTTGTTCGTCTTGGACGGCCACAAGCTCATGAAACACATGGGTAGGACGAGAATCAAGATTGCCAGGATGGCCATGCATAGTCGTACAATCTTGTCTACAAAGGGCGATATCTCGATTGGCGGCTGTCCCTCTTCGTACTCCTTGTTGCGGTGAAGGCGCTCTTGCGCTGAATATGATAGCCGGCTTGGAAGCCAGCGGCGGAGTTTGTCGCGCAGGACATCGGGCGTAGGGTGGGCATTGCTGTGGAGGTAATAGTAGTGTGTTTCAAATGGTCGTGAATGCCGATACGATGTTGTCATGGAGATGAAGTTCCGCTTGAGTCGCTGCTTCCGGCGTTCCGCTGTGTGGTGGTCCAGCCGACGTTGCAAATGCACATAATTGTAGTTTTGAACTGCGGTGGCTATTAAGCTCTGTGGTCAGACTTCAGAGCATCGGATTCGTTGCACAATTGTTCTTTACTGTAATCATTTAATAACTTTTTGAGCCTTTCTGTGTCGACTGCGGCTCCCCGGGTCCGGAGGACATCCTCCTTGATGGAAATCAACTCATTTTGGAGCTGGACGATGTTGAGACGGTGGAGGAGCTCAAAGCCCATGAAGTGAAATATTTCCTCGTCTTGAATAGAGCTACAAACATAGCTGAAGAGTTCTGAGTGCCTAGGCACCTGTAGATTGTTGCTTGTCATTGAACACGGTATGCATAGACTCTGTTGTGGTCCCTGACGGACATTTGGCTCGAGGGGCGGTGGTTCCTTTATCTTTGTTCTCATTTGGGGAATTGCTCTTTGCATTCAGCCCTGGTCCTCTACACTGCCGCAGCACAGCCTACCCCTCGCCATGCCATTATTCGAGGGCACTCCCCTGCGCCCAGCCGTGTCGCCTCACTCTGGTTTCCATTGGCGATCAAAGACTGCCTGATGGCGGCACAGCCGAATCAGATTCTTCGCCACAACCGAATCGGATGCTTCGCCACAGTCGGCATAATTACCCCATAAAATGCCGCAAGCCCCTCGGTCTCGCCTTCACCCAGCGGGTCCGGTATCATTCCCAAGTCCATCTCGAAGATGTGCCGACGTGCTCTCTAATTGTCTTTGTTTGTACGTGAACCAGAGAGTTGCTACACTCGATGGATTGGTCACACACACCATCGACGGAACCAGCAGAGTCCGTTGCTAAGGGCGAACAGACCGAACAGATGGTGGGCAGTACAACACCCGTCACACATAGCCCACGCTCCATCATAGCCCGTCCGTTGTCTCATACCGACTCTATCAGAACCATTCGGCTAGAAAAAGATTACTCTCTTTGGCACGAAAAGTCATGCCGGCCTCTCATCGTCCAAATCATTCGAGGTCAAACGACTGATGGGGTACAGCGCCTCATGGAATCGGAACGCCTACTCAAAGAAGCCTTACGGCACCAAATCGAGCTGCGACAAGAAGAAGATAGAACACTAGACCTAAGCTTTCTGTCTTTTTCGAGCTTTGTATCTGATGTCGAATTCATACCGCTGCACTCGGCGGACGGACAACTCTATGGTGAGAGCCTTAAGTCGCTGGATACATCTCGCACGCCGCTCAGTTCGGAAACCTCGCATCACTCGACGGGCTCCTTCGCATCCCAGGTTTCTGACTCGGGGCTTAATGACCTCGAACAGAGCGCGGAGGTGCTTCTTCAAGATCTCCAGGAAGGCAAGGCCACGCTCTTACGTCGAGAGCAGGGGCGAACCCTGTCTGTGATTAGGAAATTCACTCCACTAATGGGAGAGGCCCAAGAACTCCATGACGCCCTGAATGCGGCTATATCCCAAGTTCGTGGGGCTCGACCGGACATGGCATCGATGGGTTTCTGTTAGTATTCCTCTTTGAGACATTCCGAGACCTCTATCTCGAAACGGTGCCGCATGGCAAATTATTATTTCATTCTTAGTTAACGACTTACAGCTGATTTAGGGGTGGAATTAAACATTAAGGGTGAGCTTTATAGAAACTCCTTGCTTCGGTACCTCGACAAAGCACCTCAGATCGACACTCTTAAGAACGACACCTCTCAGGGCGAGCCGCAGGTGGTTACGCCGAAGGAATGGGGGCAAAAGACCTTGTTTAACAAACTCAAGAAGGCCTTTGGAATTTCGAGGACAGCTCAAAGCGGAGAGGAGGGCTACCCTCGCTTAACCCAAGGACTAAATATCATCATGACGGAAGTGGGGAGAATAATTGACCGCGGAATAGCTCTACGAGAGTCGCTTTTGAGATCCGCTTACCCGCTCATGGACGATATAGCGACGGAACTTGCTCAGAGGGATGGAGTGGAGATTTTAGATAGTTTCCAAGAACATATGTTAGTACGACGGGTCTTTAAGCGCCCGGTCTGATTCTTAGGAATAAAGGGTATGAGATTTTCAGAATTTTATAATTAAGTTCAAATATCCAGGAAATATACCAACATAGGGACCGTTACACGCGAGGCGGACACATACAGGCATTTGCCAAACAAACAGTTCCAGATTGCCGAGCGGCATGGACCACCGAGGCATCACTGACTCGTCACTGGCTAACGTTCATCCCAATAGCCCATGAAAGTTAACCTTGTGGTATCACCGCAAAAACATGTCTGAATGAAAGAGAGGTGGGGAGGTGGTTTAATATAGGGCTTTCTCAAGGTCTCACCACTCTGTCATGCTTCCCCAGGACGAGGATGCTAGGCATGTCTCAGGAAGATGTGAAAAACCTGTGCCAGCTAAGAGAGACATGTGTGATATTCGCTACCATGCCTATTGCCGAGTGTGAGTCCGTCCATGAGTTTAGCCATCACCTGCAGAAGCTGATTTGCGATGGAGATATATTTGGCCAGCGAGAAAGTCTGACCTGGCGCCTAGCACCGTGGTGGCCTGCTCAAGCTGATTTGAACTGATGCAAAGACTTGTCCCATGCCCAATTAGTCCCACGATAGCCCATGACGGATAGACTGCGCGTTGACTTGATAAATCTGTCCATGAAGTTTGTCGCGCAAGCCCGGCCGTGTGATGTGAGTGATTCGTACACCTCGCCGAGTACATGTGTCTTTTGATGAGACCAAGTGTTGTTCCGATAAACTGTCGACGGAACAAGCTTTACGAGGACCGACACCCTTCTGAGCAAGCGCATTATCCCCAATTTACTAGGGCAACAACCACAGCTCGGGTTGGGTTCAGATGGATCGTATTCCTCTCTTGTTGCAGTACTCGGCTCAAACTTGACTTGATTGGCAACACCAAGAAATCCGATCTCCATAGCCACGCTCGGTTTGCATGTGACGATGGTGGTCATGATCGATGCTTTCGACGAATCCGACCGTGAAGACGATACTCAGGCCCCTGTTGGCTTTTGCCACAAGCAAAGCAGTTGATATCGGTTCGCCTAAAGTTCTTCGTAACGAGCAGACCAGAATACCTAATTCGCCTCGAGTTCAACGAAATTAGCGACACTTACCAGGATCTGGCTCTGCATCAGGTTGATGAGCGCGTCATCGAAGACGATATATCTAAGCTCTTAGAGCACAAGCTTTCAAGAACCAGAGATGAGTACAACAGATTAGTTCCCAAGGACCGGCAACTTTTGCCGGATTGGCCTGCCCAAACAAAGCTCCAGATCCTGGTCAAGATGTCCATTCCACTGTTTATTTTCGCTACAACCGTCTGCTGCTTTCTCCAGGATTGGAAACATGGCCGTCACCCAGATAAAAGCTTATAGAGATCCTTAAGTACCAGACCAGAAGCCAAACATCCAAATTGACACACGGATTGGCATACCAGACGCAGCGGGGCTCCGTGTGATGAACTTAAACCAGCAGCGTGATAGATCCGCATGTGCAATGATTGGAGGAATGCATTGAATAGTAATTATGTATGAATCATGCTTGCGATGGGCTGTTGGATGTATTGACAAGGTCAAGCGCAGGGGCTTTGGGCGGCTCCCATCCCTATTGGTTCGACGAGCATGTGAATCTGCAAGGTCACATCTGGTAGAACAGCAGCGGTTACGTCTGCATGATCAGTCATATGGCCCACTAATCAGGAATTATATGGCATGATGAAGGATCAAAGCGGGGTTGCGCAACGAACATAAGAGGACGGTTAGTCTCCGCCGAGATTCTTTCTTCGTTACCTTTCACTACCACCTCACGAGCGAGTTTACTCATGGAGGCCAAAACCACCACAAATCGGGGTCAATCCCCAAAAGAAGCGTTAACACAATTGGAAGGCCTGTTGGCTGAGAATCCTTTGCAAGTCGATGTGCGAGGACTTCACTCAAAACTTTGTGGCGAATATTGACGCAGATCACATAGGACGTTGAGCAAGACATCGACTCTGTCTTCAATGATTCGTCAGTTCTCGGCCCGTTTCTTAAATAGCCTCATTTAACTGTTCCTATAGAGAAGCATCCGTTAGCTACCTAGCATCTCTGAACTCGAGCGTTCTAAACTACAAGTAGGTGACGCACCGACTATTCGCGATATGTGGCCATGGCTAACGTCCAAACCTGTGTTTCATTTAGATACGAAGTTCGCAGTTCCGGTTACATGAAATACATTGCCATATGCTAATAACTACATAGAACGGGCGTCGATATCATGCGTTCCACGAAGGGGCGTACCTGGTGGTACTTATCCCCAGAGAAATCATGAGACTTGCGAGAAGTACTAACTAGATTCCTCATAGCCGAATGATGATGAAGAACAGGAACGAATGGACTTGGGGCACCACATTTACCGCCTCTCTCTTGGAGGAAAGCTGCACCTTGCTCCAATTGTCGACAACCCTCAGCGTGTGCTTGACCTGGGTACGGGGACTGGTATCTGGGCACTGGATTTTGCGGAGTAAGATCTTGATTTTTTGAACTCCTTTCATGCATTGTCTCCTACCAGAACACCTCTGATAAACTCGGATCTAGCGAGCATCCATCCGCAGAAGTACTCGGGACCGATCTAAGTCCCATACAACCTAAATGGTAACAATTCCTTGCTGCTATTATTCTAGAATGTCTTGACTCATGCGATATAGGACTCCACCGAATTGTAAATTTGAAGTTGATGATTTTGAATCGGACTGGGTGTACCACAAGCAGTTCGATTTCATACACGCCCGGGAATTAGAGGGGTGCATAGCCAACGACGACAGGCTGTTCCAGCAGGCCTTCAAGCACCTGGTTCCAGGCGGATACATTGAGCTACAGGCCGTTTATACTCGCTTCATCTCCGATGATGACACGGCCGGAAATGCTACAAATGCTCAGGTGTGGATGAAGAATATGTGCGAGGGAGCCGCCACATTTGGCAAGCCTCTTGACAATGCAATTGAATGGGAAGAAAAGTTGAGACGTGCAGGATTTGTGGAGGTCCAACAGCAAGTTCGCAAGGTCAAGATCAATCCATATTAATCTGGCTTACGTTGAAGTGATAGTACTGACAGGATCCAGATCCCAATTGGCGCGTGGCCCAAAGACCCAAAGCTCAAGGAGATTGGCAAGATTCAGGCTGTTCAGGAGAGTCGAGTAATAGACTCTTACACGCCTGCGCTTTTTTCACGCGTGCTGGGCTGGAGTGGAGAAGAGATACAGGCGCTTATAGCCAAGGTAAAGGATGATCTGAAGGATCCCTCAATTCATCTCTACCTCCCAGTGTATTTTGTTTGGGGTAAAAAGCCATAACCGGCATCTTTACTCTAGCACAAGATGATGGGCCTATGAAGGATCCCATGGTTCCTAAGCCATCCGCAGAATACTCTTTTTCCAAATATATTATTTAACAATGTCTTTACCGCACTTCTATAACAATCTTTGTACGGATCCACGCCTAACGCCCAGTGTTGCCTTTGGCAGTCATTTCATTCTTATTTACCCCTAAACCCATGCATAATATCATGATCAGCAACTCCGGAGTTCATAATGTCGGAGCGGATCTGGATCAACTTCAACCGGCCTATGATCCCGCCCAGGGATTGACCGAAGCCGAATCACTCCCACGACGAATTCTTGATTTATTTTCAGCCTCATCCTTACGTGGACGCTTTTTGATCTTCCGTCGGCGACGGTGGTGAACTGGCGTGGCATCGTGTCGAGCTGTTTCCGCATCTGGTCCCAGAGCACCAGCAAAACCACCTTCGCTAACCAAGGTGGCATCGTCAGCAATACCACCATCACTGTCTTCGCTGTTCAAATCGACTCGTTCTTCATCTTCGTCACGTTTCTGGCTAGTCCCCAAGACTCTCGGTGCACTTAATACAGGCGGCTTCTCAGCCATGCCAACCTTGGTCATGCTCCAGTCCCACCACCCAAGAGTGGGAGGAACCCACTGCCCGATGCCCACGACATAGTGTCTCTGCTCCTCGGGCAAGTTCAGCCAGACGAACTCTGTGTTACTGTTGACTCGCCCCTCCATGATAAAGTCGCCAATTTCCTCCGGGATCTTGAGCGCTTCGAGGATGAGGATCGGTTGGTATGCCGGGATGATAAGATGCAGCTTTACCGGCTTTTTTTGTCTGCCTTTTTCTTCTGCCCGACGCCCTTTTTCTTGAATGCGTCTTCTTGTTGCCAGCATAAAAAGGAAGACGGTGTCGATCTGGTTGGTATACCCACAAAATCGGGGGCCTGGTGGATTCTTTTCGAGAAGGTGGTAAAACTTGGGATACCAGTCGTCATCCGGATGATACAGGAAAAACAAATGTTCGCAGGTCGTGTCGTCGGAAGTTTGTCCGAGTCGCTCTCGGATCATTTCGTACACATACTGGGGAAATTCTTTTTGTGCGATGAGAGCGGTTTGAGCGGCAAGACTTGTTGAGATGTCTTTGAGCCTGGCGGCTATAATTTGGAGGACTTGGACTCCCTGGTAGGTCGGGACTATATTGGCGCCGATTCCAACAGTGATGGCGGCCATATTGAAATATGTAAATATCTTTGCGCTGTCGCAGATAGATTGGCCCATGACTTGCATGGCGGGGATGAAGTGGTTCAAGGTCTCAGCAGCCGAGTTCACGTTGTGGACTGCATCTCCGGCTTCGAGGAGGTGATAACCGGCTTGGATGGTCTTGACAAGCGGCATGGCTGTCTCGAGGGCATCGGTGACCCTCTTGAGAGCCTTCTCCCTCAGAGTCTTGTTGCCGAGCACCCATGTGGACAACTCTTTGACGCCCATGTTGACTTGGAGCGGGAGCCTATCCGAAGAGATCCGGATCGGCTAAAAACAAAGCAGAGAAATGCCCAGACTAAGGAATCATGGCATCGACCGGGAAGCAGAGGATTGAAGAACAGGCCATAAGCATGAGGCGACATCTGCTCCTCTTCACCGCCTTTGTGACCCCTTTCATGACGTGGCATCCACTATTTTGATGCCCAACAGGCAGTCGTATCAGAGATGGGGCTGTCTTGGCCTTCTGATTGGCTCATCGACTGGCTGGCGCGATTGTGCTTGTTAATGCAGCTGGCAAAAGTGGAACGCGTCTGTTATGCAGCGCTGGCATCGCGTCTGATGTGGCATAAATATTACCAGTTGCTGCAAAAAATAACACGTGAAGATAAGGACTAATCTAGTGAATGAATGAAGCCACGAATTATGTCGGGATATACAGTATTTAGGTAGTGTGCAAATGCTATCCAATAATTGTGCAGCATCCCTGGAGCATCGATTGTGTACAATGAATCTTAACATTGCCTTTTTCTCACAACACCAACTATTATAATGGCGTTATGTAAACCACGCGCGCTTTGGATGTAAGAAGCTGTCATAAGTTATTTACATTTCATCATTCTTTTTTTATTAGCTAATCGTGCTTGTATCTCTGCATCAGTAACCTACCTTCATCCTCTAGGGTAGCCGCCTTGCTATGAGCGGGCTGGACTGAGAACATCTCTCACCACCAAAATAACCGTTAATTTAAGTGAAATAGAGGACAATCGGGGACGGGAACCAAGCTTTAATAAGGACGGGAGTGTACCAGCTTACTGTAAGATATGAAAGTGGGTTTTTCATGGACAAGGTTGTACTATAACCCTCAGATCATCAGGAGTGACTCCATGCTCTGTTTTGGTGGGTTACCAGACAGCTTCGAATTGTGTTAAATTTACAGAAAAATCCGGGTATTTGACTTCTTGCTTTTATCGAGGCGTGATTTTACATACCATCCCTTCGTGAAAGAGCTCACAACGTCATGCCAGTGGCGACTTGAAGGATATGGCGCTGGCCCAGTGACGTCACCTTTCAGCCACTGAGGCGCAGGCCAAGCCATCTGAAAACCCTCCTTCGACGTTACCGGCACAAAATTCACGCCTGTACTCATCGTCGTGGTCGATTCGATTGCCATTGAGAGGAAAACCCCGGTTTCTTCGCTAGAACTACTTCAATTCGTTGGTACAGCTCATCTCTTCTGCTACCACCGGCTTTTCCGCCTGGCATGTCGCGCGATATTTGGGCAGTTCCGCTTCAGCTCAACAACTTCAACATCGTCTTGGCTCTGCTGGGCGGCTTCATCTCGCTGTTTGGCCTGGTCTCGTTTCTTCTCAAGGAGAATTACTATCTCTCTGAAGCTCGTAAGTTACTCCCCGATTCTGACCTGTACGCCACAGGGCTGCGGCCTTGACGCTTGACGACGTCTTGGCGGAGGAATTCTTGGCGACGACGTCTTGGCGGAATCTTGGCAGAATCTTGGTTGCTGACGCTGGTGTGAAACAGTCATTTCCCTTTTGGTCGGCCTCGCGTTTGGTCCTAATGGCGCAGACTTCATAAGACCCAAGGACTATGCGCAATGTTCCGTAGAGGGCATCTCCGATGAGGACTGTCAACGGAACCTCAATACCATCACTCTCAATTTCTCCCGCCTCGTCCTGGGCGTGCAGCTTGTCCTGGCAGGTGTCCAACTTCCGAGCAAGTACCTACGCATGGAATGGAAGTCTCTGAGTCTACTGCTGGGTCCGGGAATGACAGGCATGTGGATAGCCACAAGCCTCCTCGTCTGGGGTCTTTCTGGGACGTCTAGCGTTCTACACGCCCTCGCCATTGGCGCCTGTGTGACGCCAACGGATCCTGTACTCTCCGCCGTCATCGTCAAGGGAAAATTCGCCGATCAGAATATCCCAAAGGACCTCCAGGATCTTATCGTCGCCGAGTCGGGCGCCAACGACGGACTCGGATACCCGTTTCTTTTCTTTGCTTTGTATCTCATCAAGTATGTCGGCTCGGGTGCCACATCGGGCGGTGCCGGCGACGCCATGGGCCTGTGGTTCGCCTATACTTGGGGGTATACAATCATTCTGAGCATCTTGTATGGTGCTGTGGTCGGGTGGATAGCCAAGGAACTCCTTCACTGGGCCGAGGAGCACAACTACGTTGATCGCGAAAGTTTCCTCGTCTTTGCCATTGCCCTCGCCTTGTTTGTCCTCGGCACTTGCGGGCTGGTTGGAACCGATGACGTTCTTGCCTGTTTCATCGCTGGAAACACATTTACGTGGGATGACTGGTTCCGCCTGGAGACCAAAGACGACTCTCTGCAGCCAACAATCGACATGCTCCTCAACGTCACCATCTTTTTGTGGTATGGCGCATTCCTCCCCTGGGAAGACTTCGGCAGCAGCTCTGTCATCTCTACCTGGCGCGTGGTGGTCCTCGGTCTCCTCGTACTCCTCTTAAGGCGGTTGCCTTGGGTATTTCTCATGCATAAGCGTATCCCCCAGATCGTGGATACCAAACAGGCAATTTTTGTGGGCTTCTTTGGTCCCATTGGCGTCTCGGCCATCTTTTACCTGTTTATTACCCTCGAGTTCATCGAAGAGCATCTCACCGATGCGAATGGGATTACGAGGAGCGATGTGAAGGATCTCGGCGAGCTGGTTCGAATTATCGTCTGGTTTCTTACTGTTTGTAGTGTTGTAAGTACAACGTCAAACACTCCACCTCCGGGTTCTTCTCTGCTAATACAGTCATAGGTCATCCATGGATTGAGCATCCCGCTTGGAAAGTTGGGATATCTCGCGCCCAGGAGAGTCGGCCGGGTTCTCAGCGAGACGTTCAGCGATGAGCCACACTTGGTTGAAGCCCGACGAAAGATCCCCATTATTGGAAAATACCTGGTTGTTGAGCCCAAGCCAAGGGCTACGGGTCCTGTTGTCATATTGGACAGTCGGCCCCTTCATTCGCGACCTGTCGCACCGACCAGCCCTGCGGACGCGAATGCCCAGACTGATGCTACCACTGGTACCGACACTCCTGTAGTTGGCGAGTCCGGGACGACAACTCCTCGACGGGACCGTGAAATTCGATTTACGGATGAGGTGGTGTAGTGAAGCGAGGATCGCCAGGCTACGGAAACAGAACCCAACTGGCTTTTTTCCTCCGTGTTTAGGAACTCATTGTATTACGCGTAGCATTGCGATAGGTTGGTGGACATCGGAATTATAGATTAGGGTGGCATGCTACTGACCATAACTAGAATGTGTCGATCGAATTGGGCTGTCTATTGAAAAGCATATATTGTTTCGGGTATATAAATGATTTCACTAAAGCTCCTGTTGCTCGATTCAGTCACTCTGTGAGTAAATGTCGGAAGTGGTCCTCTGTATTTATACAGTGAAGTGGTGTATATTCGTTCCACTCAGTCATCGCTTATTTCAAGGTGTTCTATTTCATTTGCGAGGTTACGAGGACACCGAAATTGTCAAACTAGCACGATGAACAAGTTTTGCTTATCCGACAACCGTAACTCTACTGCTCGTGAGTGCTACTATTAGGAGAAGAAGTATATCCATCTGCGTTTGATTGCGTTCGTATTTGAAGGGTTGCGCTGCTTCCACCTCCCTAAATGGAATTTAACTAACCCTATCCAGCAGTTACTGTCCCTTCTTCTCTCCAGACATGGAATTGGTGGAACTGAGCATCGGTGATGGGTCATAGTTGACAGCGTTGGACGCGTTGGACGACACCCAGTATTTTGCTCTAACAGCGTGGGCGTCGCGTTTGTCTCGGGCTGGATCTCTCGCAGCGAGAAGGTCTTGGTGATTTCCAATTCATGTGTCCACTCGTCAAGGTTTGCGGCCTCATGTCTCTCCAGGTCCAGGAGTAAGTGTTTCGCGGGTTACCACAAGTCACATATCTTAAGACACTCTTGACGGAATGTTCAATCTCTCTTGCGATATCTATATGCTAAGGCTCGATATCATGGACTCCAGCTGAAGCATAATCCCATCGTATATAGCCTGTTGTAATTGAGGCTTGCTCAGGTCTTTGCCACAGCCAAAGTCGCACTCGAGAACCTTCTGGGTCATCTCTTGATACTTCGGACCAAGTGGACATGCTTGAGATGCCATCCGCCGAACTTGCAGGACATCATTCGAGTCAACGCGAGCCCAACGCCCGATGGCCAGCAATGCCACACCAAGGTTGTAAACCGTAGCATTGTGAATCCCATGGACTAACTTTGCGTCTTCAAAGGACTTTAAGTCGCCAGCTGTGTCCACTTCCATAAGTTCTCCTGCAGATCTCTGTGACCAATCAACACTTATATGCAGTGTCTTCAATGAGGCAGCAAGGTCAGAGTCCTGTTCGAAGAAGTACAGGTCCTGCAAGCCCCAACATTCCCCGAGCCACGGTGTTGAATTGAATCGCAATACAGCAGAGACTAGACGCAATGCTAGCTGAAGTTGCTCGGGAACAGAGATCTCCTCACTGCGAGGGCGTGCGAGTATTTCATCCATTCGCGTCAGTCCCGAAGATTTAATATCCCTCTTGCAGACGCTTGGATTGCAGACGCCCTCGCAACATGGGAAGAATGAGTGTCGATACTCGTTATGGGCCCACGAGTCCAAATATCCAATACACGTAGCAGTGTGGGCTTTTTCTTCATGACATCTTTTCCGAACAAGTCCCGAGTGATGGTGGGCATCCTTAGGAAGCAGTTTCGAGCAGAAATGCTGGGTGTTTTGAAGGTCCAAGACCATTGCGCTTGACGATTCCGTCAACGTCAAATCGCTTATACTTTGGCTGGCAACTTCATCTGCAAATCCTACAACACGCCGCCGCTTTCGAGAGGTCTTGTCGAAATCCGGACACGTCGCAAAGAAACTCGGGCTTAGGATCATTGTGGCCGTTGATTTGACGTGGACGGTGATCATGTTTGCCAGTACCAGACTGGGTATCGAAAACGCGGTTAATGGTGTATTCTTCCCTTTCTCTGGCTTGGATTCGTTCTCAAGACATGAAATAGTCAAATCTAACTGGACTTCATCAGGACGTTTAGTCTCGAGGAAAAGCCTGACCATGTGTCGAAAATGGGCTGAGTCCGGTGTTGACCAGGCAGTGCAAAATGCCTTGTGAAGTGCTTGGGAAGCTTGCCTCGTGTTCAGGTAGTAATTGAAAGTGTGCTTGTGCAGTTTCTGGACGGAATACGGATAATGCAGGAATGGGCGCGTACGCGTCATGGGCTTGCAAAGTTCACCCATCTGCTCACGGAGGAGCTTGAGGTCGTTGTTGCTGTCTCGGAGTTCACCGGTCCATTTTTCGAACTTGGACTTGTCAAAAAGGATGACTATGCGATCTCTCACCCTTCTTACTGTGTCCTTGAGTCGCTCATCCTAGAGAGACATTGCTTCATCAGTGTCCGGATTGTGGGTGAGGCGGTCGCTATCCTTACGTGTTGCTTTTCTTCATCCAAGCAGTTGAAGCATTCCAGGCCTTTTTGTAGATTGGTGATAATCACTTGGATGTCTTCAATAATTTCCTTGAGCGATCGGGTGTTGTCTCCAAGACGGTCCACCATGTCATTATCCAAGCTGGGACTCTTCCATTTCTCGTGTCTGCCATCTTCAACCATATCCTGGACCAAGGATTCATCGTCCAGGACCAGGCGGAGCACAAGGTGGACCTCGTTGAGAAAGAATTGCCTCTGGCGGTCAAAATGCTTTCGCACACGGTCAACCTCTCTGGAATAGTGACGAAAGGTTTTGAGCTTCGAGTAGGTGGATTTGTACACCTTGAGCGAGCCGCCGAGAAGAGGGACGACGCCCACTGTGAGCGAAACCGGATCCATCTCTGTAGAGGTGCAAAGATTCTACGACGAGATTGAAATCTGGCCCATGGTGCGAGATTATCCAACATGTCACAAGGCAGAACAAGGCGCAGTGCGGCTGAGACGGGCGGGGTATCGTATAGCGAGGATTATCTTTGAGCCGCAGCCTGATTGATTCGTCGCCTGATTATCCCTCAAGCCTGGCCATCGCGACTCTGAAGTTTTGTCTGTTTTCATCTCAATCTCACAAGATGAAGAGTCCAACAACAAAGAACCCAAGGACGAGCCCAACGCCGGTGCATCCTCCAATGTCCGCGTTTGCGGGGTCTCGCGATGTTACCAGGGCCATCCACGAATGGCGGGACGAAAGCATCTCCAGCAGCTATTGGGTGGGCGATATCAGCGCCAACGCTCGACTCTGCAATGCTGTGCTCATGTTCTACAAGGAAATACTTCGCCATATATCCAAGGAAGTTGACATAAAAAAACCTGTTCGCATGAGTCTTGAGCGCACGTATTCGCTCATGGTTCTGTGGTCAGACGCATGGGGCGTTACAGATGGTTCTCTGGACGAGATCTTTGCCAAGTCACGAAAAGTTCGGCGATCTTCTCTTAAGATCTTGTTGAGCATCGCGAACGCATTGTTGGAAAGTAGGTCACTATTTCGTGGTGCTCACAACATCCCCACGTTAATCCTTGCAGCAAATACGGGGGTACACCACCGCTAACTGAACCGACAGGACTCACACCTCTTGTTGTCAAAGACAAAGTGGAAAGGCTGGATATGGTGGAGCCACGTCTCACCGCCATGACTGCAGAAGCGTCCTATCTGATCCATGATGCCACTGACACAAGTTCCGACTCTTCGAGCGATGGATCTTCGGACTTTGGGCTAGATACTATTGACGAAATTGTCGAGGATTTACGAACAGATGTGCAATGTCTAACGGAGCTAAACCCTCTCATAAGAAACCCTGTCTTTGATCGCTCATCACAGAAGCAGAAAGAGCCTGAGGTGGCTGATTGGACCCCTCAAAAAGCGTTCTGTGACAAGATTGAGCAACGGTTCCCTCGAGCTGATCATTCACTAGTCCTGGGACTGGGATACGCAAATTGGTGGAGATTCCAGACTTGCCAAGAACAGCGACTCAAAAATGAGCATGCCGAGCAGGCCGAGCAGCAGCAACTTGGTACGGCCAAGGAGGATCATGAAACGGTCGCTGACTCAAAATTCCACGATTCAGGCCTGGGCACATCTTTGCCAACAGAGAGCTCTTATGCCGAGACGATAATGACCTACAGTGGCTCTAATGGTCAAAAGACACGTATTCCGCCACTCACCGATGAGGCGAAGCGAGGGGAGGCTTTTCCCTGTGTCGCCTGTGGCAAAGTTGTTCGAATAACGAATAACTCGGCATGGAAGTGGGTGTCCTTCTTGAACTCTGCTTGTAATTCTATCAAAACTAACCTGAATATTTAAGGCGCCATCTGTACTCGGATCTCCAGCCGTACCTGTGTCTTGAGACTAAATGTGGAATGCTCGCTTTCCACAACCGCAATGAATGGTCAACACATCTTGCCCTTGAGCACTATGAGCCCGACTGGGAACCTGAAACATGTCCGTTATGCTTCGAAACCACCGGACAAGGGCAAATAGCAATCACACGTCATTTGGCCGGCCATCTTGAAGAGATTTCTTTATCAGCTCTGCCAATTAATGCGGACGAGGACGGCGAGGAGGCCAGCTCAGAAGCAAGTCTTCAAAGTTTACAAGACCACGACTCTGACGCCGACTCCGACCCAGAGATCCATAGCACAACGCTGACCCGGAAAACCAGCGCCTGTGACAGATGTTGCGGGCTCAAAATACGATGCACTACGGACTTATCACAACCCGATGGGGAGTGTACGCCATGCAAAAGTAGTGGGAGCACATGTGTCAGGAGGCTAAAAGAACTTGACAATGAATCTTCTACAATCAAATGCATTTGTGGAAACCCAGAACCTGACGATAACACTATTTACTGTCCCTCGTGTGCAACTTGGCAGCATATCGACTGCTACTACAACGACTACCCCGAGCAGGCACTGAGGGAAAGCTTTGAACACCTTTGTAAGGACTGCAATCCACGACCACTGGATATCTCTGGAGCACGGAGAATGCAAGAGTTAAAGACTGCTACCAAAACAGATGATAAGACAAAACCACCAAAAGTGGATATCAAGTCAAGCTCTGAACCTTGGGAAAAATCGCGAAGTCAAAGACGGAAGGGGGGCAGGGCTCCTACCGGTACTTGGATCTGGGACTGTGTAAGTGTCTCCCCACCGAGCGGATGATACTAGTCTGGATACAAAACTCACAACCCATTTAGTGCAATTGTGGGCAAGCAGGCATCAGAGTCAGTGTTGATCCTTGCTCACGCTGCAGCCAACCTCGCTGTAACTTCTGCTCTACTAAACGATTGAGAGTCCGTTAGCGGTGGAAACGGTCAATAGTCAACACTCGATTCATCTGCTATTCCTGGAGAGGGTGCAAAGAACAGCGTCGCACAGGCGTCTTGCTAGGTCGGCCTGAAGCCGCACTAGACTTTGTATATATGGTCGGATTGATCTGAGGCTTATGTCTCCTAACAGGAAAGCATCTAATCGGATGCTCTGTCGGAGTCGGTCGCAGAAAAGAATGGTAGCAAGTCTTCGACAAGGCCGGACGCAGCCCGTGAATTGGCGAAGTAGAAGATTGAGGTTGGAAAGGATTGTAACTAGGGTCGTAAAAAGTCTCCCAAAGGTCTCTTAAAGTCTCTTGAAATAAAGGCAACGAATTTATTGACTCTAACAGCTAGCTTATTCAGCTCTATGTCTCTCTGACTATTGTGTTGCTCAACGAAGTGCATTGGAGTATAACCTTAATATATAATAACCTTTCCCCCCCACAAAACCTTCGCCTGAGCAGTCAACCTGCAACCCAGAAACCCTCCGCCCCCAATAACTTATACCTGATGTCGAGCCTCCTCTAGCAGCTCCAGTAGCTCTAATTGGTAAGCTCGGAGGTGACGTAGTTTGAGAGGAACTTGAAGGCGGCGTGGAAATGACGCATTAGCGCCCGACCCTGCCGGCGACGCTCGGCGATCTCTCGGCGACGTAGCCCGATGTAGTATCACAATTGATTGACAATGAAAACAATACACCACATGGGCAATAATTGTCTATAGATTCGTGTATATTTATTTGTTGCTAGTTTTCTCTGTACAGATGTAAATTTGTTGCATTTCTTTATCTAAATGTGAGAAAATTTAGATCATAATCGTCTAGCACAGAACATGACAGACTCCAAGATGCTACACGCTCTCACACGTTGTAACATCACGGGCCGTACATCCGTTAATTATTCCCCACAATATGCACACTACTTGACAAAGCCAAAGGTGGTGCGGGTCCTAATACCCGGCTGGACTAGTAATACACTCTCTCGGATTGGCCACCGCCACAATGCACACCTGGATAACATCCTGTCTGCCGAGCCTGACACCGTTCCTACTCACCGAACAACAAGTAGAAACACATGGCTACCAAGCTATACAAACAACATCAGCGAGTCCTCCTACTTCTCAGAGTAGATAAAAAACGGCTTCCTTCAGCGAGTACTTTTCATCTACAATCCCGGTCCATTAGCTCAAAGGCACGTTCAACGATGAACCCTCAACCCGTCGACGCACCCCTCACCACATCGGCAACTTTCCTCGTTGTGTCGGCCACACACACGCCCGATTCGGTCCGCAAGATCCGGAAGGCCTTGTCAAAGGTCAGTGACATTATCAAGAATGTCTCTATTCGGAGTCCCACTGCCAACCTCAGCTGCATCGTCGGCATTGGGGCCTCTGTTTGGGATGGTCTCATGAAGCTCCCCCGGCCAGCTGAGTTGCATCCGTTCCCGGAGGTGCGAGGCGCTGCTCACACTGCCGTTTCCACGCCGGGAGACTTGATCTTTCATATCCGGTCTGAGAGGAGGGACTTTTGTTTTGAGTTTGAGCGGCAGCTCATGGATCTGCTTGGAGACGCAGTGAAGATGGAGGACACGACTATCGGGTTCCGATATTTTGATGCTCGGGACTTGCTGGGCTTCATTGACGGCACCGCAAATCCAGTCGGTTCTGACGTGGAGGACAGCGTCCTCATCACCGAATCAGACGACAGACCCGCAGCAGGAGGCAGCTACATCGTCGTTCAGAAATACCTTCACAATCTGAAAGCATGGCAGGCCCTTTCCACGGAACAGCAAGAAGCCATTATCGGCCGAACCAAAATTGACAACATCGAGCTAGACGATGCCGAGGAAGGCCAGCAGCAAGCACACAAGACACTAGCGACGCTAGAAGACGAGGACGGAAACGAACACGACATTCTCCGGGATAACATGCCGTTCGGGTCGCCAGGTTCTAGCGAATTCGGCACGTACTTTATTGGATATTCACGCAAGCTGTGGGTTATTGAGAAAATGATGGAGCGCATGTTCATTGGAAATCCGCCTGGGTTGCATGATCGCATTCTTGACTATTCAACGCCGGTGACTGGGTCGACCTTTTTTGCTCCGACTGCAAGTGTGCTGGAACAACTTGACTAACAGGGTTGGCGGGCATGGTATGAAGAATCTATACGTAAGCTTCTTTAATGTTGGCGATAGTCAGGGTTTGATTTGTTCACTACTCAACACCAGGGCCGAATCTTAGTTGCACTTGTACTATTTGAATAATACGAAACCCATCTCCGTTCATCAATTCGACAGGTCCTCCGAAGCCAACGACAAGTCAATTTTTGTTCAAAAGTCTCCACACTGCCATGTTTTGTATCTTCTGGAGCCACCGGTTGAGCGCCAACTCATCAATCAGATCATTTATCTGACCCCCTTCGCTCTCCCTCTTCAGCGACACGTCCTCTCCTCCCCGTGGTTGGTTGTGCTGGCTGAAGTCCCAAGCAACCTTCACACACACTGCCTTTTCGAATCCCACTTCACTTTTGCAATCGCCTCGTGTGGGTTGTTGCAAGTGTCATGGAAAGCTTGGGCATCCCATTCTTGTCGTAGACCGGCACCACCATCACCGGCCGCTCTTGAAGTTGAATGGTGAAGACTTATCTGGTGAGTGTGTTGCCATTGACAAACCTCTTGCCTCTGATCTGAGGGCCCGAACCCTAGTCGCAACTATGAGCCGCTCGTAAGCAGCGTCATCTCTAGCAACTGTGCCCTCCTCCGGCGCACATCCGTCAGCAGACAAGCTGGGATTGTCGCAAGCCCCGAGGTATGGAGAAGGCCCTTTTCCCACGTCAAACTTGACGTACTGCATCCGCGCTGAACGCCATTGTGAAATCTTTGTACCATGCAGGCATTGACCCGCTAGATATAGCCCATGGCCCTTCATATCGTCCACAGGCGAAGGAAACGCGAGGTTTCTGCGAATATTGTGAAAAATGCGCTGGTCCAACCCATCTTCGTCGAGATGCGCAAACGCCTCTTTCCTTTGAGCTGCATCGAAGGTAGCTAGGCCCATCCTAAATATTCTGAGCCCTCTCATAGAATTTGCCCATCTGGAGAGCACATGGTGCCATCTCATCGTGTGCTTGTACACGACAGGACTCGAGTGTGCGGCTATGAGGTCGCGTGTACTAGCTTGGTGAGGGTTTGCGCCCAATGCCGTACGGTTCATACCCAGATCACGAGACTGGAACAGAATGGGACAGTCATCGAGATAAAGCTCTTCCAGTCCGTGGCTACCGTTGTTCTTGCCGACAGATGCGAACCAATCAATCTCCCATCCTTCACTGAAGACATACTTGCCAAGCGCCAGGACTTTGAGCCGTGGAAACGGCGAGTCGCCTCCGGTCTTTCGGAAGTCCATCATGGGAAACCAACCCCAATAGCCCTGGTAGTAAAGCGACAAAGATCGCAGATTCTCACCAAGGCTTGGGGATAACCACGTTTGTGGCAGGTTGTCGAACATTTCGTATTTTTCCTCAAAGAAAACAGATCGTTCTGGCTCAGCGGAATCAATCTCGGTAGCGAGGACGAGTTTGAGATCCACAAGGCTGGATAGACACAAAAACTTCTTCCAGGCTTCAGATGAATAGAAATAAGAATCATGGTAGTCGGCCAGATTGGAAATTGTGAGTTGCTTGATTTGTAGGACCTGGTCTGAAGGGATACCTAGATCATCGTTGGGGTACTCGGGCTCGTATCCATCGAGATCCACCAGCTGGTCGATCTCGATTTGCTTTCGCTGCGTCCAAATGCCCGTAATGCAATGGAAAATGGTGTCAAGCACGCTGTATCGGAAATCCCAAGATTCCTCAATTTTCACTGAGGAGCGTCCCCGAATGCTATCGCCACAGAACTCATTGAACCGCAGATGCAGTGCAGTAATTTTACTGAAGCAGCGCAAGTACGGAAGCGCGTTCAGGAAGGGACTAGGGATATCGTAGGTCCCGTTGGCGTGGTATTCGAACCCAGGGCCAATCGAGGTGTTGATTGTGAGTTCTCGAACAAAGCCGCGAAGTTTGGTTGACTTGGCGATAGTGGTGAATCGCTCCGCCGATGTGCCATAAGCCTTGAGGTGGAGAGACTTGAAGGCGTACGGCAATGCTATAAGGTTCAGCTGGGATGACGTGAGCCTTAAGCAGAGTAGGCCGTCCTGTGCCGATAAGTGAGAACATATCGGTTCCCAAATCTCAGGGAGAAGCGGCAAAGTGTCTCGGAATATGTCACTCATTGCGGAGGCAGATGTTTTTATCATGTGAGGGGTTGAAGAGGCACAGAGAGCTGAAGGCATCTTGTCATCTTTTATCACCTGACAAATCTCACCCGTGGCCGGCATCCAACCGAGATTTATCCACCCGCTGCCTGCTTACCTATGAGGTAGCAGTCTTTCTGTTGCCCAACGAAGTGAATTAAAGTAAGATGACCTTCATGTATAATAACCCAACCCAACCCAACCCAACCCAACCCCCCCAACACACACACACACACACAAAAGTTTCGCCTGTCAACCTTCAGCCCAGAAACCCTACGCCTCCGGATATCTCATCAAGCAGCCTGATGCCGAGCCTCTTCTAGCAGACCCAGCAGCTCTAATAGCTATATTCTATTTCAGTCTAGCTTTTTTAGTCTTTTTTTTATTTAGTCTTATGATTGTATACTTTATAATTATATTTTAAAAAATATTAAAGTTATTTTTTTATTTTAATTTTATAGTCGTAAATTAATTTTCTCAAAGGAACAGATGGAAGTTAAATTAGTATAAAGTAAGTGGAGTTTGTGAATATTACACTAATACAACTCTCACCTAGACTGCGGTTAGAAGGGAGACTAGGCGGCGAGGCATGCCAGACCCGGAAGTGCGGATAAGTTGTCTCCGAGTCGCCAAGGAAGTGTACGAAAGGCAAGCTGGGGATGCTCCTATTTCTCTTGTTCAAGAGTGACAATCAGAGTAAAGATATTGTAGATAATGAATGAATGCAAATTCTACAAATGTTTAACACTACTAACCATCATCATAATGCCTGGCGAAGGTTCTCTTTTTCAACTACCCACTCGCCATTCTTCGGAAAGCCTGGCGCGTCGCTCGAAGATCCATCCCATCCTTCGGCCATGTACGCAACTGCGCAAAATTTAGTCTCAAGTTCAATTTGCTAGTCACATTGGCGATCTTACCGGCTAGCAATAACCCGGCATTACCTGGCATAAATGGAGGTGGTGTTCCACCATCCCCGCCGCGAATGGCGAATCCTAGCAAGCGGTCAGCCCAGCTGTATTTTGTGACGTGGACCACGCCAGAGCGTTGCGGCGCGGCTAAACTTACCAGCATCATCAAACTTCCAATAGTCGTATGCAGTCAAGTGATGAATGGCTCTTTCCGGGTTCCCAATTCGAGCTGAGTTGATTGCCAAAACCGGCCGGCCCCAACCGCGAATTTTGGCGTCAGGCCAAATGTCCCAGATTTTGTCAGCCGTCAGCCGTGCAACTTCTTCATCAACAGCGGAAGCATCTGGGAGGAATCCCTTCATCATGTTGAGGCTGCGCGGGTCGCCGATAAGTGCAGGATCTTCCCACCAAGAGGCATTGAGACCTTCATAGACCGTATATAACCCATCGATCTGCGGCGGCTTAGCGAGGCGGCTGGCAACATCTGACCAGGAATCGGGAATCGACCGCCCCAGCCTCTTTTTCCACTTGCAGGCTACATCGAGACCGTATCGCCAATAAGCGATCTCATAAGCGAGATTGAGAGTCTGCGTAGGAGGTGTATTTTCTGTGACTCCATAGGCTCTAATTGACGTTAGTTGGGATTTTCTTAGTTTATGAAATGGCTCTTACGGGGGGCCAAGGTCATAGTATCCAGAGGATTGATTATACCACGCGTAGGAAGCCATATAATCTGCAGTGGCTTCTAGAATTGGGTCCCAGCGTTGCAATGTCCGCTTGGTCGGCTGTGCCTTATAAGCCAATTTGGCCATGTACATCGGATGTGGCTACAAAAAACACGACACATTAGTCTTCAACTATGGCCTTGAGGTATTGAGAGAGATGCAAACCTGTTGCCACAGAAGCAGGCCATTGATAGTACCAGGTGAGCTTCGACCGGTAAGGATTTCGGTCATTTTCGGCCACCGGGCGCCTTTCCATCCCATCCTTCTGGCCCTATCCATTGAACTTGGCAACAGCGACTCATACAAGGCTGGGAAGATATTGTGAAAGTATTTTTCCCGGCCCCATGAGACCCAATGAGCACAATGCCACAGAACCATCTCCATGTGAAATTTGCCTGTTCAAAGTTATTACAAAGTATTTCAACGATGAAGAAAATTATTCACCACTCACCATACCACCCATTATTCATGAGACCACTCTCTTGGGGCGGTTGCCCCGTACCTGCACTGTTAACTCGGACATGATACTGAGACTGGATTATACGGCGTTGAAGCTCGGTCGCGTTCGGGTTGGAAGACTGCGTAAGATCAACAAAACCGCCCTCTTTCCAATAGTCGTTCCAATCGCCACGGTTTTTCTGCATAATCGCCTTGGGAGTGTCTGGGACTGCTTTGAAAGGTGAAAAATGAGCAGTGAAAGACAACTGCGTCGTCTTTGACCCATGAACCGACTGAGAAAGGGTATACCGGTGAGCGGTGATTGCATCCGAGTTGGCAGGCTCCAATCTGTCCAGAGAAAGAGGAGACTTCTTGGGCCAACGCAAGTTGACGAAATATTTGGTCTCCTGCATCTCGTGTCGAATATGTGCCACATTTTCCGAGAGCTGACGCACAATACTAGTCGTGTGGTTGGTTGGGAAGTTATAGACACCGGCAAATACTTCATACTTGTATGTTGTGGTATGAATTGGTGGGTAAGGGAAATCCATTTCCACCGCTAGGTCGCCAGATTGAACCAGCTCGGATTCAACTTTAAAACTGACGGCATCCGAAGCGAAGTCGCCTTGGGTCACGATCCTGACGTCGAAGCCGTCAACCTTAAAAGTAGAGGTAATCGTTCCATTCCAAAGATCAAGTTTTTGATATGTGTCTGAGATTTTGTCGGCTTTGAGAGTGTCATTATTATACCTCAGCCCGATTCGACCAAGGTTGACGCGATTGGGATTTCCAATTAACCATTGCGTTACATCGGGGAGGGCTGGGTCGGGAACTTCGTACGAGACATTGCGTCCATGAGTGAGTACAGGCACTCCTGTATAGTCATTGATACTGCATTTTGTCACTAGTGAGTATCAGAAAACTTTCAATAAAGAAGGGTATAGTACCTGCCCTTTGGCATTGTATCGTTATGCCACGCCCAAACAGACATTGTATTGAACGGGAGATATGTCTGCATTCCTGTAGTATCGACAGAGAAGGCAAAATTGCCATTACCTACTTGGAGAGGTGTTGTCTTATTGTCGATAAGGCTGGTTCGCACGACATTATTCTCCGATACAATACGGTGCCTTCGATACGTGAGTTTGCCATGAGCTGAGTCAAAGGTTACTTTAACCTCACCTATCAATTTTTCCATGGACCATAGAGGCCAAGAGCACCCATGAGAGTATTGTAGTGATAGCCATCACGGGTCTAATCTCGCCGTAAACGTAGATGATAGAACCAAAGTATTCAGGCGAGGCGACCATATGCTTTGTTTGATTCGACTAGATTATGAAATTGAGCATCTGTTCATGTTTATTTAATGACCTCCACGGCTAAAAGGCTCAAGCCCCGCAACATGGGGATTATCCTTTTGCGGGGAGGCCTAGGGTTGCTCAATTGAAGTCCTCATTGGTGGGGGTTTTTGACCATCTCACCATTATGCACTCGAATTCGGCGAGGGTCGCCGTAATTAATCCCGTTTGCTCAAGGGAATAAGGAGGATCGTCGGCGACGGAGGGTGTGATCAGTGTGCCTCATGCATGGCTCAGACCACAAAGCGCTGATCCCCCGCACGGGGGAAATGAACTCCTCCAATCAGATCATTATAGAAACCACTCGTCTAGTGAAAGACGGCGCATATTTGTACCCTTGCACACGAAATTAGAAAGGAGATGATTTCTGTCGTGTTCTGCTGGGCATTTCTACATCGCCATTTATTCGTAAAGTGAATCTACCATATATCCACATTCTGCGCCAAAGAAAATATTTGAAGTTTAAGTTTGCTGCCCAGGCTTCTGTTCTATATTGGTAGCTATCTTCTTGATACTTGTGGAGGTTCTGTTACCTCAGGAGATCCCTGTAACGATTGAGAAAAATTCTGACACTCTCTCGAATCTCTTATTATATCTGCTTGTAGAAAGAGGCGTGAAGTGGCTGTTTATGGTTGTTAATATCTATATGAACTAAGAATATCTTGATCCGTATTCATGTTTTAATCCCCTAACCCACCAATAATAAAACATTGAACTAGGTGGAGGACCTTTCACCTGTACCTAGTTACCGGCGCTGACCACTGTGACGCTCATATTCAGTAACCTGGAGTGCATGACCTAGAATTACACTGTAAATTGTTATTAAGTCGGTGTAAACAATCAAAACGCCTAGCACAGACAATGTTACGGGAGCTATTACCACCACCCGATAGTGGCCATTGCGACCTTTATGGCTCAACAATAATAAGATGAGCCGTGTTTATCATCAGAACTCATCGATGCCTGGAAGCGTAAGATGACTGTGATATATAGTAGGTCTCCCTTGATTGATCCGTTAGAATGGATTCGTGTGATGAAGGTTTACGGGGCAGGGCTTGTATGCGAAAGCGTAGCCGTGGACTCCGAAATGAGCTCGGCGGAGTCGAGGTCCAGTCTTGGCCAACTCTTCATTTTTGTTGAACCTTTTCTTCATGACAATTTGTCATGAACTGCGATGAATTCATTTTGCTTTGCCATTTCCCAACAGTTGTGCCCTGCAAGCTGCACCACGGTGAATAAATCATTCGGTTGCGCTTGGGCTCCATGGACCGTAGTGAAGGGTATGACAGCGTCAATCTAAAATTCGAACCTCCATGTGAGCTTTTCAACACTGAATTCAAGTCTAAATTCACGGTCCGAGTTAATTGCTGTGAGAACAGCTGCCTCCACTGCCAAGACAAGCTGAGGCGGACAACCATTCGACCTTATGGTGCCAAGATTCCTTGGCCCGCTAAACTACGAGCGCCACTTACAGTTGTGGCGGTCAAGATGACGGCAAGCCATTAGGCATATTCAACATGCAATTATACCATGATTTGAAGACATGCAGAGGCACCGTCCGGCTGTCCTATAAGATAGCTGAAGGATAGCTTTGTAGCTCAATCCGACGACTTCAAGTCAATACAAACCTCTCATCATCATCATTCCCCAAAAAGAAACGTTCAAATGAGTCTTCCTGACGAAGCAAACATCATCACCGGCGGTTGCTCATGCGGTGCAATCCGCTATCGCCTAGCAGTTCCGTCCATCCAGGACCGTCCCCAACATCCCATGTCTCCGCCTTCTTCTGGTGTGCGCCTCCCGCAAGCTCTCACCTGCCACTGCAACGACTGTCGTCGTGCCACCGGTTCTTCGCTGGCCGTGAGCGTCATTGACATCCCGGGCCCGATGCTGACCGTGTCGGCCCTCTCCTCGTCATCCGAATCTACCATTGTTTCTGGCCGAATCTTGGACGTCATGGCCGATGACTACGACGCTGAAAAAGCCGATTCTAATCGGCCTCCATATATCCCCGCCATGGATGTCCTTCGAGCTACTCAAGAGAGCAAGACATGGGTGCGTTTCTTCCATAGCATCGATTGCGGACCTGACTGGTCTCGTAGCTTCTGTGGTCGTTGTGGAACTCCGGTTTGTTTCCACTTCCATCTGCTGCCTGAGTTCTGTCACGACGGAAATGTACCTGAGGATGTCACGGACTTATTTCATGTTAACCTGGGGACGGTGGACCGGAAGTTCTTGGATCTCAACTGGTTCGCTCCTAATGTTGAAGTCTACTTCAAGAATGGCACGCCATTCAGTAAGATGGTTTCTGCGACAGCCAAAGGACTCAAGAATGTTACCAAGTTGCAGGAGTTTGATGGAGTGGTGGAGTATAAGGAGCTGGAAGAACTGGGGGCGTAACTGGAACAAAATATGGAGGACGATTGAAGTCGCCACTCCCAAACTACCTTCGTGCTAGTGATAGTCCATTTATCTGATTCTTTCCTTTATTCTCAGTTTGCCTCCATACCCACGATAGCAACGATCCTTGTAACTCTAGTTAGCAAGCCGAAGGGCGATCTACGATGCTGTATCCTCGGGGTTTTGCTCAATAACAAATTGGGTTTGGCAACGGTAATGCGCAGAACCATTTGATGGACTCAAGCAAAAATAACACTGCACTCTTGAACGACGAGTAGTTCCTTTGTACCTTTATATCATATTTAAGGTGTTTTAGTTTATGATCCTCTAAGCGTGTTATCACAAAGTGAGTCGCAAAACTTAGGGATTCGACTTGGGGCGAGAATCGATCGGTGGAGGATCCAACGTGCTGAAAATTATTCTATCATGTTTCGTGTGCCTGTCCAACGCCAATGCTGTTCTATGCCCAAAATCGCTCAGAATCTATGACCATCAATCCTCGCTTTGTTGTCTCCGGTTCTCGGATCTGTTTTCGTTCCTCCGTGGACGTCCATTAAAGCTTCTGCCTCCTTGGCTTAGCGACCACCTTCGTTCTTTGATCACCTGCGAGGACTCTCTGTCCAGCAGATGACTGCCTCCAATAAAATGCCATAGGAAAAGGACTATCTGCATCCTCCCAAAACCCTCCACCACCAACTGCTCGTCGCTAGTAGTCCCTGGCCTTGATTTCCTTCATTATTTCGTCGACTTGTCTGTGTTCTGCTGTGCGCTTCTCCCACTTCATCTTTAAAGCATTAAAGTCGTCGCCGATTAATGCAGGCAGAACAGCGTCTGGACCGGACACACCCATTGATTTAGCTGACAGAGGTGCAAACAATTGTATGTATGCGTCAATAGTCAGAAACGGACTGTAGACAATTGTTTCTCCATCAATCATGCTGCCTGCCTCTCCAAGATCGGATGCGGAGGGTGTCTTGAGTACCCGGATGCCGAGGCTTCCGAGGAACTCTTCGTCTGTCTTTGTGAAGTTTGGATCTTGAGCATAAAGCGCAACTGCGTCATTTTCGCTTGAGGACGCGTCTAGATACGAAGCGATATTAAGGAATATGACGAGTTGCTTAATGCGGCGTGTTTGGTCCTTGGATGGTCCAAGACTACCAAGACCCAAAGATACCACTTTGGTCACCCTCGGACGGCTTTTGGCTTGCAGCATGATTTGGAACGATCGCGATAATGTCGATTGATGGAATAGATTTTTTGCTTCATTATAGAGAATTTCCAGTTGTTGAAGTTGTTTCGACGAATTTCTTCCCTTTGCCGCGCGGATTTTCGGGCCTGTAGCAGTGGCTGAATTATGCTTCACACGATGCGTATAGTGCGGTGCAAATGATCTATCCCCTAAAGTTTTCATGTAAGGCCCAATGCTCGTAGCGGCAAATTAAGAAGTTAGACAATCGTACTGTTGCTAATGTCCCAGCTCGCTGCGGGGGTCATTGTACTTGTGAGAGACATCGTAATCACAGTGTTTCGGTAAATTCCAGTGCTAGGTTGTTGAATTAATTCACGCCGACAGGGCAATTTTGGCAGGCGGGAGAGCGTGGCGAGACGATATAAGAAGGTGTCAAATTGATTTACGCCTCATCCGTGTGCATAACCAGAATCTCTGCAAAATTGATCTCTCAATATATAGATTCTCAGCGCGTATTATCCAAATGGGACATGCAATTCTTGGCACGCTGACATCATTGTCGGCTTTCTAATCCACGCTCGGTGTTCGGCATTTGCGCTCATCCGATGGCCCCCACTGGCCCTCAGAGTCACACCAAACTTCCTATCTGGGCTCGCCGGGCTTATTAATTGTCAAACTCGGTCATTCGACTGAATTAATAATGCAGGGTGATAAATCGCCAGCCCCTGTCCTCATCGTTGCCTTCAGCATTTTCTGCCATCTTGGGATTTATCGGAGTCCGGGAATGCCGAAACTTCACAAGGCGCAGGATATTTTTGTACTTTATGTCTCGCAGAGGCCCCCTCAAAACATTGGTGCACGCTAGAAAGCATGACCATTTAATCGGTACCCTTTTAGCCACCTTTTCTTGCTATGTTGAACATGAACGGATTCAAGACATAGTGATAAGCTGAGGCTCCAATGATAACTAGGATAGCTATATGAGACAGACGGTCTGTCGCAGGGGCGATCACCTCTGTCCCGTATGCCTAGTATCTCAGGCGTAAAACGGGACAAGTCGGAACAAGGGTCCGACCTTGGGTCCACCAACAGAACCATATAAAAGATGGCATTGAAAACCCACAAAAAAAATGAAACTACAAAAATAAAAACATACAACAGCGAGGATTCCCCGGTCGTCACCGACCCGAGTACTAATTCGCCGCTTCTCAGCTTGACTAAGGGAGAGCGGACGGGATCCCGTATTTTCTAAGAGCTATGGTCGTATGTGCTTGGAGGAGACGTGAAGCTGTCTTATAGACTGACGGGAGATCTCGTCAGATATAAAGAACAACTACGTACAGACTTTTCTGCCAATCCTCAGTTGTCCCATTCAGTCAGTCCTCTCTTCAGACTAGATTGCCGCTGTAGTGGGCTATATGTAATTATGTTTCACCTAACGCAAAGCCAGTTATTTGAAGGCTATGTTCTTTGGGTTAGTACGTTGATTCAACTCGAGGTCCTTTGTCATCCGAGCTCATGTCAATCCAGTGGCTAGGCCATTGATAGAGAATACCACCTGGTGCCCTTGTAACTCTTCAATTCGTGGACCCAGATCGATGAACCCAGCTCGCTTAGCGTGAAGGGACATCCGAAGCTCACGACTATCCGGAAAAAAGTGAGGAATAATACGGCAAAGAACCCAGGCAATAAAACTACCATTTTAGACGAACCATTCACCCCGTATGTCCCTTATTGAAAACCAAGAGCTGCTCCATGCATCATCACCCTGGCAGTGAGACATGCGGCACCACCACGCTACAGCTTCCTCCCCACCAGCCTACTCATCGCGGTTAGATCGTCCAGAAGCGGACCCCTTCTAAATATATCGTGCAGTGTTTTGCTGCGTTTTAATGCAAGTTTCCGTGGCCTATATGGCCCAGCACTGACTGGACTAAACAGCAGAGTGGATTCACCTACATCTAGTTCCGGCAATTTTCGGATATTATGTTGCCCCATCAGCACACCCGCCTCATTTGGTTGCCGTTCCCAACTCGCTAAATCCAACGATGTGTCATGTTTTTGCTCTTCGCTAATTGATCTCATTACTAAAAGTCATCCCATCAACTCACTCGTTACTCTAGGGACGTGCTGAAATAAAGAGGGCCATACCCTAGTGGGGCCATGTTGTGGACCTTCATTCAACCTTGCTGGAGTTGAGCGCGTGGCGAGTTGGCTGGACGTGTCTGTTTGGCACATGAGAACGCGTCGCTGCAAATCGATGCCGATAAGATGACGACAATCGAGAATCCCAATCATAAGTCTTCGGCCACCGGTCCGGAGCTGACGATGTCAAAAGCCGGTATCAAACTCGACCCCAATGACGAACCCGAACGAAGTATCGAGGAGGGCGAAGCCCAGTTTCATCGCCTCGGGTGGAAACGACTGGCCCTCATTTTGATCGTTGAAGCCATCGCACTTGGCAGTCTGAGCCTTCCGTCTGCCTTTGCCATCTTGGGAATGGTCCCCGGCGTGTTGATGTGCGTCTTCCTGGGTCTTGCAGCCATGCAGGGCAGCTACACCATTGGTGAAGTGAAGCTCAAGTTCCCCCACGCAAAGCATTATGTCGAGATAGGCCGGCTCATGATGGGGAACTTCGGCTATCACCTCTTCAGCATTGCCTTTGTCATCCAACTGATCCTGGTGGTTGGCTCGCACTGCTTGACTGGGAAGATTGCATTCACAACTATTACAGAGAGTAATATTTGCTCTCTAGTCTTTGGTGTTGTGTCTATGGTCATTCTGCTACTGCTGGCTATCCCTCCATCCTTCTCTGAGATTGCGATCCTAGGATATATAGACTTTGCTTCTATTATCATTGCTATTGGAGTAACCATGATTGCAACAGGCATCCAATCATCCAACCAACCTGGCGGTCTATCTGCAGTCCCTTGGTCTGCATGGCCAAAGGCGGATCTCTCATTCCAAGAGGCATTCTCAGCTGTTACAAATATTGTTTTTGCATATGCCTTTGCTATTGCCCAGCCGTCCTTTATGGATGAACTCCACACGCCATCAGACTTCAAAAAGTCAATCCAGACTATTGCTGTTGTTGAGATTGCCATCTACACATTGACAGGCGCAATCATCTATGCATTTGTCGGCCAGGATGTTAAGTCACCCGCACTGCTGTCTGCAGGCCCGCTTCTCACGAGAGTTGTGTTCGGCATCGCGTTTCCTGTCATTTTTATTTCAGGCTCGATCAACACTACGGTTGTCTGCCGGTATATTCACGGGCAGATGTACCAGCACTCTGCGGCTCGATACGTCAATACCAAGAAGGGCTGGGCTACTTGGCTTACACTTGTTGGCCTGGTTTCTGTCTTTGCATGGGTTGTGTCGGAGGCGATTCCCATCTTCTCCGACCTATTATCTATCATCTCTGCTCTATTCGTTTCCGGGTTTTCTTATTACATTCCACCTATTATGTGGTTTGTGCTTCTCAAGGAGGGCAAATGGTATGAGAGAAAGAACCTCATAGCCAGCATCAGCAATGGCATCGTGTTCCTCATCGGGATCGTTGTTTTCTCATGCGGAAGTTATGCTAGTATAGCGGGATTGGTAAGTTCACCTACGCTCACATTCTTCTTGTCTTCTCGCTTTTCATTTCAAAAATTGTAATTAACAACGTTTCCAGGTTACCAAATTTCGCGACGGCGCCGTTGGTATGCCATTCACGTGTGCTGCCCATTAGAAGATCTCAGCCCAAACTCTGGATACGATATCCTACCATGTATCAATAGCATAATCGATGTACAATACACGAGGTGACAGCCTATTGCTCGACTCATCTTCAAAAGTCTAAAAACAGCATAGAACCAATTCCTGCGAAGACATTCCTTCATATTTTACTGGAAGCGCCGTCGTCTTGACTAAGCCCTACATTACTGGGTCCGTCGACTGCTACTCTCGGAGAGTTTACCGTGATAATGTGACTCCCCCTATCTCGAGACTTTTTTTACGGTCTACGCATCACTTTGTTCTATCCGGTTCTTTTTCACTTCGCCGAGAAAATAGGCTGAAGAGGATGTGGATAACTCTGCATAACGGCCTTTATTGTGCATACAAAAGCCTGATGGTTGCGTATTACTTCTAATACAGCCACAGGCGTTCTGGGTAGGACATCATTCCTGTGTCAAAAATATGTATTTCTCTGCGATGGCGACGGCCTAGTCCGTATTAAGCCGGCTAATAGCTGCTGACCTTCAGGATTGAATTGAACCAAAGGTAACGACAGCCTCCCAGTGCCCTCGCCTCTCAACTTATCGCATGCTTCGTGTTGACCGCATGCTTCGTACCCGAGTCCCGCTAACCATCAATGTCAGTCGATGTGCCAACTTCTCGGCAATTGTTCAAGTCATTTTGGACCGAGTCGAGTTTTCCTTGTGTCCGAATAAACGCATCTTTTCCTAGGGCCAATCTGAGCACCTTGCCTTTCAGGTGACCTGATGCCCCTTCGCCAGTAGCAACCTCGAAAATGATGTTGACTGCCTTCTGAGGATCCCCGGGCTGCTTTCCATCGGCGCTCTCGAACTTTTTGACTACGTCTTCAACAACAGTCCCCTCGTATCCGATGTCGATGGGAATGTCGTTTATGGTGCTGGCGTTCAAAAAGTTGGTTCGGAATGCGCCCGGCTCAACAATCAAGACTGAAATGCCGAATTCCTTCATCTCCTTGGCCAAGACTTCGCTCAGCCCCTCTAGGCTGAATTTGCTTGCCGCATAGAGTCCACAACTCGGGAGGCCATCCTGGCCGGCCACACTGCTAATGTTGATAATGGTTCCGGATCGGCGAGCCCTCATACCGGGCTGCACAGCTTGGATGGCGTAAAGTGGCCCAAATAAGTTGGTTCTAATCTGAGTCTCGGCTTCAATTTCACTGTGATCGAATTAGTCAAGGCTCTTTTTGAGAAAGATAGGTCCGTACGTGAAGAACTCGATTGGCCCTAGGACAGAGTAGCCAGCATTGTTGACGAGGAAGTCAATATCACCAATTTTCTTCTCGGCCGCTTGCACTTTTTTGATGATGCTCTCCCGGGTCTCCGTCATGTCCAGCTGAATGACATATCCCCCGGCCTGCTCAATGGAACGGATAGCCTCCGCGGACTTTTCCAGATTGCGCGCTGTGCCAATAACCTTATGGCCGGCCGCAAGAACCCTTAGGCTGAGGAGAAGGCCGAGGCCATTTGATGCTCCGGTGATGAACCAAACTGGAGTTGCCATGGTGAAAATGGAGAATGGGGATAAATGTCAAAGGTTCTCGAATGCGGCAATGACCCCGAAATATATAAGCTATTAACAACCACTGGATGGGTTAATTATGCATATCCCCAAGCCCCCCACCTCTACCCCGGGCCTCCGACTATTACTCTTCTCCGGATTTATTGTCTTTCTCCGTTAATCCCGCCTTCGTTAGCATTCTTTAATGGGATGACGTCGCTGACCCATACATTTTGCCCACAACTTATCGCCTAACGCCGATAAGCCTATTAGCTATCATTTGTTATTGTTGTAACCTATGCTATGATTCAAGGAATAAAACTGAACAGAAGGTTCGAAAAGAGGAGTCAGAAGAGGGTTATTCGCTAGTCTAGCGACCACCCAAAACTGCGAATTTCTCGCCGCTGCCTCCACTTCCTCAGCCAGAACTCAGACTGACACTCCTCATGTCCACGAGGCAGCCATCTGTAGGCACTGATTTTAGCAATTAAATTGCACATACAGCAAGAAAGGCCACAGCACCCTCAAGTCGTCTTTTGTGATCGCCACGAGACAGTCCAATATGAGACATCCCAGTGAGTTTTGATCTAAACGTAACTATGTCAGCAGAAGCTTAGCATATTTAAACAACATGAGTTACCAGAATCCGAATAAATTCTGTAAGAGAAAGTATGGAAACTCAGTGGTATCGGCCCCCAATAGTCAGATGGGCCGATACCATCTTACGCAGAGTGATAGTGGCAGGGATGCAAAGTGTCAAATTACAATGATGGCTAGACTATAGCAGCTGGTCCGCCATAGACCGGATACCGAAATTGTAGAGGGAAATTTATTCCACGTTGCCACAGTATCGAATCAGGGGACCAGGATAGACAGCCACCCCATCTATTTCTTATAACACACATTGTGCAGGGACTCAACTGGGCACTTAGTTTACTATGAGGGCTTGGACTAAACATCTTAATTTCTTGATTTCTTCATTATATTATATGCAACGCCATCTCTAGATCCCATTCTTAATGCAGGTATTAAAAAAAAAATTCCTATATCATTCATCATATCCATATCGTTCATTCGCACTCATGCCTATTTAGGTAGCGGAATCGGCTGGATCGACTGGGGGTTCCTGAAGATGTTCTTCGGGTCATAGACAGCCTTGATTCCCTGCAGCTTCGGCAGGTTCTTGCCCCAGTACAGCTGCGGTCCGACATCTGCCGTCATCTGCGAGTCGGCGTAGTTGGCGTACATACCCCACTTGCTGGTGGACCAGGGCTTGGTGATGCTCTGGCGGAAGCCCTTCAGCAGGTTGAAGCCGTCGGACGGGTATTGCTGGCCCTGCGGCACGCTGTCGTAGAGCTGAAAGAGCAGCATCTTGTCGCGGTGGACGAAGGCCGTGTCGGATGTCTTGGGCTTCGAGACGGCGGAGTGGTCGCCGCCGATGAGGTCCATCTGCATCCACCAGTTGTGGCTGGTGGTGGCGCCTGTCGTGGAGATGTAGTTGACGAAAGACGTAAACTGGTTTGCAGAGACGGTAGGGACAATCATGCTGGTGGCGTAGAATGTGTCGTGGGCGTTGTAAGAGGCACTGGTCGGGTTGATCTCTACATTTCCAGCAAAGTGGGCAACCAAGTCGAGCCATCCGACAGTCTGGGCATTAACTTGAACTCCCAGCGAAGTCAGGAGAGGCTGGATAGCTTTGCGAAGGCCGGCCTCGTCACCGACGTACGTGCCGTCGAGGCTGTAGCCATTCTTGGAGATGAAGGCCTGCATGGTCAACTCGGCAGGCATCGTCTTTCCAAAGTCCTGCACCGTCTTGAGCCCGCTGGCCGCCGTCTGCTGGTTCCAGTTGAGGCCGATGTCGAAGTAGGTGAGCTGGGTGGGAGCGGCAAAGGTGTTGAACTCGAGCTCGGCGACGATGCCGAAGGAGGAGCCTGCTCCGCGGACGGCGAAGAAGAGGCCGGAACGCTCTGTTGCTGAGCAGTGGACGACGCTGCCGTCGGCGAGGACGACGGTGGCTCCTTTGATCCAGTCTAGAGCGAGTCCGTACTTGCGAGAGACCATGCCGTAGCCTCCGTGGAGAGCATGTCCACCAACACCAACACTACAGTTGTTAGTGTCTTCTTGACATTATTTTGAAGCTGATAACTTACCCTGGGCACGTGCCGTGCGAAATAGCCCGTTTACCTTGGTTGTACAGCTCAGTCGCGACATGACCAAGACGCGCACCGGGCTGAATCTTGGCCGTGTTGTCCTTTGTGTTCAACTTGACGCTGAACATGCGGTCCAGCTCGACCACCAAGTGGCCATCGTCACCGCCAAAGCCCCACGACGTGTAGCTGTGGCCACCGCTCTTGGCGCTGATCTTGACGCCGTGCTTGACGCCGCACTTGACGGCGGCCGAGATGTGCGCAACCGTCGTGGGCACGGCGATGGCCACGGGCTGGTACTGCAGGCGCAGGTTGTACGCGGTGCCGTCCTGCGTCCACTCGGCCGAGCCCTTGACGTCGATGGGCACCTTGGAGCTGGTGAGGCAGCTGGTGATGGCATCGCGCTTGGTTGGCACGGCCGACGCCTGCAGAGCGAGGCCGGCCAGGAGCCACGAGAGGCGAGTGAGGAACATGATTGCAACGGAGAAGCGAGAGTGAAGACGCGGCGAGAAGACGAATGCGTTGAGCCAAGACTCAGTCTGATTGAGAGCGGCATCATGGTCCCTTAAATTCAAGCTTGTTTTGCGCTGTGCCGCTATTCTAGTCCACAGACCGTATTCCCAAAGGCCGTGGGTGAGACCCGCAGGAGGCGGGCTGTGCGGCGCCGTATACGAACGCTTCGTTTCCCACTAGCATCGTCGCACGGCAATTTTGTCCCGAGAGCACCAACGAAGAGCCGTGTCTTGGTGTTTCTGTTTTGGTGGGAAAAAGCCACACTCTGACTTGGGTGAATTTGGTGAAGACTCACCACCCTTCAGCTGCAGCCACGACACAGGAAAAGACTTCGGTCAGCATGCCAATTCGCAGCCATTCGTACCCAAACGCAAGGGGGCAATTTCCGCCGTGCTCGATGCAGTGGCCATCAGCTAGCGTGACGAAATGACGATGGACAGCCGTTAGCTCGGACCCTATATATAGCCTAGAACATGATGTCACGGGCCTGCTAATGCCAGACATGTAACGCTAATTTGCTGCCGTGCTGTCTTCAGGCGTGTCCGCGGAGGGCCTAGACCCTGGCCTTTCACCCTTCAGCCCCGGAGTCGCCGTGAGAAGATGGGGAAGCCGGTCTGGCCATTCACCGCCAGCGAGGAACTAGAGTAGCGGCCGTGAAGCAGTGAGAAAATAAGATGCATTTAGCACGCTGGCCAGAAAAGCAGACTAGGCGCGTGGCAATACCGACACCAACCGGAGACGATCAGTGACGCTCATGTCGAGATCGCCGCTGACCTGAGACCTAAAGCTGAGCGATACGGGCAGGGCGGCCAGTCGTTGAGCATCCAGCCAGCTCCAACTTACACGGCAGATGGGGCCTCCGACTTCTATTGGGCTCGGTGCATTCGGGACCTATTTTCTCCCACAACGTTGCACCCAATGTGCACTGCTAATGCAGGGGTCCAAAGTCCCGACGCTGACGAGAATGCATCCCTACCACCCCGGCCAATCGTTCACCCGCAACTTCGGGGCTGAGGTTGCACGGAGGGCGACTTCGTGAGTGTAATTGGGCCGCAGAGAGGCCATTCAGTCGCGCAGCCCTATTTCGGGGCGACGCCTGGGTTGTGAGCGGTGCGTGATGCGTCTCGGGAGGATCACTTGTGCATTGTCTCACGGGACACGGCTGGAGACGTTACAGTCACACGCAATTTTAGAGAACGGGAGTTTTGGATTACGGATCAGGGGTCCAGGACATAATGCGTGCGTTGTCTTCCATTCCAATCTTCACTGTTTGGCAGTTGTGGTGGGAGAGCTACCCTACACCACGCCCGAACCAAATCCCAAACAGGTAGTTACTCTGCGACTGATCGATCCGCGAAGCTTACAGTGACATGTAACTAAAAATATCAGCCGGGTTCTTTGCATGCATCTTGTATATTTTCGCCTTCACGTCGTCGTGTGGCCCCAAGCGTCTGAGTTCATCGCTCCCTCTCCCTAGTAAGGCCCACACGATCACGTCGCAGCCGGTGACGAAGGGTTTGATGGCAGTCATGTCAAAGGCCTCGCCCTTGACCGGTTAGACGCGCGAGGGTTCGGCTCCGGAGGCGATGACCTTGGTTGGATCGCAAATATAGCCGCGGAGGGAAATGTAATAGTTGATGAGCTAGGGTTCGTAAAATCTTGAAAGGCATTGTCTTTGACGCCAAGAGCACAGCATACAACGGCAGTCTATACCCTAGTAGTGGCTCTAGAACTAACGTATTCTGGTAACATATGGACCCGAATAAAGTGAACAGTTTATAATCAAAAGGCAGCCTTCGGATCAAGTAGACCAAGCTGTTGGCGGCTGCAGATTTGGAAATCAATTCTCCACCATCCCGCATCTTGACACGGGAGATTCAAGGGCCCACCCACAGCACGGCGTTGAGTTCAAATTTCAATTATCCGTCTTTTTGAGTCGAGCCACCGAGTAGGGATGGGTCCAGATATTTTCTTTTCGGTGTGGCGCTGCCGGTGTGCGGCATTCTGCGAGCCCGCGCGGCCGAGTCGATCCGGGCCGACTAACGGTCAAGGCCCCGATGTCCGAGCATGGGCTGGGGAACTTTATGTACGTAATTGAGGCTTGCATTAGCTGGTATTTTATAGACTGTAGCATTCAATAAAGACTTCACGAGTAGTTTTCGTGAGAAACATCATGACCTTCATTGGGTTGAGATGTACTCACACAACTGCTCTTGGAGAAGGTTCACACTGTTGGGTTGAAGTGTCACATAAGTGATCGAATGGCGGTGCAGTCACGAATATCGCAAGTGGTAATCACAGCCTCGTCTTAGTTGCTGTATCCTAACATCAGGCTTGGTGGTCCTGCTATCAAATGCCTAGCACGCTAACCTACCTACCTATACTAGGTATATCTCGGACCATTTCCGACTTCCGAGATATGCTGCTCCTGATCGGCTATCAGGCGGAACAATGAAACGGATCATCCTCTCCTTCGCCAAGCGCATCCTTTGTGCAGGATTCATGTCGTCGCCTCTAGACAGGATTGACCGCGTCCCTCAGGTGACACTTTTCTCCCCTCATTGATACTCATCCAGCCCTATGTATCTATTTCCTACATTGATCCATCATCTCGAGGGGCCCCGTAGACGCCACCTTTCGTAATAGTCTACGGTCTATCCAATTGAGCGCTTGCGATCTCCTTCGTCTTCAAATTCCGACATTTCCGAGCTGTCAAACTGAGCCGAGGCATGTATCTGCCGGCTGCAATGATAATCCATTCGTCCCAATTGGATGATTAGCGATCGATTTATCTCGTGCGTCGAGATAGCGTGGCATGACCCGCCTGATCTTCCCCATGGGGAAACATTGACACTATCGGCTGGGAATGCTGACCTCCGCGGCCGCAGATGATACCACAGGCGCACTTTCGGATCCCGCGCGTCCCGCAATGCGACCCCTATCTCTCAAGACGTAGATTGTTATCACCATTTCGCTTGTAAGCTAGCCCTTTTAATAAACAGCTGCGGAAGTCTCGGAATCCAAGGAGGGACCCGTGATAACCTGGATGTAGCTGGAATGATTTGAGCGCGCCCGCGATAATCTGAGCGTATCCGTGATAACCTCATTGCCCCATTGTCACAGAAGATAAACCTGATTTTTCCGAGATTGAGATTGTTCCTTAATCAAGAGATAATCATTGATACAGTACTATGGCAATTGTTATCTACCTAGACAGAGATATGGGGCCACGATAAGGCACCTCCCCTTCCCCTTCCCCACTGCGCCCGTCCCTACTCTCGGTGTCCTTCCAGCCTGTGTGTAATACCCATGTAATGCTTCTGGCCGTAAGCGAACCAGCTCACAACTGCCAACAAGATTCCAGACGCAAACACCACGATGGCGTAGTTCATGTTGACGGCGGTAACTGGGTAGAATGTCGGGAAGCACATGAAGATGATGAGATATGTGCTCCAGGCCAGGGCCAGGGCGGCAATAGGCCGATGGAAACGTCCCAAAGTAAAGACGCCACGCGGCAGCGTGCAGTGCTCAAATCCATAAACCACGTTGAGGACCAGCGGGAAGGCGTACGACACGAGGAGCGTGAGCGTGGTGGCCGAAGCAATGCCATAGTAAGCCGTCGCATTGCCGATGTAGATCAGGGAGAGAATCGAGACCAAGGCCCAGGTGAGGAGCAGCGCATTCGTGGGCACCTTGGTTCGGTCGCCGACCTTTGCGAAGCGAGCTGGGAGACCGCCGTCTCGTGCAAAGGCCCAGATGACGCGCGAAGTTGCAGAGACGATGGCCGATCCAGTTCCACAGAAGCCGAGGATGGGCAGCCATGCCGTGAGGCCAATGGTGGCGGCTTGGTTTCCTCCCGAGACGTTGTAGTACAGCTGTGCAAAGGGACTGATTCGTCCGACGGGTCCGTTGAGGAGGCCTTGGACGTCGGTCAGGCAAAAGGCGATGGCAATGATCCACGGGAAGGTCAGGATTCCGCTGACTGCGATGTTGGCAATCACTAAGGAACGTTAGAGTGCGTCACGATTCTAGTTTCACAGCTACTCACTGGTTCTTGGCAAATCACGAGCTGCATGGGTCATCTCCTCAGCCATGTGCGTGGAACTATCCCAACCGACGAATCCAACAGCCGATGTCATGAGGCCGATGGACCATGCAATCTGCGGCAATGCGAGTTAGTATACCGGTCGAGCAACAAGTGCCATCGGAACTCTTACCCCAGGACTCTCCCAGCCGCTCAGGTTTGTAAAGTCTGTAAAGACGTACTGGGCCGTGTTCTTGGGGTTGACGTGGACGAGGAGATAGATGGAAGTGGCGAAATACCCAAGGACATGTGCAAACATGCCGACGAAGATGAGATAATGGAGGCGCTTGATTTCATAAATGGCAAAGATGGTATAGAAGCCTGTCAGACCAATGACAATCTGCATTCGTTAGCACGAGCATCGTGTGGAAGACGACCGATATACCAGAGAGGTGTGCCATCTTTCATAGCCGTAGCTGGGACTGAAGAGAATCGCCCATGACTGAATCTGCATGGCCGTAGCGAAAATACCAGCAGCAGCACATGTTATCCAGCCGATCATGGTGATCCAGCCGGCAAACCAGGCAAAGACCCTTCGGTACTTGAGCGGCGCCAACTCGGAAACGTAGTGATACTGGCCTCCAGCCGTGGGAACCATGCTGGCGTATTCCGCAATACACAGAGCAATTAGAAACGCTCCCACGGCCGAGGCCACGAAGCCCCAGACCAGACTCGAGCTGCCGCCGCTGGTGAGGGCCTGAGCCGCCGCGGACGAGACGGCCTCCCAGGTGACGGTGGTGCAGAAGGACATGAACATCAGGGACCAGATGTTGAAGTTGCGCTCCATCTTGGACGGCGCAATGCCGAGATTGTCCAGCGCGGCATCGTCGTTGGTGATGAGATTCTTGATGGGCGCATCGGCATCGTCAATGGTGCGCCGCTTGGTGACGGGGGCACCGTCGGTGGAATACGTGTCAGCCATGATTGAACGCGATGATATTTCGACAATGTGCAAAAGACAATGTTCAAAATAGCTGCTTGGTGTCCAAGTCGAAACATGTTCCTTACTCGCCTGGCTTATAACAGAGGAGCCGTTAGCTTCATTTCGGTACCCCTCCCCTCGACGACGAGTCTGGATTATCTCGCCCAATAATGTTGGGCCAATTCCAAACTAGTATTAATGAGGCACCGGAGGCTTCTAGCCAATCACCATAATTTCCATTCCATGAGGATGACCATGGGGAATGTTGGAGGATGTATTTATTGTGCCTATTTATTATCAGCGGTTGTGCTACTTAGCTTGCCTCGGTAGACGCGATTGCATCCCAGAACACCACATCACTTCTCATTGAATCATCATTGAATCATCATTGAATCATCATTGAACGCCCTGTCCTCTTAATTAAAATGGCCACCACCACACTGCCCTCATCCTGGTTCCGGGAGCCCGAGTTCTACGACTTGGAGCGCCGAGCCATCTTCTCCAAGACGTGGCTGATTGTGTCGCACAAGTCGCAGTTCGCCACCCCTGGACAGTACGCGCGCTACGAAGTCGCAGGGTATCCCTTCTTCGTCGTGAGCGATCGGGACGGCAATATCAATGCCTTTCTCAATGTCTGTCGCCACAGGGCGTTCCCGATTGTCCACAATGAGACCGGCAAGGCGAGCATTCTGTCGTGCAAATACCACGGTTAGTCTACGAACCCTGGCAACTCACTCCAACAACTGATAGTGACTGTTCCAGGTTGGAGTTATGGGCTCAAGGGAAACCTCGCCAAGGCCCCCCGGTTTGACACTGTCCCAGCGAGCCAGTTTAACAAGGACCAGTACTCCCTGTACAAGCTGCACATGCATATTGATCAGCTAGGCTTTGTGTGGGTCAACCTCGACGGATCTGAGAAGCCGAGCATCAGCTGGGAAGAGCAATTCAAGAACATCGACACCCAAGAACGCATTACCAAGGTCTACAACATGGACGACTACGAGTTTGATCACACTTGGTCTCTCGATGGTTGCAACTTTAACTGGAAGACGTTGGTTGAGAACTACAATGAGGTGAGTTAAATGAGCCAGCGCTTCACCGGAAATACTCACAGATTGTCTAGTGTTATCATTGCTCTACAGCGCACCCAGGAATTTCCCCTTACATCAAAAAGGATACCAAGTTCGACGTTGAGCCCGTGCTGTGCTACATCCGCCACCTGGGCGAAGACATGGAGGCCGGAGATATTGTCGCCAGCCCGACATACATGTTCCCCAACGCCTCCGTCACCATCTCCAAGCACTTCTTCTACATGATGTTCATCATCCCCACCTCTGCCACGACATCTCGCATGCGCTACGAGGTGTACCGCAACAAGAATTCGCCCGCCGAAGCCGTCAAGGAAGCAGTCGACTTCTTCAAGCAGGTTGAGGACGAGGACAAGTACCTGGGAAACAATGCCCAAAAGGGCCTCAACAGCGATACCTACACCGCAGGCCCGCTGCACCCGTACATGGAGAAGGCAGTCGAGTACTTTGAGACAGTCCTACGGTCGTCGCTGAAGAAGCACGTCGAGGAGGAGAAAAAGGCGGGACGCGAGATTTGGCCTGCGAGGAGGACGGTGGCAAATGCTCAGTCTAATGAAGACGAGGCTTTTTGCCGTGGAGTATGTGACTCGGCGGCAACTGCAGCCGGTCCCAGTGCTTTGGCTTGGTAGTCTATGAGATATGATTCAAAATAACGACGCCCTATCTATAATACCATCATTTTATATTTGATTGCGTGGTGGTACTTGACGTGATGGGATACAACTATTTGGTGTTCTGTAACTGTCAAAGGGGTCACTTGCGAAGTTGGCGATATAGCGACGGGTGAGCAGGAATTACAGCTAGACCGTAACATCTTCTAGTAATGATCTTGATACTGATCTGTTTTCCTGGCGATAGTCGGTTCAGCAATATCCATTCCAGGTTGATCATTCTATGACATGTTGCTCGCTCAAATGCTTATACCGCAATGAACCCCCGATATCAAAGCTTGTTCTCCCCCCGTTCTTGGAGCTGACGTTTCCTGAGCGCGTCATGAGCGCGTACTTCCAATGAACCGTCATCGTCTGAGACGTATGAGTACGATCGAGAATTGCCAAATGTCACCTTTTGCGCAAGGCCTCCGGCAAAGTAGTGATTGGCGTAATCGTTGTACAATGTCTTCGAATCAGTCCTGTAATATGCCTTGATATATTCGCAGCATACTGACGCATACTTGCCACTCTTACACCCAGTATCTTGTCCTGCTATGTGCGAATTCTTAGTCAAGGTGATGTAACCTGTGGGACAATTGCTATTGCACGCCTTGGATTGGGATCCTGGGCCCCACTGACAGAATGCGTCAACCAAACCCTCGACGCACAATGCGCGGTTGTAACCATGTCTTCCACCACCTATAATTGTATCGTGTTAATATTTTCCACAGAATCTTGTAACAAGTCCACATACCGTAGCAGCCCATACCAGAGACGTGAGTCAAATCCGCATCAAAGACCTTTCCATGGGCCCAAATAAGCGGAGAGAAACCGTCTGGGCAAGGGTCGAGTGCTGTCGGAGGAAGACAGGGCGTCCAGAACATGCCGAGTGAGAGCCCATTTTCATAGCTAATTGTGCTCCGTAGCTTGGCCGGAAGACGTGAATCACTCTCTAGCAACGAGTCGATCCCTTCTTCTAAGCCAACTGAGTCTAAGTCAAGGGCCCAGACCGCACTGCCACCAAGGCATCTGCTCTTCGCGTAGTCGAGCTTCATACCAAAAGTTTGAGAATCGTCATATGACACCCATTGGTCGCCGTCCCAGGATATATACTTTACGGCCGCCTCTTCGTCTAGTAATGGTTTCAGGTTCTTTTCTTTCATGATGTCCCTAATCTCATGGAATGATAGGATGCCGGCGGTTTCTGTGCACTCGCCAGGATCTCCGCCACCGGAGAACGGGCAGCCAGGCTCCGCGCATGTGGTGTCCTTCAGGGTGAAAGAGCGCCCGTAGAAGCCAAGACCCAAAACGACCTTGTTAGGGTTGATGCCGTTTCGCCACAGCAAGTTGAGCGACTCTTTGATCTCCGTCACATTAGCGTGGGCTTGGATGACAGGAGGGACGAATCTAGTAAGACCGTGGTGGTTAGTCTAACCAAGATATTATGACTTGATGACAAAATCTCGTACTCATTTTTGCCATCCCATTTGCCATGCATGTCGTGCGCTGTCGGAGAGTATCTGTCAGTCATGTTCGCCTCGCGGTGTATAGGGCAAACTCACACATTAGATTGAACCAATCCACATGCTGTTCCATCCTAGCAATGTCAAACCCCTTGAGATACCAATAAGACGACGGTAGTGTCACGGTAAGACCATAGTTGTCACCCAAGGCATCTCGTAGCTCTGATAGGAAGGTGACAAAGTTTTCTGAATCAGCCTTCTCACCTCCCCTATCCTTGGCAGCAGGATACTGCCAACTAATGTCGACACCGTCAAAGACATATGTTTTTATGAACTTCGTGGTTGACTGGATAAAGGCAGCACGGTTGACTTTCGTGGACGCCATGGCCGAGAAGGCTGCGCCACCAGCACTCCAGCCTCCCACGCTGATATATACCTTGAGCGTAGGGTTCTTGAACTTCAGGTCGGTGAGTTTACCATAAAGCTTGGTATCAAACGAATTCATCTGACCAATCTCATACGTAGATTCGTCGATCAGGGCGAAAGCATAGTTGAGATGTGTCCACTTGGTCGCGTCGATCATGAATGGCTCCCACACGTTGCACTTGCGGTTCATAGTCCAGGATTCGTAGTACCCGATGCGCTTTTGGGCTGCGGCAGGACGACATCTTGGCATCTCTGGCTCCTCGCATCCACTCTGGCAACCTTCGCCGCAAAATTCCTTGGTTGTTCCACATAATCTTATCGCAAACAGTCAGTTGCTAGTGTCGCTGTTCCGGATCATGTTGCATCCCTACGTACCCAGATTGTGAACAGCAAACGTTGAGCGGGCACTTGGTACCGGGTGTGGCAGCATATTGTCCACATTCAGCTGCTGCGTCACAACTAGATATGCAACTGTCGCCACAGTAGTTGGGCCCGAAACCGCAAAATCCAGCATCAGAGCAACAGCCTAACACACATTCCTGTGTCTCGGAGCATGTGCCTATATCATCAGAGACAGCTCGTCCCAGGCCCCCTCGATGGAAAAGGGTAGCTATCAAGAAAAGGAAGATGTTGTAGTTCGCCATTAGAAACCAAACTGCGAGGCGGGCTATATAAAAACAACCCGCAAGAATGGGTGGTGAGTCTTGCTTTATAATTGCAGCCTCGCTTATCGGACGCTCTTGGAGGGGGTTTAATGTCAAGAGTACGATTGTGCAACTAGCATTCGGGTAGTTGGGAACTTACATACCAAATAATATGTTGGATGAAACTTGAAGCGCAAAACGGCTCAAAATTAGATATTCAAGGTGGTTGCCCTGCTCTACCCCCCAAAGCAATTTGTAACGTGCGGGGGTTTGGATGAGCGCTTGCGTATGCGTATCAGGGGTGGACCTTCATAAGCACTCTAACTGGACTGCTGGTTCTCAATTATGGAGAAGAGACCTCTCTCTAGCCACTTTCGTCAATCTGAACAGCCCACTTCAAGATTGCCTGATGGTCAGCGTCGCTCCATCCGCCCTGACTCCTGGTTTCATTGGCCTCAACCGATATTCATTCGGTTTACTGGTACGCTACAACATTTTCAGAGCATATTAAATGATGCATATTCTTCCATTTTTCACGTTATTTTGGGAGACAGCGGCATCGATCAGGCTTTTCAACGGTGCCCAGAAGGTGCTCTTCAGGAACGCCCCGCAAGAATGTCTGGATGTGTTTGACGCGCAACTTGATTGCGACGGCCTTGTTCAGTTGGTGTCCTACGATCAAGACAAGCTCAAGTTGAACCATACCAAACTCGAGGCCCTTTGTACAAGTCCGTGCTCCACAAGTTTGACGTCCTTGGAGAGTGCTGCCGCTGCTGCGTGTGGGACCTCAGACCTTGAATTCAACGGTAACTATATTTCCGTTGTGCAGATCCTCGATCTCTATCGCTACAAATACAATGCACTCTGCCTCAAGAATGCCGAGGGTGAGTTTTGTTTAATGGTCGAGGAGACGTGGGATGTAGGCCAACTACATACGGCCGGCAAGGTAACTTGGCCGGCCCATACCAAGAAAGCGTACCCTAACTGGGTTGATAACGAAGACGGTTCGCCAACTCTGGATGAAGACGGGGAACTTCTGGATGATTCAGCCGATCGACTCAACTTCCAACATTTTGGCCAAGATCTGGGGTGGTCAGCGACAGACTACTACATGGAAGGCCTCAGCCTCGACTGGATAGGGCACGGCTGGAATGAGGCTTTGGAGTACGACGAGTATCCATTGGAGATTCAGTGCTCGGAATGTTTCCTTGCCCAACACAGACACGGAATAGAATCGAATTGGGGCGAGATGTTCGAGTAAGTCGTATTCTACACACATGTCCAAGCCACTGCTGACCCTGGCAGCGAGGTTTCTGCCCAAGTCTGGGAGAATATGAAACGAAATTGTGAGATAAAATGGGAACTGAAGCCAGCCCATAACTTCAGCACTGGTGGCCGAAGTGGGTAAGTTGTTATCTTCGTGCACATCGACGTCTGCTCAGACACTGATCCCGCTAGTAGCATCACAGGTCTCGTCTGGGACGCCCAACCCCAATGTGGCCAGAACATAACCCGAAGCGATGTAACTGGTGTAACAATTGGAAGTCTTGCCTTGCAGTGGGGTGTATCCTCCGCGTCGCTGTGCAAGCTCAATAGCATTAACTGTGGCCACGTCACTGAAGGGATCTTTTGCGCACCTCTATCCTGCGATATTACAGTAATTCAGGAAATGACAAACGCCGGGGCTTTTGTTCAGGCATACGACAACATCACCATGACACAGTTGATGGCTTGGAACCCCCATCTTGACAGTCGTACCATAGAGCCCGGTTCGGTTGTTTGTGTCGGGTATGCATAGACACCCAGACCGACGTAATTCACTGTACCTTGCTAAATTCCTACAATAGTCCACCTGGAGGCACGTACATTCCTCCCATTACCACAGTGGCCCCGGCGTATCCAACTTAGAACTAACCTCGCTCGCCACGGCGTGGGTCAGAGGTACACTACTCTCACTTCCGTCTTTTGCTTGTCTCCCTGACGAACCGCAGTACCTCAAGCAGCCACTCTATCTGACCCTGTGCCGGGCTGCGGAAACTATACTAAGTAGAAGAGGAAGACTAATGCGAAGTAATTACGATTTCACACAATATCATATTTGACGGTCTCTTCAAAAAATAAATCCATGTTTCGACTCGAGATGCAGAAATCTTCTTACTGGGTTTAGCTGTTGAGTTGCTCTTGTGGATGAATAGGAGTAGCAACGAGGGCGGTTGTCTTCACAGCGCGACATCAAGAACTATGTCAATCTCATTTTTGTAACAATAGAAATGACTAGAAATGACATCATTAAGCCCCTGATTCATGGGTTACGCCTCCTTGTACTCAATCTCAACTGCCGAAGCTCTTGCCAATTCGCCCACAGAGCCCAGCCTAAAGTGATAAGTGGAGCACATTCTTCGGATATGCGGATATAGGTATCGGGAATACACTGAACTCGGATAGCGGAGGCCGAAATCAGCATAGATCAAGCAGCATGATCCTTAAAGACGCCTGGAGAGCCTTTGGTGATTCTATGAGTCCAAACTCTACACTCATCAATTGCGGTCGCATTACCTTAATAAACCCTGAAGCAAGTCTCAAAAAATTGACAGAGACCAGGGCACCCCTAGTACAAAAATATCTCAATTACAGGGTTGAGAGCCGATCAAATCCCTACCTACAACCATTCATTGCCAATCCCTCGGGATTTTTCTCATCAGCCCCGGCTTATCAAGATGGGCGTGATTGAGCCAAAAATAGGTGAGGCAGAATCCCCTCAGATATTCACTCAATAGTTGCTAATGTAGGACACCAGATGGCGGGCGTGTAAATACTGGAGCAGAAATGTCTGACGACAACAATGAAATCTCGAGCCCTGACGAGGAATTGGCGCGAACAAAATCGACCGTTTCAATCGCAGACACCTTTTCATTACTGCGAGAAATCCTCTTCGTCTCCATCATATGCATGGCTCAATTCATGACTCAAGGCGCCCTCGGAAACTGTCTTAACCTCGTTCATATCATTGGCGAGTCGTTCGCAATTGAAAACCCAGCAGAACTCAGCTGGTTCATCGCTGGCTACAGCTTAACAGTCGGCACCTTTATCCTGATTTTCGGACGCTTCGGAGATTTTTTCGGCTACAAGCGCATGTTTCTCATCGGGTTCATCTGGTTCGCATTTTGGTCTATGGTCCTCGGCCTTTCCGTCTACTCTGGCCACGTCCTCTTCATTTTCGCACGAACTCTCCAGGGTATTGGACCAGCAATTGTCTTGCCCAATGGTCTAGCGATTTTAGGAGCTACATACAACCCGGGCCCGAGGAAAACCATTGCCTTTGCCCTTTTTGGAGCCTGTGCGCCTGGTGGTAGTGTGTTTGGTGCTGCATTCGCTGGCCTATTTGTTCACGGAGACAAGACATGGTGGCCTTGGGCTTTCTACTCATTTGCAATCGGCCTGGTTGTGATTGCTGTGGCAGCTTCCTTCATTATCCCAGATCCGCCTCACAGAATATCATCTGCAAACATGGGTTTTCGAGAGAAGTTAACCCAATTGGATCTACTTGGCGCCACAACGGGAATTACAGCGTTGGTACTTTTCAACTTTGCCTGGAACCAAGCGCCTGTTGTTGGCTGGGACAAGCCATATGTCTATGCTCTTCTAATTGTTGGAATTGCCCTCGTACCGGTGTTCTTCTACATCGAACTACGGGTTGCTTCTCACCCCATCATTACTTTCGACACACTCACGGCCGATGTCGCCTACATTCTGGCCTGTGTAGCGTGTGGTTGGGCATGTTTTGGTATTTGGATTTACTACACTTGGCAATTTTTTCAGTTGCTGCGAGGGGCCGGGCCTCTTCTTACTGCCGCGTGGATGAGCCCTGTGGCTATTTCTGGAGCACTCGCTTCTATGACTACTGCATGGTTGTTGCATTTCACTCACCCTGCGTTGGTGATGTTGATAGCTCTTGTGTCATTCACGACGGGTACTGTTCTGATGATGACTGCTCCGATTGAGCAGTCATACTGGCTGCAGTCTTTCTTCAGCCTCATTGTCATGACCTGGGGCATGGATATGTCGTTTCCTGCTGCAACGCTGATTCTTTCAAATTCGGTTAAAAGGGAACACCAAGGAATAGCGGCAAGCCTGGTGAGCACCGTTGTTAATTACAGCATCAGTTTGGGACTGGGATTTGCGGCTACCGTGGAAGTCCATGTGAATAGCGGTGGAGAAACGAGAAGTGACCTGTTATATGGCTACAGGGCAGCCTGGTACATGGCGGTGGGTTTGGCGGGGTTAGGATTGGCCGTCAGTCTCGTTTATTTTCTCAAGAGAAAGCAGAGCAGCGTTAACTGAAGTGGGGATGAATATGGCTATAACGAAATTAAAAGTATTAATCTCGACTACGGGGGACTTTCATAGAAAGTGACATTTAATATGATCTGCATCGGTCTTCTTAGTATTGCCTATGTCGATGAATGATGGCTGTAATACAAAATACAGGGTCTCGCCAAGTTCTACTCCTCAGATCTTGTGTCTTTATTGTTTTTGCTCATTCGCCTCTGAAAATGGACACTGAATACTTTAGATGCGGGCACATGGTAAAAATAAGACAAGCATCGAAGGGTATTCCGAAAGAGTACCCTTATCAGGCCACTGCGTTATATAAACTACCATATTGAACCAATAATTGGAGTGACCAATAAATCTTGTTTGCGAGTCAATATGAAAATACGGTAAAGAAGATTGAAATCTCTTTCAATCTTTTCCTTAAGTAATTCCAGAAGCCGAATTTCGCGCATCCATAGGGTTGGGAGAGCCTCATTTATGTCCGACTCTGAGCCACCCAGAGAATGCGGCACTTGGCCCAGGACGTCTCGTGAACGCCCGGAACGTCGTCAGAGCAAAGGTGGCCAATAAAGCTGCCGAATGCCAAATCTCGCCGGGCCATCAGCTCAGCGCTGCAGAACAGACCAGCCATCGTCGTCCACGACAAGCATTCTTCCTGCAAGCTGAACACCAGACTAACCGAGCCTGATGTTGTGTACCCACGCGAACCAATTACATCCAACTGCAGGCGCTCATATCTGCATATACCTTGCAATCAACGAACAGGCAACCAATACCGATGCTCAAATTATCTCACAGTGTCTGGCCATCTGCTGCTTACTGCGTAGTACCCCGCCCAAAGTAAGAGGCTGAGCAAATCGCTCGCTTTCCACCGGGTGCTCTTGCGACTCTCCAGATTACTCAAGCTCCCTTAATCATCGTCTACTACCAAAATGTTCATTAATACGCACCTAAACGTCCTCCTCGCCGTATCGCTCATCGGATCCGTGGCAGCCGATACTGGAGATGACTTCTCTAACAATCTGTTCTCTGACCTGGCGCCGTAGGTCATATTGCCCGTGCTGTTTCAACTCATGCTAATCCTTTACTTCCTCTAGACTGCTAGCGCTCTTCGGAGAACGAGTTACCATGCAGTTCATGAGCCAGTCAATGGGCTGGGCTGATAACTTCATATTAGCAATGGCTCCCCTGGGTATCATCACCGCCATCGTCAGTGCCATCAGAGTTGGGGGGCCTTCATGGCTCAAGGCTCTTATTGGGAGATCCAGAGAGAATCTTGCAGTCGCTGAGGCAGACCTCATGTCCTCCACCTCTAAGGACGTCTGCGAACTGTGGAATGGCCAAGAGGTGGTGAGGTGTATGGGGTCAGCGGAGATTGTGGAGTTTATATGCCTGTTCCCCATCAACAGCCAGAACATGCCGAGTAGTGGAGATGGTTCAAAAATAGTGACGCGGGAACTGGAAAATGCAATAGAGACCGGTCATCTTATAGAAGTTGGTCAGTGTTCCGATTTAACTATTCTCAGCCAAACACTGACATGTCCTTAGAGTTGAGCTTCAAGAATGACTTCGACCGCTGGTGGGCTAGCCGCAAGGACGGTTTTGGCCGATGGTTTACGAGTCCCAAGAAGAGCTTTCACCGATGGCGCGCTTCACGACATGCTCCTGGAGAAGACGCAGAGCTAACGTCACTACCGGAGAGCGTTACAACGCCGAAGAACGTCGCACCACGAGAGAGCGAGACACCACCAGCAAGCGACGACTCTCCGGAGCTTGTTATCATACGGAATACGTCTGTTGATGCACCAAATGTCTCCCTAAACTCTCATATACAATGCCGGAGAGGGGAACTCCGCATAGTGGCAATCTTCGGAATCGTCCTGCAACTGGGGGCCTTGGTATTCTCTGGGTTCGCCACCTACTACCCGACATTGCGATGGGTGAAAAATGATAAACCAATTCCCCCCTATGCGTTTCCTTGCACTGCAGCTGGTACACTTGTCTTGGTAGCAGGTTTGCTGCTATGTTCCCACGTCGTGGAGAGTAGCACCGAGGAAAAACGATACCAAGCACGGCAGGGGATGCAAGCCCGAATGATTTGGTTGCAGAAGACCCAAACGGTGAACGACCAAACCTTCAAATCCTTTGCAATACATAACAAGGAAATACGAACTATGATTACGATCTCACGCCGTGCGGATAAGAATTCCGAACCAACCGCCTTCGTTGATAAAGGGATCCTAGCGGTTGTCTTAGTCTTCCAGGGTTTTGTTGACGCAGTAATCCATCTATGGAGACTTTTCTTGTTTTTCATCGGCTTAGGTGAACGGAAGCCGCACAGAGTGGACAATCAAACTAATCCCACTGCCTCGACAGACAGAAGAAGCCTAGCAGCTGTACTCTCATTCAAATCTGTGCTTGGCACTGTGATTGGCCTCTGTGGGTTCGTTGTGCAGTTCGTCGGGCTACGCGGCATGCACTTCTCTGCCTCAATCGCTCAACTCATTGCCGTTGTCATAATGACCTGTCTCAGATCGTGGGTTCGCCGCGGTCTCGCCACGCCGCCTCAATGCACGCCTCTCCCTTCAGGATTTGAGCTTGAGTGGTTTGCGACGGCTTTGGGAGATCCCAAGAGTGCACCTTGGCTGAACATCTCAAATTCCGAGAATGAAGTTAAGGAAGGGAGGGACGCGAGATACAGAAGTCAGACTTGTGAGACACTGGATTTGATGAGCGAGGGTAGAGACTCCAAGCCAAGCCATAGCAGCGACTCGGAGTCTCACACAATGATGTTGATAAGGAGGGATCTTGGCCGGCTCGCCCAATGGCATGGTCCCCCATCCGCAGAGGCCAATGCCCTTGCAAAGGCAATTCAGGTCACGATGGACACTCTATTTGGCAGCGATTTCCAGAATACCTGGCAGTTTGATGCCGGATACGCCAAATCTGATGCTCAGCCCATCTATGTGCGTTTGATTCGAAATAAAGGGAAATGGAAAGCACACTTGAGAGAGATCGAAGCAGTGTTATCGTTGCGGCTATATTCTATCAACGATGAGGAGAAGGTCGAACATCAACATCAGCATCAGCAAGAGAAACAACAACCTCCGGGAACCCAGCCTCCTGAGGATGCTACCTGGCCGCGCGCCGAAACATCATTATCGAAGGGAAGCCTGCGACTCCTCGGCTATGCTACGCCGTCCCTGCGTCGAGATCTCGAGTGGTGGGTTCCTCGCGATATAGGCAGAGTGATAGGAGCCGAGGAAGATGGCGAGGGTATGCTTGAGGTGGCAAGTCATAGAGTTGTTAGCTCCGGGTTCAGCCCCGAGACTACAATTCGAACCCCATGCGACAACCCTCAAAAATACAGAACCCAAAACATAGAAGAGCTCAACTTTGAAGAGTCAGGGAAGCTTGTTAACGCAGAGCGAACAGGCTATGCTCTCCTAGCGACAGAGTCATATGACTCCTTGAAGTTGGTCTATGCCCAGGACATGTTCTCCTCCTTCATGTGGGCCGTGGCAAAGATGCTAAAGGCTCCCGTGGAGGGTGGTGCTGATCTGATCCGGCCCACTGCATCTGATAGCAATGACGCCTGGCATTCTGTTACGCTCCGGAATGCTCGCCTATCCAAGATGGCCCAGGAAATTTACGCTACTGGGCTTGGGAGTCTTGATCAAGTCTACCTGAGCATTATTCCACCATTGAGTGTGGAGCGGATGCTTCCACCAGCTAATGTGATTGTGGACTTGGCACGGGAACAAGCCAAGCCACACGAACAATTGCAGCGCTGGAAGGCGGCTGGTGATGTGTACTTGTGGCTTTTTCGAACCGCAAAGACATTTGAGGAACAGACTGATGTTGCTGCCGGAGCGTCATCAAAGACAACCCCACTGGAACAGAATGGCGTCACCACAAGAGCAACAGCAGTCTTGATGGAATATTTGAGGATGGTTTCCGAGACCATTGAACTGAGACAAAATCAACATTACAATGAGGCAGAAATATGCAATTTAAAAATGGTGGAATCGAGTCTCAAGAAAGAACTGGAAGCTGCCGACCAACAAGTTCTCTCAAACCTTTCAAGATTGTATAGGATACAGGGACGACCGTGGAACTACAGACTTGTCAAGGACACAGAACCTACTCAGGAAGAAGACGCAGTATTCCTTCAGACATTTCACTTTACCCAAGTGCATTTACTTGCTCGATCGAATATCTGGTCCCATTCTGGGGTTCACCCGCTAGATATGAAGGATCTGAATCCGAAGGATATCCACGATTGGACTCCACTGCATTACGCTGCAGCGAGTGAGAACGAAATTGTCTTCAGGGAACTACTGCAACGACAGGCAGATGTCAATGCAAAAGACCTCCTCGAATGGACACCATTACATTACGCATGCCAGCACGATACGGCTCTCTTCGTGCAGGAAATCATCCGAGAAGGCGCAGATATTGATGCGCGTGGGAGAGATGGCATGGCACCGTTGCACTGCGCCGCAATGAGTGGCCATCTCGATGTGGTCCGCACATTGGTGAAAGCGGGAGCTACCGCAGATATACTAGACGGTTCAGGAAATACGCCGCTACTATGGGCTGCAGTAAGAGGTCACAAACTCGTCATTGAGTATCTATGGCCCGCTGCGAATAAATTACTGCGAGATCATAACGGCAGGACCGCACTGCACATGGCAGCCATGGCGGAAATGGTAGAAGTAGTCGAGTGGCTCGTAAATTTAGGAACGGACAAGGACACGGGCGCCTACACGAACGCCAAGGACAGTATCGGACGAACACCGCTACACTATGCCGCCTGCAGCGGACATACAGGGACCGTACAGATGCTCTTTGAGGATCCGGGTATCAACGCAAACGCCAAGGACCACGATGGGCGGACGCCACTACACGATGCTGCCGGGGGCAGTCATGCCAGTACTGTGAAGCTGCTAGTCAAGTTGGGAGCCAACACGGACGCAAAAGACTCGAGTGGACGGACGCCACTGCACGGTGCTTCGGGGGGCGGTCATGCAGATACCGTAAACCTGCTTGTCGACCTAGGTGCTCATACGGACGCTGTTGACCAGGATGGGCAGACACCATTATACTATGCTGTCGTGGGCGGCCATGCAGGTACCATCAAGCTGCTTGTCGGGCTAGACGCCGACACAGATGCCAAAGACAACAATGGACGGACGGGGCTACACTATGCTGTCGGGAACGGAGATAGAATTACCGCAAAGCTGCTTGTCGACCTAGGCGCCGAGACGAATGTCCAGGATCGCTTCGGCGGAACACCGCTACACTATGCTGCCGGGAGCGGAGATGCAGATACTGTCAAGCTGCTTGTTGACGAGCCGGGCACAAACACGAACGCCAAGGACCGCGATGAGCGGACGGCACTACACTATGCTGCCTGGAAGGGACATACAGGGACCGTAAAGTTGCTTGTCGAGCGAGGCACTAATATGGACGTCAAGGATCACCTCAAGCGAACACCGCTGCACTATGCTGCCGGCAGCGGGCATACAAGCATCGTTGAGCTGCTCGTCAAGCTCGGAGCTGATACGGACACCAAAGACCATGTTGGGCGGACGCCGCTGTCCGATGCTCAGTGGGGTGACTACACAGATATTGTACAGCTGCTCGCCGAGCCAGGCGCCGACACGGGTGGTACAGACGACAGTCAACGGCTGGTGCTACGCGATGCTGCTGTGACGGTGCTGCCGGGAGTGGCAATGCAAGGAGAATTCCAGGTTCTGTGAGACTATTCATCAGGAGATGCTCTACGAGGACTAATAATAATCAATTTCACTCTAAATGCATTGGCAATCACGGCTGCGGCTACACGCTCTCAGTTAGTCAGTCATCGAGAACAAAATGAGAGTCGAGATAATAGTCTAGTAAGGAGCATGTTTACAACAGACGATCGATCATTCCCGGTGTCCCCACTCTCTGTTCACTTCACACGCTCGTTGAAGTTACGCCAAACTCGTCTCCCAGTCGAATGCCTGTAGTTGTTGCACAGTTATCGCTGTCCAATTATAACGTCGTGGAATGTAATTAAAAGGAATAAGAGTATGCATGTTATGGAAGATCCAATGTCAAAAAGAAGGACAGAAACCGAAACATGTCATCTGGCAGGGGCGTGCAAATACTTTACGGCGCCTACCTCAGTCCACCTCAGTGAAAGCGGGCAATGGTCACACAAGCTTCGCCGTCTGCGAAGCCGGCGGACTTTTTAATTGGAGCTGACAGAACGGGGCAGCAAATTATCGGGTAACTAAAACACGCAAAAAACAGGGGCGTCCACACAAATCGTGGTTGCGAAGGATTCAATGCCCTCTCTCGCAGAAGCCCTGAGTGTTACAAGTGCTGAAACCTTTCAGTCAGTCATTTGCATAGTCACGGTGCCTACTGGATTTTTCTAACTGGCCAGCGGCTGTCAAGATAGAAAAGGGGAATATTGAGAAGGATTTGATCTAATTTCAGGGTAGGTCGTACAAAAACACGCCCTGAAACTTCAAGACTGAGTGAGGTAGTACAGATGAGGTAGTACAAACACTTTACTGTAAGCAAGCCAGAGCAAAATGATTGGTTGCTCGGGCGAAGATTCCTCTGGAGTACACGTGATGTGTGCGACCTATCTCTCCTCCTCTGCACTTTTGGCGTCGCGGCAGCCAGGCCAGAAGTTCACCCAGTTTTCTTTTATCTTGGATATGCTGATTTGCCATGGCGTATAGACAACTCCAACTAGAAGAACCGGAATTTCGGTGTCTCTGCATCGAGCGCGTCTGCAAATTATGCCGGTTCCCTTTCACACCTGGGATGAAGATTGTCATAGGTACGTTACTGCGCATTTTGGTCTCGAGGTCCTAACACATAGCCCAGGTGCCGAGAACGCCTACGAATCGAAACCTTTCAGCTTTCCAGACGAGTACGATTACGAATTATCCAACGAGGAGTGGCGGCTCTGCTTCCGTTCCTGCTCACCACTTTGTTCGCATTATGACGGCTCGTCCTACGGCTTCCACGTTGAATGCCTCGCATTCGCCCGCCGCTTCGACATGAGGTTCTTCAAGATGCTCAATGCCACTGTGAGCTCTTACCAACCTCTCGAAATCGATCGGGAACGGAGACACAAACACATGGTGGGCCTCATCACGTCGAGGATCCAGGCGACATACAGGAGATTGCCCACCGAGGTCTGGCGAATGGTTGCCGAGCACCTTGTTCCGTTTTACGCAATTGCCGCGCTCTTGTCACTGTCCGAAATCGAATCCTACCGCGAAATAGATGCGTGTGCGAAAGCCTGGGCGACGTATGTCAACATTGATGGTATTCGGTACGTTCGGACGATATCAAACACACCCATCCCCAAAGGCGAGGTGGTCTGGGACGCAGTTTCACCGGGGATGAGAGATGTCCTCTACTTAGTAGAAGATCATTTGGGTATTCGACAAGTCACTACAAACCCCGGGGCGCCACAGTTTCCTAACGAACGTCTCAAATCCACATGGTGGCGGTCAGTTCCGCTGGAACAGCGACAGGCCAATCTTTGTACAGATGTAAGCCTTCCAGCCTGAGTTCATGCATCGTGTGCTAACTTGTGTCGAAGGGTTATAAATTACGGGCTATCCGATCATCATGGCATCGCATGGAGGGGTTGTGGCCAGAGCCAATTTCGCCACCCCAGTACGGGCTTCAGTCATTTCTTTTCCAGTGGCCACTACCCTACGCAAGATTGATCCCCTTGGAGCTAAACAACCCAAACGTCATTGGCTACTCCGCTTGCTGGCGTGGAAGCCTCATCTCCCTGCACTCTCATAGACTCAACGAGGACGCTGAGTTCTTTCATGAGATTGGTTATCCTGAAGATGGCCCCGTATGGACATTTCTGGCTATGAACCCTGGAAAAACCGTCACAGAAATATGGCGGAGAGATGATCCCGAATTCTTTGCAAGTGCCATCGCTGTAAGTTCGTCCCCTCCAGCACCTCTAGCCGATGCTCACATCCTTAAAGTTTAGGACAAACACGGGGCGGACAATGATCGGGGGACAAGTTGTCAGCTATCTCCTAAAACACCTTCATCGGTGGGTCCGTATTGCGAGATTTCCTGAAAAAGGAACAAGTCGCATGTTCTTTGAGTATTCTGCATCTGGCATCCACATGATGAGTATTCCGCTGCAGAAACGATTTGATGAGGTAGGACCGTGCCCAACAGAGACGGCATTCGCTCTCGGTATGTTTATCACATCGGGGCCCGAGTTCCACTCTTCGGCTTCCCTGGAAGATGTCGTCGAGGTTGTTCTTTGCGAGTCGGACGACGACGCTCCACCACGCATTACTGGCTTGCTATTTCGATACAAGAACGGAAATCACGCCAGTGTGGGGAGCTTCCGGCCTCGTCGAGATGCTACCCAGCTGTCCGTTCCTCCCAACTCTTCAGCTTTGTTTTTGGCGACGAAATTCGAGACACGCCGTAAGCGTGTGGAGGAAGTTAGAGTCTCGCCCCCTGATGAACGAAGTTCGCTTCAATGGGAAGAGTTTCCGTGGGACGGGATACTTGAGTGGTGGTTCCGTTTTGATGATTGTCGTGTGTGTCATGTACTGGAGCGGGATGATGCGCCAGATTTGTTTTCTCCGTTAAGGTAGCTGAACCAACCAGGAAACACGGATAGTGTTACTGTAATGGGAGAGTCATTTGTAGAGTGAGTAGATTTGCCGTCGTTAGATAGAGCCAGGAATATGAGGCGTTCAATTGAATGCCCGATCGCATGTTCGCATTCACTCGGGATGTGGAGCTTGCGACTCCCTCTTCAAGTCTGCTGAACCTTTCCGACGCTTACTGAAATACGTGCTAATTGTTGAACCAACGAGCAGGTCGTGGCCGTAATAACTACACTGTCTGCTAAACCTAAGATGTGCTGACGTTTTGAGATAATATCTCTTGGCACCGACAGAAAGGGCCATGGTCAGAAATTTTGTAAGTTGCCCAGATATCCACAATGCGCATGCAGTAACAAAACCACAACCATACATGGAACTCTTCCTCGCTTTATAATTAATCACTTTTTAGAAGCAACACTCTGTAAAGGGATACTATTAGTGTGAAATACAGCTACATAGCCTTGATGCATTTTACATAATATCCGTCCACAGTATATACAGCTCTCTCTCCTTTGTTGAAGATTGGGAGCGAGCATTCTTTACTTTGGCTATTCTGCTACTTTGGACCAGAGGATATAACCTCATACGACTAAACGGTAGCTCTTAGCTAGGTAAGGATAGAATTAGAGAAAGCCGAGTCCTCGCATTACCCTTCGCCATGCCCAGCACAAACGCCGACTCGGCATTGTAACTATATCTAGCAGTCAGGGAAGGAGCAGACGAAGCAGCGTGCTTGAAAGACAGGATGCCAAAGCCGGTACCGCTGCAACCAGGAGAACAAGCATCGCACCGACCAAGACACTCCACTGGCCGACGTGCTTAAAGCTTTCTCCGCCTGGATCAGCTGTCCACATGTACCATTCCATGGTCACTACGAATGCCGTTAGAATAATGGGACTCAGAAATCTCGCGACCACGAGATTGTAGAGAATCCACAACCTCAAAAAGATGCGCCACGATTTCCCAAGGACGGACAACGTGTGCGAGTGCCATGTTTCCCAGAGATTGTGAAGCGAAGATTTGACATCCAACGGCCTCCAATTTGCCCGGATGCAAGAAATGTTGGACAGGGAGGCAACAGTGAGCGACGAGGCGGTAAACATGCCAACCGCAAGATACACGCCAAAAAGTAATCCGATGCCAACATCGGCATCCGATGCCGCGCCGTACCATCCCTCGACTACGTAGATTTCCGAGCTGTCTCGGAGTGGCCACGACGTCCCGAAACATGGGTAGTAGCAAGCCGTAGCCAAAGGTCCTGTTGTGTTCCCATCCACAAAATGCTTCATGACGGTTCGGTTCCAGCGATACCAGTCCTTGTTGTCCCAGGCCTCGATGCCTTCGTCCACGTCGGGGTTGGAGAGAGGCAAACTGTCAGCTCGGTCCATGGGGCAGAATCTGATCTGCGGGAAGGCAACGAGGGTTACGTATGCTGCGTTCACCAGCGCCGCAATGAGTCCCGCAAAGAGAAGCAGCGCCCATGCAAACACGACCCGCTTATGCTCGGCCTTGGCCTTTTCCAGAGTCTTGGACCATATCTGCATGGGGAGAAGCAGCAGGAATGCCGTGCCGACTATTGCCAACACGGGATCGGCGTCGTTTTCCCATGCCATGGGCAGAACCGGCATCCAAACCGGTCCATTCTCTCGCGCCGGCTCCTCTTGTCCAGTTTCTGATGTACCCTGAACCAGCACGACTTCGTGGTTTTTAATCATGACGTCCGGCGCCAGCCGCGTTCTCATGGTAACCAGGACAAACGCGTGGATAGCCGCGGCTGCGCTGTACACCATCACAGAGCCGAGGGCGGCGCTCACCACCCACAATTGCTCGCGTCCAAAAACCGACAGCAGGGCCAGGATATAGTATATGTACCGCGGAGTGGGTCCATAGCCGCCGCTGATTTGGTATGAGCACTGGATGAATTGACTGCGAAAGAAGGAGTTGTTGCCCATGACATCGCTCAAGATCCAGCCGTCAGAATCGCTGCGAGCATTGCTGGGAATGAGCTTCAATTCATCCGGGAAAAGAGATCGAAGGAAAGGATTGTGGAGCCTTTCCATTGCTAGGGGCGCTGTCCAGTGGATGTTTCGACGGGGGCTCCGTGTGGCCTGAAGGCAGGCAAGTGATGTGCCGCTGTCGCTTTCGTGACTGCGCTTCCGATGCTCCCGCTGTTGTCTATTTGGAGACGAACCAGGGGAGAATATCAGGAGACTTCGACTTGAACTGGAGCAAAGACTGTGGGATTTTAAAGTGACGATGAAGGGGAGGAGGGCAAGCTTGCAGCTGTGAAAGGATCTGACACAAAATGATTTGGGGGCGTCGTGCACATTCACATCATTGGGCAAGCTCTAGAAAGATAAGCAGATTGTGGCCTTGTGACAACCACGAAATTTGCGGCTGAGCTGAAGCCGATGATCCTTGCTAAAATGAAGTGAGCGATATTCACCTTTTAACCAGCGATGGGCATCAATACATGCCGCCACGATGCCACAAAGATGCAGTCAGCTGTAAAGTCCCAACGTGTGACGGTCGGGCTTATATTAATTGCCGAATCTGGGGTAGGTCCAAGGCGATATTCTCTGTTCCCTTCTTCGACGAGACCAAGACGTACCAGTCCATGGTCGTTTCCTGAACCCTCCGCTTCGACGACGTGCTTGACACGGACAAGCTCCACGATGCACACACAGGACAGAAGGAAGGGGGAAGATAGCTAATCCGCTAGAATAAACTGAATTGCCCCCGGGAACCAGTGTTTAGAATAGCAGCACGCCAATGTAATGCCTTATCCCGCCGGGTCTAGCCCCTCACATACTGTCCTCCGCTCATGCTCTTATCCCGTCACACTTATTCCATTATGGTCATCACTCTGGATCGGGAATAAGCAGTAGATACTGAGTGCCTGATCATCGTGGTACTGGCGACAGCGCGGAAGTGCTGAGTTGGGTCGGAAGGCTGTGTCCAGTTCGGGCGGCAAAAGTTATTGCACTCGTGTTGGCTGAAAAAAGAGCTGATACCCTTGGAACCAAGATCAGTCACGCCGTAATCCCGATTTCGTGACAAGATAACAAGGTCAGAGAGAACGACCTCGTCCCGGTAGATGCCACCTTGAAGATCGCATAGAACAAATTGTCCGCCTGACACATGGTAGCTAAAGTAGCTGAGGGCTTGCATGACCTCTCCCCAACCCATTGCATCATCGTTCCATCCCGTATTACTGTTGAACTTTTGGTAATTTGCGATGAAAGGTTCACATAGAGCCTTTTGACCTGCCCATTCGTCGCGACAATTGTCGTTGAATGTCCATACGGTAGGGACGTTGATCTTGATGCGTTTATTGACCACTTGTAATTCGTTGAATCGGTTGACAATCTCCAAGGCCTTGTCGACAGCCTTGATGTCAAGAGTGAAATAATCCTTTTCGAAGACTGCGCCGGTCTTGAACCATTTGGTAACACATGGTTGGCCGCTGCGGGGGCCCGAAGTGTAGGTCCCTTCAGCTACCCAACGAAAGGCTCCTTCAGCAAAGGGATTCTCGAGATCATATTGTGAGTATTTAGCTGTGTTGGACAGGTTGTATCGGCCGCTGCTCGACTGTCTTGTAGATGGTGTATCGGAGTGGTGTCCATGGACACAACTCGCACATCGCGACACCCCGACACCCTTGGAGTACTGATTCGCCGTGAAGGACGACCGAGGGAGGCTGCGGCCGCAAGCGGCACATTCGCGCGTGGTAGGGCCCATTTACAGAAACCAGCAAGGACAAGATTATGGCTGGAAGAATGAAGAGACGAAGGACGTCAAATTTACTCCGTTACAGACATGATACATCACCCGCTCCCTCTAACACCTAAATCACGTGAGGCGAAAGGCTAATTGATGAAGGCAGATAACACGTCCGAAGATAAAGTATGCATGATAATGGGTGACTTCCTTGTACTTGGGCAAATTAACTGTAAACCATAAATCTCTAAAGAATGCATACAGCAATGTGTCTGGGTGACAGAAATTAGCCTCGTGGCAGGGTGTCTCCCTGGAGCCCACTGACCCTTACAACAAAACACATTCCTCTAACACTAAACTCAGCGAGTTGAGGACTGTTGAACGAAAATGTTCAATCAGAACAGTATGCAAAAGTTCTAAAATAGTCTCGCTATAACAGTTACACTATTCACGCATGGAACTTGAACAATTTTATGATCTACTGCTTCCTCTCTTACGCTTAAACTACAGACGGATGAGGAAATAAACAGTAAGTGAAAGACAAGCCATACGGGTATATGTCGAATACGGAGTTTGTATTCTGCAGAAGCTGCGGAGGTACAGAGGGTAGAAAAAGGGAAGTGTGCAGCCAGAGAAAAAGAGGAGCGCGAGAGCATCCAAAGCAATTGGTAAAGGAGAGATTGGATAGACAAGGAGGGATGCAAACGAAACGCCAGAAGAAGCAACGAGAAGACACAGGCTACAGCAGGAACATACGGCACTAAAGGGTCTGAAGACCATTGTGATCAAGGAGAAGCAGGACACTCTCCGGCACAACGGGACAAAAATGCGGGAGGCGGTGGAGCATCAGAGAGCCAAGCCGGCACAAACTCAAGCAGCAAACGCATGTTCTCACAAGTACTCTCATTCTAAATTCAGCATTTCGTTATCCACAATGTAATGAGGAAGCATATCCTGATTTTATAGGCAAGTACTGTATCTACTCACAACTTTTGTGTGGCTATGAACTTCTCTTTGAGGGAAAGGCGAGGAGGTGCGGTAGATTTGGTGACGTCTTGCGACCTCCCTGAAGCTAACCGATTACATCTAGGAGAAGGAGAAGCGTGACAGATAACACTGTCCTAGATATATCGATGGAAATGGTTAATGCTGCAACAATAACCTTACGATCTGATTTATAAGCAGCCTTTTAACATACGTCAATCTCCACCTCGGTGATACGCATTTGTAAGCAAGGTTTCTGAGGGTTTTCAACTTATAACAGGCCTGTTTCGAAGGGTAGTTTGATGGAACATAAAGAGGTCAGTCGACCCTTTACTCTGCTAGGAGCTGTTGGTGTAAATTTATCTGACGCATCGCCGTCATTCAGCAGGGTAAGCAACCCACCCACACCACTATAGCAATTTAACGGACTGCAATCGCGGGGCTGTTATTCCTGATCCCATAGAGGCTACAGTCCTCAGTCACATGATACCAGTACAGGACGGTGGTATTTGCGCGAAAATGCCAACGCGAAATATCCTCATTACCGGAGCGTCCGGGTATCTTGGTGGGACGGTCGTCGCCCAACTCAGCAACGCGAACCTACCATCCCATGGAAAGATTTTTGCGTTGGTTCGAAATGGCAGCCAAGCGAAAGCTGTCAAAACATATGGATTAGAGGCTATAAGCTTTGATCCATACGATAAGGTTGCTGTCGAGGAAAACATTATCCGCCATCAGATATCGATTGTGTACTGGTTGATCGATGCTTCAAGCTCAGCAGCTCAGCAACATTTCATCGGAGCTTTATCCAAGCTCAAGCAGGAAACCGACCAATCCGTCCATTTCTTACATGTAAGGCGCTTCAACAAGCATTTTTAGTACGGAAATGATGAGTGTGTCGACACTAATGACTGACGCTCCTTTCAGACAAGCGGGGCAAAGATCTTCTCGGGACTTGCTGGCACTCCTACGGACCGAACCATCCTGGACAGCGATCCTAGCCTACACGCAATACAGAAAGGGCAGCAAGCTCCATATGCTTTGCTACAAAAGGTGGTAGCCACGTTAAACGTAGTCCAAGGATCATATGTCGCTAACGGCCACTGTTTAGGCTGTCGATGCGAACAATGACGTTATTAAGCTAGCAGAAGCTCAAGGGGTTCAAAGCTACATATTTGTCCCTTGCATCGTCTGTGAGTCACACCATATCAATGCATCAGTGCTCTATAGCTGACGCCATTCATCCGAAATGTAGACGGCAAAGGCCGGGGTTTTGGGAACCCTATATCTATCCAAACTGTTGCTATTGTCAAGGCCGCAGTGGCATCTAAGAGGGTCTACAGAGTCGACAGTGACCATCCGGTAAGATAAATAGACACTCCCAAAAATTGTGATACTAACCCTTCTAAGATCTGGCCAGTCTCTCATGTTGATGATACAGCCGCTCTCTACCTCGACATTCTCAAAAAGATCTTGGCAGAGGAGAATGTTGAATCTGGACCGAACGGATACTACCTTGCTGCATCGGGAAGTGTGGCTTGGGATGACATATATGATGCCTTCGCCGTATCGCTCGCGAAACGAGGCATTATTGAGGACTCTCTAGTCACTCTTGCTGATGATGCGGTCCTGGAGAAGATGGCGAAGGGTCTGGGCTCTCCAAAAGAATTCGTACCCGTTCAGCTGGGTGGAAAGTAAGTAATCCCGCTCCGTGTTAGTACTACTCTAACAGTCAAACTCAGTTGCACATTCACAGCAAAGCACGGAGAGAGTGTAGGGTGGAGTCCCAAGTTCTCATCGAATCATATTCTTGAGACTGCAGATGCAGAGGTTGAACTGATTCTTCAACACCTATAGTGACATACAAACATTCACGGATTGATGAGAACTACACTTCAACGTCATGATTGTGAGGATCAAATTGATGCAGAAATATAGTTGCACTTCATGAACCATTTGCTGCCTTCGAATCAATTATCAATGTAGATTTCGAGTTCGATGAGGCAAGGAATGATAAAAGATGTATCTATTTGCTCAGTGCCACGACTAGGGTCTGGAGTTACTCGTCGGCTGCAAAATGTAAAGGGATCTAGCACTCTGTTCTCCAATGAAGGATCCAATCTCCAAATTCCTTGACAATACACGTCTTCTAATTTCTCCTCATATGGGGTTCAGTCGAAATCTCCATTCAGAATTTTCCACGGACAAGGTTCCCAATGATCTGTCGCCCGGTAATCCATGAAGTCCTCCACAAGGTTTCGAAATCAAGGACGCTGGAAAAGGTATCGGCGAAGCCAAAGAACAGCGTGAGCGGAATCCAGCCTCGCATATACTCCAAAGCGAAACAACCCTCTGGCATCTTATACTGCTTGACACTGCCCCGTTTAAGGTAGTGGACGCTCCCAGGTGGGTAGACCTCGGGTTCGTACTGTCCCGGTACGTACGCGAGTTCGGTACCGGTCAAGATGTTAAAGTAGTTGTCAGCAGGATGGCGGCCACTGTGCCCCTCGGTGCCGACAGCAGTGCCGAAGATGATGAGATACTCGGTGATGCCTGTATGCAATGAGCTTCAATGCTTCTGGTATAGGGTAGGAGAGTACACACTGGCGTGAAGAATCCACATGGCACCCATTGCACCACCAGCGTTGTTGAAAACCCATTCCTCATCCAAGTTTATCCTACCGGGGGCCACTTCATTGAGCTCGGTAACGATGTACTCGGCTATGGCCCTGGTGTTGTTGCCGTGCTGTGCAATGGCGCGCTTGGCCAGGTCGTGGACGCGCTCATGTTCAAAGATGTAAAACCTGTGCAGATTCTGGTCGAGAATGTACCAAACTGGTGTAAGAATCGCAAGCAAGGCGACAATGCGAACAAGCCAGCCCCCTTGGGCGACAGACGATGGAGAGGGCGCCATTGGATTGAGTGAATGAATGAATGAATGAATGAGTGATGATGAAGCTAGAGGGCACTTTGTCGGTTCATACTGGATTTATAAATGCTTCAATTCACTCCCATAAGCCTGCCCGGATCTTGGCCACCCGGCTGGGTCGATGCTGACGACGGAGACAACGGACACCGCACCGCGACGCGCGGATCCCGCAGTCCCGGACGGCCAAAGACCCGGGATGAGGCGAGAAAGACGGGAGGGAACGGACCGAAAAGTGGAACGATCCTATTTGAGATTGTGTTGAATATTTATTGAAGGATCCTACCCTCCATGCTCTCCACGTTCTCCGCGTTTTCGTTTTCCTGAGTAGACTCGTACTCGTACTCCGTATTCACTCCATACTCCATTGTCTCCATTGTGGAGCGTCCCACTCTTGTCCATGGGTTTGTTTACTCCGTACTCCGCGTTTACGCCGCACTCCGAAGTGCTCTTGTTATTCAAGCTCTGCCGGCGAATTCTGTCGTCGAATTTTATCGCAACTTTTGAACAACTCCATCTCTCATGTATGAGCTCAATTGAGATTCTAAAACAATACTAAGTTGAAAACAGGAAAAGCCGGGGAGTGGTGTGATTGTATGTAGCCTGGGTTGCATAAACCCAAGTTCTACCAACCATTGACCACAACACTTGCGGGAACTAATTGTGCACAACTATCCATCCACACTCCGGGAATTATGACGTGGGTGATGACAAATCTGACTTGGAGAACGCGGAGATGTATCCGAGCCGAGGCCAATGCTGGTCATGGGTCAGGATATGGGCTTCTTCTCACTGGCCAAGGGCAATTCTCATCATCGTCATGTGGCGTAGATGGCTAGACCCGCGTTAAACCCGTTACCTAGCGGTCAATTAGCTGTGAACTCCGAGGGAAGGTTGTTCAACCCAACACGGCCGAGGGAAGCTTGGGCGAGTCATCGGCTTCAGTTGAGGGGGAATTGTTGTCCTTGTTTGAGGATAGAGGTTGTGGACTTTTCTCTTGTGGGTTTGTGTTGGGCCATCCGTACCTTCAACGACAAACCGGTTGAAAGATCGTTCAGGGGCATGTCCGAGATTCGCTCCATCTCAATCAAAGAAATGTGGGCTCCAAGATTGGAACCAGAGGTGAGATAAGCAGTTCGTAGCATCAATACTACCTCCACATCGGCCCCCTCCGGACCCCGGCCCTCACAATTGGGTCGCCGAGGGGAGCATGCCGTGCAAAGGGCGCCGCTAAGCTATGTCTGATTTTTCATCATTGTCCGGTCCGGAGCCATGACTGGCCTCCCTAACCGATAGCCAAGGTTAGTACTGAATATATTGGTCAGCGGCGTCTCGACCTCCTCTCGATTGCCACATCGTGTGCCGGGGTAAATACACCAAGCAATCCCCGCTCGTCCGACCCCCGTGTTGGCACATTGCGATAACGTGAACTGTTGCAGTATGTCTCCAAGCTCAATTGAAACCCCAAAGCTAGACCAGGAGCGGGACATGGAAAAAGAGGCGCCTACACCTCAATGGGATGGTGATGAACAGACCTCGAGCCACGGGGACGGGAGCGATCAAGACCAGACCGACACACTGCGAGCCGAATCGCCGCAGCCTCCCAATGACAGACCAGAGTCGCTTTCGCGGGTCGCTTCGTTGGGCGGAGCTGTCCTTCGCACCTTTAGTCGTGTGAGCTCAACGATCCAACCCGGACCGCCTCCAGATGGTGGCCTCCAAGCGTGGCTGCAAGGTAAGTAACCATTCATTGGGCGCATTGGAACTGCCAAGAAACCGTTAGATCATCTGCTAACTATCGGCTCGCGTTAGTTCTGGGCTGTCACCTGGTCGTCATGAACACCTGGGGCTTCGTCAACTCGTTTGGTGTCTTTCAGCTCTACTACAAGACCTTTCTTGACCACCCGCCATCGGACATTTCGTGGATCGGATCTCTGCAGACGTTCCTGCTCTTCTTTATTGGGACTTTTGCTGGACGCGTCACAGACGCTGGCTACTTTCGACACGTCTTTCTCGTCGGCGCCGTGTTCCAGCTTGTCGGCATCTACACTGCCTCCGTGGCCACGAGCTACTGGCAACTCCTTCTTGCACACGGCATATGCATCGGAATCGGCAATGGCTGCATCTTTACCCCCGCTCTCACAATTGTGTCGACATACTTTAGCAAGAAGCGCTCGATAGCAATCGGCATGAGTGCCTGTGGGAGCGTCACAGGAGGTGTCGTATTTCCCATCATGGCGCGGCAGCTGCTGCCATCGGCCGGATTCCCATGGACAATGCGCGCCATCGGCTTTATCCTTCTTGCAAACCTCGTCGCGTGTTTCCTGATTATTAAACCGAGACTTCCTCCGCGAGACACGGGCGCGTTGATTGAGTGGGCGGCATTCAAAGACGCGGCATACAGTTTCTATGCAGCCGGAGCCTTTTTGGTGAGAACTCCCCTGTTGTGATATCCAATGCGGCGTCATTCCGTCTACCATGAACCTCTATACTAATTGTGAAACTAAAGTCTTTATGGGGCGTCTATGGCGCCTTCTACTTCCTCGCCTCGTTTGCTCGTGACATTGTTGAGCCGGCTTTCAGCACGCTTGAGTCGCTTAATCTCCTGATCTTGCTCAACGCCGTCGGCATCATCGGCCGCACGATACCCAACTTGCTCGCCGACCGCTTTGGCCCGATCAACATGTTTGTACCCGTCGCGTTCACCGCCGGCCTGCTGTCATTCTGTTGGATTGCCGTCGAAACCCCAACGGGATTATGGGTATGGACGGCATTCTACGGCATCTTTGGAGGCGGCATCCAGAGCTTGTTCCCTGCGGGACTGAGTTCGTTGACGACGGACCTGGGCAAGGCGGGCATCCGTATCGGCATGGTGTTGACCATTGTGAGCTTCGCGGTGTTGACGGGACCGCCTATTCAGGGAGCGATTATTACGACCATGGATGGGAAATATTATGGCGCCCAGGCGTTTTCAGGCGCGTCGTTGATGCTGGGTACGGGTTGCTTTGTTGGTGCTAGAATGGCAAAGACGAGAAAGATTGGCGGCTGGAAAGCTTGAGTCTACCGTAGAGCGTAAGAGTTGACTCGATATCTAATACTAGATTTCTCTACCTTTTTTGCGACAAAGTTGGAAGGGTTACCGCTTGATAACTCACAGGTGGCTCGGGGACTTGTAGCGATTTGCACCTGTGATGCCCATGGCGATGCTCTTCAAATCTTCCATGTGGTTTTCGTAGACGCCACGGGGGTTTGTGCGATGCTTGTTGCACAAATGAGCTGCAGCAGCGGTCGCAATGGCATGCTGCCCACCATTGCCCATAAACTTGGTGTTGGACCCGGCGACATGCGTGACGCTCAAGTGCTTGCCCGCCATCATCAAGTTCGAGATGTTGGCCGAGTAGAGACAGCGAAAGGGAATATCGTACGGCTTGCCATCGCGTTCGTCCCACTCCCAGTGCTTGAGACGGAAGTCGTATTTCTCATTTCCAGCATAGTGCAGGCAGAAGGCACCTCCGTTCTTGACCACGGCGTCGGGGAACTGATTGTGGGCGCGGATGTCCGTCTCGGTCAGCACGTAGTCGCCCTTGTAGCGACGGAATTCGCCTTGGGCGGGAACAAACGCCACCCAGTCAAGGGTGAGGTTGGCGTAGGTCTTGGGGTCCATTGTCTTGACGTTGGAAAAGGTACCGTAGATGGCGCGCAGGAGGTGGTCGCGGATATGCTCGCCTTGGGCGTACGGGTCAAGCAATTGGCCGTACTCCCAGAAATGAGTAAAAGGACGCGTCATGCGTTTGGCTACATTGATGTCGGGGACATGTCCTGGAGAGATGACTTTAGGACCAGCTCCGTTCTCAATGCCGGGCCTCTTTAGCTGGCCGCCCAAATCGGCGAAGTCCTTGGCCACTTCGGTAGCCCATGGCACGGATGGAAATGGAGTAGGTGAATCGGCCATTCGTGTGCGGAAGAAGACTGTGTTGCCGTGGTGCGAATTGTCACGGTCGACCGGCGCGAGGCTCTCTCCATATTCAACTTTCGACTCCTGGCCGAACAACGTCTCCGCACCCGAGTACAACCCGAGGATCGTCTTGCCCGAGCAGTCAATAAAGACGGGCGCTGAGATGCGGATCTCGCGTCCGCTGCGGGCATGGCGTGCGTCAATGGAGACGATGGTGTTGTCAACGGTGATTGCGTCGTAGACAGTGTGCTCCAGGAAGACGGTCGCGAGAGGCTCAGCCTCGAGAAGCGTCAACCCGTACAGATCGCCGCCGGGATGACGCCGCGAGATCTCCTTGATCAACGGCCCGTTGACGCCACGCGGACTGAGCCCGATCTCGACGCTCGCGTTGCCGCCTAGATACGGACGATCCTGGACAAGGGCCACACGTTCGCCAAGTCTCGCTGCTGTTAATGCAGCCGCCGTCCCGGGGACACCGCCTCCGACCACGACGACATCGAACGTTCTTCCGTCGACGGGATTCTCAGGGAGACCGCGAAGGCGCCGCCGCCACGAGCGTGCTGCTTCGTCCACAGCCTCTGGCGGCGCTATGTCGTCTCTGCTGAAGAAGATGGCGTCACAACGGCCACAGAATCCAGTCAGATCGTGCAACACCAGCCTCACGTCTCCCGCAGCAAGTTTCACTCTTCCGCCCAGCTGCCAGTTCCAGTCCTGGTCGTTGGCTCCAAACTCGGTTTCGAGTGTCGTGCCGTTGACTGAGAGCGTGAACCTCCCCGGATGGTGGCCAGGAACCCAATCTTTGGCACGAACCCAGACGTTGTATGTACCGGCGTCTATAACATTGATGACGGTTGTGGCATCCGCGACTGGACTGCCGTTACCGTGGGCCAGTATATACGGCGAGCCCATGACCATCTCAAACTGCGAGTCCACGACCCAACCGCCTAGATCGTCGAATGCTTCGGCTTCCACCAGGAAACCCGACTTTGGGAAAGCATCCATAGGCTCAGAGCCCATTTTGTTGGTATAGGCGATGAAAAGAACACGCCGTGTCGCCTTGTCACAACGAGTGAAAGAGGCTCAAGGAGACTGATAGATAGCTCGAGCTTGATGGCTTTTTATAACCTTGAAGTTGGATCCATGCCAGACTGTTGTACTGTACTTGTAAATGCAGTAATTTGTCAGCTCGGCATCTTCGCAAGTGCCTTGAACCCCGCGTTGCGACGCTCGGTAAATTCGGTACTCGGCATGTATCTGGGTTTCGGCACATGGTCGTCATTCGAGGGAGAGTGGCTTGTATTAGTGCATCAGAGCGACAATGCAGTGCATATCGTTGGCCGTAATACCCATTCTTTCATTACAAACTGCTGCTTGATCGTGGGTACGTACTAGGACCATGAACACCATGCCAAACGCGACTCCGGCCTTGTCAAGACATAATCAAGATGACCGTTTTCGTATCTTGGGTTATGAAAGACCTTATTACGGAATTGTTTGGAGTCCCTATCTTTGCTTAGACCTTATGAAGCGTTGAGACCTCTGGAGCCGGCGGAAAGCGTGGATCCCGCAAACCCAGAAGCTGCATCTGGTGCATCTCTAAAGAACAGGCCTTGGATGCTCAGCTGGCTAGAGTTCAAAAGCTCTTATCTCCATCTGTAGACTACACAAATTCAATTACTCAGTACGATCACACTGCGGACAGATGCAAATCTATCTACAGGTTCCCAGAGGTATGCTCATTCTTCAGCGTCGAGATCCATTCACCAACCGTCGTCACCTTTTCGACGATGAGGGGCCAGACATGATCAACTGCAGCGTCCTTGGCAGCAGTTGTGAATCCAGCTGTACCATCAGTGCTACCATTCCAAGTCAGTTTAGTAAATTACAACCGGAAGAGGTCTCCACTTACAGGAGGGTGACGTGATAGCCCCTGGTTGGATTGTGGGTTGTTAGCTTCTCACTTCTCATGCATTCGTGGTACATTCTCAATCAATGGAACGACTCACAGCTCTCTTCCGTATCGGGCTGTGCTCTCAAGGCAGGTGTTGGCAACCATACCGGCCATGACTAGATGGGTAATCTCGCGTTGGTGGAGCTGATAGTCCAAGTCGGTGTTGGCAAAAGAGCTGTGGACATCCCACAATGTCAGTATTCAACAAATATAGTCTCAGAGACTGGGTTGAGATATAATTTTCCCATCGTCTCTTGATGGACATTGGACTTGCCTGCTGTTCCAGTGCTTGCTGACAATAACGTCCCCATTGTTCAACACATCAGGCTCGAGCCCCTCCAAGATCTCAGCTCCCCAAGTTCCCTCCTCAAAAACCTTATTCTGACCAAGCCTCGTAGTCGATGAGTTCATATGCAGCCAATCCATGTAGTTACCCTCCTTCCAGGTCTTGTGCAGCGCATAGTAAATGGGAATATGCGCCTCCCGAGCGGCCTTGACGAGTTCCTTCAGGTTTGCAACGGTGTTGGTGGCGGTGAGCGATTCACTGACAGAGCCATACAATTTGCCCTCGGGGTGGATGAAGTCGTTGTAGGGGTCAATGAGGACGACGGCCGTCTTTGGGGTCGAGATCGTAGGGGACATGGTCGCCAGCAGTGTTTATTAAGCGGATTGGATGAAGAAGAAGTGATCTGAAGACTTGAGACAATGTATTCTTGGTGAAATTGAATGCTACAGAGCCTACAATGTGCGGGGAGCTTCCGTGTTGACGAGATATATGGCTGCCGTCATCCTGAGCTCATCGCGAGCGACGGGATGACAAATTTAAAAATGCCCTCTAAGTATTACCAATCATGAGCGCAAAACCACGAATGATATCCTATCTCCACCCAATGGCTTCCTCAACACTTATCTCGGTGCGTCTGCCGGACTGGTCCGGACTTGCTCCCCCCACTGAATCACGTAGGCTTCTGTCTCACCCGAGAAGGGACCACGTCACTCGTCAATCTCACTTGGCCACTCCGCTGTGTCCGTACTCGGATTCCCGCAAGCGTCTTAGTACATAGTTCCTGAGCGTCTACATGGTGCGGGGCATCGATTTTATGACAAATATGGCTGACGTTCTGGCCAGGATACAACACCCCGCTCTGCTCTGGAAGCTTGTTGACCTCGGGCGAGAGGATGGACTTAAGCTGCGAAGTCGGATTTAGGCCAACCTCGCCATCGGCAGTTTTATTGGCTCGGTTGATCCAAAACGAGTCAGGTGCGTTGCTGACCAATTTCAGGGCCGGAGCAGATGAGGGGCATCAACTCGTGCGTGACACCGAGCTTTACCGAGCAGGAAGGATATCACAGCATCATAGCCAAATATTCACAGGGTGCTTTCTACCAACTGCTTCATGCATGTATGCCCTGACATCTGCCACTTAAAATGCCTTTCTACGACATCTCTCACTCTTATGCCTTTACCCCAGCTCAGCGGGAGGCGCTAGCGGAGCGCATTACCACACTCCACTGTACCATGTTCAATACCCCGTCGATGTTTGTGAATATCCGCTTTGCCCCCATTAAAGACGAAGAATACTGGTACGGCCGGAAGCGCAAGCCCAACACTAATCGAATCTTTGGCCATGTGCGAAGTGGCTCTAACCGGAGCGCCGAGGCTTTCGCAAAGCTGGCTGAGGAGATCGAGGCCATCTGGGATGATGTTGTAGGCAAGACGGAGTCCGACGTCGGGCCTGGTAACCCAAAGACCTTGCAGACAGTGTTTATTGTCCCAGGCATCACGACAAGGGAGGAGAGTCTTGCAATTCCGCCGGTCAGTTCACCTTGTACTCATCGTAACGAAACTTCTAACGCAATTCAGGCTGGAACGGAAAAGGCCTGGCTGCGGGACAACCTGGAATCATTCAAAGAGAGGGCAGGACGTGGCGACCAGGATTTCAAAGACTTGCTGGCGGAATTGGAGGCTAGGCCTGAGTTGATGACCTGAAGGCTGAAGGTACAGATCGTGGAACCGCAAGATCATGTAGATCACATGCAGACGCCGCGAATAGCATAATTTATATGTTATCTTCTCGTTTCTAAATTTTGAAGTGCCATCATACTATGCACCCTGCTACAGGATAGTTTACTCAGCATGTTGAACGCCAAGTTAGGAGCATTATGCTTGCTATTGTTGAATGCTTCAACCGTTGTCACTATTTGCCGACTGGCCCCTGCTTAAGAAGGCTGGCTCTTCACACTCCCAAACGCTGCGCTCTTGGCTCAACTAGGTAATCCGATAATAATGGCAGTACCGTACCTCCCCTTAGGAAAGGTACTCCGAGGGCGAAGACACGTTGTTCTTGGCAGCCCAAGCCTTGATATCCGCCTTGCTGTTGTCCAGAGCCCCCGAGAGAGCAAACTGGGTGGGAACACCGTCGATTCGGTGAGTCGAGTTGATGTTCTTGACGAGAGTGATCTGGAAGCAAGTGGCGGTGCCTTGGCGGGAAGCGATCCTCCCGTAAGCGAGAAAGTAGGTCCAAATCTGTATTTCACTGTATAGACGCCAGGTTGGTAACATTTTTATCCATGTGGAAAGCCACTTACGCGGTTCCATCGGTCACCATACTTGACCACAACCTTCTCACGGTTGCCAAGCCAGTTGCGGAGTAGTGAACACCGACAGTATCTATCTGCTTGACATCAAAGCCGGCAGCTTCGGCTTTATCAATAATCCAGCTCAGTGGCACCGATGCGTCTGCTCCAGGGAAGATATACTTGTTCATGAATAGGCCCCAGATGAGATCCTCATACTGCCACGACTTGCGCAGACCCGAGTACTGAAGAAAGAAGACACCGTCATCGTCCAGCAAGTTGTGCATTCGAGTCAGGAAGGATGAAAAACGGCGGATACCGACGTGCTCGGACACATACTCCGGTCTATTCATAGGATACCTTATTCACCAACGTCCCAATCTTCTCAATGTAAACCCTCATATCATCCCCATCTTTCAGCGACAGTACTGGGTCACGCATCGCGCCTACTCCTGGCCCGGTACCAGTCAGGATGACAGTCCCCTGCTCCAACGTTGTCCCTTGGGATAAATACGAGACGATTGAAGAGACTTGGAATATCATCTCGCTATGGAGATAGGATTGTCAGCTAGGTTCTAAACAGAGGAGCATCCGCATCGCGCATCAAGTTAGTATCCTCACCTTGTGTTAGAATCCTGGACGATCTCGGAATTGAGGCTTGCAGTGATGGCGAGCTTTTGGGGGTCACTGATTGGTGCTGGGGAAACGAGAACTGGCCCGATGGGAGCTGATCCATCAAAACCTGTCCGAAGAAAAAATAGCTGTTAGCTTGTGCATTGGATAGATGATTACTCGGCGCACCTTTGGAAAAGCACCATTGACTGTTCGCGAACTGCAACTTCCTGGCGCTAACATCATTGGCACATGTGAAGCCCAGCACGTAGTCCATTGCATCATTCTCTGCAATGTTCTTGCCAGTCTTCGAAATTACAATGGCCATTTCTGCTTCATAATCGCTGGTTCCGTCCTGCGCAACGGCTGGAATGCAAATTGGTTCCGGATATGGACCACTGATCGCATTGCGAGGCTTGATGAAGAGAATCGGCGATTCTGGAATTGGCATCTTGATCTCAATGGCATGGTCTCTATAATTAAGCCCCATGCAGAGGATTATGGGGACTGATGAGGCCGGAACGGGAGAAAGGAGCTGGTAGTGTAATTGTTAGAGTGTGCCATGTGTGTCCTTGAGAAAGAACTTACCCGTGACACATGCAAGAACTGACTTGTGACAATCCCATCAAATTGTGAGCCGGCGACCACGTTGACTGGGATTGGTTTGCCTTCCAGCGCTGCTAGGCCAACATCGGGATACTTTTCAGCATCAACCTGGCCGAAGTAGACCAGGCCATCCTCAGCGGCAACGAACCGCACAAGGTGAGTCCAGTCGCGCTGGTTCGTTGTTGACATGGTAGGAAATGGATTAGGACTTGTTAGGTAGAATCCTCTGCTGCTGTGCTGGTCAGGGCGGCCCTTTATACTAACATCGTCTAAGGTAGACTAGGGTATAAAGTTAACGCAGGTCATTCGACGCCCTTCGACACTTAACAAGAGACTAATTTGTCATCAGATTGACTTTGGAGTGTGTTAGCGGGGTTTTATGGCTCAGCAGCAGCAAAGGGGAAGCGGAGGCGAGGCGAACACCTGTACGTCCACTAGAAAGAACAGCCCAGTCATCTGCACCATCACGGCCATCGAAACTTCAAGTCATCAAGATATTGTTATGGCATTTGCGTCATTAATCCAAGTACACTAAGAACTTGATCTGGAATCCGGAGGTTCTCGATTGATGGAATTGCCACAACGATATTGGACCCTCATTTAAACACCACCACTATATTCGTGCTTATTATGCTCCGTACATGAGTCCAGGTCACTTGGTTCCCTTTCGGCCCATTTTACAAGATTTCTCTCTTTGGCCGCACCAGTATTACTGAAATGTACACGTCTACTCGACCAGCAAGCAAACCAGAGTAGCATCTTACACAAACAGACACAAAGGGATTTCTTTGCCGACAAACTTTTTTGTTGATCTGTTTAGAAGCACCAATATTCATGAGAACTACAAATAGAAACTATCGCCATCGAGTGAAATCCTCTGACTATCACTGCTGGAACACGGGGCGAGTTCTAATCTCCTCGACGAGCTGGATAAAGTCAGAGTCACCCTCCGCAGCCAACTTCTTGAATTCCTCCGTGTTATCCTTGACCCACTGCTCAAAGTGTCCCGGCTGGAGGGAAATCGTTAACAAGATACGTCCTATTTGGGCTGGGGCCATTGCTTACCATTGGCAGGTGGAAACCGCCTTCTTTGGCCACATCCAAGTTTCCCTTGATATAGATGCCCCTCAATTGCTGCTCACGAGTACCCTTGCCGACGACTCCATCCCAGATGGACTCTAACTTGTCGGACAGGCCCTGCAGCTGTGCATGGGTTCGACCGGCACCGCTTCGCAGACTAACGAAAAGCCGGTTGATCTGGGATGGCTGGCCACCAACAAAGGTGTTTGACAATGGACCCTGAGAGACGTCGATAAATCGGCAGTTGACGATATAGCGAGGAGCGTTGAAAGTCAGGGCATGGTAGTCGGTGATTGCAGTAGCAAGCGCCTGCCTCTGAGTAACACTCAGGCGAATGGCGTGCTCGAATTCGTAAATAGGCATGATGAATGTAGTGTTTAGATGCAACGGAACAGGGTTAAGCAGTATGATATGTGTGAATAGTTTCCTTGTACGCTTGTCAAAAGCCTTTATATGAATGTGTCATGCACAGAGTGGGGAGCGATCAGATGTGATGACAAATTTAGGGATAGCACACACAACACTGGAAGCAAGGCTAAGATCGGTCCAACGGATGGTCACTCTGGCATTGGGCCCTACCCGAGGTGGAAGACGACACCGATATCGCAACGCGTCGTTGTCAAACTGCCGGGTATCTGGCAAGGAACAGCCACAAGTGCTGACAAATTTAACAAAAGGGCGCACCTTATCGTAGTACGAGGGGCAATGGCTCGCTTGTGAGAGAGCCTGACCGGGGTTAGTAGCGTAGCACATGACAGATTTAACGCCCCAGGATTCTGTGTGAGTGGGGATGGAGGCGACAAAGTCTCAATCGGCACAAGACATGAGTCGACAAAGTTGCCAGACTTGAGCGGGGTATGTCGATTGAGCACCTTTCCAATGGCGAATTTGACATGCAGGGCGCCATGTCAATGATCGACAGACGGGCGTAATACCCCTCAGTTGATCTAGACCCTCGGCTCTCGGTCAAAGAGGTGCGCCGGCATGTCCGAGCAGTCCGATGACAAATTTAACTGGTCTTCATGGTGCTAAAGGTCTCCTGGTTGTGTTTCATTTAGACTGTAGCAAGCGGTGGACAAAACGGGTATCATCGGGGAGTACAGTGGCATATCCACATTGCGCAAAATGAGACTCAGGGCGCGTTAGCGGTAGTAAACTGCACCACTCATCAATAAGACTAGAGTAACATCACCATTGAGGCTATCATCAACTGCCATACGTGTCTCGCAAAATTCACGGTTTCACGCAATCTGTCGCGTAAAAATGGCCTTCAGCAATGCTGCTAACAACGGCGGAGATGTTGCAGCGCTCGACCACTCCAAACTGGCATTCCACCTGACCACTCCCATGCCCACAAACCCAGCGTCGGATCTTAGCCAAACCGGCTGCACCGACCATATGCTGGTCTGCCACTGGAGTGAAGCCAGTGGCTGGGCGGCTCCTGAGATTCGCCCGTACGGCCCTCTGTCCATCATGCCCAGTGCCAGCGCTCTCCAGTACGCTACGGAGTGCTTTGAAGGCATCAAAGCCTACCGCGGCGATGACGGCAAACTGCGTCTCTTCCGGCTTAACCTCAACTGCAAACGCATGCTCAAGTCCTCGACCCGCGTGGGCCTGCCCGCGTTTGATACCTCGGCCCTGGAAAAGCTGCTCCGCGAATTTGTCGTCCTGGAGGCAGAAAAGTGGCTTCCCCGAGACCGAAAGGGCGAGACATTGTACCTGCGGCCGACTCATATTGGAACCACAGCTGCACTCGGGGTTCAGAAGCCTCAGCACTCTACACTGTACGCCATCGCCACCCTCGCCCCCGGCTTCAAGACGAAAAGCGGTGGCATGACTGTCGTCACATCACCGGCAGATTCTTGTCGAGCGTGGCCAGGTGGCTTTGGAAGCGCCAAGCTCGGTGCGAATTACGGGCCAACGCTTGTGGCTCATGCCGATGCGACTGCCAGAGGCTTTGATCAAGTTCTGTGGCTTTATGGTGCCCAGGAGTACGTCACTGAGGCAGGAGCTAGCAATTTCTTCGTCGTCTGGAAGACGAAGGAGGGCGAGACTCAGTTGGTGACTGCTAGCCTGAATAACCAGACCATTCTGGAAGGCATTACTAGGCAGAGCGTCATTGAACTTGTCAACCATCGAGCAAAGGATGCCCAGAGCTGGATTGTCGACAATACCGCGCTAGAACCTCTTACGGTTGTTGAGAGAGATTTCTCCATGACTGAGATTCGTGAGGCCATTGCGGAAGGACGGCTGGTGGAGGCATTCGCATCCGGCACTGCGGTAAGGGAATTTATTGTTTACTCTACAGCTTGGAAATCACTAACGTCTTGGCCAGTACTTCATCGCACCACTTAGTCTTATCCACCACCGAAACGAGGATCTCGTCATCCCTCGCGAAAACGGGGATTCTGGATTCTACGCCGCACTGATCAAGGGTTGGCTTAGTGACATTGTGTACGGCCGGGCTGAGCACTCCAACTGGGCCAGTGTAGTCGAGGATGTTTAGACAAGTATATAGAGATGTAGGGCTATTTGGCCAATTCATAGCCGAGAGTGAATTTACATTCGACATTCCCGTTGGGTTTCTGTGCGCGAAGTATTCGGCATGCGTTATGTTGCGTAACACCAGTAGTTCGAGACGGAGACCGTCGGAGGAGAGTCAACGTGAAATTCGTAGCTCGCTAAATTTGATGTACCAAGTTATCAGAGGAATATTCAAGTGAGAAAAGCAAAGTCTTATTGCATCAAAACAAAGCTCTAAAACGCTGGTTACTCAAACATGACGCCCAACAGTCGACTCGATCCCTAGCCCTGACTCACTTCCACAATGCTCAACACTAGATCTACCGATGTAGAAAGGAACACCCCAGTTAATCTCCAATCAGGGCTGACAGCTTCTTCTTTAATTCCTGGAATGACTGCGTCACAATACTCAACTGTGTCCGGGAGGCCTCCAGTTCCAGCTCAAGTCTCCGCTTGTCTGCTCTCAGAGCGTCTGCCTCCTCGACAGCCGCCTTCTTTCCAGCTGCCTCGGCCCTAAGCCGCGCGAGTTCCCCATCAGATGCCCGCGCCATGGAGGCCATTTTTTGCGCCAGACATAGCTCTTTCTGGCGGATTTCTAGCTCTTGGCGCTGTTGGGCCAGGTGTGATTCCAGGTCGGACACTTGGCCTCGTAACGCAGAGGTGGTTTCCAGCTCGCAGTACAATATCCGCAGCGCAGAGTCCACATCAGTGGCCAGAGTAGTAAATTTAGATTTCCGCGCTCGTACAGTCGTACGCGGTAGCGTCTCCAATCTTTCTGCTGCCGACGCGGCAGATGCGGAATCAGCGATACTTAGAAGTGGAGGTGGTGTCGGTCTTGATTGCGCCTGAGATACCGAAGGTGTATTTTGAGTCTGGACTTGGTTGGTTGTTGTTCTTCCTGGACCAGCATTCTGTTCTGGGCGAGACCGACTCTCGGAATCCGGGATATCAGCCTGCTGTGCTGTTTGCGTGTTGACGGCTGACCAGCGGTTCCGGTTTGCGTCTTGTATAGGGGCAAGAACAGGTGATGCTGGAGGAGTGAGAGGAGGCGGTTGGACGTGCCAGTTTCTACCCACGCAAACATCACAGTGCCAGTGTTGAGGGCCTCCTTGACGCGAGGGTGCCCCGTCCGAGGGCTTACACGCTGCATGGTAGGACCTCCGACAGGTGATGCAGTACTCGAGATTATTCGGCTGTTGGCATGTGAAGCACACTGTATCGCGTGGTGCTCCGGCTTCTATGCGGCGCTCGTGTTAATGGCATGAATTTCTGTAGAGGACAGGACTTTCTCACTTTGCCAGGCTCTATATCTCGCCAGTGCCACAGTGATGGGCTCCCCGGGCACGTATTGTGGTACAACGGGCCCATCTTTCTGAGACACCATGGGCGTTGAAGTTACGGCGTTATTTTCCACTGCTTCATGTGTTGGCAATTCCGGCACAGCAGCCGTAATAGAATCGCTCACGGCCTCGGGCCCAGCGCGGCGACTCCGCGTGGTGGGTGTTTTGAGCCGTGGACGCTTCGCGGCAGGCTCGCCACCACTGCGGCTGTTCCGGTCACCCGAGACAGCAGACATGAGTGCAAAATATATTAACTAGGTTGATTGTGGGCGCTGCAGTTGATATCTCGGACGAAGACACAACAGATGCACCACGGCTTGCGGCGAAAAGGAGAAGGGAAGATGAGGACCGTGATGCAATTTTCCACGCCGTCACGGGCCTGATTTGTAATTTTCCGGAGGTGTAAGTGCTGACTAAGATCCAATCGCCGTCTCCGAGTCCGAACCTCCGAGTCACCTGACCACCCGCCTCTGTGAAAGCGCCGGTAGTAGGCATTCACTTTCACTCAGAACCGGGGAAATCACAAGAAGATCTGAAAATAAATAACGGCTTTGTCTTAAGATATGGGTGGTACGGAATCACATGGATTGTGTTAAGCACATAGGTTCCCCAGAACGCGTTTATGCAGCAAATACGTGTCCGGTGAGAGGTCACGCGCCAGGGTTGTTTGACGCTGCACCATTCATCTGTCTCTGGTTTTCGCATCTTTTCATGCAATGTTCTTTTTAATTTCTTCCAAAAGTAAACGGATTGGATATCCACACCCGTCTTTGTTCAGAAATGCGTTGTATAAACACCTGTGGAGGGTAAGCCTTGCCATAAATTGCACAAATGGGGAAGTATTTAGCAATACTTGTTTGTATCATTTTGAGTTGTTGCTATACTAGTTTTATGTATCTCCTTTCCTCGCTATTTTTGTGTCTTGTTCTTTCTTCGGTACCAAAGGACAACCATACCCGCGCATCGTTACATTGAATTATATGTCTTGGTCACTTTTCGGTACTAAATCTCGTTGTTTTGACAATAGCTCTTGTACCAAGCCGTTAGATTTCTTGTAGACTCCGTCCAAAATTCCGCGTCACAGTTCTGAGAGATACCCCTGAAGCCAAGTAATACTTGATCACGTGCGATCTTCTCATCATCTCGCAATGCTTGCCGCAACGTCTCCGAATCTCTGACTAGTTGGAGCTTGGTAGGGTCGTTGGCAAAGATTGTGCTTTGGATGGCATCGTCTGCGTAGTATGTGAGCTCGTGCTGGCTAAACACCTTTCGAAATATCTCGTGATATGTCTGGGAAATCCAATGAAAAACAATATCACTGTCTCTGACCTGAGGTGTAAAGGCATGGAATCTGTAACCTTCTGCGTATTCCTTGTCCCGCTTCTCCTGCTTAGAGATCTGCTCAGCTAAGGTAGTTATAAACCGGCTTAGTTTATACCAACAGACCATACCATGCTGTTCAAAGGTTAGCCCACCAGCCTGCTTGCGTAGAACATCAATTTCCCGGGCCGCACCGACGAGTTGACGAAACGCTTTTTGCTCCATTTCGTCAATAGCCTTGAACTTAATCAGCAGTTTGACTTTCTCATCCAACGTCTCGACATCTTGGTAATAAAGATCGGGATGAAAAAAGTTATTGAATGTAACCTCCACAATTGACACAGGAGAAGTTTCAAACCTCCAATGATGACCGAGATAGGATAGTTTCCCATCGTCCCACCAACCATCCAACTGTTTAGGCCTCTGGTGACTTCGAGAGGTCCAATTGAAATTTCGACGACTGAATTGGGTAAGAAAAGACTCTAGGATAGAGGGCGGAAAGCGAGCAAGAAAGGCCATTGAAAACATCCCTGGCGGAGCATCGATGAGTCCAGGTAGGCTTTCTCTCCAAAGGGTTTGTGTGTAACGATGTAGATCTGCAGGGATCACGGCTCCTCTATTGCAAAGAAATGAGACGAGTTTAACCACAGCATTAATTCTATTGTGGTCTATCCCCTTGATTAGAAGTTGCGATAATAAATGGTGTAGAGGAGGCTTAGAGGGAGGGTGATGTGGCCCAGGTATCGCATTAGCGCTTACAAAAGGACCCTGATACCATCTAGGATGCGAATCCATGTTGACATCAGCGCCCTTATCGAGCATCCATTCTATGGTATGATAAGTCGCTTCCATTGAGATACCATCCACATAATGGCCACCGAGATTGACTGGGAGATAATGTTCTATAAGGCGTACTAGCGGGGTTTGACGTCGAGAGTATCGTAAATTTTTCAGACACGGATCATCGTAGGTGCGATCCATTTTCCAGGCGGTATTAAGCGGCGAAACTGAGGAGTCGACAGTCTTCTGAATCGCCTCCAAGTCCTGAGAATTGAAAGATGGTCGACGAGGAGGGTCTGGATATCGTGTTTTCATAACACGCTCTTGTATTATGTAGAAGAACCGGGTTGATGTTAGGGCGAAGTTCATGATTCCAGCCTCATCGAAGACAGCGTGGTCAATAACCTTTTGGATAAGTTCTGGAGGAAGGTTAAGCAGGTTGAACGTGCTGTTTCCTTGACCAGCTGGAGTGTGCGGGCTGCACGTGGCGTCCATATTGTTGGTGACTTCGTGGATTGCGTAAGATGATTAGATGTTGCGTGACACCTCTGGTGAGCTATCGAGAGACGACAAATTTATTATGTGCCAAGTTACGATTACTTATAGTATAATTATCTGAGTCTTACGAACAAATGCACTTACTGACGTCTTCCTGATGACACCGAACACAGATAGACATGTGTCTAATGAACTGAGAGAAACGTGTCGATTAAAGAAGATTGTGGATAAGCTGCAAACACAGCCGTATTTTTCTCAAAAAGAAAAGGAAAGGAAAGGGGAACGGACCTTTGAGAATGTGGAACACTGGCTTGGGTTTGGGCTTGTTCATTGTTGTGTCCTATTCTACCTACCTAATGAAAGAAGCTTGCAACGGCCATATTTCGTTGTTCCTTCAAGCTCAATGAACAGTAGCGAGCGGGGTCGATTATGTTTGGGGAAAATTTGATTTGTGAACGTAATTGATAGTTTAACTGTCTCCGTCTAGGTATTCTCCAGCTTCAACCCGCTGGCAAACCTGCTTGAGAATCTTTCCGCCATACTCAAAGTCACACAGATCTAGATAAACCGTGGCAGATAACCGCGCCCAGAGAGAATTTGAGAAATAGAGAACGTTTATGAACGTATTATAGTCCTCCGTAAACTTTTGAAACATAAAGTTGATGATGGCGCCGACGTCTCTGGCTGGAATGCCCTCAGTCGAGGCCGATTTTTCACTTCGAACCTTGAGAGGTAGGCGGACGTTGGCGAACCCGACTCGTTTGTCTAGAGCCGTCGGCAGCGCATCTGTGCCTAGAATCTCGGCGACTCGCTTTTCACCAGCAAGGGCTAGGTTGACGCAGTATTCTCTGATAGCCTTTTCCCCTCCACAGACGGTGCGGCGAAATTCCAGGGCCGCAGGAATGCACAGTATAGGGGCTGTGTCAATCGTTCCAGTGTACTCAAACTGCGCAACAAAGGCGTTCCGAGCTTTGGATGGATTGGGGTTGAAATACGCCGACTTGTTTGTTGGCAGCGGCACAAAGCCGTGGGAGGTCGGGATGGATGATCGCATCAGGTGCTGATTCCGAACGGCAACATAGAATACTGCACATGCGCGAGGGATAAAGAGCCACCTGAAACAAGAGTTAAAATCTGCATTTGACAGAAGGAAAGGGGATTAAGTTACTTGTGACAGTTGGTCACTAAAAAGTCAGGATCAAGTTCTTTAATGTTCAGATCAATGAAACCGATCCCGTGAGCGCCATCAATGACACTGAAAATGCCTTCCTGACGACAGATTTTCGTCAGTCGCTCAAAGGGCATTCGCACACCCGGCATGCTCATGACAGTGTCAAAGATTGCCACCTGGATGTGTCCAGCGTGCTCCTTGATGCACTGCGTGAAGCGAGAGATGATTTCCTCTTCTCCGTCCTGCACAGGGTCATAGTCAATTTCGACGCCGCAGACGGGGGTAGTTTCGACAAGGTAGTCGACGGTTTTTCCAATGGCACCGTAGACGCCCGTGAAGTATGCGATTTTATCCCCTGGCTGAAACTCCAGGTTCCGCAGGACCGTGTTGAGACCAGTAGTCGCGTTCGGCACCAAGACTGTCCCGTCAACGTCGGCATTGATGAAATCAGCGACCTGCTGCCGGATCTCGTCCAGCACCTTCGGGAATGTGAAGCGAATGAACTTGTCGGGACGAGCTTCGGCTTCCTCCTGCCAATGGCGCAGTGCATCCCTGACAGGGCGCGGGTGAGATCCATAGGCACCTCGCGTACAAGTTAGAGGGCGGACTGGGTGTCTAACATGTAGGGTAACTTACCCTGGTTGAGATTGACATGGTCGTCCGCAAAGAGGAAATGCGTGTCTTTGACCTCTCTTCCCAGGGCCATGGTAGGTGAATTAGGCATGATGGGTACGTAGTGGTGCTGCAATAGGCGAGCAGAATATCCTTGCCAACCTCGGTAGGCACTGAACAACTGTTAAATCCTTGCTGGGATTTTAGCCGATTGATTGGAATCAGTGGCCTCTGGTCAGGCTATGGACGTGGATGGCGGTGACCCTCCATCACCACTTGATGACCAATTTACGAATCTAGCGCGGGAATGCCGGCTGACAAATTTGTCATTTGCAAGGCGTAGCGATATCGGCGATTGTCACAGCAAGGGCGTAAGTAGTTCAGGGGCAATCTTTCGAGTCAGTCGGTCCGGATATTCTCGGCTTGGTTGGATACACCAGCTATTAACCCCTCAATCGTGACATCAACGAAAATGGATTAAGGTCTGGCCAGTCCCACTCGGGATAAGCCGATTGATACGAGCGGGGAAGACTGTGATGACAAATTTAGCCATGAGGGCCTCTCGTCTTGGTATATCTCTACTCTCCCCTTCTCGAGGCATCAACTCGTCACTGCAAGCACTCGTCTACCGAAGAAACCACACCAAATTATCATTCCAATCCATTTCAGCCATCATGTCCAAGCAGCCCATCTCTACCGACAAGGCTCCTGCCCCTGTCTCCCTGTTCTCCCAGGCCATCGTCCGCAATGACATGGTCTACTGCTCCGGCATGGTAGGCCTTGACCCGAAGACCAACAAGCTTGTTGATGGCGGGGTCACTGGCCAGACGGTTAGTGGAGATGGTCTTACTACGTGATACGACATGCGTTATTTGCTGACATCTTCACACCCCAGACTCAACTTCTGCACAACCTCGCCCAGGTCCTTGAGGCCTCTGGATCCAGCTTGGATAATGTCCTCAAGATGAACGTCTACATTCTCTCCATGGACGAGTTCGGAGCCATGAACGAGGGATATAAGCCCTTCTTCCCTGGCGTGCTGCCGGTGAGTATACAGTCGTTGAAGTGAGACGAGAAACTAATAAGACCTCATAGGCCCGCACCTGTGTCGCTGTAAAGCAATTGCCTGTTGGAGCTTCGGTTGAGATGGAGTGCACCGCCTTCCGTTCGTAGTTTACAGTCTCGACTAGTAGATGGGGATACCGGTGTTGCTGAGCTACGAACATCTGATAAACTTATTCCTTTACCCCCCCTGCTCCGTGACTAGCCTTCTACGATCCGTCAGCCCCACGTAAGATAAATGCATGTAAATATTAAATGCACGTATGCCCGTATTAAAAACTTGGTTTGTAGTCTTCATCATCATATTCTGGCCACAATTACTTCTGGCACCAAAGGAATATACCACCAATGCAGTCTGCGATACTAAAGTGGCAGCGAAATTTGGCCGGAAATGTGACTGGCGGCCCAGCAACTGCGAAACAAGTGTAAATTCGGAGTGCAGATATCATTTAGGCAATTGCTTGCACACAACAGAACAAAAGCAGTGGCGAGAAAGGCCCGAATCTTTCTTTCCCTGCCTAGCGGCGCAATCACTGCCCTGAAGAGGAATAGCCTTGCATTGCCTTTCCACATCAGGTTCTTACTACCGCGATAACCCAACATGACACGGCTCCAAGATCCACGTCGCCACCCCAAGCCCCCATATTCACCGCCTCTCAGTACCCTCCTGCTTAATTGGTAATAATCACGGTGTAGTAAAAGGGGAGCTTATGCGTGTCACTCTGCGGGACCGCAAAATTGTCCCACTACTGACGTGTCCAAGGGCGTAGCTAACGACATTCCTTAGTAATTTAGAACTTTATGGAACCACCCTTTTCTTTCAAAGTTCTAGAACGCTAGAAAAAGAGCTAAGCCCCTTAACCTCGGTTATGACCCTTAATATCAGATAGCACATCCTCTCATTATTACAGCCCGCGTTCGCCGACTTACACCCGGTCGTCCCACTTCTCCGCCTATCAAAAATCGTCTTTTATCTTACCAATTTCAACATGCCTCCAAGCAGCTTCCTAGACGACTACAGCGAAGGCGCACACCCGCAAATTCTCGAGAAACTGCTCGAGACAAACCTCTCGCAGCAGAAACCCTACGGTGACGACGAGTACTCCGAAAAGGGCCAAAGAATGCCTACGAGAGAAATTGGAGTCTCCTGATGCCGCGATTTATTTCGTTGCGAGCGGCACTCTCGCCAACATTATTTCCATCGCAAACTGCTTACGCCCGCACGAGGCCGTCATCTCGGCGAGCACTGGGCATATCTTGGTCCGAGAGACCGGCGCAATCGAGGCGATAGGACACAAAATCATCGTCGTCAACCAAGAAAACGGAAAGTTGACACCCGAAAGCATACAAGATGCCCTGAACAAGAACGCACACTACCCTCATATGGCGAAGCCCCGGCTGGTATACATCTCCAATGCTACGGAGGTGGGCACTATCTACACCAAGGCCGAATTGACTGCCATCTCTGATCTGTGTCGGAAACGGGGTCTCCTTCTCTTCCTTGATGGCGCTCGTCTCGGAGCTGCCCTGTCAGCGGCGAAGAATGACCTCACACTGCCAGACCTGGTTCACTTGACAGACGTTTTTTGGATTGGCGGCACGAAGGTAGGCATGCTTCTTGGCGAAGCGATTGTTATCAACAACAAATCTCTCGCAGAAGACTTTGCGTTCCACATCAAGCAACGCGGAGGCCTCCTCGCCAAGGGCCGGATTCTCGGGGTCCAGTTTCTGGAGATGTTCCGTTCCACCCTCTACTTTGACTTGGCGAAGCACGCCAACGAAATGGCACAGCTCCTGTCCTCTGGACTTGCGGAGGCGGGACACAAGTTGGAGGCTGAAACGGAAACTAATCAAGTATTTGCTATTCTGCCAAATGCCTTGATTGCGAAGCTTCAAAATGAGTTTCAATTCTATGTCTGGGAAAAGGTTCCTGACGACAAGGCTGTAGTTCGGCTGGTCACTTCATGGGCAACAAGCAAAGAGCAGGTCGCCGCTTTCATTAAAAAGTTGTAAGGCTAGAATTTCATCATAGAATTATTAAAGCGATTTGAAATAGATATATACACATAATAGCCCATAACCATTCTAACTTCAGGGAAACTCGGAGTAATAAATTTGAAGGTACGTAATAAGGGATCATGGACTAGTCGTCTTCTGTATCTGGTCTTGGATGCCCTCCGGACATGTCTATCAGTCTAGATCCGTTACCTTTACTCCAAACTACTGGTTCCATAGCAAGGTCACTCGATTGAGGATGAAAGACGCTCGTTAGTACACGTCCGACTGAAACCTGCTTGAGATTCTGCTTCATCCCGCCTAAGCTGGCGTTGCCGAATGCAACTGATAGCACGACAACAACGAAGACGAGAACGATGAGTAAGACAACAATGAATGCCGGAATGGCAAACGGCCAGCGGTACTTTACCCTGTGGACAGTCGGGTGTATGTTGATGGTCGCTGCTTGGTCTGGCTCCATGTTGCGGGACCCAAGAACACCCTTGGACCCAACAAGAGCCGATGCAGCAATGTCAGTCCACAGGAATTGAATGATCTTAGGCATCGTTGTTGCCGAATTCGAAAGTTCTTTCCACCGCATCCAAAGACTCATACTGCCCTCAGCCGTGTAGTCTATGCCTGTCCAAATTGAGCCTGCGTTCAGGCGTATGGTTTTATACGCGGCGACAGGCAAGATTGCTCCAGGGAGATTCCTGATTGGTGTCATAGCACCCAGACTGTCAACCACCACCTGGGGTAGATATAAAGACGGAGCCCGAATGGTGCTGATATTTTGGAAATCTTCAAACGCTGAATCGACAAGACCCCAGATGGGTTCGAATTGCTCAAGGGTGAAGAATGAGGCTTCCATACCCCATAAAGGCATTTCACTCTCGTCTTGATACTTCTTCTCTTGCAAATCCTTGATAACCAAGCCTTCGAGATCGTCGTTAGTGCCGTTGTGGAAGAAGTGGACTGTCTTGATGGTGGCCTTGACAGCTGATGCGCATGAATAAACTGGCGTGGACCATTTGCTCCCCTCGTCAAAGATATTTGCGGGACCGGCGTCGACTCGTGTAGGGACTCCTTGCATGAGTTGACACATAACGTACGTGTTATTCAGCCTGGTGGTGGGATCCGGCCACTTGTGCGTTGCATTGAAGGTCCAGCCCTCACACAAGTCCTCTAATTCAGAGAAAGTTAGTTACTTAGAATAGTAGCCCAAGGTGTTGAGAAAACTCACGCGCATCTCCGAACCAAGTCTCGTTGATTCCCGAAGGATTGTCGTACAGTCTGTCTCCACTGAAGAAGACGCTCACGCCAATATGGACACCAAACTCGTCGCTGAATTGCAACTTCTGGAAATTTTGCATCTCAACACTAGAGTCCGGGATGCGGATTTTGAACGTTTGATTCAACTTGGAGTCGATCCGATCGTAGGCTTTGGTGCCTGCCGTCTTATTGGTATTGTCCGTGATGTTCATAAAACCCATAGTCAACCCGTTTGCGAGCCATGCTGCCTGGTATGCTCTCATTCTGAGGTCTGGCGCATTGATACCGACCCTTGAGTCGTTGCGCGGGTCGGTAGTATTCATGTTGACAAAGCCGCCGCGGTCGGTCAGAACCATCTCCGAAATGTAAAACCCACTGACTCCGCTCGATGTTGTTGTAGCTGTCCAATCGACGGTGACATTCAGATCAACGCATTGGACGTCAGGTTGGAGGAAGAGGAGGTCTTCAGACCATGTAGCGCCTCTGGTGTAATCGATGGGCAAGGTATGGTTCCTAAACCCAATTCCGCCAGTCTTTCCATCGACTATGAGACCCTCAACAGCTCGAATGTTATCGTTGAGAGCGAACGACTCCAGGAAACGAAACCGTCCACCTGGGATCAGATTCCCATTATCCCGGTCTAGGTCATAGTACGTCGATTCTTGTCGCCATTCAATGTCGAAGAAGTTGGATACCGTCGTACTCCGGTTCTTTGTTCCGCTCATGTAGATGTCATGAAGAATCTGAGGAACAGTACTGTTAATTTCGGTGTTCGTGTCGCTGAAAGTACCACTGCTATTCCGGGTATAGGTCAGTGTGTCGGAAGTGTAAGGACATGGCGCGGGACACAACCGGTAGTGGCATCCCCGTGTAAAGGTCCTGTTGCCTCGAGGTGAAGTTCCTTGGGCAAAAGCACTCGAATCCCGAACATAATTGAATGACGCGGGGGTGAATTCGTTGTCGGTCTCGTCCTGTTCATACAACCCTAAAGGCGTCACGATACCGGCAACAGAGACGAAGAAGGCAATCAAAGGCACGGCTATTGCAATCAGTGCCACTGATTTACGGACTCCAAGGTTCTTAGACGAGTCGGCTTGGAGGAGAAATGGCCAGTAGGAGTTTTGCAAAAGCCTCCCCGCAACAGTCCTGCAACGATATTAGCAGAGACAATATGGCGGGGTGGTCTTGCATTCACCATGTCGCAGCCGTGGTTCGATCCCTAAGCTGGCTAGAAACAAGAAAAGTAATCGCAGTCGGGAACCAAAGTTGGGCTAGAATAGTTGTTAGGGATTGTATAGCGCCGTTGGAGGTGTCTTAGTGCATGTAGGCGTACCTGATACGATGCCAAAGGCAATGAGACCAGCCACATAACCTGCAGTCCACTCAACCATGATGATTCATAGCGTGAGTTATGTCCCTCAAAGCTGTCGAGAAGACTCGAGGCTTCAGTTGGGGCTGATGATGGGGCTTAAGATGGGCGAGCCCGACAACAAACAAGGCATTTAGGCTATCCGGGGGACCCTGGCCAACCTTGGATACGAAATTGACGATCTCATGTTCCAACTTGGATATGCCTGCACTCCAACGGCGCTGCTGCAGTTGAACCGTCTGCTATTCGTGGCTAGTAGCCGAGCTGAAATGACGTGCCCTGTTCGTGCAGCTTTACGCGTAGCAGACCCAATAACTAGAGAGCTTGGCGCCAAGGGATGAAACGGTCTATCATCTGACGGGAACCCCTGGCATTCTTATCGGGTCAGCCTTGCCACCCTCACGCCAGCTGAGCAATCGCCGAGGCAGACATTGCCTTATATTAATTCCATCCCGTGAGCCGTGAACCATCTTGCAGTGGCCTCTTGAGCCATCATGCCGAACTCACGGAGACTCCTGCTGGCCGGCTTCGGCCTGCTCGCGCTGGTTTCGGGCCTCACAGACGACAACGTCGGCTACGAATTTTGCGAAGGCGATGGATCGATCTGCGAAGCATTTGACGGCCTCGATCGCACTTGCAATGAAAAGACCGGCAAGGCGTATTACAAATGCACCTGCGAGTCGGGATTAGTTCCCGTCAGTAACGCGTGAGTGCCAGCTCAAGGCCTTACTGTAGGCCGACTACTACACGAGTCGCGTTATTAATGATGTGTTTTCCTAGATGTGACAACTGCCAAGACTATTTTGGAGACATCACCTTCGATCTAGACGACTACTACTCATCCATCTGTGCAAGCGACGGTTATACCATCGCTCCGATGCCTTCAAGTATCTTGTCGTCGCAAAAGGCACGCAACAAGACGATGGAGGTCCCAGAGTATACGCAAACGAGCACCTTCATCAACACCTTTACCGCAACACCTGGATTTGTCTCACCTTACACCACAACACTTCCTGCGCTGTCATCCATCACTCTACCAGCATTGGCATCGGCAACTGAACCTAGTTCCAACGGCTGTGATCAAAGCAATCCACACCACATAGCCGCTATTTGTGTTGCATTTGTAGCTGGGTTGATGTATCATCTATGAGATCACCATATCTATCCTACGAATGCCAGAATCAGAATCTCTCGGGCCCATTCTTCAGAGCGGGTGTCTGGTCCATGGGTTCAAGCTCATCCCTTTCTCGCATGCCAGCGATGGCGTCGATATTATCGGTCTTGATATGCATCGGTGTTCCAAACCAGACTTTGTGGCCGATCTAGAGCGTGAAGAAGATCGGGTGTGCAATGTAGGCATAATAAAGTCGTTCGTGTTCTAATTGACACTAGTAAAGAGTTTGAACTCGCTCGTAACGGTCCGAAAGCCGATGGTGACCTTGATAGCCCAAGGTGTATAGCTGTAAGTGAGTCCTTTAGGGCAAAGCCTCGAGGAGACCTTTGTGTCGCATAGCTGGGCGAAAACGCAATTAGGCGATTGTCTAACGGCCCACGCGACGAAGCCTGAAATCGTAGAAATGCCAACAAATTAGTCTAAAACAGCAGATCCGGAGCGTGAATCGTTTAGAACAGTCAGGAGCATGATTAACCAAGTGAATAATGTACCGACCCAGAAGACGGCAACCCGGGAGACGCCACGTTTGCCAAGATGGCGAACCAAAACTCAGCATCGCCATGGCTATCCCGTTCAAACTCCCTACCTCGACCAAACTCCTGTTCCTTCCGACATTCCATTACTGCATCATTTCCCGAGCATATGCTATTAATTTGATATTGTCGACAGGGCCCTCCGCTACGGCTTTTCCCTTGGAAGTCCCGCTCCAAATTGGCGCCGATGACGTGACTAACTCGTCGATGACAAGATTACCAGTCTACGTGAGTACATGAGGCTGCAACTAGGAACTTACACTAACGCTGTTTTCACCAGACAGCAGACCAAATTCAGGACGATGAGATGCCACCACGGTACAAGAGTGCCGACTGAGTTACGGTAATTGAATCACCATAGTAACAATTGTTACCCGTTTGTTTCCTTCTGTCGCCGACCGGGCCCAAGACATCCTGGTTGACATTCCCGATTTGGCTCGCCGGATGAGTCGTTGGTATTTATGCTTTCATTGGCCTACTGCTCTTCAAGGCCCGGTTTTTTATTCCTGGTGGCACTCTTAAGCGATCGATGAGGTCTCCGATTCATTCCCAAAGCATCTCGGTTATCACACCAACGCCGTTGTCACCATGTCATCTTTCGATACATCAATTGTGCAGTCGGAAAGGCTGTTTCCAAGAACAAAGTCAACCTCGGAGCAGGCGACAGCACTCTCACTGTTGGACGCCACCACGGCCAACTTTGCGCTCACCAACGCCATTTGGCTGTTTGAGCGCCCTGAGCTTGCCGATGATGAGAACTTCAACCTCGAGGACCACTTTCGCCAGTCACTCCGGGTTGCCCTCGATGCCTATCCTCAATGGTGTGGTCTTATTAAGGCTATCACCACAGTCGACGGTCACGTTCAAGACGAAGCGAAGAACTTCCCTCCTCATTCCCAACGCTACGGCCGTGTCTATGTTCACTACGGAACCTCACAAGATCAAGGAGTAGAGTTTATCACTACAAAAAGCTCTGCCACCCTCGACGTACTATATACAGCTTCGCGCACAACGGAGCAGCCACTGTGGGATCGCCAGAAAGTTCTGCTCAAAGACTTTGTCCCATCGACGCCTATTGCCAGCGCGCTCAAACCAAATGAACCCAACGATGTGGGAGTCTGTGCACCTCTCATGGCCATCCAGATCACACAGTTGGCGTGTGGAGGATTTGTTCTCGCAGCCAAGATCACGCATCCCTTGGCAGATATTTCGAGTCTGATTTGCTTTGTCAAAGACTGGGCTCGAGTCAGTTGTCTGACTCTTGCTGGAGAGCCTGAGCCTGTCTTGAGTCCAACGTTTGATCCGGCCCGATTGGACACTTTGGCAGCGGGCGATATCAACGCCGGCAAGCCAGAGCCCGCCATTGTTCAGCAAACGGAAGGCTTGCCCTTACACCGGTACGACTGGTGGGCACCGTCTCCAGATGCCCCCTGGCCGACCAACATCCCCAACGTGTTCCAAGTCGATGACCTTGCACCGGCCGGTAAAGTTATGCCCTGGTCCGAGTGGGATGTCAGTGCCCCCGTTTCCAACTATATCGTGCACTTGGATCACAACCAAGTCGAGTTTCTCCACAACCAGGCAAGTGAAGACGGTTCTTATAAATGCAGTCAGCATGATGCTGTGGTGGCTCATATCTGGTCGTGCATCATCCGCGCTCGCAACTTGGGAGAGGACACCGGTCCAGTTCACTGTGATCTCGTGTACGGCGTGCGCCCAACATTGCAGCTTGGCGACACCTTCGTGGGTTCTCCAGTTATCATGATCAATGTTGAGATGTCGGGCGCGGAGGTGGCAGCCACCACAGAGTCAGGCGAAAATGAGAAAACCACGGTCCTGAAGCCCATTGCTCGGCGTGTACGCGAGACAATTCGCAAAGTCGGTCAGTCAGCGAATTTGGCTGCACACTTGCACAGGTTGGCGTATGAAAAGTCACCTCAGCGGCTATGGCAGGCGTTCCTAGGTCGGCGTCATATCCTTGTAACCAGCTGGGCCCGCGCCGGCATATATGAAGTTGATTTCGGTTTGGGTTCCAGGATCCGTTATGCAGATGGCGTGGTTCCGGACATGGACGGGAATATTCTCATCAAGGAGGCGCCTCCATCCAAGGACACCGCATCTGGCTCGTCGCAGTCCTGGACAGAAAACGGGGTCGATGTCTCAGTTCATATTTGTGAGGAGGACATGCAAAGGTTCATACGAGATCCCTTGCTGCTTCCAAGATGTCGCAGTCAAAAATGATATATCGATAACTCACCTTGTAGAGAATGAGGATTTGCTGGACTCATTTAGCTTAGGAAATAATAAAAATTTGCCATTGGGTTCAGAATCATCGATCCCTCCGACCAAATACTCTCCTTTCACCTTGGTGATGATTTGCCATCCTTGCAGACGTCTGTCAGTGGGCATGTGAGGGGCGGGGGCGAAAGATTCTCGTAAAGTTCGCTCTGGCGTGGACACCCTTTTCTTACATCCCTCGAACACTACTGGGATCGTGAAAGTAATGTTAGTCGTTGCGATGAAGTGCTTGGAATCTAATAGCAGTAGGCATCGGGGAGGCCTTGATGCATTCGATTATTGTGGTTAGATATTTTCCAGAATTGGAAGCTGATCTCTACGACAAGAGATGCTCCTCTTATATTATATCGCCCAGGATAAAGTTATTACATATGGCATGCATGCTTATTGCATACGGGGAGCAAAGTTATTACCTACAGACAGCAAGGTGATTGTCTACAGGCAACCAGGCTGTTGCCTATGGTTAACTAAGCTAGGGACACAAGGGTAAAAGTGAAAGCCCGAGTATGGGTAAGTGTACATCAACCTTACTATACAAGCCACCGTGTCTTCTAATCTGAGTGTGGAGCTACATGTGTGCCCTATTATTTGTCATTTACATATAGCTTCAACCTATCTGATAGTATTACGTAAATCACACAAGAAAGAAGGTACTTCCTAGCGGTAGCGCCGGTAGGTATGTTAAAGATAGAGAGATGTAAGGGCACGAGCTTTTGAAAGGATGAGACGGAGGAAAATATACGAAATAGTCGCACTATAATTCTACTTACTCAATTATAACCGTCTCACCGATGTTGCATAGAAAGATCTCCTCATCCCACCTAAGCCCGCGTTTTTCACACGCCTCCTTCCATGCCTTTGGTGGTTCCCGCACATCTTCGTATTGGGCACTGAGTCCTCCTCTCACAGTGCCATAATGCATACCCAAGCTCTTCTTGCTCTTGATATCCACGTGGATCTCTATAGAGTCCTCGGGCGAGCAGTGGTCCCCAGACATAAAGGTTCGCGGATTGTAGCAACCAATAGGCAAGAGCGCCAAGTCGAATGGCCCGTATTTCGCACCTATATCCGCAAACACAGGGCATCGTGGTAGTTGGCTTATGTCCTTTCCTGTGGCAATGTCGTCTTCTGTAATAGAGCGGTAGCCTGTGTCTCCGGCGAAATAGAGCCTTTTGCTCGGTGTTGAGCCGAGATCCTCGATAACAAACGAGCACCACAGCATTTTGCAGTCATCCCAAGCGCTTCGTCTACTTGAGTGTTGACTGGGTGTGCATACAAGTTTAAGAGATCCCACGGCTTCGACGACAACCTCAGCCTCATCCCACCAGTCCATCTCCGTGACATGCTCTTCTTGGATACCGCAGCTGACAAACCAGGTCTTAGTGCCCAGTCCACAAACGAAATGCAGGGGTTGCGCCCGTCGCTTGTCAAAGTAGAGAGTATTGATCGCATCCAAGTCCAGATGGTCGTAGTGATTGTGGCTTATGCAAACAACATCTACTTCAGGCACATCTCCTAGCCGGCATGGTGGATCTATGAAGCGTTTTGGCCCAGTAAAACTTGTTGGACCCATTCTTTGACAAAATACGGGGTCGATGAGCATTCGGATACCTCGTTTCTGATCCTGGCTAGGTGTTGTCTCGACGAAGAAGCTGGCATGTCCGATCCAGGTGACTCTGAGGCCATGTTTTCCTGCCCCCCAATCGGGATTCTGGGTCTGAACGAGCTCGCTTTTATCTTCAGGCACTGGCACAAAGTTCCTATCGCGGCCAAATCGCACGCGCAGTATGCTTTCCAGCGAGTGCTTCTGCCGGAATGATGGCCATGGATTCTTGAACTGAGTGGGAGGGTTGCCGATCCAATGATCTGGTGGATTCAGAGATGCGTCTTTGGGACGCGAGGTTACGGTGATGCGAGTAGGCATTGTGTACATGAACCGGATTTAATGGTATAAATGACGACCGGATGTGAAAGGCTCGAGTATTAGCCAGACGTGAGTATGTACTGAGCAGATATTCCAGAACCACGCGAGGCAACACGCAATATATTAGCAAATGTGACCCCGCTTTTCAGCCAACTCGATTATTATCCGCTACTTCCAGATCGGATTCGCTAAAACCTCGCATTCGCTCAAGCATCGCATTCGCCAAAGCAATCGCTTTCAAGAATATGACGCGCACCCTTTGTAACTGATCACTAATCTGAACTTAAATACACAGCAGGTGAATGTGACTCCGAGGGCCCATTAGGCATAACCACCGGAGCGGAATTTAGACCACCCGGATGAAATGCTGCATATGGAAGGTTCGGGCATCGTCGGCACAAACGTCATTGTTAGTTGATAGGGTTGAACAGATTGGAGTCTAATAAAAGTCCACTGAGAAAATACATGTTTCGTCTGCACCTGTTCTAACATTGTCTGAGTTCGTCAACCTCCCAGCGCTTTGTGGACATAACGTCTGGTATTATTTTGTAGTCCACTAATAGTGGCAGATATCGCCAATTTGGGTAATTTACGCCCTGTAGGTTTGGCTTGCACAAACTATTTGTCGATCATCTTTAGGCACACATGAGGCCAGTGTGGTGTACTCCATGTGTGAGGGAACCAGGTCCACGGCGATGCACCATGGTTACCCGAAACGTTAAACGTGGAGCTTTTGTGTGAGGGTGGAAGCGTCACCAGGATGATCACGACCGACAATGCAATCGAACGTAACCTTGCCACCTTGAAGGCCTGGGACGATGCGAAAAATCTCTCTCAAAAATGGAAAGAACGTTGAGGAGCTGTAAAGGTCCTTGAATTTTGTTGGCATCGCATGGAAATAGCCCGACCAGAATGGAACCCGTAGAGGTGGCCTTGAACCTTCAAGGTGTAGAGCTCATCATTATATAAACCTATCTGCATCTAGACCCCTCGACGGGATCCCTCCCTTTCACGGTACCCTCATCTAATTCACGGCTTGCATCTTTACCACTCGCCAGAGTCCCCACTCTGAGCCTCGGACAATGCCTCCGTATTCAAACATGGATCATCCGGAGCTGAGGCGACTGCGACGGTCACTCCCAGGGAGAGGGAGAGTGCACCCTCGACGGCAGCGCCACCAAGGGCAGCATCACATGCGCAGCGAGGAACAGGACCTGTCTGATGGATATACCGAATGCCCTTCTGTCCGTCAAGAGGAAGCTCCCGATCCGGGATATGTGTCGGCTTGCGATGTACACCAATCCTCCATCGATGCCATTGATGCACTAACCCGAGAGGTTGAGGGACGTCTGGCAAAAATCGAGAACCTCCTCGCATACATGCAAATAAGGTATGCTCCTTCTGTGTATTGTCATCGCCAGCTACTAATATATTGAATCAAGGAGTTTTAATATCGACATTCGTGCTAATAACTTCAAAGCCTTCCGCAAGCTGTTTTCAGCCGAGTTACAGCCATTGTATAATCCGAAAACTGGAAAACCAATTGACGGGTTTCCGCGTTCCATATGCGAGCTCGACACTCTCGATCGTATGCCAATCCTTTCTTCATATATTTCGGACGGTGCTGAATAGAAACTAGGTGAAACAGCCCACAAAATATTACATGCACTTCACGTCGCGTTTGATAAAGAGTCCCCCCTAGCTTGGCAGATGGAACTCATTCGGGAACAATGGCTGGGGTAATGACTCTCGGCCAGGGGTTTGGATGGTGAACCGCGGTTGTTAAGCCTGGATACCCAGGATATCCGTATATTTACGGCTGTTAATTATTTCTACTAATATCGGCGTGTTTATTCTTATGGCGAACCATGCATCTTACACTTCTCAGCTCAGTTCTGATGCGATGACTACTTTGCGTGAAATCAGAATCGACTTGTTTGAATCAATCATCTAATCTGTGTCCTCTTCATCAGAGCTCCATTCCCCCTCATCCCAATTCTCGTCCAGGATGCTCTTAAAAATTGGGATGGTAGCATCTACGTCCAGAAGGACAACAGGGAACTTGAAACCCACTTCCTTGAAGTCCTCGTTGGAATTTGAAACGGTTGAATCATCAGCTCCCACCTTGCCCCAAACGCCGCTCCTGAGAAGTCCAAATTGACTGCCTTGACCGGACTCGGGCGCTGCTTTCTTTCCATCACCCTTGGAGTTCTGGCTTGCTACTTGAGCAACACCCTGGAGCGAGCCCCAGTTACCAGCAACCCCGTCTTCTTTAGCTTCATCGCGCCAGAGCTCAAAGAACGGAAGGCCCATTTCCTGGTAAGTCTGGGCTGAGATTGGCGTCTTTGGTGGACCAAGCCCCGTTACCGTTTTGAAAGTGGTTGAATCGATAATCTGAATATTGAGAATCTTTGAGTTCGCCACGTCCCAGATAGCGGGATCGTACGTGTCTCTTTCGACGTGTTGAATTATGTTTCCTCCAGCACCAACTCCAAGGGCCGTAGGTCGAGGAGCCAGAGTCAATGTCACCACTTTGTTGGCATACGAGCGTGTATCCTCCGCTGTAGAAAATTGGTCAGAATAAGAAATTCCACACTGGAGCAGGGGATTATGATCGCTCACTATCTTCAACAATTTCTCCTTCACAAGTTAAGATTTGTTGCCAAACGGGAATGTGCAATTTCTCCGAAAGCTGTTCCTTCGCCATAGACATTTTCTCATGGCCTGAAAACCAGACTCTTTGTTCCTTACCCTGGTAAATAACTAGGATCGAATACCCACCTCCAGCTAGGCGGAGCACCAAGTGAACTGTCGATTCCTGCAAAGGTCAATGATTGCTTCACTGAGAGTTGATGGAACGGAAATTATTACCGCACGTATGCCATACTGAGCAAGTATTCGGTCTACTGGAATCAGCACATCTGGGTCAATGGTGTCGGCAACACTCACCTTCGTGCATTTGAGTGTTCGCGAAAATGAGCCGTTGTTGGTCTGGAGGTATGCCCGACTCGGCGTGAATTCGCTTCTTCAAACCGAGGACAGTTTGAAATGGTTCAACCTCCAAAACAAGTACGGCGCCCGTGAGGGTTTTGATAAATATCTGATACCTGCGATCGTGACTAGATGTAGGATTCGAGTCACACCAGACGGTGAAATCCGGCCGCGGGTATTTTTCTCGGGCGCTGCTGAATATGACTGTGTCGTCTGGCAGAAGGCCGTTTTCATCTATCACAAAGCCGCCAGACAGCTCAGGCGAAACGTCCTTTAAAATATCCTTGAGGTCGAGTATCGTCGAAGTTTCGCTCAATGCCAAGCAAATTGGTTTTGTCAATGTAGTCGAGCCTGTAGGTTTCACACAGCAAAACCTAGGATGCTTGACTAGTTCCGGTGAAGCCTAATTGAGTCAGTGAAAGTGGCATTTCCCATGTGATACCAGCAAGGGTGTGGCTTCCTGGTGTGCAAACTGGACTTACTAGGACAAGGATCCATTCGTGGTCCTCGGGATGGAGGCTGTTCTTGTTATGGAACTTATCCATGGGATCAAGCATATCCCTGGAGTGGAACTTGTCCTTGATCCATTGCATGGTATCCCAGCTCTCCACAGGTATCAGAGAAGCATTTTTGACTATTCCTTTCATACACAATATTCCATTGGGAAGCACAAGGCTCTCACGGACAGCATCTAGAACTCTATCCCACTCATCATCCTCATCACACTATTGACCTGTTAGCTTCTGAAGAAGGAGGAGAACTTATCAACGCCAGGCGACTTACAATAATGGACAATTTTTGAGCGTCACTTCCGGGATGGTGAAAAGCGAAATGCCAAATGGGAGCCTGCTTGAAATCGAGCTCAATCTCGACGCTGTTCGATTTTATCAACTTCTCCGGTGATTCAGCAAGCAGGTCTCGTACGAGCTTTGGGCGGTCCGGCAGCACTGAAAGTACATCTTTGACATGAATCGTGCCGTTGTTGTTCAACCCTAGCTCTTTGGGAGTTTTGAGGACGTTATAGAACTCAGCCGAGCCCCATTTCGTCCACGAATAGGACGTGATCTTTGAATCAGGATCAGCTTGATACACATCGGCTTCTGAAGACGCTGATATGATGTCCGTATCGAATTCTGGAATCAGCTGCAGTTGAAGTCCACCAACGGCATCCTGACCTGTGACTTGCCATTCTATCGTACCACCAATCGGTTGATCTTCACTCGCTACCGGATCCACACCTTCATTCTGCTGTTGATGGTCTTGAGCCATGTCTCGAGGTTTTGCCCGGGCTCTGCGCGGAGCCGTCATGCTAGTGGCTACAAACTGTTTAACAATGCCCGGACTGGTGGCTATACCATCGAGCCACGGTTGATCTGGGATAACAAGGTAGTCTTGATGAGAAGTGACTGAGTTTAAACGGCGGAGAAGAGTCGCCATATCAGACATGGTCCCGTCTCCGGTGATCCCGTTGACTCCTCCAAGGAACGGCCGCACAGCGTAGCGCTTTCCGCCACTTGGGTCAAAATTGATCCACATCGCTTCCATCTCTATTTTCCTTTGATCAGCGTTGTATAAGAGTCAATAAAAAGCATCAACATACGATACATTGGGATGAAAAGACCACCCTGGGCAACCGTAGACGTCGGCAATCGCTCACTGAAAGGCTGTATGTTGAAGATAGGGAATCGACCGAGTCCTGGCGGTAACTCGTACTTGGAGTTGTCTTCGGGGACCCGGATGGTTCTCATGAGCGATATTGTGAGGTTCGTACCCCCCTCTCTACCGACGTCGATGAACTCGGACGACACACTGTCAAAGGGATCAAGATGTGTAATTTCACCCTCTTCGTGATTGCGCAAGTTAGCAGTGACTGGATGAGGAAATACTTTGCTCATAAAAGATGCAATGGTCTGCTTTTTGTGTATTTTCAATCCCTTCTTCAGATCGTAGCATGGTCTTTCGGAGGTCACTTCGACAGGATGTGTGAATACATCCCGCCACGTTGTGTCAATTTCTGTGCCATAATCTGCAAACTTGAAGGTGGCCCAGTGCTTCAGATCTGGGAATAATGTCAGCATTTAGAACGCAGGGTTTACTCGAACTCGCATACCCGGTTTCTCGGAGAGCAGAATGCTCCCCAGACTTTCTAAAGGAGTGTCTGCGGGGACTATCAGGGTGTGAGAGAAGACTTCCTTCCCGTCCGCTCGCTTGTTGATTTTGTTACTCAGGCCGTTTATTCGAATGGAGATTGGCTCTTCTAAGACTTTCCGCTTGGTGAAGACCGCGGAAGCCGATCCGCGAACCGAAGATCGACGGATAATACTCTTCGAATTCAGGTCGCTAGCCCTGGTGTTCTGGGACGAGGAGCTAACGGAGGAGAGCTGGCAGAAATTGAGTTAGATGAACAAAACTTGCTTTAAAGCATAAGGGACACCTACAACGGTTTTGACAATGCTTGCGGTTCTCGATCGCGGTGGTGGCGGGCTTGGGGTTTCTTTGACAGGGAGCGTGATTTCTTGTCGCTTCTTGGCCGCTTTTTTCAGTGTTGCATTCGCTTCATTCGCTTCAGAGATGGCCCATTAGTCGTCGAACGCAACAGACAGGGGCATTAATGAACCATCTTACATTCTCTCTCATCACCCACTTGCGCAAGCTCCTTGATTGCTGCTTCAACCAAGAGGTAATTCTGGTTTTTGGAAGGATACTTGCATATACTGCGGTGATGGGCATTCAAAGGGAAAACCATCTCGTTTGCCACACCCAATACTGCGGAGTATTCGGGAACGATCTACTCCACCTATCAGTATGGTGTAATCGCCTTCAATGGGTATGGGGGTATGACAAGAGTAGTCCATGAATGCTCAGACTGCTGTTCAGTGAAGCTCATTATCTTCAAATCCGCGGCTCGATGCACAAATTGCTGAGATATATCGACAAGCACGGTTGATTTCTCTTCGAGATGGCCCAAAAGGGACTTTCGGATCCCTTGGCCTAGAGTGACGAGATTGACGACGTCCGAGAATACCTTTGCCCACGGGACGAGATCGGATCCTCTATGAGGAGTAGCCATAAAGGCAATCCCAATAGTTGATCGTCCAATGCTTCCGTAATGATCCCCAGCTTCGTGGGCAATGATCAGGGCCTGCCGGGTTAAAACTCCCCTTGAAGCAATGAGTCGGGTGTACATACCTTCTTCACAACGATGCCTCCCAGACTGTGAGCAACAAATACGATAGGTCTATCGTGTGACTACTTTTGTTAGCACAAATTTTACACCACCAGATAAATATGGCCGTACTTCAGTGCTCTTCCTAACCATCCTCAGGCGGTTCAACAAGTCTCTGGCAAAGCTGTCGATTCCTGCTTTTGATCGACTGAACGCCAATTTGGAATCGTATCCGAAGGTCATTATTCTGGATCCTGGAATTGCGTAGGGCAGAAAGTCCTCCAACCAGCACTTTCCTGTCTTTGAATCTGTCCATGTCTTCCTCGCACTGCCGTTCAGGCCATGGACTGCCACTATGCTGCAGGTTGGGTCAGTTTGAGGGTCGACGGGCCTGGAGATGAGACCTACTCCACATTTGCGTCCACTCGAGGCACCTCAGTGTCGGGTATCGGGTGGAGAATAAATAAGCCATGAGGCTCCAATTCAGTAACTTGTGGTTCAGGTTCTTCTGGTTCGATAGTTGCACCGCTCAGGCTTTCGGCCGCCTTTCTCGTTCCATCAGCTACCTGCTATTAAATGTCAGTATGTCCTGTCAGGGCAGTGGTAGCAAGGAGATTCTATCAGCGCTCGCGTACTTCTCCTTCGCGACTCTGTTCCCCAGGCTGCTGGATGGCTCGCGTCGAGTACTTCGCTGTCAACCTCTTCAGTAACCCCATACTTGCGACTCTGAGCTCAGGAAAAGAAGCGCCGTGATACCCAATTTTATGTTGTTTGATCTTGGTCGCTGGACTAAAAGGCGGGGGAATGCTGGTAGCCTAGTCTGTGAGGTATTAAAGCAGCTCGCCTTGTGAGACGGTGGCTGACACAGCCTACCTAATAAGTGCGGCTGAGTCGGACTTGACGTCACCAATGAGCATCTCGGCGCATCGACATGGGCTGAACCGACTGAAGCAAAGTCGAAAAAGATGTTGGAGGTTAGGATAAATCGGGTCGATGAATTGAATTGAGATCTAGGATAGTGGTGGCGCAGTACGTGAACGGGTTTCATTCACCCCTTTGACAGTGCTAAGGCAGCTTTCCTGTGCTGTCTTCACAGCTGCCGTTGGAAGTTGCGAGTGCAGGAATATTGGTGAATCTCACTCCGACTGTTGTACCTGGCACAGATCAACAATACTCTTTTTTTAGGCAAACGGGCGGGAATCCATGTACCATTAGCGCGACTCTATCATTCGCTGATACCTTTGTCCGGTTCATAAAATCCGCCTTAGCAATGTGAATGAGATGGCTCATTCATAGATACAGTCTCAGTGAGCGATGTGCAGAAGCCTGAAACAACGAGACTACCCATGTGCTTAAGTTAAGTTACATGGCAGCCGTGGGTATGCCCGATAAGGGAACCCATTAGGTGCTGTTGCCGAGTCGGCACCGAGTTCGGCAATAATTCTTAACACCGAATCGAATCGATATAGAAAGTAATTATAAAGGTCGCTACGGAAACATCTTCTTAGAAAATCACAGGATATACCGTTCTTTTATCTTCGACCATCAAAGCAAAACGTTACCATGCCAGAAGCCGCAGCTTCACTTTCTGGCGACCCCACCACGCCGAGCTACTACGGGCATGCAAAAACGGCATTACTCCTGTTGGACTTCCATTCCATGTTTGTTAAAATGGCTGGTGGGCCAAAGGCACCAGCGGCCTTAGAAATCGCGGCGCGGATGAGGACGTGGGCAAAGTCCCAGGGCATTGTTGTCATTCACGCTCTCATCAACGTGGACGCTGTCACATTTCCAACTTGCAAAGGCGCTGAAAGGTTGAGCAGTATTATGGGCGATATGAAATCAGGAGGTGTCGAAGAGCCGCCTCAGCTGCTTCAGGACTTCAGTCAGGATGAGCCTACATTCACAAGGACACCCGGGCATGTATCCGCTCTCAAGTCGCCTGGCCTCCAGGAGTTCTTGCATGAGAAGGGAATCAAGTCACTCATTCTCACCGGCCTAAGCACTTCGGGATGCGTGTTGAGAACAGCAATCACCGCAACGGACGCTGAATTTGTTGTGTCGGTCATTTCCGATGCGTGTGCCGATCGGGATCAGGATGTCCATGAAGTGGTAGTTGAGAAGTTGATACCGTCGAGGGGATATGTCACAACTGCTTCTGTGTTTCAGGAGGAATATGCTAAGGCCAGGACAAGGGATTAAATGATTCGATGGCTGATTTCTTTGTATTTCTTGGTTCTGCCCTTGGCCATAGTCTATCGGCTGCGCACGAGGAGCACGGTATGGCTGATCCACTGTTTCAGATGCTTACACCGCCACTGCATCAAATGACTACAACGTGCTTCGTATCTCCACATTGTGGCTTGACTCTTCCTGGACATTGTGCACTCCATCCGTTCTCGCACTGGTGACCTACGAACAGAATGATGGAGAGTTTGACACTCTAAATCCTGTCAATTGTCATTTCTCACCTTGGTGGAAAGGAGATTTGACTTCGGCGTTTTGTGGAGGATCGTGGCTGGACATACTCCCTCGGATTTGGTCCCTAAGTATTCATAAGTGTCTCGGCACGGTATCGAACTCAAGCTACTGTTATTTCACGGCCAAAAAGAATCCAGAGATAGAATAGGCTCTTTCCATTGCCAAGAAGGATTCGCACAATATCCCCACATCGGCTCTGGCGGAAGGGCGATCAGCAGTACACAATTGTCTCTCCTACACACCCTGACGGCCAACAACCCCCAAAAAGACAGCAAAAAGTAGGGCCTGGCCGGGGATTGAACCCGGGACCTGACACATTTTCTCTGGGAGAATGGGGATTAATTCCCGAAGCATCAATCACTGGAGGATTGTTAGAATTGAATGGGCGATATCTGCGTGGCGTTGAGGTAACTTACTACCGCTAGACCACCAGGCCGGTGTTGCTATGGAAACCATCCTTGGGGTATTTGGTCTATACTCTTACTGCTGGTCAATGTCCGAAGAGAGATTAAAGCGATGCAGTGGATAATTTACAGCTGTAGTAAATTTGGGTGCAATACGTAACAATAAGGACTGGGTAAGTGGGCGCCGAGATTAGTGTGTATTCAACTTCGTTTGCCGTCGCGCGTTGTGACCTTATCTCAGCTTTGGCTCGAGTTTTAGGGAGGGGTTTAAATTTATTTTCTTCGGAAGTACCCATTTGTGATGAACTGAATCTTTCCCAATCTAGGTCACGCAATTGCAAAGTCCTCCTTCTTCAGCCAACCCTCAGTAACACCGTCCTCGGCCTCGCCATCCATGAACCCATGCACATATGCGACAGCCACGAAGTGGTAAACAGTCCCGAGGTTGTTGTCGGTCTCATCTTCTTTAACCTTGCGAAGAATGACGGGGACTTTTCCACCATCCACAACCGCAACGATATCCCCTTCTTTGACATACGGACGCGTGAGAACATAAACTCCATTGTGGCACATGGCGAACATGAAGTCCTGTTTGTCGTAGGGCAACCTGGTGAGTTTAAGTTGTACTGGTCCATCGTCCACTTCGAAAGATGCCTCGCTCTCCCCCGCGTCATCATTGTAGGTGAAAGCAGATGTCGTGTTATTGCTAGCTGTGGAGCGACAAGTCCGAATTTCCTCTCCTGATTTAAGATCCCTTTCATTGGAGATAGTTAGTGCTGCAATTTCCGGTTTCAGTAGACGACGCATCCTTGGCGGTGATGTGCAATCCCTGGCCATGGTGCGCCAGAAGGCTTGAAACGCAGTTTCGGATAGTTTTGGCGCACCCACACCGAGGTTCGGCTCGTAAAGATAACGGCTAGTATCATCAAGAACATCTTTCTCCAGATAATTCTGCATGACTTGCGACGCCGACTCCCCACTATCAAAATCTTGGGGGCGTATGTGTCCGATGCATCCCACGGCGCTACCTCTGAGTACCAATGTCTCTTGACTGTTGCCAAGGAGTCGACATGGTACTTCGCAGTTTGCTTTCCCTGCATTGAATATATCGCGTTGTGCAAACAGGACTGAAACGGGTTGGGGGCTCGACTGCCTGTTGACGTTGAACTCGGCAGTCCAGGACGGCAGAGCCACAACGGGCTCACCCCTTGATGGCGACAACGCCCGGTCTCCAGGAGCGCAGAGTGCGAGGGGCCCTCTCGTTAACTCGAATGGACTTTGGCAAATGGGATCCAAATTCTCCGAGAGATTGATTAGCGAGGCAGTGACTTCCCTATATAGATCTCTGATAGATTTCGTATAGTCAACCTTGATGCCGTGGTCTTGGGTTACTAACCCAAGTAACGCGTAAATTCTGTCTCTCGGGTCTGTTGACTTCATGCGTCGGAATCGAGCCAGGACATCTATCAAGGTTGATGAACTTCCGTCCGCCGCGTGGCTCTTATCGAGACAAGCCTGTACTCTCTCACGCTGATCCTCGATTATTTTCACGTTGACGAAGCATTCTCGGAATACGTGATGATTGCTAGTCAGACCATATAAGTCGCCAACTGCGTGGAAGGCGTCGAAGTAGGGCTCATCTCTCAAAAATAAGGATAATGATTCCCATTCCAGTTCGGCTCCGTCACACACCAGGGTCAGACGCGGCGCGCAGGACAACTCCTGGACGATCCAAACGCGTTCCCAAAAGCACAACTCTTTGAAGAGCCAATTCAATTGTCTTGTTTCGCGGCGATCGACCTGCATTGTTGTCTCTGAAGTTCCGGGGGCTCTTGCCCTTTTACGTGACTTGTAGCGGCCCTCGAGGGACATCAGTGTTTGTGCGTCTCGGTGAACAATTCGGTCCATCAACTTCATTGCTTTGACAATCATTGGTTGATAGTAACCAAAATCTTCTTCGCTGCAATCAACATCCAATGTAGGTCCCACCCAGGCCAGGTCTCGCTGACACCGGGAATAGATCTTTCGCATGAGCGTGACCTGGTGGGCACGCTCCGCGGTGTCTAATTGATTAATGCAGAGGGCGTCAACCCAGAGTACTCTATCTCCGCCTTGATGTCTCAGGGTTGAAAGAGCGTATGCCAAGTTCGGGGTGACCCAAACCTCTTTGTTGTTGAGCCGAATCGGCATGCAGAAATTCGGGTCACCCCACACATAGGACAACGCTTCGTAGGACGGAATAGTCGGTGGGTTAATTGAAGGGGAAGCAAATCCGGTATGCAAGAGAGTGCATCGTAGGGTTGAATCAGCTACCAGCGGCGGGTGCAGAACTAGAAGGCGAACTTCCTCTTTGGTGACGTCGAGTGGTTTGTAAATTGACTTGGATATTGCCTCATCCATCATTGTGTCATTGGGGTTGACCCTATTATTGTGGTAATAGGGATAAACCTCACTATCGTGAGTAAAACCGGCATCCCCAGACATCTTGTTAACGTGGAGCAGAGGCTTGGGTGATACGGTGGAAGATAAGAACCAGATGCTCCAGTCTGGCGGAGTAAGTAGTGCGGAGTTGGTGTACACTTTAAAGCGACCCCGAAACAGTGTGTGATGAGCTTTGCAATTAAATGGCGCAGTTTTATTCTCACATGGGGTTCCATCAAGGCACCGGCTTATTCACATCGTGGCTGAGCATTGCAAGGCTTTCTCGAATATCCCTATTTGGACGAGGCAGCACGCAAGGCATACCACCCAGGTCATGCAAGGTCAGCATTTATCGCATTCATTTTGTACAATGCTCAAACAAACACAAGAAACCACAATCACTCACGTCACACTCGAAACATGAAGAAATGCGGTTATGGCGGTGCGTCCAATCACAACGATGTAACGGAAATGCATAAGATCATTGGGTCTTTTGGTAACAATGTCGTTTCTAAAATAGCGGCTGCTTTTTTCCACTGCTACGTATAGAATGCACAACGGGGGTCTGGCACTTCGGTTTGCTGGGACCGGAAGATCTAGCACCCTTATTTCAAGACCATGGTTCTCTTAAGATAGCAACTGAACTATGATTTACCTGGCTGTAGAATCTGTAGGTTCTCTTTCTTTCTGCCACCACACTATCTCAGTAATATTCAACTAGAATTGCTAATTGTACGTTCCATCCATGGTATTTCTTCTCATTTCATTTGAACCGTCCATCCCAAAAGCGAGACCTCTACTTGGACTCAGACTTCGCAACCTTCTCATTACTCGCATCATCGACTCCACTGGGCAGCTGGACATCATCAGCAAGCCCCTGCAGATCATCCTCGCCCATCTCTCCATCCCAACCGTTCGCGACGAGGTATGCGCGGAACCTCTCGTCGTTCTTGGACAGATCCTCGCCGGTGACATCAGGCACAAAGAAGTAGGTGACCAGGATACCAACGACACCGCAGATGGCAGCAATGATAAAGGTCCATTTCTTTCCGAGGTTGGTCTGAATCGGAGTGAAGGCCTGGGTTCCGATAGCGGCTCCAGTCTTGCCCAAGGCAGCGCTGATGCCGTAGCAAGTTCCACGGACACTGGTGGCGTAACTCTCAGATGAGAGAAGACCAAGCATATCACCAGGACCCATGTTGCCGGAGCTCTGCATGAGACCGTAAAAGATGACGAAAAGAGGCACAATCTTGATGATCTTGTCGTAGGCGCAGCCGATGATGAGTCCAAAGACGAGATAACCAGCAAAGCCGATCATCATTGTGTACTTCCGGCCAACGCGGTCACACATATAAGCACCCAGGAAAACACCAGGCAGCGCAAGTGCACCAAGCAACAGCTGCCACTCAGCCGTATGAAGCAGAGTGTTACCCCCAGTGGGCACCACGGAGGCCAGAATAGTTCCGGAGAAAACGCCGTTGGGGAAGGTGACAAAGTCGTAGAGGAACCAGGCGCCACACGTTCCGATAAGAGTCTTCCAGTAGTAACTCAGGACCAACTTATATGGTACATGCTTCTTGATGGCGCCGCGACGGTACAGCTTCGAGTTGAGCATGCGAATTCGGAAGTAGAAGACAGTCAGAGGCAGGAGGATACCAATGCCGAAACACACGCGCCACACGACATTGAGGTGGCCGGTACCGGCAGCTGAGAGTACAATCATGAAGACTGAAACAGCAAACGGCCCACCGAATGACAGAGGCAGGTTGGTGACGAGGATGAAGATGGGACCGCGGCGGTTGAGGGCACGCTCGTTGGCTGATTCAGAGGCAGAGACACTGCTAGCAGGATACTCGCCGCCTGTACCGAAACCAACAATACCACGGGCGACTGTCATCATCCAGAACATGCCTGAGACGGTGCTTCCATTGGATGCACAGGCCAAGATGCCGCCAAGGACGATGCAGAGCGTCGTGGCCACGATAGCTGTCTTGCGGCCCATGTAGTCGCAGGTGAGACCGATGACAACCTGACCAATAACCTCACCGACCAACAGAGCATTGGACACGCGAGTGCTGACAGTCGAATTGTATTCATCGGGATACTCTTTCCTGAACAGGACGTTGGACATGGTCATCAAGTTGTTCTGGTATCCGTCCGAGATGAGGGCTGCGCCAGCACACATGATGGTGAAGAGATCTGAGAGTTTTTGTTGGCTTGATAGCTCTGTTGGCAAACTCTCGGGGTCTGTGGGACTCGAGAGCTCCATGGTGCCTTTGTTGTCGGCATTGGAGATCTCGACAGTGTCCAACTGCTTCTCGGCCATTTTTGCTGATTCCCAGGAAAGGTCTGTCTCTCAATGAGGGGCAAAAGGTGTATTTACCGTCGATTGAATTTGAACCGTTGATACAAACAAGGAGAGAAGTGTGCGGCGTAGTGACTTGGCTGCTGGGTCTCGGTCAATGGCTCTAAGACAAGCGACTACTCTGGAGATCTTTATAGCACGCGACATCCTCACAAGCTCCTACACACTCAATCCCAAATCCTCATACCCACGTCTCTGGAACTCGTCGCCGGTGCCGATATGCCGTGCTCTGCAACCTTTGGCTCCCGTTCTGGCCAAGGTGACGACGTCAAGGTGGAACTGGATCCGGAGAACTGGTGCCAATGCCTGTCTCTTTCGGCGACCGGTATCCGAGTTGGCCTATTAAACGCTACATATGCGCCATGTGCCTTGGCCATCGGCCGAACTCCACATTTCGAGATCCACTACCGGCTCCGTATAAGTGCAAGGAGATAACAAAAGTGGTTCATATCCGCGACCAAAGACCCAAGTGAATGGGTTGACGGATCCCAATGCCTGCGATTTACTTCCCAAGTGGATAGGTTGGCCGTGAAAAGAAAGGACTCCCTATACGAAACCCACGTGGCGAGGCTCCCAAGCCTGTTCCTTGACGGTAAGATTTGTCTACATGACTCGTACGACCTCAAAGGAAGCAATGACGAATCAATAGGCCTGATTAAGTCCAGTCAGTCTGAAATTTCATGACCTTCGGCTTCATGATCCGAGTATTGACCGCACGTTTTTGGCTAGGATCCTGAAGCAAATAAACTCAACTCCTCTGGTGAAGTCTCACGGATCTCCAACCATGATGGAGCCCTACAAGATGCTTGATCAAAGCCATTCTAGATAGTGGAAAAACTCTGTTCAAGCACATGTCTGTGAATCTGTAACAATATTCAGAGGTGACATGGAATTGCAACCAAGAACGTGGGATCTGTTAGCAATTGATTTGGAAGGACAATCAATACGGAAGTAGACAAGACGTACATATTCTTTGAGGCATTTCTAAAATACGTGAAATAAGTCTGTGAGATAATAAACATAAGAGTACTTTGTGGATTACGCACCTATTTTGTGGAAAGGCGACCCGAATACCTGCTTCTTCGGGATGCAGATCAGTCGTAAATGGCAGTTGTTGAGGCCAACTGCAACTTCCATTACCCACCAACTCACGGCATTATTTTCATTTGATCATTCCCAGCTACCATTCTCTCCTTTTCGCCACCTATTCATGCTGATCTCACATTACTCAATAGCCTAGTTCTTAGATGCGTCGGTTTCCTCAGTGTTCCCGATGTGGCTCTCACTGCCGAGTCGTGAATCAACATCACTTGGGGTGTTTGCGTTTTAATTCCCCATTCCAATGCTTGTTTTGGTTCCGGAGATGAAAGCCATAAGCTTTAGACGGTAGATGTTGGCCGTGTTTTCTGGAGGGGAGGCAACCGTCATGACATGGTAATATATTTGGCAGCCCACGGTTTTGCTAACTTCAACCGGCACAAGTTACATAGTCAAATACCTGTCACATATATCGGGATATCGGATTCCGGATGTATCATGCTATTGAAGCTTTCTTCCTTCATCATAGGCGTCCATCGCCACCTGCCTCGTCATCGGCCTCGTCACCGATCTCATGATAGTCCTAGCTTTTCCTTGATTTTATCAATAGCTAGCTGAAGCCAAGGACTCCGGACCATCCGGAGCCTCTCGGCCGTCCGAGGTCATCCGAGGTCATCTTCATCTATAAGACTGACCTAGCAGACCTCTATTAGATAGGAAGAATAGCAAGAGCTTCTCACACATATGATCCTATCCATCTGCTAGATGCAACAATACCCAGACCAGGTAACGGTCAATCGTCATCTTTTGAACCAGAGGCGATATCCTGACAATAAAACCACAACCGTCAAGAGAGCCAGGGTCATACATATGCCGGTTGCTTTGCCTTTCTTTACCATTCGCGTGATGACGCAGTTTTTCCGCAATGCCAATAGCTCACCGTGATCTAACGAAGCATTGCATCTGCAACCAACAAACCAAATGTCAACAACGCTCAATCCCTTAAACCGCAAGTGCAAACAGCCACTCCAATCTGTATAGCTGCCACCAGCTCCTCTATCCACAGCTCCAGAGAAAGCGCAAATAAGAGGTCTGGCCTTTCCAAAGTCGCCTGTCATCCATTCTCAATGATAGGGAAGAATGGATGACAGTCTTCAACTCCCCGATAGACTCCGCCTAACAGAAAATGCACTGCGTGTTTTATAAACATCATGGATAGTTTTACGTTTCAAGCTTCTGTCTTCAAATCAAATTATTTGAATCGTTACTCTGTACAGCAAATGGATATAACTGAAAGAGCAATATCAGCAGCTAATCATATTCTACTTCTGTCTCTAACCCTACTGCTCCTTTGCCTTCTGCATCTGTTCAGTATATGCCTTTCCTGCCTTAAGCCACCATGCCCCAACCAAGATCAACAGTCCTCCCACGACGACGCAGGTATAGTTCATGTTCTGCACCGTCACTGGCTGAACGTAGGGGAATGAGAAAAACACGATGGCAAAGGTAAGCCAGGCCACAGTAACGGCATTGACGAATGGTCCAAGCTTGGGTCCCATATGGAAGACACCTCTATGCATGTTCTTCCGGCCGGTCAGTAGGTTAGTCAGAATGGGAAACATGTATGAAATGTTGTTGACGGTGACAGCGGTTCCAAGCAGGGAGTTAAAGGCAGTCGTGGAACCGAGGTAGAGACAACCCAAAGCGGCGATGATGGCAGTGACGGCAATTTGGGAGTAAAGGGGAACTTGGTGACGAAGATCAACTTTAGACCAGCTAAAAGAAGGGAAAGTCAGTAGATATCCTCTTGGCTATTTCGACATCCCTTTACTCACATCTTCGACAGAGGAATGGCGCCATCTCGGGAAAACGCCCAGAAGACGCGACCTGTGCTCAGCTGGGAGCTAATGACACAGGGCCCGAGAGCAACAAAGAGAATAAAGGTCAGGCCGAAAGCACCACCTGCCTTTTGCGTCACTTGTCGGAAGAGCTCTGCCAGGGGCAGGCCGGTATTGGTGCTAGTGAGGGCATCGAAATCCTGGATGGAGAACATGAGGCTGATAAGGTAAGTAATACCGGTGCAAAAGGCAATGATGAGGGTGATTGCGATTGCCAACGGGGCATTTCGGGACGGCTTAATGAGAGCACAGGTTAGCCAGCCTCGATCTTGTCAGTGGTCACATTCAACTCACATTCGGCATCTCCTCAGTGATGTGAGTGATTCCGTCCAGTCCACCAAGACTGTACAAAGGGTTCACAAGGCCCGTGATGAAGCAAATACCCTGGTTCTTCCAGCCCGTGTTGTTGATCCAGGTGGTGAAGACGAAATCGGCGTTGCGGTAGGTCGGCGCGCATGCAACAACGGTGATGAGAACGACCAGCCAGCCGATCTGGAGGTAGAACAGCGAGAACCTGTTGAGCGCTGGAATGATTCTGTTTCCGAACATGACGACGGCGGCTGTGAGCAGGTTCAGGCCCTGATAGACAATAAAAGTCTGCCATGTCTTAATCTCTAGGTCTTCAATGTACAGAGCAATGAGAGCCATCAAAATTTGGGCATAGATGATGTTGGTTGACGCGGTGGTGAAGATCCCTACTCAGCAGTCAGTTTGGTGATGCTTCAGCGTCCATGTGGGGCCTCTTACAGCCCAGCACGCTGAACCAGCCAGTGAAGAAGCTCAAGATGCCCGTCCATTTTCGCGGCGCAACGGCGGCGATCCAATGGTACATGCCACCGGACGTCGGGTACGACGAGACGAACTCGGCCAGAGAAGCGCCCAGGAAGCATTGCAAAAAGGTGACGAGGATGAAGCCGTAAATGACTGCTCCGGGTCCACCGGCTCCGATCTCCGTGATCAGACCCAGTCCCAAGCCCGTCCACGAAATGGTCGTGGTAGAGGCCAGGCCGATGAGACTAAGCATACTGAAGTGGCGCTTGAGTTCCTGCGTGTGGCCTTAGGGGGTGGCGCGCGAGAGAAATTAGCAAAGGATCACCAAAAGGAAAGCTGGAATGCGCTGAGAGACATCGACTCACCCATCTGCGCGAGACGAAGCTCGTCGGCATTCATCTCCGTCTTGCCCTCTGCGCCATGTGGCGTGTCCGTGTCGTTGGAGCCCATTGTGTGTGACCAGAATTGACGATTCGCAATAGGCAGGGTCCAGGTTGAAGGTCGCAAGGACAAGAGCAGCACGAGTGTCTTTCTACGATTCTACCGTTTGTACCCCGCCGAGAAGCACGGATCGCAGGTTGTCGAATATATAACCTCGTTCGTACTCCAGATTTCGGCGTCAGGATGGTGTGCCGAAACGGGGAGCTGGAACCGTTCTCCACCCCCGAATCCCTGACTGATAACCCTACACCGCAGAGTGCCGGAGGCAGGGCGTCAAGTGATTTGGCAGCCAGAGCCAGAGCCCTGTCGCTCTGCTGCTGTCGTGTGATCGACGTCGTTATCTGGCTAATGTGGCCCGGCGAGCTTCGGGGAATGCCAGCGGGAATCCGGTGAACCCGGACCGGCTGCAGAGAGGCTGGTGATTGACGGGGATCATTGAAGAGCCCAGTATCCCTGCTCAATTGGCTAGGGCGTGCGAAGTGCTCCGCGTTCATTGTAACATCAATTCAATTAACAGGCGCTGAATCTGGACACCATGTCGCGTCGCGTCCAGGCGTCGCGTCTCGCACCGAAATGCTATTCATTCTCAGCCTTGCAACCCAACGGAATGAGGATAATTTTCGGTACAGTTTTAAGCGTAAATTGCATGCTTGTGCTGATTTCGATTCAGCGTCGCAGAAGAGGCCAGCGTAGCGCCACGCATTAGTTCGGTGTTCGCTGTGACCCAGTGCTCTCGGGTCTGTGTTGCCAGTAGATCAGGGCGACAAGGCGGCATAGTAGAACATGATTGTAAAAGCATAGACTCACCCAGGGTTCTATATTCTAGTTTATAGATGCATTTGCAGAGGATCTTGCCATAGGCACAGGATAGAAATAGTTGACCCTTTTGGCTGCCATCCCGTCCCTGCCCTACAAGCGGGGTCTCCACTGAAGCGTCAGGGGCCGGCCCATTATTGACTTGAAGGCGAGCGGAGCTACTCCTCACCATCAGAATCTCGACTTTCCCTGAGGTTGGCATAAGAAACATCACAACTCCACTACATGAATCTAGACTCCATTGCATTATTGTTAAATTTGAATTGAATGCCAATTGACTGTGAAAATCGCATGTCAAGTCGCGCGTTGATTGGTGTCGTACATCTGTGGATTTGTGTTTCAAATGCTTTTGCCACGTCCAAACCAACCACTCACATTGCTCAGTGCCTTAGGCAAAACCGAGATTGTCCAGTTATATTCAAATAATTCACAAATGAGAAATGTCCTTTAACCCGTATAGGGAATATGTGGGGCTCTTATCGGAGCTACTGCGCTCGAGTAGCTGAGGTCTACGCCAATTTCAGGGCATCATTGTGGCTTGTGAGACGTTGAGCCACGCACTACTAGATGAGACTAGAGAAAAAAAGACAATAGAAAGGGGTAAGATGACGGCGAGCATATGAACTGCCCAGGTCTACGTTGGTGCGACCTAGACTTTTCTTCTGAACACTCCCTTTGGTGCGTTAGTGTTCTCGTGACGCGACCGGTTTTCACGATGCGTCTATCTAGTACCCATGCCATGTGGCTCTTCGCCATGGCCGGCACTATCGCCGGCCTCTATGTCTTTCTGGGCCTGTCTTCCACTTATGCCGAGGGGCACATCACCATGCCCGGCAGCTTCACAGCATCCTCCTACGTCAAATCCCTGCCACCAGACACGAGGCAGCTGTTGACGGAAGGCATGGAGTGGATGGACACGTACTACGACTCAGATGCCGGGTACCTCTACGACTTCAGTTCCCGCAAAGCGCTCAGGCATGAAACCCGCAACTCGGTCTGGTATGCGCTGGGTCTATTGGCGCGAAACAAGGGCACCGATGTTGCTGAAGCCGAAAAGATTATCAACAATGTAATTGCTGGTCAATACAAGGTGCCATCAGATGCCTGGTAAGTCACAATGACAATTGCAGTGAATTGTCAGTTTTCGGATAAAGATGAATGAATACTAATACCTAGACAGGTATGGAACCTATCAAAAAGAACCAGAAGAGCCATATGTTGGTTCGACTGCGTATCCTGGCAAGGCCTACGGTTCCTGGGATCCCAACTGGCGAGACTTTGTTGGCACGACTTTCATCATGATGATGGAGGAGTTCTCTGATCTTCTGAACCCGACGACTCAAAAAAGTATCCTAGACTCACTCTATCACGCCACTGTTGGAGATTCCTATCGGTTCGGCCAAGTTGGCACGAGCAATACCTTTTTCCCCTCCTACAGCAACCCGGTAAGCCACTCATACCGAGAGCGCCTCGGCCCAGAAGCGAGACCTTTGAAACTAACAAATTTGGACTATAGCAAATTATGAGGGCTTTGCTTACGGGTTGGACTGGTCGGCGGCTCCAGAATGCAAACATGACCAAGGCAGGCGAGAGCTACGCCCAGGATGTGATCAATCTCTTCAACGAACACAACACCCTTTCTGAATTCAATTCCCCCACCTACACTGGAGTTTCACTCTTTGCTCTCATCTTATGGAGCAAATACCTTCCCCAGGAGTCTGTCATGACCAAGCATGCACCCAGCATGGTCAAACATACGTGGACGGCTGTCTCTCAGCTTTGGCATCCTAGTTTAAGGAATATCGCTGGTCCTTGGGATCGTACGTACGGTTTCGATATGAACCGCTACTTGAGTGTGATGGCCTTGTGGTTCTGGCCTTTGATCGGAAAGGAGAAGGCTGGACTCAATTCCAAGGTGAGCGACCCCAAACCTATCAGCTACTGAGTGCGAATAAGCATTGAAGCTAATCAACCAACAAACACAGCCTGAGACGATGTCACAAACACATGATTTTGCGTGGGCTCCCGTTGTGGCTGTACTTGCGGATCAGCACAGGAGCTTGATCCCTGAGGAAATTGCCAACGGCTTGTCGACTTTCATGGGCGAGCACACATATTCAACCAAAGTTTGGGCTCCCCCATATGACAATATTCCTCGTAATGTTACTGCTTGGCTCTCAGATAACATTACGGTTGGGGCTGAGGAGTATGATCACTATGTTCCTGACCGCACTGTGCATGTGTCATTTAACGCTGCTGTTATCCAGTGGGACACTGGAAACGAAGTCTCGTTTATGACGGTACGTTTTGCTTGAATTACCACAGCCCATTGCAGTCAGATGGGCGTAGATGGAGGCGTTTGCATGAAGAGCAACTTGCTAATGCTTCGATTTTGCAGCTCTACCCCAGCGAACCAGCTCTCCATGTCGATGTTAAACCATGGAAGCTGACACTGTCGTATCCCTATGGAAACGCTGATTCCGTCTTCACCTTCGTCGTCGACACTTTTACCGCAAAGCGCACCATCACCGGGTGGCAAGATGTGCCGGGGCTCAGCGTTGCCGTTTCCGGCAACATCAACCAGACGTTAGACCTATCCTTTGCTGGAACTTACGGAGGCAATCTAGATCCAATGCTGGATTTTGAGTACTGGAAATTCACATACAGAATGCCTGAGGGTTTTGTCGGCATCCCAATCATTGTGCTCGACCTCGAGCTACGACATTCATAGGACTTGCATGTCTCGATCTCGTAATGCATTGAGGCTTAAGAAGCTGCCGGGCGCTCTAGAGAGGAATTGTTACCACCTCTACATCCTTAGACCCCTTGACGGGGTGTGCCTGGAGAAGTACGGCTAAATAGACGAGCGGATTACGCAATGCAATTAATACAGTTAAAAGATGATTCCGGTGGTTACTGTGGCATTCCCAGCGGAAATACATGCCTACTTTAGGCACATAAGCACTGCCTTGCCGCGTGAATCACAACGTGGGCAGTAGCAGCGATGCGACCGCGCCGCTGTCCGGCGTCCAATTTTCTTGAAGTATTCCTATTAGTTTGATGTATGTTCTCAACTGAACTAGCCTAATGCCACAACACGTGTCTGCCATTTTGCCATTTGAGTCGAGGTAATTTCTTGCGCTAGTGCTGAAATCAGGAATTGCCAACAGCGTTCGAAGGGCTCTAAACATCCAGGAGTCATTCAATTTTGGGGTTTTTTGAGTGAGCTTATGATACTACCATGTTGTGTGAAATGCTTCCCGACATGTATTGACGCGGTTAGTGGCGCTCTCAATGGTGAACTTTTTAATCCAGAGCACGAGTCTGCCGATCGTATGAAATCGCAAGAGCAAACTGAACTGAAGGAATCTCGTAACCTGATCCGGTAAATATAGGTGTTAGCTCACGGGCGTTAGATACTGGGTAGCAAATACGGCAGTTTTTGCCGATAGTTCCGGAAGCAACCAGGGCACTGCATTTGGGAAAGGTGAGCTGATGCTTCTGTACGGTCTGCTACATGCTTGGCTAGATAAACGTCCATGGTATATACAATGTTAGCATGTGGGATATCAGTACTTATTATCGCAGCGATTGCAAAATGCACATACCTGTTCCCATGCGTCGAAGACACGCGACTCTGGACGCCCCGGCAATCAGTCGGTAATGTCGGGCTAAAGGTCACCTATCAAGGCCGTAACCAAAAGGGGAAAATGGGCCGGCGCTGCATTATCAGTCCCAATCAACACTAGCAACCCCCTGATGGTTAAAAGGACGGGTGACCCGGCAAATCCGGTGGTTTTACTTCTCACCTGGACACTTCGCCGGTTCTCCTCCCGACTCATCCGCCTTCACCACGCCAAGCATCTCTTTCACAATGCGGGGAGAAAGCGTCTGATTGCTTGATTGATGGACGCTCGTGTGCTCTTCATCCACTAGTTTTGTTCCCCACATCACGCAACAATGCCTCTGCAGGGTGGATCGGCAGTCGGCCGCGTCCGAGAAGGCGATGCTCCGATAAAGTCCCGGAAAGCTTGCGGTAAGATAGGCCGTCGTCCACGCTCAGAGCCAAGAGCTGACATGTAATCAGTCAATTGTCGACGGCAAAAGGTTAGCACCTTTGCCGGCTGGATTAAATCTCATCCATCACGTGCGAATTTGACTTAGGACGTGTTAGATGAAATGTAGGATCGACTCTGGACCATCTTGTCGAAGATGCCTCGGATCAGGAGTGCCGTGCGTGTTTGTGCCACGAGCCAACGTATGTGATGAAACCTTGATGCAGAGCCTCAACCTGGAGTTAAATATATGATATAAAGTGGGAGCTAATCAAGGCTATGAATGGTCTTTTGTATAGGCCGCTTCATACAGTTTGTGTGATGACACCACGTCCACCGTGCCATTGCCAATACCACAGCCAAATGCACAATTACCAGCACCCGATCACGCCGTGCTCCGTCGGTTAAAGAGGATCGAGGACCACATTGGCCTGCCAGATATTGACGATGAGATCATCGTAGATGCTAGTGAGAGCATCACACTCGACAGCCAGGAACCTCAAGACCCGTCGCTGGGTCCTTTGTGGCCTGCCATTCAAGTTCTAAAATCGAGTTGTTCCACCAACACCACCAAAGAGATATGGACAGAGCTGCTCATAAAACGCTTGTGGCTTACGTATGACTCCATTAACGGCATCGAATAATCTTTTTGACCCTGCTAATTCCCCGGCAGCTTCCACGATACCATGCTCGGTCTGCACTTCTTACCCAGCAAACAAACTTTCTCATCACCAACCCCTTTGCTGCTAGCTTCGATGCTATACTGCTCAAGCATTCGAGGATCCCAAGACGTTGTTATGCTGGCACCTGAATACTTCACTGTACTCTGCAACGCCATCGCGCAACTTTGTATGCCGGCGAGTGCAATCGGCCAGGATGCAAAGAACCCTGCGCGGGCTGAGGAGTGGGCATTTCAGACGATCCTAGGCATCATCCTTTCGGGTCTTTTGAGGGAGGGTATCAGCAAGGAGACCGGCATCTGGATATCCGTTGCTTATCGGCTGATTCTCGAACACTGTCCACCTATCATGGATGAAAGGTCACTTGAATGGCAGAGGCTTTTCACTGGGCTGCAGGTTAGACCTTACCGGCGATTGGTGATGATGCAGGATTTTACTGACATTCCATCCCAGATTGTTGATCTCGAGCATGCATCCATATACCTATCCTGCCCAGCGATCCCAATAATTGCACCATTCCCGCGACTTCGCATCTCTCTGCAAGATCAACTCTACAGACTGTCACGAATGATGCACACAGGCTTGACTCATTTCACCGGGCGAGGTCTGCCAACTATTTGGTCTTGTTTTTCTGGAGAGCTTGCAGTGGCGATTGATCCCGCCGTTTCCTTCAGCGATGTCGACGCGGCGGTCATACGAGACTGGGCACGCCAACTTGACGACTGGCTGGTCGAATTCGGTGCCCGGAACGACGAGCCGGAAAATGAGAGGAAACTCGTTTTTAGACAATATGTCCTGCATCGCGTTCTCGTCCTCTCCATCTACCTGCCTGCCAGGGGCAGCGACCTATTCTCCGACACGACACCCAAGGAGCAACATGAACTGCTCGTTTCCGCTCGGGCGGCTGTCAAACTCCAGCTCGTTGACTCTTCAATCTGGTCTAATTTTGACCTCGTCGTCATTACTTGGGCTGCTCTGATTGTCATGCAGGGAGTCGAAGGTGGAGTAGGAGAACCTGACGGTAAGTTCCTGTCATGAGCTATTGATTCCTGTTATGCTGACGAGGACGCGTCTCAGATCTAGAGAATGTGCGAGTACACTTGGCGGGCCTCCACGAAAAGCAAAACTCGAGTCTTCACGAGTTGCTTGCCGGCTGCCTGGACCAAAAGCTGCAAGCTTTGAGCACCCCAATATTTGGCGACGACGGGGGCTTCCACCTTGACGGTAGTCTTGACAGGTCCTGGTACATCTTTAACCAATCCAGCTTACAGACTGGGTACGAACTGTTTTCTTTTGATGGTGTGTAAATGAGACATATCATGAAACTGCCAATCGCACACGGAACTCAGTTTGTGTTGTGGGATTCGCGAGCAAGTCTCCAAGTTAAGGGTTGCGAAGCCGCTATTCACGAGTTGTAATTAATTTTCACAGGTAATTGACTCAAGAATTGATTCAACTAATACATACTGACGAGAATAGTCACTGACTCCAATAATAATATTCTAACACGAGCTCAGTACGTGGCGGAGAATTGCCATGGATCCCATGCAGCATTGCGAGAGGCATGCACCACAGGCCACTAGCTCATGAGCGAGGTCGTGCTGTCAGAAGAAAGTCATCAAGGAGGCTATCCATGGAAAATACTAGCATCTGGCCCAGGACTAAGACTCATGGCAGCTGCTTGGGTAGTCAAACTAGTAGCAATTGGCGCACCACAAGGTAGCACCTCGATCAACAAACGACACGGGGTTGAGCCATCATGATAAATCCGGAGTGTTAGATCAGAATGTACACCATGATGCGTTCCTTATATCCTATGACCTTATAGAATACCAATCCAAATCTCAAGACGCACGGAAATTGGTCATAAGATACGCAAATGGTTGATAGCTGCTCTCCACTTGGTTCAAAAGCAGAAATTGAGTCTGTATGTAAATCCCCTAGAACCTAGCGATTATTTCAGGTAAAATTCCCTACTATTTTTGCTAAAAGTTTACAGGCATTTTTAAAAGGAAATTTACCATGCTGTAGTGCCTGGTTTGGTGTGCTGAATCTGTTCGACGCACATAGCACGGAGAAGCGAGTCCCATGGAGACTTGGGATTATAGTTTAGCTGGCTGATGCCGTTTCTTTCCCATTAGGTACCACTGCCAACCCATTTTAAAACCCCTTGCGTGTTGACCCTGGGTGCGTGTGAGTATGGTCCGGTGTCGGCATCCACGCCAATCTCATCCACTTCGGACTATGTATCACTCAGACGATGACGCAAAAGAGAAGCCCCTGACCTTGTCTTATGGAGTGTTTGGATAATTCAGGGCCGAGTAACTGAACTGGCAATAAGTCCAGCATAAAATGAATTGCAGTGTAGTGGAATATCGAGCATTTCATTTCTAATTTCCCCTATCTAACTACCTTTTCCCTCCTACCAGGTGAACTCATGCAAGTCCGTGGCGCTCCAAGTATCCTTCTACCTAGCGTAAGCCTCTGACGGCACGGGCTGGAGGTTTGGAACGCGGCTGGGGTGGTAAGGCTCGTTGAAGCTGACACCACCGTGCGCAGCAGAAACTCCCTCACCATCCTTGGGCAGCAACTCGGGCTTCTTGAAGGCAGTCTTGGCCAGTGTCGTCAAAGGCGGTGCGGAACATAGTCGGCACGTTCAAGTGCCAGATCTTCCACTTGCCGTCCTCCTTACGGAAGCCGACGGCGTATCGGCCCCAGCTCCAGTGGGCCTTGGGCACGTCGCATCCTTCGAGAGGGGACGTCTCGTGTCAGGGGGAGATCCAGATTCCCTTGGCGGTTTGACCGTCACCGGAAATTTCGACTGCAGGGGTGGTGATTGTGTGTTCGACCAGCAGGCCCTTGGTGCCAGACGGGAAGGGGTTCTTCTCGACGTACGACTCCTTGATGGTCTTGAGGCTCGTCCAGGCACCGACGTCTTCAGTCTCGAAGACGACAGCGTCCTGGGAGCTCTGAAGTTCGTCAACTTCAAGATTGTGACGACCGGCCAAGTGGTGGTATGCTCGGCGGCCCATGATGTGAATTTCGTTTATGTCCTCGATGCGCTGTATGCGCAGGAGTAAGGACTCGAGGCTGCCTGCAGAAGTCATTGTGGGGCAATTAGTATGCAATGAGGCCAAGTAATTGAGATGGGTGGTTGCTGAAGACGGTGCTGAAGAGGCTACTGAATCCAATCACTATTTGGCGACGGATGAAGCTATTTAATACTCCTCTCTCTTAGTCTACGAAAGACTCCAGCAGATCTTGCTCCGACAAAAAGCTATCATCTCGATTGCATCCCGGGTCTAAGCGAGGATCTCGTCAAGGCGCCAGGCTCGTCGATCATGTTCTGAGTCCCGGCATGACGTCCCTTCAGAAAGGGTTTTAGCGCAGGTGCAACGCCTCCTAGTGATCAATATTCTAACATGGGAGTCGGCGATTCAACATTCCTCGACGGACTGGAAGTAATTATCCCACTTGTCTTAGACATAGGGGCGATGGTTTGGGCTGACGTGTCTTCAAATTCGAGATTAGCGTAGGAGAGCCAGGAGAGGATCCTCGGCACCTGGACTTCAAAAACCGGCCGAGCACGGCCTCTCTTCTCCTCTTCTACTAGTCTTAGACCTGAACCTGCAATCGGAGTCTCGGGACCACTGCTTGAAGTGAAACCGGAGTCCCGCAAGTTCTCGATTCTCAACCAACAAGTTTGAACAGTCTGAGGTAACTGGAAGATTAGCTCCGTCGTCAGCGTCCCCCACACACAAGCTGCGGAGAATCTTATAGTTTCAATATAGAAGACTCTAATTCAACTCGACTCCGTAATGCAAGCATTAAAGATGTGCCACCTTGGTCTCGCCTACCTTAGCCGGTTCCCCGATCCCCACCCTACACTAAAACCGCTGTGAAAGTGCGGTTGAAAATTATGCCCCCACAACTTTTCCCTCCACATTTCCCTCGTCTCCTCTTTTTCCCACTTCCACACCCTTCGGAAGACTGTGCACAATCCCACTCCCACCTGCACCCAGGAACCGCTAGTAGAGAGAGCCTCCAAGAAGTCCAGGTCTGGACGACACTTATACGCTAGTTTCATGAGTCGTCTAGTTGTTTATTCTATCCGCCTCGATGGCTTCGAACAAACTGCTTCTCTATGTACTTTAAAGCTAAAGCCCGTGAATCTATGCAGGCGCACGTCGACGATACTAGATGAATTCAGGGAATGTTTGGAAATCAGCGATTGAACCACTCTCCTTAACAGCTCAATGAGTATCGATGTATTGTCGGAATCTTTATATACTCTTGCGTTACCCAAACCAGCACATACGACCATAGCTCTTAGAAAATACGGGATCCCGTCCGCTCTCCCTTAGTCAAGCTGAGAAGCGGCGAATTAGTACTCGGGTCGGTGACGACCGGGGAATCCTCGCTGTTGTATGTTATATTTGCCCTCCCCCCTTTTCTTTTTGCTTTAGATCCTCCTGGTGAGGTCAGACTTGAAGACTACATTATCGACCATGAAGAATTGCCCAAGGACCCAGAGTCCCAAGACCACAGGGTAGTATGCCCCGGGCATCGAGCTGAATAATTGAAAGGCTGGCTTCTGGCCTGGGTCATTGTGGTATGGCCTATGACCGAGTTTACGCGTGGATTGGGTCGTGTCCAAGTTCAATGCTCTCAACCATCTAGGCTGGGTCAGCGGCGCCTGTTACATGTCGCAATGCGGCTGCATGCTCCCGTTCGGCCGATGCCTCGCCGCCTTCAACACCAAGTATGTCTTGATTGCAGCAATTGTCTTCTTCATGATCGGATTCGCCATCTCCGGCGGTGCTCAAGGATGGCTCCAAGAATCTTTCCGATCCGGCCCGCCCTTGGATCTTGATCGACTGGACCGATTATTTCGTCGTGACATGCAGCCTTGTGTGCTTCATTCTCGCATTGCGGTGAGGCGGCCCGACGCATCCCTGGAAGTCCGCTGCCATCATCGGTCTATTCGTCGGCTTTGGTGGTCTTATGGGCCTGTTCCTCGTCATCCAGCATTCCACAACTTGCCTTCTTATGCCTCTGCGAGTTTGGATGAATAGGACCGTGGTTGGAGCATCATTCATGGCCATGTTCTCTCTGATGTGCAACCTTTTTGCCACCGTCTTAATCCCCGTTCTCTATTAAGGTGGCCGAGGAGTCACGTCATTGAAACTTAGTCTTTTGGTCATTCCTTTTCTGCTCACCGTCGTCTTGTCCCAGGCCAGAGAGGGTCTTGTGATGAGCTTCACCAAGCGATACTAGCACTACGGTTGGACCTGTCCTGCATTCCTAGCCGTTGGTGGAGGATTGCTCTGCACCGTGGACACCAACACTTCCGACGCAGCCCTAATTGGATACCAGATTCTCTATGGTCTTGGTATCGGATTCACCCGGAGTGTTGCCTTCTTGTCGGTGCGGGCGGACAACCCCGAAAGCGAAGTCCCAGCCGCCATCGCCATCGTTTTGTTCACTGAGCTCTTCGGTGGAATGTGTGGGCCAGTTATTGGCAACGCGATTCTGCAGAGTGGCTTGTTGAGATATCTGACCGCAAACGGTGTCGAAGGGGAAACAATCGCTTCTGTTCAAGCTTCCGTCTTTGCGATTTGGGAATTGAGCGCCCAGCTTCGCACCCAGGTCATCAAGGGGTACATCAAGGCGCTCAACGACATCTATATCGGAGCTGTGGCAATCTAGGGAATTATCATCGCTTATCACAATGAAGTTGAATCGCGCAATTGTAGCCAAGGAATTGAATGCGCAATTGTGCAAGACGTTTCATTATATCAGAGATAGTAACCAGAACTCCCACACGAGAGATGCAGATTGTCCCAACCATAGGGCTTCCTGAAGCAAACATTCATCAACATATGACCACCCAATTTGTCATCTCTGTTTAAATGACCTCTAAACTTGAACTTTCCATCAAACCCACATTTGTTGCTAACTCATATCCAAGATTAGCCTCGGCATCCTGCGAATGAAATTTCCATTCATGAGTGCGAGGGTCCCAAGTTGCCTCTTCCAAGTTCTTCTATGTTTGTGTAGAGAATCCTACGACACCACTCATTCGTAGGATCTCTAGTGAAGTCGCAGACGAGACTCTTATTTTATGCGATGCGAAGCCAATTTTAGCCTCACTTCTACATGCGTCGATAAGACAGCCCCAGCAAAACCGATTCGGAGGGACAACAATTGAACAATTTAGTTGAAGGCAAAGATCAGTGGCTGCAAGACGTCCAATCCTATTCTCCGAGGACCGCGCAATAGAAGCATTTAAAAGACGCTGCCATATTTGTCCTTAGTTATCCATCATTGTAAACTTTGGGTTTCCAAGGAAATTTAATGTGGCTCTCGGCTCCTTGTGATCGCATTTGTCGCTGAAAATATAGAGCAACTTGCCGCTAAATTAGCAGAGTATATCAAGGTCTGGAATCCACTTACCGTAGTCATCAACAAACACAACCGACTCCAGAACATAGACTTCGGTATCGCGATATCCGTACGCTCCAATGTCAATTAGAAGCATCTCGTCGGCGAACTTCAAATGGACCTTGATCGATTGAAACGAGTCCTTAAGTCTCCCACCAAACGGAGTATGGGTGGCCACTCGTCAATTCGATCTCACACCCCGAACCTTCGCGTCTTTCGGCGGAATGAGCATTGCTATCCCGGGCTTTCCAACGCTTCCTTTGACTCGAAGTACTTCGTAAGCCTAGCACCTATCATGAGGATCGCAGGGCAGTGCTCCTGCAATGTAAACTGAATATCCTGTCGCTATGACCATCACTTGCTGCAGGCTAGCAAGATCAACAGTGCTAGTTCCAGAAATGATTCACAGAAGGTATATAATATCTGGGTCCTAAGCATCAGGCTCTGGACTATGACCAAAGCTGGAATCTTAGTGATACACAGCCAGAGCTTACCAATCGGATTATGAATGTTATACTCGTCGCACCGCAGCCGGCTAGTCTCAATTCTTTCCTTGACAACATATACTGAATAAAAGAATACATACACAAAAGAAGATTCCTGTGCCACTTATTAGGAGGTGAGACTTGTACTCAACTTCACCGAATAGCCCCCAGCCCGTACCCTACATGCCAATTTCTCTCCGCCTATCACAGTAGTCTGTCGTATAGTATTATCATGTATCCGTACTTCTAGTTGGCAAATATGTTTCATCCGTATTTCTTGGCCAGGTTGTCCTTGATCGAATACTGGATGTTGAGCCCTGTTTTAAAGATGAGTATAATAAACCCAAAAACTTCTGGGAGAACTTACATCTGTCTCATTCCACTGCTGGGTCGGGATAGTTTGTTGGGAGAAATTGGGTGCAATACTCGTATAGTCTTCGGTGAGAGGACCTGCTTCCTCGCTGATACTAGCGATAGTGTGATCCGCGATGTTTGCCTCATGAGGTGGTGATGATATTCGGAAAGCGGCTGTTTCCGCTAAAACTCTGTCTTGTTGCCGTACTCGTCTATGTTTATAAACATGCTTGGATATAGCTATTAAGTTAGAAATGTGATGGGTCTTAGTTAGGGTATCGCGGCGTCTCTTACAAAAGATAGCATGAACTAATTGTTCAACAAATTGCGCCCACACTAGAACGGCCATGATTTGACCAAAGCCCCACTGGTTGTCCTGATATGCATCCCCGCTTAATTTTTGCATCAGAATTCTTTGATTTTGCAACGTCTGAGCGGTGGATATCGCAAAAAACATCCATACACCGGACATCGTGACACAAGCAGCTACAATAAGAAGTAGATTCTTGTCGATGCGGATAAAAGAACATAATTCCAAATATAACCGTCCAAGAGAGCTGAAGGGGTTTCTGAGAAGCTTGAAAGGTACGCTCAGACGCATGTACAACTTCAGAATTGGCCGTCGAAGCCACTTGAGTGCGACCAGACCCACCAGCAATATCATTCCTATTGGAACAAGGACCTTTAACCGGGTTTGAAGACGACGTAATTGAGGGTCTTCTTCTGTTCTTGTGGTGGAAATGAAGTCTGGTAAATGATAGTCCTTTTGTATGGCGCAGTGTCTCGTTATTTCCTCCATGGCAGTCGAGTTTTGATTTGGAAACTTCCTCATGAAAGTCATGCGAAACATCAGGACTAATATAATGAAATAATAGACTGCAAGAGAACCCCATCCTTTCAATGCAGTTGGAGAGATTGGTAAGGAGAGAAACATACTGGAATATGCAAGATATAATTCGTATAGTGCAAGAGTGTCCAGAAACTGAACCTCCGCGAGAGGAGCCACCTGCTGGATCCTTATCGTAGCGGATAGCAAAATAGATAAAGCAATCAGAATGTTAGTACGATGAATGCTCCCAGCTAGGTTGACGCCGATTTGAGCCAGCCAGTGTTGACGGGACAGCCTAAAATACGGAGGTTGGAAACGGTCGGGGTCGCATATTACAAGGATTGTTGATAACATGGGCCCAAAAACGAATGTTGCGAGTGCCTGTATAAGGTAAGAGATCATGGCCTATCCCGTGAGTTAGACTGCTGTTCTTAGTTGCCTGGATGATCGGTTTTGGCATTATGTTGCAATTGCCCCGTTACTCACTCCGATTCCCGATACATCGGGATTCCCAGCGCCATAGACATATACACAAACATTCTCGCAAGTCTGTACTAGCAATGAAATGTTGTAATTCTGCCAATCACTGCCCACCCGGTCGATGAGAGTGTCGCGGTCAGAAAATGCGCAAGGGTCTGAGTTGTTTCCAGTTGGAAACGCAGGTGGAAGAGTCGTGAGAGTGCCTGGATCTGCATCCGCTGTCGCTGTCTCAGCCAGGTGGAAGAGAAGAGAGACTAGAAATAGATCCTTTAGAGCTGTGAAGTTCATCGTGCTTGCAAATGGCCTGTCACAAATTCGATCTCAAGTTCTGGCGACACGGGCGCAGTGAGTGTTTAATGCAATAGATGTCCGTTTGAGTAATCTCCGCTGTGGAACAATAATTTGTGGGCTCGATTGAAGGGATTTGCCATGCGTGAAAGGTATGATGCTAAGGCTTTCAATGTGGTTGTCGTTCGGTTATCTCTTTTCACCCACTAGCTGACGTGAGAGCCAGCGTGGCAGAGTCGGAAAGGTGTGCAAGAAGCGCAATGCCCAGAGCTTCGGCTACACCGAGGTAGTTTGCGTGTACTCTCCTAGCGATATGTAGCCACTTTGTCAGTGTGAGTCTAAGAAAAAGTAAACGAGACCCCCGATGTGATCAATCAGCAGACTTACCCAAGGATGTTGAAGAGATCATGTTTGAGGGAAAAAGGACAAATGGCCACCTCACGAGCAGCCTTATTTTCAACTTCAGCTGTCTGCCTAATTATGCAGGGTGTTGCTTTGGGAAATCAGGCTGCTCTACGCCACCTGTAAATTGACCGCCACGTGGCGGCGGACTGAAGGGTCAGATTTGTATTGGTAAGGCTACCCTGTATTACAAAACCTCCAATATATTAAAGTCCTAGCCTTAGTCAGAGGGGGTGACAGAGAGCCCCTCTCCGGTCAACCCGGCGGATCCGGGCCAACACAATCCAAAACACCAATCGTACATGCTGGTCGGCTTGGATCATCCTGCCTTGAAGTTCCTTTTCAGCGTTTCCCGTTAAACTGGCAACGCAGTTGCACACTCGTAAGTGAGCGACTAGTTCTGCGAGTCCCCAGATCCTGCTAATTACTGAATCATAAGTTTCCTGCATTTCTTTTGTTGAATTGAATTCGCGTATGAGCGAAGTACTTCCATACTTGTCACATTGCGCTCTTATAAGCGCGAACGTCGCCACCCTGAATAACTTATGACCCTCGCTAAAGGTTCGTCTTATTGTCCAATTGCCGTTCTATATTTTGAGACTACTAGACATTAACCCTAAGCCATTTAAAGGGCTGAACATGCATCCCTACTAATTATGGAAATAGCAGATACGCCTGGTCCCTTTAACAATGACTCAGCTAGTCTATTCTGCCGCTTCCTCTACCTCTACCTCTCCCAATCTCCCTAGGTGTAAGTTTCTTCTTTATCTCAGCCCGTCTTCCCTCAATCACATCCTCCAATCTCTTCCCTGCACCATTGACCATCTCAATATTACCCCCAGCTTTCTGTAGAAATTGGATCATCTCCTGCTGCGCTACAATGTAGCGGTCCAAGGTTAGGCCCTGACCGCCACAAGTAGCCAGATGAGCGCTTGCTGCTTGAAACAGGGGCGTGTTCCCTTTCGCATTGACGGCATTCACGTTCGCGCCCCGTGTGACTAGATTGCGAACTGCGTCAATATGCCCCAAGTTCCTTGCCGCCCAGTGGAGTGGTGTATTGCCGTCTGAGTCAACCGCGTTCAAGCCGCAACCGTGAGCAAGGAGCAAATCAACAAGACTTGCGTCAATCGGATCGCCGTTCAAGATGCGGAATGACAAGAGATGTAGCGGCGTCTCTCCCTTGTCATTGCAAATACCGCCGTCACCTCCTCTCGCGCATAAAGTGTTGAGGATAACGTTGAGATGGGCGCCGCCACATGCTCTATGGCACTTGACAGCATGGTGCAAGGCCGTGTTCCCTTTCTCATCCTGGGCATTAATCGTAGTTGGCTCGGTATCCAATAGTAGATCAAGGGTTGGCTTGACATATAGTAGAACCTCATCCTCCTCCACGTTACAATCGAATCGGCTAGAGCATCGACTAGCGGCCGCCCAATGAAGAGGAAGACGTCCGAAACTATCACGACAGGATGCCATGCATGAGGCACTGTCCGAATGCTCAATCAGGGTGCGAATGCCATCAACGTTGCAGTATTGGCTACCAAAATGTAGCGCGGTGCAATCCGTAATGAGATCCTCGCCAAAGCTAGAGAATCCGTCGTGCATCGTTTTTGCGTGCATATCGGCACCTTCGGAAAGGAGTCGCTTCACCATTTTGGCACTGGCTCTGGAAATGGCCATGGTGAGGACCGTATCTTCAGGCTGCGCCCCCAGTTGAGGTCTTAACACCACATCGCGAGCACAGGCGCCTTTGTCCAAGAGGAACTCCATCAGTTCTTCCCGCCGAGCGATAAAATCACTTCTTGATTCGTATCTGTTATACATGCTCCCCATATCAGACATGGAACACGCCACTGAGAGTAGCGCGTTCATACCATGTTCACCATCTCTCTCTTCTATGTTGGCAATTTGGGGGTGATTTTCAAGAAGATAAAGTACCGTATTCATGTGAGCACAACGGCATGCCTCGTTCAACAGGGTGTACGAATGTGCCCTGTATGACGGTGGTTGCGACGGGTAAATCTCTTCATGCTCCAGCAGCATACGAAGAACATTATTGCTCCCGTGATGCACAGCAGTCCAGAAAGGATTATGACTCCCCAAATCTCCGGGCCAGATGGGGCCAGTATATTTGGTCAAGTATCGCTTAACCATGGCCACGTCGTCGTGTCGAACCATTGTCAGAAACAGACCGCAGAACTCGGTCTCATACAGCATTTCGCCATCCTCGTCGATAATGAAGAAGCCATACTGGTTGCCTTCCAAATCTTCTGAGTGCTCTGGTGAGGCACGGCGAAATTCACGATATCGTGAGGCCGCCATTGTCAAAGGCTTACTTGCAGGGCGGTGAGTGAGTCACAATTTTAGATCAGGACATTCGCGTGGAGTGGATAAGGTGTATCCAGTCATAAACGTGAGCCAGGTTCATGCGCTAATTACAGCGATAACTCGCTTACAAGGATGATTCTCAGCGTCATTATCAGATATATTATGGTGCCTGTACTGGTATGCAAACAGTTTGGCATCGAGGAAATGTAGAACTTGATAGTCGCAGACACTCCTCCCCAGCTGATGGAACCAAATGTATCCCCACCGTTCGTACCAACTGTCCTTCCAGGTGTGCATTTCAGTACGAAGCTTCTTCTTCTACCATGTTAAAAGAAGATGGCTGTGGCGTAACGCGTTTTTAATTGACAACTGTGAGATTGATTCAACTTGGACATTGCGACGTAAGTACGCATGGCTTGAGAGCTCTCTTCCAGAGTCTGTATTAAAATCTGCCTGTATCATAGCGACTTATCTTTGGTTCAGTGTGAAGATGAATCAATGAGATAGAGGTTTCAGATACGCTGTCAGCTTAGGAAAGGCGGTACTGAGTTGGTAACATGGTGGTTTCTTGTACTACAACAAGTCTCCAAAATCGGCATTCTATTAACGGTAACATTTTAGTGAACAACAATGACCCAGACTTTTCCAATGTAATCAAGCGTCCAACGGCTATTCCTCATCACATGTGACAAACCACTAGGTCTGCTGCACCGACGCATTGAGTTCTCCTCGTCGTCGAATCTTGGTACCCCTCCACCAATAAATCATCCAAGTCATGATTTTGAACACTCGCGTGAGAGCGAGAGGCATCCAGTATATGATAACTAATGCGACAATGACACGACGAACCCATAGGGGAGGCTTAGCCTCACGCCAGAGGCACTCCAGGACCTGAAGAACTCCAGTCCAGAAGCACCATAGTGTGTGCATTAGAGCGCGGAATCTAGTCTCATCCAGATGACCTCCAAGAACATCCATAACTGCGGTATTGTTGATCTCGAGATAAATCGAAGAGCGAGTCCGTAAAATGAAGGGTCGTGAGCCGGTAGGGATTAAAACGACTATCCAGAGCTGGGCTCTCTAGGGCCTCTTGAAGCGAAAGAGGTTCGGTTGTTTGGTAGATGGGAGCTTTTCTGAGCCTCGTAGTTGCGGGGATTATTCAGTAATCATATTACAAGTCGGAGTCACGCGAGCTAACAAGCCAAGATGAGCTGTAAGAAAATAGCGCTTTGACGCATTTGTAGGAATTGACCAGCGAGGGTGGGTCAGATATCCGAGTCCGCTATCACAGCTAGCCCTAATCAGATCTTAGTCGATGGAGAGGATCAAGATGCCTGCGAGGTCACGGGAGAGAAAGAACAGCCCTTCGGGAACGACGGTCACTTGTCCTATAAATTACGTCCGGCATTAGAGAGCGGTATTTGTGGGGCTTTGGGTGTGCTTAATTGTTCAGATGGTATGATTAAGGGACTCTTACCAAGTCGAGTGTAAAGTAGGTAAGTTGAGTGAGTAGTCACTCTTGTCGAACTTCAGAAGTGATCCAGCAAGAAAATAGAGCACGACATTGAGGAGAACTAAGCAGTCCAATAGACATCCTAAATCACTAAATAGAAATCGTAAATGGATTAGAGTAGATCAGTCACTTTCATGCAAGGAGATATTGCGATATTGATCAAAGGAGGGTATGAATCCAGATTACAGCTGGTGTAGGGTAGCCCTATAACCCTGTTGTGAACAACACCACAATACCATAACAACTCACCTAACTGGCACAAGAAGCGTCCCCTAAAAGGATCCTTGAAATTAATAGTCGATATCATTCATAGAGTGGGTCGTGTGGTTCTTTTGGGGTTAATAGTAGAAACATGGGGGCCATTACTTGTGCCAGTCGGGTGGGTTTTTAATGCACTACAATGTCGAAATTCCATGAGAAAACTTTTGACAGGCCTGATTTTATGTAGGTGAAGAAAAAATCGGAGTCTCGATCCAGTGATGTCTGTAGTAGAACCCTAATTAAATTTGTCCAGCTAGTAGGGTAAAGCATCGACATGCTCTATTTGTACAATGAAGCCATGAGCTGGCTAATATTTAACTGTGGATATGATACAACAGCTTCATGAGAGGATATGCTATGAACACCCGGTTTCCGTCCAACCCAGTTGGATTCCATCAGATCAACTGCCCCGAAGTCCCAAGTGTCTCCAACTCATAAGCGAGGAGGCTCGAGTCCAGCTACCGTCCCTACAGGGAATTTGCCGCCCTGCAAGCGGTGGCCTGTTGGTCGCACTGTCCCACCCCGCCAGCGAGTTGGCCGGAGTTGGCGGCGTTTGCACACGCGTTGTGCTGGATGTCACAGGATCGTCCGATGGCGGCGCCGGAGCCGACGAAGGTGTTTCCATTGACGGAGAAAGGGCGGTCGCCAGCGGAGGACTCGACCGGGGGAGCTGGGCCACCGAGAGTGCCAGTGAAGGCTTGGATGTTTGTGCCATTGCTGCTGGCGGCGGCCGATGTTTGCGCGGCGGCGGCGGCTGAGGTGGAAGATGCGACGACGACATTTGTCGCTCCAGCTGCGGCTCCAGCTGCGGCTGTCGTAGGAGGTACGGCCACACACTCTGCTGCAGAAGTAGCTGCGGCTGCAGCTGAAGTTGCCTTTGCAGCATCGGTGGCACCAGCCGCTCCTCCTGCACCAGCAGCGCCATTCACGACGGTAGCCAGATCGACACTGCCCGTCACAGAGGCAACAGAAAACGATGCCAGGTCGACAAGGTCGGTTGCGAAAATTCCACCAGTGCCTGTGAAGGTCTGGGCGACATCGGCAACAGCGGCGGAGACCTCAGCCTCTGAAGCGTCGAGAACAAGGAGACCCTGGGAATAGATGCAACCCAAGTTGGGCTCTTCATCATCGCAAGAATTGCCCTTACCAGTGTTGTCATTAGGCTGGAATCAATTAGCATGGCCCGTAATGAGAAGGCGAGATGGATACGTACATCGCCGGCGGCAAATGTTCCACTGAGGAGAGCCAAGTTTGTATCAGCTCCAATTCCAGCAAGCTGCTTAGCCAATTCAAGGGTAATAGCCTTGTTGAGGGCCCCAGCGTTGTCTGACGCAGGGTCTTGATGCTGAGTCAAAGCCGCAATCTCTGGGTTCACGGCCGTCTCAGTGCAGAGGACACTGGCAACTCCAACGCCACCGGTGTTTCTCTCAATGGCTTGGAACAGCAAAGCACCCGCCATGCCTCGGAGATCTTTGGCGCCCTTGGCGTTGGTGAAGGCCTGATCGGCAGTCTCCTGCTTCAAGCAGTCGAGGTTTGTGACGTCGCCCGCTCCGGCAGCGGCTGCGGCGTTGCCCAAGAGGCCGAAGACAACATCGACGATGCCCTTGGGGTTATCGAGGTTGAGGAACTCGCGAGTGATGGTGAGGACAAAGTCGTGGGAGTGCTCCTGGGGAACCTCACGCTTCTGGAGATGGCCCATACGCTTATATCGAGCATGACGACGGTCGTTCAGGGGGGAGGCAAATGCCAGACCCAAAAGGGCGTTGAAAGCGGCAATCGAAGCTAATCTCATGATGAAAGATTGAAAGAATGAGGGGTATCTTTAAGTTCTCTTCGAAGAAGTAAAGACTGACCGAGCAGTACTGGGGATTAAAGATAGTTGGTAAGAAGACAAGTGATTGGGAAGAGAGAAAAGAAGGAACGGAATAGCCCTTGAGAGTCTCGAAGTTGGAAACCAGCCAGATAAGAAGTAAAGCGAAGGAACTTGTTGATTCACGATAGTTGGTGAAGACTTCAGCAGCATTATATAGCCAAGCGCCAGGGGACCTGCCATCCCATCGCCAGTGCGCCACTTAGATCCCGAATAAGACATCAGACAGGTTAAGGAGCCGGATTCCCGGCGTCAGCGGGTAAGGCAAGGAGAAGATTTCCAGAAGCGGAAATCATGTCCATCCAGGACCTTGCCTGACACATCGAGGCCGTTCTTCGTCGCCGCCACTACGGGTGGTGATTGGGCCATGACGGTTTGGCTGGCGTCGCTACACAAGTTGGGCGTGTTGAAGCAAGGTCGCAGCCGAGCGCGGCAACGTGAGGCGGAAGATCATACAGCTCGCGCAAGAGGTGTTGGCCTTTGAGTTTGAGCAGGGGGGAACAGCACTGCGGCTAGTTGAGGCGCTGTCGCAGGATCGCGGTTTGGGTTAGTGTCAGGGGTGCTTGTGTCCGGTATCCGGTCTGTCGGCTAGTCCGTCTCATAAACTGTCGGAATAGCTCCAACCTGACGAGATGACCCAACCCCTTCTAACGAGTGAATGCTGGTTTTTGAATCAGGTCTCGTTTACGTTCTGATGCTCAATTGATCAAGATGCCTCTCTACCTAAATGCTAGTGGTAACGGCTGGTGACGGCTTTTGCGGCTGGTGACGGTGTTACACGGATAAATGATAGACCGAGTCAACTTGCCCCACCATACCCGTACCATACCCGTTACCCCACCAGTCCTAACGTTGGGGGCTGGGCTTGTCGCCGTCTGTGGAATGCGGATTTGAAGCGAACGGGGCAGCGTAGGATTCGCGCACAGTTAAGAGATACCAGGCTTCTATGCTAGCTTAGGTAGAGACAAAGTATCTGCTAACTGAGCTGCATATCGGCATAAACCCGATTTGCCCACAACGCCCCACAAGCGTTAACACTGCCAAGAAGATCCACCGCGAATAGACAAGGACACAATATTGCAATCCTGAGAATTAAAGCTAGAGCCAGTATAAAGATCCCACAGCGAAACCCTAAAGTGAATAATAAAAAACTTGTATATAAATAAGTAAATATTTTCTGTCTCTCTATATTTTTACTGAATTTAATAAAACTATTATTGTAATCCTATTGTATGCTTGAACTAGAGTATAGGGTAAGTCGACACAATGCGCTAGCCGTATTCAGTAAGCGAATAATGCAGATGGTTTTATGCATCCACTGTGATTTGGGTGCGACTGGCGATGACGTGCGGCTCGTTACCCCGACAACTCGCACTGGCCGATGGCGATTCTAAACACAATGGCATCTCACCGAGAACGTCGCGCGATGGTTTGAATGCCATCGTGTTGAACCAACGTGCATTGCTCAAATTTGAAGAAGATGGCCGCGCAAGTAACTCGCCTACCGCGCGATTCTTCTTCTTTATCGCATCACGGCGCCCTCGAGCCGTACCCGCCCCCCCTCTCCGTCATTGAAGCTTGGATCCAAAGCGTCGAATTCAACAGCAGCAGAGACGCAGAACCGAGCCAGACGCCGCGGAAGATCTCTACATCACGATCCCCGAATGCATCTGCATCAAAACGAAAACGAACCGATTCTCCCCGCCGAGTTGCCCTTGCCGCCCTCAGCCCCAACATGTCCCGAGACGAGCCCCGAACGCCTTCGCCTCGAAAATCCGCCCGGTTAAACCATCGCGAGCTGGTGGTTGACGATGGAGGCCGGCATGCAGCAGTACTGCAGACGTCGCCGGATCAAACACCGAGACCACGGCCGAGGCCGAAACGGACAGCAACTGTTCCCACGATGGGAGCAACGAATCTGGCGGCCGAGTCTCTCCAAGCCGCGGCACCACCAATATCATCCCCGACCAAATTGACGGAGCATACTCTTTTCCCAGCTCAAGACCCATACACCCAAACTCTTCAAACACAACCATATCACCAACCGGCTTCGTCGCCTGGCAAAGACTCTGCATCCACACGATCTACACGCTCAACCACGTCAACCCGGTCTCGAAGCCCTGTTAAGCGCATGGCCGACCTCCAACTCAGCGCCAAACCCATCATACACCTCGGTCTCTCGTCAATGCCCAATGGGCTGCCACCCGCCGTGCGACCGCTATACAAGAACCTGCGGCGGATTACCACAGGAGCTGGCGTCATACCCAGTTGTGTCAAGAAAGCGGCGCGGTCAAGAGTTAGCATGCAGGACATTCGACCGTTGCGGCACAACTACTATACTCCTTCTACCAAGTCCGATGAAAAGACAGGCGGGGTCAGCCGCAAGCCAACCACGAGGGCCACATGCCTTAGAGAGCTGGAAGTTGTTACCGAGGTCTGCGCGACGGCGCGGCGATGGCTGTGTGAGAATGTCAACGAGGCGTCTTGGAACACATCTGTTCATTCTCCGCTTCTCAAGCTAGCTCTCTATCCTCCGAAGGATATCGAGTATAACGATGACGAAAATGACGACAGCGACGATGACGACGATTACGATTACGACGACGACGACGACGAAGATGACAACGAACCGGGGAACGATGCGCAGGACGCAGATTCCTTCTCCGTCTACACCCCCGTCACATTCTGGGACATCACCACTGCTCGCCCGCACCCCAACTGCATCCCACGCCATATTAGCGGTAGCACCCTCGAAGCCAAGATGGTTGACTTTTGCATTACGGTATCCGACGCAGACATTCAAGACGCTGCTCTGCGCACCTTGACCGCCGCCTCCTCCTCACCCGACGCCATGATACCTGGCGCGAAACTATTTACGTCTATCAACCACACCGAGTACTCGCCAGTGACGCTGCGGCCCATCAGCGTCAGCATCGAGAGCAAGACACCCAACGGATCGCCCGAGATCGCCCTTGCGCAGCTGTCCATCTGGGCCGCGTCGCATTTTGAGAGGCTGCGGAGGCTTCGGGATTTCAAGAGGCGGCAACAAGGTGATGTCGCCACAGAGGCCTGCATTCCCATGGCGCTGCCGCTGCTGCTAGCAATTGGGCCCGCTTGGAAGCTATACTTTGCCGTCGACACCGATCGTGATATTGTGAGTGCCCTAAGCTTCATACCGTGTTTCTTAGCGCTCCATGCTAACAGCTTTCAGGTCATTGTCGACGCCATCGAGCTGGGTTGTACTGATCAGCTAGTTGGATGCTATAAAGTCGTCGCCGCCTTGCGGGAACTGGCTCGCTGGACTGAAACGACGTTTCGCAGCTGGTTGCTCGATAACGTGCTTCTAGGCGGGATGTGATTTGAATGACGATGGCAGGTCCAATCATTCGAGTACGTTCTTAGGCCTCGGGTCTACTTTAAATAAAAAGTATTCCTAAATAAATATAATATATATAATCATTTAGAGATAAATACTAATGCTCAAGATTAATAACTTATTATCTTAAGACTGCTGGATTAGGTATGTCTCTAAACTAAGCATGGAAGCCCCCCCCTCTTCGACCATGAAGGTTGTGTGGCCGTTTTGCAACCGCGTGACACTTTTTCAACACATCATCTTCAGCCAACTGCGAGATACTCTGCTCCAACAACTCTATGAACTTTGCGATCGTATTTTAAGAGCGCAATTCATGTCGAACACGTGCAATTGCGTTTATGGTGACCGAATGATGAGGCAGATCGGCAATTACCTAGGCGACCTTTCCGCTGACTCAGCCCATCATTCAGTGAATCGCCCCGGTTTGGGCCCAAAACAGCAGGTCGCTGATAATCGCGCAGGAAAACGAAGCGTCACGTACGTCGTTGGAGATAAGCCATCTTAATCTGTTACAACAACACTTTGCGTCGCGTCGTCCTCCGAATGGCCATAATAAATCTCGTTTTAGGTGGCTTGCTCGGCCTCGCCGCCGCTCAATTCCCACCGAAGCCGGAAGGCGTTATCACGGTAAAGTCCAAACTTCACGAGAACGTCACCATCTCTTTCAAAGAGGTAAGTGGACCTCTAGCATCAAGCCCGAGTCTCATGGTGTTGACAAAATAGCCTGGCATTTGCGAAACCACACCAGGTGTCAAATCTTACTCCGGTTATGTCCATCTTCCGCCAGGATTCTTGAATGATGAGGACGACGACGGGCAAGACTACCCCATTAACACGTATGTCATTCCTACATTATCGGCAATCACATCCTAACCGACCAAGTTTTTTTTGGTTCTTCGAAGCTAGAAAAGACCCTCACAATGCGCCTTTGGCAATTTGGCTCAATGGCGGCCCAGGTGGCTCGTCCATTATGGGCTTATTAGACGAAAATGGCCCTTGCTTCGTGGAAGAAGACTCAAAATCGACGCGATTGAACCCTTGGAGCTGGAATAATGAAGTCAACATGCTGTATCTGGATCAACCAACTCAAGTTGGATTCTCTTACGATGTTCCCACCAACTGCACCGTCAAGTTGACTGGTGAGGAGGTTGGCTTCAAGATGACCCCGACGAATTTCGACGAAACACCACTGCATCTCAACATGACCTCAAGAGCTGGCACATTCGGAAGCCAGAAATTAGATCAAACGTCCAACACCACTGCACAAGCGGCGCACGTCTTGTGGCACTTTGCTCAGACGTGGTTTTCCGAGTTCCCCCACTACAAGCCGACCGATGACAAGATCAGTGTCTGGGCCGAGAGCTACGGAGGCCACTATGGTCCAGGATTTGTCCAGTTCTTTCAACAACAGAACGCAAAGATTAACGATGGGACCATCGACGATGAGCACGCGCATTACTTGCACATCGATACCCTCGGCCTTGTCAATGGCTGGTTGGACATGGTCGTCCAAGGAGAGGCCTACATCCGATTCCCGTACAACAACGTAGGATGCAAACGTTTCTACATTTTTTTATCGCATACTAACACAGACAGACATATGGAATCCAAGTCTTCAATCAATCCATCTACGAAGAGCTGATGCACGTCTGGAATCGTCCAGACGGCTGCAAGGATCAAACTCGGAGATGCCAGACCAAGCTGAAGAGACTTGACCCTGCATTCATCCGGAAAAACTTCAACAAGATGGCGGATGTGTGCGAAATTTCAGAATGGTGTGGCGCTGCTCCTATCAACATTTACAACAGCCTGTCGAGAGCCTGGCTGGACATTGGCCACCCATCGAAAGATCCGTTTCCTCCGTCACACCACCATGGCTGGCTTACCCAAGAAAGTGTGCTGGGTGCGCTTGGAGTGCCCGTCAATTATACGTGGCTTTCTATGGCTGTTGCAGAGAGTTTTGACATGACACATGATCTGATCCTCGGAGGCTTCCTAGAAGCCACTGGATACCTGCTTGACAACGGCATCAAAGTCCATATGATGTACGGCGATCGTGATTATGCCTGCAACTGGATCGGAGGCGAGGCAGCAAGCCTCGCCATCCCTTACGCGCGAGCAGCCGACTTCGCTAATGCCGGATACGCACCTTTCATGACGGAAGATGGTGAAGGCGGCATGACACGTCAGTTTGGGAACTTGAGCTTCACGCGCGTGTACCAAGCCGGCCATGAGGTTCCGTCATACCAACCAGCTGCCGCCTACGACATCTTCATGCGCGCTACGTTCAATCGTGACATTGCCACTGGACTGGTACCTGTCACCGACGAGCTCTTTACGACAGGACCCAAGGATACATGGCATGTCAAAAATACCCCACCAGTTCTCCCCAAGCCCAGGTGCTATATTTTGAGGCCTGACATGTGCTTGCCGGAAGTGTGGGCCAAGGTAGAATCTGGAGAGGCTGTGATAAAGGACTTCTATGTCGTCGATGATGATGACACACCGGATGCTCCTCCGGCGGGAGAATCCCAGATTGTTTTTGGTGAACTGTAAATATGATAAGTCGCAAGGACACCAAGGTTAGGACTTGTTGAGAAAACCACCAGGAACTTAGCCTCACCGTTTCTATTAGATCATCCATGTCATTTCCGTCTTCTTATTCATTCCTGAAGTCTAGCCTCACAACCGAGGCTCAAGGCCTAGACCGCAGGTGGCGTGTTGGGCATTAGGTGGCCCATGGTAGTGGCAAGCCGGGGGCACCGCTTTGGATAGCCGATCTGGAAATAGCATCACGTAGACTCCCAATGGTTGGCCTGAGTAGTTCCCATCGAAGGTGACCAGAGTGAACACGACACCCAGAAGGGGAACAAGCCCGAATCTCATCGTTGTGAACTTTTGTGTCACCAGACCGAAACTAAGGGGTGACCGTGGGAGATTAGACTGCGAACGATGGGGACCGACAGAATGTACTGGTGACAAGGAGTCAGAAAGCGACGAGCAGGACAATGTGAAGGGATTGGCAAGCCTCATTTTCGCCACGCACTTCCCTGGGAGGCATCCTGCAGACGGAGGACGGGATAACGGAGATGAACTGACGGAACCCGGGTAGGCTTCCGGTTTTGTGGGCTTATTGGCCGCCGGCATGAAACAGTAAATGTGATTTATCATCGCACGCACAGTGGACATTTGCGGCATTCTGTGCGGCGTTTTTTGAGGCTTGATCACAACGATTGCGGATGCAGGGCTGGGCATCCAACCCCCCAAGTCGCCATCAGCAGCTCTGCCACAAGTTATTGACGTCCAAACACTGATTCTAGGCGTCCAAAAGATCCGAAGCGCCTTGCTACAAAACCCACGTTACATTCACACGAACTCTCGTGGCATTCACTCGTGGCTGTGCAACTCGTCCTTCCCGTCACGAACTGAAACGTGTATTTCCCGTTGCCATAATCCACGTCAACAGCCGCGTGATAATCATCCACTCCACCATGTTAGCCCCGATAGAAATTAAGTAATGTCCTCCTCAGCCTTGGGGTCGAGCCGACACGGTGAATAATGCATCAGGAGATCATTCCACTCAGTCAACGTCAAGTACGCGAGTCCTGCCTGAGGCTTCGGGTCCGTCGTCACCATGCCCTTAAGGCATTTGTGGATCAACCGGGCTTCGAAAATAAACTTGGTCTTCAGCATGTTCCCAAGGTAGTTATTTTCGAATTCGAGACCGCATTCTGCCATGACGATATCCGTGGGCGGGAGGCGGAGATTGCGGAGCCACATGGCGCGGATATCATCTCGTGTCTTCCGACAGATGAAGATATCGAATTGGGTTCTGGATACGAGATATTCAAGATAGTGTTGACTGCGGCGGCCGCAGAGTGTCTGACGTTGGGAATACGTATCAGCAGATGAGATGGACGGGAGCAGGGAGTGGGCTGACCTGAGGAGGAGAATGGCGACACATGTTGAGCGACGAACATCGGTAGGGGTTTTGATGATGGACTTCCACGTCGTAGAGTGTGAGATTCTAAGCGAGTATGCCTTAGGGAGCAGATGGAGAGGTCAGTAGGAGGTGAAGATCTCTTGATGAGGAAGCTGACAAGGAGGAACCCATACGCATCCTCACATGCTGATGCCTTGCTCGACCTGAGACCCCCGGAGATGTTTGGTGCACTGGCGTCATTGTTAGTCCTAAACGCAACACGCGTGGTTGTTTTGAGTGCCTTTGAAGAACATGAAGGAGTCAGACAAAACTGATACCATCCACGCATACCAGTGCCTCCCGAATTTCTCTACAATTTAGGGGGCCTCTCAATTTACTCTCTCCAGAAATTATTTATTACTCCCTGTCGCAAGGCCATGGGTTTCTTGGATGATCGTTCTGCCCATTATTGATGGTAGTGCCACTGAAAACTGAGGTTAGCATTTTGCGGAAACCTGCATAAAAATGTGCAGCCTACACAATATCGATGAGGAGGCATCATCTTCCATGTCCACTGCGGTCAAAAATGTGGTCACAGATAATGGGCCATGATTCCCAAGCCCAGAAGCCATCAAGTTCACTCGTCATGATCCGGGCGCTAGGCATGAACTGCCGCTCGATGCATGGGAAGCCGTCCGTCACTTGTCACTTACTGGCTGGCTCTAGCCCCAAAGCTCAGCAGGTTTATTGACCCCAGTCTCAGCCACTGCTATTCAGTCCACCACCGGCTTATTTGACAATAGCTTGGCCGTGGTGACCCTGGCTACAGGGAGATCAGCTGCGTAAGGCGGGTGTGATTCGGCCGCTCAGGAATTGTGGGTGAAGCGCTGGATTCTCGCCTGCGGAGAGGACGGATGCAAACGTGTGAACAGTTGTGTGAATAGCACCATCAAGCGCATTGTATTGTAAAAACTACAGACTGGCGATGATATCGCCATATCTTAAGAAGTAGAACCTAGAATGCCCACGCAATTGCTCCGTGGCGGCCAATCCATCCAAACCCAACCAGACTACCACCATGTTCCAACAAATCCGTGTTCCAGCTTTGCGACCTCACTACCCCTCGTCCTCGTCCTCGTCCCGTCCTCGCCACTCCCTTCTCCAGCATCCTATTCTTCTGCGTTTCGCTCTAGGTAGTCCTCCACCTGATTGATGAGTTCCACTTCTTCTTGGACCTTAACCAGATAAGACACATAAATCCCTTCCATTTTTTCCAGATCTTCCCGTTCCTTCTCCCGGGGGGATTCAGTGTCCAATCCTGCGGGGTCGAGACAGGTCAGTTCTGTTCTACTTCCATTACGTTGACGTATCATTCAGCTCACCGGTACTCCCCTGATCCACCTAAGATGTGGAGTTTGAAGTTGCTGGAACGTCGCCTGTCTGTTTCTGTGATGCGTTGAGCCTTGGCTCGTTGGTAGTGGCGAGGTAAGCTTCGGAGAGGTACATCTCGGCGAGGCGCTCCGCCTCCTCTCGAAGTTCTGGTTTTCCTCGACAATAGTTGCAGATCGCCTGAATTATTCGCACGTGGTTAGCTCTCGATTCCGCTAGTTCGGCTTCAAGGTTGGTGGACTTTTTCTCATTGGCGTTGGGCATCTTGACGCGAACAAGTAGCAGAAGGGAGCAGTGTTGGTGAAGGGGGAAAACGACGAGGGCGTAGTTCAAACCAAATTATTATTCCGATCCAGCTCTACTGGTAAGCATGTGACCTTCTTGGGTTATGACACATTACGCAAACAATACTGTTAACGATGTACAATAGGCTTTCCCTCAATCCGGAGCCACGGAGAGGCTTGACCAATACGGTGGACACATCCCCTCGGCTGTTTGCTTCCCCATCAAGTACACGGGTCTAAGACGTTTGGTGCAGTCGGTGTGGCTCAGTGATCGGCCTAGCCGGTGGAAGTAGCCAGCAATGTACCTTGCTTCCTCACCCAGGTTGCAAGCCTATCACTTCTTCGCCGCCTTATTTCAGCCATGAACAGCATTGCAAAACAAACACCAGGAGAAGTGATGAGAATGATTCCCAGTCACATCGTGCAACCAGACAATGAAGGCGAGGGATACATTGAGCATTAAACCCGATCGTGCGAGGGAATGGACCTCAACACACAAAAACATCACCACATTTTGTGCCAAATGGTCATTGTAAGGCTCTGGAGTATGTCTTAAAAGACTGGTTTATGTTTGTATGCCATTGTGTCGGAACATGTCAACCATCATCGATGTTCAATGTGTTGGACGAACGAAAGTTTGCACAATATTTCGCAAGGAGTATTGAGATCGAATACCAACACAGTGTGCCTCTCCGTCCCTCTCCCTTGACCATTCCACCACCCCAACCGACCGCGATTAGATAGCAACACGCTTCACCATTTTCACACATCTGCCTGTTGCGACAGGTCCTCACATACCATGGACTCATCGCTCAAATCCCTCCACCTACAGCAGCACACTCGCCATCAGTGCTTCGGCGCGGTGCCACCTTCACGCCCAGTCTCACCTTTAAATTGGCCCACCAACAAGGCTCCTGAGTGGAAAGTAGTTACACCGGCTGCTCTATTGGCCGGGGCTTTACTGGTCCGCTCCCCTCACGAACGCAATGTCTATTTCGAGGAGATCAGCTTCTATCGTCTTCTCCGGGACATCCATTGCCGTTTCTTCATTGGAGACGAGAGTGTAGACTCAATGTGCTAACAGTGGCTAAACATAATGGTCGGAACTCCACCGCTCGGTTCCAGAAATACCCATTCATACATAAGACCAAGGGAAAATGGTGTGAAGTAGAAAGCCAGGCAGATAAGTCCCAAGAGGCCATGACTGATGCGGGACTTCGATCGGACGACCCGACAGGGATGGGTAGATGAGAGCTTACTTAGACGACCAGTGTTATGGAGTATTGATGGGAAATCTACGTGGCAAGCTGTGGTTCATAATTGCGCCCTCTTCTGATGTGCGACCGTGTCAAAATTAATGGGCGTAAATCTCACGCACGTCAATTATCAATCCGGTGACTACCCTTGTCTCTTGATCATCTTCGTGGAGGTACTCATGCCGCGCCAGGGCAACGCTATTTGTTGGTGGAGACGGGAAAGGAATCGGTTGGTCTTCTCTTCACTTTTTAGCGCTTCCAAGGAGGCCAAAGGTTGGGTTCGGAACTCACTACTCTTCTCTCGCTAAGGACTTCCACAGGCCTCGAGTAGAGGTAGCCATGATTTGATTCCATCTTGCCTCCTCGCGTCCGCGGTTGGGGAGGCCACAGCTGGTGGAGTCCGCCGCCAGGAATAGGAGTGCAGCTTTGGTGTGAGCTCAGGTTTCACTCCCGATTCTGGGGGCCGATGCTCTATGGATCCCTCTCCTGCTAGCTTCCGAGAGGCAGTGGTATTGTGAAACCCAATTTTCTTTTTCTCCGGCCGTGGCTGGTTCTCGTGGTCACTTTCACAGAGGAGCTACCTTCCGGCACATGATGGTGTAGCGAGCCGTTGTTGATGACTCCAGCCAGCCTCCTCTCCAACCATGTCCGTGAAACCGTATACATCCGCTAGACCGGAACGCACAAAGTGTGAACAGCGATCCTGTAAACGCGCGCAGCCGTCGTTTTCTCGTATACGACTGTAAACGGTGGCACCAACTCAACTGTGGGAGGCCTAACGCTGCGTCCTATTGGTGTTGGTCGGGCGCCGCACAACACATCATAATAGGAATACAACGCCACCAAAACGCGCAAGATGATGCACCTCTTCTGATACGTCCAAGTCGGTCTGTATCCCGCCGTGGGCCAAGCCTGAATAAGACTAGCCCATATGTGCCCTGTTCTTTCTAGTCAAGCTAGCTGTGTGATTCCGTTGGTCGCGTTCCACTCAAAGTAGAGAGCCGACGGCTCGTTTTCAGACCAGCCAAAACGCAACTTCCCATTGCAAGCCGGTAGCAATACAACCACGTCAAGTGGCGGTGAATTGGTTTGGGGTTTAGTCTGTCTGCGTCTTCCCGTTGGTTTTCGTCGTATTCTAGGCAGAACCATGATGTGGTCATCATTTGAGCCCATTAGGCAGGGAGGCCGCCGCCTTCGATCCTCCTGTCGGGAACTAGGAACAGCAGTTATGAGGCATTCCGTGTTGTTCCGTCTTCCCGTCAGTGGATTTTGCGTTCCACAGGATTCACTTGCTCATCATCGGTCAGCCAGAGGAGTTGCATGTCCAAACCCCACGACGTGTTCGACTGGCATGAGTCCTTCATTGAGTTTGTTCTTGATGATCACAAGTGCCTGCTGGCCAGTGAATATAGGCTGCATTTCAAGGACGACTGGTACATACGACCATAGCTCTTAGAAAATACGGGATCCCGTCCGCTCTCCCTTAGTCAAGCTGAGAAGCGGCGAATTAGTACTCGGGTCGGTGACGACCGGGGAATCCTCGCTGTTGTATGTTTTTTTGATGTTTTTTTTTGGTCCGTGTCTGGATATGGGAAGCGGGATCCAAGCGACTGCGCTTCCCCGTCGAAATATTCAGCGGGTGGTTGGGTTGTGTCACCAGCCTGTCTGTTTCCGTCGCTTGGCCTCAGATTCCACACCAACGGTTTCACAAAATATTGTGTCTTCAACTCTCTGAACAGGCAGCCATGCAAAAATGTCCAGAGACGGCAGTTGTCAGCCGGAGCCGTCTGTATTCCCCGTCGTCTTCCTTGTATCTAACGCTCACGCGCTCCATCATTCCGGCATCTTGAACTCGACTCGTCAACTCGACTCTCTTTCCCCCACCTTCCCCTCCCTGGTGTACCACGAAGATGCTCAGGCGGTCGGATCGTCTCGATTTCTTTGCCCCGGCTCCTGTGCCTTCCCGGTAAGATCGGGGCGCTGCAGCGGGGGCGGTGATGGCCTCAATCACAATACGGGTTGTATTCCGGGTTGGGGCATTTTGGTTACGTCTAGTCACCGCAGCTTCAATATCTCTGGTCCAAGAACACGGCGCTCAATGTAGGAGGCTTTACGTCGCCTCTTCGGGTCATGTATTTAATATAGCCATCAGCCCCAACTTCAAAATACATTTCATTCAACCATCTAAATATCAGTATTGCTGCTCGGCTCTTGTCATCTTCAACATCTCACAATCTTACCTCCTTGAATTCTCGTAATGTCTCTCGACGAGACACTTCGCAAACTCACCATGGGGACAACGGCTACCTCCGAGTCCGCCCCGAACACGCCGGGACGGTGCTCCGACTTGGATTGTCCCAATACCACAAGACCACCATCCGCCCTCACGCCGTCGAACACCACCGTCAAAGGGCCATCCTCCAAGTTTCTCACCTCGAACCATGGGAAGCCATCAGCCCTGATTGCCTCCCTCACCCCGCCCAAACCGCCCTCTGCAGAGGACTCCACCACGCCCCCCGTTTCGGATCAGCACCGAACCCTCAGTGTCATGAGGCTACACACTGCCATCCCTGAGCCGGAAGACCCTACAAGCCCTGTCATGGTCATGCTCGTCGCTGGACAGCGCTTCGACCCCAGCCAGGTGGAGAGGCCAGAGAGTGTAAGGTACGCTCTCACCGACACGGCATTGAACCGTCTCTACGACATAGCCAGTCTCGAACCGGCATTCGACGGCCCCAGGTCCCCGAATGGTCCATCCCTCTATGTCGCCACGCTGGCACAGTGCTCCGGCTCCCTCAATCCGTTCCAACAAAAGAATCAACCCCTCATCCTCAGCGAGACTGAACAGGAGCGCATCTTCGACAGGCTCAAGAAAGACCAGGTTCTGTTTGATGTCGATACGGTCGCTCGCGCAGTACTCTACCCTCTCACTGAGTTCCAGCAGGAATGGGTCTTCAACAACCGACCCGAGCCTCGGGGGTTGATAGTCTTGGTCCCTCTCGGCCAGTTCCTGACTGCTCCTAAGTTTGGAACCATTGAGCTTGTATCACGAGGCTTCACTCGTGAGCAGAAGACTGTAGTCGGGAAAATCCTTTCGAAGAGTCAACCTGGCCTTTACGAGCTTGTAGATCCATTTCGACCCTCGCTGATCATCTACGGCTACCGTGGCTACATCAAGGCCCCAGGGGTTCCATTCGTTCTCGATCCCACTCAACAGCTCCAGTTTGGGAGGCGGATGCGGACATCACCCCATGTCAGACACTACGATCCCGACCAACTCCACATCGTCACACTGGAGGATAGCGAGCAGTACGAATTGTTCCAGATGCTTAAGAACACCGAAACCTCGGCCGAACTTGGCATCATTTCGGCCGAACAGGACCCCGACACTTCCACATGCCCTGTCCGCGAGACCAAACCCGCCCCAGCTGATGCCGCCAAAGCCATCAAGAGTGCCTTTTCCAACGGCACTAATGGTCTACCGGCCGAAATCCAGAAGCACACCATCGAGACAAAGCACTACATGTGTGTTGCGACGGAGCCTCCAAGACGACGACCGGTTGCCGATCAGCTCCCAGATGGCCTTAAGCCGAGAGCTGGGAATTGAATGAGATATCCTAGCGTGGGCCGTTGACTTTCTTTCTTTCTTGGATTGTTCAGCAAATTGTGAGGTTGAGGTTGTGTGGGGTTGAGACGAGTAAAGCTAACAGAAAAACGAAAACAATATTGGACAGAACTGTTTGTATTTAGACTGGCAATTAGCAATAGTTTGGAGTCAATATCACTTGATGCCTCCGCCGTGATTGTTTATGATCAACTTGTACTGACACATGTGATCTACAATTCTTCGACAGCCAAAGAAAATCACTTCAAGCCACATCAATCCGCTCGATGCTTTGAATGGAACATGCGTGGTGTTTCGTAGGACAACGGCGAGATTTGGCGGGCAGCCGCTAATTATTGGGCTGGTTCTCTTTTTTTAGCGGAAGGTGTGGTAAGTTCCAGTGGAACCACCGCCTGTAGTGTCAACTGGACCCTCCATTTCGCCTGCCATCATAGTGGAGGGAGGGGGAAGGGCAAACGGCGTGTCCATCACGCGCTAGGGTCCCTCAATCGACTTGAGCCTGTTTGTTTAGACCTCGTTGAAAACGCTTCTAAGTCAAGATTCCCGCCCGAACCTCTGTTTCTTGGCGCATTTTCTCTTGCATCTCTTCTTCATTTCTTTCTTCCTCCCTTCATTTCGTCGCGACTTCTTTGCTGCTTCATCAACTCCTGCTGCGACAATGGCGGAACCACCAGCGTGTGCAACCACTCTTGACTCCCACGCTGCACATCTGGGAGGTCCTGGTCCTCCCAGACAGCCGACCCAGCGCTCAGTTTTGCCCAGTCTCGTCCCTCGCGCTTCTCGTTTCTCTCGTTTCTCTCGCACCTCAGCTTCATCTGACTCGATCGCCGCATCTCTCGACCCAGAAACCGAAAACGTCTCCCCACAGACACCGCCACAGCGAGTGTCGCGGAACACGAGCATCGACTCGGATGTAAGTGGCTTCCCTGTGGCATCCGCCTCGCCTCCCCTCTCTTTGGTGCTGCTCCGAGATGATCCTCGTATGGCGCAAACAAGCCCCAACAGAGAGGTGCCTATAAATCGCCTGAAATAATGCTAACGTGCGACTTCTCATGTCTAGAATCGAGAATCTCCCATCAGCGCCGATCCAATTCGGAATCCTCATCACAGCCTGCCCGTTACCCACCCTCTTCGCTCGAACCCAACGTTTACCGCGGCCAATTCCAATCAAACCGGGGCGACTTCAACAACGACTGACGAAGCTCCGACACCTCGAAAACACCCGCGCAGAGCAAAATACACAAAGACATGCGACAGTTACACCCAAAAGCTCGACAGCTACTGGAATGGCAGGGGCTAGGCGCCTCCCGACAAATCTGTTGATAGCCTTTGTCGAGACACCCTGCTTCAGATCAAAATGATTTCGGAGGCCGCCATGAAAGCGACACCACCGATACCACTAGAGGATTTGACAGTGCCCGGGGGAGTGCTTCATGGTCTGCAGATGACTCGGCCCATGCTGGAAGCAGCTCGCAACGGGTTCGACAAGATGCTCGAACAGAGGGCGAAGCATCACCACAACCAGGAGAACCAATACGGCGACCTCGACGCTCCCATTCCCTCCTCGCCCATGCTTCACTGTGCTCCATTGTGGATTAGTGAAGGCGAGAACGACGGCGATGACGAGGATGATAACATCTTCCTCCGAATGCCCACACCGCCACTCCAGTCAGCCATCTTGCCCAGCCTCTGGGGGCCGACGCCGACACGAACTCTCGGGACGCCGACTGCTGAGTCTTAGGAAGATAGCTCGACTACCCAATGCCTCAACCCGACCGTCTGGCGTCTCAGATCCGGCTCCAGACTTACTGGGCTTGATGTTTTTAACCTTTTACGCCGTCTTGTTTCTCTGTTTCCCTTCGATGCCGTCGCCGTCGACCCGCGCATGATCGACAAACCGCCGTCCCAGGTCATGCGAGACCAGATCGCAGAAGCTTCGCGCATTATATTTGTGCCCGTTTATCTTGCAGAGATGCAACATTGGGTTCTCGTCGTCCTTCAGGCTCCCAACAAACTGGCCCTCCTCGACCCTCTCCCCACGGACGACATGGATGAGATATGCGAGCGGATTGAGGTAATGCAGCTGGGTTTGCTGTCTAAGTGTGGCAGCAAGTGGGAGTTGAACTCGCCTGAAGTCTATAGAGTTGAATGCGCTCCCCTGGAGAGCGGGGACGACTGTGCCGTTGCCCTTCTTGTCAATGCCATGCACATGCTGACCAAAACTGATCCCTTCTCAAACACCGACTATCGTGTCTGGCGACGGGTGTTTGCTGTGTGGATTCAAGACGACACATGCGTCTTGGACGATTCTCTGTGCGAGCCCCTGCGCATCTCCCTCAACAGCCACCACCATATTGGGTTAGCCACTGCCAAGCTCGCAGAGTACAGAAAGTTGCATGAATCTACGGGCAAGGTGGCCAAAGTGCTTGGTAGTCTACGCCGGATCTGGAGTCCTTTGGCGAGGCACGAACACAGTCACACACGCACGACCTGGGAACACGAGTTTCAACACCCCGCCATTGGGTCGCAGTCGATTCATGGCGGACTCCTTAATGAGCTGATCCAGTCGCAGGCTGCCTTGGAACTTCTCGAGTCGCGTCGCTTTCGGAGCCTTGCAATAGAAGCGGACCTGAAGAAGTGCATCGCAGGGCTGGAACGTCAACACCGGGAGTGCATGGCAAACCGAGGACACGTCGAGCGTATTCTGGAGCAGCTGGATGCAGACATGGCCCGGTTGGAGCGAAAGATGAAAGACTTGCAGGACTTTGTTCAAAGATGGGAGTAGGGATACAATGGAGCGGAGGGGTGACACATTTCCTTGTATCTAGCTTTTGATGTGTGGTTGAATGCATACACGCATGTCCAGAACCTATTAGTCCAAGATTATTCATGGTTCATCATGTCTACTCCTGATGGGCAGGGGTCGTATCCGTCATTCATCTGCCGTGCTTGCAATCTACATTTGGTCCACATGCTATGGTGCGATAGGCGAGAGAGATGCACGCCCAGCCTGACAAGATTTCAACAACTACGAGCACATTCCCGTTTTATTTTATTTTTACATTGCTTTGGAAATTGCCTTCGAGGTGGAGTCCGTTGAGGATTCAATGAATAATCGCAGTTGGGGCTATAGGTGAGAGACTGAGACATCGTGGTCAGAATGAGAGAGCTGACAGATACTTCGTGCGGCGCTTCGTGCACGACCATTGGGGAAGCAAGCGTACATGGATGAATCATAAATATTTCTTGCCATGGCAACATGGCTAGGCAAGTTGTCCATCAACGATCCGCCACGCACATTCAGCCACCCTAGCCGCCTTCAAAACTACATCATCCCAACATGTTACCCACACAACCCAAGAGTTCACACACGCCACAATATATCGTTTGCTGAATTAATTTCCCATCAATATGGTCCCCCTACGACGTGTATTACGTCATCAAACTCCTTAAGGCGCAGTGGCAGAGTGGTCTAATGCGTATGACTCGAAATCATATCTCCTCGGAGGCGTCTGTTCGAATCAGGCCTGCGTCGGAAGTTTGTGTTCTTTTTGCCGTTTTGCTTGAACGATTCTTCTTGATTGGTGGGCTATGGTCTTCCTCCTTGGGAAAGGTATTTGCTGCGCTTTCGAGCGGGCTACGTACGTTATGTACTCTTTGCCCCAGGAAGACCCTCCGAAGATGCCGGAGATGGCAGCCGGAGATGGCATGCTAAGCTCCTCCCCCTTCTTCATTCCCTCACCGCCAACAGACTATCCGGGCTACCACATCAACAGCAGCGACAACGATGATTCCCTCTCGCGCTGTCTCAGGCACCACCATAGCAGCTCGTCTTCTCGGGTGGGTGGGGACAGGGAGTGACACGTCACAACACAAACGGGGCCAGAGTTGTCCTGAATAGCGACGCCACAGTAGGACAGACAAGCTTGGCTGTGCTGAGAAAAGAGGCTTTCTATTGAACGTAAATATTAGGTTATGACATATCATTCATGGCGGATAGCTAATTAGTCTTCACATGAGCTAGCCTGGCGTCTTCCTCAGGCGCATCTTTGCAGACCGCCACTCCTCGAAAGACGTATCTCGCAGCAGCAGGTCTATATCTCCTGGTCTCACTACCGAAAAACGGACATGTTTCATCAGTTAGCAGTGAAATGGCAGCGAATTTTCCCGGGCTTCCCATGGCTTTTGTGGCGTTGAAGCTAGCTACGTGGAAATAATTCTACAGCGACCCGCGGATGGGATGTCAGAGGAAAGAGATGATCAGAACAGTTCGGCCACACATGCCGCCGGCCGATACCCCGGTGATTGCGGCGTTCGTTAGCGTTTGCCTGCCTGCTCCGGATGCTCTCCCGGCATACTGATTCAAGTTTTGGTGACGACGTTTCGTGAGAAGTTACCAGTCAGTTTCCTGCTACCCCTAATCCCCTCAACAATTCCTCTCAAGAGATGTCAATAGTCAATCAGAGCCACTGTAATCGGTTCGTTCTGTGCTGTCCGTAATTTCCCCTGTTTAGTCAGTCCAGTGCTCTGTGCTCTTGATGAACATCCCTCCCTCCGCGTCTTGCTTCCTGCTTTCCGTCTTACTCTACCAAAGCTATTTTATCTGCATTCTTCCATCTACTGTATTCATCTTTCTGGGAAAATGAACTCGTCAACTTCAACTCCGCCGTCCGCGACACCGCCATCCCATCACAATCCTTCCAATCAACCTTTTGTCTCTACCAAAGCCATCGCCGATCTCCCCCTCAGGCCCGCTATTCACCCAGACAACATGCAGTGGCCGCCTTTTGAAGAGAGTGAAGAGTGGTGTCTTATGGGACGCCAGCTCCGACGATTCCTCGAAGCCGACCGGTATCATGCCAGCAAGGTCGTCCACGACGACTTCACTTGGATGGATAAGTGGTGTCCTGCGTCTCATTGTAGACCTAACGAACCCTGGTTTGGAGAAGGTTGGTTTAGAAGCGACGAAATCTTTTACCGTGATCTTGACGCCTGGAGAGCGGAGATGGCGCGATATGACGAGATGGAAACTGCTCAACAGTTGTTCCAGGAAATGCCACATGGATATGGCATCCACGCCAGTGGCTACAACCAACGCCATGTTCAGTTCGACTACAACAGACCTTCTTCTGCTCCTTCTGACCCTCCTGCTTTCCTCATGAGACCCTGGCCGTTCCAGGATGACGCGAACCACCCAGCCTCTGAGGACTTCTATTTCCCACCTCGCCATCGTTCCGTCAACTCTTTCCCGGAACCACAACTTCTCTCTCACCACCATCGAGCGCCCGACAACTCTTTCGGCGTATCTTCACGGGAAACGGACCTGAGCTTGGCCGAGGCTACCACAGCCAGATCGTCCGCGACTGCGACTCCCACCCGTTCTCGTGGCAAAGGCAAGTTGCTTCCTTCTCGGGACCGCAGCATCTCTCCTCGTGCGAGACTTCCCGCCCCTGAAGCCAGTACCGCCTCTGGTACACGACGATGGAACGACTATCGCCAGAGAGAGCCTCTTGCCTCGTCTCGGTTCGATAATAGTGACATCAGTCCAGTGCACACTTCTCGAGACGACGACAACGCGTTGCTGAACGACAACACTGTCGACCACAGCCTCACCATGGCGAACGACAGTTCCCTTGTCCAAAACTCCCATGTCTATGAGGACGACGACGAAGCTGTTCACCATTCGAGCACGGTGCAGGCCCGGGTTCGGCACCAGTTACAGCAACATCTGTCACAGTTCCGATTCAGACAGCACAACAACAACGACCCCGGTTCCCAGGAAGCCACACCAACCAAAGGTCCCAACATGGCCCGCCGTGATATGGACTTCAACGATTCGAGAGGTTTCATACTTGAAAGTCAAGGGCACGGCAGCGGAGACACCGGATCTCAGCATCAGCAACTGTCACACCCCAACCAGCTTGCCCCTATTGTGGCACCTCAGCCTTCTTGGCAGCCGGAAGAATACCAGTGCTATCTTGACTTCGGTCAGTCACGTCGAGCCCCGACCAATGCGGATTTCGTACAGCTCCAACAACAATATCAGCAGCAACTCCAAATCCAACACCCGGTCTGGCCACACCACATCCTCACTACTAGTGGCCCGGGACCGAATGAAAGCCAGTTTGATGAGATTGATCATTGTCAAAGGTCACTCATGCGGCATGACTATCCCTTGCTAGCCCATTCAAACCTCACTGGCCATCTGCAACCCCAGTTAAATCCGTTTCATACGGGAGGTCCAGCTCTTCAGCCACCTATCGGCACTGGTCTTCCAGGAAGCCAGGAAGGTATCCAGATTGGTCCCACGTCTTTCCTTCCATCCACTCCTGTAGAGGAGCTTGTCTCTACTCCAGAGGCGGCCCCTCTCCAGCGGACTACTAGTCGGGACGCGAGCAGGGTGCATGCTGGCACATCCAACGACTCTCCCCCCGGGCCTGATGAAAAGCCTGCAGCATTGGCCTCAATCAACAGTGCCTCGGTCTCACTCAAGAGTCACAGTCAAAAGCTCTAGCGTTGAAGGGTCTCTAGACGCCTCTCTTGTGGGGCTTTTACGGTGATGATGACCACTTGATGTGGAGATTGGGTATGAAAACTTAGATACAAGTCGAACTTGGGCATTGGACATTGTAAGGTCATAGAGTGTGTGAGTGCGGTGAAACAGGTAAACTAGACATCGCACAATAATGATTTTGCGAGGGAGCGCAAGGGGAGGATTACGGCAGAGAGTTATTTCTTTTAGTCTGACAGAAAATAAATATCATAAGGGGAAATGTTCAGGTGTTCTTTATCACTCGGTCGGATGTCCGCCGTCATTTCAAGTCCACTGGCTACCATCACAGCGGAGCCCTCTGTCCCTGAACAGATACGAAGCTACAATGGTAGTCTGCAGACTCAAAAGCAATGACATGTTTAAACAACAAGAAAATATTCCACTCCAGGGCTCCTTGAGCACATGCAACTCTCACATACTTTTCCGTCGCCGACTTTAGTTTCCGGGTGGTATGACAGCGGTCGGAAGAAACGAGCTTCAACCACCATTCTTGTCGAGATTTCGCGATATAATGCCCACGGGCGCACATACATCAAAAACACGGCATCCTCAAGTCCATTCCATCGCCCAGTTCTCAATCCAACCCACATGTCGTCCTCCATGTCGTTCTCATCCCCATCAGGCCATGAATCAAGACGCAGGTAAACAAAATCTTAGAGAACCCCCTTGGGTTTCTTTGATGAAACACATCTACATATCATCAGCAACATTAGACTGCAGAGGGAAAAGAGATGCAGCCGAAGGATTATACCGTGTGGAAAGGTCAATTGGTCTCCGGTTCCTTTCGTCTGCTGCGCCTGACTCTTTCTTTTCGTCTTCAGGATCAACTTGCAGGGCTTGTTGACAGCCAACTTCGTTGCTATCCACTCCTACTCCTCCACACCATCCATTATTTGTCTCTCTCATTTCGCCCTAAGATTAGGTGATGGGTCTAAGTGTCAAATTAGCAACAAGCCATTTTGCTCATAGGACTGCCGACTCTCGAAGAGCATAGAAACCCCCGCCCTTGGTGAGAAGTTTCAAGATATTTAGAACCGTAGTGATCGCTTTGGGATGTCTATTGGTTTGTAAGGCGAAAGAACACTTGTCTAGGTCTTTTCGTGTGACGAGGAGCAACACTTGGTATCTAGAGAATTAGAGTAGCCTCGCTCAGGAGGTTCAGCTCTGCCGATGAAAAGACGAAAATGAATGAGCAACTCTCGTAGTCGTTAAAACTATTTTATTGGAAGCTCTAGATATGGGAAGTAGCAAGGCTATGAGTAGGGAAATAAATAGACTGTGCCTCTGCGGTGTTTGACCGCGCGATAACCCGAGAAACCCTTGTTGATAACCATCGTGACACCGCTTGAAAGCTGCGAAGTTGCTTCAGTCACCTATCTACGGCAACAAACTACACCTCTTTAGGCTCTGAATTGTTTGCCCGCCAATACCATTCCTAATGAACCCCGCCGCATATCCTCATTTACTTAGATAACCTCATAACTTTTGCAGGCAACGCAACCTTTATTACGAACATTTACGGCCGATTCGAGGTCCGCCTCCCTCCTTATTTCCAGGTGAGATTCATCGCATGCCCAGCGCCTTTTATCTGCGCACCCACATTCAAGCCAACAAAATCGAGAAACAACACACTGTACGTTATGTGTTCCAAAATTATATGGTGTTGTGCCGGGATCAATGGCCAATAACGCAAGGAGATGTGAGATTCACGAAATCACAGATGCCGTCTGACATGAAGTAGCCTGTCGGAATCTGAGAGCAACTAGAATGGGGGATTGTTTGTCTACCTCTGGAGCCCGACATCTATGGCACAGAATCTTTTGAAGCTTTCTGTGTGGTCAGCGATTGCCCAGATATGGCCTGAGACACCTGTTGCGCTCCGTTGGGTGCCTGACTTGCATGCATTCTACTCCACTCGGACTCTGATCTCCTTGTATTTCTCGTGAAAGGAGGAAACTTATAACCCACTTTGTCGTCGTCAATGCTTTTCATCAGTCGATCTTAGTCCGTTGTAAAAACCATTCACTCCTCCGAACGGGTCTCACCAAGATACCTAACTTAAGCACCTTGCTTTCGGTGTCCTAATGCCACTCTCTCGTCGCTCCCAGACCATGACCAATACTCCTATCCCTGCTTCGCTCAATAAGGTTCGAGAATCTCGGGGCTGGAAGAGCCATACCCTTGAAGTTCTCTGCGAATACCTCCCCAGATCGAGAGTATGTCCTCTCCTTTCCATCAACTTTATGGAGGCAAATTTAATATTCCCTTAGATTTGTTACCCAAGGTCCCTCATCCACCTCGCTTTCGTCATGGAGAATGATCGTACAATATCGACAATGATGCGCAACCTCATCAAACGACTGAATTTGGTCACTGTTGCCCTATTTTTATTGTGTTTTTTTCTTTTTCGGCTCAGATTTTGTCGTGGGTATTCAGCACTACCGAATGTCTTATCCGGAGCATTTTTGTGATCTTTTACTTTGGCCTGCCGGTGGCAGTTGTGACCTTCACTATGTGGATTACCAGGTTGGTCATCGTTGAGGCGATCACGCATGCGTCTAATTGAACGAGGGGGTGCCCGTGAAAATCGTTTACACTACTTTGCTACCAATGCGCATTCATAATTTTGCAAGCTCGAGGGCGTGAAGATTGAGCAAGGTAGCTTTTACTCTGATTCGGCGGCCGGGAACAGCGCAACTTCTCGTGCACACTCGGCCAAAGCTCCCTAACTCCTCGAAGAGTTCCAAATAAAAGTGGCATAACTTACATTGAGATCTATACCTAAGTGATTGACAGCTTCTTGGTCATCTTATCTAAGTGCACTCCCTCCTCTCAAGCCGTTGCGAGCTTACGCTGTACGTGGCGAAGCCGATTCGAATTCAAGACAAGCATCTGAGCACCTTGTATCAATAGGAAACGTCATGTGAAGCGCAAGCTTGGTATCTTTCTTGGTGGTGCCAACATTTTCCTCGTCCGCAAGCTTTTGAACTCGTCGAAAATGCAAATTTCGGTAAAAGCCAGGTTTCTGATTGGTCACTTTGATATGCTTATTGTCCGCGTCCGTGGTGGTTCGCATTAGGTAGCGATTTCAGGAATATCAACGGTCCTGTTTATATAAAGCTGACGGGTTTAATTAATCTAATTCAGGGGAACAATCTGTTGCATATTGCATAGCAAATTCACATCTTTGGAGGTATGAGGTTATAAGTCTTTACGCCGTGTCACGCGACCCGGCGAGGATGATGTTTTATTCACCTTGCCAAGGGTCTAAACCTACAGTCTGAGCATTTTAATTGAAGAAAAAAGATGAGAAGGTCGTGGTAATGTTAGACGATGTCTTTCATAAATTAGAATAGACGTCGTGGTGGTGGATTGGTCTCAGGTTATATCTCACTATGCTTCTTCAAATTCGCTGGCGAAAGTGCCCGAATATGCAATACCAAGTAAGCAAAACAACTCTGTTCTCAAGGTTTTATTTTCTGAGGGACCGGTTAGTCGCTGCAAACACCTCCTAGATAGCGATGTAAGGACGGCGTACTTGGAGATACGGCGGTAGGCCTATACGAAATTCGTGTCGGAGTGGGAGAGCGTCTTGCGTGCAGCAACCTACTTATGAACACAAACGCCGTCTGGAAAATGGTTCCGAAGGTACCAAGCACTAGCAAATAGAAGGGCTGTGGTGGAGCCAATGAAGAAGTTGGATGGAGATGAACTACCTCAAGTAGGAGAGCGGAGAATACAATACCCAGTGACGAACAGGTTGTGTCTGTTCCTTATTTTGCTCTCGTGGCTTGACATCTCTTCTCTTCACTTTGAGGCGTAGGTCACTGCAAGGTCTAGGTTATATGTAACGGGCAACTAGGCACGTTGCCAATTGCCAATGAACTGAGAGACAAGACTGCGTGGGGTAGATAAGGTGGATTATAGGTGATGATACAAACAGCATCCGAAGGGATCTTGATAGAACGTAAGCAATAGTAGATTCGCTGAAAAAGGCCCTGCATTTGTTTACTGCTTCCACTGGATTCCTGGTCCGTAAAACTCGCCATCTGGTCTTTAGATCATCTCGTCGGGCGCAGGTTTACTACTGCCATACCCAGGATCTTGTGGCAGCGGCCGCTCAAAATTTGACCCACGCCGTGGCAGCAAACATCCTCCGCCGACACACGTACCAGACAACGGACGCCCAAAAACAGCATATGGAACTTCTCACGATTTTTTTCCTCCAGTACCGCCGTACAGTGGAATTAGAGCGTTTCTCTACAATTCGGCATGTCAAAATTGCGTCAATTGTCGTTAAACTAGACCCCCAACGGCCTCATCCCAAGCACAAAGACGATAGTGCCGCTTCGCCATCACGCTTGATTGCCCGCCTTAGACCAGCTGGGAGCATGACTCTATTTTCCTCCACTTCGGTAGCAAACACGTCATATAAGAGATCTCCTGCATTCTCACCTACTGGCGAAATGCACTGGTTGCTGCGTCGGATGGTGACCGAGAGGAACAAGAAGCACCGAGGCACATGCAATCACCAAGGCGACCCTCCTCATATCGCCCAACTCCAAAGCATTGTGAGCGATCGGCAACGGGTATTTTCTTGGACACATTTGCCGTTGGTGCAGGTCGGTGCGCTCAATCGAAGGCCAAGCCAAGTCAAAGAAAGTTCAGTTTAAGAAGACTGGAATGCAACGATAATCTCAAGCCTGCGGTCGCATATCCGAATAAGTGTCACAAGAACAAAAGAAGAATCGGTAAGGGGTGCAAGTGTACAACAAGCTCAATATACCCTACGATGTCTTCAATTGATCCTTAAGCTGTCCGGTGCGGATTTTGGCTTCGTTCTCTTGTCGGTCGCCCGGAACGCATCACCAAATTACCGTGAGGTCGTGCAGTTTGCCGTATCAGCACTGAGCCAGCGACGACATATTCCCACCTAGGATAAGCCCTGCCTTCCTGGTGCCCATTTTTCTCAGGGAGCCAGTCGAGCCAGTCGAGCCAGTCGAGCCAGTCGAACCCAAGGGTCCTCTCTGTCAATTGTCGCCTTTCCACCATTGGACATGAGCTTTTGGTGGGTGACCGGGCGATTCAGGCGGTGTTTCTGTTTGTCACACTGGCAGCCAGCCACGTCGACCGTCTAAGACATTCGAATACATCCACCTGTCTTTGCATGCCGTCTTGTCGTTTTGCATGTTTCCACGCTTTATGTTACAGAGATCTAACCATGGTAACATTCGCTGAATCAGACGCCGACTCCCAGCAGATGGTGAAATCCACCAACTTCACCCCCGCAATCCATAACAGCATTCTAATTCGCTCCTCGCCGCACAGTTGCTCCAACAATTGGCGTCTTGTCGGACAGATCTCACGAATGCGCCATCTTCCGGGCGTGCAACCCGTCCGCCAAAGTAAGCAATTACATTCACGGCAAAGTGATCAAGAGTGCTGATTCACGCCACAAAGAGGGGTCGCCTTTAGCTTTCCCGCCAATGTGGCTCACATTGCAATTGACTGGACTGTCTACCTGGTGGCGTGCAGCGGTTTAGGCAGCATTCCGAATTAAAGGCTACATTGTGTCTTAGCATTACGCAAAGTGCTCGTCATTTGGCTTTCGGGAAACCAGGACGAGATGAGTGTCGAAAGATATAAAGAACGGCCCCTTCTCAGCCCTTCAGCCAAGGCTTGACGAATGTCCACATCACCAATGCGCAGAGTCTCTAAGTCGGAAATTCGTTGATCTCACTCGCACCTTGATTTTTTTTTACGCCGATTGGGCAATTGATCACAACGCAAGTCACTAAAAGTGGAAGGCTTTCATTTCATCAGCCAAACTCATTCATCCCCCATCGGAGACTCCATCCATCATAACCATGCCTCGGTATATGCTCCTCATCAAGGCTTCTCCTGAGGCGGAATCTGGTATTGCCGCTCCCGAGACGTTTGAGGAGATGACTACCTTCAATGAGCAACTGAACGCGGCTGGTGTTCTTCTTGGTGGAGAAGGCTTCCGCCCGACTGCCGTGGACAGCTTTCGCATCAAGTACTCACCCACCTCCCCTGCAGAGGTAACCAATGGCCCTTTTGACGTTGAGAAGGAGACGCATGTGTGCGGGTGGTGGATTCTGAAGACGAAAGATGCGGAGGAAGCTCTGGGCTGGGCGAAGAAGATTCCTTTCAAAGATGGCGAGGTTGTGATGCGGAGGATTGCAGAGATGGAGGACTTTGGTGATAATGTAACTGAAGAGGTAAAGGACAGAGAGAACAAGGTGATGAAGGAGGTAGAAAGAAGGGCTCAGGGGGGTCGAAGCTCAAACTGAAGGAATTGTGCGACCGTAAGGTTGATTAAATTTACGTGTGTACGGAGCAGGATAAGGGCTGAAGTGTGTTATCTAAACAGAGCAGTGAGAAACGAACGCTTTATTTCAAGAATTTACTATGAGATGGAATACATGCTCCCAATATAACATCCCCGCCCTGCTTGCACGAAATTTATTCCGCCAGGCAAGGTAGTTACACTATCAATGATTTATGAAGGAGTCACTTTTATGGGCAACATCGGCTCAGTGATTGCGCGAGTGACGACTGTGCGCAACTAGGTACTACGAGATGCGACGCATCCACTCCCACGCCTTCATCATGTCTTGCTTCAAAAATACATTCAAAAAATCAGACATGACTAATTAGTAACCCGTGGCATTTATCAAAGGAGCCAATATTGAACTTGATATTATTGTTGCGGAAAAGATGGCACATGAAGAACTGATCGTCGCACCTTGTCAAGGGCCAAATTAGCGTATGTCTACAGAGCTAAGAGCGACGACCGCTCTTCCTCAATTGCTGACGCCATCTCACCCAAACACCATCACCACACACGTATCAGCTACATGATTCAAAATGACGCGCCCAGACGGCAGCGAAATCGCAGAGGCATTGCGCCAGACAGACAGCGCTCAGACGCGCAGTGCGGCCATCGCGACTTTCGGCAAGGCGCTCCGGCGCGGGGATCGGTTCCGGCCGGTGTGGGACGCCGTGGGCGGGGCCGCCGGACTCGCCAGCTTGATGGCCGAGTTTAGTGTGCGAGACGTGCGTGCCGTGTGCTGGTGGTTGGGATGCACAGCGTCGGCCGAGAAGGCAAGACCCGAGAGGCGTGCGGCGCTTGGTGAGCTGGTGAGGCTGCTGTACGACGAGTCGAGCGACCAACGGCCGCTGAGGCCATTCTACCAGAATATCATCCCAGCGTGCAGCCTGGAGGTGGTCCAGGAATGGGAGGATAAACACAAGGTCGACTGGACTACTTCGCAGAACAAGCGACTGTTCTATGGTCATCGTCATCTATACGAGAGCAAGTTTCTCGGCGTTATATTTTCGCCTGACGCCGGCGACTCGAAGTTTGAGACGGAGAAGACGCTGTTTTGCGGCAATTTACTATTCTGTGAAGAGATTTTACAAACGCTTGTCACTAAAGAAGACCATCCTCGAGTCCCCGATGACTTCATGAGTGCGTTCGCCATGCCGCTGCTCAAGCGCATACTTAAGAGCAGGTTCAATGAGGAGACGCGGAACAAGTTTCTGGACCTTGTGGTGCAGTGTCTGCAGAAGCATGTAGACCTTCTGGCGACTCAGCTAAATCTCTGGAAAGGTGGATT